ATCAACATCGCCGTCAACGGGATTCCATGTACAGCACTCATCGACAGCGGGTCCAACAGGACCTATGTTAACGCACAATGGGTAAACAAGTGGGAAATCCCTTATAAAGACAAGGAAAGACCCTACATACTCGTTAACATCGAAGGAGCATACGTGCTCTACGACAACGGATGGATACGGCGGGAAACCCTACCGCTACAAGTCGAGTTTCCCGGACACCAAGAAACCATCACCTTCGATATAGCCGACATTGGACGAAACCAAGTTATCTTGGGAAGCAATTGGCTACGGAGCAGCAACCTAACAATCGTATGGGAAGACAACATTCAACTCCACTGGTAACCTACGATACACAGCATCCGGGAAGCCATTGTTATGGACGTACTAGAAGGGGTACCTAGCGACTACCATGACTACATCGACGTCTTCGGATTTAAGAACGACCGAGGGCTGCTACCACATTCAAAGTGGGACCACGAGATCAACCTCAAGGAAGGTAAGGAGCCTAATTTCATGAGAACCTATAAACTCAACCCCGCAGAAAGCGAGACCCTTAAGCAGTATGTTAAGGATATGCTGAGGAAACAATTTATCCGGCCATCTTAATCACCTGCCGGGTTCCCCATCCTATTCGTACTAAAGAAGGACGGGAAGAAGCGACTCTGCGTGGATTATAGGAAACTTAACGAGGACACCATTAAAAACCGTTACCCACTACCCTTGATCTCAACACTTAGGGACCGACTGTTTAAAGCTAAGGTCTTCACCAGCCTCGATATGCCGGACGCTTATAACTTTATCCGAATTAAGGAGGGTTACGAGTGGAAAACAGCGTTCCGTTCGGAGGCCGGGCACTACGAGTACCTTGTTATGCCTTTCGGACTTACGAACGTACCCGCAACTTTCCAAACAATGATGAACGAAATCCTCCGAGAATTTATCGACATCTTCGTTGTCGTCTACCTCGACGACATCCTCATCTACTCCGAAAACTACGAAGACCATGTCCAACACGTACGAAAGGTACTCGACAAGTTCCGCGAACTACAGCTCCTCGTCAACCCCAAGAAGAGCAAGTTCAACCAAGAGAAAATCGACTTCGTCGGATACACCATCACCCCTGGACAAGTGCATATGCAGACCAGTAAGACCGATGTACTACGTAACTGGGAGATCCCTACGACAGTCACGGAGGTGCGCAGCTTCCTGGGATTTACCAACTACTATCGAATCTTCGTCGAACACTATAGTGGCCACGCGAAACCATTGAACGATCTCACCAAGAAGGATCAACCCTTCCAGTGGACCAAGGAACAACAAGAAGCATTCGACAAACTTACCTAGATCATCCTCAGTTACCCTATCCTGTGGATGCCAAACCCGGAACTCCCCTTTGAGGTGGAATGCGACGCTTCAAAGTACGCGATGGGAGCATAGCTAGGACAACGAGACGAGAAGGGACGACTGCACCCCGTCGCCTTCCTATCCAAAACATTCTCCGGACCAGAGCTTAACTACATAGTTGGAGAAAAAGAACTACTCGCAATCGTCACCGCACTCCGAGAGTGGAGGGCCTACCTACTGGGGTCCCCGTACCAGATCCAGGTCTGGTCGGACTACCACAACCTGAAGGACTTTACCACTACGAAGGACCTCACTATGAGCGAGAGACTCTCACGATGGTACGAAAAACTAGCGCAGTACGACTTTGTCATCCACTACCGCAAAGGTTCCAACAACGCTAGGGCGGACGCCCTTAGCAGATACCCCAAATACGAAGGAACGACAAACAACAGCTACCTAATCCTAAGACAGCACGAGGACGGCACGCTGCGAATCGCCGCGGTACTTAGCGTCGACAACTGGAACAAGGATCTCCAACAACTTGTGGTATACGCAACCCTCCACGATAAAAACGATATTAAGAAAACCCACGCGGAAGACCCGCGATACGACACCTCGAGAATCGACAAGGGAGTACTTAAGTATAGAGGAAAAAGGTGGATACCACCTACCGTTCGGAACGAACTTATCCGAGCCGTCTACGAACACCCGCTCAGTGGACACTAGGGGGTCTATAAGACTATCTAGCGGATGCGCAAGCAGTTCGACTTCCAGGGACTTAAAGAAGCCGTCCAGAAGGTCGTTAACAACTGCGTTATGTGCGCAAAAGCCAAGGCATCACGACACAAACCGTACGGAGAACTCATGACTATCGCACCACCCGATAGAGCGTGGAAGGCAATCTCCATGGACTTCATCGTCAAGCTACCTAAGTCCAAGGATCCCGCCTACCAAACCGCCTACGACAGCATCCTGGTAGTTACCGACAGACTTATAAAATACGCACTGTTCGTGCCATGCAAAGAAGCAATGATAACCAAGCAGCTCGCTTGGATAGTTAAGAGAGAAGTCATCGTACACCACGGACTTCCAGAAAGCCTCGTGATAGACAGAGACAAGCTCTTCACGTTACACTTCTGGAAGGATTTGATGAAGCAGCTAGGGATTAAGTATAACATGTCTACAGCGTTCTACCCTTAGACGGACGGACAAATAGAACGCATGAACCAAAACATCGAGACATACCTACGTATCTTCATTAACCAGAAACAAAACGACTGGGTCGAGCATCTACCCATAGCCCAGATCGCATATAACACCTCGGCGAACCAAGATATGGGAATGAGCCCATTCTTCGCTAACAAAGGGTACGAACCCATAGAACCTTTAGCTCTCGCAGACTTACAAGTGCCGGAAGCATTCGTCGAAGCATAGAACCTTACGAAACTCCAAGAAAAGCTTCGGGCCATACTTAGGAACCCTAAAGACAAGCAGAAGGCACAATACGACAAGCACAGGCTGAAGGGACTAGCCTATAAGGAGGGGGATAAAGTTTATTTGCTCCGCAAAAACATTAAAACCAAACGCCCGAGTAACAAACTGGACTTTAAAAAGATCGGACCATTCGCCGTCAAAAAGGTACTGGGACCACTTAATTGTGAGCTCTCACTACCAAAGACCATGCGGATATACCCGGTCTTCCACACCTCCCTCTTCGAGCTAGCACTAGCCGACGCTGAGCTCGAAACATAACTCGAGGTCGAACCTGACCAAGAATACGAAGTCGAGAAGATCCTAGACGACTGCGTCAGCGAAGATACTAGGGAGTACCTTATCAAATGGAAAGACTACGACGACTCGGAAAACACTTGGGAACCTAGGGAGAACCTTACGAACTGCAAGGAACTCCTTCGCGAATGGGAAAACCGACTATAGAGCTTCCAAGAACAGCTGTGGAACTGGACGCGACGGGAGTACCAAGGACAAATGGCGATCAAGACCGCCACTATCCAAAGGGAGTTCACCCCACTCGATCTTCCCAAGGCATATCGCTACATCAAGATAAAGAACGAGGGAGACACCCACCAAACTAGCCCCTACTGGTTTCCCCAGGGAGAGCCTGATCCCCTGGACCAGGAACGGGCAGCGTATCCGACGGAACAACATCGGGAGAAGTCGGGAACACCGAACTCCAGTCGATCACGTCAGGGACCCCTAGGGCCAGAAGATCGCCCACCGCCTGGCCCTCCTCACGCTCGACCTCCTCCAACTCGTCCAGTGAGGACAAACCGCGGGAAACCAAGTCAAGGCCTTTCGATTTCAGGACGGACCGCTGCTTGCGCAGTCGCGTCAGACGAGCTATCGCTTCGTTCAGCGCTTGATGAGCCGCAGACAGGTCCGCCTCGGCCTCCTTTTCCCGAGCTTTCAGACGATCGTCCTCGGCGATCACACGATTCAGGGTCGGCGCTACCCAAATTCCGTCGCACGGCACGTTGGCGCGCAGACAGCCCACGCATCGCGAGCTTTTCGCGGACGCAGCACGGCATGTCTGACGGAGACGGTGACAACGGGAACACGGCATGATGTCGATGCCAAACTTCTCAGAAGCCAGGGCGAGGGAGGAGCGTTCTTGGACGACTTGTCGCGATTGACGCTTGTTGACGCGACCGGGAGACATGGTTAGCCATGAGGAAGAAAAGGGAGACGCACGACCAGCGGGGATGGTCTCACCTATATGTGGCGCTGAGGACAGCGACTAGGGAGGAGGGGAATGATGTGACGACCCGACCAACAGGTCGCAAGATCGGGCCAGGGACAAGGGCAGGTCATGCACGCGGGTCCAAGAAACATTACCTAAGCCACCATGATGAGTCATCCAGGACAGGACCACGCCAAGACCATGGAACTGTGCCAAGAACTGTGGGACTGCGCAGTCCCAGTAGGAACTGCGCAGTGCGCCGGTAGAACTGACAGTTCCAAGGCACGGCAACACAGTTCACGATGAAGGACAAAGGATATATAGAGCCAGAAGGATTTCCTTGTAGACAGTCATTACCTTTGTACTTCAGCGATCAATCTAAGTATCACCCTCACCCTTCACTTGACCTAGTCACTCAATTGATCCGAGTGTGATATCTCGCAAGAGACACGAACGACAACCCCCTCGAGAACACGAGAAGCACGGAGTCAGTATTGCATGAGGTCGCTACCTACCTTATCCAGAACATAAACCCCACCGCGCCGATCAGACGGTTGACCCCGGAGATCGGATCGTGACACCGAGGAACGAACTTGGACGCGCTTAGTCTAATCTGCTATTATAATCCGCGAGCTTTGGAAATGCTTAATTATTGAGGCTGACTAAACTGTGCTTCTGCGACGGCGAAAATCCGATCCTGAGAATAGGGAGAAATGGCGGTTGCAGAACTTGGAAGACCTCGCGGCGTCTTTCCGTTCGAGCCTCCTAGCGCTAGCGGGCACATACATCAAGCCGATCCTCGTTATTGCGCATAGTTTAGGTGGCCTGGTTATCAAGCAGGTATGGGCTTCGACCCGAGTGACCGTGCCTCTCTTCCGCATTTGCTAACGTTTCGCGTTTAGCATGGATATTCAATAGTCCCTCCCTGCGACCCACCCCCGTTCGCCAAGTCGCAATGATGAGTGACGACAAAGACCGGTCACTTCTACAGCTTAGCCGGCACTATCGCGCGTCCATCATCTCGCAGCTTGTCGACATAGGTCGCGAGTGCAAGAGCATGTTAAGTTTCGCTCCTTCATCAGCAGCCTCCAGTGTCTCCAGCCCAAAGGCTCGGAGCTACGCCGTCGTTCGATCAACACCTTCCGCCAGCGGCGGTACGTCGCGCTGTCCTACACATGGGCTCCTTCGAAGTACGAAAACCCGGAATGCGGGCGGTACCCCGTCGAAAACTGGGAGGATGAATACTCCCAACCCTCAACAGTCCGGAACTGCGTTCTCGACCGCATCCTCCGCTATAGGCGCCACACCGACATCCGCTTCCTTTGGATCGATGCCCACAGTATCCGTCAAGACACATGCGGGGTCGACGATTGCGACCGTTACCCCCGCTGCGTCGAGAAACGCGACGCCATACAAGCCATGGACCTCGTCTATCAGCTCAGCAAGCACCCTGTGGCATTGCTAGGCCGGCCGCTGCAACGCGGATCCGAGTTGCACCTCCTCACTCAAATCCTTTCGGGGGACCTTGTCGACGGCGATCGCGAGTTTCGGTTTTCACCAAGGACTAATGTTAAAGTGGCGAGGAAAGCACTGCTGCTGGCCTTCCACACCAGAACTCGAGAGTTTCGCTTTAGACCAGCAACTTGCCTCTAGATTACATAGCATCGTGACTATTGCGGCGCTTGTGAGTGTCGACACCATTGTGGCCTTCATGCTTATCGTAGATATCCTGGCAATCGTGAGGATATGTCGCCTTTTAGCGCTGCAATCTCTACACCAAGTCAAGGGTTGGTAGGAATGCCCAGGCTAGTGCAAGCTTTGATTATTACGTACTGATTAAGCTGTCCCGCGCGCAGCCCTCAAAACAATGGACCGGCTCTCTAAGACAAAACACGGAACCCGCTTCTCCGCTCGGGCGTTCTTAAAAGGTCCGTGCTCAGACTCATGCCCAGCGCAACGAGTGACACTTCATCCAAAGCCTTGTGAGCTTCACATCAAGAGGCTTGGTTGCCGTTCGAGGATTCTACTACCGTTAGACCGATCCAACACGATGAGTTCGTCCTCATCTCACGTACGGTGGACACCGTACCAAGGTTTTCGAACAGAAAGAAGTACTCATCCCAAGGGCTAAGCAGGCTCCTGGTCCATCAAAAAGGGAACGCCGTCGACGTTCCTCAAAGTCGTCAGATGTGGAGGATCCGGGGGATACCCAAACAAGTCGATAGATGGACACTGGCTGCCTCGGCCTTGCACAGGCAGGAATCCTAGGAACAAAGTCGTAAGCACAAGTAGTACGTAGGCAGGATATGGAAAAGAACAGGGCACTAACAAGTCTTCAGAAAGCTAAGGGCTCATATGTCTCTCGCGTTTCTGCAGCCAGGTGCTCGAGCCTCTGCATAGCAGCAACCATGATCGGATCCAGCTTGTTACCGATAAAATCCTGCTGTCGTACGGCGCTGAGAAGCCTGATGCCTTGTAGTGTCCTACACCTCGATAGCTGCACATAGAGGCTGGTAAAGTTGCATTTGGAAGCTTGCCCATTGATCACACGGTTTCCTCGCAGTTCAAGGAGTACTTCCATAAACGTCTTGCCTTGGGCCTTGTAGTCGGTGAGCACAAAGGCCTGGACAACTGGCAACCCCCGGCGCGTGCCCAGTCTACGACTGCCTCCATGTTGAGATTCCACCGGTTGCGGTTAAGCGGTGTTATGACTCGTAATCCATCACGGAAGGTGATCTGGGAGCGGTCCACTAGCTTTGTGTTGAGTAGGTCAAGATCTTGCTGTGTCTGGACGCCGTCCCGTACTCTTTCCAGAAGAGCGAGGAGCTGGGGATCGCCTCGAGCCCGGACCTGCTCTTCGAGAAGCACGACAGTCTTAAACACTAGCCACAGGCTGTAGCCGCGGTGGTGAGCAATTATTGAGGCCGCCGCCGACATCATGGCGGGGTTCCCAATCTTGTTCATGCGGAGGCTCGTCTCTCGCACCGGCGCAAACTGGTAGAAATCCCCCATTAGGAGGACAACAGGAATACCGCCAAAGGGCTCGTCTGGGCATTCTCGGAGCGACTGGAGGTGGCAGCTGATGTTGTACAGAGTGGCTCCGCCGAGCATGCTGACCTCGTCGATCACGAGGACCAGCTTCTGCTTCCACGTCCATTTCTTCGCCTCCGAGAACAGTGGAAGCTGTTGGTTAGACGAGCGGCGTGCATCTAGGCCGCACGCGGAGTGGACTGTGGTTCCGCCGATCTGGGCGGCCGCGCTGCCTGATGTGCCGGTAATCTGGAGAAGGTGTAGCTAACCTCTCGCTGTAAACACCTGCCTCAAGGCGTCGATGATTCTGGATTTTCCCGTCCCGCCCGGGCCGCCGGTATATTGAAGGTGTTGGCCAGCCGAGTCGGGATTGGCAGCGTATTTGTCCAAGAATCTGCACACAAGCTGCAAGGCCATATTCTGTAGTTCATTGAGCATGTACTCGGAGGCGGCAAGACGGCCTAGTTCAATTAAACCTACCGCGGGGTTGGTATCAATAAGTATCTGAGGGCCCCGCATGGCTGAGTCGGGACGTCGAAGCGGAATAGGAATCTCTGCATCGTAGTGACGAGCAAGCATGTCGTCCACGTCTGCGTTACCTGCTGGGTGTTCGGCGCCGAGACTGGTCTCCATGTCATCGAGCATTCGGAGGTGCAGCATTTCCTGCACCTTTGCCAAGGCCTGAACATCTCCCGAGAACGTGGGGTATTGATACAAGGCACTATTCTGGCTCCGGCGGATCTGTTGATAGAAGTCTTCATGGCGTTGAACAAACGGCTGGGCTTCTTCGACTAGGTTCTCCTGGCACAAGTCTTGGATCAGGCTCCCTAAGATTGGAGAGCCCTTTGTAGCATCCGAGTCTCGAACTGCGCTTCGGAGAGTCCGGAGCACTGCCGTATAGCTTTGGCGATGCTCAGCCAATGTTGCAGGTTCTTCGCTGCGGTCGCCTTCGTCAATGGGAAACTCTACGTCAACGGTATCGTCTCCTTCTGACCGGCTTGCCCAGAGCTGTGCATCTTTGCGTGCATCCTCGGCCGACTTACTAAGAAGGGAGATGTTTAAGATATAGTGTTTGAGACGGGGGCGGAGAGAAGCTTCATGGTTGGACCAGATGTCGCTGATATCGCCGTCTGTCTTCGAGATGAAGTCTTCCCAAGGCACGAATAAGGCCAGATGAAGGACAGAATTACTACACACGGTCAGCGCGCTGGCCCGGACTAGAGTGGGGGCTTTAGAGCGTACCGTTTAAAGTAAACTGGATGCTCGTCCAAATGGTCGCTGCTAATATACCCCTGAAAGATCGGTACGGCGTATTCGTGAGGCCGACGAAGCTTTTGGGTCCAGTTGATATTCTACGGATGGCCCCTCAAGAGCTATGTGGGTCTCGTCCTCGGCTCTGTCACCACGACGCACCAGTTTAATCATAGACATGTAATCGTAGAGACAAACATCTCTCAGAATCGGCCCTCTATAGGCATATGCATCCAAGTACAGCAGCGTCCGACCGCCTTCCCTAAGTTGTACCGTCTCATCAGGCTCCTCCGCGTCTGTTTGTACGCCGGCCTGGCAACGAAGGTGCGCCCATCGCCGGAAGATTGTCCAGTAGAGTGCCGTGAGGTCGATGAACAACTAGTGCGGCACGTTGGTAAAGTCTGTGTGATAGCCGAGCAAGTGGTAGCAGACCTCCACGGCCGAGAGCCGTCTCTCGGAAAAGATCCGGTTTGCCGCCCTCATCAAAAACTGACGGCTCTTGTTCAGTACCTCCGGCCGCTGACCGTCATGACTGGCGGTGTCCGAAACCTGATGCCTCAGCACAGCGGCCCCACGGAGCTGCTCGAGCACCTGAACGCACCCGTTCATAACTTTTTCCTTCCCCGCAGTAGACAAAAGGTGCTTAACGGGTGTGTTTAACTGCTTGCTTCAAGGTCAGCATTACAGGTACTAATGAGGAGAAAAATGGATCAATTGTGGACTTACTGTCTGCGACGTGCCAAAGTGACATACACTACCTTGAGGAGTCCGGGGTCGAGGCGAAGAGAAAATATGAGGTAAAACAGGCGGGAGAGGAATAAGGGGATGAGTGCGAGCCACGTCCAGAGTGTGGCCTCTTCCAAACGTGCCGGGTTCAAAGGGAGTGGGTGCCGGCCAACGGCGCTTTGCTGGCCTCGGCCGCAATGCACTGGGAACTCTGATGGTCGCCGCTATCCAGCCTACGGAGCTGGCGCGAAAACTGACTACCGTGCGGGAGGTGTTGCGGCAGACTGTCGGGCCCGCGGCCTGCGGCCTCATGGTCGCTGGTGGCGGGCAGGAGGCGTAGGCGGCGGAGGAACCAAAAAATTTGCGCTTTGGTTTTAGGCAAGCACGCCGCGATGAAGCCGATAAGCAGTTGGAGGGCGCACAGTAGGTCATAAAGTGGGGTACTTAGGGGTTTATAAATTTGGCCGTGCATGTAGGTGTTGAGAAACCAGGCCAGATATATAATTTCGACGGCACTGGCGCCCAGGCCGGCCGTCATTAGGAACGTAATGGCCAGCTTGTCGGCCCATAGACGGATTGCGTAGATTAAGGTTAGGGGTAACAGTGAAAGGACCAGGTTACAGACCAAATTGCACCCTGGATGGCAACCCGAAGGGGGGTGGTCAGCGCTTTTGATTTGAAATTGCCAGGCGGCATGTAAACAAGCGGCAAGGAGGGGAACAGTACAGTGATAGGTCCGGGCCCACGTCAATAGTGCTTGCGTGGTCATGCAAACAGCGTCCGCGGTAGGTATCCACAGGGCCGAAAACGGAATGCAAATGGTGAATTGTATGGCGGTAAGGGCAAGGAGCCAGACAACGTTGACGGCAATGACGGACCACAGCGTCCACCGCCACCAACGCCATTGCTGACGCAGCGGGAGCAGCATTAAACCAATCGAAATCCGGGTTATGTTAAGTGCCCACATCCAGAGAATGCCCATGGCCCACAGGAGCGGGGAATCGAAAATGGGACCCTCCGAGACAAACACCTCCATACCCAAACCACGCAAATAAAGCACGATCTCGATAGAAAAAAGAACGATGATTAAGACCAAGGCGACAGCTGCCGTAGTATCGTCCCACCCCCATCCCCGCGAAGACCGTCGCGCCACGTGGAACCGGATAGCGGAAACGACGAAGGCCGTGGCTAAGAGCACCGAGGCGGGCACCCAGAAGACTGGGAAGTAGGTGCGATCGATCATAGCGGGGGCAGAAGTAGGGACCGGGAAAGTTGTAAAGCCGAAGACGTTTTAACTTCAGTTGTGGGCATAGAAGCAAGAGCAAGCAAGCTTGAGAGCAGGCCCGGGAAATCGGGTTGGCCTCCTCTTTTAAGGTCCGGCGCAAAGGCCGCTAGGTAGGGCGAAGGAAACGGGACGGGTGAGCGACATGAAAGGGACATTTCGTCGATCTCGACATCCAAGGAGTAGCACCTCATCACACACTGTTCTATCTTGGAGTCAGAACACGCCACCAACTCCCGCTAACAGGGCGCCACGATTACAAAAACGGCTAGGCTTGGGTATTGTCCTCTGCGCGGAGGGACTGTCACAAGCCCGGTCTCCCCGACGCGCTAGGAGCGGGGAAGGCGGAAAAGATAGGTTTCGCGGCCAACGGCATAATCCGGGCCAACCCCCTTTTGCCAAAAATGAGTCTCGGACAAAGGTCCGATATTTGGGGACGGAAGACTGCTTGGCCTGCCGAATCCTTGGTTGCCACCGACGCCACAAGACGCTTCGTCATGTCGGCTGGTGCTAGCTGATCGACTCCCCAAATGCCACACCACAATGTACCCAACCGGATCCAGCGCCGGCCACCACTCTCCCAATGTCGCCCACGAATTCTGCCCACTGCCCGGCGTGAGCCAGGAGGAGCTCGGTCTGAGCGACAAATTCCGTATGTGCCTGGACATCCCCAGACTTCAGGAAGATGGCACTGTTCACTTTGATCCCTTCATAGGGGGGTATTTCTGTAGGCGTTGCTGACTTGGCTGCCGTGGCTGCGTTCTGTATGGCTTTGTTTATGTGTGAGACAAGGGCTCCCGGGTTATTGGCCATTTGGCTCTAGATCAAGGTTCTGATGGCATTACTATCATTCCCTGTCGAGTCGTGTAATTTGATAACAAGTCTTCTTTCATTTAGCTCAGTTACGTATTCGTTATAGGTTTTCCTAACGGCCGACGTCCAGGTCTTAGTGGTCTTCGCTACGTGGGGGAGTCCTGTGGCGTTACTAGTTGTGGTAGAAGCTCCGGTAACCTGCGCCTAACTCCTAGAAATCTATGTAGTTATCTCCAGCCGTTCTGGATTTGTGAGGCTAGCCAAGGCTATAATAATGCTTTCTAGCTATTTGGTATGCTACTGCTATATATTTGCTATTTATTAAACTCGGCTGTTTTCTTCGAGGTGGGTCTGGGGCGCTTAGGCCCCCTGGCACGTAAGAAATTTGGTAACGAGACTTTTGATGGACTCGAAAAGGGGTCGTAGCTTGCCGCTAGGTACGGCGGCATACTTTGGGCGGCTGTCAATAGCCTCCTGTAGGATCGAGATGTCTTCCGCAAGGTATTGGGCATGTGTCAAAGTATCTTCGTCTGTCTTACCTATGGTTGGCCACTCTAAGGGCGTCGACGATGGAGGTCCGGTCTCCATCGTGATGCATTAGCTGCCTCCAATGACCACTTTTGTCTCCACTGTTACCCGCGCCAGAGGCTAGGCTTTCCCAGCCTGTGGCCTCCGGTGTGCCGCAGGAGAGAGGATCCAAATGACAGTAACCTTGGGCTTTTGGGCCTGATTACGTTGAGTTGTTTCCGAAAACTTGGTTTTGACGAAAGTTGATGTTTTTCCAGTATATGCCCTTGCTCCCGCTCAGTGCAGCAATACGTATATTGGCAATATGGACCCCTCGCAATATTATTGTATTGCCAGGTGGTGCGTATTGTATTATACAATATGGCATTGTCGCTTACGAGTCATGACCTTGCTCTACATCTTGCATCAGGCGAGGCAGATCGTCATAAACCAGCAGCCTACTCCATTTGACCCATGCTTCAGATCCACCAGGCGTATCCGGGAGATGCGGAGGCACAGTACTGTTCTCAGCAGGCAACACTATATTGGACAGAGACAAGGGCATACCTGCCAATTACGGTGCTACGACTCTTTTGAAAACGGCACACCAACTCCACACGTGTCAGTTCTGCGCGCTTAGCCGCGCTACGTGCTACAGAATCCAATATCCACTTCGTCGGTTTTGGCTTGCGCCACTGGTCTTAGATGGTCATCCAACGTTTCAACCAACTCCACGGACCAGATATCCCGGGAACAAGGAGATCATCGGACCTATGGACACCTAAGAAGATCATCAGGGGCCATATCAACATATGAAAAAGGGATTCAATCTCACTTCCCGCGAAAGAACAACCACTTGGTTCGCAAAAAACTCCAGTACCTCCGTAGTTACACATTCAATTGCTGCAACGCGCAGACCTGGCTCGTATCACCGTCACGTGTTACGTGTCACGAAGAGAGATGGATTCCTTGGGTGGCGCAATACTGATTCCATTATCGGACATTTCCGAGATTGGGTCGACTTCAGCGCCTACAAACATCGTTGCGGTTGGCGTTCCGTTGAATTGTCTCAGACGCCCATCCTGAAAAGCAAACCAGTGGGTAATACAAACGCTAACGGACCCAGGCCGGGACTGGCTAACTGACCCAGCCGGTCAAACTTAAAAGTTACCGATGTGCAACAACTCAACTAGCAGACGCCTTGGCTTCTCCGTCTACTAGTACAGACTGATGGTCCAGTCTGACTGAAACAGACTAACCAACAGTCTGGTTCAATGATCTCAGACTAACTGTCAGACTAATAGTCTGCACCAAATTTGCTGCACGCTCTCTGAGCCAATTGAAGCCTAACCACTAACGCCATCGGCACCATGGTAGCTTTATTGAGCTTAGCGATCCCCAACTGCTGGTACTGGTGGCGTTAGTGGTTAGGTTTCAATTGGCTTAGAGAGCGTGCAGGGTGTTTCAGCCCAAATTGATGAGATTATAACTTACGCAGTAGGAAAGACTTGCAAGAAGCCTAACCCCTGGCCCACAGTGGCGACACTCTCTCGGCACCATATGCTCGCATGCCTCGTGTCAGCTGAATAAGGGGCTTGGGCTAGGTACCCCACCATATGAGTGCGCCACGACAATGACTTGCTTGCCTTTGTTGCTGAGTCTCTCGATTTCGGCACGGACGGCGGCCGTATCCTCCGCCACACCGACATTGACGTTCTTGGTGCCAACACTAGGTAGGGTCACGGCCGATGTCGAAAGACCACGGCTCGAGAGGTCCTTGCGAATCTCATCGAAAGCCCAAGGGCCGTGCCAGGCACCGGGTGTAAACAGAATGATCGGGGAGTTCATTCTGGGGACGCTCAGGGCATTGGCAGCTGCTATGCAAGTCAAGATGACGAACGACGAGAGCTGCATACTGGTGGATTGGGCGAGGGAGAAATATGACGACGGGCTGCTGGACGTCGAGTCATTGTATGAGGTTTGCGTTTGTAGGTGCCTCAAGTAGTGCTACAGTATGTATATCGAATCGTTGTCCCCGGTTCGAAAAAGCCGTCACCTGATTGCATTGGGTTAAGTGGTAAGGCCGGAGATGAAGGTACCTCAAGGCAGACGGACGCGGCACCCTAAGTGTACCGAAATACGCACTAGTGAAGTTTATCCACTAACAGGGGCTTGGTCTCACGTTTTTCCCTGATCATACTTTGCAAGTGCGCTCACCTCGAGGACCAATTGCCAGCATTACTAGGATGATGGTGTGGAGAACGGGTCCAAAATTGAGGTCTTGCCCCGGATGCAAGGGCAGAGGGCACGCGAGAGACCACCCTTTCGGGGGTAATACCCGAGTAAATTATTAAGGTTCATTCTCCCAGGTGTTGTGTCATGGCTCAAGTAGCGTCCACTGCCGAGGTCAATCGGATAGGCCCAAGGCTGACCACACCACAGACACTGGGTACAACCCTGGCACCAATGTCTTCGCAAAGCCATTTGCATACATATGAAGACGGAGGCCGCACCAGAGGTTCAAGGACATGACCGCACGGCGTATACTCCATCTCGACAATGTCTCTCCCTCCGCCTCCCGCTGACCTGGATCTGAACGAGTCTAGGGTTTCAGAGATGACAGGCGCCCTCGCCGCGACCTGGGCATTAGCCACCATTGCGGATGCTCGCGACGGTTCCGTGACGCCCGACGAGTCTAGGGCAGGCACCATCAGTTGCGTGTTGCACGGCCGTGACAGAGTGACGGAAACCCAACCAGCCAAGTGCATCGGCCCGAATGAATGCCATTTTAAGTTAGAGACGGTGAGGGGGTCTCGCCCAGTACATACCACAGTAATAGCTGTGGTGGTGGAACTGGGGCACTTTTTTTATGGCTGCTCGCGACCCACATGTATCTAGAGCCGCGGAAATGCGAACCGTACTCCCTCGTGCTTCTTGCCGACGACCTCGACAAGTTCACCCGCAGCTGGTTATACGCGCATTTTGAACGACCAGGACTCGATGAATCACCCAGCCTCAAACTGCGCCTTCGAAGCCGTTGTGACACGGCTTAGGACACGGCTCAGGACAAGGCAATAACGACCAGGAAGCTGCAGCGGAAGCTTCTCATACCCTTTGGCATAGTCAAACGACTTGAGAACCTCGTTATCGAGGGTGAGCCGGCGGCGCTACCATCGGTCGAACAGGAATTGCGCGACGCGCAGCTCGTTTCCCTACCCACGCAAGAAGAGTGCCTGACCAAAGCGACGACGCTTAAGGCCACAGGCAATGAGGCAATTGAGCAGGATGATTACCATAAAGCCCTCAAAATTTATAGAGAGGCACTGGAAGCGATATACTATATCGTCACGGGCCGGGAGCATTACATATACACCGACATGACGGCACTATTTGGCCCCCCCATACAGGAGCCCCGGTTCGACCTGAATTGGGACAATAAGAGACTGAGACTGTCCCGTGAACTTCTGGCAGACATATGTCGCGTATTTCTCAAGCTGGAGGACTGGAATCAATTAATTGTATGGGGTACGCAGACTATCTCACCAATGGGTGGAGTTATCATCGACATGGCCGGTGCTGAATCCATTGGGGAGATCTACTACCTTACTGCGTTGGGTCACAAGGCGCTTGGAAAGGACGACGAGGCTGTGAGACTACTTGAAGTCGCGAAGTTGTATCTTCCACGTGATATCTCTATTGGGGCATACGACTTAGAGTGATCCTAACATCACTATGAAATTCGAACAAGGAGGAAAGGTATATAGAGATTCAATTCCTACCTAGCCTACCAGTCATCCGCCAGGCTGGAAGATCGAGCCCCCTCCGGTACGCCATCCTACCCGCGCCTAGGCGCCGCCGTCTAATTAGCAGCGGCGCTATTCTCCACGGCCAGATTTTCTGACCGAGGCTACGCCTGCGTCTAGAACAAGCTCATTATTGCTCGATTGCACTTAAGGACGGACGACTGGTGATCGTGTAGCAAGTAGTGCGGGTCGAGAGCGACTATTGATGTTAAAATACCTGGAAGGCTCGCATTTAGCTGACCTAAAGACGTTTGCATCCGGGTGGTTGGCCTTGAGGAACTGCAGGCCACTGGTTGACGGCAGCACGGCGGACGCGGTACTGTACAAACAAACAATGCATTCTTTGATAAGTGAAGGCATGAGAGTAAGCCCACTCCAGCACGAAATGGCTGTTAAGACTGCCCCACCTTACCTCCAGGCAACCTCGTTTGTCGCTTCAGGTGATTGGCGTCGCCAAGAGAAGGTGGACCGTGCGTAGAGAGTTAAGTTCAGCTAAGGTGGACACCGATTTCGAAGCCGACTTTAGCGAAAGACGAGATTATTTGTCTCTGCAAGGTTCCGGGCATCTAAAGGAGGGGGGCTTCAGGAATCAGCAAGGAGCAAGAGGCGGGCACATATGTTCGGAGAGCGGTCCGCCGTGTACAATGAACTGGATTGGCTGGCGGACAAAGGCCCCCGTCGTGCGTTAGATCGGGGAAAAAGCCGGCCTTGTGGTCGACTCGGATTGGATAGTGCATAAAGCCTCCCAATGTTCGTGCCGTAACCCCCTGTACCCCGGGTCGTTTCCTCCACAGAACAGGGGTTGGTGGCGAGGTGAACTTGTTGTGGAACCATGAGTGGCAGGGAAGGAGGCGGTGGAACTCGAGGACGAGTGAATGACCGGCATGAAGGTGAATGGAGGACGGCTGCAGCGGTTCCGGCATTTTGGAAACAGGGGTATCGAAGAGGAAAGGATATTTTTATCAGTGAGTCGTCAATCGCTCACGCTTTGGAGGCTTGTAAAGATTGATCGACGAATCGACAGGGATCGTTTCGGTGTCGTTGGGGCGGGCGGGCTGCAAACTCGCTGCTCTGCCGTACCAGGTTTCCCGCAGCACCCATGTTGATTGACCGTGCGAAAGTACCCGACCGGTGTCCCATCTTCATCTTTGTCCAAAGCTACGGCCTCTCCTAGTCGGCAGCGCCATCCCTATCTACAGGAGCTGGACAGCCGTGTGGGCTGATGGAGATCCTTGGCGTTGCGTGGCCGATACGCCACGGCACAGCTGGCTACGTCCACGGATGTACAACATATCATCGTCACGTCAGCGGCCAAGAAATAGTCGGGGGGTAGGTTTTTTCTTCTTCCATAGCGAGGATTCGTTGCAGGGGATTGTGGTAACTACTACTTGTTGGGAGGCGTAGATCCCTGAACAGTAGCTGGAAGCAAGATATCCCACCAATGCGGCTGCTCCAACGCACATCGGCGGTAATCTAGAGGGGAAATGCGAGTAAGAGAGGTAGAGTGACATTGGAGATAATGGAGATCCACAAGGCAGTTGTAGGGGCAGGTGGGGGGAGCAGCCGCGCAAGTCTGGTATTAGGGGAAATAATTCCGGATATCGTAATTAAGTACACCTAAGCTTAGAGCATTAAAGTGGACAGATAAGTTAGATGCAGTGAATGTAATTACAAGCAACGCCATTCAGCCGTCAACGTTAACAACAGGTATGGACCGGCACGTTGGGAAAGCGCGAATGAGCCGATTGGAGTTACCCAATATGAGAATCTTCGTCTCTCCGCCATATCGCCATCCACGGGAGGGGCATCAGCAATCGGCATAGTAGAGTGGTAATAGGAAATAGGTTTGGCAGATAAGCCGGCCGTGTAGACCGTGCCTGACTAGCCCCCTCGACTCCCCTTGACGGTTGTGCGTCCGATCAGGGGACGCCCCGTGCCCTCCCTCCTCCACCCCGCCACCCACCCCCTCTGGCTTGCGTCGAGGATGAATCGTCACCACCGCCCCTGTGCGCCGCCCGGTGCCGCACCATGCCGCATAACTGCCCGCAACTAGACGACGCGACGACACCCCTTACCTTGCGCCTCCCTCTGGCCTAAGCGCGGGGTCGATCCCAACAGGCCCAAGTCCGCCAGCATAGCACAACGTCCACGACCCCGTCGTACCGCCCCAGCCCTCGCCCCGGCCTATGAAGCACCGCGCGTACCCAGCAAGCGCCGGCGCTCGGGTACCCCCAACGATAGCTACGCCGAGGCCGCAGCCGCCCGCCGCCTCTGGGTCGCGCGGCAGTCCGGCCGCCTCCCCGGCCAGGCCCTGTCGGCCATTACGGCGGACCGCGCCCTACTACCCGCCGCGCCGTCGGCCGTCGAGTCGGAGCTCATAACGCGCTAACCCGCCGCCTTCCCGGCGCTTGACTACACGAGACCCACCGTCCTTAACGCCTTTGCTCGCGCCCTCTCTCCAGGCCGCCACCTCCCCCTAGCCCCGCATCCTCAGGCAGGCCGTCCTCCGAGCGGTCCAGACTACACGTCAGCGCCGTTATCCAGCAGGAGTTACACAACTTCTCCGCCCCCGTCTGAGGTAGCTTAGAGAGCGTTACCGAAGTGGCCGCCGTACGTATTAACGTCGGCGCCGTTATCTAGTAGGAGTTATACAACTTTATCACGATCCGATCTTCGGGGTTAACCGTCTGATCGGCGCTATGGGGTTTATGTTCTAATAAGGTAGGTAGTAGCCTTATGTAATACTAACTCCGTGCTTATCGTGTTCTTAAGGGGTTATCGTTCTGTGACGACCCGACCAACAGGGGAACTGCTTGGGGCTGAGGTAACAAACAAGGCCGCAGGATCAGGCCAGGGACAAGGGCGGACCAGCGAAAGGCTGGCGGGGGCTCCCAATAGGCGCACGGGTACCCGTGCGTATAATATTACACGGGTACCCGTGCAGATTCTGCTTACAGCTTAGCGTGTCTTAATTCCCGCCGACATCGCAATCCTGGATCCATATCCGGGGTGCACCCATATCAGCAGAAAAGGTCTGTCTTGACCTTCGCTAGTGACCTCAGGTGCTGTTTGACCTCCGATCACAGTATGTGCGTTGCCTTACACGTATAACGTATTTGACTTAACCTTTAACTATAATACACTCATCATCATCCCGGTGAAGAACTTGCTGCTCCTCACAGTCCTGTGCCGCCCTCCTCCACACATCACCCATACCTCTTCGATTAGCTAGACCGCTTGTCGACTCCTGGGCAACCTGAACATCGATTCGCTCCGTCTCAGACCGATCCCAGTCCAAATATGCCATCATTTCTTCCCTTGTCCAGGCCCGTTCACCCTCTCGCGTTAAGCAACGCCTCGTCATTTGCTTATGGTCTAAGCACCAATCGTACTGCGCTTTACTATACCGTAATGGTAAACCCATTGCCTGCCGGTACATCTGGTTGCTCGCATAGGTACCCGGGAGTAGGGACTTCTTCCAGATCTCTCGCGTAGCGACGTATCTTTGGTAAATCGCTTTTGGGTCACTGTATTTTAAAGGCTGCTCCGGAGCTTGCTGGTGTTCTTCGGCGTACTCTGAGACGGGTTCTTTAGCTCGTCGTAAGGGCTGGTCGTTTTCTGAGAGCCGAGCTTCGATCTCTTCTAAGATCTGTTCCGTAATCCCTTCTTGGGCCGACGAGTTATTAAGAAGTTCGGGAATTGGCGACTCATGTTGAGGTCTGCACGTCGATAATTCAATCGTAGCTTCAGGTATCGACGTGTCGGCCGGCGGCTCTGGTGTTATTCGTAGCTGTTGCGATGCCGCCTCTACTCGAAGTTGTAGCTCTGCGTACTTTAGGGGGCATAATCGAGACGTCCTTGAATGACCTAGACGGTGACATCTAGTACAGGTTGAAGGTCCCTTTCGCTTAGCCGCGACTTCAACAGCTTCAAAGCCGCTAGGCTCCCTTCGGTTACTTGATCGCGGTAAAGAAGTGTTGGTACTAGTCATATCAATACGTTGGCGAGGCTCTTGGAGAAAAGGTTTCGCGCCGCTCCGGATTAGGTGCCAATGCGAATGGAAGTCTCCTAGGCAAAGGGCTTTTCCTTCGGACAACAAAGCCTCAAGTTTGTGAACGCATGGTAGGCCTTGCGACCGAGAGAATATGCCTGTACAGCGTTGTAGCGGACTGCTCGTCTGGAGAAGCTTCCGCTGCTCTTCAACCTTTCGAAGAGCCTCGTGTGATACCCAACCCCGTACTACACCATAAAGTGGACCGGAAAGTTCGATCGGAGACCGAATCTGCTGTTTTGCCTGGTTGGACCTCAGCTCCCCAAGTTGGTTTATTAGCGCATGCTTAATAGCCCTCCAGGCCTCAAACAAATCGAGTGTCGACGTTTTCAGATGACTTTTAAGAAGCGCATGGACACCTTCGACGCGCGAAGTAACAACATTACCGAAATGAGGGTAGCTGTCAACCCAGGCCTTTACAAGCTTTTCCTTATACAGGTCAAGCCATGTCTCTTTAATGTAGGCCACGTCCCGTACATGCGTTGTAATATAGCGTTGTTCAAATGTCGACATACGGATGTCGAATATTGCCTCGGTGGGAGAACGAATAATTTGGTGCCAGTGCTGGTAAAAGTCATGCCACTCTTTCAGTCTCGCAGATTTGTCGGCTTCGGAGTCCTGGAGTTGTAGCTGGATAGCGAATGAAGGCTGACAGTATCGAAGGACGGCTTTGTTCGCATGCCAAAGGCATAGCAATGAAGCAGCAGAAGGAAAGCATACTGCGATTGCGTTGATACAAGCAAGACATCGATCGGTAAGAATAACTGAAGGTAGGCGGGATTTGCTAATTTCGTAGAGTGACCGGAGGCGCTCTAGAGCCCAAACGAAATCTTCCTCGCTTTCTCCACTAAGAAATGCGAATGCGATACAGAAGGATCGTTGAGAAGCGTCTACTCCGATTATATCTAGGAGCGGCATTCCGTATTTGTTCGTTTTGTAGGTACAGTCGAGGATTAAAACATCCGGATAAGCTTGAAGATAGCTTAGCGACTCTGGATGGGCGAAAAGCACAGCCTTTACGCGGTTCTCCGAATCAAGTTGTAAACGGCTCCAGAAACCTTCATGGTCAAGCCGGTTAGCTAGGGCATTGATCGTGCTCTGCCCTTCGTACATCTCGCGCCTACTGTCCGCGATTCGGTTGTAGATATCTTGCTGCGTTGCAATCGAACTCGTGTTTTGGTGTATGTACGTTCGAATCTCCTTAGGTGCGACGCCAGCATTTGCGAGGCTAGATAGACGAGTGATCGTTTCCGTATCGAGTGCGCGATGCTTAGGATGGGCGGATGGGTGTAAACTTGGCTCGTGGTTGTGTTGGGCAAACTGCGGGTCGGGTCGGTGTCGTATTGTCCATGTGCCGCTGTCTCGTGACTCTTTTGCTAGTACAGAGAACGGACAGTTGGTACTTCGCGTAGATGTTTTTCGCTGGCGCGGTCTTCCAGAGGCGTAGTCGCGACATGATCGATCACATGCATATACGACTGAGAGCCTGCCTGTCTTTTCCTTTGTTGACCTTTTCGTAACAAAGGCGTAGCCTCTTGTGTACGCCCACTCGTTGATAGCTTTAAATAAGGTATCTCGGGACTCGTAGGTGCCTTCCGGAGGGAGACTGTCATCGGGAAATGAATGGTGGGTACTACTAGTAGCTGCCATCGGGAGACAAATCTGAGGCTAGTAATGGTAATAAAAGAAATACACGAAAGCACCTCAGCGCGCTTTGTAGCGCGTAAAGTATTGTATGCTGACAGCACCTGAGATCACCAGCGAAGGTCAAGACAGACCTTTTCTGCTGATATGGGTGCACCCCGGATATGGATCCAGGATTGCGATGTCGGCGGGAATTAAGACACGCTAAGCTGTAAGCAGAATCTGCACGGGTACCCGTGTAATATTATACGCACGGGTACCCGTGCGCCTATTGGGAGCCGCTGGCGGGGAACACATTATGTAAGCACCCACCTTACGTCAGCAGCCGACGATGAACGGTCGCACGGCGACCATCATCCGTCGGTCTTGCGACAACAAACTGTCGGCATGCGACCCAACGGTGTCGCAGGACGACGGGCACGATGAAGGACAAAGGGATATATAGAGCCAGAAGGATCTCCTAGATAGACAGTCATTACCTTTGTACTTCAGCGATCAATCTAAGTATCAGTTTCACCCACACTTGAACTAGTCACTCAATTGCCGAGACTGGTATCTCTTCCAAGAGACACGAACGACAACCCAGAGAGAGAACGATAGCAGAGTGTTAGTTGATATCGCGCAGGCTTTACCTATCTGCAGAACAGCAACCCCAGCGCCCTGCCAGACGGCTGACCCCGGAGGCAGGATCGTGACACGTTCGTATCTCTTACGAGATATCATACTTGGATCAATTAAGTAACTAGGTCAAGTGAAGGGTAAGAGTGATACTTAGATTAATCGCTGAAGTACAAAGGTAATGACTGTTTACAAGGGGATCCTCCGTGTTCTATATATCCTTTGTCCTTCATCGTGGGCGGCGTCTGCCGTCGTGGGAGCGGTCCGCTCCAGGTGTGCGCGGCGCCGTTCCCTTGGTGCGCGGTGCCGTTCTTATATCCTTGGCACCGCTCCTTGTGCTTAGTCATCTGGGTGCCTTACGTAATCGTGCTGCCTGCCGCCTGACCTGCCCTTGTCCCTGGCCCGATCCTGCGCCTTGTTTGTGCTGCCGCGAGCCCCCAAACAATCGGCCTGTTGGCTTGGGTCGTCACAGACCGCTGTGCGACAACTGGCAACTACGCAGTCGTGCCCCAGGTTGAGCTACCCAATCTCACCACACCACGTCAGAGCCTGGGTGGCGCAATGATGGGGGTGTGCAACCAGCGCGTCGAGCTGCGGAGGGATTGGTTGACGGACTCACCCCTGCATTGACTCATTACAAACGGATCAAGGGGCCTTAAACTATGCACGGCCGTTAGCGGGTTACTTTCCGTAATTGAACCGTTATCAGTAGTTCAGGATGCATCAGATTTGGGCCGCAAATGACCCCACAATCAACACCTTGGAACCACGGCGGGGACACATATGCAGGAGGTCGGTTTGGCAAAATCGGCCATCGCGCTGTTTGGTGGCGCGGCTGTTGAACTGACGGACCTGATGTCATACGGCGCCAGGCTTGCTAGGTGGCCACTTCTGTGCTACTATTACGGCAGTTCTGCATGGATGCATATCGTCTTCGCGATGTATCCAGAACCTGGTGAGAAACTCATACACGAGGAAGAAGATTTCGATTTTCTGGACGTCCTGGACGGCGCAAGTTCGCAGCTCGCATCTGACGGGAGGGACTATGTTTACGCCTTGCTCAGTCACCCCAGCGCCACACTCTCCGATGGAGAGCTCATCGTGGAACCGGACTACACCAAGACGAAACAACATGTATTCAAAGATGTTGCTTTGCGCCTCATCGAAGAGACTAAGAGTTTGCGGATTCTCGCCGTGGTCAGTCCAAACAAAGATCATCTGTCTAATGATGGCTTTCCCACTTGGCTTCCACAGTGGGATGGTCTTAGGGAGAATTGTCCAGGCTCTTTTAAGTGCAGGCTTACCAGCAACCTCAGCTTCGCTGCTCCTGGCTACGATCCACCCTTATACTGGTATATCTCAGCCGGCAAGACCGACCTTCATGTTCGGGGTTACGTTGTCGATGTGATCGATGAGGTCACCATTACTATCCGGATTCCTGAGCATTCTCTCAAACGCCCCAATGACAGGCCGTTCTACGAGATCGAAAATTGGCCCCTTCCTGCCGCACCTGCATTCCGGTCAAGACAAAATTCTGATCTCAAGAGTCGACTATCTGAAATTTGTTGCACTTTACTGGCGAATGGCCGACGGAAACCGTTGGAAAGAGAGTATTACGACTTTTGCCGATTTCGACACCACATCCTCTCATGTGCCTCAGTCTTTGATGGGAAAACCCCTCGCCATCCAATTGCGCCTGAGGGGTTTGGAGAGCTGTGCGCATCGGCCAGTTTAGCAAAACAACTTCATTTCATCCCAGAGATCGTCCTGGCCAATTGTAATAACAGAAAGCTATTCTCTACAAAGGCAGGCCGGCTTGGACTTGGATCCCATCTTGTCGAGAGTGGGGACCTGTGCTGCGTCGTCCATGGCTGCTCGGTTCCCTTGATACTCCGAAGAGATCGCCATGGTTACAGAATGCTGGGCGCGGCTTATGTCCAGGGCTTCATCATTGGAGAATCTGGTCCTGATGATGGTAGCGAAGCATTTCAAGAGCAGGAATTTGTTTTGTTCTAGCGTTGTTAGTGAATCCAGGCAAGTCCTACACTTGGTTATTGAGGAGTCGCATGTCAAATAAGATGCCTACGAGTCTGGTCCCTCGGAATTACCGCAATGTTGCTATGATAGATAGAGCTTACATTATCAGTCCGATCATAGGACTGCGAAAGCACAAAGAAAATAGAATCCTCCGAACCGTGCACTTTCGACCCTCTTGCCCGCATCCCGCTAGGCTTTGTATTGCCTAGACTGACTACGAATATGAACAGCACAGAGCAGCAGCGGGAGACGCACATCTCTCCTCGGGCATAGAGCCGGAGTGAGACTAAATCCCTTCTGGCACTGTGCCGGCAAGCGGACCCTGTTCAATACCGGAGAGTTAGTCTTGTGCCTCTTCCACAGTCCAATGGTGCAAGTTCAAACTCACCATGGTGATTGTGTTGCGCTTGCGAATCCTCCACTCGGCCCCTTCATCCACCTCTTCCTTGACCCAGACATCCTGGTACATGACATACCCAGTCAACACCGCCGCGGCATCCAAGGTCGGCAGCATCGCGCCGTCCGGGCCGACAGGGAAATGCGCAGTCGTGGTATACGCAATGGATACGGCGGCCGTCTTTCCAGGCGCTGCTCCGCCGTGCTCTCCCGTGGCGGCATCCACTGTCTCATCCCGGCACAGCTGGATCACAGTGGTGCTGAACTGGTGCTGCGTAAAGCCGACGGGCTCGAGCGAGGCCTCCAGCGTGGTCTGGATGGCCTCGATTCCCTCCATGACGCCCACGGCAGAGTAGTTTGCCCGCACGTCGGAAGTGAAGACCTGCTCGAGCATCGGCCAGTTCTTGCCGTCGAGCGCGATGCCGTAGAGCGCGACGGTGGCACGGATGTGCTCGATGTCTGCTGCCGCGGAGGGGTGGAGGGGGACCGTGGTCGATGAGAAGAGCGAGGCGATCTCGTGGGCCGGGATACCGGCCGTGGAAGTGGTGAAGGTGGTCGGGCAGGCTGGGAGGCTTTGGGTATGCGCTGGGAGGGGAGAGGCAGTCGATAATGCTGCAAGAAAGAGAGTGGGAGTGGTGAGCTTCGAGAAAAGCATGGTTACGGTTTAATCTACAACTTGAAAAGTGATGATTGGGCGGTAGGGATAGTTGATGCTGTGCAAGCTGAAGCAAGGTAGCTAGGAGAAATGAGAATGATCTGCGCCTAAAGTTGAATGGTTATCCTGATGTTCCAAAATGAAGACATCCACGCTCCGCGATTTATATCAACGTCTAAAAATTTCTGATTGGTACATCGCTGCTTGTTGTTGCTATTTTGAACTTTGACCCAACGTTTCTCGGCAGGCTCACGCTCTGGATCGGGAAAATACGATCTCATCTTCTGCGGATGAGATCTTGCATTGGAATTGCGGCTGAGTCTTGCAGCAACCCCTGGCCTATCCCCTTGTTCGGTTGCCCTCTAAGCCTCGCCGTGCTTGCTCCCACGTCAGCCCAAACAGCACCCCGGCCCCCGCACAGCCCTACCGGCGGTCGTCATCTGCGCTTACATAATGATGCTGCCGGCGAGTATTCCCACTGGTCTTTGGAATAGTGGGGTCTTTCGCTGGGATGTCTCCGGGTTTGTGGCCGAAAGTCTCCGCAGGCGCCTTGATATACGCTGGCTCAGCGAGTCCCTTTGGTAGTCGTGGAAGAACCATCGCAAAAACTAAATCACCCATCTATCACCATTGGCAAAAATGGACGTTCGCAAAATCTTGGTCGTGGGCGCCACTGGTGCGCAAGGCAGCGCCACTGTTGCCGCTCTGGCTGCCCTTTTGCCTTCACATCCACACCTGCAAATCCTGGCCCTGACCCGGTCAGCGACAGCCCCAAAAGCACAAGCCCTCAAGGAGAGGTATCCAAGTGTCACGATCGTGCAAGGCGACTTGACGGATCCAGCGGCATTCCTGGATTCCCACAGCGACATAGACTCCATCTTCCTCGTCACGGTACCACCCAACGACGAGGCACATGGCGTGGTATTCATCGATGCAGCCGTCGCCCGCAACATTAGGCACATCGTCTTCAGCAGTGTCGACCGTGGCGGCGAGGACAAGAGCTGGACCAATCCCTCGACAGTCGCCCATTTCGCAGCCAAGCACCGGGTAGAGCTGCACCTGCGCGCAGTAACTGCCAAAGACCCTGCGACCACGCGCTGGACAATACTACGGCCCGCTGGGTTCATGGACAACTACCGACCGTCCAGCTTCGGCAGCATGATGGCGGGCCTCTGGGCGACCATGCCGGCCGACAGGAAGATGCAGCTCGTGAGCGTCGAAGACATTGGCAAGGTTGCCGCTGCGATACTGGTGAACCCGGAACCGTGGGTTGGGAGAGCCGTGGGACTGGCCGGCGATGACTTGACGTTCCAAGAGGCCGATGGAGCTTACAAGAGGGTCTACGGGCACGAGATGCCTAGAACATGGGGCCTCTTGAGCCGAGGAGTGAGATGGGCGGTTGCCGATGCCAGACAGAGCATGGACTGGTTCGAGAAGGAAGGATTCAGTGTGGATATGGAATTGCTGGGACGGGATGGGTTTGGTTTGCAAGACTTTGAGACCTGGCTTAGGAGTGACAAGGAGAGGCCTCTGGTCGAGGAAGTCCCTCGCACTGAGGGGAACAAATGAAAAAACAGTGCCAGCCTTATCATCATGCACACCTTGCGAGACCAACCCGCTGATTGACTAACGGAGGTGAAGATGCACGTTGCACACACAGCAGCTTCTTTTGAGTAGCAACGCTGTGACTCTTCGCCAATGTGAATAGAACATCTTCACTGGCGGTACCGGCGCACGTCGGCTCTGCGATTCCCAGAGCTTGCCGCATACGTAAAGAACGTCGTTGATGATGAATTATGAACGGCAGATGACATAAGTCGAATGTCATTCCAGTCTCGGGAGTCGACTTCAAGGACGAGCGAAAGGCCATGCGCCATTCTCAACAAAACGTGCAGACGGCAAGTATCCCCTGCGGCAATTGCCGTCTCTTAATGATCTGCTGATGCCTGGCTCTGGCGTATGAGACTACCCCTGACTAATGCCAAGTCGCTTACCCCAGGGCCCAGCCACGAACGATCTCTGAGGCTGATGGCCCAACGCGAGCAAGCTCACCGTAACCGACGTCGGACATTTCCCATCTCGGCCTGGCTTCGACAGCTAAGGGTCTAGAGCAGCATAGCCAAGCCTTTGGTCGCCGGTACGGATCAGTTGCATTGAGGCCCAGGACGCATCTTGTACCGGCAATTGGCTGGCTTTGACTTTGTTACAACGGCATTCTCCAGCTGAAAGGGGATCCAGATCGAGGATCGGATACCGGTAGGGCAGAGCCAGGCGCCGCCCAGAGCCGGCCATACCCAGACGGGCATTGTCCGACATCAGCCAGGATCGCTAGCCCGCCACAAATCTCCGTAACAGGATATATAGCTGCCTGCCAAGATGCCCTGTGCCAGCGATTGCGCTGCTTGGCGATTGCTTCAATTACCACAGCCAAGGCTGTTTGGTCGCGTTGAGGCCGCCAGACCAACATTCTCACGTGGAACACGAGCTGTGAATGCGGCAGTCTTGGCAGTGGCTCTCCGCGATCTGGTGGCGCTCTCCAGTCCCACGATGTCTACATACAAGTACGAACGAAATGGCACGACCGTTCTATCGGACCTGCGGCCATTGCAGGGCCACAGGAGGGCTCTGATTCCCACAACTCCAGCAATTGCCCATCATGCGCTCCGTCACGGTTCTCTCCTTGCTGGCGCTGAGCTTGGGCACTGTTGCCCAAGAAGCATCCCCTTCCGAAAGCCCGACGACATCGATTGAAACGGTGTCAACGGATGTCACCACACCCAGCGAGACAACGACACCACCCGAGTCCATCCCCACGCCTTCGGATAGCAGCGGCAGCAGCAGCAGCGACACTCCCGTGGTCACACCGACCCAGTCTGACTCGCTGACCACAATCACCACAAGCAGCGACGGCAGCACCAGTACCGATAGTATCACCGCTAGCCCGACGGTCTCGACAGACGTGGATGACCCGGAGGCCACATATACCATCCCTCCGGACTTTTACGACGTGACCAACGTAGACGAGGGCACCCTCGTCGATGTCAAGCCCTCGCGGGATGAGGCCATTGATCTCGGCGCCTTGGAGGTGGATGCGTACGCCGACGTGCTTGCCGACAATAAGTTGACGCCTCAGGACAACCCAGACGAGGTGACTGCGGCAGTGGTAAGCCCATACGTGACCACAATGGGGTCAAAGTCTAATACCCTACAAGCAAAGCAAGCTGACCTGATTTCATCTAGTTGCCCGTCTGCCCCAATGTCAAGGCTGCCGCCTCGCGCAATGCAGAGCGCGGTATCCGCCTTCCGCAGTATGGCTGCATCCGCAAGACATTGGAGATCAGTGTCAACTGGAACCTGGTCATGGCGAGCTCCAAGACTCCATCCTCGTCGCAAGCCGCTGCCCTGTCCCGTGTCCAGCGAAACGTGAGCACCTGCCAACATGCATCTTGTTCCTCCCCCCACCATCTCCTCGCTCCTTTACTAACGCCCCATGCCCGTCACAAAACAGATGGAGTTCCTCAACCAAGTCTACAACCCGTTCGGCATCACCTTCACCATGACCAACTGGGAGACGCGTGTGGCCAAGTGGTTCACGAACCTGCAGTACGTGACGGGCGACAGCTTCGATGCCACCTGGGACGAGACCAAGCAGTACCAGGCCTACATGCAGAGCACGCGGCTCGGGTCGTACAAGGACCTGAATGTCTGGGTTGTCGACGACATTACTGTGATCAACTCGGATAGGCGTGTTGCTGGGGTGAGTGTCTCTTCACTATTTTCGTCCTGCGACACCACAAAGGGCTGAAAATGGATGTGCTAACCTTGAAAAACGCCCCCCACACACAGTTTGCCACGTTCCCCAACTGGAACAAGAAGCACGACGGGATCGTGCTCAGGCAGTCCGCCCTGACTCCCGTGTCCACTTCTCCGCTGCTCACCACCTCGACCGACCCGGACACCTGCCTCGAGCCCGGCACCGTCCCTTTGATTCGGGGCTCGACCCTGATCCACGAGGTCGGCCACTGGCTGGGCCTGAGGCATGTGCACGAGGGCGGATGCGCCAGTGACGACGGCGTGGCCGACACGAACCAGGTCGATGACGGGCCCAACAGGAACTGTTGCTTCCAGGTCGGTTGCAAGACGGGCAAGTACCGTGTCATCAACTGGATGAGTGTATGTTCTCTTGTTCCTCGTGATCTTCTCTTCCCGGACATCCTATCCCTATACCTGGCCTCTGCTATTGTCCCTGTCGATTTTCTTGGCACAATGGTTGAATACTGACTCGTGCCCGGGACATGGACCACAGTACTCCCGATGTGCCGGTACCAGCATCTACGGCCGCCCGCACAACCCGTCCTCCTTTACCGACGGCCAGCGCTCCCGCATGTTCTCGCACTACCAGCGCTATCGCACAGGCTACATGTGCGACCACGTCACCGTGGGCCGTCGGGGCCTCAATGGCGACGCCCATGCCCTTTCCGTCCAGAGACGCCGGGCCGAGGACAAGGCCAAAGTCCTTGCCGACCTGCTCCTGCACAACTGCTCCGTCGCGATCCAGGACGTCTTCGAGCCCGGCACGATCCCCCTCGAGAAGGGCGTGCTGGACATGTACTCCTCCAGCGCGATCTTCTTGCAGGCGAACCCGACGCCGGTGCCGGACGGGGTGGCCAAGCCCGAGACTGTGAGCTACGGGACGAATCAGCCTACTGCTACGGTCCCCGGCGGAGGCGGTATCGGGGGAACGAACGGTGGAGGAGGTGGTGCGGGTGGCTCGGGGACGGCGGCAACAGGCACGCCCAAGCCGACGAATGGTGCCGCGGTTCTCGGGCCATGGATTGGTGGTGCACAGGGAGTGATTGGTGTGGCGTTGTGGAGTATCGCGATGGGCGGGCTAGGGTTCTTCCTTCTTTGACTCAGTAGACTCGAGCCGAATGGTGTGAACAGAACAAGGCTGGGTAGACCACCGCCATCCGGCGCTATAGCCTCGTGTTGTGTAATCACAACGAGCGCAGAAGTAGCTGATCTTGTGAGAATGGGGCAGTGGGCCGCTGTGTATATATGGCAGTAGCGTTCACAGTTGGCTCACTCTGGTCAAGACTCAGGACATGGGAGCACTTCATCGTGTTTAAAAGTGTATCAAATTCAGGAGAGTCTTATTTCGAGGCAAAAAGGTCGGTAAGAAAAGCATTCTGCATCATGTACCTCCATCACTGTCAATAATTCCAATTCTTGCGCGGCTGGCCTACTCCCAATATCTCCGCCGCAGGCCCTGTGGCCGAGGTAAAAGGACATAGGTACTCCGTTTGTTGTGGGTTGGGAAGAGACCTAAACATGGCGCCGCCGCGTATGTCCTCTCTCGTCTCTCATGGTACGACAGCTGGAGTTCGCTGCATCTTCCGAGTAGTGTCTTGATGATGGGTCAGAGGAAGATGAAACCAAGGGACTCGGTGACCGCTTTCGCTTGGCATAGCCGCGTCTACTCCCAGCAATACCTTGACGGCGCTCCTTCTTTGGAGGTCTGGGCTCTCCCCGGGCTGCTGACGGAGTCTTGGTCTCAGAACCTCCTGGCTTCTGGCGCTGAGCCTCAGCTGGAACGCTTTTTAACCCGCGAATGTGTCCGCCGACGTCGTCATCTTTAGCAGGCTTGGGTTCCTGTCTCACAACCACTGCCCACAGATGCTCCGGATACTGCTGCCTAAGAGCCTCCCATTCCTCTCTAGAATTTCGCTGTCTTTGGGCCTGTCGTGAGAGCAGGTCATTGTCGGTAGTCCAGTACTCTTCAATCGTAGTCACCTCGGGACTCTGGTACATCGAATTCCAGTCGTACGGTGCTGTCCATACAGCTGCCTGTGCTGGAAACCGCACTTTCATCTTGTCCGTGAGGTAGCGACCAACTCTGGCGCACGAGCAGCGAAAGGCAATGTCGACCGGGAGCAGGCTCATGTTGTCCCTGCGAAAGAGCCCTGCGTCGGACTGGCCTAGCACCATCTCCATGACGTCCACACAGTCCAAGGAAGCCGCCCAGTGCATCAGGCTCCTCCCTTGGTGGTCTGCCTGGTCGACGTCCACATCCCCGTGGTTGAGAAGTGCAATTACTGTGTCTTTGAAACCAGCATCCAGGGCAGCCTGCGCCGCAGTACGGCCATTGCGGTCCTGGATGATGGAGCTAGCACCGAGGGACTTCAGCACCTGGACGCAGCGCGTGTTGCCCCTGGCGGCGGCGTAGTGAAGTGCAGTGCTGCCCGAATGGTCAATGTGGTTCAGAATGCCGCCGTCCGAGTCCCGAAAGACGCAATCCTGAATAATGCCAGCCCAGTCGTTGAGTGCTGCGTGGTGCAAGACGCTCTTGCCGGACAGATCGAGATGTGCCTTGAGACCGACATGGCCGCTATGATCCAGCATCATTTCCGCCAGTCTCTTGTCCCCCAGGGCGAATGCGCAGATCAGTGCGCTCAAGTGCCCACTGTCAGGCAGCGGCGATGCCGTCGAGAGTCCTATGAGGACCTTTGCAGCATCCGCATAACCCCAGTAAGTAGCTGACGCCAACGGAGTGCGTCCCCTCTTGTCGACGATGTCAATTTTGATGCCAGGCGTCTGAAGGAGTATTTTGATCTTCTGCAGACTACGCAAGTGCGTTGCCACGTGTAATGGCGTGTATCCTAGAACATCCTGTGCATTGATGTCAAGCGTTTCACTCGCAAGGCTTTTCGCAAGTGCATCTGCGCTGGCATAGCGCACTAAGAAGTGAAGGGCGGTTTCACCCTTCATGTTTTGCCGGTTGGGGTCTGTTCTGTCGTGCTTCATCAGCAATCCGAACAAGTCCCATTTCCGCGCACGAATCGTGGTCTGCAGGGCAGTCTCAATGACAGAATTGCCGAGATTGTCCGGGTTGGCGCCGAGCTCAAGCAAGAGTTCGGCCATCTCCATCATTCCAGGATCCTTGGCCGCAAAGACACAGCGCTGAAAGGCCGTCCATTCGCCTGAAGCAGGGTTCCACTTGTCGTCCAAATCGTAACCAGACTGGGCAAATCTGCGCACAAGTACTGGAGATCTTTCTATGAATATGACCGCATTCAGGGGGCTGATGTGTGGGAATCTCGGAGCTAATCGTGGATTGGCAAAGATACTGCTTGGCTGACCCATCTTCGCATATGCCAGCCACCCATCATGCTTGTCGTCCGTATGTTGAAGATGATCAAAACTGAATTTCATCGCATAATCCAACAGGGGAAACTCGAAGAACACCTCTAAAAGTATATGTTAGTCTCGTCAATGACCCTATGCTTGCAAACCGGCAATGATGGACTGCGGAATCCGTACTAAGTGGAGGAAGCCAGGAGCTCTGCTTGGTTGGAAGTCCAGAACAAGAGAGAGAAGCATCCTGCAGATACTCTGGGGTACCTCTGATCCACTCGGATCAGGGCACGTGGTCCACTTGCACTGTGGTTTGCGTAGTTCCTTTAACAAACATACCGTCAATGGAAGTAGCAGCTTGTGCTTGTGCCACCAAGTCTTCAAATCTGAGATAGTCGAGACACGCCTGAGCCATGCGTTGATGGGCCGTGTTCCACCAATCAGGGTATATTTCAGACCAATGCCGCTGCAGAAAATGGTTGAATGAGAGGTGAACGAAATTGAAGGTCCCATCGTTGTCAAGTATAATGAATTCCGGAAACTGGCTCTGGATCGTTTGACCGAAGTTCCGGAATAAGTCGAGCTCATCATTCTGCTTCGGCGTGGCCTCGGATAAAACAAGTCTTAGTAGTATGTTCAGCTCCATCTCCGTCAGTGGCCGTCGTGCTACCACCATAACAGAGAAAATGTGCCACATCTCTGGTTTGAGATCTGTCGCGACCTTTGCCACCATGTCTCCAAGCATGGCGTCGATGCCTGCTGGTGTGGAATCCAATTCCCTGAGCTTTCGTTGGACCAAGGCGTCATTCCACAAGACTCCTTTCTTGAAGACTTCCCAGACAACGACCACCCACAGAAACATGCCATCTGCGCCGCGGACGAGCTTCTGTGTGATTTGCTTCAAAGTTCTGTCGCTCATGCAGGCAGCAAAGCTCTTGTTTTCAACCATAAAAGATTCCACACAATTCTTGACGTAATCGGTAAGACCAGGGCCGGTGAGATTGGCATTCATGCTGACCAGGCGGGTGAAGGAGCTCGCTCGCAGCTCTGACAGCCTGAGCCGGGTTGAGACAAAGATCTTGATTTGGTGCTCGGGGTGCTGGCTGTCCAGTATGGAGAGGAGTCCCTGGAATCTCGAGAAAACATCCAAGGCGTCTGTTGGTGATAACTCGTCAAGGGCATCCAGCACGATCAAGCACCGCTTCGTCGAGTCCATCAATAGTATCTCCTGTATGGCAGGCCAGACGTGATCCGAAGTCGTCAAGAGAGTGAGCTGATGAAGACGGCGCACCTCCATCCGGTTTCTGACCATAGCCTCAGCTTCAGGGCGTGTCTCTAGCAGCTGATACAGAATTGACCGCAAGACCACCTCTGTCGATATTGCCCCAGTAGGACTGTGTACGCAGAAAAAGTGTGCCGTGGAGTAGTCTTTGAATGTGCTAGTGCTCAGAGACCCCGTTACTGCCTCGTCGACCAGGAATCTCGCCAAGACGCTCTTCCCCATGCCGGGTGGGCCGTGGAGGATCAACATGGATGAACCGGGTGGTTTTGACCAGGCAAGGAATTCCTCGTGACGCAGGAGCCAAGCAAGCGAACCGGCATGCGGACGACGGGGCCTGAGCTGGAGACTCTTATAGTCGATGCAGTGTAGCGCTTCCAGCAATGGTTTACACTTGCCCTGGTCATAACTCGTCCGGCACTCATCCACAAGGCGTTGCACCGCCTCATGAATGACGCTGTGGCAGGGTTGATGCTGTGAACAGACTCTTGCGATGTCGCAGTGGTCTTGATTGATTGAAATTGTCCGCTCGTTCGGAAGGCCAAGAATGGCAGAGAAGGGCTCCACGACCAAAGAGGATCCCATAGGCTTCTGCTCAAAGAAGGAAATGATTGAGAGAGACGCCAATCTATGCTTGGATTGCCGTGTGATCTGTTCCAAGGTGGGAGAGTTCGTCTTGAGCGTGGCCAGGAGATCGGACCCGACGGTATGGCTGAGTGTCGGAATGCTGATCAGCTTTGAGAAGAAGCCAGCAAAGTTGGCGGCGGTTGATCCTCGGTGGGGAGTACCCATAAATACAACACCGCGGATGCTCTTGGCAATATCACTGTATTCCGCACCGCTCAGAGTCGCTGTGATGAGAACTTGCTTGAATAACAGCCCGCCCAGACTGTGGCAAATAAAGACGATGGGTCGTGACGCCACGTCTGCATCTTGTCTTTTGGACTCAAGCGAAGAAAGTAGCCCGAGAGGGAAGCCCTCCAAGGTCAACTGAGAGTTGCTGAAGACGGCTGCGGAGTCGTAGCCATAAGACATGATACGCGACTCCGGAATGAGCTTGGGCAGGGAGTCTCGTAGCCAGAGGTGGCCAGCCGAGTCAGACCATGTTCGGAAGGCATCTCCTCCTAGGCCATGGAGGGCAACGATACTGAGATGACATGTCAGGCTGCTGCGGGAAGAATGGGCTGTTGTGAGGCTAGGCTTACTCAATCTTGCAAGACTGACGGCCCTGGCCGGACTCGTGCAACACAAATAGTCCGTGTGGTTCTCGGTGCAGAGGTAGTCGCTCCATGATGTTCATGAAGCTTGATTTGAAGTCGTGTCTCTCTGGATGCTTGGATGGATGAGAAGTGGGGTTGAATCGCTCCCAAGCGCGTCCTCTCGCAAGTTTTCCTGGCACCATTTGTTGGTTGGCACCCGAGCGCCTGCCCATGGCTAGCGCTGCCCCTGCAGATGCACAGCCGCACAGCCCGCCTCCAAAACTTGCAAAAGTTAGAGAACTTGTTACATCAAGGGGCTCGGGGATGCCATCCCTGTCGCAGCATGTGGCCAGTGGGACAAGGAAGGACGTGCTGGCAACTCGTCGGAACTGATGATAAATTGTTGGCGGTCCTTGTGGCTGAAACAGATTTTGCCGAAGCCATTCACAATACCCAAACTGTTCGGAATTATGGCCGATTGCTGCACAGAGCCTACAGGTTGACGCCGCATTTACGCGGTTTCACATGAGAACGAAAGGGCCGCACCAATCCTCAAGGCACCGGTTTCAACAAGAAGTACGGGTGACAATACAGCTGGGCTCAGACTTCAACCAATTCGCACAGACGCTTCTCGTAATGCTTGACCTAACACTATTCGCTTCCAGCATGTGATTGATCACGAAAACCTCTCGTTCTCGTCTTAGACGGCCTATTTCACTTCCTATCCCTAGTGCCTAGCACGCTCCGGGGCTGATATTTCAACGTGCCTATACTTCTCTCAACTCGCGACATTTCCCATATCCCTTGCTCGAAGTTATCTCAATTCTGGGGCGCCTGGACCTTACGTATCTTAGAGTATGCTCCGAACAGTGTCGCCATCTTCACCAACAACGCCGAAAACGCTGGCGATTACAACTACCGTGTGCCCAATCTCGATACCCTCGCAATGCTGACGATATGCAGTCACAGCGTCCAGACGATGTGGGAGGAGTTGTTGCTCGATCCAGTCTGAGTGCAGAGCTGCTGTAGCCGGGGACAAGTGGTTGAACACTGACGCGAGTGCTGAAGTGGGGTAGAAATAATACTACAAAAGAGGAGAGAAGACGAAGTCGTTATTAGTTGAAGCAAGAGAACGCCAAAGGCAGAATCCACGGAGGGAGTATGGTTCACGACGTACCGTGCCCAGTCCGCTCTTCTGACTCTCCGCGTACTCGCCAATCACCGTGTGGGGCTCGCTCTGGACCTTCCACGCCAGAGACACCACGCGGGCCGTGTAGCCCGCCGCGCGCGCCATGTCGAGCATGGCCTGGACGGGAACGCGGCCGCCTATGCTGGACAGGATGACCCCCGTCTTCGGGTTGACGAGCTGCTTGACCCGCGCCTGGCGCAGGCACAGGTAGTGCAGGTCCAGCATTGCGGCTGACACGTGCGCGGGGACGCCGTCGGCGCTGCGGTCACCGACGAACGTTGAAGAGGTCTGGCCCTCGCGGACGAGGGTATCGGTGGTGGATGAAGAAGTGGATAGAGGGATATTGGGGAGGTTTCTGTGTCGAGCCGGAGTTCGTTCTTGTTAGCCAAAACTTGCGGTATCTGTGGGCGTTTCTCGCGCGAATCTTTTGCCAGCTGGGTTGATCACGCAACCTTTTCCTCAGAGCACTGCAAGCACGGACAAGATACACCTACTCGTAGATGAGATCGAAAGCAGCCTGACCCTCTAGAGGCTGCAAGAGGTCGCCGTCGGCAGCGAAGATGCGCTCCGCAACCCGGCGCACTACCGGCGCCGAGCCCTGCGTTGCACTCACAACGTTGTGCTTCGCTACGTCGACCACGGACTGGTGGAGGTCAGTCATGGCTGCGAATTTGAGCTGCGGAAACGTCTCGAGCGCGGCGACCACGTCAGTGCCTGAACCAGTCCCGATAGTTGCAAACCGCTCGACCTTGCCCAGCTGGCCTTGCTGGAAGGCTTGGAAAGCATTAAAGGCAGCTACGACGACCCAGTCTGCACGCGGGTCGTCCACCTGTACAGTTTGCGCAAAGTGAGCAAAGCAATGAATTAGTCAAAGCACATAGATGGCACAGTGTCTCCCTCGGATGGAGATGGGTTTACCTTTGGCAGGTAGCTCTGTTCAGCTAGAGAAATGGCAAAGGCGTCGTCGACCCGCGTGGGCTTGGTCCCGAAAAACCGTTCAAGGTTTACATCCAGGGTGCGTATGTCAGTGTGCATCTCGGAGTGCTTCCCTTGCGTGCGACCATTCTTGGGCAGATGCTCAACAGCCCTGTCGATCTGAATTGCGGAGGGAGCCATTGTGAGGAGAGTAATAATGGTTGAGGGGGTTTACTATGATATGGGGACGTGCTGTACTGCGTTGACTGTAGTATGCCGTCTCAAGAGGTAGACAGAACTTGCAAGTCTTTTTATATGAGTTTACTATCAAGACATCGCGACATCGTGCCTGCTACTTGCAAAGGCTCTTGACGCAGCCCTCTGCATTGCGAGACTCGACGGACTGGAGTATCGGCGCAAATCAAGACCTACGCGGCTCTCGCTCTGCGGATCTCTAGGAACCTGCTGTCGGCTCATAACATTTGCCACAATTTTGGTGACCTTGACCACCATCAGTGAGGATGTGCCTTCCATTCCAGGTCATAGGTGATCCAAGGAGAGCGCATGCTTGTCCGCTTGGTAGGGACGTCATCGTGGTTGTGTGAAGACGCGATTGGATGCACCGATGGCGAAGGAAAGCTGTATGCTCTCAGGGAGCTTCTTCCAGGTATGTCATTGCTGACGGTCGAGGTAACACAGCCAAGTAGTAGCCATGCAGGCGGCTGGGTACGACGTTGGCTGCATGAGGGCCAAGTCAAAGGTCCCCTAACCCGGGGCTCCCACACCAGCCAACCAACCAAACAACCAACCAGCCACCGCGTCATGATGCAGCATTCACTCCAGGCAGGTAACAGAACTCTCGGTCGAGCCGCTTTTGTGTGTCAATCTTGTCTGACAGCGGACAAAGGCTATCAAAGGCGGCAGTCAAACAGGCTAATTACGACAACGGAGCTCCTGCGGGAGCAGCCGCCCTTCCTCGTATGCACCCCGCGGGGACGGACCATGTCCGATTGGCTTCGCATCGAATGAGACATAGAGGACCCTGCCGACTACCGGCTGGACGTCATACCAATGATGAGTGGCTGGTGTTGGCAATTGTTGGTTGTCGGTTCATTTGCCAGGGCTACTCTCGCCCATGGCGCTCACCCGCCCTCTTGTGACACAATTGACATTCTAGGACTTACTTAGTCGTTCGTTATCTGGACCTTCTGCCTGCCTGCCTGCCCGTGCCTGGACCCTCTCCCCAAGGACCCCCCAGCACCGCTCGCGATGACAAAGCCTTCCATACCCTTGTCGGCACTCACGGCCGCCCCCAAGGGCGACGACCATGCCAATGTCGCTTCCCAGCCGCCGCTGCCGCACCGGCCTTCGCCGACGGTCAGAACCCCCCACTACAGCAGGCGACGACCTTGAATCTGTGCCTGGTCCGCCCCCGGACGGAGGCTATGGCTGGGCGGTCGTCCTGGTGTGCTTCGTACACACGTTCTGGCAGAATGCGTGGACGGGCAGCTGGGGCATCCTCCAGGTTGCCCTGTTCGAGACGACACTGCGCGGCTCCCCGGCGAGCACCGTCTCCTTTGTCGGCTCGCTTGGCATCGCTCTCTCAGTCGGCTTGGGCATTCTAGTCATCCGCCTTGCCCGCTCCTGGGGGGCCCGCTGGACCAGCCTGACGGGCATCGTGCTCTACGGCGTGAGCTGTCTGGCCAGCGCCGAGGCCGTTTCAAACGTCGGCGGCCTCTTTGTCGCGTGCGGCGTCACCTACGGCGTGGGAGCCTGCCTCATCTACACGATGAGCAACAGTCTGCCCATCCAGTGGTTCAGTGTCCGGCTCGGCACCGCCAACGGAGTGGTCAAGCTCGGCGGCGGTGTCGGGGCGACCGTCATGGCCGTCGTCACAGGCGTGCTGACGGACCGGCTGGGCGTCGCCTGGACCTTTCGCGTCTTTGGCCTCGCCTCCCTAGCCACCGGCGTGCCCCTGCCTTTTCTGATCCGCGAGCGTGCCCCGGCCAAGGCGAGCTTCGACATTGACTGGACCCTCTTCAAGGACCCGGGCTTCACCTGCCTCTTTGTGTCCGGCGTCATTGGCGTCTTCTCCATCTACGCGCCGCCTTTCTTCCTCCCCGCCGTCGCGACGTCGCTCGATTTCGGGCCCAACGGCGTCGTAGGCGTCGTGGCCTGCTTCAACGCCTGCATGGCTCTGGGACGGCTCACATCTGGCTTCGCCTGCGACTTCTTTGGCGCCATCAACATCATGTTCCTGACCATGGCCCTCAACGGCATCACCATGTTCGCTGTCTGGTCCGTCGCCTCGACTTTACCGCTGCTCTTCCTCTTCGCGGTGCTCAACGGCATCGCCAACGGCGCCTTCTTCGTCGCCCTGCCCACCGCCGTCGGCAGGCTGGCTGGTGAGCGCCGCGGCGCCGGGGCCGTGAGCATCACTCTGACCGGCTGGACACCCGGGCTCCTGCTGGGCAATCCGATCGCCGGTTTTCTGATCGATGCTACGGGGGCGGCGGGGGCCGACTCTATCGTGCCGTATCGTCCTGCCATTTTCTATGCCGGGTCGACCGCCGTGCTGTCGGCCATGTTTGTGCTGGCGGCGCGAGTCTGGGCCGACAGGAGTTTGACCAAGAAGGTTTAGAGCATGTCTTGTGCAAAAGTTTGTGTTTAGCCTAGTGACAACTACCTGGGTCTAAGATGAAAGGCTCGCTCGTTTCCAATCGTGATAGCTGCTGTGACCAATCATCATCCAGAGTCAAGTCGAAAACTATTGAATCTCGGGGCTACACACTTGTATCTTGGGCCACATGATCTTGTGAATGTGAGCATGAGATTTGCGTCACATCAAGTCTGCTCGTCACAGCGAGAAACCAAAGCGGGCCACCGCATCGAGCATTCGGCCGAGCCGTTGCCGACTGACATACCGGGTAATCGATCCATGGGCCCCGATACGCGGGTCCGATCACAAACTTGACCGGCAGGGCGGGGTTAGATGCAGGACTGGCGGGTGCTATACGTCCCGGCATGCAGCTACGCGCGGTGTCACGTCACGCCACTCGTCGCGAGATTGCGGCGGCACTGGGAAGCAAACCTGCAGTGTGACGCTCGTCATCTCATTTACCCCTTTCCAGCCTCAGGCTGCGTCGTAAGTCCTAATGGTCGGTGATATGAGGTCATTGTAGTTGGGCGACAAACTGTGGTCAGACAAGCTCATGCAAGGCCGGAGTAAGGGCCGACTAGGCAGGCTGCTGTCAGCCTGCACCGCATTGCAACCCTTCTGCGTCGTAGGTCAGGCCGTCTCATTGTGGCAATGTCACTCACCCGAATGCAGAAAGTATTAGCAGATCTACGCCGGTGCCATGAGTCTCTGTTGAGAGGAACGACCGTGGACGATGACGAGTTTGTGTTTGCAGTCGAGATCCTTGGTTCCCTCCTAACAGCATGTTGATTTCGTTGTCCAGACGATTGGTTGGAGAGCTCTCCGTTGAGGGCCGCATCTCAGCAGCATCTGGCAACTCCGAATACAAAGATCGAAGCACACTGTTTCTTTAAAACCCACTGCCGTTTTCTTCTTATCCTAACTGCTAAGTCCAAGAGTCCCTTGACCGCTCATCCCTGGTAGACACCTTTCAGCAGCACACTGCCCTGGTTGATCGTGCCATTGAATCAACCCTCCCGCAGAAGCCATGGGTTCCATCACTTCTCCCCCCCAATCCATGCTCAGCTCCCTAACAGCGACCGTCTTCGAGTCGGCCACAACGCTGGACACGCTGCTGGCCCAGAAGCAGCTCCCTAGACCCACCTTCTCCGCGCGCCCGGGCTCCCGCCAGAACTGGGCGGACGCACAGCCACACCCCGACGTCCTGGACGCCCGCTCGCGCCTGATCGACGCGGCGCAGGCGCTGGTCGATCTCGCGCTCGGGCCCGCGGACGTGCTAGCCGCCTACGTGGGGGACCGGGTGTGCGAGATTGACGTGCTGAGGACGATGGACGCGCTCGGGGTCGCGCAGGCGGTTCCTCTGCCCGGCGGCGGTGTCAATAACAATGGCAACAGCGACAAGCAGCCAGACTCAGAAGAAGGAGAAGAAGGAGAAGATGAAGATGAAGACGAAGGGATCAGCATCCCGGACCTCGCAGAGAAACTGGGCGTGCGCAACGTGCTGTCCTTCGAGAAGCAGCTCCGGTTCGCGTTCCTGATGGGCCTATTCCGGCTGACCCCCAAGAGCAAGAAGGTGGCACACACGGGACTGAGCGCGGCGCTGCTGGACGAGAGCAACAGCCCCTACGTGAGCCTCCGGCTGGGCCGCATCTTCAGCCAGGGGGCGCACGAGGTCGCAGGGGCCCTCCGGCACGGCAGCGGCAGCAGCGAGGAAGACCCGGAGAGCATCCCGTGCGCCCGGGCCGACCCCCGCGGGCGACCCGGCCGGCCGGCGTTTGTGCAGCTCCGGGCCGAGCCGGACGGGATGGGGATGGACCGGTACAGCACGGGCATGATCGGCCTGTACAACCACCACGCGGGGTTCTCGTACCTGCCGTTCCTGCACGGGTTCCGCCGGGCCGAGACGCTCCGGGCGGGGGACACGGTCGTCGACGTCGGCGGAGGCAACGGGCACGTCGAGGCCGAGATCCTGCCCCTGGTGCCCGCCGGGGTCGACTTCATCATCCAGGACCACGCGTCGAACCAGGCCGGCGCCGAGCAGATGATTGCGGCCGTCGCCAGGAGGTACAAGGACAACACCGAGAAGAGCCTGCCTTCTTCTTCTTCGAGGCTGCAGTTCCTGGCCCACGACTTCTTCACGCCGCAGCCCGTGCCGCTGCCGCAGGGCCGCGTCCCGAAGGTCTACATGCTGCTGCGGGTGCTCCAGGACTGGGACGACGCCGACTGCGCGCGCATCCTGCGGCCCCTCGTGCCCGCCATGGAGCGCCACGGGACCAGGCTGTGGATCATGAACTGCGTGCTGCCCGACGAGGAGGGCACGATGCCCCGCCACCGCGAGCGCATGCTGCGCAACCTCGACCTCGTCGTGTACACGCTCTCGGGCGGCGGCGAGCGCAGCGCCAGCCACATGGAGCGCATGCTCAGGAACGCCGACCCCCGCCTGACTATCGACCGCTCGTGTCGGCCGCCAAACTGCCTGTTCTCGTTTGTCGAGGTGTCTCTGAGGCAGTGATGATGATGATGATGATGTTGATGTTGATAAGAGATTCACGTGTCCCCGCACAGAAGATTCGTGTTGGCTGATTGGTTGGGATGAGGGCGGGGAGCGGATAGCAGTACAAGGGGAGGGAACAATGAGCGGGTGTGGCGCAATTACAGGGCCAAGACATTTTCAGGGGAAGCTGTCTTGGTGCCTGTCCCTGGAACCAACATTCTTGCACAAGTGGGTACAACTTCCCATGCAACAGAACTGCGTAACGGGAAGTCGAGTCCAGGAACGACCAGCGGATCCATGGTGTTGTACGTTTTCAGTCTCCTTATTGCTTCAGCGTGTTGATTTCCCTGTCCAAGCATTACATGTCTAGTGGTTCTCCATGTATGATCTTGTACGATGAAGAAACAATTGTCCATGCAAAACCCCCCTGTGAGTAGTTGTCCTTGAACCCCCAAGCAGTGCACACACCAGTCCAGATTGGGCAGGCAGCTTCGAGAAATATACACCCCTGCCGTTGGCCTTGCCCCAAGCCGCAGGAGACACTGCGATAGCATGGACAATGACCACTTGGCAGAGCTGGGCAAAGCGGGCCGGGGTCACCACCCGGGCCAGCTGATTGGGAGCTGCCAACAAATGCGGAAATTGCCCTCCAGCGACCAACACAACCACCGTGGTAGGCCCAGGACCTGGGGGCCGAGCCGTCCCATCCGAGCCCGGCCGTTGACGTCGTATAAGAGACCTAGTTGTCGATCCCCACCACCATTGTGCACGAAGCCTTCCTCACGCGCTCTTCCTTGTGTGCCGTCTGTGATATTTCCAGTCTGGGTATCTTGCTAATTGCACGATGAAATCCACTTTGGTGCTTTCGCTGGTGCTAGCCACCACGGCGGTGCAAGCCGGCAGCCGACGTCGCGGACACCGATGCGGCGGCGGTCCGTCGTTGTCCTCTTCAGTGCCGTCCTTGTCGTCCTCGTCCCCATCCTCGTCATCATCCTCATCGTCCAGCTCCACTGCCGCCACTGGCACGATCTGCACGTCCACTTCCACAGAGATCGAGGCTGAGACAGTTACGACAACATTGACGACGACACCGGCCACGGTGACAACGGTGACGACCCAGACGGAGACAACTACCACGACCACGACTCTCGACCAGAGCACGTCCACATTCAGCACGACAACGACCGTCTTTGAGACGAGCACCGCGACGGATACTGCGTTGGCCACCGCCACGTCCGTCGTCACCTCGACCCTGACAACGCCCGCCGCCACCGTCACTGTCGAGCGATCGCCCGACTTCACGCCCATCCAGAGCGTGTACGGGCCCGGCGGCATCAGCGCCCGGCGGCCCCAGCAGCAAGCCAATCAGGCGGCCCGGACAGCCGGGGACGTCGACGTCTTCGCCTTGGCAGATGCCACCCACATCGACCTCGCCCTCCTCCCGGACTGCACGTCCACTGTCGGGGAGACCACCACCATCACCCAGATGTCCACCTCGACTGTCAACACCGAGGCGCCCACGCCCACCGCCACGAGTACCGAGACCCAGACGGTGACATCGACATCCAGCGTCCTCCAGAGCCCCGCCAGCTCCACGACGACCATCACCCAGACCGACAAAGTCACCACCACCACGACAACCACCCGCACGACCACCGAGACCAGCACCACCGTCTCGACCGAGACCGCGGGCCCCACGCCCACCTTCTACGCCGCCTGCGCCGGCACGGACAACGGGGGGGACAACGCCCTCTCGTCCTACCGCGGCGTCATGATCGGCTACTCGCGCAACATCCTGCTCCGCCTGGTCCGCAACCCGGGCGTGGGCGCCGGTTACGCGTGCTGCGCGGCCTGCGAGGCCAACCCGAACTGCCGCGCGTCCTTCTACTCCCGGCTCGTCGACAGCTGCTACCGCTTCGATGCGCCCCTGACCCCGGGGAGCCCGACGTGCGCGCCGGAGCGCGTGGCCGTGCTGTTCGAGCCGGCGCCCATCGCGAATGACTTGACCCTGTATAACTCGAACTGTGGCCAGTGGGGGCTCCTGCAGGGAGAGTGGCCGGGTAGTAATCTCTAATCTCTAATCTCTAATGTATGTGTTCAGATTTCCAAATGTCCGAGTATGGTGATTAGATGAGGATGTTCAGGAGAGCGTGTAGAATCCTGGGCTTCCTCGCGGATGTGCTTGTGCTGCAGCAGCGGCGATCTTATGTTGGTCGTGCATGCGCAACCTGGTGTCTGCACGTGCAACATATGCTTGCAATTCTCCTGGTGGGACAACCATAGCACCGAGATCGTGATTTAGAACGCAGGAAGCTAAGTACTCACAGGAGAATCGAGCATGCTCTCGGTGCGTCTTGAAGCCTTGGGTGCCAGAACTCGGCCAGAAGTCATGTGGCCGCTCACAGCTCCACTCCAAACAAACACATGTGGCAGTTTTCGACTTGCTGTGTGAGCGCCACTCGCTGTCAAGATCAGGCTATCGAATCTGGCCGAGGATTACAATGAGACCTTGAAGCAGGTCAGGGCCTCGGCTTATACGTTTGTCCCGTTTCGCTTCAGTAGTAGCCCGGGCGAGAGTAGCAGGGCCAAATCAATACGACTCTAAAACGATCAGATAATTCACACCATAGTCTAGTTCCAGCCGTACTTCACTAGGTCTGGTTGTTCTGATGAAGAGTGTGTGATGAGCGCGGTTGCATCAACTGGCCGAGCTCCTCTGGACTGACTCCACCCAACACGACAGGGGGGACTCCTTGCTGTCCTATCCGCCTTGACAAAGTGAGATTCGTCCACCCAAGCATCTGCCTCGTGCGGCTGAGGTCTTGGCGACCATCATTGTGGCCTGACAATGCAGATCCTCACTGGATGTTCCCGCACAACTTAATCTGCGTCCCCGCACCCGCGGACTCATGAGCCCGTACCCAAACTTCGCCAGACGTCCCACGAGTGTCAAAGTCGGGACGCCCGGGGTCTCTTCCCAACGTCAACCAACACATCTACAACCAGTCTCAGCCTCCTCACGGCAGCCGCCACACCCGCGTGCCATGGATCTGGGAGACGTGCAAGTTCTCACCTCGTTCCGCGCGACTGTCGCACAGGTCGAGGATCCAGACGTGTACAGCATAGTAGAGTTCAAGGACATCGACCCATCGCCAGACCGGCAGTGCATATACATCACCCAAGAAGGGGCACGCTGCTGCTGGAGTGCATGCGAGGCGGACGACGACAAGGTCTACGAGCTCTACGACCGAATCGTCATGGCGGAGGAGCCTCCCAGCCTCGAAGTACTGCAAGAGTTCGCCATGTGCAACTGCTGCGGCCCGAAGCCCGGCGGGGCCCGACACCGCAACCGCATAGAGGACATCAGGGTGCGGAACTTGTTACTTCCCCTGGCGCGGCGATGGAAAGAGGAGATACGAAAGTATGACACAGCCACCATCGCTTCCCTCCGGGCCAGGACGGCATCTGCTGCGCGGCCACCGCTCTCGCGCTTCAGGCCTCATATCGAAGAGCCTGATCAAGACGTAGCGTCCAAGCTGCGCGCTTCCCTGTCGAAAGACAAGGGACTGAGGGACTTCAGCAGCGGCCGCATCTACATCTACTCCCGCGATGAGGACCCCGGGTTCGTCAAGATTGGCTGGACCTCGTTCTCAGTCCAGAGTCGTCTCGAAGAGTGGGCCAGCTGCGGATACACGCCCAGATTGGTATACTCATCCAGAGAGATTCTGTTTGCCCAACGGGCAGAGACGCTCGTCCACTACGAGCTCACCCCAGAGTGGCGGGCTGAGCGTGTCTGTCAGGGTTGCCGGCGAAGCCACCGCGAGTGGTTCGAGGTCGACCAAGCCAGGGCCATCAGGGTCGTCAAGGACTGGGAGGATATCATGACGCTGGAGAAGGTCTACGATGACAACGGCCGCCTTGTGGACAGCTGGGCTCGTGTCCAGAGGTCACTAGTAAATGTGGGCATGGATATCACTGCGAGGCGTCTACTAGAGCATCGCAGCTCTCTGCTTTCCAAAGTAGCTTCGCCCCGTGCGAAACCTCCCAAGCCCGTAGGCAAGGCATTCAGCTTCACGAACAACTCGCTCGGAATTCTGGCCGACGTCTCCACGTCCATTCCGCCTTTTCCACAACGGTATACGTTCCTCCCTGCGGCCATGGTATCTGACGAGAAGTCGCCATCGTCTCCCATGATCAAGAAGGAATCAACGCCAGAAACTCCTTTCGGTTCTTCAGCACCGGCGATAATGTCTCGCTTGCCGGCTGCACCGCGTCCAGAGCAAGGCCAGCCTCCCGCAAACGATGCGACCCCGGCTTTGGCTTCTGCGAGCACGACCCAAGTCACTGATCGTCAAGAACTGCCGACGTTCATCTTCAGACCTGTCAAGCCAGGAGCAATTCTACCAGCTGTGGCACCAGTGCGAGGGCCTTTCGGCACCAAAACCAGCGCTTTTGATACCCAAGCGTTTTCGAATATCTTCAATGTCCCTGAAAAGATCCAAGAAAATCAGTCGCCCAAAGCTCTGACGCCGGTTTCCGATAAGCAAAATGGCAGCAGTAATGAACCTGACCCAAGTGCAGAACCGGTCCCCAGCAAAACCTCTTCCCGCCCGTCCTCCCAGACCATGCAGGGCTCATTGGGAGTGAACACACCGGAGATGTTCAATTTCATGCCAAGAACGACAAAAGACGAGGTGGCGGGCCCAGACGCTGTGGAGCCAGATCTGATTTCGGACTTGAACACACTCAAGCTGGCCGACGAGGAAACAGAAAGTCGTCTTCGTGTGCTTTCGTTCCTGGCAAATAGTCCTCGACGTCTTTGAGATTGGGTCGTCCGAGCATGGTTCTCAGACTCACCAGATTAGGATACGATATACGTCAGGCTTAGACACCAAGATCCGACATAACTTAACGGCAACAGTACCGAGGTGTGAGCGAATGAGATCATTATATGTACAAGGCTTCCGTGGGCTCCCCACATGTACCGCCGTGTATCAGAATCCCCACGGCCGCCATCGCCTCCATGCGCAGAGAGCAACAGGGTCCCAATCTGGCTATCTAATTCGAAACGCTCGCGATCAAAAGAAAAGGACTGATTGCCACCCTCGCAACACAAAACACTTCACCCAGGACCCGACCCAAACTCCTTCGTGTAGTGAATCTCCAAGACCTTGTGGTCACTCGCGTCCCGCTGATGATGGCCGGCTCCCGCAGCCACATCACCACCACCAGAAGAGCTCCTGAACTTGCCCTTCGCGGGCCTCTGTGACTCAATCTGCACCGTGTAGTCGCCGACGCGGTCGTCCCTCCGCGCTACGGAGACCTCGACGCCGCTGCCCGTCTTGTTGTGCAGGTCCGCCGTGCTGCCCAGGCTGCCCTCCCTGCGGCCCGTCGAGTCGTCATCCGCGTCGGTCGTCGCGTCGTCGTCCATCCGGTTGAACGTGTTCATGCTGAACATGTTGCGCGCGGTCGCGCGGCTCTTGGTGAAGGCGCTGCCGCCGCCGACGCCGCCGCCGCTGCTGGCGTGGTAGTTGTGGTCGCCGCCGGGTCCGTGGCGGCCGTACGTCGGGACCGTGTCAGTCGTCAGGCCGAGCTTGACGAGCAGGATGCGGAACAGCGGGCGGAGGGTGGCGAAGCTGCCTGCGGCGATGGAGAGGCTGGCTTCAAGCTGGGTCCATATGGAGACGGTGGTGGGCGCGACTGGAAGGCGGTGTTGGAATTTCATGTCAGCGCTGACGTGGCTTTCTTGCCTGGACGCTAAAGCATCGCCCTTGTGCTGGGGAACGGGAAGACCTACAGAGGTAGTCGGGGTTCCTGAAGTCTGCAAGATGGGGGAAGCGCAGGATGACCGCGACGCTGGCACTAAGGCGATAACAATCTGTCAGAAACGTGCTCTTGTAGATTCCTCGCCGGGCTCCGGTGTCGTATTTGACTTACATGGAGGCCATGCCGAGGACAAGAGTTAGAGCTAGCTTCGTCTTCAGGCTCATCTGCAGGTGGAAGACGAGCCACGCAGGTAGAAGCGTAAATGCGAGATCCGCAAAGAGAGTGAGCGAGCTGTACGCGTACATGATATTGATAACAGTATCGACTCCAATACAGGTTCCAGTCCCGGTGATTCTCTGCCAGGCATAAGGAATAGGGTTGCACTGTAGGAGGGTTACAAAGAAGAACACGACGCTAGTCAAAATGGTAGCACCAAGCGCTAAATAGATGATCCAACGGTGTATCCTCTGAGTTGCAATGCGAAGAAGATAGCAGGCGACGGAGATCTTTGAGAAAGCTAGGGTTACCGCAATAGAGGGATAGCAGGCAAACCACCACTATCGCGCTTGTCAATCCCCGTTATATGGTCGAGCTATGTCGTGGTGAACGTACCATCAGTGCGGTTTCGATATTTTCAGTAGAAAGGTCTACCAAGTGCATGCCACTACCATAAAAGGTGCCCAGCACACAGGTGATAGTATTAACCGTGAACGCAAACTAACTACACGATCAGTATCTTTTCTTGCAGACGATTCCCCAGGGGCGGAGAAAGTGTCAAACACAAACCATTGAAACCATCATGAGCCAGTCGTCGGCGGCAAACGCCTTCATGATGAATGCGCGAGCATACACGCGTAGTATTGAGGCCACGAGGGCCAGAGCCCAGGCGCCCAAGGCAACGGCCCTGAGCTCGAGGCTCCGACTCTCGACTTGGGGCATGGCGACGGTCGAATTTTGTGGTCTCTTTGGCCCTAGCCAAGGCAGGTTCACAGGATCGCAAGGTTTGCGAAGCCTGGCGGGGCGACAAGTCGTTCAGTGGCCGATTTTTTTGACATTGAACAGAATCCACAGGAACATCAACTTCCCCACGGGATATCTGTGCGGAGATGGGGCGCATGCGGGTCTTTATGGAGTTGTCGATGGCCGCTCACTCGCACATGCTCAACCGACACTCGAGCTGTCCCAGCAGTCAGAAATAAGCGACATGGTGCCATTTCACGGGGGGCGCGCTGATCATTTTCGTGGTTCAACATGCTACTGCAAACCGCCGCGGCTGAACGACTGGGGTTCTGACTCGCAACCCCTGACCGGACTTTCCTGCCTGCTCCAACCAGCCGGGGCTCTACAAGGCTGGACAACGTCCCCCCTTGTCATCAGCATTTTGCAGATGCGCATGAGGAGGACGGAGCAAAGAGATTGCGACCGGGCCAGACTATTCCCAGGACCTTGATCCCCGATATGCACGTCACATTAGCTTCCTGTCTTACCCTTCGGGCATCATCACCTGCTACCACTACCATTCTCACATGCAGTCCGAAAGTCAAATTTGAGGGGCCTGACTCGTTATTCACACAAACCCCCCCCCCCCGGCTCGCTGTCAATGTCGTCGTCAGGCCAATCTCCGACTGTGTTGTCTTGACAGAGTATGCCACCTTCCGAAAACCTGCAGCGCGTTCTCATCCACCCAGAGCGCCACAGCACCACCCCCGTGAGGAATTGTAGCTCATAAGCGTCAGTTAGCTCGCCAATTCCGCAGTAGCCCTGAAACTGAAGGGCGGCAGGTGCAAAAACCAAGGTGAACAGATCGCGGTTGGCTCTAGCCACACTAGTAGGAGCAAGTGGCTGATCCGGCTGCGTTCCGCGAGCGGGCAGGGGTCTACGCCGGAGTAGTGCGTCTTGTCCAGTCCGCGGATGAACCCGAGCTTTGAGGGGGGGAAGGCTGACATTGAGGCAAATTAGGGCCCGGCGGGCGGGCGGGCTGCGCAGTAGAACAAAACGTGCCCGCCCCCTTCTGCAGTGGCTTCTTGAAGCCGCCATGCTGGGCTTGAGCCAAACGGGTTGGACATGCAGCATTGTGGCTTGTGGCGATAGCTAGCGCCGTCAGCCTGCCAATCGAGGCTTGCTGTGCCGCTTTGCATGGGCTGCTGCCGAGGTAAAAGGCATTACTCCAGCCTCTGTCCCGTGTATGGAGGGTGTATGAAAGGTGTGTGGAGAGTTGTAATGCTTGATTTCCTCTGTTATTGGTGCCAGACCAAAGGTCCTTACCACCGGAGAACCCGCGCCAATCACTCAAGACAAGCCGAGATGTGGAGCCGGGGACGATTCGTGGTCCAGCATGGGCATGACGATCTTACTCTGTATGAGGCTGGGCCAGTGAGATGCACATACCGCTGTAACAATCACGGCCCCCCCCTCGTCTGAGTCGAGTGGTGGGGGAATATGTTGGCGGTTACTCATCATCCTCTGCCTGAGTTGATGGATTCGAAATGCAACGCTCGTTGTCCGTCCCTGATCGTGCTTGTGAAGCTTGGCGTTGCGCCACACGCTTCTCTGGCTATTAGGGGGTGACTTGCTGCCCGGCTCGAAGAGCTGGTGAGTACAGAGCCGCAGTCTGCCCATCCCTAGCGCCAACGGCTCCATGCCGCGGCAGCAAGGTACACACCAACGGCAACCAAATAACCAGATAACAACACTATCAAAATTGGGCCGCGTATCCAGCCAGTGTCCAGACTGAAGGACTGCCCGGATCCGAGCCCGGCAGGCTTGAAATGTGGAGCCCAAGTCCCGGCTCCAGGTCCCCACGTGGGGGAAATCAGGGGTACCGATCCCCTGCAGGAGCCTGGCCTTTGGAAACAACCGGCGAAGGTCCGGCGCCGGCGCAGTCGGGGAACACCCGCGACCACGAGAGTCCCACCCTGGCGGTCAATCCAAAGTTGGCCCGATGTTTGACCAGTTGTGGGCGTTAGTTTCCCACTGTCAGACTGCAAAAGCCACCAAAAGAGCCTCACATGTCGCCCTGACGGTTGCATATGTCATCACAGCCTGCATCGTATACATGCACGACCGAACTCACACTCGCTTGCAATAACGATTGTGTTATTCGCAGGGGTTGGTCCCCCCCACCGAGGACATTTACAATTAGCATGACACTGAGTCATGAGGATACTGAAAGATCCCCTAGGTGGGGGGTCAGACTGCCAAGGAGGTCGTGGTGTGCATTGAGCCGCACCGTTCTTCGCTACGAAACGCCGAAATCCGTATGTATCTCACACGATGGACGCAGCAGCTGCGTCTTACACGCCGCCAAGCAGCTCAGGGATCGCTACCCATCCGGGCGCTACAACAGCCTGACTCGAAGCACGGAGATACGAAATGCCATCTGCAGGCAGCTACCGCTCTCGTAGCCTTTGCCCCTTTGAATGTCTCAAGAAATGTGGTTCGTGAAGCCGCGCATCGCAAGCCAGCACCTCGAGTCATGAGAGGCATCATGTATTTTGTGCATGTAACATTAGCACTGTTACTGGCAGCTTTCATCGCCAAGTTTGGCTCCATCCGAGGTGCGGCATCACGCGTACAAGACCATCGAACCGCGAGACTATCGTCTTGTCGCGCAGCTGAGTAAAAGCCAGGCCACTCAGTCGTCTCTAAGTGTCTTGAGATGAATCCCCCTGCCCGGTGCCGCCAATAGTGGTCATTATGCATAACTATCCCCTGTAGTCAGTAGCTCAGGGCTTGAAGCCCTCCGCAAGGACAACTTCTGGCATCCTACACTGGTACGCGGTCGATCACGGCGGCAACGACAGCGACTTCCATGCCTTCGGCAGTTTGTGTGCGGAATCTGACGCTTCCGCGAGTTTTTTAGGTTGACCAGGTCGCTCGCAGCCAGCTAGCGGCCGGTTGTCCTCGCCAGTACCCATGACTAGAGGAGCCGCCAGGGAATCTCTGCCAAGAGTGTTGGAACCATGGTTGGCCGGGCTGAAGAGTTCGCGCTAAAGTCGCTCCCGCCATCTCCTACGAATAGAATCCTCTGCATCATATTTGCGGCCATGCGCTGCACCACCTCAAGCTACCGCATCGATTGCCTTGGTGTTAGCCCAAGTACGACTCAATTATTATTTTCAAAGGGTTGCTCATGTTACTGCTAGTCTCAGGATCGATGTGTTCCAGCCCAGGTGGTCGTCTTGGAACAATTTCAGCTGCAAAGTACGCAGTATTGAGGAGTAGTTAGACTAAAGCGTGCAACACCAAAACACCTCATTGATTCGACCTCTCTTTTTCCACCTCAGACAACAAGGTTATGATCTCGCTTCTGTCTTTTCCCTTTGCCTCAAGATGTGCCGCCTTCTCCATGATGCTCTTCCCATTTTGATCGTGAACGTTAATACTCGAGCTGTGATCAAGCAGGAGCTTTGCCGCGCCGATATGGCCTCCCCACAGCACGTCGTGTAGCGGATGAGAACCTCCGATCTTTGACCCAATCTTGATGGCGTCGGTGTCAGGCTTGGCTCCCTTTTCGAGCAGGAACCGTAGTGAAGCCTCCCTACCGAGCACTGCCGTGTGTCCGAGAGCCCCCGAGTGCTCCAGGCGGGCACCATGCTCCAGCAGCAGGTCGATCGCCGCAGCAGCTTCGTCGTCAGGGTACAGACCGGCTACGAGCGCGATGGGGTAGCCAGTCAGGTCGGGGTTCTGATTCGGATCCGCGCCGAGCTCGAGAAGGTATCGTAGGAATGCGACCGGCTGGCGCCCGGTGCAGGCCACGCTTAGTGGTGTGCCGGTCCTGTCCAGGCGCCTGCTCGCAATGGTAGGGTCTCTGGCAACGAGTTTGGAGAAGATGGGGATGGAACCTTCGCCGGCAGCGACTTCGGCTACTGCGTCAATTTTGATCTCCATCTCTGGGAATTCCGTGAGGAGATAGTCGATGGTTGAGGCCTGGAAGGCTTCGGTGGCTGTGGCGAGCAGCTCTTGCGCATCACGCGTGGAAATTTCCTGCCGGTGGGATTGACAAAGCGCCTGGAGCTGTTCAACGTCACCTGAAGCAGCCGCAGCGTTGAGCTGGTCCTGAATAGTTGCTGGCATGACGCTAAAAGTGATGGGGTGCAAATGTATGGCTGGAGCAGCGATTTGCAGAGAAGAAGAGTCGAGCTGAGCTGAACTTCAGGCGCGGGTGGGGAAGTTGGGCAACGGAATTACCATATTCCCCTGCGCTCAGAGTATTCCCAATAAATTGTGCTAGACGACATGTCGCTGGGCAGCAACATTTAAGGCAGCTGTTTTCTGCTTCTGTGGTCAGAATCAATCCCGCACATGACGCAATCGTTGGCGGATGTGACTGCCTGGCCCTGCAGCCCTACCAAGACTGCCGACGAGCAGGGTTGATTGGTTGAACCCGAATTGTCTTAGTACTCGCTAGTGGACCCTACCGGTGGCGTACCAACAGCGATCTTTCTCTCCACCCTCTCCGCGTTTTTGTTGCAGTGTTTACTATTTTGGGTTCAAAAAATACCCGCGTTGAATTCTCTCGTGAAGCCTTTTGCCCCAGGCAAATGATGCCGACAACGTGCGATCTTTGTGTGGATAGGTTTGACGGACTTCGAGTGGCATAAGCAACGCGATCCGCGTGGAGTCGCCAGGACTTGACGACCCCACACCCAGTAAAAATAGCTACGCTGTGGGTGCGTGGCTTATTCACGTACAAGTCGACAAGGCATGATCTGTCGGCCACAGCCAAGGAGTTTTCCAGACTTGCCAGCTGTTGACCAGCGTGCCCGGAATTCGGCTCCCGGTTGAACGGCACGAGCGTCTGAACGGGGTCAAGACCTACAGCGCTCCCGTTTCGACAAGAATAGTTTGCATTAGTAACTACGGTACGGGACGACACTCGACTTGTTCAGGTCCTTAGGGTGATGGTCGTTGGAACGGCATTGGCCACTTCTCCGTGCATCAAAGTTTGGGCCATGGGGATCGCCGGAATACTCGCTTGCGGACGGGATAAGCGCCAAAGATGCCAGGCGCCCACTATGTATACCAGAGCCGCGGAGCTCACACCATGTTCAAATCATTGCTAAGAGAAAAAAAACACCGTCTCACGCTTCATACAGTATAGCCATACTAAGAGCCGTGGGCAAGTTTCCGAGCAGGAGGCCGATCGCTCCTCACTGATGTGTTATAAAGTGGTGACGAAATCACAACATTGAAGCAATCATCATACCATTCGGATCATCACCACATCTTCGCGACATTTCAACGACAGATCAACCTATCAAAAAGCATCCTTCTCCTCCACTCAGAGCACACATTTGCACTCTCCATATCTCTCTATTCACCGCCTTTCACTTCGTCAAACATCCAACATGAAGGGAATCACTGTCTTCACCCAGGCCCTCATCTTCGCCCTCAGCTTTACAGTCGATGCGGCGCCAGTGTACAAACCAACTGGCCACGAAATCCGCTTCAGCCGAGGGGACGACGTCGACGCCGCCCAGTTCAACCCGCGGGGCACGTGCCCTACGGTCGATGAGATTCAGCAGTGGCTCGCCGACAACACGAGCGTGGGAGCCAACACCGTCTTTTGGACATCTGGCGCCGACGTCACAGCTGCCGAGAAGCTGGCCGCCCAGGTCGGGGGCCAGTACTTCTACGGCGCCTACGGCAGCCAGCAGTCGATCTGGCAGCGGGACTGCCAGCCAAAGGACAGGCTGGTCAAGCGCATGTCGCAGGCGTTGGCCAAGCAGGCAACTGGCCAGACCTACATCGTCTTGGGCGCGTACGCGATCGGCACCGACAGTGTCTGGCTTCAAGACGAGTATCCCAATCTCAGCGGGGTGACCATCACGGCTGTGGATGATCAGCTCACCAAGCAGGAGCCTTATAACCCTCACGTCAACCCTTATGTCTCCTGAGAGGAGCTTGCCCTATCCGTAGCGCCCGGTTGTGCCGCACGCGTATAGAGGGACCAAGAAATGGACGAGATATGTTTGGCGAAGCTGCTGCTTTGGAGGAAATGGAGTAGTGGGTTCGGAAAGTGAGGGTGACCGGGTAGGCCATGGGCAGAAACGAGAACTGGTCTTGTCAGGGGTCCAAGACACTTGAATGAGCATGGGTTGCATAGCGAATAGTTTTATGGCATTTACAAGCTGCATATTTTCAAAACCTACCTCTGCATGACCGCGTAGATCTCAATGGATGCTCGCGAGTCCTTGAGAAAATCCTCAAAGATCGCGCTGTGACATTTTAAGCAGAGTCGTGACACAGAAGACAGTGAGCCGAGAGGGCATTGAACCATTCAGCACAGTGATCGTAGTTCTGAAGCTGGCTCAACTTTGCCGATCAGTGCGAGGGAGAGGCAAGCCAACTGCAAGCACGGTTCGCTGCGTAAATACGTTGGGAACAGTGACTTGAGTCACAGTGCACCATCTACTTTGGGGGATACAAGGGAGGTAAGCTGCCAATAGACACTTGTGCCCCAGACCTGGCCAGTCGGGCATATTTGAGATGACGAATGTCCACAAGAAGGTGCTTTCCATTTTCCTCGAACCATGTCTGTAATTAAAGAGGTTGCACTTTTTCGCAAGAATCCTGCCACAACACCGCACTGTACGAGGGCGCCCACCGCAGGTCTGATCCACACCGTGCTTTTTCTTTTTCTCGGCCGCCTGTCAAAAGAAAAATCTCTGCCAACCACCCAAAAGTGGATCGCGGATGACAAACCTGCAATCAGACTCCACTCCCGAGGCGTATATAATCGTCGTCCACCTCCCTCTGTTCTCTCCCTCTTTTCCTTTCCTTCTCATGCGATTTTACTTCAGAGAATCACTTCTAAAGGAAAAATCCCATCTCTGTGTTCCCTACAGGAGCCACAGATCCCACCCTGGTTGATGACCCAAAAATCCCCGCTGCCTTAGAGTGAAGTTTTTTACTCCGGGAGCTAGTCACCTCGTGTGCTACGTCTCCCGTACTCTCGCCCTGTCCGTGAGGATGGCGGCCTTCACCCTGCCTCGTGCAGTGGTGGGCTGTATAGAGAGTGGTGATGATCTCAACCCCGATCTTTGTGCATTGTCTTCTGGACGGCATGGTCGGGGTGGGCTTCGTGGGACGTCTGACAGGCCTTTTGTTTTTCATTGCCGTCCGTGTGCTAGCCACGCGAGGTGAAGAAGATTTGTTGCGAGACCGATACGCGTTGCTTTGATACCTGTGCAGTCGACACAGAACGCACATGACACTTTGAATTGAGCACACTGCAGGACGGCTGAGACAAAAGATAGAATGACAAGGGGACAAGCAAAGACTTAGAAGATTGTTAGGACTGTGCAAACTCAGGGAGTCTTACCTGGCATCAAGTTCTGCCGTGTGGTCCATCCTCACCCAGGACAGAGCCCACAGCTCGCTGCACCGGAGTGTCTCGGACAAAGACACAAATTTTACCACAGCCTCGCCTCGATCTTGTCTTTTATCGTCCCAGCCCGCCCCTCGCGCTCCCAGAGGTAGTGCTCAGTTAGCGCGTCAAACCCGAGGTGAGGCCGACCTCGGTGCTCTTGAGGAATCTCGTGCGCGTGGCAATCTTCCCTGCCCAGACGATGATCAGGGCGAGGGCGATTTGGGTCCGCGCCAGCCATGCTGGTCATTTTCCCTGGTCCAAAGCGGAAGGCGAGGGGAAGTGAGCTTACGATGCCGTAGATGAACCCAAACGGCGGAGCACCCAGAGAGACGGCGTAGCCTTGCGTGCACCCTGCACATTGAAGCCGCTACTGTGGTTGGCGCTGCAACAGAGAAGAAGAGTCCCATGGCCAGCTGGAACACGTCATGTACAGTGAGAGACAAAGGCGCAGATGAGGCAAAAGTATCTTGCCAGCCTTGCTCTGATCCAGCGCAGTTCCCGGTGCTGTCAAAAGGTTCGATGTGACATCTTTTCACTCTGTGAAGCTCGACGACTTTGGAAGGTGGAGTTGTCAACGGCCCGTCGGATTGAGGTGGTGGAAGAGATAAATTTTAGGTTAACTCGGCGTATACTCCTATACCAATCGTTCTCCTGTGGCAGAACCTAATTTAGTCCGCCTGGGCATAGCGACACACGTACATACGTGTTCCCGTAAGCACTAGCCGGGCAAGCCACAGAAGCATAGCGATGAGTTCCGGCCATGTGTATATATCCCTCAAGATTTGCCATAATCAACAATCTCTCCGCCGCACTCAATATTCACCATCCAGACTATTCTACAGCTGCCATCTCGTGCCATCAACGATCATAACAATGGCTCGGCTCATCGACAGCCTCCCGGAGCCTTCCAAAATCCTGGAAAAGGACGTCATTGTGATGAGCAGCAGCCGGTAAGTCGCGGCGCCGGGGATCTTAACACCCAGAAGCAATGCTGATGCGAGGTTCGACCCCACTAAGCATGGGGACATTCTCATTGTATCAGGCTATGCAGATGCTTGGGTACAAGCCTTACCGCATGTACGAGGTGGTGCATCAGGGTATAACACACATGCAGCTTCTCAAGGAGGCTTTCGACTGCAAGTATTCCGGCGCAGGTAAACCTTACGGGAAAGCCGAGTTCGACAAGTGGATGGCGAACTACAACGTCAGTCCCCATTGGCCAACCTGCGAGGACCTTGCTCCTCCTCTCTGACTGACAGGGAGCATCGACCCAGGTGATCATTGAAATCCCACAATGGTTCCCAGAAGAATTCCTCAGCTTCTACCCGGACGCCAAGTTCATCCTGACTGAGCGCGAAAACGATGCTTGGGTGAGGTCACTCAATAACGCCGCGATTCCGCTGTTCACCATGACAAAGAAATTCCCCTTGACGTGGATACGACTGATTGACACCTTCATCGAAAACTTTGCCGAGTTGAACGCTTCCATGGAGAACGCGTGCTATCTAGGGTACGGCTGTGAAAGCGAGATGGGCATGGAGAAAGCTATTGAGCGCAGGCTAGAGGTGTAAGATCACCGTTGCCTGCTAGCTAGATTCCGCGTCACCCAAGCTAGACGAGCTGACATCCCAGCCTAGGAGCGCCATGACGAAGAGTCGTATTCCCAAACAACAACTCCTTGTCTGCCGCCTCGAGGACGGCTTCGGGTGGGAGCAAATCTGCCCCTTCCTTGGCAAGGAGATCCCAAAGCAACGATACCCCAGAGGAAATGCTCCCAAGGAGTTCGAGGCCACGCTGAAGGGACTCCTTGCACCAGCCCTGCGCAAATCAGCAGCCATCGTAGTGACTGTGGTATTGATGCCCTTGATCGCAGCGGGGTGGTGGTGGTACTGGAAACAATGAGCCTCCATGCATGGTGCCTCTGTTGTAGGTACGTAATCAATCCATACACGCGCAGAACGTAGCTGACTCATCCTGACAGCCGTGCATATTCATCAACGCCCGTGTGCAGAGTCGTTGCTTTCATGGTCCTAGCCTGACCCCGGTGAGGATCCCTCTCCAGGCTCTCGTTCTCTTTCATCTCTCGATTCTGGTCCTCGCGAGCGACATGAGGTTATTAGCCATCAGACAAGATGTTAAATTAGCACTCGAGGTGCATTTCAGCAAGACCGTCCCACCATATAACATCTTGTCACATATTTGGGGCGCTAACGACGATCAGGAAACATCCCAGGTATCTCGAGAAAACGGGAAGTACAAAAATCGTTAGGTGGGAGCGCAAGTCTTATCGGTGTAGGTGAGAAGAGGAGGGACGGTGCTTGTGTCGCTTTCTGAGAAGCAAGGATATTTCTCGGGGGATTGTAGCCGTTTGTCCAAAAGTCCCCTCACTCTGGTCCATTGTGCCGGATCATGATGTGAGAGAAGCTTCCAATTTATAACTGTTCTGCAATCGCTTGAAATCTATTCCGCATCCCAGAGGACCCGCGCGTTATCCCTGAATAGCCCATCAAGCAACTTGCCATCCCCACCAACCAGATTCACGAGACGGTGCGCCCAGGGATGGATATCGAGAGTCTCATACCCCGTATGCGGCCAATCCGTGCCAAACACCGTCTTGGTGCCATTAATACGCAACAGCTCGAGGATCAGAGGGTCCAGGACGGCATAATCTGAAGATGTCGTCTGGTTGCTGACAGACCGATACGGCGCGGAGATCTTGACCCATGTGCTACCACCCTGGAGAAGCTTGGCCAGCGATGAGAAGCCCTCGATTGCATAGGGGTCAAGGCCATGGCAGGTCGTTGTGTTCGGGAGCTTTGGGCTGCCCAGGTGGTCGATGACGACCCTCAGGCCCAGGGTGGGCACGACTGGCTCAATCAGAGGAATGTCCTTCATGCTGATGAAGAACTGGATGACCCAGCCCAGGGGGCGGACCTTGTCGGCGTACTTGCGGACCAGACCCGGTATCTGCTCCGGTGGCGTGTTTGACGTGGGATTCTTCGAGTTGGCCAGGTTGATTCTGACGCCCCGGACACCGAGAGCATGCCATTCCCGCAGCTCTGCGTCTGTGATGGTCTCCGGGTCGAATTGGACGACGGCTCGTGCACGTTTGGGTCCGTATGCAGCGAGGGCCTCGAGCGTGGCGGTGTTGTTGTTTCCATACCTCGTGGGCTGGATGATGACGACATGAGAGCAGCCAAGCGAGGTCTCGAAGAGGGTGTTCTCCCATACAGTGCCGTGAATGACAGTCGAGCCCGTGTCGGGTGTCTGCTCATAACGAGTCGTGTCGATGATGTGGAGGTGGGAATCCCACGATCCCACGGGGAGTAGCGATGACCCGACCATAGTGATCAGACCTGATAGAGAACGGATATATGCGAGTTTACCAATGGTCTCAGCTGGTTGAGAATTGTTTCATCAGAAGTAAAAGTCAAGAGACAACACCTGAGATCAGGGCCACGCCAAGAAATACCGCCATGGGAGCACGAGTTCCAAGGTTCTTGCCTCGGGCATTTCCCACTGCCGACGGGGCCCACTCGGGGTTTCTCCGCGAAAACGTGGGGAACGCGGGAGCTGATTCGACCGGAGATGTTTGCGGAGTCGGAGACTCACCACCCGCCGGGGTCCACCGGCGGACAGGTCCCGACAGCGTCGTGGCGGGGGTTGCGATGTAGTGCCGATCAGAAGATCAGGATCGGTCGTGATTTGCTTCATCCTCGTGCTTCTGCCGGGCAAGAAAACAATAACCCGCCTCCCGTGTCGTTCTTCCTTCCGCAATCAACTCCTAGATTACGATGCATTCGTTCCTCGCTTCAGAGGCCCGCATGTTCATCAGTGGGTGCAAAGGCCACGAAGAGAGAGAGAGAGAGGACCGTCTGGAATGCGGCCATCTTGGAGAGATGCCGCGCTGCAGGCTCAGACTTTGCAAACTAATAAGAGGATGAGCGAGCCAGGTTTGCAGTAAAGACGCTTCCCGAATGAGTGGTCGAATGCAAGAATCATATACTTGGCAGTCCGGCCTGGGCACAAGTTAACCTTAGCCGTGAGACGGGCCATCACAGGTCGGAATCCTGAAGTTGAAAATCGTCAATGCACCCCCGGAGAGATACAATCAATTCAATCTCGTGAAAGACAGCGCGCGTAGAAACATCAGATGAATGACAGGGTTGCTTGAATGAATCTATCCGCTGCTGCACAGCGGCGCTGCGTCTCCAAGTGGGGAACTTGCCCACTCCGCGCGGAACGTCTAACATCCCACACGCCGATGCTAGTGATCGTGCTGGGTATAGCATTGGTTGACAGCTGCGCAATGCGCGTTGCCAGTGAAGTGAGAAGGCATCACGGAATTTGATACTGTGGCAGCATTTAATAGACATAACGTGAAGGGAGGTGAGTTGACGAAGAACAATGAGCCTTGAGATTTAAACTGGTTGTGAATTAAGTCCACAGAAAATTTTAACAGAGTCAAGGAGCTCAATTGTGAGTGTAAGTTTGAGGTGTTCGACGCGGTCAGATAGCCTGTTCCATGCTAAATGAACGGCTCGCTAGCACCAGGGAATTGAGGGCCCGTAACTGGCGGAGAGATGTTTGGTGGTCAGGGATTCGAAGATGACGGTGTGCTGAACTGGCTGGAGTTCATCTTCCACTGCAGGCCCTCGCCTCGTCGAAGATAGAGGCATCCAGAGTGACGAATGGACAAGTTTAAATATGAAAAACTCACGAGCGCCTCGGAGTCGATGCAGCCTATATTGTCCAGCTCGAACTAAGTTTGACAACCTTTCTTGATATTATTTTGGTTCTTAGATCTGAATTCGCAGAGTTTGTAGGCCATGTAGCAAGACAAGCAGCGCCTTTGAACACTACTGAACCATGCTTTAGCCAGTACTCATAATACTCAGGACCTCAATCTCTAGCGCAGAGACTTGAACACTGACTATCGCTCAAATAAGGGAGCGTATCGTGAAACGACTCATAAGATGTCCAAGCCCTCATGACTGAATGACCTGGCCGTTAGTACTAGTTCAATTCTACAGGCCGAGATAGCAAGATCGCCTCGGAAGCGGCTGTATATCGAGACAGCGAGAAGATTGGAACGTGATGTGCATTGACTGTTCGTGTATGCGTTCAATGCCAACGCAGGCGTGGGAGGTATGTAGCAATTGCGGAATGATGTCGTGCAGAAGGAGGCTCTATTGCTCGTGTGGTGCTCGATGACCATTTGATTTTGGAAGGCCTAACGTTCGAGGTCTCTCTCAAATGATGTGAGCGCCATCGGTTTTGTGACATAGCCGCCAGAGAGTATGTGTGCGGTATCACTCATTTAGGACGCTTCTTGGCAATGCAGACTGCCTTGCCACAGTTCTTTGCCACTGGTTGAGATTCAATGAGCGTCATGATTTGGCAGTATGGAACGGTGGCTGTGCTCGATGCACAATGCCGCATCGAGTGCGGGAGATATCACTCAGCCCAGGGTGCTGGGTGCACAGCCAACATTCTCCTGCCGTCTCTTGTTGGGTGACTCTATGCTCACTGAGCCCCAAAGGCTGCGATCCGACAATAGTGGAGAAAATACAGGGGTCCGAACCAATACAATCTGTGAGACTTGGGGATACTTCGCTTATTATGTGAAAGAGTCGCGTTGTCGAAGTACTTACAATCGTCATGGTAAGTCGCCACTCCTGCTTAAGATATATGTGCTCCGATCAGCGCAGGGTAGAGCAGGGCGCCTTTCTATCGGAGCCTTATGCATTCAGCGAGGACAGGCACTATCCTGGAGCCCTCTTCTCCTTGCTTGTTTGTTTGTCGCCCCAGCAAACATAGGCCACCACGGCCGCCCCGTCACGCATACAGTAGCCAGCAAACAGTAGTGGAGATGGCCGAGTCGGCAGGCCTGGCGCTCGGGGTTGTATCTCTGGCAATCCAAATCTGCAAAGGCGTCATCGCGTACACGGACGCAGTTCGTACCAGAGGGAGCGAACTCGGACGGCTCGATCACAAGGCAAAGACGCTCTCCCAAACCCTCAAGATTCTCGAGCAGACTGCGAAACAGGTTGCATCGTCAATAAACGCGCAATCGCAGACAACGACAGCAGCATCATTAGCAGTCATCGGCGAAACCATCCGCTCCTGCGAGGCGGACTTGCTGTCGCTCGATGAATTCCTTGTCAAATATGCTGGCTGCTCTACTTCAGATCCAAGTTTCAGAGACAGCTGCAGAGATGTCTTCCGGAACCTCAAGTATGGCTTTCACGACAAGGAAGTCGCCGAGATGGAGCGAAGACTCACAAACGTCAACTCGATCCTCCTTTTGGGGCTTCAGAACCTCGAACTGTGCGTCGCACCATTACGTCCAAGCGAGCGGCACCGCTGACCTTCGTACAATACATTCAGAAACCTCGGGGTCCACAATTCTGGACAACTTGCCGCTATCGAGACCGAACAATCCCAGGTGTCGACGCGTATTGGCCATCAAGAGCAAACACTCGGAACGATAAAAGCCGAGACGAATCAGACTCTCCGACAACTCGACGAACTGAGCCAGAGTTTCCAAGCACTCCTCGACCCGCTCCGGGGAATCACGCCTTTCGGTCTGCCAGCAATCGAGAGACATATAGATTTGGCCAGTAGCACCATAGTGGCGCAGACGGAGACGCAGTCAATGCGCGTCTATGATCTCGTCCTCTCGCAGCAGAAGTCAATCATGACGGAGTTTGCAGTCTTGAAGGGAATGGTGACAGCGCAGAGTAAGACGATCGATATCCTGGCCGCAGGCACAGACCACATGACCGAGTCGGAGCAGAAACTACTGGCAGTGAAACGTCTTGCATCAAGGCCGGACCTGCTGGGGGATGCCATCGCGAATGAGTATCGGGCATGGTACTGCCGGCAGACTCTTGTCAAGACTCTTGCACCATCGCCATGGACAGGCAGGGCTCCATGCTCTTGCTACGAGCGTCGTACTTCCCATAGGTGGAGGACACGCGGGAGCATGACACGCGGGAGCATGACACGCGGGAGCATGACACGAATCTCAATCTTGCAGCAACAGCTGTCCCAGCACAGCCCCGATTGTCCTTGGTCGAGTTCTCCTGCCGCTCGGAAACGAGCAGAGCAGTCGACAACAGTCCGTCTCAGTGCATTCAGCACCATACTTGGCACAGCGTTGGAGATCAGCTTTGGCTGGCGTCAGGGCGCCGGCGGCTTCAGTATCAGCCCCCGGTTATCCACCCATCAGATCGTGGACCCTGACCATTCTCCGTCGTTCAAGATCATGAGATACCTTGGCAAAATGTTTGGCGCAAACATATTCTCTGAAACAAAGCTGTCAACTCAAGAGACAGAGAGGCTATTCAGCCTTGCACTGCAGAAACTGCAGCAGGCCTTTGACCGTGGGGAAGCCTCTCCAAACGATCGAACCAAGCAGGGCAAAACATTACTCCACGAATACACGTCAGTTCTTAACATAGCGGTATGTGCTATTTCTGATTCAACCATGATAGAAAGTCCGTTTTCCTGTCGGGAATTGACCACGCAAGATCAATAGGCCTGTCAACGCACAAACTACACAGCTGGGTTCGCTCAGATCTTTCTACGGCAACTTGTCCGGACGCTTGGTGTTTCTACAGCGCAAGAGTCCAGACTTGAGGGGTAAGCATACACGAGCCGCACCGCCAAGCCATGGATTAGGACTGAGTCTTGATCACAACAGCACGCCACTCAATTGGGCCCTCTTGTGGCATGGTGACAAGGACGTACATGAGACGAAGACGCTGGAACTACTAATCCCAAAGTCTGGGGAGGTAGACGATGGTTTCCCAGCCCTTTCGCCGGACGTGCTTTTCGCAACTTGTGAAACGTCCGTCTCTTATACCTCCAATCTGCGAAGGTAAGTGGTTCCCGTACTGATTCTGGCTGAGCCCTCGATCGACTGATGCCGCCACTCCAGCGTATGATCCTGATCCCCTCAGCGAAGCGATTCTGCGTAATCAACCAGACCTCGTCACAAGAATGGTTCGGGGGGACCCGAGCCTGCTCGACGCGAATCCTGCGTTCCAGGCCGTGACCCATCTGCATCTTACCATTGCCACGCGCCAATGCTTCAAGGAACTTCTCCTAGGGCTCTCTGAGGCAGTCGAGAGCGGGGACAAACGGGCTGAAGTCGTGCTGGATAGGACTCTCAATTTTGTGTCCAAGCGGCAAGACACAGCAGCAGAGTTCATCATGCAGTCTTGTCGCCAGTGGAGACGCCGTGCCGTAGTGGCTGATACTCAGGCATGCTGGGCTACCTCGGCGCTGGCCACCATGTTTTCTCTGCGATGTGGCATGCGGCCCCAGTTCTTGCAATTGGGCCATGAGACATGTCGGACCTGTCAAGACATTTACATTGCCGAACTGGCGGCCCGACGCCTTCAAGTCAAGCAGATGGCGCTACAGTACCTCTCTCCGGCCCAGATCCGGGAATTCGACCTGGATTCTCCCGGCCAGCTGGACAGGCATTTTGGGGGTGTTATCGAGGCGCTGAGGGATATCCGCGTGCCCATTTCTTCAGAGCTGTTCACTCCAAGTGGCAGAGGGCGGCTTGCAACATTGTGGCCGGCAATCATGCCAGAGGGCATCGGATGCCGTCAATGGGCAACGTCTCTGCTCCGCGCTGGGTTCCGGGACTTTGAAGCGCCCTATGCCAACGGCTACACTATTCTCAGGGCTCTGATACATGGACCTAAGAATGACCCCAAGGCAGGGCGTATCTTGGATGCCATGAATTGGATCGTAGACCATGGACAAAAAGGGACCAGTGTGCTCTATGAGATCTGGGGCAACGTTCATTCCGGGAAGCCCGGCCGAGACTGCGGCTGCGTCATTTCCAGACACAAGCATACCATGCAGCACGCGACTATCGGCCACATGCTTGCTGGCAGCATCAAGTGCGACAGGGCGGGAGTCAACGCTGGGATGATAGCGGGCGACAGCTCATGTAAAGAGTATTGAGTCTGCCCACACTCGATGACAGTACCTGCCTTTGCTCACCAGACGGGCGCACGCCCTTTGTGTACTTGCTCGGCGACTTCGTGCACTCTGCGGCATGTGACATCGCTCCGCGATCGCTCGCTGGGCTCCTTGAGGAGCTGATCGTTGCATCTGACGACTCGTGGGGGGCTTGCCATTACCGTGCCGCTTTTCGGTTCATCACATTCGAAGCCCTCTGCATGGAGCACACATGCGATTACGCGCCGGACGATGCGTGGCCCGACTATGCATTTGTAGACTCTGGTCAACGATCATCAGCTCGCGGGCAAGACGTCGCGAGGGCATTCGAGCGTGTTGTTGCTGTGTTTGATCGATTAGTCCAACAGGAATCTCACATCTCGGAGACGCCAGGCAAGAGCAAGGACCAGCCAACCTTCGCCCAATGTGTTGACGACAGCATTGGCCACGACGCCCAAGGCAAGTCGGCAAACTCATGCGTAGCCCAGCCCCCAAGACCTTGGAAGATAGCCGTCGAGGTCCGCAAGGATTGGTTAGATTTATGGGTCAAGTACGCGGAGACAGCGCTTGACGACCTTTCTGACGAGAGTGTCAATCCTTGTCGTGTTTCGTGGTGCGATCTACCACCAGCACGGGGCAACAAGACAAGAAGAAATAATAAGCTCGCGGATGTTTTGAATACCCCGAGAGAACACTGGATTCGCCAGCTCGAAATACTATAGCACCTCTGTATGTATGGACGAATTTCTGGTCTCGTCGTGTTGAAGAAAGACTCAGTGCTGATGACACGAGAACACAGTCCGGTAATGCATCCGCCAGGGCGGTTAGAGGGTACTGCTGCCTAGCCAGTCTGCATATCGTCAATGCGTGTGAGTGCAGTCACCCGCGCGAGTATTTGTCAATGAGTCTTGACAAGTTACCAGACGGATCACTGCCTTGCACAGGCAGTGCAGCAAACTCTCTAGAATGTTCGTTCAGAAGCAAAGTGCATCGGCTCAATAGTCTTGCAATCTCTTATACACCATGGACAGGCCTGCGGACATTCAAAAGCTTCCTATGTGGCAGGAGTGCTAATGGCTAGGTGGCGCACCATCACTGCATAGCACGAGTCTGCCTCGCTGTAGTACCTCACCAATGACGCGGCGCCAACGCAGGCGGAGTGTGAGGGGCTGTGCGCATGCATGTAAGCTGCAGATGCAGCACATGGAAGTGTGCAGCGAGGCGTTAGGATATTCGTGTGGGCTCAGAGCCTTGCCGGCCAGTAGCCCCTCACATCGGGCACATGGTTGAGTTTCCTGACTTCCTTCCTTTGGAACAGCTTCTTCAAGACGAATCGACTCCGGTCCAGTCCCATCGTTCCCACGATAACCTGCACGACACACTGAGATGGCCGAGTCGGCAGGCCTGGCGCTCGGCGCCATCTCTCTCGCAATCCAGATCTGCAAGGGCGTCATTACCTATGCCGATGCAGTCCGTGGCAAAACAAATGCGCTACATGGTCTCGAGGAGAAGGCAAAAACGCTTTCGGACACTCTCGACTTAGTGGGAAAGACTCTCGACCGCGTCAGAGCGATGACGACGAATGCCCAGTCGACGACCATGGTGTCCTTGCTCGCGGTCATCGGCGCCAGCGTCAGATCATGTGAAGCCGACCTGACGGAGCTGGAGAAGTTCTTGATCAAGCACGCTGACGGCTGCCACATTTCAAGCCCGGGATATAAGCAGGCCTGCGTCAACGTATACAAAACGCTCAAATACGGATTTCGTCACACGGAGGTCGGCGAGATGGAGCAAAAATTGGCCACTGTCAACTCGACTTTGCTTCTTGGGCTCCAGAGCCTCGACATGTAAGTGCCATCTGATAGCGGCTTGAAAGGGAAGGCTAGCTGATCGTCTGCCCATTGCATGAAGCGATTTGGCCATGAGCCATTCCGAAAAGCTGGCCTCCATCCACGACAGCCATTCCCTGATCTCGGCGCAGCTCAACAACCAATACGGAATGCTCTCAAGCATTGGGTCCGAGTCGTCACAGGCTATGCAGAGACTCGACGACTTGAAACAAAACTTTAAGCAGCTTACTGGTCCCGTGGCAGAACTTATTCAATGCGACCTGCCCAGGTTCCAAATGCGCGTCGACAAGGTGGCCACAGATGTCATTCACCATGTCGACGCGCAATCGAAGCACATGGAGGTCGTCGTAAGCACACATCTCACTGCCCTCTCCTCGGAGCTCGCATCAATAAGGCAAGCAACAAAAGCCCAGGAACAGCTACTCCTGGCACTCACTCAAGGTTTCGAACACGTCTCTCCACCAGAGCGTAATATGGTGTCTGTGCGAAGACTTGCTCAACCACAAGAGATACCTGCGGAGACAATGAAGCGTAGGGATGGCGCATCAATTACGCAGATGAGTCCAGCCACGACATCCACGACCATCACGACCAGGAGTTGGAGTGCGTGTAATTGCCGCCAATATCGTGTACCTCGGGTCTGGGAGGTCAATGTCAAGGTCTCACGAATAGCCTTGTCAAGGCAGGATGTGGTATACCATCATCCACATTGCCGACTAGCTAATCACATGTCATCTCAGAGAGGCACGATAAGAACTGTGGCTGCTAGGGCGAAATTGCTCAACACTGTCATCGATGTTGCCTTCCATGTCAGTTACAGCTGGCGACAGGGTGCCACAGGGTTCACCATAGGTCCAAGACTCTCCACCTTCGCAGTCTTGGACTTGCGCCAGGCACCCGCCTTCAGAATCGTTGCTTTCTGGATGGACAATATAGTCCGCCACAAAAGTCGGTTCCAGTTGACAGACGTGGACGTGCATGACCTTCTCCTAGCTGCAATGCGGAGGATCCGACAACTCTTCCGGCTTCAAAGAGCTTCCCCAACGGACACAGATCAGTGGGGGATGACCTTGGTTATCCGCGCGTTGAGCATGATTTATCCATCCGTGAGTGAGAAACAGTTGGAACGATCCAACATCAGCCACTATGGCCGTTAACAATTCACGTCTTCACGCGCAGGCAGCAAATAGTCGTATGGTAGCCACTGCTATCCAGGCAATTGTCCACGAGTTGGTCTACGCTTTCGGCATTTCGGGTGCGCAGCCGACATTTTTCGGATTGTGAGTATCGACCATCTGTTTACACGGCGCAACGGCTTCGCCCTCGACACCTAGACCAATGACTCATAATCTATCCCCAGATCACCCCTGGTCTATGCTATGGTAGCCGCCCGTCATAAGCACTTACGATCATCAGGGTTTATAGAGATGCTGCTTCCGCATTCTGTAGACTCCACAGATATCTTTCCGCGCATTCGCTTTGATGATCGCTGGCTCATCTATGCACGTTCGTCCGTAGCGGCTCGCATCTGCAAGGGTGAGATATATCCATCCATCACGACTTTTCGCCAACTAACATAATCTATTCAGCGTACGCCGTAGATGAACTTAGCGAAGCAATTCTTTGTGGTCGACAAGACAATGTCACAGAGTTTATAAGAGAGAAACCAAATCTTCTCGCTGAAGAATCGGCTCTTGGTGGTGAATCCTATCTGGATCTTGCATTACACAATCCCGAATGGTTCGAAGGGGTTCTTACTGGATTGCAACTCGCAGTCCAGGATGGGCATCCACAGGCATCGAACAGGTTGTCAACGGTCCTCTTTGCTGTAGACCGATCCGGACTTTCCTTAGCTGAGCGCGTCGTTGTCAACTGCGTCACGCGACTCAAAATGGTTCACAGGCGGTCGAGTCACCACTGCTGCCGATCCGCATCAGCCATGTCAACATTGTTCGGCTTGAGGTGCGCGATGCGCCCTTCCTGCATGCCACTGGAGCGAATCACCTGCAAAAGCTGCCTTGCATCATACTACACCGAGCTTATGGCGCGCCGCCACTCTCTGAAACTTCTTGCCTTAAAGCATATACCTGCTGATTTGATCCGGACATTCGAGTTAAAATCAGCTGAGCCACTTGACAAGCATGTTGCGGCAGTTCTGAAAGCACTTCACGACCTCACAGTGCCCATACCAAGCTACTTGATCACGGCTGAGAATGATTGCAGTCTCAAATCTGTATGGCACGGGTTCATTGACTGGGTTCAGCAAGTTTCTTTCGATATTCCCCCATATACTGGGGCATTTAGTGTCCGGATCGCGAAAGCAGTTTACTCCGCGGGTTTTCAGGAGATACACAGCCCCAATGTCAACGGAGACACGCTTTTAAGCCACCTTATACAGACTCCCACCTGGGATGGGTATTTGAGCCTATCGCCGTGGGATCTTATCGACTGGATTCTTGAGCAAAGCGACAGGGGACTGACTCTACATACGACCTGGAATCATGGCCATTTGCCACACTCCGCCTTCAAGCTCAAATGCATCATGTGCGTTCGCGGACGTCTCGGGCTGAAACCTACGCTAGCTCACATGCTCGCCGGGGCCCTGGGCCTCTCTTTCCCGTGGTGGCTGCACTTGGGTAAGACATTACAACAAGAGTCCTGGCTGTCTCTTGTCTACAAGATACTGCCCTCCACCACCACTGACGAGAGCATTTGTCTGTGTTCCCCCAACGGGCGCACCCCCTTTACATACTGGTTGCTCAGCCATATCAACGTGAGCTGTCCACTGGGAACATTGGAAGAGCTTGAGGATGCGCTAGGAACGGCCATCGACACGTGTGGCCACTCGTGGACCGTTTCTCACTTTCAAACGGCGTTCCGTCTCTTCACGTTCGAGGCGCTCTCCATGGAGCATACCTGCGACTATGCGCCTGCTGATGCAACCTGCTCTGACGCCGACGACCCTGACAGCACTGATGATGCTAACCATACGCCCCTCCACCAAGCTATCACCACACTCTATCGGGATATATGCGATGAGTTCGATGCTATGATTGAGGAGGAATATTGTCCGATGCAGAGCCGTAGAGAGGCAGACGAATCAACTACAACCAGCTCAGAGAGATCTCCCGTATCCAGCGATGAAGAGGAAGAAGAAAAAGACGATGAGTGGAGTTCTGGGTCAGAGAGTGATGAACAATCCGATGATGCAGACCATTCTTCGGCCCTCGACTCGGAAGAGTACCGCGAAGCGGGTGAACTCTGGCCAAAGTGGCTGAGGCTGTGGACCTGGCGGCTCGACGACGCGCTCGAGAGATTGTCCGAAAAAGGTGTCCAGGAAAATCATATGCAGGCCGCCGCAGAGATCGGCGTCATGTGGTGTGATCCGCCGCAGCCGCCTCCACAAGCCACCAGCTCTCCAACTACAACATGGTTGAAGGTCAATGAAATCAGGCCGGAGTATATAGGTAAGGAGTTCTGGCTTCAAGAGCTGGATAAGATCTGTGCTGAGTCTTGATCCCTCCCTCCATGAGGGCTGACTGGTTTGATATTTGTATACGACGAAGAGCCGGATGCGTAATCGCTGTCGATGGAGAATGACGCGGCTGTAGTCAGGGCTGGTTGCAAAAGCAAATCGAATCCTTATTAATGACAACAGAACCTGTGCAAGCGGGGCTCCCGGTCATGCGTGACCTACCCCACGTGGCCATGAACCAGTCCGGGATGTACTGCGGCCCGGGACGTTGGCGGCGATCGGCGATCCGGCTGGCCTCTGCGGCCCGTGGTGGGGCCGGATGGGAAGCAATAAGCGGGCCCCGGGCCGTGCGGATCCACGCGTCCGCACACCACGTGTGTATGGTGCCTGACTGACGTAATTGCACCCGCTGATGGAGTAATGATGCAATATTCCGGTCAGTCTCTCGACACGAGCCGGCAGGTTCGGTAGATAAAAGCCAGCACGGGAGGAACACTTGGGTCTCGGGCCGTTGCCAAGCTTCCCCCCCCTTCAGTTACCCTCGTTCATCACGCTCCACTGAACCCCAGCAAGGATTCTCCATCCATCACGAAGTTCAATCACTTCTTATCACAGCCACTTTTTCTGTCTGTCAGAAGAAAATTCTTCAAGACACAATATCAACCATGCCTGCCCAAGACGTTGGCTTCAACAAGGTTGGCATGCTCGGCGTGGGCAGCATGGGCAGCGCCATGGCCCTGCTCATGGCCGAGTATGACTTCCAGGTGTTTTTCTATGACCCCAGCAAGGAGTCCATGGACAAGCTCGACAAGAAAAAGAGCGACCTGAAGATGGATGACAAGGTCAAGAGATGCAGCAGCTTTGTGGACGTCTGCGACAAGATCAAGGACAAGGGGAAGCCCCGCGTGTTTGTGCTCAGCATACCCCATGGCGAGCCGGCGGATAAGTGTATCGAGGCGGTCAGGAGCAAGCTCGACAAGGGGGACACTTTTATCGACTGCGGCAATGAGCACTGGACCAACACTGAGCGCAGGCAGGCCCAGCTAGAGCCGAAGGGGATATACTACGTCGGGTGTGGCGTGTCGGGAGGGTACCAGAGTGCACGGTCCGGGCCGTCAATGTCTCCCGGCGGCTCGAAGGAGGCCCTCGCGCAGGTGATGCCGTTCTTGAGGACGATTGCTGCCAAGGACAAGAAGGGCACGCCTTGCACGGTCGAGGTTGGTCCTGGCGGCAGCGGGCACTATGTCAAGATGGTGCACAACGGCATCGAGCAGGGGATGATGTCTGTAAGTGGTTGTTTTCCTACACCGGCGTGACGGTTTTCACAGGACTGACAGAGAAACAGATCATCGCCGAAGTGTGGATGCTCTTCACCAGAGGCCTTGGGCTTAAGCACGAGGAAATAGGCAACATCTTTGCTAAGTGGAACAAAGAGGGTCCTCTTCACGACTGTTTCCTTGTCGACATCGCTGCAGTCATCGAGCGATCCAAGAACAAGGACGGCCGCTACGTCCTCGACACGGTGCGGGACAAGGTCGTCCAAGATGTCGACGAGGAAGAAGGCACCGGCACCTGGACGTGCGAGGAGGCCGTGGCACTGCACGTGCCCGCCCCGACCATTCTCAGCGCACACCTGTTCCGCTGTGCGTCGGCAGACCTCGCCGAGCGCATCCTGCACCGCCAGGCTACGGGGTCCAAGGTCGACATGCTGCCCCTGAACGTGCAGGACAAGCACGCCGTCATCGAGACGCTGCACAAGGCGACGTACTTCTGCTTCCTCGCGTGCTTCACGCAGGGGATGGACATCATCCGCGCCAAGGACAAGCAGAAGAAATGGGGCCTCGACTTCACCAAGATCATGCAGCTCTGGCGTGGCGGCTGCATCATCCAGGCGGATCACATCACCGACCTGATTACCAAGGTGTACAAGCGACACGACCACAGCCAGCACGACATGCTCTCGAGCCCCGAGATCGGCAAGGAGCTGTCGGCCAACTGGGATGCGCTGAAAAGTGTCGTGATCAGGGGCGTCCAGACGGACGCTTTCATCCCGGCCATCAGCCAGACTGCCGAGTATTACAAGTACATGACTTCTACAGGACTGCCGACGCAGTTCATGGAGGCGCAGCTGGATTTCTTTGGGGAGCACATGTATGATTGCAAGGATGATCCGATCGGCGGGCCAGTCAAGGGCAAGCACCACTTTGAGTGGCGTCCCGCCAAGGGGATTACCGGAAAGTAGATTCAACTTAAGACTCGGTAGAACGCAACTGCTTCATGCACATGGATGCGTGAAGTGCTAGAAAGAAGGAAATTGATATTTTTCCATGCGACATACGTTTGAGCAGTATGGTATGGCGAGGCGATCCAGACACAGAAAGCCGACTGTACCAAGAACCAGCGTACTAATCGCTAGCGCAAATCTGTTCCATCGCACGGAACACTTCTTCTACAGTATATCCCCATTCCGACTCACTCGACGATTCTGATTCAGCAATACTTTGCTCACGCCAGACCACTCCCAAGTCCGCCGCGCGTTCTTTGGAGTTTGCTTCAACGTCTTGTTGGTGGAGTTCTTCAAGGCACGCGCTAATCTTCTGAAACCAAGCCTCCTGTAAAACGTCTGAGATTCTGCTCCAAGCTTGATGGCGATTGCCGTCCCGAGATTGACGGTCGCTGGCTGACGAGTAGTCAGGATAGCGATTATGTTCATTGCGGATCGGTACCGAGGTTAGCGTCTCCTCGAGCAGTGTTTCGGCCCAGCCCATGATCTCACGAAGCTTTCCGAGCAGCACATCATCGTTTTCATCAAAAGGGTCGGCATGGAAAGAGTTTGCATCGCTGTTCCCGTCTTCGTAGTCAATTGTACGAAATACTGAGGTGGTAATGGACCGCAGGTATGAGTCATCGATAATGCCTCAAAGGTCAAGAACCGAAAGACAGCCTGGTACTGTTCGAGGCTTAGGACGTGAGCAAAGTTCCCCAGGAACTCAAGGAGGAAATTTGTGAGTTCCATCGCGTTGCAGTGCCTGGATCCGAATCTGGCGAGGAGGTAGTGAGTCAAGGGCGTACGCCCGCCGGGTGAGTATTCGCATATCGCCGTGTCCTGTACTGAGATGGAAGATAACACGGTTCGCATAACAGCAAGTGCTGGCTGTGAGTTCTCAAGAAGCCAAACATTATAATTAGCCGCTTGGCGAAGTATTCGATGAGCAAGAGTAGCGCCTGAGGGCCATGTGACGGCGGTCAGGGTTTGTGTGAGCGAGAGAGTGTGTTGTAGGTGCCATTGCAGGATGTCCCACCGCGAGCCCTCTGAAACGAACAGCTCCAGTGGGGTCAACCCGCGCTGATTGGGTGCTTCCACGTCGCGGAATCCTGTTGAGAATAAAACATCCGCCAAGAGGACTCCTCGGCATGAATGATATACGGGCTCAATGGTTCCGTACTTGCCAGCCTCGGAGGTGATGAGCCTGGGAACATGTACAGCTCGATCACCAAGTTGTTCAAGTACAACGTGCGCAAAGCGATCCAGTGGCGCCTCATCATACAGTGCAAACTGTTCGCAAGTACGCTGCGGTAGCTCACGCAAGGCGATGTCCTTGAGGAGTTGCCGCCGCCGCTTGAGTTCGCGAAAATACAGTCCATAACACGACGTGCAGGCTTGGGAGTCGAAAGCGAAGTCCTTGGGAACCATAATGCAATTGTGCTCGATGAGCAGAACCAGGCAGGACGAGAACCAGCAACTGGGCTGGCTGTGATGTCCATTTCGGCCGCAGGCGATAATTGCAGTGTCGGCCAGAGCAATGTCGGCATGTGACGATTCGTTACCGCCATACTCGATCAATTCTCGAATCAAAATCTGTCCCATGACGTTCTCTGACTTTGAGAGGCCTTCGAGTATCTCTAAGAAGCAAGAGCCCGTGCTGAGCGCAAGGTGTAGATGGCTGGGTTCCTGGAAAGCAGGTCTATGCCGACGGAGAAAGCCTGGGTCCTTCTCCACGATTGCGGCGGCTGCTTGTGGCTGCTTGCGCAATATGGCTTCGCTGAGCGGGTCAATGTCGAATGCTGCGTATTGTCCTCAAGTGTTAGCCGTGCACGCAGCGAGGTTGTTTTGGTCTCGGTAGCTCTCACCATCAAGTGCGCTTGGGACTTTGAGCATTTCGCGCATCATGTAGTCCAAACGCCGATTCAAGGGGCTTTCGGCTCCCGCGAGGGCCAGCTGTTTCGTGATTTCTACATCGGGCACACCTATCCAATTTCGGTAATAGGTGAGGAGCGGTATCCTAGATTGCAGTGTAAGCTAGTGGTTATCTTCGCTTGCAAACTGGGACCTTCCGAGCCTGGGCGGTACACATACTCGCCGCGTTGATTGACCTGATTTAGAGGGACACCAAAGCTGTCCTTGAGCTCGCGGACCATGGTCTCTGCAGCCGAACGACCGGAATCTGGGACATCCAACTAGACCGCGAGTCTAGTCAGTACCGAGCAGTATTTATTGGTGAGGTCGGGCAGTGATTCTGCGTGCGCTCGACCTACCATCCTGGCCAGTTTATGCAAAATGTTTTCACCCTGCGCGTCGACATCAGTCGGTGAACCCCTGCCCGATGTATAGATCTTCTGCAAGTGGACAAGTGCCACTTCAAATAAAGTACTGTAATCAATATGTTCCCTGGTCCACTGCTGGCTCCGAGGATGGCCCGCATACTGAAGCTCCGACACAATTCGGAATGCAGGCGCTGAGCGCTCATCGACGACGGCACGCCACGTCACAAAAGGCGCGATACTGAAGCCACCAGCACCCTGGCGCTCCGTGAACGACACTTGAAAAGCTGCCTCGATGGATGTGCCAAAAAGCTTCAACCGTGCCGTGGCTCTTCGGTCGGTTTGCCGCTCCTCCGCCCAGGCTTTCGAGTACCGGCAGTGGGGATAGTGCTGGGCCGTCCGGCGGGTCGCGAGCGAGAAGCGATGCACGCCCAGCCGGGCTTGCCAGGATTCTGTTGTCCGGTAGAGCCTGCATGTGCACGGAGCTGGGCCGTGGTGATGTTTGTTGTCCAGAGCCGAGTTGATATCACCGCCCGCCACAGCCTGGGATACATCTGTGATCGCCTCTTTCAACATGTGTGGCCTCGCCACTAGTCGCTGCACAGATACGACGTCCCGCTTGCTCAGCGCGGCAACATCGAGGAAGGCTGTCCGCGCTTCCATGGTCTGCATAAACGTCAGGAGCTGGGCGGGAGCAACTGCCTGCTGCTGAACAAGGGCCACGGACTCGAGGCAGGTTGTTAAGGAGTCGATACCCTGCATGATCGTAGATCTGGACTCGTTCATGGTTGTCAGGACGGCATGTGTATCGATTGCGGCGATTTCCGCTTGAATTGTGTCAAGTCTATTCAGTATTTCGGTAGTATCGCTGTAAATGGAGGCGAGGGATTGTTGGCCTTCAACAAGTTTTGCTGCGACTTGTTCTGCTTGGGCCATCATCGCCGCCAGTGCAGAAGCGTGATCCAGGGACATGTCACTGAGAGAAAAGTCAGTACAGATGCAAGGAGGAACAGAGATAGAACATGAATCATGGGATCTCACACTTCCAGATTTTGCATCGCCAGCAGCAAAATCGAGTTGACGTTGGTGATCCGCTGCTCCATCTCGGCTCTTTGAGAGCCCCGAAAGCCATACTTGAGTGCCCGATACCCGTCTCGACATCGATCGCGAAACCCCGGGTGCGATATAACACAGCCAGCATGGGTGGTGACAAAGTCCTGCAGGGCGTTCAGGTCCGCCCCGCACGAGCTTATGCTATGAGAAATGTTGAGGAGTGCCGGAATTGTCCTAGTCGAGGCCGCGTTTGTTGCAGAGGCGCGTAGGAACTGGATGGTCTTGGAGAGCAGATCGAGGGTGCCGGCTAGAGTCTGTGCCCGCCGGTCGAGGGACTGCAAGTCGTCTGTGTGACTTCGCACCGCGTTGGCGTAGGTGATGATGCCCTTGCAGACCTCTATGCCGAGTGATATGGCGCCCAAGGCGAGGCCAGCCATATCGGCCATCTTTCCTAGGGGAGGACGCTCAGGCCGAGCCGTGCAGAAAGAGTGTTTGGGAAATGCAGAAGACGCTGCAAAGAAAGGCTGAAGCACTATGCAGAACACCTTGGTGAAAAGAGGGGTCTGTATCCCAGATGTGTTGGCAGGCAGGACGGGCTGTGCATGCCCAGTGGTCGGACCCCACGAGCCCCCTGCTCATGCAGTATGCACTGGACACAGCCCCCGGCCAACAGGAGGGGCTATGCTCGCACTTGAGGCTCACAAGGCTCTGCCATCCCGCCATCCTCTTGCGCCCCATCAACACTTCGTAACCATGCGCCTCATCGACACGGCAACAGAGCAGCTTGTCTGGCGCGTCAGCCCGCCGGAGCGTTACGCCATCTTGTCGCACACCTGGGAGGACGACGAGGTCCTCTTCCACGATGTCGAGCGAGGCACAGCGCATGAGAGGAAAGGCTTCGCCAAGTTTCAGGGAGCTGTAAAGCTCGCAAGAGATAATGGCTACCAGTTAATTTGGATCGATGCTTGTTGCATTGATAAATCGTCAAGCGCAGAGCTGTCCGAGGCCATCAACTCCATGTTCGCTTGGTATCGTCAGTCGAGCATCTGCTACGTGTATCTCGGCGATGTTGAGGTTACGAACCGGTTGTATCTTTTGGCCGACAACTCCACGGCCACCGACAACCACTCTTTCAATACCTGGACAACTCCGAGCGCTGTATTCAAGCGCGACCTTGCTGAATGTCGGTGGCTGCGCAGGAGCTGGACGCTTCAAGAACTGATTGCACCGTCACAAGTGCGCATCTACTCGAGCGATTGGATGCGTCTGGGGGACAAGCACGACCCGGAATGGTGCCAACTGCTTTCTCAAGTGACAGAATCGCATCGGGGGCACTCACGGAGAGTGATGGCTACAAGAAAGCGAGTGTAGCGCAGCGCATGTCTTGGGCCGCAGACAGGCAGGCCACGCGGGACGAGGACATTGCATACTCGCTGTTTGGCATCTTCGACGTCAACATGGCGCCCCTGTACGGCGAGGGCGGCGTCAACGCGTTCCGCCCACTCCAGGAGGAGATATTCGCCGCGGCACGGACGACTCGATCCTGGCCTGGACCACGACGGACGCGAGCACGACCCAAGATAGCCTGGGCCCATTGGTCACCAGCCAGCCCGTGCTTGCACCCTCGCCTGCATACTTTCGTGGCCAGGGCAACGTCATCCACTTCCTCTCCTCTTGGGCGCTCCAGGTCGATCACATGTCCCTGACACCATGGGGTGTCTTGATCGAGGCCCCAGTCCTGGCATCAGACGAAGACTTGCAGCATATCACGGCCGTCCTGTCCAGTCGCTGGGTGGCCGACTTTCGCGGTCCGCTCGCCATAGACCTTGAGTCCGCTAGTGTCTTTGATGAGTGGGCACCTCCGGATCACCGCGTTTACAAGCGTATCGGGCTCCGCCAAGTTCAGTTGCCAGAGGACGCGGCTCCACGTGACAACTTGTCGGTATACCTGCACAATCTCCCGCGGCGCAAGATCCGCCTCGTCGACAGTGCCAGCCCGCTTGGCCTACTTGCAGGCGAAGGGCGGGTCACAACAAGGACGAAGCTGCCGCGGATCTGGGTGCGGCTGGTCGAGGAGGGTGTCAAGATCGTGTCTGTATTGCCTGCTACTGCATGGAATCCCGAGCTCCTTGTCCTTGAACCTTCGACCGTGGACCCATACAAATCTCAGCGGCAGGTCATGGTATTGTCGGATGACGAAGCCACCGCTGCTGCTAACGGCGATGGCTGTGCTGAGGCTGGGCTCCATGTGATTGTGCTATCGGTGCGCCACACGGGCAGGGCCGCTGAGCCGTACGAGGTGGGTGTCCTCATGTTCCCAGTCTGGCCTGGCAGGGGCTCGCTGCAGGACTGCTTGAAGGATGCGCAGCAGATGGAGGTGCCGCCGGAGTCACTTTGTACGTTCTATAACCGCCCCGTCGGGCCGTGGCGGCCAAATGTTGCATCGCAGACCAGCAAGCTTGGCGAGTCTATGATCAGAGCGAGCCTTTGGGAAGACCTAGTATTCGGCGAAAAGGTCCATGTTCTGGACATTGAGAGAGATCGCACCACTGCATAGTCATACACTTCCCATGGATGAAGGTACCAGGCAGCTCATGGGATATATAATCTACATAGCTTGCTAGGATACCCATTAATGAATGTTCAATCGTTCTAGTCCACCTTCATTGCGGATGCTATCTAGGTTCAGGTAACAAATGTACGTCAATTGCAGCCACTGCAGTCTATCTATCTAGGAGGGTGAATGAATGAGGTGCCAGGACTTGCTTCCACGGAGTTCTGAATCTGATGGGATCGAGACTCAGGCTCTCGGCTCCATAGCGAGAGCAAGAACCACCCTGGGCAGCTGCCTCCTGGTTGATGATTTCATGCACATCTCGGTTCAGCCAGCCAGCATAACCTTGGACGCCATAAATACCAGGGAATGCATCTCTCTGGGACGATTCCTAAATCGCTTCCAGTTCCTCCAGCCAGTCGTCCAAAGTACGCTCCGGTGACATTGGCTCCGGTTCTTCCGGGAAAGGCGCCCCATCCGAGTGCCACACGACACCTATCGCCGCCGCATTCTCAAGGTCGTTCTTCTCTATGCTGTCGTTATGCATTTTCTGGATGCCTTCTTCGACCATAACTAACCAGCGGTCCAGCCAGGGTTGCCACATAGGCTCAGTGTGGCACGTATCCAGGTTGTCGCCACACTTGTCCAAGGTTGCCACGAACTCGTGGCGACCTCGGCCCACCAGATGGAAATCGATCAGGGACGACGCATTTTGAAAGTCTTTGTTTTGGTAAAATTGGTTGAAGTCCCTGGCTATCATCCTGTCAAGATCGGCGGTGATGCTTTCCATGAGGGCAACGACCACGTCGTCGTGCTCGTCATCCCAGCTTAGATCATCGCAAGGCCCTGTTGCTCGTGTTTCCGGATCTCCCAAAGCACACGAGTGCTCAAGCTTCAAGCCTTTGAAGGTCATCTGGCGGAACATTGCCTGGTATTGAGCCACGCCGATGTAGTCGCCCAAGTCCCACAAGACTTCGCGGGTATATTTCCTTATTTCTCGCGGACAGTTATATTTCCTTATCTCCCACAGGGAGAAGTCTTCCCAGAGGGTGGCTCGAAACTCCAGGAATTCAATGATGAAGAAGTCCCAAGGCGTGCAGCCAGTCCGCGAACACAGACAACAGGGGTCATCGTGATAGTCCATAGTAGCAAGCGATCTCGAGACGGCCTGCCGGGACCCAAAATCTTGTGGGAATTGCGACAGCGGCTCGCGAGCCATGTGCAACCCAATCATGGCCATCAAAATGTGCGCGACCGTTGCGTTTGTGGGCCTATCATCATAGCCACAGACTAAGCACAGGTGGTAGGGAGTGTTCCAGTGTATGTGTCCTGGTTTGAACGGAGTGGTGAGGTCGTCGAGAATAGTGACGTTGTGCCTGAACATCCATTCCACAAAATTGCAGATGCCATCTTTCCAAAACATTAGAGACCACCCTTCAAAAATTACAGGGCACAACACGCTGAAGCCGTCATCAGATGGTGCGCCCGTGTCGTGGAAGCCGGCGGCATACAGCGCCGTTGCGAAGTTCGTTCCGATCTCCGGATTGTGGTAGACCGGGCGGACAACTACCTCTTTGGGGCATGGATCCGCCATATCAAACCCGTGATCTCGACGCATGCGCTTGTTGTCAAAGTCCCCCGTGATCATATATGCTGGGATATTGACTTGAAGCTGGCGGAGCCTACGGACAACGGCAGTGACATGACGATCCAGGACGTCTTCTTTGTCCAGCGCGAACCGCATGATTTCCCGAGGCGTCAGATGTTGCAGCGCGAGATCTTTGAGCTCATCGCGTCTAAGCCTGAGCTCCTCAGCATATCGTCGGAAGCAACCCTGACAGGCGTCCGCGTCATTCAAATTGTGCAGCCTCATGATGCTACCGTGCCTCAAGAGGAGGTCGAGGACACCTGTATACCAGCAGACTTTAGGTGTTGCTGGTTGGTACCGGCTGTCGGAGTTCAGAGTGCCCTCAGACCTATGGATGCCACATCTTCGCAATGCACGATCTGCCAGAGACACATCGGGACGGGATGCCCAGTGCTCTCTCTCTGTCAAGCGACTTTGGCCGGGATACCACCTGTCGTCTGGGAACTCCTGAAGAATCGTCCGCACGTCGGGGCACGAGGCTTGTTTGTAAGCCAGGAGCTCAGCCATAAGCTCGTAGAAGCAAGCACCCAGCTCAAGCGCAAGATAGAGTGGGCTGTTGTAATAAAAGGCAGCTTGCCTGTAAAGTAATGTCGGATCCTCGTGTGCGATTCGCTTCGCTTTTTCTGGCTGGTTCCGCATGACCTCCTCGCTCAACGAGTCAACATTGAAAGCTAGTTTCGCCAGCTGTTAGCGTCGATCCAGGTTTCGATAATCTGAAGGATGCCCACACCTTCATACAAGGACGGTCTATTGGGAAACTCGGTGACAATCTCAAGTAAATCAAGACCATGATATCTTGAGCAGCTTGTTCCACCTTCGAACTCGCTCGGGATAAATATGTCGCAGACGTCCCAGGGAAAACAACCGAGAAATCCTGCGAGTGGCCATCTGATTATGTTAGGCACCGTTATAATATCCGTTCCGACGTCGAGGCAGGGACTGTCCTTACGCTCCAGACTTGTTCCGACTCGCCAATAAACCATTGTAACTGGGGACCAACTGGGAGGCAATAGTCTTACCCAGATCTATCGTCTTGACAAATACACCCATCTATTAGAAAGCTCGCTGTCAGCTTCAATTTGTACCAGTCAGCATTTCTGGCCGCAAGCATCCTTACGATTGTCGCTAGCTCATGGAGCACCGTATTCCCGAAAGTCTCATGAATGTCGGTTGGATGGCCTCTGCCATCAGCGTATATCTCACGGAGCTTCCTGGAGACTGAAGCAACAATGTGCTGGGACTCGAGCTCCTCATACACTTCGGGCCTCGAATTGATGCATCTCGTAAACCAGCGGAGCACTCTGAAAGCAGGCGCTGTGTCTCTGCTAACGACGTTGCGATATGTCAAGGAGAACGATGGGCTGACAGTCATTCCCTTCGAGTCACCTCGCCACAGGTATGACAAATCGACTCCAGCTTCCACGACTTTCCAAAATAATTTGATCTGGGCAGCTGCCCGCCTCGCTTGGCGTTTGGGCCCGGTCCCTGAGAACTTGCAATGTGGCCAGTGCCTCTCAGTCTCGTCTGTCGCAAACTGTAGCTGGATGACACTGCCTAGTTGCACCTGCCGTGCCTGCGACCTCGTATAAGCGCGGCACCCACAGACGGGCCAGGCCACTGTTGACACGTTGTCGCCACGATCAGGCAGGACAAGATGCTGCGAGCCTTTGTTTTCGGGAAGTAATCGCGACAAGTCGTACGGACTCTGGAATGACTTGACGGCGAGGCTGTTGGTCTCTGAGACGGCCATGTTGTCTAGAAACGCTGTTCGGGCCTCGATGGTCGTCATGAATTCCTCCAGCTGTGTCGGTATGATGGAGTGTTGAAGCTTTTGCGCGAGAACTAGCACATGTACGTTGTCAAGCTTGTGAATTATCTCGATGTTTGACGTGTGCACCGCCGTTATGCTTTGCGTCTGATTGATGTCGTTGAGAAGCAGCTTTTCAGTGTGGTCGGAGATGTCGGTGATCGCGTTGGCATGGTCGATGGACAAATCACTAGATGTCGACAGAGGTGTGATCAGTGACGCAGTCCTTCCAGTATTACTCAGGCTACACGCCAGCGACGTCTTTCACCCACATGTTGAGGTTCTGCAGGCCAACCACCAAGACAGAGTTGACATTCTTGAGGCGCCGCTCCAGATCTTCCCTTTTGGCCCCGCGGAAGCCATACTTGAGCTTCTTGTATCCTTCGCGACACTTGTCCCGGAAGCCTGGATCGGCAATGTAAGAGCCGGCCGTATGCTCAACGAGGAACTCCCGAACGGCATTCAGGTCGTCTTTGCAAGCCTGTACAGACTCTTGAACGGCGATTTTCAGCGTCGTGTCGACGCCTGCTTTGGGAGCCAATGACTCTAGGCGCGAGATAATGTTGTTGGCAGCATCGAGATTGGCGCTCAAGGCTCTGGCGAGTTTGTCGAGGGAGTTGAGCTCGTCTGTCTGTCCCTTGACCGCGTCCACATAGGTGACGATGCCCTTGCAGACCTCGAGACCAAGAGAGATGACACCCAGGGCGAGACCTGCGGCCTCCGCCATTCTTTCAAGTTATTCGACTGTGAGAGGAGGCCTTAAAGGTGGTGTTATTGAACCTTTGACAAGTTGATGGGTAGAAAGGTGAGGGCTGTCGACTTAAACGACGACCTAGAGTCACCACCAACATGATTGAGGACCGCCCCGCACGGGAAGTCACTGCCCTCTCTTTCTCCCTGACTCGCTTGTTGGTTGTGTGACAATGCAAAGGCCTGCATGACGCATGCACGTTGTCGTGGCGGAGTACATGGGCGCAAGCGCTGTGGGTATCCACCAACACCCAACACGCAGGGCGTTGTACAATGGAGGGGCTGCCTCCCGTGTATCACGTCACCTTGAGTTGCGTTGTCCGTTTCGGCTCGTTTCGTGTCACTAGCATCGAGGAACATAGCCCGATTGTTGTATTCGAATAGCATGTTTTAGCACACGTTGGCAAGCCTCCAACAGGCTACATGGATACGCGATTCTTCTCCACGGTAATTCCACGCTCTTTCAGGGGAATGGCTTGGTTCGACATGAATCCTTCTGTTCTCATTCTGTACAATCTATAGTCTTGCTTTCAAGTAACTCCACTAAGAATCATCTGTCCACGACACGAGTGCCGAAAGACGCGCCCCGCGTTTGTAGAACGTGATCTAAGCCTTCACAGTTGTAACCACCTCGGATCCCCCGACACGCTTTTCGCCATCACTGACACTATCGGCCCTGTCGCTGTCGGGGCTGTCCTGACGAGCAGCCTCGGCCTCGGCGTCGCCAGCCGTGCCGCTGCCGTACTTCTGCAGCGTGTACTTGTCGAGCTTCCACATGACCCACATGTAACCCAGCATGACGAAGCAGGCGACGACCATGACGATGCCGCCCGTCTTCCAGTACGGCGCCTGGTCGGCCGGGTAGAAAACGATGCCCCAGAAGGTGTACATGGCCATGCTGAGCACGTTCATGCAGTACACGGTGACGCTGCGGACGGCGTCGTCGCCCGTGCGCTGGAGGATGATGGTGGCCCAGCCAAAGATGAGCGGCTGGACCATGTACGCGGACCCAGAGAGGTAGAAGGCGAAGAAGGTGCCCGCAAAGGGTAGGTTGGGCACGAGCAGCATCGCGGCCGAGACGAGCTGGAGCAGCACGGCGAGGACGGCCATGGGGATGCGCTGACCCGTCGCGTCCATGTGCCACGCCGCCAGCATGGTGAAGACGATGCCCGTCGCCTGCACGCCCAGCGGGTACGTGTTGATCTGCGCCTGCGTGAAGGACGCCGAGTTGTACTTGAGCCAGATGAGGAAGTTGCCCTGCACCGCGTACGCCTCGAGCGTCTGGCACACCGGGGACCAGAAGATCAGGATCCAGCTGTTTCGTACGGAAGTCAGTTTATCACTTCTCCTGGTCCACAAACAGTGACATTGGGACTGTGAACGTACAACATCGGCGTAAGAACGAGCCGCTTGGCCAGGGAAACGGGGTTGATGCTGTGGCCGCCTGCCTTGACCGCCGGCACACGGGCCACGGCGAGCTTCTTCTCGGCCTCGCTCAGGTACCGTGCCTTGGTGTTTTCGGGGATGTCTGGCAGGAAGATGAAGCCAAACACGGCAACGGGGAGGGTGATGATGCCGTCGATGATAAACACCCACTGCCAGCCGCGTAGGCCACCAAGGCCCCCCATAGTCGTGTAGATGGCCGTCATCATGACGCCCGCAAACATGGTCCCGATCTGCCCGGCAGCTGAGAAGAGGCCAGTGCGCTTGGCGATCTCGGTCGGAGTGTACCACGAGCCCATGATGTAGATCGTGCCTGCGTACGTGCTGCCTTCGGCAAAACCCAGGAAGAAGCGAATCACGCAGATCTGGGTCAATGACTTGACCGAGGCGCTGGCGATCTATGCACATGGACGAGTTCCAAGGTCAGCAATGTGCATTGTTTGATTGGCGGCTTGCTAATCGGGATGTTGGAGTGACAAATGGCACATACCGTGAGGCAGCCCCAGACGACAACCATGGTTGGGAGCCAGATGCGAGGCTTGATCTTCTGGATGATGAGGCCGTGGGGGATTTGGCTGATGGCCATACTGAACAAATAATACCGGTTAGTGCTGGTTAGAAGCAGTGCGTGCTGGAGTCCTAGCCCTACCCAGCAGTCGTGACGGAGAGGACAGTGTTGTAGTCGTGTCCGCCCATGGCGAGAGATTCACGGAGACCAGCAACCTGCATGCGTGAAAAAGCGTCAGTGTCACTGCGCTTCTGCCAGTTGCTGTGTCGGAACGGAGCAGCTTACGTATGCATTGGCAAAGGCAGCACGATCTGTGCACTCTGGTTAGCGGCGGTTCAGTGGTCAATGTCGGGGTCAAGAAGATTGCTTACCGAGAAAGTTGAAGAAGTAGGCCAAGCAGCAGTAGGTCTTTGCCAGGTAAAACAGTCAGCGGCACGGTACGGAACATCTCCTCCAGTTTGGAGTGCTGTTTACCATGATGAAGAAGTCTATCGAGTATCCCTGTCAGCTTTGAATTGGGGGCACCTGTAAGCTTCGCTGCCGGGACGCGCGACTTACCAATCTTCTGCACGAGCTTGCGTTCCTCGTTGGTCGTGGCCTCCGCACCGAGGAAGAAGGCTGTCGGGTCCGCTGTTAGTTGCACGCCTTGTCATTGGTAGCAATCAGCTGTGATGTCTGCACGTACTGCGGACCTTGTCCCGCGTGGACACTTTCTGCTCCGACATGCTGACGATTGTGTGGCGGCTTGCCCAACGGTCGCCGTCCTCGATATGCTGGGAAATGGAAATGATCGACAGACACAGGCGCAGTCGAGCTCAGAAAGAAGCAGCAGAGGCCAGACTCAAACGCGGACGCGGGGTGACAGCCAATCTTTATTTGTGCCTGCCGGGTCAGCCTGCGGTTACACGAGTCGGGACACCCCTGGGAAAGCCAAGCGGATCAGATTATCTCTTTGATCTGATAAAAATTTTCGCCCGGGGGGCTGATCCGCTAGGGATCGTTCCTCCATCTGATAATCTGGGCAAGTCTGGCCGGTTATCGGCTGCTGCCAAGCATAAGCTTGGCCTTTGTGGGGATAGTTCGTGTTGGGTGTTCGACTGTGTGGTTCGGGTGGCATCGCCGACAATAAGCTTGCCTAGGTGCCAGGATAAGGTTACTTCCGCCGAGCAGCCAGGGGCGGTCTGTGGAATCACGACGGGCTCGTTGTGGAGGGGGCATCAGGCCTTGCAGGGAATGCAGTTCCTGTTTAGGTGAATGAGACAGAAGAGGCTGTGGAGCCCAAGGTTCGCTGTCCCTCATGGTGATTCGTCCATGGTTTTCATTCCTTGCCCCTTTTAGTGGATGGTGGCTGATGGAGGACGGAGCTAATGACTAACAATAGCTGACGATGGCTTCGAGGCGTCGTGCCGGACTCGCCCGCTCTCCTTGGCCAGATGCCGGTCTTCGGACCACGCCTTGCACGACAAGCCATGATGACACCACCAGACCGCGCAGCCCTATGCGGGCGTGTTGCGAAAACAGCCCACCTCCCACGTGAGATGGGCTCAGATCAAGGGTCTGGACCAGGCTGATGGATCTGATTAGATTGCAGCCCGCAGCTCGCAGGTCGGCAGTCCCGAACTTTGCGCCTGGTTGACAGCCCGGCACCCCGCTGCCGCGCCAGGAACGGCTTCGCGGTACGGGAAAGATCTGTCGCTCGGCCGTCGGAAAGTTGACCCTGCTTGAGTTCATGGTCCCTTGTCAACGGTCACCGACGTAGGACCTACAATTCAACTCGCGCGAAAATGTGTGCGTGATGGAAATAGCGCAAAGGCTGACCGTGATGGAGGAAACGAGGCTTGCTGTGCCACGAAGCCCATGCACAAAACTGCACGTCAAGTCAGATGAGGCGTCTTTCCCTGTCACGGATCTCCCCAGCCAACACACAGCACGGCAGAGACTCCCGTCGGAATGCAACGTCAAGGTCCGCGTTAGAGGGCGAAGGCCTGGATTTATTGCGACGCAGAATTCGGAGCGCTTTCGTGTGCGCGCACAGCTGTCCTCACAGTGCCTGGCAAGCGAAGTCATCGAGCGGGCTAGAATCACCTTTCCAGCGCCATGCGGCTCTATCTGAATAAGATGTTACTATCGTGATTAGCGAGTCTTATGCATGTTCAGAACGGCATCTCATCATCTTCCCTACGTTATGCACTCCTGCTCTGCCTCGACACTGTGCTCTTAGCATTGCTAACCTTAGCTCAATGCAGAGACAGGGATGGGCGATTGTGTCCCACTGCCGCTGGCGACCAGGACGTCCCCTGTCTCGCAGTTACATAAGCAGCAAACATTTGGGCGCCCCTGAGTTTGCTGTGACGGCATTGCCCCGCTCTAGTTTTGCATCTGCCTCGGCTCGTGGAGGAACTTGCTGCTCCTGTGGATGTTGGACGACGACACGGTCATTGCTCTCCCTTGATCTCACAAGCGAGGCGTATCATCGCAAACCGAACACCAATTTCGAAGGCTAGAACCAGCATTCCATCACCATATCCCGACTTAAATAGCCGATCTCCTCCTAGCCCGTCACGATGTCGTCTCGTGCGCACCAGGTCACTGCCATCGGCTGGCTCCTTACCTCGTTCGGCCACACGGTACATTGAACGCACTGCGCATGATTCGATTCTCAACTGACACTCTTGCAGATTTCCGCCAAGGAATGGCAGTCCCGGAAAGACTTCAAGTCCATTGGCAACCTCGCCAAGACGTGCGGCACCGTCGGCTGGTACCAGGGGAGCGGCTTGTTCCTTATCCTCGTGAGTCTTTCCGATGTCCAGCATGACACTGTCTCTGCAACACCTTGCACGCTGACTTTTGTTACAGGCCCTCCTCAATTATCAGTACTCCCTGAGCCCCACGGCGATCCACACTTCGATCGACAAGGCCGTCATTGCTACTGCCGTCGCCACGATCTGGAGTTCCGCGCTGTATTATTACAAGAAAGGCCTCGTGCCCAACGCCGTCGTCACAAGTGTTGTGGGTGGTCTGCAGGCCTATTCGTTCTTCCTGGCTTAGGCAGTGTTGGGCAGTAGATCCAATGAACGCCACCACCATATGTGATCAGAGGCTGCAGCATGCGGAAAATGGATTGGAGGGGACAATCAACGTTCTGAACATGCAAAATATGCGATAATTTTGAAGAATTGAGTTTCTTGGCGGACATGTGATTTACAGACGCATGGTACATTTCGATAAGCATAGTCGTGCTGACCTCTTTCGAATTAGAAGTATATGTTGCTTCGTGATGCTTCGAGGAGTATACTGCCGAGTCCAATCAAACAGGCTGTGGTGACGAGGTTGATGTGTCTCGATCGGGCAGGTAGGTTTCGTTTTGTTGCACAAAAAGGGCAGATGAATAAGAGCATGTGCTGTGAGCGTTGCCAGATTAGGTTGGTGCGTGCCGCCATTTTCAGCGGCGTCAACAGGGCGGGCCACTGGACGTGAAATGTAGTTCTCACCCCGTTCAAACATGGGGCATTGGAGCTGAAGCTGGACGACGTTGGGAGTATGGTGCGCTCTATGGCCCGCTCGATCAGAAATCATAGGTCGAGTAGTACGCCCAATGACCAAAGCATTCCAGTTCGCCGTTTTGGTTGGAGAGGATCTCGTCTGTTATTATTCAATTGAGCCCGTCAGCCAGGTGACAAGTCTCCGGCAAGGAAGATCAATAGCACTTTCATAGTACTGACCCAGGTTGATGCAAGTGCGCTGCCATTCGCCCCCCCACCGCTTGCAGGGCAAGCAGTAGGAGAACTTGGCCCCAAATTCTGCAGCTCGGGTATCGCACGACACACCAAAGTTGCCACTTCATGATGAGATCGTTAGCATCCTGTTTGTTGTGTTGTAGACAAAGTGACATGGTGGAATCAGTCGTTACTTACCCTGACTGGGGGACCAGGTCTCCTCCCTGGTTGCCCAAGCACTCATTGAGATTCAGCCACGACTTGCGCCTCCGATTGTCGGCATCCGCACAGTTTGCTACGAAATGGTCCCCATAATATGGCGTTTGGGGGCCCATGTCCTTGCAGGTGAAGGCAAACCCGGCACGCTTACTCAGGCTTGACACGGCAGTACTGGTGTTGGTAGCATTGTCGACTGTGATGGGAGAAGCTTGTGCACCAGCCCCGAGCTGCAGTGCCGCGAGGAGAAGAGTAAAAGGCTGCATGGTTCCGGGTGAGAGGAGCTGCAATGAGCAAGCGAACGATTTTGGGTGCTGGTTTGTGAAGCGAGCGACGGGGGAAACAACAACGAAAGAAGAACGAATGAACTTAAAGGAGCGAACGAGTGTTGGTCCTTACTTAAAACTCTATTCAGAGGACTTCTACTTTTTATAAGGCTAGAACCACATCCCCAGCGGGGTCGCCGGCATTTGAAAGTTCGAGAAATGCGATCCTTGCGCAGTTTTAAAGTCCAGAAGTTGATAGGTCCAGATTACGATGCTTTGGTTATATGGCGAAATTATGGGGTCCCTACCCACAATGGAAAATTGGCGGGTCCATTTCAATTGTCCTGGAGGCTTTATTTCGGGGCTAAAGATGGCTATGCCACTTGATGCAAGGATTTTGACACGGTGGCCAGCATTTATGCTTCAAATTATGCCGGGTGAACCAGGGTTTTCAGCCCTGCAGTCTTGTGCCATGGAACCTTCGAAAGCTCTTGGCTGAACGTCGAACCACCATGACTCTCGAGCATTCAGGGCCCTCGGACAGTCGGGCGGATCCATGAGGTGGGAACCTCGACGGAGGCCGCTGCCCCATGACACCTCGGAGTGCTTGGCAGTCACCTCCCCGAGCCCGTCCAGGCCCTTCCTGAGTCGGGATTGCGTCTGAGTTTTATCAAGGAATATTCTTCCGCACAAGTTAGCATGACTCGGTACATGATCCTCAGTCTGAATCCTTTCTACCGTCGCAGATACCGTCCGAGAGTCATGTACCCGATAGCCATGGACCAGGTCAATTTTGCTGACACTTAAAAACAGTCCCAGCCTAGACCAGGGGTCAAACCCGTTTGCCCTCTCGAAAGAATGCGACTGGTGCCACATGGCCTTTGCATCAAAGAAACAGAGCTGGTTATGGCATGTATAAAATTGGGGCATACACAGCCGATACGGGAGGTAACAAGCTCCACCGAGTAACGAACCAATCCGATTCCAAAGACAAACAGTATTTCACAAACGGACTCGAACCTTCTCCTGGTAGCCAGTGAAACAGTGTTTAGGAGCGGAGACGAGAAGTATGCAAGTGGATCAAGTTACTGTCAATTTCATCCTTTGCTTTCTGTTTCTGGGCTTGAGCCAATTCTTGCAGGTCTACAAGAAAGCTTCATGCGCTTTGACCAAATAAAATGGGGTATTATCTACTCTACAGGACCGCTGTCAAACCCCGCGCGATCGCTTCTGCTTGCGCGAAAAGTTGTCCATCTCGTACTCGTCCACGCTCGAACCGTCCCCGCGCGCGCCATACGTGATCATGACCTCGTCCGTTTTCACGATGCCCTCCCCACCTACAGCACCGGAACTCTCTGTGGCGGCGCCTGCCAGGATTCCCTTGTCGCTGCTGTTGTCAGAGTAGTACGCATCGTTGTTGATGATGCTGATGTTGTTGTTGTTGTTGGGGTGGCCGGCAGAGCCGGAGCGGATGTGGCTAGCTGATACGGAGACGTGGTTGTGCGTTCCCTTAGCGCTACGCGTGTTGCTGTGATGCCGATCGTCCTTGCCGTCAAGGTGAATCCCAGCGCCCTTGCGGTTCGAGGAGCGGAAGAAGCCGCTGAGCTGTGGACGGGAGTTGCCCGAGGAGGAGGACTTGACGTCGCGGAGCAGCGTGCGGAGGACGGGGATCGAGGCGGCCATGATGGTTGTGGCGATCTCGGCGGAAGCCCAGATGGTGAGCTCGCCGCCATGGACTGTGCGGTTGAGGGGACGCTAGATCAGTACAAAGAAGCAGGAGCCTAGAGGAGGAGGAGCTGCACTCACGTGTAAAATCCTGGCTGCCGAGGATGGGGATCTTGACGCACTTCATGAACGCAGTGACTCCGGCACTAGAAGTATGGACGGAAATAGGTCAGTTTTCAAGGCTCTCGAAGACAGGAAGTGTATATGGAGCACAGTTTTTAAGCGCAAACTCACATGATGCCCATGCTCATGGCCACAGCGATTCCAATCTTCTCTTTCGTCTTCATCTGCAGCTTGACGAGGATGACCCAAGGCAACCCAGCCAGAATGATGTCACTGACGCCCGAAAAGGCCGCTGCGAACATGGACACGCCGACACTGACGGGCACAGGCCAGCACGTGCCCCCGGGCAGCCTCCGGTTCCAGACCTTCTCGAGGGGCGTGCACTGCGTCCACTGGATGATGACGGCCGCGAACTGGAAAATGTTCATCAGCGCGATGATGACCCAGAGGACAATCTTGAGCTTCGGGCCGGCGATGCGCATCAGCGTCAGCGCAAAGGACGTCTTGCTCCACACCGCTGCGAGGATGATGAAGGCGCCGACAATCAGGCCGCCGAAACCCACGTCGTACGCGTTGGCAGGGTCGATGTTGGCACCTGGCCGACCGAAGCCACGCGAGATGTTGATGCTAAGCTGGATGCATGAGATGGTGAAGCAGAGCTGCGAGGAGAGAAGAGTTCACTGTCACGTTAGTCCGCTGTAGGAAAAAGAAACGAAATCAAATAATCAAGACGTGTTCGGGATAATACGAACCCATGCTGCCAGCAACACATAGTCATCCCACCAGAGCCTGCGCAGCTTGCGGATCTTGCAGTAGACACGCAGGATGAGGAAGAGCGTCGAGAAGCCAAAGAGTGTCCAGACAGCGGTGTTGACCTCGGGGCCACGATTTGGCGCGGTCGGGTCAAACACCCACGTGCCGGGCGGAGTTGGTGGAAGAGGAGGAGCCTGGCGACGATCCATCTCTGTGTCCTCTCCAGGCGCTCAGGACGATTTCTCCACGCGAAAGACTGGTCGCTGCCTCTGACAATGACTACCCGCGGTGCCGAGAGATCTGTGCAGCGTATGAGGACGGGGGCTGGCGAGGCGCAGGATAAGAGCACAGATGGTCGCCTGCGGAAAACACTAGAAAAGATCAGCGCAGACACCTCATTCTGTATGACAGAAAAGGACGATCAGCCAGCATTATCTAGTAGGCATGAAAGCCGTGCAGGGACCGTTTCAGAATACATGTACAGGCACCCCAAGAGGAACAGGCGTTGAGTGCCAGGGGCTGCATATATGACGGTGGATCGAGACCAACGACATGCAACGGCTCTGGGCAGCCACCCGTTGCTACTGTGATACAGGAACAGGCATGCACTGCTCAAAGGAGTGCCATAAGTGTGGTTGCAGCACAGGGCCAAACCTGTTGGCTCATGTACGGAGTACCTGGAGGCCAGGGGGAGGGTGCATGCCAAGAGTGACCGGGAAAAGGATTTGCTGCTGCCGAATACAGATTCTCTGCCGCATCTCGGCACATCCAGTACTGTACCAGGCAAGCAGTGGCCCAGAGACTACGAACCGACGCTGGACTGGAGGCGCACCGAAGCATGACTGGAAGTCGGAGGCCTGCTGAGAAGGACGCCTTAGATTTGGACACCAACGGCGCTTCCTCGCAAGGCGTTTCAACCAGTCCTGAAGCGCACCTGAAAAATTATGGCCGATCTATACGATCACTCCGCGATAGTCAGAGCATTGCGCTGAGTTCAGATGCCGTCAGGTTCCTGCTATAGGGTTCACCAGGAGATTCCTGCTATAGGGTTCACCAGGAGATTCCTGCTATAGGGTTCACCAGGAGATTCCTGCTATAGGGTTCACCAGGAGATTCCTGCTATAGGGTTCACCAGGAGATTCCTGCATAGAAGCTTGATGGCGAGCAACACTCACGGAGAATTTTCCCAGGAAGGGGGGGCAAGGCGACATCATCTGTCTAATTGCTATGCAGCAAATAACCACGGCGACAGGGTTTTCGGCTCAGGTCATGCCGCACCTGCGACCTTCTAGACGCCTGCCAAGATACTGACCAGGTCTCCGACTGGGTCTCGATCTAGCATATATGCTCTGCGCCACAGCCTTGCAGCATGTGAAGCCCAGCAAAGAGAGACAAAGCACCAATCAGCCTCCGAAGACACCTTCCGGGTTGTCATCGGCTCTTCCCCGCTCCCTGGCGAGTGAGGCACAGCAGGATCCTGGCAGGCACACCAGGCCCCAGATTTGCCAGGGATGCTGTCCTGGAAACCCCTGGCAATTCTTCACCCGCGGCTCCTCCGTCCCGCGGGGACCATGCCCACGAGCAGTATCGCTCTGTGGTGGACAACCACATCGGCTCAGCGCTTCCGTCATTGCAACCCTTGCTACCTCACGAGTCTGTCCCAGCTGAGCCCATAAGGCTCCCAAATAAAGTCGTTCCCATGCTATCCTGGCGCTCATCGCAGCACCTAACAATTTCGGTCTAAGCAGAAGTGGCAAGTAACTGTGTCGATCACGAATCCTTCGGTGGTACTGCCCATTCACGTGACAATCAAAGAGTCCACAAACATAGAGGATAATGTTAGAACTGAACCTAGAATTCCTCCATTCGTTTCGTGCCGCAGCATTTAGGGTCTATCGAGGACATTGGTGTCAAGGGTAACCTGGTCGGCGTGGCCATCGACCTTGTTCTCGCTGGAACGGAGCGCGGATGGCGGGGCCGTCGTTGATAGCGGCGCTGTTGTGCGGGCCGCACCTCTAGCTCGGCTCGCCTGTCATCCCGTTCTCCGCTTCTGACGTTGGGCGGGCTAAGTCCTTTTGGCCTGCAAATGGAAACAAGAAACAACTGCAGGATGGTGGACTTTCGCGAGTATTGTGATTCGATGAGCTCGTGCCGAGGTGGCGCCTTTTAACACCCTGTCACCACGCCGTGAAGTCGCAATGTGGCGCGTGCCAGTACCTGCAGGTGAGATACAGGCGCCGAATGACTGGTACCGTGAGGCTGGTGAGCTGCATACTTTGAGTGTGACAAGGAGCAGGGGGTGTAGAACCGGGTCAACACACATTCCTCTATGCGCCACTTCTCGTGAAGCAATACCTCCAAGGACTTACACACGGGGAATCCATCTTCAGCAACATCCTGTACGCAGAAATTAACGGAGCACGATGACCCAAGTTAGTTTCGTGCGGAAAGGCTATCTTGTCAAGCATGACTCCTGCGGGGGGAGGGCAGCAATAAAAGGGTCCCCACCTGCCAAGCCTGCATTGCATGGTCATACAGAAAAGACTGCCGGGAATCTTTGGGACAGCTTCGATGGATGCCGGCATGCTTGCGTCTGGCCTGTGACAAGGTGATCCAGGGTGGTGGCGCGGGTGGGTTGTCTGCCTGCCCGGCTCACAAGGGTCCATGCCATGGATACTCTGCCGTCATGCGCATCCCTGGCCACCGGAACAGCCCAGCCTCGAGGCCCGGAGACGAGCACCCGGCTGGCAACGACGGCGGCTCGCTTGCACGATCCCGAAGACCTGGGCCGTCCCGACTCACATGCGTTTGATATTTTCCTGATGTGCTGCCGTGGGCGTCGTAAATCTGGGCTTCTCTGACCTGCCTGCCTCTCTCTCACTCGTCGCACCCAGGCCAGTCGACACTTCTCCCCTGGACTTGCAGCAGCCTGCCCAGAGAGATCGGCATCCTCATCAGTCTCTGTCACACTCCTTTTGTCACGTTGCACTGAGCTTCCCCCACGTCTACAACATGGTCTCATCTGTTCTCGCGTTTTTGGGCGTTCTGGCTGCCAGCACCTCTGCGGCTGCTCCTCCACCTCCCCCCAACAATGCTGCTGCTGCTGTGAGTGCCCCCCTTGTGTGATGCGAGTTTCTCCAATTCTTGTGACGCATCTGATGTAAAGTCGTCGCGCCGCAACGTCTCACAGTCAAGCTGACACCTTCTTTCTCAACATCAGTGCCGCAGCCTGAAATCTAGCTTCCCACAGCAGGTTGTCAGCAGCGCCGACGCGGCGTACCCAGCCTGGAATGGCCGATGGGCGGATACTGCCGAGCTCGCGCCCTCGTGCATCTTCCGCCCCAAGACGGCCAAGGACGTCTCGGCTGCCGTCAAGGTGTTGAACAAGGAGGCTGGGCCGGCCGGTGATGCGTGCCCCTTCTCGATCAAGTGCGGCGGGCACACGCCGTGGGCGGGCGCCAACAACGTCAATAATGGCGTCGCCATCGACCTCAGTGGGTACATGAACACGACGACCGTCTCGGCGGACAAGACAATTGTCTCGCTGGGCGGCGGCGAGGTCTGGAGGTCCGCGTATGCCAAGACTGACGGGATGGGGATTGCGTTTCCCGGTGGTCGGTGCCCGGGTACAGGTGTTGGTGGTGAGTGTCCTCTGCATCCCCTGAAAGTCTATTTGGGAGATAGATACTGACACAACGGACCAAAAGGCGTTTCTCTTGGTGGTGGCTACTCCTGGTTCCAGGGCAGCGTGGGCTTCGTCGCCGACAATGTCATCAACTTTGAGGTCGTCCTGGCGTCTGGCGAGATTGTCAACGCCAACAAGACCAACCACCAGGACCTCTTTATGGCGCTCAAGGGCGGCAACAACAACTTTGGCGTCGTCACGCGCGTCGACCTCGCCACGTTCCAGCACTCGCAGCAGATCCACGGCGGGCTCATCATTGTCCCCGTCGAGGCGAGCGACGCCGTGCTCGAGAACCTGCAGCGCTTCACCGACGACGACGCGGCCGGCGGGGTGCACACCAACGCGGGCCTCACGGTCGAGTACTTTCTCAACGCGACCAGCGGCGTCGGCCAGATCCTGCTCTGGGTCATCGACACGGACGCCGCCGGCGAGCACGAGGCCATCCGGCCGTTCCTCGAGATGCAGCCGCAGATCGTCAACCGCGTGGCCACATCGTCAATCGCCCAGTACCCGTCGTCCGTCCCGGCCGTCACGCGCGTCATGATGGCCGACCTGACTTTCGTCAACGACCTCGAGACGCTCAAGGGCGTGCACAAGATCACGATGCAGATCTTTGAGGAGAGCAAGGGCATCCCCGGCCTCGTGTGGGACTTTCAGTTTGAGCCTCTGTCGCGGCACGTTATTGACCAGAGTGTCGCTCGTGGTGGTAACAGCTTGGGCATCAACGGCACTGCCGATGATCTTTTGAGTAAGCAGAAGCCTGTTCACCCCCCTTTCTTGATATATGCGGTGTTGGCGCCGATCTGCGCAAGAGAAGAAGAAGAAGAAGAGAAGAAAAGTCACTAACGCTGTCCCTATCAGTCATGTTCATCATGCCCCTCTGGAGCGACCCGGCCTACGACGACCAGGTCTACGCCGCCGCGCAGAAGTGGCACTCGTCCGTCCAGGCCTACACGGCGAGCATGGGCAAGGGCCACCGCTTCGAGTTTGCCAACTATGCGGCCAAGTTCCAGAACGTCATGGCCAGCTATGGTCCCGAGAACCTGCAGTTCCTGCGCACCGTCAGTCGCAAGTACGACCCCAAGCAGATCTTCCAGCGGTCGGTCAGGGGAGGGTATAAGCTTGGCGTGTAAAGGATCTCTGATTGGGGCTATGATGCGTGCCAAGAAGGGACGTGAGCTCTACTTTGTCAAGTAGGGGTTGATAGACACAGATCCATTCTCGTGCCTATATTGGCGTGCATCCTCCGCACATCGCTTGTCCTGACCTGCCTCCCCACTGGCCCGTATGCCCGTGAATGTCCCGGCAACCCCAACATGGTAGGTCGTGAGCTTGTCCCGCATCACCCACCTCCGCCTGCGTGTCAACCCCGCCCGGCAGCTAATTACCCCCGTGACGTGCGCGCGCGCGGTGGACGCGGAGACCCTTTGTTACTGATGCCCACTTCCCCGCAGTCCATAACGACTAGTGGTTTGTCGACGGCGGCATCGGAAAGTTCCGAAGCGAGGCGTTGACCAGATCGTCTGGCCCACTGCAGAAGATGAGTTTGGTCCTATTCTGCCCTTGGCGGGTTCGCCCGTTCGAAGGGCCGCGACTGTCGCCAGTAACAGCAGCAGCAGGCGCTGAAGTCTCGGTGATATGGTCGACGCAGACGGCCGTGACGCTCTCGAAGAACTCGGTGAATTCGGCGTGTCCTCTGACGCACCAGCCGAGGATGATGCCGGCCCATTCTCGGTCTTTCAGGGTCTGTCGCAGGCTGGCCAAGTTCTTCTCGGGGTCCACGATGTCGAGGTTGAAGCCTTGGTTTTCGAATCGGTCGCGGGTGGTAGCCGGGACGGCTGGATCCAGCCACGCTTTGTCGAGGACATGCTGGATGTCGTGACCGGCCAGGTGGCGGGCTAGGGAGACGGTGAGGATAGGAATCCGGGTGTCGGCCATTTTGAATTTTCCGAGGCTCTTTTCGCAACAGTAATGCTTAAGCTAAATGCTCCCGCGGCTTCCTCTCGTGTGATGAAGTCTCATCCAGCGACGCTCTGTGCCGTCTTGATCGTTTAATGAGTGCTCTGTTATCGTTATCGTGCGCTTCATCTCGTGGCTGACAAATTGCGAGTTGTTGCCTGTGGATTTGTAAGGCACCCTATAAGACTACGCTCCACTCTATATTCATATTCACCAATTGTGCTGAGGTGCTCTTCCAACGGCCGGGTCGTATAGCTCCTCCCACCTTGAGTATAGAAGTCCAAGCTTAGGTGTGGGTGTGCCTGGCCGGCCGAACTCGTCCGCATAGAGCGCCCTGTTCTGCCCCCCCCTCACAACAGTGTTTACTCGCCTCTCTCGCCTCTCTTGCGTGCAATGCCCGATTACCTCATCTTCTCCTCAGACTCCTTGGTCACAGGGCCCAGGAAGATCCACTGCCCCCTTTTCCTGCATCTTCGGTTATGCTGGCGGACAGCCGGCGACAGGGAAGCAAAGCTTGCGAACTCGTGCCTGCACGGCGAGTGCATAGGCCTATGAGATCCAAATGGTTGGTTGTGGGGAAAGGGCGCCAATCGTTTAGGCAGGAAGGAAGATAATGTGACTGATTATGACCGGAAATAAGGCGACGAATGCCCAGCCACCAAACGTAGGTCCGCCTGCCCAAGCCCAAAAAGACCCCCCACGGGAACTTCCAGCCCGGCACTCTCGCAAGCGGCTCAGGTCCGCGCCGCCCCTTCCCCGCATTCTGGGCGATCCTTGCGCTGCTGGGTGGTTCGACTCTGGGCCCACATCTGCATATCAACGGAAGCTTCCATCGCCTGGTGCTCGACAGGCCACTCGTGGCTTGACATCTCCGCACCTCGCATGCAATGCCTCGCTGCTCCCCCGCACGAGCCCGCAGCCCCGGCGAGGCTTCTGCCCATGGCCGCTGCTGCTCTGGGTTTCCCTTGGGCCGGCCCAAACCCAAGGTCTAATGCTGCGGCCTCTTGCACGCAAGGCTGCGTCACCATGTTGTCCCCCGCACCGGCGCCATCCGCCCATCCGGGGACCTGGAGCTGAGCATGTTGGGCCGAGTTAGACCGCTCTGCTGCCAGGGTTTCTGACCTTGGGACGAAAGCATGTTCCGGTGATCCAGAGGCCCATGCAGCTCGCGGCTCTGGATCGCAGCTAGTCCCTGGCTTGGATCTGGGGTTGCTAGGACCCGGACTAGAGGAGCGCGTCGTCAGCGTATCGCCCCGGGGGGAAACAAGTATATAACCCGGGGCGGCCATCAAGGTTGTCGTGAGTCTTTATTGTGTGCCAAACGCATCTCAGTCACAGACGAGCTTCAAGAGAAGACCGACCGCAACAATACCCTCGCCATCCACCACCCTAGTAACGCAGCACTAAAACCACCCCCCATGTCGCCACACTCGATCCCCAAGGAGCAGTGGGCGCAGGTGATCAACGAGCAGAGCAAGCTCGAGTACAAGAAGATCCCGGTCCAGAAGCCCGGCCCGGACGAGGTCCTCGTCAACATCAAGTACACGGGCGTCTGCCACACGGACCTGCACGCCCTCAACGGCGACTGGCCCCTGGACCGCAAGCTTCCCCTGATTGGCGGCCACGAAGGCGCCGGAGTCGTCGTCGCCCGCGGCGAGCTGGTCCATGACATCGAGGTGAGTACCTTTCTCCCCCCCCCCCCCCCCATTCCCCTCCTCCTAAGGATTCCCCTTCTAGACTTTTCCTCATGTCTTGCTCGTCCTGCTGACGCCCTGCTTCCTGTTCTCTTACCCAGATCGGCGACCATGCCGGTGTCAAGTGGCTCAACGGCTCGTGCCTGGCCTGCGACTTCTGCCAGCAGGCAGACGAGCCGCTGTGCGCCAAGGCGCTGCTGTCCGGCTACACGGTCGACGGCACCTTCCAGCAGTACTGCATCGCCAAGGCGGCCCACGTCGCGCGCATCGCCAAGGACGTGCCGCTCGACGCCATCTCCCCCGTCCTGTGCGCGGGCATCACCGTGTACAAGGGCCTCAAGGAGTCCGGGGCCCGGCCCGGCGAGAGCGTCGCCATTGTCGGCGCGGGCGGCGGCCTGGGCTCGCTGGCCCAGCAGTACGCCAAGGCCATGGGCCTCCGGGTGATTGCCATTGACACGGGCGCCGAGAAGAAGAAGGCCAGCATCGAGCAGCTCGGCGCCGACGAGTTTGTCGACTTCATGCAGTCCAAGGACGTCGTCGCCGACGTCAAGAAGGCCACCCCGGACGGCCTGGGCCCGCACGCCGTCATCCTCGTCGCCGTCAACGAGAAGCCCTTCCAGCAGGCCGCCGAGTACGTCCGCCCCCGCGGCACCGTCATCTGCATCGGCCTGCCCTCGGGCGCGTTCCTCAAGGCCCCCGTCTTCGACTCGGTCGTCAAGATGGTCACCATCAAGGGCTCGTACGTCGGCAACCGCAAGGACAGCGCCGAGGCCATCGAGTTCTTCCGCAGGGGCCTCATCAAGGCTCCCTACAAGGTCGTCGGGCTCTCGGAGCTGCAGAGCGTCTACGACAAGATGCACCAGGGCGAGATTGTCGGCAGATATGTCCTGGACACCTCCAAGTAGAGGACATTGGAGACCTATAACTGGAGGATATTGGAAACTTTCAAGTAGATGATGCTGGGAACCTCCATGTAGTTGATACTGGAAACCTCCATGTAGTTGCCTGATTAGTCTAATTGTGCTCAAATTTAACCAGTTTCTGCCGTCCGCATCAAACCTGCGTGAAAGCAGTCTAATTAATGGATTTGCATCTTCAAGATAAGCGAGTGCCAAGCAACAGCGGTTGCACTATAGATCAATGGTACCCAGATTCGCTGCAATCGCAAGAAGCCGCGGACAAGAGTCCGACGCTGTGGCGTGGCAGCTTGGCGAATAGAAATGCCACACGCCCCTCCATTGGATGGCCTTGGCCTACATAGCTCCCTTGCAGGTCTCCATCCTGTAGAGGCCGCGCGCCTCATGGACACGGACCCTGATTGGCAGGAGCCACAGCACCAACAACTTCACGGCCCTCTGACCAACTTCGAGAGGACGTCAGCATGACTTCCGAGTTACACATTCCACAGTGGCAATCCGAATCTAGCGAATGCGCCAAAATAAAAGACCATGGATCTCGAGGTGTGGCAGAGCGACGACGTGCTCAAGCCCAACTGCCCTTACCTGCCCGGATTCACCGTCGAGATTGTGCAACACATTCCGCCACCGCCCTTTGGCGGACCAAAATACAGCAAGACTATCCGCAAGCCTGCGTCGGAGGATTGGCTGAGAACAGTCACCCAGACGGAGGCAATCTTGACTCATCCGCCGCTCGAGACACCAGCACCATCGGAGCCGCCTCGGCGTGCTCACATTGCAGTAACAAAGGCTTTGGCGGTCGGCAATGCCCGTGGAGCGCAACTAGTAGAGTGCTCCGTCAGATACGACCAGCAGCAACCAGAAAAAGTAAGAGATCTTCTGCCATCGACTGTGGTTGCCAAGATCTATGACAGCCTCTACTACGACCGGGCAAACAGCATCTCCGGAAACCCAACAGACACAGCATTTGCCGCTGATCGCGACTACAGTCGCGAGGCTGCCGCATATGGATTTCTGGAGGACAAGGGCCTGACCGGCAACTTTACTCCTCGCTACTACGGTTCCTGGACGCTCAGGTGGCCCGTTCCCATCACCCAATCAGACCAGACTCTTGGCCAGATGCACCGTGACGTCAGGTTGGTGCTTATCGAGCGCCTTGATGGAACGCCGATGAGAGACCTGTTCGTTCGCAACAAGGCCAACGATATGGCAGTGGACGAAGACATTGACGACGCTTCACATCTTCCAGAAGAATACCGCCTCGAGGTGGCTGCTCAGGTGTTTGAGGGCATCGTCAGACAGCGCCACGTCGGGCTCAACCAAGGCGATCTTGCGCCACGAAATATCGTGATAGTGCCTTCTCCGCACCAGGCGCAAATCTTGTCGCCATCGGAGCTGCGCGTTGTCCTCATTGACTACAATACAGCTGTTGTACAGGAGCATACCGTGCGCTTCCATGCTGGCGTGAAGCGAGAACGACCGCTGAATCCCGCCAGATGGCTATGGAGCGAGTCACTGCCGGAGCTGAGGGGCTGGGTGCCGGACTGGTGGTATCTTGATGTCAAGAGAAGACGACAGTGGCTATACTTGTCTTTCGTCGCACAGGGAAAAGGCGACGCATACGCGTCCCCAGACATAGAACTTGATCCAGAGGCTGAGCCTATTGAACAGTACGATTGAACGGCTAGGCATTTGAATTCAATCAACATTTACTTTTAACAGCCTTGTGCATTCGAAGACTGGTCTCTTGGCATGCCCGTGGTCGATTTGTACTGTCCTTAATGAGTGGGAGAGAGTTGTAGGCTTCCTGCTCACGACCACGCGACCAGAAGGCTAACTGCGTGCGGAGGGACATGTATAATGACGGAGAAACAAGAAGAGGTATAAGCGCCAAGTCTGGGCTTGACAGGAATTTACGCGCCAGATATCCCTGCGCCCTGTTTCACTACACGCCAAAGTATGGCACACGGGCGCCAACAGGCGCTCAAGAGACCGACAGGGTCCAACCAGCGCTAAAGCTGCCGGCCTGTCTTCAATGTGTTCCAGTTCTTAATGCAACGCGATGCCGGCTCACGCTTAGAGCCACATCTCCGTTTCTCCCAGCAACAACTCAAATCCCTTGCACGCCACCCCACAGCAACTCACGTTCCACGTTAGGATCGTCATACATTCCTCAAATCTGTTCAAAAGCCATGGGCCTCTTTAGCAAGAAATCAATTCCAAACATGGCGACTATGCCGCCAACTAGTAGTAACAGCGAGGCCGGTCCACGTCCAGTCCCTGCTCACGCTCAAGCGTTTCCTCCTTCGCTTTCGGCCCCCAGCAGACCCAACCAAAAACCATACCCGACAACACCGGCAGGTTGCTACAATCAGAATTTCGGCGCCAGTTCACAAACCAGGCCCGGCCCCCAGGCGATCCGCTACGATTCCGGCCGTCTTCAACAACCACCACGACCATCGATGGCGAAACGCAATAAAATGGTGAAGAAAGAGTTGGGCGAGAAGCCCGTGATGCTTCCTGGTGATAGGTATTCAACATGGCCGGTCAGGCTAGTGTAGTCTGTACGTTGGCAGCATTTGCTGTCAAACATCCGGAAAGCGATGAGGGCGTGTTCATTTGGCGTGATCGGCCGGGATCGTATTTCTCGGCCTTCCCAGCCTTCGTATATCAATACCTGGTTTGAATGGAAATATGCGTCAGGGCTCAGACCTGGTGCTGAGGGTGGTCTGTAGCAGTAGCTGGCATCCGCCAAATTGAAAGCTTCGTATATATGCCAGTGATAGTTGAGCGGCGTGTCAGTAGATCCTTCAATGTGCCTTAGATCGCAGAAAGCCTTTTCTGCATGATTTTGACTCCAGCTTTGAACTATGGTCTTCTCGATATCTCTCCATTTCTGCCTGAGAATCGCAGAGACAAATGCTCTTGATCTCTGGCACTGCCTTTGTGCGTGGCTTGATGACTTCCCCCAGACCTCATCGGACAAGCGTCTCGACCACCTCTGTCGTCTCGAGGACCTGTGCAAACTCCCCATCCAGGCTCGCCAGGCTCACCCTGTGCACCAGATCAGCGTCAAAGTCGCCCTTGGCAAACGTGGCACACGCGTCCCCGACGAGCACCACGTCCCCTTCGCCATCCTCGCCGGCCGTGATCCGGAGGTTTCCTGCCATCCGCGTCGACGTGCTGACACAGTGGTCCGTCGTGAGTCCGCAGATGATGATCTGCCGCACCTTGCGCTGCCGGAGATGAGCCTCCAGCTTGGTGCCGATAAAGGCCGAGTTGACGTTCTTGACGAACACGGGCTCGCCGTCTTGCGGCTTGGCGAATTCTTGCGGCGAGACGGCATCGAGAGTCGTCGTAGTCGTAGTCGTCGTTGTCGTGTGAGAGGCGGCATCAGGGGCCGACACCACCTGGGCGCCGGGGTAAAGCAGGGAGCCGGTCTGCAGGCTGTGGTGATGGACGTGGCATATCTCAATGGCGCTGGCGGAGCTGCTGCTGCTGTTGCTCTTGTTGAAATCTCGAGCTGCAGTGATGAGCTTGCTGATATTGTCCTCGCAGGCTGGGTTGTTGCGACTGCTTCCCCAGTGCGTCGGGTGCTTGAAGCCGTTCTGCACGTCGATGATGACGAGGGCCGTCTTGGCCTGCCGTGCGGGCTTCATTGTTGTTGGAAATGCGGGACGTCAAAGCGGTGTCGTCTGGAGGAAGAACGGAACAACCAGAGCACAGAAAATAAAAACTCGTGATGGCTTCAACCAGAGGTTGAGGTCGGGGTTTTGGGACTGTCGGGGCTGAATGACTCATCTGTCGCTTTCTTGGTAAGCATCTCCAGGCGGGCCCGGCGGGCCCCACGCAGCCAAGAAGCCGAAAGGTATTAGTGAAGACGAGTTATGTGTTTGGACCGAATGCGAGCCCCATTTCTTCAACGCGGCACAGTAACGGGACTCAAGTTGGTCAAGATTAGAATTCTGTGGACTTCCTCGCCTGCGGAATAGCTAGCAAGGCCCGAATGACCTCGCTGAGCGGAAAATTGAGTCCATAAAACCACCCTACCGACAGGACGACAGGCTGGCAAGTCGTTGGTTTTCTCTCTATGGCGCACCTATGAACGAGCACTCTTCCAGCCAGCTCTGAATCAGGCAGTTGACCGAAGAGGGATAGGATGCCTGCGAAGAGCTCATCGTGAAGCGACAGTCGCAGGGTGCCGTTGAAGCAGTCGTGATGGCAGAAGTGGTCCAATTGAAGGAAGGCGCTGAAGGCGCGGCGGCTCGATGCGTCACACACGGCGGGCCACCTGTCTAGTAAGCATAGATACATGCGCATCTCAGTGCGCCATTTCCCGATTGGTCCTCCTCATTTCACGCGTCATATCGAGTCTGGTATGGCCACAGCCTTGGGCAATCGAGGTCCAGGTGATTACTGGCAGCTAAGGCGGCCGTTGTTGACGGTCGCAAAGCGGTCTGTGGTGGGGGGAAATGGTCAAAGTCAGCGAAAGTGCCTCCGCGCGATGCCATTGCGGATCGTTGCACAAAGAGGTCAACCTACCGGCGGAGATGACGCTCGGGTAAGACCTTCCATCACGGGCATAGCAGTAGTTGACGCCGATAATGGGCCCATCCCTGAGGTATGGGAGGCTACAAGAAGCCTGGAAGTTTCCGCTGCAAGTTTGAGATGAGAAGGTCAGCCATGGTTATCTTGTGCCCCTTGAGAGAAAGGGGGGTCTCTGGCGTTGTTGGAACGCAGAGGGCGTACGCCCAGGCGTTGCAAGAAGCAATGTAAAGCAGCATCTATGGCCTGGCCTGCACGTGGCAAGTCACGGTCACGATGCTGACGATAGGTAAAGGGCACACTTACTCGCGGCTGTGAACCAGGGCGCCATTGTCGTTGGCGAGGCACCGGTTGAGGTCGATGCTCTCGTCGCGAATAAGGCCGTCGTCGGCGCGGCATTTCGCATACAGGATAGTGCCGGACCCTATCGACCAGCCATAGCAGTAGTCGCGCAAATAGCGCTTCTGGATGTTGGCGTCGCCCGCGGCGATGGGGTTCGCGCTGGCCAGGGCCGCAGCGAAGGCGACGACGGTGGTGAGTTGGACAAGCATCTTGGCTGCGGGCACGGTTTGGCAATCTGTCGATGGCTGAAGCACGCTCGCCATATTTTCACAACAAGAGCGGCATTGGTGCTACCTATTTATGCGCGTCGTGTCGAAGAGTTTCGCAGGGCGACAAACTCAATGCCAGTACAGTATCAGTAATTGTTCCGCCACCCGTGCCTGAGAAGTCCGAGCCTCTTCCGTCTTTGGAAAGAAGTCTGCGAAATCCAGCAGCCTACGTGGGCCACCGCCGAGCTGGCCCTATCGTACTGGCCTACCGTGTTGTCATGGAAATCAGACACAGGTAATCTTTCCAGAACAGTGGCCTCGACTAGATGGCAGAGTGGATCGTGTTCCGCAGCGGTGAGCACGGTCGCTCCTCATACCTTGTCCACAATCGAAATCGTCCGCTGTCTGATCGTGCATGGTAATTTTCGTGCCCCACATCTTGACTGAGAAAGAGATGGCGCAGTATTTGCAGAGGCGCGCAACGGCCAAGAATTGAGTAACGGCGATCATAAGGATCTTCTTCATCACTAGTAGAAGGCCACCGCCGAGGCAGACATCATCAGGGGAGAAAGCCATGGCCTCCCTGTCGTAGTCGCGATGGAATTGACCACCTGCAATCATGAGGCGAGGCATTTTCTTGGGGAGAGAATTACCTCGTCAGGTAATAATACCAGATCGAATCGACTCGAGCAGTGTTCCACGGCAAGATCCGTGATAGACCCTCTTTTCTTTCTATTCCTGGCTTGAAAATCCACTGCCAGGAAAGGACCAGCGAACTAAGCCCTGCGCGAAGGAACGTGTGGGTTCCTGATTGATTACGTGGGTCGTTCACCGTGCGTGTCAAAACGCCTTCGCCTGAGCGGCGAGGAAGACCGGATCGGCGCTGAGAGAAATACACCGCTGTATTGCACTGTGCAAGGCTACAAACCCCACCTGGCTCTTGCGCTAGCTCAGTTCTATCAAACTCGAGTTCCAGCACAAACTGGGCGGGGAGCCCTCTCTACTCCACATGAGCACTGGATGCTGGTCCTTGTCCGACTCTCGTGTATTTGGAGTTGCCTTGTTCGACGTCGTCCTTCATGTCCGATGATGCGCCCCCGTCGTTGTTGTGAACATTGGCGTGCTCCCGCTTCAGCCTGGCGAACGTCTTCTCGGCCTCCCAGTTCCAGATCTTGTCCGAGGAGAAGAGGAGATCAATCTCCTCGAGCGTCCGCTGGTTCGTCTCGGGATACAGAGCCCACACCATGGGGATGGTGATGGCGTTGCAGGCGGCGAATATGTACAGAGTCTTTTCGCCAATGTGGCCGAACATGATGGGACACAGGAGCGTGAGCCACCCGTTGCCGATGGACCAGCCCACGACGCCCCATGCGTTCCCCTTGGCCCGGACCTCGAGCGGGAAGATCTCGGCCGGGTACAGCCACGGCACGGTGAGCCAGGTCGCGCCAAAGACAAAAGTGAAGATGAAGACCATCGCGACCGCAGCGGTGCCGTAACTGGCGGCCTGCCCGGAATTGCCATTGGCCGTGGCCACCTGCCCGAGATACGAGAACGCCCCAGCGAGAGCCATGGCAATGCCCTGGCCCACGGAACCCCAGTACAATGTCCAGCGGCGTCCGATCCTGTCCAGAGTGAACACACAGATCAGGGTCGAGAACATGTAGAAGATGTTGTTGAGTCCCGCGATCCACTGGCGCTTTCCGGGATCCATGCCGGCGATGCCAAATATGGTGGGGGCGTAGATGGTGACGCCCGCTATGCCGATCCATTCCTGCATGATCTGGAGCCAGATGACCAGCTGGACGCGGCGGCCTGTATGGAGCTCGCCTGAGCCGATGCCAAACAGCATATGAATGTAGCTCGAGTTACGCAGGTTGGCGCGCTCCAGCTCACAGGACGAAACGATACCGCTAAACTCAACCTCGGCACCCTGGCGCTCCTCCCCCGTGTCACCTCGGAGTCGGCCAAGGATGTATCGGGCTTCCTCCTTCCTTCCGACCTTGATCAGCCATCGAGGTGATTCCGGAAGTAGCAGGACGCCGCCCATGAGCCCGATGAGCATGGGGATCTGGAACGCGATAGGGAACCGCCAGATGAAAGACGAGGTGCCGTCGCCGTAGAACGAGCATCCGTACTCGAGCCAGTAGGCAATGACGACGCCGAGAATGTTGAGGGTGAACTCGATGGCGATGAACTGCCCGCGGGACTTGTGCTCGGCCGTCTCGGTGGCCCAGACCGGGACAATGGCGTTCAGGATCCCGGTGCCCCAGCCGTTGACGAGACGGGCGCAGATCATCCACGAGGCGTTCATGGCGGAGCACTGCAGGCACGCACCGACCACCGCGACCGCGGCGCCAGCGAAGATGGTCCTGATGCGTCCGTACCTGTCACCCAGGCTTCCTCCGACAAGACATCCTACGAGTGTCCCGAGATAGTAGACGGAGACGATTCCACCCTGGAGCAGGTCGTTGGTCACCACGACGGCCCCGTCCGGGCCTCGATGGCCGAAACCCATGAGCGTGTAGTAGTCGTAGGCGGTGTTGACACCGCCCATCATTCCTTGGTCATAACCGAAGAAGAGAATGGAGAGACCGGCAATGCAGTTGGTGCTTTTGTCGTGATGCGTGCGGGTCAGCTTCTATTCGCGACAAAGTGATAAAAGTGGGAGGCAGGTGTTTGTCAACACTCACGCTATCAGCAGACTTCGCTTTTCAAGTCGATGAACGACGTTCCACGGGTGGATCTTGTCCATGTTGAAGCCTCTCGAGCGTAAGCTGCAGGAACGATCCGTGGCGTGTAGCGCGTGGCACAGTGAGCTTCGGCTGCTTGGGAAAGAACTCGACGCAAAGTCATGCCGGTGAAGAGCGGAGCTGGCAGCAGATGAAATAATATAGGAAAGAAAATGTCCGAGAACCGGAGAGAAGACAGGAAAGCTTGTCAGTGGGACGCAAGCGGACCGGCGAGGCGGGGAACTTCCGGGGCTCCCACATGATTACACATGTCACCTTGTAGAAACCACGCGAGTGAAGGTCGTGATTCGTTGCGGGGTCTCCAGAGTCAAGCGCGCAAACCAGGACGTTGATGGTGGAGAAAAGGATCCAGTTATGGGAGCTTGTTGATAGAAGGACCAATGGGACGACTAGAAAAACGTTCCCGGTCTGCCACGATGCGTTCCCGTCAGCTCGATGACGTACGGGGTGGACACCATTATTCCGCCTCCCCGCTGGCGCTCGTGTCGCGGCACTCGGCCCACTCTAATGTCACTTGGTGCGAAGCAGGATAGTGCACCCGTGCCTGGTTGAATGGCGAGCAGTAGGCAAGCAGATTTGGTATACCAACGTTGCGGCCGAAGTCTAGGGTAGAACTCAGCAGCCGATCCTATTGAAGCCTAATTACCGTCTCTTTCAGCCCGGAAAAGAAATCCTCCCTGAAATCCATAGACACCCCCATCCTGGTAAACTGTGGAATCTCCTCGTTTTGGGGGTTGCTAGCAGGCATCAAGAGTAGCATTGCTCGGTCGCTGATTTCCAGGCAGGTGACCACCGAAGGGTTCATTTGGATGCCTTCCACACTATCGAGATAGTCAAGCTGGGCCACCAGCTCCTTCATCCGTGGCTGGTATGCGACGATAGTGCCGGTATCACCATTGATGCTGTGCACCTCCTGATCCAGCCAATCGTGAAATGTAAAGGTGTCAGTCTGGCCCTGGGAGTAACTAGGCGTTATCGCTGTACGCACTGTCACAGAGGACCACGATACTACCCTTGAAGAACTAGAGCAGAGCGGCCTGATGCGTCCTCTGATCGTGAGGCTCTTGATCTGACTGCCACGCGAGACCGATACGACCGCGTCTTCTCCCCCCGGTGCCAGATCTTTGTCCGTATGCAACACCTCAAACCGAGATCGCTGGCTGCCAGTCGTGTTCCGGCTCATGCGCACAGGTGTAGGTATCGGGAGGGACGCCCACGACCACGAAGGGCACTCGTGCATCTTGGGGCGGTCCGGATGCCTCTGCACCGCGCTCTGAACAGTCCAGGCCAGGCCCTGCGCGATGTTGTCGTACCACAGACCAGCCATGTACAAGTCCTGGGGCTTGCGTGCCTGGTACCGCGCAGCCACACCAGACAGGGCCAGGAACCGGTCCTCCGTCTTGGTCAGGTTCCGGGCAGAGTACGACTCGACAATGTCCATCCACTGCCTGTCAAGGGCGTGTCCCGAGCGCGTCGCCTGCAGGAAACTCTGCGCGGGCTGCATCGCCCCAGCCGGAGTCCGCTGCTGAGCAGCCGCCGCGGCCGAGGCCGTGAGAATGTCCTCCCCTTCAGCATGCTGTGCCTGGCAGCACGACCAGAACACGCCGCTGGGTCCGCAGTACACCGTCCGTGGCGAGAGCAGCTCCTCCTGCATCGTCCAGCCCCTCGTGGACCAGAACGCAAGACTCTTGACCTGCACAAAGGGCGAGCTCCGGACGGCGAGCCGCCAGCTCTGCAGGTACGACGGCTCCGTCGGGTACCGCCACGCCTCCCGGGGTGCGAAAAGCCCGGCGTCGGCGCTGTCCACTGCCACCGCGCAGATGGTGAAGAACGCGTTCGAGTAAACCTCGTGCATGCGCGCCGCCTCGCGGTGCCAGTCCCTCGGGGAGTCCTGGACGATGCACAGCGAGTCAATCCAGATGTATTCGACTCCTGAGCGCGCGGTGAACATGATGGCATCCCGGATCGTGGGCGGCAGGTCGCCGGCGGGGAATGGGCGTGCCTGGCGTTGCTGGAGATTGCCCACCACCGTGTTTGAAGTCCTCCCCTGGCCCCAGCAGTAGCTCAGCGCGACGTAGCGAACCCCCTCGTGGAGACAGTCGTTGCTCACCAGGTGGACGGACAGTCCGTCGGGGCTGATTTGCAACAGCCGGGTCGGTGCGTTGTTGGACCAGGCCAGGTTCCTGCATTCGACGTGTTTCTCGTAGCACTCTGCAGCCCATCGGCGGACTTGGTAATAGACTACATCTGCGTCAGATATGACAGGCAGTCTCGGTGGCTCAGGGGCACTGCTTGGGACAGCAACCCGCCGTCGTTGTGGATTGCCCGTCATGTAGGCGAACCGCTGTAACGAGCCCAGCTGTAGCTCTTGGGCGGCTTCGTATCCTCGGCCCTGCAGTGACAGCTCTATGTTGGCTGTGCTGCGGTAGTCAAAGGTTGGCCGGGTTGGGTCGCCAAGGATGATCGTTAGAAGAGGCGCACTGGCAAAGTGCTGACCGGCGCCTGATAGCACCGCGAACAGTGGGCGACTGGCTGAACCCGCAGGTGCCGTCTTGCTGCCGGACCACAAGGCATAGATGTCGCTGGTGGCTGGCTGCTGAAGAATGAGCGCTCTGCGGAGCACGCGGCACGACACACATCGCCTGGCACAGCCGTCCAGTTCTGCGAAGCTGTGGTGGAAGAGCTGCGGTGCTGAGCTAGCCTGGGGGCCCGGGCGTGCTGATCGGTTCGCCGGATTCGTCCAGTATGAGATGAGAGCTTCGATATTCCTGCAACCAAGACACTTGTCGCAGCCTTGGAGGTCTCGCTCGATCGTGGTGAGCTGCCTGGCTGCGACCGGCTGGCCATGGGGGTGAGATTGGGAGTTGCCCATGGTGGACAGTCACAGCATAGACAACACTGCCCTTTCCCGCTCCTCAAAAAAATGGTGGTTACAGACGAGCGAGTGCACCTAGCATCCTTCGCCACGTTTTTCACGCTTGTTGCTCCCAAAGCCCTGGGTGTGATCGGGATACTGACCTTGAGATAAAATGAGCAAACACGCGCGTCCATGTCACCGCACCAAGCCGTCTCAAGACGTTCTGCCATCACGTGCATGGGTCTCTCAGGCTGCGGGCTAGAACCTGCTGACAGCCCTGCTGCGCCCACACGGTCTGCCTATCACCCTGACACATTCTGCCTGGCAGAGACGGAGAATTGCCTCCTGTCCCACCCGAGGCAGGGGTCTTCGCCACGAACCCAGCCCCTACACGCGGGCCGCAGGAAGCTAGCCTCCCGAGCTGCCTGCCAAATTTAAACGATGATAATCTCGATTGACCAGGGGGACCCTGGTCGATCGAGTATGCAGCCCATCTCACGTCTTCTAGGAACAATCGTGGCTCATTGTGTCATTAGACGAAACTTTACCGTGCTTCAAGATGGCCCAATTTCGGTTCTGGTGGAAGTGCTCGCAATGGCTGCCGCTTCTACCCATGATCGTCTTCGCAATCTCCTGCGTCGTCACCACTCTCAAGTCAGTGTCCGCCCACGACCGCGCTAAAGGTATATCGCTTTTTGCGGGAACAGCATTTGTAAGTACTGGGTCCGGACGACTGCCTGCACTCCGGTGCTGGAGATGTACGGTGCTAATCTAAGCCCATTATCCAGGGAGCCTTTGGGACCGTCTTCACCATCGCAATCAACGTGGCGTCCTCTAGGGTCGACTGGGTCGTGGTGTCCACGCCCGAGAGGAGATCCTTTCGACTGCGCAAGACTATCGGCTGGGTCTCTGTGTCCTTCAGAATCATCGCCGTGTGCGTCTTCATCGCGCTCGCTGCTATATATGCCCTCCCCTCCATTAATGCCCTCGTGCCATGTGCACTTGGCTTTGTCGCTGCGTGAGTCTCCTTTCTTGGTGTTGAGGAAATTGGGGGAAAAATTCGGGAGACTGATATATCTTGTGTACCAGGGCGGCCACTACCGTAGCGTTGGGGTTCAGCCTTGCCAAAATGTATGGGCCGGACCGTGGAGACGAGCAGAGACGAGACCAGGTCGCGCAGGGGCAACAGCTGGGCGGTTACCAACAGCCGCAGCAATGGGGTGGCTTCCACTCATTTGGGGGACAGCCACAATATGGGTGGCAGCCGCCGGTAGATCAGCAGCAGTATCAGCATCCACAGTTCCAGCAGCAACAGCAGTCACAGATGCCATGGGCAGCACCGCAACAATGGGGGAACCAGCAGTATGGGGAGCAGAGTAGTAGTCTCTTGCCTCCACCAGCATATGCGGGCGCAGGGGAGAATCGCTCCTCCTGAAAACAAGACGTTCATGATGAATCCGATCAGTTGATAATTATACAAATATCATCGTGATGCAATTATGTAGCTTTGGCCACATTAATGCACAGACGGGAACGTCACAAAAGCGCGACTGACGTTCCAGATCATTTATTTGTACAAGACAGGCAGAGGGGTTTGAAGCAACGGCGATTCCTTGTCCTGTGATACAGGGCTTTGGATCATCGACAACATGCTTTGCTGTCGTCGATTGTGCAGTCACTAGTGACTTGCCACTAGGAACCTTTTGTTCTTTCCTTCGCAAGAATTGTTCACACATGTACGTGAGCGTTAGTACTTGTATGATTGACTTTTTCACAAGCCTTGCTCGAAGCTCCGAAAAAACCTCCCTTCTCGATTATGCATTTTATCTGTGCCCTGGCAGCTCCCACGAGCTGCTCCTGAGCGTCAGAAGTCGAGCCGGGCAGATCATTCAGAAGATAAATATTTAGGCCGAGGCGGAAGGAGCTTGAAATCCGTAGTCGCCCCGCGGGTCGACTGGCGACTGGCGACACCTAACGCCCTCAGGTGCAGGCGGCAAAGACAGTTGTTGGAGCACCAACAATGTAATTTGTGACGGACGTCGTGGCCGCAAAATAGGTAGAGGTCGTTAGGATAGTCGTCGTCGAGGTTGTCGTCGCCTGTGCGACATTGGTGACGGTGTCGGTCTCTGTCTGGGTGTTTGTCTGCGTTGTCGTCCTCGTGTTGGTCACCGTGGCGGTAGTGCTTGCGGTTGTGGTGACAGTCTGGAAGGCAGTGGCGATGGCCATTGCAGTCAGCGTCTGAGTGCCTGTCGAGGTGACTGTGGCTATACGCGTCGTCGTTGTGGTCAGAGCCAGGACCGCCAGGGCCGCGCTGGTAGACGTTTTGCACGGGGGAGTCGTAGGCGCAGGGAGGTCCAAGCAGTCGCATAGATTGTCAACAAAGGCCCGTAGCCCTTGACGGGGAAGACGAAGAGCCTCGGCCCATAGCTGCGCGTTCGAGCTGGGGTCCGGGCCAGCAGTCCGCCTGCAGGCCGGCGTGATGGTGACGGTGCTGACAGCGCGATTGGCGACTACGACAACAGAACCGGTGAAAAGTCTGCAAGAGCCTCACAGTCGCGTCAGTCTTTTTTCAGTGCGTGTAACTGGGGGAAAGGATGTTCATCGCATGAACTGACATGATGACCCCCTGAGTGTAGGTCGAGCCACCAATAATTCCCGTGGTCAGCCCGGTGTAGATTGCAAGCGCAGTGCGACTACGGAGAATTGCAGCAGGTCAGCGGCGCGTGAAGTAACCATGGCGCGTGATCACACGCTGGGGGCACGAATGGAGACTGACACGACAGTTCTTGTGGTCGAGGTGCTGGCGGTGCTAACAATCGTTGTCGTGGACGTCGTGGCCGTGGTGGCCGTCACAGTCGCGAACTGTGTGACGATGACCTCGGAGGTCTCGACCGCAGTGGCCTGAGCGGTCTCGGTCTGGGTGATGATGGTTGTTTCCGTAATTGTGACCTGCGCTGTCAGCGTAGCGCTGGCTACTGCCGTTTCGATAGCAACGACTGTCGCAAGTTGATTAACTGTGGCAGTAGAGACGGTTATACAGGTCGGCGTGGGAATGGCCGGGCGCGTCCGCACGCAGTAGGACACGAGAGGAGCAAACGTCGACAAGCACAGAAACTTCTTGTACGGGTCCCGGCTGCAGCTTGCCGCATGGGGTTGGGCCTGGACTGCCGGCACGAGCAACCCGGCAACAGCGGCGAGGGCGATGTTGACGTGCATATCGTATCGAAAGAACGTACTGCAATGAACCGAAAGTCAAGAGAATCGGGATACGAAGTAGAGACCACCCGGGCAAAGAGAGGGAGAAGTCAAGATGTCCGGGTCTCCTCGACTGGGCACTTAGCAGCTTATACATTGCCATGTCCTTCGCCACACCTTCCTGGCTACCCGGACTGCTGCAAGCCCGTCGGATCACAGTCCCTAGTGTCCAGGCGACGCGCGCAAACTGAAAACGCTCAGATCTAGATCTAAGCACTAAAATAAACTTAGTTCTCTAATGCACGTGGAAAGGACGGCGGGTAGGAAGCAGTTCCTCCTCATCAAGAGCAGCATTTCTAGACTCGCGGCGTGCATGGTGGCTTGGCGCTTGGGCGCGAGATCTGCGCCTATCGTCGCTATGGGAGGGCCCGTGCCCATAGATGCATAGAGCGGTGTTCCGGCGTTGGTGCCGCTAATAGCTCCAGCTCTCCAGAAGTGAGCTAGTCCCACAAATCTTCCAAAAGAATCGGGCTATACCGCATCCTTTTCCTATCCAGGTTTTCGACCAAGCGATCCCGTGTAGCCCATAGCCGGCCAGCCAAGGAAAATCGAAGTGGCGCTTGGTGCTCTAGAGATGTTCCCATCAGCAGCATTGGTAGCGTAGCGCCACCAAAGTAGTACGAGGCCTAGAAGATACAAATTAGATTTCTTTATGGGTGGAAAGAGAGGATATGCACAAACAGTTCTACCGGGAGGTGCACGGAGAGAGTTCCGCAGAACTGAGTCGGAGGTGCCCAAGATTCCGGCTGGAGACTGAACGATACGTGGTGCCCTTCTGCGAGACAATGTTTCATGCTTTTCGAAATCGGCAGGACCAAGAAGAGCGTCGAAGAATTAAGTGACACAGTCACATGGGACTGTCCGTCGAGATTGTGGACCCCACGCAGCTGTTACCGCCTGCACTAAAGCTCATCTACCAGCACCTCGACCATCCCTAGTCTTGAACCCCATGTGCTTGTCTAACTGACTAAAGTAATACTTGTGCAATTTTATAAACATAGTCATAGAATGCGACTGGGTCACGGGAAAATGCTGTAATGCGAGTCCAGAATTGAAATCGACATGGGGTTGCGAAGACTAAGGAGAGTCGAAGTGCTGTAGGGTGAACTTACCCGGTGGGCTAACACGGCCCAGCCGCCTACCCTGCCTCCCGGTGCGCTCTAGGTGCGGATGCTCAGGAGCCAAGAGCCAGATCTTGTGGCGTAAACATTTCTGATTCCTAGACACTGCATTTCGTGTTCGTCCTGTGATACATCGGTTGCATCCCAATTCTCCACATTCCAAGCTTCTGTTCAACAGAGCAGGTCCTCGCATGACTCCGTGCTATTGAAATCCATCCCTCCCTCCCTCCCTCTTCCTCGCCGTCTTCCGCCTCTGTGGTCAGCTTGATAAAATCCACATTGGATGAGACCAAGGAATGGTACCGTGTCTCGAGCGAGCTCTTAGGAGTCCACTGGGTTCCAATGGTTCGCCAAAGTGTGGTGGCATTCTGCGGCAACAAACTATGTGGAAATCGAGGACGACACTACAGCTTTCTCAGCGCCGGTATTTCGCGGAGTCCCACTCAGTGCCACGAAGTCGGTTTGGTGACAGGCGTTGCAATGTCGAAATCTAGGAACCCTGAAGCGCAGAGACGAGCGATAGCGTTCCAGCTATTGGCAATCATAACACACAATACCACCAAGCTCCATGCCTTCACGGACCGTGTTGAAGTAGAGCTAAAATTCCATGGACCAGACTCTGCAGTGACCATCAGACCTTCACCACTTCTACATTGAGATCCTCTGGCCAGACCGGCGCATCCACGCCGTTTCCCCGAGTGCCCACATCGTACTTGAGCTCGACCGTCCCGCCTGTGAAATCGGCAATCGGCCTGGGCAGGACGAACGTGACTCCTCCTCCTTCTCCTCCCTCGCCGCACGCAGCCGCCTTACGCTGCTCGAAGAACTGCGGCTTGAATAGCACCGCCCCGTCCGCGTGGTGCATGATGGGCATAAGCTTGGGGAACATGTGCTGCATGTTCTCGTAGTGGTGCAAGACAAAGTTGTCGTGGCGCTGCCACAAGTCTTGCCACACAGCGGCCGGGTACTCGCCGACAGATTCGGCGAGCCAGGTAGAATAGTAGTTCAGAGCGGTCTGGAGCATGGGAGAGGAGAAATTGGAATGGGAATACGTCAGCCACTTGATAATACACGCGATTCCCATCGTGAGTGACGGTCATGGGCCTCCCTGGGGTGGAACTTACGTCGACGCCGTACGAGCCACCTTTCTCTGCACGAAGGATCAGCGCGTGCAGAATGCCTACGCAGCCTATGATTCCCGTGCTGTTTATTGATGCCGCATGTGGTTAGCTGCTCATACTTTCCGTCCTTTGAGCCAAAAGCACATCGACGGCAATGTAGCATGGACTCACCAGAAATCAGAATTAGGAAATACCGGAGTCACGGGCTCGTCCAGACCCATGGCGCGCCCGAAGCCCATGGATATGCCGCAGCACATGTCGCTGATCTGCTGCCACCCGCTACGGTGCATCCATGGGCCGTGCCACCCGTAGCAGTTCTCCCGCGCGTAGACAATTCCTCTCCCGCGGATCCGGGCGGCGGCCAGCACCGCGTCGCGCCCGAACCCGCGCCGGTCCATGGCTCCCGGCCTGTAGCCGTCCACGACAACGTCGGCCTCCCGGATGAGCGCCCACAGCTTCTCGCAGTCGCCCGGCACGTCGAGGTCCAAATGGCAGCTCCACTTGCCCCAGCTCAAGTCGTGATGGACGGCCGAGAGGTCGGCCAGGTTCGGGCTGGTGACTCGCATGACCGAGGCGCCCATCTCGGCGAGCGCGCGCGTCATTGATGGTCCCGCAATGACACGGGTCAGGTCGACGACCTTGAGGCCCGCGAGGGGCCGGGTTGCGGAGGACGGGCGGGACGGTTGCTCTGGCCACCAGGCCGCCGGCAAGTGCGTGCCTTCGCCGCCGTCACTGCCATAGTCAAAGTGGCTGAGCTCATACAGGCCAGCCTTGTGGTTGGCCCGGCCAGACTCGGAGGCGAAGTATTCTTCCATGGAGAGGCCCACGCAGCCCGCCTGCCGGTGCTTCTCGTTCATCAGCTCATCGAGCTCGCCTGATTCATGCTGCAGGACCTTTTCCTGGATGCGACCGACGCAGGTGTCAAAGTCTGTGGCCGAGTCGTCCCTGATGGGCAAGCCCAGAGCGGCCAGGGAGGCATCCGGGTTCAAGCTGCCGTGCAGGTGGAAGAACCTGCCGTCCTTGGTCCGGTAGATGCTGGTCGTCAGACCCCGGTACAAACTTGTGCTGTCGTGCTTGTCATAGTTGGGAATGATGCGGTGGTTGCGGGGATCGAGAGGGCTGAAGGGCGTGGGTTTGCCGTCTTGCCCGATCACCTGCGCGACGATGGGGCTCATGAAGAAGAGGCTCGCATGGTCCCTGATATCAAGATGAGGCGTCAATCTGAGAGGGAAAGACACCCAATTTCCCCGCGACACCATACTACAGCACACAGACAATGATGATAATAACACGCGGGAGGGAAGGTAAAAACGGGCGGCTCGTACGTGTCAATGATGACCTCGCCAGCATCGACGCCATACTTCTTGCGCACAAGAAGCGAAAGCACCGAAGCTTCGTAGGCCTTGAGAGCGGCCGCACTCTCGGCAAACCGCCAGTTGACGGGGACGCTGGGCTGGTCGTTTCCCTTGAACCTGACGGACTGGGCCGCGATCTCGGCGGCGCCTCCGGGGACATTGTGCGCAACCCTCGGGTTGCCAAAAATGCCTTCGTGAAGCACCCGGTGGGCCTCGGCAGGCACCGAATATGTCTCTGCCATTTTGCAGCGGCGTGTTATAGTTTGGAGGCTTCAGATCTGGCCGGCTGGTGTGTGAGAACTCGACTTGAAGCCCATTTTGATGAGCCGATGGCGGCAGTACCTCGCCCTCAATTTACTCAATTCTGCTCAAGCTGCCCCGCACGGGCTTTCGGTTTCGCGGGCGTATCACAACGAGGGGCCGCCGCTCACTGGTCGGAGGGCATAGTGTGTGAAGAAAGCGGGAGGAGGTAGCCTATCACGCCACATCGAATCAAGTACCATCTTTGAGGGGCATGACATGCCAGTCTTGCTGGCTTGTACCTGACCAGCCCAGAACAAGGTCGACCTATTAGCACAGGGCCTGCAACATTTTGGGATATTCTACCGCAGCAAAACTCAGATAGGTCCACGGCTGCTTGGCCGATTCCTCGGCAAGATTCCTGCCGTCTTTGCCTGGTGTCGAACCCCGCTGCGCACGAGAGGATGTGCGTTGGGGCGAGCGCTTCTTGCCGTCAACAGCCACGTATTTGTTTCCGGAAATTCCCGTTCATCAGCTCTGCAGTGGGTAGATCAAACCACATTTTCCAGACTTAAGTGCCAACAGACTTCCAAGGTACGGGCTCCCACGTGCTTGGAGTATATGTTCCATCTCTTGCGGCTCTCTTGTTCTATCATCAGCGGCCAGCCCTAGAGTCCTCGGATGACGCGGCATCTATCTTGACGAGCCCGTATGGACGCGGGAGAAGTGGGTATGATGTCCTCAAAGCCATGGGGAGATCCAGCGTAAGTGATCATTTCCACTTCCGCGCCCTGCCTTGCCAGCGCCGTCCCAAACGCCAGGCCCTCGTCCAGGAAAAGATCGCAGCCCCCAATTTGCAGCAGCGTCGGGGGCATTCCACCTAGCTCTGCCACCCGAGCTGTCACAGCCGGTATCATGCCGCTCTTCACCTCGGGTGCTGCGCCGCCCAGCACGGCGTCCCAGGCTGTGATGTTGTCCTCTGGCTTCCACGTGTACCCGGACGTGTCGATGCTCAGGTCTCTGCCCGTGCGGTCATCCAGCATGGGGCACACCAGGATCAACTTGGCTATCTCAAGCCCTTGCGTGACTGCGTGCAGGGCGAGCGCGGCGGCAATACAACCGCCAGCGCTGTCGCCCATGAGGGCAATGCGTTTCGGATCGACGCCGAAATCGGCAGCGTGAGCATGCACCCAGACCAGGGCGGCCCAGGCGTCCTCGTGCGGCACGGGGTACGGATTCTCAGGCGCCAGGCGGTACTCGACGTCGAAGATGGGCACGCCCGTCTCCAGCACGTGGCGGCGGACTCCCGAGTCCAGGAAATGCGCCGAGCCAAAGATGAATCCGCCACCGTGGACGTTCACGATGCCTGCCGTGAGAGGCTGGCCGGGCTCGGCATCCTTGAGGGCGTAGTGGAGGACTGGGACTTTGTGCCCGTCGTCTGGCCTTGGGACGAGATGAGTCCGAAGTGTGATTCGCTCGTCTAGCTCTGGCGAAGCAGCCTTCCTTGCTTTGTCGATGGCCGCCATCATTGGATCCATGGCTTGGCGTCTTGCCATCGCGTCCCCCACGGGGAGCGGGGGGTGTTTCGACATGCCCTCGAGCATTGCCGCAAACTCGGGCCTTAGCTTTGTTGGCATGATTGCTGTGGGCGTCGGCAGTTGCTTTTTGTAGCCTGACGCTTGACGTGTGAGAGATTCCAGGGACAATGGTGCTGAGGAGCGGATCAATCTGGACAGAACTTGTCGAGTGTCGAGGGGCAAGTAATGGATCCCACGGGGATTTGAGATGCTATGCGGGAAACAAAAGCCGTGAATCTTGTCCAGCCACAAACTCCCCCGCGAGGCAGCCGGGCGATGGTAGGAATGTTGACGAAGGACACCAGCCGAGCCGACCCGAGGCCAAGTTTCGCCGGGCTGTCTTCACCTTATTGGCTGAACGCAATGGAAGTAGCTTAGCCTCAGCCTAATGCTGTAAGCCAACTGCGTGAAAGTGGTCCCTGGGTCTCTGGGGCCCCAGTGCTACCCCCGCAAACTTGAACGCTGCAGACGCGTCCTGGCTAAAGCGTACCTGATGGCTTGTCCTTGGCCCACGATGATTGTAACAGCCTCCGTGTAATCTGGTAGAGCCCTTGTCGTGACGGCTTCTGCAGAAATAACCGGAATGCATGCTACGGGCATTTCTTCTCGTCTCCTATATTTAGTCCGTTTCCTCATTGGGCGGATTATCATTACCATGAGCTCTGGCTTGCCATTGTCCTGCCGATACATCGAAGTACGTGACTAAGCTAATGGTGCTTCCCTGGAGCATACAAATGGTGCTCCGGAGCGTACCCTGCACCATTCTCTAATTCCCCTCTTTGTCTGTAAGCAACTACACAAGTAGCCTCGTCGCATCCTTAGTTCGAAGCTTTACGGACATGAGGTCCCCAATCGTCAAACACCTCTAATTGGTTCTGGCCATTTTTCCATAAAAGTTTGCTAGTGGCCCTCTTGTCGACCTTGTGCTTGTTGAAAACGACCAATGTTGTATAATGAATTTTGCATACGTTGCTGGAACACCTCGGCATATTTTGTATTTCATGTTCATGATGTCGACATCTGCATATTCTCATTTCTTGCATTCTCCAATGAGTCTTGACCCTTTTCTGGGCGATTACAATAGAAAAGGCAAAAAGAAATACATATTAAACCCCATGAGTAAAACATCTCCCTGAATACTCATAGCCCGGGCAGAATGCCATAGTAGATGTCAGACTTGCTGGCCACAGTATTCATCGAAGTGCCCGGCCAGAGGGACCGGCAAATGACATTGCAGTCAATGTGTCCCTGCGATTTCTCCGGCCGGGTGGCCTCCTTGCCGTCAAAAAAGTACTTGTCGCGGCTGGGACCGGGCCACACAAACTCGTAGCAGAATCGGCTGCTTTCGCCTTCACCGCAGATCCGTGTCTCGAAGTAGTAAAAGATGTCGAGCGAGCACAGAGACGGGCTGGACAAGGGAGCCTGGCAGCGCCTGTGGGCATTGAAGCACTTCTGGAGCCGCCCGTTGCAGTACGAAATAGCAATGTTGTAGTTGTCCTGGCCCGCGCCATCGCATTTGCAGATGTCGCGCTGCAGAGTGTCTCCTCCGTTAGCGCTGGTGATCCCGGCCAGGAGGGCGGCAGAGAGGGCGGCCGCAGAGAAGTGCATGATTGAGTTCCCAAGATCCTGAAGGCAGGGAGACGAGATGGTTATTTTGTAGGGGTTAGGTATGATTACATTTTGTATGGCCACGAGCAGCTTTAGCATCATGTCTTCATGGCTTGGAAGCGTCCTTATATAGCTGAAGGCCAGGCCAGACTTGACATTACGCCCGCAGGGAGTCGGCAAAACCATGGTGGAGGGTCGGCCAACCACTTGATATTGGGGTGCCGGTTTCCAGGCAATGACCTTACACCTGGCGGATTTTGCTGGAGCGATAAGCTTGCCTCGTGCAGCCTTGTCTGGCAGGGGGCGCTGCGAAGGGTCTTGGGTCGAATCTCATAGCTGGCTGATACCATCAACCATACAATACCATGAGACAAGACGTCCCGTGCAGGACCATGGTCTAGATGCTGACGCCAGATCGTGGTGACCCCCGCACGCCGGCGAGATCAACTGGTGAGCGCACCCGGAGAGAAGGTGATTCTCGGGCGCGTAAAGCATCTCAACTGCAACCCCAGTCACTGCCAAGCCCATTGATGATCTCATCTCCATATCCTAACTTTTACGAAAGGCGTTGACGGGCTGCCTGACATCCATCATATGGCCCCCTCTTACTGCTGGCATAGCTGGGAGTGTTGAAGCGATTTCCATCGTCAAAGGGCGGAAAAGTGGACGGCATGAGAAGCTGCGAAATGGCCGGACACGCAGATGGCCCCCTGCTCTATCACACTCCACACAGGTGTGCCGCCAAGGTTCCTCGATAGAACCTCTCCTGCAAGCCAAGACAAGGACAAAGGACCAGGGTTATTCGCGACCACCCTTGCCTAATGTGTTCCTCCGGGGCTTACGCCACGGGCATTAGCATCTGCTCAATTACTCTAGTTTCGCTCCGGCTAGTATTGGAGATTCGTCCGCGGTGTAACATTGCTTTGTGCTACCGCTTGCATCTGTGCGTAGGTGAGCAGGGACGCGTTAACTGTTTCTTGCCTGTGTTTACCCGAGTAGCCGCTGACAGTCACGGCTGGCCTGTTGCTTTATTGACATGCATTAGAACAGTTAAAGAATCTAATATCTAATCAAATCTAATTGACATAGGAAAATTCTAGTCATGGCCGATCCTTGCTCAACCCTCAGCCCAATTACCCAAGCGGATGATGCATTATCCAAGCACCTCAACATGCTACATTCTACTTACTCTGCCCGCTTCGAACGTTTCGTCCGAAGCTTCATGAGTCCATACACGAGCCCGTACGAGCTCACGACAAAGAGAACACAGATGCCCGCGTTTCTCCACCCATACTCGTACCCAAGCAGGTTTACGCTCTGCAAGTAGCTATTGGTGTTGCTGTACTGACATACCTTGCAGGCAGAAGTGGCATCCGGGTTAGCCAAGTAGCTGGCGGCTCCAGCCCCTTGCATGTAAGAAGCAAGGTAAGCACCACATGTCTCCGACGCGGGAGGATCAAAAATGGCAAACTCGCTCTCGTCGCAGATGACAGGGGTGCCCCAGACGCCAAAGACGAGCATGCCTCCCATGAAGTAGTTGAGCGGGTTCATCCAGTACAGCCAGTACCTCCAGAAGGCGACGATCTGCTCGTAGGGGGCGAGCACGCCGGCGAAGGAGACCAGGATGCCGACGAGCGACGGTGTGAGGAGGGATGCGAAGACCACGGTGGGCGCGTAGGCCGCGACGAATTGCCCGATCCCCGTGTAGAGGAACTCGTATACCAGAATCATGAAGAAGGTTGCGCCTGCGCGAGACGAGTCGACCGGGGATCCGACCGCGTAGTACCAGCAGACAAAGTAGAGAACTCCGCAGACGCACAGGTAGGGCATCTCCGAGATGATCAGGCCCGTTACGAATGGCGCCCAGGAGTACATTTTAGATTTCTTCTCCCGTGCCTCGAACAGGTCGCGGCGAGCAATGAAGAGGGGCTGGAGCTGATTGATGACTCCGGGGGCGACAAAGACGACGTTGAAAATGGTGAAGAGGCGAAGCTGGAGGTCTCCCACGGAGTCGCCAATCATCCAGAACGAAAAGCCGTTAACAAGAGCAGACATAACGTGCAGCATCAGCTTGCCATTGACGTATTCCGTGTTGCGGTACAGCGATACATTCATACGTTGCGTAACGAGGCGTGTCTGTTCCCATGGCGATGTAGCAAATTCTCGGCCGTCATCCAGCGTGGCTGGAGGCTCTGATGCTGCGGTCGAGATGATGGTCTCGAGCTCCTTCGTTACCGCGGCATGTTCTGGCGACGAGAGCCACACGGAATTCCAGTCGCGTCCTTGCGAGAGGTGACCCGAAACAATGTCTATCATGTGTTCGGCCGGATTCGCGTCGACGGGGAAAGGGACTCCCTGGCGTGCGAAGTAGTCCTTGATTGTGGCCGCGTTGTCGCCGATGTCTCCAAAGTAAACTGTCTTGCCACCTTTGGCGAGAAGCAGGAGCGAATCGAACTGTGCAAACAGCTGCGCGGAGGGCTGGTGGATCGTGACGAGGATGGCCTGGCCCACATCGGCGAGCTTGCGCAAGAAGCGGACCGTGTTGAAGGCTGACTGCCCGTCTAGACCCGAAGTAGGCTCGTCGAGGAAGATCAAAATACTAGGTTTCGAAACTAGCTCGACACCGATGGTGACTCGCTTGCGCTGCTCAACCGTCAGCCCGGCACCGACAGTGCCGATAAGAGTATCGGCTAGGTCGTTGAGCTCGAGCAAGTCGATAATGATGTTGACGTAGTCGAGCTTCTCCTGACGTGGGACGTCTCTTGGCTGCCTCAGGAGAGCTGAGAACTCGAGTGCTTCCCTGACCGTGGCGTACGGTTCGTGGACATCGAGCTGTTCGCAATAGCCCGTCATCCGCTGGAAGGAGACGGGAAGCGGGCGGCCGTCAACCATGATGGATCCATTGATTGTCCCCTCGGTCTTGCGTTGGGCGAGGACATCGAGCAACGTGGTCTTGCCGGCCCCAGATGAGCCCATGAGTGCGCCAAGCATGCCAGGCTTCACCCAGCCCTGGACGTCGTCTAACAACTTCCGCGGCCCTCCAGGCGTGCTGACTGTGTAGCTAAGGTTTTTCCAGGTGAACACCGAGGTGTTGCGCACAAGACTCGCAGTGACGGATCTCTTCACAACTGAGCCTTGTCTGCCGGGCGGTGGCGCTTCAAACTGAGAGCTACGCTTCTCTGCGGAAGACTCCGGAACAGGCTGAGCCTCCTCGTCTTTCCGCTGGCCTGTGGTCTTCGTGACCAGCTCCCGAGGGGTCGCTACGGGGCTGCCTCCTTCGGCTGCGGATTTCCACCTCATTGTGCACAGTATTGTGAGAGCTGCGAAGAGGGCCCACCACGCCCAGAGAATGCCAAAGTTGCGCCAGATGTGGCTGCCGGAGTACGAAAGCGCGGCAAGATAGGCGTCGCCAGAGACGGAGGTCTCTCCTTGAACCAGTCCCGGGACGCCGGCACACGACATGTGTGCAGGATCGGTATACTCGGCACCGAGTGGTACAATGTTGGCCCCGACGCAGGGAACTGTCGTTCCAGCAAACTCGTTGGACATGACGGCGTCAAACCCATACGAGAGTGGGTTAATCCAATAGGTCCAGCCGAACCACGGATGCATCTGGGAAAAGCGGATCATGTAGCCGCTGTACAGGATGGAAAACATGACAAATACGCCCGAGGCTGCCGATGCGGCCCCAAACTCAGAGAATGCGGCGCCGATGAATCGGAACGCTGCGGTCATGGCCTGAGCCGTCGGGGGAAAATTTGTCAGCTGTGTCCCAAGACGCTTGGGTACCTTATCTAGGTGGACGTACCATGGATGTGGCGAATAAGACAACCCAGAAGGTGAAGAAGGCCGAGGCAGTCGTGGTCAGGCCGACCATGAAATACAACACCACCGACAATGAAGTCGTGGAGCAGATTATGATCGGTATGTCGGCGGCAATCTGTGCAATACAGAAAGCAGCGGGGTGGAAGAACCCAAAGTGCTTGTGCTTGAGAAGTACAGGTCTGCCCGTGAACGAGTCCGTCACCTCGGACATTGCCTGTAGCGCATTGAACATGAGGGCGAAGAACAGAGCACCGCCTTTGAGGAACAATCCACCAGAGTTGGCTGGAGCGTTGTAAAAGAGCGAGCCGGAAATCAGAGCCATGGCAATGCTAGACAACTGTTTTAGGAAGAATGAAGCCTTGTCGCCCCAGATTATCTGATACTGCCTGGTGACGCATGACAATACCTGGCTGGCAAGGTCCACTGTCCATGGACTGCTCGCCGAAAGTCTCGGGTGCTTCTCCTGGGAGACTGCCTCTTCGAAGAGGCGCGTCCTTTCGCGAGCAGCGTCAGTATTCGGGTAATCGTATTCGAGGCGCATGCGAGCGTTGAGATCGGATGCCTCGTAGATCGCCTGGGCAGCCTCGGCGGTGCGAGGAAACGTGTGCTCATAGTCTGGGTGAATTTTGCGTTCTGTTCGCACCGTCACACCGGTGAGGTAGTCGGCCACGTTGGATCCCTCCCGGCAGACAAAGCCAAGGTTCTCCATGTACGGTCGCGCTTCGCTCATGGGGCCGTAGTAGATTTGGCGCCCTTTGTCGAGGACGAGAACCTTGTCGAATAGGTCGTAGATTCCATTACCAGCTTGGTAAAGAGTGACGATGGAGGCAAGGCCGAGGACGTCAGTCATGGTCCGGATTGTCTTTGCGTATTCGAGGGCTCTAGAGTGAGAGTGTGAGTAGGACAGTACACGAGGGATTACTTGGCTGATCTTTGCGGCTTCACAACTTACGTGCTCGCATCCAGGCCCCTGGTGCTGTTGTCCCAACAGAATATTGAGCCTCGAGTCGCCAGGCATTCAACGATGGAGACTCTCTTCCTCTCGCCACCTGACACTCCGCGCACATACTCATTACCGACCTTGGTATCGATGGTGTGCTCGATGCCCATGGAGCGCAGGAGAAATTCTCGGTTCTCGAGGCGAAGTCCTTCCTTGTCATTGCCTGGCATCGAGCCACTGGCAAAAGCGGGCGTTTTCAGTCGAGTCGCGAAATCGATGGTCTGGCCCACTGTCAAGGCGGGGAAAAACAGCTCGTCTTCGGTGTTCATGACGATCTGGCCTCTATATCGTTTTGCCTCGGGTGCAGCGAGAGACCCGTAGTGGACACTGCCAGTCACGCTCTCGTATCCCAGCCGGCGGTTGGCCAAGAGGTTAAGCAGGGTTGTGCATCCGGAACCCGGCCTGCCAAGGACGAGCAGCATCTCCCCTGGTTTCACGCAACCATGGCTCTTGTCCAAGATGGTGCTAAGTTCTGGTTTCCGTCGAGCGTTCTGCACGGCATTCAGAATGTTGAACTGAGACAGGACGTTCTCGTGCACGGCAGCTTCGGAGCTGCGAACCCGCACGGTCAAGTCTTTCCACGTGACCCCGAGTTCACGGGACGAGTCGCCCGAGGGACTGTTGCGAGTCTTGTAGTTGTTAACATTGGCTCTCAGGGTGTCGGTGTTCTCTTTGATGGACGGGCGGGATTCCGAGGAGTCATCACTCAGCGAGGAGTCTGGCTGCGCCGTGGCGGACATTTCTGTAGCCGCACGCTCCTAAGCTAGTGCCCAAAATAAAGAGGAGGTCGAGACGGCAACAATGGCGTGTCGAGTTGGTTGCCTGTGACGGGATAGGAGGGTGACGCCAGTAAAACGAGAGGATGCTGGACAGATGGCGGAGTATTTATTTAAAGGGCACCGGTTGCTCTCGGGGACTTGTACTGTCCCGACATATCGGATAATCGCTTGTATCAAGACGGGACGCGACATCACAATGCACTATCAGCGAATCACGGGCATCCGGGTCCAATCGGGGTACCGCGTCAGCGCGCGCGAAACCTTGATAAAAAAGGACATGTTGATGCATGAGCCCTCTCGCAGATACGGAAAGGTGGAACAGTCTGATCCAGGGGTCAAGATCCAGGGCCGAGGACCCTACGTGATGCAGGTCTTTGGCTCTGAGGCTCCTCTTAGTCAGCGGCTGCGTCCAGTTCAGGACGATACGAGGTGGGACCGTAATCTCACACCAACAACCATGTTTTGACACCAGCGTCCTTTAGCTCGGAGGTCGGGGGCTCGTGGCGCCGATGACCGCTGAGTAAGCGGCATGAGCCCGTTTTGAGCTAAGTACAACGGATCCCCAAGCCCAGATTAGGTAGCCGCTTGCCCGACTCCCGTCAGCCCTCATCGGAGCCTCTGGTCGTTCTCGCTCGGTGAGACGTGCCGTGCTCTGTAGTGCCAGGCAGCCCAGACCCCTCAAGAGGGATTCACATTCAGCCGCTTGCCATGGAACGTCACTTTGTCATTGATGGGCCGCTCACTCGAAAGAATGAAAAGAGGCAGGCTTGTGATGCCTGTCACAAACGCAAGGTACCAGAGTCCAATCCCCGCGAATGCCATCATCGAGCTCTTCGACTGCAGAATGAGCGAAGCTGACATGCCCTGGATGTGCTACGGTCGAGTTGCAGATCCAGTGCGTCTGGACTGCGCCGCGCTGTGACTGGTGTAAGCATCAAAAGCTGGCATGCACCTTTACCCGGCCCAACCGACGAGTCAGAGCGGCGCGTCAAGCGAGGTCAGTGAGCACCTGCATCCCGGCCAGCTCTTGTGCCTTGAACTCCTTGCTCTACAGTCCACTGATCCTCCAGAAGCAGGGCGCAAAATGAGACGCCAGCTCGTACGGCAGCTTCTACTCCCCGGGCGCAAGTCCCTTGCTCAGCGTTGACAACGAGCCCCCAAACTTTGTCCCAAGATCCGCATCAGACGCAGAAACAGCAGCAACGACCTGTCCCACGCGGCCAGCTGTCTCTCTCTCTGGCGCAGCCAAGCCCCCTCATAACTCTGCATTTTGCTGGGCGTGATATAGGCGGTTTCAGCTTTGGCAATGGGATGCCACTCTTCTCCCCACGTGGCTTGCAATGGATTCAGGCGCAGACTGGCCAAGACACAGCACTGCTCGGCCTGTCTGGACCTCTCTGGGAGAACCAATACAAGCACGAGTCTCTCCTCATGACCGGGTCATCGCCATCCCTCATGAGGCTGCCGCCTCGAGCAACAGCGGAGCTGTACCTCTCTACCTTTGCAAAGGAGCCCGTCCGATTCATCTTGCCAATCGTGGACCCGGTCCTTTTCAGCGATACTCTCGACCTTGCCTATGGCCCAGAACGTCTGCAAACCGCACCGACAGCCGAACATGTTGCTGCCCAGGCCTGCGTGTTTTCATTCATGGGCTTCGTTGCACTCTTCAACGGCCAGATCGATTCGGCACCAATCGATGGCCACGCTGCCGTCGTCACAGCTCAGTATATGCTAAACCAGGCGCTGATGGATTGCAATATTGTCAGTTTGCAGATCTGCCTAATGCAGGTAAGCCCGTCGCCCTCTATTCGTCCAGATGCATCCGACGTTAAAAACTCCTTGCATTCGCGACTAACTGCTTCGCTGCCAGGCATTATACTATCTGTTTGTGGGTCAACTTCAGGCTGCCTCCATGTTCCATGCCATGTGCTACCGACTGTTGATTACCCTGGGGGCACATGTGCAGAGTGACAATTTGTATGATGCACTCCAGGGATCCGTCTCTGATGTTGAGCTGCGGATGCACCGGCACTTCCGCTGCATCTTCTGGATGGCCTATTCACTCGACAAGGACATCTCGCTCCGGACCGGTCTCCCGCCATCGATGCACGACGAGGACTGTGACCTGTCGCTGCCAAAGAAGTACCTCGACTGCCCGCCCGAGATGATTGAGCTCGAAAACGCCAACGAACCTGTTCTGCCAGGGGACCTGAGGCTGACAATCCTGAAGTCCAAGACATTCCGGATCCTGTACTCCAATCACGCGAAGCGCAAGTCCGACACACAGCTTCTGCGCGATGTTCGACAGCTGGACGAGGAACTCGAGGCATGGAGGCAGTCCATCAACCCGCTCCACCGGCCTCTGCTTTCCTACGGTGGCGCCACTTCACTCTCCTCTTCCCCAGTCAACGTTCTTGGGCCAGCAGACTTGACTCCACACCAGATGATGCATCGCGTGGTGATCAACTTTGAGTACCACTACCTCATGGCGGCAATACACAGTGCCACAGGGCGGTGTCGCGCATGGTCCTCAGGCGAGGACCCTGATGCTGGCGCGAGCAAAGAGATGATGCAGGGTGTCAATCTGAGCATGGCGTTGGCAGTCGAGGCGAGCCGCTCTACCCTCATATTCTTGAGCTGGTACAATCTGCACTTGCTCGGAGAACCTTTTTGGTAAGCCGCTCCCCAAATCTTTTTGGCAAGTGAAAGAAATGAACATTAACACGGGGACGGTTTACTGCTACCAGGTTGATGATATTCTACCCAATGTGCGCCGTGCTCACAATATTTTGCAATATACTGAGCAACCCCCTGGACCCTCGAGCTGTGGAAGATCTCCAGCTCATGAGCAAGTGTCCAGACATTATCAGAAACATGCGCCCTCGGCGGCTGACGCCCAGCGAAGTTCTCCACATCAAGACGATTGAACACTTTTTCAGCGAGTTGACCCGTTTGGGAGCTTGTGCCATCACCAAGGGAGGGGCCAAAAAGCAGTAGCCCGAGCCGTCGTTCACAGGTAGAATATATATATTTGGCTTACCAACGTCCTGTGCCATGGTACAATATGCAGAGTCTGTGTGAACGGGCTGTATTTGTAGTCCTGTCCCCTAAGTCGCGCAACTTACATTCTGTCTCTCTCGCGCACGGCGATCGATCTCAAGCAGACTCTTTCATTCAACCGTAGCTCCAAGGACTAGCCATACAAGGAAACAGTAGCAATCCACTGCTTTGAATCATTCTAGGTGTTACTCTTGTCGCGGTCTCCGCATATATCTTCCACTGTTCGACGTTTTCCGCCCCCCGGTTAAGCAGAGCTTGAGAAAAGTTGGAAGCCTGGAGAGTATATGGTGCTATAATGTTTCCACACGGCGCGGTAGTTTGGCAAGGTCTTAGTAAGCGTGCCTATGACGGATAACTGTGTCGACATCAAGGTACCAAACCTCTGTCGAGCCTCTGACTTTCTTTTGTCTTATTGTTAAGGCGGACCCAAGACCGGCATTCACCTTCTCCATCGGCACGCGCATTTGAGTTTTTATGAAACCTGTAGCAATGAGACAAATGAGTTCAAAAACCCCGCGATTCTTAGCCCCATTCACTAGATCTATTTAGCACTGTTCACGTTTAGACGACCAGACCCGTCCTCTGCATCAGGAACATATGAACCATCCCTTGTGCTAGGTCATTACGCTCTCCCACGCCGCACGGTTTGGACGCGGCCGCGTGCTCACAGTCCCATGCCTGCGCATAGCCGAGCCTCACGTCATGAAGACGCCAGATCGCATGGGTGGGTTGGGGGGCGGAGCAACCACCAGAGCGGCATAGCTCCACTTTGAAACGACTAGAGCAAATCCCTGCGTTCTGGAAATTAGTGCCGGCTCATTATTGCCAAAATTACAGTACGCAGTCAGTGTCCACGCGTTGGGGGAGCGGGCCAATCCAAGGGCCGCACCCGCATGTCCCCAAGCAGGGGAAAAGTCGCCGTTGTTCCGCCGCTGCCGCTGCTGAGGGTTGTTCCGCGCGATCGCATCGCCTAAGCGAGCCACCCTGCCAGATTTGGAATCCGCCACTACACATGCCTTCGGGTTCGGGTGATCAAGCATGGTGAAACAGACCAAGGGCCCTTTGACACCAAGGGGCCCTGGATGTGCCACGTGCAGAGGACTGGTGCAGAATGGAATAATTACGACACAATCATTTAAATATCCCCTAATCCCTCGCACCATCCTGCTGGGGGCGGGGCGTCCTGCAAGATAGAGTGCTGACAGTTCTCTTCCACATTCGACCGCCAAGCCCATCCCACAATGGCACAACAGCTCCAGATCGCGCAGCCAATCACGCTGCCATGCGGTCTCACGCTGCCCAACCGGCTCGTCAAGGCCGCCATGGCCGAGAACATGGCCGCAGCGGCGAGCGGGCTGCCCAACGACGACTTTGTCCGGGTCTACGACGAGTGGGCAAAGGGCGGCTGGGGCATGGTGCTCACCGGCAACGTCATGATCGACCACAAGTGGCTCGGCGACGTGCGCGACACGGCCTACAACCACTCAGTCGAGTACGCCAAGCAGCTCGAGCTGTGGACGAAATGGGCCGCCACGTGCCAGAGCAGCAGCGGCACCAGCCCGACCATTGTCCAGATCAACCATGCCGGCCGGCAGGCCGTCGCGCAGGCTAAGAAGCGCGGCTGGTTCGACAAGCCCCTCGCACCGAGCGCCATCCCTCTCGACTTTGGTAACAGCTTCGTCCACCGCCTCGCCGTGTCCGTCTCGTTTGGCAACCCCCGCGCCATGGTCCAGGACGACATCGACTCCGTGGTGAAAGGCTTCGTCACGACGGCCCGGCTGGCATCCGAGGCCGGGTTTGCGGGCATCCAGATCCACGCTGCGCACGGATACCTGCTCGCGCAGTTCCTGTCGCCCAAGTCGAACCAGAGAACAGATGCATATGGAGGGTCTGCCAGGGCACGCGCCAAGATCGTCGTGGATATCATTCACGCCGTTCGCAAGGTGGTGCCAAGGGAGTTCTGCGTGGGCATGAAGCTCAACTCGGTTGATCACCAGTCTGCAGAGGATCTCCAGGGCTGTCTGGAGCAGCTGGACGAGATCACGACCGCGGGTATCGATTTCCTCGAGATCAGTGGTGGTACTTATGAAGATCCCACGGTAGGTTTTTAATTCCCTGTCCTGTGACTTTTCCCCGTGCACGGAAATATGGATATTGATATTCCTGAAAATCTCCAGTTTATTCTCAACCGCGAACATCAGGAGCTCGAGGAGCAGCAACAGAACCAGCAGCCCACAGAGAAGTCCGCGCGGACAAAAGCCCGGGAAGCCTTCTTCATCGAGTTCGCCGAATCCATCCGCAAGGCGATCCCCAACAACGTACCTCTCGTGCTCACCGGCGGCTTCCGGACACGTGTGGGCATGGAGTCCGCCCTGAGCGACAACGCGTGCGACATGGTCGGCATTGCCCGACCTGCCGTGATGAACCCTCACTGGGCCAAGGACGTGCTACTGAACCCTGCTGTCTCGGACGAGGACGCCACAATCAAAGTCAAGGTCGTCCCCCCACCGTTGGCGCAGAAGCTGGTTAAGGTGAAGGCTTTGGGTGCGAGTGCCGAAGCGGTAAGTTATGACCCGACCCCAACGCTTAGGACGTGCGAGAAGAAGATGAGTTGGGTCCGGAAGCTAACCTATTCTTTTTCTCGGCTCTATCTAGGCGTGGTATGCTGCCCGGATACGAGCCTTTGGCAAATCAACGTGTTGACCTAATAAAACCTTGTATGAACACTGAGACCGGTACATAGACAGCGCTTAGCATAAATAGATGATATCACAATTTTAAGTTAAGGAAAGAACACTTGCATTCAAGCAGTACTCCCAAAGCAGTATTTCACCAGAACCGCTAGGCCATTGAGCTCACTTGCAACTACATCAACATGCTTCAAAGCCCACCTTTGGATGGCTTACCCAGACTCTCCACGATCATGGAAGTATGCTACCAGCGTTATGAACATTTGAACCTGGGGATGTTCACCTTTTGCATTGCTCGTCAATTACGTCCCTCTTAGCCGCCAGGCGATGTGTGCCAAGCATACCCGTTTACTGGAAATCACAAAAAGCGTCCAGTAAATATAGTTATTGCTAACAAGACACAGCGTTCCGATTCTCTACACTGCCACTACAACAGGGTCTGAACTTCTGTTCTCCTGGGCTAATAAATAGGCAAGATTACAACTTTATCACACCGATCCCCTCCTATACGCGCCAGCAGGCGCTCAAAGCCCCGACTGGGTACCCAGCCTCTGAATCTGCAGAACACTCGGTGTACAAGCGGATCCTTGTAGAATTCTTGTTCCCCAACCTCGTACATGACGTTGATATCTTCCACGCCTGGGCTAAGGTACCACATACCCCATGTCTCCTTTCTGTCCTGTGATTCGTTCCGTTTTGCCGCGGGCAGTGGCAAACCGGTAGTTAATGACGCGAGCTTTAGCATGGGGAGCCTCTGACATGCCTTGGCGAAAGCTGTAAAGAGGGCTTCGATGGCATCGTGATCGGGGATTACTTCGCCAGCACCCGGAAAGTCGTTAAGATTCCCATGATAGGCGACTGGATTGAACTGTGTTGGAGACACTGTGGAGTTATTGGTATCGACCGCTGATTGATAGCCAGGCGGTTGGTCGTCTTCAGATGGCATAGCTACTGTTTGAAGGCCCGCATACCAGAAATAATGGCCGCCTTCGGGTTTCCGATTATGGAATGAAACTCGAAGATGCCGCAAGTTGGACCCCAAATGTGAAGTCAAGGTCTGACGAGGAGGCATAAAGAGGGAGCCGTCAATGACTCCTCGTACACTGAGTTTCTCTAGATGGGGCATCTCCAGAGTCGCAAGTCGTATTGCCGTACTTAGAGCGTCTGGGGATTGATCCCCAAGATCCGGGGCGGTGTTGCGAGCCAGACTCGCTTTTGCTGAGTCTGGCGTCCAAAGAGTAAGCGCATTCATCAAGATTCTCAATGACCTTGTATGTCTGCAGCGAGGCAGTTCCCGCTTGATTGCTGCTGCGAAGTCGGCTCGAATAGTCCGACGGAGACCAATGTATTGGATGCACCCGTCATTGAAGATCATTTGCGTACTCTGGAGGTTGGGCAACCTTCCGACAATCTCAGCCAAAGTCTTATCGGCCAAGTGTCGAGTTATAGGTGAAGCCATGGAGAACGACGTAATTACTGATACGGCAGGTAGTGTGTAGTTTTCAGTGAAGCGAATGTACGAGTAGCAGAACCGGAAGCTCCACAGGTCGATAACCTTCCAACCCTCGTTTTGATTCTCGTCAAGGAGCACTCGGGAGATGGCCTTCTCCGTATCTCGGCTCGGGTCTGAGATGCGTATAAATGCGTGGTCCGAGATTGAATAGATGTCCTCCAGTATGAACTCGACGGACCCTACTTCCTGTGGATTCCACTGATGTAGTATCTCGAAAAGCGTGGTGAAGGCATCAGTAAAGGCTTGGTCGTTTGCTGACCGGTCGTCCGCGTTTTCGAACTTGCAACGCATTTCGTCACCGTAGCTCGAAAGCACGACAATGAACTTGAGTCTGGTTAGGGGCCGACGGCGGGGTTCCTGCAGGATGAGCTGGAATGTGTCGAGTTCGGTGCTTTTGAGGCAGAGTTCCTTAAAAGTCAACCGCTCAACTGCGATTTGCCATTGACGAGACACAGTAGCGAGGGCTGGCCTGTCGAATGAAGTTCGGTCAATGTATGTGCATATCTCGTCGTAAATGTCGCGCGGTAAGCGTTCCATGTCTGTGGTGACAGCCGCTGGTTTGGCTTTGGCAGCGAAATTGGTGGCGTGTGGACAGGGCACGACGACTGGAGAATCCAGGCAGCGCGAGGCTGCTGCTTATGTACATCGGTCACGCCAAGAGGTGCGAGCTGCTCGAGTACTTGAGTAAGCACTGTGTTAGGCATCACTGCATCGAACCAACACTGAGCCAACAATGGACCAACATAATGCGCCTGACAGGAAAGGTATGGGTCGACCAACAGCTTCACGTAATTGACGAATAGAATGGCAGGCCAGGTACCTGAGGCTTCACATATACGACGGGCAGTCCTCATCTCATGGTCAGTCTCCATGTCTGAACCTGTAAATCCTATATCTATTCCAAGAATGCCCCCCTCGTCTCAGCAAGAATTGCCTGGTATTCCGGCTGGAATGACATGTACGTGTTCTCCGAGGTATAGTCGTACTTCTTGGAATAGGCTGCCTCCGCCTCGGGGATATATCGCTTGGGAATCCCGCTGGCAGCCGCCGCCTCGATCATGAGCTGCCTCTGACACGCCCGCTCCAAGGCGATAAAGAAACCGGCGGCCTCTCCGACATTTGAACCACAGGTCAAAATTCTAGAATGGGACACACCAATTAGTAAAACAAGAGGGTAAGTATCTCTCCGGTTTTTGGAGGTGACGAGAACGCACCCGTGGTTTTGCAGGATAATATTCTTGTTCTTAGGGCCAAGAGCCCGGGCGAGGTTCATGCCCTCCTCCTTGGCCAGGACCGTACCGCCAAAGCCCTCGTAAACGGAAAGATCGTCGTAGAAGTAGCACATGTCCTGCACAAGCATCTCGACGGGCCTGCCAAAAGCAGACCAGGCCACGCCGTGGGGCGAGTGCAGATGCACGGCGACATTGACGTCCGGCCGCATCTGGTGCAGCACCGAATGAATGATGAAGCCCGCATGGCTGACGGTGTGCGGCGTGGCCGCTTGAATCTGGCCCTCCTCGTCGACAAGCACCAGGTCGGACACCTTGATCAAGCTGAAGTGCATGGCGTATGGGTCTGCCATAGGCAGGCGGACGTTAGCAGACCATTAAACGCTTCGATGTACACAGACAGAGAGGATAAGATACATACTGATCCAGAACAGTTTAGGATCCACGGGGTCTCTGAGGCTCATGTGTCCAGCGACGCCGTCCGAGAAGCCCAACTTGGCAAATACTCGGAAGGCACCCGCCATCTGTGCCTTGGCCCATTCGCGTTCTTCCTCCTTGGTCTCAAAGGTTGGCACCTTCTTGACCTTGGGAAGCTTGTGCGAGTCGGGCTTGGGAAGCACCTTCTCCCCCTGAAGCGAGAGTGACGGCGCAGCCGCGGTGACGGTCTCTGTGGACGACATGATGATGGATCTCCTTCTTTGCAAGTGATGGACAAGTCGACGCTTCCGTGTCGCAGTCACATCGGCCAGCTCTGTACGGCTTCCACGGTTTTCTCTCAGGTGTCCGAAGTTGAAGCCGAAGTCATCAACCGCCACGGGGCCGGGTGTGGTCCACCTCCAGGGAGGGCCGCCGGAATGGCCTTCCGCCCGACCAAGTGCCACCGAATGACTTGGCGCTATTGCCGCACAGCCCTGACCCGTTTCTCGGGGTCCTCCCGGAGCCAGTCGTGTCGATAATGCGTCTGATAGGGGAGTGCGGGGAGAGGTTGGCACCAATCTTCGGGGCGAATTCCTACTTCGGCCCGAAGATCGCGCTAGGCTCCGCATCGCAGCACCTTTATCAGCCGGGGGACTCAGATACACCGCCCATGACACCCAAGCCGAGTATGTGCCTTGCCGTACAATCGGGGCGCCGTGCCGCGGATCGTCGCAGCCGCGAGACTTTTGACGGAGAGGACGAGCCCGAGGCCTCGCGCGTCGTCCTCGGCCCCGCGCAGGGTATGGTTGTCAAGCATGCGATTGGCCACGCCACGCGATGTCGGCCACGTCAATGAACGGCTGGTCAGTGAGAAAGGGGATTAGGCTAGTAATAACTTGGTGCCCAGCAACCTGCCGATATGACAGAGCGATGATAGACCTTTAACGATAGCGTGTCGGGTGACACTGGCAAAGAGTCGAACATGGACAGCACCGTGCCATCAAGCAACTGGCTCTTCAACGCTGGATGGCTCGGCGTCACAGCTGTTGCGCTCATCCAGATTCACAAACTGTATCCATGGTTCGCCTGGCCAAATTCTTGGACAGGGCAGCGGCCCAGCGTCAAGCCCACCGCATCAAACACACAGCCAGCCCAGGATCCCGATTGGGACACCCTCGACTTCTCGAAGACAGAGCCAATCGCAGCAAACTATGACTGGAGCGGCGTAGAAGAGAAGCCATACAGACCATGGCACGATGGGCCGTACCGTGTCACGATGGGCATACAAAAGACGCAGCTGGACGACTGGGTCGAGATCGACAAGCAGTATCTCGAGCGATACAAGTACAAGAGAGATCTCTACGCCAAGCACCCCGACGACACGATATGCTTCCGGCCCGACAGCCATGAAGCAGCGTTTGAGGCCCTGGCGTACCTTGCCGACTTCCTGCCACGGCGATATCCCTCCATGTTCGTCAAAACGGCCAACGGAATCAGCAACCTGGTCACGGGGGACGACTGGGATCTGAGGCGGGATGCGGACACTTGGAAGTCACATCATCCACTTCAGGTCATGGGACTGCTGTCCACCGAAGACTGGTTCATCATGCAGACGGACGAGGACCAGGAAACCATGAGACTGGTCGCGGGTGCTAATTGCTTCCCCGCCGGATGGCGTCTCCGTCAGCGGATCGGGCTCAGCCTGTGGCAGATCCACGTGGGCAACGTGCCGCAGTACGAGGAGAAGCTGAGCAAGTCCATGGACCGCTTCTTCCTGCGGCTGCGGGCGGACCGGCCGTTCATGCGCTTCAACTACGCCATCGACATTAGCGGCGAGCTCTTCCACATCAACTCCCATCACAACCTGACGGCGGACATGCTGGAGAAGCCAGTGCTACTGGAGGATCTGCACCTGCGTGTCGAGCGCCAGTGCCTGCAGCGGTTGCCACGTTCGAGAGCCATCGCCTTCTCCATCCGCACCTATGTCACCCCCATCACGGAGGTGACCAAGGACAAGAACGTAGCGCGCGCGCTGCGCACCAGCGTCGCCAGCTACACGCCCGAAATTGCCGAGTACAAGAATAAGCATCTGTGGAACGACGTGCTCACCAAGCATCTCGAGGATGTATTGAAGACCGACGGAGCTGGAGATGAAGAAATAGAACATGGCGTATGACACAAGTACAGCCAGACATGTGCTGTTGAGAACGCGATCTACTGCTGCAGATCCAAAGGGTACATACATAAGACACGGAGGTCTCCGCCTGGTTGGAATAGACATAGACCGAATAGCCACGATGAGATTTTCAACGTGTACAATATTCTGTATTGAACCCGCTAGATAGAATATGATAACACATGCCAGCTCTTGTCATGTCAACATGATGTACATGCCCTTCTCGCGCATCACGTCCCTCCAGTCCACGTGTCCCAGCTCCCCGCGCCGCCCGCTCGACGGATCCGAGTGGCCGCTACGGTCCACCCGCCGCCAGACCTCCATGACGAGGGCCTTCGCCTTGGCGATGTTGCCGATCCCGTGGCGGCGCGCCCGCGCGAACCAGATGAGCGCCCGGTGCCGCAGGTCCATGTCTACCGCCTCGACGGCCGCGACGAAGCCCGGCCACAGCGTGTTGGCGACGGCAATGTCGCTGGACAGCGCGTCCACGTTCTCCAGGTGCTCTAGCGCCTTGGACACGAGCTCCTGGCCCGTGGGCCGGTCCGTCGATCGCGGGTTGACCGTGTCGCTGGCCCTGCCGTCGCACATTGCGCGGCGGAAGAAGATGGCGGTGGCGTAGTGGAACGCCCACACGTGGTTCTCCTTGATCTCCTCGCTGATGTAGCTTGAGATGCCCTCCTGGATGGCGCTGCTGCCGCCGGGGGCCTCCTGGTGGCCGCTAAAGGCGTCCGGGTCGTCCAGCGAGTCAAAGAGCTCCTCCTCCAGCCGCTCGACTTTCTGGGCGGACTCGGTGTCGCGCCATTCGCCTGCACTGCCGTTGGATTTCAGGGACGAGAGCTCAATGATCTGGTTGAGGCATCGCAGGGTCTTCATCGCCACACCAAAGGACACGTCTAGTGTGTACTGGTGCGTGGGCGAGGGCGCCATCGCCAGGCTCTCCATCTCGGCCGTGCTGTCCGAGGACGAAGACGTGCTGGTGGCGTCGGAGACGTCTTCTTCCGACAGCATCGAGGACCGTGACACGCACAGCCAGCCCGACGTGTGGGCCACAATCTCGAGGCACCGGAAGATCTGGAGCAGCGTCATCCGCGGGCCGTCCTGGAGCCACCAGCCGAGCCCGCCCGTCAGCCGGATGATGCGCTTGCCGAGCAGCAGGCTCTCGTAGCCCTTGCCCTGGTCTTCTCCGCTGAAGACCTCGACGGTCGTCATGGTCAGCGCGGCCGCGAGGAGCGCCTGCTTGTCGGTGTCATCCCCTAGAGCGACAGAAGCGCCAGCAGCAGTCGAGGGGCGCGAGTCATTGCCCCCCAGGACAATGTCCCTCAGCATCTCGGCGGCCTGGTTCTTAAACTCTGCTGCTTGACGCAGGTAGGTGCGCCGATCGCTGGTGGACAGCTCCGCCTTGTTGTATGCGGCCACGGCGAGAATGCCCTGCAAGAGGCACTTTTTGGCTGCCGTGGAGGGCTCCTCAAGCGCCATGGGTAGATATAGGCGCAGGTATGGGTTCTGCGAGGGTGCCGAGGTCGGCATCATCAGCTGGCACACGTGGGTGCGGTAGTGATCGAGAAGACGTTCTGTGCTCTTTGTCATGTCGACCGCCGCCGCCGCCGCCATCCCGACAGGCACATCTTGGCGAGGGGGAGAGCGGCTTATGGCGGCCTCCGTTTCACGAGCAGCAGCAGCAGCAGCAGGGACCGAGACATCCGGGCACGAATCCAACCGCACCTGTGGCACAACCGGTGATCCCATCGCCGTCACCGGTGCTGGTGCTGCTGAAGATGGCGGGAGGAATTGCTGCGGCAGCGGCAACACATTGCCCAACACCCCGAGATCGTGCTGGAAGGCAGCCATCCTGCCCGGAGACGCCCACAAGAAGTCAAACACACCCTGCGGGGTGCTATTCCCGGGACTCATCGGCCGACTGCTGCTGCTGTGCTGAGGGGGGCCCCCCCAGACAGGATCCCCCGTGTTGTTGTTGCTCGCCCCGGCCTGGGCCTCGAGGTACTCTCGGAGCAACCTGTCAATCTCGTTTTCATCCGCCGCTGGCACCGCTGTCGTTGGTATACTAGTAGAGGCTGCTGGGGCTGCGTCTGGTGCTGGGCCCTCTTCATAGCCCTCGCAGATGTAGCCGCGCGACCTCTCGCAGTTAATGCATCGCGGCTGGTTCAGGTCACACTTGATCTTCCTTACTCGACAGGTGCGGCAGCCCTATTTTGGTCAGTCAATACTACATCGAGGTCGAGATTGATGGCGAGGATTGTGTGTGCGTACTGACCGCATAGATCCTGCCGCCCCTGCGGCGCTTCCGAGGTCGCTCGGCCGAGACGTCCGCCATCAGTTCAGGGGACCAATGAAGAGGGCGTGGAATGACAGGACACAAGGGTGGACGTCAGGTCCACAGCTCTGTAGGACCTTGGACTGTCGTCAATTGAATTGCCCAGTTCAGAGTCCTTCGTCTCGGTCCAAGACTAGTCCGTCGGTAGCGACGCGCATTTCCCAGTCATTCAACATTGATAAGGCTGGCTTGGTGTTGTGGCAAGGGCTTTATCGGCAACGCTCCGCCATCGGCCCCCACCTCCGTCCATCATCCCGTCGGAAGCTGGGGTAATTGGGATAAGACTGCGGGTACTAGCTTCCGGGAAACATCCCCGATAAAACTCGACAGTACAGTAATGGTTGATCCATGAAGCAAGTCCAGTCTTTTTATAGTTGCAAGTCAAGGGGGTTAATCCGTCAAACTAGATAGGCTAGCCATTTCTACCCTGTGCCAAGTTCACGGCTCCAGAGCCGGCATCACCACGACTTTCATCTCCGGCACCCCGTTCTCGCCCGGCACCTTGGCCATCAACGTGGCCGCGAACTCTGAATAGTCGTCACTCCACTTCCCACCAACCCACTCATACTGTTTTTCCATGGGTATCTTGCCAGTTTCCTTGTCTCTTCCTTCTTCTTCAACCTCGAAAACCGCCAGTGACCCCAGGTAATTGCCCTGGACATCCCAGTGGGCCTTGCTGTCCAGCCCACTCCTCCACAGCTGCATGAGCCGCCTCCTCAAGTCCGGACTGCGCGTCCGCTGCGCAATGTGGCCCAGCACGGGACGCGGCCCTTCAAACCCATCGCAATGGTGCCGCAGGCGCCAGCCACCACTGCTCGAGGCCATCGCCGCCTTCTTCTCACTACGCATGCTCTCCATTCGTGTGACCAGATCTGCTATTTCGAGCTCGTACTGATCCCAGATCCTCTCAGACATGTCGGACACCGTGCAGGCAGACAGCTGAACGCCTAGCACGGCGACAGCAATCTCGTGGTACGTGATCATCTCCTGCTCAGCAGCCGCAAGCTCCTCAGCACTGGCGGTAGTGGTAGTGTTGTCTGCCACTGCCGCTGCCGCTTTCAATGCTTCCACGCGCGCACTGGCGATGGCGAGACGTTGCTCGGTAGCCGTCTTCCAGGCCTTGAGGGTCTTGATGACGACGGCTTGCTCCCGGCGGAAAGTGGACCGCGCGTCCGCCGCTGATGTCGCTGATCCTGGTGCATCCTCTGTGTCTGCGCGAGCGGCAGCTGCCTCCTCGCGACCTGTATCCTCTCCTCCGGCCGTGTGGGTGGCAAAGGCACACTGGTGCGCAGCAAACATGTGATACATGCGGACGTACCACAGAGACGACAGGATTAGACACCGCGTCCACATCCTCGAGAACACCACCACGTCCTCGCTGGCATCCGGCGGCAGAGGCCCGCGCGCCGTGGTCCGCGCGATCCGAGTCACCACCTCCCTCGCTTTTGCAAACGTCGAGGACAGTCCCGAGCTGAAGAAGGTGTCGCGCACGAGCAGCACCTCGGTCTCGTATGTCCCCTCGTCGTCGACGGATCTGGCGATCCGCGAGGGCGGAAGAAGGCTGCTGCTGTTGCTATTGTTCCCTTTTTTTGCTTCGCCGAGAGTGCCCTGCATGATGCTGTTCTGGAGCAGCGACAGTGATCGCGCCGAGAGCTGGTCCGCCGATGCCGTGTTGCCTTGGAGCGACTCGAATGCCACGAGTAGTATGGTCGCGATGAGGACTGCTCGTTTCGAACCCCCGCTGCTGCCATGGCCACGGCCGCCGCTGCCGCCGCCGCCTTCGCCTTCGCCTTCTTGACGAGTCCCAGAGTCGTTCTCCCGCGACGCAATGTCAATGAGCCGCCGGAACGAGCCCACGGCTCGGGTGTAGTGCGTCAGGGCGTGGTAGTAGTGGCTCGACGGGCTCAGCTGGCCGGCCTTGCACAGCGGCAGGCGTGGCTTTCCTGGTCTCCGGCCCCCTTCCTTCTCGTCTCTGGCCGCGACCTGGTCGTGTTCTCCCTGGGCTCGGGCGAGGGCCCCGATGGCGACGACGGCGTTGCGGACGCAGTCGTCCCGCGTGATCTCGCGCAGCACGGTGCGCTGCCAGAACCCATTGTAGCCGTAGCCGTAGCCGAGCTGGAACACGACGCTGTGCCGGAACGTGTCAAAGTACTGTATCTCGCGCGGGCTGAGGCATGTCGCGGCCGGCTCGACGAGGCGCGTCAGAGGTGGCAGATCGGTAGAGGGGAGCAGTTTCCGGTATGCCGGCTGCACCTGCGTCGTCCGGGCTGCCCTGCCACCGCCACCTCGCTGCTTGGGCTGTACCGCGAGATAAGTGCAGGCAGTTTTGCGCCGCTGACATCGGCCGCAGGTGGGCTGTTTTTCGTTGCACCGCACATGTGATGCTTTGCATTCACGGCATCCTGGAGAGTGTGGCCATGCGGCTGCGTAAGTCACGTATCCTAGCCAGATATCATGTCCCAGCTCTGTTGCTGCTGGCTCACAGAAACGCGCTGCGGAAAAAGCGTCACGCACCTGTCCTGGCTTTCGGGGCGCTCGAGCGCTTCTTCTTCTTTTCCGCCTGTGGCCACTCAGCATGCTCTCTGGCGGCAGCCGAGGGGGGGCTGGCCCGCATTGACACCGGCTCGAGGGTGACCATGCCGAGATGTCGTACTAGACTGACCAATGCCGCGTGCTGGTTCGAACATGGAAGCCCTCCGACGCGGGGAGGGGTTGGGACGAAGCCATAAATACGGGCAGACTTGCGCTGGCCGCATGGAAATGGAGGAGGGCCGACTCAGCCCTGGACCTCCAGCACCAGCAAGCCACTCGGCTGCAGCGCCGTAAACGGGGGCCAATGGGATTGAATATCTTCGGCAGGGGTAGGCTACATAATTTACACCCTAGCGAGCCCAGCATCTTGGCAATTGGTTGTGGAGCACGCCGCCAATATTTTGGGTGCCTTATTATGGACAGTCACACTTTGCATCATATGCATTGAGGACAATGACTAAATTCCACTTTCGACCCTCGCGGAGAGCTAACTGCTGCAAATACTGTGACGATTTTCAACAAAGTCACCGTGTAGACTGCCTTGGAGTAGCTGTGCAACATGACTCAACAGCCCTGTTGTGTTCGAAAACTACCATGAGCAAATGCCGGTAAATATTAGGGGTCCTGATCCTGGCCTGGGGATGCACGCATGTCGAAACGGTCTGAGCTACCTGGGCGCACGTCCTGGCCCTGTCTGGTCTGGGCATAAATGTGGTGGGGCCTGCCTCCAAAAATAAATCTGGAATGTCATGGCCTCCACATCATACCGTAACATGCTTATGCTCGCCACCGGTCTTACGTGCGGAGAAATTCCCGTGTTCTGGCGGGCAATGTTTATGAGCTCTTGCACTTCTAGGACTTCCCACATATTTTACGTGACCCGAGGTGGCAGCACTGAGACGGCAGATACGATGGCTGACGAGGGACAAGTCCGTGACCTCGCGGACCAACATCAAGGATCATGGAGCCGGCGGCAGACCCCGCTATTAGATCCCGCTGCCTCTGCCCCAGCTTCGCCCTTTTCTGAGAATGATTACTTTGGGGATACTTCCATCCCCAACAAAACTCGAGAAGGCAGTGTGTAACTTGACAGTTAATAGTTGATTCATGCAACCAACCAACGCTCTCTCTGCTGGAAGTCAAGAGCCAATACTCCTTTTTTGGTCGTATCATGCTTCCGCACCCAGGATCTGTCAAAAGGGGTACGAGAACACGACAGGAACCTGCTCGAAGCTGCAACACATTCGGAAAACGACATTCGACAATGCAAGATGGCTAAAACTATGGTGTTCAACTTTATTCATATTCAAAAAGTTAGCCACATACAAGGAACATCGCGGCATCGAAGGCAAGCCGTTCACAGCTGAGCACGAGGCTCTATGTACTCATGTGCACCTATCCTCTCAAAGTAGTCCCGCAATACGGCCTCAAGCTTGAACTTGTCGCCCCCCAGGCGCTGCTCGGTGATGCGGTAGATGTCGGGGAACCACTCGCTCACGTCCTCGCCGAGCATGATCTTTCCCAAGGCATCGCCGCAGATGAAGCCGTTGGTCATGCCGTACGTGTTCCAGCCTCCCGCGATCCACTCGCCGGCGCCGGGGCGGCCTGTGGCGCTGGACGGCAGCCGGCCGATGAACGGCATGTGGTCGCCCGTGTAGCACATGACGCCTGTCCAGATGGCCCGGACGTCGCCGGCCGCCTGGATCCACTCGCGGCCGAAGAGCCGGGGCAGGACGCCGCGCAGGTTCTTGTCGGCGTGGTGGTCGATGCGCGAGTCGTCGGTCGAGATGAAGCTGTCGATGCTGTCGCGGTCCCCGCCGATCCAGAGGTCGCCAGAGTCGCCGTTCTGGAAGCCGTAGTACCGCCCCGTCTCGACGTCGCCCACTACGCGGTCGTGCTCGGGCGTAAAGTAGAAGGACCACGACTGCTTCCCGCTCATGCGCGGGAAAGAAGGGCCGGGCCGCTGCACCGACATGGTGCCCCGGCGAGGATACATCTTGCCCCGGAGGCCCGGCAGCAGATGGCCGGCGTAGCCGTTGGTGCAGTGCACCACCTGGCCCGCCCGCACGGGGCCCCGAGGGGTCTGGATTATATAAGGGTACGCCGTCTCGCCCGCGTCCGGCGCCCATGAGACCGCCGTGACGGGCGTGTTGGTCTCGATCGTCAGCCGCCCGCCGTGCTGCTTCAAGAGGTGACTGAAGGTGCCCGTGACGAGCTGGTAGGGCGAAATGACGCCCGCCGGGAACCGGAGCCCGCCGTACGCGCCGTTGAGGCCGTAGACCGAGGCCGTCTCCTCCTTGGACACCTGACGATAGACGCCCTTGTCCTCGGGGATCTCCTGCTCGTACAGCTTGATGGCCTCGATGGTCTCGTTCCAGGACGCCTCGTCGTAGTAGGCAAAGAACTTCTCGAGCCGGGTCCTGCGCGTTTTCTTGAGGAACTCGTCTCCCTGCGCCTCGGCGAGCTGGTGCATCTTGTCCAAACCCTTCACAGTCAGCCGCATGACCTTGTTGGCCTGCTCGACGCCAAACCGCTTGACCATGAACGTGTGCCGTGGCGGCGGGAGCCGCGTGAGCTGCCCGCCATTTCGTCCCGTGGCGCCGCTGCACAGGCCGCGGGCCTCGAAAACGGCGACGGTGCTGGTGCCCGACGCTACGTTGGTCAGCAGGCTCCGGGTCACCCCAAGAGCCGCCACGCCGGAGCCAATGACGGCAAAGTCGACCCTGGTCGGCAGTGAGGCGGACTGGATGTGGCCGACCTCAGGATGCGGCTGCTCCTGCCATGGCGACTGTGTGGGCGTCGCACGCGGGAGTTGCGGGTCGGCAGTGAGCTGCTCGCGGATCTTGGCCGGCACCTCTCCGGCCACGGGCGTTGAAGTCTTCATGGTGGGTTCAGGTTGTCGCTGAAGAGCCACCGTGATATCAAGAGGATGCTGTCGTGCGCCGTCAAATTCGAGTTCGGGCTGTCAATGTGACTGACACTGCTGCTTGGAGTTGTATATACTTCCACCGCGTGTGCCCGAGACAATGCGAATGTGGTTCGATATGTCCTGTCAGGCAGGCATCTCCTCATGCCATGGTCGGCATCGCATCGGAGCACAGCGTCAAATGTTTGGGCCGACAACGACATTAGGGGTCCTGGTCCAGCCGTGGCACCGGGCTCGGCCCCGTCGTGCCGAGATCTTGGACCTCCACACTGGCGCCAAAGTTCGGCTTCGCCTGAGCCGTTAGCGTCGAAGTTCGCCCCGACACAAGATAAGTTCCCACCCTGGCAGTCGGACCCTCTTGTTGGATCGACAATCTGGACTTATCAGATAACAGCATAGTCCATCAAGTTACCCCGGACCGCTTTCATAATATTCACAAGTTACACTAGTCAGGGGCGGAGCCGTCAAGTCCAGGGCTTGTGACTGTTAGGGGAAAGCTACCGACGTGAGCGAGGTTCCCCATACTATCGCCCGTGCTATCGCGAGCGGATAATGCCTGCCTAGCGTGACCCGCAGCTCTGGGGCAAAGGACCAGATAGCAAAGGGAACGCGACTTTGGCACCACCAGGATAAGGCGGGACGTGGGCGAGCCAGTCGAATTTGGCTATCGCGCTCCAAATCACACAACACTATTGGGCCGTCAGCCGTGCAGCAGGGCCCTTAGAAGACGTGCATAAAGCTGGGGATCTCCAACCTTGATCATTATGGTTGATCGGGGCTGGCGACTGCAAGTCTGTTCCACCGCAACCAGCAACATACAACTCTCTTGTCCATTCCAGAGACGACCATGGCGACTACGGGCGACATGAAGACGACCTACCCGGAGACTGATGTCGAGGCCGTCGCCTCCCAGCCGGGGGTGCAGGACACCGTCGACAAGTCCGCCTCTACAATGACCCCAGAGGAGATTGAGCAGGCCGCAGCGTTGGCCAGCTATGTTCCCAACACTGCTGCTGAAAAGCGTCTTGTGCGCAAGCTCGACTTTGTGCTGCTGCCTTGCTTGTGGTGGATGTACATTCTCGCCTACGTCGATCGCGGAAACGTCGCCAACGCCAACGCTGCGGGCCTCAGCACCGACCTCAAGCTCAGCGACGACGACTATTCCTTGATCGTCTCGATTTTTTTCATAGGGTACACCTTGTTAGAAGTGGGGTCTAATCTATTGTTGAACAAGTTCCGTCCGTCGCATTACCTGACCACCATCATGGCCATCTGGGGTGCCTGTGTGGCGGCAATGTCGACTGCCAACAGCCGTGGGAGTTTTCTGGTCGGACGTTTCTTCCTCGGCTGCATCGAGGCCGGCTTGTTTCCGGGCGCTCTGTACCTATTGACCTGCTGGTACAAGAAGGACGAGATTGGCAAGCGGTTCGCGCTTTTCTATACTTCGGGCACTGTGTCTCCCGCCCTGGGAGGAATTATGGCGGGCTCCGTTATCTCAGGCCTTGACGGCAAGATGGGATGGTCCGGATGGTAAGTCATTGTCCTGCTTATCACCCATCCACTGTCATTACGGAAAAGAGGCAAGAGAAAAACAAAGAAAGAAAGGAAAGAGAAGAAAAGAAAAATGAAAATGAAAAGAAGAAACTTAAACTAACGAGTCAACCACAGGCGATGGCTCTTCCTCATCGAAGGTGTAGCGACCGTCTTCTTCGCCATTGTCTTCGTCTTCGTGCTCATCGACTACCCGACCAACACGACCAAGTTCTTCTCCAAGGAAGAGTGCCAGCTGGCCTATGTCCGCATCCTGAGCGACCGGCAGACGAGCGTGCAGCAGAACGCGGCCCGCCTGACGGCGTGGCAGTCTGTGTGGGCCGTGCTGGCCGACCCCCGGTCGTACGCGTTCCTGACGCTTTACATACTCAACTCGACGGCGACGTCCATCTCGTACTTTGTGCCCGTCACCCTCAAGACCATGGGTTACACGTCGGTCACGGCCCAGTGGATGACGGTGCCCATCTGGATCTCGGGCGCCGTCATCATGGTCATTCTCTCCACGTCGTCCGACCACTTCCGCGAGCGCCGCTGGCACACGGTCGGGTGCATGCTGCTCGCCTTTGTGTGCAGCATCGTGTGCCTGACGACCACGGCCGCGGCGGCCCGCTACGCCATGCTCTGCTTCTACATTGGCGCCCTGTACACGGGCATCGCCCAGATCCTCAACTGGACCTCCGAGGCCATGGCCCTGCCCGACCAGAAGCGCTCCGTGGCCCTCGCCTTTGTCAACTCGTGGGGCAACCTGTCCATCATCTGGGGCAGCCGCCTGTGGCCCAGCGGCGAGAGCCCCGGCTACAAGACGGGCTTCACGGCCGTGGCCGTCTTTACCGGGTTCGCCGCCGTCCTGGCCTCCGTCATGCCGTACCTGTTTAGTCTCCTGCCCAAGGAGCCGCGCACCAAGGCGGAGCGGGACCTCATTGCGATCCAGGCCGGCCAAGCTGTTGAACGGGAGGATTAGGAAGGTTGGCATATGAACAGCCAATTTCCATGTCTGGTAGGGTACGACAGGGTTGCAATTCTTTTAGTCTGGAGGCGACGACGGTGGATATAGGCAATCTTGATGCGCATCTATATTATACACGTACAGCATGTACACAGTGTTTCTCGTGCTTTTCAAGCGTTCTTTCAATGTCGAAAGCAACTCTTTCAGAAATTATCTGCTTGTCCTTGGAAGGACCTTTGTATGGTGCTCTCGGCCGTGAATGCAGCACTGCGATTGTGCCTTTCTGCCGACAACAAGCCCGCACTGACTCCCGATCCTTCTCTGCATCTTCCCAACCCGCTGTTGGTATCATACAAAGGTTGATCTCTGCCACCATGTGAGTGCACGAATCCTAATGCCCAAGCGCGGCGTGTTTGTTCAATCACGCTGGGACTTATGTTGTTGCGGAGCTTGGGATTTCCATCCCTCTACGCAGACGCCAACTCGATGAAGTTGCAATGAGTACCCCTCGGCAATGTCTTTGATTGTCAAGGGTGGTTGACGAGGTGGCACTGGCACTCTGGTAGAGACAGACAGCAACTCGCCGCTGTACTTATCACCACGTGCCGAATACGAAGGCTTGTCGTGAGGAGTCTCGCGGTGATGTCTGTCCGATGTGATTCTCTCCTCATACATTGTGACATACATTGTGAGGAGATTCTCACGGCGCATCGAGTGCTGGGAATGCCTGGGTCCGGGTTCGGATTCCATGCCGATTATCAAACAATACATCCTGCTGGACGTTGCAATTGGCCCGAGATAGATAGTCCTGGTCACCCGATGATCTCGGCGGTAAGTCTTCGCAGCGAGGTTCCGGGCCACGGCTTGGCGCCCACAGTTGGAGTCTAGTGGAGGTCCGCCGGGCCACTGCCGCCGAACTCGGAGCCGAAACTGAGCAAGCTGTGCTTGTCCCGCCACGCCCGAGGCCGGTCTATGGACATACAACCCTTGAGAACATGATCGCAGCGGTTTTGCATCGCGGTACTTCGATCATGCCATGAGCTTCCACATATGATTCGGACAGCGATGTGGATGGTAGCCACTTGTTGACCGAGACCAGACACCAAGCCAAGCGGCGTGAGCGACTACCCATCGATCGACAACAATGGCTCACTCCTCGTCCATCTTCCATCGAAAGCTGGGGCACACGTACCCCACGGCCACCGGGGGCCAGGGAGTCTATGTCCACACCAGCGACGGCAAGAAAGTGCTCGACGGCAGCTGCGGCGCTGCCGTGTCGTGCCTCGGCCACGGACACCCGGCCGTCATCGCCGCCATCGTCGACCAGGCCCAGGCGCTCGCATTCGCGCATACCTCGTTCTTCACCAACGGCCCGGCCGAGAAGCTGTCCACGCTGCTGCTTAGTCTCAGCGACGATGCTTTCTCAAAAGTCATGTTCGTCTCCTCTGGCTCCGAGGCCGTCGAGGCGGCCCTCAAGATTGCACGGCAGTACCACGTGTCCAACGGCCAGCCAGGCCGCGTCAACTACGTCGGCCGCATGTTCGGGTACCACGGCAACACGTTTGGCGCCCTGTCCGCGGGCAACAACCCCCAGCGCCGGGCGACGTTCGAGCCCGTCCTGTCCAAGGCCTTCCACCATGTCTCGCCGTGCTTCTTCTCCCGCGACGCCCAACCCGGCGAGAGCGAGCAGGGCTACGTCGACCGCCTGATCGCCGAGTACGAGGACCTGTTCCAGTCCCTGGGGCCCGAGACGGTAGCCGCCGTCATCCTGGAACCTATTTCTGGTGCGACGCTGGGCTGCGTGCCCCCCACGGCGGGATACCTCTCGCGCATCAAGGAGCTCTGCGCACGGCACGGGGCCCTGCTCATCTTTGACGAGGTCATGTGCGGCATGGGCCGCGCGGAGACCACGCACGCCTGGCAGGCGCTCGGCGGGACGCGGCCGCACATCCAGACCATCGGCAAAGGTCTGGGCGGGGGATACCAGCCCATCTCAGCGGTCCTGGTGGCCAGCGAGGTGCACGACGTCATCGAGGCGGCGCAGGTGTCGCTGCCCTTTGTCAATGGGCACACGTATCAGGGCCACCCGATCGGGTGCGCGGCGGCGCTGGCCGTGCAGCAGACGATTGTGGACGAGAAGCTGCTGGACAATGTCACGAAGATGGGCGAGCTCTTGGTCAGGAGGATCTTGGAGATGACACCGCAGGTCAAGGAAGTGCGTGGCGTGGGCTTGTTCCAGGCGGCCGAGTTCCGCCCCGCGGAGACGACAACGACCACGGCAGGGACCACAACAACATCAAAGCTGGCTGCAAAGGTTGCTGCCAAGTGTCTGGAGAACGGGGCAGCCGTGTACCTGTGTTCTACGGCGGTCGATGCTGTCATGTTTGCTCCGCCGTTCATCATCAGTGAGGCCGAGGTGGACGAGCTCGTGGCCATCTTCTCGTCCTCAGTCACTCAAGTCTTGGCGGAACTATAGATATGCTAGTTAACTGCAAAGAGTCGCGTTCTTCTCGCCTCCAAATCGACTGAATCATCTTCCACTCGGCTTGAGGGCATTGTAACTGAGACGGGACCTCATGAAGAGGACTTTGCGGGTCGTAGACTCATCACCAGTTTTTACATGATTTTGTGTTGAATAAAACAGAAAACGACGAACATCGTCTATTCCTCCCAAACACCCTCGCTGCTTGCCGTTCCTTGCATGTGCGCTGTCGTCTTGGACAGGTCATGGAAGTGCTGAGGTAGAGTACACTGCCTGTGCGTTCCCCAACTAGCCAGTTGGATCAAGTGACGTGTTCGCTGTGCTCGCGGTGCGGGGACAGTCCTCTGGTCCCACCGCTTCATCGGTACCATCTACCGACGCGGGGAATCGGGAACTTGGGAAACCGGCAAAGGAACAGCCACGCTAGCGAATGGTCATCCCGAGCACGGGTTCGGCGCGAAGAGTTGGGGTCAGCCTGGCCTGCGTCTCCGCTCCGGCCATCGGGACTCGAGCTCCGCACGGGCGACCCCAATTGACCCCAATTTTGGCAAATGCAGTTCTTTTGTAACGATTCCTAGCATCGGCAAAGCAGGTGCAGCATCTCAGGTTCAACTAGCAGCAGGCGGACAAGCCTTCTCTCGGCGGAACAACAACGAACTCCCCCAGCTTCAATCTCTCAACCAACCAGTCTGACAGTCTTGACGACAGCATGTCGATCCTGGGGACCTTCAAACTGCCGGCCCTGGTCAACGAGCCGTTTGTAAGTTATCCAGGACCATTCGCACCGAAGAATAGCAACATCGGAGAGGATCGCTGTGCTGATAATCATGAGGAAAACAGACGCAATATGGTCCAGGATCACGCGACCGAGCCCAGCTGGAGCAGACGGTAGAAGACCTCAAGAAGAGGCCAGCTCAAAAGGTCTACCCCAATGTCGACGGCAAGGATGTCGAGACGGGCGACGTTGCACAGCAGTCTAGCCCTTTCGACCACAAGCTCTGCCTCGCCGAGTACCACCAAGCCGATGCCGCGCTCGTACAAAAGGCCATTGACGGCGCCCTCGCGGCCAAGCGCAAATGGGTGGCCATGCCGCTACACGACCGCGCCGCCATCTTCTACCGCGCAGCGGCACTGATCCAGGGCCCGTACCGCGACGAGATGATGGCGGCGACGATGCTGGGCCAGGGCAAGAACCCGTACCAGGCCGACATCGACTGCGTGGCCGAGTCGATCGACTTCCTCAAGACGTTCCCCGCCCTGGCCGAGGGCCTGTATCAGAACCAGCCCCCCTTCAACGCCTCGGGCGTGTGGAACCGCTCCGAGGTGCGGCCCCTCGACGGCTTCGTCTACGCCGTGTCGCCCTTCAACTTCACCGCCCTCGCAGTCAACCTGGTCCTGGCGCCCCTGATCGTCGGCAACGTCGTCGTCTGGAAGCCCAGCCCGGGCGCCATCCTGTCGAGCTGGCTCTTCAACAAGATCATGATCGAGGCCGGGCTGCCGGCCGGCGTCGTGCAGTTCGTGCCCGGCGAGGCCGCGCCCGTCACCGATGCCGCGCTGTCGAGCCGCCACTTCAGCGCGCTGCACTTTACGGGCAGCACCGACGTGTTCCGCTCGCTGTGGTCCAAGATCGCCGCGCAGGTCGGCAGCTTCACGTCCTACCCGCGCATGGTCGGCGAGACGTCGGGCAAGAACTTCCACCTGCTGCACCCGTCGACGCGGGACGTCCGCAGCGCCGCGTACAAGACGATCCGCGCCGCGTTCGAGTACCAGGGCCAGAAGTGCAGCGCCTGCTCGAGGGTGTACGTCCCACAGTCGCTGGCCGGCGAGTTCCTGCAGGCCATGGTGGACAAGACCAAGACGTTAAGCATGGGCGACAAGATGACGGACTTCTGTGGGCCAGTCATCAACAGGCAGGCCTTTGACAGGATCAAGGCCATCCTCGACGAGGCCAAGGCGGACGCGTCCGTCTCTGTTCTTGAGGGTGGCCAGTGTGATGACTCGACAGGCTTTTACATTGTGAGTGGTTCATCACCGCGAGCACCCTTTATCTCTTCCTACCCAGTCAAAGGCCCTTCTCAAGTTTTCCGCCGATTGCTGACCGCTAAGCATTCAGAGACCGACCATTCTTCGAGTAAACGAGCCGCAGTCCAAGTACATGAAGGCGGAAATATTTGGGCCCGTGGTGGCCGTGTACGTATACGAGGACAGCGCGTACGGCCTGGACTTCCTCCAAATGGTCAACGACACGTCCGAGTTCGCCCTCACCGGCGCGTTCTTCGCGACCGACCGGAACGCCATCGTCGAGGCCACCGAGGAGCTCCGCTTCGCCGCGGGTAACTTTTACATCAAGTAAGCCCCCTTCTTTCTCTCCATCCCTGCAACTGAACAACCCGTTTTTGGATTTCGTTGAGAGACATCTGACACTAACACACGGGGGAAAACCAGCGACCAATGTACTGGGGCGATGCCGGGACACCAGCCCTTTGGCGGCTCCCGGGCCAGCGGGACCAACGACAAGGCCGGCACGGCGACTTTGCTGCAGCGGTTCGTGTCGTGGCGGACCATCAAGGAAGGGTTCACCACGATTAGTGATGTCTTGTATCCTTCGAATATGGAATAAACGACCCGTGCCAATAAATCACTTTCGTTTCTTGCATAGCTAAGAGGCAAAGTAAACACCATATCTTTGCGGCTGCAATGTTTCCGGGGCAAATAATCCATACTCGTCATTATCCTTTCTCTCCATCCCAAGAACTCCTGTGAATATTTCCCTCGCTTGGGAGACTAGGACCGGAATATTACCCAGAAGACCCTGGGCAAGGTGCATCCAGTCGGTGACACCCGAGAGCTTGATGCGAAGAGCCTAGTGAAAGGGACGTCAGCTAAGCTCGGCGGTAGCAGCAGTACAGCGTTTTGGATTGCTTACCTCGAGTTGGTCTCTTACGTCTTGGTCAGCGTCTGCCCCGCTGGGTAGACTGATTGGTTGTGGTGTATGGACGACGTATCTGGCAATCTTGTGGAGTTTGGAGCAGCCATCCAACACGGTCCGGACATCGCACCCTTCTTCCTTGGCTGCCGAGAGGAACTGGACAAACTGCCCCATCATTGTCACGTTCAGATGCGCCTGCGGGTCTGTAGGCTCCTCGAGCGAACACCAAAGAAGTATCAGGGTTGCCATCACTGGGTAGCAGAGTATGGCCCTTGCGGAATAACAAATCAGCAACAAGTTCGTTTGCATGGGGTTGGAGAAATCCTTACCAAATTTGCATGTAGGGCTGCGACGGCATGCGCCGTAAGAGATCAATAGTTGCCCGGGCAGCTGATGTACACTTGGCATAGGACTGCTCTATTGCCTGTGAGGAATCGCTGCTCATCCAAGCGCTACACATGGGAGGCCATGCGCGTGACCCTGACGCGCTTTTCAACCGAGCCAGTGTCATGTTAGTCTTGATCAAAGCACTGAAATAGACCAGATGTAAAAGGGCGGTCGGGGCCTCTAGCTCTTTAGTCGTTGGAAGGGCGATGAGATCAGGCTGCCACTCTCTTGGGAGCGAGCTCTTCCATTCTTCAAGCTCGTGGTTGCATGCTATGGCAATCGCTTGGTGGTCTATGCTCGGGTGGATGTGGAGGCTGTGCTGTGAGAGCCGCCCATAAATCCGCGACTGTATTTGAGAAAGTCGCGCCATACTTGTGACATAATTGAATGGCTGTTTAGTTTGATCGCCAATGACGATGTATGTATTTGTCGGATACTCGATGAGTTCAGTATGCTGGAATGGTGTAGGCAGTCCAAACCTGACCATCATGTCCGTGTTAAGGATGTGGGCTGCCCAGAATACTCGCCTGCGCCGCTCTTGCTCCGCGGGGTCGTGGGCAGCATAAGTCTCCCTCTTGTTCAGTCCCAGGATTTGTAGTGTTCGAGCTGCCGCAGAGGCCAGGTGGGCGGTTGTACGAGAATCTGCTGTTCCAAGCGAGAACATAGCCATCGCCAGCAGCGCTTCACATGCTGACAGATCGTTGCCCCGGATTATGAGCTCTGGGAAGATCGCATATGCGTTCTTGAAATAGCACCAGCTGCTGACGCTCAACTGATCAAAGGATTCGTTTGTCGTTCTCCACCGTATCGTAGTTGCGAGAAGGGCATTGACAATGGCAAACCTGGCTGGATTCTCATGGCTGCTGCCGATCCCGGCCGTGTACTGTGCATCTGCGAGTCCTAGGAGATGACTGCTGGTGAAAGACGGGCACAAGAGCTGGGCCTCTCTGACCATCGTCTGCTCCATGCTGAGAAGGTATTGCTTTGGAGGGAGCTTCGTAAAGGCTTCTCTTTTGAGCGGCCGATTGTCCATTTCCGCCTCAAGCAGACTTATCACGTTGGAAAGTCTAGCAAGAGGGGCAAATGGTGATAGCGGGGCTTCCGCGAAGGGTAGAACATGAGAGGGCAAGCCTCCTTCGGCATCGATCGATTGTGGTCGATCACTCGGGTGACTTTGGTTGTGTTGCGCCAAATCATCCGAAACAGGTAATGAGATCCTTGAGCTTGGAATCGACAGAGATTCTGGTGTGTCTCTTTGACCTCCAAACTGAGACGGCAGACTTTCATGCCGGACCTCGTCGCAAAGCCCACCTGCTTGCGCAGTGTGATCCTCAGTCACTTCAAGTCGGCTTCTGGGCTGCAAAGGTGCCTCACGCCGAGACTTCAGCCCAGAGTCGCCCGCTGTGATTTTCCTACTAATCAATGTTAATTTCGAACAAATAGGAGTCGGCAAATTGTAAGCACAGACTTCCGCCCCGGGCCCCTCTTCCTTCGCTGTACGTAGACACAGGGCGTATGTGACCGTGAGCAGAGCCCGCAGGCAGGCTCTGCCCCGTCGCAACGCCGCTTCTTTGCTTTGCAGCTTTGACATGCCTAACAAATATGATTAGAATGTATCAACCAAAGATCCTTCCGCTCGCCTACGCTGTATATCCGCTTCGTGTCAGCCTTCTCCCTGTTGTCGTCATCATGGACCGAACTTTCCGCAACCCCAGCCATAAGTAAGCCTCAAGATTGGTTGCAATCGGTGGCATGCGAGAGACTACGGTTTGTATCCGCAACGAGGGAAGAAGAAATCATCCGCTCTTGAGGTGTAGGGGTGGATAAGGGAGCTAGGACGGAGCTTAAAAAGCATCCGCTCTTCATTATGTAATACGAGGCGGATGCTTTTGCGGATGTAAACATGCCTCTCCTGGATTATGTAATTACTCTGTCACCCCACAAGGGGTCCTCAATTGTACCCGCAACTACGCTAACGTAGAATCATGTAAACAGCATCCGCAGTAGCCACTTTATAGGGAGCTTGGACTTTTTGCTGGCCAATAGCGTACGCAAATTCCACACTCCGTCGAATTGATACCGCAGTGGGCGTGTGTACATGTCCGCTTCTTTGCAATTGAGTCCCGACAGATTGATTCCGCAAATCAGGCACACCGCCAAAATTGATGACCCGCTCGCAGCTGAATAATGATCAACCAAGTGGCTTAGATTTCGATGCGAAAATGCGTGGAGCCGGGCGTGTGGTATATATGTTGGTCCCCGGCGACCCAGAGCTCAGCATAGTATAAATCGGACAGCCAGCATCTTATATCCAGTAACCACCTTGTCAAACCAAACATTCAAACGCAAGCACTCCAAGAGTATAGAACTTTTCCCCTTATTGTCAACATGAGCACTTTCACCAACGTCGCCCTCCTCGGCGTAAGTCCTGTCTCCTCGATTTCAAGCTACAGCATTAGTGACAGCCATTCCGCAGAAAGGATACCTTGGGTCCGCTATCCTTACGGAGCTTGTGGAAGCTGGTTTCAATGTCACTCTCCTCAGTCGCTCCGAGTCAGCAAAGGAGGGACTTCCCGGCAGCGTCAAATTTACGATTGTCGACTACACCTCTCTTGACGCGCTTGTGGCCGCTCTCAGGGGCCAGGACGTAGTCGTCTCGACTGTGAGCGGGGGTGGCCTGCTCGCGCAGACGACCGCCATCGACGCGTCCATCAAGGCCGGCGTCAAACGCTACATTCCATCCTACTGGGGCTCCTTCACGATCGACCCGAAGGCGCGCAACGATCTGGCCGATCTCCACGGACCGATATTCGACGCCCAGAAATACGTCACCGAGAAGGCTCGCGCCGGCGAGATCGAGTACACAATGTTCTCTGTCGGCAGCTTCACCGACTATTTTACCGAGCGCCCCTTTGCCGCCTTTGACTTTGACGACAAGAGTGTAGAGCTCTTTGATGGCGGCAAGCACTCCTTCAGCAGCACCAGCATCGCGGGCATCGGGAAGGCCGTCGTCGGCGCGCTCAGGAATGCCGAGGCCACCAAGAATCGACACCTCAAGGTTCATGAAGTCGTGCTCTCTCAAGCACAGCTTCTGGCTCTTGCCAAGAAGTATTCGCCGGCGGGAACTCAATGGAAGGAGACCAATCTGGACGGCAAGGCCGAGTTCGACAAGGCCTTGAAGGCTGTCCTAGAGGATCCCTCCGACAAGTACAAGATAATCAAAGTCATGTTGACTGGTCTCATGGGGGGGCGCTACAAAACTGTGTATGACGAGGTTGACAACGAGCTGGTGGGCCTTCCCTTTGTTACCGAGGAGGATATAGAGTCAAAATTGGCATCTGCCCTCCGTTCTTAGACTATGCAAAGAGCGATTGAGCGGGGCAAGCTTGAACGGCTATGGATATTTAGAAAGGCTGGAAGTATTTCTTACTGATGTGCTGTGGAGATGCAGCTGTAAGGGATATTCGTTATATAGCACACGGGAATTAAGTCGGACATATATGTCTGAGATGCAACATGGCAAATGCATTTTTACGTGGGCGGTTGTGAGTTCACCGTCAGCATTCTTATCGAGGAAATGTCCTATTTTAACAAGGTTGTTCCATGAAATCTTAGATGATGGTTCAGATACGGCTTTAATGAGGTAATACAACAACACCGACACGACACGCAATGGTCACTCGCAAAAGGTGTGTTGTCGTGATTTTGGAATCTCACATCACGGCTGGTATTTTGTCACTAGTAACTCTTCGCAAGGAAATACCCCTTGTCTAGATCTTTGGTGCTTCCTCGGCCGGTTCGCTCGACTTTTCTGGCCCAAGATATTTCTCTCCAACACCCCTGACGACCAAGTAGGCCGGGATTACCGCGACTCCCCACAGAGCGAAGTTGATGCCCATAGCTGTCAGCAGCTGATATCTCGAAGTTAGCTACAAATGATATGAAAAGTATGGAGCTGTGGGAGTGGATTTATTTACCGGTACAGTAGTGGAGCTGATGCCGCTTGAAATTGCCTGGCCCGCCGCCTCTACTCCTCGGATCACGCTCATGGACCGGACAGCGTCCTTGGGCTCCGCCGCGAGCCAGCTGATCAGCCAGAAGCCGTAGTTGTAGGTGAGCGAGAAGTTGATCTGCCAAAAGACGTACAGGGCCCAGCCACGGTCGAACCCGTCATCGCTCCAGTCAAGGGAGGGCTTGTGGAGGTGGTAGTCGCGCTGAACGACAGTGCCCCAAGCCCAGGTGCCGCCGATCAGGGCCATCATGAATATGTAGCCGTACCGCGCACGCTTGTTGAGGCTGAGAGCCCTCCAGTCGAGAAACGCACCAAACAGCAGCGTCGAAACGACCTGAGCGACAGCTGATATGAGCGAGGCGAGGGCCCGGGCGCGCACGGAGAAGTAGAGAGTCAGGTAGGCGCTGATATAGGGGAGACTCCAGGTGACATATAGGAAGAAAGGGGCCCTGTGTGCTCGCTGTTAGCGGACGCGGTTGGATAACTGCGAGAGGGTACAGAGAGTCGAAGCTCACGTTAGCAGAATCTCTTTCTTCTTGATCACATTCCACAAGGCCTGGATCTCATGCGCGGTCGGTATCGGCTCAACGGGCAAGACTTTGGTGCCATTTCTTCGCACGACCTGACTTGGCAACGACAAGAAAAAGGCCACTCCGGGACCCAAAGCCTCTGTTTTGACACAGTCAGTATACCGTGTTCAGATCCCCATAGTGGTGCCGCACCGGGTTTTTGACTCACGCAGCGCCACAAAGACGATATAGGTCCTCCAATCCAGCTTCCCGGTGCTGACTCCTCGGTAGTTGAAGGCGAGATTAATGATGCCGCCCAGGATGGAGCCACTATTGCGGTAGCTCAGCCAATATGAGAGGTAGCGCCCGCGCTTGCCGGGCTCGGGGTAGCTCAGCATGATAGCTCCTTCGGTAGCCCAGAAGATGCCTGCGGAGATACCGCATGCAGCTGAGCCGAGATAGATAAACCAAACAGTTCCGTAGCGGTTGTTTGTGTACAGCGCGGCTGAATAGATAACGTAGCCCACTGTCCCGAAGATCAGGCCGATGCGGTATCCGAAACGGTTCGCCATGAGGCTTCCGCTCAGACAGGAGAATACCATAATCGTGAAGAGGATCGCATTGCCAGCCCTGCATGTTTGCCTGTCAGCGGCCCGAGCCCATTGACACGGCTGGAAAAGGCGACGATGAAGGTCTTGTAGAGAGAACCTCCTTGACGCAGATCGCGAGACTCACAAGACAAGATAAGGTGATTGTTGCCCTCCTGCTCCGACGGACTGCATGGCATTCCATAAACCGGGTGCCGCGAAGGCGGTTATGCCGACAATTGTCGCGTTGAAAAAGACCCCATGGTACCAGTGATATGGCTTGACCGCCTCACGAGCCTCGTCACCCTGCTCTATAGAGGAGGTGAAGTTCTCTTCGGTCTCGGTCTGTGGTACTGCCATGTTGCATGGGTTTGGAGAACGGGGGATCCGAAGTCGTAGTCCTGAGCTCCAAATAGTAAACCTAAAACGACAAAAGCGAGGCTGGTTATGCACGACCGGCATGCGGATGACAACGTCCAGGTATTTATTTAAGTCCTTATCTGCTGAAATGTGGCTACCGGAGGTGCTCCATGGGTGGCGCGAATGGTATAAGAACTCCAGTAGATTGCGTAATTGGGACAGGGCCTGTGCCAGCACGAGGGCAGGAACCGTCCAAGGCCAGGATTAGCTCTTTGATGGCTGAGAAATCTAATCTCCGCCGTTGTCGGCATCAAAGACATGGATTGCAAGCAGTCAATCCCGGGGTAGCTCTACGTAAGTGATCGGAAACAATGCGACCCCACAGGCTGGGTAGCCGGAACTCCAACCACTACACTGTTTGGCTGCTCGGGAGGGGGTGGTCGGTAATCTGTGCAGACAGAGTGGCATCTCGGATCCGATTCCCGATACTGTGTCCAGACTCCAAATGAATGTGCAAGGAACCGCAGCCTACATGCCTGGCCATCTTGTTCCTATTCGATGCTCGGTCTGAGTTGTAAGCAGGGAGTGGAGAGCCCGACCCGTCACATCATTTTAGCGTGGTTGACGGCGCGCCGCCAACGCTCCCGACTCACGCTCCCCCGCACATCAGCTCTGCCCTTACTCGCAGATATTTGTTTTCCCCCGGGAATGTTGGGACACCAATCTGGGATGAGTTCACGGCTGAAAACGGCGCCGCTATCGGCCAGCTTGGGGTGAGAAATATGACGTGCTTGCACGCCAATACGAGGAGTGTGGATGCCGCCTTGATTGCTGGGGGGGATAAAATGGTTTTATTAATAATCAAAAGCTCATGTCCGTCTACCCGATGATTTCTGGTTGGAACATTTTGAACTGGCATCAGTACACATAACGAATTACAATGTCGACTCATAAACTCCAATTCGAGGAGTTCCTCTTCGCGGGTCAACAGGACACGGCGCTATTGGGGCTCCCAACAAGCGCTCCCTTCCCTCTGGCACTGAGACCTGAGGGCAAATGGGAGCCGACGTTGGCGGAAGCCATCGACACGATCAAGAGGCTTGTCGAATCAGAAGACTTTCTCGGGCGCGTGCGCGGACACGGCGGTGCCGTGTTGATCCGGGGCTTGCCCATCTCGACACCCGACGATTACAGCGATGTCGCCCATGCGTTTGGATTCGAGCCACACGAGGAGGTCGGTCGGCCTCCCCTGCGGACGGTGCTAGCCAAGAATGTGAAGACGGCCAATGAGGGGTAGGTCATCCACGACTGTATATTACAGTGACATACTTCTCACGGCATTCTGGTAGTCCCCCGGAAATGCCAATTTGGCCGCACAATGAATATGGCTGGTCGACGATCAATCCTGCGTGGTTGACCTTCTCTTGTCTGGACGTTCCATCAGAGGGTACGTTTCTGCCTCCTGCCCCTATCACCTCGGACATGAGTACTAAAGGCTGTGATTCATACTCTCAGGTGGAGGAACGCCCATCATCTCTAGTCTGGGGCTAGCTGCGGCCCTCAAGAAACAAGCGCCGGAGTTTGTCGACAAACTACTCCAAAAGGGAGTCAAGTATGTCTATCGATACGGCGCAACTGAGGTCAAGTCAAATACTGGGACGAGCGTCTTCAATGCCTATGGACAGAACGTGAGCCCTGGTGATGACCAAGCCACAATCCGGCGGAAGATTGAGCAAGAGGTCAGGCGGCACAGCCATCGGTATCAATGGCACGACGATGGATCGCTGAGTGTCACGCATATTGTTCCGCGTAGGTCCCTTTGTCCTGGGTGGTCATCAGGAACTGCAAGTTGACAATGTTGCAGTGATTCGCCGACATGAAGAGACGGGTCTGACGACTTGGTTCGGCAACCTGACGAGTGCGTGGGGCCGGACCCGGCACCACGGAGCAACAGAGCCGCCGCATCTCGGGGACGACGGCTCGTACCACCCGCCGCCCGAATACGGAGACGGCTCACCAATCGAGAAGAAGTATCTCGATCTTGCTCTGCTGCTCGCGGAGCAGGCGCAGGTAGTTGTCGACTGGGAGCAAGGCGACATTGTCCTGCTGGATGTAAGCCTCGCCCTTTCCCCGCCTCCACTTTCTGCGCCGTGCGAGGGTTATAGTGAAAAAAGAGATGTATGCTAATGATGGCACGCATTCTAGAATTACGCCGTCATGCATTCGCGCTGCCCCTGGAAGGGCAAGAGGACTGTTCTTGCCGCATTGTGGGACAATAACAATCATTTGAGGATTGGCGACTACCCGACCAGGGAGAAGCTCTAGAATTCGCAGTGCACCGATCAGAGACAAGGTTTAAAGAAGCAGTTTGCCTAACAAGGACGTTACTCGAGGTCAATAGAGAAACTCCTCAAAGACCATATCAGCTGGGGGATGGTACTGCTGTTTCAAACGGTCGTTGGGGACTGATAAGGAGCCCATCTCCAGAGAGGTCGGCTTTGATTGGAAGTCGAAACCAAATCTCCATCGCAGTTAAACCCTAACATGGTAAGCGGCTTCTGTGGCCCTGCTCAGTCTTGCTCAGTCCCACTCAGGCCCTACTCAGTCCCCTAGACCGTGCTGAGGCGGGGTAATACCGTGATCCTAGCGATCCTAGAGCGTCGTGACCCCGGTGATCCTAGATACCGTGATCCAGGTGATCCTTATCTTATCATGCCTTTGTCGGGTCCCGTACCCGACGCTTATGTAAGTTGATGATATAAGAAAACCTGAGGGGCGCGACCCGCGTGCATGACCTGCCCTTGTCCTTGGCCCAATCCTGCGACCTGTTGGTCGGGTCGTTACATCCTACCGCTGTCCAAACTCCACGGGTATGGACAGTTAGGTCGCGGTGACGCTCAGCCTTGTTGGAGCCCTCGCGGACAAGGCTGCACTAGGCGCTCGTCTGTTGCAATAGTCAATGATGGTACCGATATCACGGGTGGCATTGAGGCTGTGCATAGCACTAGGTAAGCATGTGAAGCATTCTGCATAACAGCAGGAACGCCTTACTCGCTCAAAGTAGCATCGTTTACCCCCAGCCTTAAGAGAGTCCCACAATCTGGGTGCTGTTACAGAGGCAGAAATAGACTCCGCTGAGGACGAAATGTAGGTCCATCACCCGAGCCGACAGGATAATTAAGGTGACGCTCTCGACAGCTCCGCTGGCCGACTCCAAATTCGTATGACTACTGAAGTTACGCGGTCGAACAAAACATGAGGCGTTGGCTGGTCCATATTTGGTTTGACTTTATTAGCTTCTAGATTTAAGCCTCCTCCTGTCTATTTATGCGATGCTCAATTTAAGAAATCTCCATTAGCCAGCTTGACTTCGTAGTTGTAGTAAGCTTGGAATTCGGCGTAGCAGAGATCGTGGTCACTCTCCGCGTCGAAGTTGAACTTGGCTTCTCGATCAGAGATGATCTTCTTCGGGACACCATCGGCAGCAGCGGCATCCGCTAGCAGCTGAACGTGGCAACTCCTTTCCATAGAGGTTAGGAGGAAGGCGGCCTCATCCACGGTCCGACCCACTGTTAAGAGACCGTGGTTGCGAAGGATGGCACCCTTGCCATTCGGCCCTAGTGACGAGGCGATTCGCTGTCCTTCCTCAGGACCAAAGACGACCCCTCCATGGTTATCATATACAGCCTGCGCGTCCCCATAGAATTTGCACGTATCTTGCGTCAGCATTTCGAGGGGCCGCCCAAAGACAGACCATGCTTTGCCGTAAATCCCGTGGCAGTGGACGACTGCCGCAGCATCAGGGCGAGCCTTGTGGATCTCGGTGTGAATCAAGAACCCGGCGCTGTTGATGACGGGCCATTCTGTATTGCCCCCGATGATTTTTCCGTCCAAGTTGACGAGGACCATGTCGCTGGCCTTGAGGAGTCCGAAGTGGACGCCATATGGATTGAACCAGAAGGCATCGCGGAACTCTGGATCTTGGACGGAGATGTGTCCCGAAATTCCTTCGATGTATCCTTCGCGGCTCCAGTGGCGGAAGACGCCAGCCATGTGCTGCTTGATCCATGTTCGGTGCTCTGCGAAGCTGGGGAAGTTGGGAATCCCGGGGAGAGACAAGCCGTTTGGCCCGAGCGAAAGTGCTTCCAGAGGCGTCTGGAGTCTCTTCTGGCTGAGTTCATTGGAGGTAGCATTTTTGGTTGTGAGGCTTCGCTCAGCGATCGGATCGGCAGCAGGGGCCATTGCTTGAGATGCTGCTCAACTGAAGCGAGGAGAAATCACTAGTAAGCTGAAGCTGGGAAACCCAGTGACATGACGACCGCAGCACAAAGACGACCGTGTTCGCCAACTGCGCCGTAGCGGAAACAGCAATCTCAATTAATATGAGCCTTAGATGCATGCACTTGCAGGTGGCGAGACCCTCGGTGGCGGCCCAGAGGCCACTCGGTTGATGTGGACGGGATGGTGGTGTCGGTGTTTCCGGGTCGGAGGGATGCTGTCGCTCCTGAGGGACCAATGGATAGCCAGACCAGACGTGGATGTCGGAATGTCCGGTCCAGTAGGGGCAGTCCGCAATCGGAGAAGCCAAGCACTCCGAAGCGCGAGTGGGTCTCGATGCTGGTGCATGCCCGTGGCTAGCTTTGCCTCGACTTCATCTCATTCGTCCTGATACTCTTGCGGGGAAATCAGACGAAAGCAGCCAACGCAGTCGGCCTGTGCTGAAGTCTTGTTAATCATTGGACGCGCTTCAATTGCACTAGTGTCATTCTAGGTGAAGAGACAGCTCGCCTGCCCAAGATTCGAAGCTACGTCCACTAAGTTGAATTATCGTGACTACCGCTCTAACTCGTCTACGGAAACCATGAGCCAAGAGCACCAGCAATGTGCTCTGGGGGCCCCAGGCTCAAGTGAATTCGTTCTAATCAGATCCTAACCAGAGCACAGCCTGAACATCCGCTGTCTGAAATGTATCTCCCTAGAAGGGCCCCCTCTCATTGCACAAGGCCCAAGTGCTTGCCAATTTCGTCCGAACCGCTGGTCCACAACCCAGGAGAGTGCTTGGGCCAGACGCTTCTGAAACCAAGTGCCTGTTGAAGTCTGGGTGCCAAGGTCTTTACCAAGTCCAACGGCACAGTGTGCGCAAAGGCTTCCTCCTGCGTAAAGGCACTTGTGACCATGACGCAGGAAATGACGCGTCGGAGAAAGTCCTCGGTCGAGTTGCAGCCACCCCCGTGCACGATCTTTCCTCCAATGATAAAGCAGTCTCCTGGTTGGAGCTCTACCGGGGCCGTCATCTCCTCTGCACCAAGGTTCTCGTCGTCAAAGTCGTACTTCCACTTGTGACTACCCGCAATGGCTCTCGTGGCCCCGTTCTTGACGTTTGTCTCGGTGGTGGCGAGGAGGAAGTTGAGCATCAACTCCGGGGCGTCGGTCCCGAGGGCCTGCGCAGGCCACCAGTTTCCGAAGTCGCGGTGCAGTTGTTGCAGAGGGTTCCCTGGTCCAATCTCCATCATAGTTGCGGTGCTCATCCAGTAGTCTCCCAGCCGCTTGCCAATGACGGCCTCTGTAATGTCGTGCATCAAGTCGGCATTGGCAACTTCCTCACGCCAGGTTTTGCTCAGCTGAAGCAACCCAGTCAGGCGTTTGGTATGAACGCCCAAGAACGCTTTGATCTCCTCCTGCATGTCGACAAGTTGGCCAGAAGGGGTCAAGGCTTTGAGGTGAGGATCAAGCTCTTCGTTGAGGTTGGTGGCTTGTTGTCGGCTGATAAATTGTTCGATCACGACCGCACCGTCATCTTCAATAACTTTGGCGATCTCATCCACCGGAGTGGTTCGTGGGACTCGGCGAATCCCAACGGGGACCTTAGTTGTGGTCGCAGGGCGACCTTCAACGGTGGTAGAGACGGATGTGGTAGTAGTCGAAGTCATCGTGATATGCTCGATGAATCCGTGGAAACGATTCTAGTGCCCGATCAGTTAAGAATGGTCGATGGTTGATTTTGGTGCGCTGTGGACGGGGTGAGCTGATTAGGATATCAAGAGGATTCGGCTATCAAGTAAATAAAAGCCAGCATTAGCTTCAGGCTTGCTCACCGGCCACTAGTCGGACCCCAGACCTTTGTCGTCGGGATGCTCGACCCGCCCATTTCGGAGATTCCGAACCATACTTCAACGGTTTCGGGGCGGACCTTCCGGCTTTGCCCCTTGGAGTCATCTAGCCTCAGGTTTGCCTATCACCATTCGAGTCTCCCCACGACGACAATTAGTGTTGTCGATTTTTCGATTTTAATGGCCCATGCAGCACACTATCAACAGCCACTCGATCCCATGCGAGATAAGAACCACCGCGGCGCGAGGTTCATCCAGTTTCGGAGAACGACATCGAACGAGACTCAATTGGTCACGATATCCGCCGTAGGTCAACGACTAGACGTCAAATCTACCTCGCCAGACAATCACCGTTATCTGAGGCGACTTTCAGATGAGCCGTACTGGCCTGTGCCATCCTACCAAGACGAAATCCAAGCACAGAGCGGGATGCTTTCGGATTCTCCTCATGGGGCTGCGTTGTCGTCCCTATGCCACCTGCGCAGGCACGCCAGAAACTTTTACGCGCTTCAATCATGATGTTCTTGAACAGACATATATTTTACACCTATTCCTATATAGACAATCTCGGTGTCCCCCCGAAAGTTTCCAACTGAGAAGCCGGCCTTCTGCCCCTGTGCAGCTCGGCCTTTCTCGGTTGTGTGATCAAGATGTACTTAAAATCAAACCAATTAGATAACCGAGGCTGCTCTACAAGGAAGTCTGATTGGCCTGGGGGATGGCATTCGTCTGAGCTTCTCTTCTGCGAAATTTGATCTTGTCCTTCCGCCCAAACAGCCCCAGGAGGAGTGGAGGAGCACCGACCAGAACGACCGCGACTCCAGCCTGTGCATAGAGTGCTCTCGACGCCTCACCAGGTGGGTTTCCATCTGGGTTGATGCCAGCAGCGAAGCCAAAGACGGTGACGGCGCCGAGGACATTGCCCATGCACCAGCAAACGGTGGATATGAATTCGGGCGGGACGGGGTAGAGGATCTCGGCCAGCGTCTCCAAGATCAAGGAGAGAACAGTAGTGCCAAATACTCCCATGAGTGTGCAGACGACAAAGGCCACAACACGACTCTCGGAAGCGGGGACAAAGATAAAGGCAATGTAGAGTCCTGCCCCCAAAACCAACATGCTTTGGATAGCGGGAATGTGTAGTCGCCACCGGTCGACAAGAGGTGCCACCACCAAAGCCACAGCGCATCCCACTCCTGTTTGCAGCCCAGTCAGAAGTCCCGCATCCTCCAAAGGGAATCCGTAAGGCGCCAGATACAACAACAAGAGCGTGGCGAAGGCATTGAAGAGAAGCAAGCCAACAATGAATGGTACAGCGAGCATGTAAAATTCGGGGCTCTTCAGCATCCTGAGAGCATAAGACCACGGCGAAGGTGTGTCGGATGTCTCCAGAGATTCCGGGGTGCTACTGGCTGGGTGCTCTCGCGGCGGTTCTGGGAAAAAAAAGCAGCTTGCTGCCGCGGCTGTGGAAATTCCAGCCACTATCAAGATAGACTGGGGCAGCTGTGATGCATCCTGGGCAAGAAAAGGGGTGGTGAAGGATCCGAGCATGGAACCGATGGTCGGGCTGATGGTACCAAAAGTAGTCGGAGTTGTGCGACGATCTGGGCGGAACCACTGGCTTGAGTAGACAGGAGCCACCGGTAGGACAAAGATTTGCGACAGAGCTAGGATAAGTTGGCCGATAATGGCCCCTGCCATGGAGGCTTTGGCCGTGCCGGCATACCGGATCCAGTTGCCAAGAATGGTGCCGGCAGCTCCCACCAAGACACTCTTACGTGTGCCATAGCGGTTGATGAACCATGCGGCGAAGGGGAAGGGGATGACCGCTAGCCCGTAAGCTGTGGAAAACCAGTTGATAGCCTGTGCATCGACCCCGAACCACTCCTGAGCGTATATGTTCACCGTGGCGTATGACAGCCAGCCCCAGACTTGTACCATGTTGAGGAAGCATAGAGCTGCCAGGCCATAATAGCGGTGGAAAGTCGAGATTTGGTGGTATTCGGTTGAAGTTCCAGCCGTAGCCGACGCCTGCCGGGAAAGCTCGATGGCCCCACCTGCTTTGGCTTTGGGTGTAGGCGGCGAGGTTGCCGATGACTTTGTGGATTCTGATGACATTGCAAGGAGAGTGAGGAGGGTGACAGATGAGTTGGCCTTGGGGGGGTAGACGGGCTTGCTTCGATGAGCTGGGTCGAGCATCAACGAGGAAGTCATTGACAGAGGCCGGCCGTCGATTTAAGGACGAATCGGCCTCAGGTTGTCGGGTCCTCCACAGCCGATTTTAAGAGACTAGCCCGAACGAGTCTGGACGCTATGCCTCGTTATCTCCTGTTTTGATGCTCCGCTAATTACTAGCGCCTTAGCCTTGCGGGGGAAATCCACACTGGCCTCAGTCAGGGGTTGTTTGTATCGCCGCAGCTGATAAGATGGCTAGACCTCGGGCATTCCGATATGGTTCGCCCATCCAAGTGAGCCTCGTACCCTTTCGGATTGTCCGATGCGGCCACGTCGTGGTGACCATGAACTGAACTAGCTTGTGCAATTGCCCTTAATAGCTGCTGGACTGCCGCGATAAGGTTGGGTGATGTACCGTTCGGACCGTAGGCACAACGCGTTAGGATCCCCTCCCTCCCAGGCAAAAACAACAATGGCGACTGCGGAGCAGGTCGTCCCCCTTGCAGACAGGCGCGCTCTTCGCGAGCGCTATGTCGGCAAGAGCCTGCTTGACCTACCCACGCCCGGAATCATCCTGGATGCAGACCGCATACGACGTAACTGCCGGGCCATGCTCGAAAGCTGCCAGTCATTGGGCTTGCAATGGAGAGCCCATGTCAAGACACACAAGGTGAGTCCGCGCAGCTACTTTCTCCAAAGTGTGGCTTCCTCTGCTGACCGGCACCACCATCTGTAGACGATCGAGGTATCGCGTCTTCAGGTTGGAGAGGACAAGACTCGCCCAGCCAACTTTGTAGTCTCGACACTGGCCGAGCTCGAATTCCTCAGTCCATTGCTGGCGTCGTACAAAGCCGAGGGGCGTGACTGCAACGCCATCTATGGGTTTCCTGTCTCCCCAGAGGTCGTCCCGAGGCTGGCCAAAGTCCTCCAAAGTGTGGGGCCGGGCAGCGTCGGACTTCTGGTCGATTGCGCGGCCCAGGTCGCCACGGCAGCGTCCATCAAGACCATGAGCGGCGGCGTTTTACCACTCGTCCATGTCAAGGTCGACGCTGGCGCCCATAGGGCTGGGCTTGTTCCGGGCACCCGCGCGTTTGAGGACTTGGTCAAGGCCCTGCTCGAAGCCCACGCTGCAGGCCACCTGGTCTTCAGTGGCCTGTATTCGCACGCCGGCCACTCATATAATGGTGACTCCCGCCCATCGGCCGTCTCCATGCTCGTCACGGAGCTGGACATTATGATCCGGGGTGCTGCTTACACAACATCCCTGCTGCCTCCGCCGTCCCCCCAACTATCCCTGACAATCTCCGCCGGCGCGACCCCTACGGCCCTTGCTATTCACAATGTCACCGTGGCTCACGAGCCTGACGAGGGCGAGCTCACGTCCTGCAACAAGCTGTCCGCCTTACTGCAGAAGGCCGCGGCAAGTGACCTGAAGGTTGAGGTTCATGCAGGAGTGTATCCATTTTTGGATCTCCAGCAGTTGGCAACCAAGAGCGCCCCAGACAGCGTGTTGTCCTGGGAGAATCTGGCTATGACAGCAATAGTCGAGGTGGTCAGTATTTATGAAGGCCGTGCGAAGGACAGCGGGACCGAGGTGCTAGTACGCGCTGGTATCTTGGCGCTCGGCCGGGAGAGTTGCAAGGCATACGGTGGACTGGCCATGGTTGCGCCATGGGGCATCGAAGGCGCGACCATGCCCAGAGGTAGCGTGGAAGACAACGCTGATGGCTGGGCCGTTGACCGCATCTCACAGGAGCACGGCATCCTGACGTGGTTGGGTGCTGAAAAAGGTCGAAAGGCAACCCGTCTGCATGTTGGCCAGAAGCTTCAATTGTGGCCAAACCATGCATGCATCACCGCGAGTCCCTTTGATTGGTACTACGTCGTGGACAGTGCACAAGGGGCAGGTGAGGTGGTTGTGGACGTTTGGACAAAGGCTAGGGGCTGGTAGATGAAGCCTATTCCGGAACGTACTCTGTTTGTTCAAGATCTAGACTACTTAATTCCCGCTCTGGGATGCCATTGGAAAATGGCCTCGATTTGACGAGATGAAGAATTATTGTGCAGATTGAGAGAAAACTCATCACTTTCCGAGATAGGCTGCTCATTTAGAGATCTGAAGCCAGTTTGGAGTTTATTGTGCCCAGTGCTTCATCCGACAACCACGGATGCAAATAGTGACAGACCTCACAGTTGATCATGCCAACAGAAGAGATATGTCTGGGGAAGTTTTCGAGGCCAATGAAGCTGCTGGACACCACGTGTGAGCCGTCGGCACTTCATTATCAGGAACTGTCCTTCGTCACCCGTTAACCGTCACTAGTCACCCGTTATCTCAAAACCGTAAGAGGAATCTTTGGACTGGGTGTGGTCATGAACTAGTGGATCCCAATTCCGTTCATGCCTTGCCCCGGATTCTCCGAGAATGCCGGTCTTTCCGGGCTCGACCCTAGCCCCCGGCCGTGGCGGCGCGCCCACGCACCATTTCAGGGCTCCACGGAAGCATGACTGATGTGGAGGAAACGTGCGATCTCTGACGGCGTTTATATCCTACACCCCTAACTTTAAAAACGTGAGACTCAGACGAGGAGTATCACCAGTGGTCTAAGAAGACGCGTCCAACAGTCTCAAAGCATTTACCGACTAGTAATAATCATCATGGCCCACGACAAGGCCCTGGTCAGCGTCAACGGCGCGTCACTGTCCAAGCCGCTGACTCTCTCGGCTCAGCCTAAGACGGACACATCTCGCAAAGGTGGCGACCCGAAGAAGCCGGCAATTCGCTTCGAGTCTCCGATCCTGCGCGTAGCACATCCGACCTCTTCTTTTCGACGAACCAGACTCACTTTCAAGCCTGTGGGTGGAACTCAGCACAACTACGACCAGGCAGGATACATGTTTGTATGGCCTCATCCAGACCTGCCGAATCCGGATGCCGAGCATCCGGGGACTACAGAGACCGGCCCTTTCTACGTCAAGGTCGGCATCGAGGTCATTTCCGGCACGCCGTTCGCTACTTGTCTCGCGAACAATGGACAGCTGGACTTCAGCGCGATCCCGCTGGCCCCCGGCACAGAAGGCGACGAGATCACCTATGAGGTTATGCGGTACAACGGTAGTCTCCTCGTGCTGCTGGTCAGAAAGGGAGACGATGGGCAGGAAACACCGATACCCGTGCGGATGATCGATTGGTGCCTCCAGGAGAACACAGAGCGGCCAAATATGTGGGTGGGCGTGCATGCCTGTCGTCCTGATTGGAACGATGAGGCCTCGGGGCCGTTGGAGGTTCAAATTACACACTTCGAGGTCGAGGACGAGCACGGCGCCACTCAATATGCATAAGATTCCAACAACCGCGATGGCTTTGGGGGGCTATGTGGAATTGGAACAGAGTCCTCTCAGCTCCAGAGGCCGCCTTCGGAATACCCCCCTGGTCCTTCTGGCATTTCCCAATTCCAATTGAGCGAGCCTAGAAACAGCGACTCACTGTCGGGTGGAAAGACAAGCTGGTTGATGTTCTCGACGCCGGCGAGGGACCCTTCTCGAGTCAAACGGTGGTCCACCTGGAAAGAAATAGTCAGTTAACCATGGCCTCTAGCAGTATTTTAGATTAGAAAGAACTTGCATTATCACCTCCCAGGCCGTGAGCAGGGTTCTGCTGTGAAATATCCAGGTGGTAGGGTCTACGATCCTGTCCCGGCTCCAAATGCCCGTCCATAGCTCCGTAAGCTGTGGTTGTGCTCGATGGCGAGGGGCGATCGTGATTGGCTGGAATGCTTCTGCCAGCCGCGCCTCTTGGGTCGATCTGCGAGTGGTTTTGTTGTTGTCTGCGGACATACTCATGGGCAATGGCGGTAAATTCGCCGAAGTGCACAGTTCCAGGAGCACCTTGGGATGCATAGACGAGTTCTAGTCTGGAGAAATAGCCGGCTGTAATGTCAAGGAATGCGAGACTCTTGGCTGTCTCCGGGTGGTGGGGATTATGCACGACGCAGTCAAAGAGCACGAACATTGCCATCATCGGCATATGAATAAGACATCTGTATCGAGGGGAAGTCAGCGTCACCATCGTGAGGCAGATGTTGTTTGGCCTAAACTTACATCATAGGCGTGCTCGGCTCCTGAGGTATGAACTGGACCAGCGCGACAATGGCCCGCGCCGCCATTAACAGAGATACAGTTGCGTCAGATCGCCTGGTCGATTGGGCGTCGGAGAGGTGCAGTTTCAAACGCGCCAGGGAGACAATCAGTCCATAGTACATAAAGTGCAAACGCAACACGATCATGGCGTGTCCTGGCTGGGTGAAGCGCAGATTAGGAAGACCATGGTTCGGGCAGAGCTTTTCGGGTATTGTCTTCAGCCAATTGTCGATGTCGGTTGTCACGCCGGCGATTTTTTCGAACTGCTCTTCCTTTGTTCTGAAGGTAGCGCTAATGGAAAACAAAGACACATATGCTTTCCAGAGAAGACGGGAAAAGGAGGCGCTAGTTCGTACCCAGTCCAAACCCTCCAGAATGACGGGGGTGGGGTTTGGGAGTGGGCAGCTGATGTCGGCGTCGCAAATAACCTGAAATTTTAGAGATTAGTGTTCAACCCAGACTAAAGACTCCGAAGTCCCACAGTGACTCACAGAAGCCATGCAAGTGTGGAAAGAGTATTCCTTCTCGATGTAGTATATGACCCAGAAGGTACCTTGACGGCAGTGTTCGTCCATGGGGTTCTCAAAACTCCTCTTACTCATTGCCGAGGCTGCGCGTCCAGCCTCTCGTATGAAGAGTCCTTCGTGCCTGTAGCCCTCTGCCGTCAGGGAATAGACGGCCATTGCACAAAGGGCCTTTATTCTGCATGAGTGATATAACTTGTGATAGCGCCCGGAGCACCGTCTACTTACCTGCATAGACAACATCGTCTTCTTAGAGAGGAGCACGTCAGCATAGCAGGAAACTGCGCGAGAAAAGAGTTGAGAGGCGGTCCCCTTGCCGGCCTTGAAGGAGCCCCCATCCTGGTTCATACATCCAAGTGAAATGACCGCGTAGAAGAGCACCATGAATGGCTTGCATGAGTGCAGGTTGCGCTGTAAATTTTGGTTGCTGATCATGCTTTCGAACCACTCTCGATTGAGAAATGGGTACACGGGATGCACATGTTCGAAGTATGCTGGAGCACAGTTAGCATGAACGATGAGTCGAGAGAATGTCCAGGGTGTAATTACGGGGCGCTTTGCAAAAAGGGCTCAGTTCAGCGGACAAGCACAGCACAACACTTACCAACGACATATTGGAGATAGCCGTCGGGGAGGTCCTGACATTGCCCATGTGAATCGTCATTTGGTAACGAAGGATCACAATCAGTGAGCACATTCATGGCTTCACCTGCGCTAGTTTCTATTGTCGCCAAAAGCTGGCGGACCCTGTCATGGCCCAGTCGCTCCGAAAGACTCGACATGGACTTCTCCGAGTAAAAGGCGAGGGCGGAGCTTCCCACTGAGAGATGCATCAGTATCAGAACCGGTGTCTGGAAGAGACTCAGACTTTACCGTGGTCATCATCGGCCTGTTGAAGAAGTGAGATTCCGATCGGTTCATCATTAGGCTTATTCGTGTCTATGATCGCTCTATACTGACCGTGAAGGTGGACCTGTCATTTGTCCTCGCCTGTCGTGTACAGTTGGTGGCGAGAAGCTCGTCTATGTAGAGCGAATCATCCAGAAGTCGGCTTGCTGTCGGTTGTATTGTTCCCAGTGGCCCGCTTTGGCTCATTCGTGGCGTGAGCTGATGGTTTGAAGGGCTGGATGCCGACGGTGGCAGGGCTTGTGTTGAAGGGGTCAAGCGAGGGCCTTGGCGATCATGGCTACTATCTGGAGGTGTATGGAAGATATGCTCGATAGACTGCTGACATTGCTGAGCAGCGAGCTGGACGACGGGGGAGTGAACATGGTGATTGGACCGGCGGCTTCTCATTGGGGAGAAATGGCAGGAAGCGCCTCGTTTCTGACAGGCATGCGCAGCCGAGAGTCAGCAAGCCATTAGGAAGTTGCGCATCTCGGCACCTGATGAAATGGTTCACTTACGCGGCAAGATATGCATATAGTATCTTCTTGCATCTCTTCTGGACTCGGTGTAGAGGTGTGAGCAACAAGCAGGCTCGCCGCGACGAGGTCACCCTGTAGATGGCCAATGCAGATCGGAGCACATACTCAGGCATCTCGTCTTCCGGCTCCGACACTCGTCACAGCTCGTCAGCATCTTGATGTTACTCATTGTTGCGGGTGGTGAGGGAGCACCCGGACGTCTGTTGCGATTTCCCAGCGCTCGTGAACTTGTCGGGGGTCACCAGACGGGAGGGGTTGCAGAGGAAATACCCACACCCGGCCGCTTCCCTGCCGTTGACGGCGTACTTATCGGCAGCCCCAGGCCGTGGCCACTGCCTTCCCCACAATTGGCAAGGGTTATGCTTTGCCCCTAGCCTGCCGCTAAGCCCATGCCCATGGGCCTCTTTCCACCGCCTGTGGACGCACTTCTCCGAGAGTGCCGACTTCTGCTGATAAGAAACAGCCTGGATCCGTACGAGGAGAGTGTAAAACTCGAGGCTCAAGCATTGATACATGGGGCCACGCAGCAGGTCGTCGTCGCCAGCTGACTCGCTTACTGACACGTGAAGGGTGGAACGACAATTGAGAGGCGAAGGCTCGATAAGGCGAAGGCATGTAGATAAGCAGGTGGGTCGTGCCCTGGCGCCTGACGTAGGTAGGCGCCGACCAACGGGTCGCGAGATCTAGGCCGTAAACAGGGGGAACCGCGGCATGACTAGGTAATGATCTGGGACCAGTAAGCATCTGCGGCTGACCAAAGGCTCGCGGTGATTGGGATCACGACGCAACTATCACGTAGAAACAAATGAGCTGGGACATTTCATCAAAGTAGTGAATTCAAGTCCTGACTCAGCCGTGCACTTGACTTGGCCACTCAGTTGCGCCGAAGTGACCTGTCCTTCCATAGACACGACAGCGTCGACTCCAGGAGAGCATGGCAGGCACAAAACTCAGCCAATACTGTCAAGTCTCTACCTACCATCAGAATACAGACCCTACCCTATAGCAGCCCCACCAGGACGGTTAAGGCTGGAGGCTGGGGGCTGGATCACGACATGTAGATCGATATGTCTTGCGGCGGTTCCAAGGTCCAACTACTTTTGACCAACCCTGGCAAAGTCAGATATCAACGCCCCGAGTTCATGAAAGCCAGCACCCGCACTCATCCATGCACAACGCCCCCAGCTCTGTCTGCCTTGCCCTGCCCTAACAACTGACTGCGTATCCTCAAGCTTGAAATCAATCAGCCAGCCAGATAATAACACCATAGATACGATTGTACGAATTCCACTGCGCGGGCGATATGTAGAGTGGCGTGCATTAGTTGGGCTGAGGCAGTGGAGACTACTTAGTTGGAGCTACGAGTTTCGGGCAAAGGCCATCTCGGAACCTCCGGGCTCGGTGAGTAGAGCGCCCTCCAACCTCCACTTTCGTTATCTATGCAGCTAGCTTTGCGCTGAAGATCACTAGCGCTCAAGCGACACTGCTCGGAAACTCCGAGGACCCCGGGGTCACCTTTTCCGCGGCCTCGACTCTCGAAAGCATCGCCACGGACATTCCATCCCACCATCTCTAGCTTCACCAATCTAGACAAACTCATTTGATTCTATGGTACTTGGAGGCTGCAGCTCCCTTCAGGATCTTGATAAAGCGAACCAGCACTTATTCGTATTGCAGCCTGCCGTTGTGTTGGGCCACAAGATTGTTTCTTCGCCACATATCTATACGCAGTACACCTTTTCGTTGCAGTGCTAGCCGCCTGTACCTTCCCTTGTGGGCATCCATCCTTTCACCATGGGCAGCGTCATGACACCCCAGCAATCTCCAGGGACGACTGGCGTCCAAGCGCCAATCGCCGATTCTCCGCTTGGTCAGCCTCGGCGCATACGCGTCATCTGCATCGGGGCGGGCATCACGGGAATCAATCTCGCCTACATGCTCCCAAAACATATCAAGAATCTTGATTATGTCATGTACGACAAAAACCCCGAAGTGGGAGGAACGTGGTTTGAGAATACGTTAGGCGATCCATTCCAAGGAGGAGCATTCTTCCAGTCATTAGTAAGCAGGACGGGAGCTCATCAAGATACAGCTATCCCGGTGTCGCTTGCGACATTCCCGCACACATTTACCAATATGCGTGGGCGCCCAACCCTAACTGGAGTGAATTGTGAGTACACTAAGATGATTTCCCGGGCTTGACGAGGCACTCTCCTCGCCATCAGCAGTGAAATCGCACCAGAAAATGCATTCTGGCGTTCTTTCGTGGAGCTAACCTCATTAAAGCTATGCGAGTGGCAAGGAAATCTTGGCCTACGTGCAGTCCGTGGCGCAAAAGTTCGATCTGGTCAAGTTTGCCCGTCTCCAACATACCGTGTGTCATGCTTCATGGGACGAAAGTGAAGGCATCTGGAACGTCAAGATCAAAAATGACTTGACTGGGGAGATCATCAGCGACACTTGCCAATTTCTTATCAACGGAGGCGGCTTCCTCAAGTAGGTCCTTCGAGAACGCCCTAACCAACCACTTAACCGAGTTAAGCTATGTGCTGATCCTTCTTACAGCAACTGGAGACTACCCCAAATCCCAGGTATACACTCATTTGCGGGTCCCTTGTTGCATTCTGCGAACTGGGACGCTTCCATCGCTCTGGAAGGCAAACGCGTCGGAGTTATTGGGAACGGCTCATCTGGCATCCAGCTTGTCACCGCGATCCAGCCCTGTGAGTCCCCAGCCTATCTTGTCTTGATAAAAGAGAGTCCATCGACGGCGGTGTCCATGAGACTGGGACCTGGCTGACCTTGTTCGGAAGTGGCGAGCCACCTCACCACGTTCATTCGAAACCCTACCTGGATCTCGACCGTGTATGCACAGGAATTTGCAAGCGAAGGTGGTGGCAACTTCAAATGTGAGTTTGAAGCTTATCGAAGCAGTTGGCAGCCAGATGCTCACCAAGCACGATAGACTCGGAGGAGCAGAAGAAATCATTCCAGAATGACTCCGAAAAATACCTCGCCTATCGGAAGGCAATTGAGACGGAAATGAATGGGAAGTTTGAAATTGTGGGTCTTCTCATTGCTTACACCCTGGACTGCTCATTACAGTGACTAACCACGATTCGCTGGTCGCTGCGGCTCGTAATAGAACTTCAAGGATAGCGAGTTTCAAAAGATGGCCCGTGCTTATCTGGCAGATCAAATGCGGAAGCGCCTTGGCGAAGGACACCCGTTGGCCTCGAAGCTGATCCCAGACTTCGCAGTCGGCTGCAGGCGCTTGACGCCCGGGGTGGGATACCTAGAAGCCCTCACATCTGAGAACACAACAGTCATACAAGATCCGATCGACTACATCACACCGACTGGTGTCCAGCTAAAGGAAGGCAACGCTGTGGACCTCGATGTCCTGGTCTGTGCGACTGGGTTCGACGTCTCGTGGGCCCCTCGATTCCCGATCATCGGCCGTAACGGAACCAACTTGCAAGAAAGATGGACTCGGTCTAGGGCGGCAGCCTACATGGCTATGGCAGTGCCCGATTTTCCCAACTACTTCAGTGAGTATACAACATCTTGAGAGAACGGCAGCGACGAGTGTACACTTACGCAGGATGATTTCATTATCTTGAAAGTCGTGACTAACACTGGCGGCGTCAGTATTCCTGGGCCCTGGCGGACCACACTCACATGGATCAGCAATCCCCACGATTGAGCACCAGACACGGTACATCATCCGCATGATTTACAAAGCCCAGACCGAAGGCTACAAAGCCATAGCGCCTTCCTCGGCTGCAACTGAGGAGTTCCTTACGCACATGAAGGAATTCAACAAGAAGGCGGTCTGGAGTGACAACTGCAGCTCCTGGCTCAAACAAGGTAGGATCTTTTAATTTTCTCCTTTCATGTCCAAGATCTCTGAAGAATAATGATTGACATTCTGCTCTTCTTTTTGATAGGTAGCGACCAGGCATCTCCGTTGTGTCACCCGGGAAGTCGGATCCACTGGTTTCATATGTTGCAGGCGCCAAGGTGGGAGGACTGGATCTGGGAACCTATCACTCCGGGAAACAGGTTCAGCTACTTAGGAAATGGTTATACAACCTGGGAGGAAGAGGGCAAAGACATCAGCTGGTACATAGATCCGGCAAAGAGCGGCCTCGAAGTGATTCGGTATTGATCACACATGTAGTACAACATGTTATCCCGAAACTCGGCGACCTAGATAGCGACAATGGCTATGATGAGACTGAGCCTTCTGCGCAACGTATCTGCATCATTGGAGTCGGAGCTGCAGGACTGTACACGGCGTGGAGGTTGCAAATGGCTGGATTCGGCCAGATCGACATATTTGAGGCATCAGGAAGACCTGGAGGGCGCATGTTCACGCACGTCTTTCCCGAGGATGACAACTGCTACCACAACTACTTGGACGTTGGGGCTATGTGCCTGCCCCACATTTCTCGCATGGACGCGTGAGTTTAGACTTATAAGCACCATTGAGCTTGTGGCATTAACTAACAAAATATGGTATGAAGCACTTTTCGACTAATAGACAGCCTTCGTCTGAATGATAAATTGAAGCAATACTGGTTGGGGATTCCAGAAACCGAGAATCCTCCCGAACCCCGTTTATGGTGGTTTCAGAACATACAGCCTCAGTAAGCTATCCTTTGCCGCACCCAGAATTGAATCATCGGCAGCTGAGGACGGCAAGAAGACCGACTTGGCCTAATGTTCCCCTAATTTCGACATTGATATGAACAAGCTTTACATAAAGTATGGCCTGGGGAATGAGAACGGCTTCCAGGATGGTGACTGATGGCCTCGATACTTTCTCGACGAGAAGTTGGCTTACGAACGAAGCTGATCCTAAGTGAACGAAGCCCGGCCCTAATGTCCGTAACGCTCCTGCTGACCTCTCGTTTCTGAACCAGGCTCACCTACGACGAGACGGTGGCGGCTGAATCACTTGAAGCGTAGACTGCTACGTACACGCTGATCTTACAATATGGGACACTAATTCGAGTTTGCGCAGATCTACTGTTCTCTTCGAGCAAACGACGCTCGAGACGGTTTGCGAGTACATCGACTTCCAAGCCGCCAGCAAAGGCCCGTGGTCCCGCCTCGAGAGCGGTATTAAGGTAATTGTGGACGCTATGGTTGCCCAAGTGGGTGCTGCCCAGGGTGCAAATATTAGATACAACACTCCTGTCACTGCCCCCCGTAACAACGAGGACGATAGAACGATCGCCGGAACTACTCAAAGCGGCAAGACTCAGGAATACCGCGCCATATTTTGCACGACCTCCTTGTCGTGCCTGCGCCGCATGGACATCTCGCAGCTGGGCCTGCCGGACCAAATTTTGACCGGCCTACGAACATTGAGTTATGACCGTGCGACTAAGGTCGGCATTAATTCTCTCGCGCGTGGTGGCGCGATTACCTCGAGAATCCCGGCGGCGTTTCGTCCACCGATTTGCCAATCAGCAAGATCGTATACCCATCGTGGGATGACGATAAGGAGAAGCCGTCGGCACTGCTAGCGTCGTACTCGTGGTCGCAGGATGCCACACGTATGGGGGCCGTATTCAAAAACCCGGGCCCCGCCGACCAGCCAGACTGTAACGCCGACGTCGTTACACAGTGTTTAGATGATATCGTTCAGGTCTAGAAGCAGGCTCCAGGTATTGAAAACCCCCCGACTACCCAGCAGCTACGGAACTCATACGTAGACCATTTCGCATACCTATGGGTCCAGGATAAGTCCCAATGTGGAGCCTATGCCATATACGGCCCTGGCCAGTTGCAGTACGTATATCCACGATTCAAGGAAGTAGTCTGCCAAGAAAACTTTACCATAGCAGGCGAGGCGCTTAGTACAGAGCAGTCATGGATTTCTGGTGCCCTAAACAGCGCCTATGCGAGTTTAATGCATTGGTTTGTTTTCAACAATTATAAGAAAGCACAAGCCCTACTTAAGGAGTCGGAACTACGTGGCGGTTCAGGAAAGCACCCAGAAGAAATGGATGAGGAGCTCCTTTATTGGTCTATGAAGCTCGGAGAAGACTTCGACAAAGACAATAAACTTGTCGATGCCGGGGATAACCTTAAGCTTTAGGTAAACTTCCCTTACATTCCGTTACTGCTATCACATACAATGCTTTTTGATTTAGCGCATTCTCTTCCCTTCCGGCGGTACCTGGAAGTAGCGAAGCACCATGACTACGCACAGCGCGATAGAATGCAGCACGAACGTACTAAAAGCCTGTGCAGACAGCTCTGTAAAGAATGGCGCTGCAGCGCCGCCTGAGTTCCTATCGGTCTCTATAGCACCTTGATCACTGACCTACTCGCAACGAAACAAGCTGTGGGCCGAGGCAGTCGCAGCGCAGAGGTATACAGGACCCAATTTGAGGTCGACAATAGCAAGTGTTACGGTGTTACTAATAATGTCAGGGATAAGGTAGCTAAACTACCGCCGCCGGAAAGGTAATCCAAGATACAACCCTTTTCTCGCTGGTACGTGGCCCCACCGGCGACAGGAAGGCCCGCCCAAGCGTCATACCACCCCAGAACTCCAAGGTGACACTTTCCACCAGGTCTGGGTCGCCGCCGCGGAAGATGGCGAGGAACGATATGAACTAGCCGGAGACGGAGACCTCGGCGCCCTGGGAAGCAAGCATGAAGATGGGCCCCAGTAGCACGACGCGTAGCATAATAGCTGTCCATTCATCGCCATAGCTGTAAGGGTGAGTTGTCTTTATGGAGAGATGCTCGACGGCGTGGCCGACTAGTGACTCCCTCGACATACTCGGAGTCGCGCTTCATAATGCCCGTCCTGAGGTTGGCAGACCCGTTGATAACACTGGCCATCCAGTCCTTGTCGTTAAACTCGTCCTGGGGCGGACTATCGAGGAGGCTGGTGCTCTGGGACAGGGCCATCTTGATGAACTCGCTCAGAGCCTCCTTAATGTAGCGGTCATCGAGAGCGCGGGGGAATCCGGCGTTGACCCATACCTCAGAGGGCGAGTATATATAGCCGATCATGTTCTTTCCGTAAGGGTAGTTAACTACCTTCTTCCAGTCAACTTAGCTTACAACTTGCCTTAGAACAGTCGCAGGGACGTTCATATAGTTAACAACGCAAAACATAATCGATTATAGGAAGCCCGCAACATCTCTCGAGACACTCGTGTCGGAAACCGTTGCAAGCAGATGAACGCTCTGGGTTATGTCCCAGACTTCTGGTAAGCTTGCCCATGATTTTAAGCTTTGGTAATATTGAAGAACACGCTAGGCGGCCGTCAAGTAATATCTCCAAACTTTCAAGCTTCCTCGTGAAAACTATAGCTTTCTCGTTAGCAGCTTGTATTATTATATATAACCTGCGAATCATAGTGCCTACCTCTAGTAGCAGGAACGTAAGCATAGTAGCCAGTAATCCAAGATACTCAGTGCAATTCCCTCGAATACAAGCACGGAGCTCCTCCATTGCTAGGAACAGAGCTTAGTTCCTCGAGCAATCGTGACGTCTTTATCGACGCCTTTATAGCCAAGACAAAACGCCGCAATGCTAATAGTGCATATAGGAAGTAGTTTCTGCCCTCTTGAAAGCTCAGATAAAGAGCGATGGCCAGAAATCTTAGCCACGGATTTCGAGCCTCATACACGGGGACCAGGATAGGGATTGCCCCGGAGAGGTATATATGGAGAAAGCGAGCGTCGGATTGGCAAAGTCTATTCTCCGCTCTGATGGATAGCGAGATAGAGACCTGAACGGATTCGCGGATAATTCTGGATCCATGTGGAGGTAGTGAGACATGCTGGTAGAAGTAGTTAGATCCTGTGTAGAAGTCTCCGGCAGGTAGTCTCTCAAGACATCGAGGCAAGACTGAGAAAGGCCCTCATGTTCTGTCGGGGGACTCGATATACCCTATGTATCGAGAGGAACACAGTCATCAGAGTAGCTCTCCATAGTCCAGGACGACCCCGGGACAGTGGGAAATCCTGAGAAAGGCGGACATAACATCTCGCCTATCCATCCTTGCTATCATAGTCACAAGCGTGAACCGACTAGTCAACCCGTTGAGAGGAGAAAACGGGATGGCCCAGGTGTGATCTCGAATGTCATCGTTAGTATCCTCGTAGACGATTGAAATGTAATACCCACCTGGCTCAAGGGGGCCTCTTTAATTGTAGTGAGAGGTCTTCTAGTCAGCCGATACCCATACTAGATTTTGTCGGAAGCCACTACAGTCCAGCCCAAGTTTAAGACAAGGGCTACAAGACGGTCGGACAATGTCGCAGCGGGCTCTTTTAGTTGGTGTTTATAATGACTAACGCAAACGTACCTTAAACCTTCGCTCGCGGCATCGCGAGCATCCATAAAGTAGGCCTATTAGCATCCGAACAGTCAAATAAATGGGTCCGGGACATTGTAACCAACTATGAACGTCCGTTTACCGCTAGCGGATTTCTTGATCTGGGCGGAGGGGCGTGTTCCCTGGGAGAGGGAATTCATCCCGACGATAGAACAAGAGGCAATGGCATATCGCTGTTTTCTCCCCTGTTGGTCATGGACTACTTGTTTCCCTCACCTCGGAGCGTTATTATCTTCGGCGTGGGCTACTTAGATATGGCGGGTAGGACGGTGCTTATCAGCAGAGATAGTAGATAGCATCAAGTAATACACTTCGAAAAGTACTAAGTAGGGCAGTGCTAGCGAATCCAGCAGCCCGTAGCGAAAGGAGCCTAGGAGCGAGCTAATCCCTCTCCATCCAGCTATCTACAGGCCCTCGTTCGGAATTTCCGAAGACTACTAACTCTCGAAAACCGGCCGCGACCCTCACTCTTCAAAGGATGGCGCCCGATCACACTGCTCTCGCTCCTCGGTAAAGGGCTGGAACGACTCATGGCAAACAAGGATGTCGGCGGCAGCCCTGTCAGGCGGCATCATCCCACCCAACACGACCGGGGCGGTGCCAACACGGGGTGCGCAACGGGCCCGGTGCACGACACCGAGACCGCAGCCCATATGGGAATGCACTCGATCATAACCACCTTCGACATCGACGCCGCCTACCACTCCACCAAGGCTGGCCCACTCTCTGCGGTCCTCTAGGGGCAGGAGGGGTGGCCAGCACAACTGGTATCCCTCGCAGCCTCCTTTTGCTCAGACAGGACGTTCACCTTCCAATGGGCGAACGGCAATTTCAAGTCCAGCGACGAGCTCCCCCAAGGGTCCCGATGGTCCCCCATCCTATTCGTGTTGTTCGACAACCCCGCTCATTCGCCAGTCCATGTTCGGGCAGAACGTCTCCTACAGGGACGACGTAGCCCACAGCATTCATTCGGGGCGGACTTCACACAAGTCCTCTCGTCAACAGCCCAACGGGCCGCAGAGTTGTACCGGAAAGCTCAACCTAGACGAGAAAAAGACGACGGCCCTCTGTGTCCCGCCCAGGGGCCGAGGGTCGAAGTCCAAACTCCTAGGATCCGGGCTACTCCCCACCTAGGCTGCATGGGGCCCCGTACCCATCGCCTCGGCATGGGGCGAGAGAATGGCTGTCATCTGGCTCGGCGTGAGGCTCAACTCGGCGTTGTCAGTACAACCACAGACCAAGATGCGGCACCAAAAAGGGATGGCGCTGACAGGCCCCGCCCGCCGCATTAACCAGGTCACTAGGGGCCTCCTCCCAGAGGCGGCCAGGCCTTCTACAACATCGCTGCCCATCCACTGGCCGTCCGCCTCGACCCCTCTCTCCCCGGCACTTTCTAGCCGCACTGGTGCCCGGACCGGGGGACGCGCCACCAAGACAACCCTGGCGACCGTGTCGCTACGCAACCCAGCGATGGCTCTTCCCGGAGGAGGGGGCCTGCCCCACCCCGACCAGGCCGCGACAAAATCCTGCCGTGCTTCGTGGACCCAGCTGCTTGGTGGGTAACTCGGAGTTTCCGAAGACTGCCAAAGAAGCAGATTACCTAACCCATATATGCCCCTCCATTCAAGTCAAATGGCTAGCCTCTTACAAAAGGATGTTTAAGGCAGAATCACAAGCTGCACTCGTCCATGTCTCGCACAGCCAAGATTTAACAACTCCCCCCGAATCATTAGAACGAGCACCAGATAAAAACCAGTGTTCGTTCAGGATTGCCCTCATGCTCAAGGATCGACTGGATTCGTTCGTGGCTCTGGCCCACACTCGACTGATATTACCATTATGTGTAATATCGATTCTGGGAATTGCTACAGCTATGCGCAGAGTCTGGAAGAAACGATCTGTTGGACGAGGACCGGTATGTGGATATTGACTTTTACTTGGAATGATACTGAAACCTCCGTATTGCAGGTCCTGGCTCCGGAGAAAGATGCGTTAGAGGACAAGAAAGACACGGCTGATTTGGGCACCATCACTCCCCTAACGGACTATGACTACCTCCATGCGGAACCGCGACGTGTGTACAAATTCCAACCAAAATTCTTCATGACAATGGGTGAGCGTTCTATTCTATTATCGAATTGAGAAGCTACCATACCTTCTCACTTCATGAGGCATTCATCCTGAGGATATCCTAGCTAAGAAATAGTCAGGCCTTCAGAGCACAGATATCAACCATATCCTACACATCGACTCCGATTATCTTGAACGTCTTCAGGCTCGACGTAATGTTGCAGCTATCAGGCCTGAAGTGCTTGCCTGCCTTCCACGCGGTCTACCCGCTGTCCATGAATTCTACAACTACCTCGTTCATCAATGGCTGCCAGGCCGATACCCCACTATTTTCACGTTGTTTCCCGAACGGCAAACATTGGAAAACACGGTGACAGGAGAGCATCTCCCATTGACACCGCCAGCAGATGGACGGCAAACACTTGAGATCCTCAATCGCAATCTCGATGATGATGTGTTATTCATGACGCCGCGAAGCGACAATGAAGAGGATGGTCTGGCATTGAATGCGCTGATGTGGTGCTTTCCAAACACTAGTGATCCTCGGCAAAGACTCGGTGGCTCCTTGAGGGAAGTACATCAGCGTGTGCCAGGATATAAGGAAAAGCTTGGGATGAGTATGGACCGTTACTTCCGGAGGTTGCAAGTCGGAAGAGTTGTTTGTCGCACAAATGTAAGTCGATTCGAACCTGCCACCGTCCCCAGCGGACTAACCAGTTTGATAGTGGGCTGTTAGTATCAAGGCCTCACAGACAGAAAGTCAGCTCACAGATAAGGACTACCGGGGTTCAGCACCTACTGAGATAGACCCAGCTAAGGTACGTGTATAGAAAGCTCTCCTCCTATTCCATTTTCACTGCTAGCAAAATCAGCGCAATGGCAGATGCTTACACGACTTTCAGATCTACCTTCGCTGTGAGCTACAGACTCTGTTCCGGCTTCCGGTCAGTGGTGCACGTGTATTCATCATCCATGAATATGTCTATCCTCTGCAGCAAATCAAAGACGAGGGCCTCGGCCCTGCTATGATTCAGTCGATCGATGGCCTGAAAGAAGGGAACGTGCCTGCCATATGGGACTATAAAGAGTAAGTGGCTCCAGAGGGTTAGTAGATTTTTCAATAGTCGAGTACACTAACGAGTTTCGGTGAAGAGCACCAAAATGGGCCGAAGCGGTCAAACAGTTTCTTAGTACATAAGAATGAAAGTTGATAAAATAAATACCGAGAAACCGGATATATAGAGAAGCCGGAGAATATTAAAAGGTATCACTGTGACGGCTCGACCAACAGGGGAACTGTCTAGGGCTGAGGTAACAAACAAGCCCAGCGTAAACAAGGCGGCTTGATCAGACCAGTGACAAGGGCGGATCAGCGAAGGTTGGCAGGCAGGCATTAGGTAATCACCCTCCTTACGTCAGCAGCCGACAACAGTTGATCCCATGCGACAGCCATCGGTCGGACTGCGACGACAGACCATGGGCATACGACACACCAAACGTCGCGAAGACCAAGGATCTGGTGAAGGACAAAGGTTATGGAGATGCGATGGATCTCCTAGACAGACAGTCATTACCTTTGTACTTTAGCGATCAATCTAAGTATCACTCTTATCCTTCACTTGACCTCGTCACTCAATTGATCCAAGTGGTATATTTATGCTGGATAAGCTTTGGCATAATCATCCCAGCATAATTTCGCCAAAGCATGTTCGGAAGACTACCAGCTCCGAGACCGGTCGCTTAATCAGCAATGCACTTGTTGACGGCAGCTAAGCTCAGGCTTGCTCAGCTGGGCTCAGTCGTGGTGTGGGTATAGCTCAGGCACTACTCAGGCCTGTTGGCGAGGAAAGCATGCAGTACGGTGGAAATTTGGTTGGGATTATAGTGGTGATCGAGGATGTGCTGCGTACGTCAAGGATGGGTACCCTGCGGGGCTGGGGCGGCAGGTCAGGGCGGAGAGCTATTCGGGTGCTTTGTTGATCGGTATTGCTTTCTTTGGACCATGGGGGGCCTAGTAAATGACAGGCACCCTCGTGGAGCTGGCTGCAGAACAGACATCACTTGGTTGGAGAAAAGAGAGTATGGGAGGTCAGGACATTATGATTATCAACTATGACAGAGTAGAATGATGGCTACGTCCTCCCACGGCTACTGTCTCCTTAATTGACTTGGACGGTGCGCCTGATAGCGGAGAACCAGCCACCCGAGTTGTAGCCATTGCCCTTCTTGGACGACTTGAGCCAGCAGTACTTGGCGTTGGACCAGACAACGTCGACGCAGCCGGCAGTCGTATCACAGAAGCCGAGACACTGCTCAAACGTCTCGGCGCGCTTTGAGCTGCCGAGGGTGTCGCCGTCGTACTGGAAGTTGCAGCGGATGTCGTAGGTGTCCGTGGGGGTTCTGAAGACGGTCTTGTCGGCCGAATTGTCGAAGCAATTAATAGCGCCGATGCCAGAGCTTCCACTGGATCCAGTGTTGGTGCTTCCGGAGCCTGAGCTGGCAGTGCCATCTGTCACCTTGAGGGCCGTGAACCAGCCGGGACTGACGTAGCCGTTGGTCTTGGACGACTTGAGCCAGCAGTACTTGGCATCACTGTAGACGACATCCACACAGCCGGTAGTCGTGTCGCAGAAGCCGACACACTGCTCGAACGTCTCGGCGCGCTTCGAGGCGCCCAGGGTGTTACCACCGAACTGGTAGTCGCACATGATCTGGTACTTGGTCGACGAGCCGGGAGGGGTGAAGATGGCGCCGTTGCTCGACTTGTCCTTGCAGTTCAGCGCCGGGGTTGTCTTGTAGGCACTGACATACGAGAAGTTTGGATTGGCTAGGTTACGTATGCCCTGCGTGCCAGTGTTCGAGAGCCAGCAGTCATACCCGTCGTAAGTCGAGAGAGCAGTAAGACAGGTGCTGCTCGCGGCGCAGAGGGCAATACACGCGTCCACCGATCCCGGATTCCGTTGGTATCTCCAGTCCGTGATTGCCTCCTGGAATTCGTGACATTGGATGGTGAAGGCGGAGGCGCCGGAGCGGTAGAGAGTGTTGTCGCTGAGGCCGGTAGGGTCGCTCCACCGGCCACAGTTGACTGGGGCTTGGTCCGCCAACGCGAGAGCCACCAGGCTCATCAGAGCAGCAATGTGCGTGTGAACCTGAACCATGATGATGGTGCGTAAGGAATGGTGCAAGTAAAAGAGTGTGAGCTAGTTGGACAAGTGCGTGGAGTTGGAGACCAAAAGCTGCAGAGTATGTGGGCAGGCACGTCACAATTTATGTAGGCTTTCCTCGCATCTGGTGGATCTCCAGCTCTCCTTCTTTCCAGAGTCCAGACTGCAGACTCCAAAGTTCAGCTAGCCTAGATTGCGCCTCGTGGAGATGAGCCAGTGTTGCCCGTGACTGTGCCTCGAGACCTCGCAAGTTGAGGCGCAGATCCGCTAGCGCCACAGCACACGATTTTATAGACCACGGCGGAGAAGGCACCCGACGATTTCACGATCTATTGATCGGCAATCTCGGAGAATAGGGGCTCAAGCGGCATCGAGAACGTGCGTGGTTCCTGCTTTAGCGTCTCTGTAGCTCCTCATCGGGGACAATGCCTACTTGGTCGCCTGTGCCTTGGATAGAGCCGCTAATGACGCCACCCTCGCTTAGCCGGCCGGGCAAATTTGCACTCTGGGCTAGCAGCAAGGACATTCACAGCAACTCAGCCAGCCACAAGACAGTTTCCGAGGTCGAGTGAAAACTTGCTATCGGGATCTCGAGTGCCATTCTGTCCGATCTATTGCGATGCACCACGTGGTCATCCTGCTTAGCCGACATGTCATCCAAGTTCACCGGCTACACTTGCCCCGTGTCCCCACGTGATATTGGGCTGTAGTCGTCTTCGTGTCCCGTTTCCACTAACCCTGTTTCAAGCAGGGGTTTCATGCGGGCGGTAAGGTTAAGGTCTAAACTACCCTTTACCTTAATAGTGTGGTTGGTCTACTATATCTCGCGCGTGGGTCACTGGGATTTAATAGGTATGTCAAGAGAATGCGCTGTTGGTGCTGCGAAGTCCCGGTCAGTGTAAGCCACTGGTCGCCGCTGCTTCGACGGAACAGGTCATAAGTAGTGCAATATAAGTTACACAGGACCAAGGAATTACCAAGAGCCCGCTCCAACTTATCTCATTGATCATGGTGATGTCTCACATGATTTCATGCCGGTACAAATGAGTAGGGTCTGGACGCAGCAAGCAGCTGCTGCAATTTGTGACCAGGGCACCAGTCTTATCATGGCCACACGCCTACATGACTGGTCCATACCCCTGGCATGATGCAACCTTGCTTGGCTGTTGGTCCAAGTCAAGGCTTGTCCTGTCAGCAGCCAACAACTCGCGCGCGTCATTTCTCCCATATGCATGCTCTAGACTCTCATCTGGTCATTCGACACAAATCACACGCAGCACGCCTCTTCCTGCACCCCTCCAAGTTCCCAAACGCTGCGGTACTGGGCCATTAGCCGCGCGCTGCGAACAGGAGTGGTGGCCATGTCGTGCGCGCAGGATTCCGCCTTCGGGCCTGGCCTCGTGGCCGGCACAGATCAGTGCCGCGAATTCGACTTCACGTTGACCTTTGAACGCGCCATACTGCAGGTCCTGCCGAGCACGCTTGTGACATTTCTCGCGCTGGCAAGGTCCCAAAGTCTTTACAAAACGCCAAAGGTCATATCGTCTTCGACGTTACAAGGGGTCAAAGCTGTACGAGAAGCAGTCTTGCGCCGATGCTGCGCGTGTTCAGGTACTGACACATCTCTCACAGATACTGTTCGCTACATTGGGGCTCCTTCAAATAGCAGAGATTGGGACCAGGTCTCGTGTCTTGAATGACCAGGCGACCGACAGAGCCTTGACGACCGCAGCCAGCGTTACTGCCATTCTGGCCACGGCGTGCCTCGGATTGAACGCATGCCTTGAGCATACACGCACCCCAGGTCCTTCCATACTTGTGCAGGTCGCCCTCTCAATTTCGTTGCTGCTTGACTTGGCTCTACTCAGGACGTCGTGGATCTTGTGGACCCCTTCGCGGTCCGATGTTACGCTGCTGTCATCAGCTGCTCTCCAGACAACAATCTCGGCGCTGAAGCTGGGAGCCTTGCTGTCCGAGTCCCTGGTCAAGCACGCGCCCGCGGCTCAAGAGTCTCAGATGTTCTCGTCCGAAGAGAAGGCTGGCTTCTTCGGCAGAACCTTCATGACGTGGCTGAACCCTCTGTTCTCCCTCGGCTATCGCGCCGACATCACACTCGATAGCTTGAAGCCTGTCGATCACAGTCTCTCGGGCGAAGCCACCGGTGAGAGGCTACAGTGCTTTTGGGCAGCATCAGGACAGACTCGACGGTGGCGTCTCGCCTTCGCCCTTGCACGAGCTTTCAGATTCGACCTGTTCATGGTCCATGTTCCCAGACTGGGGCTCGTAGCATGCGCCATCACGCAGCCACTACTCATCAATGCCGTACTGTCCTTCATGCAAGACCAGGTCGACAGTCCCCAGTACTACGGCTATTATCTCATAGCAGCCACGTTCCTGACATATACTCTTCTAACGGTAGGTCCTGGCGACCACAATCCATCCAACCTCGCGATCCTGCTGTACTGATGGAACCAGATAATGACGCTCTGGTCACAACACCTGACCTTTCGTTTCCTGACAAAAGTTCGAGGGGCGCTGGTTGGCTCAATCTTCAACTCGAGCTTGGAAATGCGTGCTTCAGAAGGCATGAGCAGTGCTCAGCCTGTTACACTGATGAGCACCGAGATTGATCGAATATCCTACACGCTGCAGTGGTCTCTGGCCATTATCCCGAACGTGATTCAAGTCAGCCTGGGACTATGGATACTGCAGTCGTACATTGACAAGGCAGTGATTGCGCCCGCGATAGTGGCGATTGGTGAGTCGCTCTTTGGCATCAAGCGAAGCATGCGTGCTGATGGATAATCCATCAGTGTGTGGTCTAGCTGCGGCTCAGGTGGGCAAGGGTATCCCAAAACGACAAGGCGAGTGGACGAAGAGCATACAGACACGAATAAGCATCACGACGAACGTCCTGTCGCAGCTCAAAGCCATCAGGATGTCTGGGCTCCAGAGCGCCGCCAACAGAAACATACTCGAGGCGCGAGACCAAGAGATATCGAAGCAAAAGTCCTTTAGGAAGCAGCAGGTCTCCAACATAGTCATTGGTAAGAGGCATGATGTCCGCTGTGGCATTCTCCTTCAAACTGACGCGAGACACCCTACAGGCAACATCCCGGCCATGCTCACTCCAGCACTGACCTTCTCGGCGTTCGCCATCGTTCAGCTCGTGGACAGGGGCGGCACCAGCTCATTTGATGTTGTGGTTGCATTCAGCTCGCTCTCCCTGCTGGCAATCCTCATCATGCCCATTGCAGAGCTCGTGGCCGCCAGCATCAACATCACCTCGGCACTGACCAGTCTCGACCGCATCCAGGAGTTCCTGAACAAGAACCCTGGTTCCGGCCTGCGCGAGTTGGGCACAGTCGGCGACAGACATGCCAGCAGCCCCCTGGTCAGCATGCGGGCGTGTTCACTCGACTGGGCACCGGGCGTTACCTCGGACACACAACCACCCTTGCTGCAGAACGTTGATCTCGATATCAGGCGGTCCGAGATAATCCTGGTGACCGGACCTGTCGGCTGCGGCAAGTCGTTACTGCTCAATGCCATCCTTGGAGAAGCCCACGTGGCAGCCGGACAAATCCGACGAGCGTCACCCAGCCAGACAACTTATAGCGCACAGACGCCCTGGATCCCAAACTGTACACTTCGACAAGTGGTAGTCGGCGAGGGCACCGCATATGACGAGGGCCGGTATGCACAGGTCGTAGCGGTGTGTCAGCTCAGCGAAGACTTTGCTGGTGTCGCTGGCGGCGAGGGGGATGGCGCGATGGTAGGGAGTGGTGGCTCGAGGCTGTCTGGCGGGGAGAAGCAAAGACTCGTAAGTCCTTTACCTTTTCGTGCTGTCTTTGACCTTTGCTTTCTACTGGCAGTTGCAAGAAGAATGTGTGGCCTCTCCTAAGCATCTTCACATTGCCAGGCATTGGCAAGAGCAATCTACCACCCAAGCAACCTTGTGCTGCTAGACGACAGCTTCTCGGCGCTCGACAGCCACACCGGCAATAGTGTCGCTGAATCACTGCTCGGCGAGCACGGATTCATTCGCAAAGCTGGTAGGACCGTGGTGCTGGCCTCAGGTGATGGTAAGCTACAACTCGGTCAAGGTCGAACTCAAAGCATTAATGAACTAATGACTTGACACAACCAGCGAGATGGTCTACTTACGCAGACAAGATCGTTTTCATCGACGACGGGCGGGCCACTGTGTACGGCTCATATGACGCGTTCCGCAGCAGCGAAGCGATGACGAGCGACGCCGATGACGAAAGTCAGCGAATCGTGAACCACGATAGCGGCTCAGGTAACATAATGCCGAGCAGCAGACCGAACTCAGGGAGCGGAAAGAGGTCAGACGTGCTCCCTGCCAGACCCAGGACCGCCCCGCCAGACGAGCAACCAGCACCTTCAGCGCAGGTGCGGCCACCGGGAAGTTCTCTGGTTCATTACATGAGCCTCATGGGCCCGTTGCGTCTTTTCGTGTTTGTGGCATTCGTTGTCGTCCTTGTAGGCTGCTCTATTGCCCAAAGTACGTACTCATGTTTCCCAGGCGTGTGCTCGCTTCACTAGAAGACTGACCACAATCACAGCGCTCTGGCTCAAGTTCTGGGTCGCATCCAAGACTCCTTCCGATAGTCTAGGGTACTGGATCGGCATCTACATTGGTCTCGCATTCCTCAATATTGCCGCCATCGGCTTGGAGACCAGGTGGGGTTCTCATTCGGGTCACCTGAGCAGGGACTACGTGCTGACGAGTGTATATCAGCTTCTTCTTCCTACTGATAGTGCCCCGCGTAGCGAGGCAGTTCCATGCAAACATGATCCCGGTCTTAAAGTGAGTATTCCAGTAATCAGAAAGTTGGTCACGAAGTCCCCCGCACTCCATGCTAACACGAGTAACATACAGTGCGCACATCGACTTCTTCTCCCTCAGAGACACAGGCGAAGTGCTCAATCTGTAAGCTGGAACGCACTTCCTTTCTTTCCTTTCTTCTTTTACCACAATCTCTTCCCGCATCTGCGAATGACCATCGGGGGCAGAACGAAACACTCATAAATTCACATGCTGAACCAGATTCGCCGGCGACCTCAACCTCATCGACATGCCCCTCCCGCTGAGCTTCCTCCTGACCACGGAGAAGCTCGCGTCCAGTGCCGCCGAGGCGGTCTTGACGTGCCTCGCGGGCGGGTACCTCGCCGCCACGATCCCCGTCGTCGGGCTCGCCGTGTACCTCACGCAGCGCGTGTACCTGCGCACCTCGCGACAGCTGCGCGTGCTGGACCTCGAGGCCAAGGCGTCCCTTATCACACACTTCAGCGAGTGCTTCGAGGGCCGCGTGACGATCCGCGCGATGGGTTCCGGAGCCGGTGGTGGTGGTGGTGGTTGGGGCAAGGCCGCGGCCGTGCAGAAGAACTTGGCGATCCTGGACGTCTCGCAGAAGCCGTATTACCTGCTCTTCTGCCTGCAGCGGTGGCTTAACCTGGTGCTGGACCTGATCACCGCGGCGCTGGCGACGCTACTTGTGGGTATCGCGGTGTCGCAGAGGGAGAGAGAGCAGGGAGTTGACGTGGGGTACCTTGGCGTGGGGATGGTGAGTGTGATGGGGTTTGGGCAGACACTCGGCCAGCTGATTACGCACTGGACAAATCTTGAGACTTCGCTGGGCGCGGTGGACAGGGTGAGAAAGTACGTTGCCAACGCTCCTCCAGAAGAGGACAAGGTCGCCATGCTCACGCGAAGCCCGGACGACGACCACAATGACGACATGGCAGCGGTGACTCTGCCCTATCACACACCAGCGCAGGGGGTACTGGAAATCCACGACTTGTCGGCGAAGCGTGGTCGTTCGCAAATCCTTCACGACGTTAACCTCTCATTCAGCCCAGGGACCAAGACGGCAGTCTGTGGTCGCACCGGCAGCGGCAAATCATCACTGCTCGACGCCCTCTTGCGCATGATATCCCTGGATAAGGGCAACATCACCTTATCCGGCACAGACTTCGCAGCCATCCCCACGGCTACCCTCCGCAGGTTCATCGTCGCACTGCCGCAGAACGCGCTGCTCTTCTCTGGCCGGACAGTCCGCCAGAACTTGGACCCGGACGATCGTCACCGCGGCGAGGATGGAGCAGCACGGATCATGCGGGTGCTGGAGGAAGTTGGTCTGGCCGAGCTGGTCTCTACCACCTTTCGGGGAAGCCTGGACGTGGTACTCGAGGCCGAGTGTCTGAGCTCCGGCCAGGCGCAGCTCATCGGAATGGCGCGGATCATGCTGCGCCGGGATGAGGGTATGGTGCTCCTGCTGGACGAGGCGACGAGCAAGTAAGTCTGACTCCCGGCGCCCCTTCCACATTTCAATGTCTTTCGGCGTAGCATGGATTTACTAATATTATGTGTACAATGTCAGCCTCAACCGAGAGACGGCTGCAACGGTGTACCGCCTCATCGAGACGCACTTCCGCGACTGGACGGTGATTGTGGTGACGCACCAGGTCGAGGATATCACTCGGTTCGGGTTTGACCAGGTCATCGTCATGAAGGATGGCAGGGTATCTAAGGTCGGTGTTCCTCGGGTCCTTCTCGAGCAAGGCGCGTCGTCCGAGTTTGGCGCCCTGGTAGCACATGCTCGACACAGCTCTGCGGCCAGGTGACAATGCCTTGGCATCTGAGAGCAATCCTCGTGTAGCAACGCGACAATTCGAACGGTAAAACGCCAAACAAGATATCCAGGGCTTTACTGGGACCTAATTCCAAGGCACTGATCGAGTAACTATTAGTTAGAGATTATATAGCCATATAAAGGCCAATCCTTGATGCGGTGCCATCGCGTTTTCATTCCGCCGTGTATCTTCTCTGACCGTAATCCCCCAGGTCGACCTTCCGACGAATTGGAGAATCGTTCCTGTTTATTTGCAAAAGGTAGCGCACTTGGGACATTCCATCGATCTCTTCATGGCAGACAGCAAGGCAGTCTGGTTGATCTCGTTGATGTACTGCGCCTTTTGCAACTTCTGAACCTTTGGCATGAGAAGTTCCTGGTAGACCATGATGTTTCCATAGTACGGGCTGGACCATGCAGTATCGACGTCAACCAGGACTTTCATCACCGAAGGTCAGTTTATCCCGAGTTAGCAAGGATATCTGATTCAAGACCAATTCGACGCAGCTGTGTTTTGACCTACAGGACGTGCTGTTTACGACATGCTCTGGGTAGAGGCCCGCGAACATGGCAATCTCATCCCAAAACGGCAGTCTGGTACCGTAATGATCGTGGAAAAGCTTGGTGTATGGGGTTTCGACTTGGTATACCTCGTCCAAGTATTCCTGAACCGGAAAGACCTGATTGGCGCCGTTGCCCACGATGGCTGTTGTACGGTTTTAGCGAGTGCACTATCGGGAACGCTCGTGGAGAATTCAAGAGGATACGGGTGCTCTTACTAATGTTTGGGAAATTGGCAGTCAGCGCAATCTTGGCAGCCTCTGGGTCGACCTTCAGGTTGATCTAAGTAACACGGGTCAGCAAACCGACGAGAACGCGTACAGTCCCTTTTTCGCACTCCGCGAGCACGAGCTGCTTTGATGCTTACATCCGAGTTGATGTCCGCCAGGAGCCTAGTCCCCGTCGTCTGCAACATCATAACGTCGAGATAGCCTCCCATGATTACCAGCCCCTTCGCATTGGATGCAAAGGTCGGGTCAAGCCGCACCGCGAGGGCGACATTGGTGAGGGCCCCGCCGCTGTAGATGGTGACCTGCCCCGGATACTTGCGGACCTGCTCGACCATCCACGCGGCAGCCGTCTCCCCTGCCAGGGTCGTGTTTGGGAACCCCTCGATAAAGGCCGCACGAGATATGCGGGTCGGGTCTCCCGAGGTTGGGTCGTTACCCAACGCCTCGGCTGTGGCGTTTTCTGGCTTGAAGGCACCAGCCTTTGTTCACAAGTGAGGTCAGTTTCATGCGACACACTGTGCCGAGTGAACCGTGATCCTGGAGTGACCAGGTGGAGCAAGGAACAGAACTTATGTATGGCAGAGGGCCGTGCAGGAGCTCCCATGTCTGGTGCTGAGTCGGGGTGTTCAACAGCGGGTAGTCGGCCCCCTTGTGGACGGGAATGCAGGAAAGGTTGCCGATCTCCAAGAGGGCCAGGCCGTGCAGGCTGGTCTGGCGGGCCCACGAGTTTGCCGTGTCGCCCACCAGACCAAGGACGTCCCAGCCCGCGTCTACGGCGAGGAGGAATGTGACGAAGCCGACAGAGGTCCAGTCGTTGTCAATGATGATCTTGGGTGCCGAACAGCTCGCCGTCGAAGCGAGGGTCAACAGACTGCTCAGGAAAAGCATCGACTTCAGCATTGTGATTGAGTTTGGGTTTGCAGGGACGTAGCAGCGAGGATAGGGTTGAAGCGCGGCCTGCCAAAGGAAAACGTCACTGAGGTTATGTCGTCGCGAGACCCCTTTATGCTCCTCATATCCACCTCTTCATTTTCGCAACTCAGCATGAAGGAGGGATAAAACCATGTTTGCCATTCAGCCACAATCGTTATCTTGTGACCAAGAATTATGCACTGTTCTCGCTATCCAGGGATCGGACGACATCCAACGTGCACCACAGCTGCCGGGCTGTCATCCGACCGGCTGTCTGCCCAAAGTCCCGTGTAGAAAAGACAGCCTTGGCGTAAATGACGATCGCACTTGTGGGTCGCTAGATTCGGGTCGCGGGCGAGTTTTGAATCTGGTCCGCCACAGAGTGGGGACTTGCATGGGATTATTGCTCATCTTGTCCACCAATCGTTGGAGATAATTGGGCAACGCTGAAATAGAGCGACACGGCCGAGATGCAATCCCACCCGCGAAGCTCCCTAGACGTGTATCCAGCACAGCCCTTGGCTTGAGAATATCAGATTCGCCATTAGAATAACGGATAACTTGATTTTAGAGTACACCGTGAATGAAAAGAGACGTTTCAACCCAACAGTTAATACGACTAGGTGCTAATACATGATTTTTCTGCAACGCAAGTAATCCACCAATTAATTGAAAGAAAACTAGTTCTTTCTTGTCTTCGATTTTGGACTTTAGGTAACGTATAGGAACATCCACATTGATGAAGCATAAATCTCAAAACACACGTTAGCCTAGTGGGACGCGAAATGGTGACGATTGTGGTGATGTTGATGCACAGAGAAAGAAAGAGAACCTGACGCGATGTACGAGTCGATAGCCAGCCTGAAACATGATGGCATTATTTGGTCCCTCCTAGCACAGAAGAGAACGCCCTATCTAGGATATCCAGCCCCTCCTCAATTTCGCCAGCGGTGACGGTGACGGGTGGCGCGAGACGGAACACGCCACCCATACCGGGCAGATTCACGATGTTACAAGACAAGCCCAGCTCGAGTGCCCGATCAGACACGGCCTGGCCCAGTTCCGCACCCGGTGCCTTGGACTGCGCGTCCGAGATGATCTCGATGGCCTGGAACAGACCGCGGCCCCGGACGTCGCCTATGCACCAGTGCTTCTTCTGCAGCTTGAGCAGCCCCTGGTGTAATTGTTCGCCACGCTCCGCTGCCTGCTGGGCCAGGTCGTCGCGCACGACGATCTCGAGCACCTTGCAGCCAACTGCTGCGGTAAGGGGATCGTTGAGATGTGTTGTGAGCCACAGGAAGCCAGCATTGGCGCAGCCGGCCTCGATCTCGGCAGTCGTGCTGACACTCGCGAGAGGGAGGCCGCAGCCAAGCGTCTTGGAAAGACACAGAATGTCGGGCACAACGCCGTCGTCCTGGAACGCGAACATCTGGCCCGTTCTGCCGACGCCGGTCTGCGCCTCGTCCATGATGATGAGCATGCCGCGCTTGCGGCACTCCTCGGCCATGCGCTTGAGGTAGCCCTTAGGAGGGACGAGGATGCCGCCCGTCGAGAGGATGGGTTCCATGATGAAGGCGGCGAGTGAGCCGACGCTCTGGCGGTCGATCATGGACCAGCCAAACTCGAGTTCCTTCTCCCAGTCATAAGAGCCGTCCTCCGGCCTGCGGAAGATGGACCGGTAAGCGTACGGTGCAGGAAACGCCAGTTGTCCAGGCATCGCCGGCCCGGCGTTTTTGCGCCCGGTCGAGTACGTTGCGGACCCCGCTCCGGACGTCAGGCCGTGGTAGCTGGCTGTGAAGGCGACCACTTCAAACTTGCCCGTGTGCAGCTTGGCCATCTTGATGGCGGCCTCGGTTGTCTCGGAGCCCGTGTTGAGGAAGAACGACTTCTCGAGCGGCCGCGGCAGCAGCTGGCCCAGGCGCTCCGCAAGCTCGACGACGGGCTTGGTGATCATGTTGCTGAGCAGGTGGTCCAGGTTGGCCACGTTCTTCTGCACAACGTCGACAATCTCCGGGTGCGAGTGACCCAGCAGCGAGCTCATCTGGCCAGAGGTAAAGTCCAGGATCTCACGGCCGGCATCGTCGTACAGCCGCGTGCCCTTGGCTCTGGTGATGATGGCCGGCGAGTAGGGCACCCCGGTCTTCATGAGATGCCTGTCGGCCTTGGCCCAGAAATCGGGTGCCATATCTGCGGAGCCCATGATGATGCCGGGGAGTATTATGGGTGACAAGACTTTGTTGGCAATCAACCTTGCCTTTTTCGCAAACAAAACGCGAATGATTACTCGCAGACGTAGCGGTCGTGTTCACTGGACGGCTCGTGTTTTCGACGTGGGTGTGGTTTGTGATGGCTTTCGATCTAATGGAGGGACCTCTCTGGTGGCACTTTATGGGGTGGTGCTCTGGTCTCCCAATGTGTCGCTCATCCCACCTCCGGACCACTGCGCTCGAGGCCGCGGCGAAGATCGGCCAGTTTTCCGCGGGATTGGCACACGCCGCTGCCCTAGGGCTCCACTACACATACCACAACAATATTTCAGTCCATGTGTTTGCGACAATTAGCCGTTACATTTAGCATGGCGTGCCTCTGAGTGGTTATCGTTACACTGCATGCTTGCTGAAAATCACCATGTCAAGTGCATTATTATGGATTCCTCGACACTACCTGGACAATCATAGAGGGCTGAACATATTATCCCAATACTCCGGAAACAAATCGTTGACAAAGAGATCGTTAGTCATGTCAAACGGCACATAGCTTTGCTCCTGCGCATCAATCTGCTCTCGCTGCCCGCGCTGGCCTTGCCCAGATATGACATGTGCAGATTGCTGCGCGTCTTGGAGAGGCGTTCCCGCAGATCCCGACCCAACAGCGCCTGCACCGCTATTCATCCCATGATCTCTGGTGGGCTCTGGAGTTGCCGCTGAGCCCGGCGGCGCCGAGGAAGCACAAGCGAGGCCTGCCTGGATTTTCTCAACCACTGGGGCATACTGAGCGATGCAGATGTTGGCCAGGTCCCACCCAGCCTCTCTGCGGTAGCTGTCCAGTGCGGCGATAAGGTCAGCAGCGAGCTTGATGTAGATTTCGTCACTGGCAATGGCACTCGTACTGCCCGCGGCGTGCCAGTCAGTGGCGACGCGACTGCTGCCAGCTGTGCTTCTTTTAGGCGTCACAGGCTGCTGCTGTCTTTGCTGCTGCTGCTGTGATTCCTGCTGCAGGGCGCTCCGGATCAAGAAGGCCGCCGTGCTGGACAGTGCAAACGCGTTGAAGGACTGCCAGAAATCGGCCAGCGCGCCGCGGCTGAGTTCCTGTACAAACATGACAATGTCCTCGGCGGCCTCGCGAGCATGGCGCTGGCGCTGGGTCTGTGCGGCCGGGCTGGTGTGCTGGTGTAGGTGATGTCGCCCGCTGTCCAGGCCCAGCTTCCGACTGAGAAGCCGGATGTACAGATACGAGAGCCGCAGGTTCGCGGAGCCGGGAGTGTCGACCGTGGTACCGCGGATGATGGTTCTGCGGAGGTCATGTGGCAGTGAGTCTGCCCACTGTGCGAGCCTGTTCTCAAGTTCAGTGCTGAACGTGCCGGCGTCTTGGCCACGGACACCTGGTTGCTGGAGATCGGTCGTGAGATCAAAGACATGACGTAGGTAAACATCCACTACGTCAGTTAATGTGACAAAGGCAATGAATATGCTTGAATCGTCCATCAGGCTTTGCGGTATTGTCTCGTCGTCGTCGTCGTCATCATCACCGGCCCCGTTATCATGGCCCGGACCAGTGTTCTTGGAGATGAACATTGCCTGACTGGGGTAGGGAACGTCATGCTGGCTGCTTTGAATCTGAGGCGGCGTGCCATATGCAACACTTGACCTGCATGAACATTAAATATTATTAGCACCAACTGCCCTTGATGGATGGTGAAAAAACAACGGAGCCATTGCACGCCCAGAGGAACGCAACCTCGTGACTTACCACTTGTCGTAAATGGTTATAGCCCACCAGAGCCTGATTCTGTGCCCCTTTTCCGCATCAGATAATGCCCAGCTTAGGCAGTTACGGTTCAGACCAAGACAGTGCGCCAGGGAGATGGCAGCCCCTAGGAGCGTGGCATTGCCAATCATGCTTGAGAGAGGCCGCCCGGAGATGTTGAGCAGGATGGCCACGATAGTCGACAGGCCCGGAGATTGGTAGAGCTCAAAATACAGCGCCTCGCACGCCTGGTTCCATATGTACCGCACGTCAGGGCAGTGATGACCAGCCGGTAGCGTCTGGCGCCAGTAGACGAGACTCTGCGCGTACAAGCTGGCCAGCAAGGCAGGAGACAGTCTCGTCTTGGCGGTTCTGTATTGTCTCCGAAAGGCAGCCTCGTCGAGCAAAGGGTAGCATTTGTGGACCTTGTCGAAGTAGCTGCTTTGAAGTTAGCACTGATGCGTAGAATGTCCGAGACACAAGTTGTAAGACCCACACATCAATCAAGCTGGCGGCATGGGGCTCCAGTAGCTTCTCAATGACCTCGAGCCGTGAGGCAGCAGTCGATTGGTTGGAAGAACGACCGAGTGGGTGCCTGCGGACCGCGTTGAACATGACGGGTCGCTCCCCGGGCACGGGATGGAACGGCATGGCGCCAACGCGCGAGCCGGGGGGACCATTGCCACTTGAAAGGTAGTTGGCGATGAGCAGGGCGTCTGGGCTATGGACGGGACCGACAATGTGTGCCTGGTCGTCCTCTCTAAGAGGCGTTGCGGCTGCATCCGTCGGCCGAGCAGCTGGATCTGGTCTCAACGGTAGCCCTGGAAAGGGAACCTCCTGATCCGTCGTCCGGCCAGCCGGGAGTGGGACTGGATGGCTCGCGAGCGAGGAATTGCCTGAACTCGGTATGGCTACCGCGGGCCCTTGACGAGCCCTGACTTGTCTCTTTCGCCGTCCAGCGTGGGGACTTCGGGGTCCGGCCGCCCCGGCAGCATCTGGAAAGACACAATCGCTGCCGTGAACCTGACACATCAGACACGCAGCCTGTTCTCCGGCAACAATCTTACATCGTGACTTTCGCCTCCGGCAGGGATTGCAGGCCGGCTGATGGTGGGACCGATACGGCCGGCCCTCAGCCTGACTGGACATTGCCGTTGCAGCAGGCCGCGAACAACCGGCTGTGGGCTGCTGTTGTTGGTCACGGGGCAGAGTGTGAACGATTCGCCAACTCCGGGGGGTCCGCGGGGGGGAACAAGATCATTTCTCGGTGTTCGAGGGCCGCGGAGCGGAGCAGGACATGCCTTATCTTGTGCTGTGCGACGCCTCCGCGGAAAACTACCCCAATCACATTGGTGCAATGATTGTGGAGCCCACCCAGGTATCTCTGGCTTGGCCTTCAGAATGCGCTGGCAGATGCGACATATGCTCCCGATGTCGGCTCCAGGCGTTTCTGCAGTGAATGTCATTTACTTGCCAACGAGCATTGCGCAAGTCGAAAAACATGGACCTGGAGTCCCAACGAGCGCTTTGAAGACCGATATAAGCATGACAGGGGCTTAAACGTGCCCGTTTAACCCAAGATACGCAAAAGGACGCTCGGACGATGAGTGGTTTTTCATCAGCTATTATTTATGGAATCTATCTTGGATTCTATTGGTGCTGTACTCCATAGACTGATAACGCTAAGCCATGAATATGTAAAACGCGTATCAAACGAATTCTGGCAGCGGTATTTCGGCAAGTCGGCAAATTTCTAATTCCTAGGCGGTTGAGATGTCGTGTCAAAGTTGCGCCCGTGGCATTCCCGCACGAATCCAACTTTAGTAGACATACTAGGTGCACGGTTGGGTTAGCACCTCCGCAGTGGAGAGGGACGGTAGTATGTAGAGCGCTGCATGGATAGACTTTGTGCATGCTGCAGAAGTGCACTAACCTTGAAGTACTTGTTCTCCAGATCGGTCTCATCCGAGAGTCCACGCTCATACACTTGATGATCATTCTCCGCCGTGGGCACATGGAATTCCTTGCGTGATTTGTTGCGAGACCAAAGCAGGAACAGTAGCCCCAGAAGGCACAAGATCTGAAGGCCCACACACACGAGCATCATACCTACGCCCAAGGGGTACCGTGGCGCCTGCTCGGCACGGAAGAAGAAGGGGCCGACAAAGTTGCCCAGGCAGTATCCGATGAGCAGCATCGCATTCGTCGTGATCTTCTTGGTGTGGCCAGCCGTGTTGGCTGTCGCGACGGACATGGACAGTGTCCACGTAGCAGTGTAGGCGAACGAGATCCACAGGCAGGCGAGGCGGCCGTAGGGATGGGCCGAATCAATGAGCCAAAGCCCAAGGATTCCAGCGAGGAACGGCATCAGGCACAGGATCATGATGATCAGCCGCGCGTGGGCAAAACGTGACGCGCAGTAGCTGCAATGCAATCAGAGAGGCGCGGTCGTCAGTTGTGCCCAGTAACGAGATTCAAAACAGCACTCGGAGGGGGCAATCCAGCTTACCAGGCCGTTACACACGCAACAAGCTGTACAGCCCCGGAGGGCATTTGGATGAGCGTAGTCTGCAGCTTACTGAAGCCCATGCCTTGAATGATGAGACCTTGGAACTAAGATGATCATGCAGTCAGCGATGAGTGACCCAGATCTTGACTGGAGGGCGCCAACTTACAACTGTCAAGCCGCCGTTCGGCGTGTTGCTGGAGACCGCGAACACAAAGAGCAGCCATGTCTTGAGATCCATCATGGCCTCGCCAAATTGCTTCCACTTGAAGCGCTTGTTGTCAATGCCCGTCCCGTTCGTCTTTGCCCGGCTGACCACCATGATCCGCTCTTGGTCCGAGAGGAACTTGGTGGTCAAGGGGGAGCCAGGCAGGAACAGAACCACAACAACACCCCAGGCGACCGTGACTGCGCCCCAGAACAAGAACAAGATGCGCCAGCTTGCCATGCTGCCTTGAACGTGGCCGATGCCAAACGACACGATCCCTGCCACGATGTAACCGACGCCCGCGGAGCCAACCCAGATGCCCATTCGCAGCGGTTGCTCCTTGCGTTCATAATACATGGAGAAGAGAAGCATGGTGCCCGGGTTGATCGAGGCCTCAAATGCACCCAAGAAGGTGCGAGCCGCAGCCAGGCCGGCAAAGTTGATTGCGGCTCCGTGGCACATGAGCACGGCGCCCCAGATGATGACAGTGGCGGCCATGAAGTGGTTGATGGGGAGCTTTTGGAGGAGGACGTTGGTTGGAAACTCCCAGAAGAGGTAGCCAATGTACAACAGTGCTCCAGCCCATGAGAACTCGGTGCTGGTCAGGTGTAGATCTTCTCGCACTCCGAAAACGGCTGCATAGCTCAGCGTCGTCCGATCGATAGACTGCAACGCATATGTTATGCACAATATGGGCATGAGGCGCCAGTCGAGCTTGCTGACCAGCCTGCGGCGGGCGCCCTCGTCAATGTCCTCCTCGGCGCCGGCATGCAGCAGTACGAGGGCGTTGTTGACGCTGACATCGTCGTCCGTGGTGGTGAGTTTGGCGGGCTTCGAGTCCATGCTGAATATCGTCCGGCAGCGTATCGACAGTTTTGCAGATACACCATGAGACACAAACGCGGGCTGATGAACTCGTCGGCTAGCTGCCATTGAGTATTTATGCTACCGACGACGCTGTCTCGTTACAGCTATCCGATGATAAGACCCTGTCAGGCCATGGTTGCCCCACAAATCCCTGCCTCCCCACAGATAAACCCGGACAGAGCCTGGGGCACAGTCCGAAGGAAGTCGAACCCGGCGGCACTTCGTAAGCTGGAGCGAGTTGGAGTATGATGATCAGTTTCCTGTTGGGTAAACCCTTCTCGGCCTGTGCGAGATCGGCCTCGGAGGTTCCGCTATCAGTAACCCGCGGCCAACTCTAATTCTGAGCAGCCACACCCTGGCCCCGCCAAGATACACTTCGCAGTTGCATGCCAGCGCATTTAACGCCTGGACCACGACATTGTCTGCCCATGTGGGTGTTACATGTGCTGGGCAAGAGCCTCTCACCAAGTTGGCCATGGCAGCACCACCTTCCCACCCGTACCAGGCGCTCGACATTGACGAAAGGGTGAAGAGAGTGTTGCTCAAGACCCCGCTCATCGATGGCCACAATGACTTGCCGCAGCAACCCAGAGCCTGTTTTCATGGCAAGATACACGACAACCCAAAGTTTGACCTCGAGAAGGGTTTCGAGCGGGGGATGACGGACATCCCGCGCCTGAAGCAAGGTTAGTTTTCAGTTATGTCTATCCTGGCCGATGCCACGTCTCAGTGGGCCGTGCCAGCACCACAAAATCGCATACGGCAGAATTGATTTCCCATTTCATTCCCACAGGAGCTGTCGGCGGTCAATTCTGGTCAATATGCGTCCCCTGCCTTCGGTCTGCCGAGAACTTCTCCACGGCCGAGTACTCGGACATGGCCCGTGATGCAATTGAGCAGATTGACCTCACGTTGCGTCTTGTCGAGTCATACCCACAGACTTTTCAGCTTGTCAACGGACCAGACGATGTCAAGGCGATCTACGCCTCAGGGAGGATCGCATGCTCAATTGGCATCGAAGGGTGAGTCTCTATATGATACATGTGAGACCTGGCCGATGGCCCCTTCTCACTCCAGGACCTCATGCGTATCAATACACTGCTCCGCGTTGCTGACGTGCAAATTCTGCAGACTCCATATGGCCGGTAACAGTATTGGTATAATCCGGGCCTTCTACCGTCTTGGCGTGCGATACGTGAGTCTTGCCCGATACCTCGAAGGGTGCATGATCTAGTACAGCTCATCTCGAGCCTCGTGTTGACTAAACCTCGCAGTGCACGTTAACACATGTTTGCAATAATGCCTTCGCGGACAGCTCGACATCCAAGGTTGGCGCCGTGCACGGCGGGCTGTCAAAACTGGGCCGTGCGGCAATCAAAGAGATGAATCGCATCGGTAAGCTCTACTTGTCGGCTGCTTAATCCAGCAGGCTTATAGTTTCTGATGCTTGACCTGACAACCGACCAAAAACTCTTGCAGGAATGATTGTCGACCTCTCTCACGTCTCACATGAGTGCGCTCGGCAGGTTCTCGAGCTGACCCGTGCGCCCGTCATGTTCTCGCATTCCAATGCCAGGGGCGTGTTCGACTGCGCGCGAAACGTGGCCGACGAGATCCTAGACATGGTCCCCGCCAACGGTGGTATCGTCATGGTCACCTTTGTGCCGGAACACGTGGCGCACCGCCGCCACGAGGCCAAGATGGAGATGGTCATCGATCACCTCGTCTACGTCGCGGGCCGGATCGGCTGGGACCACGTGGGGCTCGGGTCCGACTTTGACGGCATTGCGTCCGTGATCCCGGGGCTCGAGGACGTGACCTGTTACCCTCGCCTGCTGGCGGCGATTCTTGACAGGGGCGCAACAGAGGAGCAGCTTGCCAAGGTGGTCGGAGAGAATATCCTCCGTGTGTGGCGAGGAGTGGAAAAAACCCGGGACCAGATGAAGGAGGAGGGTGTCCTGCCTGTTGAAGATGTTTGGGAGGACAGAACGTGGTGGAGGTATGACGGGTACTATCAGATGCCCGACCCGGATCCGGAGGACAAGCTGGGTTTGGATTGGTATGGAGTACCGCCTCCCGATGAAGGACTGTACCATGAACAAGGGAAGGAAAATCTCGCAGAGTAATCCGTAGGGCCAGACCTGTGCGACAACGTGTGGTTGGCAATGGAAAAGAAAGAGGTACGATGGGACCTCTCAAGAGAGTCTCTCCCTACACCGTGCACCATTTCACCTTTCCCATTGACCAGTCTAGCTGAGTATGTCGCAATCACTTGGTCCCGATGTGACAAAAATTGACCAACCACTTGCCAATATTCACGGCATACCACTCGCCAGGCGCTACAGAGAGCATGCACTAACAGGAAATAAAAAGCATCAGCGTGACGAGTCTTGCGCTAGCCAAGGAGACTTTTACCTTCCTCAGCTACAGAAATGCTGGGGCTTTGTTCTATGAAGACTGGGAAAAAAAAAACCGAAGCCCTTCACACAATAGTGCGACAAGATTATATCGTGCACCCACCCACCACTGCGTCGGTATATGGCTCCTAGATGCTGTTGACCCCTGATCTTGCACTTGATACGCCTTGACATTGATACATTCCACAACCAAGCACATCACAACTGATGAGAGGCTGTACCCAAGCATTCAAAGATATGACAGTGTATCGCGCAGGGGTTGTCCTTGCGATTCCGCGTCGACCAGGGCGAACATCCTGCTGCGAGAGTTACAGGACGACGCAAAGGCAGGACCTGGTTGAGCCTGCGTGGCTGAACTTCACAGTCATGGAGGAGGTTGCTTGGCACCTGGGTCTAGTGGAGCCGCCGCACTTTAGGACGGGCCCAGGTCGAAAGACGGGCTAGCCCCCCAACCAGCCGGTGATGACGTGCCAGCGAGCTAAGCTTCGTAGCTAAGTTTCCTAAACGCGGGGAAGCTCAGCTCAGCAGCGACGTGGACGAGAGACGAGAGCGAGACAACAACAGAAGTAGACCACCTCGGCAGCGGCGTCTGCTCCTCTGCAAAAAAGTCTCCGTTGCTCATGTTCGCCATCATGTCGAGTCGCTCGTCTTTGCGCCGGTTGACCGTCGCGACCCCATACCTCTCGCGCCATCTCGTTGGTTGCTGCAAGGGCATCAGGTGTTTTTCCAAGACGGGTCTCAAAAATGACGATGCGTACGATCAGACGATACCCAACATGAGAATAGACGAGAACACTCGTGTCATCTATCAAGGTGAGTCGCGGCACTCGCTCTTGGACTGCGGTCATGTAGCATTTCGTCAGTTCCCCGATGGCTGACCTAGGCTTTTCTCCTGTGGTGGCAGGTTTTACGGGCAAAGCTGTACGGTTGATCGCATTACAAGCTCTCCCGAAGGCCCCCAGATACCTGTGATACTGTTTGCCACATGAGTCTGACTGATCGCGCGACACAGGCAACGTTCAATGCGAAAGACACGATCGAATATGGTACTAACGTGGTGGGCGGTGTCTCGCCTGGCAAGGGAGGCCTGAAACACCTGGGCTTGCCCGTCTTTGAGACGGTGCGCGAGGTGAGTCGTTGCTTCGTTGTGTGGAGTTAACGGCTACCCCAGTCACCCGTGTTGAACGAGCTACGATCCTGAACCAGAAGCCGCAGACAGCGCTCTAACATGTAAGCAATGATGAAGGCCACGGACAAACTTCAACCGCACGCCACCTGCGTCTTTGTCCCTGCGCACTCGGCCGCTGGCGCCATAACGCAGGCGATCGAGGCCGAGATCCCCCTGGTCGTGGCGGTTGCCGAGCATATCCCCGTGCACGACATGCTGCGCGTGCACGAGATTCTCCGGACGCAAAGCAAGACACGTCTAGTCGGCCCAAACTGCCCCGGGATCATCGCGCCCGGGCGCTGTAGGCTGGGTGTCATGCCGTATCGTCAATACAGCAAGGGAATCGTAGGAATCGTGTCCAAGAGCGGAACGCTGAGTTACGAGGCTGTGGGCGCTACCACGGCAGTTGGGCTGGGACAGAGCATTGTTGTGGGTATGGGAGGTGACATGTTGCCAGGTTCGTGAAGTCATCCAGTCGTCTCTTGTCGATATGCGAATGCCGCCACTATATCATGGCATTGCTGACGGGTCGGGGAGGACACGAGCAACAGGCACAACGCTCGTAGATGCTCTGAATCTCTTCCTCGAGCACGAAGAAACCAAAGGCATTGTAGTGATTGGTGAGATTGGTGGAGAGGCCGAACTGAAGGCTGCCGAGCTCATCAAAGACTATCACCGCAATAACCCTACCGACCGCAAGCCCATCGTTGCAATGGTCAGCGGCCGAACAGCTCCAGTGGGCAAGACAATGGGGCATGCCGGCGCTCTGCTCAGCCATGGTGATGTTTCAGCGGAGGCAAAAGCGCGTGCCTTGCAGGATGCCGGGGCTGTCGTAGTGCCGCACCCGGGAGTTATTGGTACTGAGATGAAACGGCTATTGGGCATGTGATTTTGCTGGCGATCAAAAAGACTTCAAGTCTGGGGTGGTTTCTACCTAGTACTGCTGAGTAAATGCAATTTATTCATTATCCATGGTTCATTCGATGATGCCCGAGGACCTACTACGTGACACAATAGGATGCGGCGAGCCGCTAAGTCATCTAAGCCCATCTCGAGCACTTCACTAGGACGAATCAATGAGAAGCAAACGAACTTATGAAGCAGAAACATCATTGATTCATTAGAGAATACGGAAGTGAACCCAGCACGCAATCATAGAAAGTCGTACAACTTCAAAGCTCAGATCCCACGGGTTCTCCCTATGCAAGACCATTGGCCAATTCCACAGCTTTACTCGCAGCCTCCCCAAATCCCGATTCCACGTGTAGCCCGAGATTCGCATCTTGGATCTATATAGCAATGAGCAATTGTTACCAGAGAGGTGCTACTTGGGTTTCGGGGATCAGTAAGAACTCTGAAACTTACCAGCTTCAACCCTTCGGCAGAGTTGGTCCCTTGCAGCCGGACGACGACGGGTACTCTGAACGGCCCCAGTCTTTCTGCGGCAGTGATGATCGACTGTGCAATCATGTCACAACGGACGATGCCTTAGCAAAGACGTTTCATGTCAGTGACTATTCGGTGTCTGCTGTGTTTTGTGCAGATTCTGCTCCGGAAACCAGTCTGCAGGTCCTCGAGTACTTACCACCGTAGATGTTGACCAGGACAACTTTGACCCGCTCATCCCAAAGGATTATTTCGAATGCCTTTTGCATGGTCTCGACGGTAGCTTGGCCGCCGGTATCCAAGAAGTTGGCACTGGACCCGCCGCAATGAGCGATCGCGTCGTTTGTTGCCATGGCCAGGCCGGCTCCGTTCACCACGTTGCCAATGTTTCCATCCATCTTGACATACACCAGCCCGTGTCGACCGGCTTCTTCCTCCTCGGGCGCCTCCTGGGCACCATCGGCGGCATCGTCGTTTCCAAGGCCAAAGAGGTGCTTCTGACGACTCTTGGCAGCATTGTCGAATTCGAACTTGGCATCGATGCACATGAGCACTGGATTTTCAGATCTCGCTGCCGCTGTCAGCGACACCAAGGGGTTGATCTCTAGCATCGTGGCGTCTCTCTGGGTGAAGATATTGTACAATCGTATCAAGAGGTCTTTGAGGCTGTTTGATTCTGCGGGCGAGAACTTGACGGCCTGGGAAATGTCCCTGACCAGCTCGTCAGTGATACCTTGGGACACACTGAAGCTGAAAGAGTGCAGGCTTGCTGGGTCATCGCGGGATGTCGCTTCGATATCCACTCCGCCGCTCTTGGAGATGACAATGCCCGGCGTATAGTTCTCGCGGTCGATAATCAGAGCTAGGTACCACTCGTCGCGGAACTCGACATCCTGCGCGACGTACAGCTTGTTGACACGCAGGCCCTCGGGCCCAGTCTGCTTCGTCTGGAGCCGGTATCCCAGCATCTTTGACGCGAGCTGTTCGCCCTCCTCGGCGGTCTTGACGAGGTGGACGCCACCTTGTAAGCCATTGTCAAACCGACCTTTACCTCTGCCGCCTTTGAGGATCTGCGCCTTGATTACGCAGGTGCCATCTTCGAATGCGTTAGCAGTGATTCTGGTCGTTCGTCGGGGCTAGCGAATCTGACGCGCACCGAGTTCTCGAATGATCGACGCCACTTCGGATGGCGTTGTCGCGACCTTGGCACGCTGCACTGGCACCCCATACTGCGATGAACGTCAGCTTGTCATTATAGGGTGGCGCATTTGGGAGGATGCTGACCTCTTTCAGGAGGTCTTTCGATTGATATTCATACAAGCTCAGACGGCGGACTTGTCGCGTGACGTGTGGCAACTGAGAACAGAGAGAGAGTCAGCAAGTGTAATGTTGACTGGATAATGGCCTGCCTGTACAACCTTGGCCGGATTGCTGGACAAGAGTCGACGAGGGATAGTCCACGACATGGTCGGCGAGACACTCTGTTACGATGACGACACGCCGGTGTTTGTTCGTGCTACGAGAAGGTGTGTACCCCTCTCGATTTGAAAGGCGGAGTAATGGAACTTAGTTGGCAGAGTAAAATCATCGAAGCCCGCACCACCACTAGAAGTGAATCCCCAGGAAATCGGTTGTGGGCATGGCGACCAATCACCGCACTGGAGGAAAGCTAGCGGCCAATCCGGAGTACTTAGGTACTTTTCGAGCACCCGGTCCAGATGGAGAGTTTATGCCGTGCTGGCGCCCGTGGTCAGCCGCACGCGATCATGACCCGGTCTGATTATAGTACGCTAACTATGTTCGTCTCTATGGCATCCCTCAACCTGCGGCAATCAGGCTCCTTGGTAATGTAAAGCCATATCCTTCACACAGCCCGTCCCCAATCCTTTGTGAGATTGATCCCTATCACAAAATTGCTCTCGTCTGAGGCCAGGTAGAGACACGCATTGGCGACGTCACAAGGTTCGCAAAGACGGCGTTATGGAACATTGACAATGAATTTGCTCCGGTTCTCAGGGGTATCCGGCACGCCTGCGAAGGCCTCGAATGTCCTAGTCCGATCAATCAGTATGGGAAATAGGGAATGCATTCATGTTGTTAAAGTGGGATGGAACCTACAGTCCAGTTCCAATCTCGCCGTTTTGCCCCCTTGGTCTTCACGGCAGAGATGACATCGGGCATTGACGCCTCGAGGCGCTGACCGCCGGTCTCGTCGATATTAGCTACCAGGACCTTCGCACCTTCTTCGGCGAACCGCTTGACGATGCCTTGGAGATAGCCAGAAGCACCTCCTACCGGTTCGATTCGGCAAAAAGAGCCCAACGCCCATACTTACTGTAAATGTACACTTGTTCTGGGCCCTATTGCGCTATACACGGATGCTCTACACCTGCACGCTTACTTGTCTTGACGTACAAGTACTCTGATGTAAGGTGTGCAGTTTCCTACTGTGACTTTCGATATGGGCATCAAAGGACTGAAATGCCTTGTTGGTGTGGCAAGTTGTGCTAGCGTATTCTGACGATAAACTCACGTTTGCTTTTCCATGACACCAGTTAATCTAGTCTCAGAGCCCAGACGACCCCACCAAAAAAGGCCTGGGCCTATCGTTGTTCCCCGAAGACCGCCAACCGAGAGTGTGATCTGGCGCCGCGGAGAGTGCCCGAAAAACGCTCAAGCTAAGCTTGTCCTCCTCCGTCATGGACTACCCTGATGTGGATCTGTCGCCTTCGGGCGGTTACCGATGGACGCGAACGAACGAACACCTGCCAACTGCAATGCGGGGAGGTAATGAGCTAATCTTGCCGCTCTGTAAGGTCCCCGACGGCACAGTGGCCCCAGGAAAAACAATGATACGCCAGCGGCTGGGATTCGTGCGGGACAGACGTGGAGACCCCGCAGAACTGATGCCCCCATTCCATCGGATCCCCGCGTCCCGACTCCCGACAGTCTGGGTCCCCGCTTGGCCTAACAGCACGACGCCGAAGTCGCACTACTGCTCCTGTTACCTATAGAGGGCGCTTCACCGTCACCTTGTCTTGCCATTTTCACCTTTGAGGAGCTTGTCTCTTCAGAGTCCCCATTGCTACTACATTGACTACCTCTGGCTGATTGGAGCCCTGCGAGCGCCAAAGTTGGACGAAGACACAATGACGACCACGACTAGGGACGCCAAGAACGACCCATCTCATGTCGACGATGCCAGTCACGTTGATGCGGCCATTGAGAAAGGCGAATTCGATGCCGCCCACAAGGTCAGTAACCACGAAGCTGTAGCCGTGGGCGTGATGGTTTGAAACAGAATGGCGACAGACACATTTGCTAACCAGAGGACCTGACAACGCAGAGTAATGCGGTTGGTTACAATAAGTATGTCGAGGGTCTGACTATCGAATATACAGCCAAGGAGGCCAACGGGGTCCGGTGGAAGATCGACTTGATAATTATGCCCGCGTTCCTCATTACGCAGGCTCTACAGTTCATGGACAAGACCTCACTCAACTATGCCAATCTCTTTGGCTACCAGCAGGCGTTGGGCCTCCAGGGTCTGCAGTTCAACTATCTCTCAGCCAGTAAGCTTATTCAGGACACCTGCCATTTTTGCCTTGAGGTCTCATACTGCACACAACTGACACGTTCTATGTTGCTCCGCAGTGATTTACGCCGGCTATTTCTTCGGCCAGTATCCGTGCGGGTGGCTCATCGGTAGATACCCAGCTCAGAAGGTTATGGCCGTCAGTATCTTTCTATGGGGCATCACCGTCCTCGTCATGACTCAGGCACGCTCCTACTCGAGTGCCCTTGGTGTCCGCTTTCTCATGGGTCTCTTTGAGGCTGCGGTGACTCCTGGCCTCACCCTCATGACCGGCTTCTGGTACGAGCGCCGCGAGATCCCCCTCCGCCAGTGCATCTGGTACTCGTCCCTCGGATGGGGTGGCATTATCGGCTCCTACATCTCCATGGGCATCTCGCAGCTGCCCGCCAACATGACACCCGGGCGCTGGGAGCTCATATTCTACATCCTCGGTGGCGTCACCTGTATCTGGTCTTTTGTGCTCTGGTTCCTGCTCCCTGACTCGCCCTCGTCTGCGTACTTCCTTAACCACCGCGAGCGACTGATTGCCGTTCGGCGGGTTGCCAACAATGAGACGGGCATCAAAAACAAGAGCTTTGACAAAGCCCAGGTCAAGATGGGCTTCCTCGACCCCAAGACGATCCTGCTCTTTGTCTCTGTGTTCGCCGCCGCCATCCCGAACGGCGTCGTCAACTCATTCTCCACCATCATCATTAAGGGCATGGGCTTCAATACCACGACGACAACACAGCTCAAGTCTGTCGGTGATGCAGTCCAGATTGTCGCCCTGATCGTCAGCGGCACGATCATCCTGAATGTTCCCAACTCGCGCCTCCTCACTGCGTCCGTGGCCAACCTGCTCTGCGTCCTCTGCGCGGCCATGATGGCTTTCCTGCCGCGATCCAATACCTGGGGCAGGCTCGTATCCTTTTGGCTGGTCAACGCGCAGTCGGTCGGCTTCACCGTGTCTTTGACCACCATCTCGTCCAATATGGCGGGCTACACCAAGCGATCTCTAGCCAGCGGTCTGGTCTTGTGAGTATCTGCCTCTCTCATTGTCCTGTAACTATCTCTCTATTATACCCTTACTGATTCTGTGTCAATGAACAGCACCGCTTACTGCTGGGGCAACTTTGCAGGCCCTTTCGTCGTCAAGCCCGAGCAGGCACCAGATTACAAGGGGGCGTCCATCGGCCTCCTCGTCGGCTACGGCATCAAGTTTGTCTGCCACTTCGCCCTTCTCGCCTACATGTGGTCGGTCAACCGCCATCGCGACAAGACCTACGGCCCGGCCGATAAAGCGGCCAGCAACGAGGCTGGCATGCGCGACGTCACCGAGTTCGAGAACAAGGACTTCCGCTATGTGTTGTAGAGAGATGTGTTCCTTGATATAGAGGGAAGGGAGAATCGGCGTTGCGCCTTAGTCGTGGCGGTGGTCGTAGGGATGCGAAGGTGGCCTGCGTTCATGGAGGTGTTGGAATTGAAACCTGCATCGTCCGTCACACACATGCAACGCCTCAGCGATACGCCGTCATCTCATCGGTAATACTATTGCTCTGCACATGTCTCGCAACTGGGTGGCGGCCACCGTGCTCCAACTCATGCGACGGCAAGCTCATACTTTGTGAGTCATGACCTGCCTCGTGGAATTTCGCTCCTGTCCTCGACGTCTCATCGAAGCTGCTGGCTCGACCAACGCGTCAGCGTTTCAGGCTTGACAGAAGCCCAACATTATCTCGAATGCACTCAAGGTCGTACGAGCCTGCAGCTCTCCGGAAACGCCACTGCTGTCTCGGCTCGTGATTTCCAGTCTGTATATCCCCTCTCGCGAATAGTTGCATCACCGTGGCCGGGCCCTGAGCAGCTCGACTCGCGGCCCGAGCCCGTGTTGCACTGATGAGAGCTACAGCGGCGATCGACTGCGACTCCGGAGCGATTTTCGAGCCGTTTGTCTTCATCGCCTCCATCGGTGGCGCCAGCAGGCGCGGAGGGCTAATGACCATAATGGGTGCCAAGGCACGTGGCAGCCAGCAGCCTCAGCTAGAACCCACTCCCAAGTAAGACCAACTTAAGGAGAGCGAGGCAAGCTGCTTCATGCTGCGCCATGCGGCCCACCGTTTGGTGAAAGCCTGAAGTGCCAAGCCTCCTGGGTTTGTATTAAGTTTTCACTTCCTCGCTGTCATCAGGCAACGCGATGTGGTCGAATACGGCTAGGCGGTTTCCTCGACACCACCAACACGCTCCGGCTCCCCGGCCTATCTGAGGGCTGGTCTACGTCTATCTGCTTCTTGACCTGTGCGCTCACTGGTCAGTGATAAATATTCGATATGATAAGTCCTTTCGAGGACCTTATTATGAGAATACGAGACACCCCAACAGTGGCTCGATCGAGACGTGCCCTACCTGGGCCAAGGCCACCCGTGTCCACGGACGGCAACAATTACCCCTCGATGTGTGTCTTTTGTGGAATTTGGTGGCGATGGATGGTGAGACATGTGGCAAGCCTTCCTTACGCTGTCCCGGGTCTGGCCCATTCCTCTCGGCCACCGAAAAGCCTTCGGGCGTCTGATCGACGTCACAACCGCCTCGGCGTCAGCCACAACTGGGTGCTGGAAAAGGACCAGAACCTTGATCCCTGTGCACTGAAGCTGGGAGGGTCCCACTTACCAAGAGCGCCGACGGGACAAACCTTATGCAGCATACTACCGAAACCTTGCCCTCTGATGCATTTGAGGACAAGACTGTCTCACTATAATACTTGGCTCGCGCAATCTTGACTCAAAAACAGCAGCCCGCCATTCTTCGAGGGAAATCATGATTCCTGACATTTCCTTCACTTCTTCGCTCGGGGCAGACATATACACGCATGCCGGTACAGACACTGACCTGCCCACTGGCTCAACAAGAAAACCGGACGCAACTGACAGACATACGCATGAAGGCAGCATGACATGGCAGCAACCTCACTGAACCAGCTCCCCCAACCACGCCGGTGGTGGGCCGCGGCGCTCCTCGACGAACTCGATGCCATTTCCCGGCGGGCAGCGCATATCATTGACCCTCGCAGTCCCGCGTATCAGACCTTCGAGCCCTATCCGTCACGCGCCTTTGGTATCGTTTTTTCTGTCTTTACTGGAACGCTCTGCCTCGTGTTGCTGGGTACGTCATCCCCCAATTATCATGCTGACGGCTTCATGCTGTTTGCAGGAATGTCTAAGAGTATTGGACTAACGAATGATCAGGAGTGCGTGCTCGAACGCTCCTCGGCTGGCGGAAGGTAGCCTACACGCAATGCCGTGAGTTCTGCTCTCAGCCATTGGCTCTGGCATTATTTCAAACGCAGTTCTGACACGCCCATCGCAATGCCTCCCGATGCAGTCGTCGTTGTGCAGTTCTTTGTGGCATTATGCTACATGGTCGTCAGCGCCGTACTCCGGTATGGATTTGACTCGAACGATGACATTGAGACGTGTCAGATGGCTACAAATGCCTGCCTTGTCCTCTATACCATAATAAAGGTCTGTAATTGATACCCTCTCCTCATGGTGCAAACAACGAAGAGAATGGGGAAGCTGACAGATCGTGCAGGGGGTAATGTCACCACCACGATACAACCTTGAGGCGCCAGACAGGCGCGAGGACGTATCCACGGCGCTGACTGTTCTTGTAGTTGTTTTATATCTTTCTTGCTGATCGACTGGTGAGTTACGAATTTTCAAGCTTCGCTGCAAGAGCCCAGCTCAGTTTGAGACACTGACCAACGTTGGATTGGCAGCATGTTGTCTGGACCGGCGGTGATCGTCGATCCAAATCGAAATTGTACATTTTCCATTACGCCCTCATAGTGGGTAAGAGGCTCCTACACGTGGCTCGCTTCCTTGCTCCCACTTTTGCGCAACTTACTGATACGGGTTATCACCAGCTGTGATCATAAGCTGGAATTGCATTTTCTACTACCAGTATGTGCCCGCTCTGTGCATAGTTTTTCACACGCGATCCGTATGTGGAGCAGAAACGGACTGACCCGTGCAAAACAGCGCCACAACCAGCATTCAGAACGACGTCTGCGTCGTCGGGGCTATTCGAGCACTCATTATCGTGGTGATTGTGCTCGATTTGATGCTAAACGTGGGTCTTCACTGTGGTCTACCCAGACGACCAAATCTGGAATGCGTAACACACCGTGCTGACCTGGGCCGGCCGTTGTCTTGCATAGTTGTACTTGACGATATTCTTCCTGTCTTGCCTGAGTCGTGAGTCTTTCTTACTCTTATTGGATTTTCGTTTCCTCAGAGCCGGCCTGGCTTCGATGTCTTTTCATGAATACAATCAACTGATCACCTCTGGCTCTACACATCTAGGATCCTTCCGATTATCGTCAGGCAGCAGTGGAATCAGTTGGTTCCGGAGATCCAGACCGAGCGAGACCCACGAAAGACGTCTTAGTGCAGAGCTCCGAGCCCTTACAAGGAGGACGGTGGCTGGCCTCGTCATCAATTTGACTGGAACCGCCATGTAGGTTTCCCCTCGATATCTCCCACGTGTATCGTGGGCGTACAGGCACAGACCTGTGTTTGGGTGCGAAGATGGAACCCACGAACCTAACTGACATTTGCGCACTTCTCGCTGGCGCTCATCTGTCTAGCAACCTGGTTTCGATGATCGTCTTGAACGGAGAGGCAATGTGGTTCTGCTGGATCACCTGTAAAGCCGACAGTAAGTCCTCCTCTCTGTCGTTACCGACAAGACACCACAGACAGAAACTCGCATTCATCCTTGTGTCGGATGATACTGATCTGCGGAAAAGTAATGGTCAATGTCATCGTGCTGTTCTGGATGACATCGCCCAGAGGTGAGCGAGGCAGCGAGACAGCTACGACCAAGACGACTACGATGTCAAGACGAAACGGCAGCCACGACTCATCGGCCGACAACGGCACGACAATAACAATGGTCGAGTTGACCGACATGCTGGCCGGACCCGCGGAGGGGAAACCGTCGCCAATCCACACGACGAGGGAACGAAGGGCCGACGACAGTCCCTGAAAGAAAATCGTACGAGCGAGCAGCAAATCGAGAATCCTGCAGAGCAGACCCGTTTGCGGATGGAATCGCGCTGGACAAGGCTTGCAATGCTGCAGCAGCCAAATAAGAACTGATGTAGGAAAGAATGCATCTAGCGTGTGCTTCAGCGGATAGGGGACGCATCATAGTGAGAATTAAGAAATTTGAGGCTCGAGGCATGGTCGCACCTTGCTTGCGGTATATAAGTATTACAAAAGCATAAAATTGCCTCCTAGTTCGTATATAGTCGGTGTGCTGGATCCTGGCAGGACAGTTAAAAGGGCAGAAACCTCAAAGGACCGTCGTGGTGAAAGTCGTGCTAGAAGCTCCACCGTGAAAACCCAGAAGTGACATGGCTGAGGAATTGAACCTGAGATGGCCCGTAGCTTGACCTGGGTGGTCGTGATCCAGAAGCCAGAATCCTCCCGCATCATCGAGCTCATTGTGGTGTCCCTCGCTTGCTCACTCAGCGTCCACAAACTTCTACCATTGAAGCACATCCTACTGGGGTTTTCCCTGAACGTCTAACAGGCAGATGTCTCGTAGGAACATACCACAGGGGTTCGCAGCAGACATTGGGAGGTGATGGATGTGTACCATAAGCACTGCGATGAGGAGTGCTAGCCAGCCAACCGAGCCGAACCGGACCGGGCCCAAAGATGGGAAGGTTGGGCAGTGCATTGGTGGGGGAAGACCAGCCAGGGGGGCCAAGGCTCTTGCGGGGAAGTGGATCTGGACTGAGAAGGGGTCTGGTTCCCCCCATGGCCTGCTCGTGCCTCTCTTTTGTGTTTGGCAGATTCTGGGGCGGGACTGTAGCGTGAGGCAGGGTTCGGGAGGCATGTGGGGGACCCGAAATCACCGTTGACGAAGCAGTAACAGCACAGCCCTGATTGGACACTTTTTGCAGCCTCTCGGCATTTTTGTTTCGCGGCGAGCCTGTCGGGAGGCGCGCGGGTCGGAGAGGCGATGTCTCGGCTGGAAGGCTTACGGGGGAGAGAGACCGAGCAGGCAGCATGTATAAACACGATAAAGGCCTCCCGCCCCGAGACCGTTGTCCTCTCTCACTTCCTCTTGTTGTTGTTCTGCATTTCTAGAATACTGTTTTGCCTCTTCTGCCACTCAAAAAGGATACCACGGGGTGTAAGCAGCAAAAAATGCCAGGCGTCACCACTCAAGTCGCTGTAAAGCGCATCAGCGAGCCCAAGGTCGGCGAGAATGGCTACACTGGCTTCCACCCGGGCAAGGTCGATGTCTTCAAGGCCGGCAGCCAGCCTTTTGGCGCCGACACAAAGGCCCTGACGAGCGACATCCAGCTCGAGCACGACATCGAGATTGTTGTCCGCGATGGCGCCCGCCTGTATGCCGACGTCTACCGCCCGCATAACTGGGATGGCGGCAAGATCCCGGCAATCCTGAGCTGGTCCCCCTACGGCAAGAAGTACAGCGCCCTGGACATGCTCCCCATGACCATCTGGCATTCCTGCGTCAGGAGGGACGACCTGTCCGGCCTGGAGAAGTTTGAGGGCTTGGACCCGGCGCACTGGTGCCCTCGCGGGTATGCCATTGTGTCCGTCGATGCCAGAGGCGCAGGCAACAGTGATGGCCACATTGGCGTGCTGGGCACACAGGAAGGCGAGGACGGGCACGACGTCGTCGAGGCTATTGCCGCCATGGATTGGTGCAACGGCAACGTCGGCATGGCAGGAAATTCGTATCTAGCCATCTCGCAGTGGTTCACAGCCGCTCAGGCACCGCCTTCCCTCAAGGCCATCGCTCCCTGGGAGGGTCTCAGTGACCTGTATAGAGAACAGTTCTGCCGCGGTACGTCTTTGGCGCACTTGTGTATAATCCCATTGCATTTGGATTTCAGCGTCTAACACTTCTCATTCTCGCAACAGGAGGCCGCTTCAGCATGGACAACTTCGACCTCATCACCAAAGAAATCCTTCGCGGCAAGCCCTCTTCAGGCGTTGAGGACATTGCTGAGATGTACCGCCGGAGCCCCGTGATCAATGACTTCTGGCGCGACAAGCGCGCCGACTTCACCAAGATCAAGTGCCCCGTGTATATCAAGGGATCCGACGTCAGCGGCCTGCACAACATGGGCTCGATCAGGGCCTGGCTCGAGATCCCGCACGATCAGAAATGGATCCAGTGGGGGGCAGAGCAGGAGTGGTTCGATCTGTACAGCATTCCGCAATCGAACGTGGACCTGGCTCAGTACTTTGATCACTATCTCCAAGGCAAGGACACAAAGTGGGTTGAGCAGACGCCCAAGGTGCGGTGGACCACGCTGCAGTACGGCGATAGGAAGCCAACCCACGATATCAAGCTCGCCGGATTCCCCGTGCCGAACACAGAGTACAAGGAGCTCTTCTTCGCACCGGACAGCCGCCTAGCCGAGTCGGCACCAGCAGGACCTGCCCAGAGAGTGTCGTACAACTCCGAGCAAAAGGGCTCGTGCGTCGAGTTCACACACACGTTCCCCACCGCGTCGCGACTCCTTGGTCTGCCCAAGGCCATTCTCTACATGTCCTGCGACGCGCGGGATGACTTTGTCGTCTACGTGCATCTGCGCAAGAAGGACAAGGACGGCAAGGATCTCTTGCATCTCAACTTCCCGATCGAGCGGACGCCCATCAAGAGCATAAGCGAGCTCGAGACCAAGAACATGCACGCCGTCAACACGCATTCCGGCCAGCAAGGCATTCTGAGAGCATCCCACCGCAGGATTGACAGGGAGAAATCGATCCACCCGCAGTTCCCGTTCCATCCGCACGAGAAGCAGGAGAAGATTGAGCCGGGCACCGTCGTCAAGTTGGAAATCGGCATCTGGGCAATGGGGGTCGATTATGAAGCTGGAGAGAGCATCACTGTCAGAGTAAGTACTGGCCGGCGATCAAAGCCTTCGAGAACTTGTGCTGACTTTAGCAAAAGATTGGTGGTCACAACTTCACCGCGGCGGAATTCACAGCTTGGTCGCTGCCGAGGCCGGACCATGAACTCAACAAGGGCGAGCACAAGGTGTACTTTGGCGGCGAGTACCCGAGTTCCATCATCCTGCCGTATGTTGGCGCTCCGTAGAGAAATGCTATACGCCTGGCAAGGTCCGAACGGAGCATCGATTTTCAGCCTCCAATATCAGCCAACAAGTAGATTTCGGGGTTACTGTCCTGGGAATCCACAACCTGATCTGCATTCTAGACTCAGCTGCCATGATCCGGCCACCTGCGGTTAGATAGGCGATAATGTCTTGAAAACCCTTTACTTCATCAATCAGGCTAATACAGCGTCCAAATAAAACAGAGCGACTACTTTTCTCCTATGATGTGACGTGATGTGACGAGACAACCTTAACACATACTGAGTGCTACGTGTTTAGTATATCCGCAAGTGTCATTTGAGTCGAGTCCTTTTCATGTTCGATCAAGTGCCTGCAGTCCTGTCATGTCTGAAAGCTTAAACAGGCGGGATTTCGCGCTGCTTCTGCACCTTAGCTGAACTGCTCCATCTTTTGCAGCAGTTCCCGCATGTCCTTCGCATAAACGTCAAACTCGCCAAACACCGCCGTGGCCGGGTCGTGCTCCTCGAAGTCGAGATAAGCCGTCTTGAAGCCGGCAGCCCTTGCGGCAATCAGATCCCACGCATGCGCCGCGACAAACCACCTCTCTCCATTCTCTCGCTGTGCACCGCCATTGCTCGGCCCCCTTTGCTGCCTCGCGAGATGGTCCTTCGCGCGCTGATAGACCCTCACGTCCGGCTTGGCGACCTTCAAGTCGTCGCAGGACAGCAGGTGCTCCCGGTCCAGCGCGATCCGAGCATCACGATAATACCCCAGCGACGTCTCGACCCCGCCATTCGTGACGGCATAAACGTCCCATCCCGCTCCTCTCAGCCCGTCGAAGCAGTCCTTGAGCCCCTCGCGGGGGGCATGGCTGTCTTGAATGCCTTCATGATCGCTTCGACATCCTCGTCGCTGACGAGTTGCCTCGCAGCGGTAGCGGCAGCGGCACCGCCCTGCCCCTGGAGGGTGTGCTCGTCCGCGACAATCAGACACGCCCGGCGCAGCGTGTGCTTGAGCACCTCTGCGATCGGCTTGTAGGCGCCGGCGAGCGAGATGTACGTAAAGTCGCGCTGGGCCGCGTAGAACCAGGAGAAGAACAGGGTGGTCGGATCGCGCCTCGCCGTGGGCAGTTTGTCGCCGAGCCGGTCGCGGATGGCGGCAATGGGGCCTGCGAAGTCGAAGCAGGTGCCGATCACGTCGAAACAGATGGACTTTGTCATGATGGGAGTAAGCCTCGGGAGAATCTCAATGCGAAGCGGTGGCGCTCATGCACGAAAAAGGAGGTCTGCCGTAGGTCGTCGATATATTCTGCAACCCGAGAAAGCAGTATTGCACTGTTCTGGAGGAACGGCACTTTTGTGGAGATGATCATGGTTGACGTCAGCACCAGCTAGAGTGCAAGATGCGGTACTTGCCGGCCGAGGTTGTTTATCCCTGCGGTGGCTCCTCGGATGGGGGCTAAGGTTTTTTAGGTTGGGGAAAGTTTAAGCACGCAGCATTCACTTAAATTTCGTCTTGAAGGGTCTCGATAAAACACTAACAAAGGGAGCATTGGGAAACCATTTGTCAGAATATACGCAAAGTCTGTAACACATGCCAAGTTCTAATTGATTTCCCCAGGTTCCGATTCACAGCAGAAACATGATACCACCAAAGTCGAAGCACAATCCAAGCAGAGACTACTCCGGCAGAGGAGTGTCTGCGAACAAGTAGAACCCAAACTCTGCTGGCCACTTTGCCCCAGCGGCCGCATTGTCCACCAGAGACCGGATCCTAGCCACTTCCTCGTCGGTCAACTCTACATTCGCGGCGGCGAAGTTGTCGTCGAGGTTTTTAATTTTCGTGGTACTACAGCATCTCACCAGTTAGTCCTGTACTAAACAAACACTTGCGGGCAAGCACAAGCAGCAGACTACCCAAATCCAACTTACCCAGGAATGGGAAAGACGTCGTCGCCCTGGCTCAGCAGCCAGGCCAAGGTGAGTTGTCCGGCAGTAGAAGACTTTTCCGCTGCAAGCTTCTTAATCTCATCGACAATGACGAGGTTCTTGGGGAGGTTCTCGTCCGAGAAGCGCGGATACTTCCTCCTCAGGTCGTTGGCGTCGAGGTCCGCGGTGGTGGTGACCTGGCCGGTGAGCAGGCCTCGCGAGAGCGGCGAGTACGCCACCAGGGCGATCCCCAGCTCGCGGCAGGCCTGCAGCACGCCGATGGCCTCGTCCTCGATGTCAGTGGTGAAGGGGCTGTATTCCATCTGGACGGCCGTGATGGGGTGCACGGCGTGCGCGCGGCGGATCGTGGCAGCCGACACCTCGCACAATCCCAGGTACCGGATCTTACCCTCGCTGTGAGGCGGCACAAGTCATCTCGTTAGCGACTGCTTCGCTAGCGTGGATCAATTCGTGATACTCACTCCTTCAACTTGACCATCTCACCCACAATGTGCTCCACGGGTGTCGATCCGTCCAGGCGGTGAGGGTAGTACAGGTCAATGTAGTCCGTGCCGAGCCTCTTCAGGCTCTTTTCGCAGGCCTCGCGCACATACTCTGCGTCCCCGCGGAAGCCGACCTGGTAGTCTGCGGTCAGGGTGCCGCCAAATTTGGTCGCAAGAAAGATATCCTTGCGCTTGCCGGTCTTGGCGAACCACATGGCAAGCAAATCCTCATTGTCGAACTGGCAAGAAGAGACGGGACAAATGACGTCAGCTTAGGTTCAGGCCCGCCGCACAGGTCTCTGGCTCGAGGTACAAACATACGTATGCGTCGCTGGTGTCCCAAAATGTCTCCCCAATGGCATGGGCGTGGTTAAGCACGGCGAGGCGTTCCTCGTCGGGTTGCTGGTCGTGGTACGAGACCGAGAGACCCATGGCTCCAAACCCAATACGGGGAACGAGGGGCCCGTTCTTGCCAAGGGGACGGGTAGGGATTTGAGCAGGCATGGTGATGTGAGTGATGAGATTGTACGAGTTGGGGGCCTTGCTTGAGCTGGAGAATTCAGGACTCTTGGAGGGCGTTTCGATTATCGAGGAGTGGGTTGAATGATGATGTGAAACTATTCTAACATCCGACTGGGATCAAGAGTGTTCCTACCTCGTGGTCATATAGGCACGCAGTCTTCTTGATTCTTCTTCCTGATTCATAGAGGTCCATGCACTGCGGGGCTAAGCAGCACGCGCACCCTATGCTGGCCATCTGTCTGGTGGTGATGTCCGCTCCTAGCTCTACTCTGTAACTTCACTCCGCTCCGCAACTCCGCAGGGTCCGACTGGTGGCCCGGACGGACGGACCAAGATCTCCAGGTGGTCATTTCATACGCATGGATTACACACGTCAGCCATGCGGAAACAATGCTCTTCAACTGCAGCGGGATACATTTCGGTCAGTCGACAGGGTGATCTGCCAAAATACTCGAATCAATTTTTGGGTTAAGGAGCCTTCATTCAGGCCCTGCTGGCTAGATTATTCAACTCCCTAGGGCAGCTCTCTCTAGATGCCACTACCTGCCCCGCCATGTGGAGCTCAATTTCCAGTGAGCAGGTCTTGCCGATTACTGCCCAATTGTCCCTCCGGCTCCGACTCGAATGTCTTCATCTCATCAATGCCAAGAGTTCTAGAGCCTGGCGTTAGCTGAATTTCCCACACCTTTTCGTTCCGGGGGAAGCCACAAGCCGCGCGAGGCTGCGAGAAACCTACACTGTTAAAAGAATGCGTGCAAATGAATCCACGTCGTCTGGTCTGCCGCATTCCAGAAACTCTCGGAACCCGAAGCCGGATATGTAAAAGAATGGCTTCTCATTCCAGGCCTTGCAGAATTCAAAAGAGCCCGGAGCATCCCAGAGGTGCCTTGATAGTGTCCATCGATGCTCGTATGCCCAAATCCCCATAGGACCACCTGTGTTGTTTTTGAGCGAGCTGCAATAAGTTTCAAGGAGGGACCATGGTCTTCAGAACATGGACTTACGGGCAGGGGATTGTTTTGTTAAGAGCTTCCAGAGCGTAACAATCATGAACGCCATCAAGCAGGTCCGCCGCACACACTCGGCAAATACCCACCGCTATGAGCGCAGCTTTATATCAGGACTCTGGTGTTTCCGAGGGCGTCAACATGCGTGGCTTCAACATACCTGCCAAGTCTCCGGTGGCCTTTCGCGTCTCATGTCCTGTGGCAATCGAGCTAGTCCGTCGAGGTTGTCTCTTAGCTTGAGCAGGTCGGTAGCCCACGCCTCAAGCACCGTCATATCCCCGGCGGCGTCGCTCCCGAGCGTGATGTCACCGTCAAACATCCTAATGACCTGATAGAAGATGAGAGCGTGCAGCCGTCCCAGCCTCTCCATGGAGGTCATCACGTTCCTGCTGTCTGCGGTCTCGTGTAGGTCCGCCACGTTCTCGTGCAGGACTCGCAGGACCATGCCGCGGTTCGTCGCAGTCCCGTTGGTGTATTGTGAGCATGTCGTCCAGGCCTTGAGCACACAGCCCGGCATGAAGCTCTGGTACAGCTCCTTGTGCAGGAACGGGGTGCAGCTATTTTGGGCGAAGCTGGGACACTAAGCTCGGAAAGTTAGTAGATGGCATACGCAGTCACAGGAATGCGAAGGACCCTCGAGTAGTTCGAGTAACAGCAGCATACAAAGGACTTGACGACTGAGACGACAAAGGAGACTCTCGTGTTTGAATCGGCAAGATGCCACGGTTCTGATACAGCCAGTCAGAAAGACTCCCGCCGAACGGGTTAACAGTACTGTCTTGTGATACTTACGATACGCGTCCTGAGGCATTGCATGGAAGAATTAGTCAATGTCGACGACTCCGCCGATATTATGTTGGGGGTACATACGCAAAGCGAACCAAACTTGGGGTAGTCCTCTTTCCTCAGTATCGGCGTCGGCGATGGGCTGTCCTGGATCACCCACTCCAGCTGATCAGACGGAGCTGTAAACTGTGGTTGTGGGGCGATGATGCTCTCCAGAAAAGCCTCGAAGCCGTTCTCTGTCGTCGAGAAGCCTGGCTCCGCCGTGCAATCAACTGGCATCACTTCAGCCATGGCAAAGTCGAGCGTGTCCGGCAACACTGGCGTCGTCTCGTCGTATGCCAGGTGGTCGTCCAGGGTCATCATCGACCCGTCTGGTGGCGACGAGGACGGGCGCGCAGACGGGAGCCGGCCTCCGTAGAGGCAGACGAGCCCCATTCCCGCGCACCGTCCACAGGCGGGTAGCGCCTTGTCGCACTTGCGCTTGCCCTGGACGCAGGCGTTGCAGCTCTTCTGCCTCGACGCCCCGCCCCCGGCCATCGTGCGGAGTTTTGCAACCTTGCTCGCAGCGGCGTTGACAACAATCCGGCGGTGGAGATGTACGTGGCGGAGCTTCAGACGTGGTTTACACTGTCCGGATTTTGATGATTCGCGCTCATTCACGGTTCGGAGTAGAAGTGATACTTGGCTAGACAAAGGCGCAGCCCATGAGTGACGGCTCCGCAGTCATAACGAAACTCCGCAGCGCCGTGGCTGCGGCTGCGGACATTGCGGAGCTTGAAAACCCCGCTTGTGCCACCTCAAGACCACCGAGCCAGGCGGATGAAGTACCCGCATGCTCCCTTTCTATCCATTACTGGCTGGAATCAATGGGGTAGAAGTCCAATGAAACTCCGTAAGCACACTACCCCCAGCCCACTCAGCGTACAGCCGAGGCTGTCATGATTTCCAACGTAGAGTTTGATTTATGGCTATCCTCCGCAATATCTACCGAATTGACCTCATAATCGGGCTTGCTTAGGTCCCTGGCAATGTTGGGTCGCCAGCACCAACGACTTGATGGCAGCCATGGTCACGCCAAACCTTGCATGGGCTGGAACTACCTGAGTGATAGCTCGGAGACGGTCGCTCGCTGCCCAGGGTAGGACTAGGCATTTGCGGGAGAAGAACTTGCCTCGCAAGATGCTGATTCTGCCGTTCGCAGTGGCACAATGAAGTTGAAATTCACCCAACTTACACCGCTCCAACAATACACATTCGTTATTTTCTAATCTTTTGTTTCAATGCTCGTATCTTCCCTGTTGTCAATGAATTCATCATAGCAACGAGAAGCACGGGGATCAATTTCGCCTAGATCGCAGGGGAGGCAGAGGCTGCCTCGCAACGAGGCATTGCGCTCGGGAGCATGACCGATAAACGCTCCGGCCATGGGCTATGCCTTTTTCATGTACAACCTTGGGAGCGTACCGTTCAGCTTGCGTCTGCAGGGCACAAGACTACGCTTGAGACTACAGGATATGAATTCAAGCGTGGCGCATGCACCTTAGGAAAGGAGCCTGCCAGTCGGCCCTTAACAGCACGCCATGAAGGATTCTAGTCACAAGAAGTTGTTGCTAGCAGGACGGGATCTAGACTTGGCGCAGCCGCTGCACGTGGCAAGCTGGCTGGGTCTAGAACCTCCGACACGTGCATCGTACGTAGGCATGACGAGGTCGCGCCTAGGTAGCGATCGATCATCCAGACTCTGCTGTTGTTTTAGTAGCTTTCCTCTTGAGCTGCAAGTCCACCCAGCTCGGCCTGCCTGGGTAGGTGGATAGAAATTCACACTGCGACATCTTATCAGCTCAATGGTGTACAGTACAACGTAGTGTAGCATTGCCTGAAGCATTTGCTGGGATTTCCGTATCAGGTTTCATCTTCTGATGGTATCAGGGCTTGGCAAGCCTGCTTTCGGGCCAAGCCCGAACTGTCGTCCCGTGACATTTGCCTCAACCCTCATATATGCTTAGTCCTTGTATGCGAGGCTTCGGGGCTCTTCCGTCGCGAGTCAGTCAAGGGCCCCGGCTCATAAGCCTGACTAGCGGCTAGTTATTAATGGGCTGGTTTTCTTCTTTTCGATAGTGGATTCGGGAGTTTGCGAGAAAGCCCTCTCGTTATCGCCCCCACCAATGAAGTCCACCGCCAGCCTTAGCCATTGAGGAAACCTCCTTGTCGTGATGGCTGTAGCACAGTGACAGAAATCATGGAAGGTGTAGATGCAGTCTAACGCGTTTTTGCTATCTCCTTGCACCTAGCAACAATGCAGGCAGTCTCTGCCCATAGCGTGTGACGGCCGCGCGCAGACTCCAGTCCAAACCCCAGCAAGCAGCCGTAGGAATTGCATGCCTGTAAGGAGAACATGCTGCTATTTTGCCCCTTGGGCCAATTAAAAACCACGAAAACCAGCCGGGTCCAGTCGAGTGAGCACGTCCTGGCCCAGTCCACGCCGACTATCCACGTGAGGACAAATCCAAGATTGGACAGTCGGGCCATTTCGGCAGTGTTGCCCCTGGGCAAGACCCAGTGTTTTAGGGCGCCCTATCGGCAGCCCTGTGTTCGCGGCAGCTGTAACTGTGGACCGACTCTGCTTCTGCGGCAGATCCATCCAGCTTGTTTTCGGCCCCATGGCATGATCCCGGTTTGGTGCAGTGGAAAAGCACTCAAGACAAATGGATATGCTTACCATCCGAGCCAGGTGGTGAGCCGGGAGCCTCGTACCGACACGGCTTGATCGCCCGATTGAACGCACAGGCGCTGCAGAGTCTGGACGCAAATGTTGTACTCCGCCGTTCTGATTTGATTAGAGACGCTCCATTGATCTCTCACATTGGTGCTGGGCGCGCGGCATTCCTAGAGTCCCGTCAGGCACTAGCAGAGGCGTAACAAGTCGCGGTTCGAGGGATCACTGGCCCAAGTATGTCTGATTTGAGTGACATAAGCTGTGACAGGTTGCTCTTTGCCAGTCTGAGCCCGTGCCACACGGATGGACGAGGGCGCCACGATGCATCTGACATGTATGATCGGCAGCAGGGGTATTGACAGTGCCTGGTTCCCCAGACCAGGGCCAGGATCAGCCGCAGTAAGCCCGCCCCGATCGGAGCAGCGCAGGTTGTGGCTTAGCCGCAAGACGCATTAGCATAGGTGCTTTTGATTCTGTGTCTCTGCTCATCTCCGTTTTCCATACGCCGGGGTTGCCAATTTGAGTGCTGGTTGTCAGCTACTCTCTCGGCGGCGATATTTTTTCATGCTGGCTGATTAGCAGATGTTCCAGACATCTCAGATAGAGACATGCGAGTAGGGGCTTGCCAAGGTACCAAGGCTGTCTGTAGGAAGCATACGGCCTAGACTCTCGATCTAGGTCAGGGGTAGATCGTTTGTTCGAGGCCACTCCTGGCCTCGACAGTTGAATATAATCCAAGTGTCCGCCCAGCCACAGCGTGTCGAATCGTGCAGACCCAAGCCCTGTGAGCCTATGAGAATCAAGCTTAGACGAAATGTCAGCCTCAAAGGCTACCTAGCATGACTTTTGAAATACCTAGGAATGTGCCAGGCGACGCTCGGATAGCCGCCCCATTGTCAACCAGCTGTGCTAGGCGACTCATGCACGTCTCTAGCTGGGTCGTGACTACGGGTCCGGCCCAGCCCTTGCGCACGGCTTGTCTTTGCTTCGGCGCTTTTCGAGCCACTAGCCACGACACGGGGGTTGGAACCACAGAACCGGGACCAGATTACCTCAGGTGGCGACGGCGTCTAGTCGCTAGGCCGACGTTGCTGAGGCCTTCCTGCCCGCACCTGACACATCGCGAGCCTTATCAGGGGCGGGGTATCAGGCTTCTGGTTTAGTCCTCACCTGGATTCTGGAGCTCAGCGGCGTCGCGCTACACTCGCCTGGCGCCTCTGCACGGCTACCGGCTAGCTGGTGCCTCCAAGCTGGTGAAATGGAGGCCATGCATGCGCGCTCACGCGTTCGTGCGGACGATCTTGGGGTGCAGGGAGGCCGCCGTGGCAAAATTAAGTACGGGGGAGTCGAGAATAAGACGTCTTGCCCCCCATCTCTGAAGCACGTAGGACATGGAGACCTGATCCAGCCTGGCCCGTGTCATACGATTCAGCGGAGAGAGCTCGACCGCATACCCACTACCCTAGGCACAGCGACAGACAGGCCCTACGCGGCGGCACGAGCTCATCCATTTTCGAAGAGAGGGACAGTGGATCTCCAGCAACGGTTTGGGCCAGGAATCCGGGTCCTAGGGTCGGAGCTTCAAACGAGAACAACATGGGCTACATCGAGCTTGGCGAGCGCGATGACAGCGTGAGTAGCGCAATACTGCCAGAGGGCGCCCTCGTTCTGCCAGCTTTCTAATCTGTCGTTGGGCCACAGTTCTTGCGCGAGGTCTGGGGCCTCTACGGCTTCGGCATACTGATCCTCCTCCTTCGCTTCGCTGTGCGCATCAAGACCGTCACAATCCGTGGCCTGCAGTGGGACGACTTTTTTGCGTTGCTGGTCATCATCTTCTACACAATCGCATCCACAACGGTGCATCTTGTCTGTTAGTCAATCATTCCTCCAACCGGCATGTACTGTTGTACGATCTGTCGCTGACACGCCAGCCCAGACCTGCAAGGGTCCAACATTGAAGGTGTCATTATCAGTGCTTCACGGCGTAAGTTGGGCCCACACCTTCACACCACGACTGAATGCGAGCCTGGGACTCACCCATGAATTGTAGCTCTGAGCGATGAGGAGATCGACCAGCTCCACGAGGGAAGCAGACAGCAAATGCTGGCCTGGTACACATACTCGAGTCTCGTATGGTGCCTGAAGGGCACAATGGTGTGTTTTTACCTGCGCATGACAGCGGGCGTTGCCAACAGGCGCGTGGTCGTCTGGCTTGGTTGGGTCTGTATTGCCACATACGTTGCAGTGGAGTTGACGGTATGTTTCCCAAGTCTTCTGCTGCTTGACATTGTCGCATGGAGACTAACTGGTGCCCACCTCAGATCACCTTTGGCTGCTGGCCTTATGCCGGCAACTTCCAGATCAGTCCTGACCCGGGCAGTAAGTGCAATGAGGCAGTCAGAGAGCCACTGTGCCGCTCACTAACCCTGCCTTCCCTCCACAGCAAAGTGTACGCTCAAGCCACAGAACTTCATTGTCATGACAGTGCTCAACATTATCACCGACGTGGGCATTCTGTCCGTTCCCCTGCCGCTCCTGTGGGCCCTCCAGGTCCCGCTGCGTCAGAAGATTGCCATCGGCCTGCTTCTATCCTCGGGCGTCTTCATCATCACGGCAACCATCATCCGCATCTCCGTCACGCTCGGCTCGGCACCCAGCGCGCTGACCATCAACCGGTGGGGCGTCCGCGAGGTCTGCGTCTGCGTCTGCGCGACCACCGCTCCCGTCCTGAGGCCGTTCTTCACCAAGGCCTTCTGGATGGGGGGGCGGTTCAGCACCGTCGGCAGCTCAAAGGGTGGCGTCACGACCACCGGCGGCGGACGCGGGCCCCGGAGCCAGGCGCCCCATGGACCTTACGAGCTCGCGCCCAGCCTGCACAGCCGCAGCAAGAACGATGCCCACGACCAGTACACGGGCAGCGAGGAGAGCATCATTGCAAAGACGCCCGCGCCTGTAAGCAGCAAGTACAGTGCCAGTGCTGGCACGGGGAGCACGCTCGGAGCGGTGGTGACGTCGTCCACGCCGCCAGACCCCAATGCGGTGGTGGTGCATACCGCCTACGAGGTCACCGAGGGTCCCAGGCCCGGCACCGGCCCGGTCTCGTGGGACCAGTCTGGCTTCCACGAGGTGTCCGCATATGGGAGCAAGTCGCCCGTGTAAAATTATGGATGTGGCTTGGTCTTTGAACGATTCGAAAAGCCCCAGAAGAGCGTGGGGTATGCATCGGGGCAACGAGGTGTGGAGGAGCAACGTACATAGCACTTCTTGCAGATAGGTCCCGGACCATCTTGTATCCAAAAACTCGTAATAAGTCCTTCTCAACCTGTTCACCGACTCCTAAATTCGATCTCATACGCCACGTCTCGAGTCTGTTTGTGTTGTCGTGCATAGAGCTCCAGTGTTCTATTCTGCAACGGCCACAATGAGAAGGTGATCAAGCTCAAGGGGAGCCCCTGGGCACTGGCAAGGGAAGGTGTCCCAACGATATGGACCTGGAGCTGCTCTACTGGTCCATGAAGCTTAGAGAGGCTTTCGGCTTCGACGAAGAGAGTCAATGAGCCAACAACGAGGAGCTTTGATGTCACGTGACCTGTACAGTCAGTCTTTGCTTCCCAGACAAGAATGATGTGGCTCTTGTTCGTGCAGAAATGCATATGGCCGGAATACCTTTTCTCCATTGCTCCTCCCACTAAACAAAGCGGGTTCTTACTTGCCAAGTCCCCCAAATCATCGTGAACTCTGCACCCCGGCCCTCTCATTACCAGAGCACCTGCACAGTCCTTGTCCCCCTCAACAGTAGCCCAACAGCCCCAAGCTTAATCCAAGCCCAAGGGGAATGAACCCCCAGTGAAACCACTGCTCCCCTGCACCGAGCCTGGCTCGGCTGATGAGTCCATCGACGAAGGCTAGGGTAGAGTTTGCGACCCAGAACTTTGCCAGCAATGTGTTGTCGCCATTGTCGCGTGGCGAGAGCGCGACAAGGATGGTAAGCGTGGCAAAGAGCAAGTTGCGCGCGCCGTATAATTGGGTCATGTGCCGGGCCGCAAGCTGCGGCGTAGCCATCACGCCGGAGCCTTTCTCTGACTTCGCTGGCGATGGTGACGTCGGCGGTACTTTGTAGCCTAGAACCTCGAGGGCTGCATTTGGGCGAAGGACGGCGTTGAGGCCGAGCGCGAGGGGGGCGGCGGCTGTCAGTAGGCTCAATTGCCGAAAAGTGGCTGGCGCAACCATGTTATTGTTCCGATTTGTGTACTCAAAGGTGATAATATGAAGTCTTCGAGGAGGTCTTGAGAAGGTTTGACGAAGCGCTTGGTGAGCGGCTGAGCCGGATTTATAGCTTTACGAGCCGTCTAAGGACAGTTTTGTGGTAAACTCTCCGCTTCAAGTTAGTGCTTACGACTGGAGAGGCCAATAAGCTACAGTGACCTCAGAGACAGGGAGTCACGGGGTTCTCGTACTAGTCTTCATCCCTGGATACGGCGCTACTTCTTTCCGCACATGATTCATGGGCTGGAAGAAGGTCACTGTTAGTTCCGTAGCTACAGTTGGAGGTGCTTGTCACCAGGTGAAAATTACAGACAATCGAAGTGCTCCGTCACTATAGCCTTCTGGCTTCTCCGGTCATATATGCTATTCAACCAGCCGTCCTGATCAGATATTGAACCAATGGAGAGACCGCTGGCTTATTCTACCCTTGCTGATTAGTCATGCATGCTTACTTTCTCGCAAAACGTGCGCAACAACCAGCTTGCAATTGATTCTGTGGTCGGGTGGTGGCCAATTCCGGCGGAAAAGTATCCGGGCTGTCGAATAATCCAGGAACGACGGTCCTGCCATGATAGATCGTAGAAGAGGCAATACGAACTTCTATCAATGTTCTTTTCTGCACGGAACTGGGCATTTCCTTGCTTCAGCGCGAAAATGTTTGTGGTTGCTCCTCGTTGATGGCAGGCAGCCTCTACATCCGAAGGATAATACAATACAATTGCCTCGCGAGCAGCTCTGCTTCTACATCCATCTTCATAGACCTCTGGTGCTCCACTCCCTCAACTTGTGACCAAACACCCACAATAACAGCGGACACGGCACTCCCAATGCCAGCGTCACGAACCCAAGCATGCTATTGCCCCATCCGAGCCCTAAACTCTCATACATCCTCGGTGCGAAGAGCGGGAACCCGAATCCGCACATCGTCCTCAGGAACGCGCCCACCGCCGACGCGCTCGCGGCGTGGCTAGCCCCATACGCATCGGTGATATACGCCTGCGAGCTCTGGAACGCGATGATAAGGCCACAGCAGAACACTGCGGCGCCCATGTCCGGCACGATCCAGTGCTGGTGCATGTGTGCGGCCCAGCCGAACCAGAACAGGCCGACGGGGGCGAGCAGGCCGCCGAGGACCATTGGCGGGGCGCGGTACTCGGGCTTCCCGCCTGGGGTGTTGTAGTAGGCTTTCAGCTTGGCGTAGAGCTGTTCACAGAATAAGTATGAGTTTTGCAGTTCTGTGGGGAAGTACTGGCAGATGCACGACAGAGCACTTACGCCGTCCATAAGGGGGTGGCTGATCTGCAGGCCCACCAAGAAGCCAATGCACAAGGCGAGATAGTGCAAGCTCCCGGTGCCCGCATCGAGGCGATACTCCTCCGTCCATATCCAATCATAAGTTGAAAGCCTAACAACCGTCTTCGTCAGTCGCTTGAAATTGTGTCCAACTCGGAGCGATGGACTTTCACCAGGTACATGACGCCGTAAAGCACCGCTCTGTACACCGACGGAAACTGCACGGCGGGGTGTGTGAAGAGCATGATGAATGGCAGCGTCAGGCGTCGCCTCAGAATCGCCCCGAACGTCTTTTCGGGCGTGTCGTACTCCGTGCGAATGTGCTTATTGCTGGTCTCTTTACGCAGTGCCTTGGCTTTCTTTGCGAGTATTGCAGGGGCATATGTCTCCCGGAGAAACAAGAGCGCCAGAAGCTGGACGAGAACGTCGAAGAGCGAGGTTGCCCAGAATATCCTTTGGGATGATTAGCCACATCTCCTTGATCACACTAGAGGAGAAGTGCAGAGTAGAACTCACCACCGCCAGGACGTTGAGCGCGAGACATAAGCGCCGACGATTGGAGCGACGCAGGGCCCGATGAACGTCAACATCCCGTAGATGGACTGTCCTAGGCCGCGCTCCTCCTTGCGCCAGACGTCTGCCAGAACACCATTGCAGAGCTGGGTACGGGTTAGCCTCATAAGAAGCTGGAAGCCAGATATGGAAACTCACAGCCTGTGGTGCACTTCCACCGATGCCACTCAAGAACCGGAAAATCAACATCTGATCCCTAGTCTGCGCAAAACCGCACGCCGTATTGAAAACCAGGTACACCAGATTTGCATACTGCAAGACACAAACCCTTCCAAAGATCTCAGACAGCGGTGCCAGCACAAAGGGGCCCTGCGCGTACCCGAGCAGGAATATGGTCATGAACAAGACCCGCGTGAAAGATTCGTTCTCGGGGACACCCAGATCGCTGCTTATTTGTGGTAGTGCTGGCGTGACCATCGTCGAGGAGAAGGGCGATATGAATGTGAAGCACGAGACTAGAATTGTGGCGACCCATTTGCGCGAGCGGGACCAGTTGAGAGGGTGCTGAGGGTCGTCTGGGCCGCTCCATGTCAGCTAGGAGGTACCAGTTAGCTCTCTTGATAATTATTCGGGTTTGGCGGCTCTCGGATCGCTTACCACTAATGGGTGATCCTCAGCGTTACTGCATTGTGAAGCGGAATCTGCATTGGGCGCAAGTGGCATTTGGGAGTCGCAACTGTAGCGTATCCTGTACAAGGATTCCACGTCAAATGCGGCCTCGAGGGGCGGTCTGGTCTCGAAATCGAACGGGGGTAGACTGCATTCCGGTTTTTCCGCACAGTCTTTTGGCTTCCTGATCGTTCTTCCGACCTTGGCGGGGAGAAAATGCGGCATTATGTGACAAGCGAGTGTGAATGCAAGCGGAAAATGATGCGAGGGTGTCTGGTGTCTCTCACTCCCCCTACTGGAGGCATTGACCAGCCGCATTGTATTCTTATCTTCAGAGTATCTTCTGCAAGTGGCGAAAGGTTATCCCGCTATGCATGTCCGATTCGTGCTGGCAATGACACTGTGGCTGTGCGCCACTGACCTTCTGCAGGTACAGACACCGGGAAGATATAACACGAGCACCAAGAGCGGCTTAGACGCCTGCGCCCATCGTAGCAGAGACGCCGCCGAGATCAGTAACAGTCTGCTTTCCAACCTCAAACCAGAAGCTAACTGCCTGATCCAGACGCTTTGCGAGGCAACGCAGGTGCCTGCAGGCTTGGTTCGTAAGAAACCCCTGGACCGCCGCGTTTCTCCAAAAGCCGAGCCTCTCCAACTGCGTCTACCGGCGAGGCTGTGCAAGAGTCGCTGGCGTCTGGGACAGCCAGTGCCTTCCAATCGCCAGTTGCCAGCCAAGCATTGGCACAACATTGGCAGATGGTGCCACGACACTAGCCCGCAACTCTGATGTGTTGCACGCCAACTTTGGCCAACTCGATCGCGGCTCCAAGTGGAACTTGTGATTGGAGCAGGCCACCAAGGCGAACCCACAACTGCCTTGGCCTGCGTGTCTCTTAACGAGCCAAGAGTACAAAGAGATCGACACTCAGCTAGTTGAAGATGGCTGTGCAGAGACAGCGAATGGTCGCCAAGAGTTGGCACATTGCTAGCAGAAAGTCACGCGACTCCTGCAGGAAAAAAGAACGCAGTGGCACCGCCAACACAGATGCCTGCCCGCACGCCCGCACAGAAAGTCTTGACGGTCGGGATGAGCAGCATCATGGACTTGTCATTTTCGTGGCCCGACTGGTGGTACTATTTTGAGCCTGCACGTGGAGAACTGCCTGAGTGGTCGCGTGCTTCGGAGCAGGATTGGGGATAGAGCATGCCTTAGTGGTGGGCGAAGTTTCACTGCGCTGCGGACCTCCCCATTTACGAGAAGTGCTGTGGCCGTGCTATGTGCTGGGCAAGGACGATGAGCTTGGCTGGCAAAGCATGTTTCCTGCTGGATGTGCTATGCCAGTCAGGTAATCCGACATCACGGCACAAGGGGAGAATGCTCTGAAAATAGCATGCGTACCTGGCGAACATGGTAGTGAGCCACTCGGTAACCGAGTAGCACTGCCACGAGATGCTTTGACACCACGACTTGGATCATATGTACGCCAATCCAGACAACGTCTATATCAACTCGTGCAAGCCCTCAGTCCTGGTGGCGTCCTTACAGCAAGCCATTACATCATCCTCCCTTCGCTCCACCGCTACTAGACATCACTCGCTTTACCAGACACAGACACTCTCTACCATACCTCACTCGCTTTCGCTTCATATTCGCTCTCAACGCCGCATCACCTGATAGACGGTGCAAAAATGACCGCAGCGATGACCTCCACCACCATGAAGACCATCCCTACGATCCGGCTGCGCGCGCAGAGTCCACAGCTGGGCGTAGCAAGCCCTCTGACTCTCTCGCCACCGCCATCCACCCCCGACCGTCCCAAGTCCGCCAGTGCGCCTCCAAAGCTCCGCATCCTCGTTGCGCCGTCAGGTTTCAAGGAGAGCCTCGGTCCCGACGAAGTTGCAGACTGTATCGAAGCCGGCATCCGGCGTGTGCTGCCCGATCCCTCGGTCGCTGAGATCCGCAAGTTGCCGCTGCACGACGGCGGAGAAGGCTTCTGCCGTGCTCTCGTGGTGGCCATGCAAAATGCCAGTGCAGTCACCGGCCCCAAGCTGAACGATACCGATGGGATCCGTGAGATCCTCGTTACCGGGCCAGTTGGGAAGCCAGTACTCTCGCACTATGGCATTGTGACCCTTGACACTAAACCCCTGGCTGCACTGGCATCAGGCCTGGTGCAGACTCAAAAGATTGGGATTCTCGACATGGCCGCCGCCGCAGGATTATCTCTCGTCCCGGCCACCTGTCGCGATCCCACGTTGACCACAACATACGGCGTCGGCGAGCTGATCGCGGCCGCGCTGGACGAGGGGTGCGACAGGATCATCGTCGGCTGCGGAGACTCGGGAACATCCGACGGCGGCGCAGGCATGCTGCAGGCTCTTGGTGCGAGACTCCTTGATTTCCAGGGCAGGGAATTGCCCCGGGCAGCTGGAGGAGCGAGCCTGCTGGGCCTCGAGGAGATCGATATGAGCAGGCTCCATCCCTGCCTCAGAGACTCTGGTCAGTTTACCTCTCCTGATCATGAAGCACTTTGCTGCACACGTTTCCAAACTGACGGCGATTCTCCTTCCAAACAGCCACCAAAACCCATATCGAAGCAGTGTGCAACATCAAGAACATCCTCAGTGGCCCGCGCGGCGTGGCATGTGTCTACGGGCCCCAGAAAGGTGCTTCTCCAACGCAGGTCGAGCTCCTGTCCAGAGCACTCGACAAGCTCGCCAGCGTGGCTGAGCGCCTATCGCCTATCGAGCACCATAACATCGGCACGCGCCCCGGCAGCGGCGCATCGGGCGGTCTGGGCACCGCGATGCTCCTCCTCGGCGGCCGCCTCCGGCCCAGAGAGGAGGCCATCGACGAGTACTTTGGCGTGAGCCAGCTCTTTTCGCCCCCAGCGGCTTCTGAAGTCCTCGGTCCCCTGAAAGCCCAACAGAAGGACTGGGACCTCGTCGTTACCGCGGAGGGCTGTCTCGACGCACAGTCCGCGCAGGGCAAGCTGACCGTCGAGATTGCGCGGCGGGCCCGCAAGCACGGCGCCGCGGTGGTCGCGCTGGCGGGCACCATCGGGCCGGGCGCCGAGGGCGTGTACGACGACGGAATTGCCGCGTTTACGAGCATCCTCGACGGTCCGCGGAGCTTGCGTGACGCGATCGATAGTACTGCCGTGTTGTTGACGGATGCGGCGGAACGGGCCATCCGGATGATACAGATGGGCATGGGGTTGAGGGGAGGGGCGGGTGGGACGAGGCAGGCAGGGGCGGAGGAGAGCCGCCTCGAAGATGTCAAGCGGCTTGCTGGCCCCGTGGAGATGAGGCTTGCGCGATCGTGGACTAGCTAGGCCTCCTCCCCGGGAGCTGGGGTGTACTCTCATGCGCTGCGAGGAGCGAAGCCCATTTCCACGTTATTCTGTTTACCGTAGGACTCATGTTTACCACCATGTCATGATCGCCATGTCATGGACTTGTTCAGATCAAGCACTGCGGCAGCAAGAGTTTGGAGTGTGAACTTGGAGACCAATGACATAAGCATATCAGCATGAGCAACGACAGTGACGCCCTGAAATGCTCGGGTGCTCGCTGAGCGTGATCATATAGGATAAGTGCCACTGGCGCTGCGTGATAATCCAACACCAAGCAGTAAACCCCTCCTGAAGTCCTCAAGGGTCTAGGCCTTGGATCTCCAGCTACACCCCAAACATGCCGATCCACAGACCTTCACAGCCCATCACTTCTCATCCACATCGACCCCGCGTACATCGAGGTGGTACTCTGTGCCCTCCTTGCAAACGCTCCTCTTCGTTCGCGCAAGCCCTTGTGTCGACTAGGCAGATCGTACGTCTAGCACACAAGGGGGTTGCCGCCGGGGGCCTTGTAGTTGGTAGGAACGGGGTAGTAGATGTTGACCAGCAAGCCTGGGTCGTTGGGGCTGTAGGAGCCAGGGAAGGACAGGAGGTTGCCGGGCGTGCTGCCCGAGCCTCCAGAGACCTTGACCTGCGTGCACGAGATGTACAGCTGGGCGCCGTTGACGGAACCGGCCGAGTGCAGGCCAATGTGCTCGAAGCGGACGAGGTACTCGCCGCTGGGGATGCACCTGGGGATCGTCATGGTAACGGAGGATACGCCGTTGTTGGGCCACTCGAGGCCAGACGAGACGACCTTGGGCTGGTCCTGGTACACCTTGAACCAAACAGCTCCCTTGCCGTCGAAGGTGGCCGCCGAGGAGGGCGCCTTGGCCATGTAGATGTTGAGGGGGCCGGGGTGGTAGATGTTGGGCGCGATGCCAAAGGTGATGGTGCCGCCCGCGGTCACGGCAAGGGTGCTGGCGGTCGACTGGCCCGGGTTGCGTTCGTAACAAGTCATGGCGGACGAGGTGACGTCTGTGACGGGGCCGTTGGACTGGTAGTTGGATGTGATGCGGGTGAACTGCCAGTCGGAGCCCGAGACGCCGTTGGCACTGGCGCGAGGGATCGTGTAGTGGGCCTGAGCGGCCGAGCCGAGCAGCAGAAGGGATGAGAGGAACTTCATGGTGATTTGTGTGGGCGGAATTCTTGTCTGGGCAGTAGATCGTTCTTTGGAGAATGGATGAGCAGCAAGCCTTCGCAGGGCAGAGACGAGAAATCCTAGAGCGACAGAGTCCGCTCTTATTTGTTTCACGTCGAGCATCCTGGGTCTCTTCATGAACATTAATCAGTCACAAGATTGAACATTTCACGGTAGGGCATGGTCGGCTAAATGATCCTCGGACCAATGGAAACTACAGGATTCGTGTAGGGGAACGGGATTGCGGTAGATGGATGCGGCTCAAACGGAGCGTTATTGCGACGCTGCTGATGATAGATCGTGGAGGGCATACGCGGCGCAGAACAACACGTTGTTTGTCCATTCAATCGCCTTGTTGGAAATTGAACAACAAATTGCATGGCCTTATGAATATCCTTGTGCCGTTACACTTCCCTAATAGGGCATAGGGCGACTGCCATTCTCGGCGAGGCTCCATCCGGGTTGCGGTTTTCAGCATCGGCCGTCGGATAAAGGGTCCGCGGCAGCCGTATCGCGTGGTACCATTGGCTCAGTACTATATGGCAAGCATCGAGCGGTGGCGATGACGTTGTTACGGTGCCTTGGCGCGTGCAAGAAAAGGAGAAAATGCCCCGGCGAACCTTTAATCGATATATTAGCTCCGGAATTTGTGAGCCCTATCCGATGCCCTATTCTCCCTCCACCTTTCTTTGACATTTCACGTCTCGTCCAAAATACACTATGACTAGTATCCAGTGACTTCGTATAGCTAAAATGCCGAGCGCATTAAAGATCTTCTGAAGTGCATATTTGCTCCGGATCACCCTATCACGGGTCTGGACTTTTTTAGATTGTTTTGGTTTAGAATTGGCCATCCCGGAGTATTTCCCGCCCTGTTAATGGTTATTGGGCACACTACAAATGCGAAGTTTGTCGAGCGCTTTGCCCGCATATCTTACCCAGGTGCCGATCGATGAATGCTGATAGCATGCGTCATGAAGCCCAGCCGGCGCTCTGCCCTCTTCTCAGTGGTGGCAGATAAGACCGGTCCCTCTTACTGCTATTGCAGTTCCTTCTGTTGTGTTTCAACTTGTCGAGCTTCTCGCAACGGGTCTGCCACGATACGAGTAGGCCAAAATCAGTTTGACATCTCTATATGAGCCGGCCCCATGCTCCTAGAGCGTGCAAATTGTATTGCTCATTGCGCACAATCACGTCATGAAGCTCGACTCCTAAGTGGATATTCCATTTTTGCAAGGAAGGACAGGTTTCTCCAACTTCAATGTGGTATGAAATACCCAATCATGTATGTTTCCGATCCTCTTTGTTCCCGGCTTTCTCTTTTCCAGCGTATGCCTGGGGATCAAACGAAGGAAATAACCACCTCTCTCAATACGTGCACTTATTTGAGGAAAACGTCGCCGTGGCTTTAGTTACCCATCTGTACTCATGACGTTTATACTGCATACCGCATTTTGTCATGGCGACGCTCGGCCCAGGCCACTCTAGATCTAAAACTAGGTGGAGAGTCTCTTTCCGGAGCTCTTGGATGGGAAAATGCAAGAACTTTTGGAGCAGATCGTGGCCCATTGTTGCGCATAGCTGCCCTTTGTTCTGGTCCCATCAATCAGAAGCGGCCCCAGAGTAGTCAAATGGTGTGACGGAGCTAGAGACAAACCTGCATTGAAATAGCACAATGGCGGCGCATCAGCTCATACATGAAAGTACAAATATGGATCTCAAGGTAATCCTTGGACAGTTTCTCACTACTCCCAATTTTGAATTAAATCCCGGCCATTTGTCATTATGCTGCAGTGCTTCACCCACAGCAGTGACGGATATGAGCACGGAATCCTCGGCACACAGGACATGGTTTACAAGTCGCAGGGGCCTTACCGTGCAATCCGGACTGCTTGATCGTATCCCGCGGGGTTAGCTCAGTAGCCAAGGTCCGTTCGTTCCGCACAGAAGGGTGCGCGGGATAGGCCGTTGCAGGGTTCCTTAGGACAGGGCCTCCTGGCTTGAAGGGAAGTTTCTTCAACAACGCGTAAACTCTAACCAACTATGGCCTGCTGATAATCAAACCTTGAGCCGGGGTAACGTGGAGCCTGTGGGCGCAGCACAGTCGGATAGGGATAGTTCCCAATACTGCGACGAAGTGCAGCTGATTACCTTGGAACCTATATAACGCCATTGATCTCTCAATGCGTGGTCTTGCTGCATTTGCTCTCCGCCACCACGATCAGTTAGATCCATCGCTCCCTTCCTCTCCCGACATGCGTCTTACATTTCTTTCAGCAGCCGGCCTCCTAGCAAGTTGCCCGCTTGCTTCTGCTCAAGATGTCTGCGGCACAGGCAATCCTTCGACACGACTTACCAACCACATCTCGCGCTCCCTTGAAAAGGAGTACATCCTATACGGTCGATCCAATGGCTCAACTCTACCTCCCAGCCAATGGGTCCGGCCCATCGAAGTCTCGATGTACCTGCATGCCGCCGTTCCAACCAACGCCTCAGACGACTACATCTCCGATGCAGCCCTCCAACAACAATTCTCCGTGATTCAAGCCGCATACGCACCCCATGACATCCAATTATCCCTCGCCGGCACGAGCCGCACCATGCAGGACAACATCACCACCTACGCCGCGACCGAGAACGAGAACAGCATCGTCATCGGGACGCCCAACCCGGCCCTGGAGTCCTGGTGGCGCTCGAAGCGCACGGGGGACCACACGACCCTGCACATCTTTGTGTACGCCTCGATGCCGTTCCTCGGGCAGGCCAGCTTTCCGGACCCGGCGCGGCCCAAGTCCGAGTCCTGGCTGGACGCCGTGCACATCAACGCCGCGGGCCTGCCGGGCGGGTCTCAGCAGGGGTACGATCTCGGGCGGACCGCGGTGCACGAGGTCGGGCACTGATTCGGGCTGTTCCACCCGTTTGGTGGGCAGTGCGACAACGAGGACACGGGGGACTTTGTGGCGGACACGCCGAGGCAGAAGGATGCCACGAGCGGTGGAGGGTGTCCCGAGGGCAAAGACAGCTGTCCGGGGGTGCCAGGGCTCGACAACATCCATAATTACATGGACTACAGCGGGGATGCGTGCAAGGTCATGTTCACGCCTGGGCAGGAGGTGAGGATGCATAACTTGTACAACAGCGTGAGGGCTGCCAGCTGGTGAGCGGAATGGGGAGAAAAAGGGCCGGGCACGGGTTCTTGCCATACAGATCTCAGCAGAAGTCGATTTGTAGAGTAGAGACTGTTTGACCGGGAGTTGTTGAACACGCAAAGTGCAGAAGCAGGCAGGATAGGTTTGTTGAGGTCCTATCCTCGAGTGAGCGGCGCATATTGGCACCATAACTTCCTCTCCCTCTTTTTGAGAACCGTGGATAGGGGAGAATAAGCAACTCGTGGCTGACGTAGGGACAACAAGGCTGCAGGAGCTGTCGCTGACGGGCTCCAATGTTGTTGCACGCCGCTTGTCGTAGAGCCATCGGATCGAGACGGCCACCCGGTCGATTTGCTCAGATGTGCGGTGTCAGGCACCATAATCGAAGTGCACTCACGTCGTCGACAAAGCTTCCCTGAGCTTGCTCTAGAGTGTATGCGCTCGGCGCCCAACTCTACTTAGCAGCTCAAATGTGGCGATAAAGCATCTGCAATTGCGCCCCTCACGAGCTTCGTCAACGACAGGGGCTCGATCCACAATGAGGCAGCACAACGTGCGGTGGACTGGAACTCGACGCGGCGCATCGAAAGCTTGACGGCAAGAGGAATCTGCCCTCCGGCCAGGGGGGATCAAAGGCCCCGTGAGGTGGGGTGGCACACGCCAAAGGATCACAGCGAGTCCGCCCAAGTGCCGATTTGGGATGCGGGGGATTCCCCCTTGTCGCCCTTGCCGATCTCCGGGTGGCGGGTAATTCGCTGCGATCAATTGCCGCTTGGCGGGCCATCGAAGTGAGGAGACAAGGAAATTGCAGGTTACATGGATTCGCAAAACACACAGTGCTTTGGCAGGCACCGGCTTTTCAGAGGCGCAATTGCCGCGATTTCTAGCCGTCGTTGTGTCCATATGACGTAGAGTATTCATCTCTCCCTCGGCTATGTGATTCAGAGGCAGATGTTCATCATGCACGGAGCGCCTGCCTGCTTGCAGTCGAGCAAAGGTCCATGACTCGAGATCACCATCCATTCTGACTGTCCTCTAAGCCGCCAAGACACAGCCATCATGAAGTTCTCCAGCGACCTGACCGCGCTGCTGTCCGCCACCTCGGCAGCGCTCGCCACCTGCGCGGCCAGCACTAACACCCCGTCTCCTCCACCGCCACCGACCTTGACACACCTGTACACGATGAACTGCACCCTCGCCCCGGCCATCACCATCGGCGACGGGCCCATCTACAACCGCGTCGCGATCCCCATCGTGGGGGGCACCTTCTCGGGCCCGCGCGGCCTGTCGGGCACGATCGCGGACCTGGGCGCCGACTGGGGCGTCACCGACAAGCACGGCGTGTTCCACCCGGACACGCGGTACCACCTGTACGCCGGGGCCGAGAAGGCGGGCATCTTTGTGCAGACGGCTGGGTCGGCGCAGCCGGACGGGCGGATCCAGCTGCGGATGGTGTTTGAAACGGGACACCCGGACTACTACTGGTTGAACTATGTCGTTGCCGTGGGCATCCTGACGGCCGGGGACGGATATGTGCTGATTGACGCGTGGCAGGTAAGTTTGGGCAAGCTTGTGAATGGGCGTAGAGTGACAACTAATTTTGTTGCAGGTCAATAGTCCCGCGTTGTAGGAGAAGCCTTGAGATATCCCAGGACGTTGCGCGGATGGTCAAAAAGGGGAGAGCAGGCAAAACACGGGCAGTGTCTATTCTAGTATCAAATTTAAGCAAACAGGAGTAAAACCAAATGCACAGATCTATGGAAGCCTGTCTACCGCTTCTGCAACGATCTGTCTCATCTATGCAGAGTCTATTCGACCGTCGGTCTCCTGACCAAGCAACGGCCGGCGCTCCCCCCGCTCAGGGTGCTGTCCATCCTCCTGCTGCTGCCGAGCGGCAGCACGAGAGTTGTCTATTTCTTCGCCGCCAAGTACGGTCTTTGTCTGTCTAATGACCTGCGGCAGGGAAGTCGCCAAAGTGCCCAGCGGGATAGCCAGGCCATGCACCACCACGCTCGAGAACACCAGGAACCAGACCACGACGAGCGTCTGGTCGGCCAGCGCCCTGCAGTCCTCGCGCCCGTCCGCCGCCAGCGGGCGCAGGAACTCCCGGATCGTGTACACGTAAAAGATGGCGCTGATGCCGATGGGCCCGAAGAAGCCCATGATGAGCGCGTGGCGGACGGAGCGGATCTGGGGGATAAAGGTGTGCAGGGCCAGGATTACGGGGACGCGGCGGAACAGCAGGACGAGGATGGCCAGGATGAGCAGCCGCGGCCAGCCCATGACGGTGGCGTTGAAGAAGAGGTCCCACGGGCATACGGCGCCGAGCCACATGAAGACTGTCACGCTCAGGAGGAAGTCCATGATGGGCTGGAGGGTGTCGTTCTTGGTCTGCTCGGTGAACCAGTCACTGTTAGGGGAAAATGTTAGTCCAGCGTGGAGGCTTGGAAGAGGGGAGGCACAGGGGGGTTTTCATACTCCCAAGTGAACAAGACGCCTGCCACGAAGCAGGCCAGGATGTCATTGACGTCCAGTAGGCCGGCAGTACCGATGACGAAAAGCTGTGAATATCTGTCAGCCCCCAGTTCTGTCTGGGTCGGAAGGGACTGAGGGCTACACAGCCATACCGCGAGCGCAATGACAAAGAATTGAAAGCTCTCTGTATCGACATAGTTCTTCCTCTCGGACCAGTAAAGCACGTACTTGGCCCCCCAGCCAACAGCAGCGCCGTACACGACGCCCAGCACGACCTGCCGCCCTAGGGTCATCCCGAGGAACGCCAGGACCGCATTGCCCACCTGGCTCCCGTCGTCCTCGCGCGCGTGGTTGACGAGGTACAGCGGCAGGTAGACAAACAAGTAGCCCAGCCCGTCGTTGGCGCCAGACTCGCCCACTATGATCATCTGCAGGGGCTCGGGCATGTGCCGATCTGCAAAGGGGCCCTGGACAATCGAGTTGGACAGGACCGGGTCGGTAGGGGTCATACACGCGCCAATAGCGAGGGCGCCGGCAACGTCTATCCCGGGCACGACGAGCCACACGAGCAGGCTGGTCGCCGCCCACATGCCCAGCATGCCCGGGCCCAGCAGCACCGCGAGCGACCGCCACTCCCTGCGGGGGTACTTGCTGGGCAGCCGGACGCCGGCGATGAGGACCTGCACGCCGAGGACGAGCCGGGCGAAGCACAGCGTGGCCGTCTCGACGGCTTCTTGCTGTGCAGCAGGATCGGTGGGGTGTCCGGCGCCGGCAAGCTCCCGCGGGCGCACGAGGTCGAAGCCAAAGGGAGACAGGGCGACACCGGCGGCCAGGGAGATGAGCGGCTCCGAGACGAAGAAGCTCTCCTTGAGCAGGAACGAGACGAGCCCGAACAGGCCGATGAAGCCGCCGATCGCGCAGCAGACAATATTGAACTTGGTCTCTGGGTCGTGGGGCGTTGAGGCCGCCATGGCTTGCAGCCCGGGTGCAGGTGCAGGGGGCAAGCACGCAGATAGGCAAGCACGCAGGCCACCCTTGTACGGCTGCGCGTGCCGTGTTGGTGAGTTGGTCGGATCGTGCAGCCTGTGGCTCTTGAGGGCCAAGACGCGGGTTTATGTGAAGGTGGGTAAATCTGCGACTGCCAAGAGAAGGGGTTTGATCTCAGGAACGGTTTCTACGCACATGGCAGACGCGAGGGACGGGTGATCTGGGGAGCAGAGATGGTGCCGTCACACAAAACAAGGCGGGTCGGAGATGCATGACGCCATGCACAGCGACGGAGACGATTCCATTAGCGCCATGCAGATATATGCGCTCATTGTGACGAGTCGAGGGTTGGCCCAATCATGTCCACCTGGGCCCTGTTCACGTGCTACGTCCTGTGTAGAGTTCAGACAAGTTGGTCAAATAGCCCAACACATGGTATGGTCCCTTGGGTTTTCTGAAGAAGATAAAGAAAACAGCACTGTGGGGGAGAGCCACCCATCATTTTAGTTCAGGCGATACTGCCCCCACCCTTGACGAATTGATTCACGGTGCGTTCTACTATTCCCGTGATGTATAGGAAAGGATAGGATCATGATCGCTTGATGCGGAACTGCTGCAGAGAATGTAATCTACTATATCGTGTGTTTCCACCACTATTGATATCTCGTTCGTCTCGACAGGGATACACTGCAATTAATATTGTGCGGCGCGGGAGCATCGAAAATGGCACGCCAACCATAAGCACGCTAGATAGGTGGTTCCTAGGCTCCTAGCAAGCTTGTCGCGCGCATGCATCGCGCAGGCAGGAGGGGAAAGTCAGGTCCCCTGGTCTTCCAGCCTCACGCGCTACCACACGACGGGTCCATGACTGGCCACCGCCGGACCTCGCAGCTCCCGCCCCCTTGAGACGATGCTGTCAGGGTGTCAGGGTGGCCCGACGTCGACCTTAGGGGTCCAGTCACCGGGCTATTCAACGACACCATTGTGAATCCAAAGCCAACCACACCTCGCCATCGTCGTCTTGACCCTTCCGCATCCCTCTATTACCTTTATCTGCCCTCACTAGCCCAATTCGGCCTGGGCCCCAATTGTGCCTTGTCTTTGTCCCTCTGTACTGTCCCCTTCATTTCTCCCCTTTTTTTCGTGTTCAGCCCGTAGGCGGGCAGCATGGCACCCCGTCTCCGAGCTCTCCTCCCGGCTCCTGTGCGCCGCCAGCCCGAGCCAGATGACCAAGAAGCCCCGGACCCGGAGCCTGGTCGTAGACGGCAGACGGCCGTTGCCTGCAACCGCTGCCGCGCCAGAAAGTCCGCAGTGCGTAACCCCACACGGAACTTACCGTCAGATCCGCAGGGCACGACTCGTCTAACCCCCGGGCCCTCGCCCCCTGCCTCTCCAGTGCGAAGGCTCCCGTCCAACCTGTCGAAGGTGCTCCCGCGCCGGCGTCCCATGCTTGTATGCCGCCTACCGCCGTGGCCAGGAGCCCGGCCCAGACCCCCGTGAAGCCGAAGCTAGGCAAGCACTGCTCCAGTACTTAACGCAAGGGGTGCAGCCGGCCGAGTCCGTGGCCCGGCTCCGGCGTCTGCGTGCTGGCGTCGGCGTCGGCGGCGGTGCCGGACGCCATAGCCAAGACCAGGCATTGGTCATGGCCGCACCCCTATTCCGCCACCGGCCCTCTGACCTCCGGACCGCCCGCGCCCTGTCTCCGCCGACGACCTCGTCGTTCGAGTTTGAGCTCGCGGCCAGCCACCCCAAGGTGTACCCGTTCCTGCCGCCCCTCGCCAGCGTAACTTGTCACTTAGGAAGTGGCATGGGGATTCGAGAGGCTCTCGAGCTGGACAGAGGGACTGTGCGCCAGGGGAACAGTAGCGTCACAGGAGACGCCCAAACGTCACCGCAAGGCCAGTACTGCGATCCCCGCCTCCAGGGGTTGCGCCTGGGATGCTGGACCCGCGTCAAGGTTGACGAGGCCGGCGACCTGGCAGCGGGAGCGCTGTCGCATTTTCTAAGCGTGCATTTCCCCATCTTTGCCTGTTTTGACGCAGACTTGTTCCTGCGAGACCTGCTTGGCACCAAAGGAACTGACGGACAACACTGCTCGTCTTTTCTGATCACCAGCGTGATGAACCTCGCTTGTGTATGCCGCTGAATCCATTCTCCCCGCCCCGCCACAGTCCTGTATGACTAACGTTTTCTATAAGCAATCCTACACGACGTTCGACGTCCGTGCCGCCGTGCTCTCGCTTGCGTTTGGGCAAGAGGCAGAAACGCTGTGGAAGACGGGTGGGCACGAGGACAAGCCGGTCAACATGGCCGCCATGTGCTACTTGGCCATGGCAAGCGGCCTGAGCGGCCACGAAGATCTGTCATTCAACCTGCTGCTTGACAATAGGGCCATGGCTCAGCGGTGCAGCTTCTTCGGACGCCAACCGACGGATGAGGCCGCTGAGCAATTAGGTGCCCTATCCGGCGAGCAGCTGAGACTCACGGCGGCAGCGGCTTGGGGAGGCTATGGCTGGCTCACGTAAGTGTTTCCCCTCGAAGAACTCAGGTCTTCACCTTAGCCGGTGAAAGCGTGCTAACACATAGCTCGTTCACACACTCTTTCTCTCATCCAGCTACCACGCCATGCACTACCCGGAGGATCCCATCCAATACGCTCCGACCCTGCCGATGCCCGGCACCATACCAGATCTGCCGCTCCCAACGTACGTCGGAGAAACCTTCACGAGCCTGTGCAAGCTGTGGCCTCTGGTTCAGGAAATCCAGGGCTTGTCCAGCTTCAAGAACCCGCCGTCATTATCCGGGCCCAGTCTGCCGCTTGGGTATGCCGAGTCTCAGTACCAGAGGCTGCTCGCCTGGGCAGACCAGCTGCCCGCCGAGTTGTGCCGAAACCAGCATTGCAGCTCGCATGTATACTTTTTCTTGTAAGTGCCCTAACCCCGTCTTGAATTGCTGATTCCTCATGGGTAACCCTCTGGGTCACTGGAGGAAACGACCCTCTGTTCTTGGCCAACTACACTGTGGAACTAACAAGCCTCCCCCCCTGCCTACGATCCCTCTTTCACAGCGCTCTCTACCACCACACCACGATAAAGCTCTTCCAGCCCTTCCTTGACGCATCGCCGTCCACGACAACGACAACGACGATGCAAAATCATCCGTCCATTGCCCGCCTGCGGAGCTTCTCTGCGCGCGACAGCTGCCCGCTGGCCATCTACGCCGCGTCGCTCGCCCAGCTCAAGCGTCTCGTCGTGCTGTACTGGCTCCGCAGCCGTCGCGACTCGGACACCGGCTGGTTCACCGCGGCGGTGCTGCAGGTCACCAACGCGGTGCTGCGGAGTAGCTGGTACTACTATTTGCATTCACAGAGGAAACAGCAGCAGCAGCCGCAGAATCCTCGTGTATCGAGACAGTCCAGCAGGAGTAGCGGGGATGGGGATCACGGGAGGGGTCAAGCTATCGGCAGCGGCGGCAGCGGCAATAGCAATAACGACAGCAACAACAACTAGCAGAACGACCACATCTCGACGAGCCTGAGCAGCGGCAGCATGGGCACCAGCGGCCTGGCCAATATCAGCACCACCACCGCCGCGGTGTCCTCGTCCTCGTCCTCGTCCTCCTCCGCCTCTTCCGCCAAGCACAACAACAGCAACAACAACAGCGGCGTCAACGACAAAGACGAAGATGAGAACACGCTCTACCTCAACCTGTGCTTCTCCTTCTGGAAGGAAGCCTACGTCCGGTACCGCGTGTACCTCCAGGTCGCGCAGGCCAACGTGTTCCTCTCGCTGCGGCTGGGGCTGGTCGACCGGCCCCAGGCCGCGCGCCTGATGCGCGAGCTGCGCTCGGTCGGGCCCCACCACGACCGCCCCGAGACGGCGAGCAACAGCGCAGTGGTCGACTACGAGTCCGCCGCGAGGGGGGAGGTCGGTAAGGGGAGCATCGAGTACTTGGCCGGGGAGTTCAGGAAGGTGTTCGTGGAGGAGTGACTACGTATCCTTATACTGGGAAGAGGGTTCATCGGCATACATGCACAGTTCTGCGGGTTGCTGGCTTCTTGCCCCAGAGAGTTTCGTATATGGCGGGGTTCACTTTGGCCCTCGCGGCGTCTTTGTGCATGATTGGCGCTCGGTGCTCTCGGCCTGCTGTTTTCGGATCTTTAGAGCTCTGGCAGAGAGGCGTCGCAGCATTGGACCAATCAAATACGCCACTCGTCTGCTGTATGGTAGGAGAGCAATGGTGCTGATAGAAAAAAGTGAGCTTCACAATGCCACGCCAGGCTGTCCAATTTTGCGTTGAGAATGTTGGAGAAGGAAGCGCTCGTTCGTGCCCAAGGGCGACTTGATGCTGAGAATTACAACTCGCGGCAGACGACGGGGTCAAGGGGAACTAACATTAGCGAGCTCGGAACTATCGTCGGTGGGCACCACAGGGGCCAGAGCGTATGGGGTGAAGCGTGGGGCGGGAGTATTCCGGGGGGGGAAGGGAGAAGGCCATACGTCGTTCAATGCCATGTGCTACTCCCAGCTTATCTACGCCAAGGCAGCGCGGCATTTGGAGCAACTAACACTAGCCACAGCATGATGCCATACCAAGAATCGGAAGGCTTGGTATTCTCTCGGAAGCTCGGGGGATAGACGGATGACGGCGTCGGAAGCACATTCTGGCGATTAGGCCTCATGAACGCCGGGGCGGACTCGTTTGGAGCTGCAATATTTGGCTGGGCGAGATAGAGAGCAGCTCCTCACCGCCGTGGGCAAGCTTGGGGAGAGGGACGAGACGACCAAGCACGAATGGTTATCGTCCCCGGCCAATTATCGGTACTTGGACGGGACCTTGCAACGGGGCATCCATTAGGGCACCGGTGTTCTAAATATGGCTCCACCTCTCCCCAGTCTCGACAGCCTCGCGGCCATATCTGACCAATGTATTCCCTGGCCCCCGAGCGCTAGCCCGCACAGTCTGTGGAGCCAAGCCCCCCTGCTTCCGTCGGGGTCAGGGCTAATGAGAAGAGGGGATGGTCTCTTGACTCGCGGCCAACGAACCGTTGAATGACGCAGGAACAGGCGTGAACCTTCATGTCCGCCGCCGACTCGCTGCTGGACCTATCTGCCCCAACCACCAGCTTCTCTTCCCTCCCCCCAAGTACAGGGTCCTCGTGCGGAGGTGTAACTCCCCTGTTCCTACAGCCGTCCAGGCATATCCAGCCGGCCAGTTCGGAGGAGGGCCCGACAGCCCACTCGAGCTATTTAGCTCCCATGCGACGATAAGTCAGGACGCCGGCCGAAGTGGGCTCGCGGCGATCGCAACTCCATCGAGTCAGAGTCCCCCGTCCATCGCTCGGGGTAGCGACCCGACACGATGGTAGCACTGCCTTTGAAATATATAGCTGGGGACGACATGCACGTCCTTCCGCGGCGACTCCTGGAATCCATCCTCAGGGTTCCAAGTCTGGGTCCCGCCGCACAGCCCGACGCTCATCTGAGACTTGCACAGCGCGAGGCTACGTCGCCATGAAGCCATCCACTACCGTCGCCGCGCTCCTGGGTGGCCATGCAGCCACCGCTGCGGCGCAAAAGCCATGGCTCGACCAGTCCCTGCCCTACGAGGAGCGGCTGCTCTCGTTCCTGGCGCAGCTCAATGTCACCCAGAAGCTGGCGATGACCTCTGGAGACACAGTGGTATGTCCACGCGACCACTGTCGGACAGTTATTCTGAGTGTACGAGAAGTTACTAACACAACTATCGTTCCTAGCTTGAGGACAACGGCACTGGCGTCAACCCGTGTATCGGCCACATCAGCGGCAACGCTACGCTTGGTGTTCCGAGCATCTGCATGGGTGACGGCCCGGGAGGCGTGAGCAATGGACGTGAGTGCCTAGCCATTGAGATCCCGCGATGATGTGGCGTTTCCGCAACGGTGATCGAGAGCTGACGAGTGTCTTCTAGTTACCAACGTGACGACATTTCCCGCCCCAGTCCTCTCGGCGGCGACGTGGAACAGCACCATCCAATACGTCTACGGCCACGCCATGGCGACCGAGCACCTGGGCAAAGGCCGCAACGTGGTCCTCGCACCCACCATCAACATCCTGCGCTCGCCCTTGTGGGGGCGCTCTGCCGAGACCTTCTCCGAGGACCCGTGGCTGACCTCGCGCTTCGCCATTGCGGCCGTCCAGGGCATCCAGAGCACTGGTGCCCTTGCCTGCCCGAAGCACTTTGCCGCCTACAACCAGGAGACGAACCGCTTTGGCCCGCTGCCCGACTACCACGCGGTCGACGCCGTCGTCGACGAGCGCACCCTGCGCGAGCTCTACCTGCCCGCGTTCAAGGCGACGGTGCAGGAGGCCGACCCTGCGGCCGTCATGTGCTCGTACAACCAGCTCAACGGCCACTACGCGTGCGAGAACGACTGGCTGCTCAACTCGACGCTGCGCCAGGAGTGGGGATTCGAGGGCTTCGTCCTGGCCGACTGGTACTTCTCCGCCCGCAGCACCGTCAAGGCCGTCATGGCGGGCCTGGACATCAACATGCCCGGTGGCGACCTGACCGACCTGTTTGGCTTGCCCGACTACTACGGCAAGCCTTTGCTTGATGCGCTCAACAACGGCTCTGTGCCCATGGACCGCCTCGACGACATGACGCAGCGCATCTGGAGGTACATGTTCAAGCTTGGGCAGGTCGATCACCCGGTGGACGGCAACTCGACAGCCATCGTGCAGACCCCGGAGCATCTGGACCTTGCCCAGGCCATGGTCGAGGACGGCGCGGTGCTGCTGGAGAACAAGGACTCGGCCCTGCCGCTATCGCCTGCCAAGTATTCCAAGGTTGCGGTCTACGGCCGTGGCGCGACAAAGGAGAACCAGGTCACCTTGAACCACGGCGGCTTTGTCAAGGACTCGTCCATGGTTGTCCAGGCACCGCTGGATCATATCCGCAGCCGCGGCGAGGCCGAGGGCATGGAGGTCCGCTATGCAGAGGCGTACCCCGGAAACGGCATCTTCCCCACGATCCCCCCGAGCATGTTCAAGGATGGCCACGTCAAGGCCACATACTACAACAACGCCCAGTTCTCCGGGCCCGCCAACACGACAGAGTTCCTCCCCAATATCACCATCAACACATACCCCGGCTACCTGTGGGACGCGTGGCCGCAAGAGTTCTCGGTCGTGTATGAGGCGACGTTCCTCCCCAATACGACGGGCGGCTACCACTTCTCCATTGTCGGCTCGGGCACCGCCCTGCTGTACCTGGATGGGCAGCTCGCGGGCAACATGTCGTACCACAATTTTGGCGGCAACTACATCCAGGGCTACGCGTGGCTCGAGGCCGGCACCGAGGTCGAGCTCGTGCTCAAGTACGACACGGCCTACTCGCTGCTGACGGGCAACTACGGCATCACGCTCGGCGTGTCGGTCGGCGGGGCCGCCACGCGCGACGTCGAGGCCGACGAGCTCGCCCAGTGGGCCGACGTCAACATCATCTTTGCCAACGACCGCATCTCGGAGGGCATGGACAGCGGCCTGGGACTCAACCTGCCGGGCGACCAGAACGCCCTGATCACGCGGCTCGCGGGACTCTCGTCCTCCTCTGCCACGGCGGCCAAGACCATTGTCGTGCTCAACACCAACTCGGCCGTGCTGATGCCCTGGATCGACGCCGTCGACGGCGTCCTCGAGATCTGGTACCCCGGCCAGCAGGTCGGCTCGGCCCTCGAGCGCCTGCTCTTTGGGGACGTGAGCCCCAGCGGACACTTGCCCGTCACGTTCCCCAAGTCCCTCGACGACGCCATCAAGATCGACACGAACCCGGAGGCCGTCTTCCACGAAGGCTTGTACGTCGGGTACAAGGCGTACGACGCGCACGAGATCGAGCCCCTGTTCCCCTTTGGCCACGGCCTGACCTACTCCGAGTTCGACCTCGGCTGCATGACCGTGTCGACCAACATCAGCAGCACCGGTGCCGAGTGCCCGGACGGCGAAGAGGCGGAGGCGCTCGCAGACGAGTTCGACGTGCTCACGGCCCGCGCCAAGCTCAGGAACACGGGCGGCGTCCGCGCCAAGCAGGTCGTCCAGCTCTACGTGACGTACCCGGCCAAGGCCGCCGAGCCGCCCAAGCTGCTGCGCGCGTTCCAAAAATACGACCTGGGCCCCGGCGAGGCGGTGCTGGCCGAGCTCAGCGTCAAACAGAAGGACTTGAAGGTCTGGGACGAGGCGCGGGGCAAGTGGACCCTCGTCGAGGGCGAGTATGTGGTCAAGCTCGGCTTTTCGGCCGGTGACTTGAGGACTGAGAAGGCGATCGTGCTGTAGAGTATTCTGTTCTTTTGGCAGTGTAGCTGTGTATATAGTGGGAATGAGGTCTATGTTAAATACTTCTAATCACAACGGCTTATTTTGTCTTTGGCGCACGAAAAGGTGACTGGTCGTGAGGAGCCACGCAAAGAAGCCCAGCGAAACATTGTGACCAATGCGTACCTCTGTGGAACAGTCAACATGGCTATCGACCTCAACAAGATATCGTGGGATTATGATAGGGACTCGAGAGAATTGCTCTTCGGTCGGCAGTCGAAGTGCGGGATGTGGACCCCGCCACACAGGACTGGCGAACTTGAAAATGTCGCGCACAGGCCGCCTTTTCTATCGACGTTGCAATGAGCCACGGCGTCGAGGGCGATCCGGCCGGAAGTACAGACGGTGGCGTTCACGCGGATTTGCGGAAACGGTCTGCAAGGAGACATCGAACGAAGTTGGGTGTGCAACCCAGAATCAAAACCATCAGTTGTTCAGCCAAGTAGGCACCACGCGTGGTGGCAGGGGCTAGTGACTGCGAAGACGCCAGGTCTGACTGCCCCCTGACTGGAGCAGAAAGCACCGTGCTCACCGCCAAAATTCCCAAATTCCCGTTCCGGACCGGCCTTGTACATATCACCATGCCAGATGCACGACACCTCCCTGACGAGATTTTCGTCAACATCTTTGAAAACTTCGCCATCCCTGCCGAGGCCCTCTCTACTACGTTTGGCGACCGCCATTGGGCAGAAAACGGGGCCAGGCGAGCGACACTTGCGCGCGCATGCCAGGCATCCCACCGGCTGCGCCGCGTTGCCGAGCCCATCCTGTATCGGCGCCTAGTGCACGGTTCGCACAACCTTCTTGCTGTTTTTTGCAGCCGTCCGGCGCTGGGCGAGCACGTACGTCATATCCTGTATGATGGATGGACCCTCGAGAAGAGCCGGGACATGATGCGGGTCTACTCTCCCACGGTCCGGAAGATCGCGAGGGACAAGTACCAGTCTCGAGCCCTTGACAGGCTGCTTGAGCGCACCTGGGACTGCAGTGGCAATCATGAGGACGCCCGCCTGGATAAACCGTGTGACTACTTTGCTTCACAGGGCTACACGATGCTCCTCCCCTTGATTCTGGTCCTGACGCCTAACCTTGAGACCTTGACCCTCCTACAGCGGGACCTAGACCAGTCCGACACGCTGTCGCGGCTCTTCAACTTTTGCGGCCGTCGTCTCGAATGCTCGGGGGGGCTGTCAGATTTCGGAGATGGCCAGACACAAATACAAGCTCTGCCACTGTCCAAGCTCCGCGCTTTGGCCACGGTCGGCGGAAGCACGAGGTGGCCTAAAGAGGTAGACTCAACCGAAGACCAGGCTATAGTGTCGCTGATCTTCTTTCCCGGACTGAAGAGCTTCTCGTCCTCCGCCCTCGACTGGGCCCCGATCTCATCCGTCCAAAGGCTCAACGAGGCCCGCACGGACGATGCCTTTATGATGGACCTCACCGACCCCAGAGCTCAGCACTACCACGAGCACGACTATGAGGACATCGACAACCCAGACGACAAGGGCAACGCACTGTTCCCGCCCGCACACGGCTCACACCCGAACCTGGAGCATCTCGCCCTGGTCAAGTCGAGCGGGTCGTCCGCTGCTGACCTGCGCGAGGTCCTCCTGGTCTTCCCCAGCCTGCAGAGCCTGGTCCTGCATTTTGTAGTCTTTCGAGACCGCGAGAAGCTCGACTTTGCCCAGTACGGCAACACGCTGCGCGACCCGGCTACAGACGCGGCGCACCTGCGCCGGTTCGAGCTCGAGCCCGCGCTGTACGAGGCCCGCCTTTTCGGGTCCGGGCTCGACCCGGAGATGGCAGACATCTCGGAGAAGGAAGATCAGGGCATCATCGGCTCTCTCCGCGACGCGATGCCGTCGCTCGAGCAGCTGCGCGTCCCGCTCGCGGCGCTGGTAGGCATCGGTGCATCTCCCGGCGCGGAGCTGGACCTGTGCGCAGTCCTGCCCGCGAGCCTGCGCTGGTTCTGGACCGCCGTGACCGTGGCTGGAGACGCTGGTGCCCATCTTGACGCGCTGGAGAGGATGCTTGACGAGGCCGAGCACAGGTTGCCTGCGCTTGAATGGGTACTGGTCCGGCTTCCTGTGAACCACGAGATTCTCTGCTTCGAGTGCAGCGACTTTGTCGCAACTAGGGTTGGGGATCAACATGTGCTGTATCAGAAGAGGACGGTGGCTGTGGGCACTCCGCCAGGCTGGGAGCATGAGGAGGTTGAGCACGTCGTTTTTTTGCCCTAGATTGTGTGTGTAACGGAGGGTCCTTTTTCTTTTCTTTTCTTTTCTTGGTAGCTTGTTGGTGATTCATTTTCAACATATTTACAAACTCGTGCCGGACTGTCGCCAAACTTGATTGCAGGTCCCTCGTGATCCACAACAAGTCGGGGATTTTTCTCTTCGCACGCATCCAAGTTCCGCAGCATCTACCTCTCCCGTGCCCACCTGCTTTATATTCCAGCAGGAGTTGATCACCCAATATGCACAGGCCAGCCTAGGCACAACCATGCACCGCCTGGATGGGGCTATGATGCTTGTCCTGCCACGGTCAACAATTTGACCTGCCGATTCCGCATTGGCCATTACCTAATAATGCTCCTCACCCAACACCAAGACCACGGTCGGGTTAAAGACACCTGGCAGACCCGCACCGCACCCACTCACCGGGCCATGTGCAGACCTCGTGCTGTATCTCCTGCGGGGTTCCTGCCCGCAAGTGGAGGTGTTGTGGGTGCTAGTGCCGGCACCAAAGTCCCAGAAGCGACACTAGGCCCGAGAGTGGGAACAGGGGAGCATCTGTTGTCTTGTTCCCCGGCCCAGAAAAGTCGGGGTTCGTGCCATATTCTGGGGCCGAGGCGTACAGACCTTGCCTTGACGGCAACCGCCGGGCGCTACTCTCCGGGAATTGCTCCGCGAGACGTCATATAGAATAGACCGGCTCAGTGTCCAACGTGCTCCCCCCCACGGTTCGTAGGGCTCTATCCCGAGCACCTGGTTCTCTCCACTTCCCCGTGTCCTGAGCTGTGATCACTACACAGACAACGATAGCCCGTGCCTTTGTTCTTAACATGCGTGGTCATTCGCTGCTGTTGGCCGTGCTGGCCGCCTTCTCGAGCTGTGACGTGGTCACCGCCTCGCCGAGCTGCCAGAGCAACCTGCTTGTCCGCACCAACGAGGGCAAGGTCCACGGCGCCATTCCCAATGGTTTCCCAGGCGTCCGTCAGTTCTCAGGCATCCCCTATGCCAAGCCGCCGCTCGACGACCTTCGCTTTGCCGCGCCCCAGCCTGCAGAGAAACGCAACGGGGTGCTCGACGCGTCGCGCTTCCCGCCCAGCTGCCCGCAGATTCTCGAGAACTGGAACGCAAACCTGTACATCCGCGACGTGAACCAGTTCAACCTCCAGGGCCTCAACCGCACGGGTGCCACCAGCGAGGACTGCCTGACCTTATCCGTCTTCACGCCGTCCCGCCGCGACATGAGCCCGCACAGCAAGCTGCCCGTCCTCATCTACATCTACGGCGGCTCCTTCACCACCGGCGGCCAGGACATCCCCTACCAGAACCCGACGCAATGGGTGCAGCGCACACAGTCTCACATAGTAGTCGTATTCAACTATCGCGTCAGCTTCTTCGGCTTCCCCTCGTCCGCTGCCCTCCCTCTCCGGGGCCACAACCTCGGCCTCCAGGACCAGCGCCTCGCCGTGCAGTGGGTGCACGCCAACATTGCCTCGTTCGGCGGCGACCCAGAGCGCATGGTCCTCTGGGGACAGTCCGCGGGCGCCATGTCCGTCGCGTCCTACAGCTACGCGTACCCCGAGGACCCGATCGTCAAATGCCTGATCCAGGACTCGGGCAGCGAGGGCGTGTTCGAGCTGCTCCACGCCACCGCGCCGGCGTCCTACTCCAACTTTACCTTTGTCGCCAAGAATGTCGGCTGTGGCGGGCTCGAGGACGATCCGCAGGCCGAGCTGGCGTGTATGCGCAAAGTGCCATACGACAAGATCGAGGCGTTCCGCGCCGAGTGGAGCCGCAGCCGTGGCACGCCGGCGCTGTCGTTTGCCCCGTTTTACGACAACGTGACGGTGTTTGAAAATTTCAAGGACCGCGCCGAGACGGTGGGCATTGCCAAGATTGTAAGTTACAACATTTGTGTCGAGCTATAGTGTGACAGGTGAGAACCGGGGAAAATGAGTACTAATATACGGAATGCAGCCCCTGATCCTCGGCACCAACACGGGCGACTGGCTCGGCCTCTGGGGCGAGAACGGCATCAACGAGGTCCAGGCCGATGCCCTCATCCAGCGCATCTTCCTGTGCCCAGCCCACAGATCTGCCATGTAAGTCTTGCTTGCCTCTCTGTGATCTGAGTGCCTCTCCCATTGAGTGGTAGTGGCCCTGCCAAGCTGACTTCCATCGACCTCCACAGCAACCGCGCCAACCTCGACCTCCCCACCTACCGCTACCTCTACGCCGGCAACTTCAGCAACATCGCCCCTCGCCCCTGGCAGGGCGCCTACCACCAGAGCGAGATCCCGCTGCTCTTTGGCACGCACGCCAACTACCGCGGCAACTCGACCGAGCTCGAGTGGGAGACGAGCCACGCGATGCAGGACGCCTGGCTGGCGTTTGCGCGCGACGGCGTCGAGGGCCTCGCGGCCGTGGACTGGCCGGTGTGGGACAACAGCACGGGCGGCGGCGTGGTGCGCGTGTTTGGAGACGGGGTCCCGGCCAAGACTGGTGCGCCGGATGACTTGGAGAAGGGGTGCTAATGATCTCTGTATACGATAGGCAGCGGAACCGTAATATCATGGATCACGTTTTGCCCGCGTCGTTTCTTTCATGTCCTGAACGAGCTCTATGGTGCTTGACCCTTCCTGTCGTTGTCGAGCCTCCGACCGTTGTCTGGAGGTGAAGTTGCCGGAAAAAGGCGGCGGTCGATGAGGTTTCTATCGCCGCCTCCAATGTCGCCTTGGTCTTATTTTTAACGGCGTGATCGACAGTCTCAAAGCGAGCTTGTTGAGTTGCATGCTGCTGGCTGCGTGATATTGCCAGAGAAGAGACAACCTACGGCTTGTCCCTCACTGGTTCCCCAGCTGTGCTGGTTAATCCCATGCGCACTTGGGAATGCACGAACCCAGAGGACAGCCACCCGCAACTTCTGTGATTTCGATATCCAGGCATTCCAGAGAGGTCACCACATCAGGTACGCTTGATCATGGCGAATCAGCATCTGTGAACGTAGGTAGCAGTCACGATGCCGGGCCAAGTTAATATCCCGGCCACAGAGACAACTCCAAAGGAATATTATCCATGCGAGGATTATAACCGCTCATGTCAGGATCATCACTGCTGAAAAAAGGAGGGACCGCACATTGAACTGAGTTGGATGCTATACCAGAAAAGAAAATTCGGAAAAGTCTCGAATGTATTTTGACATTTCTTATCATAAAACCTATTCTTCTAAGTTGACAGAAGAGTGACCTAAATTGCCTCCGTCTGCTAAATGTATGAGTGTAACCAGACGAATTAGGCTTTTTCCCTAAGTGCGTTCTTGTGGCTTTATAATCGTCTCCATATTTACCGCAATGGATGTACACTTCTAGGGCTATGCGTGTCCGCAGGCTTATCGGTTGAGGTCTCGCCCAATTTTGAACTGCTGCCGTGATTGATCGCAGTCACTTGAACTGCTGTCCTGTTTTTGTTGCGTCACGCAGTCAATGCATGCTTTTCTGGTACTGCGAGTCCCTTATCCTTTTCCCCCGAGTCTCCGATGCAGCTTTGTCTCAAACACAAGTGTAGCCTCCGTCGATGACCAGATCAGCACCCGTCACATAACTCGACGCGTCCGAAGCGAGGAACAGATAAATGCCCTTGAGTTCGTGGGGAGCACCCTCTCGTCTGTATTATCTTGGTCAGCCGACCGGACCAGCCAAAAATGGCATAATCGTGCCTGCTCTTTTCCGAACTTACCCCATGGGAATCTTGTGTTTCCAGGTGCTTTTCGTCTCGGCCGACGCGAAGGTGGAAATCTCGGTGTCGATGTAGCCGGGGGATACCGCGTTGGCTCGCGCATACTGGCACCATTCGGTGCCCAGCGATCGGCCTATCTCAAGGTCAGACCTGGGGCCGGCCCTACTGCATGGAATACACACCAGGATCCTGAATGATGGAGAGGGGCATCTTACACATGTGGATAACAGCAGCCTTGGACGAGTTGTACGCGGTTTGGACGAGCGGAATGTTGGCAATGTGGCCGCTCATGCTGGCGGTCGCAATGAAGCTGCCGTAGCTGTAGTTCTCGAGTTTGCGGCCCATCATGTCGGTGCCCTCGACCTGCTGCCGCTTCCAGATGCGGCCCGCTGCACGGGCGCAAAAGTAGACGCCATCAAGGTTGATCGCCATGACCTTCCTGTAGAGCTCAAGGCTGCCCGAGATGACGGGGCCCTCGGTCCAGGGGATTCCCGCATTGGCGACAAACACGTCCAGTCTGCCGTTGAAATCCTTGGTCTGCTCCAGGATGGCGGCCTCGACCGCCTCGGCGTCCGTCACGTTGACCTGGTAAGCGCGGCCTAGATGGATTCACATCTCTTTGTCAGTCGAGAAACAGACTGCCGGCCTGCCCAGCGGGAGGGTCGGGGTTGTCAAGAGGCATACACTTTACTCCATACTCTGCCTCGATGGCCTTGGCCTTCTCTGGCGCGGACTTGTTGCTCTGGTACCAGATGGCCACGTTGGCCCCGGCCTCGGCAAGACTCTGAGCGACAGCGTAGCCGATGCCGGCTCCACCGCCCGAGATGATGGCAGTCCTTCCCTTCAGCGAGAAGAGGTCGAACACCTTTTCCGCCGTGGGAGGGACGGTGTTGTTGTGGGAGAACTTTCCGTCAATCATGACTGCTTATCGGGAACGATCGCTCGATGAAAAACTGGTAACACGAGTGGGCGACTGAAGGCCAGGGAGGGCACTGATTTCTAATGAGATAGGAAAGGTCGAGAGTTCCGACGGAGACGCGCTGCACGCCTCATCAAGAACCATCCATCGCCGCCTTCCGAGCCCTTATAAGGAGACCTCGAGGCCTTCTGCAGGCACCCGGAAGGCCCACTGACTGTAGTGTGATAGAAGAGATCCGGGGCCCAGGCATGATGATACTGTACGTAATGTGCTATCGTGGTTCCGTTTCCCGACTGACACTGCAGAGAGCGGTGGATAGACGAAGCTGGCGGCAACTAAAGCCGTCGTCAAGCTGCTTAGGCCGTCGCGTCTGCAGGGCGTGCCCAACCCTGACCTAAACCCCTCCATTCAGGGTCCCCTACCTACCTTTCCCTGGTCCGCTCCGAGACAACTGTCACTGGAGGTCTGTCCCCACCGAGCGACGCACGCTATCATCCTGCGCTAATTCGGCGTCGGAAGGGCCCCCGCCTACCGTGCAAAGCCGCATGACTCCTGGCACATTTGCGGCCGTGGCCGCCTGGGCAGCGACACCTTTTCCCTTGGGCTGAAGCCGCGCGCGCAGCAGAGGGCCCCCTTTGACATATCCTCGCGACAGCTGAGCCTCTTGGCCCATTCCGCCTGTGCCCCTGTACGTACGTACTGTGCGGTTTCCTCCGCTCCCCCTTGGCCCCCCGCGCGCGTACGTCCGACACGGCCTGACTCGGCGGCCGGCCCGAGCACGGCGGCACTGGAGTCTGGAGTTAGGGGTCAGGACACCGGGCTTCTTGGGCTTCCTTGATGGGCCGCAAGCGGACTGCGTGTCACGTCTGCGCCGCCGTCAAGACTCTCTGCAGCAAGGGGCGGCCCTGTACACGCTGCAAGAGGCTGTCGCTGCCGTGCTCCTACGGCGAGGACGACCCGGCCGCCGTCCCGGCCTCGGCAGCCGATGTCGCCCGGCGGCGCCCGCCCAAGACGGGCCACACGAGGTCCAGGGCGGGATGCCTGAACTGCCGGCGGAGGCGCAAGAAGTGCGATGAGCAGCTGCCCGTGTGCGGCGACTGCCAGCGCCTCAACCTCGAGTGTTGCTCGCGCAGCAGCAGCAGCAGCATGGTGATCCTCGGCAACGGCACCGCAGACGACGAGCACGCCGCACATGACTCTCGGAGACTGCCTCCGTCCGATCACCATCCCGGGCCGCCCGGCGGCGACGGCAACGGCGATGGCAACAGCGGTAACCTCGCCGCCGCCGCCGCCGCATTCCAGCCCGGAGAGGATGCATCGCCGGAGTGGGCCTCGGCCGTGGCCGATGTGTTTGAAGACCACATCCTGTCGACGCAGTTTGTGGACTGGATCAACCTCATCGAGAACGAGCACAAGTCGCGGCGCAACGAGCTCGCCAACCTCGCCAACAGCGCCGCCTTGGTCGACCTGCCCATCCCGTGCGCGACCGACGACGAGGCAGGGCTGGCCACATTCCTGCCGCCCACCGCACTGAACAACCTGACGGGCATCACGCCCTTCTCGCTTAAGGACTGGTCGTTTGGCCAGCGCCACCTGCTGAACCACTTCCTGCAGTCCGTGGCCCGGGCTCTGGTCGTCGTCCAGGACGAGGAGAACCCCTTCCTCCGATATGTGGTGCCCATGGTCATCGAGAACGCCATGGTCCGCCATGCCCTGCTCGCCCTGTCCGCGTGCCATCTTGCCCGGGTCTATCCCGTGTTCAAACAGGACCTCCTGCTTCATCGAAGCCTGGCCCTGCAGGCCTTACGGAGCGACCTCGTGTATCCCGATTCCCCCGAAGGAGGGCTAGTCACGACTCTACTTTTGTGTTTGACCGAGGTACGAATGACAACACCCTCGCCCGCAAATGCTACCAGTGCGGTAAATTATCAAAACGTCATGGGGACTGATCACTTTCTTCGCAGATGTGCGAGGGCAACTCCAGGACCTGGGCTCTGCACCTGTTCGGCGCCAAGGCCCTGCTTGACCACCTCGACTCGGACTCGCTGGGCGAGCAGCCTCTGCAGGCCATGCTCGAGCTGTACAACTACCTGTGCTGCGTGACGAGCGCGACGTCTGACGACGTGCCCGCGATGCTGCTGCTCGAGAGCGGCGGCCTGTCCAGTGACACCAGCATCCACCCTTTATTCGGGGCCGCGGCGGGGCTCTACGGCATCCTGCCGTCCATCAGCCAGCTCGGCAAAGACGTCGGCCTGGGCCTGAGCCCGCCCGAGGACCTGCAGATGCGCGCCCAGGACGTGGAGCTCACGATCCAGAGCTGGACCCCGCCGGAGGAAGAAGAAGACGCCGCCGGCCGCGGCCGCAGCAGCAGCAGCAGGTACCTGGCCGAGATACGCGCCGCGGCGTTTGCCACGCAGTGGGCGCTGATCCTGCGGCTGAGCCAGATCACGAGGAAGCTGCCCAACGGCGACCCGCAGATCACCAAGGCGGCCAACAACATCCTCTCGGCGATTTCGCTCATCCGCCCCGGGTCCGAGGTCGAGGCGCACCTCCTGTTCCCCTTGTTCATGGCCGGCGTCGGCAGCGTGACCAAGCCGAACCGCCTGACGGTCGAGTACCGGCTCAAGATCATGGAGACGACGGTCGGGTTTGGCAATGTCTCCGCCGCGCACAACCTGCTGGACGAGCTTTGGCGACGGTCTAACGAGGGCGAGGCGGCGGACTGGGAGGACCTGAAGGATTCCGATTGGCCTGGTCTAGTCCTGCTCTGAGCTTTTTTTGCCACTTCATAATAGCGAAAGATCTGCTTGTATTGCGAGCCTGGCAGGTCCATTGAGCCAATAGTTGGAAGCCTGCTATGGGAAGTCCATCGGGATTCAATCGTTTTGAGCTGGGTGGCACGATTCCTGGGCCGATCTGGGGTTTGCTGGGCTAGCGGCTTCGGGCACGCTGTGTAACAATGTACCTAAAGTAGACACTGTCTGTACGTTAGTATGTGTGTGGGTGTGTGTGTGGGGACCGCCTTCGCGACGGGATATACGGGGCGGAGAGGATAAGTATCCGGCGCTGGCCGAGGCCCACGCTGGAGAAGGACGATTGTCCAAGTTGAACGACATCAACAACTACAATTAAACTACTCCAATTCAAACCAAAGTACAACACAGCAAAAACCACGATAACGAATCTCTTTCTCTTCTGACAGACAAGTCGACACCTACACGCACATATACATTTTGGACAGCATGGCTCCCGGCGCACTCCTGCAAGAGCACGACACCCGCACGGCGCCGCCAGTCTCCAAGGCAGCACCCGCAGAGTCCAACTTCACCATCCCCTCGCCCTTCCCCAACCTCGTCAGCACCGACTACCCAGACTTCCGGGCCGAGCTGGCGGAGAATGGCTTCGCCATCATCAAGGGCGCGATCCCCCGCGAGCGGGCGGTCGGGTACCAGGAGAAGGCATACGAGTGGATCAAGTCGTTCCCGGGGGACCTCGACATGAACGACCCGGAGACGTGGGTCGAAAAGAACCTGCCCATGACCAACAGCATCAAGGCGTACGCGTACTACTGCGTGAGCCACGAGAAGTTCTTCTGGGACGCGCGGCAGGAGCTCGGGGTGCTGGGGGCCTTTGCCAAGCTCTGGGGCACCGACGAGCTGCTCGTGAGCTTCGACGCCATGAACCTGACATTTCCAAACCGCAAGGACGTCCCCCGCCGCCCGACGTGGGAGCACATTGACCAGAGCCCGATGCGGCGCGGGGTGCACTGCGTCCAGGGCCTCATGGCGCTGTCCCCCTCGGGCCCGGAGGACGGCGGGCTGGTCGTGTTCCCGGGCTCGCACAAGCTCAACGAGGAGTTCTTTGACACGCAGACGACCCGCGAGTCGTGGCTGCCCATGAAGGACGTGCACGTCTTCTCGCGGGAACAGCTCGACTGGTTCGCCGCCCGCGGCGTGCACCCGCACAAGGTCTGCCTCGAGGTCGGCGACATGGTCATGTGGGACAGCCGCACCATCCACTACGGCAGCGAGCCCACCGAGAAGAGCAGCCAGATCCGGACAGCCCTGTACGCCACGTACGTCCCGGCCAGCCTCGCCAGCGCCGACCAGCTCGAACTCAAGAGGCAGGCCTTCGAGTCCTACAGCAGCACCACCCACTGGCCGCACCAGTACATTGTCGCCCGCCCAAATGTAGTCTATCTCCCGGACGGTTCTCGTGATCCCCGGAACCGGGACGGCCCCCTCGAGAGGCCGGAGATGACGGACAAGCTGCTGAAGCTTGCAGGCGTGATTCCTTATTGATGTCAGAGAGAGATGTCACCATCCTGTATTTAGATGACGGCTTTCTCGAATACACCCTTTACCATTAGTTACGTGGACTTAATCTATAACATGTGCAAAGACGTCTTCAAGCCAGTTAGTGTGAGCCAAAGGTTCCGTAATTGTGGCACTGGGAATAAGAGCCAGCCCGCCGCGCGCCTAAGAGGTGGTACACACAAGCCTTTGTGTAAGCTTTTGAGTAGCAGCCCAGTCGTATCGACGCTAAAAGACCAGCCCGGGTTAGCGGTATCTGACCCACCGGATCTGTGTTCCCGGCCCCCCTCCCCTCGCCTTACGGAATAAGGACCCTGGACTGATTAGCGTGCCCTGTCCGCCGCAGCACCGATGAGTCAAGCCAATGCCGTCGCCAAATTTGGGGCAAAACCCCGTCGCCAACTGGGCAGCCAATCAAGGGCACAGCGGCTCGACCAGGCCGACTACGGGGGCATGGGGCTGGGCTTGGTTCCGCTTTGCGCTTCCGTGTTCTCGACGGCCCGCTGATGCGCGGGTCTCACGGACGACCTCATGTTGCAGAAGTCGCCATTTGACCATGTATAAAGTGTCACATGATAGTTGAGCCGACGCATGGGTTTCTCGGGCGCCACAACGACGACGGGCAGAAAGGCATACTGCACACACACAAGCTGATCGAACATGTCGACCACCATGGAGCGAACAACGATTGCGGGGGATATCGAGATCCCCCGCATGATCAACGGGCTGTGGCAGCTCGCCGACATGAAGGTCGACATCCCCAACGCCGCGAAGGCAATGGACTCGCTGTAAGAACTCTTTTGGAATCTGGCATCATGAGCGACGCAGCATGGTGGGTGCGCCTGACAGTACAGTAACTGACCGTGTGCATCCAAAAAAACGTTCAGGATCGCATCGGGGCTGTCTTGCTTTGACATGGCAGACCACTACGGCGATGCAGAGCTGGTGATCGGGAAGTACAACGGCAGGCCAGCAGTCGACCCCCGCAGCATCACGGCCTTTACCAAGTGGTGCCCGCAAGAGAACGGCATCACGACGTTTGAGCACGCCGAGGCTGCCGTGGACCTTGCGCTGTCACGGATGGGGCAGAAGCGCATCGCGCTGATGCAGTACCACATCTGGGACTACACGGACGACACGTACCTGCAGAACCTGGCGCACCTGCAGAAGATGGCCGACCAGGGCAAGCTCGGCGCCGTCGGGCTGACCAACACGGACGCGGCGCACCTGGAGCTGCTGCTGCGCTCGGGCTACCGCATCGCGACCAACCAGGTCAGCTGCTCCGTCATCGACCGGCGGCTGGTGAGGGGCCGGCTAGGCGCCGTGTGTGCCGAGCACGGCGTCGGCATCCTGGCCTACGGGACGCTGCTCGGCGGCTACCTCAGCGAGAAGTGGGTTGGCGCCCCCGAGCCCACCGACGAGGCGGCCCTCAACTGGAGCCTCCGCAAGTACCTGCGCTTCATCCGCGCGGCCGGCGGCTGGGCTGCCTTCCAGGGGGTCCTCCAGGCCCTCGCGGCCGTGGCTGGCAAGCACAAAGTGTCCATTCCCGCCGTCGCCACCCGCTGGGTCCTCGACATACCCGTCGTCAAGGCCGTCATTGTCGGCAGCCGCCTCACGCCCGAGTCGGACAAGTACACGGCCAGCAACCTCAGCGCCTTCTCCTTCTCCCTGGACCAGGACGACGTCAGCCTCATCTCCAAGGCCCAGGAGGCCCTGGCAGACATCCCCGGCGACAACGGCGACGAGTATCGCCGGCCCCCATTCCTAACCGCGTCCGGGGACCTGAGCCACCATATCCACGGTTCGGCGGACAGGATCAAGGCTCTGGAGGAGGCCGTTGCCCAGGGGTCCAGGATCGAGTACCACACCGGGAGCAAGTGGGAACCCATAGCAGTAAGCCCTTCCCCTTTTCTCTCCTTTTATTGGCCCAGCCAAACTTATTCGAGATTTCTCACCGTCCGTCATGATGAACAGGGCTACTCCCGAGCCGTGAGGGTCGGCAATGTAATTCGAGTATCTGGCACAACGGCCAACCCTCCTCCCCCTCTCACCGACAGCATGGCCGCCATTGGCGGCAAGTCGGCACGCTGCCAGACGACGGCCATCCTCGACATCATCGCCCGCTCGGTCAAGGCGCTGGGCGGCAGCACGGCGGACATCGTCCGCACCAGGGTCATGGTCCGCAACGAGGAGGACTGCGAGGAGGTCAGCGAGGCCCATGGCTGGGTCTTTGGGTGTGAAAAGATCAGGCCGTCCAACACGCTGGTCACGACGAGCCCGATTGGCGACGCGTTCCTTGTCGAGATCGAGGCCGTGGCCGTGGTTGGGAGCAGTAGTCGACCTGTTGTCATCATTTCACAGTGATGGGATGGCCTGTATAGTTGCTTTGAGCACTCCGTAAATAGCGTCTGATGTGTTAAAGAATGGTAAAGGAGTTAATGAGCCAGGAATTGGCTATCTGCCTATCTCGACATAATTCATTGCATGGCATGCTCTGCGCATTTCCATGTAAAAGCAACAAAATTTACAGGAACGCGTGCATGCGGCCATTCATTGCTAAGCAGTACTGGCATCCCGAAAGTGGAACAAGACGAAGAAGTCCGAGCTGTGTAACGAACACTTACACACAACTCAATGGTGAAACCCTCAAACCCCATTCGCTCAAAGTTGTTATCAGGTCCAAGCCCGCCTCGAGCCAGACACTCGGGAAAGCCCACGGGACCACCCACCCCAAGAATACCCCATGTCCCCGGCACGTGCAGTAGCACTTGCTCCGGCCCCAATCGCTGGCGCGGCCAGACCTAGCACTACACTAGTGGGGTGGTTTACGCGACGGGAAAAAAGATGGGCGGCTCTATCGCCCTGGGACCATATCCTGGCCACCAATTCCGTCGCGAAACCCTCAGCGCTAGCATGCCCCACGCACGACCAAAACCCGCGCGCGATTCGGGAAAGCAAGCCGTGTCGTCAAGCTTTTGGCTCGGATGCGGCCCCGGGTTCCGACCAGAGGGAACGGGCCCAGATAGACGTGCATGGATGGCTAGGGTCCGGAGATGGAGTCGAGATACAGGAGGAAGGGCAGGGCAGGCACACATACACTCGAACGCACTCACGCACACACACTCACTCGCACCCACCACTACGGATCTCTTATGTACCCCAGAATTAGTTGCTTGGGATGCCCAGATAAGGCCGCCGACCTGCTTGCAACGCCACGCCAGGCCTCGCTATCGCCATCTTCACGAGCAACTCGTCCGCGAGCGGCTGTCGAGTGCATAAAACGTCGAGGGCATGCACCACCTCTGGGCCACTGTCTAGCCGCCTGTCCTCCATCCCCTCCACTTTTGCCTCCTCCCTGCTTTGGATCTTTCTCCAATCATGGCTTCCACTGCCAACCGCGCCTCGCTCCACCAATGGCTTCCCAAGTCCTCGGCCGTCACGGCATTCATGGTGGTGGGTGCAGCATGCGTCACCTCGACGACCAAGGGCTATGATGGCTCCATGATGTACGTCAATAGACATGAACTGCTCTGTTTCCACACCCCTTGTCAACCCTTGTCTCCCCGAGGCCCCTGGATGCTAATGCAACGTGTGGTGTAGGCAGTCGCTCAATGAGCTGCCCAGCTACAGCGACTACTTTGTCCTGAACACGGCGACCAAGGCCCTCAACACCACCGCCGTCTGGCTGGGCGGCATCGTCTCGGCCTTTGTGGCCGGACCGATTGCCAACCGCTACGGCCGGCGGAGGTCGCTGCGATGGGCTTCGCTGTTTACCATCTTTGGCGCCATCCTCCAGGCCGCCGCCCAGAACGTGCCCATGTGGGTGGTCTCGCGCATGTTCATCGGCTTTGGCATCACCTTTTCCATGATTGCCGCCACGGCCTACACCGCCGAGACGCTCCCCGTCAAGTGGCGCGGCTGGGGTGTCGGCCTGCTGGGCGACCTGTACTACGTCGGCGGCTTCCTCGCGGCCGGCATCACCTACGGCACCTCCAAGATGGACTCGACCTGGGCGTGGAGACTGCCCTCGGCGCTGCAGGCTCTCTTCAGCATCCTGGCCCTGGGCTTCCTCTTTGTCGTCCCGGAATCCCCACGCTGGCTCATCATGCAGGACCGCAACGAGGAGGCTCTCCAGGTCCTCGCGCTCATGAACTCGGACGGCGACTCTGCCCACCCCGACACCCTGGCCGCCTACCAGGAGATCATGGACGCCAAGGAGTTTGAGCGCACCGAGGGACGGCAGGTCACCCTCAAGCACATTGCCAAGACCCCCGACCTGCGCATGCGGCTCATCCTGGTCCTGTCGGCCTCTGTGTGCGCCATGCTGTCCGGAAACAACGTCGTCAGCTTCTACCTCGGTGACATGCTGACCAACGCGGGCATCACGGATTCCAACACGCAACTTGAAATTGTAAGGCCATCCCCGATCTACCCCTTTGCTCTCCTCATGAAAATGAAAGCCCCTTTTAATTTCTCAACTGACAATTTTCTTCTCTCTGGCAGACAATCGTTTTGAACGCCTGGTGTCTCGTCGTGTCCATCATCGGCACTAGAATGCTGGATCAGTTTGGCCGCAAGAAGATCGCAATCATCAGCAACTCTGGCATGGTCGTCCTCCTCTTCGTCGTTGGTGCACTTACAGCCGGTAAGTTCAAACTCTTCAAGTTCAACCCCCAAGCCCTGATCTCCCTCCAGCAGCTGACCAAATGGATCCGAATCTTCCAGTCTACGGAACCTCCGGGAACCTGTCGGGCATCTACGGCACCGTCGCCAGCATCTTCCTGTTCCAAGGCGTCTACAGCCTGGCCTGGACCCCTCTGATCATGCTCTACCCGCCCGAGATCATGAACTACAACATGCGCGTCCTGGGCGTCGGCCTCATGGAGCTCCTGGGCAACTGCTTCGGCCTGCTCATCGTGTTTGCCTTCCCGTTCGCCTTTGCCGCCATCGGCTGGAAGTTCTACATGATCAACGGCGCTTGGAACGTCCTCGAGGTCGCCTTTGTCGCGTACTTCTGGATCGAGACCAAGGGCCTGTCCCTCGAGGAGATTGACGACAAGTTTCTCGCCATCTATGGCAAGACGCGCACCCTGGAGGGCCTGGAGACGGACGAGAAGACGGGTACCGTTTCAAAGGTGCACCAGGTCCCCTCTGAGGATGCTGCCCCGAAGCAGTGAGTCGTGCTCGTGACTGCGTATTTGCTCGAAGGGGGACTAAGGGGGAATGGCTTCGTAGCTGGCAGACGGTCTGATTGGAGTTGAATGGCACTGGGTTTCTATCGTCTTCTGCAGCCACTCGCAGCTTTACTCATTGCCAACTGGAAGCGAGCAGGAAATAGAAGTTACAGATCATGCAAGATTTTGTTGTACCAGCTCGCCACCTGTTGTACACTGATTGTGAAGATTTCAGCCAAGACAATGGCGGGTTGGCTCGTTTCCTTGTTGGGGGCGCTCAGCGTGATGCGCTGGAAGAAGGATGCAATAGGCCATGCAATACTGGGGGCTTGCCAGTTCTTGTGGACCCAACAACCTGCATTAACCCGGCAGTTGTTTTAGATCTTAGCAGTGCTTCGAGCAGCCATAACGACCATATTTCTTTGCATCCAATATGTCTAAGGCTGCTGCATGGTTCTTTAGACAACTTTACTCTCAGGCCTAGAAACAGGTCGGTCACGGAGTCTGTATTGCTTAGAGTCCACCTCACAGAACAGAAAACCATGATTCCTGGTAACAGTTGGGCCCCAGACTTCGCGCCGTGGTGGAGAGCCCCGCAACTCCCGGCCCAAGTTTGATCCCGGAGGCCGGATCGTGACGGACGTACTGGCCTCCGCTGGGTTACATCGCATCTATACGAGGCAGAAAATGCAAAAAATGATAGTTCGGCATATCCAAATTCGTTGGCGGTAATTTGCTCCAGTCTCGTGACCCACTCCTCTTCTCCTCTTCGAGCGACGAGCTGGAAGACAGAGACCTCCGGGTCTCCAAGTAAGCATCGTCAGCAATTGCATTTTGCCGCAGTCAGAAAGCTTAAAGCCCAACCTCTCTCCGTCCCAAAGATCTCATTGGCTGGCGTATACTCTGACCAGATGCACATCTGACAGGTTTCTCTTCAAGTGGAAAGTCACGCCCATATTGGGGATCGCGACTTTGCGCTCTGAGTGAACGACGGCGGGATACATCGGACAACAATGCCAAGCATAAATATGTCGTAGACGTTCCGCCTCCAGAGTCACCTAAATCAGAAGAGTCACCATTCCCAATCGCCCCAAGCCCCTCCAACAATAATCAAACGACGAGGACAGCCCCGTCTGCCTTTACAATGCAGCACATCTTCTCTCTCACCCTCATCACCGCCCTTGCAGCACTGGTCGATCTATCAGCCGCTCGCGGGAACTGGTTCGAACACTGCGGCAGCAACAGCCTCCAGGGAGCTACTCTCCTATCCAGCTGCGACGGCGGCGGCGCCAGCATCAATCTGAACGACTACATTGCCAATGACTTTGGGCACTTGGACTGGCGCAACGGGGGGCAGTTTGGGCCGTCCTGCCCTTCCTGCTGGCTGGACTATGACATTCTCCGGTGTAACTGCGGGCGTGGCGACGGCTCGCTGAGCACGACTGATATTGATCTTGGTAAGACATACCCAGCATCGCTCTTCAATTTCCTCGGCAGATAGTCTTGTACTTGTTCCTTGTCCTTCTTGCTCCTCTTGTGTAATCGTTGCTGATCGGTGATGATGGACACGCAGAGGAACACCTTTGTTATTCCGGCAACAGCATCTACTACTGCTGATCGCTTAGTCCGGTGGGGTACTCGTTGCGCTGCGCGTGGGGCAGCGGCTTCGACAGATAAAGGCAGAACCTCATTTCGACCCCGCAATAGCATGAAAAAAATCCTGTATTCTTGGAGAACAACTGGCGGCCGTAGCTTGCGCCGGGTAATGCAGCTCGTCCTTCTCTGGATGAGGGAGCAGCGGGCGAACTTCTCCCCAGTCTTAGCTAGGTTTGCCGCCAGATGGCTTCAAATCAACGCGTCTCACAGCCTGCTCGGGTGCTCTAGAGACTTCAATCATCGTCATGCTGCACATGCATATTTGTCCATGCTAGTTGCGCCAATGTCGTGGCACAACCACCCATGTGTCAGCCCAGACTTGTAGGGCCGCAGCATTAGTCCACCCGCGCTATCTGCCTACTGGCAGAGCCCAATTACCTGTCAGCCTACAGCCCGCGGTTGTCGTTACAGCCCGCAGAAGTGAAAGTCTCTGGCATGACTCAGAGCGCTAGGTGCCAGCATACCTGATCGAATACAATCTGTGAAATAAGTGGCAACCAGCGACGGCTGAAAGGCGCCTCACGAGAGTCTCTCTTTTCCTGGGGCAAACACGTCGGGCCATCAATGTGGCCTTTTATTATCATATCTCGGCGCCATGGTGCTGTATGAACCAATCGCTGCTGAAAGCGGGTAAGTAATCTCCCGAAATCAGGTATATTGCCTGCCTCCCTTTAGAACAAGCCAATCACAGTTGATTCAGCTAAACCTGAGCTGCAATAGTCTTGTGATTAATTAAACGCGGCATGCAAGTAGTTGGGACTAACGATGGCCTGACAGGATGTGGCAGACCTGCGTAAGACTGCCATGCATGAGTGGATCAAATGACATGGCCGGTCTTTTTTACTTGGTGCCATGCCCGATACATTAATACCTTCACGACACTGAAACAACACGTGGCTCCCCTTTGTTCACAGAAGCTTGGCCCTGCTTCCCCTCGGCACGTTGACCTGGTAAGACAAGCGCGCTCCTCCTCTTTCGTGGGCCTGGCAGACGGATTTGTAGGGGACGCCGACGTGTTGTAACGTTGCGACAGCGCGCGCTCGGCCCGATGGCAGATGGCAGCGTTGCAGAATGTGGGGGCGCTGGTCATTTCAGTCCACTGCCCAAGTAGGCAAGGGACATATTTGTACCACTATCGTGGGTGTAGTTTGCACTCGAGATAAGGCGACAGCTACCGGAGGAGGAGGGTGCCATTGCTGCCACCCTGTCTTGAACATCGACGCGTTCAGCAAATGAAGCGCGTAAAGTGCTTGTGACGGCCCTGGACTAGCCTGGGAAGGGAAGCTGTCTAATGCAAGGGCCATCACGGGGGCCGCCTGCCATATGACCGCCACGGCCAAGGGTACTCCCCTGTACTGCCGGCTGGGCGGACTTAGCCGAGCCCACGGACATGAGCTGCACGCTTGGCGCCCCAGAGCAGGCGTTCCAGGATCCGGCCCAAACGACGATGGTTTACGCGCATCCACTATCCCCTGCGGTGCTGTGCGCATCTTCTCGCTTACCCCGTGATCCTACTATCGGAGTGGGAGTGGTTACATGGCCGTCGATTTGGAGCACATGCCAGGGTCATGAGCAACGTCGCAGGGCGTTCATGTCCGAAGCATTACAAACTTGCGGGGTATATCAATAGTATGCCTCTGATGTGATGCTCTCTATATAATGTCTACCGTCCTTGGACCCTCAGGAAACCAGCATACTTGCCTGATCTCGTTGCCCCCTTTCACTATACCTGTCACTCCTTCTGCAGGCAGCTACTTGCATCCAATCATTGGAATTCCCTACCCCACAATCTCTTGTCATTCCCGGACCTGTCGTCCATCACATATATACACACACTCTCTCTACCTCTATCTGTCGGAGCTAGCCATGTTGTGCAAGCCCTTGAGCCTGGGCGTCGTCCTGGCCGCCGCCGGGTCCGCCCTGGCCGGCTTCAACCCCAACTCGCAGTCCAATATTGCAGTCTACTGGGGCCAGAACTCGGCCAACCAGGCCAGCACCCAGTCCCGGCTGTCGACCTACTGCAGCAACACACCCTTCAACATCATCCCGTTGGGATTTCTCAACGTCATTAAGAACCCGACTACGGTCAACTTTGCCAACGCCGGCGATAACTGCACCGCCTTTGCCGGCAGCACTCTACTTTCCTGCCCCCAGCTCGAGGCGGACATCAAGACCTGCCAGTCGGCCGGCAAGACTATCCTTTTGTCCATCGGCGGCGCCACGTACACCGAAGGCGGCTTCTCCTCGGCCAGCGAAGCACAGCAGTGGGCCTCGACCATCTGGGCCATGTTCGGCCCCCAACAGAGTGGCAGCACCGTCAAGCGGCCCTTCGGCTCGGCCGTGGTTGACGGCTTCGACTTTGACTTTGAGTCGCCCACCCAGAACATGGCGCCCTTTGCCAACCGGCTGCGATCACTGATGGATGCCGACCGTTCCAAGAAATTCTACCTGTCGGCCGCGCCGCAGTGCGTCTACCCAGACGCCGCCGACCGTGACATGCTGATCGGGGCAGACGCCACGTATTTCGACTTCCTGCTGATCCAGTACTACAACAACGGCTGCGGTGCCTCCAGTTATATCCCGGGGGCCGCCACCCAGTGGAACTTCAACTTTGACGTCTGGAACAACTGGGCCACGCAGACATCCAAGAACCCCAACGTCAAGCTGCTGCTCGGCATCCCCGCCAACACGGGCGCCGGCGCCGGCTACGTGTCCGGGTCGCAGCTGCAGGCCGTCATCTCGTACGTCAAGCAGTTCAGCAACTTTGGCGGCGTCATGCTCTGGGACATGAGCCAGCTGTACCGCAACCCGGGCTTCATCAACGAGGTCGTGGCGGATCTCGGTGGTACGGCTCCGCCTCCGCCGCCGCCTAGCTCGACGCTGAGCACGACGACGCGGCCCACCACAACCACGACGACGTCGTCCAGGACGACTGGGCCTACGCCGACGCCGACGGGAGGCCCGCTCGTGCCCCAGTGGGGTCAGTGTGGTGGCCAGGGCTGGACTGGGCCGACCGTCTGCCAGCCGCCTTACACATGTGTTGCTGGCAGCACCTGGTGGTCCGACTGCCGGTGAAAGCTGACTTGTGCCTCTTCCCAACAGTCTCGACTATATTCAATCACGGAGTTCACTTGGCATAAATGAGGTCCTTTGTGCGGAAAGTGATGATATCGGCTTGGCTGCAATTCATACTACGTTGTGCAAGCATTGGTCAGCGGCCTGACCTCCATTCAATGTATATATTTTGATGCTGGAGGAAACCGGCTTTATTTCTGGTGTCCCATTTATATTTACACACTGAATATAAAAGGTGGCGTTCATAGTCCAGTAAACTGCATGCTATGACGGCAAGATGTTAACGCTCGAACACTTGATGTTCCTCAACTGTACCTTTGAAATTCGAACAGAAACCACCAGGACGTTATACAGGAGTCATCAGGTGCTGAGCTTTGATGCGTGTACAGAAACCTGATGTCAACGCCCAAGAGGTGTAAGGTCTTCTAATCTTAAACATAGCCTTCGAAGTAGAATGTTCTCTGGGGAACGCTACTGAGTGATCGACTTGTCCTGGATCTGTCAGGCACTACGAGTTCGTTCCAACAAGAAAAGGGTCTCGACCAACAACTTGGGCAGATAGTTGTTCCGAACTGCGATGGGGGACGACATCGAGGATGAAGAGGACGGACAGGTCTTGGATGAAGTTTCCAGGGCTTCCGATAAGTTCTACGCCACGGGACTGTCTAGAGGGGCCGTACTCAGTATTTATGCTACGAGGAGATCAGCCTAGTTACGCTGCACGATTCCACAGTGGTAGCATTATGTTTACTATGTAAACTATGGTAACTAATTTTAAAGACAGAGGCTAAAAGGCTGACCTGCTCGATTATTATGTTATGCGAGATCACAATGCAAACCTCAGTCAGTATTCAATTCGGTCTGTTACACAGTTATACTTACAGCTTACGGGCAGGCGTGAGCTCAAAGGGACATGATATATCAAAAAAGCAACGACTTTCCACGGGAATTGACCATTTTTCTGACGTGCTCATTGATGCAACCCCCCTCAATGGCAATCCCCAGCCCATTGATTGTCAAGCAAAGCTGACCTTTCCAATTACGATGTATTCAGCTCTTTGAAATTCCCGACGACCCCGGGCAAGCATCAAGAGTACCATGCCAACCCGTACTGCAAGCGCCACCATAAGCAAGATAAATGCATGCATGCGAGCGTTCCACCGTCTGAATGCGTATGCTGCATTGTGTCCAGCTTTTCCACCCGTGCGGACTCATCCAGTGATCCAGACCGTCTCATGTCCATAACGCACCAAACCTGACAGGGCCTGCATGCATCTGACATGCAGCCCCAAAGTGCCGTTGCATTGGTGGCGGCTTACATGCCCGGGATCCGTACCTTGGGGATAGGAGTATCACCAATCAGGACTATCTGCCAGGGCTTGGCACTTTGGGAGATGCATCTTTGCAACAATTTTTTCCTAATCTTCCATGTGCCTCAGGCAAAAGACAGGCGGGCAGGTCGATACAGCTCGTTTCTTGTCCTCCATCCCGGGCCTCCATCTGCTCTGAACCACCCATCCCCGCAGCTCTTCCCCCATCTCCAGGCTTGAAATGCTCTCTGGCTCAGCGTTCACCACATCCCGTTATCACTTAGAGATATACATAGCAATAAGGCCCTGCGACAGTGCTGACGTGGTGCTTGATCCCGACCGTTACCCCGCCCTTTAGAGGAGTGGCGTAGCCCATGTCGAGCACGTCCTCGAGCGTTGCCGGGTCCGAGGGCGGGTCGTTGCGCTTGGTCCGCGTGCCACCAATCTGGAACAGCCGCTCGGTCGTCGCAGCGCGGTCCTGGTTCTGCCACATCCACCACACGCGGTCGAGCATGGAATGGTGGAGCCAGAACATGGGAATTAATTGCGGAAGATTCAATGTTAGCTTTTGGGACTATCGATGTAGGAGTTGTGGAAGGGAAAGGGGTGGTGGTGGTATCAGTGGTGGCGGTGGCGAAAGATAAGAAAGGGAGCACCAACTCATTAGGACTCGTGTAGATATCACCGCCCGGGTCGCCGCCATACGTAAAGTGTCCCACGGGATGCTGCTGCGTGCCGCCCTGCAGGGCGAGCTGCCACTCGGCGATGTGGCCCAGGGGCGAGCCGTTGGTCGTGTTGAACAGCTCAAGCAGCCGGGTCTCCCGCGCCCACTTCTGGGTGTACTCGGGCATGATGTCCCTCCTCATGCACCGTGGCTGGTAGCCCATCCAGGGCCCGCCGGGGCCGACCTCGTTGGGGTAGTTGAACCACAGCTCCACGGTAGACAGGTTCGCCTGATATCCCACATAGGGACCGCTCGTGACGCAGCCTCCGCCGCGACCCTCCACGACGGGAGAGATGCAGGCGGCCGTGATACTTCCCGGGCGGCTGCAGTCGTGGGGAGCCCACTCGCCGTTGCCGCCCTGGGATAGAGGGCTGCCGTCAAAGTAGGGGGAGTTGAGCGGGTCTTGGGCCGATTTCGCCCAGTTCCAGTACGGCAGGCTTCCCGTGAAGCGGCACTCGTCGCGGAGGGCCGACTCAAAGGCGTGGATGTAGTACCGGTGCCAGGAGAGGAAGTTGCCGGTGAAGTGGATCGTGAGGGTCTGGTTGATGTGGACGGCAACCTGGTGATGGGAAAAGTAGAGAGAGACGTCGTGTCAGCCAGGAGATTATAAACCCAGGACCAGTGAGAACTTACAAAGTCGTCGTATCTCGACTTGGCACCCGGTGCAACGCCCTCAGGGATACGCGACGGCGCGTCCATCAGGCACTTGACTGTGTTGCAGCCTGTTAGTATGGCGACTCTAGATCATAGAAACCTCTCCGTGTCTGTTCGTAGGTGGGCTTGCCAGCTCTGATGTACTCGCGCTTCTCGGCATTGCTTAGCGTTGCGCTGTGTTTGGCAATTCTTTTGTCAGCATAGGTGTCGATATGGGAGGTGGACACGTTGTCATTGGTATACGTTGGAAAACGTACTACTCGCGACGAATGCGGACCTCCCAGGGTTTGCAGCTCGTCGACACGCCCTGTGCGGCTAGGGCCTTTTTGAGGCTGCCATCGGCAAAGGCAGCTGTTTGGTGGACCAGGGCGTGGCTGGCGATGAGGTCGGACTGGAACGTAGACTCGGGCACCCAACCGGCAAGGGCAGGAGCAGCAAGACCAGCAGCGGCAAGGCCAATGGCCAGCACGGCATCCAAGGAGAACCTCATTTTTGCTGCTGTGAGATTGCTTTGCAGAAGTTATCAGGCACCTTCCCGTTGCTTACGACTCTGAAAGGACCGAGCCGAAGAAAAACTCGGGAACACTGAGGAAGAGTGGCACACGGAAATATATATCATACATTGGGACAACAGCCCCGGCCTCGATCTTGGGAGGTCCCTGGCTTGTCCTTGGATTCCCCCGAAAAGTGCAACTTTGGAACAACGCACCGCAGTGAGGAAGCGTCGTATTGCATCTCCAGATCATGCACCCTGGTTGGAAGTGCAATCTTGTCCCTGCAGTCAGCAAGCAGGGATGTAGATGGACACAGTTTAGGGGACCACGGCGGTCTTTTGGATCTGCGAATGTAAAGATGGTTTTGCATTGAGATAAGCGGAAAAAGTTATACCAGCCATGTGGGACATGTGTTTTTGTATGTCTACCGTTGTGAGACTGATCCGACACCCTAGTGGCAAATCGTGCCTTGGTTCTCGACTTCCTCGCTCCTTTTGTGCATCGCGACGGGCACTGGATACAAGGCTATAGCGCACTTCGTATTCAAGAAGCAGGGGTGATCAGCCTGACAGATGAACCCATGCAGGCCCGCTTGACCTGCTGGACCCTTTCCCTGCTTCAAGCAGTTGCGTTGCAGATTTTGGCGCCAAGGATCTGCCTGCGAGGGCTGACAAACGCCCTGCAGAGGCATGCTTGGCGCCCGCATGGTCTTCGGCTGGCGGTGAGGCACCGTCATATCTGTTACGAGATATCTCGGATATGCTATCCGAGTTTCACGTGGCAAAGTTGCAGTCCTCGTTCCATGACTGGTCCTCCGACGGGATTTCCTGAACCCGGAAATAAGCGGCAGGTTTACACATTCATCTGAAGGACACCGAGGATGTAATCACTATGGCAGTCGTATGTGAGAAACACCCCTGCAGTGCAGATGGCATGGAGTCCTATTAAACGCGGAGCTGGGCTTTTTGAGAAGAAGAAGTGGTTCAAAAGGACCCGCAGGATTCTGCCTGGAGTCCAACCTCTCGGTAGGCATCGACGTACTCCCGTCCGATTCAACGCCATGATGTTTTGTCGCAAGAGCTTCATATGCGCGCGAACGGCAGGGCTCGCCCTCACGGGCATGAAAGCTGACACTTTTCGCTCACGCTGCCCTGCACACTAAGAAACAATCCGAGCCCATAGCAGAGAACGGAACAGGAGTACGTGAGTGCTGCTTTAACTTAGATGGCAGACATGGAATCTACGTTCGACATGGTGTATCTTCTATTTAAGCCGAACAAACTCTCCCGTCTCCTCGTAATCTTCCACCCTGGCAAGGCGATATTTTGCTTCAAGAACATCAAAGCAGGATTGGACTAGCATGCGATGCGGGACCTCTTGTGCTTGGCGCCACATCTTCGCCAGGCACGGCTTGAGCTCATCAAACAGGGTGTGCTGACTAGTTACCGTCACGTCGAGATCGACACCACGCTGGAGTAGAATGCGCAGCAACCTCAAGCCGTGATCCAATGTTAGCCTTGCGATCGGCATCGCTCCGTTAATATCTGGCAGCACAAGCAACCTGCATAATGTGTCAGGGTTCAGGGCTGCCTGTGATGGCGCGGCGAGCTTCTCGACGATATTCAAGATCCTTTTGGACAGATGATTATGAGTGGAATCTGGACTTGATGTGAAGTGATAAGCACCGAATGCGAAATGGAGGATATTCTGGCCATCGAGGTTTGTGACTGTGCAGTCAGCGCCGCTCCTGATGAGGAGCTCGATAGTCTCGATCCTGTCTTTGGTGTCCACCCAGCCGGCGTCGGCGCGACTGCGCTGGGCGGAAATGATCAGCGGATACTCCGGCACGACCTATTCAGCACACATGAGAAATTTGGCGACAGAATAGGCCAGCCGCTAGAGAGGCAACTAACCTTCTGCCCCAGGACGGATATATGGAGACCTTTCCAAGCCAGAGCCTCTTGAAAGGTTTTCACACGGAAGTCGTACTTTCTCCAAAGTGTGATGAAGGCCTCCCTGCTGAGCTCAAGCTCTGGGCTATCGGTCCCGAGAGCTCGGAGTAGTTTCGAATTCGAATCCACCCTCAGAATCGCGCTTCCGAGAAGGCGCACAGTCTCTCCCAGATTGGCCAGCTGTGGGCTCCCCCGATGCGGTGTCCCGAGAAATATTATGGCATTCGTAGACTTCGCAATATCCTGGATCTCGTTCTCCTCTGAGGAATCCGAACGGCGGAGCATCTCCTTCACCAGTAGTCCACCCATAGAATGCACCACAAAGATGATGGGTCTAGTAGGTGGTTTCGACCTCTGGATGGAGTACAACAGGTCTTTCGCATGGCTGAAGATGTTGTTCTGGTTGACGGATCTGTAACCCTTTATAACGTGCGAGTCGTAGCCATATGTGAGGATCCGGGCGCGACTACAGAAATCCTCCTTGGCGAGAAAATCAAGCGGCCAGAACACCGTATCGGCGGCTACAGTCAGCTGATTTGGCGAAGCTCTCGAAAGAAACCGAGACAATCTGTGCCATGGCTTCTTGGACCTAGCGTTCGTGGCGCTTGAGTCTTCAGTCTCTGATGGCAGTATCCCCAGGCTCGCAGTCGATTGATCAGTCAACGGCAATCCCGGTGCCGACGCAGCGTGGTCATGAATTCCAGCTTTACAGGCCCTTGTGAGTAATGGATGGCCCTGAAGGCCATGTACGAAGATGATACTAGGCGTTTCCATGTCAGTGATGATCATAGGGGTGGACGGGCACAAGCGTACTCAACAATAATTTCGTCAGGGTTATGAATGACCGTCAATCCTTCCTTGGTGACCAACATGATGAGACAAGCGTACGCTTAAAACCAAGCTGTAAGAAAGGCACGCCACTACACGGACGCCAAATGGCTGTTTCAAGCGTCACAGCCAAAGAAAATGCCATAAGGAAAGAAGATGCTCACTTCACAGAGCCTTCGATGCGCAAGGCTCTGGCAATCTATCGTGGCAAAAGCGGGGTAATCCACAGCTCAGCTCTCCAATGTGAGGCTGATTGTGCTTTGCACAGCCTTCCTGGAGACGTTGGCGTAAGGTGACAGGGATTCCATATGACAGATATCTTGAGCGCCATGCAGTAGCCAATGGGGCTTCGCGGAGAGCCCAGCCAAGTGCTTATGCATGAATTAAAGACTGCACAAAGGTTCAGCCATCACCGAGGCATGGCACGGGAATGAGGAGGTCAGTGAGAGGTGGACACGAACTTCATGCCTTCTTAGAATTTATGACTTTTCAATGAATCTGAGTACCTTCCAATATGGGCCTGACAAAGCGCGGGCCCATAAAAACGGTCCTCCTCGCTTGCAGAACCCTACAATCGTAGTTGACCTTGGACGGAAAGACACGATGCCCCACCGCCATTGCCGCACAGGATTTCAGGATTCGTGTTCGCATCGCTTAGGTTGCAGGGGACGAGCGCCGGTGCTGTTCAAGCCTTGGTAGGTCAGAGATCTTCATTATCCTCTTTGCCATTAAGAAAGTAAGAAGCAAGAGAAGACCATTCTACAAATCACGGCTTATACTATGATCCATCTGCACATATATCGTCCGCATCTTGATGTCGTTACTATGTCCAAAGTCGTGAGGTTTCAGTTCCGTGTAACCATGCATGTCACGTGTACGTCACGCAACCACGATTATTGCCATGTGCTTAAACCAGATTCTCTGCCTTTCACATTACCATACTAGGTACCTAGATAGTAACGGTCTGCATATTCCAGACGCTGCCCAAGTATGTGCGATTCTCTTCGTCAATGTTGAGCCGAGACCAGGACAATTTCGCCTACATCATGGTGAATCGATCATGGCTGCTCCTGGTCTTTGAGCTGGCAGTCGTTTGTTTCCGCTTCTCCGTCAGTCTGCACTGGTTGCTCCTGTACGACGTTAGTACAGGCGAGCCACTTGGGAAAGACTCTGGTGCACGCATAATCGCCAATGGCGGCTGACCATACCGTGTTACACTAACCTTTAGCTGAAGAGTGTACACAGTTGATCCCAAGTACGTGGTTGGTTCGATGCTGGCCACCATCTCGAAGTCATTCCCAATCTTAAGACTGGATGTCCCTTGTGCTTCAGAAGCAGCATCCATAAGGGCCGGTTCGAGCGCCTGGAGAAAATGGGAGATGATAGGTTTGCTGCGCTGGGCCGCTTCGTACCAGAGCATGAAGCTCGGATCATACGGGAGCTCCTCGAGCTGCTCAAATACGTCCGTGGACTTGCTGAACCAAGGGGGCTTCTCGATTCTGTCTTCAGGCTTTAATCTGGCGTGGTCAACGAAGATCATATCGTCGGCGTACTTCTGTATCGAAGCTGCCCGCGCGAGCTGGCACCACGGCTTGGACGGAAGTCCTCCTGAGGTGTTTCTCTCCTTGAACCGACCCCAAAGGAGCACGATGCGATCATCCGGGTCAACGCCGACCGACGCGCGAGTAATGATAGCTCGTTTTGATAACAAGATGGTGCCAAGCCACTGGCGGTCCTCGTCAGAGCCCGTAATGTGCGCGGCCTCGTCTTTGTTTGACTCGCATTTTGCTAGGATATAATTTCCCGTCATGGCGGGCAACGATGACACGACTTCGTACCTATCCTGCAGACTGGGAACCACTTGAAGCTGTACTACCATGCTGCCGTGTATCGAATAGTCATGCCGCTCATAGTCGTATATCTCGAGGCTGATTCTTGCAGTGTACGCACCAGCCATGTCCATGCTCAGCACTAGTAGTGTTCGTTTTAGTGGGTGCTGTACTAGAGGAGAGCAGAGATTTGTCTACTGAACCAAACAAGGCACTTACCCTGGCAGCCACCCCAGCCATCGCTAAGCTCCGTTGATGGCCCTCGTGGTAATGGGTGGCGTGGCGAGAGCTCTACAATCCATTTTGAGCGGCCACGGAGGACGCGGTATCGCCTCTGTTCTTCGTCGACGCACTGAACCACGAGAGCCAGTCGATCGAAATATCCAGGATCGTGGAAGGTGCAGTTCAGCACAGCGAGGCAAGTACCCCCAGACTCTGTGTAGTTGGTTGTGCACGGTATTAGAGTCACATCAAGAACCAATTCGTTCCCAGCCATATTGATTGCACTCTGGCGGTATTGGTTAATGATGGAAATGCCGCCAATGAAAAGCTGCGGATCCTTCGCCAGGAGGAACCTTGAGCCATGAGCGAGAATAGACTGATCTCCAGACTGCCGCATGATTTGCTCCTGTAGACGAGTAAAAGCCTTGGCCCCTCCCTCACCATAGATCAGCGGCATGTTGACGCCAAATATGCCCATCAGGCAATATGCCAGGTCTTCTCGTCGAGTTGTCACGCGCTTCGCCGCCCAGGACATGCGATTCGCAATGCTTGTCGTCTGCAGTACACGCTCAGCGGCAATCCAGTCGACGTAGCCTTTGCGATCCGTCAGAAGCGTTTTCGGAAGCGACGTGATCTTTTCGACCTGGCTCGCCAGCAGTCCCCGGGTGCCCAGCAGAGCCCATGAGCTGTTTAAGAATTTGACCATCGGGGGCGCGATTAATTCTTGCAATGTCCATCCACGTGTGAACCATCTCGAGGACGCCAGGTCAGATCTCCGCTGTACGTCGGCGAGATATGCATAGCAGACGTCGGCAAGCTGATAACACTCGTACATCGAGTTGATGGCCTCTGAGAGCTCGACGCTGTTGGACTTGTCGATACAGCACGTGTCGATCCAGATATACTCGAAGCCTTCCGCCAGGGCAAATGCACAGGATGCCCTCACCTTGGCTGCCCCCTGCTTGGACTCCCAGAGGCTCGACCCCTCAGAACGAGCCACATCCTCGAATAAGATCTCTTCAGGTCCCCAGGTATGGCTCAGGATGGCGTACTGAACCTCTGACGCGTTCTTCTCCTCGAAATGGTAGTCCTTGGTGTGGAGGAGCCGCATGCTGATTTATCGCTGTTGTGAGGGATTCGAGGAGTGGATGAGGGGTTGAAGAGATCACCATGGACGTCGCTCAAGGTGACAGGCGGGGTCACAGCCTGATCACAGCCTCGACGGCAGGGGTAGGACGATGCCTGTTGCGCGGCAAGAACTAACCAATGAGGAGATATTTTGAACCCCAAACTTGGCCACTCTACAGGGGGCTTGTGTGACCAACAACGTTGGTCATATCGCCGTACAGTTTGACGATGATGATGCGACACTCTGAATCACACTCCACCTTCGTGCATCCTCACTCAAGCTCCAAGTTGTTCTTGCCTGTGCCACCGCAAGGTTCGAAGGGGCTCATGGCATGGTGAGGCCAAAGATGATCTCTGCTAGACTCAATTAACTCCTCGTAATCTCCACTCATTAACGGCACCTCTATCCCAGAATCTCTGCACGTTGGTGCCAGAAGTCGCAATCCAAACTAGACGCTCAACAAGCAACTGGACACATCCTTGTATCAAGCAACTGGTTTCAGCACCTTGTCTAAGCCCGTGTCTCTTTCGGCAAGATAGTCCTGCAATGACGACGTGTTAGAGTAGGGCTAGCAAAGAAAAGCAACGGGAGACGCCGACAGAGCACAGGCACAGAGGAAGCAAACTCACAAACAAAGCCGCCGGCGCATTCGAGGACAAGAACGGGATAATCGCAGACATGTTGCCAATCTTGACCAGACCGCTCTTGCCGCGCACCATGGCCTCCACCAGCTCGCGAGCAAAGTCCTCGACGGACCCAAGCCGTGCCTCGACCTCTGTACCCGTGGCGCGCGCGCGCACCTCCGCCGCCGCAGCGAGGTAGTGCGACCCGCCCGGCAGCTGCCCCTGGCTCCCGCGGTCAGGGGCGTTGACAAAGATGTTGGTCTTGACGGCGCCCGTGATGACGGTGAGCACTTTGACGCCGAGGGGTTTCAGCTCGTGCCGCATCACCTCGCTGAGCACCTCGCACGCCGCCTTGGACGCCGAGTACCCGCCCATGTATGGTGGGCACATGTAGGCAGTGATGGACGCGAGGTTGACCACGGTGCCTCCGGCCTTGATGAGCAATGGGGCGAATGCCTGCGTGCCGGCTGCCACGCCAAAGACATTGACATCAAACATTTTTCTAACCTCGGCCAAGGACGTGTCGAGAAAAGGTCGGATGATTTGCGTGCCGGCATTGTTGACCAGGTAGGTTAGCGAGCCGCCCGTCGTCGCCGAGATGAGCGCTACGGCCGCCTCGATAGAGCTCTCGCTGGTGACATCGAGTGTAACGAGCGTGATGCCTGGGGTCTTCTCCAGCGCGGCCATCTTGCTCAAGCTGCGGGCAGACGCAAAGACGTGGACGCCGCGCCGGGCAAGTTCACGGACAAGCCCGAAGCCGATGCCGCCCTCGCTGCAGCCCGTCACTAGTGCTGTTGGTTTCTTAATCTCCATATCAAATATCGGGAATCTCAATAAGGCGTGAAGAGGGAACGAAATTGATTGAGGGACGCTTTTTGGGAGTAAATAAGAAGAACTCCAGCCGCCGTATCTGGTCTGAGCGCCTGCTCTTGGGCCATCATGTAATCGGTCTTCCTAAACCCTTTTATAAGAGATTGTTTTCCCGCCATGATCCCTAAGATTTTTGGCCTTATACGCAGCAATTGAACAAGTCGGGCCAACAATACAGGTGTGCACGCGTCCCGCGTAGCTGCGAAGTCAGCCGTGCGATGAGGCTCGGCGTAAAAGAGCCCCGCGCGGAGACTTTATACGCGCATGTGCAGCCCGGAGACGGCCATGTAAGCACCGCAATTCAGCTCGTGCGTCACCTCGCCGGCCACACGGGCCCCTCGGCCTCCGAAAAGGGCTCAGTAACATTTGTCACCAGATGCGATTATACATGCATTTGTGAAATGTCACTTCACCTTGAAGATTGTACCGCAACTGAGACAGATTGACAGTTGACTAGACTTCTCTGCATTATGGTAGCGTGTGGTTCAGCGGCATGACTTGCCAAAAGCACAGTACATGCTTTCTCGGTTTTGGCATTATTCCTTGCGGTACTGTTCGTCCTGTTGTGAGATGGCCCTGCAACGCGCGCTGGTCATCCTGTTCGAGCAACTCAGCCGCGCATTGCAGTGATTGAACGGCAGCAAACGCAATCCACAGACCTCCTTTGCATTTTCATTTCCCCAACGCTTGCTTTCCTCCTTTTTTTCTTTCTCAGACCTGTACCATGCGACTCTGCGGGAGCTTACCGAGCGCGACCTGTAAATGCAGTGTGCCTGTCACGTCATCTTCAACCTCCCCTGGAGTTATCCACAATTTCTCAAGCTTCTCCCGGTACTCCCACAGCTCAAAGCGACGAAGGAAGCGGTGCACGCTGGCTAGAGCGCTGTCTAGAGCACCCACAATCCAAGCATGGTGGGCACTGCTAGCTTCGCCACAGATGTGGAACCGACTGTCGGCCCCCGGACGGGAGAGATATGGGTAAAGGTTCGCGAACTGGCCTGGCCCGAACAAGGCAAAGGCCCCCGAGGTGAATGGATCATGGGACCAGCTGAATGCATGATGCTCGACGTACGCGTCACCAATGATCTGGCGGACCTCCTCGAGTGGCATGTCAGGCTGTTTCTGCTGCTTTCGGAAGTTCTCCAAGTGCAGTCGGGCGAGGTTGTCCAGAATGAGGTTTTTCAACTCTTCTTGGTCGGGATCGTTGCTGCCGTTGGTATTATTCTTGATCAGACTGCCGATACGCGTAGCATCTTGAGCCCAGGTGTAGCTGCAGAGGAGTACCGCAGGTTTGTCTTTGGGGTCCTTGATGTTGTAGGAGGGATACACGCAGGTGCGGATGGGCAAATCCGTGGATGCGGTGCCACCGCTGCTGATGCCACATTTGGTGATCCACCAAGGGTACGAGAACTTGATGGCCACTTTTGCACTGTCGTCGTAGTGCAGCGTTCTGATGGCGTCCTTTTGACTCGGGTGGAGGTTCAGTCCCGTCAGGTCAATGCGCTGAAGGCACGCCAGACTGGTCGTGTTGAAGACGGTCGTGTAGGGCTCACGGCTTTCAATTGGCTCTCCAACGACAGACACCAGGATCTTCTTGGTCTTGTCGTCTTGAGAGAACTTGTTCACCCGCTTCTTGCGCTGGACAGGTTGCTTGATCTTTTTCTCCATGGCTTCGGTCACCAACGAGGTCCCACCATCGATGCAGAACCACTTCTCAACACCGCCTTCCTCGGGAGCATCAAAATCAAACGAGTCCATGACAGACTCCGTGAAGCCTTGGTCGAAGAGCCCGCTCGAAGTGTTGTTCGTTTCAAGCCACTGAATCGTGAAGAAGTCTAGTGGATTCCATGGCTCCTAGTCAGCCTCGGGTGGTGGAGGGGGATTCTTGAGAAACTCGCGGGTGCTGTAGTTGTCGTATTGCAGTAGTGTCGCAAAGCCAGACTCAAAGTGCTTGGCCAGTAGTTTCTTGAAAGGCCCAAACGCATCGTCGAGTAAAGTGCTCACTCGATCGACGGTGTTGTCTGGGACAGACCCACCATTGGCCTGGCTCACGTGGAACGGGTCCACGGGGGTTTTGTCGGACAGGCCGTTGCTATCAATGACGGTAATGTCGTTGTACATGGTGGGGCAGTTGACAGAGCCTTTGGCCGGCGGGCTCGTGCTCTCGGGCTGTAGGTAGTACGGGATGAGGGGAATGTTGAGGTCGCTGAAGAGCTTGAATGTGTTATCCATGATGCCGATCTTTGGGAAACGCATGGCGCCAATATCGTCGTAGTCATGCGGCACGTCTTTGGAGAAGTAGTGCGTGAGCATGCGCCCACCGGCGCGGTCAGAGGCTTCGAGCAACTCATACTCGAGGCCAGGAATGTCGAGACTGTCCAGGATCATAGCGATGAACAAGCCCGCCACACCGGCTCCGACAATGCAGATTCGGTGCTTGTCGCCAATATCTGATCCCGGTACAATGCTACTGAACCCGCCATGGGCGGCATTGCCGCCGCCGCCACCACCGGCGAAATGGTGATCCGGCACTCCAGCATGCATACCGTTGCGAAGATGCTGGTCAAGTGCATCGTCAGGTGGTAGGTGCAAAGGCGTAAGGGGAAGCGCTCCAAGGAGGCCGCCAGGAATCGGAGGCGCTGCCGCTAGTGAAAAAGCAGCGATCCCTGAATCATTTTCATGACTCCGCTGTTGGTTCTCCAGCTGCCTGAGCTTGGTTATCTCCTCGGAGAGCTTCTCTCGAACCAGCCTCGCGGCCCATTGAGAGCGCGTGGAACGGATTCTAGCACTCATGTTCGCGCGAGGGACGTTTCAGACAAAAGTGGGTGGATAAGTAAGTAATTTGGAGTCAACCAAGAAGTTGAACTTGCGGCTGGGAGGAGTTGGTGGCGGCTCAGGACCTAGCAGAGGGAGAAAAGTACCGCTCGCAGCTGAGGCTACACTGAGGTTCGATGAGGAGGAAAGGTCAACAGGACTGACAAGGAATATGTGCTGAAGTTTTATGTTGCACGGCTGACCAGAATGGAGTCAAGAATGTTGAGCACCTACCTCAACGTTGTACTGGCCAGTGGTCCGACGACGTCTTTCGCGAAGGTATTGTTTCAGGCCGTCTGCAGCACGCAAAGTGCGCCACTCTCCGGGCCGGCCCGTTCTAGACTAACAGAAAGCGGAGTCGCAAGCCGGCCGCTATCCCTTGCGACCCCCAGAAACGGCGAAGCACATCAGATTCTTGCCAATGACAGCCCGACGCATCCTTCTTGGGTCACACTCGCTTACGTGGTTTGTCTCGGTCGATAGCTCATTGCGGTGCTCAAAGTGCGGGGTTGACTCAGCTTTCAGCTTTCAGCTGGCTACTTGTTGTCTTGGGCGCTTTCTGTGGCGAGCTGAGCTGCACCAAAAGGCTCGCACTTAAAGTAGCTCGGAACTCTGAGGCTTGTTCAGCTCAGAACAGCTGGAGCAATATGTAAGACACGGGCTCTACGGCTGATGTCCCAAGGATCTTTGAGCTCACCGCAAGTGTGGCAAGGTTCCAATGGTGTGCAGGCACGCTGCATGCGAGACCTCCACTTACAGGATCAGTTCATCCGACGAGAAATGACAGGTCCTGTCCACAAAGCTCATGTGCAACCATCAAGCCGCTAGTGCGATTCTGTGGAGCTCGCGTCTGGGTTCAGACACGAATCTCAGTATCCGACTTTCATTTCGGGTTCGCCGCTCCTCGATGTTACTGATCGAACTACCCACCTACCATCACTAGTATATGTCTGCCGCCTTCGACGGCAGGTCACTCACTTCCACTTAGCAGCCAAAGTTCACCTTTGTGAATGGTCCTTTCAACTCAACCGCATCCAACGTCTAATCCCAAAGATGTCTCCCTCTCATCTGTATGATGTTATCGTAGTGGGCGGAGGTGCAGTTGGTCTTGGCGCCACGTACGAGGTTGCCAAGAGCGGCAAATCTGTTCTGGTTCTTGAGCAAAACTGCTTTTTCAATGGGGCAGGAAGCTCCAACGACCTGGCAAGAATGTATCGGACCATGTGAGTTTCCAAAAGAACTCCTTTATGCAATTTTTCTTGGTTTTCTTAGCTAACAGTCCCAATCTGATCTAGGTACACCGAAAAGTTCATGGCTAAATTGGCCCACAAGTCTCTCAAGATGTGGAAAGACCTAGAGAGGGATGCTGGCACTGCGCTCCGCTCCATGACAGGTCTCTTGAATTTCGGTGATCCCACACTGGGCGACGACACTCCCGAAGGTCAGTCAAAAAGAACTAGTATGTCCTGGCATTTGTGTCACGGAAACTAATCGTCCTCTTCGCAGGCTCCCTGACTGGCCCAATCTGCAACTTGAAGGAATTGAAAATGCCGTTTCGCGAGAGTATGATAATCATCGCAGATCCCCTCAAACCCAATGTTATTTGCACCATTGCTAACGACGCTTCCAGTGAAGAAACATGAGATCGAAGAGGAGTACCCATTCAAGAACCTCCCAGACGGCTTCGAGGGCGTCTATGCTCCCGACAACGGTGTCATCAATGTTCCACTTCTGCTCCGCACGCTGCATCGCTTGGCCAAAGACTACGGCGCTCACGCGCGGCAGTACGTTCAAGTCAGAAAGCTTGTTCCGTCTAAAGCACAAGATGGCCAAGAGGAAATTTGGACTGTTGAGGCGCTTGAAGATGGGAAGGCCATCCAGTACAGAGCTCGGAAGGTCATTATCACCATGGGCGCTTACACCAACCATGTCACTGAGCCGAGCTTCGGTATGCGCCTGAAGCTCACGATCTGGGAGATGGTGTCGTCGTACTTCAACATCAATGCGGGTCCGAATGGGACCGTATTCCCAAGTATGTTCTCTCATTTAGGCTCAGGCTGACTTTCCAAACGCCTGAGCTTACTGATTGGATATGAATCATGGCACTAACACCCGTCTGCAGGCATGTGGTTCCAATTCGCCAACAACAAGAAGGTAGGCGACGAGGAACGATCGCAGCTCTTCTATGGCTTTCCGGCACTTGAATGGGGTCCTCCCAATGTATGCCGGATTGCGGTAGACGCAGCAACCCATATCATTTCAGATCCAGACCAGCGATCTGCACATGTCATCAGCCCAGAGGACATAGCGGATACGCAGGAGTTTGTGAAGAATCACGTTGTGGGTGTGGACTCGACGGTGCCTGCTTACTCATCGTCGTGCTTGATGACGAATGTCTTCGGTACGTATTTGATAGTCGAGCAATCACCAGGATATGGAATAGAGACCTTCCAGGCTCATGCCTCTGTTGTGCTAATGCTTTCCTCTAGACAACATGTTTGTTCTCGACTTTGTGCCCGAAGAATATCTCCAGGGTGGTGCCAAGAATAGTGTCGTCTTGTTCACAGCCGGATGGGCTATGAAATTCGTTCCTCTCCTGGGTAGAGCGCTCAAGGACATGGCCTTGCATGGGCACTCTGATCTCGGTCTCGACGAGTTCAAGATCGATCGTATGGAGAAGACAAAGGACGGCAAGATTCAGAAGGGCATCATTGACGATAGTCTCCAGAAAGGAACAGACGCGAATGATGGCATTATGAGCATGCAAAGTGCGGACAACTTCAACCGCATGGCGAACAAGAGGGAGCAGGCAAAGGGGTCTTCAGTGCATCATGTCCAGAGCGTGAAGGCTTAAATGGCTTCGTTCAGTTTCAGGTGTGAAACATGAATATACAACTGGTCGGACTTCATAGGCTCAGGCAGATTATCAGCCATTCGACTCTCAAAGCCTCTTCTGCTAAGTTCTACAACCTGGACGCCCCCCATACTAGTGCATTGTGCCGATCCACTGAATGAAGTATCTTTTGGTGAGTTTCACCGCTCCCATCGGCAACTTCCAAAAAGCAGTTCGGTCGACTGACACTGATCAGGAACGCCCTGGACACGATCCTCAAGGAGAAGAGGAACCAGACTGGGAGAAGCGCTAAGCAATTGGCACGGCATTTGTGCCATGCAAAAAACAAAAGCGAATGTACAACACCAGGGATTAGCTGGTCGTCACCGACCTAACTACTAGTCTGGCGGTATAAAGTCTTGTGTGCAGGGCAAGTGACATCCATTTCTGGAAGACATGAGGCCCATAAACGGAAGACACTTTCCCTCCACATGTCTTGGCATAGTGACCGCGCCACATTTGACCGCCCCACTTAGAGGGCTATTTTCGACACTGGCGGACCGTTATGCCCACTCCGTTATTGGTATCCGTTTTCCTCAGGGCCGTAGAAACCCGTTTCGATGATGACATAATGTAGTCTCTTATACACACACTCATCTCGCTTTGTTAGCCACTTATAAGCTTCGCCTAGGTAGGCACACCCGCTCGCGCATAAAGCGATACCTCCGCCAGACTTTATGCTACTAGCAAAACAGTGGCAGCAGCCTTCGAAGCCCGGCGAGCCCACTGGGCTTCGATGTACAATTGAGATATTGAAATCTCACGTGCGCTTCTCTAACCCCCTGATGACCAATCCGTGACTCGCAGCTACGGCTTTCAGGCCTTGAGCAGCTCGTCAAGGCACCCATGGTCAACGAAAGCCAGAAATGTAAGGTGGTGGAGCGTTCATAAACGATACATAGTGCTCAATAGTCTTCACCCGGTACTGAGCCACAACTAGGGCGATGGAGACCGGGTGCAAATAATCTCAGTAAAGTTTGTGTGTGGACACTAGTTGTAGCTATTACGATATGTCCATACCGAAGTCAACCCCAATTACACATATCTAAGGGCACGACCCCTACTTACAAAACATAAACGCCAGTCTCGGCAATAATCAACACGCAAACTAGATCCTGTCTGTTCGCGACCTTCATTACACGGCGACACAGAACTTGTTCAGAAATCTTGTAAAGGATAGGTCCATTTGGGTCTCGGCGTAGTATTAGCTCCGTCGTGTAGAGTGAATGCGGAGGATATAGCCACTGTTAACAGTTATGGATGTATAGCCAGAAGCCGACACCATCTGCTGCGCAGACCGGGCATCCAGAACCGTTGCTTTGGGTGGCTTCTCGATAATGACGAAAGTAGTCACTATCGAACAAGCAAATGTCCGGATGTGGCGCGCCTTATATACCCCTAGCCAGGGCTCATCTGTTATATGAATAAAGAGTTGTTGAGTTGTTGGATCATTCAGGGGCTCGGCATATCGGATTCGTGAGCAAGAGCTCAGCTCGATCCATGATACTTGATCTCAGACACTTCACCGCCTTCTCCGTCACTACCACGATCAACCTCTCGATGAGCCAGTCCTGTTCCTTCTCGAGCCGCTCACGAGGCTTATCTCAAACGAAGTCTAGAGCACATGATAAAGGTGGTGTTAGGACTGGCTGGACTGGGGCCTCCGGATTCAGTGCTCTGTCTCTTTGTTCTTGGCCATATCGCTGTCGCTCGTAACGAAGATCCAAGAGATCGCATATACGGGATGCTCTTACTGGCGTTGATTGGTATTCCATATCTCTCCGGCATCCCATCCCGTGGATCCCGAAGCCGCGGTGTTCAAGGAGCTAGTCGGAGACGGAGAGACGGATGGAAAGCTAGGCTAAGGGGACGCCAGCGTTGAGGAGCTTCTAGGCCGATAGACACACGCAGAGAGGAAGATATCAGATATAGCTTCTATGTTGTTACCGTACTCTTTTAAATACATACAGGCTAACGTAATCCACGGGTGAGTGAGCCACACGGGTCAGTGAGCCACCTTTCAAGTACTCGTACGACAATGTATAAGACAATTCAACCACAACGCCTTAAATCAATTGAAACTATGAGGAATCCTCTTCTTCAGAGGCAGATACAACTTTCTGACACGTACGAGCATTATGGCCGGGCTCGCCGCAGACGCCACATCGTCGCGCGCGCGTTTCTGGCCTCCTCGTACGACCACTATTCTAACTCGTTTCCGCCCTTAATTGCTCCGTCGCGTAGATTTGAGCCTTCAAATCCTTTGCCTGATCAATCGTAAGGGACCCTCCTTTCTGGAGCTGTTTTCTTTTCGTACGACGACGGCGGCTAAGGCGGTCGTTTGCATCTCGAAGTTCGGCGAGGTCATGGCGCATAAGGGTCTGCTCGTGCACCATCATTGTGATTCCTTTTCTCAGCTGCCGTAGGCTCTCAATAATGGACGACGGAGAGCTATTCTAGTGTCGTACGATGCGATTTTGAATATACTCCGTCTGCGATTCGGCCTCAATTGGGTTGTTCGGCGTCTTTGAAACCCAAGGGGGTAGTAGTCCAGCAGAGGAACCTGGCGGTGTCGGCGTATGAAACTTTACATCTAGCTGCGAAATTACATAATTCGGGTCGTACGGTACTAGGCCAGTTGCTCTAAAGCCTGCCTGGATGTTTGACTTAGTTATCGCAGCGTCGTACGCCATATAAAAGGCTGGGAGGAAGTCCTCCTTTGAGATATAGGTAATATACGCCCGTATGAGACCCTCGATTTCTTTACCGTACGCCCGTTTCAGAGGGCTAAAGCACCCAACATCGAGAGGCTGGAGCTTATGTGATAAATGGGCAGGTATATAGAGCGTTACAATGTTCTGTTCCTTATAGTAGAGCTCGAAATCGACGGAATGGTAGCTCTCGTAGCCGTCGAGGATGAGGAGGCGGTGGGTACCCTTCGTACGACTCTTCGTATGGAAATCGAAGTGTTTTACCCATTCTAGGCCTCTCTCGTTCGTCGTCCAGCCATTATCTGAAAGCGCGATTACCCAGTCGGGCGGTAGAGGGCTATTCGCGGTCCAGGAGTCGAGGTAGACCTTCCCCACAAAGATGATATATGGTAGGATCGAATAGCCGTACAACGCGATACCCTGGATTACTGTAACCCATTCCTGAATGCCTTGTTATACGGCTCTTAGCCTCCCGCGTCGATCGGAGGTCGTAACGACAGTTTCGGCGGAGATTTTACCCATCGCGAAGCCCGTTTCGTCGAAGTTGTAGATGTCGTTATCGTGGATCCCGTATTTCGCCACTATGTTTCGTACGAGCTTAAACCACGTGCGATACGCGTCCGGATCCTCGTAGAGGACCCTCTGGTAGTCGATTCTCCGATTAAAACGCGTACGGAGCTCAGGTCGTCGTCGTACGAAGGTTAAGGCCCAGTTCGTCCCGACGCGTAGCGCGTCGCGTTCACGAAGGAGTCGATCCGCCATTTCTCGAACACCACTTAGGCGCGGTGGAAATGATCTCGAATCTAGGTCGATTACGTATCGTACGATACTCTCCTCTTCGTACGAGGTCAATTTCTGGCAAGGTGGTCGGATATCGCGCTTCGAAGCTCGGCCGTGTCGTCGTCGTTGGAGGGTTGCGCGGGATACGTTATAGAGTAATGCAGCCTTTCGTACGCTCAATTTTGGGTCAGATTTGAGCGCATTTAGCGCTAGAACCAAATCGCTTTCATTTGATTGTCGTGCCATAATTGTTGGTGGAGAAATAAGGAAATGAAGGTTATCTATTCAAAATGGGAGAAAAGTGGCTCACTGACCCGTGTGGCTCACTCACCCGTGGATTACGTTAGTCCATTCGTGAGCTTTATTAAGACATCGTATTATCCGCCCCTCTAGCGTAAACGTACGTAGAGAGTGAGTGCCGTACTCACCCAATCGCGGGCACTCGCTTATATAGCTCGCCTTTATATTCTTATCTATTCATGGACAGCCTACCGCTAACTATTATTATTCCCGCCGACCTAACCCTTTAGTACATTAATACGGTTAGTATAGAGAAGGGCTAGGAGCTTCGTCTTAGCCCTCTTCCAGAGCTTCCCTCCCTCAAGACCCTTTAGTAATTAAGTTAGCTACTAGGTGTTACGATCCTGCCTCCGGGGTCAACCGTCTGGTAGGGCGCTGGGGTTGCTGTTCTGTAAGATAGGTAAAGCCTGTGTAATCACAACTAACACTCTGCTGTCGTTCTCTCTCTGGGTTGTCGTTCGTGTCTCTTGGAAGAGATACCAGTCTCGGTAATTGAGTGACTAGTTCAAGTGTGGGTGAAACTGATACTTAGATTGATCGCTGAAGTACAAAGGTAATGACTGTGTATCTAGGAGATCCTCCGTATCTATATATCCTTTGTCCTTCATCGTGTGTCCTGGATATGCTTGGATATGTTGCGATCTAGTATATCCGGGGATTACCTTGGATATGTTGCGATCCAACATATCCACCCTTGTCTTGCTGACATAATGTACTGCTTACGTAACTAGGGGTGTGTCTGCCCCGCGTGTATGACCTGCCCTTGTCCTTGGCCCGATCTTGCGACCTGTTGGTCGGGTCGTTACACTAGGCCCAAAGTAGAATACGTCGTCTCACCTATTTATTCCTATAGCAATTTTAAGTTACGTAAATATCACGATCCGATCTCCGGGATTAACCGTCTAACCGGGCGCTATAGGTTTATATCCTAAATAAGGTAAGTAGTAACCATTTGTCACGATCCTGCCCCCGGGGTCAACCGTCTGGCAGGGCGCTGGGGTTGCTGTTCTGCAGATAGGTAAAGCCTGCGCAAGATCAACTAACACTCTGCTGTCGTTCTCTCTTTGGGTTGTCGTCCGTGTCTCTTGGAAGAGATACCAGTCTCGGCAATTGAGTGACTAGTTCAAGTGTGGGTGAAACTGATACTTAGATTGATCGCTGAAGTACAAAGGTAATGACTGTCTATCTAGGAGATCCTTCTGGCTCTATATATCCCTTTGTCCTTCATCGTGCCCGTCGTCCTGCGACACCGTTGGGTCGCATGCCGACAGTTTGTTGTCGCAAGACCGACGGATGATGGTCGCCGTGCGACCGTTCATCGTCGGCTGCTGACGTAAGGTGGGTGCTTACATAATGTGTTCCCCGCCAGCCTTCGCTGGTCCGCCCTTGTCCCTGGCCTGATCCTGCGGCCTTGTTTGTGCTGGGCTTGTTTGTTACCTCAGCCCCAAGCAGTTCCCCTGTTGGTCGGGTCGTCACACTCGACCTGATCGAATAGCTAAGGCCGCGGGGCGACGAAAAACCGCAGACCTTTACGAGAAATTTCCGATATTGAATTACCGAGTCGGAGGAAGGATCGTAAAACGGGCTGGTCGACGATTAAAGACCGAGCGGCCATAAGGTAGCAGGCGATAAGTACCTATATAAACTCGTAACTATATAAGAGGATAGAAGAGGCTATGTAAATTCTGTTTTTAGTAGCGGTAGATATATTAGCTTATTCAAGGAACAATTGAAAGTAGAAGATTCTTCGAAAGTATATAGTCGATATATTAACCTGTTACAAGCCTTAAGTAGTACTGTACAAATATACCCCTGATCAGTCTATCCCGCACTGCCCTGACACAGTAATTGCTAAGTCCCGAATTTGGAAAAGTTGTACGTCCAACAGCGGTGCAGTCGGGTGTGGCACGGGCAATGGTTCTTTCGCAGATACGGGGAGTGCATACTGAACAGAGCATAGTATAGTATGCTGCGGCTGGCTAGTGGTAGAAGGGTTAGGAAAGAAGGGCATGATTCGAAATATGACCAGACTCTGGAAAGGGGAATGCGGAGGCTTATATAATCTCGCGTTCACGGAACGCTAAGGCGATGAAGGACCCTAGGTAAGAACGAGGCCCGGCCGTCTTCACCAATATTTCCACTTTACTCACCGAGAAAGCTGTTCCGAGGAGGCTTGACCTAGAAGTCGTAGACCTCTAACAGCGGTAGAGCGGAGAGGTTCGGGAAAGGCGCTGGGTAGAGCTTATTGCTCTATCGCCGTAGGAGCTACGAGAAGTGCTCTGAATAAGGTAGTATAGGATTGAATCATGACGAGCGTATTCAATCGCTGCATGGATGACATTATGTTGCTTTTGTATTCATTAACTTCAGATGGTGCCCACCGAGGCAGGTGCGCGACAACTAACGATGTTTCACTAACTCTAGTTCCCTTTACGGACGACGCTAACCGAGATCTCACATCGTAACGCTTCCGCGTGACGCTTGTCGAAACTAGGTCAAGCATGTTTAAGACAAGTTATGTTTTGATTTACTGACGTGCCAGTGCTGCCACAGACCTTAGACCGTGGCTGAGGCGAGCGGAAAATCCGATGATACAACAATGGAACATTGATTCATGTGTTTAGGGAGAAACTCAAAATGCCGCAAGAAATCATATAGCTAATCACGCTCGTGTTTTCATGTGGCTTGTTTGAATTCCGCCCTGTCTTGGTTTTGCCCTGTCCTTCCTGGGGACTTGGCGAGATGCCTCGCTGAGTTGTCACGAAACTCATACTGTGTAATGTTAGATCTCTTAGTCAAAGCGCTTGCGGATTCCACCGCATCAAACACACACTTCTGAAAACCTAACCGATGATGATACTTATCCCCATTCCGGTCAGATTAGAGTCTTCTTAGCTTACAGCATACTTGATGATGTCTCCCAAGGATGAGTTCAGGTTCTAACTACATGGTTTTGTGGACAGGAGTGCCAACGTCATCCTGCGAGAGACAATGTGCGACCAACGATCAGCAGCTGCATCAGATGCCTCAGCTGTCCTGCTAGCCCTGACTACTCAAATTATAAATATCAGCACAAGTAGGCTGCATATCCGCAGCATCAGATAGGCCGCGACTCCTCGCGGTAGGCGCTAGGTGTAAGGCTTTGACGCGCCGCGAAATACTGCACTCTCAGCAACGGCATCGCCCATTGCCAATGAGCCACATGACAGAAATGAGGAGGTCACGTGTTGTATTCTTCGAGACGGGGGCTCTGTGCCAGTTTTCGAGTCTGAATGAAGACTTCGCGTCTCCTCTAGCGTCAGTCTGTGGTCGGCTCAGATCAGGGGATTTAATCTCCAAATTGAGTGTGCACATGCCGGATTCATATGCTCCGCTGATATCCCCAACCCGAAGCTGTGGAGAAGACATTGCGCGTATTATGTCAGCGCCCCACAGAAGTACCGCGTGTGTTTGCAATGGCACATTCAACATCATCACGAGCAACGTACAGGAGCAAGCACCAAATGGACGAGAACGAGATTGATAGCTTACGGCGGCAATGGCGGCAGGCGCAGCGACGCGCAGATGACGAGCGGCAACGCGCAGATAGCGAACGCGGCGACGCGCAGGGGATGTCGCAGCACGGTCCCGGCAAACAACGCTGCCGGAATAATCACCAACTGTCATCGTTATCTCGACCTCAATGTAACCGTCGAATCCGACAAGTCCCTCACCTCGAAAGGAACCATTACGAATCCCCAGGATAAGTTGGTGCCGTCGACTCTCAAGCCATGGGCCGACTTCCTCGAGCAACAGAAATCGATTCAGGGAAGACTGTACTCGATATTTCCTGCGGATAAGTGGGCCTTTGAAAGCATAATATTCCTTGAAGAACTTGGTGGACGACTTGCTAGGAAGACGATTGCAAATGAGCGCGATCTTGAATTTGTTCAGTATAACATTGTCGAGACCCCCGTCGCCAACATCATCGAAATCCCGCTTGCACCTATACCGAACAAACGACCTACAGCAGGCCATCGCAGCAAGTCTTATTCAATGATTCCGCCTCATGTCAAATATCAGGCCCCCAAGTATAGCTGCCGGAATCGCGTAGTAATGTACCGTAACTGCCCATCTTGAAGGGCGTGCATATGCGATGCTACGGCATCGACCTGAGCTCCCTTGGATCTCAACACCGCCTGGTCCCTCCCCTTCTTGGCCGTCAGTGACTTATGAATCCCGAGGGCTGGATACCCCACCAGACCAAGTACCGCTTTCATAAGAGCAGTCAGTAATGCTCATCTCGTGTGGTTGTACCGCAGCTCAGGTACTAGTTTGGGGTGGTGTATAAAGGGTCTGATCGACACTTACCTGTGGTGGGCTTGGTCACGAGGCCGATCGTGCCCTTCCCAGCACCCTTGAGGAAGCCTACAAAGCCTTCCTGCTTGGCGCCCTGCCATGGCTGTATGGCGAACCCCGTTATCCCGCGGTAGAATCCGGATCCAAAGTTCTGTGGCAGTCGCGGTCAGCAATTCCATAGTTTTCTCCTCCTTTCACCCCGCCCGTGGGACAAACAACCTTGGCAGCAACTGCGCCGCCGCTCTTCCAGTCCGTCACCTTGCCTTGTTGCTTCACCTCCTCACCGTAAAGCCTCGGTACGTTCCTCATGCCCTCTGCCATGGCGACTGGCCCGTCGACGAATACGCCCTGGAGCACCACACCATACACCTTGACGACCCCGCCGCCCACAGCTACTGCCGCTCTGCCGGCTGCCGCGGCAGAGTTCTTATCTGGAGCAGCAGCGCGCTCCTTGTAAGCCTTGTAAGGGTCGACGAAGAAATCGCCCAGGGAGACGGTGAGGTCGGTCAGCATCCCGAGCGTCGAGGCCGCGCCGCCAGAGATTGGATCCCACCGCTTGACGTCCGTGTCGAACTCCTTGACGCGGAGCCTGTCCTCTCATAGTTAGTGAGAGCTCGAAACGTGATGGGGGTACGAATATAATGGAGAAACTTACGCTTTCAAATCGTCTAGCTTGACCAGCCCGCTCGCAACCAAAACGGCAACAGCTTGGTCCGAAAGCCTGACACGATTCGCCTTTTTACCGATGACCCACCGTGCGACCTGCCCCGGGAGGATCTGGCAGGCCATTGCGTCGAGGGGCAAGTGGCGGTGGAACGACGCGACCGCGGCCTGGACGCCGCACTCCTGGCGCATCTTGTGTGCGATTCCCTGCGCAGCGTCGGACGCGCTGGCCGAGGTGAGGAACCTGATGGCCTGGGTCAGGTTGTCTGCGCTCACTTCTCTTTGCGGGATGGGAGCCGGGCCGGCGCCAGCGCTGGCTACGACTTTGCCCCAGAATGGCTGGCTGTATCAGGCATACATCAGTATGTGGTACCTGAGGGGAGATACGAGAAAGAGAAGGGAATCTGCCTACTCGCCAAAGAACGGCACGATGAGGGTTGGCTTGGCGTTGATGAGCCCGCACGCCGTCGTGCCTGCTCCTCCGTGGTGGATGACCGCCACGACCTGTTTGAACAACCACTCTGGGAAGTCCAGGTGTCATTACTAAGCCTCGACGAAATCACGACCCAGAATAGTTCCACTCACCATGCGGGCAGTCTCCGAGGTAAAAAGTATTCTTGTCGCCGATCCTGTCACCCCCGAGCTTGCTCCAGCCCCGCGAGATGACGAGCCGCACCCCGCTGACCCGCGCCGCCTCTACTATCGCGGCGTGCAAGCGCTCCGGGTCCTCGAGCACGATGCTGCCGAACCCGACGTACACGGGTGGTTGTCCTGCGGCAAGGAAATTGGCGAGGTCCGCGGGCGGGTCGTAGTCAGGCTCGTCGCGAATGAAGAAGCCGCAGACATCTGGAGCCAAGAAATCACATTCCAGTTAGCGGACAAGGAGACGGCATGAGTTGGAGTAGCCAATATTTTGAAAGCTGGCAACGTTTGCGTCGGGGTGTGAATGGCAACCTACCGAGCTCCTCTCTCCAGTCGCTGGGCTTGGCCACCAAGGCGGGAGACCAGCAGTATGTGTGCGGAATCTTGAGATGGTTGACGAGGAACGGACCCATGGTGTTGGGCACGGCATCAAGCTCGAGGACCTTTTTGCGCCAGCCGTTGATCACATCGCCGAGCCTGTTTTCATTTCATCAGCATCAAGAAAGTCGCCACGGAAAAAAGGGAGAACATCTCACCCTTGCCACGTCATGAGGTCCACCAGGCCGTACGACAGCCAGTTTGCAACGCCCGGTTCAATGGACCCCGCGCCTCTTTCGCCGCTCATCTTGACCAGCGGATGCGGGAAGGCGCGCGTCGCGCTCCACGGCATGGTGAACATGATGTGCGCGGGCACGCCCAGGGCCTGGGCGCAGTGGACGTGGGCAAAGCTCGGCGGGTTGGCGACGATGGCGTCAGCGACAAACGGGGCGCCGGTGATTGCGTCGGGCTCGATACACGAGTTCCAGCAGCCCTGCAGCATCTCGATCATCATCTTGCGCTTCCGGCCAATGTCGCCTCCGCGTACGGACTCGAAGGAGGGCATGAGGCTCGGGTTCTTGACCATGTACTGTTGGGACGAACAAGTGATTAGCATTGGGACACGACGGAGAAGCCAAGCTTGCTCGGCCTAGGCGACTTGACCTAGCGAGGCTTGACAGGATGCGAAAAGACGCGCGACGATGCTACTCACAGCCATGAGATCAGTCGGGTCGCCGCCAATATCGTAGAACTCGAGGCCAGAATCCCGCACGAACTTGTCGAAGCACCCATGAGTGGCTAGTCGGACCCTGTGGCCGTAGCGCTGCAAGGCGGTGCCATAGGCGATGAATGGCTGGACGTCACCTGCGCGAAGGTAGCATTTTAGGTCAGCAGTGTGGCCGTGATCGCCTGGACACGTAAGCGGGAAGGGGGCAGTTTGATGGACCTCTGCTTCCGACGACATGTATGACAATGTTGAGGCTGGGACATGGTGTCGTCTTGTCCTGCAAGTACGGCCGAGTGGCGGGCTGATGACGTGGAGACTTGGGTGGAGGATCGGGAATGAGGCTGCGAAGCTTGGCTGCATTGGAGGAAGAGAGGTTGATGTCGAGTCTGCCATCGGCTATAAGAGCCAGTTGCGTTTAATACAGTTCGATGAATGGACCGACGAGGACAGCGAGGGCTCTCGGAATTGGCTCACATGTCAGGACTGCCTTGGTAGACAGCAACGAGCCGGTCGATTCGAGCTCGTAGGGAGGAGGAGGTGCCTCGTGCATCCAGGTGAGGCGGCTGCCAGGCGAAGCTTTGGTGGAAGTCTGGGTTGGATGCATCAAGATGCGAGTCAAATCTGTGACGGGTCGTCAAGTGGTTGGCAGGGCCGCAGGCTAGGGAGTCGACACAGGGATGACGATGACGGCAAGGGAGATGAAAACACAACAGAGGCCAAGTGCCAAGGGAGGGAGATCACTATGGTAGATGGTGGGCAGCATTAATAAAAGCGTCTCGTAGCATACAGCACCCATCTGCCACAACGCTAGCTGCGCAAGACTGCCCCCTAGTGGAGGGCACGACGATCCGCAGGGTAGCCGGCCGAGTCAATGCGGATGGCGGCGTCTCCGCCTGAGGGCCCCCCCCCCTGTGGACACTCGTCTGGCTGCGTTGGTGCTCGTTTAGGTACGAAGGCTCGTTCAGGTCTGACGCCTGGTTGAAAGTCGTAGCCTGGGGCTACAAGTGGGGTTGGAGTCAGAGCACTGATCGCATTGCGATTCCATGGGCGCCAAGACTGCCAGATTGGGGGGCCGAGCGACGGACTGCTGGCCGTGCGCTCTTGTTGAGATCGTTGATTGATTGTCGTCTTGTCCCGTTTCAAAAGCCCCAATTCCGTTGGGGGCCTCCCGCAAGCATGCACCCTTCCTGTTGGCCTCATTGCATGCATTTCCACCACTTCCAACATCTCTCTCCCTCCCAAGTCGGCTCCTGATTTGTTTTACCTCAAGTTTCATCTCACCTCTTCACGCTCCCCTCCCGTCAGCAATTCTCTTTCTCACATGACTCCTCTCTCTTTCACCACGGCCCTCGTCCTAGACCATGGCGTTAAGACGGAATGCATCCCGTCCTTCGGCGTTGTCGCCACCGCTGGTGACACGTCCGTGCTTGGGATTACCTATTCTGAAACAGAACCCGCGCTGGGCGCTACACAGTGAGACTTCGCGGGATGTCTAATCCTCGACTTTATCGTACAGGATCCCGTGTTAACTCGTTTAGCTGCTGAACATGGCCATGGTCCGCTTCCGCTTGCAGCTGCCATGGACACCTACCGCGTCAATGCCTACAACATCTCGGCGCCCGGAAAGGTCCAAACCGCCTGATCCTGAGAGGCTTCCGCTACCAGAAGCTCAATCTCTCCTCCGCCGGCGAAATTACCCTGCTCAATGTCGGCGTCATCTCGACCGTGCACAGCACGTTCCTGACGGAACTGCCCGGGTCCTTCGCCGACTCCGATAGCTCGCTCAACAAGGTCTGGAGTGCTGGTGCCAGGACACTCCAGCACAGCGAGATCCCCAAAAACTCGGCACACGAGTTCTGGCAGGTTACGAACAATGCACCCGCTGACCGACAAGGGCTGCTTCGACGGCGTCCTCGTCGACACGAACCAACTGGGCATGTAGGGAGATCCGACCGCCGCGACCGCATTGCATATACCGGGAACCTCGATATCGCCGGTGCTGCTGCCCTCGCGAGCACGGATGGGCTCGACTTCATTCTCGGCACACTCGAACTCTTCGGGCCCCTTCAGGCAAGGCCCGGGTTCTTTAATCCCACGGTCAAGATCCAGCAGGGGCCCTCGGCACCAATGAACTTCAACAAGACCGGGCTCATCCGCTGCTCGTGGAATCTGCTGACCGCGCTCGCCATGACCTACAACCACACGGGCGACGTTGCCTTTGCCAGGACCTGGGCGCCCAAGGTGCAGGCCATGCTCGACTGGACGCACTACCAGGTGCTCCCTAGCCGCGGCCTCTTCAGCCTGTCCGAGCCCTCTTTCGGCAGCGACTGGAACTACTACGACCCCGTGCGGTCGGGCGTCGTGAGATATTTCAATGTTGCCTATGCGTACGCCCTGCAGGAGACCGCGCGCCTCGTCGGCGAAGGCGGCATCGCCAACGCGGCCGCCTACCAGGACTACCTCGCTGCACTCCGCACTGCCCATCGTCACGCAGCTCTGGAGCGACGAGCTCAGCGCGTACGTCCTCCGAGTCCAACCAGGCCGGCTTCGCGCAGGATGCCAACGCCGTCGCGGATCTGACCAAAAACTGCGACGAAACATGTATGGACTTGTGCCCCTTCCACACCGTGCCCTTCAGCGTCGGCAACACGGGCACCGTAAAGTCCGACTTTGTACGCTGAGCTTCATCGCCGGCGCCCACGGGTCCGAGCCGCGACCGATCAAGCAGCTCGTCGCGTGGGAGGGGGGGGGGGGGGGTCCCGCCCCGGAGCAGCTGAACCTTACGCTCGGCAGCCTGGGACGACACGACGAGGACGGGAACCTGGTGGTGTACCCAGGCGAGTACAGCCTGCTGGTCGATGTCCCGACGTAGGCGACGAGAAACTTCAGGCTGACAGGCGATGAGCTCACGCTCGAGCAGTGGCCGTGGGGGCCAGGCCAGCGGGTGTATCGGAATGTGTATGGGCAGACTGGGGTTGTTTACGGGGACCTGGGGGAGCAGCAGAGCCTCTTGTTCTGAAGATGTGACAGCGAGGCGAGTATCACGCTGTTGTCGGCGCAGTCTATCTATGTAAGCTTAGCACGGGGTAGAGACCCTGTGAAGTAACGAATGTTAGTCAAGTCAAGTTGCACGGGTCTTTCTCGTATAGCGTCTGCCGGGTTTTTGGTCTCCTGGTCTCTCTCAAGGCTGATCCTCATTTTGGAGGCACGCAATAGGGACTCATTCGTCACAAGGGACGACGAGACGCAAAGGATTGATACAACCACAGCGCGGGAGAAAACGCGTAGCCGTTTGGGTTTACTACTACGCTGGTCGTGTGTCCTTTCCTGTAGTGGCTATTTTTGCTTTTGTGCGGCATGGGATCACACGGGATAGCCTGCTTCACAGTCGTGCACAGGTGATATAGAGTTCTCAAGGCTTTCAAAAAATACCAATAATCGGAAGAGTTCGCAACGGGTCATCGGACTTCCCGATTTTCACTGGCGACTTGAGCACTACCGAATCACCTTGGTCCCCTCTGCTGGCTCCAGCGGCAACCACTTGCAAGTAATATCCTGCTTGCGGAACAACCCAATGATACGCTCCGCAATCTCCTCAAAGCTGTCCATGGCCAGCGCGAGGATGGTGGGGCCCGAGCCGAAGAGACACACGCCCAACAAACCCTTTTACGTTACGACATAGACTCAAGAACGCCAGTGAGACCGGGGACCAGACCCATCCGGTACTGCTGATGTAGCTTGTCCTGCATGGCCAGGTAAATCAGGTCTGGGTCGGGAGGGGACTGGCCGAAGGCTACGGGAAGCAAGGCGATGCGTTGGAGCTTGAAGATCTAACAGGGTGCATTTCCGTGTTAGTTTTATAGGCCAACAGTCTCGACTTGATCGAGAGAAGCTGGCAAATACTTACGATGTCTTGTCTGGGATACGTCTCGGGCAGGACCCCTCGAGGTGGCGCGATGGGGACCTCAAACTCTGGGACGATGGCGACGGCCTTGATATCCTTTGCCCAGGGAAAGCGGATGTGGTGGCCGATTTCCACGGGCGGTTCTGGGGGCTGCTTGCCGGTGTCTTCGGTGCCGGCCGGCTGCGGGTCGGGTATGACCCCGCTCAGCGGGATCTCGACTCGGGCGACATCCTCTGGGCTCAAGGGCTTAAGATAAGTGCCGACGACACCGCCAAAGAGGGTGGCGCCAATGTTGTCCGGGTGGCGCTCTGTTCAATCAGGTCAGAAGATGATGATGGTTCGGGGCAGAATAAAGCGACATGCCAATCATAAAGCAAAAGTCAAAGAGACGCTCGTCAGCGAGGTGATGCAGCCCACCGGCCTCCCCACCGAGCATAACTCCGGCGACGACGGCGGCTCCCGAGGAGCGTAGCCCTCGGCCGAGGGGGATAGGGTTAATGACGTGGACATGGGTCTCGACGGGAAGACGCGCCGGCCGTGGCGGCGGAGGACATAGAAGGCGACGCGGGCGATGGGGTTTGCCTGGGGGTCGAGGGGCAGGCTGTCGGCGCCATCGCCCTCGTAGCTGACTCTGAAATTGAGCGGGTGGTCGGACGACGTCTTCGAGCGGTCGATGAAGACGTAGCTCGAGGTAGAGGGAGAGGGCGAGCCCGGTGACGTCAAAGCCCGGGCCAATTTTGGCCAAGGACGAGGGTGCCCGGATGGCAAATGTCTCCGTGGTGGCGCGAGTCTTATTAAAGGTTAAAAAGTGGTAGCCGAAACCGGCTGGTAGAAGCTGGAGGAGATGTTGTTTGATTGGGACGGGAGGGGGGGAGGGGGGTGGTGGATGAAGTATAGGCTGGTGAGAGGGTCTGTGGGGTCTTAGGTCACCCCCAGGTAACCTATCAGATAGCTGCTGGTCTAGGGTAGACGCCAGCCAACGTCTGTGTCTCGCTCCCCGACGGTCGGGTGAGACTGTCGTCTGAAATTCCACGAAGGTAAATATGATGGCTCGATGGACGGCAGGATGAGGGCAATCATCATCCTCCGAAAAAAGTTCTCTTACTATAACTGGAACTAGGGTATTGCAGACTCCTGCAAAGTATAGCTTGTATTGAAACCCGACAACCCTGTTTTCACAAGTTTGAAAGATTCTGCAGTACACTTTCAACTGGTGTATTTTCTATCTGAACAAGACGCGCAATCCACCAAATGCGACTCGCCTCTGATCAATCGCACCTCCACCACCACCACCACCACCACCAGATTATTGTCAGAATGTAACTTAGGAATCCCAGATAACCAGCTGCTGCGAGCTAATGTGATGGCGTATTCGATGAAATCACCTGCCCAGACGCCACACTCGCCGACCGTTACTGATGGTGATGGTGCTCTGTGCGGAAACGGCTTCCAAGACAGGGTTGATGCTGTGATACAGATACATTCGATCGCCTGTGTCCTCCGGCCTGCTCTGCTTCATATACGAGACTTGTCGAGGGTGGACAGGGGTCTTGAGTGAGGCTCTCATCTTGACCCCTTAGATGGTAGCGAACCCCTTAGTGCTATCAAGTTCGCGCGTCGAGTATAGCCCAATCTGCTCGCGGCTGTCATTTGCTCTCACAATGTTGCTAGGCCAATAGACATAGTAAACGAGCATAACGATGACCATCAGACTCGCGTCAAACACGTAGAGAGTCCATTCGTTCATCAATGGATAACCATGAGGCCCTAGGACGTATTCGACGACGCGGAAGAGGCTTCGTATCATGATGAGGGTGCTCACCGCGTAGAGCATTGCCATAATCTTCTTCCAGCCACTTTTGGTGGGGTCGACAGCGCTGACGCTGTATTTTTGGTAGCGATAGTGGAAAACGGCGGCTACAACAACGAAGAAACCAAAGACGGCGATCTGGATGAGGAGGCCGGTAACGACGATCCACTGGCCCAGCACAGCGTTGGAGCCGGTCGCCGTGAGGGCTGCAGCGTTGCCTTGGACCGCGAAAGAGAGGAAATCGCCAGCGAGAAACGCCTTGGTGAGCCACTTCGTTGGTACGATGCTGTATGGCTCTCCGTGAACGGACCGGATGATGCGGCCGAGGATCATGTAGATGGAGGCGGCAAAGAGGACTGGGGGCAGGAGGATAAACATGTTTTGTATGATGTAAGGCACCAATTTCCCCGTGTTGCTGTGACACACAACGCGTGCGGAGAAGCCGACAACTTCCACTACAAAGAGAGCAACAGCGTTAGATTTTGTAAGCCACGGTAAGGAGACAGAAAGAGGCGAAGTAAGTGTTTGGTCGTGCCTATCCAACGACCAAAGGGGGCGGGGGGGGGGGTTCAATTAAACATACTCAAACCGCCAATGAGCATCGGCAACGTGAACCAGGTGCGCGTTTGGCACAACCGCCAGGCGTAAGCCAGGGTCAGGACCGCGAACACGATAGCAGCAATGACGGCGGCTGGGATGCTAGGAAGATAGGTCCAGAGGTAGTATCCTCCGCTGAGAGACTGGAGTTCGGCCATGGCGTTTCGACTGAAGCGAGGGACAAGACCGGAGAAGTGCAAGATGCTCGATGAGGCGGGATGCACTGACGGAGCGAGGATGAAAGAGTATGGCAGATGATGTTGGCGACGCGGATGGGAGAATTGTGCAAAATGTTGAGTGTGAATAGTGATGGCTTTTTGACGAGCTCAAATCATTGCACTTTTGGAGCCGTCTTAAGGACAAGACGGAATATGCCTCTATCGCTCTCTCGAGCCTCTAGCTTGCCCGCGCCTCACGGAGAGTGTCTCGGTGGATGTCTCGAGACTTACACCCACATGCACAGCCCATGGTTTCAGGACTCCCGACTGTTGTTGGACCCGGACTTGTCCAATCGCATAGCGTTGCCGCTGGGGCTACTAGGCAGATACGAAAACCCTGTATTTTGGACCTCGCTGAATTTAAGCCTGCTCGCATGATTTAGATGAGCCAATGGTATCGAGTCGAATACGGCCAAGCGGGTCGCACCGTCGTTCCTACGCGTACTTGATCATGTCTAAAGGCAATGCCTCGCTCATCTCTCGTGTCTCGTCATTCCACTCTCCAGCCGGCACCACCGACGGGCGAATGCACCCCGTCCGCACCCCATTCGCACCCCGTTCGTATCCCATCCGTACCGAGTGTGAAGCGAGTAGCGGCGATGCGGCGCAAGCACAACAAGTCGCGCACCGGTTGCAAACAGTGTAAGCAGCGTCGCGTCAAGTGCGACGAGACCCTGCCAAGCTGCCGACGCTGCGTCGGTGCCACGCGCGCATGCTCCCTTGCCGACACAACGCCACTGTCTGTGCCTCGCACTTCATGCTCCCCGGCTCTGTTGCCGCCGCCCGCCAGCAGCCGATCTAGTAGTCGCATCGCAGACAGCGACATTTGCTCTACCACTTCGGTCAGTGTGGACAGCGCTGGCACGCCCGGCGCTCTCTTTACTGCAACTCACCTCGAGCTCCTCCATTACTTCCTCAACAGCTTCAAACAAAGCGCCGCGCCGGATTCCATTCGCGGTGCGCGTTTTTGCGATTTTGTTGCCAGATATGCCTACAGCACACCCTACCTCCTGGATCAGGTTCTTGCCTTCTCCGCCGCGCATAAAAGCACCATGGTGGACGATGGCGACGAGCAACAGCAGCATCAGCGGCGCGAGTTTCTCCTCGCTGAGGCAGTATACCTCCAGACTAGGGCCTTAACCAAGTTCAACCTTGTCCAACACAACATTTCAGAGGACAATTGCCTCCAGGTCTACCTCTTCTCTTCGCTCCTCTCCCAGCAGGCCACGTTCGAGGCGCTCTCGTTCCGCGGAGAGCTGCCGGGCCTTCTGGACCGCCTCGTTAGCTCTCTGGCCTTGTGCCGTGGTGTCATAGCCGTGACGGCTCTCTGGTGGCGCCCGATCCGTGTCAAGCTCGCCGCTGAAATGGGCGAGAGCACTGATGGCCAGGCCGAAGAAGAGGCCTCCTGGGCTCGCGGCACGCTACCACGGGGTCACTTTGCGAAGATCCTACAGCTCGTCACACAAAGCAGTCTGAATCAGTCTGCCAGAGACGCGTGCGGACGTGCCGTCGGGTTACTGCAGCAAATGGCCGACGATCAAGCCAGCCTGACCACGCAGCACTTCGAGCAATCTGCCTTTGTACAAAGATGGTTGGTCATGCTGCCCGTCGAGTTCTCAGATCTCATCAGCCAGCGAAGGCCTGAGGCGCTCGTCATCATGGCCGGTTTCGGACTTATCGTGTATAATGCAAGGGGTTACTGGGACTATGGAACCTCGGGGCGCCATCTCGTCGAGTCCATCGATCGTTATCTAGGCCCTTACTGGAATCCAATGCTGGAACCGATCCTGCAAGCAGTACAAGGATGATTCTTCAAAGAGTGGCCCCCAGAACTGGTAGCGTTCTAGAAGCTACAGAAGAATAGATGTCCATCATCTTGACGGGTGGCCATGTAGTGGTCCGAGCGCTGGGACCAGGGTAAATATGGGGACCTCGTTTAGAGTGTGCGAAGGGGTGTGTGCCTGTCCTGTGCGCACAATTGGACCACTAGAATGCGCTCCAAAACGAGACCTATACGAATATGCGGGTCAACCCAGGCTGGTGACTAGCTTCCCGCAATACGTTTGGCTATGCAAGGACTCAGCATAGCCCGCTGTAGCCTTCGGTTCGTTTGCGAGCAAGTCCACCAGTCCTGTACCTGATTCATGCCGGATATTGCATCCCGCTCCGACACTAAAGGGGCACTTGCTGTTGGTAGTCTTAGTATTTAAGTTCAGCATCAGCCTCCGTCGTCATTGTCTGGCTCAATTATAGAACCATCGCCTTCATCTGTCTTCACACAAAACTCCAACACCACGCAACACCTACCGGTCTCCGTCATGGCTACATCTTCGCTCTCCAGCGCGTGTATCCCCGACAACTTTGCCGACCTCACCCTTGCGGGCGCCGACATCCTCGGTGTCTCAGCCCAGGTGCTCACCAACGTCACAGAGTTGAGCGTCGGGGCCTTTCATCCCACCGCGCCGACCATAGAGCTGAAGAACGCTAGCTTCTGCAACGTCACCGTGACATACACCCATTCTGGACAGGATGACCGCATCAATGTCGAGGCATGGCTCCCACTCAGCAATTGGAACAATCGCTTTCAAGCAGCTGGTGGCGGTGGATGGGTCGCAGGCCGTTTCCTTGTCACATACGGCAACATGTACGGCGCCTTGGCGAACGGCTTTGCAACCTCTTCCACCGACGCGGGATTGACCCTCGGCAGTCAGTTCGCTGAACCGTGGGCCACACTGAGTCCTGGAAACCCTAACCTGTACAATCTGAACAATCTCGCATCGGTTTCGCTCAACGATCAAGTACGGTTATTCCTCCGGTATATCTGACTAGCTGTCTTTCGCTAACATAAAGCAGGCGGTACTATCCAAGGCTGTTATCAAACAGTTTTATGGATCAGGACCCGAATTCTCCTACTGGAGCGGCTGCTCTCAAGGTGGCCGCCAGGGCATGATGCTTGCCCAGCGGTACCCAGATGCCTACGACGGGATTGACGCCGGTGCTCCTGCAATCAACTGGGGCGAGATATTCCCATCCATGCAGTGGCCGCAGCAGATCATGAGCGAGCTGGGCTACGTTCCTTTTCCTTGCGAGCTCGATGCACTGACTGCCGCTGCTGTCGCTGCTTGCGACGGCCTCGATGGCGTCGAGGATGGAATCATCGGAGAGCCTGTCGCATGTCTCAAGGAGTTCGATCCATTCAGCAAGGTCGGCACAATGATACAATGTGCCCAGACAAACAGCACCAAGGCGATCACCGAAGCCGCCGCTACAGTGGTAAATGCCACCTGGAATGGAATGAGGACCGCCGCGGGAAAGCAGACATGGTTCGGCCTCCTTCCTGGGACTGATATCACGGGAACTTCGCCTTTGACACCCGCTGGATTTCCTGTCGCTGCTTCCACCTGCAACGCCACCGCATGTACTGCGGTACCTGTCGGGCTTCCTGTAGAGTGGATGAAGTTCTTTGTGGCTCGTAATGCTGGGCTCGATCTGCAGAACCTTACTCGCAAAGAGTTCGACAGGATCTCTCATCTGAGCGTCTCTATGTATGACTCTATCATCGGAACTAATGACGCAGACTTGTCGGTTTTCCGCGAGAGAGGCGGCAAGATTATATCATTCCATGGGCTGGTAAGTCTGGAGTCGGCGAACCTCTAAGCATCGACATTTTACCTAGTCATATCCACTAGCTAACCTCATCTCGCATAATCTAGGCCGATACCATCATCCCCCCGCAGGGCTCCGAGCACTACTACAAAGCAGTCGAAGCCGAGGTCGGAAACATGGACGACTTTTACCGCTACTACGAGATTCCGGGCCTCGGCCACTGCTCCGGTGGGCCCAGCGGATTACCGAGCCGCCTCTTTGGACAACTGCAGTCATGGGTCGAGAACGGCACAGTGCCGGAGACTACCTTCCTCGATCACTACTAAGGAGGGCACTACACAGGATCGGATCATCTGTCCTTACCCGCAAAAGGCTGCCTTTGATCCCAGCTGCGGTCAGACGGAGAACACAGAATGCTTCAGCTGTGTCCTAGGTTCGTGATCGTGAGATTGCCTCGTGGAGATCTTGTCTATCTTCCACACTACTTTGAAGAGAAGGGGAGACACTAATATTGGAATTTGTAAGAAGCTGGTAAAAAGGGATGTGCAACGACCAAGGTCAACGGCCTAGCCAATATTGGTTACTAGGCTGCAGGCGACACAAAGTAGGTGTGACGACCCAGGAACCAACAGAGGATGGTTTGGGCAAAGGGGCTGCACAAACAGAGGCCGCAGGACCAGGCCAAGTCTAGGGCAGGCAGCGAAGGGAACCAGGGGGCAGACACATTAGGTAGTCAGGATTAGGTAAACAGCCAACGCTTGGCAGTCGGCTGGCCGACATAACACTGTCGGCACTGCGACGATGTCCTGTCGCGATAGCGACGATACCTCGTCGATGTTGCGACACAAGGCAGTCGCTACGATGAAGGACAAAGGGTATATAGACGGAGGATCTCCTACAGCTCAGATAGACATTTCTTTGTACTTCAACGATCAATCTTAGTTTCATTCTTACCCTTTACTTGACCTAGTTAATTGACACGAGATGAGTATCTCTTCCAAGCGATACACCCAAGAGACGAACGATAGTTGTTGACGAAGTGTTATTGCTTTGGCTTTACTTGCCCATCAGAACAGAAAAACCACCAACACCCTGTTTACGGTTGACCCCGTTTATAGGATCGTGATAACAGGCTCAAGATGTTTTTGGCCGCATAGGCTATAGGCGTTTTTCGGGAATACTACGGTTTGCAGGGTCAATCTGATGGGTGCCGCCAAGGTCTCGTTTTTCTAAGTCCGCACGCGTAAGTGTAGCATGCAAGTCATTGAAGATCTCGCGCAGCTAAGCCCGCTATAGCAATTTACCCGGCTACGTCAATACCTCAGCTATCGTGAACTCAAATCACATGATCTTCTTGGCAAGGCACCAATCCCAAGCAGCGTCGAGAAAGACGGAGCAGATCGTCATCTAATCTCTTAAGATCCTGTGGTACCAGAGCTTTACCTCCCATGTTGCCGTGTAGTGAGAGGAAGATTATAATGTCGGGAACTGTACCAGATAAATTTCACGAACAGCCTCGCTGGTCTTTCATTTGCCGCTTAGAAGCCGAGAACAGTGAAATCGAGTTGTTCTTCGAAGATCTAGACGACTTACAGTAAATAAAACTCTGAATTAAATTATGCATACAAAACCTCTTAATGAATCCATTCTCTAGTACTCGCTCGTAAATAATAAGGATATAGATGTGTTCGAGATTGTGTATCCCCACGAAGACACAATGTGAATATGTAAGGTGTTATACTACCGTTGTTAATTATGCAAAGATATTATCAGTACATCATGAAGCGTACTCAGACTTGAAGTTTGCCGATTCATTTACTCGTGTATCTAAAGTGTGCATAACTTCCGTCCGTTTCCGACTTCGGAGGTACAACAGCTACGATACCATGGTATCACTAAATTGGAGACGAAGACTGAGCAAAGGCTGAGCAGACCTGAGCGTAGCCTGATTAAAATTGAGTAGGCCCTGAGCCGCTCCAAAAAGGGCGCTTACCACATTCGGTAATGGGTGTGATTCAGATTAGCCATCGAATACTCATAGACCACGATGCGACGAAACGATCATTCGCTCTGGGCCTCGGCCTCACCTTCGACAACCACCCAAACGCGCTAAGTGATGGCGCTGACGAGCCAATGCAACGACGTGCAGTACACGACTCGAATCAGCTTCGCGCGGACCAAGTGTGCGTTTACAAGCACGATGGCGTGGATCGGACTCAGCGAAGCCTGGCTTTCGTGGTTGAGTACAAGCCGCCGCACAAGTTGACGTTGCCGCACCTTCGTGTTAGTCTGCGGGAGATGGATATACAGCAGGAGGTCATTAACAGATCAACGATACCAACCGACAAAGGCGAGCTTTTCTCATACCATGCCGACAGGATCGTTGCTGCCGCGGTTTCCCAGACATATCACTACATGATCACAGGCGGTCTCACGTACAGCTATGTCACAACTGGCGAGGCGATCATCTTTCTGAAGATCGACTGGCAGAGTCCGGAGCATTTGCTCTTCCACCTTGCGGAGCCACGAGCAGAGGTGCTGGCGCATCCCGACAATGCTGTGCATTGCACAGCTGTCAGTCAGGTTCTTGCCTTCACCCTGCTGGCAATCGAGGATCAACATTCCAACCCCGGGCAGGATGAGCGATTAACCGAGTGTAATATCTCGTAAGAGATACGAATAATAACCCCCTTAAGAATATAATAAGTATAGAGTTAGTATTATATAAGGTTACTACCTACCCTATCTAGAATATAAACCTTATAGCGCCGGTTAGACGGTTAACCCCAGAGATCGGATCGTAACACTACTCTCTTTCAGCGAGAGGATTTAATACGAATTATTTAACTTGTTCTATAATTTCTTTTCGCTTCTAATTAGGATCCCTTATTAGTCGGCGTACGTAGGCTCTATAACTTTTAGTTATCGACTTCGTTACCGATAGTACCGCTATAGCTAGGGATTAGGCTTATAATTACGTTATTATTAAGTCTATAGCCTAAGCTACTCCAACTAGAATAAATAAATAAAAGAATGGAAAGATTTAGGGATTAGCTAGTTAAGTAGTATTGTGTCAGGGCAGTGCGGGATAGACTGATCAGGGGCATATTTGTACAGTACTACTTAAGGCTTGAAGCCATCGTGACGTTTTTCATAGCACGGAGCCAGATTATCCATCACTCAGCTTCACCAATCCGACTTGATTTTTCCACCCCATTGAATTCCTACGCTTCCGCACCCGTTCTTGTACGCAATTGACTGACAATGCTATGATCAGAGATTCCCTCACAAGTGTCGCATCAACAGGGCGTTGTTGATGTGGCTGGCTCCCCCGTCGAAAATCTGCTTTGGCCCCTTATCTGGGAATGCCCTCACTCTGGCCCAGGGCCAGAGTGAACCTCGCCGGAAACACCGCCGAAACTGGCAAGCGGTGAACTCCCTTCGGTCGTGGTGGTTGTTTTGTCCCCGATCAGGAGAACCCTCATCCGCCCCAGGACAGTATATATTTATGAGGTACTAGGCTAAGTAATAATTAATAAGTTACGTACTATTAGTCTAGCCTAGTTAGGCCTAATCCTCTATGTTAGATAGTACGCGCGTTTATTAATAAGACTTTTAATTTTAATGTTCCGTTTGGTTAAGCGTAAGGACGAGATACGGGATAGAAAGCCGGGAAACGGAGATAGCGGTAGGCGGTAAGCCGGGAAAAGTGGGATATTTACCGGCGAATCGGGGCCGGAGGCTACGCGCTAAACGCTATAGTAGATGCTGAGCTATAGCTGTTTGACAGGGATCCGCTCCCCTATACACAAGATTGCGGTATCGAGCTTGTATAATAGGGGAGCGGATGGGACCCTCAATTTTCTCGATCCTATGGTCGTACGTGAAGGTATCGTGTGTCCTGATGGTATGTATTGCCTTGCTGGCGCGCGGCGGCAGCCATTTCTGGTATCCATAGGCCGTCGAATCTAAGCTGGCCAGGATGGGAGCTGGGTGGCAGCATACCACCGTTCATCTGGACATTGCCCATACTATTGTGCTCCATATCGTTGCCCATTTGGCTCGAAGAACTTAGGGTTCATATTGGGGTCTATGTCGTGGGGCATAAAGTTCATCGGGTTCGGCGAGCCTCTAGAGTTGGTACCCTCGAGTAGGGATAATGGTATGCCTGCAGAGTTCATCTGTGGCGGACCATGCTTCATCTGCTCAGATGAATTTAGTGATGTCCCTGTACGAGCGGCTTGAGGAGATGTGTCCTGGGAACCCTGCCCGTTCTGGCCAGGAGCACTATCGGGACCTGGCTGTCCATCGGCGGGTGGCATGTTGCCCATGCTGTCCTGCTCCTGTCTGGCCATCATCCGACGCATCTGGTTTTTCTGCTCAATTGTCATCAAGTTCATTCGATGATCCTGCAGAGCAAGGCTGCCAGGGCCGGCACCTCCCATCTTCTGTCTGGCCATCATCAGAAGCATCTTGTTTTGCTGCTCAAGCAGCTTCAAATTTATTTGACGGACCTGCAGACCAGGGCTGCTACCGCCGGCACCTCCCGAATCCCCGGGATGATGGTACGCATTGAGGTTGGTTCCATCCGGGGCTCGAGCCATCATTGGAGAGCCCTGTCCCTGAGGAGAGTTGGGGTTAGCTGCCTGCTTGTTCGGCATTTGCTGGCCGTGAAGTTGTTGCAGGTTCTGGGAGTACGCCTGAATAGACTTGATCTGAGCGTGCGGTGGCATGTTCAGGAATTGCTGGAACTGTTGAGGGCTCAACTGGTTCAGGTTGATTCTATTTGCGAACAGGAGCTGAGCAGCGTGGATTCTGTTTTCTGAGCCATCGGGAACTTGCTGTCCCGGCATAGCGGCCGCTGTGGAAGACGCTGCGTCGGCCCCATCCTTAGCCTTCTTCTCCTCCTCAGCCTCGTTCGTCTTCTGCTCGACTGTCCCGGCGTTGAGTTGAACTTCTTCTATTGTTTTCTTTGCTTTCTTTCCGTACTCCCTCTCTTCATTCGCTTTGGCTGTAGCGGCACGGTCGTGCTTCCATTGAAACTTCCGAGGGATGTCAGGGACATGCTCGCCATGATATTTTCGCTTATGTGACTTCAAGCTCTTCACAGAAGTGAACCCGACATCGTTGAGCTTGCAACCCTCGAAGCATCGCAGTGGCGGCCCGTGGGTCAGAGAATGTTGCTGCAACATACATTGTGTGGGATACCCAACCACAGCACGAGGACAGTCGAAACTGGCGCAAGTGAAGGCAGTTGATCCAATTGTGTCCCTGAATTGCAAGAGAACTTCTTTTGGTACTTCAGACATATCTGTGGCCAACAGGAGTTTCTGGGTGATGAACTGGTGCGCTTTGATGGCTGTTGTCATCGGATTATTGTCGTTGTCGCTGGAGTGGTTGGTCGTGACATCTGAAAAGTTCCGAAAGGGTCAATACACGAGTAACGAGTCGCCTAGCCAATTACGAAAGAGGAAAGTCTGAAGCACTACTAGAGTGCAGAAGTACGCAGCAAGAGAATTGATGGGATGTGTTCACATTGACATCGTTATCGGATTGTTTGACTTACACGATATCAGTTCCCTCAAAGTCTTGGCATCAGCCTCGAGAAGACCCTGAAAAATGGCTTCTGGGGCTTGCGACTGTCGGGCTGACGGTTCGGCAGTTCTCTTGGGCGGAGGAAGCTCACGGTAGGTGGCGCATAGTTTAACGACCAAATGCCTCAATGCTTTTGGGAGGCTTCTCTCCGCGCATTGGCTCAGATGCTTGTACCAAAATCGATTTGCATAGGGAAGAAATCCATGTACGAAGCGTGCGACCGGCAAAAGGCTGTCTGCGGTGTTATTGGCAGAGATGAGCTGAAACGACTGCAATAGATGTGCTATGCATGCGTATGTCACAGTGACTCTCGCGTCCTGGAGGCACAAGAAAGGCCCGCTTTCTTCTTGTGCAAGAAATCTGTGATCCTCTCTCAGCATAATCCTTTGTGGCGGGTAACTCTACCAGACTCACGTTGCGACTGTAGAATGGATGAAAGTTACGGAACCATTAGGTCCGTCCTCAATGAGCGGCTTGCAGATGTCCACAGCGTGAATGAATGGAACGTCATCATATGTTAACACGCGGCGGCCAGGGTGGACAGCCATTGCGATCCTCACCGTGTGCTTCGAGAATGGAATTTTATCCCCGCCTTTGTGGCAGAGCAGCCAGGAGAAGACTCGACGAATCTTCCCGAAGTCATCTCCAGAGCGACTTTTGATTCTATTGAGAATTCTGACATATCTGTGTGACAATTGTCAGTCATTGGAGCCAGAAAAGAAAGTGCAAATGTATGACCTACAATGCGGTCAGGTCTTTGGGCACAGATGCGACCTCGCTTTTCAGCTCAGCGATACTCGAGGCGTTCATCAAGAGCTCTAATATCAGGTGAACCCACAGGAACATCCCTAGCAAATCGTCAGCTACAATGTTACAGTGAGTTCAGCAGTCCCATACCTTCTGATCTTGCCAAGATGTCATTTTTCAAAGTGCAGATATGATGTGGTCCTAGCATCCCCTCATTCTGCTCGTCAATCTCGTGCAGTCTCATCTGGATGACAAGGTCTAGGTCCTTATTGATGTGATGTATCTCCTGGCATAGGCGAACGACGGGCACTTTGGACAGCGGACCGTGTATCGTTGGTATGTCTTGACTGATGAACAAGATGCGACAAGATGAATTTGGGCCTTTGGTAAGTCGCATAAGGTCGTTGATCAACTTTCGGTGCTCCGAAGACTGTACCTCGTCCAGTCCATCGAACACAAGTCGTAGGTCTGTCACCTGGCCCAGGAAGGTGCACAGCAACTCGCCTAGACAGGTTGCAGATGGTGTTTTTGCGTTGGCGATACACTCATCAAGCGTGTAAGGAATAAACTCTGGCATCATCGTGATGACCTGGGCGCAAATGGAACGGAGGATATGTGCGGTGATGTTTGTTGGGGGCGTTTGATAGTTGCAGATATAGTACGCCACCCTGCGTTTGGCTTTTCTGAGGAAAGCCACCACATTGGCGCTGATTACCGATTTGCCTGTGCATTGGCATCATTAGCTAGAGTCTTGGAACCAGTCATTGCGAATCTCTAGCACTGACCAGATCCAGGCTTTCCGTTGAGCCAGAGAACAGGCTTCCCCCGACCAAGTTGCAGCCAGGATCTGAACTCTTTGTGGTTCGTGATCCAACACGAGGTCCCATCATGGCAGCGACCTCGAAGCCACTCCAATCTGTCCTCCTGTTCAATGATCTCTGAAGCCAGCCAACCCATTACGGCAGCTACCTGCTCGGCTTGTAAACGTTCTTCGCGTCGGAGGTTTTCATCTTGTTCCCTCTGGCGGCTGTCTTGCGTTTGCACGATATCAATCGATATCGCCTCGCGGTCGATCTCGTCGCTGATGAACGATATGTTGTCAAGCAATTCATCAAATCGTGAATGAAATCTGCCCCAGAGTGGGGCGAAAAACAGTTTCCATCCTGCGTTGTCGATTAGCTTGGCCAAGATTGGATGGGGAGGCGCTCCAGTAATCACCTGGGCGCCGAATCAACTCAAATGATTTACGATGGAACTCGACGATGTCTTCAAACAGGCAAGCTAACAGGTGCTGGAAAGCAGAATCGTTCGGGAAAACGCCAGCATATCGCGCGAAGCGGGGCATTCGCTGTCCAATCTTTGCATACGCGGAAAGCATCTTATCCAAACAGCTGGTTGACTCCTGGACTGCCTAGTGCTGGTCAGATGTGGTAATGAAGCAGAGACTGCGAATCGCTCACCAGAATCACTAGCTTTATGGGTGCCTGCTGCCAAATTAGGATCTGGTCATAATTTGGAACTCCCATGTTTTCCAGACTCACCCATATCCATGGCATGAATGGCGTGCCATTACACGCGACTTCGATGGCCTTGGCATAGTGCTCAAGAGCGTTGATGAATGGTGCCAGACGACCAAAGCCGCGCAGTGCTTGCCGAGCAGTAAGCTCATGCTCTACTTGGTGGAGCGCACCCTTGATGTCATCGAGCCTCCCGAGAGACTGGGTTTTTTGCACCTGATCGGGGGTCAACTCAGCGGGGAAACGATCGCACGCCTTCCGTATAAGCCGCTCCGCCATTGTTGCTCGCATTTACTCACACGTGAGTGCAAAGGTCTCCGCAGGTAATAGAGAGGAGAAAACAAAACGATAGCTGAGAGAAGGTATTGCCTCCCAGGCTGCCATACCGCCATTAAGCCTTATCAGGCGTGCCTGCAATGTTGGAAGTACGCCTTGGTGCCAACGGTGGCTGGGTGCATGACGCTCAGCCACGCACCTGCGTTCCGTGTGTGGCAGTGCTGCATGCATGGACCACACCGTTCTTTTTCTTTTTTTACATAGCCTTACCTTGAGAAAATTGTCGTCCGCAAGCAGCTGGTAATTGATACATAGGCGACCTGTGGCATGACAAAGTGCTCAGTTTTCCGACAACCGTGCTTATACCGTCTGTAAAATTCCGAGCCAACATTAGATCCCCACTCTAGGGACTACGCGGTGGCAGGCTATCGCCTCCCAGCTATGACCGATGGCCGCGGAATCGGGGCCGTGCCGTGCAATGAGTTGAACGAGAGAGAGCACAGTTTCTCGTTGATCTGTTTTGGAATGGTCTGCTTGTGTCCTAAAATGTGGATGTGAGCTTTCCTCTACTAACGTTGGCAACACCAGCTTTACCTCAATATCTCGATGCTCGGAGCTGAGAATTCGAGTGATCTGGAAGACATGGACGTACAACTTGGAGCCGACGGGCACGTATCGAATATCTCGGATTCTAATTGGATGATTGGTCGGATCGACAAACGTCATCATTCCCTATTGAACCTATTGGAACGGGAGGGTTTATAACTGCAAATATCGCTCGGCAAGCAACCTGGATCCTCCCCGAAATATGGTACATCCAGCAATTTCGCTCTCAGAGCGATCTTATATGGGCTACGCACACATATACCACCGCTAGTGGACGTACTATCCGCACAGGAGTTGTACTTACAGCTTCCGATCCAGCCCCGTTTGGATGCACTATACCACAACCCACAATCACTCTTCAACGAACCTTATTTGAAGACAACTGATGGTATCTTCCACCCACAACATAATTGCCCCGACGTGACTACCAGCATTATTGAACCAAAGGATATCCTTGATGGTTTCACAACCGGTTCCTCGCTTGAGGAGACAGAGTGCACCAACCTCATTACTACGCCATTAAAATCGTAGGTCCATTATCCGCCAATCCTGGTACTTCTTCATCTCTGACATCCTCGCTTCAGACACCAAAAACAAGCTTTGAGCTTCATGCTCGCCCGAGAAGGCGGCTGGCGATTCGAGCCTCATGCTGAGGACGTCTGGTCGATCGCCACAACCCGTGACAAGCAGTTCTGGTGAGCTCAGGGAAAATCGGCGGGTTTGACCTTGGAAGTAGCTACTAACACTTCCACAAGCGGATACGTCAATAATGTGGACGGCTCAACCCAGAATCTGCCGCCGGCGCCATGCCACGGCGGCATCATTGCCGACACTATGGGGTATGGCAAAACACTGACAATGATTTCACTCATTACTCATGAGTTGTCGGAGGTTGCCAATACTTCACGAGGCTACAGCGTCTTTCCATATACTACAATGATTGTTGTCCCGGCGAACCGTAAGTTTCAATGTTCACCCCTACTTTGGGCCCAACCCGACTTCTGACATAACATCATAGTCTTGGGATACTGGCACAAGGAGCTCACCAAGTTAGCGCTATCACGGTTAAGAATCTATCCAACTCAACTTGCTAACAGCTCGGTCAGACATACCAAACCAGGGGCGGTACGATGGCACCTAGAGAGTGGTTCGAAAAGATTGAAAAAGGCAGCTGGATTGAGCTCAATAGATGTCCTGCTTGTTTCTTACCCGACCCTTGCACGAGACTGGACAACTTGCAAGAGCACGAGTCTACTCTTCCAAACGAGGTGGCATCGTGTGATTCTAGATGAAGGTATACGACTCATGGGTCGGACAAGTACCGAGGAGTGTAGAATCTGATGGCTGACTACATCAATAGCGCACAGCATCAAGAACCCTCAAGCTGTGACCACTCGTGCGGCGTGTGATATCATGGCTCGAAACAGATGGGCCGTCACGGGCACACCAATAACGAATCGACTTCTCGACTTGTTCCCACTGCTCAAATTCATCGGCGCGAGTCCGTTCAATAAAAAGGATGTCTTCCTTAGTCGTATTTCTGACTTGGTCCGTCAGGGCCAAGGACAAGAACAACTGGCAGTCACTAGAGTGAAAAGACTGTTGTCTGCTATGATGCTTCGCCGATCCAAGGAGCTGCCATTACCGGACGAGACGGAGCTTCTCGTCTCGGTGCGTCTCAACGAGCGCGAGGCTCAACGGTACAATGAAGCTAAGGACAGAGCACTTTCAACTATTGACAGTGCATTGAACCTCATTGCATCGAGCAACTCGTTCCGAAACATTCTCCAGAAGATTGATGTGCTTCGACAAATTTGCGCTTTTGGACGTTCCAATACTCCGATCTCGCTAACCCCAACTGCGCGAAGTCCACTTAGCGAGAATGACTGGGACCAATACGCCGCAACAAAGGCCTTCTCGCAAATGCTGGATCTTGGACTGCACACAGTCTGTGCAGAGTGCAGTACGCCCATTTTGACCTTGGCAGACGAAAGCGCAGGCCAAGCTGTTCTTTATCTCACGCAATGTTTGCGTGCTTGGTGCAAGTCATGCTACGAGGTGGAGCTTGATGGCGAAGCTTCCTGCGGGCCCAGGACTTGTGCATGTGAAATGCCTTGTGTGGTCGCGCCAGCTGCGGTGTCAGAGCCAGCCGCTAGTCTTCCATTCGAGGTCACAGGAGAATCGATCGGCTTTCATGACACCCCTAGCAAGATCCGCGCCCTGGTGGACGATGTCCAGAAACAAATGCCAGGAACGAAAAGGTAAGATCGGATGATCAATTTAGAAATCCACGGCTAATGAAACAGCAGTGTCGTTTTCTCATTCTGGAAAGCGACGCTAGACATTGCCAGAACATCTCTTGACCGATCTGGGATACGTTGTCTGCAAATAGACGGCTCGGTCAAGTCGAAAGAACGCGCCGAAATTCTCGAAACGTTTTCAGCCCCGAACGAGATCCAAGTTCTTTTACTTTCGCTTTCGTGTGGTGCTCTAGGGTAGGATAATTTTAGCCACATATGGTTTTTGTTGGCTGCGCCTCGACTTGCTAACTTTCCATCTGTTATTGACACTAGGTTGACTCTAACAGCCGCCTCAAGAGCATATCTCATGGAGCCACAATGGAATCCTGCTATCGAGGACCAAGCGTTTGCACGCGTTCACCGCATAACACAGGTGCAAGAAACGACTATGATCAGATATGTGATGGAGGACACCATCGAGCAGGTAAGCGAGCGTTGGGTGAATCGGAAATCGTTTATTCATAGACTGATATTGAAATATGCTAATCGATTCTGTAGTATGTCCGAAAGGTGCAGGACGGGAAGAGGGACTTGGTCACGGCGTTTCTCAGTCCACGTGGTGATTCTCGTGATGTTTCATTGGAGAAGTTGCGGGTAGGTTGAAAGACATCCTTTGCCTTCAGACTTATGAGTCCCTAACCGGGCGTTGCTAGGAGTTGAGAAATTATATCTGATGGGGAGAGTCTATTACTGGTATAGGGCGGCGCCCATCTCCAGGGGCACGGACCGAATAAGACGTGAGCTATCATAGAATAGCCGCAGTTCAGATCTCAGGACTTTTTAATATTCAAACGGACAATTGCTGTGGCTCGTTCTCCCTGGGGCACGGATACGAGGAGACGAGCCTTCGATATCAAACTCCCGCAAAGCCTAAGGAACTCGTCACCGAGCGGAGACAAGGAGCATTCACCAGGTTATAATGGAAGAAATTGTGACGGCATTTGTACTTTGCAAAAACAAAAACGTACAACACCAGGGATTCGCTGGCGGCCTGTAGTAACAGTCAAAACAGCTACGGCCAGTGGGTCACTACCCGGTTAGGGAAAAGGGCACGGCCCGGATAAACGGGTCTGGGAGATTTCCTAATGCGGTAACTTTCCACAACATGGCAATGTACCCATTCCCATCTCGATTGGGTTAGCGCCCCGAGAAGCGAATTCAACACTACCAGCTTCTTCCCTCTCTCGCCTGAGGCCAGTCCCCGATTGAGCTGTGATCGAACCCGGGTAACTTTGTTTTTAATCGATTTATTTTCTCTCTGCTGCGCCCTTCGATTCAGTCTCGACTCGGGAGGATGAAAATTGGAACACCAAGCCAATATGTCGGGTATTAACGCCTCTTCCGACTTACACCAGCCCCCGAGTCATAACGGCACCCCCACTGAGCCACGTGCCAAACACGAAGGGATAGCAGGTCCGGCTCAACACGACAGGCGCGAATTCCAGGTTGATTGGGACGACGGCTACGAACAGGATGTGTCTCCAATGAGGTTCTCGGGGGCAAAAAAGTGGCTGATCGTGTTCGTTATTGCGCACGTCAGCCTTTGCGTGTTAGTAACCTGGAGATGAAACCCGCTTATAACCCCTTTGCAAAATGCGGAGGGGGAAATTACAAACTGACGACCCGAACCACAGAACCTGTGCGAGCTCCATCTACACCAAAACCTTCGACGGCATGGAGGCAGAGTTCCAAAACATCAGGATAATCTCCGTGCTGGGCTTGTCGATGTTTGTGCTGGGGCTCAGCCTGGGACCCATGGTCATCAGCCCACTCAGCGAATTCTATGGCCGGCGGCCTATCTACATCGTGTCGTGGACGCTGTATCTCATCTGCCTCGGACCGCAGGCCTTTGCCAAGAACGTGGAGACCATTCTGGTCTTTCGGTTCTTGAGTGCCTCCACCGGCGGCGTATTCCTTGCTGTGGCCGGCGGGACGGTCAGAGACATATTCCCAACCGCTGTGCTTCAGGCTCCGATGGCCTTGCTCTCTATCTTCACAATGTCTGGTCCCAGTCTGGGTCCCGTGATTGGAGGTGCCATCAACTTCACAATGGATTGGCGGTGGACGTACTACTTTCTGATCATCTGGTCATTCCTGCTTTGGGTGCAAATTGTCCTTTTCATCCCAGAAACATTCGGTCAGATTTATTTCTCTCGGAGCCAGCTGTGCAGTAATGCTGATTTTTCTTATTCGTTAGGACCTGTCCTGCTAAAACGTGCCGCCCGCCGCCGTCGTGCCGAGACCGGCGATGCAAGATGGTTCGCCCCCATAGAGAGGTCCAACAAGTCGATCCCTCACACTCTCCGTCTCTCGCTGCTCCGCCCTTTCCAGCTCCTCTTCTTCGAGCCTATGTGCCTCAACCTCTGCCTCTACGCTGCAATCCTGCTGGGCATCATCTATCTCTTCTTTGGCGCATTCCCCCTCATCTTCCACACGGTGTACTACTTCAATTCGTGGCAATCCGGCTTGTCCTTCTTGGGCATTATGCTGGGCACCTTGGTCGGGTTCTTGATAGAGCCCATGCGGAACTGCATTAGCCAGTGGCTTTATAGCAGCCGGGATAACGTTTCTGGTGGTGCCAGAGGGGAAGACACGCCTGAATTCCGACTCGTCCCCGCTATTCTTGGCTCCGTCCTGGTCCCTGCCGGCCTCTTCATGTTTGCATGGACGACTCTTCCCTCGGTACATTGGATATTCCCAATGATTGGATCGGTTCTATTTGGCGCCGGGTAAGCGGTTTTGTGCATGTCATTCTTTTCCCAAAGTTTTCATCATTTGTTGGCCATGGCTATAGCAGTGGTCCCCCCCCCCCCCTTGTTCTTTTCCAGTTCTTTCCCAGTTCTTCTTCTTCTCCTTCTTCTTCTTCTTCTTCTACTGGTGCCGGTACAATGTTAATGAAGCTGATCCAATAGTAACATCCTCTTATTTACTGGCATTTTTACATTCCTAGTGAGATTTTGTTTTCCATATATCGTGTTTTAGAGATCAAAACATACTCAGCATCTGTTCGGCTTAGGTTGACGCGTATCCCTCATGCGCCGCGAGTGCCCTGGCTGCCAACTCATTCGTCCGCAACATCTTTGCAGGTAAGATATACTCAACCTCAATTGCAGACGCCATTGGTTAAATCTCCCGCTTTTCGTCCCTTTCTCGCTTTTGCTTTCTCGTCTTGTTTTGGCTTCTGATCGAACTGATAGCGGCGTTTCCACTCTTCGGAACCCAAATGTACGAGGCGATAGGGTTTCAGTGGGCGTCATCGCTGCTTGCCTTCCTCACCGTCGTAATGATGCCATTCCCATATATTTTCTTCAGACACGGGAGTGCCATCCGGAAGAGAAGCAGGTTCGCTGCCGACTAAGGGGTTGCCAGTACAACATGGGATGCAACCCGGACAGGTCAACCGGTCGGTTTGCATGAGCCTAATAGAGATCAAATTCTTATTTACTGGAGTATAGACTCCAATACTGAGCAAGAGCAATCTCGCCAAGCTCCCAACACGGATATTTTCACCCCTCAGCTCCGAAACTGGCCAAGAAAGAATGGGTGGCGAATGATCCTAATCCAACTTGCACTCAATGCCCACCTGTGGCCGGCTTGCGGTGGAAGGGTCGCCGCTCCTGTTTCTGTTATTTTTCTTTCAAAGAATTACACTATTTGGAAATCCGACAAAAGATGTTATTTCTTTCAGTGCTACATTTGCATCCTTCTTTCGAAGGAGGGCAAGTCGGGGTTATTCGCCTCGGGGATCAGATTTGTTCCATCAATAATAACAGACTCGACATTTTCATGACTGCAGGTTGTGTGCTTGATGAGCGTGCGTGATTTTACTGGTGTGGCACGCCAAGCTCCAATTTCTCCCTCGATGGCAGCACCTGGCAGACGCGTCGCAGTTGGCTTCTTATTGTGCAAGATACGACGGGTGCGCGGGAGAGTCGACTGTTTGTAGTAAAATGTCACACATATCCTGGGTATTCATAAGATCGTCCCATGTCTGGGGGCTCAGAATTAGGTCATTCAGGACTTGGCCTGTATCCATTGACCCCTGAGCTTCGTTGGTGAGAGCCAAATCCGAGGTAGTGACAGCCGGCCACGTGGTTGGGAGATTCGGCCCTGCAGCATGTCCCGTTTCAGACCCCGAAGCCGCACGGGCAGGGTTCACAGCGGCGGAGGAAACAAGAACCCCACGGTCCGATCCGGTATGCACTGGGGGTTGCAGTTGCGCTCTGGCGGGCGAGCCACCAAGCAAATCGGGGTGAAGAGGGGACTGAAGCTTGTTCAGGACCTGCCTGATGAGATCTGCACTCAAAGGCTTGGTAAACTGGGTTACGAATATATCGTACCGGCCTGGGCAGTAGATACTTCGTTAGACACGGGCAGACTTTAATCTCCTCCTGGTTCACAAATCGAGTAAGGGATGGGTAGGCTCTTACTTAGCAGGAGTCGAGGCAGGGTCCAGAACTCGGCAGAGTTTTGAACAAAAAGGCGCAATATGTTCTTGCGCCGGGCCAGCTGCTCCTTCAGCTGCGGATTGGATAACCCGCTGGACAGTGAATGCAGGTGGAGCAGGGTCAGTACTGGCAAGATAATGAAGCATATTGCCGGGTCAGTGGCCAGCATGTACTGCTTGTCCCACTGCTGGATGACGGCAAACATGCGGTAGCAGATCTCTAGGCTCTCGTGCCAGCGCTCTTCCCACTCTGGGCTCTCGAGCAGGTGGGATGAGGCGAGACGCAAGACAAGGCGCGTGCAGTAGATCTTCAACAGCGTCAGCAGCCGGTAGTGGAAACTGGTGTTGGATTCCCCGCGGAGCACATCTCGCGTCTGCCGCATGTAGTTGGGAGGCATCGCTAGCTCGATAGCCGATAGATGGTCTTCGAGGACGGAGATGCGCTCCGGGATGAACCCACCCGGGTTCTGCTTCTGTTGGCGGTGTAGTGTCACGGCCTCCCGTAACACCGCGCTGATGGCCATGCAAAGGCTGAAGGCATTATCGCCCTTGGTCCGGGATATATCGTCGACCAGCTTCCAGAGCTTCGACGGGTCGGCCGGGAGGAAGAACTTCTCAGGCTTGGCGCCGCTGGGACCGCACGGTACCGAGGTCTGCAGGAGCGCCGTTCGCAAGGTTTCAGCCTCGGCCTGGTGCGGAGTCGCCGTCGAGTAGCTGGCGTAGCAGTCCAGCATGTACAGACACCACCATACATGGCGCCAGTCGTGCAGCCTCTCCTCGCTGACTTGATCCCAGCCAAAGCTGGCCCGGTTTTCCGCACTGTCGATTTGATGCAGTCCGCACTGATACGCCTTGCGGACTAGGCCGGCGATGTGCACGCATTCACTTGGGCCGGGATGCTGATGGAAGCCGTACCATGCAAGTAGGCAGGCGGCCCGCCACTGATTCAACGCGGCAGGTACGATGACCTGTTCCACTTCGATGTGCGTGGAGTAGCGCAAGTTGCTCAGTGTCGAGTCCACATCTTCGTCCCCGAGGAGGAAGGGCATGTTCACGATTTTGGCGGAAAGCCCGTAGATGACGGAGGCAAGGGTATCGCTGATGACCTCATTCTCCAGCTGATTGGCAAAAGACTGCTTCGGGAAGAGGGGAAAGGCAACGTTAATGGTGGCGACAAAGGTCTCGGCTCTAATAATAGGGTCAATAGAGCTCCTGGGTTGCGAGGCAGGGCACGCAGGGTTGCTACGAACAGTTCGTGGCGAGGGTCCGCAGAGGTTGGCGAGTAAGAATCGCCATACGAATGTTCGACGCCCGGCAACGGATCCAATATGGGCTGGTCGGGGTTGGAGCCACCGGGGGCAACAGCGTGAGATGTCTCATTTAATGTCGCTTGCGCCGGCGCGGTGATTCCACTCGGGAAGGCACCTGGTCAAGTATAAAAAAGGCGGTCAGTACAAAGACACGGGCTCCCTTTTCTTTGGTCTCATCATGAGCTTAAACGCACAGCTCTGGGCCAGAGATATCGACCGTTGCTTGGAACGCCGCTGTGAACCTTTGGCCGGGCCCGGCGTTCTCCGCGTGTGAGAGTAGGTGCATTCCAGGCGTGCCTCGACGCAGGCAGAGCAGGCTGGATGCTGCAGATGACCTAAGAGAAGTGCATAGACTGCAAGTCAGCAGCAGCAATGCGGCGTAGGCGTTCCCGTCTGGGTGGGGCGGGCTGGCTTGCATACACTTGATTTTCTTGCTTGATGGCTGTCAGCAATGTTCAAGCAAAGGCAAGAGCAATAAATCCGTCCGTCTGGGCAGACCGAACCTACCGGATGCATCGATCGCATACTCTGCGTAGAGGTTTCTGGTGGACATTGGCCGGCGAGCCGGGCATCCATCGGATCGAACAGCTGGGTGCCGACATGTCCAGTCAAGTCATGTGGGACGTCATTTGCCGGCGGCCGACGCGTCCAAAGGCTGCGGTCAGATCGTGGCGTCCAAGTCCAGACTGTCCCTTTCAGCCGCCCGATGGGACTCGCGTGCAGCTCCGCCAGCTGAAGATGGACGTATGTAGCGAGGACTGGTTCGCGGCGTAATCAGCGTTTCAGAAGGCCAGTGCAGTCTCAGGTTAATGGCAGCAGTAGCAGCATGAAGAGCAGCATTGGTGTGGACATGAAGTCAAACATGGAGACCAGAGCAACGGAAGTGCCGGCCGCCCCTGCGTCTGCAAGGCGGTGTGCATCAAGCGAGACAGGGATTTCAGCGGGTCTAGACGTCATGATTGGCCCGGATGATCTCTCATAACGGCTTAGCGGACTTGGTCATGCGCTCCAGAACTAGGTACAACCCCACTTCGTGACATGGTACATTGTGTCAACATCGCCAAGTAGGGCACAGCACCCGCCTGTTAATCAGTCAAGGTGATGAACGGCAGTCATCCAGTCGGTCAGTCAAGGTGGCGAAGGCATGTCTGCAAGCAATGTAGATAATTGGCCTTCGTGGGATTCTGGGGCTTTACGGGGTGAAACGATGCCTTTGGCCTCGTCCCCAAGCAATCAATCAATCCTCCCTAAGTACCCTGCTTGACTATCTAACTCGGCGTCTGGTTTATGTTTGAGAGATCTATTCTCTCTTCCCACGTATGCATCTAGCCACTTGGTAGCAACGGCTGGGCAAAAGAAGCAAGCCACGTCGTTTTAAACCATGCAGTTTGGATAGATCTGCTGCAAGGGCACAACGGGAAAGAGTACGTAGTTGACCTTGCTGCCTCCCACGTGAATGGCATCGACAGCATCGCCGTCGGACGCCTCGCCGCGCCAGAGTCGCATTGGAGTCGGGTCGTAACCGGGAATATCGGGCTGGGCCTCGGAGGGCAAAATGTCAACCCGCAACTTCCAGCCTTTCCGGACACGACAAGCCGCCGGCATGATCTCCACGGCAACGTCGACCACATCTTCGGGCCCCTGCAGCGCAACCACATCCTCGGACTTGTGGGAGTGCCACGGCCGCCAGGGCAGGGATTTCGTCATGTCCAGGGCCCGGTGGCTAACGCGCAGGAAGCCCTTGGCGATAGGCTCGGGATCAGGGCTGCTCGCACCATAGCTGACCGCCGCCCCGGATTCGTCCAACGCCCAGACCAGGACGACGACGTCAGCATCGGCGGCCGTCGACGACATGCTCAGGTAGGCGGCAAAATGACCGGCCATATCGACGTCCTCGGCAAAAGGCGCCGACTCGAAGCTCAAGCCGGACTTCCCCGTGATGGGCGCCTTGGCAGGGTACGTGAACCTTGTCTCTGATGTTTGCTCCGACGGAGGCGTGGTCGACAGGCCCAGTTCCGGGGTGAGGTGCCACTTGACATACTGCGTCCCGGGGACGGGCCAGTTCTTCTCCTTGCGCCAGTACCAGTCCTGGTTGCCCAGCCTCACCTGGATACCGACCTTCTCGGGAGCGAGAAAGTCCCCGCCCTTGAGGTGGTGGTTGAGGAACTGCAGGATCTTGCCTGCGGATTCTCGGCTCGGCCAGGCGTAGTAATTGGAGTCGACTAGCTGCAGATGCGTGTTGTCCCGGCTGCGCACCGCCCATGCCTCGTACGCACCTCGCCCGTGGATCATGAAGATTTGCGAGGCGGCCAGGAAACATGGAATGTCTGCCGACTCCACCGGGTTGCCACCAAGCATGTCCCAGAGTGCATTGTAGGCGGAATTATCCCGCATCAGTGCTTCTACATCGAAGTGATCACCCCACTTGGGCGACACCCCGCGGACTCGAGCAAACCAGTTGTCCAAGTAACGGGTTGATGGCACACCGCCTATGTAGGCGGCCTCGCGATACGAGTCGATATCCGCTGCGTCCTCCGGTCAACTCCAAGCCAAGCACATGAATGCCTTCGGGGGGGGGGGGGGGGGGGGGGGGGCCAAGTGACATGAGCACGAGCAGGAACAAGAGTCGGAGTGGCGGAGTGAGAACTTACTTGCATAAGGCACAAAACACTTCAGCCCCTTTGGCTTCAGGCCCGCAACTGCCCACTGGGTGTTCGCGCCATATGAACTTCCTACCAGGGCGACACTGCCGGTGCTCCATGGCTGGCCGGCGGACCATTCCACGGCGGCAAAGAAGTCGCCCGCAAGTTCGCCCGGGATCCACCTCGTGCCCGGGGTCTGCGAGACGCCCTTTGGGTCGATCTTGACCATAGCGTAGCTCTGGGGCACATAGGTGAAGGTGTTGAGCGTGGCAATGCTCTCGTACCCTCGCTGGGTGGTGAACGAGTCCGACCACGGTCCCATGTAAGGCAGCTGCGGCAATTGCGTTCCCGCGGGAGTCGAATGCCAGTCGTCCTCTGCCGCCTCAAACTGGATTATTTCAGCCTCATTCTCGAGATCCGGACCGCCCCAGGGCACCCGTCGCCCATACAGAGTGCAGCTGATGAGCACGGGAAACTTCTTGCCAGGCTGATTCGGCAGATACACGTCGGCAAGGACGTAGCCCCCATCCGGCGAGGCAATCTTGAAATCGCGCAGGACTCTGAAACCCTGGGCCTCGCGGCGTAGGTGGTTGCGAGCGTGTGGCACCGACTTTGGGCGGAGCTTCAGCTCGCTACAGATCTTCCCTAGCGGTCCATCCAGGTCGGAGAGCTCTTCCGAGTCCAGGTTGATTTCTGCTGCGTACTTTGCGACAATGGCCCCGACCTTGGATTTTTGCACAACATCATGTAAACTAGGTGACCTCAATAGTGGATGGGTTATGATACGGGAGTGGGTAAGGAGAAAGGCCCAACCGGCAAGGCCACACCATGCAGGCAGGGGGGCGAATCAGGATGGGAGGGATGAAGGACAGTGTGTCTGGCGGCCTAAATGAAAAACAAGCAAGTAAAGAGTCATAGTAAGCGGGCTCTCACATTCGTGTCAATAATAGCGGGCTGCTCGAAACCCTCCCCGGGAGCCAAGCTGAAAAGCAGCCTCGCTCGGTTGATCAAGCTGGGATGGAAGACGGGCGTGTCGATGGCGACCAAGTCCGATATGGTGACGACCGCCTTGCCTTCACAGCTGCCCAGCAGGAGGCCACCAATGGAGAATGTCACCTGCTTGCCCTGCTCGTAAATGAACTCTGATTTATCAGACGTCACCCCCTTCGAGGCTCCATTGTCGTATCCGAGTCCGACGACGTCTAGAAATGTACCTGTCAACGTCATTGTGAATTCAATACCAAATTTCGCTTGCTTGTGTTGATGAATTGCAGTTGATACATGAGGGTGAGGGTTCTTTACTTTGTTTTTCCCCCTTCTTGACAAGAAAGTTGATGCAGGGTAGGGCGAGATATAGACGTCTTCAGCACAGCCTAGCGATGAAGCCGGGCGCCGTGATTGTGTGGGGGGAGAGCCTATTTTCCTTTCTGGGGATATCCCGAAGGGAGCTAGACTCCCGGAGGATCCAGATGTTCCTAAAGTCCATAGGACCCGCTTGGGGAAGGTTTACATCAATGTCAACTTTGATTCGTCAGTTGGTTGCTCACCGGGTATGTCTGCGCTCCGCAGCTAGCTGATCCGCACGAGGCTCAACAGCGCCAGCGTGGCAATGACAAGGACCAACGCTGCAGTAATTGAAAGTGGATCCCCCGAGCGGATCGTGGTTGAATTAATCCGGTGACTCGAACCGGCACGGGAGATTGCATCGGGCTCGGTGTGACACTCATGCACCGGGGAAGGAGATTCTCAGTGTAGCAGGCCAGGCAGTCCATGCATAAGCCGAGAAGACGGCTTGTATGCCCAGCCTTGCGACCTCTTGGCAGGCTTGTCAGGGACTATTGTCTTTCTATTTGTCTTTTATTTGTCTTGTGATCTGCCTTGCGATTTGTCTTACGACTTCTCGAGATGGTGCCTCAAGGTGCTATGGCGCAGAAGGAAGACTTAGCTATACCACTCGATGGAGTCGTGTAAATCGATGGACTGACCCCTCTCGTCAGCGAACTCATTTGCTTCATTACAATTCTACACGTATGCCTGTTTAACTGTATCAATTCAGCGAGAAGGGTGCCAAAAGCTCGCAACACATTGAGTAAAGATGAGTTAAAGGCTAGGTCGCCAGTGACTTAAAAGGACTTCTAGACTTCTTGAAAAGCGAGCGTCCATGCTATGAAAACAGTCAAGGTTAAGAGCTAGGACGATTGTCCCATTTTACCAAATAACTAAGTCCTATACCAACCTCTGTCGTCGTGGCCGCTCATTTCATAAGCCCTGCCTCTACCATTGCTCCAAGAAAGTATTTGATGAGCCCATCCCTTGCCGCATCTTGATCACCCGCCTTCGCTCTGCCCTCCTCTATCTTCTTAGAGCTTCGGGAGACCTCCGCCACCACATCAGTCCATTCGAGCAACGTCGATCCAGCAGCGGGGTCGTCCCCTGCCCCTTCAAGGTCCTTGGGGACAGACAAGGGGCGTAACGAGAAGTTGTTCTTCCGAATGGCACCGTCGATAATGACGGTCTGGACGTCCGCCACGGAGCTGAAGAGGACAATGCTGGCCACCGGGTCCCGCTCCGAGACGGCGAGCATGGCGGGGCTCCGGCCTTGGAACACTACAATGTCGGCTTTCTTGCCCACGGCGATGCTGCCGATCTCGCGCTCGAGGCCGATGGCCCGCGCCCCGAGGATGGTCCCGAGGTTGTAGACGTTGTTGACGGTTGGGCCGATGGTGGCATCGCTGTTCCCGTTCCTCATCTGCTCCTCAGTCCGCCGCGAGCGCGTGGCTTGCAGCACGATCTGCATCTGCGCGGGGATGTACGAGGTACATATGCTGTTCGAGTCGGTGCCGAGCGAGGCTAGCGGCTGGAACTCGGGGTGCAGACACACCGGGTGCCCGTGCCCCATCTGCATCTCCGACAGTGGTGTGCTGGACAGGTGCACCCCGGTCTTCTCCAGATGGGCCAATTCTTCTCCCGATGTTGCATTGGCGTGGGAGAGCAGAATGTCGGGGCCTAGCAACCTGCCCTTTTCCAAGACGGCGAGGGTGGATGGCGCATCTACACCAAGAGGCCCAGGGGAGATCAGTCCTTTTTCCGCTTCCCAAAAGTGCATCGAAACGTCTGATGGATTGGACGGGGGAAAGCTTACCAAACATGCCCACCTTGGTGGCGTGCGAGGTGATCAGATGAGCCCCGTGCTTGCGCGCCTCGGCAAAGGTGTCCTGCAAGACCTGCTCCGGCACAAACATGGTGTCCATGGCGAAACCCAGCCGGACCCTGCCTCTGGGACCAAAGGGCTGCTTCGCGGCCAATTCTCGGAAGGTCTCCATCACCCAGCCGGGGACGGGGTTGCTGTCCACCTTCAACTCGGGCTGCCAGCTAGTCACGCGAGGCTGGGCACAGTAGCAGAAGACGGACCGAATGCCCGATCCCACAGTTGCACGGATAGCCTCCTTGCCTTCGCGCAGGGGTGGTTAGAGTACATCAGCCCTTTTCATTTCTTTTCCTCTTCAAGTGGCGTTGGTGGGAGAGAGTGGAAGGGGCGGAACTATACCTACTGTGATCAGCCGAGTAGTTCATATGCGCATGATCGACTACCGTCGTTGTGCCGCCGTCAACCGACTCCGCGGCACTGCTCAGGACTCCCCAAAAGACATCCTCGGGTTCGTAATGCGAGCTTGCTAGGTTGCCTGACGCGGGAGGAGGGGAAAAGTCAATTCCCTCAAGTCTTTCAAAATTGATTGCAGCAGGGCTCAACGACCATATTGTTGGCACTGCTGCTCGAAGGACGATTCTAGTGGGAATGACGTACCGGAGTGGTAGTAGTCGAACAGAATCTGATCCGAATGGGTCCCTTTCAGCTGCGACTGCCACATGTGCTTGTGGGTGTCGATAAATCCTGGCGACACGATCCCTCCGTGGCAGTCGATGATCGTCGCATTTTCGGGCGCCTCGATATGATCTTCGATTGAATGTATGAGGTCGTCTTTGATCAACACATCAGCCAGCCGGACAGTGACCTCGTCAGATTCATTGTGAATTAGCACAGTGCCGCTCTTTAGAAGTATATGGGACATCTTGTCGCCCTTTGCGAACTGCTTTCCTTGAATATCTGTGCGAAACGATGCCGAGTATGCGATTCGCAAAGGGTCCAGAATGGCACCCAATTTTTCCTGCAGAGGTACTCCAATGGTTCTCGTCTACTTGTAGGTATCTAATTGATTATTTCGTATCATCCTCTTTTCCCCGAGCCCACCAATAAATGAGGACCCACCGGCGGGTGTATTAGATCATAGCTCGATACCAGTCCCGTTCGGGAAATATCCCGGGGACACCACCATCTGGCTTGATCACGCATGAAACATCTCCATCGTTGTCGGATCGTGAATTCCCCGAGGCCCGAGGCGACAACATGGTCATCTGCCTGGTTCGACCCATTAATTATTGTTGTAGCCATTGGACCGAGAGTTGACCCGCCGGCAAGTTCTCGATCCGGTTGCCTGCGTCGAGAGAGGCGACTCATTAAGCGGCGTGTTCCAGATCAGGCAATCACGGAGCAACTGGTTGGACACACCGAAACGAAGAACTTCTAAATCATAAATCTGGGGTGATGCGGGGGAATTAGGTAGGCATGGTCGAGTGAGTTGTAAGAGACGACGTCCCCAGAGTTCATCCCACCAAGTCTTCGTTTGTGAGCAATTTATCAGATGCGCGTGGCCTTTCGAGTCTACGAGTCCACCTGCATCACCTGTCTCCAAGAAAACCCATTAGCTCGCCATAATGGCTGCCCCTAACGCCTGCACTATCGAGAACCTCAGCGGGACATGGACAATGGTATGCGACAGTCTTGTCTGCGGGTCGAGTATTTACTTTCGTACAAGACACTACTAACCGGCGCATAGGACAAATCTAACTCGACCAATGCGGATGCCATGCTTGCTTTGGTAAGTCTTTTCTAGTGGCAAGATACGTACCCCTAACCGTAGACCAAGTCTTCCATACCCACCTCCCAACCCCCCTCCATACCCTCCCTCCACGACACCGAGATAGAATCCTGCCCAGACATTGTCCACGAAGTGTGTGCTCTCGATACTATACGATTGAATGGAGGGTTGACTCGGCTTGCAGCAAGGCATCAACTGGGTCGTCCGAAGGGCTATCGGACTCGCCGAGGTGACTGTGAAGAAGCATCAGTTCGTCAGTGACCACCCGGAAACGTCTACGCCGAGGGTACAAATCACCATAGTGCAGACCACCAGCACCGGCATGGGTGGAACTTTGGATAATAGATACCTTGACTGGTCCGAGAACCATCAGGAAGACCGGCTCTTTGGAAACACCAAGGTCCAGACTCGATTCATTGGTGGATCCTCGTCTGATGGTAAGGTCCTTCCGAATCTGGAGCTGCAGACGCCTATCGATGACCCCAACATCTTGAAATTTCTCCGAGGAGAAATTGGGGACAATCTGGAGCCCTCGGAAGGATATCTCGTCGAGGCACCAAAGGGGGGGTTTCCTGGCGTGGTCAACGAGGAGGGTCTATGGATTCATGTCTTCATCCGAAACCAGACGGGCTTGTGGAGAGCCGAACAGGTCTGTCACCCATCCGAGCAGCCTATTAGTTCCAAGTGGAATGTTTTATCTGGGGATGAAATTTGACTTCAGTTGCATTATCGCTAACGACGTCTCATAGGTCTGGGGCTTTGAGAATATCAATAACGAGCGCCGGCTCGTCCGCCGCACTGTAACCTCTGATAACAAAGGAAATCATCAATTCGGGAGGCTGGTCTATAATTTTAAAGATAGCCAGTATGAATAAGCCTCCTGCCACCTCTGTAATGCATGGCAAAAGGGGCTTCAGTAAAAGATTTCATATTTCCAGTAGAAAGTCTTGGGATTGTTGCCACGAAATTAAATCTCTAAAATACAGACACTTATTCGAGTGGAGAACAGAAAATAAACCATGGTAATGCCCTCTCGACTGCCAGAACAGAACTTTTATTGAGCTTTTTGGAGAAGTACTCTCGTGCCTACAAGTACGATGATGACGATGCTAACATGTTAACATTCTCATTTTAAAATCCGTCCCAATTTGCGTGCCGTTTTCGGTATGGTCTCAAAATTTGCAAAACCCCCATATAAGGATATTTTATCAAAGAACGCCGGGCGCTAGCAGTGACATTGTCCGCCAAGTTGAAGAATATGCGGCTCTCAATAGTTAGGTATACGGATACCGCTCCACCTCCAAACTCGTGATAAAGACGAGGTTACTTTCCCTTTTGTGTAAAGCTAGATTATGTATGTATTGGCCGTGTGCTTTTTGTATGGCGATGCCTGTAGGGGCTGGTCCAGCTGATTAATTGTCGATTTTGGAAGGCGGTGCTGCTCGCTCCTGAATGGGACTAACTATATTATGCTTATAACCACCAAGTCAGCTGGCGAAGTTGCTTCCAAGAGAAGTAGGGATATATCGCTGAACCACTTTTGCAGAGTAGGTAAGGGGGTTTCCCGTTTTCGGAAGTGGAATATGCGCAGGCATGGCAATCTCATGATGCAGCACTAAAGTTGTGGTGATGCTACACAGCTGAGTGGAGTGTGGGACTTAACAATTGAGACCAGCGATGTCACAGAGGGTAGAGTGAAAAAAAATTAAAGACGAGTTCATGTTTGACCCCTCCCCTCCTCTGCAAGGGTGAATACTCGCACAGCTACAATACAATGCATAGCCGCCTGGACGCTTTAACTCTAACCCCTTCCCTTAAATTTGTCCGGCCTTCCCTATATTATCCCTCCCTTGGACAAGCTAAGCGCACTTGAAAGGCAAATTGACAAATCAACTAAGACTTGACCCCCTTTTTCATTTTGATCAACCAATGTGAGGGGCCGTATCGTGGTTCATGAGCCACCCACCTACTATATCTCACCCCTACACACTACGCTTCGACCAGATGGGCTCATCCATGACATCGTAGATGTGCTCTTTCTGACTCATTCCGACCCCCAAACTCTGCAACCCCGTCATTTTGTACATCCAGAAACCGAACCCGATGGCATTCTCCTTCATCGCCAGAGCCCAGGGACTTGTGTTCTTCCTCATTTGTCCGTTCTCGACTGAAGTCGTTGCGATTGCCTCAACTCGAGGTCGGCGAACGACCTCGTACTCCTTGATCACTTCTGTGACGCTGTGCTCGGTGCCTTCCAGTAACCGCGACAGGAGGAAGACGTCCTCCAGCGCCATCGATGTGCCTTGTCCAGCGTGTGGGGGCATCGCATGCGCGGCATCGCCCAGGAGCAGACAGCGCGCTGTACCCCAAGTCCCCATCGCGGGCATCTTGTAGATGGGGTAGAACTTGATGGTGTCGGTCTTCTGGATGATCTCGCCGAGCTGATCCGCCCAGTCACTCTGGGCCTCGTTGACGAGCCCTAGCAGATTGTCCTTGAAGCTCTGGATCTCTTTGTCGCCGAACACCTGCCAGCCCTCCTTGTTCCCGCCTTCCGGGACCTGGACCTCGCGCGAGTAGAACCAGTACAGCTGGTCGCCGCTTGCTGTGCAGGGCATCACGCCGAACATACCCGTGTGCGTCAGAGTGGCGTGGAGGGCCGGAGCAATAGTACAGTTCTTCTCGCTCAGACGGGACGTGGGAAGAATGGTGAACATGTTGGCGATGCCCGAGTACTCTGGCACTGCCGCCGGGTTTACATGGAGCGTGCGGACGGCTGAGTGGATGCCGTCGCATCCCAGCACTAGATCGGCCGTGTCTGTAGTGCCGTCCGAGAACGCCACCGAGACCTCGGTGTTGGTCTCAGTGATGCTCATCATGTTCTTGCCGAAATGGACCGGGATGTCGTGCTTCTTGGTGTGGCGCATAAACAGCTGTACAAGGTCGGTGCGCAGGACGCGCATGAACCCATAGCCGATCTTGTCGCGGCTCCACTTGCCCAGGTCGATATCCACAAGAACGGATCCTCGCAACGAATGCAGCTGGAGACCCTGCGCAGATGACGCCAGGGCTTTGAGCTCATCGAGGAGCCCCAGCCTGTCAAGCAGGCGCAGGCCATTGGGGACGATGTTGACGGCACCGCCCAGCGTCGTCGGCTCAGATCTTATCTCGTATACCGTCACGTCGACTGCATTCTGAGTCTTTAACCGGATCGCTGCTGCAAGCCCAGCTGGGCCGCCGCCGATTATGATTGCCTTTGTGGGTTCCCAAGTCAGCAACGTTCCAACTCACAACGATTCCTTATGACAGGGGGGGGGGATTTTACCTTCTTGATAGCAGCCATGATATTCACTTTTTCTCAATCTTCTGGCAGGTTACGAATATCACAAGTGACAGACGTCTTAGCAGTACTTAGTGGTTGAATATGGTAGTTCTTGACCTGCCGACGTTAGCGATGGAACTGGAATCTAAATACTCAGGCAGCGGAGATCACATGAAGCTTCCATCGTTTGGCGACGTAAGATGATGAACAGGTCATAGACAAGTGCGGGCCCTGGCCGGTAAATTAGCAGTTGCGGCGATTTCGGTGATTCTGGCGAGCCGAGTGTAGAACCGAACACCAACCGGGGGATCCACCCAAGATGGATGGTTTCCTAAACAGGTAATATCCCTTAGCCCCTCGAACTTCACAATTACCTACAAAATGCCGAACGCTAAAAAAATTAAAAAGTAAAAAAGGACATGGATGAATCATGTAAACCTAGTACAGGGCACTCACCCACTGAAGCACCCACTGGGAAACCTCAGCTATAAGGCACCCACCCACTGGAGCATTTTCAGGTCAGTAGTTACGCATAATTATGCCACAAAGTACCGAGGTCGCCCCGTTCCCAGCTTGAAACATGCCGCCGGACTTGTCGAAGTGTCACGATCCGATCTCCGGGGTCAACGGTCTGACCGGGCGCTGTGGGGTTTATGTACTGACAAGGTAGGTAGAACCTCGTGCAATACTGACTCCGTGCTGTCGTGCTCTCTGGTGGTTGTCGTTCGCGTCTCTTGCGTGATATCACACTTGGATTAATCAAGTAACTAGGTCAAGTGAGGAGTAAGAGTGATACTTAGATTGATTGCTGAAGTACAAAGGTAATAACTGTCTACAAGGAGATCCTCCGTCCTATATATCTTTGTCCTTCATCGGCGTGATCCTCAATCCTGCGATGCTGGTACGTCGCACGCCGATAATTTGTGATCGCAACGCGACTGCTAGTCGTCGCATCTGTTCGCGCCTGCCTTTCGACTCCTTCTGGTCCATTATTGAGAGGGTGGCGTGCATGCGAGCGTAACTAAGCGCAACATCGTTACGCAGAATTCGAAGCATTTATCAGTTATGGTAATGCCTTTGAACTCACGGAAAGTCTTCACCTTGCGGAATGGTATATTATTACGGTAGTTTACGGCCGTTGTAGAATAACGCCTATATGGGTGTCTCCAAAAGTCTGGTATGTACTCCACATAGTACCGTATTAATCGTGAGTGCTCCAAAGTGTTTGGTAAAAAATCAAGTAAAGTCTATTTTAATGTGTCTAAGAAATATGACATAGCAGTCATTGTCCCGCCTTCGTAATAGTTTTGAGATGCATCAAATGACGGCTGGATGTGTACCTCGTGTAACCCGATGGCGAGCACTGCTCTTGCGCCTTGAATTGCAGATTTCAAATCTGTTCCTTTGGCGGTAGGGTCCATAACAACGGTTTGGCCAGCAACGTACTCCGACATAAAGCTTTTGCAGGTATCGAATAAAAGTTCCGCATCACCGGCAGTAACAAGCAGCTTGTTGACCACACCTGACTGTCCAACTGCCCTTGACCAAAGGGACTTGGCGTCATGACCCTCCATCGGGTTTGCCCATATATGATTTTCGTCTGGATTGAATAGGTCTGCGTAGTGCTGAAGCAATTTTGCATGGAGGAAGTCAAAGCGTTCGTTGACCCTAGCCTCAGTCCTATCCTCGTTCATGCGTAACCATGGGGATAGAAGTATCGCAGCCCGAAAGCTTGTCCCTTGCAAGTCGATTGGAGATAGTCCAGGAGCCGGAAGTTGTAGATGCAGAATCACACTGGCTATCAAGTGCCCGCCGGCACTGTCACCTGCGAGAACAATATCAGAAGGCGCGCAGCCATTATCGATCAAGTATCTCAGCCCTTCCACGGCTTGTACAAGTTGACCGGGATACTGAGTTGCAGGCGTAAGAGAGTATTGTAAAATAACAATTTTAGCCGCTTTGCAGGAACTGGCCATGCGGCTCACGAGTGGTATTGCGACCCGGCTTTTCAAGGGAGCCTGGTAACCGCCACCGTGTGCATAGAAGATAGTCGGACCACTCGGATTTGCGTTTCGTAGAGTGATGACATGCAATGCCGGCGAGGGTATCCCGGTTCCATTTGGAAGCGATATATCGACTCGATGATGCTTTATACTCTTTCCTGCACAGTAGGCCGTAACTTGCAGCGCAGTCGACTCTTGCCGCGAGATAAAATAACTTTGCTGACGGATATTGAGTGTCTTAGTCGCACTGTTCAGAAGAGTTGATTGCAGCTTCTGACGCCAGTGTAACGAGTATAGCGAATGCCACGGCCATGAACATCGAATGAGTAGTGAAAGTATGGACGAGCCAACTACAATATTGTAACATCCAATTAGTTTGGCAATAGCAGCAACACCTTGAGAGAACTTACAAATCAGCGGAATCTTCCAAAGAAGCGAAAAATAGTCCCAGCTACGCATGCTGAGAGTGCCATCGACTGGTGTAGGAGAGTTCATGGTAGTTGTTGTAGCCTTGGGCTTGTTAGTTGGCGCAAGAGTAGCTGTTGAACTAATCTATACAAGTAGGCAGGTAAACAAATAAAGCTGCAGGGAAAAAGGAGAAAAGTAAGACCATTAAACTGAACGACAAAAAAAGAAAAAGGCTGGCCTTTTTCATGGCAGTAAGAGCCGAGGTTTGGTGTCTGCACATGTCGGATTTCCCCATGTATGGGCGTCGCCAACCCGGTGGCGTCGATCTTCGGGGGCTTTCTCGGCGTGTTTTACGGTCAAAGGCTGGCGCGTGGTGGTTTCGAGGCAAAGCAACAGTTTCCAGCCCATTTAAGCAACTCTCGGGTCTCGGGTCTCGGCAGTGGCGAGTGCTCTGCTCGTTGCTTATTGGTCCAGAGTCGGTAAGAGTGGGATGTCACCCTAGCAATGCGAAATGGCCTAATATGTATTGGGGGTTCCTCCGGGGGTTCCTCCTGAGGTTCCTCCGGGGGCTATTTCTTTTGCTCCTCCCAACGCCTGCATCACTGGCTATTGGTGCGGGGTAAGGGTCATCAGGGGAGTACGAGGAAAACAGGGACACATATGCACTCGACATGGCTGTCGAAGTCGGATTCTGTAGCCTCCGCGCGGCGCCGGCCGGAAACAGCTTAAATTTGGTATCAAATTAAAGCTGGCCGATACAGAGACGCCTGCACGAAAGTGCAGCAGGATACGGATGGTATGCGTGCGGTGGTTGATGATTTCATCGGTCAGAGACAAGAAGTGAGGAATTTTCACCGTCGCACGAAAGACTTTTTCACACCAATGTATACTCCTGTAAGAATTACAAGTATAAACGTGCATAAAAACAAGATTATCCTTGAGGGCGAGGAAAATGACGACTAGTAGTAGAGACTAGAAGAAAACGACACACTGTGTGGAGGCTTGAACGATCGGATGCCTCAACATCAAAGCTCCCACTTGGCTATATACCAATCTAGCTCTTCCACGGTCCAAGGGGAGTTGCCGCCCCTTTTCATAGCTGTCTTGATCTGGGTCCGAGTATCAATGCACACATCTTCGGCGCTACGAAGCAGGGTTGCCGGTCCGGAAGCGTAAACCCATGCTGTTTGGCCCACAGGAGAGATCCTCTCGTCCTGCGGCAAGGACCCAGCAGTTTGGTCTGTTCGTAAAAGCCGCCGAAGATTCGCAACTAAATCTAGCCTCCCCTTTTCCGAACTCGCGTGCACCGACAAAGTGAGATTCGGCGTTGACAGTGCCTTCACCTCAAGCTCCATCCATTCTCTAAGCGTAGTTGTCTCGCGTTGTCGAACAGTCCATATGAGAGTGAATTTTGTCTCCAGGGCCGAAGCTCGCACCCTAAGCCACCAGGCGGCGAGACTGTGGGCGCCGGTAATTCCAGTACCACCTACAATGCAGATAATATGAGATGCTGTCTCAAACCCTGTTTCTCTTGGCAGATATGGGCCCTCCACCCTCGCTTCGAGCTCTTTCCTATCCCCGGGCTCAGGGACAAGACGCCCCAGTTTCCATGTCCATTCTTTGACGAGTTTCTTTTGATTTTTGCCAGTTGAGCGCTGGAGAAGGAAGACTGGGCTTGAAGTTGTCGAGCTGGTTTTTGCTGCCGTGAAGGCATGGTTCTGGATCCTGCTGACAGCTGGAATATTGAGGTAGTAGGATTGAATGGGGTGGCTAGGTGAGACTTCCTTCCCCGTAGTGGTAGCAATACGGTTATGAGAGCCCAGTGCTCCAGCCGATGTGGATAGAGAAAATCTATACCACCCACCACCAGCGTTCTCAAGAGTCCCTGTTATCTTCTTATGCAATCCACCAGTTTCCCCCCTGAAGAAACGCCATCCCCAGTCGATAATCCATAGGAACAAACCCGGTAAAAGGAAATAAAAATTAGTGCTAGCGTGAACACAGGCTGCCACGAAGATACAGACACTGCAGATCATATGACAATAATAGAAGATGTTGTAGTTTCGTCGCCGTACGAAGGGAAGCGCAGTCGCGGTGATAATGATCATGAACACGACTGCCACAATGCCCGTGTAGGACGTGTAACCGTACCAGGAGCTTCGCGCCTGACCTTCTTGGAATGTCATCGTGGGATTGCCGCTGCTGAATGCTTGCTCTTTCGCCACTGCATCCCCGTCGCCACCGGTGTCGCCTGCATAGGTCTATATTGCATTGAAATCGTTAGCATTAGATAAGAGGAAGCCTGGGAGGGTATTACTCACGCCGTAAGCTATCCCGTGAACCAAGACCGCGACTAGGAACGAATAGGCAATAAGGTTGTGCGCAAATAGCAGTGTACTTCGGTGTTGTTCAAACGAGTGGCCAAACAGACTGTTCCTAGAGACTGGAAGGATTACTAGTCCAAGCAGAATGTCGGCGTAATGCCCAGTGATACCCGTTACCGTGAGCTCGATCTTGGCCGTTGTCCAGTGCAGAGGATCAGTCCGTAGACCCCAAAAGCTCAGCTCCGCTGGTGCCCAGAACCCCGTCGTGGCAAGGGTTGTCCCAACTATCCAGATGGAGAGTATAACGCCGCCGAGGGTAGTATGTTTTTGGAGAATCGGGAGTTCAAGTGACAGATCATAGTCGCTTAGCTTGCGTACAGTGGGGCTGCAAACGCGAAGAAGGAGGAAGCCACAAATACTAGCAAGTAGAGCGTAGAAGATCGTGATTTGTAATCTTGTTTCGAATGGGAAGTTCTGCTCAGAGCAAAGCGTAGCATAGCAGGGAGCATATGTCAGAGCGATGGCCAGGCCCGCAGACAGGGCAAGACTTAAGAGAATAAGCACAATCTGAAAAGGTCGCTTCATGGTGACCAATCTATGATCTGTTTCCGGTGGCTGGAAATCGTGAAACCACAGAGAAATTTAGGCGACAGTGTTAGAAATTGGAACGAGAGAGGGAAACTCGGGCGTGGATTCTCACGCCAAGAAACATTCATTCTTGAAGTTCATATACCTACGTTCTGGCAGTGACAGGCTTAAATACGCCCACCAGCTTCTGGATCTACAAGATGCTCCATAAAATAAGGTTCAGTTCGCGACTCTGCGGCAAATTATGCAGCGAAACAGACCCTGGTTCTGGGTACAATCCAGACCTTCTACTATTGTCTGTAGAGGCTTGGTACGCCACCGACCTAAGTGGACTTGAACCTTCTTCACCATCGAAGAGATTTTCCTCAGCCAAATGTTGAACGTCCTTTGATGCGCTTGTACTGCCATTTTCTCATCATGTTACAAGCGCCAAACGTAAGGGCCTACCGTGAGCCGCAGAGGCTTTGACCCTGTCCCTTGCTACCTGCTGTCGTATCTTCTGTTTAGTGTGATCCACCCCAAGCTAGGATTGTTCCGAACAGTTTAGGAAATAACCAAATCACGTGTTTTGATTTGGTGGAGTGACGTAAATCCTTGCCCGAATTAAGAACCTGGTAAGTTATTGGTATACACTCAAGATATGCCGAAAGACACTCCGCTGAGGGGGGATGGGGGGGGGGGAGGCATTTTGGCATGATTAGACGATAACTAAACGGGAAATCTTCCGTAACTGTATTCCGAGCTCCCATCCTGCCGGATGCGCCAAAGACCATCGAGAATTTACCCAGGGCCTTGGAATCATATCTTCGCCATCTAGTGGGGGACTCGGCGCATCTGGTGTCATGGGAGTGAAGTAGCTAGCGCATCGGAGTGGGCTTATCTCGCCATGACTCCTAAGACAACGTAAGAAGGCCCGATCAAGAGCCAGACGAACGGGTTCTACGGATTTAGGGGTCGGGCGGCGAAATAGATTGCTCCCCTTGAGTATTGTCCAGGGTCATGTCGGACATCTGTCCCCTTTTCCGCTCCGTCTCCTTTCAGCCGAGAGAGCTGCGTTACCCAGAGTGTCACTAATACAGGGGCTAAGCGGCGTCTAGGGTCACAGAGTCATAGGGTATGAGCTAGACTGGTCATATTATGCGTCACGAGACAGGCTCTCCTGAGCACGCAGAAGCCAGGCATCCTCTAGACGAGGGCCTGCCGCCGTCACCATGCATGATAAAGAGGTGCCGAGACAGGATCAGCCACGGAGAGGCCGGCATATCACAATATATTGATCCTTGGGGCGGCTTAGTCTTTCCCGTTCCTTTCCGCTCAAGTATCACAACAATGGTAGGAATAACAGGGACCCAAGTCAGTGAGCAATAGGCGGTGTCATCTGGCTCCTGCCACGAATGCAGGTCACCCATGGGCGGGACGTCGGTTCGCTGTGGTGAAGCAAGATTCGTCACAGTCTCCACCTTCCAACACGTCCAGTCGTCGTTGTGGCTCGTATGCTTCACATTAGGAGTTACATCCGCAGAAGCTCCGTACACCTGACGAACTCTGCCCCCTTCAGCGAATAAGTCTTCGGAAAGGACTGTCCCCGTGCATAACGCCTTTCGTGGTACGAGGAATGCTGGAAAAGGATGTACAGGAAAGGAACGCAACAACAGAAGAAATCAAATTACCGCAAGGATGCGGAGAATAATGACGCGACCACCGCCACGGCATAGACCCAACGCAGTCCGCCCTGCGTGGCTTGGGGCCTTGAGGCGACATTCTTCGGAGGATCGGTCGGGTTGCTGCTGGTGTTGCTGTGCGCAGGGCTGCCGGTGCTGGTTCCGCCGGCACTTCCACTCTCATCTGTTGCACTGCCGCTCCCAAGTGTTCCACTTCCACTCTCATCTGTTGCACTGCCGCTCCCAGGTGTTCCACTTCCACTCTCATCTGTTGCACTGCCGCTCCCAGCTGTTTCACTTCCACTCCCGTCTGTACTGCTTGTGCTCCCACCAGTGCCACTTCCACTTCCACTTCCGGCTCCAGCATCGCCAGTCCCACTAGCTTGGCCGCTGCCACCAGTATCACTAGCGCCACCAGCATCCGGGTTACTGCCGTCCCCCCTGTCTGGCGGTGGCCCGACCGGCTTCCCAATCCAGTCCTTTGGGATCTGCGTGATGAAGTCATACCAGTACCTGCCGAGCAGCTGATACCCCTGGTTATCGGGATGAGTGCAGTCCTTGAGGAAGCTCAGCGGGAAGCTGGTCAGATCCACAGCCACGACCTTCTTGCCCGACTTCTGCCTCTGCGCCACGACGCCCGGGATCAGAGCCTCGTACTGCTTGACCCGCTCAACATTTTGTGGCTTGCAGGTGGGCGTGATGACGCCGACGAGAACCACGGCGTCCGGGCAGGCCGCGGTCATCTTGTCGATGAGCGCGCCGAGCCGATCCCCCGCCTTGACCGGGTCGTTGCCCTCGAGCGACACCTCGGGCCGGTAGCTCATGTCGTTTATGCCGAGGTGTAGGAGGATGATGTTGGGTCGCTGGGCGAGGGCCGGGCCCGTCCTGTTGCCGACATACTCGATCGTCCGTCCTGGCCAGGCGCTCTTTTTCGTGAACGTGGTCAGTCTTAGGGTGGCCGGGCGCAAGTGAAAAACCAGAAGAAAAGAAGACTCACTGTCCATCCATCTGTCATGGAACCATACTTTACGGTGCCCGCAAAGACAACCTTGTCCTCTGTGCGTACACTGTCAGCAACTCGGCGCTTTACTTTCCATCCCACGCCAGCCGTTTCCCATCACCTGCGTGCCTCAAAACGACACCGCCCACCCCCCCCCCGGGGGATCCCAAATCAGCGCAAAGAAAACACTCCTGACTCACCAGACAGCATATCCCGCATCCACTTCCTGTACCCGTTCCAGTCCCCCTGCGCGGTGGTGTCGCTCGACTGACCCGCGGTGATGGAGTCCCCCACGGGCAGGATGCGCAGCTCGGTGCCCGGCTTGACCGCGACGCCCGGCTGCGCGGCCGTGTACGTCCACACGGTCCCGTCGAGCGCCCTTTCGGCTATGCTGCTGCCGCCGGTGCCGGTGGTCCCTGTCGATGGTGCGGCGGTGGCATCTGCGCGTGCAAAGAGCAGTTCGGGTGACGGCTGGACGTCGAACAGTCCATCCTCGATGACGGGGTCCGCGGCGGCGGATGTTGGTAGCGATAGCAGCAGCGACGCCAGCAGCGGCAGCAGCCCCGGCGAGAGCCACTGCCTTGTCTTCATTTGTGCGAAATTCGCCCGTGGTGTGCGCGAGGGAACGCGAGGCAAGGCAAGGGATGACGCTTTGCCTCGCCGTGTGTTGTGCCAAGATGTCTGTCGATCCCGTGTGGCTCGCTTGGGGGGATCCTACAGGTGGCGTACGCAGACCGGGGCGGGCAACGGTCGTGGGCGCCTGGAGGAGTTTTATTAGCCGTCGGAATGGCTGACGCGGCGGCGGGCGCGAGAGATAATGTGACGGGGCCCTGAGATCGTATTGCTGCTAGTTCGGATCACTAGTCCGGGTTGCTAGCGTCGGCAACGGAGCGGGTGGTCGTTCACCAAGTCGAAACGTGGGCTCGTACGTGGGTAATCGTCGTCGCGCCTTGGCATGGCATGGCTGGCGCGCGTGCAGCCGACGGGAGAGAATGGCACGTGGCGCTCAGCAATCAAGGGCGGAGCGAGGCGAGGAGAGAAAGCGAGCGGCGCGCGTTGCGGGTGAACGAGTGGAATTCCAAGGGAGAGAGTAAGGCGAGGAATGCACAGGCGGCGTGTGGAGATCGCCCATGATAATAACATTGTCATCGGACGAGAGAAGGGCCATTGTTCCCAGGGGTACGTACGCATGCCCTTGTCAGCTTTCCCGGGCCGGAGCGTTGCATGCGATCCTCGTGCTTTTCCAGGCACAGTTTGGCCCGTATCTACAGCTAAGAAAGCCCACTGCCAGGGCATCACCACCCCAGGCCGGCCCCGTTTGTGAGATTTGACGCGCTTGGCAGGGGGGCCGAGCCATTGTCGTCCTATCACCGGGTAGCATCGCTTCCGCGCTGGCGCACAACGGCGCGCAGATACGAATGGGGGGGGGGAGCCGAGTTTGGATCTCTCTTGGCCTTACAAGGGGACCACCCATTGGGACAAGGACCCTCGCTGCGGAACACCGGCACCGCGCGAGCGAGCGAGCAAAGCCGCCCCTGACGGCTGGTGGGTCCCAGCAGGATCGGATTGCGAAATTGCTGTCTTGGGTGTCCCTGCCCCTCGTAGCCCTACCCACCACTCCTCTTCCAGTCATGTAGCATGGGTGCAGCTGGAGGCACAAGGGTCAAGCTGAGCTGTGGCTCTTCACGAGCTTCCGGCGTTGCTGACAAAGACCCGGCCTGGAACTACAATTGGGCGGGCCCAACACCCCGTTCATGGTTGAGGCGTGACTGAGATCCCACAACGCACACTACGCAGTAAACCCTGAAGTGAAACGTCATTTGCAGCGAACGCCCAAGCACTCGCCCATGAATATCAAGCGATCTTCACATTTTCACATGTTTAGCAGTTTAGGCTGTACTCCGGGCAAGACCAATTCCACGGTCTGTCTACGATGAAGCTGGGCAGAGACTTCTCGAAGCCGGGCAGAATTACCGAAGCAAGCAACATGACAACTGGACAGGGTGACTAACAGTCGCAACACCTTGTGTTCGAAGCGGAGAGTCCATCTATAGCTGCATTTCGACCGAGTGTCACCAATAACAAGTCTCGGTAGCTCAGTGGTAGAGCGTGGGATTGCAGTTCCACACGGACAAGCAATTCAATATAGGATATTAATTCGGCATTCTGTGAGCTTGAGTTGAGGCGGCGGGGTTGTGTCCAGCTTGTGCTGCAGCAAACCTTGCACGCTTGTTGGAGGACCACATAGCCGGCAATACGCAGCACCGCATCATCAAAAAGCCTCGGTAGCTCAGTGGTAGAGCGTGGGATTGCAGTTTCAAACGAATATGCAATTCATCCTAAGGTCCTGCGTTCGACTCGCAGTCTGGGCTCTATTTTTGCCTGTCGCGTCGTCTTACCTGTCTCGTCACGGTGGGGGAGATTGCTTTTGCCATTCCAGGATTATGCAAGAAGGTGTGTATGCCTTTTTGATGGTGTAATTACACCTGCCATCCCACTCTGGCAAGCTGCCAGTTACCCTCCCAAAAGGCGGCATCTCCGTTCCGCAGTAATAACAGCTAAATTTTCTCGAAATACAAGCCCCTTTCCCCTACAGCCAGTGTTGGGGCATTTGCTTGTGATTTGTGCATCGCGGACAACTTCACTTCGTCATCTCAAGCACGTATGCTGAGCAGACTGCAAGACCACAAGACAATCAGATGGATGGTTTTCATTACTCAAACATAAATACAAAGATGGGCAAGCTACTTGAGCTGCACCGCACTTGCTGCACTGCGCTGCTTAGTTGCACGATTATCCTACATGGCCAACACAATGCCGTTGCCACCCCTAATGCTGCGATGGAGCCAATTGTTTGGGTGCTCTATCCGTGAAGCAGGGGAGCCAAGTCAGCATTGTCATTCTCATGCCCAGAACCCAAGGCGCTGCCTTCCAGTCTTTGCCCAGGATCTAGTAGTCATCCTCCTCCTCATCGTCCCGGATGACAAGCGCGTCGCCCTCCTCGTCGCCCTCAACAACGAGAGCATCGTCCTCCTCGCGGAATCTCAGATCCTGACCCGCGCGTCTGGCGCGGTTGGCAACCGATTGCTGAGAAGCTTCAGGGCCAACATCCGAGCTCTTGGAAACCTGCCGGGCCATTCTGCGCGTCATACGCTTCGAAGGACCAGCGGCGCTGGCAGCAGGCTCGTCCTCAACCTCCTCCGCCTCCGCCGCCTCCCTGGCCTTCTTGACAGCTTCCTTCTTGGCCTTGTCGTCGGCCCTGTAGCGCTTGCCGAGCTCGAGGTATTGCGTAGTGCGCAGGTCCAGGTTCAGGTGCTTGAGAGTGTCCAGCAGAGCCTCCTGCTCGTGGTCGTCGGCGAACGTCTCCTCAACGTGCTTGAAGAAGTCCTTGGCGACAGGGGCCACGTGTTTGGCGCGAGTGACGTAGCTCTTGTGACCGTCGGCAACCCAGGCGTCGTACAGAGGCTTGACGGCGTCCCAGAACGGGCCGCCCTCGGCAAAGGCTGCGATGGCGTTGAGGACGTTGTCGTCAGTCACGGCGGCCGACGCGCCGGCGTTGGTGGTGCGGCTCGGGGATTTGGCGTCTGTTGATCCGCTTCATGTCAGATCGGCCCTTTTGTGATGATGCAGTAATGGAGGTGTGACAGGTGTATCCAGTTCTTACCGGAGGCTTTCTTGCTGACGCTGCCGCGACGGCTGCCAGGGCGAGACCGGGTAGGGTTGTCGCGGATCTCGTAGAGCAGCTTGATGATGAGCGTGAGCATGCGTGCAATGGCCATGAGGTTGAAGAGGATCGCGGTCTGGACCGGCGAGGCAATGCTGTCGTCGGCAAGGTGCATCCACTGCACGCTCTGGAGCACGTCCACGTTCCTGACGAGCGCAGCGGCACGTCAGCAGAGCCCATGAGCAAGAGGTGGGAGGCAAGGCAGGGCATGGTCAGGGTGTGTATGTGTGTGTGCGTGTGTGTACTCACGGATTGACGGGCAGCTCCTCCTCGGCGAGGCCATCGTGGTTCTCTTCTTCTCCGTACTCGCCATCGTCACCGTTGTCACCGCCGTCTCCTTCGCCTTCCTGCTCACCGGGATCCTCGCCATCGGGGCCACCGTCGGCAGAAGAGCGAGCCGTGGCGGGCTCCTTGCCCTTGCGGGACTTGTTGGCCTTCTTGGCGACAGGCTTCTTGGCCGCCGTCGTCGATTGCTCGGCTGGAGCAGCGTTGTGGGCCTGGCCTCCGCCGGGCTGCTGCTGAGCACCCTCGGGCTGGACGTTGACGAGGTCTTCGACTTGCTCCTCGCGCTCCATCTTGACGAGGCTGCGATTGTCTGATGGTGGTGGGTGGTCTTGGGGTGTGAAGTGGGAGAAGGTGTGCCTGTGGTGGGACTCCTGGGTTGTGTTGTTGTGCCCAAGGCCTGGACGTGACTTGGCGCGCGCCGCTCCCGTTGAAATTTGCTGCTTGTCGAATTGTTGACAGCCCAGCTCTGTGCGAGCAAAGAGAGCCGCCTCGCTTAAGGGTGGCCAGGCATCAAAAGTCCGTCAGGCAGCAAAGGCATGCCAGTCAAGCACTTGGGATCCTCGAGGCCTGCCCGGCCTGGCTCGGCCTGGCTCGGTCTGTGACTGCAGCCAGGACACCTGATGACTGGGCAAAGTCGCACCCTAGAGGCGGGAGGGCAGGGAAAGCATCCATCCAAGGACACGCATCGAGCGAGGGTCATGTAGATGAGTTCAGGCGCATGCACGGCAGGTACAGAGGATGTGAGCAAGCGTGGTTTGGTGACAGGTTGTGGCACTGGTCAACCCGGGACAGTGGCGATAGCAAACAATCAACCAGGATCCAATGCCGGCTCCCGTCAGGCACATACCAAACACGGTCGGATGATGGTTTGAATTTAGGACTTTCTTTAATGATGTCTTGTTGTGCTCTACAGGATAGTTGTGTGTCTCTACAAATTTGTTTGCAACTTTGATCGTGCCACTTGTGAGAGTGCCTGCCCGTGTCTGGAAACTCAAGCATTGAGACACCAAGGGCGACACCATGCGCATCCGTCAGCCTGCCGTGCATTTATTTGCCATACGCTCAATCCCACACCCCACCAAATGTCAATCCTTCCGGAGCCTCAATGAACTTTCAAGTCCCAAACTGGTCTAATGACCAAGCCAGATCACGCACTGAGCAACAACGCGTCCCGAGGTACAGCTCTTGCCATGGCCAGATCACTCCTCTTCGTCCTCCGATACGCCACCGTCCTCAGCGCCGGCATCGTGCTCAAACTCTGGTTCAACCTCCTCTTGGGGGGCGGCCTCGGGGTAAGACTTGGGAGGGCCTGAAGGCGCCGTTCTCGGGCTGAAGAAAAGCTGGGGATGGAATTAGTCATGGACGGACACTTGCTACCCACGAGAGTCGAATGCTTACCAAGCTCTGCAGAGCTGGCTCGATTGGCTCGGCTTCGCCAATGGGGCCAAGGAAGAGATTACGCTGCTGGCGCAACGGCACAGAAGGCATGGGGATATCCATGACACTGGTCATGAATGTATTCGCAGGCTGCTTGTACTCGTGCGGACCACCGCGGACGAGACTCGGGCGGTTCTCCACAGGGATGCCAGCGCTCAGTGCCACGTCGCTCGAGTATCTGTGACCCGCGGCAGTGATTGAATCGCGGCGCTTCTTTTGCTGGCGCCGCTCGGCCTTGTGCCTGGTCAAGTCTGACATCTCTCGGACAAAGTCGTTGTCGTACCAGCCGCCCTGCACCTTGAGGTCTTCATGCTGCGCATTGACGGTATCGTAGCGCACGTGGCGGACAAGCAGGTTTATCTTTTCGTACGTGCGGGTAAGGCCAACTGCTTCGCAGAGAGGGCAAGTGACACGACCTTCGGGGTGCGAGGCGGCCTTCTGCAGAGCCTCGCGCTTCCAGCGTCCGAGTCGCGAATGGGTGATGCTATGCATGTGACCGTCGAGTATGTCCTTTCTGTTGTAAAGTTTGCCCTGCTCTGACGTTAATGTACGCTACGTGGACACTTGCATGGGGATGAGGCGATGCCTTACCTTGAGGCCATCATCAATGGTCTCGTCTTCCTGGCACAATGGGCAAGGAATGGGGTTGTGCTTCATGTTCTCGTACTGGCTCATGGTGTTGTTCATCAGGATGTCCATGAACACCTCGACGCTATGCACGTAGGGAATATTGGTGGCGAGGTCGTTGAAATCAGTGTCATCGCCAGCCTCGACTTCATCGTCAAGAGTGCGGAACACTGGCTCGGTGGACTGCGGGTCGACCTGGTCCTCGAGATCATCTTCAACCATAAGGGCAACATCCTGGTCGTCCATCTTGTAGAAGCCGGTCTCAGGGTCGATGGTGTCATGGGGCTGTTCTTCCTCTTCCTCTTCCGTCGACGCCGCGGCAGCGTGTTGCTCCCGGAGAGCCTTGACAGCTAGCTCAAAGACCTTGTCCATCGTCTTGGACTTGTCCAGCTCATCTACGCGCTGCTGGTAGTCCATCTTGGTCATAGTAGCGCCCAGCTTCTGACTCTCCTCAGACAGGAGGGCATTCAGAGCAGCTTGGCGAACGCGGCGACGGTAATTCTTCTGCTCACGCTCGTTGCGCACACGTGGAGGGTCGTTCTGCATGATCTTGGACATCATGGAATTGAGCGCAGCGCCATGCACCCGCTGCAGGCTGTCAGCACTGAGCGCGTTGAGGGCCAGAGGGTGATTCTCGGCCACCAAGTCTTTGGAATGGCCTCCATCCTCGACTTGCTCATCGAGCGTGAGAGCTGTGAGGTCCGTAGTCGCCTCGAGGTCGACGTAGAACAGTTGCAGGGTGACGGAGTCCGGGTCATGGTTGAGCAGGCGTTTTGCCGTGTCGGGGCCGACCTTGCGAGTGACGTCGGTCGCAGTGCGACGGCGAAGCGAGTAGAAGGTAATCCTCTCCTGAAAGCCGACTGCCTTCCCGCGGCGCTGTAGATACTCGGTGAGACTGGTTGCCAGGGCTGGCTTCTCACTGACGCCGAGCCCACGAGGCGCCGAGGCACGGACGAGGGGCAGGTTGAGGCACTCTGGCTTGAAGACGATGTGTTGCTTGTCGCCATGGAGGAGCTCCTGGATGGTGGAGATGCCGTCCAGGGCATTGCGACGGAGAGCTATGACAAGGACCCGATGGATGATTGAAAAGACGAGGTTGCCAGCGACCTTGGGCGTGCGAACCACGCATTTGATGGTGCGTGCCTGGACAGGCTTTTGGAGGGCTCCCTGGATGTCTTCACGGTTCGTCTTGAGGATGCGGAACGTGATGGTGCAGGTGAAGTGACCGGGTTCGCGACCGCGCGAGAACTCGAAATCGCCGAAGGTAAGGCAATCAAGTTCTTCGGCACCCGGCTGAATGCCGATGCTGCCTGGGCGAACCGCGCAGGTACGACCGATGCACCAGGCGGGCTGGTGACCCTCAGCCACCTCGATGCAGGGCGTGTTGATGAGGTCCCAGTCGAGCAGTCGACGCAGCTCTGCGAGGCCGAGGTGGGTGACATTGATTTTGCCGGAGAGCTCGAGGCCAAAGCGCTTGGCAGAGTACTGCATGATCTCCGTGAGGTTGTTCCAGAGGGTGCTGCGAGGCAGCTCGGGCTTGAAGTTGTGCATGGTGCGAGTTCGGTAGGTCCAGAACATGAGTGCCGCGCGATACTTGACGTATGCCTTGAAGCTGATCCGCTTGTTCAGTTCTCTGCCTTCGCCGAACTCTGCGACCCAGGCCAGGAACATGCGCAGCAAGCGCTGCAGCGAGTCGGTGTTCTCAGGGAACATGAGGGCATCGACATCCTTCTCGGCCAGCCCGATAAGCTCGTCGCTGTCGTCCTTGGGGATGAGATGGTATGCCTGAAGCCAGCCCTTGTACTGAGCGCGGATGCGATCCTCCTCACTGGGTGGCAGTTAGCATGTGGGAGCTCTGCAGCCTGGTCGCTGGTACGGCGTCCTCGAGTGACTTACGCCTGGGTCTTCTTTGCCTTCCAACGAAATCCTCTCGCGTCTTCATGTGCTTGTTTGAGGGCCTCTAGGCTTTCGAAGATGGCACTGCTGTCCATAACGTTGATCTTGTTGATCTGCTCCCACAAAGAGCGGCGCTTGACATCGCCCACCTTGGGGGCGAGAGCCGTGGCTCCTCCGGTGCTGTCGGCCATGGCGACAGACTATTGTCGGAGGGGATGAATGAAGGTGTACGGCACTCGATGTGAGGGAAGGATGGAGGGGCAGGTCGGTCGGTCGATTCGTCGGTCGGGCTGATCGTGTTCGCAGGGCTAGGGGACGCCCGAGGAGGAGGAGGAGACGCCTGAGGAGGAGGACGTGGAGGGCTCGAGCCCGGTGCGCGTGGGAAATGGACGACGCCGTGGGTGATGGGTGTCTGCGCCCGTGGATGGTGTGCTCCAGAGATTTTCTCGCGCGGGGTGAGAGCGACAAAATGGCACGAAGTTGTGCCCCTCGCTTGTTGGGGCTGTGGCAAGGCAGTTGCTGTGGTGATCAAGATACCTCAGGCAGGCACCGCCAGGCCGCCAGGCTTGCACTGTGAAGACGGTGGCACAGGCTGCATGCAACCAATGGCAATAAGCAAGCAACGAGGGGATGGATGCCCGAGAAGCGGGCATGCACAGGGTCAAGGCAGCAGCATATCGATCAACGTTGCGCAGGTGCGGAAATGGGGGTTGGGCTGGATAGGTTTTGCAGCCACAGCAAGACTGTCTTTCGCCCCTCCTGTCGCAGGGACTTGCTGAGATGAGCTTCAGAGAAGAAACTCTTTGTCGAAACAGGCCGACGACGACTCAAGCGTTGGAACCCCGGGCTGTCCCAGAACCCAGACATGTTTCTTCAGTTGCACCGCTCGGCCAGGTCTCTACCGGCCTGCACTGGGTTCCCAAGAGACGGACTGCCAACCCTAACCACCCTAACCTGCATCTCTCGAAACTCAGGAACATATTCCTGACCCTTATCCTCACCAAACCCTAACCGGCTAACCAAACCCTAACATCCTAACCAAACCCTAACGGGCCTAACCCGCGGGCACGGGAGCATGACATGCTCGTGTCGGAGAGCAGATATCAGCGCTTATTCTGGGACTAACGTTGTATTGCTGCTGGCTCTTCGCCTCGTATAGAGTGAGCATGGAAGGACGAGACATGTTCAAGCGTGCTGTGCTTGAGCCGTTGTCGAGTCCCTGATACAGTGCATCACGCGTTACGCACATTGCCTGCAAGTATGTGCGGGTGGAGTCTTCGCACTGTCGCTGACCCAAGTGTGCGCGCCCGCCTCCCGGGGGCCTCAGATACCGCCAACCCTCCCGTCTGGCATTGTGCGCCCGTGGACAGTTGAGTTGACGCTCGCTCATCTTGATGAGGGATGTTTCTTCTTCGCATCGCCAATGACAGCGTCATGAATCTCGCACATGGCCATTGCCAAGACATGTGTCGGCGCGGGCACCCTTTCATCCTTGCGTGTGATGCACGCAATGCAGCCACAAGCACTGCGCGATGCCTCGCCACTCCGACCACTCACAAACACCCAAAGGTTGCCGCTGCGAACACGCCCGTTGGTGCACACACTATTTGCCCCTGCTCTAGCCGTGACCAAATTGGGCTTGGGGAGGGGCTGCACATGCATCTGTGCAGGTGGCTGTTTGTGGCGATTGGGCGGAGTGGTGCAGGGTATAGTGCATGAGCCATGTGCGCTTACGTCATACGCACTGTCGCTGCCTCAGGTGAAGGGCACCTGGTGCGCAACTGCACCCCGCCAGTCCTAGTTGAGGTGCATGCAGTACACGACAAGGAGCAGAGCCGAAGCGCGATCATGCTGGTCCCAGCATCGGGTGTGGTCAATTTCAGGACGCGCAGACCAGTGATGCCAAGTCCATGCGCCCGTGTTGGTCAGACGTGCGGCTGCCGGCCAGGCGGCTGTACCCCAACTCGGCTGCGACCTACATCCATCCATCAGCGCCGTTCACACTGCCCCATGTCCTGCAAGGCATTCCGTGTGGTTCAGTCAATCGCCCTTGCTCACTATTGCAATGTTAGTCTTCAGCATGCGCCTGTAATATGTCAGGTGTGATGGCAACAAGGCCAGGCTGCGCCGCACCCGTGGCTGGTCCTCTGGCTTGTGGCTGCATCCATGGACATCGGGTGCACAAGTGGGGCGGGTCAGCCGGACAGTGTCATTAGTGTGCACAAACAGTATTGCACGTACTGTCCCTGAATTTAAACCCACCTGCCTCAACTCTTGACCCTCAACACCATCGCTCCTTCTCACCATGTCTATTTCCACAGCAAAATCGCGACAGAAACTCCCACCAGCTTTCCAAAAGAGGCTAACGCCGGACAGCGGGCAAGGTCAGGCGTTCGAACCGCCTTCGGGACTCTCTCTTTTGCTCCAGGGAGGACGGCGGATGGTTGCTTTTTGCTCTCGTGACGGATCGGGCTGTGTGGTTGGAGACAGCAAATATCAGACTTGATCTTGTGTGTGGTTTGCAAGCTAACAGATTTCTACGGTGGCACGGAGGCTCTGGGGAGTGGGGTAAGCGCCGTTGCACAACGGATTCACTTTTAAAATGAATACCGTGTAATTTCAAGTCGAGGTCCGCCCCTGAGGGTGACGATTATCCCTCTGATAGACAAGTTGCCAGTCGGCAACAGCCACAAGAGCCCGACGTCGTTTATCAATGCCTCAAAACATGCTCGTTGCGCTCGATGTACCATGGACACTGGACGACTGTCTTGTATTTTGACCCTTAAAAGCAAACGCTATCCATACTATGCACACAACTTTGTCACCTCGCCGTGAGGGTCCCCTAACCACTCGCCGGCCCAACCAGCTCCCTGCGATGGAACTTGACGTCAAAGTTCTGCTGCTTGATGAACCAGGCGTTGATGAGCTCCCACTCGACCCGCGGGTCCTTGAACTCAATCTGCACGAGAGCCACATAATACTGTCAGCATCTTCCAACCCATCAAAAACTCACAACGCACGAGACAGGAAGGAAAGACAACGCAGAGAACTCACCTCGAACCTCCGCAGCAGACTCGGCACGAGCTTGTAAATCTCGAGCAGGCTGATGTTCTTGCCAATACACGTCCGGCTGCCCATGCCGAACTGGAACATGAGCCCGTTCATCTCCTTGATCCGCTTCTCCTCGCTCTCCCTCGTGCGCGCGCCCGTCTCGTCCACCAGCCACCGCTCCGGCCGGTACACATCGGCGTCGGCGCCAAAGATCTCGGGACGGCGGTGAATCACCCACGCCGAGGCACCGACGATGGTCCCGCCGGGCACAAACACGCCGTCAATCTCGATGCCCTGCACGGGCACGATGCGCTCCAGCGGCAAGCCGGCAGCCGGGTGCATGCGGAACGCCTCCTTGACGCAGGCGTCGAGGTAAGGCAGCTTCTGCGCCTCGGGCCATGTCACCAGCCCGGTCTGGCAGTCCGAGAACCCGCCGTCGCGGGCGAACTGGTCAATCTCGGCGCGCAGCCTCGCCATGGCGTGCGGGGTCCGGAGGAGGTAGTAGAAGACGGCGGCGAGGGAGATGGCGGTGGTCTCGGACCCGGCAAAGGCCATGGACACGGCCATGGTCTGGACGAGCGTGTCGCTCATGAAGTCGGGCGCCTTCTCCTGCGCGGCCAGGAACTTGGTCAGCAGGTCCGTCGAGCCGACCTTGCCGGTGCCTTCCTCGAGCGTCGTCTCGATCAGCGCGTTCTTCTCGGCCAGGTTGTCGCTGGGGTTGTGCAGGCGCTCGTTCATCCGCGCGCGGGCGAAGCGGGCCACGGGGAAGGTCGCGTCGATGACGCCCCACTGCGCGAGCTTGAGATATACAGGGTTCTTGAGGAGGAGCTTGTCGAGCCAGGGGATTTGGCCGATCTGTTCGATCGGGTTGTCAGCACTCCACTGAAAAAGTTATTCCAGTATGATACTGGAATGGGGGAGAGGAAGGGAGGACACAAGGGAGACGGCGAATGCTTACCGGCGCCACATAGCAGAACAGCTTGGACAAGTACGCCACGATCCCGTCAATATCCTCGTTCTTCTCGATGAACCCGTGACGCTTGCCGTAGGTGATCTCGCCGATGACGTCAAAGGCGTAGAACTGCAGCCAGCGGGGGAAGTCGCACCCTTCCGGGCTGTCCGCGAACAGGCGCTCCGTCTGCGACAGGAACAGCCGCGTCGTGTTGTCGACAAAGGGCTCGTACTGGACGAGCGCGGACATGGAGAACGCCGCGTTGACGCAGCGCCGGAAGCGCGCGTGGAAGGCCTCGTCGGTGGTGCTGAAGAGCGAGGCGAGCGAGTGCCCGTTCATGACGGCCTGCTGGACGACGTAGAAGTCGGACTGTGGTCATTGTCTCGTGTGTCAGCGGGCGTGCACTTTCTGCCGACAGAGAGACAAGAACTGTTCCGAGCCGGTAAAAGACCAACCTTGATCATGCCCTTGTTCAGCCCGTAGATGGTCTTGAGCGCCTCTGGGTTGGCAAAGGACAGACTGTTGGGCCCGAGCCGCACGACGTCGCCATACTTTGCGTGGAGTTTCTGGTGCGTGACCTCTGACCGACGGCCGTAGACGTCCCAGAAGCGCCACCAGTCTGTCACGGCCGCGAGAGCCGGACCTGGATACTTGTTGAGCCCATTACGGAAGTAATTCCTCGCGAGCCAGGCGATGGTAATGACGGCTGTGAGTGGCAGCCAGTGCTGAGCGACAAAGCCCAGCAGCAACGAATCGTCGAGCGCACCCATCTTTTCTTCCTTTTCTTTCCGTGTCTATTTTCTTTTGGGGAAAAAACTAGTGCAACAGGACCGTCTGACATCCAACACACCACAACGCACAAGAATGGGCTGCCCAGGCGCCCATTTATCTGTGCCAGACTGGTTTACATCATTGCGTTCCGTGGTGGTTGCCACTTAGCTAAGCAGGGGGAATCAAGGACCTGGAGTCGCGTGCTCACAGCGTGGGACATGCCGTGCTCGCTTGCCGGGCGCCGATGCCGAACGTGCATGCCGGGCTTGCGTGTTATCGCGGGCCCCCGAGCTGATTCGCTGCCATCCCCGTGGGGTACGCCGGGGGCGTGGAGATGCCCCACGTCACCACGGCAGATCGCTCGACGCGACTTACCGAGAGTTGGAGGCACTAGCTTGGGGCAAGCAGCCGAGGAGCCCGAGAGAAGAGCGGCTTATGTCAGCTGGGGAGCATGCTTCGACGCCAGCGGAGCAGTCAGCACCGGAAAAGGCGGAAATGGGGACTGGCCGCTTGGAGGGAACGTGGTCACCCTCCAGGAATAGCCTTCTGCCAGTCCAGTCTAGGCCGGGCTGGTCTTCGTGGCTGGCCGCAGTGCCAAGCACGGTTCGACACGGCACCTCCTGACGCCAGTTGGTCCAAGTGTCTCGCCCTGCCATGTGGCGGGCTAGGATCGAATTAAGGTTACGAGACCTAACCGGGGAGGCCCTGATGCAGGTCCGGAAGGCAACACGCGGGGCTCCAGGCACTCACGGACGACGGCGGTGGCTGAATTCTGCTGTGGGCGGACGAATCAGGTAGACTCTACACCGGCAACCAGACCTGGCTGCCTGGACTCTGTTGTCATTTTGGTCCAACATCGGTCAAATCGAAAGCTTCTGCAAGTGGCTGGCGCTGCCACCGCCCTCATGCTGGCCAATCAGGGGTTCTGCTTTGAGACATGCCAAAAGGCAATACTCCATCTTTTCTCTAGTACTGTTGGTTCTGGCCGTTCTACTGAAGCATTCAAAGAAGCCCTAGAACACGGCATGGAAGCATTTGAGAAGTGCAGGGAAAGCCATCAGGACTGAGCCTGGTCGTATAAGACAGCTGCTGCCAGGCATTCCGGCCTTGGCCAACCGCCACGAACATGTCCAGGTCAAGATCTTGACAAGTCCGATTTCTCCAAACACCACGATGAGACCATTCCCTGCAATTGCTGTCATCATCGCAGGCGCCAGGCCACTCGTGCAGGCTCTGCCCCTTCCCCAATTCGCCATCGACCTCACGGGGTTCCCGAGCTTGCCCGACAATGTGGCTTCACCCTCTGGCGATAACTTCCAGCCATCAAAGCGGCTTGACTTCGGCGAAGTCGTGGTCAAGCTTCCCAACTTTGCCGAAGGGACCGTTCCGTCCCCTGCGGATCCCGATGTTGCTTCCCGCAGCCCACGACTTCCCTACTGGCCCGAAGATCCATTCCTCGACCCCACGGCAGGCCCCATACACTTTGATCCACCCCCGGACCCTATCGCAGGGCTGACTTCCGCTTCTGCCGAGTCCTCGTACTCATCACCTGAGCCCGACTCCAATGTGGCCTCCCGCGGCGCCTCGGCAGCAAGAGGATTGGACGACGCCCCATGGAACGCCTTGAACGAGGGTGAGGCCCTGCCGGCATCGAAGCGGTTCGATCTCGATGTGGGTGCGGACAGAACCCTCGGCACTGTTGGCAGAAGTCCGTCGGTCCCTCCTGGTCCCGATGTCGCTTTCCGGGGCCCACGAATCCCCTGGCGCCCTTCCGAAGATCCATGCTCTGACCATTGGGCAACCCGCATACACAAGGATGCACTCCTCGAGCCCTTCCCACTTCCCCATCACCCTCCTGCCGGGTCCTCGTCCTCATCATCTGACCCCAGCCCGGACGTGGCTCCTCGCGACGAGCCGGAAGATGAAAGCATCCCGGACTGGTTGTACGATCCCCTCGTCCACCGTGACGCAGGAGGACTGACATCCCCATCCAATCCGAGATCTGCCAAATCCTCGCGAAATGCCCCTGCGGGCGCGACCTTGCGCGAGGCCGCGCAAGCAGAGTCAAGGAAGAGGCTCCAGGGCGTCGACGAGCACTCGAACATGCACATCGACAAAGCCAGGATGCCACATCCAGCAGAACCCAACTCGTCTCACTCTCCTCTTGCTGACCCTGATGTGGCTCCTCACAATGAGCCGGAGGAAGAAGGGAACATCCACAGCGGGGAATATTATCCCGGCCTCTTCACATATTCTACGACGCCGTAGGCTTGGGTTTCGCCTTGCTCGGTACTAACCGACAATCAAAGCGCCACGGGGGCGTTGACGTGTCGATATTCTCGAGCACATTGAACGGCTCAGCCGGGATGCCGCGTCCCGCACAACCTGTCTTATCTTATTCGTGCCTACCTGATGCTGCCGCTTGAGCAGTGGCAGCCAGCCCAGCAAACTGATTGACCTCGAGATTAAGTCTGCCGGGCCATGCTCCATTGGAGAGCTTAAATCAACGGCATTTGACTTAGCTAGATCATTCAGAGACAAAACATGTGGGTTGTGGAGGGGATGGGATATTTTCAAGCGATTGATTGGGAGTGGTAAGTGATTTAGAGACGTGCTTGTTGATAAGACTACTTGTTGAGTCGTTGTGGTCGTTCGCTCATATCTGTGGATGACATAAAATGAAATAAAATGCTCGGTCAACGCATTGATTCTCGTCCTATTTTTGATTGCTCCTTCGGGGGAAGTCAACCCGTCGATTCCTATGCTCCGGAGAATGTTGGCTGTCAGCCTTGCTACCGCCTAGGTGGTTCCTTCAGGATGATCCTGTCTTTCTTGGAAGCTGCATTTCCGCCCAGCCAGCCCCACCTTCATGCATGTCAACCGCAGCCTTGCGGTTTTCTCTTTGTCGCCAATAAACGGCAAAACACCATGCCCTTCTTGTGTCCCTCACGAAGTGCTCTCTTTTCCATTCGCATAGACAAGCAACCTGCCTTCTATCGATAGTCCCACACCAATATCTGGCGCGACAAGTTAGCGACGCACGCGAGCGGATCACCATCACGAGCACACAGTCAGTCCCAATAGACACACGGCCGCCAATGCCTTCGCCAATACAGGCCCCCGAGGGGTCATCATAAAGGAATCCGAGGTGGCACCTTGGAATCTACAAGACCGCAAGAAGCTTCAAGAACTGCTGCGGTTTCCGGGCAGATCCGCCATATCCGCCATATCCGCCATAGTTATCGAGAATCCAGACCGCGCTTGGATGGAGGTCCTTGAGAGCAAGACAGGCCTCCCGATCGGCTTCTACAACAATCACGTTAGGCCTTCACGGCCGAGACAGAACTTCCTTATGGGACGGGAACCTTCTCCGCAAATCCCTAATGGCCCCACTCATCCCAGGTATAGGAAGCTGACCGCTCAACCTGGGGAATGGGCTACAGCTGAAGCATTCCATTGCTGGCATGTCGACGGGGCGCTGGAAATTGATCACGAGGGACTGCTGCCAAGGCTTATCCAGATGTGGCCGACCAGTCGGTTGCACCGTCCGTTCAAGCTCGACAGCGCCGACGAAGGGCGCGTCTGCATCCGGATGTCTTACGCCGTTTCTACCGGACAGGACCATATAGGTAGGTGCTCTCAGTACAAGGGGCAGTCATTTGTACTACTACCACAGCGCTGCTGCTGGTCCTGCGCTAATAGTGCAGTTTGCGGCGGTGGTTTTCTTGGTTGACGGACCCATCCACCATGACAATCCATCGGCCTCCCGATTGCGGACCAGACTCATCCTGCCTCAGAAAGAGTCTTCATTCGACCTCGTGCTGCCCCGGCTCATCGGTCCGGATCACAATCACTTTTCCTGGTTCAACTGCCTGGTGCACTTTTGCTCTCAGCCGCAGCAGCTGGAGGTATTCGATTACGAGTGTCTGTCTGAAGAATTTGTGCTCTTTCTCATTGCAGCGTCTACATGGCGCCGCAATTTTCACTTGATCAAGTCGGATGCAGAGCGGATCGCGTTTCATGACGTGGTCAACAGACCAAGCCGCGAGCTCAACACGAGGCTCCACCATCTGAGGCAAGATCTTGCCTCGCTCATTGACGACATTGAAAAAGACGCCACAAAGTTTGACCTTAGCTATGATACACGCTTCGACGTAGGCAGTATCGGCTCGTATCGCACCAGAAATGTGCTAGAATCGGCCCGGAAGGATCCCAGAGCGATCATCACGGGCGGCCCGGTGCTGATGGCATTCCTCATGGAGACGTTCAACGTGCTCAACGCCACGATGGGCGTCGTGGCCGCTGAGGACAGCCTCAGGGAGGCCCAGGCCGCGCGGCAACTCATGTGGCTGGCCTCGGTGTACCTGCCGCTCACGCTGGTGACGGGTATCTTTGGCATGAACATCGAGGGTATGGACGGCCTGCCGTGGTGGGCGTGTGCTCTGGCGCTAGCTTGTGTCGGCGTCATGACAGCCTGCGTGCTCATCACATATAACAAGATGGATAAGCGGTCGAGTTGGCGTTCGCTCCCAAGACTGGGGATGGCGGCTCTGCAAAGATTATGATTGGCAGTGCGATCTACTAGAGAAAGAGGGCAAGGCCAAGGATGTGGCAGTGCTAACAGTGGCTATGAAGTTTGACCGGATTGATACTTGTGCTGTTACCAGCGCAGCGCGTCAAATGAGGCCGTACTGGCTGCAGTCATGACGGCACAAGGTTCATGTACAACAAGCTTGACTTTCCAATTTTCGTCAAGCTTATGTGTCATGTCGCTGAGACTGACCTTATGGGCAAGTTGTTTATCTGAAAAGAGGGTGATGACGTGAAGTAGAAAGGAGCAAGTGCTTGTAGAGGGCCATTTAAAGCCACACATATTGTCGTGCCAATATCCGATGCTGTTCTTCTGTCCCCCGTAGCTTGACCCCAACTGTGGTCCGCGGCAGGCTTCGAGTCAAAGAGGGGCGGCCGACGGGATCTTGATTCCGGGGACTGCGTGAACCCCACACGAGATAAGGACTGTCGCCAGCAATAGGGCTATTGGGCGGCGTGCGAGCTCGGAGTGGAGAACGGGGGTCTTGGTGGTACAGTATCCCGGCAGCCATGCTCGCAAGCTCCGGGTCCGCGTAGTCCAGGATTGTTGTCGTCCTTTGCTTCCTACATACACACAGCAAGCGGTCCATGGATCGTTGCCAGCAAAGCAGAGCAATGTGCCAGTCCTGCGTCGATCCCCGGCACGCGCAGTGACTGATCACCAGCACGTCCCCATGGACGCAACAACGACGCCCAGCAACCGAGTCGGACGCCGATACCGGTCCAAGAAACAGCGACCGTGCGATCTCTGCCGCACGCGCAAGATCCAGTGCAAGCTCCAGAGCCAGGAGACCGTGTGCGAGCTCTGCCGGAGGCTGAGCAGGCAGTGCAGCTATGTCCTCGGTCCCGCCCGGCGCAGAGAACAGCCACGCCCGGGCTCAGGCGGGAACCGCATGGAGCAGCCGCCATTCAACAACGTGCCGTTCCACGAGGAGCAGCTCTCGCAGCCTTTCAACGTGTTCGATCCGTCCGGATTCAACGGAGATCTTGCGCTTCTGGAACAATGGCCGACCACGACGCATCCCTTGCTTGGCGGGCCCTTCCCAGAGGCGGATGGTACCAACATGACGGGCGATTACAACATGGGTGTCTCCTTGGGAAGCCTGCCTGAGCTGATGCCGACATCTCAGTTCGAGCTACGTCCGAGCTCTCAACATACAGTGCCGAGTACGTCTTCCGCCTCGCCTTGCGATAGGGCGGCTCCCCATACGCTCGCTGTCGCTCGGTCACCAGCAAGCAGTCGCGACGCTTCACAGAGGGCACTGTGGCCGACAGAGTACTCGCTGGAGGCCAAGAGAGGCTACTCGAACCAGCTGATTGGCCTTTCTTGCGAGTCGGACCCTTTTCTCCTCAGACACTACAAGTATGACGCCCTCGACAACTACCACATGTTCCGACTCGACTTCCGCAGGGTCACAGGAAAGGCTAGAATGCTTCCCGCACCACCACTGGAGGCCGATGCAGAGAGCCACGCCGGGCACACGACAGCCACGAACGTCCCGGTTCAATTCATGATGTGCGACGAGACAATCTGGAGCGATGACCTGAAGGCGACCGAGAGAATGCTATCACGATCGGGCGAGGGGACAGAAGCCGCCGACATGGCGCTGCTTCACAAGATTGTGGATGTACAGCTCGGCAAGAAGCTCATCAAGCTGTGAGTGCCGTGGCTGCCACTTTTTGCCCGTTGTAACTGACCACTTTGATTCTTCTCTAGGTATTCTCGCTTCGTGCATCCCCGCTACCCTGTTCTCTCTCCATCAGATCTTCGACACATGCTATCAAAGGACAATAGACAGGCCGTCTCGATAGGCATCCAGAGCGCCGTCTTCGCCCTCGCCGCCCCGTTCACGTTCCTCGACGACGAGCTCAGCGTGTCGAACGGCTACGGCGGCGTACCTACCGACGAACTCTGGGACATTGCGCAGCGCAGCTTCCACAGGTCAAGCTGCTTCACACATCTCAGCCTTCTCCAGCTGTGCCTGCTGCTGCTCAACAAGCCGCCCGAGAACTTTGTCGTGGCCGAGCCTGTCAAGTACTGGGCCTTGTCTTGCACTTCGGTAGCCATAGCAGAAACGCTTGGGGTCAACGTCGAGCCAAAGGACTGGCGGATTCCGCGAGAAGAGGTGATGCTGCGGCGGAGGTTATGGTGGCTCATGTACGTCGGGCACACGTGGCACGCGCTTGTGTGCGGCCGATCTTCCCACATCAATGACACGAATTGGTCCGTCTCTCCACTGCACGAGGAAGACTTTGAGACAAGCGAGGCAGGGAGTGCAGAGGTCGGTATATTCACCAGGCAGCAGATCCCCCTTTGTCTGGCGCAGAGTGAGCTCGCAGTCATCGCGGCCGACATCCTCAGGGAGTTCTACTCTGTAAGGGCCATCGCGGAACCCGTTGTGCTCACGACGCTCCTGGCCCGCGCTCAGCCACTTCGCACGCGGATCGAGACCTGGCGTCAGAGCCACCACCCGTTGTTGTCCACACAGGCCGCGGACTCGACGAAGGACGACTTTGGGAGCGGCGCATTTCTCCGCCTCCAGCACCTGACCCTGGAAATCATGATTCTGCGCGCCCTGCTCCGGCCCTTGTCCAACGAGGCCATGCCGGCAGAGGAGAAGAGCCTGGAGCCAGTGTCCACCATCTTTGAGAACTGCGCCGTCTGCGTGACCGTGGCCAAGGAGATTGTGTCGTCACTTGGGGCGAAAGACTTTGCTCAATTCTGGCCACATTGTATGTCTACCCTGCATTATTGATTTGCGCCAGAGACTCCTTTGAACACTGACCGTTCCTCATTTCTTCCAGACACTCGATTCCAGATATGCTATGTCTCGACTCTCCTGCTGTTGACCCTCGCTCAGTCAGGCACCGGCGATATAGCGATCCGGAACAAGGAGCTACTTGATGAGTGGAGAGACACGCTGCGCATGCAAGCAAGAGCATGGCCGCTGGCTAGACTGGCCGCTATGAGACTGGACGCCTCTTTCTGGAAGGGCATTCCATCCGTCATCCACGGTGCAGGAGCGGACAGCCCAGCCCTCAAGCTCTTTGAGGAACTAGCATCAGCAAGACAAGCTCAGGAGGACAACGGCGACTGAGGGGGGTCAGGTGGTTTCATGAGACATCCTTGCGCGACGCGTCGTAACGGAGTACCGCCCCCAGCAAGACCTGGGCTCCCGTGACGCAGTCCTCGGGCGGGCAGTACTCGTCTGGCGTGTGGCTCCGGCCTTTCCTTGTCGGGGCGAAGATCATGGCCGTCGGGCAGACCTTGCTGGTGTTGCAAGAGTCATGACCCGCGCCACTCGTCATGTGCTGCCATGGCCTGCCGTCCTCTCGGTCCGGAACTGATCCCGACTCGGCTGCCAGAGCGGAGCATACTTCCTCGACCGCCTCCTCTACCGCCCTGACGCAGTCCGGGTGAAACACAACGGCCGCATTCTCCGTCAGCGTCGTCCACGACACCTTGACGCCGCGCTCCGAATCCTCCCTGGCAATCTCCTCAAACTGCCGCTGACAGTCGGCCACCATCTCCGCCGCGACCTGATCACGGACATGGCGGACGTCGAGCGTAAACATCACCGTGTGCGGGATTGTGTTGACGCTGCCCGGCAGCCCGGCCAGGATGCCCGTCGTGATGAGCCCCCCGTGCTTCTTGGCCACCGCGTTGGCCGCCACGACCATCTTGCACGCCGCGAGCATGGCGTCCTGCCGCAGCGCCAGCGGCGTCGTCCCCGCGTGGCTGTCGCTCCCCGCCACGGCGACCCGGAACCAGCTGTGCGCCTGCGCGCCCGTCACGACGCCCACCTTGCGGCCCGTGTCCTCGAGTACGGGCCCCTGCTCGATGTGCAGCTCAAAGTGTGCCGCCATGGGCTGCGCCGTGTGCGACGCGGGCGTGTCCCCGAGGAATTCGATGCGCTCTAGCTCGCGCTTCATCGTCGTCTTCGTTGCTGTCGTGCTCGCTTTGCTGTCCGCCGTCACCTCGGCCAGGTTCCAGGCCGTCTCGAGCGGGATCGTGCCAGCCCAGACGCCCGAGGCTACAGTGATCATTGGGAAACGCGCGCCCTCCTCGCTTTTTGATGGGGAGAAGAACGCAGAGTCAGTCAGTCTTTCAAGATATAGCATCTTTGGGTACAATTGACACCATACCGCATGACTTGGAGGAACTCACTTGGTCCAGTTCACCAACCCAACGGGCCCTCTCGTCTCGACCTTGTGCTCGTTGAGCGTCCGCAGCACCTCGAGCGCCGCCATGACGCCCAGGATCCCGTCGTACCGGCCCCCCGTCGGCTGGGTGTCGAGATGTGAGCCCATCATGACTGGTGGTGGCGCTGTGGCTGTGGGTGCTGCGTGCGTTCCTCCCGGCGGCCGGACCGCGAATATGTTGCCCATCTGGTCCACGGTGACTCTGCAGCCCAGAGCTTTGGTCTCGCGGATCAGCCACTCTCTCACTTTCTTGTCGTTGTCGTCGAGAGAGAGCCGCGCCATGCCGGTCTCGGTGGGGTGTCTGTACCATCATTAAGAGACGGTGTTAGTTCATGTGAGGTATTGGTGCAAGAGAGATGTAGAAGAGCAATTGAGCTTGGTCATGACCGGCGCGTGTATGACAGACTTACTCTCCCCATGGGTGTGCCTTGCCAAACTCACAGGTGGCATGCAGCGTGTCCATCATCCTCGTGCCGTTGACTCGAAGCCCATGGATGGCTCTGCGCGCGTTGCCTGCATGTGTAGCCATGGCCAGACTCTGTCCCAAACCAGAAATTGGGAGTCTGCTGAACGTCGACAACGAGGTCATGTTCGTTGAAAGCTAGGACAAACAGATCTGTTGCTCCGCCTTAGAGAAGCAACCAGTGCGGGTTGAACAAGTCTCTGCGCGCAGCCAGCCCAGAACAATGGCCTAATACGACTGCCGAAGCGACTGCTGCCTTTTGCTGCTGCTTCGGCTTGCCACTCCGCACCGAGTTGTTGCCCTTGGCTGAGCGATCTCGGCGGTCATGTCCCTAATTTAGTCCCTGGTCTCGGCCCACCAAAAGTCGGGGGATCCGGGGGAGGTCCTCCGTGGAGACGGGGTTTTATCGCAACACGCCGATTGGTGGGCACCTGGCTTGCCCGACGGGCAACTCTGTGCACACTCGGCCATCGTGCAGGAATGGGCTTGATATCCACAGATACGCCTGCACTCTTGTCCTGTTTCGTGGCAACTTGCCAAAGGAGCGCTCGTCGCATGCATTCATGGGGAGTCACTATATTGAGCTGGCAGGCCATAGAAGGTCTATTCACTTAGCAGTCACAGCGGCTCAAGGCCAACACACGCTGGAGCATTCCAGATCCATTTTGCGATACTTTAGGTGGCATTCAGTGTAGGTGTTGAGTATATGATCAGGCAAGACAGGCAACAATCATTTCGCTGTAGCCGGCCTGGGATTATCACACGAATACCCCTGCCTCCGGAGTTCCTCATTGTGCCGGCGAGTCCGGGCCCTGTCCTCACCCGTCGGCTTCCTGGGGATGTCCTCGGCGGCAGGGTGGTACATGTCCCATTCCGAGGCCTGGCGCCCGTCGACGCCCAGCAAGACGTCGGGCAGGACCTCCAGTCCGACATACTCCCTGATCTGGGCCGGGCCGAGCCTGCGCGCGTCGAGGACGTTGCGCTCGCCGTCGAAGGAGCGGAGCACGCCGTCGACGCCCAGCGCCCATATGCCGTCGAGGCTGCTCTTGAGATCTTTGGTCAATTCGCCAAGGGGGAGCTCGTTGTCGGAGGATGGGGACAGTGGGACTTCAGCGTGCGTCCTGTCCTGAAGGGAATGGTCAGCTTGCTTCCAGGACTTGGATCCTGTGATACCTACTTGGGCTTGATCAGCCATGATCAAATTCACCGGGTCAAGAGGAGAAGCCCAAAATTGTGCCGGAGAGTGTCGAGGAGGAAAGAATTATGAACTCTTGGCTGAAGGGCACAACGCGCCACTCAGATAACACAAGTGCCACAACCAACGGGGATGACGCCCAGGCTCAGAGGGATTTTTACTTCTTCGCCAGCAGATGGATGGAAGGTGGTTAGACGCCGCGTCAGAGCTTTCTGGCAAAGATGAGCCTAAAAGCGCCCTTGCCACAATAACTTTTCAAGGTTACGCGGCGTGTAGTATGATTGAGCAGACTGATTCCTACGACTGCAGCGCCAAGAACAAGAGGCTGAGTCCCTTCTGCCTCGGCAAATCCATGAACGACCCACGCCACACACACACACACCCTAGCAACCAACCAACATACGGTGACGCCGAACCCCGCCTTGATACACGATCTGTATCTAGCCACTTGGTTCTTGGAAGCAAACAAGCGGCACCGCCATGCTTGTTTCCGTCTGAGTCAGATTGTCGCTCGCTCTCATCATCGTTTCACTCCCTTGTCCCAGGACCGAAGGACGGTCGCTGGAGGTGTAATCACGCAATGAAATCTCGCGGATTGGTTCCTCCATTTGAACAATAAAGTATTCTCGGGCGCTGCTTGATGCACGATTGCCCATGAGAGCTGACTTGTGCTTTGGGATGTCAATCTTATCGGGACTTTGCACCTGCCCAAAATGGCTGCAACCGCTCCCCAGCGATATTCAGGGGTTCATTCCAGCTGCATACTACCAGGCTCGGAGTGATGGACCAACGCGTGGGATCTCCTCAGGGGACCAACAAAGATTGCAGCGTGGCTAACTCGGTTCGCTCCATTCTTTCCAGGTCCGACGCCAGGCATGCGGCTCTGGCCGGGATGCGAGCTAGAGAAGTCATACACAATCACTGGGCGGGCCGATCATGCTTCTCGCCTAGCATGCCATCGGAGCTCTTGGCGATGAAGTGCACTGACACATTTCGGCTCATATTCTTTTTTGCCCTGTGTGAATTGCTTTCTCCTAGGGATTGAGGCGCCTCGCTGCATTGTTGGTCATAGGATTGTCCCGCTTTTGGTGCAAGGTCTTCGCTCTGTCTTGCAAGAACGAAGACCTCGCATGATTACCGACATGCAAGATGAACCAATTGCAGGAAACGAGGAACAAGGAAGTGTCACCAAGCCAGTCGTAAAAGACGAAGTGGACCGCGACGTCCGGACGACTCACAACTATGCGAATATAAGTAAAGTAGATTTTCCACTCGGAGCCTGTCAACGAATCCAATCACTCTCAAGCACTTTGCAACCACTACGTTTTCCGCGTTGAATTCAACACCTTAATAGTCGTCATGCAGCCACACCTCCCCCAAATCCTGGCCATAGCCGTCATGGTGTTCCAGGTCCATTGCACGCCGTTCGTACTTCCAGAAAACCATTCAAAGGTTTGTGCTTTGAGTCCCCCGCCGCTTTCATCTTTTGAACGCTGCTGACCATCATCCTACTGTCCCCAAAGCGTCAAATCGAATGCTGGTCGGCGCCGGCTATCGATCCCAATGCAACGAGTGCAAGACGCGACGACGGACTTAATTTTAAGAGGGCATGCTTCGACTGGCCTTGCGAGGATGTCTACGACTGCTTGCCGTACAACTGTCCTGTTTGCCGTGTTCAGTGGACGCCGTGTGGCGATCGTGTATCGCGCTGTCGCGAGCGACAAAATTAGCGACAGCAACGTTGGGAAATGAGTTGCGGTCCGAGGCTGTAGCCTATAAGGTTCGGCCCTGTTGCGTTCTCAGTAGGATTTGATGCAAAGGAACAATCAAGCACATGGATCAAGATGAGGATGTCGTAGTAATGTTCCGCCGCATACGTATGAAAGTTGGATCAGTCGCTGTCATCCAACGCTGCTCGCCGCTCGTCGCTCGTCGCATACCTCATTATTGATACAGTGAAACACCAAATGTTTACACATTGGACATACCCTTCACCTCGCCCCACTCAATAAAATATCACACTTCTCTTGGTCACGTAAGATGAACCTGATGAAGGACGACATGTTGCTAAAAGATGCTTTGGCTACTTTGGTGGGCACAATCCAGCGGCCTGCTTCTTCTTTACCTGCTCGGCAAGCCAAGCCTCGGCAATGTCCTCGCACCTGCAGAATTCAACCGCCTCCCCGAAACCCCTGAGCCACTGCAAGAACCGGTCGATCATGCCGATAATGTGCGCCAGCCCGCTCACGTCCGGGTGCACGAGCAAGGGGAAGACAAAGTCTGCCGAGGCGTCGCCCTCCCGGTAGCCCTGCTCCCACAGCCACATGAACTTGTCCTTCCACATCTGCTCGACGACCCGCGTGGAGACGTAGCCCATGCTGTTGGACAGGTGCGGGAGGTACATCATGGGCATCATGTCCTCGTTGTACCAGCCGCAGGGGAGCTCGACGAGCGGGTGCGTCCCGTCGGGCGGGAACGCCTGCGAGGCGATGGCCGAGGGCACGAGCCACGACTCGGCGGGCTGCGTAAAGTCGATGGGCCTGATGGGCTCGTCCGCGGGGGTAAAGTGCGGCTGCGAGTCGTGGTGCATCAGCGAGCTGTCGTACAGGAACCCGTGCTCGCGCAGCAGCTTGACCGTCGTCTCGCGGATCGTGTACATGGGCGCCCGGTAGCCCCGCGGCTTCTTGCCGCCCGCCAGCCTGGTCGCCACGTCGATGCACTTGAGCAGCACGGCGGCCTCCTGCTCGGGCGTCATCTGCGCGATCCCCTCGTGCGAGTAGCCGTGCAGCGCAATCTCGGCGCCCGACGCGAACACCGCCTGCGCGGCCTCGGGGAACGTCTCGGACGTGTGGCCCGGGATGAACCACGTCATCTTGTCGGCCACGCCGTGGGACTTGAAGAGGTCGAGGAGCCGGTAGACGCCTACCTGGCCCGCGAAGATGCCCGACGAGTAGTCGGCCATGTTGTTGTGCGCGTGGCAGCCGGTGCCTAGCCAGTGAGAGACGGCGTCAAAGTCGACCGACAGCGCGATCTTGACCTTGCGAGGACGTGACGGGCTGAGGGAGAGCGAGGAAGGGATGCTTGTGGTGGTGGCGGCGGAAGAAGGTTGCTGCCCCAGGATCTCGTACTCGCAGTCCGTGGGGGTCCCCGCGTTGACGGGGTCAATGTCCTGCGGGCATGAGCTCATGACGATGATGAGCGAGGTCTCAGCCCGGAACACGACGTACTGGCCCGCCTCGCTTGTGGGAGGGCGGATCGAGATGCCTCCGTGGTGGTCGATGGGGATGTTCATAAACAGGTTGAGAGGGTCAGGCACCCAGTCGTCCGCAATGCGAAACTCTGGAAAGTTGTCCCTGAGTGCCTGGTGCATGTTGTCGGAGCAGTTGTCGTGGTAGCCTTGGTAGCCCTGCATGTGGTAGCGCCTCTCGTCGCATGCCGACCAGATCATGTCGTGGACGCCGCGCGTAGTGTCCTCAGTCAGCTCCAAGATCGGCTCGCGCCGCGTGCTGTACAGCTTGTCTCCCTTGTGCAGGGCTACGCTCAGCAGGATCGTCCGGCAGTGGACCATGGAGAGGAAGTCATTGGGTTCGGCAGGGTTGAAGGCCCAGAAGTCGAGGACCTGCTTGCCAAACGTGTTTGTGATCTTCAGCTCCTGGCCTGCCTCCAGCTTGAAGGCTACAGCCTTGCGAGCTGGTATCACAGGCATGTTGAATTATTGGGGCAGCCTGGTTCAAGAGCTTTGTGGACTAATGAGGACTTGGATAAGGTCGAAATTTGGGAACCCGGTGTTCGAGTTGTCGCCCCTTGAATTGGACTCTACTGAGGCAGGATTGTAGTTATATCAAGCATCACTGCTTGATGCTCAAAAGCATCCATCCAATGTGCCCCGCAGGGGTCCTTGCTTTCCCCGGTCGCGGATAACGCCCATCTCCAGATAAGCTGTCATGGATCGCTGCAACCTTCGGCCGACACCCCCCTCTTTAGGTTCATGACCCCTACCAGGGTCGCCCCTACGGACAAGTGGGCTGGCTTGGATGATAGCAGCCGCTGATCGTAGCTGCATTTCAGTTTGCCGGTATTGATCAAAATCACGTGGTTGTGTATGTCGCTGGTATGAGAGAGTGACTGTTCAAAGTGCGAGGACAATTTGACATGGCAGAACTGCCAACATTGGGCTTTCATGGCCCCAGATTTTGATTGCGAATGAATATCTAAATGCAATTTGCTATGGTACTTGAAGGTGCATAAATTCACACAACCTACACACTGACTCCAGAGTCCGAGCTAGACCACTCAGTCATCGGTTCAATACGGGTCAAGACGCTGGCGAAATAATTGTTGACCCAGGCTCCAGCCAGTGGCCCGGCAGTCGCAAGCAGTCCGTCTGGCCGCAGGATCGCAATGGCGCCCTTCTGGTCTTCCACGCCAAACTTCTCATGGGCATAGCTCGCGAGATCAAAGTACATGTTTCCAAACGGCCTCATGCCGCCGAGCGCCTCAAATGGCGAACATCCCGGCGTGGGCGAGATCGTCAGCCAGTCGATGGCCCCGTGGCCCAGGAGGTCGTGGCCAGGCCCGTCCAAGAACGATCGCAGGGTCGCCAGTGATTGTCTCGTGGAGGCAAGATTGCCTACCCAAACGACAACCCAGAACTTGCCGCAGTTGCGGGTGACCCGCTGGAAGCGGATCTTCTGGTTCGTGCCAGGCATGTACAGATCGACATCAGGAGGCCGGCTGCCTGGAGTTATAGCTAGCTGGGTGGTCCTCGCAGCCATCGCTACCTCGTCACTGGAGGTAGTAGACAGACTGCTAGGGGAGCGATTGAGGTTGTTGAGAGGATACGAGATTCCCAATCCGGTATTAAACGAGGCAGCTTTCTCAAAGATCTCGCCCAGCAGGAGGTAAGGGTCGGCGTCACGGTCGCCGGCATACCAGCTCGGCCACTTGTGCGACATGAGGATGGATATGTCCTTGTCATAGTCGATGAGCTGCTGCACGGCGGTCCTGCGCTCGGGCGAGTACGTGTCGAGCACCGCGGGGAGAGCGAGGCCGCGGATGTGCAGCGCAAGCTTCCAGCCCAGGTTGACGGCGTCGTGGATGCCCGTGTTGAGGCCCTGGGCGGCGCCGCTGCTGTGAGTGTGAGCCGCGTCACCGCACAGCAAGACCCGGGTGTTCTTGGTCGTGAACGTCCGCGCCATTCGCTGGCCGATGGTGTATAATGTCCACCAGTGCACCTCTTTGAACTTGACGCTGAAGGGGTGCATGCCCAACACGGCCTCCTGTTCCGCGACCTCCTGGGTGACGCCGTCCGGGTACTTGGCTGCCATCTCTGGGCTGTAGGCGAAGCCGATGCGAGTGGCGCCGTGGTCGAGCGGCGCCCAGAGTACGTTGCCGTGTGTCTTGCTCTCGATGGCGCCGTAGGAACGGTTCAGCGGCATGTCCGTCTCCACGATCCCGTCGATGCGGATCCATTTGTCCTCGGACGTGTCGCCGTCGAACGGGATGCCTGCGTGGCGCCGTACAAAGCTGCGGCCACCGTCCGCGCCGACAATGTATTTGCTCCGCAGCTGCTTCTTCTCACCACTGCGCTTATCCTCGAATGTGCTCGTCACTGCGTACTGCCCAGAAGACGCGGTCTCGTCGACCTCAAAGTCTATACACTGCATAGCCTGGTAATATGACGCACCCACCGACTCGAGCTTTTCGCGAAAGATTTCTTCCGTGTACATCTGACGAAGCACCAAGGTGAAGTCGTACGTCGTGTCCTTGATGTTCTCCATGAAAGTCCACACGCGTCCAGGGATTCTGCGTCAACCCTGATGAGCTGGTGTTCTTTGATTGTAATGAGACCAGTAGAGATCCACTTACACTCTCTCGCCGTCCTTGTAGGTCACGCTGGTGCGACAGGCGAAGCCGAGCTGAAGCATCGGCTCAATGAGGTCGAGCTGGTCGAGCTGTTCGGTGGTGCGCGGGAACAGGGCAATGGCACGCCCATAGGCGTCTTGGGACTCCTTCTCATGCTGCTCGAGGACACAGACTGATACTCCAAAGCGCCGCAGTTGGTATGCCATCAACAGGCCAACTGGCCCGCCGCCCACGATGACCACATCGTACTCAGTTATGCCCTCCGCGTCCATAGTGTGAGTCTCACGACGAGCAGATTCTTTTGCGAGTGCGTCGTCTGGCTTTGAGCTCAATCGCGCGAATGAAAGTGCTCGGTCTCAAAGGCGCGGACCGCAAATCCTGCCGTCAAGGCATATATGGACTTTAACGCGTTTCTGACAGCACCGCAGCCAATTCTGATGGCCGCGAGGGTTTGCCCGTCAGCACCCAGCCAGACTGGGCCGCTATACAGCTCCTAATGTCTAATCATGACTTGCGCTGTGGCACTTGACAGTCGCAGTGGCTGACTGGCTCTCTACGCTCAGCATCCATGCCGATTGGGCCCACGGCGAGACGCTGATACGGCGGGTGAGCAGGCCGGCGGCCGTCGGCGGCCCGCATTTGATATGGACCCCGCGTTATCGGGGACCGTTTCTGGCCCTGCTTTGTCGCAGGCCTAAAAGCTTCACCCTGAAGGGGAGGGTTTTCGGCTGGCAGAGCCGATCCGGCCTTGGCATTGTCGGCCAAGCCATGGGGTGGACACGGGCGATAAGGCGACCCCTGCGAGTCGTGACGGCCAACTGTAATATCCTTATCTCAATTAGTCCCAGCTAGCCAAGCCTTGGCACTGACAACTCGATTGTCTCGATCAACCAACCTCGAGCCAGGAGACCGCTCCGGATGTCGGGACCTTGGCTGGGAACATGGCGGGAATACAGCTTGCAGTCCATCCTCACGGATGGAATTGACAATGGAGCTTTCATGGTATCGCCCGTGACAGTCTTGGCATCGGGAGGCAGACTTGGTCCGCCCGGGAAAGATACCTAATGCGGACAAGTAATTGAAGGGATGGGATCTTGCTGGGAGCACTGTTGTATTTCATTATGAGCGGAATGTCTCTTCAGTCTACGGGACACAACTGCCAGTCAAGGTGTGCCCGACAAGTAATATGCCAAGTTAGTTTTTGACTGCTTTGCATGAATGCCATCCACTTGCATCTGGCAGACTCCTTCATCGTTCGAATTAATTCGTCCCACCTCTATACCCACGACTTTCAGCATGTCTCAAACGATCCCTGGCGACAAGATGCTGGATGTGTCCAACAGCCCAGAGGCGGTCAGCCTCAGTGCGGACCCGCGAGACACAATCGATCCCGTCATTCACAAGCGAGCAATGTTCAAGCTTGACATGGTCGTGATGGGCGTTTTTGGCGTCATGTATCTTTTGGCCAACTTGGATAGGAACAACCTGGTACGTTTCACGATCGGCAGCTTGGTTCGACTTCTGCAATGCCAATACTGACGAGTTCTCTCCTAATTATAGGGAAACACCAACATCATGAGGCTCCCTGAGGACCTCGGCCTCCGGGGCAACGAGTTCGGCAATGCCGTGACACTTTTCTTCGCCACCTATGTCGCATTCGAGGCACCGTGTTCCATCGCTCTCAAGATCGTCGGCCCCAAGAATCTTCTTTCAGTCTGCATGCTGGGATGGGGGTCTGTCTGTCTGGGCATGGGCTTTGTCAAAAACGTCAGGGGCCTGTACGCCTGCCGTCTCCTCATTGGCTTTTTCGAGGCGGGCTTGATCCCGTGCATCAACACCTACATCGGCATGGTGTACCTGCGGTCTGAAATGTCGGTGCGCTCCGCCATCATGTATGGCTGCAGCGCATTCGCAGGTGCTGTGGGCGGCCTGCTCGCGTCAGCCGTTTCAAATGTCCATGCAGGAGGGCTGGCGCCGTGGTCATGGCTCTTCATCATCGAAGGCATCATCACCGTCTCCTTTGTCCCCGTCTTGTATGCAGTGTTTCCCAAGGACCCGCGGACGGCGTGGTTCTTAACCGAGGAGGAACGCAACGTCATCCGCCTGCGCTTCGAGCTCAACCCTCACTTGTCGCTCGAGGACGAGTTCTCCTGTGCCAAGGTGGCCAGTGCCTTCAAGGATCCCAAGACGTACCTGCACGCCGTGCTCGAGTTCGTCCTGACGCTCTCGCTGTTCAGCTTCATGACCTTCCTGCCCGCCATCATCCGCGGCCTGGGCTACACGAGCGTCGTCGCACAGCTCCTCACCGTGCCCGTGTACGCGTGGGCGACCATCTCGTACTTCGCCATCGCCTTCCTCTCGGACAAGGTGGGATTGCGAGGCCCCTTTATCCTCGGCGCTGGGCTCTTCCTCCTCGCCGGGTACGCCGTCAGCATCGGCACCGACAGCCTCGGCGGGCGGTACGCGGCCGTCTTCATCGTGGGCACGGGCGTGTACGCCTGCGCGGGCTTGTCGATCGTCTGGCTCAACAGCAACTTTGCGGGCCACTTCAAGCGCGCCACCGCCCTGGGCTTCACCTTCACCGTGGGCAACTGCTCGGGCATCGCGGTCGGGCAGATCTTCTCGGCGCAGACGGCGCCGCGGTACCTCAACGGCGCGAAGATCACTATGGGCATGACGGCGGTCGGGATGGTGCTGACCATGGTGTACATGGCGGCACTGCACCGCGTTAATCGGCAGCGGGAGAAGAGGTTGGCGGAGTGCGAGCCAGGGACGTCGGTCAGCGCTGGAGTGGTTGTCGAGAAGCAGACTTTTAGCGACTACGATGTCACATTCCGATACAATCTTTGAGTAGGAGCTGTGATTCTACATCTTTCTGCCCCTTTCGGTTCGTGTCGGCAAGGTAGATCTACGTCTTTGTGGGGCTCGAAGGACGTCTTTCATAGCTTTGTGCTTCATTCATCGCATCCCCGCACACCAGAGCTTACCATTCTCTTATATTAAATCGCAGTTGATCTATTATACCTGTGCTATGCCGCGAAAAATAAGCAGGGCGCCGAGGACCTTGTCCTCATGAGACATACAGTGGAAAGAAAGGCGGTATTCAGCCAGAACGGGCTAATCAGTGGTGTCATTCCCCGGGGTAGCTGTATGTCTTACACGAGCCATAAGCCGTAACCACATATATATCCCTTCCATGAGCTGACGTTCCCTCCTCATACTTGGGATATACCTATCCATCTCGCCTCATTAGTCTTAGAAAGCCGGAGGCGTCTCGTTCACGCGCGATTGGTCAGGCTTGGGGCTGCTTGATATGGCTATTATTGCTATGTTTATAATTTCCTAGTTACCCAAGCCTGGTTGTGGAAACGCCAGGTGCACATCAATTCATAAGTTGAGATCCTAATTACTGCTGTGGACCGACTCCAGCGTTATTGCTTCGGGTGCTGACCATCCCCATGATCCGAGCCCAGCTCAGCAGCAGGCCTGTCGACAACAGTGCCCAGCTCCGGCGGCATAACAGTTGTCGATCCAAGCTCTGTCGGCCCTACGGCTGTGCTGCCCAGCTCTGCTGGTAGCTGATGGGACGCCTGCCACGGCGGCGGAGCATCATGACTATGGCCGAGCTCATGCGGCGAGTCGCCGGTTGCCGGATACGCCCAAGCGGCGGCCGCGGCCTTCTCACTGTCTGGCGCCGCGGCTAGCTCGTGCGGTCCCGGCGGTTGCTGATGTTGCTGCTCTTCTGGGGACGCGATGGTCTTGGACCCGCGCCTCCGCATAATAAGCCACACGGCCAGGCCTCCTATGAGCAGTGCGCCACCCACGCCGCCTACGATTCCCCCAATCATGGCACCGCTCGGACTGCTGCTACTGCTGCCAGTGCCGCCATTCGCGGGCGGGTTTGAAGTCTGCCCGCCTTGTGCCACGCTTGTAGAAGGAGGTGTGTTGCTGCTGCCAGGCGAGCTGGCCAAGGTGGATTGCGCACCACCCGCTGAGCTAGTCAAGGCTGTTGAGCTTACGGAGCTCAGAGGTGTCGTCGGTGTCGTCGTTACTACCACGGATGAGCTCAAGGATTTCGCTGTTGTCGCTGTTGTCAAACTGGAAAGGACGCTTTGGATCGCAGATGAAAGTGTGCTGGTTGCGGCTGGAGCATTACTCGAGGGCACTGCCGCCGCTCCAGTGCTAACGCTGGAGCATAAGGAGCTGAACAAGCTCTGGACCTGTTGAATGTCGGAGGCGGTGCACGAGGCGAGGAGGCAGGGCGCGAGGGCGGCGGAGACTCCGCTGCTGCACTCGCAGGCAAGGTCGCTTGTGTCACAGCCCGCCGATGCAAAGGCCGAGTTCAGACACACGATCTGTGTGACAACATAAGTACAGTTTTAAAAGTCAGTGTCCCAACACCCAAAAATTATCCTTCCCCGTCTTTCAGTTCCATCGATGACACTGGATACGGCTAACTTGTTCGGCCAGGGACTGACTTACAGCGCAGGTGGGCAGGTTGGCGGCAGACTGGGCCGCAGCCGTGGATGCCACAGCCAGAATCAGAGAGTAGACTGCGCGCATCTCGAAGGAAGATTGTCAAAGGGCGAATTGACTGACGAGATGTGGAGGACAAGATATCTCAAGGTCGGCTTAAAACGAACAGACTTGAGCATACATTTCTCGGGGTCCGTTATGGAGATGTATATAACCAGACTAGCTACAAAGCTGAAAACTGCGGCTGAGGAGCATGGGCGACTAAGTCCATGTCCCACCCCAACGTTCCATTTTCGGCTGGCGCCGCCATCCTTGATTGGATTGGAGTTGGAGGTGCGCGACAGGTTCGCTATTGTCTGTGCGTCCCGTCCAGATTTGTCTAGACCACGACCCGTGCTGTCAAAAGTCGCTAAAGTGGCGAGACAGATTTCGGCCATAGTCACCTAAGGTCTGGCCCGGACTAGAGCGGGTTCTGCCATACTGCGACGAATCCTAGACTTTGCATTGCTGAGACCGCCCCTCGACCACGGGGACGTCTTTCTGCCATCGGGCTGTTCGCTGGCGAATTTGATTGCCGGCGGTCCTGTCCTGGGCTATCCTAGAACGATGATCTGCGCATCTTTCCTCTCGATTTGCTCCACAACTCTGTGCGCCGATTTCTCGTCATCGTGGAGGCCGGAAATCGATGCATAGTCCACGAAAATGTGAGTCTGCCGGGCCAGGTCTTCTTCGTCGTCTACCCCCGGGTGGTGATCTCCTGGGCTCCCATCGCACGGGTATTCCGACGGACAGTGGAGCCTTTGGCAGTCTGGTCGCAGCAGCAGGACATCGATCAGGTCCGGAGAGTGCACAGCCACGTCTCCGGCCTCGACTGTATTGCTGCATAGACCTATCAGGCCCGAGTCCAGCACAATCAGGGCGCAGTTGGCGAGACGCTCCTCAATGCTGGCGGTCATGTGCTGATATCGTCGAGAGTGGTAACTATGATCTGCTGGGTCCGGCAGGGGCGAGCGCAGAGCGTACGGCAGCAAAAGCCACAGAGGCACCTCATGCTGGTCTATCTGGACGTTTTCGTTCTCTACCGTCAGTAGAAGCCTGCTCAGGCGCGTAAAAAGGGTCTCGGCGGAGGTGATCTCTCGCAGGGCGAAGTCGTCGGCGGCTGCACATGACTGTGTCATCAAAGAGACAAGCTCATTGATCTGCAGCAGCTCCTCTGATGATCCCAGGCGCTGAGAAACGACGGGGATGCCGAACTTGCTCGATGCCGCCTGGTGGAATTCGCCCAGCAGCGGCAGCTCTGACCTTGGCCAGGCTGCGCTCAGTATCGCGGCGGCCACATCGGCAACGCCCTCGGCCGTGCTAGGGAACAGCAGATGGTGAGTCACGCGACCCAAAGGCTTGACCGCGAGCCGTATCCGATCACCTCGCCCTGATTCAAAATCGTCAGACAGCCACTCGATGTCCTGCGGCGGCTTGACAGTCGCGGGGATTCCGGGGGCATACATCGTTGTATGCTTGCGAGTCGTCATGTCAGGAAGCCAGCTTGCGTATGGCACTTCCTCGTCGTCTTGTGATATGTCCTGTGATTCTTCTCCCTCCTGGCTTCCACAGCTGTTGGTGTGCTTCGCTCGTCGCCGCCTTCTCGACAAAGCATCCCGGTAGGGCATATAAGCCTTGCAGATCAGGCCTAGTGATGGTGGGGCCTCAAAGTTGAATACATAAAGCAAGGCGTCCCGTACTACCCGCTCGACAGGCTTGCGGTAGTCGATGTTGAGGAGCACTTCCCTAGCCACTTGCGTCATTGCAGCCAGTTCTTCCTTTTCTTTGGACGGAGCAGCCACAATGGGTTGCAGGACTGCGAGGACAACAAAGATCTTGTCCCGTGGCTCGGAGCAAAGCCGCCGGCAAGTCGCGGTGAGGAGCGATGACATCATGAACGACGACGACTCCTCGTTGTTCGCGAGGATATTTCCCGGTCGTTCATCGCGCACAAGCATTAACGTTTGCGTAACGTGGTGAAACTGAGACAGCAGCGCACGGGGAGAGGACATATCGCCGAGCAGGATCATCGTCTGCTGCTGCGTCGGGGTCAACTCTGCCGGTGAGGTCTTCACGACTTGCTCCCAGGCCTCGTGGGCAAAATGGGGCGTCGGGATTTCATAGTGTCTGCGCGGATCATAATCCTCCACCCGCCTGTCGTCAATGTAGAACTCTGCGCGGCGACCTGGGAGTATTGACTCCTGGAGCGTCCACATTCTCTCAAAGTAGGGCAGGTCGTTTAACTCGGCCTGTCCTGCGAATATGGCCGCGGTCAGCATTAGCTGCTTCTCGCTGGACAGGCCTTGTCGGTCCCACGCGAGGCGCAATTGTGTCCATGGGACGTCCGATCCGTGCTCGACTTGCCGCCGATATTGTAGGTAGGCCTCGAGATTGGATGTTAGGCTGCCCAGCTGGCACCGGACGCTGATGGCCTCCCGATAAATCCGGCTCATGATGCTAAGTTGAGAGCTCTTCTCGTCGTCGTCGGCTTGGTGGATGCAGACAGCGTCCACCCAGAAATAGACCGTCTTCATATCGCTTGACATCATGGAAAGGGCGTGATGAAGATTGCGCGTGATGGTCACCTCGACGCCATTGACAGTCATGGGCGTCGTCTCCGTCGGATCCCCCCAGACGTACGAGAGAGCCACGAACGCTGGTCCATCGTCGAGTGATACGACATCCATCGCGCAGCGTGGCAGAAACAGACTCTGGGACTTCCTGGGACTCTTCGATACGGCCTGGTCATGCTCGCTGGAGGTAGACGTGGACGCAGGCTCAAACTTGAGCAGCCGAATTTGGGACCGGGTCGGGTCCAGAGGCGAGTAGAGCTGGGACATGATGCCCGTCACCTGGAGATGGTGACGAGAAAAATAGCCTTCTACAAAAAGGATTAGTTGCGCGTTTGTTGATGGAGATAGTTCCAGGTTGAGGGCTCCGTCACAGCTTATGAACAGTGAGGGGGGGGGCTCCCTCAGCCACACAAGCATCGTCCGAGAGACAGGGGTCGGCCTGGCCCTGCTTTTCAGCTTCGCTTGGCACTGATGTTTTGTCAGCAGGGCGTTTTTTACAACAAACGTCCTCATTCTCAAGGGCCATATGTGCTCCCAGGCAGCATAAACCTGAGATGCCGCTCACTTACACAAGCCTGAACAGCGCAAAAGTCCAGGTCCGCGTGTTGAGGATCCTGGACACGAAACGCAGCAAGTCGACATCACAAGGCTCGGTCGCAAGCAGCGGGCTCAATTGCGCATTGGACGTCATCTCACTCGACGATACAGCCAAGTACGCGGCCCTCTCATATGTCTGGGGCGATTCGAGCACGAGCACCACCAGCATCACGATAGACGGCATCACAGTTTCTACCACGGAGAATCTCCATGAAGCTCTGCTATGGTTTACCAAACACCGGGCCCGCGGACTGCCGATATGGGCCGATGCGATCTGCATCAATCAGGAGGACCTAACGGAGAAGAGCAGCCAGATCGGCCTGATGAGTCGGATATATCAGGAGGCGCACGAGGTCATCTGCTGGCTCGGCCCCTCAACGCCGCACATCGACAAGTTCCTGCGCTGGAAACCACTGCTTGCACAATCGCACCCAGGGTTGCCCATATCAAGCGTCCGGGAGGCTCTCTTTGAGACCTGCATGCTGGGCCGCGGCAAGCTCAAGCACGGGAGGAAGCTCGAGATGATGCGCATCGTCATCGGGCAGACCGAGTTCCTGCGTCTCAGCTACTTCAGACGCATATGGACATTCCAGGAGTCCCTGCTTCCGGGAGTCAAAGCGCGGTTTGTCCTCGGCGGCGAAGTCTTGAAGCATGACCTGCGCAAGTTCAAGTCGGTTAGGCCGCCCTTCCCGGACTGGGTTCTTCGCGAGCCTCCAGAGGAGGACCTGAGGGTGAAGTCGGCCAGCGTGCGGAAGATCATTGCGACGGCCCACGACTCCATGTATACGGACGCCAGGGCTGCTGTGCGCGCCGCTGCTGCAGACGCCGGGTTCTTACAGGGCATGCTTCCCCATGACCAGAACTACCAGCTTTGCGACCTGCTGATGGCAACGAGCGAGCGGGCCTGCAAGGATCCGAGGGACAAGATATATGCGGTGCTGGGACTACTGCAGCAACAGCGGGGCAGAGGCCAGGCCTTTGAGGAAGCCCGGGCGGCATTGCTAGCCGTGGACTATTCCAAACCAGTCGATGCGGTAGTCCGGGACGCGCTCTACTACTCGTTCTTGGACGAGAGCATGGCTTCCGTTGCGGGGGCAATCCTGCGTTTCGAGCCACGGCGGCATGGCCTGGCTTCCTGTGGAATGCCCGAGGATGGTGTGCCGCAGCGAAGCAAATGGTCCACCTGGTTGCCGGATCTGACGCGGCCGAGATATCCCATCCAGGAAGAAATTCTTCACATGCAGTGGCGGAACCAGAACATCAAATGGCACGGGGCAAAGGGCGCGAGCCCGGACATCCTAGAGTTCGAGGCCAGACGCATCGGCCGCGTGCTGGCCTGCTGTTCTTTCCCGGATGCGACAGTCGACATCATCGACAAATTCGCATACATGCTGCAGAAGGTTGCGCGCCCAGAGGATGAGACTAAGGAGACGTCAAGTGCCCAGACATATAGACCGACTGTGCGTCAGGATGTATGCGAGACTTACGCTGATTTCGAAACTGTCTTTTCAATGGTCACATCAAAGTCATCTCTGCTGTCGATACTCGTCGATCCTCCATTGAAAAGTTACGATGCCCGGTTGTTCGACTACCTCAGAAACCCCGGGGAGGATTTGTGGTCAGACCTCCAAGCAGCAGTACGGCGCGCGCCCGGTGCGCACACTCCACGATCAAGAGCCACGCTACGGCGCGCCGAGATAGTGGCTGAGGCCTTGCGAGGCAAGTCGCTCATCGTGCTCGATGACGGTCGGTCCGGCATGTGTGACAACAGAGTCCGCGTTGGCGATGTGGTGGTCCTAGCTGATGCGTTCCGATGTTGCTTGCTCCTTCGGCCTACTGACACGGGAAGGTTGAGAGGCGAGACGAGCAACGGAATTGAGGATGGACAAGAGAATCTGGCCCACGTTGGAAGTCGGTACCGCTTTGTGGATTGCCCGCCGGTGATGCAAGGCTTAACTGGCGCACTAATCTACGAGTGGGGATCGTTCGATGGGTTGCCTGAGATAGTTTACGAAACCATTCATTTGATCTGGGCAATTACTACACGGGCATGAAGAATTGCTACCCGGGCATGACTCTTACACGGGCATGACCTTTTGCAGCCTCTGATTGGTCCATCCCTTTTTGTTAGTGCATCTAGATTCTGCCAACGCTTCCCTTGTACCTCGGGATTAGCTCTCCACCACGACGATCGACGAGACATATGGAAGCTATTCACTAGCTAGCTACTACACCAATTACCTCTTGTCGCATGTCAAGCCTACTGATAATGATTGTTCGTGAAAGATACCATATTTGTCAAGGTCCCAGGGCTCCAGGCGTGGTGTGTTAGGCCCCCTGCTGAGACCAACACTCAAACACACGCTGTATCAGGAATATCCAATAGCCTCATCTTCCAAGGCATCTGCATCACAAAGCAGGTCATTCCTTTGTGCTGAAATTGGTCCCCTCTTTCCTTCTTTCATAGTCAAATCAACTGCCCCTTTAACCATGCTCTCATCCGTGCGTGCGACACTCTTCCTGTCGCGATCAAGGCCGTCATTATGTCCCAGCCCGGCTCTCGATCTAGCTCAGCAAGCAACCAACGACTTCGAAGCTATCAATTACGTCCTCGAAAACGACAGCGGCAGAACCAATCTGAGAGTTCAAGACCACCTTCGTCTAATAGCACAGGGACGAGCATTGGCCCACACTATGGCGTGGGAGACGACGAGGCACTCTGTAATGCTTTCGCCTCGTACCCAGAGACCTTCACGACCGCTCCACGCCCCCATGGATCGCGTGGGCTGAACGAGCCACCATGGGAGCTGCGATTCGATCATGAGATTCACCTATCGAATGATTTCCCAACCCGAGGAAGACGGTCGCAACGAGTAAGAATGCCTATACCAGGCCCGGAAATCGACCAGCCACCTGCCTGCTCTCCACAACAATCAGCACAAGAACAATTCTCTCCAACAAGACCCCAGTTTCAGTCCGCCCTTAGGCTAGTGCGCGAGGTGATTGGGACAGATCGAAGACTTACCATCGAGCTCGTCCGGTCATACGAACGAGTCCGCCAATGGCGCGAGATATGGGGCTACTCGCCGCTCAGTTCAACTCCATTCGAATCATCTCCGCCATACTCGCCTCCCCGAGAAAGGCACTCTCCGCCTATCGCCTCGCCGCCCTCGCCCGACCACCCCTTGTCGCCTGTCCCTGACCCGATCCCGAACCCACCTATCCCAGACGACCCAGCGCCGTCAGCCGAAGTCCTGTTCGAGTGGGTGAATACTTTCGCGAAGGCTAATGGCTTCGGTATTGTTCGACGAAATGCCTACTCATATAAGGGTCGGAAGATCCGGTACTCTTTCCAATGCGATCGATTCGGAGAACCACGCCCCTCAGAGAGTACCGGTATTCGGCAACGGAAGTCTCGAAAGTGTGGTTGTAAATGGATGGTCATTGCCGAAGCACTGGAGGAGGGTAGATGGCTTCTACGACACCACGATAATTCCGAGCATAGCCAGCATAACCACCGGGCCAGTATCAAACCATCCGCCCATCCCTCCCACAGACGACTCACTACACCTATCAGGGCAACAGTCGAATCGACAAGCCGTCGGGTCGGAATTCGGGCCCGTGACGTACGCGCGATCGTCCTGGAGCAGCATCCCGAGTCATCTTTTACACGAAAGGATATCTATAACGCCAGGTCTCGTATCAGTCGAGACAAGTTGAGCGGCCACACTCCTACTGCAGCACTGATCAAGCTGTTCGACGAGATGGAGATTCCCTATCTTGTTAAGTGGGCGGATGATGAGCCAAACCGCCTCGTCGGTCTTGTCTGGACCTTTCCGTACTGCCTCCAGATGTGGAAGCGGTTTCCTGAGGTCATCAGCTTCGACAACACATACAACACCAACCGCTTCAAGCTTCCATTATTCCAAGCAACAGGACAGACCTGCCTTGGTTCTGTCTACAATGCGGCGTTCGGTCTGATCGACAACGAGAGACGGGAGGGGTTCCAGTTCCTCTCTGAGAGCATTCGACAGATCTCAGAGCAGCACTCTATTCGCCAACCGGACGTTATCATTACTGACTTCGACGGTCAGATGAAGGCCGCCCTGAATGATCAGTTCCCTGATGCACAGCAGCAGCTGTGCATCCACCACATCAATTCTAACGTCTTGCTCAAGTCAAAGCAGAAGTGGGTCAAGGGCCAATGTAGCAGTAGTAGTCCCGACAGCAGCAACGGGGAGGACTACGCTCCACAGGCACAGGCTGAGCTCGGCCCGAAAGACGGACAGTTGGTCAACGCGCAGACAGCTGAAGTCGTCCCTCATAGCCATCGAGGGGTTCTCATGATGTGGAAGGTCGTCTTGTTTGCGGAGACAGAGGAGGCTCACGAGAAGGCGTGGGGAAGCCTCTGTAGGGAATTTGACGATCAGCGGGCCATCCTGCGGTATCTTCATGGAACCTACATGCCTGTCAGGGCGCAGTGGGCACGATGTTTCATTCGCAACTATCGCAACTTCGGCATACGCGTCACATCTGGGACAGAAGCAAGCAACAACAACATCAAGAGCTATCTCCTGAATGGTATGAGCAATCTCTATCGGCTTATCGAGGCTATGCAGGACATGATGAAGGACCAGGAGCGAGATTTCAACGACGCCTGCGCAGCGGACGAGGTACTTACCGCGCGAGAGTACATAGGGTCCAGCTCGGAGTATCTAGGCGAACCCCGGACAGCACTCTCTTCGAAGGGTCTCGGGCTTATCAACAAACAATATCGGCTAGCAAGGAAAGCAATGCCGACGGGGAAGAATCCGTTCCCTGACCCCATTGGCGATTGCAGTGAGGACTGCTCGGTTTCGACCGAGCTTGGAATCCCCTGCTGCCACACAATCTACTCAAAGCTGGTGAGTGGCACGCCTCTCACCAAATGGGAGGTCCATCCTCGGTGGCGCCTACGAGAGCCATCCTCTCGAGATCCATACCGACGAATCCTCGACCCTAAGATCGCCACTGCTCTCCGTGGCAGACCTAAGAACACCACACAGGCTGTTCCAGCGCGGCTAGCCATTGAGGCAAGCAGCCAGCCGAGTGGCCAACGAGCCAGCAATCCAGCAAGCCAAGCGACAGGGCGCAGACGAGGTCGACCACCAGGAAGTCACAACAAGTCAACGCTAGCTAGGCTTGCTCTGGAAGCGAGCCAACAGGCCAGCAGCCAGGCTAGTAGCCAGGCCAGTGCCTCATCCCAGCGCCAGACGCGCAGCCGGTCAGCTGTTCTTGGAGCTGGAAGAACTACAGGAGTACGTGCCAACGGACGGAAGACGCAATCTAGCATTCGCAGGCGAAGGAGTCAGTGGGAGCTGCTTTACAGCGACGAGGAGGTTCTTCCATCTATAGTAGTTAGAGGATAGAGATATAGATAGCTGCCCTCTAGGGCGTGCTGGAATTGGCCGTGTTCTGTATTGAAAACCAGACCTTGTTTTGATATACGCCTAAGACCTGTTCTAGAGGCCTGGTTGACCTGGTTGGTTCTGACTATACCGAAAGCACGGCCTTGTTAAGAGAGCTTGCTTCACCGCCTTTGCACTGATGTACCTGTGGGTCGAAGGAAAAAAATGAGCGAATCAGAGGCGATAGAAGTCATGCCCGTGTAAGAGTCATGCCCGGGTAGCAATTCTTCATGCCCGTGTAGTAATTGCCTTGATCTGATGGAGTATCCGCAGATTTATAGCATGATGGGGTCTGCAGGCCGGGACTCTCCGTGAGGGAACAGTGTCGAGCTCCTACCGCATGTGAAACCCTTCGACTCGGCGCAATCTTTAGGCTCCCGTGCAATTCTTAAGCCGTGTACTAGCCGTCTTTTCTTCACTGGGTGGTAACGCTGCTTATTTTGGGACCTTCGCTAGCATTTATGATGTAGAATCTCTGGTCTTTCTGCCCAGATATTCTCCCTCGTATCCTGACGCAAGATCGGCTACCAGCAAACCTTACATTGACAGCCTTCTGCAGGGCATTCCCTCGGCTGTCCTTGTCCCCACCTGCGGGGCTGGCCGGACTAGCTTCGAGTAGAAGCAGCGCCAGGCCCTATGTGGCCCTGCTGGGGTCAAGTCTCAGATACCTATCCCTGGTGACCAGAGGTAATTGAGACAATCATAGCAACCTTATGCAACGCCATTGTACGCATGTCACGCTTCTCACCGAGACTGAGCTTGTAGTGTTGACAAGGAACCAAAAGTCAGTGACTCTCCATATGGACGACAGGAGGAAGAGGCTTTGTTTTTCCATATGCAACGAGGGTTAATGAGCATTGTGCTAGGCACCATATTGCCGAGTTTTCTGCTCGCCACGACGGCGATGATTTCATGGTTTAACATTTCATGGCCAGCAGCTACATTTCCTCAAAGTCGGCAACAAGACTTTTGCATGTCGAAATAGCAGCTGTTGCTTGCCCAAGATCTGAGGAAAGAGCGGCCCCGCGTCCCGAATGCGATGGTTCTGTATGAATCATCATATACGAACCGGATAAAGAGATTGTACTCTCCAAATGGCATGACTCAGCGCCTAGTCCAAACCTTGCGCAGGCGTAACATATGCCAATAACGATCGAGGTCCGTGCTCGGCAAAAAGAGGCTGTCGTAAGGACGAGTGGGGTCAAAAGTGCCGATCTCACCATCATCTGGAACTTGTACATACCACGGAATCTGTGGGCTGGCCATTGCTCGCAGGGATAACAGCATGGTGTCATGCTCCCACTACACCATGTTCAGAACCCATAAGGGCTTGTGATTCGATAAGCACCATCCTTTCAACACGTGATGGCCTGCAGGCGCAGGTAGGGCCCGGCCACAGAATCTGCTTGATCGCATAGGCTGGCAGTCAGTACCTCCAGGGCTGTGGGGAAACACTTTGGTGCTTGATCCTCTGGCATTGGTGAGGGGTTGAGCATCGCGGACAGGGGCGGGGTTCATCACGCCACGATATGCAGGACATCGGAGTGACATGTCTAGGGAACCCTGCAAGGAGTCCAGGCCGGCAAATCACCCATAATCGGGTGCATCGGTCCGATCGAAGGCATGCATCATCGGGCTGCATCATCGGCTTACTGGCACCCGCCGACAAGGTGCCAATGTGCGCAGAATGTGATCTATCGGAGATTGGCTTTCCAGGGGGGTCCGCGGCACGTCCTTTGCATGCATATAAACTGTCCCACGGCAGTGTAGATGACGAATCTCGACTCAAACTTCACGTCACTCTCGTCCCAAAGATGTCCAGCCACTCAACATTCTTCCCCCACCCTTCGGGGACCGCACCCGAGAACCCAGACACGGCTAACCCGGCAGACCCCAGCCCGCAAGAGCCCATGTCTGGCACCCTTCCGGCAGCAGTCATCCCTATTGTCGTGCTCGCAGCATCGGTGCTGCTTTTTCTTCTGATAATGTATGCTAAGGCCGAAGCTCCGCAGGGGTGCATACAGGATCCTGTGGGAAACCCACTGACCCAGTCAAGCATGTTCAAGCGACATGAACCACCCGAGGCTCGGATGGAAAGGAGCCAACAAATGGCCAATCAGCGAGTCAGTCTTTTGGACAAGCAGCTCCAAGCCGAGCTGTTCAGCAAGTGGCGGGGGAGGCAGCGGATAGACTCGGCCCGGCCATCGCTACCAGCTGCCGTCCCTGCTCCGGAATCCCGCCTCGAAGGTCAACTTTGGTAAGTCTTGTCTGTCGCGTCTCTGGATCCTTCGCAACGGATATAAAGTTTTGCGAGACCGTTTCGGATATGAGATTTGTTCTCTAACGAGTAGTTACTGATTGGCTCCTGAAAAAGCATCATCTGCCTGGATGCGATACAAGATATGGCTCTGATCAGAGCTCTGGCATGTCAGCATATTTACCACAAGGCGTGTTTTGACAAATGGTTCGAGCGGGATCATGACGTGTGTCCTCTGTGCCAGAGAAAGGTGCTGTGTGATAAAGCCTCCCATAGTCACCGTTTAGAACGACTGGCATGAGAAATCCTTGTAACGTACAATATATTTGCGCCGCTATGTGCGAGGAATAAATCTTGGGGATATGACCACTGTGTGTCCGCCATGGCAAAGTGATACGTTACAGGGGTGCCCTGTCTGGGTTATCAAGGGGAGCCTTTCTTGGCGAAACTCTAGCCATGTCGTGTAACGGGCGCGTTTCGATCCGATTGGCCACCGCCGGTTGTGCTACTGGCGCAATGCTTGATTATGCAGAGCAAAGGCACAAGCATATGCCGTTTTGCGAATCAGTTGCAGCTCAAGATAGCGGGCGGATCGGTGATTAGCCGTGGTCAATCTCTGTCGCGAGCATGCGCAAGGCACAATGATGATCTGAATGGCCGAGCCACGCCATCGGGTCAGTACGAAAGCAGCATTCAGCCCGACAGCGGGTACATATAAGGCATCTGCCGTTTCTCCACATATCTTTGCCAACGGCTCAGCACGTCAAGCTGCTCGAAAACGTTTATTGTGCAGAGTCAGTCTTGCCCACTCCAGATTTCTATCGAGGACAAGCATCTCCCAGGCTGAGCGGAGAACGCCATGGAGTGGGAGACAACCCTGGTCCCATACCCGCATCTCCCCAGGTGGGCCCCGGAGCATTGCTTCAACTTCATCATCCCGGATTGCATCCAGACGGAGTCACCAAGTCTCGTATCAACTATCAGCAGTCACGAAGACGACACGGACGCAGTCGTACTGTCAGGGCCAGCCGAGTTACAGGTCTCAGAAATCCATCCTCTGCCGTTTCAAGAAGACTGCCACCCGAACTGCACAGAGCTCGACCCCGGCCTCGCAAAGCAGGATAAGAGCAAGACACGGATGAGCAAGCAAGGAGTAAGGATCAATGAAGCGGGTACTCGGGCTAGACATGGCGACAGCGGAAACAACAGCGGCCTCGACATCGTGGAGGTACACTCTGTGGACAGCGACACCGTCTCGCCGCACGCGAAGAGTGAGGACTGTCACGAGCATCACAAACCGCGCATCGTTCCCGCATGTCCAGAGCAGCACGGCATCACGCCAGTCACGCAGGTGCACGAGCAGGGACTACACACGCGAGTTCTGGCCGACGGCAGGGACGCACGGCGCCAGCGCAACGTCATGGCGGCACGTAAGAGTCGCGCAAAGAAGAGGGTGGAAAACGGGGTGCTCGAGGGCAAGGTCCTGGCGCTTGAGAAGAAGTCCCGGGCGCTCGAGATGCAATGGTACAATGTGCGCGCGAGTTTCAACAAATTCCAACAGGAGCTCGACTCCATGAACGCCATATGGTTGGAGGATTTTGCGCAAGTGTCTTGATTTTCCTTTTGCCCACGAGCTCCAAAGGGTATAATTGCTGTTCTACATCTGGTCTGAGGGCGGTATGTTCAAGGTATGGATTTTGCGACAGCGGTCGAGTTTGCGTGAATAATCAAAAAGTTTCACTGCTAGAAGGTGAATAAAAAAAAACAAATGAAAAACAAGCACAGAGGTCACTTGTTCGCAAGTTGTAATCGTCAGGAGATAATTTGAATGAGAATTTGATCACATCACTTCGATTCTCGAGGTGACCAATGCCTGACTGACGCGACATGCTCGGAAAGCGACCGGGAGAAGCTCACTCGCCAGACAAGGTGGAAGGGATGTGTCGAGGTGAGAATGTGCTGAGGGAGCATTCTTCCCGGGCTCACCATTTGACAACGGCATCACCACAAGCTACATGCCTGACTGCATGTCAGGGTCCGGTGGCCCGACATACGATGCACGCACGCCTGTACCCACTGCACTGGCGTGAATGCACGAAGCTGCACGGCTGACATGCAGGATGCACGGTTGAGCCGCAAGCTGCCTACGGACGACAGAGTTCCGCGGTGCTTCTCGTCTACCCGAGTACGAGTGGAATCACCGTACAGACGATGTACCAAAACGTCCGATTTCGGATTGAATGAGGTAAGAGAAAGCACCAGAACCTGTCGCTAAGCGATCGTTTTGCTTCTCCTGTTACAGAGCAAGTACAATCCATGTAGTGCAGGGTTATCACTAATCCTGGGAACCCTGTACAGCCGCACACCAACTCGAGAGCTAGATGCGCCACTGCTGCATCATGTTGACAACCATGCGGGGTCAAACAGCGCCACCAGACACTGCCCATTCCCTGAAACACACTTCAATTGCTACCCTGGTGAGGGACTATATCATCCCGTCCAAGACCTTGGGGCTGGTCCAGAGCCATTTTGTTGTTGTCTGTGTTTTCTTTTTTCTGGGCCACATCAGCTTGTCCTCCCTGCACCACAGCATTGCATAACAAACCGTTTCTCTAACTGATCGCCATTACAGGGACCACCAGGCCCACAATCCAAGATGGAGAAATCGAGCAGAGTTTATCCGGACCTTTCGCTCCATTGTCGTGCAACGGATGCGGCCTTGGTTGGCATCGCTGGGTGAGATGATTAGTATTCTTGATGCGCGCGGAGCTTGCCGCGCCACATGGCGTTCCACAATATCACATGCATCCCGGCAGTTTGTTGAGGGCAATCGTATCTGCAGCAGGCTTGAAGCGGCAATTGACCACTGGCGTCAGGGCAAGACAAACCGAGTTGACACGGGCCACAACATCCGATCCTTGTTTCTCTGGACCTCCTGGCCACCCCCGGTCGCGGCTGCTCACCCGTGGTCTCGGCGCGCTCCCGGGGTAAGGGGATCTGACCGGGGCTGTCGGGTCGAGCGCCACAGCCGGGGATCTCCCTTCCGTGAGGGTCTGCGGGGCAGCGAGAGTCGTCCACCAGGGGCGGTGCGGGGATCATGTGCACGGCCGACCCGGAAAGAGGCTGGCTTAGTCCGATTAGCTACTGCCCCTAGTGAGCTGGGGCAAAGTGAGATTCTCTCTGATCTTGGGAAGAACAACAACCCAACGACCAAAGGGAGTTCACCGCCTGCCAGGTTCGGTGGTGTTGCCAGCGAGGCTCACTTAGGCGGGCCGCCTAAGTGAGTCCATTCCCAGTTTTTGGGAATGGTGGTGGGCTTTGATGGGGGAGCCAGCAACGATAGCACGAAGTGCTATCGCTACACTTGCGAGGGATTATCTGATCAGGGCATTGTCAAACAAATGCAGCACTGTTTTAGATGTCAAAGTGTGAAACTGAAGATATGGCGAAAAACGGCTTGAATTGTGTGTGTGTCTCTGGCTGTCTATGGAAAGCATCACGAAAAGTAAAACAATTTATGGGGTATCTCTTATGCTCCCTAGCACGCTGATCAGACTAAGCCACACTACCCTGACATAGTAGAGCACTAGTGGTCATCCATATCTGCATGACCGTCACCTCGTCAGGCATGACGGTTACCACCAAGGACGTGACCGTTATACAGGAAGAAGTGACCACACGAACATACGATGAAGGACAAAGGGTATATAGAGACAGGAGGATCCCCCGGATAGACAGTTATTATCTTTGTACTTCAGCGATTGATCTAAGTATCAGTTTCACCGCATACTTAAACTAGTCACTCAATTGACGAAGGCTAGTATCTCTTCCCAGAGACGCGACAACCCCAAGAAGAGAGCACGATAGCAGAGTGTTAGCGTTATTGCACAGGCTTTACCTATCTCGCAGAACAGCAACCCCCAGCGCGCGCCCTGCCAGACGGTTGACCCCGGAGGCGGGATCGTGACATTCCTTTCTCACTATTAATCTCGAGCGAAACGATATATTATTGAGCATTTCGTTGGGTACTGTATAGTAGACTTTCCGCTCGATACCAAAGCAATAACTTTGTTGTCCTTCTGTTTAATAGCTAGCCGCTCTATGCCATGACTAATTCGTCCGCCGCACAGAACCTCAGATATAGCCGAAGCGATAGTCGAAGTAAGCGCCACATATTCAACCAGTGAATATAGCGGCTGCTGCTCGCGCAAATATGGGAAAGAAGAACCTCCTCTCCCGAAAAAGGTTATCATGAATGAGTGATTGTATAGCAGCTGGGTCAAGCGCTTTTCCTCTTGGAAGAGTGTATCTCAGTCTCTTGTTAGATGACGAATCTATCCTTCTCGACCAGGATCCGTCGTCAACGAAACAGACTGTTGTGAGGACGAGTGGGGGTCCATTGCCAAACCCCACTCCATGGTGGTACTGGTCAGTCATTGAGGGTAGTCTAAAGCAGCTGATCTTACGCTGTCCGTGCTACGGAACCTGAGGACTTTGTCGTTGCCAGGTCCAGCCGAAAATCAAACATCACTGATCACCCCACCGTACCACGTTCAGGCCGTAGGGGAAGTTGCAACTTGATAAGCACCACATCTTGTGACATACGACGGCGCCTAGGCGTCGGCAGGAAGCGGCCGGAGCATGTGCTCGATCAAACGGCCATCACCAGACCAGAAGGCTGCGGGGTAACAGTGTGGCACTTTATGCTGTGGCTAAGCGAAGGGCGCTCCATCGTGCGATGGGATGTCACACGACGCTATATACAGTTTCGGGGCTATATCTCCTGGAAACCTTGAAGAGCCCCCAGACCAGAAAGCCACAGATGCTCTCGGGCTTTTGCTCACTTCGGTAAAAGCGCTGGATCTTCTGTCAGGGCACCGACACCCCCGGTAAGACGGCGGCTCATTTAAAATATCCGACGTCAACCTAAAAAGTCATCGCGGCCGCCTAAAGTCGACGCCGAATAGGTTTTTAGAAGCATATAAAACACCCCAGCGGCAGCACCAACGATCGCGAGTCGGTCGCAAAACTCGCACTACACTCGTCAGCTCGTCGAGTCAAAACGTCCATTCACTCAGCATTCTCTCCTTACACTATGGAAACCTCCGCAAGCAACACCAGCATAGGTGACCCAACAGAGCCGATTCCTGGCAGCCTTCCGGCAGCATCTATCCCCGCTGTCGTGCTTGCAGCATCGATCCTGGTCTTTTTCCTAATAATGTATGTTGTTTGTTCTCCATTTCTGCTGCTGCGCCGATGCAATTCTGTTTCGCATCGCCGACACGCATCGACGAATCTCGGCAAATGTGCACACAAGACGCTTCGGTGCAAATGACTAAACCATGGAAGCACGGTCAACCAGCATGGCGCCCCCGATGCTCCGATGGAAAGCAGTCAGCAAAGAGCCAATGAACGGCTCAGGCTCTTGGACAAGCAGGTCCGAGCTGAGCCGTTCAGTAAGTGGCGCAACCGACGGCAGGCAGACCAGGCGCAGCGGCCCCTGCGAACCCCAGCTGCCAACCCTGCTGCGGAGTCCAGCTTCGATTGCCAACTTTGGTGAGTCTGTCTCTTATGCCCATCCAGCAGTCCTCCGCAGCAAAGTAAAGCTTTTCGAGACCTCGCCCGAAACGAGTAAAGATTTCTGATATGTATTGCTAATCGACTCCTGCTATAGCGTTATCTGTCTGGATGTTATCCAAGATACAAGCCCGATCAGAGCTCTCGCATGTCAGCATATTTACCATAAGACGTGTTTTGATAAGTGGTTCAAGCGGGATCATAACATATGTCCTCTATGCCACAGACAAGTACTATACGATAAAGTCAATAAAGTTTCCGTATAGCAGGGCTATTCCGGAACTACTTGTAATAGATCTCTGTATGATCACGGTGTACTTGAGCTGTTATTCGTGACAAACAAACATCAGGATATGACCCTTGTCTTGAGTGACCGATGTGCGCCTCAGGAACGCCCACATGCTGCCAAGGCTACACGTATGGGTGATTGGGGACTGCCTCTCTTGACAAATCTCTGGGTATTGTACCGGGCTGAGCTTGGTCCGATTGGCCACCGCCCACCGGGCTCGTTGCGGAATGTGATTACATGATGCATATCAGGAGCAGAAGCAGGTGTAATGGGCTATTGTGACTTGGTATAGCTCAACACGACAGGCTTCTGCTATCCGCCATGGACGATCTGACTCGCGAGGTCGCTTCTGTACTTGGCTCACTTAAGCATAATGGTGTTCTAGGCGGGCTCTTTGCGCCGCTTAGCCGTAAAGAAATCACAATTTAGCTCGCAGCTTCCGTGGTATAAGTTGTTTGATGGTCCTCCACATTTCTTTCACGGTTCAATGTGACGAGGGGTTGGGCTGTCGCGCATACGGATTCTTGGAGCAATTCCAGCAAAGTTGACGTTGGGTGAAAGGTACCATTCTCCTGTTTGAGAGTCCTTGGGAGATTGAAATGGTTTAAAAAGAAAACAAAATATGACTGGAATGACAACATTAGAATGAGAAGTTGATCTTGTCGTATCTGGGGGGTAAAAAATGCATCCGAAAGTGACCCAACCAAGGACGTCAAGAAGCAGATAGGAGATTGGCCACAGACTGCGTACCACGCTCGGGCCAGCAGTACTGGGAATAATCTGCGCTCGCCCGAAAGGGTGGGACTGCGTACCGAGCCACGAGCAGTAGGGAGAACCTGTCGGTGGCGCCACGAAACAACCATGGTTCTGCCCCAGATGAGCTGAGAATCTGCTGCGTGACCATGCTTTCAGCAAAGCCCTCTGTCTCAAGAATAACCAGCACTTCACATGTCTGTGCCGATGTCAGGCAAATCCGGTGGCCTGATCTGCGATCCACAGCTGACCCCAGAGCCCCCATGGCAGTCAGCAGCAAGTGTGGCGTGACCGCAAAACTATGAGGGCTCACCCGCTAGTCGCTATGGAGGACACAAACTACAGCCACTGGCTGCCCGCAAGCCATGCACAGCCAGTCGGAGAATGTCATCAAAAATTACCTGTCCGCTTGAATAGCCACTACTGATTCCGGCTAGGTGGGGGACTATATATTAGGCAGCCCAACGCTTCGTGAATAGACCTCGAGCATTTCATCACTTGCCATCGGAATAGAACGAGTAACACAATCATTGGCGGCAGGCCCTATTGGAAGCAACCCTCCCGGATCAGTCTGCCATACCTACTCCACACGGGCTCTCAGAAGAGATTATTCACTTGCCAAGCGCCACCACAGAAATTACCAGAGCCACAATCTACAAATGGACGCCTCGGACGGGTTTATCAGACACTTTCGCACCTTGTCTCGCAAAGATACCGCCTTAGTTGGCGGTAAGAACGCGTCACTGGGTGAGCTGATTAGCACCCTTGATAGCGAGCAGGTTGCTGTGCCACATGGCTTTGCCACAACATCCCACGCATACTGGCAATTTATTAAGGCCAATGGCATCCGCGACAGGCTTGAAGCTGCCATCGACCACTGGCGCCAGGGAAAGACAAACCTGGTTGATACGGGTCATAATATCCGATCTTTGTTTCTCGGGGCCTCCTGGCCAGGCCCGGTTGCGGCTGCAATCGAGGCTGCTTATCATGCCCTCGGCGCCATGGCGGGGGTGGACGATCCGAGCGTCGCAGTCAGGTCAAGCGCCACAGCAGAAGATCTCCCTACCGCAAGCTTTGCGGGGCAGCAAGAGTCGTACCTGAACATACGCGGCGCCGAGGAAGTGCTGGCCGCTTGCCGGCGATGCTATGCGTCGCTCTTCACGGACCGGGCCATCAGCTATCGCGAAGCCAAGGGATTCGACCACACAAGCGTGGCGCTCTCGGTTGGTGTGCAGCATATGGTCCGCGCGAACCGGGCAGGGGGCGGAGCAGGGGTCATGTTCACCATCGACCCCGAGAGTGGCTACGACCAAGTGGTTCTGATCAACGCGTCTTGGGGACTAGGCGAGACTGTCGTGCAGGGCACGGTCGACCCAGACGAGTACGAGGTGTTCAAACCGCTGATTGGGAGTAGAGGCGGTGTTGTCCCCATTGTGAACAAGACGTGTGGCAGCAAGGCCATCAAGATGGTTTATGGAGGCGAGGCCGAGACGGACGCCCCAACGACTAGCGTGCCGACGACCCCTGCTGAGCGTGCGAGCTTCGTGCTCAGCGATGACGAAATCTTGCAGCTTGGACGATGGGCATGCGTGATTGAGGGACACTACGGCTGCGCCATGGATATCGAGTGGGCAAGAGATGGGGTTTCGGGCGACCTCTTTGTGGTCCAAGCACGACCCGAGACGGTGCACTCGCAAAGGGGCCGGCCTGGCTCTGCTAGCGAAGTGGCTCAGACATATCTTGTCCGTGAGCCTGGGCCGGTCCTGGCCACTGGCCATGCCATCGGGACCGCCGCAGTAGCAGGCCAGGTCTGCCACATTGCGTCGGCTCGCCACATGGACCGCTTCGTCGACGGCTCCGTCCTCGTCACCGAGACCACGGACCCTGACTGGGTTCCGCTCATGCGGCGCGCCGTGGCTGTTGTCACCGACCACGGCGGCCGGACCTCGCACGCTGCCATTGTCAGCCGCGAGCTTGGCCTTCCTGCCGTCGTCGGCTGCGGGAATGCCACCCGCGTGCTGCATCCCGGCCAGGACGTGACGGTGGATTGCTCGCGGGGCACTAGCGGTCATATCCACGCCGGGCAATCTGAGATTGTGGCGCAGACGCTCGATCTCGCCGACCTCGGTCCGGCTCACACAAAAGTCATGCTCAACCTGGCGGACCCTGCCGCGGCGTACCGCTGGTGGCGGCTGCCTCATGACGGCGTGGGCCTCGCACGCATGGAGTTTGTCATCAGCAGCGTCATCCAGGTGCACCCCATGGCCCTACTTCGCTACGATGAGCTTCCCGATGGCGACGACAAGCGACAAATCGCCCGCCTGACTGCCGCGTACACGTCCAAAGAGGACTATTTCGTGGACAAGCTGTCGCGAGCGCTGGCCGCCCTGTGCGCCGTGGCGTACCCCAGGCCCGCCATCATTCGCCTGAGCGACTTCAAGACCAACGAGTATGCACGCCTGCTAGGGGGCACCATATTCGAGCCTGCCGAGGAAAACCCCATGCTCGGTCTCCGCGGCGCGGCGCGCTACTACTCGTCCCGGTACAGGGACAGCTTTGGACTAGAGTGTCGTGCCATCCAGCAGCTCAGGGACCATATGGGCTTCACAAATGCCATTGTCATGATCCCGTTCTGCCGCACGGTGGAGGAGGCGCACAAGGTCCTCGAAATCATGGCTGGCCATGGGCTCGCGAGGGATCTCCCCGTCAACAACCAGGAGCGCCTGCAGGTCTACGTCATGTGCGAGATTCCGTCCAATGTGATCCTCGCCAACGACTTCGCGGCCATTTTTGATGGGTTCTCGATTGGGTCCAATGATCTAACCCAACTTACGCTAGGAGTTGACCGCGACTCCAGCGAGCTAGCGGGCCTTTTCAACGAGCAGGACCCGGCCGTCAAATGGATGATCGAGCGGGTGATCACGGCCGCTAGTTCGACGAAAACAAAGATCGGCTTTTGTGGTCAAGCACCCAGTGACGACCCCACTTTTGCAAGGTTCCTCGTCGGTCTGGGGATCAATTCCATTTCCGTGAGCCCAGATAGCTTTGTGGCGGTCAAAAGAAACGTGGCCGAGGCGGAAGCGGCACGGGCGAGGCCGGGCACGCCGAATGGGACCTGACATGGGCATTGTTCTGCCGGATGGGATATTGTTTGGTATGCGCGATGGCAGTCATTCATAATTCAACTCCGATGTTGTCAGTTAATGTTAGCAATTGCAACTCATTGAACCCGTCTCTGTATAGCCGAGCCTCACTGATTCGTGCATATGGCATGCAAGATGCGGTACTTGCTTGTAATCACATGTTTCGTGCCGGTGGTCGCCGCAAAGTAAATTAACTGCCCAACATGCAGACCTGTATGATTGACTGGCTGCGGCTGATAGGCACAGAAGGACCCCGCGGGAGGGCATGCAGCCGGAATACGATGGTGATCTGGATATCTGCGTCACCTTTGTAGTGATACAAACTCTGCCAATCCCAGTCCTGTGACGCCATGGTGGCGTCTTTTCATCAAGCGTAGCCGCAGTGGCGTCGAGGAACACGTTGCCCCCGCAGGACGAGCGGCTGGATTGAACCTACTATGGTAAGCAGTGGCAGGCGGGAGCCGGCGGAACACATGACGTTCTGAAGGCTGTAATCCGACCGCTGTCGATACTTATGAGAACTCAAATATGACATGGGGTCGAGAAGCACCAGGTCCGGACGACAGGAGGGGCGGGGTTGCATCGGTCGGTTGTGGTCTGGACCAGACCCCAAACCCTAAACCAACCCACCACATTGTCGTGCCTGACGTGCCTACTAGGGTGGCACGGCGCATTCCGAGGGATGTAGACCTGGCCATGGGCCGCCCTTCTCCATGACTGCTCGACGGGACAGGAAAGTCCATGCCGGCAGCCAGATCATATATATGCCGTACCGCGCAATGACGATGTCGTTCTCGTCATGGCCATGACGTAAATCGTTCTTGTGCTATCTCAGCCTCTATCACACCCAAGCCCTTATGGATTGTGAAGGATTGTTGCCACTGGGAGACTTAGAGAACTTGCTGGGTCCAGATCAAACAAGCCAGGCCCCTGCCCTCTGTGTTAGCTCCCAAGCAAGGCCCGGGGACTGGCTCCAATTCAGCCCACAGCAATGGACCCAGCTCGAACAGGTCTGGTCAGCAGGTAATCTGCCTTCAGCCCTGGCCGGGCTCCCTTCTCCCTCGCCGACTTTGACAGAAACCCCCTCTGAAACCTGCAACAACCTGCCGCACCACAATAATCAGGCTGCCAGCCGGCAGGACGAGAAAAGTTCCAGCACACGCACCGCTCACAAGATTGTCGAGCGCCGCTACCGCGACACTGTCAACTCGGCCATCCGGAAGCTCCAGGCTGCGCTACCTTGTGAGTCTAGAAGCCGGAGCGAGCGGCCGATAACGCAAACAAAGGCAGAAGTGCTCAGTCAGGCATGCATCTACATTGAGCACCTGCAGCGCGACAATGAACGCCTACGTGCTGAGAACCGTGCACTCTGCGAACCTGCACGCATGTACATTGAGCGCATCACTGCCCTTGCAGCTGACACGTTGGGTGAAATGACGACAGCAGAGCCAGGAGCAGCACAGACCCTGGTCTGGCCTGACAATGGGCCCGTTTAGAAACTCGTTTTTCCCGGGACGATATTTTCAGTACCCGATATGGAGTTCTCAGTTATCTCAAACGAAGTTGCTCGGGGTCGCAATACATAAGCGAGGATTGATTTTGGTGAGCTAATTAGACAAAGGTTTTCAAAAGTGGTTGGCATGATTCTTGTCAATATTTTCCAAACCCCCGGTTCAATAAATAGCGACACTTTATAAGTTCAAATCGATCTGCTGGCCCACTGTTTGAGATTGTGAAAAGACCCAGTGCAACACCCCAAACCGCCCAGCTACATTAGAATATCCCGCGTCGCCACAAGTGGTGGGGCATACAATAAGGACTTTGCCATTGTTTCGCTTCCATATACTCTCCAAAATGCTGTACTACAATTACTAAGTACATGTCACGCCCATAAGAGAAAGCATAATTTGACATTTACGAACAACAGAAATAAAACACTGGAAGAGGCGCTGTGGCCCATGAGCGTACTGCTTTGCAGGCAATCACGCTTCCTGTTTAATCCTTACAACCATCTTCCGCAGCTGATGGGCCGACTTCCTTACTCGTTCTAGTTCGTCCTGGTTCAAGGGTAAGTAAATGTTGCGCAGAATGCCGTTCCTCCCCAGCACTACCGGGAGCGAGAAGTAGCAGTCGAACTCTTGGTGATAGTGGCTGACTGTACAAATGTCTCCTCGGTCTGCCAAGATGGTTGCGCAAAGGCGGAGCACAACAGCCCCGACACCAAACGGAACCGAGCCTTTGGTTCGTATGACTGCCTCAGACTGGCGCTGGCACTCGTACTCAAGCTCTTCACGATTGAGGACAGAGTCACGGCTGAGCTGTGCGCCGCCATCTGATAGTGCTTTCTCGAGCGGGATGTCATTTATCTTGGCAGCGGACCACTCCGACACCTGAGCAGGCCCGTGGACACCCAAGACGGAGAGCTGGACCGAGTCAACTGCTACCTGGACACCCAAGTCAGCATAAAATTTTATGGTAATCCTGCACGACACGGGGTATGCGCTCTTCTCACGAAAAAGCGCCAGAAGCAGAGAAGCCAGCTCACCCCAGTTTTATCCGCTACAACGCCACGAAGCCTTGCCGAGTCGAGGAATGTGCCGGAGCCGATGACTTGAGAAGTGGGAAGCCCAGACAATCCCTGCGCAATGGTCGTAAGCGTGTCAACGGGATTTGACACAACAATGAGGATGGCACGGGGCGAGATCGGTCTCAGTGCATCCATCACGTTGCGGACGATGGAGATGTTGCGATACATGAAATTGATGCTTGTTTCTCCTGGGCAGCAGGTGGTCAGAGGCTTGTGGAACGTTTTCCATTTGCGGGGGAAAAACAGGCTCCATGATGTACTGCTAGCCTTACCGACTGTCCACTTTGAACCCGCGGTGACGACGATGATATCACACTCCGCAGCCTCCTTGTACGTCGCCGCTCGCACCCGCGTCTTGCTGCCGCAGCAATATGCCGCATCGCACAGATCGTGAACCTGTGCATCGCGGAGCTCGAGGTCAATATCCACCAGGAGCAGGTCGGTCGCCACTTCGCCCAGAACCATCGCGTATGCTGCGGCCCCGCCGACTTGCCCGACGCCAATTATCGCGACCCGGCGCGAGCTGGGCATCGTTGATAACTTGGGCAGCATGGCTTTGTCGTCCATTTGGGGCAATGCGGTTGTTGAGGTTAATGCCAGTCAGTGCATTGGATGGAGAGATGAGTCAAAAGACGTGCGAATTGATTTGCCAGGGCATTTTCTGGCACAGAGGCTGTTATACCCAAGACCAAATGCTTGAAACTTTGCGCGCACAGTAGCGTGGTGCAGGACAAGACAAACCATTGGTAGCCCTGTGGCGTGAGATTCACGACTACATGTTTCCGTTGCTGCAATGTGGCGTGACCAGCAGCTTCCCATTCCTCACGTGAGCTTCGCACTTTTCGTCGATTTCGGACCTCGGCTGGACATCCCACCAAGCCCTTTGTTCTGCCCTCATCCCAGATGCACAATCAGCTACTGGCGTGAGCAACATGTCATGCTGTGGTTGGTCAAAGCAGGGCCCCAAGCTCCGGCATATTACCAGAGTCGAGGCGTAAAAATCAATGTGAATGCCAATCACGGCCGGGGCCCACCTCTCGTCCCTAAGCACAAAGAATGCCGATGATGTCCCACCCATTCATAATCGACTAGACGCAGGTTCAGTGATGGCTATGCATGCAATCATCCTTTCTAGGCAGGACCTTGTTTTACTTGTCGGGGTAACTAGGCGAAGTATTGTACTAGGGCCGTGCGGCCTTCTCTAATCAGGGTTTTGTCTACAGAGTAGCATTAGAGTCTTGAAACCATCCCCATGTTTTCCCGTACATAGTTTTACATATATTTACTTCGCCGGATACCGCTGGAACTAGAACGCGGCACACTTGCTGTAGTCGTGGTAGTTGTTTTGGCCCCGATCAGAGAAACAGTCACTCACCCCCTGACAAGGGCCCAATCGAACTAATCTACGAAGGAATTCTCATGTCTGGCGATTCGCCTCCACCTCGTCCCACACAGTTCGATGGTAGAGATCTTCGCGAGTTCCATGAATATTCTCCTTTAAGGCTTCGATGAGCACGTTCCTGTCTACGCCGGGCCGACTTGCCGCACCAGCCTCAAGCAGACGCAGCGCCAGGTTCGATCTGCCGTGGCCCAGGGCAAGGCCTAAAGGGTTCCCCTTGTTGATGTCGATCCCTAGCTGGATCAGCTGTTCTAGCAGGGCTTCTGCATGCCTTTTTGGAGCGTGGAAGTAACTCTTTCCCTTGATGAGGTTGTGCAAGCATGTTCCCTCGACCAGCTGCTCTTCGCGTTCCGCAAGGGGCGGCGACCAGTGGATATCAGGAGGGCCCGCGCCGAGGAGACCAATAGCAAATGGCCAGTCTGGATGTTTTGTCGCTTCCCAGAATAAATCTGGGCTGGACAGGAGCTTCTCGCGGCCGACGTCGAGCAGGAAAATGACAGCGGCCTGAGCTTGCGCGTACGCCGCCGCAAACGCCTCCTTGTCTCCCCGGGGGGCATCTTGGGCGCACGTCGTCGAGACCAATGCCCGCCAGACACCAACGACGTCCGGGAGAGCAGTCTCGATATCCGCGCCTCGAGCAATTGAGGTGGCGACAGATGTCTGCGCGGCCGCTGTTGAGCGCCGCGAGCATGGCCGAGGTCTCCGAATGATCGCTCACATCGACGGTGGCGCCGTGCTGGATGAGCTCGTCGATGCAGGGTATGGTCACCGCGACGGAGAGGCTTCCATTCCGGCATGCTTCCCACAGAGCGGTCCGCCTCGTGACTGAGCTCCTCTGGTCAGCAATGGCCCCGTGCTCGAGCAGCAGCTTGATTGTTGGCAGCGGTTCTCGTTCAGCGAAGTCTTGTTTGAACTGTGGTAGAATCCATTCACTTGGCCACTCGGCCACCGCAGACGCCAGAGGGAACCGGCCCTCGCTGTCTTCTTGGTTCACGCTGGCTCCAGCGTCAACAAGGATCGCCAGCGTCTGCAGGCACAATGAGGCGGCGGCAACCACCATAGGAGAGCGTTTCAAGGTTGGGAGTGGGTGTACGTCGGCTCCGTTGTCTAGCAACGTTCTCAATAGTTCTGGCCGACGTGCTTCCCACGTCGGGTCTATGGTGATCTCCCCCCCATGCGCCCAATAGCGCGGAAGGGAATAGAGCTTCAAGGAGAGGCATGCGCGCTCGATGGCCCGGCACGACCTCCCAAACGGGGAGGAGTCGTATTTTCCCTGTAGCTTCCACTCGCGTTGATGAGCCGGGACCGCCGAGCAAGCTCGATGGCGATGTCGAAGCGGCCCGTCATGCACGCTAGTTCGAGGGCCGGTTGGGTGCCGGCGAAGGTGGTCCCGTCGTCACCCGAGCAGCCTTGCTCCAAGAGCAAGGAAGTCAGATCTGGAGCCTCGACCCCAAGGATGTGATACCCCAACGCCGTGAGGCTCAACATCTCCCTAGGGCGTGTGAGGGAGGCGACCTCGCCAGCGTGGTGTTCAAGCACAAAGCGGGCGACCGAACTGCATCCGTCTGGGATGGGGGCCAGCTCGCCGGCGTGCTTGTGGTGCAGATAGTGGACGACCCGGGTGCATCCATAGATGACGGCACTCTCCATGGCCGACCTTGCGGAAAGCCAGGGGCTGTCCATGGTGGCTCCGAGCTCAAGGAGCACCAGCGCCGTCTCTTGGTGCCCTGCACACAGCGCGTGGTGCAGAGGCGTCCAGCGGCCAGATATGTACCATCGTTCATAGCCGGCCGACCGCGGGTAGCTAGAACCCAGGCTGGATGCGGACACGCAGAAGCACAGGTTGGCTGAAGACGTGTTGAGAGAGGCCCCGCGCTCTACAAGCAGCCGGACAACATCCGTTTGGCCATAATGAGCTGCGGCGTGCAGCGGGAACCACCACCGCATCGGGCACTCCAATTCAGTAAGGCCACGGTCCCAGGGGTCGCGTGGTTCCGTCGTTACGTATCTGGGTAAGTTCCCCGAGCGAGAAGGATCCTCGAATGTGTCCCATTTCCCATGTCGGTAGACCCGGTCCAGCAGGTCGCGGGGGGAACAGTCGGGCGTGCGAGAAGGGTGTGGGGGAACGGCGAGTATCTCCTCTTCGTCTATCTCGAAGCACGTGTTTGGGTCCGCCCCAGACGATAGCAACAGATCGACGAGGCCGACGCAGCCAAGCGAGCAGGCCCAGAAAAGGAAATGGGGGTATTTGCTGACAGCCTCGCGCGCAACGACTGGGAGCAGCAGCTTGCGGTGGCTTCTGCTGGTGCCTGAGAGGACCAAGGTGTCGTAAATTGATAGCCTGCCAACAACGAGCTCGATGAGTTCGAGTGGGAGAGAGGCCCAAGAGGCGGCAGGCGGCGGTTGTGTGTTTGCCATCGCCATTGTGTCGGCGTCTAAAGCACAAGAGGGAGTAGAAAAGTCTGGCCAGGTATGTGGATACATCAGGCTCACACAATAATATATAGAACATTGAGCACAGACGCAGTCAAACCAGTGTTGGTCGCCAGTGTTGGTCGTTGGCAATCCCGCCAGGCATCCGTCGAGTCGAGCCGCCAGCACACAATGCGAACCACTAAATAGGCTCCACATGATACCTGGACCTAGCTTCTAATCCCTGCCCCCTCAGCGGAGCCTGCCCGTGGCTCAATCAGGTTCCAGGGTTCACAAACTCGATTTCGAGTGTTTGGACGACAACGAGAGCATCGCTGGAGCTCTATACCAGTGATAGCCCGCATACTTCGGTACCAGCCCCCTCAACCAAAATCTACTCGCGCTTGTGGACAATGTCATCCACCACCCCGGCCACCTTCAGCAACGCATCGTCCCGTTGTCGATAGCCTACGAGCTGGACACATATCGGAAGGTCCCGGTACTCCTTCGGACCAGTATCTGTTTCAGCAATCCAATTATGAAACTATTAGTAATTTCACAGAAACACCATACAACCTAATCTTGCGCTTCGGGGGTGACTTACACAACTTGTAGACATCCTCGTCATGCTTGCCGTACTTGGCATGGCTCAAGTCATCGGCCTCATCCTCACCTTCCCGCACCTTGTCCACGGGCACTACAAGCGCCGGGTAGTCCATGTAATTCCAAAGGCAGGTGTACGCAGGCCTATTCCAGGTGTCGTGCGGGATGGCAGTATGGGGCGCGGGAGGCATCAGGATCGCGTCGAGCTTGCTGTCCACGAACAGAGCGTGATATTTTTGGGCAATAACTTCACGACGAGCGTTCAACTCCCGCAGCGTATGCAGGTCGTTCATGGCAGGGATCGAGTCAATGTTGGCGTTCTTGACAGACGGTACCGGCGGCTCACCGGTCTGGGCAAAGAGACCGAGGTAGTGCTGTGAGATATGCCAGGTTAGAACTGGCTTTAGCTCCCGAAAATGGTTCAGAGGCGTTGCGCTTACCTGGCCGCCACACATGACAAGATACCTGACAAACTCGGAGTAGATGGTTTGTACATCAGGCAGTTCGATAGGCACAAGCTCGATCCGATCAGTATGACCGGCGAGCTTGTCCATGACCATTCGAAGTCCGCGCCTCACAGGCGGCGCAGGCGTAAAGACTCCATCCTCCAACATCACGCCAATCCTGACCTTCTTCGTCTTCTCCGCCACGGCCTCGACCGCATTCCCACCCACCCAGGGCACGCCCACCGCAGCAGGATCATACCGCCACGCTTCCGCCTGCATAATGACCCTCATGAACATCTCAATATCCCGCAACGACGTCGCCATCGGCCCCGCGCTCGACAGCAAATCCTTCGTGCCAGGCGGGTTCAGGTCCCGCACGCCAGTGTGCGGGACGAGGCCGACACTAGGCCGGAGGCCGTACAGACCGTTGCACACGGACGGTACGCGGATCGACCCGCCAAGGTCGGTGCCCACGCCGAGCACGCTGCCTCGGAGCGCGAGCAGCGCGCCCTCGCCCCCCGTGCTCCCCCCTGCGGTGAAGCTGGTGTTGCGCGGGTTCAGCGTGCGGCCAAAGAGGTTGTTGTCCGAGTCGCCCGTCAGGATGGTCTGCGGGAGGTTGGTCTTGCAGTAGAGCACGGCGCCGAGGTCAAGGAGCAGTCGGGCGAGGCTGCTGTGCTCGGTGGCGGGCTGGTTGGCGAAGCAGGCCAGGCCGGTGGAGGTGTCGTGGCCCCGGACGGCGAAGGAGTCTTTGAGGGAGATGGGGAGGCCGAAGAGAGGGGGCAGGGCGTTGGAAGGCGTGGCTGAGTAAGTCTCGTCGAGGTGTTTGGCACGGGCGATGGCTACGTCAAAGAATATCTCGGTCAGGCAATTTGTCTGGCGGGGTAAACGGTGTTAGCGGTTCACTCCTGGCTGTGCCCAAGTGATGATGTCTGGGGTAGTGGGACTGACCAGCTGTTGCGCAATCGCCGCTGTCTTGCAGAAAGCAATCGTGACTTGCTCAACCGTAAGCCTCTTTGCCCGTAGTTCTTCGACCAGCCCGGTAGCATCAAAGCCGGATGTGATTGCGATGTCCGTCTTGTCGAGGATGCCACAGGTGAGCGGCACATCCATGACATTGGTGGTACCTGGCTTCGGCAGAAGCTCAGCTGGGAGTCGCCACTCGGCGGGTATGGCGTTCCATCTCTGGGCCTGCTTCTGGGCCGCGATGGTGATGTAATTTTCGCGTGGGGCGGCCATGGCTGCGTACGCTGGGGTGATGACAGAGCGCTTTCGTATGCTCGAGATAGTTTTTGATCAGGATCAACATGACATTGTAGGAATTGATCGCAAGAGGAAGAAGAGCTGTTGCCAGAGCGAGTTTATATACAGAGGAACGAGCGGGATTGTTTTGTGAACGCTCCTTTCCATGTCTGACCAAGAACAAGTCGGCATTAGCGCCATCTTTTGGATGGATGACAACCCTCCGGCTCCGGTCCCACCTGCGCGACCAGAGGATGACCCGCTGCGTAGATCAGGAGCGTAAAGCAACGGGGCATCCAATGCATCCAATGAGCACGAGGAGAAAAGCTCCGGTCAAAGTTCCGGCGGGCTTGCCTTTCCCCTTAAGGCAACAGGGGTCAACCTGGACGCTCAGGCCAGACTCGGCACCGACAAGCAGTTGCCGCACAAGGTCCTCATGAGCACTCCCAACTCAAACACCATGTTCTGGTCGGCGTGCAGGTCCATCTGCACCCACGAGAACTTGACGGAACTCTGTAGGCACATCATCTTGCGGCCAGTCTCGCTCGCCACGCTTCGTGTCAGCAGGTCCATCACAACGCGCCGATGCTCGTCCGTCACCACCTGGCTCCCCAGCACGAGCAACGGGAACTGCCGCTGGCACGTCTCGAGTCCCTTCATAACCTCGACTGCCTGTTCCAGCAGGCTGTCAACATCGGTCTGCTGCCCGAAGCGCGACTCGCCCACGCGGGCCAGAGCCACGAGTGCGGAGAGCCGGTACAGCTCAAACACAGCAGGTGTGTCGGCGTCGTCCTGCCGGGCGGCCTCTGCCTCTTCGGCGCCCAATTCCAAAAAGCGCTCGGCTGGGCGTTGCCGGGGCGGTGGCGCCACGTAGCGGAGGTCTCGCAGACGCTCCTGTAGGCGGACCAGCCGGGCCATCTCTGCATCACAGCCGGCGGCGTCAAGGCTCTCAGGGCTTCCCAGAGCCGCGGGTTCATCGAGCATAAAGTCAAAGACCTCGTGGAACGACCCCAGGAGATTTCGACCCTGCCTGGCCGATTGTAATGGATGGTTCTGAAGGGACTCAAGTCAGCAGCGTAATCGGGGACCAAGGCGGGCTGGATGATGAACAGGGCTGTACTGACAAAGATCTGGTACTCTGGCACTTGGTCAAGGCGGCGGTGGGGGTTGCCCTCGGCCCGGCGCCAGTGGTGGCTGGTGTAGCGCGAGAAGACATCATGATGATACACCCAGTCCATGAGCTCCGAGATGTCGTCACTGTCGCAGACCATGGCGTCAAACTGGCACTTCTCAATCAGCTCGCGCGCGCCGCGCAGGTAGGCGATCCACTCATTGCCCGTCGACCAGCACCCGTGGAACTATCGTCGTCACCAAGATTGATTAGCTGCCACGACCTGGACAACAATGTGTTTTCTTCTTCTTCAAAGGTCACACAGTTTAGATCTTACGTATAGAGTGGACAGGAGCATGACAGCAGCTATATGCCGCGCTGCCTCGGCGGGGTTTCCGTGGACGTCGGCCACCGAAGCGGCCAAGGCGCGCAGTGCAGCGCGCTCGTGCCCCGTGATGACGGCCGTATGATCTCGGCGATGCACACTGGCGAGGGCCAGCATGCCATGACGCAGTGCTTGTGCCGGCAGGCTGTCACTGCTGAAGGCCATGCGCACGAGCAGGCCTCGTACCGATGTCGAGTAGGCGCTGAATGTCGGTATGCTCGTGTACGCGATGTTGTAGACTACGTGGCAGACAGCCGAATTAGCAGGGGCCCGACGTGGTAGCCATGCGGTTATTAGGGTAAAGAGGTCAAGCCACGCACAGTATTGCATAAGAGACTTTCCGGCCTCTCCCATGTTCAGCGTGCTCCAGTTCAAGGTATGCGGCGAGCCCATCATTGGCCGTACCAGCTGCGCGTATGCTGTTGGGCAGGACAGGACAACACATTAGCAAGCCACAAAGTAGCGTTGTGGGGAATGGGGAAGGCTAGACTCTACCATGCCAGCTCTGGAGGTCCTGCCTCGAGTCGAGCATGTCGCGGTACACCTCGATAGCCCCCGAGCCCGCCTGCACGAAGTAGTATGCCCTCGGGGGCCGGGGCCGGGAGCCGGCGCTCTGGTTGTCATCATCGCTGCTGCTGCTGTCGTCCACGTCGGCCAGGCGCAATCGAGAAGGGAGAGGGGCAGGCCCCAGGAGAGATCGCTTCGGGTCGTGCTCCCGCGGCCATGACAGGCGCACGCCGTAGCCCTGGCACTCGCGGTTCGACTTTGCACATGTCTTGCAGTGCGGGAGGCTGCGGTCGCAGCGGACCTTGCGCCCTTTGCAGGTCCAACATCCCCGAGCGACTTGTGGGGCCATCATGTGCCAATGATCGTTGCCCGGGTCAAATTGTTATCGGCAGTGGTGCAGCAGCCGTGTGTGAGGTGGACGACCTTGTATTGCTGAGGCGGGCGGGCTGGCGTGGTCAGCTGTGTGAATGAGGCACTTGCAGAAGTCGATGCTACGTCTCAGGAGGTGAGGAGAAGACAAGTCAGCGAAGACGATGAGCGAGACTTATCTTATGCTGGGCAACAATCTGCGAGCTACGTGTGTGGATCCGTGAAATTGCCAGAATACCCCGAGGACCCTAGGTAAGCAGGTATGCTGACAGCAGTGGGCATCCTCCAGGGGTCACGCACCAATGGGACGCTGTCGGGTGCTCGCAAATACTTGCCGGAGCGGTGGGTCTGCTCCGGGCGGGCAATACCCTTGTGGAACTATCATGCTTATCTCAGATGGGATACTGGTGGATCCGGTGTGACTATTCGAAACAGCCGACGACCAGTCTCAATGCCTTCACTGCAGCTTGCTCCGTATTGACAATCAAGGGAACATCGAAGAGATGGGTGGAAGCACTGACGATTATTCAGAAATGGAGCGAAGAGGTCTTCGCATGAGAAGCAACTCTTATAAGTACTTTGCACAGGCCTGACAACAAAGACAATATCTCACCACCACACACACTATAACTACAACAACAACCAACACAGCAACAGTCAACACAACAACCGTACGACCAAAACTCAATCAATTCGAAGCTTGAATAAAGTGCCTTCAAAATGCCGTCCTATCTTATCACAGGTGCCTCTGGCAGTCTCGGTGTACGTATTACTCCATGCGGTTCTCTTCGTCCACTCGAGACCCTCCGCTGATGATATTGAACTCGGGCGCTCTAGTTCGAGATGGTCCGCCAAGCCTCGGCTGAGCCCGAGAACATCGTCATTGGCCTGGTGCGCAACAAGACCAAGATGGCGGGCAGAATTGCCAAGGAACTATCCGACCGCACGAATGTTCATGTGGTAGAGTGTGAGCTTGCGGATTATGAGTCCCTCGCCGTAAGTCAATCCGATTACAATCAACGCTCAAAGAGTCGTCACAGGCCGCTGTGCACCACGTACAAGTCGTGGACTTTAGTGCTGATAGATACTGGTATAGGCATCCGTGGAGCCCGTCTCGCAGATCCTGAACGGCGGCCCACTCGACTATCTGATGGCCAACGCCGGCATGGGGTCCAAGTGGTTCACGTTTAAGCCATTTGAGCTGCAGTAAGTCCTGGCTGTCATCTCGTGTCACTTTTCCTGTCCCGATCCAACATGTCGTCTCCCGTTCCGCAACCGCAAAACTGACCGCAGACTGCATCGTTGACAGGGCCAAGGAGCCAGCACGCGTCACAGAGGATTTCAACTCTCAAATGGCCGTCAATGTGATTGCCAACATCCACCTCTTTAATCTCTACCTCCCTTTTCTCCGCAAGAGCGAGATAAAGAAGGTCATTACAATCTCCTCGGCCCATGCGGACGTGATGCTTGCACAGAAGTACGACGTCAGCGAGGCGATGGCATACTCGGCCAGCAAGGCCGCGCTCAACATGGTCGTTGCCAAGTACCACGCAAGCTACGGCAAGAGCGAGGGCGTGCTTTTTATGGCGATGTGCCCTGGAGTTCTCCTGAACGATGCCGTGTTGGAAGAACGTGAGCTCATGTTTTTTCTTTTGTGTTTCCTCCCTGGTCCCATCGCTACTGGCAACACACGATCGATCGATGTGTGCGTCCGTACAGAACTGTGTCTCTGTTGCTGGTGGCATATGCTAACCCGCTTCATGTGATAGCGGACGAGGACGCCAAAAAGTACGGACCGGCCATGTTTGCCAAGTTTGCTACGTATGCGCCTCATTTCACGGGTCCCGCGCCCCCCGCTGGTCCTGCGAGCGACATTTTCCGCATTGCCGCGGCCGCCTCTGTTGAGGATGGCTGGGGCGGCACTTTCACCTCGCACAATGGCGGCACGCAGTGGATCTGAGTTTCCGATGTAGCACCGGCAGATCGGACAGGCTTTCGGATGTGTGCTTACTCGCCTCGAGCCTGGTGTTCATTTATCAGACACTCTCTCTCGTATATTTGCAGACACTCAATTTGAAGTTCACCGCGATTATCAACTGAGATTTACAAAAAGTGATGTTCTCATTGTGCCCTTGGTGTGCCCTTTCAGGACGTTTCGGAGGAGCACTTTATACATAGTGAGGATTTCGAGAATCGATGTCATGGTCACGTAAAGGCTGGATAAATGAAGGAAGGCGCTCAAAGTCGAGGCACTGAGTACAGTTCTCATAAATCGGCCACTTTTCAACCACACATACACATGCGGTTCCCCCAAAACAAAGCACATTGGCATCTAGTCGCGTTACAACACATTAACCTCTTCCACCCGCATTTTTTTCACTTCCTCAACGTATGTTTTGTCAACCCAGCCTCCAATGCCTTCAACAGTAGTGTAGTCGACGACTTGGTAGCCCTGGAAGACAGCCGTGTCCATGGCCCTCAAGACCAGGCAAGTCTCCCACGCCATTGACAGCGCGACCCGGTCTCCAACTCTGACGGTGTTTGCGCACACGCCAAACCGTCCCGTGTCCAGCACGAAAACAGCCAGGCCGTGCAGTGTCTCGGCTCTGGCCCGCGATGGGGCCTCGTTGGTCGGTTCCGGACCGCGTTCTTCATCGAGGGGTGGTGATGCTGGCGGCGGTGGTTGTGCGGGAGCGCGGTCTGGCGGTGCCGGCTGCAGTGGACGCCGAAGCGCATACCAGTCGTCGGTCCACCTTGGCGTGTCATGGCTCCAGCTGGAATCCCCGGCCGACCTGAAGAAGTAATCCAGGCGGCTTGCGAGGAAACGTGTCGGCGAAATGTGCTCGACCAAGCTGGCGAAGTTATATCCGCCATGGTGCGGTTGCAATTTTCGATCATGCAAGGATCGCGTGGCCCGTTTCGCGTCGCGAGCAGCATTTTCTGCCTCACTGGCCTCCTCGAGCAGCGAAATCACCATGTCCACGATGCTCGATGTGGTGCTAGGGAATGCGCTGAGCATTATCACCTCGCCCAGGAATTTGACGCGGAACCGAAGCATGTCCCGTGTTCGGCCCTCGCAGTGGGTCTTGGTCCATTTCACGTGCCCAACACTCGAGGTCTCGTCCTTGGAAAGGTCGATAGAAGGAAATATCGTGGAACGGAGGGGCTTCGAGGTATTTGGTAGCCAAGACGGCAAGGCTTGGGGCGCCAAGGTTCCAGCTTCATAACGCGGATCGTCCGGCGGAATTGCCGCCGTCCAGGGACCAGTGGGCGGGTACCGTGAGATAAGTCTGGACAGGATGGTAGTGTCGCTCTCATAGTGGTGAATATAGTAAAGTGCATCCAGCACGACTAGCTTGACGTCTTTGCTGTAATCTACCGCAAGGTATCGTTCCCGTGCAGCTGTCAGAAGCTCATCTTGTTCCTCAAAACTGAGAGCGCCCCATGAGTCTTGCGTTGCAATCTGGCCCCCGACGAGGACAGTCTCGACAGGAGCCAAGAGGCCCATGACAGCAAAGAGTTTGTCCCTGGGGTCCTTGCATTTGCGTGAGAGGGTCAGACTCAGCAGCACCAGGAGCTCGAAGCGATCTGTGACATTGAGACGCCTGGAGGTTGCGATCCCTTCGGTGATCTTGGCCATTACAATGTCCCTCCGCAGGAAGTTTGGGTCCTCTAGCAGTGTGACGACTCGCTTCCCGACTTCATCTAGATTTGGGTTTCGAGGATTGATACTGTTCATCTTGTTCCCTACAAATATAGGAATCCTCAGTTTCCTTGGTTCTCGTGGATCGTATTGGCGAATGACGTTGCTGCCGAGCACATAGACGACCCTGGATGTGGGTGAGAGCAGCTCTTCCTGGAACGTCCACATGCGCTGGAAGTAGGCCAGTTGAAAGAACTCCACCTGGCCAAGGACAAGCTCTAGGACCTGCCGGGCCTGCTCTAGACTGGACTTCATGGTGAGCCATGACTTGCACCGGAACAGCGCCCATGCTAGTCTCTCTCGCAACCGCTTATCCAGAGGAGAGCGGTCAACCTGGGCACACAGCCTGACCCCGCGATCGAGGTATGCATCAATACGCGGTGTCGAAGGCCCTAGCCAGCAGACGACACAGACTGCTTGCTCGTACACGCGGGCCATCATGCCGACCTGATGATTCTTCTCCGCCACATCTCCCTGATTGATGCAGATGGCGTCGGCCCAAATTGGCACGTCCGGCTTCCAGGAGCGGTACCATAGAAGGGCATCGTAAAGATTATCCGTGACAGGCGTAGGCTCGCCGTCGACAAGGATGGACTTGTGGCTTTTCTGGTCGCCCCAGACGTACGAAAGGGCTGCGAAGGCGGGCTTGTCGTCGAGGGACACCACGCGCCGTTGGCACCTCAGTTGAGTGTCAATCGCGCCGTGGTGGTCTTCTGGTTCGATCTGCAGGATGCGAATCTGGGCGAGGGACGGGTCGAGTTGAGCGATCGGCGGCCGCATCGTTTATTGTGACGTGAAAGAGAAAAGGATGGGGTTCGTGTGAGGGTGGAGCGCACGCGCCTCTGCTTGAGGTGGTTCTTGTACTCATTTTGGGCTGACCTGCAGGCATCCTGGCACAGGGCGGGCTGTGCAAGGCATACCCCGGCCCCTGTACCCGGCCTTGGCGGTGCTTATGGCGCATGGCCACTGCAGGTTGGAGAACAGTGGTTGATTGCCGGAACACACCAGACGAGCAATGAGGCCCCGGGCAGTCTGATGGAGACTGTTCAGGCTAGCCTTGCATGCATAGACATGGCTACACCAACTGGTCGCCCAGGCCATACAACATCGTCCCAGCGCAGATATACAAAAGGGCTGTCGTCTGGCTGTACTGTCTCAATCTACGCACTGCGATTTCCCAGAGATTTACACTGCCGGGAAACGGTCTTGCCCATGGCAGCTCAGTTAGTAACAGCCACTGGCACGCACAAGTCCGCATAAATCGAGTCCACCACCGGACAAGGCTTGTGCACCGAGTCAAACCACCGCAGCCCCGGATCTGCGTCCCGCTCCTGCCATATCTTGCTGAGGAACTGCTTAATGGCGGTCTTCAAAGCCGGCGCGTACCGGTCCACATGCTCGTCGAGAGCGCGCAGAGTCCTCTCCCGCGGCGAACTTTGTTTGCCCTGTGCACAGTTAGGGCCAGATTGGTGATGACAGTCGACACCCGTCGCTTCGACGGCTGCAATGATGAACGGCAGCGTGACGAAGCGCAGGGGCTGCTGTGTCGCGGTGTACGCGCTCTCGAGCTCCGTCATGATCTCGCGAGACCAGATACCCGCGATGTGGTCATGGTGCGTGTCGCCAAAGGGGTGGCGGAGGCGGTGCGCCATGAGCATCACCCCCAGGCGGTAGAGCCTTGCTTGGGATAGTAGGTGGATCACCTGGACCGTGGACAGTGCGGAATGTTTTGGATGCTGCGGGTGGTCGAGTAGCTGCGCGAGGCTTGGCGGTTGCCACGACTCTACAGAACGGTGGATTTCGGTGAGGCGGTCGTGCAAGGCTCTGACGTGATCTTCGTCTTGTGTATGCAGGAGAGAGTTGTTGATTACACAAAGATCATGATAGTATGGTAATAGTGGGACGCAGAGACCCAGGTGGGAGTCTAGGACAGCAAGGGCGGGCTTTGAGGATGGAGTTGCTGATGGAGATGGTGATCGAGGAACACGCAGAGGCGTGGGCTGCGTCCTGTTGATCAGGCAGTCCATAATCTCGAGCATGACGAGGAAGCTCTGTCCCGTTGCAGCCACGCTCATGTCTGTGACGTGTCCTTCCTGGCTGCCGTCCTCACTGCATGGTGCGAAAGAGCTTGTGCTGGCGAGGCAGAAGTGAGTCAGGCGAGCGAATCCTAACCCGACAGTCGAGTATATCGAGTAGGCGAGCATGCCACCGAGGGTATGATACAGGGCTGCGTCAGAGTCGTTTCGTATGTGGAAGGCCATCAGAGACCGCATAGCAAGCGTGATGTATCCGATGACATTGTCTGTGTCGTGCTCGTCGTCCAGGTATCCGATATTGTGCCCGTCGTGTCCAATGGCGGCGGAAAATGCAAGCACAATGTCGCCGACCAGTCGTCCCACATCTCGCCGCTCCTGAGCCTGGGCAAGGTCACGGCAGAGGCTCTGCCTTGCCTCAGAGAATGACAGGTACCCGTGACATCGCTCCGTCAGAGACCGGATGGCGCTGAGCAGCTCGACATCTTTGTCAGATTTGGCTTTGCTGTTGCCACATGCTCCGGACCAGGGATGGGACTCTGCCGTGCGCCTCACACATTCTCCGCCTTGCTGCTGGAGATGGTTTCGCCGTCGGTGGAGCTGTCCAGGTCTCCTGCCCGGAGGCTTGACGGGCCGGACGGTGGCACAGTCCAGCCCCAGCCTCGTGCAGCGGGCGCAGCAGGACGCCAGACTCTGGCGCTCGCAGCGCTCCTTGAGGTCGTAGCACCGATCGCAAGCGGTTCTCGACATCGAGTTGGCTCCGGTTGTCTTGCTGGATGGGAATTCGGGTTGTCGTGGACGGTCAGCGGTGCTCCGGGTCCGAATCAGGGGACAGGGGGATATGATTTGTTGAGAAGCTTAGGTAAGCAGGCATCCTTCTTGGCTGAGTAGTGTAATTACCGTCCAGCTCTCGAGACTTTCTCTTTTTTGGTCGACCAGATCAAAATGTGCTTCTGAGGTTGTACGGCGATTTCAGAATACGGCTCGCCTGATTTGATATGGCGTTGAGTTAAATCCTGACGCACAGTCCTGCTCAGTCATCCTCTTGTTATGATTGCCTGAATATCATAGGAGCATGCAGACAGTCTCTGAGCTTGGGCTCGCCACAGGGCTGACGACGATATGGGTTCCTCCACCTTCTTAAGCACGAGAGCTGCACTGATACTCAAGACAGCCTAGCTTCCATGGAGAACATGGAGCAGGGCCGGAAGGGCAAAAAGAGGAACTGCGTAAATGGGACCCGCAGCCCCGTGACGAACCCCACTCCATGGCTCACAAATGGACCACACTTCTAGGCCAAAAAAATGTGAAAAAAGAAGCACCGCTGTATAGAAAAAAGGCCTCTTCGAGACTCGAACTCGAGTTACCGGAATATGAAGCTCTAGAGCAGATCAGAATCCGATGTGATAACCATCTACACTAAGAAGCCAACCAATCAAGTTGGAGGCAGGGATTACGTAACAGCGTTGTTAAATACACTTCCGCGTCGAAACGTTACAGCCGGCTGAGAGAGTTTTGTCACGGTCCGATCTCCGGGGTCAACCTCCTGATCGCGGGCTGTGGGGTTATGCCCTGACAGGGTAGGTAAGACCTCGTACAACACTAAATCTGTGCTGCCGTGCTCTCGACTAGTTATCGTTCGTGTCTCTTCCGAGATATTGCACTTGGATTAATTAAGTAACCAGGTCAAGTGAAGAGTAAAAGTAATAATTAGTTTAATCGCAGAGCATAAAAGTTAGAACCTTTCTAGTAGGAGATGATACTATAAGTAAATGTCCATTCCTCCTTATCGGAATTCTAAACTTGATCTAAGAAACGGGACTTCATTGTGTTCACGGGTCTGATTTGGTACCTGTTGAATATCGCCGCTAATGACCTTGTCGCTGTCCACCCGCTGCAGTCTTCTGTTTGTCAGCCGGAAATCCGCCCTGGCCCATAGACCTTGAAAGGAAACACCAGGATGGAAGATGCTAAGAGCGACGACGGCAATAGCGACCATGGCTCCCTCCAAAACCAGAAAGGCAACTTCGTCATTAGCAAGATCACTGTCCAGTCCCATGCTGAGCTCCGCGAGACGGTAGCAGGTACGGATGAATATGCAAAGAGTTGATGTAGCGAGAACTAATAGCGAGTTGAAAATGGAGTCCGTGGTTAGTAAGTGCAACAGATATCCCAGAGGCATAATAGCCCACTGTACTGAAAAGGCGAAATGCTTACCGACGAGGAAGACACGAAATCTTTTCGTGCAGCGTAATTGTAGATAATCACGGCTGACATCCTTGGACGTGATACTTTGGTTCTTCCATACTGACCAGGCGTAGTCAGACGCCAGGAGGACGAACGCAAGCATACCGGTGACGTGAAAGGCTAGACCAGCGCGCAGGACTCCAAGCCCAGCGTCAAACGTGTCCTGGTCCAGCGGATCACTGCCGGCTACGAGACCGCCACCGGCAGCCTGCAGTGCCAGAGCGACACAGTCACACAAGATGAACACGATGGTGTAGGTGCGCGGCTGGAGACGAGAGTTGGAGGCGCCGAAGACAGGGATGATGCGCGCAAGGCTGAGGTACAGGGCGGCGCTGAAGAAGGCAGGCCCGATGGTGATGGTCACGATGTACCTGGCCAATCCCGGTCAGCTCCGATGTATGCGATGGACCTTGTACCCGTCGCGGCCGTGGCCACCTCGGAGGGAACTGCAGCAAGCTTACTGTCGGTACACGTCTTGACCATCGTGTAGTCTGACTCTGGCCACATAGGCGATTATTTCCAGCACGAGGCCCGAGACCATGGCAACGAGGAATCCCCACGTCTTGTAACGAATACCGAAATAGAGTTGAGGAAGCGCTGCGGCAGCGTATACGACGAGGAAGAAAGCGCTGCCGGGCAGGTTGTACAGAGCCGTCATTTTCTGACTGGTGTAAAACGTGGGAGACGTGATGAAGGTGTGCTTGGAAATTTAGTGATGAAGGCTAAAATATAAAACCGGTCGTGGAAATGGCGTAACACTGGAGAGGGCCATCAGGTGAAGCGAAGGCATGATGATATAAGTGAGGAAGCTGGCTGGCAGATGGGAATATTGCAATATACCATAGAGGTCACTACATGACATTATAGGGGTTTATACATAAAAACACTACACACTGTAAGCAGGGGTTGCTATTGGCTATTAGACGAAGCGGCCAATCAAAACCCTGCTTTCAACGACATCCAGCGATGACACGACAGTCTTAGTCTCACGTGGCGTGGCATGTGCAGTGCGTGTCGTATTGGCAATCAAAGCCTGACGCGGCGGCATCCTACGCAGCATTGATTTCCTTTCCATCCGGTGATCCGTATCTCCAATGATAGAGAGGGCCGAACGATCCTGTCCAACAAAGACGCACACCACAACCAACACCGCCTCCTCTTGTGCACACTAGCAGCATCCCAGCACCCTCCATTATGGGACCATGAAACGAATTTCACGACATAAACGATCCACCAATGGCTGCGGTGTATGCCGGTTCGTCATTTCCCAAGGTCTTCGTGAAAGAGGAGATAGCTAACCCCGGACTGCCCCACGGAACCAAAGAGTACGACACGTCAGGTGTGATGAGGCGCGGCCCAGCTGCAATCAATGTACCAAGACCGGGCGCTCCTGTGACGGCTATCGTCCCAGCGGCAGCAGATTGGCCACCCTACCTAAGAGGGCCCTGGCCCCTTTGCAAGCCCTCAGTCAGACGTCTCTGTCGTGGTCACTGGTCCAGCTCAGCGCACCGGCACAACGCGCCCTGCATTATTACAGAGTGAATACGGCGAAGCAACTGTCGGGCTACTTGAATGACGAGTTTTGGACTACGTCAGTGCTCCAGGTCGGAGACCGAGACCAGTGCGTCAGTTACGCCTTGGTCGCCCTTGGCTCCCTCCATGAACATTTTAACGCCGAGGCGACTGGGGGGTCCCCTGTGACGGCTGGAGACCCCGAGGCCGCATGCCGCCTCGGGAGGCCGGAGATGTGGTCCGCCTCTATGCGCGATGCCCTGTGCTACTACAACAAGGCGGTCTGTCGCCTCCACGCGCGAATTCCTGCCAGCGCTGGCGGCGAGATCGAGACGACGTTGCTCTGCTGTCTCCTCCTCGCCGCCTTCGAGCTGCTCCGGGGCTACCACAGGGAGTCCCAGGTCCATCTCCACGGTAGTGCAGGCCTCCTCCAGACGTGGCAGGATAGTCAGAACGGCAGCCGTGGCGGATCCTTATGGTCGCCCCGGGCTTACTTCATCCGCGAGAAGCTGGGCCCCTTGTTCTATCGCATGGCATTCCAGGCCAGCCTGTTTGGCCATGTACAGCCAACGTCTTCGTCGTGGCCGAAACACGGACCCGGGGGCGCCACGTTGGTGGCCTTCATCAGCGACACCCACGACAGCAACAAGAAAAGGATCACTCACGATGATGCCAGACTGCGCATCGCCAGCCCAACAGAGGCTCGCGATACGCTGTACTGGCTGATCTGGCATTTGCACCTGTTGCCCGAGGGCCGACACCATCTCCTCAAGGGCGCTCAAACACAGCGGGCGAGGGCCAAGGGCCAGGACAGCTTCATCAGAGGCCTGCAACAGTGGCAAGACACTCTCTTCGAGTACCTCGAGAGACAGTCCGCCGGCGGCGGCACGAGCTCCACCATGCTGAAGCTGCTTTACGCGGCGGCGCGCGTCATCATCCCCACCTTCACGTCGAAAGACCAGATGGCCTTTGACAACTTTGCCACGCAGTTCCGCGACATGACGGACCTGGCCGAGGCCTTGCTTTTCCCACCACCCTCGCCCCAGCCTCCGTCCTCGTCGGCGCGCCGCGACGACGTCCCGTGCTTCTTCTCCCTGGACATGGGCGTGCTGTATCTGCTGTACCACGTGGTCATCCGGTGCCGCGTGAGGGCCACGCGGCATCGGGCGCTCGCGCTGCTGTGGCGCGCCCCGGCCTGGCGCGAGGGCGTGTGGGACGGCGCGGCGACGGCGCTAATGGCCGGGCGCATCGTCGCCCTCGAGGAGCAGGCGGCTCGGCGGCAGGGTGCCCAGACTGGCGCGGACGGCGAGGGCAGCTTCTTCATCCCGGCGTCGGCGCGCGTGTGTTCGGTCAGGGCCGAGACCGATCTGGAAAACCGCAAGGTTGTATTGCGGTGTGGGTGGCAGGAGGACACGTGGTGCAGCGAGGAGCTGTTAACATGGTGATCTGTCTCGGCAAGGTAACTAGCAACCTTTTGTGGCCCCGTGATAGCTAGCACATATTGTCCCCTAATCTGGCTGAGAAGCATAAGACACAAGAAGCTTCAGCCTTGTCCACAGCTCGAGAACGTTGTTGATGACAAGGCTCGAGTGGGTTTCGTGATCGCGGCCTTCTTACACGACTACTGGCTGGGTATACAAGTCTATCTGTCTGCATAGGGGGTCTCAATTCGATATATCTTGCTACAGTGCCGATGTTCTTCCTTCTCGTTCCTGCCGCTGCTGCTGCTGTAGTTGTGGCTGTGGTTGTTGTCGTAAAGTAGCCTTCTCTGCCGGTATCTCGTGCGTGCTCCTGGCCTCCAACTCGGTGTTGAGGTGGTATGCTTTAATGAAAAGACCCGCGATAAGTGATAGCCCTGCAACGGCGGTATACTAAGAGACAGCGGTATTGATTAGAAAGTAGACAGTAGCATCCGGGTAATTGTCGCGCGGCTTACCATGATCCACATGTCCCTGAGTGAAGCGGAAATAGTGTCTCGCACGACCCTCTGCTGGCTGCTGGGGAGTTGGGCGATGACGTCCAGCTTGGTCAGAATCTCCGGGCCGGCCAGCTCCGCCGCAAGCCGCGGGTCCAAGGAGGCTTCGAGACCGGAGAATCGGTCAGCCATGCGGTTCTGGAACACCACGCCGCCAATCACAATGGAGACGGCCGTCGACATGGTCCGGACGAAGCCCATGGTGGCCGTGACGGTGGCAACATGGTCGGCGCCCATGACGGCCTGGACCGCGAGCAAGGGGCCTTCGAAGTTGAAGCCGACGCCGGTGCCGGCGACGATCTGGTAGCCGATGATTTTGGCCCATTCGGGCTCCGGGCCCAGACTGATAAGGAGCCCGGCACCGACGCAGAGCAACACGCCTCCCGAGTAGACGGACGGCATGTACTTGCCGGTCCACTGGATGAGGGCGCCGGTGAAGGCGGCTGAGATGGAGACGGAGAGGATGTAGGGCAGCAAGTAGAGCCCCGAACGCAGCGCCGTTGACGCAAGGACGGCCTGCAGATACAGCGGGAGATAGTAGGCAATGCCTATGAAGACATAACCATGGCAGAAGCACAGGGTGAAAGCTGCGGCACTCGAACGGGTGGAGAACATTTGGATCGGGATGAGGGGGAATCTAGCCCACTTTGCCTCGTACACGACGAAGAGGGCACCGCAGACGAGGCCGAAGATGAGGAGGCAGATGACGACGGCAGAATGCCAAGGGTGCATGTGCCCGCCAAAGTCGAGGCCCAGCAAGATCATCAGGACGCCTCCGCTGACGAGCAGGGTGCCTGCCCAGTCTATAGCGCGCAGGCCCTCGCGCACGGAGGTCTTTGCGCTGTTGAGGCGTAGGAAGAAGAAGACGAGGACGGAGACCACGGACCCGATGGGGAGGTTGATCCAAAAGCACCACCGCCATGTCAGCCGGTCGGTAAAGACGCCGCCCAGGACAGGACCCAGGCCACTGGCCAGGGCCCAGACGATGGAGACGAAGCCAAAGTACAGGCCGCGGTCACGCAGCGAGAACAGGTCGCTGATGCAGATGTTGACGAGGGTGATGAGTCCCGCGGCACCGAGACCCTGCACGGCGCGTCCGAAGAGGAACAGCGCAAAGGAGGCGGCCAGGGCACACAGTAGACTGCCGGCGATGAAGAGAAGGGCGCCCGCAAGGATGACGAGCTTCCGGCCCCAGATGTCGGACAGCTTGCCCCACAACGGCACGCTCGCCGTGTGCGGCAGGACGTAGCCGCTACCGACCCATTGGTAGCCTGTGGGGGAGCGGAAAAACTCGGTGATGGCGGGAAGGGCAGTGGTGATGATGGTAACGTCGAGGGCGGCGACAAAGACGGCGGCGCAGAGCGAGGCGACGATGACGGCGGTCTGCAGCTTCGTGCGACGGGACGGGACAGGCGCGTTAGAGGGCGCCGCAGCTGAAGCTGGGATGTCAGGTCGTGCGGTTGCTACTACTAGCACGCCATGTGTCGGCCCCGTGATGTTGGCCGGAATGTGCTCCGCCATGACGACTTGAAAACTAAGAATAAGAATGAGAGGAAGAAGGAGAAGAAGAGGAGGAGAACGAGGGGGGGGCTGGAACCAGGGAATTCGTCGTGCTACCCTCACCAAACTAAACAGAGCAGATGGAGGCGTGGAAGATGGAACGTTGCAACTTGTCTTTGTCAAGCACTTCAGAATCGGAGTGGAAGAGACAGGAGGGAGAGCCAAAGGGGGGAGGGTGGAGAGGCTGGAGGGAATGGGCAGCGGCGGGACAACATGAACAGGATGGGGGAGAGATGATTAGACATAACTTATACTTCTTAGAAAGATAGGCATTGTAGGTACGAACTACATAAGCCCAGAGCTGCAAGACGATGCCACGAGCGGCCATGGATCCCAAGCAGACGACATGGATTATGTGTGGTTTATCTGCATACTCCGGATGATTGCATAGTTGCATACTCTCCAGCTCCCCCCCCCCCCCCCCCCTCCCCAGGATTCCCCCTGAACCTTGGCCTCGGTCTTGGCCAGGACCATCACAAACAATCAATGTACTGCGCCGCGCAATTCTTATGCCTCCTCTTCCTCCTTCGGATTCGCACATGCACGAGTACGGCATGCGTGTGACTCTTGGCGTGCCACTTAGATCAGCGCACGCCTTGGACGCCAATCAGGCTGACAGAGTTCCTACCTAGGTAGTGCCAACTGTAACAGTCCTTGGGCAAGCTCCTGGATCAAGTTTGGCTGATCTCACATTGTAAGGTTATGAACCGAGTATTATATTAACAACACTGGGCTTGTTGCCTCCAAAAGGTCATCACGAAATTCGGAGCCCTCATAATGCTGCAAGTGCATCGAAATTGCAGCAGAATGAGCGACGAGGCTTGAGGGCGTGCTCATAGCACTGCCGTATCCTATCGTTGGAGAACACAACTAGGTAAAAGTCTCTGAATGTCTACTCGAAAACGCATACTAGAGGCCTTCCGCCGGGCCCTTCTAGGCGCAAAGGGCGGAAATAACTTTTGGTACTAGGAGCTGCCCCTATGGAGTTACTAATGGCCCCATCCGGCAATGCTACCTAAGGTCTCTATATACATATATATATAGACTTTCAAACATTTCCACTAGTATATACGACCATAGGATCGAGAGAATTAAGGGTCCCGCCCGCTCCCCTATATACAAGCTTAATACCGGTATCCTTATCGTAAGGGTAGGGCGAGGGAGCGGATCCCTATTAAGTAGTAGCTATAGCTTAGTACCTGATATAGCATCGGCGTATAGCTTCCGGTCCCGATTCGCCGGTAAATAGCCTATACCTCTAGTCGCCAAGCCAGTGACCTATAAATTCGGCAAGACGTCAAGACCATCCCACGCTCCAGTCCTTGCAGTGTCAACGGCACATTTCACACTAACCATGGCTACCAGCATTACGATCCCGAAATTGGCTATCCTTCAACGAGAGAATGCAGCTGAAGATGGCCTGGAAGATCAAGGAAGATTACATCTTTCGAAGTTAGGTGTCCTATTGCAGCTGCCAACAGAAGCTCTAGCATTAGTTCGACTATCGCGAGTACATCCGCCTTCTGAAATGGATGGTAGCGTGCGCCGGCCAACTTGAAGCAGATATGACTTGATGTGATGGACTATAACTCTTGACTGGTACGATTGGTCACAGCCGCCCGATACACCAAGCACGCGTGATTTGCTGGTTTTCCTCTATCAAATGAGACTTGTGTCGGCAGAGATGAAGAGGGATTGGGTTGTAGCACAGCTGAGCTATTGTCAATACAGCGGCGACAACTTGACTGTGTTGTGGGGCCAGTGGTATATAATGCTGGCACTATAACCAGGCAAATGCATTTAAAAAATGGGTATTGAATAATTACAGGTTATGAAGGAGAATGCCTATGTCATACACGGAGATTAATTTGTGGATGGTGCAGTTACAGCTTCATCCCTAGGTCCAAACTCATACCGTAACACACGGCCCGCATCGCGAAGATATGGCAAGTGTGCAGCAACCCAGAGCTGTATCTTCCCGGCCAGTGGCAAGCTGTCTTGACCAGGCATGTCGACTGACAGATACTCGTTGAGAAGTTTGAGGCCGGGGAACCATGATGCAAAAAGCTTAGGGTCGTCAATACCCCAGCTCAGCTGGGACCCAGTCATTGCGACAGGCTTAATCCTCTTCTGGAGACGAATGGCGACAGTGCCGTACGCGTCAAAGGCAAATTGGCCTCCGACCGCCTGAAAATGACTGACGAGTCGCTCAAACATATGTCTGCCCTTGTCTTCCTCGAGGTACATGGTCAGACCCTCTAGGACCACGATGGCAGGCCGGTCAGCGGGGAGGTCGCCAAGCCACTCGTCGGGTTCAGTGGCGGACCCAGCCTTGAGTGTGTAGTCGCCGTCTGGGACGGGGAGCTGCAGCTCATTTCGAAGAGCCACGACGTCCGGTAGGTCGAGGTCAATCCAGCGAACTCCGGATCCAAATGGTACACGGATATTGCGGGAATCGAGGCCACATGCGAGATGGATGACAGTTGCAGACGGGTGTGCGGCGAGGAACTCGGTGGTCCAGGTATCAAGAACGAGGGCGCGGATGGAGACGCCGACACAGCTCGTGTCGTTCATGCCGATTTTGGAGAAGTCGTAGTCAATCTTTTCCACCGTCTCGACGGCCCATTTGTCGTGGAGGACCGAGTTAGGACGGGCGGCGTCTCTAGACCGGCCGTAGAGCGTCGCCAGCAGCGTCTCTTGAGGGCCAGTCAGGGTGACCTTGTGCGTGGTGTTCTCGGTGGCCATTGCAGTGAAATGATCTGTGGAGGGAATTCGATGGGTTGTGATAGATTCTATTCTCAGGGTGGTGATGAAATGAGCGCCCTGGATATCCCAAACCAGAATCTGGCTGCCTGGCGGTCACAAGACCACAGCACCCCGCTAAATCCATCAGCCGCAATTTAATGAGACTTCTTCCATTGGCCACAACAACGGTTGAGAACAGGGACCCCCAGACGCACTCACGCCCCTTGTGCCTGGCGAGCCAGCGCGGAGTAAAAAAGCCAAGCTTTTCTGCGCCACGACTGGCCAATCATCGGCAACGATATTCGTCTGCCTGGACAGCACGATCAGAATACAACAGAGAAATGAGGTGCTGCCTTGCGATTTCGTGCAGCATTTGGCATTGCCCAGCACGATGAGCAGGCGTATATTACCTTTTCAACTCGGGTAAGCCAGACGACTTGCCCGAGTCCATGTCCAAGGAGAGGGGCCTAGCAAGTCATGTGCCTTCATATGGTGAGGCACCGCTGGTAAGCCCCAATGCTTTCAAGTACAATAGGCAGACATCATAATATAGCTTTGTAGTTCGCTACTCTCGGAATTTTAAACTCTTGAGCCTGAGGTCAAACCACCGTTCCTGTACCTGAGATATTATCTAAAGGAATGTTGCTGGAACTTCAAACCCGGTCGCCAAGAAAGGTGTGGCGGAGCCTCACCAACAGTCACGTGGATATCTGCACCCAGGCCATTTCCCCGCACAGATCCAGACCACCGTCTCGTCCAAACAGGTCTACGCGCAGCTCAGCCCGGGTTGACTCAATATGAATGGCAGATCAGATTCTCCGCAATTTACAAGAAGCAACTCAACCTTGCAGAGGACAAAGATCCTGCAGCCTCGGTACCAGTTCCACTTCAGGCCGGCAACGACAGAATGACGGATCAAATACAAAGCTCCAAGCCAGAATCAGGTAAGCCAGGCCAAAAGTCGAGGAGGGAATCTGCACTTACACGAAATCAGCGAAAAGCAGGCAGCAGCTGCTTGACTCTCTTTCCAAGTATGACTTCGCGAAGCCATTCAACCAAGCCAATGAGGGCATTACCGATCTTCTACAGAGAGCGACAACCGAAAATGATTTCCCAATGTTGGATACAGTTATGGGAGCTCGGTGGCCTCAAGTCGCACTGGATCGAGCGCTACAGATTGAGGCAGCTCGCAGAAACCTGGGAATGGCCGAGAGACTTCTCGAAGCGGATGCACATGTCAACGCAGCGCCGTCGGAGCCCCGCGGACGGACTGCATTGCAGGCTGCAGCACAAGGCGGCCATGTCGACATAATTCGGAGGCTACTTCTAGCAAAGGCCGATGTTAATGCAGCACCGGCAAAGTTTGGACGAACAGCACCGCAGGCTGCAGCGAAAGGCGGTCATGTCGATATAGTTGAAAAGCTGCTGGCAGCAGGAGCCGACCTCAGTCCAGTGAACTCAGTGGAAGGGATGACAGCGCTACAACTGGCTGCAGAATGCGGTCATATCGATGTAGTCGAGAGACTGCTAGCAGCAGGGGCTGACGTCAACGCTGTGCCGTCAAAATACGGGATGACAGCACTGCAAGCCGCGGCAGGTGGCGGCCACATCAACGTGGTTGAGAGACTCTTAGCAGCAGAAGCCGATGTCAATGCCGCCGCTTCACTCTACGGACAAACAGCACTACAGGCCGCGGCAGGAGGTGGGCACATCCAGGTGTTCGAGAGACTAATGGCAGCAGGAGCCGATGTCAACGCGGCTGCGTCGCACACCGGACGCACAGCGCTGCAGGCTGCAGCAGAAGGGGGTTCTCTTCAAATAGTCAGGAGACTACTCGACGCCGGAGCCAACGTCAATGCAGCGCCAGCAGAGTCAGGGGGACTGACAGCACTCCAAGCCGCGGCATTTGGCAATCACATGGATGTTGTCGAGAGGCTACTTGCAGCGGGTGCCGATGTGAACGCGGCAGCAGCAACGTCTGGAGGACTAACGGTGCTAGAGGCTGCAATCAGATGCAGCGACTCTGAGATGGTTCACAGAGTGAAGCGTGCTGGAGCTCGCTAAGCAATCAATTGTATGCGAGCCATTGTTTCATCAAGCAGCAATACAGGAATAGATAATTGTGATAACGATGTTAGGTCTAGGGCTCCGTTGCAGAAAGTACGAAATACAATTCCAAGTGCACTCCCGCTCCTAAAACATTAGGGGTTTCGCACGCCAATCATACGGCCACTTGACCTAGGAAATCGCCCGAGGCGCGTAGCTGGATGGTTCCTGCAAGATACATAGACCAAGGGTCGACAAACAGTCGGATCATTGGCTCTAGATTGGTGTCCAAGTTGAACACCCGTGCCAACACGACAACATGGAGAGGAGGGACTTTCGCTTGTCCAAACTGGCTAGGGATAACAAATTCACGGCACTGAAAGCACAGCAAATTAGCGGTCCGTTCGGAGTATGAAGGCGTCCAGCCTGGTGGCAGAAAATGCGACATACCATGTTGTATTGCTCTGCAGTAAGCTGGAACTCCTCATCCAGCCCGCCTTCTGTTGTCTTGACGATAAAATGCCACGTTGGAGGCCGAGCAGCCCATGTTTCTAGGTCACAGTGTGTAGGCAAGACCAGCACCTCGAGAAGCTCCTGGCCGTCTATCGATGGTATGGTAAAGTCTGCCTTGGCACTGATGTCCTTCTCAGATTTTGTGGCATGACCGTCTTGGCGGCGTACCGAGTTCGTCCAGTGCTTGTCAGGCTGGTAGTCCTTGCCCAAAGTTGTAGCGAAGTAGTCAGACAACTGTTGGAAGAGTGGTCAGTGAGAATCATCAGGTTCATATGCCGCTTAGACGTACCTCTTTCTGGCCATCAAGGTCGAGCCTTGCCTGGTCTCCCAGGCTGTTCCCCCGTGGAGTTTCGACACGACCAAGCTTCCCCTTGCCCCAGAACCATTTTCGGCGGAAGATTGCTGAGACACGGAACCTCCTTTCGGACGTACCCGACTCCTTGCTCTCCAAGGGAGCCAGGACGTCCTGATCAAAGTCAAACGGCCGGGCATCTCCATTGTCGAAGCCGCTGTCTGCTACGGTAAGCACCTTCCCCTCACCTTCATGATCCCCATCCGCGTCCAACTCGCGGGGCAACCTCTTCCTCATGAGGGGCGCGGTCAGCCAGGTCTCCTCCCTCATCAGCTCCGCCATCTCGGGCACGATCGTCGGGATGCCATGCTGGAGCAGCTTTGCCGCGATCTTGGCATGGTCCGACTCGGTCAGGACCATCTGCAGCATGTAGCTGCCCTCTCTGCGCTCGCTGATGCCGCAGAAGAGCGCCAGCTTGGCGACCAGCTCGTCAGGGTTCCGCTCCTCCTCGAGGTATCCTTCCCGCAGGTAGATCTTGAGCCTCTCGTCGCCGAGCTTGACCACGACGTTGCCGTCGCCAGCCTGCCCGTGGAGGCGGGTGCCGTTGTGGGAGAGCGAGTACTTTTCGATGACGCGCTCGGTGGTAAAGACATCAATGTCCTGGAGGGTGCGGAGGATACGCAGCGTCTTCGCCTTGTCGAGATTTGACACTGGGATAAGTCTGGGGTTGTTTTAGTCTTGCCATTTCACAAGTGCTGGTAGAGAAATGGCACGAAGCTCAGACGTGGATGGACATACCTTGCGATGAAACCATACTTCTCTTGCAAATCTTGGGTATATCTCTTGTGGAACTCGACTCTCCCAATAGTCTCTGCCTCGCTCTGGACCGCCTCTGAGAGCAGCTTGGCCTCAAGCCCAAACGCCTTGATAACGCGCCTGATCTTGGAAACCTCGTCGGGCGAGAGTGCAAGCATCGGCACATACGGCGCGAAGCAATCAGCCAGGAACATCCTGTCCGGGATGAACCAGTCGTCAGCCGCGTTGCCAGCCACGAGGCGCGTGAAGGGGTTCCCCGAAGGAGAACCCTTCCCTGCTGCCCTGGCCGGATCAGCGACCGGCCATATCGCACGCCTCTGGAAGGGCTCCAGCTGCAGCATGTAGACCTCGTCGCGCTCGAGGAACTTGTCGATCTGGATCAGGATGTCCGTGATGTACGCGAGGTCATCCGCGTTCGTGAAGTGGGATGCCTCGGTCATCAGGTCGTTCATGGTCGCGTCAGAGACGCGCAGGGTGTCTGTGAAAAGGCGCTTCAGGGCAGGGTAGATGTCGGCGAGGCAGGCATGGATGCGGAGGCTCTTGGGGCCTTTCCAGAGGCAGTGTTCGAGCTTGTACCACGAGCCGGCAACGACCGTGGTGGGGTCTGTGAGTCCCTCGTAGTCCGGCAGCGTGGGGACGAAAATGCGTTCCTTGCCCGACTCGGAGAAGTACGCTCTGATTTGTTCAGAGTCAGCAGGATACCCCGGGGAGATTACAGGTCCACGGAGGGAAGGTTCTTACCTCACAGCAGCCTCGTCATCGTTGCTTCTGGCCTGAATCTGCTCCATGAAATACTCAATCCGGTTCAATTGTCGTGTGCTGGTCCTGATATTCTCGAGACAGGCAATGTGGAACCCAACATGATTTTGCAGGCCGGCTCCGAGCACCCCCAGTACCTCCCAGCGCGGATGCATGGGCTCTGGAATATCCACGAAGGGCAGTAGCCCATCTGCCTCGGCCACGAGCTCCGGCAGCGGGATGAATGTCTTATGCAGCCGAACAAGCTTTCCAGTGAGAGTGGCGACGCTCATCTCGGCAAACTTTGCGCGGAGGCGCTTCTTGGAAACGGCCAAATTATCTGCGGGCGGGTTTTCCGGCTTTTGATTGTCGTCGTGGCCGTCAAGCCACTGCTTGTAATGCTTGTCCCAGCAGTCACACACCAGCTGCAGCGTCACCGCGGACCGCTGCATGCCCCTCAGCTGCCCGAAGTCCTGGCTCATCGTGAAAGATTTGACCACGGTGCTGTTGTCGGCTGACACGTTGGTGGTCAATGGCCTGATTAGCTTCGGAACGCGGTGGAGACCAAGGTTGTCCTCGAGCCACTTCATCCACTCTTCGACCTCGGCAGCATCCTCGGAGTAATTCTCGAGGTAGGTCGGGTGTATAAAGGGGAACCGTCCCCGGTCGGAACCTGTAAAGTAGCGGGTTGCAGAGTGCTCGTCGTCGCTGGCATAATATAGCCCCTCGCTCCTTACGAGCAGGTCGCGTTCCGTCATGACCCAGAAGCTTTGCCTCGAGCGATTCCGCCACTGGTTCGCGTGCAGAAAGCGTATCTGCGCGACCAGCTGCTCTCTTGCGATGCTGAGGAGGTCGTGGTTTCTTGCCTTGCTGTGCAGTGAGCAGATGACGTCCATGATAGCGGCCGGATCGAAGTACTTGACGCCAAGGTACTGGTAAAGCTGCGTGCGTGCCGCATACTTGGCGATATCTGCATTAACCACAAGAACAGCAAGCCCACCGGGCACATTCTCCTTGACGTGAGATGGGGCTGGAAAGAAGATGTCGTCCTTTTGGCCCCTGACCCATGAGCCGTCGTCCAGTTGAATCAGCGCGAGTGGCTTGATCGCTTCTCTTGCTGGCTCGGGAACCCCGTTGATAACGTTTGCCAACTGCTCATGCCAAGAGGCTGGCTTTTTGACAAAGAGCATCCTGTACTTCTGGACCATCTCTGTAAGGTCCTTGACAAATTGAGCCTCGTCCATTTTCTGGACCCCAATTAACTCAAGATGCTCAAGGTCTTCCTCCAGGTATTTGCCAGACACGTATTTTGTTGTAGTAATAGGTGTCTCCGTGAAAGGTACTCCAGCGTCATCGCGAAATCTGGCCGGCACATAGGTGAGCGAGTTGGGCTTGGCCAAGCGTCCATCCCACGCCTCTATGACTTGTTCGTCTCCCAGGCGCTGCAGAAGCTTCTTGCGCATCGGCCGGAAGAAATCGCGCACTTTATCATCACGTGGGAGATATCGTGGCCAGGCGTGGCGCAAAGGTCCTCCATTGAAGCAGCGGACGGCCTCGATGAAGGCGTTGGTGATGCTATCTCGCAGCTTTCTGTTCCAGGGGAGCAGGTCGTCAATCTCTTCCCTGCTCGCGCTGAGCAGGAAGTCGGCCTGGATGAGAAACTATAGAATCCTCTGTGAGTCAGGCTGAACTGGGAACACAACCAATAGAGAGAAGATTCAAAAGAAACGTACTGTGAAACTATAGTCACGGATAGGTAGGAAGGCGTAAATGTACTGCGATTCGCTTGTCGGGTCCCCGTTGCCATCGACCGGGAAGGCCAGCAGAAGCTGCGTGGTCGTGATTCCTGGCCTCTTCTCCTCCGCGGGCATATTGGTGACGTCGAGTGGCTTCAAGATGTACTCGAACGAGATTGAATCCTGCTGTAGCCGGACCATCTTGTCGGCCCTGTCGGTGATCTCGCTCTTTGACAAGACAGTCTGCCATGAGGACGTGGTTCCCCGGCTGAGTAAGCTCTGTGCAGCCTCAATGGTGATCCTGATCGTCGTAAGCCGTTGGAGGAACAGCAGCAGATTCGAGCTCAGCCCTTTCAGCTCTGAACACAGCTGCTCTCGATCATATGCCTTTGAAAGCTGCAGATAATACGACGTCCATCCGGGCCGTCGTGCAGCCGGAAACTTCTCAAGGATCGGCGCAATCATGCCCAGCTTCTCCTGCCGGTCGAATTTGAAATTGTAGTCTCCAGACGCGACCCACACGACATCGGCCGCTCGGAAGACGGATTTGAAGCCAATGCCCTTCTCGCCGATATAGCCCGCCCGGGCGGCCTTGGAGCTGCGGCCAATGCTGCAGATGGCATCGACATTGTTGGGGGTGAAGCCTGTCTCGTTGCAGTCCACCCGGAGATGGCTGCCGCTGAGCGTGAACTCGATGGTCGGGGCGCTGCCGGGTGTGTAGTGGTTGTCATCGGCGTTCTGGATGAGCTCGAGGATGAAGCGTGTGGATTTGGCGTACAATTGGTCCGAGAGGCTAACAACATACCACGGTCACTTGCCGTTCGAGTAGTCTAGGGATATTGCGGTGCGCACGGGTAAGAGCACGCAGAAATGTCAACTTACACTTTTGTTGCGGCTTGGAGGTCTCGGACGATGCCTTCTGGGATCTGGCTTCCGTCGAGGCCCTTGTCGGCGCGGATGCGCAATATGTGCGCGTCCGCTTCGCTGAGCAGGGTTTTGGTCATGATGATTGCCGCAGGGTTGTTGTGCGCCTCTCAAGATGGCGCAGGAATGCCCCCCAATTTGGCAGGGCGAGGAAATGGCATAGATGCGGATCAAGAATTGAAGGGATTCACAAGTGAGTGAAGCTTGGCCAAGTGACAGAGGTGGTCGTTTGTGACAGTGGGAGATGGACGACTGATGTACTCACGGGAGAGTACTGCGCTGGCATGCACCGTCTGTCAGCTTTTCCAGCAGATAGTGATACCAGTCTGTGCAAGCCCATCTGCGCTACTAGCAGGGTATGGTAAGGTGCGCGAGGCTTTCCGTCATAGCCGTAGGTTTGTGCATGCCCGTTTTGGAACACCGAGCTTGACAAGCAAGGGGGGGCTGTGCAAGGCATTCCAGCTGAAAGTAGGGTGTCACCGAGCTGCAGACGATTGCATGCCTGCCTAGGCAGAGTCCCGCAGATCGGCAGAGCCCGAGCTGCGATCAGCCATCACATGGCCATCCTCTTGCGGATGCTCCTGCGGAATTACGGCAGCGATTTCATTCCGCTACCCCCATGCCTTCAACAGCTGAGGGCATAATCACAGCGCTCCGGCGACCAGCAAGCTGCCCCAGAGCAGCCTGGCGGGGTTTTCGTGTGGGTGTGTGCCAGCGCTGACTTGGCCGGATGCTGCAGGATGCGGAGTCCGGGTACGCCTCCGCGCATTCGCATGGTGCTAGAGGGTAGCGTGTTTGGGTGCTGACGCCCGCCGATCTCGGGCTGCGTGCATCATCGCGTTCAGAGTGAGTCAATGGTGCGTTTGTCAGCTCTCCTCGCTGGCGTCGTCCATGTCTGGAGGGAAGTTGGCATAATATGTCGCCCCGCGCTTCTCCTTTTCGTTGGTGTCGTTGCCTAGCTTTTGAGCACAGTAGCGGACTCTCTCGTGCAAAGGTGCGAGCATTAGGGACTTCCGGGAACGAGGTCACCAGAAGCACCCATGTCCGAGAGCATATGTGGCCAGTCCTGTCGCCTGTCCACAAGCAACACGCTTCCCGGATGTTATCGCCAGAGAGGAAAGCCTGGCATCGGCCATTAGCTCTGGATCATATCCGTGGAGAGTGGCGCAGGGGTGTTGTTAGTTCAAAGGCGCTACATGAAATGCGTGTCGACACGATAACGTTCCGTTTGCTACGAAGTTCCAGCATGCAACCACGGAATTATTGATTACCGCGAGACACAGCCTTGGCACCAATGTATCTCGGGCGATGGCGCTATCGAGATGGCTACCAACAACTCTTGGCTGGCCCACTGTGTGACCTCAGAACCTCATATGATTGTCTAGATGTTGCTCGGCCAGGGATGTCGAGAGATATCTTAGTGGGGCCCGCCTCGAAATGTTTGTTTGAGAGGTCCATGATGCAGCTGCTCATCGGACAGCGCACGGTAGCGAGCATGGGCAGAACATAGGCTCAGGCGATCGATTTGCTGAATGGTCGCCATAAATTCGTTGAATTGCCGTCCGTGATGGAGGTGACTCGGCCGGGTCAACTGGTACATTGCCTCAAATTCATCCCCAAAAGCAACCGTCGCAGTTGAAGCTCAAGATGGAGGATCGCAAGCACGAGTCACCACGTCCGCTCGACATTGTCGTGGTCGGCGCAGGCATGGCGGGCTTGTCGGTGGCCATTGCTTGCCAACTGGCTGGGCATCACGTCACAGTCTTCGAAGCCGCCAAGGAGCTCAAAGAGGTAGTTCTCTGATGTCCCTTGTCTTTGCTGCTTCCCCCTCGTGCGTATAAGCTTACCAAACTTCATGATTCTACCCGTCAGATCGGCGCTGGACTCCAACTCACCCCGAATGGCGTCCACATCGTCCGGCGCTGGGGGGTGCCCGCCTGGCTGTGGGAAACTAGAGCCGAGCCCTCTTCATTCATCGTGCACCGGTATGACGGCAGGACACTCATCCAGAAAGACGACTTCAACACGGACCTCCGACAGCGTTACGGTGCTCCCTTTCTCAACCTCCACCGTGTCGATCTGCAGCTCGCCCTAGTCGAGCGCGCGAAAGAGCTGGGCGTGCAGATCAGGCTCGGTCAGCGTGTCGACGACATCGACTTGTCGGCGACCCAGATCGCTTGCGCGTCCGGCCACATGGCTCGCGCAGATCTGATTGTCGCGGCTGATGGGCTTTGGTCGAAATGCCGGTCGCTGTGTGGCAGATCTGAATCACGGTTGTCCAACTCTGAGAGATCTACATCGAACATCCGGCACCCTCACGACGACGACGACGACGACAACGACCCCCCACTTCCGACGGGGGATCTCGCCTACCGCATCGCCCTGAACCTCACGGATATCACGGACCCGGAGCTCCGCGAGTGGGTGCAGAACCCAAAGATACGCGTCTGGATCGGGCCCGGGGCACACGCGGTAGGCTACTCGCTCCGAGGAGGGACGATGTACAATATCGTCCTGCTAGTCCCCGACGATCTGCCGGAGCATGTGAGGCGCCAGGAAGGGTCAGTTAGGGAGATGATGTCGCTCTTTGAAGGGTGGGATCCGGTGCTGACGCGGTTCTTGGGGATGGTGGGCGAGGTTGATAAGTGGAAGTTGATGCATCGTGAGTGTCTCCCTGGCTGCATACATGCAGCTGCTGCGATCCAGCAAGATTGGAAAATGCTCACCATTGAGGTCAACCAGGGAAACCACTGCCAAGGTGGATCAGCCCAGAGTCAAACCTCGTGTTCGTGTAAGTCATCCCGCCAAAGGCCACTCCCATTCGTGAACCATGAGAGCAAGAAGATTAAAGTCCTTGTGTCTGCTGCGCAACAGAGGGGATGCATGCCACCCGATGCTCCCATATCTCGGACAGGGCGCCAACCTCGCCATCGAGGACGGGGCTGTGCTCGGTCTGCTCCTCCGCGAGGTGACTTGTCGCAGTCAGCTGCCTCGGGCTTTAAGCATATATCAACAGCTCCGCAAACCTCGCGGGGAAGCTGTTGTGGTAGAAACCTTTGGCCAGGTCCGTCCCACCATCGAAATGAGAAGAGTAGTACGAGGAAGTTCGCACTGACAGTGGATATACAGCGCGATGCCTGGCACTTGGCGGATGGCCCGGAGCAAGAAGCCAGAGACGCCATTTTCCACATCTCCCAACCAGGCGCAGGCATCCGCGAGCCGTTCCCAAGCCGCTGGATCTGTCCCACCGTGCAGCAGTGGTTGTTTGGATACGATGCATGGAGGGAGGTCGACCTAGCGCTGTCTCGACGACCCTTTGCGTCCAAGCGGAAGAAAGACAGTTCAATAGTGCGAAAAGTCTCTTGGGCACCTGGCTCTGTTGTTCGTCAGCTGCGGGCTTCGATCGTCAAGCTAGCCAGAATTCTCAAGAAGCGCTTGGTATTGTAACTCGTGGGCCAGATAGGCTGCGATTTCGATCATGGGCACTCTACGGGATACGAGAGTGATGAGCAGGAACGCGAAATCTGAAAAGAACCAACATAGAAACGAATGGTGCTGGCTCATCTCCCCTCTAGGCGTCAGAATACCCTCGTTGGCTTTACACTTGCTGCAGAAGTCAGGGTAACCAAGGTATTCACAACAGGCTTGTACCATTGTCAGTTTTGATGCTATCAGAAACAGAAGCTTTCATCACATTCGCCTTATGGCGATTGTGGTTACTTGGAAGCACCTGTTTTATTCCAATCAGGGCGCCTGTCTAGGCCCAGTATCATTCGAGTCAGTAATTCCCAACCTTGGTGAGACTTTGTCGACAAGACGGCGGTATGTGATGTCAAGCCAGCCATAGCAAGCTGGCCTCCGGAATCAGCAACGGATCATTTCCTAGTGCTAAGCAGACATCACTAAGAGGTGCTTTGGGAGGATTGAAAGGGTGTCCTTTGCGTCGTTCAGGCGGGATCTTTATTTTCTCACCTTTCCCTTAATTCCCCGCAGTTCTTCCCCCAAGTTTCCCCGTTTCGTCTCGTTTTTCCTCCTTTCCCCTCTCTCCTCTCCTTTCTCCCATCAACTTTCTCCCGCCACCTTTCCCTTTTCCCTTTTCCCACTCGCTCAATCCCTTCTTACCCCCCCCCCCCCCCACTCGGTCACATCACGTTTTAAATAACCGGGCAGTCCACGTCCAATAGATGATGAATAAGGGGAGGTAGTGAAAAACAAAAATATTGTATTCCGGTATACGTGCAAGTACTTAGCGTCCGTGAGGGAAGACAAAAGAGCCGAAGAATACATGGGCTACATCTATGCAATTATGAAATGAGTCGCCCAAGAATTACGGAGGAGTCCGATGCCTGATACTACATCCACCCGCTTCTACGCCGGGACGGCTCCGACTCGAGCGTAGAGACTGTGGCGGAGTATGAGGTACTGACTGATGCCGATCCGTAGGCCTACTGACGCGGCGCTTGACGCTGCAGCTTGTGCAGGCCGCATGAATATCGCGGCACGTAGCACGATGGAGGAAGAGTGAGAGACTATATGAGAGAGCATTACTTTTAATGTCCTTGGATCTGTGCTACTCTGAGACGACTAATGCGATGTCTTTCCTGCGCCGAACGCTCGCCGTGCAATTACCTGTTAGTTATGCTTTGCCGGTGGCGCCTTTCTGGCCAGCGAGCCCGCCCAGATCAGCGACTTCTTGGCCTCGACGTCGATTGTCTCGGCTGCTGTCATGATCAGCTCCAGCTGTCCGTCCGTAAAGGCTAGGACTCTGCCTGCCTGCCTGCCTGCCTGCCCGGGCACGCCGCACTTCACTTTTGCGTGCAGACTACCGGAAACTGGACGTAAACGAGGCGGGAATGATGGCCAAGGACGGCACCTGCAGCGACACCAACAAACACACTTGCGCAGGGTCCAGCTCGTTCTGGTGCGGCCGGGGTGCCAGACGGGGTTCCGCTCGGGTTGTTCCGTGGACTCGGGCAAGGTCAGCCCGGACGCGGCGCGTGGTGGCGATCAGAGGTACACATGTCTTGGCTCTGGGCTTGGGGAGGTATGATCTGAGATGACCCGTCTGCTTCGGGCGACTGCGGATGCAGCCGTAGTCCTTGTTCGGGTAAGCTGACATGGTTTTAAGGCCAGTACACCGAATGCAAGGCCCTTTAGTTCTCTCAACAGGTTTTCGGCTCGGCCGCTGAGCATGCAGGATCGGCAACTCTCCCTGAAGGAATGGAATGATTGTACATACTAGGGTCAAGGCCTGCAAGTTTCAAGCAGGACAAAAGCACCCACACAAGGGTGAGCAGCATGGTCTCGCGCAAGAAATGAGGCACGCTATTGTTCCGGTTGCTTGGAAGGTTTGATCCTTGGAGTTGCAATCGGTACAAGCATCGCAGCAGCAGGCACGCCTATGCTGGGTGCTTGCTGGGTAAGGACGGGTCACTTTTCTGCAGATCGTCCAAAGACGTGGCTGCCAGAATCGCCATGCTAATTGGTGACTCCATTTAACAGAGGGATACGCGGTGTCAAGTTTTCGGCACCAGGCGCTTGTAAGTGTCCGAATGTCACTGCAAAATACAGTTGCCGGTTGCATGGCAGTCCGATACGCCTAGGCTGTGCTTACTTTGCGCCGTTTGATGCTTCGTAATCACCCCGTGGGGAAGTTGTGAGGTCCAGCTGCCCCCTGTCCTCGTGTTACCTGGGCAGGGCTCCCAGGGTGCGTGGCACTTGTGGCATGCAACGGGGCTGAGCTGTTCGTGCTAGGTTGTCGAGGTTGTATTCGTGAGATGCTCCTCGTGCTTTGTCCAGGAGGCTAGTCGCCCATTTTGCTCCACAACTATTCTTGCCGAGAGTGGAGACGACTGCCCTGTTCTATGTATCTCAAGAGCACTTCATATGCGAGGAGCGCCACTACAGTCTCAGCCCCAACGTGGGAGATGCTTCGACGTGATGTTAGCTGCGACTGCGCGGCTCGCAGCAAAATTCAAAGGATTTTTGAACAAGCAGAATGACGCGTCTTGTTGATGTCAGCTGTAGACGCACATTCATCATGTCATAACCAGCCATTGGAGGGAGGTCCGCTTGGCGCATGCATTTGGCTGCAGGATCCATGCATACTGCAGGCGGGACAAGTGCGGTTCGGGCCTCTCCCTAGCCGGAAGCGGTTCAACACACCGGATAGGGTCCTCCTTAGTCAGCGGTCATTGCAGAGATAAGCCGCTGGGCAAATATCGTATGCGCATTGCTGACATTGTTGCATCGCCGCTGGGCAGGTGGTCACCTTCGATGTGACTTACAACTGCGCTCAGGGAACCACTAGAACCTTGAAAACTTGGAAAGCCTCTCCACAAGGTGTCTTGCTAGATCGTGATTGGATACGCGGAACGACTTGGCATGATCACAACTTCGACGCAATACGGTATGGTCACAATCAATACAGGTTCCCAGCGATCCCGGCTTCCTTCTCAGGAAGATGTAGAGCACTGACGCTATGCTGGTGCCTAACGCGGGTGAATTGACGTCTTGGCAGCCAAGCAAGGACTCGAAAGCACAGCCGCGTGGCCATGTCACAACAAACATGCGTGCCTGTTCCGTGATGAAGACGTCCTTTGCTCCGTGGTGGCTCTTGAGTAATTGCCGTCGTGCAGGAACACCTGTGTCGCCATATTTAAGCAAAGAGTATAAGTACAGCAGACTCTGCCGCGAAGTGTTAGAAACAATCCCGTCTCGCCACAGTCAACAAGCCAAGGACTTTACTACTCAAGTACCCTAAGCACCACGCAAGACTACCAGCCTTCCATCCAACCATCTTCAAGATTCAAAATGCTCGTCACCAAGTCTGCTGTCCTGGCCTGCCTGGCCGCCTCCGTCACTGCCGTTGACATCCGCTTCTACCGTGGACGTGGCTGCGGAAGCTCGTACGGCCAGTGCGGTAACATCGTAGAGGGTAGATGTTGTACCGTCATCCCGACGGATCCCAACTCTGCAATGAGCTTCAACGTCCTTCCTAGCAACGCGAATCTCTATCTTTGGGGCCACTTCCAGGAGAACTGCGGTGGCGCCGTTGCCGGGGAAGCTCGCAGCAACGGCAACCCCAACGTGTGCTTCCCTACGCCTCAGTACCGCTCCGGCAGATGGACCCGCGGCGTCGGCAACCGCTACGTCGCCGAGGTCGAGCAGTCTGCCGACCAGGCCTGCAGCCACCCCGATAAGCTCATTTACGAGGACAGCAGCGAGGTCGATCTGGCCGACCTTACTACGGAGGAGTTTAACGAAGTGGTACGTCTTTGTTCATGACTTTCTTTGTTTCTACCCCGAGTTGGAGCAATATAACAGATTCGCTAACTTGAGTCTTTCTTTAGTAAGCCTCGTCCTATCGATGAGCCCCGATCCTCGTTGAAAGCACATTCCAGATCATGTTATCGTGACAGCGCATCTATTCTCCAGTCAAGTGTTAATAGAACGATTGCTAACTTTTGCTTCCTCAAATCTAGCTGGCGCACTTTCATGGATGGTGGCAACGCCACCGAGGTCCAGAGCCAGATCGCCACGCTCCGCATCTAAGACTATGAACCGAAGTCAGCCATCTCCCGTCCCACAACGATGGAGACGTCCACCGCTCGGCGTCGGAGAGCAGCAGAAACACAATCGAGACTTTATTTTTCACCCTAATAAGGCTTTCCTGTTTATTTTCATACGTCCACACTCATTTTTGGAGAAGGCTGGGCCCCGCCTTCAAGTTATGAAACTGCTGGGTCACAAGAATGAGAGTGAAAAGGTTAGGTCTAAGTGGGAGGTTTGACAAGAGGACACCACTATTACCGTAGTGCCATTCCTGCCATTCTAGCATAGCCAAAACAATCCATTCGTTGATCCAGCATAAGTTTGAGCCAAACATTGTGTTTATAGTGCGTTGTCCCATTTACTATGGCTTCAGGCCAAGGTTGCGGCCTTGGGGTCAATGGCTGTCTAGCCGAAAACACTAATGGCACAACTTTGCAGATCTGCGAAGGCAATCTGAAAGACATTTTCTTAGTATTATTTTCTTACTTGGCTCTGCTAGGTAGTCCTTCCAATCAAGCGAACGCGTCTGCTGCTAGTTCCAAATACCTTCTGTACGAGGTTATTTTCGTATGAACTTTCTCAGAAGCTGGGAGTGACCTTAACAATCTCAAATATCTTACTCGCCCAATAGCCATGGCATTAATTGAGCCGGACCCGCCGCTAGGCTGAGTCTACGTGAAAATGAGTGATCTCGGCAAAAGCTAGCCAGTGCCTGCTTGATTGATTTAGGTCCGGTACGTAGGTACTCCGGTAAGCCTTGTGGCTATATCTACGTATGCAGTTGTGAAATGACCCATCTAGGAACTACCATTCTGTCCCTCATCGCCATGAGCACTCAGCTATCCACTCCGACCGAGCTTCCGCTGGCCGATAAACAAGGTTTTTAAGAATGGCGTATCAGAAATGCGCAAGCACCGGGTATTTCCATCCACCACACGGCCATCCAGCTACTTGAGCCGCCTCTCCTCCCTCCACCCCGGCCCATACCTGAGCACCGCAAACACAAAGGGGCTGAACAGCAACCATATTCCCGGGATCACCACGCCCAGCCAGCCCACCCCGCCACCACCCGCGGCGCTGACAAGCGGGCTCGAGAACGCCGTGCCAGCCGCGCCCAGCCAGCAGCGCGTCATGTTCATCGCCGCGGACGCGACGCCCGGCCGGTCCCGGTTCAGGTCCATGATGAGATTGTTGAAGCCGGAGAACGCGCTCGCGCCGCCAAAGGCCTGTAAGGCCAGGAAGACCAGCGGGACCGCGAGCGGCGCGTGTTTCTGCAGGGACCAGCCGTACGCGACGAGGCTCACGCCCGCGAGGCACAGCGCGGCCACCGCGCTCTGCAGCCGGGCCCGCTCGACGGGGAACCCGGCCAGGTCCTGCTGTTTCTGTCTGGAGATTGCCAGCCCTGCGCGGCGCGCGTGCCGGCGGAAGTTCCAGTCGAGCACGCGGCCCGTGAGGAGGACCGAGATAACAGTGCCGAATCCCGGGGCCAGGAAGCACAAGCTGACGTGGAGCGTGTCGAGGCCGTAGACCTGCTCGAGCTGGTCGGACAGGGTCGAGAGGACCATGTAGGTGCTCGCGTAGATGAGGCCGCTGTACACGAGCAGCAGGCTCGTCTCCTTGTCTGCGAACAGCCGGAGCGATAGCAGCGGGTTGAGAGCGGCGCGTGCTCCGCCGCTGGCAGGTTGCAGAGGTTGTTGCTGTTGCTCCTTCTCGTCTGTTGCTGCCTGGCCAGTCGTCCGGATATGGGCGGCGCCAACAAGCTGCCGGACAAGAGCTAAGCCTGTCTTGTTCCATGCTCGGGGCGGGATCGAACCGTTCCCAACGATTTGCCGGCTCGTTTCGGGGAGGAACAGAAGTGCCACGAGCCACACAACCCCGGCGTAGATGGCGAGGAACCAAAAGATGGCCTGCCAGTTGAGGTACCGGCTCAGCAGACCGCCAACAACCTCGGAGGAAATCAGTTACTGTCCCAAATAGCTCGCAAAGCAACTATAAGATATGTAGACGGGTGTTGAGTACTTACCGGTCCAAGCGACGGCCCGAGCATCCACCCCAGCTGGACGTACGAGGTATACTTGCCGCGCTCGGCCGACGTCACAATATCGGACACAGTCGCAAGCGACAGCGCGATGGTACCGCTGCACCCCACGCTCTGCAGACACCGCATGGCAAAGAGGACGCCATAGTCGGCCTTGAGGGCAGCACCCACACAGCCAGCTACAAAAATGACCAAGGAAATCAGGAGAGCGGGCCGGCGGCCTTTGACATCGGAGAGGTTGCCCACAAAGGAAGGGGCGATTCCCTGGATTATCTGAATGGCAGGTCACGATCAAAATAGTCAGCTCGTCCCTCGATGAAGATGACGCAGGTCATGGAGGAAAACGCACCAGGTAGATTGTGATGGTGAGGTTGATGTTCGTAATCGACACGCCCAGCTCGTCTGCAAGCAAGGGGATGACCGGGTAGAAGATACTGGAGCTCAGCGGCGCAATCATTGTCGTCGAGGCGACAATCAGGACGATGAACCACTTTTGTACATCGGAGAAGACGGAGAAGGGACGGGCTGGGTCTGATTCGACCGCCCCATTCTTCTCTGTACTTTGCTCGCCCTTTTCTTCGTCTTGTTCATCGGAGGAGATGATCCCAGTAGGCGCTGCTTCGCTCTCGGAGCTAGTCCCTGGGGACTTGTCGTTGAGGGCTGGCATCTTGTCGTTTCACGTGCGAATGTGGGAAGTTGCGGTGCTGCACCGATGTCGTCAGGGGTAATCAAGACGTTGAGTGTCTCTGGTGATGGTTTGCAATGTAATCACAAGATGTCTTTGGAGAGAACAGACGCCCGTGAATTATAAAAGAAGTAAAGAACGGTCGCGTAGACAACCCCAAGGAACAGAGTCAAGTACCGGACACCCGCTTGATCGGCGACACGCCGAGTTTTGGCACGCGGCCGGTGTGGGGCCGAGATAGTCCGGCCTGCTTTTTCTCGGCGTGAGACCGAGCTGCCGGTAGTACACCCCCGCCACGCCTGTTTAATGGCCAGCGACGCGTAGATATGTGACTCTGCTTCCATTGGATGCAAGGGATACTTGACATAATATCTGGGGCAAGTCTTGAGCAGCTGCAAAATACCATTTTATTTCGTCACAGATGATGCAATGCTTGAGATCTCAACCAGCTACATCTAGCTATGGTCTACCAGGAAGTCATAAGAGTTGAAAAACTCGTCAAACATTTCGTCGTTTGGGAGAGAGTCAGTCATCACGTTGATGCTGTCGTGCTGCTGGGCCTCAGCGGCGGCAGCTGCAGGACTACTGCTCCAACGACGACCACCACCGCCCTGTTCCCCTCCGCCTCTTGACACTCGCGAGATGCGCTGCACCGCATCCGTGGCGCCCTCAGTGATTGAGACGAGCAGGTGCTGCGGGTGCATTGTCCGGACGACCTCCTGAAGCACGGCAATCGTCCTGCCCAGCAGCGCCTGGACCTCTTCCGCGTCCACTTTGCAGAAGCCGGCGTGCCGCGCCGTCTCCGTCCCCACCGGCGACGATGACGACGACACCTTGAGAAGGAAGACGACGGCAAAGGCAATCATGACGTGGAAGTAGGTCGGCAGGCCGTTGAGGAAGGACTGCACCTCCGGGTCCGAGGTGAGGGTGCGCAGGATGCACGACGCGGCCAGGACGGCCGAGCTGGCCAGCTCGTAGACGTCGACTTGCACGTCGCTACTGTTGCTGTTGCCGTTGCTGTTACTGTAACCACTACCCGTGCCCGACTGCTGCTGCTGCTGGGGACCGCCACAGCCGCCGCTCTCGTGGCTGCGAAAGGCATGGGAGCAGAGAAAGAGCTTGGCAAAGTGGTACTGCATGATGGCGCCCTTGCGGGGGTAGTTGCCCACGTGGTCGTCGGGCCCATGCGTCTCTCCTAGCTCTATCCGGATCGTGTCAAGCGCGTGGCCGAGCCGCTTGGCGGTCTGGATCTGGGCGTCGGTGAGGGCGACATCGACGTTCTGGCCAAACAGGTCAAAGGTCTCGGTCCAGACGGTCCAGCGGAGCACGTGGCTGACGAGCCGCCTGTCGTCGGCGTTGCGGCTGGCCAGGGGGCACTGCGAGAGGAAGCGGCGGACGTTCTTGATGGCCTCGCACTCGCGGGTGAGCGGGGGCCGGCCGTGGGGGATCGAGAGGTGGTGGTCGCAGGCGTACACGAGGTAGTAGAGCCGGGCGTGCAGGTAGCTCTGGTAGTCGCCCTGGATGGCCCTCGCGAAGCTGCGGTGCAGCTGCAGCTCCGTGGCGATGCGGACGGCGAGGGAGCTCAGCGCCGACGAGAGGTCGCTCATCCAGAAGGCCCCGATGCACAGCGCCCGCACGTGGTCGGCGTCGTTCTTGCGCGACAGGCTCGCCGCCGTCGCCAGCGCCGCAAACTCGAGGCGCAGCGGCTCGTAGTCGGCCGAGGCGGCGTGCAGGGCGCCCACGGCGCAGACAGCCGTGCTGAGGATGGGCGACTGGCGGTGCAGCTGCTCAAACGTGTAGCCGCTGCGGTCTCCCAGCACGCCGTATAGGAAGTGGTCGAGGCGCTCCTGGTAGACGGCCTGGTACTTGACGGCGTTCTCCAGCGAGACCACCCCGCGAGACACAAAGTCTGCCTGTGGCGGCGCTGCTGGGCGTGCCTGAGTGTTGGAATGCAGACGGAGGCCCGGCAGGCTCCCTGGGCTCGACTCGAGGTCGACGACGAGGCTCAAGCCAGTCGCAGAACTCACGGGCACGGAGCCAGCAGTATTGTGACGCAAAGCAGCAGGCGGCGATGATGATGATGATACGGCATTACTGATGTTAGTGAGATTACTGGCTGCTGCTTGCGGCATCAACACCTGTCCTTCCTGGCCGGGTGCAGTCGCAGACGATGCCTCCGCCAGCTTGGCCTCGAGCTGCCGAATCCTGTGCTCGATTTCCTGCTTCCATCTGAGTCTCGGGCGAGTTTAGCAAGACTTGTCGTGCCTGGTGGGGATGGCGTGACTCGGAGTCCGCTTACAAGGTGTCATATTCCATGTGCACTTGCAGGTTCCTGCTGACGGCGCAGGGTAGACGCTTTTTCCGGCACCGCCCACAAGGGGGCTTGGCATCGATCATGTCACATTTGATCTAAAAACACAAATAAAGAACCGCCAAGAACCACATCAGCACTGTCAGTAATCATGATGACGATGACAAATAGCAGCTGGTGTGTGCTTGGCGGCCTACCTTTTGCTTGCGGCAGGCCTCGCAGGCCACCATCTTGCGGACCGGCGACTCGGCGGTGGAGGAGCCGGACCCTCCGACAACGGTGGTTGCCGAGTCGCTCATCTGGGCCGGAGTGGTTTCCCCGCAAGATATAGAAGAAACCCAGAGGTAAGCCGCGGAGGGCTGCGGTGGCCGGTGATTGGGGAGCATGTACGAGGGTTCGATGACGGGCGCTGGCCCCGAGATGGGCTGAGTAAGAAGCAGACAACCGCTGCTGGCGCCATCGGCGTCCCCGCCGAGCTTCCATGGCCACGTGACCGGCGTGGCGCCGAGATGCAAGGGCTAGTCTAAGTACCAAAATAGAGCCTATGGCTGCTGGCGGGCACGTGGCGCCCAGCGGCCCCTCCGCCGCAGGTCTCTTTGGTTGGGCAGGTTGCACGAGCGCAGCTGCACGGCCAGTAGATGGTAATATTGGACGCGATTGGACCCTCCGTTCAAATTGCATCGCAGGTTCAGAGACAAGACCCTGAGACCATCCTTGATCTGCTCTTGGCATTGCACGTCAAGCAGAGCATGTAATACGGCTCGGTGAAGATGTCTTGTGACTCACGAGAATAGGCTCGAGCAGAACCACCCAGGCCCAGTCAGGCTCATGGTGGCGTGAAAGCATCCCACCATGACACTACCGTGATGGAGTCGGCGACGCATCGTAAGCCCCATGACATAGATCCGCTGCGGCCCGGAGATTAGCAAGCAATGACATTCACCTGGTAATGAAATATCCTGGTGCCAATGAGCATAGGAAAAACAAAAGCAACAAGCTTGAAGACCCTGGTCAGAGGGGCAAGTATCACGGTCTCCACGTTTCAGGCGGAGATCAGCCAGACTATTTGTTGGTTGGGCAGCAGCCGACCTCCACGCGAATTACCGCAATGGCTGGTATCCAAAGATGGACATTTGCTTCGCGGACGATAAGAGACATGGTCGTTTTTCTCTGGTCGTGACGAGACAGCTCCCCTCAGAGCTATTGTGCAAAACATCATACTAGTCTTGACTCGACACCCAAGTCCTACTGCACCTTTCCGCCGCAGTCTCGCTTCGCGTGGTGGTGCACGCGAGCCCCAGCATGCTCAAGGGGGCCCGACATGACATGACAAGTGGCTTGCGGGGTTCAAGCCACCAAACTCGCCAGACACGGGCCGTTGGTCGGGGGGGAACCCCTGTGATCGACGCCGCCAAGCATTGGCAAAGTGGAGGAGGGCTCGAGTCCGGCGTCTCACACTGCCGACTACATGCCCAATAGGGGACTATAACCTGCAGGTCAAGCGGGTTATGGCGTGTCGTGGAGGAAGGGACTCGGCCGGTATAATCTCGCACTGACGTGTTCTGAGACTCGTGGATTGGGTGCCGTGCTCTTCCGCGTTTCCGCAAAACTCCTCGGGGACAAGGGTCCTGCATAGGACACCGTCTAGCGGCATGTTCCGTCTCCAACTCAGTCCTTGGGTGACTTACCCTGCCTTGATGCACGGCGCTGCAAGATGGAAGTTTAGCTGCGGGAGAGGTGTGTGGGGAGTGACTAAGTAATGCCCATAAAAATCCGCATGGTCTCTCGTGCCACGAGGCAGATGGCGTCAGCCAGTCTTGTATAAAGATCACTCCGTCCCGAGCCTGTGACAGTGCGTCATAAGTCGGACTCTGTTCAAAAGTGACAACGGCAATCTCACTACCCAACGCAGCAACTTGTGAATACAGCGCCATGGCGGACGAGGTATATGACTTCATCATTGTCGGCAGTGCGTGCCCGCCCTTTCCCCTCATCTTGGTCACCTTCTCCACGACGCACACATGATGCTAACGCAGCCCCCTTTCCCCTTGAACAGGCGGCCCATCCGGCAGCGCCCTCGCCGCAGGCATCGCCAATGCGCCCTCGCGACCCCGAGTCCTCCTGCTTGAAGCCGGTGGCCCCAATGCGGAGCGGGATCTCCGTGTCGACGGCCAGCGCTTCACGACCCTTATGACCAGCGGCATGAATTGGGGGTACAAGACAACACCGCAGGCAGAGTGCAACAACCGCGAGATCGACTACTCGCGAGGCCGCGGGCTGGGCGGTTCGAGCGCAATCAACTTCGGCGTGTACAGCTACGGGGCGCGGGACGATTACGACGAGTGGGCGAGGCTCGTCGGGGACGACACGTTCTCCTGGGACAAGATGCAGCAGCGGTTCAAGGCGCTCGAGAGCTTCAACATGAAAACTCCAGCTGGCCTCGATGGGGGTGCCGCGAGTAAGTACGCCGCTCCTGACGCCGCGGTCCACGGGACAACCGGACCGCTCAAGGTCGGCTACGCGAAGGAGTGGGAGGACGACCTCACGCAGACGCTCGATGTCTTTGTGAGCGGCGGGTGGCCGGCCAATCCGGACCACAACTCGGGCAACCCGCTGGGCATCTCGGTGCTCATCAACTCGGCCCAGGGCGGCGTGCGGACCACCGCCAGCGACCTCCTGGACCCTCGGCCAGAAAACCTCACCGTCCTCACCGACGCACCCGTCGCTCGCGTCCTTTTCAACAAGACCGCTTCCTCGGCCAGCGAGAAGCCCAAGGCCGTCGGCGTCGAGACCGCCACCGGCAAGACCTACCACGCCAAGAAGGAGGTCCTCCTCAGCGCTGGAGCCCTCAACACGCCACAGATCCTCATGTCCTCGGGCCTCGGCCCGGCCTCCCCGCTCCGAGCCCTGGGCGTCAGCCCCCTCCGCGACATCCCGGCTCTCGGCCAGAACCTGCGCGACCACATGTTCGTCCCGCTCATCTACAAGCTCAACACGCCGCACTCGGCCACCCGCGCGGCCTTCTACCGGTCCGCGGACGCCCGGGCCGCCGCGCTGGCGCAGTGGCGCGAGCAAGGTGGAACGGGCGACTGGGCCAAGTACGCGTGCGAGCTGGGGATTGGGTGGGCCAAGCTCCCCGGGCTCGAGCAGAGCGCCGAGTTCCAGGCCCTGCCCGAGGCCGAGAGGGCGTTCCTGGCTAAGGAGACGGTGCCGCACTACGAGATCATTACGCATTTCCCGATCCATTACTTTGTCCCGGGCTTCCCCGACGAGAATCTGGACTATGTCACTGTGCTAGTGTTCTACTACAATGCGCAGGCTCGGGGCGAGGTGACGCTGAAGAAGCCGGATGCCGCGGCGGAAGGTGAGAAGGGGGAAAAGAGCGTGGAGGTGCCGCAGGTCCAGTGCAACCCACGCTTCCTGGAGCACGAGTTTGACCGCCGGGTCGCGGTCGACTCGCTGCGCGAGGTGCTGCGGGTGCTCAAGCAGGACAGCTTCGCCAAGGACACGGCCGGTGTCATTTCCGGGCCCAAGGGCGAGAGCGACGAGGACCTGCTCGAGTACTGGAGGCAGAACATCTCGAGCAGCTGGCACATGACGGGGACGGCCAAGATGGGGGCCCCGGGGGACGCCGATGCCGTGGTGGACCAGGACTTCCGGGTCCGGGGCGTGGATGGGCTGCGGGTGGTTGACATGAGCGTCGTGCCTGTGCTCGCAAGTTGTCACATTCAAGCGGTGGCGTATATCACAGGTGTGACGGCGGCCGAGAAGATTGTGGCCGAGTATGGATTGTGATATGTCTGATATATATACAAACACTTGGCATAGCAACAATGATTAGTTCCATGTGGGCAGGCGGGCGGGAGGCTGCAATTTGATTGATTTATCGTCTTACGCTACAAGTCCTGGGTTCCCACCACAGGGTCACCTCGCTGTTGATTCTTATCGCCGTTGCTACCATGCCTTCCCTCTACACCGCTGCCACCTCCTCGGCCTTCTTCCCATTCGGGTACTGCTGCGACATGTACCGCAGATCGCCCGTCACGCCGATATTGCCCACGGGATTCAGCCCCAGCCACTCCTTCATGTCCTCGCCCAGCGTGTCCTGGATCTCCTTGGGCAGCTTGGCCGTCCAGTTGACCTGCTGCCGCATGAACGGCGCCGTGTAGTACCCAAACAGCAGCGCCCGGTCCTCGTCCTTGGTCACATTGCTGCCCGAGGTGTGCCACACCCGCCCGTCCATGACTATGATGTCGCCGGCCTCGCCCTCGAACGGCACCAGCAGCTCCGGCGCGTTGTCCGGCACCTCCTTGCGGTACACGTACTTGTTGCTGCCGGGGACGTACTGCGTCGCGCCGTTCTCCTTGCGCACGTCGGTGAGGCACCAGATGACATTGAGCGCCCAGACGTCCTGCCACGGGTCCGGAAACACGAGGCTCTGGTCCGAGTGCAGCGCCATGCTCTGGCTCCCCGGGCGGGCAATGTTGGCCGTGAAGTTGCTGATCAGAAAGTTGTCTCCCAGCACCGCCTTGACCATGCTGACCGCCGTCGGGTGCGAGATGAGGTCCCGGAAGACCTTGTCGAGCTCCATCAGGTAGAAGACGCGCACGTTGGACGGGTTCGGGTCGAGGAAGGACAGGTACGTGTCCTCGCCGCGCGCCTCGGCCTTGCGCTTGGCCTCCCACAGCTTCTCGAGCGCCGCGGCGGCTTCGTCCTTGGTCAGCACCGAGGGCACCTTGGCCCAGCCGTATTCGCGGAGGTGCGCCTTGGCGGCTTCGAGGTCGAATGCCATGATTGATGTTGGGAGTGGGATAAGTCGAGGTGGTGTGTGGGAAAGTGTTGCACAGGGCAGGGAATGCTTGTTGGCTTCACTATTCCGTTCAAGTCGAATTGAAATTCTGGAGTGTTACAAGTTATGCACAGCACCGCAAGTCAGGTTCAAAAAGAAATAGTGGCGAGCTGGAGGTTGCTGACAAGCCGTTGCCCCCCACCTGAAGACGACCACAAGGACCCTTCCCGCATTGCGCGACCATCCCTCCGGGGGAAAAGGGGGGGTCATTGTGCATCAACAGCCCTTTCAAGGAAAAGGATCCTTCTCCAACTCTGAGCATGCCCTGTACGGCACGTTCCGCTGATCTCGTGCGGGGATCTCCCAAACGAGGTTGCTTCCTGCGTCCAGGTACGCAGTAGACCCTTTCTACATGCAACAGGCCATGACTCCTGCAAGAATCAAGACGGCCAAGATTGCCTTGCCCGCAGCCCTTGTGGCATTCGCCTCAAAACCGCCCCCATGGCCGTGGGAGCGGTGTGCATCCTTGCTTGCCATCCGGCAGTGTCGTTGCAACAGCCTGCTTGGCTGCATATGCAATCGGCTCGGGACCGACTGGGAGGCATGCGAGCATGCGATTCCCGATGGCAGTAATCATGTCGCATGACTGTAGTTGGGGATTCCATGTGGAGCAATTGCTCGCTCATTTCAAGGCCATTAATCTTGGTTGCATCCGTCCCGTCTTTCGCAATGAGCTCAATGCAGCTGCCAGCCTGAATATCGATGGTACCCCTGGCTGCGGTCCTTTTTGGCGTCTTGCCACCAGCCGCTCGCCTCCCAGTCGTCTGGCTCGAAATCATACGCGCACGTCCAGACTGGAGTCGAATCTAGGTGAAGGAGCTCATCAACACCATGCCCGCTGGCTTCTAACTGCGGTCCCGCTCGTATAGCTGGTTGGTGATCGTAGAAAGCACGACCCGTTTCATGAAAGACGATCAGTGGGGCATGGTCCGATGAGAGGCTGCTGGTCCGCCGGGGCTTGTCGAACTTGTACTGCGTAAGGACGCTGGCGCTCTGGACAAAACCGGGTCGACAAGGGGCCCCCTGAAGCTTTGTCTCGCTCTGCTGGCCTGCTGCTTCAAACCGGCTCCGATAGAATTGATGCGAGGAAAAACGGCAGGGACCGATTTGATGCAGGTGTTTACCGTGATCGCGGGTGTCAGAAATACTCGTCGACCCGGAGCAAGTCTTGCCTTACGCGACCCAATAGAGAGACTGGATACCTCGATCAGCCGACGGCAGATGACGTCCCTTGCGATGCAGAGGCGAAGTATTGCGCAGGAGTTTCAAAAATAGCATATTTCCCCAGCTGTGAATCTCGCCCTGGCGTTCATGGGAGCTGAGAAACACTGGACGTCTCGGCAATTTCGCCCTTTCAGCATTACCTAAAGCAACATCTCTTGTTCCGACGGCTGTGATCAGATTGGCAGGTATTGCCGGTGCCGATCCACGGGTGGTCTGCGCGCCGTTTTGTATTAGCTCACAACCGTAACCAGGCCAGGTTTCCGATCCTGAGAGTAAGGCGGCGGCTTCGGAGAGTGTTGTAGGGCAGGAATCTGAGTTCTGACCACAGACGCAACACTTGCCTCTAAGAGTACAAGATTGACACATTGCCTGCACCATATGTCGGCCGTGTAGCCGTCGCCAGTGCGTGACTGGACGAGGACCTGCCCAGCTAGCAAGGGTTCCCCTGCCATCGGAATCCACATCCCGCCGGGCTCACCCGTGCGCCACTGACGAAAATCCCGCCTGGGCAGCGGGAACACCTTGTCTGACCGTTGCCGCGGCTGCAACGCCTGGTTTATGCGAGCCGGAGACTTCAAGGGGCACAAGAGAATGGGCCAATGAACTACTCCAGAGCCCTGGGGTTGCGGGGTGTGATCGGCAGTCGAGCAGGGCAACAAAGTTCCTTCACTCCTGCCAAGACTGCTCTGATTCGTCAAGCGTACGGCAACGTGACATATTTTGACAAATTTCCCGTTCCAGAATATCTCTTGGTTTGATGAGAAGTTCGCCGACGGCAAAGACCAGACGAAGCCTCCACTCTGCCTTGGCTGTTTTGTCGATTTCGAAGCATCAAATTGGCTTGCTACCCGTGCTACTGCCACCCGTCGAGTCTATTGAATGCGCCTGGAGATAACCAACGGTGCAAAGTTGCTCTTGGGTGATGGACTTGACTTTCAGGTTGCGACGCTGACTTGATCGGTGTCATTAAATACATGAAAAAAACACATATATCGGGATAGAACCGCAGTGTGTAAGCTCTGTGGGAGTGAAGGTGCCTCGATCTGCTCCTGTTGCTATTGAGTGAGCGGACCAATTGCACGCGGCCATATCCGTGAACATAACCCGTACCCCAGCATTCGCAGTCTTACTTTCGGCTCCCCGGTGTCATCCGAGACTCTTCGTTCCTTCCGGACACGACCAAGATTTTGTGCAGGGTTTGATTGGACCCAGCGCCGTTCTGCGCAGTGCCCTGCTGTCAAGGCACTGTGCGCTCCTCCGCCACGGTCGCGTGTGCCAGAGCCGCCGCATATTATCAGTCCCTGCTCTACTTTTTCTTTTCTCATGCACAGACGCCTGGATATTGCAGACGAGTGCTGATCTTCTTCTCGTTCAGTCAAGGAACTCATCTACGGAACCATGTCGCCATCTTTACTGGGCAACGCGCCCCTGAGGTTTTACGTTCAGTCTTTGAACACTCTTCGCTTGCGCAGTTTCAACAGAGACAGCGCCGCCAGGACGACCTCGTAAAGGTGTTATATATGAAGCACGAGAGCGGATCCATTTTCTGGTCTTCGTTTGTCATCTCGATCACCGCCAATACAGTATCTCCCGGAGCACAGCGGAGCAGCCTTTCTTGACAGCATTGAGACTGCAGCCACTCTCTGCCTTGCTGGCTCGCAAGCATCTGTGCGGCGTGCACGACATCGATTCCGAACAAGCGAGCAAGAATTCGCCCTCGTCAGCACAACCTCGACCAGAGAAGGTCTACACACAACGAACGGTAGAACCACGCCGCAGCCATGGCCGAGTCCAAGAATATGCAGCCACTAGTGCACGCCCTCATCAACATTCTCTTCTTCCTCGGCGAGGGGAGCGCACTGCTGCGGCTGTACACTAAGCTCTTTGTGCTCAAGAACTTTGGCTGGGACGACTGGTCGATGTTACTGGTTTCGGTGAGTATTGCCACTCGCCAGGAATACTGCTGCGTCAAGAAGCCTGCAAGACACGAGAACAGTAGCTGATGCGATGGGGCACGCAGGTTGTAAACATTGGGCAACATATCATTCTCTACACCTTCATTCAGGTTGGCGCGGGCCTGTAAGTAGACTCCTCCATTCTCGAGGCTCACGCGATGAAGCAGATGACCACTGACAGCAGCTTCTCAGTCCGCAGGCAGACGTGCTCGCCCAAGATCCGACGGCGCTCAACAAGATGCTCAAGGTTAGTTTTCAACTGTGTGGTTCACGGCATCGCCGTATTTGATACCGCCAATTCAGCTGGCTGATCACTTCTCGCCATGACAGCGCCTCTTCGTTGAGGAGATTTGGTACCTAGGCCTACACTTCCTGATCAAAATGAGCTTTTTGCTCTTCTTTCTGCGCCTGTCTCCGTCGAGCAAGTTCCGCATCGCCGTCTTTTGCGTCATCGGCGCCAACGTGTTTGTCACGGTCGGCACGTGGGTTCTGTACTGCTTACAATGCATCCCGCTCGAGGCCTACTGGCACCCGGAGAAATATCCCGACGTCAAGTGTCTTCCTTTTGCCGTTTCATTGTGGCTGCCAGCAACTGCTGTAAGTGATGAAGGTCGCCCTCTGCTTCCCCGATGTCGACTGTCCCAAGAAGCTTCGCGAAGCAGCGGCAAGCTTGACTCGATGGCAACCATTTGAACAATCACTGACAGCAAAACCCTATGCACCTTGGAACAGCTCATTTGCGTCGACTGGGCCATCTTCATCCTGCCCCTAAGCACGATCCTCTCCCTCCAAATGACCATGAAGAAGCGCCTACAGGTCCTCGCCGTCGTCTGCACGGGCGGTGCGTCCGTCCTCGTATCGTGCCTGCGGCTCATCGTCATCCACGAGTTCACCGTGACCACCGACTTCATCTACACGGTCGGCTCGATCTGCATCGTCTCGGCCGCCGAGATGGAGGTCGCCATCCTCGCGGCCAACATGCCGGGCATGAGCGCGCTGTACAAGGCGTGGAAGAGCGGGACTATCTCCGGCACCGGCCGGACCAGCGGAGGTGGGACCGGGAGCTACGGGCCGCAATCGCGGACCAAGAACCCCAGCGGCAAGGGGTACATCAACACGGGCGACGGGAGCGGCAACGGCGACGGTCATCAACTTGCCACGTTCTCTTCGAAGCGTACCCGGGAGCGCATCGTGGGCGATGAGGACCTCATGTACACGCGCTACGAGAATGAGCGGGGTGCTCCCGGTGTGGACAGCGATGCCAGGACGCTTGGGGATCACAGCTCGACGAGGGAGCTCGCCCCAGGCCGCAAGGATTCGGATGATGACAGCGAGGGCCCAGGCCATGGAACGAACAGGATGAGTGGCGCACAGCAGAACCACGGTGTTGTAGTGAGCCGCGAAATTGTAGTCACTGACGAGCCGCGTGATGCTGGACGGGGTGCTCAAGGTCCCGAGGGCGGGCTCTACCGACCGCACACCTGGAAGGTTGCTGGCAGGTCATTCTACCGGCCCTAGTGGACAAGGAAAAAGGCCGAGCGTAGTCGCAGTCCCGTTTAGAGCTGTATGGTAGCGTCGTTACAAGTACGCAATCGCCTCACAGGATTGTTATCACCTCCAATCATGTTTCCTTCTCGCGTTCGATATCTGCGTAGTAAAAGTCGCTCCATGGAGGAGCGGGGATGTGATGTGGACATATGGACGCTTGGCCAACCCCCGCGATTCGTATGCTGGACAATACCTGCCACAATACCAGGCAGGCAGGAGGGGCTTTATTGCCACGCAGGCGAGAGCAGCTATCCGCCCGAAGCCGGCGCGAGGACTCCTCGAAAACACAAAATCGTGCTCCGCGAGCCGGGGCCGGTGCATGATCGGGCATTTTGACCCATGGGCGCTTGGCGTGTCGTTTTCCTGTCGTACGGGTCGAGTTCTAGGATCGCAGGGACCAGGAGTGGGGTATAGAAGGATTGGTGGCGTAATAATCCTCCGCCGTCAAGCATCGGACTGAGCTGCAGACGCAGGTCAAGTTCAGGCTGTTTGTTGATGCCGTACCCCTGACATGCACTTGACTGCAGAATCTTTCATCATTCATTATCTTCATTTGGCAACCAGTAGGCACGAGCGCGGCACAGGCTTATCACCGCCACACCAGCGCCTGGCCAGCCCGACAATCGGGGCACGTTTGGCCTGCCTGTACAGAGTCCTTGTCGCCAAATGGTCCCTGCAGTTCCAACTGCCACTGGTGACACGTTATACATAATTGTTAAATAAACCCGCTTCAAGATAGAGCATGGCCCGTTCTGCTACAGTGGCAGAGAGGCGCAGCAGCAAAATAGCCCGTGCATTATTTGCCGTCTAAAATACCACGCCTCGACCCATATGTTTATTTTCCCTAGTCCTGTTCTAGAAACAATGTCAATCCACACACAGATAGCGCTCATTGGCGGGAACATTCTCCTGCCCTTGGTGAGATCATTGCAGGGATCTCGAATCGACTGACCTGCCGTTCTGAGGAAGGGGGCTTTTTTGACATATGCACCTCGATTCCTTCAGAGCTTGATCGCCTCGTGCGAATCAACCAAATAGTCCTGTCTCTCGGCCGATCACCCGTGGTTACTTGATTGCAGCCTGCCCTGGCCTTCCTGCAGGGCTTTCCTGTCCTGTAACGTGTAGCCGCCGAAGCTGTCCGCGGGATATGATGCCTGCCTACTACCCTTTTGGGGATACATGATGATCTTCAGGCACAATCGGCCTTTTTCTTGCATAGACCCGCGCAAAGCGCTATCACCAGGTCGCACCGAGGTATGCAGTGCTTGGAAAGAGAAGGTCGCAGTCATTGCTCGAAAGAGGAGCCCCAGTCCTAAGATCAAACCCCAGAGGATCAGTAACGTCTCCTCAGTCTGGATCCGCAACAAGATATATAACGAGATCGTGATCGCCTTCTCCTCCCTCATTAATCACATCCGTTCGGCCATCCTAATCCTCATCGTCGCCCAAATCCCCAGGTACCACTCAAGTACTATCATGCTTGCCCTCACTAAGCTTGCCGCGGTGCTGGCGGCACTCCCGTATATTGCCTCTGCGGCTCCTGCTATCGAGCCGCCGATGCCCGAGGCCCGCGACGCGGCCGAAGTTGATGAGGGCACCTCGTCGGTTAATATCGTTGGTGGCGAAACTGCCAAGGCTGGAGACTTCCCATTCATCGTGTCTCTATCCGGGTATGACGGCTGGCACTTCTGCGGTGGTTCCCTTGTCAACGCCAACACCGTCATCACGGCTGCCCATTGCTCTACCCTGCCCGTGGAAGCACTCCATGTCCGCGCCGGCTCACTTGTAAGCCCTACTGTCTCTAAAAGAATCGCGGTAGTAAAGCTGCTCTAACCACCCATCTTATACTCTTGCAGAAGTGGCAGTCTGGCGGTGTCCAAGTTGGCGTCTCTCAGATCGTAGTCCACGAGAATTACAGCGTCCCCTACTTCTCTGCTAACGATGTCGCTCTCTGGCGTCTATCGACTCCTATCCGGACCAGCTCTACTATTAGCTACGTTAAACTACCTTCTCAGGGCTCTGATCCTGCTGGTGGTCTTTCAGCAGTTACTGCCGGATGGTGAGTTCCCTATAGTTCTATCCCTCTGTATAGCTGATCGTCTAATACCACCAAAGGGGCTACACTATGGAGGGTAACGGATACCTTCCAGACTCCCTACTTAAGGTCTCCGTTCCTATTGTCAGCCGCGCTCCCTGCCAGGCTGCGTACAAGGACGATGTCGTTGGTCCCGATATGATCTGCGCCGGGTTGGCTGCTGGTGGCAAGGACGCCTGCCAAGGTGACTCTGGCGGCCCTATCGTCGAGGTCTCCACCAAGACCCTGCTCGGCCTTACATCGTGGGGTTACGGCTGTGCGCGCGCTAACGCCTACGGTGTCTACACCAACATTGGCGCGATCGTCAGCTGGATCAACGCCCACAAGTGGTAAACGAGCTTTTGGTTTGCTTCTTGGAAGCTACGCTGGGCGTCCTCATTTTCCAAAGGCATATAGAATAGACGAGGGCATGACTTGATGATGATGACGGCGACAGTGACTGGTGCCGGGGCCGGGGAGGGGGTTGCCAATGAGCAGTAATTAGCACAATTGGTATGCCTAGACAAACCGCAATTCTCCTCCGCAAGTTGACTCGGTCTATCTTCAGCTGTTGCGGGCATTCGCAACACCAGCATTAACAACCCGCTCAAATGCACTTGTGTAGTTTATTGCTCTTCTCCGTGTCTGAACACTCCGTTTTCTAATCTGGGCGATTGCTTATGCATGTGTTATCAGTCCATGTGAGGACGGCGACGGGCTGGCTACGAGAGGGCCCAGACGTTGCGCCATGTATGTTGCTAAGTTGAACACCAAATGCGAGGCTCAGGAGTGCATAGCAATAGCGAGGGAAATCGAGGTGGACCAAGAGCTAGCCTCGTGGGGCTGGTGTTTCGAATCAGCAAAAATCAAGATGGTATGTTTGTTTGCTAATTAGGCGGAGCATTCCCAAGCGGGAGAACTTTGTCCCAGGAGGCAGGAAGGCCCTCCCTCTTGTCATGTGATACCTGTATTGCGAGCTGGGAATGTGCTTCCGTCGTGGATTCCGGCGGTCGTTGAGCATGGCAAGGGGGTGCTTGGATTCCTTGGTGTTGACCGGCAATCTGGTGGAGTGAACAGCCTGACGTCCCGGGAGATATCCTTATCCACCAGAAAATATTTATACTCGGTTGACCCCGCACACGTAGTTTGACTCAGTTGTACCTCCCCTATGACTTCGAGCGATTGGCGGTCCGATTCGAGTCCGAGCCTAGGGTATCACTTGCTTATACACCAGAGGTATTCATCTCAAGCCTAGGTGAGTAGTCAATGGTTAGCTAACATATGGAGTGTTGTTGAAGCCATCTAGGTCCAGCGTCAAGCCGCGATGGGAGAGAGACAAGCTTCAAGTAAAGAAGCTCCGGCACGCCAAGAACAAGGTCAAGTAGACAGCCACTTACTAAATCACGTATTAGCAAAAGAGTCGATGTATCCATCATGATTGATTGATCACGCGATCCAAGTGTTCCCTTCCGAAGAGCACTCACCAGTTGCATAAGCTCTTCCTCCGTCACATCAACAAGAGAATGAGCAGTCCCATCCTCCAGAATAAGCAGGTCGGCCTCCTGACAGTCTGCCTCTCGGTCTTTCGTGTTGACTGTCCCAGTTGCAATGGTCCAACCTGCACCGGACCACATCCCGGGAAGACAAGATCGTCCCGGGGGCATTGGGGTTTTGTTTGCACAGAATCCGTCACGGGCCCCATACAGAGTGGCCTCAACACCCTCAGGAACAGCCTCGATTGCAAGGGACTGGAAGAACACAGCCAAGCTGCTGCGACAGCACGCACCAGGATTGATGTTCCTACAGAGGACGTGGCCGCTAGTGCAGTCATTCCTGCCGAGGAACATGAGCACGTCGGTCGCAGAGACCGCGGCGAGTATAGGGATGAATTGGAGGGGGCACCGCATGGCTGTGCTGATAATGCGTAAAGTGCTTTTGATCCCGTACTGTTCAGAAGAGGCGCGACTGGAAGAGGGAACTGGTGAATGCTTTTTGTATTATTCTAGGGCGGGGCCTATCTCGGTGCTTATTAAGGCTGGAACAAACAAGATAATTGCCAAGCGATGCATGTAAGCCTGATAGCTCGGACACAAGAATGAGTCAAGGTGTTGGAAGAACATGCTCGGCGAATCTTGGCGGATATCGAACAATGTCATCACATATCAGGTCGAAAATGGACTAGAAACGCGTCGGAGGGAGCCACTCCGGTCAATCCTCTGGCTTCTGGGGTAGACACCTGGTAATGGTTGCTCACCTCACGTCATGGCTGCTTAGAGCGTGCAGCCATCGGTTGTGCAGATCTTCGATGATTATAGAGTGTGACCTAACATGCAGCTGCTTGCATTCACACTGGTCCAGTCCTCGCAGGCCTGGACATGCACGTTTGTTCTGGGCGGTTCTCAGCACGAAGGTTTATCCACGAACGCACACCACTCAGGCAACCCATAGTCTGCCACGACGTGAAATGCATGCATGTTCTGAGCATACTCGAGTGATTTGGTCTGCTACCTGGCGATGTGTGTGGATATCTTCAAGATCTCAATGTTCGATTTTTTCAAAGATCAGTGCTATCATTACTCGTCCGTCACTATGATGTGACTCAAAACCCATGGTGATGAGCACGTGTGCGTTGAATGCACATGTACTTATTTAGATTCTTGGACCTCGTGCAGCCACCTTCGTTACATGATAGATAAACCCTTTTGTCCATTATCCTACAGTAGAATGACTTCAAACGAGTGTTTAAGTAACGCAAACGCCGATTAGATAGCAATATCCGGCTGCGCGGGTGCGTAGGACCAATGTTCTACAATAAAAGTATGGATTTATCATGTACGGTCCTAGTCGCTAGCCTCAGGAATGTGATGCACTGGAAGAGAAGGCTTTCTTGTTGGATGGAGCTAGACATTTCTCCCACTGTTGTGGTAGATTGGCTTCACTGCCCACGACGTTTTGATCCTCACATTCTTGTGTTTTGTGTTGTGGAAACTACCGACTTGTACGTCGAGTAAGGCCATAAGGCGTTACATATACTCTTGCTTAGCATTCACCCTAGATTTTGCCCAGTAGATGCGACGACGACGGGTGGCAAAAAGCAGCACTTCAGCAAACACTAAGAGTTCTGGAGGAAATGCATTAAGATCAGATCTCGAAGAAATCACCCAAACAGTGGAAGGCGCGATTCTCGTGATGCAAACAGCCGAGGTGAGCTGAATCACTCTGGCAAGCTGTATCCAAAGAACCGAGATTATGGATTGGATTCTGCGGTCTGTGGGTCGCTGAGCATCCAAGCAGGCAGGCCCAATTCGGGGAGTGTCATTACTATTTTCCGAACAACAAATTCGTACTTTAGCACGAACCTCCCTCTTACACACAGACCGCAAAGTTATCCATGCTCAGCAACATACCTCTGATCATCATTATCTAAGGCCAACCCCAAGAGGTATGACCAAACTATCTGATATACGCCTTAATCCCTTCTCAACTTATTAACAGCGACTAGAAAATATCAAGATGCTAAGTCGAGGCACCCGGATTCCGACACCCCCTGGATTCCGACACCTCCCCACCACCGAAACCCACCCAAACCACCCACATTGACCACCTCTTTTTGACGCGACAGAACGCGCAGAACACGTCTGTTTCATTGATTTCTTGGTGTTTGAACGCGTCAGAGTCAGCACAATGCCCAAATACACCGAAAACGACATCCAGAATGCGATGGCCGACGTGCATGCGGGGATGAGCCAGAAGCACGCGTCGAGGGTCTGGGGGGTCCCAAGAGTCACCCTCATCGACCGACTTCGAGGTGCAGAGCCCTCCTCCCTCGCCGCCTCTGGCCAGCAGAGGTTATCACCAGTTCAAGAGGAACAGCTAGCGCGCTGGATTCTGGTACAGGACTCACTAGGGCTCGCACCGTCGCACGCCCAGGTGGCTGACTTCGTCACCAGAATCCTTCGGCTTGGTGGCGACCATCGACCCCTCGGCAAACGCTGGATTACAGCATTTCGAAGCCGGCATCCCGAGATATCGACTATCCTCGGCAGACGACTTGACTCTACAAGGGCAAATGGTGCCAATCCGAAGGCAATCAATACATTCTTTGACCGCGTCGATAACCCCCTCCTCTCGTCGATCCCCGCCCACCACCGATACAATATGGATGAGACAGGTATTATGGAAGGATATGGTGCAAATGGCCTCGTTCTAGGGTGCTCAAAAAAGCGCGCAACGTACGTCAAAGGAGACTCATCACGATGCTGGACGTCCATTATCGAATGCGTCTCTGCTGATGGTCGTGTTCTTGAGCCTGCCATTATCTTCAAGGGCCAAACCGTTCAAGCACAGTGGTTTCCTGACAATGAGCCAGAACTCAGACTTATCGAGAGATGGACCTTCACTGCCCAAAGCAACGGCTGGACGTCGAACGAGCTAGCCATCCATTGGCTGAAGAGGGTGTTTATCCCTTCAACGAAGCCTGACGACGAGAACCAGCAGCGCCTCCTTGTTGTTGACGGGCACGGTAGCCACATCACCGACGACTTCATATATGAGTGTTTCCTACATAAGATCCACCTACTATACCTCCCGCCGCATACCTCGCATGTCCTTCAACCTCTCGACCTGACGATATTCTCGCCGCTGAAGGCAGCCTATAGACGCTATGCACAACAGCTTCATATCCAGAACGACAGTAACCCCATAGGTAAAACTGGGTTCCTCATTTGCTATGCGAGAGCACGTTACGAAGGCTTCAAAAGGTATAATATTGTGACATTATGGAGGGTGACCGGCTTGTGGCTAGTCTCAAGGTGGCGGCCTCTCAAGAGCTCCCTCGTCGTTAAGCTTACTACTCCTCCAGCGCAGAAGCAAACAGTGGACTTCAATGACGTTTATAGGGCTTCAAGGCCTACTATAATAAAGACACCACAGCAGATAAGTGACGTTCGCGATGCCTTCAATATAGCTGGGTATAACCTCATAAGAAACCCGACCGCCAGGCTCCTATTTAGGAAGCTTAGCAAAGGCATCACCGACAATACCTATGAGGTCGCCCTACTGCAGACAAGAGTGACAAAACTAGAGGCTACAGTCAAGCGATTAAAGCCTAAAAAGCAAGTGATAGTCGCGCCTCAAGACCCCAATGATAGGTTCATCAACATCGAAGCCATTAAGCGCAGCTAAGCACTACTTCAGGCGCGCCTCAGAGAGGCCCAGGAGGCAGCAATCGTGCCCTATGAGGACTGCCTATTTGAGTGGCAAATAGAACTCTAATATGACCTCGTTTTACTGCTCAAATGCACTCGCAATTGCCCCAAAACGGCACTCATTTTGGGTGGGTTTTGGTGGTGGGGAGGTGTCGGAATCCAGGGGGTGTCGGAATCCGGGTGCCTCGACTTATCTCCTCGCTCCATCCAGGCGTTTAGCCTTCTTTTGGCCATTTCCATGGCCAGCCCGGTTCCCGATCCTCTTCTTATCCCTGCACCAACGAGGTCAAACATTACGGGTGCTAATCTCGAGGCCAACGACATCGAAACGAGCAACAGACGCAAAGTTAAAGATTCAATAGTATACCGACTATACCTGTACTAAATACCTCGTTGAATTCATTATCAGCGCCTATGATTGCTGGGATTACAACTATTCAGGCACCCATTCGGCCAACGCAGTCTGGTGGACTGAAAGCGAAATTCAACCTTTGTGCTACTTTCTATAGCGCCAAGGGCTGCAGGAAGGGCGGAGGAGCAGTATTCCAAGCGCCTGCTGACACATGTGTCAGAGATCTCAAGCGGTTTGAGAGTGCACAGTGCCAATGGCGGGGCTAGTAAAAGAAGAAGTCGGGGAGTACTAGCAGCATTATCGTAGCGCCACATACTCAGTGAAAACTGATGCTGTTATATAATCTCAGGCCTGACAGGCCATCGAAGATTAAGTCATACACTGTCTTTACCTATAGAACGTGCTTTTCTGGGTTTACTATCCACATCTAGGGATGCTGACCTCCCGCTACACCGATACCTATACGGGCAATGTAGTCTCGTAGCCTGGAATGGACACAGCCGGAGCTTGATGCATGCTATACATCAAGGACTGGCAATGACTGCTAGTGAATAGGACTCTAGGTTGGCCATGACCAATGTGCTGATGATCTCTCACGATATTAGAATGTAAGATACTTTTGGCCTAATCAGGCAGTAGGAGGCGGATATAACGGTGAAACCCCAGACGGATAGACATATTGAGATGTCGGGTGTTAGGCGGAGGCCTGAATAACTATTAATTTCATATTCATACACTTGATAGTTGATCTTATTCGCTTAATCAGAAATACTCCACCAGGACTTAATATCGCGGATATCGAAGATGGAGCGACGGCAACAAATCAGAAATACTATCGCACAGCTACGCCGAGCCACTTGAGTTATACTGCACTGAGCGGTTTCCGAACATTCACAGTATCCTGTTACCGCCGAAAGACAGTGGTTCATCAGATAGTACTGCGCTTTTGTTACACCAGGGTGATGCCCTCACAGCTCATCTGTAACACGTCCCTGACCTGCTCGTTGTCTTGGTTGTTGCCGCTTGTACCGCGGCCAGAGGCGTCGTTGTCAAGGTCTACGTCCGTCACGTGAACAGGCTGGAAAACATTATTTGCCCCTCGAATGGCCGCTGGATTCGATTCAGGCCCCAATCAAGTATTTATGCGTAGCGGTCGCAGTAGAATTGGCGCCGCAAAGCATGCAGGCGACACGGCAACAACGTCGCTCGTTGTTACAGCGGCTCAGTAGGCGCAAATCCACCCTCGTCGAGGCGGCTACGAATGCCGGCAAAGACTCTCCGCGGCGGACCGGCCTGCCATGAGGAATACTTCTTGTGCGTCCCGCGCGGACACTGCCGGTCTGAAATGTCGTCAACGTGCTCTCTGCTGTTGCCCAGGACGATTGGAAAACATCGCCGTCGTCCTCGTTGACGTCTTTGCCAAAAGGCCACCTCACTCGCGACTGAGGCTGTCGTAGGGATGTTGCCAGCAAACCGAAAGGCCCTTGCGATTCGCTCGGCAACATCCACCCCGATCCCACAAGTGATAATGAACCGGTCTTGATATTTCCCAGTGATTTGGGCCATGCCAAATCGTGAAAGGGCCAGTGGACGGTGCATCTCTGCTCGCGCCCTTTCCTAGTGCACAGGTGGCAAGTTCCATTACCTGCTGCACGACCACATCTGCCGTATCCGCAGACACGAACATATTCACCACATTCCCTGGAATTTATGCGTTATGGGCATGGCCTACAACATAGATGAAATCGCAATCCAGTCTTCGTCTTGAATCGCGCAGCTCGGTTTCCCCAGGACCGCCGCGCGAGGGTGCGCATCTCGAGAAATTCGTGTCAGAGAGCCACGATAGCCAGCACTGATGCTCCTCACCACTTCCAACACAGTCTATATGTATGATAGGTGCATCCCATACAACTGCCTCGACTGTCTTCTGAGGGTCGGCTGCGAAGTATCTCTCGCGCGCGGCGGCCCCAGCGTCTCTGAGAGGGTCGGCGAGCAGGCGGAGCACTGCGGAGACTTTGTCTCGCGGATCCTGGCAGACAGGGATATTTGCGGCCCGAACAAGAGCGACAGCTAGGAATCCCCGTCTTCGCCAGTACCGCCACCGCACCTCCACTTATACATCTCGGTGTTGCGACTTCTGTACGAGGGCCGAAACATGTCGCAAGAGTCCATTGGTTTCGACACGCCACATGATGCGAGGCAGGCTCATTAGAAGTTGGGCCAAGACGGCGAAATGCGGAATCGCTCTCCCAATCAGTTTTGGGTTTTATAGATATTGCAGGAAATGAGTAAAACCCGTTAAAGAGGGTCAGCATTGTATTGGAGTTCACGCTTGTTAAAAACTAAAAATGTCAACGTCACACCTACCGCAAGTATCCTTGTTCATCTAGCGTGCGCCTGCACGCTGCAATCGATGAACGACATCGGTGTGACCGCCTTCTGCTGCGGCCTGTAGAGCTGTCCGTCCACCAGAACCTGACGGTACTGCGTTAACCTCAGCTTTCGCTTTCAGTAGTCTCTCAATTATATCGAGGTGACCGCCTCCTGCAGCGGCCTGTAGAGCTGTTCGCCCATAATATCCTGACGGACTTGCGTTGACCTCGGCCTTTGCTTCCAGCAGTCTGTCGACTACGTCAAGGTGGCCGCCTTCTGCAGCGGCCTGTAGAGCTGTCCGTCCATTATATCCTGACGGACTTGCGTTAACCTCGGCCTTTGCTTCCAGCAGTCTGTCAACTACGTCAAGGTGGCCGCCTTCTGCAGCGGCCTGTAGAGCTGTCCGTCCACCAGAACCTGACGGTACTGCGTTAACCTTAGCCTTTACTTCCAGCAGTCTATCGACTACGTTAAGGTGGCCGCCTTCTGCGGCAGCCTGTAGAGCTGTCCGTCCAAACTCTGTCGGCTTTGCGTTAACCTCGGCGTTTACTTCCAGCAGTCTGTCGACTACGTTAAGGTGGCCGCCTTCTGCAGCGGCCTGTAGAGCTGTCCGTCCATTATATCCTGACGGACTTGCGTTGACCTCGGCCTTTGCTTCCAGCAGTCTGTCAACTACGTCAAGGTGGCCGCCTTCTGCAGCGGCCTGTAGAGCTGTTCGCCCATAACGTCCTGACGGACTTGCGTTGACCTTAGCGTTTGCTTCCAGCAGTCTGTCGACTACGTCAAGGTGGCCGCCTTCTGCAGCGGCCTGTAGAGCTGTCCGTCCACCAGAACCTGACGGTACTGCGTTAACCTCAGCCTTTGCTTCCAGCAGTCTGTCGACTACGTCAAGGTGGCCGCCTTCTGCAGCGGCCTGTAGAGCTGTTCGCCCATTATATCCTGACGGACTTGCGTTAACCTCGGCCTTTGCTTCCAGCAGTCTGTCGACTACGTTGAGGTGACCCCTTCCTGCCGCGCCCTGTAGAGCTGTCTGTCCATACGGCTGTGAGGGCGCTGCGTTGACGTTTCCTTTTGCTCCGAGCAGCCTCTCGATTACGTCGAGATACCCGGCCGCTGCTGCGGCCTGTAGAGCTGTCTGTGGCGGTGCAGACCCACTTGACGGCGATACTGCGTTGACATCGGCTTTCGCGTCTACCAGCCTCTCGACCATGCTATGCTTTCCACTAGATGAAGCAATTAGCAAGGCCACATTTAAGATTCCCAGAGGCAATGAAGCCTCAAGAAATATATCCATGAGCTGTGAGTCATTTTGTGTCGTTGCATCGTACACGATACGGGCGCTGAACCCATCTCTAAATGTACTGGTTGTGAGCAGAAGCTGAATCAAGGCGAAATGGCGACTTTCCAATGCCCAGGTCCATATTTCGTTCCTTCTGTTACCCCAAGGCTTCTCTGCGATAGCGTGGCCGTCGATGAGTATGTTTTTCCAGTGGTGCCATGTCTTCGATTTACCTTCCGAGAAGGATTTCGTATGTGTTATCCAGTGGACTCGCGCATAATTTAGCAGTGGGTGACCATCCTCCAAAGTTGTGCTTGTCGATCGAGATTCACGTGAGCGAAAGGCCGCAGCGGTTCGCATATCGTGCATTCCTGTACTGCTTTTGGGCAGGAACTGTCTTGCTAGTGTAGCACGCTTTGACCCCGGCTTGAAAAGCTCATGCGTAACATTCGATGGATCCACTAGCAGAGGCTTTGATCGTACTGCCAGCGCCGTCTTGAAGTCGTTGAAGTTGAGGTACGTCACGCAGAGCTCGCCAAGTCCGTGGTCGGCATCATCGAGGCGAACGTGGAAAGCTGCTGTGTCGTCGAGTTGAGGATCCTGCATGAGGAAGTCCTTCACCGTTGAGTGTACAAACTGCACGACTTGACTCTCCTCGTCGACTTGGATCAGGTTTTCGCACCATGAGGCAGCCCTCCCCATGTTATTGTACAAACGATCTGGCTCACTGTACTCCTGTCCAATTTCAATGGCGATCGCCTCGCGTAATTCTCCAAGCGTCAGCGGCCGTTTTGCGGCTGCCACCCATGGGAAAATCTTCCGCGCTGTATCGCCTTGCTTTTGACTCTCGATGCGACGGAGTGCTCGTAGAAATGTTCCAGCAAGATCCCCGGGCAGATTGTCCAGCGTGTGCCGAATGTCTGCGTCGCAATGTTGGCGACATATATCTTCAAGTTGGAGAGACGCCCAGAGAAACCTGCGCTTATGGTTAGTAAAGGAATGCATACGTTTCAAGCCTCCAAAGAAGGACTCACATCCCCTGGGCGCCCTTTTCAAGCGCCGCCCTCACATCGCCAACTAATGTGGGATCCCTAACCACAAGGTCGCCATCTTTGAGTTTCTCATCCAGAAATCCTTTGATATACGTCGCTATATCGTCGGTCGTGGCCTCACAGTCCAGTTTGAGGCGCCCCATGCCCGGAAAGTATTTGTGGAGCTCGTCTTGCAGACTGTTACGACCTGAAAGAAAGAGACGAGTATTGCTACCAGGTATTGCTACGGTCGAGAGTGTCTTGAGGAGCTCTTTTCGATCCTTTGCCTCGCATTGATCAACTCCATCGATCACGATGTAGGACTTCAGAGGCACTTGCGTTAATTCGCGAAGTAGATCGGAGAGGTCGGAAGAGGTCGGTGAGGAAATCATCGACTGAATGCTGCGTCCCATTGCTTGTGATATCTTAGTGCCTTGCAGCATCTGGCGCAAAATAGACCTTAGAATGACGTCCGGGTTCAGCGAGGCAGCATCGTCGTATTCTGCAAAGAAGAAGGAGATAGGACAACCGAGAGAGCCTTTGACATTGAGGAGATGGTGGATTGCGCTGGAGCTGTGATTTATCTGAGTCAGTATGCATATGTTCCTTGCGAGAGCTGATTGCGACTTACGCAACTATAGTCTTGCCAGACCCGACTTCTAGAATTAGTTCTGCCTGATACTTATATGTGCCTGTACAAACTTACTTTTACCCGAGCACCATAAAACGGGGCTTTCCCCATCGAGCCATTGTTGAAATTGCGGTGTGTCGAACACCCAGCGTGTCGTATTGCCATACCGTCTCTCATTGGCCTGCTTGAAGGGCCTCCTGAAGTCATGTGAGGAAAGAGAATCGAGCAGCTGTTGCCGTCTTCTCGCTAAATCATTGTGAGCAAAGGATGTATTCTATAATCTGGGTGCAACTTACCTGATTCGTAATTGGAGCTTTGTATCTGTTGGGTCCCGATTTTGTGTAGGCTGTTCTCTGTAGACGAGAAGAACCGGCCCATGACTTTTCTACTGTGCGATGCTTTCTGCCGCTCTGTCGCTTGCAGTTGGTGATGGTGCAAATCTACTTGGGCTTTAGCAAGTGCGACCTCTTCTGTGACACTCTTGCGATGACTCCGAATGTCGTCTAGATCTGGCCTGAACTCCTGATCGAATGATGTGGCAAGCTTCCTAGCGACCTGCATGTACCCTGCTTGTTGTAAGATCTCCGATCATTCTAAAAGGTGTATCCACATACCGCGGCGCTGCATCACCTGAACCAGGTGCCGGCAGCAGCGGATGACGGCTGCATAAAAATTGCTCAGCGTCTTCTGCAGCCTGGTTGAATCGGGATACAAGGAACGATATTCGGATGCGACCGGGCAAAATTTCGTGATCTCCATGAGCAATTTGAAGATCCCATCGTTGTAAGACATGAAGTTTGTGATTACCTATGTCGTTATCATCAATATCTGACCCTTCAGGGGGGAGAAAGGTGGTTTAGGGTTGCTGGCTTACTATCATGGTCAATTTGACGCTGCCCCAAACCAGTGCAGCAATCTCGGGGTGTGACGAGACATAAGTATCCGCGATGTTGACAGGTTTCCCATCCGTCATGGTAGTGCAGAAGTCCCCGACGGACGACAAGAACGAGTGAAGTCGAGTGGAGGTGCTTCTGCCTCTCCGCTGCCTGTTGATGGAGTCGAGGCTGGCTGTGAACACCAGCACGGCGTCCGCGTCGGCATTGACGTGATTCTTCTTGATGCCCTGGAGCTCTTGACGTTGGTCATCGCTCAAGACAGCTTGGAAGCCGGCAAGGGCGTCTTCGAGGCTCTGGTAGAGCCCTGAAGGGCCTAATGCGGAGGACAACGGTCCCGCCATGTGTAGCGACTAACCCTCAGCGGAGTCGGAACCACGATTCCGGCGGGCCGCAGTCTGTAAAGCTTTGCTACTGGTGTGGACCACTGAGCTTATCCTGCACTTTTAGTCGCGGTATGATACGGTGGGCATCGAAGCTGTCCTGACACAATTGCAACAATGAGTGCGGGGAAATGACTTCGGTCAACTTCGCACGTGACTATCACGGATACCAATGTGGTCTGTGCGTGGCCAGGCCCCCAGCATGTCCTTTTCGCAGGGGTCGTCTCGGCCATAGGCCCATGACTTACACATTGTGCTTGCACGACCAACAAGCCAACCACAGGGCGTTTTAAAGGGCCTAGCTTAGAGTATCTAATGTACTTGTTCCATCTCGGAATTGCACGATGCATGACACCCTTTCTTCAACATAGAGCGCTCTCTTGCTTCGTGGAAAGAGTTCCACTATTCTACTCATTTTCATATATCTTGGTCCTTGTAGCTTTTCTTGCTTGAAAATGCGTAGTCCAATAACATTAGAGCTTATGTCGTCGCAGAAAAAGATAGACAGTAGGCAGAAATAGAGAGGAATATGTGAGTGGAAGGGATGCGTAGGTATCTTGTGCACAGGATGAGGTAATGAGAGACAAGAGGAGAATGAGGAGCAAGGGAAAGACAGGGATTCTGGTCGTGGTATAGCAGGGTCGTAGATGCTTGTGAATGGCTGGGCGACAGGCAAAGACGTGACAAGCAGTCTAAGGTCGGGTTGCTTCGAAGACATGGAACGGGATCCGGGCACGTTATTAAGCCGTGTCCGGCATCGGATTCAAGTGGTTACTACGGACTGGAACACTTTCCAACGGCGGTCGGGCAGGCTTTAGAGCCCGTGCTTTTCCTACTTGCTCGAACCGTCTACATTCTTTGGGACTAATGGCATTTGGACGACCTCGCCGTCGCCGTGGAGTAAGCGCACGATGTTGAGAGACATGTCCCCCGGTCGTCCATATCAGCACCACGGGTCCGTTTCGAAGACGGCCCACCGTACAACTGGTCATGCCTGCGACAACCAGCACCTCACCCCAGGGGGCCTTTTCCGGAGCCGGCCCCAACGTAGATACAAGTCGATCTGTGGTGTCGAGGTACCCAGCCAGAAGACGACCTTGAATGCTTGCTTGTGCACTCATGCCTTGCTGGGGAAACGATGTCGACAGGGGTGGGGAACGGAAGGGGGTCGCGGGCCTGCCTAGTCCTACAATGGCTGCAAAAAGATCAGAACGAGAGATGAGGCTGCCGTGCAATACAACAACTGACTTGCTGGCAGTATAATTTAATGATTCCTTGTGTCGACACATTATGTGTAGTTCAAGCCCTCCACAGCAGGATGTAGTCCATTGGAGTATTCCTTTCTTCCGTGTCCCACACAAAGAAACCTCTCAGCCGTAGATTGCCCTGTGCTTGGACACAGCATCAACCATCTTTTGTCCCGACGCAGAGAACCACCCACGCATGACACGCCCACCACCAAGCACAACATCCTCTGCAGGCCACACGGCCACGCCCAAGGTCGCCGTGTGTCCGGTCCCTTCCGCGCCCTGCGGTATAAACAAGGGAGACCCGGGCAGCACCCCGTGGACTCTCTCATTGACATCCGTGAATACGGGTCCGTCGTCGAGGTCGCCCCCGCCGCAACATCCGTATCCGCCGTACTTGAGCAGTCTCACGCCTGTGCTGCAGTACATGTTCGGATCCTCCTCGTCAATGTCGAACCCACACGTCGTGAACCACGGTTTGTCCCACCCCGTGCAGGCCTCGTCGGGCACTTGCACGTCCAGCCAGCCCAGCTCGTCACCAGGCCTGCCTCGGAGAACAATAATGGCGAAGTAGTCCTTGAGTATACACTCGTGTTCAGATGGGTGGGGATTGGGCTCTTCGTGATAGTAGTAATCGGCCTGTTTCATTGGATGGTGCAGGGAAAGTGGTTTCAGCCGCCGTACATAAGTAGCTGACAAAAGGGACGGGAGAGAGAGGGTGTGTGTGTGATCGAGTCCAGACTGCCTACATTGTAATAGTTGCAAGCGCCATCTCCTTGTGTGGCCGTGTTTGGAGTAAACTGGATGTTGACACCGTCCGGTGGTAGACACCGCTGGGAGGTAAGCACCAGTCGTGGGCCGACCAATACCCCCGTGCACGTGATGTTGAGTGACGAAGAGGTGATCCTGCCGATGGCGTGGCAGGGATAGGCGTCGTCGGTGCTTATCACTGGCTCAGTAGGGCCCCTCGAAGCATCTCCCGTGTCTGGTGGGAGCCCCGGGAAGGAGTCAATGGAGCTGCCGGACCGGGCAGGGGACCAGACGGGAGGCAGAAGGGCATACAGATCGTCCTCATTTCGGGTGGGGACCACATCGTGCAGGTAGATGCTGCCGTCGCAGCCGATGGTTGTGCCAATAGTTGCCTGCTTCTCCTCGTAATTTTCATCCACGGCCGCGACCAGACTCTCTCGTCGAGCATTCGCTGTCTTGGGGAAGCAGATTGATAGAATGGCGAGTAAGAGACACATCATGTTCTGACATCAAGAAAGCCCGTATGTGTGCAAGTGAGGAAGAGAAATGAGAATGCGTTTGCGGATTGCGACGACTTAGCGATCATTTGCTCGTTGGTTGGGGCGTTGTCCAGCGTAGAAGGAGCAGAGAATGTCCCAGGCGAGCACAGTCCGGCAAGCTCTGCATGACCCGCTGGGCTTCTCTTCTGGTACCACGACCGTCTGAACTCCGATGATGACCTCCATCCCGGCTGGAATGTTGGAAATGTGCTCTCCTCACTCATGTACAAGTTTGTGACAGTGGAGACGATGAACTATGTCGGTCCACCGCCACAACAGATAGTCGAGCAAACTGCAGCGATGTGCCACTTTGTGGGGTTCTGTGCTACGGGCAAATGTTTGCCGCTGGGGCGCGAGGCAGGAATGTGACAAACATGGAGTGAGATTTTAATTGCGGCACGTCGGATGGAGCTGTCGCCAAGCTCTTAAAACTGCTTGTTCGACGAAACATTCCTGTGCCAAATATGCTGTACGACCTCGACCCTTCGCATGCCTACAGTACCACGTTTGCTAGAATTGATCTCTCGACTCGAAGATTGCAGGCTCTCAGCCTCTACCAAGTCCATCTCCACTCCTTCCTCACCTCCACGGGCTGACCTTCTGGCGTTGTCCCAACCTCTGCAGCCACGACGGGAGCTGTGCTCGTGGCGCCCTTCTTTCTCAGCGAGCGGTTGCTGAAGAAGTACCACGCGCCCTGCGCGGCGATGACGACGATCAAGAACGCGGCCAGCGTCAGGCACGCGGTGAAGGCGTTGATGTATAGCGGCGCGTCCCCCGTGCGGAACACCTGGCTGCCAGCGATGCCGGCGGCGTTGGCGGCCATGATGATCATGCTGTTAAGAGAAATAGTCTTGTCAGCTTCTAGCGTTTAGAGAAACAATAGATGGCGGTACCCAGAGCCAGGAAGAAAAAAAGAGAAAAAAGCGGACAAGAAAAGATAAGAAAGGCAGTAGTGCCGAGAAGAACTTACGCCATGGCGATGCTGCGCTGCTGAGGGCGGACACAGTTGACCGACAGCCAGCCCACGTTCAAGATGTGGACGGTCGAGTTGGTGGCCATGCTGAAGACGACGGCGGCGTAGCGCCTCCCGACGCCCCAGCCGCCGAACGAGCTCTGGCGGAGACACGTGAAGGCGATGACGCTCCACACGGCGCCAAAGATGACGGCGGGGGCCTTGCGGTTCGTCTTGTCGGCGAGCCAGCCCAGGACGAGGACGAGCACGACCGAGATGAACTGGCCCACGCTGGCCATGGCGTTGGCCCGCACGGCGTCGAAGCCGAGCGACTTGATGACGCTGGGGCCGTACGTGTTGATGGCGCTGACGGGGGTCGTGGCCGTGAGGGAGATGAGCACGTGCACGAGGATGCGCGGGTCCTTGACTGTCTTCCACACGTCGGTGCCCGTGATGCGGATCTTGGTGCCGTGCAGCTTGGCCGGGTCGTCGAGCAGGACACGTCGCTTGATGATGTACGTCTCGCGAGGTGTGAAGTAGGACCACTTGCCAAAGGAGATCCAGGGCGAGCCCTGACCGACACTAGGCGGGAGCAAGGCAAAAAAGATCAAGCCGATGGCCACCGTAATGATACCCTCGACTGTAAAAGGGGAGGTTGTTAGGCATTGGACGTGGAGTGACGGGGCAGTTTTGGGGGCCAATGCGATAAGAAGACGTACTGATGAATAGCCAGCGCCATCCGGCGATGCCGTATCTCGGACCCATGGACAAGATACCGGCTCCAATCAGGCTCACCGTCGCGGCGGCAAGTAGGTTGCCCAAAAAGAAGATCGAGATGCGGAAGTTCGACTCGCCCTTTTTGTACCACGTTGAGAGGGTGTATAGCGCGCCCGGGATGAAGCCAGACTCGGCACATCCAAGGATGAAGCGGGTGACCAGAAAGCCTGGGTAGTTGTGGATGAAGCTCTGGAAGGTGGCCACAAGGCCCCAGCCGACAATCTGAACGGAGAGCCAGCGGTGCGGGCCGACACGCTGGAGCAGGATGTTGGAGGGGATCTCGAGGAGCACAATGCCGGTCGACAGGAGGGAGCCGCCGACGTTGATGTCGTTGGTCGTGATGCCCAGGTCCGTCGTGATGGTGTCGGTCAGGGCGTTAGCAATGTTGCCGCGATCCATCTGCAGGGCGAAGAACGCGAGTGCCATGATGGGCAGGAGGATGAAGTCGAGCCTGTTGTCGTCGCGACAAGGGTTAGCAGAGCGCATTGTGCCTGGAAGTGCGGGCGATTGGAGTTCATCATGTTCATACTTGCGCTTGACCGCGTCCTCCTCGGCCTTTGTCCAGTCCGCAGCGGTCGCCTCATCGACCGCCACCGGGGTATTCTCCTCGTCACTGGGCACGTCGCCCTTGATGTCGGTATATTCCTTGCTGTCCTTTTCCGCCATGATGGCTGAGTCACGCGATCGGCTGCAGTACTCGGATCGGCTGGGCAGAATCACAGGCTTGGCAAGGGCGTGGGTGAGTTCGACCAAGTCCGGGTGAGTAGGAAGACAAGCTTCATGTCACCGGATGCGCCAAGCTGTTGTTAAGTTAAGGCAAGCTTGGCTGGAAACATTTTTGTTCTCCTGCTCACGCCAGGATTCAGCTGCATTGTGCCCCGAGACATGGGGGTCACGGACAACAGCCTGGACTCTCGCACGAGCACATGGATCACATACGCGGCGCCAGGGTGATAAGGCCTGTGATGTCTTTGATAAGGCTGAGCCGTAGGGGCTGATTGGTGTTGCCGTCGGATTGCACGACTTATGGCCCGCCTTGCGTGATCGGCAGCTGGAGCACATCCCTGTACTGCTGGTGGCGTGCTTGGACGCCTCAGTTGCGCAAGGCTGGAAACCGGCCATGCCTAGCCCTGATTCGCCCATCATCACCGGCCAACAGCTAGCGGACGGGGCTTGGCTCATTTTAGTCGGCGCAGGGCATCGTATGGCGGCGCCCTTTTCTGCTCGGGGTGGAAAAATGGTTCGTTCGGTGATTTACTCAGTAGCGTCGGACGCAGCTTGTCATGGTGAGCCAGGGTTCTCGCAACCGGGAAGAGAAAGAGAAGAATAGGAAGAGAAAAAGTGCTCTTGCGAACGATGGCTGAGTCTATGAAATGGCTCCACTTTCACTAGAACACGCATGCAACTGCGTGCCATCAAGCGCGATCTTGTCAAACATGATCCAGAATCAGCTGGTTCCATATTTCATCTCAATCTCGGCCTCATTGGCTGAACGTCGGCTATTGGGGCGCCACGTGGTATGCACGTTTACGGGAGTGCCGATCCATGAAAACTGAGACAGCTACACTAGCCAGACAGCCACAGCCGAGGCGCTTGCATGAGCAGCACACTACTTTTGTCCATTCCGTCGGCATGGATTAAGAACCCGCCGTAGCTGAACTGGCTTCAGTACTGATTGAAGTTCTTATTTCCTGTCTCTCCTACTAGCGATGGTTTGTCACGTCTTCAGGATACCAGCAGCAACAGCAATGCCACGTGCCGTCTTGCTCACCCATTCCTGCGCAACCGCAAAGTCCCCATTCTCTGCATACTGCACGCCCTCGGTGATGCCCGGGAACGTGACCGCGGCATATCCGGTATCCAGGCCTGGTGCAGTCACAACGTGCTTGTAGAACTCGCGGTTGGGAAGGCCTCCCTGAGAGATGAACCCACGCTGGAAGTCGCGGTACTTGTGGTTGACCACCGTCTTGAGAGCTTCGTCGTCGCGCTCGATAGCCAGCGTCTCGAGTGCCTTGACCTGGTCGGCACTATCCTTGAACTGGTTGATGGCCTGGTCAAGCTCGGAGAGATCCAAGTCGGCGCCCTCCTCCGAGGCGAACTCGGCAAGGTCTTCGTAGTACGCACGAAGCTCGGCGGCATAGTTCTGCGTGTCGATGGGGAGGATGTCGTCGCTGGCCAGGTGGTAGGCCACGAGGGCAAGATACTGACCCTGTGAAGCATGGAGGCTGAAGCCAGGATCGCCGAGCGTCGCCATCCAGTGGTACGTGTCGTAGTTGGAGTGGTAGTGCCAGACCGGGTCGTTGGCGCCCCCCGAACTGCCCACGTCGAAGGAGCTGATGCCTCGATGAAGGAAAGGCGTGTAGTCGGATCCTGACCCGAGCACATCCACGACACCGCCGGAGACGTCGTGCCAGGCATCGTAAAGTGACCTGTTGTATCCACCGAAGTTGGGGTGGACCACCTTCTTCATCATGTTGGTGGCTAGAGTGTGGAGCTCGGGTGTCGTGGCGAGGTTGGGTCGGGGTCCCGAGACGGCCACGTCAATGTTGAGGTATGCCACCGCCGTGTCTGTAAGCCAGTCGACGTGCTCCTCAACCCACTCCGTCGATCCGATGAGACCCCATTCCTCGGCATCCCACGATGCGAGAACGATATTCCGCTTGGGCTGCCATCCTGACGCGCGGAGCTTGTTGATGGCACGGGTGAACTCGACCAGAACGGCAGAGCCCGAGTTTGGATCGCCATTGCCGCCCTGCTGGAAGTTAGCGCGAGAGATTGACCAAGGGCCTGGACTTAACGAAACTCACCACCATCCAAGTGTCGCGGTGGTTGCCAATCACAATTGTCTCGTCAGGATTCGTTCCGTTGATATGGCCAATGACGTTGTGGATGGGTCGGATCTCCTCTCGCGAAACCACATCCAGCGCGAGCTTGACGTTCGGGGCAGGGCCAGAGCTGTATTCGGCGTCGAGTCCGCCAACCCACCTGGTGCGATTGACCTGCTGGGCAGACAGGCCGTGGCCGTCCAGGGCTTTCAGCAGAGGTTCGGCGGCCGCATATGAGATTGGAATGGACGGGATCTTGGCAATCACTTCCGAAGTATCGGCCCGAGGGGCATCCTTGTGGGACGGATATCCAGGAGTAGTTGGGTCGCCAGGAGACGTGGAAAGGAACAAGGTCGAGCCCTTCTGGACGGAGTGAGGACTTCTGGCAGGCCCATCTGCAGTCTCATTTAGCCTGCGAAACATTGATGCCATCCCTGTCTGCACCGTGACACACCTGGGTAGGCTTCGTAGCCGTTGGCTACCGTCATGTTGCCATCGTCTCCAGGGTCGCTGAACAAAACAGCAGCAATTGCGCCGTGGTCTTGGGCGTTCTTGACCTTTAGCCCGCGGAACAAGCCACCATACTTGATGAGCGCGATCTTGCCCTCGAAACTAACACCGAGCTCGACAAGTCTCTCGAAGTCATCGATTGAGCCGCGACTGCAAACAGAGTTAGACCTGGTTTTCATTTCAATGGCCAGCCAGGTGGCACATCTCCACTTACCCGGCATAAATGTACTCGGCCTCGGCATTGCCTGACGGTGAGTATCCCAAGAACGTCTGCTGGGAAATGACGTCAAAGCCCGTGGCCTCGTCATCCTCAAGGACCGGCTCCTTTAGATTGACCTCTTGTTGCTGCCCGTCAGCCCCCGTGAAACTCAACGAGGCACTCACGGGATACCGAAAATAGACATGATACTCGCTGAGGTGAGCATCGACGCCGTTCTCGCTCCATCGGTCTGCTGTCCACTGCGCAGCTTCCCTCCCGTACCCGGCGAGCTTGTTCTGGTATCCGTAATAGTGCGACCACTCATCGATCGTGACATTGTCAAACGCGTTGACGAGGAGTGTCTCCTGGTCATCAAGTACTGGTGGCCACTCATCGTTGCGCTTCGAGAGTGCTTGGCGGTGGGTGTGCCTCGCAGCCACGTTGAAATCGCGCTGGCATGCGGAGGCACCGGCAACCAGGGTTGCGATGGTTACCAGATACTCGGCAAGCATGGTGCACCTGTTATGCTCAGTTCCTGGGTTATGTCTTATCACCAAGATTGGCCGTGCATGCAAAGGGCCAGAGCAAAGCAGAGGATGCTGGGCAGGTCGGACGTTTTAGTAGTTGGGGACGACTGAAATCCGGTCCTGCGAGAGGACGGTGCCAATGCCGCAAAGCGTGCCGTTGCCTAGTTGCCCAGAGCCTTGGAAGACACTCGTCAGGACAAGACCGGCCTTAGTCAAGGAAATAGCCGCACGACGGCCGGCATGACAGGCCGCGCGCTGTCGACCGGAGCAGCCCGGGCACTTGGTTGCTCCGCTCAATTATCGGCCCATGCGGCAGACCAAGTTAAAAGTCCCGGAGGCACCAGGTCTCATGTCGTCATCTTACTCGGCAGCACGGTGCTCATATGCATCTTGTATTGTATCGTTGTGGGCCTGAGGAGGCTGGCAGGCTTGGCCCAAGGAGCGGGTACAGCTCAGCAACACGCTCACCTCCCTCATCAGTTCAAGCGCGGCTTGGCGCCTGACGGGGGACCTGACGTCGTGTTATTGCCTAAGAGCTGCAGAAGCAGGGAATACGGAAGGTGTGCGTATATGCCAAGTCTCACTGTACGCATTCGGTGAACAGAATGAGCAAACTGACACTGTCAGTCAAGCGAGGGCTTTTAATCACGCAAGTCAATCATGCTGCACTCTGCAGCTTTCTGCCGGAACACTCCGTCCAGTACCACATAGCGTTGCTGCGAGCTATCCGTGGACGAAATCTTCAGCAGAGGTCCTCGCAATAACGTGCATTCAGATTCATGTGGTAGCCTAATTGAGCGGGGAGATTCAAACACGAATCGTGTGGCGAGAGATGGTCGGACGAGGACAGATAATTAGGATGAAGGCACACGATATATCGCGAAGCGCGAGTTCATCTCAGCGAAAAGTATCATACGAACACCTGGCTCGAATATATCCCGATGACTGCATGCACTCGTGATGGGAAACTTTCGCCGCCCACCCGAAGATTCATTTCGAGATACCTTTCGACATCGGTTTGCCCGAGAAGCAATCAGGCATCACAGGCGGTTTGTGCTTCAAAATTTTGGAGATTAGAGATTTAATCAGATGGCGGGCACTCGATTCCCTCATACACACATCCGTCGAGATGCTCATGCCTTAGTTCTCTCCTCAGTTGATTCGTGGTCCTCCACCGGAACAAGGTCCTTCATGTATCTTGCTAGTGGCCTAGCCATAGTGTTCCTTTTAATCTTTGGTCGAGACAGATGAAGTCCGCAGAACCCCCGTGCATGGTGATACAATGCCATTGCCCAAATTATCCCATTCCACCAATAGCATCTATTGAGAGAGTCACCCTCTGTCTTGACCTCCTTCTTTGTTTTTAGCTTCCTAGAACTGTCAATCCTAAGTGGGGCCCGTCTAAGATCGCGGAGCATGCGCCGACGCGTATAGGCCACTGTTGGTCTCGCGTCAGCTGATCCAGAGCTCGTTATCCGTGCAAACGCTGTCCCTCACTTGCTCACAACACTTTGGGACTGCTGACTGCTTGTTCCAGGGTCCACATGCTTGAACAGGGCTGACAGCTCTAGCTGCCGCCAAGGAGGGCCCACACATAATGGGCTCCCACTTCACGGATTCCCATGCGTTAATTTCAAGACCTTGTCCAGCGTGTCATGATAAGGTCCAGGTTAAAGCAGGGTCCTTGAATGAGGTGGTTCCCTAGCTGGCTCATATTAGCACGTATACGCCCCGGAATCTATCCAAGCCGCAGCCATGTGGTGAGAAGTTCTTAGGGTGCTTGTCATGACCAAAGATCAATAGTTGTGGCTTACTCAATTCCAGACGCACTTTTGTATACTAAATTACGAACACTCAAGGCTACTCGTGCGCTCTGTGGCAATTCTGGTCCAGCTGAGTCAACTCGAGCTTGGTCTCTGAGCCGCCCGCCCCGATATGAAGAGATGATGTCACTGTAACGCCAGACTTAGCTATATCAGGTCGCGCGAGTGGAGAAGCTGAAGACATGACCAAAGCTCGCTGGGGGATCTCATTTTTGAGAGTGGATTCATGGACGGCGTGAGCCTTACCGGGCCTCAAGAATGTCATCCTGATCTCACTTGGGTAGGTGCCCAGCCTCAGGTGTGCAGTGCAGTTGATGTCAGGGTCCGCTGCCTATGCTATTGTCCCAGACGGGACCTCCTCTCCTGTGGCTATCACCAAGTCAACTGACCAACATGGGAGGTGGGCAGCTTCGATTATCGATTTCAAGGTCAGTACACTGTAAATATTGGCTCATCATGAGGGCAGTATCGACTTGCGAAGCCTCAAAGGAAACTAGCACCGTAATATATGATGATCACTCTATCCATAGAGAAGCGAGTTACGTCATTTTGGCAAAAAGGTATGCGTACATGTTCCTTAAGTTCTCAGAGGTTTCCTCGTCATGCTCGCTTGCCAAGCCCACCTGCTCCGGGATCGGGGCATGTCATGCCATGATCGATGCTCTGCCTTACGGTACCCTCTCGAGAAATACAGATGGAATGTTGTCAGATCAAATAAGATGGGTGCAGGAACGAATTGAACTCCGGAATAAGTGCTCCGAAAATCTCTCCGAAACACACGGAAGCGTCCCTATGCTGTCGAGTATGCGTCATTCAGCTACCAACGCTAGCAAGTCTACACCATACCGTCGACGGCCGAGGCATGGAGAAGCTTCGTACACTTTACCGCATATAAACTGAGCGACGGCCACTTCTGGGGCCATGGAATTTTGAATCACCATCATAGAATTCCATCGTTCCGCGACGCTGATCAACAATCCGCGGACTGGCCTGCGGATGCTCATCCTCGACCTATTTGGTGCGCTACGGTCCAAAACTCTCACCAAGGCCTCGTCTGCTTTGCCTGCTCTCAAAAAGCGTTATACCGCCTATCTCACCCGCAGGACGCTCTTTGCCCCAGAATCGGTATCTGTGAGAGCAGCTCTCGTCTATCTTTCCTGGCCCCGGTTGGGCCCATTACGCCCGATGACAGAAAGCATGCACATGCGGCGCCCTCGCGTCAAGAACAAGCGGTTGAACAGTACACTATCAATCCCACCCATCCAGAAGGCGAGCTTGGTCGACAATACCTTTTGTGTGCCGAGTTTGGGTGCCCTAGGGGACAGCTCGACGTGGTGGAAGGACGGGGTTATTTACCAAGTCTATATCCCCAGCTTCAAGGACTCCAACGGCGACGGATATGGCGACCTCAAAGGATTGGAAGAGAAGCTGGATTACCTGGCTGGTCTGGGCGTCAGCATCCTCTGGTTGTCGCCCGTCTTCGAGTCTCCGATGCACGACATGGGGTAAGTGATGAGCTGCCTCTGCTGGACGCCCTGGTGTGTTGTTGGCACTAATCAGTCCCCGCGTTGCTAGGTTCGACATATCCGACTACTACAAGATCAACCCCTTGTACGGCGACATGGAAGACTTCGACAGGCTTCTCGAGCACGCACACGAAAAAGGCCTGAAGATCGTTCTTGACATTGCCCTGAACCACTCCTCCGACGAGAACGAATGGTTCAGGAAATCGGTAGAGGCCCACGCCGGCGAGGCCAACGAGTTTAAGGACTTCTACATGTGGGCGGACCCCATCATTGGCGAGGACGGGAAGCGGTATCCCCCGTGCAACTGGGAAAGCACGTTTGGCGGGTCCATGTGGGAGTATGTGCCTGCGGCCAACAAGTACTACCTGCATGTCTTTGGCCGGTCCCAGCCCGACCTCAACTGGGAGAATCCAGCAGTCCGCCAGGAACTGTGGAAGGTGCTGCGGTTCTGGCTGGACAAAGGAGTCGATGGCTTTCGGCTGGACGCAATCAACTGCACGTCCAAGGCGCACAACCACGACCTGAGCCCCGAGCGTCCCGGCAAGCCAACGGCTTCCGGCTGGCCTGATGCCCCAGTCACTGATGACAGCAGACCTGAGCAGAAGGCCGACCCTATGTTTGCAAACGGGTAAGTCATTCGTACCCACATACACATGTTGTGTACGTCCTCTTTACCGGGTTGATTTCAACTGACAAAACATCATGCAGGCCAAAAGCTCACGATTGGCTGCACGAAATGTACGAAGAGGTCTTTGCCCACTACGATGCGATGTCCCTGGGCGAGATGTCATGCGGAATCAGCTGCAAAATCGGACCAGACTTCATCTCGCGCGACGCGGCGAAGCGGCAACTCGATCTCATCCTCCACTTTGAGCACGTCGAGCTCGACTGCGTCAACGGGGACAAGTGGGTGCTCAGGGACTGGAAGCTGCCGGAGCTCAAGGCGGCCGTGACAAGATGGCAGACGCGCATGATTGAGGTTGGCGGCTGGGACACCATCTGGATGGAGAACCACGACCAGCCGCGCGGCCTGGGCCGCTTCTTCAAGGACAACGAGGGCAAGGTCAGCAGAGAACAGGGCGCCAAGCTCCTCGCAGTGTGGCTCTTCACACTCCAGGGGACCGTCATCATCTTCCAGGGCCAGGAGCTGGGGATGACGAACCCCCAGGAGTTCTGTGAGGACATGGTCCGAGATATCGAGACGCGACTATTCTGGAACGCCTCCCAGGCGCCAGGCTTGAAGGGAGGCGTGCAGAAACTTGAGATGGTCAAAAGAGTCATCATGACCAAGGGCAGGGACACGGCCCGCATTCCTATTCCCGTGAGTTTCCCCATGACCAGCCAACCATTCTGATATGCTAAAGCTGACACGGTGTGTGGTCTAGTGGACCACCGACGACGAAACCTCTGCTGGCTTCACCAGCATCAAGGCCAAGCCGTGGCTTCCTCACCACCCACACTTCCGCGAGCTATGCGCCGAGAGTCAAACTCAGCACCCAGGCTCTATATGGACGTTCTATCACGACATGATACGCCTCCGCAAGCAGCATCCGGTACTTGTAAGTAGACAACATTGCCGCTCTCCACGCGCCTGCACCCAGAGCAGTCCCGTGAGGATGATACTGACAAGGGGGTTCCACAGGCCTATGGCGACTACACCCTTGTTGATGAGCACCACCTTTCCGTCTTTGCGTATACCCGCGCCCACGATCAAGATGTGTACTTGGTGGTCCTCAACTTCAGCACGGATCCTGTGGAATGGGACCCGCCCCTGAAGGACAGCCGCGAATGGACCATTGTCATCTCGACCTCGGGTCACACCAACGGTGATGGCCAGTCGTTGGCAAGAATGCGACTCGAACCGTATGAAGGCATCGTGTTCCAGCAGAAGAATAGGCAGGCAGCGAGCTGCAACGGTGTGTCGGAGGCCGGCCAGCGAGTGTCCTGACGTCAGAGTACTGTTCAAGGCACACGAGCGGTGCGCAGTGATAAGGTACCGTACAATACTGTGAGAGACTGGCCTTGCTGGGTGCGCGCGCGGTGGTGCTGCCCCGCCCCGCTCCCGGACCATTCTTTTGTCTTCCTCCAACAACGTCAATATGATCAAATCGTAAATACATAGCCGTACTCACTTCCCTCGCTCTTGTGAAAGCTTGACGTCATCTTCGTGGCGAAGTGATGCAGCATGCCCGGAACAAGTCCGCCAGGCATCTTTCCTGACTAATTTCGGACATTCCCGTGAAAGTCAATACCTCAGCGAATGGAGCAGATATCAATTAATCCACGCTTCAATTTCCGTGCTTGAAACCACGATAGTAGACGCAAATTCTCTATTCTCATGCATATCAATTCCAGCATACCCAGTTAATGGATGCCAATAAGCCTGGAGCCTGGGTCCATTTTGACGACCATAGTAATTAACAAAGTACAGTCCAACCCCTTTTTCATCTTTGGACAACCTGATTTCTTTTTATAGCAGATGAAGGTCTCCAGAAGGTTCTAATTGGGCACCACCTCATGAGCTCGTTGTAGTATTAGAAACATAACGAGTAGTGTTTATCTGTATCCTCTGGTCCTATGACGACCCTAGTACGTACGTAAATTGATGTGGCCTGGTAGGACAAGGAGGCTGTCCTACTAGGCGAAACCTTGATCACATCCAACGTCAAATCTGCTACTCAAGGGGTATATCGGAACCACGGCACATTATCAGCAAGCTCCCGCTCGTTCAGCTTCTGCTCCTCGGTCAGCTCCTGGACCCCAGCCTCGTTCGCGATCTTGTCGCGCCGTGCATTCTCGCGCCGGACCCAGACGGTCATGAACAGCGTCAGGAAGAATGCCATGCTGCTGAAGGGTTAGATAATATTCCGACTCTCTCGTGTCAGGAAAAAGGGCACTTTTGAACATACCTGATGAAGCCGATCAAGATACTGTGGCCAGTGATGTACCGTGGTCCATCCCGCGAGAGGTACACATAGGACGCAATGATGCCACCGCAATTCCCTCCCATGACTTGCATCGCGATGCCAGTTCCACGCTTCAGACTACCTCCGATGTTCGCGCCGTTCCAGGCCATCCCGAGCGGGATTTGAGGGTAGATACCTTGCCACAGGTTAGTAAAGGCAGCCATAGTGGAGGGCAAAGAGTGCGCAGGAACTCACCGATAGCCGCAAGTACAGTACCCGCATACTGGATCGAAGAATTTGCGGTGCCTGCGAGCAGCGCAAAGCCCAGGATGCCGACCAGCTGAAACCCCAGCAAGAACACGCCGCGCTGCTGCACCCTGTCGGCAAACCAGCTCGCGCCGATCGTAAAGATGCACGCGAAGACGTAGGGCGGCACGCTCATGAGCTGGGCGTTGTTTGCCGAGTACCCCATGTTCTTGATGATTGTCGGCAGGAACAGCGAGAAGGAGTAGATGGGGCAGAACCCGGCCATGCAGATGAGCATGTGGATGTAGATCTTCCAGTCCTTGATGGCCTGCCACACGTACTTCATGTTGAACTCGTTGGACAGGTGGCCGGTGTCAGCGAAGAGGCGCCTCTCGACTTCTCGGCGTTCATCGTCGTGTAGGAACTTGGCCCTGCATGGCGTGTGAGAAGGTGGTTAGCATACCAAACGTTTTCGGGCGCGATAGGGTATCTGCCTACGTGGAAGGATAGTCGTTGATTGCCCAGTAAGCGCCAAACGAGACGAGGATGCTCGCCAAGCCCTCGAGGATGAAGATCCAGCTCCAAGCGGAAAGACCGCCGACACCCGACATCTCAGCGATGGCTCGTGCCAGAATTCCTCCAAACGCACCAGCGAGGGTCGCGGCGCTGATAATGGTTAGACAAGATTTCCACTCGCTCGTGTCAGGCAGAGGGACGCCTTTGAACATACCTGAAAAACATGGCCATCCGGAACCCGCGCTCGTGGCGGCAGTACCATTCTGAAATGTAATAGTTGACTCCGGGAAAGAGACCGCCCTCGAAGACGCCAAGGAAAACCCGGGTAGTCATGAGGCCCTGGTAGTTCTTCACGAAACCTTGCGCAATCATGGACGCAGACCAGAGCACCATGATGAATGTCAACCATATCGACGGCCGCGTTCGCTTCATCATGATGTTGCTGGGGATCTCTGCGGCGATGTAAAATGGGAAGAGAATTGCTAGGCAGTCGTTGTATTGGATGCCTTGCAGGTGCAGGTCTTGTTCGAGGTTGTCGAGCCGGGCGTTTCCAATGTTGGTGCGATCGAGGAAACAGAGCCTACAGGTCTGTCAGCAGCGGGCCCTGTAAGTGATGGGAGGAGGAATCGCCACGAACAGATAGATCAGACTCATAAAGGGGATCAAGTGCCAGTCTAGCTTTCGCAGGAGCCGCTTTGTGGCCGCTTTGTCCCAGCCCTGCAGCTCCGGGTCTGCAGCCCTGTCTGAATCTGAGGCAGAGCCGACCTCAACCTTAGGCATCGCGCCATCGCGATCATCGATCGCCTGCTTAACCTCCGACATTGGAAAGGATGGCGAAGTATGCGCAGGACGAGATGAAGCTGGAGAGGACGCGGGACTAGCACCGCAATTGGTGCACGAGATAGCCCGTACCGCAAAGGGTGTGTATTGCCGGAGGACAATGTGCGAGAATGGACACAAGCTCGGTGCTGCGAAGCTCCGACTGCAAACAGTTAGGGGCAGAACCGTCTATTTGTATGAAGAGCCAAAGAAGAGCCGCCAGGGATGCCAGGACCTAGGGCATCGCGCCTTCGGATTCTTCCTCGGGTCGCTCCAGGCCCAACCCCAGGCTGGACCCCGACTGTGCCATTGCTGGCCTCCCTTGCTCTCCAGCCTGATATGGGTCTAGGCCAATCTGAAGCAGGCGTTCACTGCGACCTTGGCCTGCACGTCAGACGAGCACGCATTCCAGGACAGTGCTGAGCCAGTCGTATCAGTACCGTCCCGAGGGCGTGCCCACAACAAATGACGGGATTCTGCACCTTCCTAAGTGCGACAATGGCTGCTGGACCTTCACCGCATCGGGACAAGAGCGTCGCTGTCGTGGCACATCTGACTAAGCTGCTGGCGCGGCAGTTGCATATGCGCGGCCTCCTCAACTATGCTCGATGGAGATCTGGGACCGGTGAGGTGCCCGGGCCATCTCCAGGTTACCCATGCACAAAGCTTAAGGTTCATTGAAGGCAGGCCAATGAACCATGCAGGCCGATGCAACACGGCTGCATTAGTCAGATGTCAGCGTTCCACAACAGACGCATGTGTAGCCTTTGCCGGGCAAATCAGGTCGAAGTGATTCAGCCACACTGTTACACACTGCAATGCTGTCTGGCCTCTATTTATGTTGGTGCAGCAGCTTGCTGGCTAGCAAAAGTAACGTAATCCGTGCGGCTCTGGTGACGAGGATGATACATCCGCACTTATCTACTGTTAATGGAAAGACCGCATAATGCGCCAAGGTCTAGCCATGCTACACTTCAACATGAACAGAGCCTTCCGCGAAGGCACAATGAGATCGTTCTGCGACGAGGCCACGCCAAGTCTAGTGGCGATGGCTCCCGAAAGCTTGATTCGCCCACCCCACTGCATTGCATATAACCCCTGCACATTATTTGAGGCAGGAGGTTGGTTGTGCAGCGAAGCAAGGGAGTACTACGAGGAGACACGGGATTACCAGCCGCATTCCGCGGTAATAGCCGAGGCTCGTCGCCTCGACCCCAGAAAACTTTTGCATCCATGGTACTGAGCTCGAGACACGTTGGCCAGAAACCAAGGAGTGAAGTGTTCATCCATCGAGGTAGCCGCAAGCGGTACAAAGTTTAGGTCCGCACCATCCCGCTTGTGTTAATGAATGCACAAATCAATATTAGATAAGGACACCGGGCTGTCAAACGTTTAGGACCTATTGCCTGCAAGACCTGCAAGATAAGTAGCCTAATGGTGCTGGAAGGGTGTCAAGCCTGCGCTTCGAAGTGAGCGGGGATTGGGTGAAGGACGAGTCCTGTGGTGACCCCTGCCTGCCGCTGTCGCCACCTTGCACTGTGTACAGCTGTTGAAATCTTACACCCCGTCAGCGAGCTCGTAGGACTTGTCTGGTTCTTCGTTGATTCCTGGCCGCCAAATCTCGCGCGAAAAGTTGAAAGCTCTGCTATGAACCCGCTTGCACGTGTGGGACGCATTTGGTGAGTACATGATGAATGGTGGGCTCGATAAGTTGTTCGATGTGCAAGACCATTGACATCGTCTCGATCAAAGCGAAAGAGTTTTCGCGAAAAGATCGCCAGTCCATTTGGGCCTCGCTACACCCGAGGGCTTTCCAGATTGCGAATATAAGGTCTATCTACTACGTCTGATATTCTAATCGTTTGACACAGGGAAAATCAGGATGTTCCTCCGGCAAACCTCATGTCCTATCGAATTTGGTTATTTTGTTTTTTTTGGTGTCAGCGAAATGTCGGCGAGCATCTTTAGCTTCACCATGCGCAACAATCCACCACACGCCGCCTCAATTGTATGAGGGCTTTGCTGACACAGCCTACTGGAACCTCGAGGCACCCAAGAATTACATCGCAGCCGCGACAGGCCAGTCGTTGTAGTTCTCATCTGGGCACTTGAATGGGCCGTATTCCACCATGCTGCCTCTGTCATTCTCAGCCAGCGGGATGCCGTCTCGAACTCGAACAACCAAGTCCTATTCTTCATGTAAGCTATTGTGATACGTGCGATCGACATGGATTATTCGTGGAGCGTGCCGTCTTACCGGGTTGAACATGAACGGACGAGCAATCTGCACCAAATCGATCTTGTCGAGCGTCATGAGCCTCTCCGCCTCCACCGGCGTGTAGGCATGGTTTGCCATCAACAAGCTCGGGCTTCCGGGATACTTGACCAGGGAGCCAAGGTCCAGCACGGGATCGTACCCGGGAGGCAGCGCGAACTCTTCAGGTCGGCCTGGGGCGCCCATAGTGTCGGCAAAGTCGTCATCAAAGACCGAGCCGCGGCGCGAGATGCAGACGATGCCCACTCTGCGCTTCACGAGCTCCGTGACCAAGTAGCTATATGTTTCCTTGAGTTCTTTGTACGTGGTGATAGAGCCGTTGCAGATGTCTGCCGGGCAGATTTTGACACAGGCGTATTCGGCGCCGCCATAGACCTCGGCGACAACGTCCACGAGCTCCAGGAGGAAGCGGCATCGGTTCTCGACGGAGCCGCCGTATGCGTCGGTGCGATGGTTGATTCGGCTGCGTTGGGCGCTTTTCGTTAGAACAGGCTGGTTTGTGGGTGAGTAATACGTGCGCTTGTGACTCACGAGGAAAGAAATTGGTGGACCAGGTAGCCGCTGGCAATGTCACACAGATTAGCAGTCTTGATCATGGTCTTGTGGAAGCCCGGAACCTCATTCATACCCCTGGGCCAAGATTTCGATCCCATCGAAGCCGGCCTGTTTCGCAAGCAGGATTGCTCGGCGGTAGGTCTCGATGACAGTCCGCGGGTTCTCAATGACAGTCAGTTTGTCCGTATGTCCCTATTCGAGTAGATTAGCTGGGAGAGATACTTAAATAGAGCTAATGCAGTCAATGCAACATACCGGGTTCCCCGGGAGATGCCGGTACTTCCCTCCAGTTGCGGGGATGTCGGAAGGTGCCAGGACAGGAATGTTGGTGCTTTTCATACGCGTATCGTACTCGTGTTGAAGACGACCTACTGTGCGTGAGCAAGGGCAAAATGATCATCAGAATCAAATTTGATGAAGGGCGATGATACTCACCAGCGTGCCAGGTCTGGAGGTACATTTTGCTGCCTTGACTGTGCACGGCATGGACGACCTTGCGCCATGCCTGGGCGTGCTCCTCGTTGATAATGACTGGGGCGTTCGGGAACTCGCTGCCGGTCCAGTCTATGAATACACCCTCGGAAACTAGGAGTCCGGTGCCGTGCCGCGCCCGGTCCCCGTAATGGCGGACCTGGGCGTCGCCAGGCTTCAGATCGTCCACACAGCGATTGCGAGTCATGGATCCCATCACGATCCGATTCTTGAGGGCCAGCTTGCCTCCAATAGTGATAGGTTGCAAGATGACTGACATGTTTTCGGAGTGGGTTGTGAGTAGTGGTGAAAATGTGAAAAGGGAATTGATGGTGCTGGGCATTGGCGTGGCTGTGAGGACACGCATGCTGAGGGTTGGCAATCATCTTCTTATAGTCAATGGCCTGCCACTACGATCTATCGGTGCAATTTCGTCAACTGGTATCCAGGCTCTCTAACAAGTGCTTGTAGACGCCGCTGCTGGATTTCTAATCGTCGAGGGAGCAAAGTCCCACCAGAAGATGACGAATGGTGAAAGAGGGTCTCAGGGGCCCGTGGTGGCGGCGTCCGCTCCAATCACATGGCCGTATTTCCGCACAATCCCGCCGCCTCCGCCCATCCTGCATTAGATAGCGGAGCAGGTTCAATGCGGAGTAAAAGGCCCTGTTTGTCTGCCTCATGTCCTACCGCAAAGTCCCTTCATACAACTCATTCTGCGGCACGCCACAGCCGACCGCCTCCTTGGAATCGCTTTATCACTGCTTTCCCCTGGTTCTTCCCGGAGTACCCACATCCGCATGATTATCGCGAAAGCCTACTCCATAGCTTTTCGTCCGGCCATCGAGTGGTACCCGGACCCGTCGCTGCTGATCTCACTGGCGCGACCATGAAGTTCCCGCGCGCCTGCCGACAGTGCCGTGCCACCAAAAGGAGATGTATTCGTGACGGACCCGGCGAGGCCTGTGGCACCTGTCAGCGCAAAGGTCTCGCGTGTGAGGGTGACTTGCGTCACGGGCGGGCGTGCCGACAGGCTCTCCTTCCACGAAGGCCCTCCAGCGACGAGCAAGTACTCGCTTTCGCGGCGAAACCGGCACCGCTACCGACGCAGTCCCACCCATCTCTGACAAGCAGTCTTGAGCTTCCCCAAGGCATGGCAGTGGAGATGGTCGAGCACTACCTCGAGAGGATCAACAATGGACGGCCCTACAGCATCTTCCACCCCGCGACGCTGCGGGCCCAGGTACAGCGAGGCACCATGAACCAGCCACTGCTCTTTGTGATCTGTGCCATCGGCGCCAAGTTCTCTGCCAACCCCGATGTCCGGGCGTGGGAGTCCCGCCTGATAGCCGAGGCGAAACGCCTGTTGCAGCTCGGCATGGAGGACGTCTGCCTCGAGCATATCCAGGCCTGCATCCTCATCTCGACCATGTGTGTCGATCTGTCCAACTCGTCCGAGGTTCTGTACCACCGTACGCATGCTGCCTATCCGTCGGATATCAGTGTCACCGACTAACCTCTGAGCAGGCATTGCGTCGGCCATGGCGGATGTTTTGAATCTCAACTCGCCAGCCCAGGACACATCAATGATCGTGGCCGAGATGAAGCGGAGGGCGTGGTGGGCATGTTACCTAGCTGAGAACTGGTGTGTCTCTGGGCTCAGACTGCTGAGCCCGATCAAACACGCACCCATCGTGATTGCCCTGCCCATGGATGAGGCCGATTTCCTGACGCTGCCTACAGACCAGTCGCTCCCTCATCGCGAAACCTGCCGGACAGGATGCTTCGCGGAGCTCCTCCAGCTCAGCAAGCTCTTCACTCCTATACAAGATCTGAACCGGCGCGTTGCTAGCGGCGAGACCGGGACAAGTCAGCTCGATCGGGAAGTCGAGGTGCTCGCCCAGCAGCTCGACGAGTGGAAACGGCAGCTCCCGCCTGATATCGAGATGAGCTGGGAGAACCTCGACCTGCACCAAGAACGGGGTGTAGGGGGCTCTTTCGTCCTTGTGCATCTCACATACCACTACTATGCTACGCTTCTCTACTTTCGTTTCCTGGAGCAGGACCGGGGTGGCGACCAACAACTGACGGCCAACTCAGCGATCTACCGGAAGTATGTTGACTGCTGCAAGATGCACGCCTCGTCCTTTAGCGCGCTCTTACGCCGCGCGAGGCAGCGCAAGGGCTGCGAACCAAACTTCCCTCTGATCGGACACATGACGACCGTCTCTTCATCGGTGCTGGTCCACACGCTTCTCTTTGGGGACGTCACTGAGCTCAGAGCGGCGCGGCAGGAACTGCAGGCAAACTTTGAGGCGCTGATCGACTTGGTGAAATACTGGCCTGGAACATCCACTATGGTACGAGAGGACCCCGTCTCCCCCTTGAAATGTGTTGTGCGAGAGGTTTGGCTGACACCAGTTTCAAGATTGCCCGACTGGTTATGTTCCAAAACACATGCCTGCTCTCGACAGAGCTCAAGACGCACCGCCTGGACGGGTGGATGCTGAGATACCTACTTGAGCGCTCTCTGGCGGGCCACGAGGCTGCTGCTTCGACGCCAGTCATCCCTCTAGACTTGCGTCGCGAGTCTGATGACCCGTGGCTGGCGTCCCGAGCCAAGGCCTTTTCGGAAGCCGGAAGGTATATGAGCTTTATGTAGAACACATTTCCAGAGACCTCCGGCGTGGCTTGAATAAAAAACGGTGGTTGCACCAACTACCCGTGTCAGGAGCTTGAAGATCAATATCAGAGGCGATTCTTGTTCCCTTGTGTAATTGTTCGGAATACTCTCTTTGGTGGTCAGGTAGGTCAGCATCTGCGGCACAAGTGGTAGGCCCGTTCAGGGACACTTTCCAGCACCGCGGATCTTCGTAATACATATAATTAGAAGACACGATACCTTCACGTACGACTATAGGATCGAGAAAGTTGAGGGTCCCGTTGTCACGATCCTGCCTCCGGGTCAACCGTCTGGTAGGGCGCTGGGGTTGCTGTTCGGCAAGATAGGTAAAGCCTGTGCAATAACACTTCCACTCTGCTGTCGTTCTCTCTTTGGGGTTATCGTGTTCCGGGAAGAGATACCAGTCTCGGCAACTCAGTAACTAGTTCAAGTGTGTGGTAAAACTGATACTTAGATGGATCGCTGAAGTACAAAGGTAGTGACTGTCTGTCTAGGAGATCCCCCGTATCTATATATCCTTTGTCGTTTATCGCATACTTGTGTGGTTATTCTTTCCTGCGCGACGGTCATGTCTTTGGTGATGACCGTCGTGCTTGGCGGAGTGACGGTCATGCAGATATACATGACCATTAGTACTATACCCGGACCTGTCTCCCTTATCGTCCTTATCGTTACTGACATAAGAAACCTGTGACGGCACTGCCACATGATCCGCCCTTGTCCTTGGCCTGATCCTGTGACCTAGTTGTTTGTGCTCTTTTCCGTGCCTAAACAATCGTCCCCTGTTGGTCGGCCGTTACAGATTCCTCTGATCGGGGACAAAACAATCACCACGACCGAAGGGAGTTCACCGCTTGCCAGTTTCGGCGGTATTGCCGGCGAGGTTCACTCTGGCCTGGGGCCAGAGTGAGGGCATTCCCAGATATGGGCCAAACCGAGTTTTCGAGGGGAGGCAGCCACGTCAAAAGTGGTCTTTTGACGCGGCACTTGTGAGGGACTTCCTAATCATGGCATTGGCGGCAGGAAACGTGCAAGAACGGGTGTAAAAGTGCAGGTTTTCAATGAGGTGGAAAATCGAGTCGAATTCGTGAAGTTGAGAGGCGATGTCCGTTAGCCTGCTATTGAGCTGGGGTAAAGTGAGGTTCTCTCTGATCATGGGAAGAACAACCACCCAATTCAGCCCATCCTCCGGAAGTGTAACAACGAATTCTTCCTCTTAGCTTCGCCCAAATATATAATATCCTCTCCCTCAGTCCGTCCCACTTCCTGAAACCCCAGCTTGTGGAGGACCTTGATGCTTCCCGAGTTGTCCGGATGTACACAGGCTTCGAGTTCGACTCCATTGGTCAGATCCGCACGACACAAAGTGTCTAGGTACCATCTCAACAGCGCCAACAAGCTTTCGGTCGCGTAGCCCAATCCCCAGCTATCGGGAAGGAAGAGGTATCCTAACTCCACCTTCCGATTTCCAGGGTCGGCTATACCTTCTGGATGTGTTTTGTCGAATGGAGGAGGCCTTACGGGTAAGAGTGTTAAGATGCCTACTGCCTCCCACGCATTGGGGTCGTTGGGATGCCGATTGAACGAATCGGCAGGTCGACGTTCGCCCTCCTTTTGAGTAGTGCTCTCCACCACGGGTTTGAACACAGCAAACGCAACCCGCTGGTCGGAGTCCGGGACATCTTGCATGGGGATCACACCAGCCATCCAGGCTTGACTGTCGTTCTTTGTTTTGCATGGCCCGTGGGGACTATGATGGAGTTAGGAGTATAGTTACGTTACTGGGTAGCATTTACCTACCTCCATTGAGTGGCTTTATCATTGCTCCAGACCCGATGGTACCATTCCAGGTCTGGTGTTCCCTCCTTGTTAGATAACAGCTGCTTAAGGCGGAGTCTTGGTGTGAGGATTTGGGTAGATTCCATCTCGTCAGAGTGGCGGAGGGCCTCGTCTCTTTCGATTAGGAGTTTGCAAAGTTCTAATAAAATAAATGATGGGGTTATCGTGCGGCATTTACTTGGCTCAAAAAAAAAAAGTTGTAGCGGTGACCTCGTCAGCAGCTGTGCTTGGAAGCGGGGTAGTAGACGTTTAAAATTATGCTTACAAATGAAGTATGCCTCGAGCCACAATCGCTTTCTGTGGCGCAGGCGAAACATCCAGGGCCAGCAAGCAACCCTGCTTGGGGGCCCGGTGTGTCGTTCATGTCAATTTCATCGCGCAATTCGAAAATCGAGTCGCTCAAAAAGCACCTGTTTGAGGTTTCTCGAGTAGTTCGAAATTCCACACTCCTCGTAGAATGGACGTGATCATACCCTGTCGAGCGCATGGGAACTAAGCGGCCTGAAGGTTTCAGCGTCGACAGTGACGCGGGTAAGGTGTTAGAGAAACATGTGTCGCCAGGGACTAGTACAACACCACCACCATCACCGCCGCTGAATAGAGGACGACCAGCATACCAAGCCAACATGTACTTCGTCCGGAGTGCATGCCTTTCGCCCTAACGCAGTATGGAACACGGCAGCAGGCATCACCTACAAGTTTAACTGTGACGCACATCCACCCGTTCCAGGGCCGGGACTTCGGTGTAACTATTACGAAGTATCCCTATCGGCTATAGACAATACACGCCAGTCTTTACATATTTGATGCAGGTATGCCATCGATGCATACATGCATGCCTGTGCCTAGCACGGATAATGCAGGCCTTAAGGGCATTGATCCTAGCATAGCGTAGATTGATATTAATATAACACTACATGGTGAATGATCCGCGTACGCTTGCGGACAAGATGCTTGTAGTTTGATTATGTAACGATGAGCTCCCTCCTCCCTGGTACCAGGCTGCTACCTAACTTGGCGCCTAACATACTAATCCATGCCGATGGTATGGTTGTTAATATAACGTGAGGATGCGATAGTAGAACGATGCACCGTTTCGAGCTTAGAACGTAGTTTTGTGCCGAGACGGATTAGTATAGCGCATTTAGCATAACAGTATGCTCGTGTCAAAATGGCCCTTCTGAATGGGGGGTTTTGCAACTCGAAAATTGTGGCGGGAAAGTGTCTTCCGTTCATGGACCTCATGTCTTCCAGGGATGGATCTCACTTACCCTGCATACAAGACTTTACACCGACAAGAGGTCTCGCCTCGGGGATGAGGAAGTCGGTGATGTTGTGCTCCAGGGCCAGTTCTCTGGCCACAGCAATACCTGAGATCCCCGCTCCAATGATGATGACGTCGGCAGTCGCAACAGTCTGCCCATCAGTCGAAACTGCAGCACATGCCGCGCTGGCTGCGGCCAAGGTCCTGAACAGAGACAGGAATCGAGGGATAATATGATAAAAGGGGGAGACAGGTTAGGTACAAACAAGGACTTGTTGTGCATGCAGCGTGCATATGACCTATCCCAAGACGCAGTGGAAATCGCTCAAATCATATACGTGTAGGAATGTCAACAACAGATTGATAGTCGATGAATTCCAGAGGAACACTTATACTAGCCATATTGGGGTTAGACCTAGACGAGAACTGAGACAGATACCTCGGGAGAGCGGGAGGGGCCGAAGCTAGACAAAGCCAGATAGCACAATGCGTCTATTGCATACTACATTTCGTCATCGTGCTGTGAAGACCGGAAATGATCAGCGACCGTTATCATGTAACGGGCACGGTGATACCATGTTCTCCAGATAGACTTGCTGCAATGCATGTGGGGCAAGTGTGGCGTGGCGCTGCTTTTGGAGGAAAGCCATTTTCCTTGTAGATAAGCCTGAGCACCACCGGATCAGTAGTTGGCTCCTGTCGGTGACAACCAGCTGAATGGTTTTCTTTTGGAAGATGATTTCTGTTATATATGGAGCGTGGCGAGATCCACGCCCGAAGGCCTTCATATCTAGGTAGCTGGAGAACTTCATCTCGATGTCAATACGAGGCTACGTAAGGCACAAAACCTCGAGCTCGTGTTATACCTCTGAGGAATTTTAGCGCCGCTGCCTTTCATGGCAACAATGGCTCCCGTAAAGTTCTCTCTGTGAAGCTTCAGAACACGATTGGGAGAGGCCAGAAGGCTTTGAGAAGGCTTTGGGAAGTGGCTGGTTTGGAGCCTGGAAGTGATGGAGATGTCAAGAATGAGGCGGAGAGGTTGGCGGTGGGGGCAGAGGAGCGAGTGTCCTCTGGGGTCGTTTTGGTGCACTTGGATGACGTAATTGTCGGCATATCTGTCTCCAATCTCACATGAAGCGAATGCTTGTAATATCATCTGTGCTGACCATTAGCAGCGTCTCTTGCACAATTGAGTTAAGCGAATCAAATGGCCAGCTGAGGGTTGCTGAGTCCTTAATGCACTTTGACAAGACTTCAAAGCTGTACCGGTAGGTGTGTGCTACATTAGACATGTTCCATGCAGCCGTAGAAGCAGCGGCGAACCATTTCTTACTGCAGCCGCACTGCAACGTCAGCCCAACGAACACGATCTTCATGTCTGGATGGTCTCATGAACTGCGAGGGATGACCACGTTGCACCCCTGGTCGGATGACTCGACACCGCTACATCCTACCAGGGTTCCCCTTGGACCTTCAGTACTTTAAGGCTTTGGGCCCCCACTTGCCGCAATGCCGCAGTGCGGCCCCTTTTTTCGTCGAGGTTGGCGCTTGCACTTCAGATGGCTGGTACAGGCTTCAAGTGGTTGGTAGAGGGCTGGTTGATTAATGCCATGCTATACGTGGTTACATAAAACACGGTCAGCCGAGGCTGAGTGGGGTAGAAAGCTCGGTAACATCCTTGCGAATCAGTACGCGACACGGTTGACGGTGGAGTCAGTATCCCAGTCTCAAACGACGAGAGCCCGTTGTCCAGGCGTCGACTGGCCTGACTGGTACTGGCGGTGTGCTATGGCCCCATTATTGACACCCAAACAACGAACTCGTTGCTGCAGGTACAGCTGCCAGGATGAGCTGGCAATTCATACAACAGCAGAAGACGAGAATACACGATTCGCAACCGCTCCTCAGGCCGATATCATGCTTCTTTGCAGTCTGATCGCAGTGCACCCCTCAATTCTTTCCATCTCGCGAATTTGCTGCCGCCTTCGCCTGTCAGGTCGACTTACAACCACCTCTACCCGTCATCCCAACTCGCATGTATTGGTCTGGCGATCAGTCTTGTTCTCTCACGACTTCAAATCACTCCGAATTCTCCAACCGAGGAAAGCCAATCGAGCTTGGACATTGGCTGTGGATATTGGGCTTTGACCCCACCGTCCCTCTCCAGCAACTGGGAGATATGGGCAATAATCACTCGACAACGTCTCTTGATGAGTTTTACTTGGCATATGGAGAATCAGCCTATGGAGATCCAGAACCTCGCAGGCCAGAACCTCGCAGGCAAGAACCTCGTAGGTCAGAGTCTCGCAGGTCAGAGCCTCGCAGGTCAGAGCCTCGCACGCCAGAACCGAGCAGGCGAGCACCAAGAAGGCCAGCACAAAGGCCCTCGCGCTTGACCAGCCTCAGGAGACCTTCATCCTTCGCGTCGGACATCACGGCCTCATTGACGCCATCCCGCGAAAGATATCCTTACCCTATTCTGGAGCAGCCATCTTTTCCCAGGGATGAAGGACCGCCCATGTCTGAGATCGCACCTCCGACCTCCCCCCAGATTCTACTACCGCCTCCTCCAGAGATTTCACTTCCAGCTCCACCTCCGACTCTGCTGCCTGCTTCGCCACCGATATTGCTACCGCCACCTCCGCCGAAGGTCGTACAGCTACCGTCGCCAGTGTCCTCAATGAGCGAAACGCTATGTGAAGTCACGGAGCCTTTTGTTCTGACTCCAGTCCCCGCTGCACCACCCACGCCACCCACACCGGAGCAGAAGCCTGCTGTTTTCATGGAGCTCACTTCGCTCCCATCTGCACCATGGCACAACCCAGAACAGAAGTCGACTCACATCCGCATCGAGAATCTTACTGTTCGCCCGGAGTCTCCACCTATCCTGGTTACAGGAACCAAGAGAAGGTTCTCCCTATCAGCCACATCCAAAAAGGTCTCATTCACAGACGCCGAGTCCGAAGCAGTTGTTACAGTGTCGCCAGTTAAAGACAAAGAGGAGAAAGAGATGATCGCCGAGCCAGCAATCACCACAATTACGACGACAAACGCAGAGCTGGAACAAGTTGGCATGGTACCATCAACGCAGAAGGAGGAGGAGGAGGAGGAGGAGGAGGTCGACCAATCGGCGATAGGCACAGCTATAACCTCAGAAGCCGCCATCGAAACAACAACAACAATAACAACAATAACAACAACAACAGCCACGCCGGCGGCCAAGTCAGATGAGATCGCGGTGGAAGAGATCGCAACGACATCGACAACAGTCTCGATCCAGGAAGAGGAAACATCAACGACTACACCATCCGATGTTGTATTTGAGGCACCAACGCCCATATCCACTCCAGAACCAATTCAGCAAGAGACACCACTGCCACCAATCCAAGAAGTTGATGAACCCATCATGCACCTTCCCACGTCACCACGACTCCCGCCACGGAGCACAACACCTATCTCCCAGATCTCATTCTCCTCATTTTCACTACCGCCCCTGACCCGCAGAGCCACTTTCGCTCCCGCCCCCGCTCCCAGAGCTTCCTTCGAAGCGCCAGTCCTACTACGCAGCCGCACTTCCGCACCGACCTCATCCTCCCTCGACGAGTTCAGGACAACTCAGCAGCCACGGAACTTCTCCATGCGTCAGGTCTCAAGGCACAGCACGCCCAACGATCTCTGGGTCGTCATCGGGGAAGAGGTGTTTGACTGCACGGAATTCGCGGCTACGCATCCTGGTGGTGCGAAGAGTAAGATTCCTCCCCCTACCCCAAACTCTCTTACACTTACTCAAGTAATTGCCTTACCTCCTGTCTCCACACTCATCTTCTCCCTCGACGAAAACACACACTAATCACCAAACTCCCACACACAGTTCTGAACGGAGTAGCAGGCAAGGACGCGACCAAGAAATTCGACAAACACCATCCCCGCGCCGTCTTGGAGCGGTATAGAGCTACACTCCAGATTGGTGTTGTTGTGGACGACAACACCATCTCTGATGGTGCATCAATGATGAGCAAGTCCAGCCGATCCTCCTTTACTCGCGCCAAGACCTTTTTGGGGAAACTCAAGTTTGGGAAGAAGAAGAATGATGGGTTAATGACGTTAGGGGATGTTGTGAGCCGGGTGAGACGCGGTTCAATGTGAACTTTTCCTTTTTCCTTTTTTCTTGTGCATAACTAGCGCGCATTGGTGTTTTGCCTGTTTTTCCTTTGATCGTTCTGCGGGGGAGGGTTTCTATAAACGAGATTGATATCAATGATGAACAGGCACAGGCGGCGGGTTGTGATAGAAGATGCATTAGAAAGCGCCCGGGAATTTGGGAACCAATAAATCCAGAATTTTGTTACTTTGATTCATATAGATACTTTTATGCAAGCGCAAGCTGTCCGAATACGGCCGGATTACTGCCCAGGCACCTTTCTCGGTATTTCCCATCCCCCGATTTTGCACAAGTCTGCCTCGGGACAAATCACCTGCGGAGCCTGCTGGTGCCAAGTTTATAATCATCCCAACCACCCTCAGGGGTTTGTGTTGAGTTCTTGGAGAGTTCGTTATTGGCGCGCTGGGAGCAGTGCTTGTTGGCTCCCACGTCGGCGGTCATCACCACTATAAATCCCCGCCCCCGCCCCCCTCCCGGTCTGTGTGTAGATGTCAAGATCCTGCTGCAAATCGCCAGGGGTACAGCAGAATGTCTGCTTGTCTCGCAGGCACTTGAAGTCGTAGTCACTAGACTTGAGGTCGCCCTTCGACCCTATGTGTGTGTGTGTGTGTGTGTGTGTGTGTGTGTGTGTGTGTGTGTGTGTGCGCGTCATTGAGACTGTGTTAGAAACAGCGTGCATTTCCGTTATCTTTCCGAGGATAACCGTGCTACCCGTTCTAGAACCTCTAAGTGCACGAAGCACCGTAGACGAGAGTCTTCGTGCGCTCGAGTTGGTGTGGATATAAGGGGTTGGCGTGGCGCGACTATATCGTCCGTTTCTGGACACAAACCTCCGATTGTGACGCCACTTTCCTTTTAGTTGAGCTTGAGTTCCGCCGGATCAGTAGTTGGATTAGCGATGACCAGCGAATTCCCGGTGTTGTAGGTTCTGTTAGTCATTCTTTTTGGGTTTCCTTTCGACCGGAGGCGGTTTGGAACGGAGTAATCTCTTTAGCATTAGGATGCATCTAAGCACGGAGCATTATACCACGAACACGACACACGTTCTGAGAGAGGAGCTCAATCTGTTTGAAGTGATTAATGATGATCATCCAGTCTGTGATTGACAAAAGAGCAGTCCATGAATTATTGGGGTACTAGTGAAAGCTCTGACCAGGAGCACGGTGCAAAGCTTCCCGCGGCCACCTAACTACGTAGTCTCGCTACCCTGGAGCTTGCAGGCAGTGAAAGTCCCGAGGAACGTACCTATCAAGTATTTCTTACCCTTGCGCTAAACTAGCTGGTGGGCCGCCAAACCTCGTATTGCGGCAAGGGGCGGTTGAGTTTTCTGGGCTCGCGGGATGATCTGCAGGTGTCGAGAGCGGGAGCTAGCAAGACCCCGTATCTATTGGTCGACCTGGGACGCTCTTCGCAAAGCCCCCGAACGATGCAGCCAATCCAGTCACGGCCGTGCCTGGCAACTGCCAGCGCTGGAAAACCAGACCCTGCACTGGGCTGTGTTGGCATCTGCCGAACAGCCCTCCTGACGGGGCCAGTTTCGAATCCTTGCTAGTGTGTGCTTGGCCGGGTCGGAACACCGACTTTGGTGAATCTTGCGGCGGGAGGCTGATACAATCTTTCTCTCCCTCCCAGGACGCGCGTGCATCACAAAACCACAGGCGGGCTCTGACAACTCACCACCATCGCCAACATTCCCTGAGAGCTTGTTGCTGACGACAATAGCCCGACGACAATAGCGGCGACGACGACCAACGACGACCAGCACTACCACGGGTTCAAGCCTGATGGGCATCGCGGAGCAATGGCAGGCGTTCCGCACCGTATGTGCAGCGCCCATCCCAGCAACATTCCTGGCCCTGGCGGCCATGCAGAGTGCTATCGTCATCACGATCCAGAGGTATGCTCAGCCCGCCAGGACGTCTCCCTCTCTACACACGAGTTAACCCAGAGGCGACCACAGCATCGTCCTTAACAACTGGCTCGGCTGGCTCCTCCCGAATGCCTTCCAGGGGCCATCCTCAGACACCGTAGCCACGAACCTGTTCCTTCTCATTTTCGGCCTCGGATTTGAGTTGCTGTACGTCTACGATGCCATACTCTCGCGAAGCACTGTCCAGGTCGTCCTCTCGTGCTTGCTGAATGCGGGCCTGACGATCCTCGCGGTCATCCAGATCCCGCAGGTCGGTGACGCTGTGGTCAGCCTGAAGAGCTCATACGACATCAACGCGGACCCCGTGGTCAATCACGACTTTGAATTCTGGACTGTCTCGTCGGGGCTGTTGATCGCCATTGTCGCGGTGCTCGCACTGTTCTCCCTCGTCTTGCCGGTCGCTGCGTGGTACCTCCGGGTTTACTTCTCCTGGCAGTCGTACCGCAACGTCAACCCTGACGCCAGGCTGCGGCGCAGCAGGCTCGTGCACCAGTCATATGTCATGCTGGTGAAGCTGGACGTGTACTTCATTGTCTGCTTCATCGTCATCTACTGCGTCCTCGTTCTCAGGGCAGTCGGGATCGAATTCGTCCTTCACGTCGTTGGCGCACTCTCCGCCATCGCCATCCTGGTCCTCTCTATCTGGTCGAGCAAGACGGAGCACAGGCTTGGAATGTCATTTGCAATTGTACGTCTTGTCTTCTTTTTCTAAGCGGGTTTCAAATCTGGCGTGAAAAGCCCACAAGCTAATCTTTGTCTGCAAACAGGTCGTCTACATTGGCGGACTAGCATACTTTATCTACAGGCTTATCACTGTGTACTCGCCGGGACCCGACCACTTCCGCTACGGGTCGGCATCGAGACTCCTCACCATTTACGGCGGCTTGGGCATGATATTCTTTACGCTCACCATCGTCAATGCCGTATACTGCATGCTCAACTTTGGGTCCGGTCTCAAGATGTTTCTGAAGGACTACGAGGAAGGGTGGAAGCCGGCGAGGCAGTCGGCCCTCGAGCTTCCCATACAGTACACCCAATACAACCGGAGCATGGAGAGGGATCTGGACAGTTAGGAACAACTTACCATGAGGATATTATTCCTTGATCTGCACTAGGTGTAGATGAGCCATCTGCCTGCTCGTGAGCCACATCAAACGTGCCGCTGGTCGTGCCTGGCATAAGTAAGGGTTCAGGCATTCTGCTACTGCTGCCTGGTTCTCCTGCTTTGCTTTGAGGCTTCCGCCAATGCGACGTGGATTTCCCCAGACGCCGGGCATAGCTAGCAATAATCGCCGGGCAGTATCGATCAAATCTCAATTCCACGCTGCCCCCTGGTTGCCAACCGGCAAACAACGACAACTGGTTCACAGTTTGTGCAGATGTCCCATCACCCTAAAGAGCCCACATAATGACGAGTCCTAGTCTTTGCTCATACTACTGACTCAAGCAGCGAGCATCCCACCATGCACCCTGTGGATGTCTTTCGACCGGGATTATTGCGTGCTGCCCTCTCCATCAGCTGACATGCCCTCGTCCCGGGGGTTGTCGGTCGGGCGGAGCTGTCATTGGGGCCAGAAGGACCCTTGCTGCAGATCGGCGGCCGGCTGCTGCCCTTGTGCCGGCTATGGGGTTTCGGGGCTTGCGTTGGTGGCAGGGCAGAGTGCATGAAGGTAGGCTGTCTCTTCCTGACTTGGCGGACAGTCGTGGGTGCCCCTCATGTCATCTGGTCTTAGTTGGTCTTGGTCGTGAGCGTGCCAGGGCGTAAAGACAATGCCATTCCCAACAAGATGCATAACACAGCACTGCGCAATCGCCTGGGTCGTTGTGCGAACTTCTCGCCATATCGCAAAAAACCTGCCAATTCAGAACCTACTTATTGCCCCCGACCACATGAAGACCGAGGGTCGTGGAATTCGTCCCGTTCTGGCAGCCGTCTGGAACCCACGTCCACCCTAAGCATTAAATCGGGCACGCCCAAGATCGAGCCCAATTAGCCTCGATGTGACCCCAGAAAGTCAAGTGGCACGCAGGTGATCGACCCCAAATTGCCCGACCGCATGTCACCAGGGCAGGACCAGGTCCACTTACCTCATCAGGGACCATGGCCATTGGCTTATGCTCTCGCAATCGCGGGGAGCACGCCACTGACCCGACGCAAGCCAAGGCGACGACTGCCATGGCAAATGTCTGCCGCGCTCAAGAGGTCACGGGAAGACCACTAGGCCCGGTCTGCTTCCCCAACGGGATCAGAGTCCAAGCCTTTCTGACGTAGCAGCCAGCATGCCGCCTGACTAACCCCAATATTTTGCATCCTTGCGAGGTCCTGGTGTGGGGAAGTCAGATGCCGATCACAGGCTATCCCGACCTCAGGTAGCCTGTCACGCTTGGCCACAGCATGGCACGGCATATGTGCAGAGCTGACGTGCTGTGATGTTTTTGGCACATCATACCGATCTTGGGAAACGTAATATGCACAGGTATATAAGGGAGTCTTAAGCACCCAATGTGCCGTTGAATCGCGGCCCCTTCCAGCCTTGTCGCCTGACCCAACTCGTCCCCCAAATTAACGTACCCGGCGAGAAACTTCACAATGCGGCTCTCAAGTCTGACTGGGCTCCTCTCTGCCGCCCTCTCCATCTTGCTCTCTGCAGCTCCGGCCTCCGCCCAAAACTACCCACCTCCCGGCACCTGCCTCGGCAACTGCTACGCCCGCGACCCGGCCTTCATCAAGCGCAGCGATGGAAAATACTTCCGCTTCACCACTCGCGACCTGATCGGGATCCAGACCGCCACCGACATCCGCGGGCCCTGGACCAGCGTTGGGTCCGTTATCCAGGGCCGCAGCATAATTAACCTCCCCGGCAACACGGAGCTCTGGGCGCCCGACATCTCCCGAGTCGGCGACCTGTACTACCTCTTCTACGCGGTTAGCACGCTCGGCAGTAAGACCTCGGCGATCGGCTACGCGACCTCGCCCAGCATGGAGCCCGGCACATGGACGGATCGCGGCGCCGTGCTGACCAGCGGGCCGGACTCGCCGTACAACGCCATCGACGCCAACCTGTACCACTCCGCGGACGGCAGGGAGCTGCATCTCCAGTGGGGCTCGTACTGGCAGGGGATCTACACACAGCCATTGACCATCTCTGGCACGTCGGTGACGCTCAGGGCCGGCACGAGTCCAAAGAACATTGCGTACTTGCCTGCGGGCAACCATCCGCAGGAGGGCGCGTTCGTGTACCTGCAGAACGGCGCGTGGTGGTTGTTCCTGAGCAGGGGAAGGGCCGGGCAGTATGGCGACGACCCGGCCAACTTCCCCGTGGCCGACGCGTACAAGATCTTTGTATGCCGCGGGGACTCGCCCACGGGGCCGTTCTTTGGCAAGCTGGGCAGGTCGTGTCTCGATGGTGGCGGGACCGAGGTGCTGGCGACCCAGGGGAACATCTTTGCGCCTGGTGGGCAGGGCGTCTGGCAGGATGACGTGCACGGGGACGTGCTGTACTATCACTACTGTGAGTTGGTTTCTCCCCCGAGGAGTGCTGTTTCCCCGTTCTTCCTTAAGCAGAGGCTAATAAGTGGTGATCAAAGTCAACCGGAACATTGGCTACGGCGACGGCGACGAAAGGTTTGGGTGGAACGTGCTCAAGTGGATCGATGGCTGGCCAGTGGCGGTATGAGGAGCTGTACGTGCTATGGGAATGGCGTGGACATTTTCCAGAAGTCTCACCCTAGAGCATGGGAAGGGAAGCCGGGCCGATCTACTGCCTGGTGCCGTGTCGTAATCTTCAATAGGAGTGGTTCTCGTACCCATTCCTGCCCTCTTGATCAAGCAGCGGCCGGTATGGTGCCGCCAATGCGGAACGTATGTACACAGCAGCCTCCCTTGCGTATAATAAGCCAAATGACTACCACGGGTCATCGCGTGGAAGAAGTCCTTTGGACATTTCCAATGCGGCGCTTGCTACATGTAGCTCTCCTATAGGAGGGATCCTCGGGCTGTTGGGCTCACGTAGAGCGGACAAGCCACGGCATGCCTGAACTTCTCAGTGAGTCCATTCAGCCTCGAGAGTTCCGTGACGGCTTGTTCTGTGTTTATGCTTGTCAACGACAGCGGGTGGAGCCCCGTACATGGAATATGATCTTGGTACTAATGCTAATGCTAATGTTAATGCTACGAAACAAGAATTTACAACTGAATCCTCTATAACCCTCCTTCTGTGGACTGTTCTTAATAAAACGCACCTACGGTTCCATCATACCTTCTCTGGACGGTCGCGGAAGCTCCTACGTGGTAGCACTGAGCTTCGAAGCGATCTACACCTCCGTCAATCGTGACGATACAGGTTCAAGTTCAGAACTGGTACAAACGAAAGCTTGAAAAAAGGAGTAGCGCGACGAGACCTGCCCAAGAATGTGCCGGTGCCGTCCCTGGGTCTCCTTAGAGGTGCGAAGAATCCCGCTCGGCCTTGACCTCCCAGATCGACGGGCCTTTTCACTCACCCGCGGCGCGCCAACCGCTACTTGCTTGCAGGCTGACTCGATTTCTACCCCACATCCTAAGCAGCCACCGCCTTCTTGTGCAACGAAGGCTGGACCTTGAATCCTTCCTTAAGCCAGAGCAGAGTGTTGGGCTGTTTGGCCATCCAGTCGTCCTGGCCAGGGAGCAGCTTGAAATCGAAGTTGTACACGAGCCGGCTCGCGATGACGCGCATCTCGGCGTAGGCGAGGTTCTTGCCAATGCAGTCGCGCGCGCCGAAGCTGAAGGGCTTGAAGACTTCTTTCTTGTCGCTGTCGAAACGTGCATCATGCTGTGGGTGTGCAGGTTTGAGCCACTAAAAGGAGTCGTGAGCGAGTGATCACCACGGTCGATTGCGGAGGACATAGCATGTCGGGTGAAGAGATATGCTCTGTCGCGTGGGTTTTGGAGCAGAGGTGTAAAGATTTCTGAGCAAATATTTCCGCTCGTTTTGCCCGAACAAGTTGCCGACAAACGAGAGAGCGAATGGATGGAACTTACGCGTTCTGGATGGAAGGAGTCCGGGTCAGTAAAGTTGGCAGGATCGCGGTAGGCTGCATTCGAGTAGACGTGGATGAGGCTCTGAATTTCGTGACATGGGAGAGGTCAGCATAATTCAGCAAATGGTAGGGAAGGAGAAAAACCACATACGCCCTGCGGTAACCAGTATCCGCCCACCTCGGCACCAGGACTGATACGGGGAGTCATTGTCGCGGCTGGGGGGTACATGCGCATCGTCTCCTCCAGGAACACCCTGAGGTACTCGAGATGACCAGTGCTCGTCATGTTGATGTCGGCGTCATCGGCAAAGGCAGCGCGGATTTCATCCTCCAGAATACGCCGTTTTTCGGCGTTCTCGGGGCGGCTCAGGAAGTAGACGAAGCCAGAGAGCGCTGTAGCTGTCGTCTCGCTGCCCGCAAGTACAAGAATCGACGACAGTGCTCCTACCTCGGCGTCGCTGAGCCCTCGCTCGCCGTCCTTGCCCTTGCGGAGCATATATGTTGCGAAATCGCGGCGGCCATCCTCGTAGTCTCCCTTTGCCATGCGGGCTTGTGCCTTGACCTTACCAAGTCCCGCGTTGGCTTTGCCGGCCTCCAAGGCCACCTTCGTCTCTTTCGTGCCCAAAAGGATCATCAACGGGATCTTGAGTAGAGGATATTGGTTCAAAAAGCGAATGCAGGAATTGCCAATAAGCATGCGGAACGTGTTATCCACAAAAGTGGTATTACCTTCGAGCCCCTGGAACGACTCGCCAAAGCAGAGGTCACCTATGACGTCAAACGTGCAGAGGTTGAGCCACTGGACGATGTCTACTGCCTCGCCTCGGGTGGCTCGAGCCGCTAACTCCTCCATTAACCTGTTGACGTACTGCGTGATGATCGGCTCCTGCTCGTGAAGAGCGGCGACACTGAAGGCATGGTTGAGCTGGCGGCGCTGGCGGCGATGGTCCTCCCAGGGAGCGCCGAGCAGAGCCATGTGGTCAGTTGGATAGAGGAAGCCCTGAGTCTTGCCGAATTCGCCTACACCACTGGAACCACGGACACCGTATACCTGCAGCCAGGCAACGCTACCGGCTACAATGACACGATTGGGGCCGATTCGGACGACGGGGCCGTACTTGCGATGTAGCTCGATCGCGTAGGGGCTCATGTCGAGGCTGATGAAATGGTGCCACTGGCTGAATATGTCGCTGATCGCCATGTACTTAGGACCGGGTATCTTGGCTAAAGGATGGAGCCATAGGCGGTACAGGGTGGCACATAGCGCGCATCCAGCAGCCTAATATCGACGCAGTTACGCAGAACGTCAGCTAGATGTCCATGAATATGAAGGTGGATGGCCAAATGGGCCATGTGCTTTGTTTGGGCGACGTACGACAGTGGCGGCAGCGCCTGCGAGGAAGGCAGGGTCGCCCTCGGCGCCACGGGCGATCAGTGAGTCTAGGAGTGGCATTGTGCGGTTGTGCGATGATGGTAATTTTTGCTTCTGCTGTTGCTGCCATCATTGTGATGGCCAAGGATCGTGCTTTATAGCTGGGAGTCGGTGGGGACACGAAGACGTGGAAAACCACACTCGTTGCAGTTCTGGGTGCCCCGTCCCGACCCCCCTGTCGAAATATGCTCCGGATAGGCCCTCTCCGGGGTATTATGCACATGTTTCATGCAGAAGATCGCCGTGATGGTTGTCCTACCCAGGAGCATTCCCCATATGGAAAAAAGTCATGACAATGCGCTTGCACCAAAAGAAGTGGGGCTGTTAACAATATCAGATGTTAGCCAATTCTACCCACGAGAAAACTGGGTTTCTGTGCCATTCACAGCGGTGGATTGGTCAGTGAGCTGCTCTTCACACAGCCTCCGTGATTAGTGGCTTGGTGCACACCTTGCCACGACTTATCTCCACAAGGAGGCTCGTACGAGATGCTGCACCCACCAGCACGATATACTCCCGGCTGGCCAGCCGGGGTGTGAGCCAATGGGAGGCCAGGGTGCAACGACGGGATTCGCGCTAACATGCCTTCGACTCGGCGCGGCTGGAAGTTCGCGCTGAGATTGACGCGAACCCCGGGCAAGCCACGTACTCTAAATCGCGCAACTGCCGAGGATCAAGCTTTGCCAAGCCCCGTCTTCGGGGACGTCACAATGCAGCACAGTAAGCAGAGCCAAATAGTCAAGCCCTTGATCCCATATCCCGCGCACAGACAGCCACGGGCAATATCCCGTGGCTCATGGCTAGTCACGGTCGTTTCCTATTCTAGGTCTGCCTCCCTGACTCCGCACAGCATGGCTCAGCCGGCGCAATCTGGAAACCAGTAGCATTGAACCAAGCTTGCTCTACGATTCACCGCGTGGTGGCGTGCCAAAGCTCAGAGCCCAAGTGCCGCGTGCTTAAACCTAAAAAGAAAATATCCCGACTCGGCAACGGGCCGCCTTCCTGCAAACAGCGCCCGTGGCGTCGGGCAATGAAGATAGGATTTCACAGGCAGTCGGGCTGCGTGCTCTGGTTCCTGGGAGTGACAGCACTTGCCGGACTCTCCATAGCATCGCTAGCGATCACGTTTATGCGTGGGGACTTGCGAGTACATGTACATGCCCAAGCAAGGATCTCGCCGTTCGGATATTTGTTCCGGGGCGTGCCGTTGTGGGCTGACGCCAGACTTCTCGTCTGACTCGAAGGCACGGAGTCAAAATCCAAGCCTGGCACCAGTTTCCGAGTAAATATCTCGACTGACCTTCCATACGTTGCTTGGCGCTAGTACACGCCAAGCCTACACCATTCATTATTGTTCGCTTTGTACGTGGGCAAGTATACAAGTACAGCACTGGTGTACCCTCATTCTGCAGCTCTGCGAGCATTGTTTCGTCACTTGCGAAACCACGCTAGCGGGTTTGGCTGTGGGTGCCCAGTACTTACGAATCCCGAAATGGGTCTGCCAGCTTCATCAGCTGATCTCGGCTTGTCCACAGTCTGGATCCGGCCCCACAAGCTTGGGAAACATGGAGCGCTCCTGTGACCTAGTGATCTTGTCCTTTGGAATCCGCACGGTGTTGCACCTTCAGACATTCAACAATCTCCATTGGTTCTCCCACCATTCGTCCCGCGTGTCCTCCGGGAAGCCACACGCGGCAAGCCAGTCCATGGTGTCACATCTATTCATCTTGCCTGGCATTTTGCGAGCTGCGGCAGCCAGAGGATCTATCCTTTTCCAGAGTTCTGCAAGATCTTGCCTCACCGATGCTCTACAAGGGAAAGCTTGTCCGAGTGCAAGCCGGACGTCTAGTTTGACGCCATGATCAATCAATCCCACCTTAGTCTCGCGGCTGCCGGAGAACTCAACACAGCCAAGGATATGCGTCGATCGATCTCCGTCTGACCCGTCGGACTCGAGACTTTTGCGGAAGAGCGGCTGTCTTGCCTCGAACTCTGCTGAGAGGCGCTTGTCAGGGAGACGCCCGTACATTGCCAGGTGCAGATAGACTGCCGTCGTCATACGTGATAACAGACACCAAGAGACGCCAGCAGCTCGCGGCCTGTTGGGCGAGCACTGTATTGGCGCCAGACCTTTACCCCTGTTGAACGGCCCAGCAAGTACAAGTTGGTAATCGCCGAACTCGCTTTTGACGTTGGGCACCATACCCCAGAGCACCGTGATTTCTTCGGCAGGACCGAGGCCATGTTGTTCCAAGACCTCAGCAACCAGGTCCGCGTTGGCGTCATATGTGTGCGTCGCAAAGTTGGTGATCATGAGGGTAAAAGCCGTGGGCCAGTTGGTACCTCTGGCAGAGTCCTTGTCTCGCCAGTGGGGATCGGCGCCAGATCTGAGCAGCTCCAACCCGATCTGCACCCGATGTTTCTGGTACTCCACCTCTGAGGCACAGAGGAGCAGCTGGTTCAGGAATTTGTTACGCGACATGCCTGTGGGCGCCCACTTGTCGATCCAGTGCCCCGGAAGCTGCACGTTGCTAAACGTCGCGAGCACGGCGGGGTTGCGCCTGTCGCGGTCCCAGTACGATTTCCTGACCATCTCCTGCGCCAGGAAGTCGAGGATCTTGTCTCGACAATCATAGCCCCATGTTTCCTCGACTCCGTAGCATGCGCACCATCCGAGCAACTCCATGTCCATGTCGTGAAAACCAGGTTCGGCCCACAGCTCGACTGGCCGTATGTTATACGTCAAGCTGTACAGGGCATGCTTGGCTTCGATGCAGACTGCCCAGTCCAGTTGCGCGTGTTGCCACAGGTCACGACCCTTGTCCAGCATGAAATCACGTGCGGTGCGGTGGATGAATGAGACCCCCAGAAGAGCAGTGCTCCAGGGGTCCACGCCGCCTCTCCCGAGGTCCAGCAGCCCTCCGCACTGCGCGCGCATCTGCTCGCGAACTCTATCCACGCCTTGATACAGTGCTTCGGCCGTTTTGTGGTGCAACCTGATGTCCTGATGAGCATGCCTCAGGGCCCTGTCGCTGTATAGCGCAATAAAGGCGAGCGAGTTCAACTCGAGGTTGCCATGCGCAAGGATCAGCGCGAAAAAGGTCGCTGAAGAGTTGTGATACGGTGTCTTGTTCGCTCCGCGGCGTCGCAGCATCGACCCGTACAGAGATTCGAGATCCTCTGGGATGTCCTTGATCCTCGCCCACAATTGCTCCCAGGTGTCGTAATTCGTGATGCCCTCTTTAAGGCTGCGGACTACCAGTTCTACCCAGAGGAAGACCCCAGATGCATGATAGGTCAGGTGCTGAATGACCGCGTCGGGATTGTGGTTCATATCATCTGAGCCCGGCAGCGAGCGCAGGTCGTCGCCCAACTTTCGCTCAAGGTAGCTGAAAATGTCATTGTGTGTCAGATCTTGGAGTCTCAGATGCGGAAACCGTTGCAGGGATCGTTCAAAGATAGGCTCGGGGCGACTCGACACGCAGATCTTGATCCTGCCAAGCTCCTGCAGCGTGCTGAGCAGGCCCAGCAGGTCGTCTGCGCGACCCGGTTGTATCTCGTCCAGGCCATCCACAAACACATATGTAGTGCCGTTCAGCTCGTGTAATGTAGCAGAAAGCGCTGAGCGGATCTCTGTCTCGTTCCAGTCCGCGTGTGACTTTTTGCTAGGCCACGAGGGTTTGCTGCTGGGTGGTCTCTGTCCTAAATCGTGTAGATGACTTAGGGTTTGGTGGAGCAGCGTGCACAGGAGACCCTTCACCGATTTCTGCATTTCGTCGCCAGAGCTCCAGATGAAGGCAGATAGCACGAGGTGTTGCGCATCCTCAGATCCCCCAGGCAGGGAGCCTCCATTGTCCGCAATTTGGCGAATCAGGTAATTCACAAGCGTGCTCTTGCCGGTGCCCGCGTGGCCACTGATCCAAAATACGCTCTGCTCTCCACTCACGAGCCATGAACGCAGCGTATCGGTCGCAGCGCACATCGCACATTTATTCTCATCATGCCAAGGATTCTTCCGGCGGCGACACTTGCTGTCGAAAACCCATTCGAATGTTCCCGGGAAAGAGTCGAGGGAGCTCATGTTGCGCCTCTCGTTCATGGATGCAAAGTACAGGCTGTCCAGGAGTCGTTGTGTCGCAGCCTTCTCTTTTTCGTCATGATACATGCGGGTAGCTTCCTTGCCATGCTCATCCAGCTTGTCACGGACCTCTGTGGCTGCCTTCGTGGCTGCGGCGGCGCTGTCGCTAATGGCCATCAGCGTTTGTTGCAGGGACCGCTCCATCAGCGAAACAAGGCTCGCTGGATCCGTGTTACCCGAGTGAAGGCCTGTGGTCAGTGCCTGGAGCTCGACTTTCAAGCAGGGCAACTCCGTGCTGATGACGGCCCATTCTTTCTTCACCGTCTGCCTGCGACTTGTCAGTTGTGCCCGCCCACGCCTGCATCTTTTCGGAAGACCTACTGCATCTCGACGAGGATAGTTGTCTGGAGGGCCTGTTGGGTCTCTTGGAGCCGCTTCTCGAGTCCTTGAATCTCATCCTTCTTGAGCACGTATCTAAATGTATTCCAAACTCTGCTTTTCTTGCCACTTGAGAACCGTTCGAGCATCTGCTCGAGCTCTTGCGACACGCAGATGATATCCCGAGCACGGCTCAAGAGTCTATCATCGCTTGGGTCCGGGCCGGACTTGTGTGCTTTGACCGATTGCCCAACCTCGTAGGAAAGCTGCCGCAGGACAGTCGCATTGGTCTTCAGGCTAGCATCGGGCTTGTGCTCGTCGCGAATGCGCTGGAGCGCAGCAGTCGCCCTAAGCCCAGTGCCAACCAGCTGCAGGACGTTGCAGGCCAGTGAAAGAGCGGCCAGTGCTTCCATGGAGACGTCGGCAAAACTGCACGGGCTTTCACGTGTGCGACTTGCTTGCTGGCACAATTGTCAAGATGAGCAAACACATCCGGCATTATGCGGTGAAAGAAATTCAAGAGCCACACGCAGGGGGCTGTGCATCCTTGCAGCTCTTGAGGGGTAAACGTGGGGGCCTTTTAAAGCATAAGGGTGTCAGCTCGAGTCCAGCTTGCAAGCCTGACTCGCAAACTGCCAAGGTAACCAATATGATGATATTGCAGGTGGAAATCCTACAACTAGGACACAGCCATAGAGGTTGGAAGCGCTGAGAAACGTGCTACACGGGGTCTGAAGATAACTCAATTCTTGTCGCCTTTAAAGACCAAGGATACTGGCTATCTCTCCAGTGCGGCAGCTGATATCGTCTGATCTCCCAGTCTCGCCGGCATCACAACCACTCGCTGATGTGATCCCCCCTCAGAACGAGGTGCCTTGGCTGTCAGGACTGCTCGAAACTCAGAGTAATCCGCGTTCCACGACCCTTCAACCCAATTGTACTGCTTTTCGAGCGGGATGTCACCGTTCTCAGGATCCCTGTGCTGCTCCTCGAGATTAACCACCGCCTTGGAGCCGAGATACGTCCCCACCACGTCCCAGTGCGTGTCACTGTTGATCATGCGGCCCCAGAGCTCCATGGCGCGATGGCGTAGGCCGGGATGCCGGCTCACGTTTGCGATCTGCGTCACGATGGGCATGGCGCCCTCGTGGATGACACCCTGGTCGCGCATCGCGTCCTGGGAGGCCGACCTGCTGTTGCTGAAGCCCCTGATTCCTGCCGTCATGTTGATGCATCTCTCGCACTGGTCGAGCAGCTCGTGGGTCGCGGACTCGTAGTCGTCCCACGACTTGCCAGAGACGTCGAAGACGGTGCACACGGAGTAGTAGCTCCCGTAGATGGCGATGGCTATGTTGCAGTCCGCGACATACTCCTCGCTCTCCGTCTTCATTATGGGGGTGGTGGCACCGCTATCGTATTGTGCGAGCCGTTCCCGCATGGCCGCCTGCCAGGCCTCGAGGCCGTGTTTGAGCGCCAGCTGTTCGTGACGATGCTCAGTCGCGAAGTGGCCAGTATCAAAGGTGCTGTGTCCATCGCCCTGTTCCTGCGCCACCAGCATTGATATGTGGGTTCGGAAGTACCACAGGCAGACAAGCGCGAGGCATCGAGTCCAATGCAACGAAAACGTTGCCTGGCTTGCGTCTGGGTCAGGAGGCATCGGCAACTGGAGGAGGGAACGGATCGATAGGGTGAGCAGAACCTCTTGCGACTTGGGATACAGCGCGGAGAAGGCTGCGTTGAGGCACGTCTTGAGCACCAGGTTTGTCTCGACCTCGGCCACACCTTCATCATCGAGGGCGGCAGCAATGAGCGAGCTTGTCTCGTGACCATTCCTGCCGGTCTCGTTGGTGCCAAGAGTTCCGTGCAGGATCTTCCCATATAGCAGTGACAGGCTACGAGCCGTGAGCTGGTCCGCGGCTTCGGTGTTGCCTTGCAAGCTTTCAAACTCGACCAGGAGAACGGTCGCAATGAGGATGGACCGCGGAGTGTGCTTGTTTAAGGGCGAGGCGAGCAGCCGCCGGAAGGCGTTGATGGCCTTCGAGTGATGCACTAATGCCTGGTAGTAGTGGTTGAGGGCCACCCGCCCGCTGCCCGCGTTGGTCAGGATTTCTACGCGGCTTTTGTACAGGGGAACAGCGGTGGTGCCATTAGCCGAGTCCTTGCTCAGATTCCGCTGCTCATGCACGCGGCCAAGGGCGCCTAGCGCTAGCAGTGCATTGCGGATGCCCTCATCGTGAACGCTCTCCCGCAGGACCGTCCTGCGCCAGAACTCGACACGGCCATACCGAAGCTGGGGCACAACGTTGAGGCGGAAGTTGTCAAAGTAGGGGACCTCCCAGGGTTTGATGAAAGTGATGGAGGGGTCCAGGACACGGACCAGCCGATGACCGCCGCTCGAGGGAACGAGCGGGCGAGACGAGCTGTGCACAAGCGGAGGCTGCTTCTCTCTCCTTGGTTCTCCCACTGTGAAGTCACAGGTGGTCCCACGGCGTCGGCACCGGCCGCACGCGGGCTGTGACTCGTCACACTTGAGATGAGACGCTTTGCATGCGCGGCAACCTAAAGGAGACCGCTGTAGTTAGCGCCGCCTCTTTCCGGGGACTCGGAGGGCCATCATCGTGATATCCACTTGCCGCTTCTGGTCTTGGGCATGCTCATGCGCTTGCTCTTTGCCGGTTCGGGCGGCTCTTGCCGCCGCCACAAGTCCAGCTTGACCATCGGGTTGGGCATACTGGTCGTGTGTCGTCTGGCGCTACAGCCAATGTTTTCGGTGGGAAGAACTCACGGCAGACTACTGCACCTCGGATTTGGAATTGAGACACGAGACAAGCGAGAGAGTGCCCAGGACGCGTCTGAGGTGATGGGTGTTCGTCCACAATCCCTGTCGTATGCAAGATCGTAAGACCTGCACGAATCAGAGTCTTATCTGACAACAGGGGTCAGGACCGCCCGCTGAGCTGGGGCTGCGTCTCCATTGGTGCTGCCTTCTGGGGCAGCACTCATGTCATCGAGTATCCATCAAACCGGAGCATCTACCTTGCACCAGGACTGACAGCAGTTCGTTGTATAAATGGCGGATGATCCATCGTCAAGCTCGCTTTTCTCCCGCTGAGTGCAGAAGGAGACGAAGATGCGGCAGGCGATAGTATGTGGAGCATCCGCCTGGACGCCGTACGGCACGATTATAACAGACACCCATGCAAAAGTTGATGAACGTGTACTGGCACAGCAATGAAGAAACGGGAACGGAAAAAAAGCCAACAAACAAAAACCTAGAATTGTAAATGTCCCACGAATGTCGTGCTTGGGTTTGAGAAACCACCTGTCTGCATGGGGCACCGCTAAGTCCACTTTCGAAAAAATAGGGATATGTACTTAAAGCTTTGGTGAAACCTGAACGGGGCGACTGCCGACGCCTCTATGAACGTAGTGAGCAGAGGTCACTCGTTCTACCAAGCGAGTTCAACTCCAAATTTCAAGTGTTCTTCAAAGCAGCCAGGGGTGGGTATGCACACCCATCAGGGATGTTGCACTCGGAGTTTTAGTCTCTTGTCAGGAACGGTCTTTGAGTTGCCATCATGTTATGTGGAGCCTGCACCACATTCGATGATTGACATTGCTTGGTCTAGAACTAGTACCCTGAGCCTCGGTAACTTTCAAAGGCCAGAAACAATTGACACCAAACTTTCTAAAACTTTCCACCAACTCATGTCTTGCTATTCATCATGGCACAAAAAGCTGGACATATGTGCACAAGTGGACTTTGTCGATCACAACATGGGGTCACTCAGTATTCTTTATAGAATTTGCCCTATTATTGTTGTCGAAAGATTAGGCTTTCCCCGCTATGAGTCTCTTCAGATAACTTCCAGCTCATTTTCTCTCCTCACAATCGTGTATATATCTCCTTATTCCAATGTTGTTCTTTTTTCTCTCATCATGTCGTCATAAATCCAAGTCCCCAACAGCTTAGAACTTCTGGGGCTGGTAAGAGCGGTTGGGCGAGACAACCTTGCCGTCGGCGAGCTCCTTGGCGGTGTACGCGGGGAAGGCGATGAGTCTGGTGTCAAAGTTGGCGATGCTGAGGGTGGTGAAGGCGTTCTCGAGGCCGAACTGGTCGCTCCAGCCCTCGGAGACGGTGAAGAAGGCGCACTTGATGCCGGCGACGTCGGTCTGGCTGGCGGGCTTGGCGCCGGCCTTGACGGTGAAGGTGCAGGGGATGGCGGCGGCGCCGGCGACGCGGTTGTTCTGGATGCCAAAGGACCAGACGCAGGAGGTGTCCTTGGCGTCGCAGGTGCGCTTCATGCTCTCAATGGTCCACTGGGGGACGTTCTCGGCCATCATGGAGACAGAGCCGGCGCTGGCGGTGGGGGCAGCGGCGACGAAAGGCACGAGGCCGGCAAGGAGGACGGGAGAGAAGCGCATTTTGGTGGTGGTAGTGGGTGTTATTAAGATTAGACTTTAAAGTCTTGTAGAGATGATTAAGCGTAAGAGTAGGCGGAGTGATGTTGTGATTGTAGTTGTGGATGATGATATTAAAAGTCTTTCTCCGAGGAAGGGGAAACACCAGCTCTTTATACTTCAGACGAGAACATCCATTGCTCCGCAAAGTATGGTCAGGCTGAGACCTGCACGATGATCCTGTCCACTGGTCACGATCAATGCGATTCCTCGTGTTCTGCACGGACGTGTCCATTCCTCCCATGCACTCTGTACAGTAGTCCATATTGGAAAGTGGCCAGTCCGGCCATGACGACAGGGCTTGGCCCACAATGGTCGTCCAGGTTCGCACCGGCAGTGGGCTGTGGAACACGGCGCGCACGTTCCATCAGCATCCGCCATGGATCGGTAGTGGTTCGACTGTACGGTGTCCCCCTGCCGATGCGCTTCCTTTTTGCGCAGTGCCGAGTACTCTTGGTTGCCGACTGCCGGTTGCCGCTATGGCATCCGCTCATTGTTGCTGCGCAAGGGATCAGGATTGCAGTAAAGCGGGATCGAAAAGTGCGCCTGACTGACTGACGACAACGTTACCTGCGTAAAGCGGAGTTCGCTGAGCCCCGTACTCTACAGGCACTGCCGACCACACAGAAGGCACGGAATGCAAGGGGTGGATCGATACGAGCTTTGGTAAGCAGAGACATGCAGGGATCTGCGGCTGTCGGGCTGTGGCTGGGCCCCCGGAGACCCTTTTATCCCCTGCTGTGAGATATTTCCAGATAGCCGGCAGGATCGATGGGATCTCGTATCACTCGTCCTGACCCCTGCCACGGCACGCAGTATTTGCGGGGAACCCTATGATCCCAGCCGGGACACGTCGTGGTCAGGTCCGGAAGCTGCCGTGCTGGTGTGGTCGCATGATCGCGAGATCTGGCTCTAGAGGTACACTGCAGACAGTGGGGAGACTGTTGTGTTGTTTCCCTTGATGCTTTCCGTGGCAACATCAGCTCACGATCCTACGGCACCCACCCCGCGCTATCCGTGTGCTGCTCCACAATGGCGCCTCCTTTGTAATGATTCATTGCGCTGCTACCCCTCCCACTGCCGTTTACTTTATTCAGTGAGCGCTAGACATGGTCAACCGTCATTCATTTGGCCTCATCGCGGACCGAGCCAGCCTCTTCATCTCAATCTTCCCGCCTTGCTCGACATCCACACTGCCCGAGCAGTCATTCATTTTGCCAGACGCATTAAACTCCGCAGTAAGCAATCCCTAAAATAGTGCTGTCAATGTCCAAGCGGTGGAGATTGGCACGGCACTTTGTCCTGAGGATCCACCGTTGCGGAGCGCCCGTTGACTAGCCTAGGGCAGAAGCTTTCTCGTGTCCTGGACAGTAGACGCCAAGGAGCGGCCCGCGCGGGCGCTAGTCATGGGGCACGGGCACCGCTGGTGAATAACAACGCACTGCGGGTTCAAGCACCGGAGTTTCACTACCATAGTAGATGCCACATTCGTTGGCGGTCAAGATGATCTCGGGGCTTGGATGAACTACCTGACGCTCAATGGGGACGGGAAACCGGCAATTGCGCTGCTTCATCTCAAGATGGCAGCAATTCGGCAATAACGAAACCTGACCTCGGGCATATTTCTACGGGGCACGTGCGCCGTGCTTGCTACCACTTTGCGTCCACGCAGCTTTCGTCGACTTGAGCACAATAGCCATGTTGATAAACGCGACTCTGGGAAGGGATGCCGGACTTCTCAAGGAAATTGCACCCTGCGCCCAAGAGGTGTTGTGACAGCCGTAGTCAACGTTCCCGTTTGCGGCGAGACGGACTGAACAACCCGAAACTGTGCGAGTTACCACGATTACCATGGACAGGAGGGGGGCGGCAATTGGAGTACAATTAGCAAGCCTTCAACGTCAGGAATACCGTGATCCAGTGCTCATACATCCCTAGATTGATTATGCAGCCGAGAACGTCTGTCTCCCGGTCCAGCATTCGAAAGACGTGGTCCCCTAGTCAGCATCCGCCCTTCGACCACACAAAACGACAGTGATAACAATCGAAATAATCACCTCGGTAGACATAAGCTTGATGGAATCTACTGGTCGAACGCGCGGCCTCCCTCAATCTGTCGTAGCTATCCCCGTGGACGGCCTTGGTGCCTGGCCTACCTGTGATGTGGACTTTGTGAAGAGACGCGGTGCTCGTTAAGAAATCTGCTTCGGTTTACTGGTGATCGGTATAGGCTGGCGAATGCATCAAGGAAGCAAGTGCAAAGATTACTACTGATCAGCTCAGAAGCTGCATTCACGTGGGTATCTCAGACTTGGCGTCTTCACGTCTCCAGGCCCAATCATCTGTCAGGTCCCAATGACGCTATGCTGCACGTCAGGAGGCTATGCCACCCCTGCGCATATCAGCTGACCTGGCTGCCAGCCATTTGATCGCCCACTTTACCTCCAACAGCCTTACGCTGCCTGACTGGTGCGGGGGCTCTACCGTTCCATGAAGCCAGCGGCTGAGCTGCGCCTTTGCCCACCCTTTCTCAAGATCTACCAGGTACGCCGGACTGCGTACAGAGAGCAAGTCACCAGCCTGCGGCGATGAAGATGCGTCAAGGGTCCAGCCTCGTTCTGACGCCTTGATGGACACGCGCGCAGCCGATGCCGGCGCCGGCCCAAACCCCGGGCGTGGCTCGGCACTGTCACACGAGGACTACACGATAGCCTGGATCTGCGCGCTCCATCTAGAACTGTCCACCTCGCGACTGATGCTCGATGCGGAGCATCCCTCGCTCGCTGCCAAAGATGGCGATGACAACGCCTACGTCCTTGGGCGCATCGCCAATCACAACGTCGTCATGGCAGTTCTCCCCGCAGTCTACGGCAAGGTGAATGCAGCCGCGGTATCGACACATCTCAAGCGGAGCTTCCCAAAAATTAGAGCGACAATCATGGTTGGCATCGGCGGCGGAGCTCCTGGAGAAGCGGACCTCTACCTTGGAGACCTCGTCATCGGGACTCGAGTCATGGAGTACGACCTAGGAAAAGCAACGGCAGATGGGCGGTTTGAGGTCACGGCTGTCCCCAAGCTCCCGTCATCACTCCTTCTGGCAGCCGTCACCAATCTGAGATCCAAGCATGGGCCATCCCAGCGGTCCCCGCGCGCCCAGGAGCTCTTGCGGGAACGGCTTCGCCAGTATCCTCGCCCGAAACAGCCTGATCTCCTATTCCAAGCGAGCTATGACCATGTCTCCAGTGCAAAGACATGCGGCGACTGCGACAAGAGCAGACTGCAGGCTCGGAAGCGTCGCTCGAAGGACTCGGTGCATTTTCTCATACACCACGGCGGCATCGCGTCAGGCGACAGTGTCAACAAGGACGCGAGGAAGCGTGACGCACTTGCCCGACAGCTCGACGTCAAGTGTTTTGAGATGGAGTCAGCCGGCATTATGGACAGCTTGGAGTGCCTCCCGATTCGAGGCATCTGTGACTACTCCGACTCTCACAAGAATAAGGAGTGGCAGGGCTACGCCGCAGCCACGGCGGCTTGCTATGCGCGAGAGCTGCTCGAGACGATCCCTGGCGTGGCCGTGACGATCTCCAGCACGCTTCCCCTTGCAAGGAAGCCAGTCACAGCCGACGTTGCTGGTGAGATTGACCCTGCCATCGTCGAAAGGCGCGAGGCTCGGATGAAGCTGCTGGACTTCCCCCAGATCAACGCCCGCAAAGACGCAATTCAGTCGGAGCTGGGCAAGACGTGTCGCTGGTTCCTTGAGCATCCCAAGTATGTGAACTGGGCTTACGACGAGGTCGATGAAGAACCTCCAGATAGGAGCGCAATGTTGTGGATCCGAGGCAAGGCCGGGACCGGGAAATCGACCATGATGAAATTCCTGTTCGCCGAAGCCAGAGAGCAACAATCCACGACCGACAACACCACAATCGTGTCCTTCTTCTTCCATGCTCGTGGGGAGTTGCTGGAGAAATCAATCGAGGGCATGTACCGATCCCTGCTCAGGCAGATCCTTGTCCTGCGGTCCGAGCTGCGGTGGATCTTGGACGACTCGGAAGCCTTCCCGCCTGGGAGCGGGGATATCCTCCCAAACTTGAATTTTCTCAAGAAACTACTGAGAGAGGCCATATTGAGCACAGGCAAGAGGCGCCTCGTTTGCTTTATTGACGCCCTGGATGAGTGCAACGAGGATGATGTCAGAGACATGGTTCAATTCTTTGAAGACGTCTCGGACATAACGACAGAGAAAAAGATACCGTTTCGTGTTGTGTTCTCGAGCCGACCGTACCCGTATATACAGGTAGACGAGTCCATTCTCATCACGTTAGAGAATGAGCCCGGCCACGCCGAAGACCTCGCGCAGTATGTCCAGAAACGTCTCAAAGTCTCTCAGCAAGCCCGGACCGGTCTCGAGGGCCAGATCCTCGAGAAGGCCTCTGGAGTATTCTTGTGGGTGGTACTCGTGGTGGGGATCCTCAACAAGGAAGCCAGCCGGGGCGGGCTCGCGCTTCGCCGGCGGTTATCTGATATCCCTCCTACCTTGAGCCAGCTCTTCAAGGAGATTCTCCTACGCGATCAGGAGAGACCTGAGCAACTGCAGCAGTGCATCTTGTGGGTTTTGTGCGCATGCCGGCCGCTCACTCCCGGCGAGCTTCGTCATGCTCTGTGGGCCAGTGGCCTAAACGACGACCAGGTCGACGATGAGCTGCCATCTGCCGAGGACGAGGAGTCCAACATGGCCCTGGCGATCAGCTCCTCCAAGGGCCTTGTCGAGGTCATCTACGCCACACAGCAGGAACCCACAGTCAATTTCATTCATGAGTCTGTCCGCGACTTTTTGGTCAAGGAAAGGGGTCTCCAGGAGTTGTGGCCAGATCTTGGGTTCGAGTGGGAAGGGCCGAGCCATGAAATGATACGCAAGTGCTGTGAGACTTACTTGTCTCATGATGGGATTCTGGCCTTGCTACATCAAGGCGGCCAGAGTGTCGGCCCCGCTGAATGCGAAAAGAATATCAACGACCCGTCCAAGCCCATCCCGCAAACAGTCAGCGGCACTGGGACCGAAGGCACCGCTATTGAGAGCTTCATCCTCCTGGAATATGCAACTCAGAACATCCTTTATCACGCCAACATTGCCGCAACGTGCACCAGCCAGGAGGCTTTTCTTTCCCGATTCTTCGACCGGCTCGGCACTCGAGCACTGGACTTTTGCCAGCAGAGCGGAACAAGAGGATATGGCCCGAATACGAGCCCCTTGTACATATTCGCTGACAGGGGCCTGGCGAACCTGATCCGTCTGCACGGCAACATTGACGATGGGTCCCAAAAGGACTCCAGATATCCCCTGTTTGCAGCTATGGCCAATTGCCACAAGGATGCGTTCGCTGCTCTTCTCAACTTGCAATCAACAATCTTCCAAAACGAAGATCTCATGGACGGCATCACGCAATCTGCAGATATGCGACGGTATCAGTCGCGCACGCCAGTCTCTTGGGCTGCTCAGGAAGGCCGAGTCAAGCTGGTCTCAGTTCTGATGCGGAATGGCGCATCACTCTCAGAGCGGGACGCAGATGGGGACACGCCCTTGCAAAGGGCGGCTCAAAAGGGCCAGACCGAGGTGATACGGTTCCTCGTCGACCACGGCGTAAGCACCGCGGATGAGTATTTTGGCGAAGCGATCTGGGAGGCGCTGGGTCAAGGCAAGGACCGGACGGCGCTGGAGCTTATGAAAATGTTTAAGGGCTGGAATAAGATGCCCATGGGGGTTCGCGTCAATATAGACACTTGGCTGTTCCAGACGGCGGAATGCGGGCTGGAGAACGCTACACGGATGCTCATCGGGCGGGGTGCCAGGGTCACGGACGCATCTATGCGCAGCCCGCTCGTCCGGGCAGCTATGAATGGCCACCAGCGGGTTGTACAGTTGCTGCTGGAATCCGGGGCCAACATTGACCAGCAGGGCGAATGGGGCTGGACCGCGCTGATAGCCGCCTCGAGGAACGGTCACAAGGCGCTCGTGGAGTTTCTCCTTGATCAACGGGCCAATCTTCGCACGAGGTGTCAGGACGGGCTGACCGCACAAGAGCACGCTGAGATAGGAGGGTTTAAAGCAATAGCACAATTGCTCGAGAGTCGGCTGCTCCTCACGCCACCGAGAAGCTCGGACTCGGGTTCGTGGAGGACATTCTGGCGGTTGATCTACTAGGGAAAAGCCACATGGTCCACGTCTTCGTCAATACTTCTACATAGAGTTTCATAGTCTTGCAAGAAAAAGAAGGAGATCCAGGTCTGCCGTCCTCAGTCACCACCAACGTCCAGAACCCTATGGACACGCCGTGTTGCAGCCTCAGAGGGGGAAGCAGCGCATCCCACCTGCACACCGGCCGGGCTGGAATGGCAGCATGTCTCAGAGGGCTTGGGCGTTGTGTGAGCATGCCCAGACAACATCCCATGGTCATGTGCGCCACCGATTTCAGCTTGTCACCCACACCTGTGTTCCCATGCACCTCGCCACAAAGGAGAAGCAAAGTCGACCGCAAGGCTCTGCGGTGCCAAGACTTTCAACCCCTCTCTTATCTTACACCGTCTCCATAAGTCAAGAATCCACTTTGTTGTCGTCTGCATCTTTCTCTGCATGCCGACAAACAACGCCATGCGACTCCTCAAGCGCAACCCGGACGGAAGTCTGGAGTTCACACGAGATCTGTCCAGCGAGATTCCACCTCATGCAATCCTTTCGCACACATGGGGACCAGATGACCAGGAGGTCACATTCCACGACATTGAGAACCGGAGAGGACAAGACAAGGATGGGTTCAAGAAACTGACATTCTGTGGGGACCAAGCTGCAGCTGATGGCTTGGAACATTTTTGGATCGACACGTCCTGCATAAATAAGACTAACAGCACGGAGCTGAGCACAGCAATCAGATCCATGTTTCGATGGTACCGAGATGCTAGCAAATGCTACGTGTATCTGACGGACGTGTCCTGCAAGGATGAAGAGCATCTCCACAGCGCTTCTTGGAAGACTGAGTTCAGGAGAAGCCGCTGGATGACGCGCGGATGGACACTTCAAGAGCTGATCGCACCTTCCTCGGTCGAGTTCTTCTCCAAGGAAGGGATACGACTTGGCGACAAGAGGTCACTTGAGAACCTATTGCATGAGATCACGGGTGTCTCAGTGGACGCCCTTCGAGGCAAGCCATTAGCAGAATTCGGTATTGAGGAAAGGCTTTCATGGTTGGAGAAACGAAGCACAAAACTCCCCGAGGATCGTGCATATTGCATGTTTGGCATCTTCGGCATCCATCTCCCCGTGCTCTACGGCGAGGGTGAAGCAGAGGCATTCTTTCGACTCCATAAAAGAATCGGTAAGCAACCTCCATTGCCAGGGGTAGCGCGGGAGTGACAGGACTGATGAAGACGCGGAAACAGGCAAAAACGGAATCAGCGAGACCCGAAGACGCTGCATTGCCGACCTCTGCGTGACCAACCCTCGGGACGACAAGACACGTATTGAAGACATCAAAGGTGGTCTTCTGGCAGACTCGTACACCTGGGTGCTTGACAATCCAGACTTCCGTAAATGGCTGGACAACAAGAGCGAGCGACTGCTCTGGGTTAAGGGAGACCCGGGCAAGGGCAAGACGATGCTTCTCTGTGGCATCATCGACGAAATAGAGGCGAAGATAGAAAATAAGCAACTCCTTGCTTATTTCTATTTCCAGGCTACCGATGAACGCATCGACTCTGCCATAGCGGCAGTAAGAAGCCTGATAATGATGTTATTGGAGCAAGATGGCGCCTTGCTATCTCATATTGAGAAGAAATACGAGATCCACGGCCGGGCACTTTTTGAGGATGCCAACGCCTGGCACGCCCTATACAAGGTCCTACTCGACATGCTACGGGCTCCGAGGCTGGCGGAGGTGTTTCTCGTAGTTGATGCCCTAGACGAGTGCCTCAATGGGCTTCCCGGGCTCCTGAATCTCATCGTGGAGACCTCAAAGCCAGGCTACCATGTGAAGTGGCTGGTCTCGAGCAGAAACTGGACAGAAATCGAGGAGCGTCTTGGGTCTGTCGCGCACAGGCTCTCTCTCGAGGTCAATACCAGCTTGGTTGCGGCGGCGGTCAGGAGCTACATCAGCTACAAGGTCTCTCAACTTACCGAGCGCAAACGCTACAATAAGAAGGTGGCTGACCAGCTGTACGAGTACCTGTCGTCAAACGCGGACGGCACTTTTCTGTGGGTTGCCTTAATTTGCCAGGAGCTGGAAAAAGCACCTCGACATAAGGCATTAGAAAAGGCACAATCTTCTCCAGCAAGCCTCGACGAGCTGTACGAGCAGATGATGCGGCTTCTTCAGGCCTCCGAAGATAGCGCACTTTGCACAAAGGTGCTTGCTGTCGCCGCCACAGCATATGTCCCACTGGTTCTTGAGGAGTTCGCCGCGCTAATTGACGAGTGTCGGAAGATGTTGGACGACTCAGAGTTGCTCCGAGACGTTGTCGCAGCGTGTAGGTCGTTCCTCACAATTCGAGACAACACGGTCTACTTTGTCCATCAGTCAGCCAAAGACTTCCTCGTCAACAAGAAGGAAGCCGTGTTATTCCCGGATACCAAATATGCAGTGCACGGACAAATGTTTGCGACTTCTGTAGCTGCGATGTGCGATGTTTTGAGGCGAGACATGTATGATTTGGGCAAACCAGGGGCTCACGTCGACTCTTTTCTCGTCCCTAGCAACAACCCCCTACTCGGAGTCGAATATTCTTGTATCAACTGGATCAGACACTTCATCGAGTCAAATCGGGAGGCAGATAAGAACAGCGAGGCAACCCAACAACGATACCAATCAGCAGATCGGTTCTTGCGGACCAAGTGTCTCTACTGGTTCGAGGCACTGAGTCTGCTCGGGATGTTGTTCAAAGGAATGTCGGCGCTTCAAGAGCTTGCAGAGCATCAGTCTTCAACTCAACTGATGGAGATTGCTCGCGAAGCCTACCGTCTGTTGCAGCACTTCAGGGTGACGATACAGCAATGGCCCCTCCAGACATACGTCTCGGTTCTGATTTTCAGCCCAGCTAAGAGCCTCTTGCGCCGACTCTTCCACCATGAACGCCCGTCGTGGGTCGAATGTCGAGTAGGTGTCGAGGATCATTGGAGCACACGTGAAATGACTCTCGAGAGCCAGGATGACCTCGTGTCGGCTTCCTTCTCTCCTGATGGGCGGCGCCTGCTTTCTGTCTCAAAAAAGCATGAAGTCAATATCTGGAATGCAACGACCGGGGTGTTGGAGATGACCATCGAGGGAGTTTCTACCGCATCTTTCTCCTCGGACGGGGGTCGCGTTGCCTCGGCAGGTTACTGTTCCGTCTCGCTTCTGAAGGCATCCTCAGGCGCCTGCGAGAGGAAACTTCAGAGCCAACTGGAGTATGCCCACCTCGTGTCGTTCTCTGCGGACAGCAGTCATATTGCCGTTGCGGGGGCTGCCAGCGGAGAAAGACATGTTGAAATATGGGATGCGAGTAGAGGAACTTGCGTGGCAACACTCCCATGCCAGTCCCACGACACCACGGCAGCATCTTTCAGTGCTGACGGGCATTGTATACGGGTGGGAGATGATGAAGGGACAGTCAGGAAGTGGGATATCACCACAACAACATGCCTGAGCACGGTCAAATTCTCAGCAGCGCCAGATGTTGACATGGTCTCTATGTTGGCTGGTGGGACGTACGAGAGACTGGTTCCAACCGGGGGTTCCATGAAAGTCCTGTGCTTTTCCACAGATGCCCAACAAGTCATTCTGGCATCAAAACCATCCTTGACGTCAGAGGAGTCGCCTGGGTGGCTAGATGTTCGGGATGCGAGCGAAGGGACGCGCATAGTGCACTTGCATGGGCATGACAGCCACGTGTTATGCGCTGCTTTCTCGGCCGATAATCGACGCATCGTCTCAGGGACCAGAGATGGCATAATCAAGATCTGGAACGCCACAACGGGTGAGTGCCAGTCGACACTCAATGCTGGCCCCATCCTGGTCCGTTCCTGTGCCTTCTCTCCCGACAATCGGCGCATCATCTCGGGCCATCCCTACACGATTCACATATGGGACGCTTCTGCACATTCAAACTGTTCAGCGCCAGCCGGCCATAAAGATATGATTAGGTCAATCGCTTTCTCAGCAGATGGGCAACACGTCGTTTCGACGTCCATAGATGGCACAGCCAAGCTTTGGGGTACCGCCTCAGGCACCTGCCTGGCGACCCTGGCAGGCCACACTAATCAGACTTTCTCCGCTGCATTTTCTCCGAATGGCCAACATGTCGTCACGTGCTCACAGAGTGCTGTTAGAATCTGGAATCGAGCATCAGGTGCCTGCGAATCGAGCTGGAATGCTGACAGCACAGCTGCTGTTTTCTCGATCGATGGGCAGCACATTATATCAGCAAATAATCACGGCATCTGCAAGCTCTGGAATGTGGCGTCTGCAAGCTGCCTCGATATGCGTGCGGTCCAGGGCGGTATGAATCTATTCGAGCAGGCCCTGGGCAAACAACGTATTGGTGCTCGGCAAGACAAGACTCCGGCTGCTGCCAATTTGCTGGGAGACTGGCATCTGTACCTCGGCCCATCGCCCCCTCCGAGACACAGAGATATTCTTCATCATGGGCGCTGGCTCAGCACGGAATCAGAAGTCCTGATTCGCTTGCCCAAACACCTCCTGCCTCTCAGATTTGCTACGTTCCACTCTGAAGCAGCAACCGATGTAGCTGTAGGAACCCGATCCGGCCGTATTTGTCTTCTTCATTTCTCCAGTGCCATATTTGGTGAGTAGCTTTCGCATTACCGGATAATGGAGGCGCTCATACCGCCCGCCTCTGTTTATGCCAATTTGAGCGATTGCCACATACCATCATGTCTCCGAGCCTGGATTCCTCTGCAAGCGCCGATCAGGCGCGCCGACAACGATTGGGAGTGAGCAAGAGCTCTAGGTATGTGTGCCTCTTAATATCAGGCTCAGCTCGCGAAGCAGAACCAGCGATTCACAAGGGCTCCGATCTTGCGTAGTTTCTGCAAGCTTGAATACAATAAGAGATGCAGCAACTCTGTTCGTTTCTCTTATGACCTGTGCGAGATGATGGTCTTCACCTTTGAGTAAGCATTTCGAAATCCTCAGCAAGAATGATATCGGTCAACCGAGCTGACACTCAAACGCAGGAAATGGCGAGGAACGTGACCGCGCTTAGGAGTTTCAGTTGATACGGGACCACGATTACGAAAGAGGCTGCTGCCACCGGGTTGGTTGAAGAAGTCATCATGTTCTGCGCGCCGTCTTCCTAGCTACTGTCTGACTTTCTAGAATGCTTGGATCCACATGCGAAGGCTGCGCTTACGATAGGGAAGAAGAGACAGGGCTCATCTTGTCGAAGGTGGCCAGGGAGGAGAGTTAAGCTTCATTGAGGATGTCGGATTATGCTTCAGTACCATGAACCTTGTGTCTTCCTGCTCAGAGTCAATGCCATTCATTCCCTTGCCGTCGATGCCACGCGGGCCCACATCTCGTAGTTATCGAATGCTGGACTCAAGCGTAGTTGATTTCCAGCGCCATGCCGGGCTGCGCACGATTTAATAATGACAGCGTTTCCCAGCCTATTGTGCATTGGAATGCCGATTGATACAAACGCTTTTGGACAGAGGCCCAGACACATCGCGTCTGAACTTCATGGCTTTCCTGGTTTGTTCAGGCTAGAGCTGTCCTTCTGCAGGAAATGTAAAATATTACTTGTTCAACGGTGTCTCAGTTTAGAAGACGTCCTTCGCACCGGTTGGAACTCTTCGGAACCTTTGCAGAAGCAAGTGTTTGCGTTCGGCTCGTGTATGCCCTTGTCTCCGGCTTTCGGCACGCAGGGAGGCATTGTTTCGCCGTTATTCCCGGTTGATGTCTCCACTGTTCTCCCTTTATCGTGCGGGGGGCGTCCCGTCCGGGGTCCGGAGTCGGAGCAGTCCGACGACTGGTCATGGTTGGTTCGCGACGGCTACTTGCGGGACCCTGGCGGCACGCCCTTACAAGTACAAGGCACCGCTCTTTTTGTGTGGTGGCCGGGCCCCTTTCACGTATAGGCCACTGACTTGCACAGATAAGACCCAAGACCCTAAGATCATTGGCAAGCCTGACACATCCCGACACTCCTATGCCGTCGTCAGTGTTTGTCAAGCAGCAGCTTCAGCACAGCAGCTGTCCAATCCGATAAGAGTAGCGAGCGGCGAATCCAGGTTCTCACTATACACTAATCGCAGTCAGCTGCGCAAGAACTTCACCACATGAGTTCCGGGACCAACGTCAGCCATGTCGACCATCGCGGCCGTGACCGAGGCCGGCCTGGATCAAACACACGGCGTTGAGCTCACTCCCAAGAACACAAGAACTTTGCGCAGCCATGAAAAGGGCCTCCGCGAAGCCGCTACGACCTCAAGCTCACCAGCCACCGCTGCCGAACCGGACCACCAGCAATACGACACCGGCCCGCCGCCCGACGGGGGACTCACCGCCTGGTCCCAAGTTCTCGCCGTACACCTTGGCGGCGCCATAACATGGGGTTATGGAGTGGGCTTCTCGGTATTCCAGCTGTACTACCGCGAGACCGCGCTGCCCATGTTGTCTGCCTCGCAGATATCCTGGATCGGCTCGATCCAGATCTTCCTCGCCTGGACGATCAGCATGGCGGCTGGCCGACTGGGAGACATGGGCTACGTGCGCGTATGCTACGGGGTCGGCGGCATATTGACGGTGACGGGCATGATGCTGACCAGCATTTGCACCGAGTACTGGCACTTCCTGCTGTGCCAGGGCGTGCTGAACGGGATCGGCAGCGGGATCCTGTTCCTCCCCGCGGCAGCCAACGTGGGCACCTACTTCCAGCGCAACAGGAACATTGCCATGGCGCTCGGGTCCGTGGGCACCAGCTTGGGAGGAGTCCTGTTCCCCGCGATTGTGCAGTATCTGACGCCCCGGGTCGGGTTTGGCTGGAGCGTGAGGGTGTGCGGCTTCGTCAGCCTGGCGATGAACCTGTGCGGCCTCGCGGTGCTGCGGCAGCGCAACCTGTTCAAGACACCCCGCCCGATGGTGGACTGGACGGCGTTCAAGAACCAGCGGTTCAGCGCCTACTGTGCGGCCGTCTTCCTGATGCACTTTTCTCTGATTCCGGTCATGTTCTACGTAAGTGGCCCCCCTCCAACACCAACGAAGCTTCACTGTCTGTAGGAGGCAGTGTGTCGCCTTGCCTGCAATTTCTCTCCCTTTCCTCCCTTGGACCAGGCCTGAAAAAATAACACGCACTTCTCAGATCAACTCCTTTGCCCGCGAGACAATCGGCATCGCCTCGCTCGAAGCCATCAACTTTGTCCTCATCGCCAACGGGGCGGCAGCATTCGCCCGGCCCGTCGTGGGTATCGTCGCGGACCGGGTGCTGGGCGCCCCCAACACGTACGTGTGCTGCGCGCTGGGCTTCAGCGCGCTCGCGTACGGCTGGATCGGCGTCCAGACGCGCGCGGACATGTACGGCTTCGCGGTGGTACTGGGCGTCGTAAACGGCGGCTGCCAGGGCATCTTTCCAGGGGCCACGAGCACCCTGATCAGCGAGGAGAGCGGCGACCTCAGCAAGATGGGCACGTGGATGGGCATGGTCTTTGCAGTCTGCGGCGTGGCTAGTCTGGCTGGGCCGCCGATCATAGGGGCGATCATTGGGAGCTCTGGGGGCCGGTATATCTGGGCGCAGGTGGTCCTGGGGTCCTTGTTGTTTGCGAGCGCTGGCATGTTGTTCCTAGCGCCGAGGGTGAAGGGCAGGGCTGAGAAGGAGGACGCGATTGAGACTTCGTCATGAGGCACCGTGGGAATAGAGGGTTGCGACTTAGAAATGCAGGCAGTGCCATATGTAGCACAGATTACGTCAGACCTGAATCAACCTCACTTTGTAAATAGGATATGAGGGATGCAGTACGCCTTTGCAGGTCTGAACCGCGAAAGGAGCAGGCACTGAAGGCCACACCTGTCGTTGGAGCATGTGAATCCGCCCAATGCCAATGGCGCGATATTGGAGGACGGTCGGATGCGAAACACACAAACAAGAGCGTTTGGGGGAATCTCTGTCCAATACATGAGTGATAGACTCTACTGTTGCGGGACTTTGCGATAAGGGCGTAACAACCCGTGTTCTTTCTACCGCCGTTGTCTTATACACAGCCACATTCTGCGCCTTTCTCACAACACATGCATAGGTTCAAGGCCCTGCCTGTCAATGGACTGCGGCAAGGCACAGTTCTGAGCCAGGGGAAGCTGAACGTTGCGATTGTCTAGATAGCAAGAAACGTGTGGTACAATTGATTCATCTCTCATGCATCCTTCACCTGCACCGGCTCGCCTGCGCATATGAGCTTCAGTAGGCGCCAACTTCTGCAGCACAACATGAGACTTGCGCTGCATCTCAGCCACTAAGACATAGGGTTTTCGACAGACAGGTGTCAAGCTTATATCGACATAGCCAGATTCCTTCGGGTTATGGTAATGTTCCGAGGCATCGGCCAACATATGGCTTTGGATATTGAGGCACACTGTAGATTTTGAAGGCAACCTGCAGAATTGGACGAGGGTGCCTCAAAAAGCCTTGCGCCAGCCTTAATATTAGCGACAATATCAGTGAATGCTCCAATCAGATGCATGTTCAACTCGTCGAGGACCAGGTCCAGCTGAACTGATAGTGAGACGTGCCGTTAGTCATCTGATGGTCACCCGACCATAGGCACTCTCCGGTCGAGGCTGGCGGGGTGGCGCAGGGTACGTTTCCGGAAGGTCTCTGATAGTTCCTGCTTGTTGTTCCTTTGGCCTTGTTTGGGCCAACCAACATTTCAGGCTACCACATTGCTTGCCCGCCTCAGGGGCCTCAATCCGGGTACAGGTATATCCTCATGATGCGGGGCAACCTTTATTTGACGAGTGGTACGTTCTGCCCCCATGGGACTTTTGGCGGCGGCGGTGGCTGTGAGCTGGCTTGTGCAACTTCTTGACAGGGGGGCGATGTCAGGCATCAAGACCTGACCCCGGTCGAAAACCCACACAGATAAGTCTAGCTTTGTTGACATTGCTGCCACGGAATCCCATCCAATGCCAGTTTTGACAACGAAAACTGAGGCTCGTTCGCTTCTCGCGAATACTCCTTCATGCCTGTGATCATGAGCAGTCACAGAAGATGCTCGAGCAAGGCCCAGCGCTAGCCATCATCGGCATAGCTGACTTCATTGTCTTTTGTGGAATTCAGCCGCTGCCTCTGTTGTCTCCTTGCAGGGAGGCCGAACTGCATCAAAAAGCCTGGGCAGAAGTTCTTCTATTCCCTGAGGTAATCACTTTGGAAAGTCATGTTTGTGGATATGCATCCTTGATCGTGGGGCACGGGCGGATAGATCCTGTGGAAAAGCTGCACTTTCGTATATGCTTGAGCAAGGGACCCTTGCTTGGATGCGCACTTTCGTTGCACGAGAATCGGTTCTCCTCCAACATCATGACCTCAACTAGCGAACAAAGAATATAAATGTTGCAAAAGTCCTGTGTTTTCTTGAGCTTCTACCCTCCATCAGCCAGTCCCGACTATCTCGCCCTTTTGCCCAAACCACCTTTCAAAATGCGTTCCTCTCAGATCATCGCCCTGTCTGGGCTCATTATCTCCAGCGCTACCGCCCAGCGGTACGAGGCCAACATCGGCTTCGCCATGGACTCGGACAGCTGCGGCGACGGCTTCTACATCGGGTGCTCGGTCAACCCGGGCGACTGCTGCAGCATTGGTCCGGGTTGGGAGGGCAAGTCTGTCTCGTTCGTCCTGGGCAGCGACTCTCCCAACGTGATTGGCAAGGCGTTCTCGGGCGAAGACTGCCTCGCAGGCACCTCTGTCGGCGAGCAGGCCAGCGGCGCCCTCAACTACTTCTGCCTCAGCAAGCCGTCAGCCCCAGCGACGAGCGCTTACTACCTTCCGAACAACAGCACCGGCTGCGGGAGCCGTGCTAGCGCCAGCCGCATGGCTAGGCGAGGTGTTGTTGGTGGCAGCGTCAAGGGTACCAAGGAGTGCCGCTCGCCGGACCACATCATCTTGCCCGGCGGCGCTCGCGCCAACATTGAGGGACTTGCCGAGAGGGAGTATAATGCGATGGTAAGTCCAATAATGCAAAGTATCCCAGAGAGAACTTGGAGTTATGCTGACTTGTGCGTGGTGCAGTAAGCGAAACCCAATGTGCCATCCTGATGGCATGAGTAACCGTCCAGAAAATACTCGCCCTAGGATCTTCGATGCCAGACCATCGAGCCACGAGGATCCGAACCCTTGCCATACCTGGCCCCGAGCTAAAACTCCCTCCTAGCATCGTCACTAACCCCTGTCTGATGATCTAGTCTCGATATGATTGTTGCCCGCCGCGACGCAGCGGATGTTGACGCACAGCTCGCCGCTTTTCGCAAGTAGACTCGCCACTCGACCTCTAGGACATATCACGGCGATTCGAGTGTTAAGACTGCCTTCCCTCAAAGGAACGGGTAATCGGGATGCGTAAATAGGGCTTTGAGTTACATTGCAGGGTTGGAAACGGACCCGACCTGCTGCATGTAGTCCTCGGCATGGGTTAGTTCCCGAAACAGAAATGTATTTGAGATTCCATGCCAGTCAGTCTGCCCTGGACACCAAGTTCAAGGTACTCCTAAGACCAGACTTGCGTGTTTTCAGCGAACGTGATCATTGTTGTTGTGTGAGGGGCCCAGTATAAAGGTAGTTCTCGCGCTCCCTAGGAAGCTTCGATTAGTCTAGGACTCCATATGGTCCATGGGCTTAACTTCAGACACATTTTGGAACTCTGGCTCCCGAGTTCGCAGCGGGCGGACTTTGGAGGTTTGTTCCAAGCTCGTTCTGGTCTAGGGTTAAAGCATAACTAGCAAGCTCCAAATTTACATCAACTCAGTCGGCAAAGACACAATGAAGTCCTGGTACAAATTGTGGAACTCCAGTTTCTCCAATCCTAATTTTGTCCTGTATAGACGGCTTTTTCTGTAGTGTACTTGGATGAATATCCATGTGTTTCTTATCATGCATGAGCCTATTAAAGATTTGTGTAATACGCGAGGAGCATCCCCTTGAAATAATGCTTCTTCTCACGGCTGTCCACGCGATACTACCCGCCTGTTATAGTAGACGCTCGAGAGTAGGTGGAACCAGAAAAGCCCAGCCCAGACCAAGAGCGCGAGGGCGGTCGCCGCGGCAACAAGGGCGATAGACGCGACTGCCACGCCGTACGAGAACTGCTGGAACCGCTCGTCCTCCTCGAACCGCCCTGTCGCTAGCGCGACCTGCATCGCCGAGAGCACGACCGTGATGTACACAAACACGGCCAGCAGCCAGCCAAAGTTGCGCTCGAAGAGGGTCGTGTACCTCTGTGAGCCCGTCATGTAGCCGCCCACGAAATCTCGGGCGGACAGTCTCGCAGCCGCTTGGACACGGCAGAGCGTGTTGAGGCGGGACAGGCGAAGCTCGCCGTAGCTATATCGGTGCTGGTCGGCGCCGTCCATGCGCCACGTCTTCTCGTGGTTCTGGTGCCGGATGACGTCTCGTGCGATAAGCGTCCAAGAGGTCCAGTCAACATCGGCGGGCAGAAGGCCAGTCTCGTGTGCGATCGTGAGGTCGGACTTGGAGCGTATGAGCCAGGTGTACGACCGCAAGATCCCTGAGGCACTGCGATACAAGGCCTCGTGAGGGCAGATGCTGGTCGTCCAGAATTCGTAGCTTAGGAGGCACTCGGGCAGCGGCTTGATAAAGATCGATTTCTCGTGCCACACTAGGTGTTCATCTGGCCGCTCGGTGATGAGAATTGTGCGTCCCAGCAGACGCTGCCGATGAAGCGGACGCGCTGGCCGCATTAGTCCAGCTAGCCATAGATGCTTGTGTAGACTGTCTAGTTTCACAGTCTGCAGATCGAGGGCAAGGAAGGTCAGCACATTGGATGCGGGGTCCTCGAGATCATCGCCGCATTGGAATGTGGCCGGCCACTCAACGTCATCTTCCGCCCAACGGCGCACGGCGTTATCCTTCAGGAATGGCGGCGGTCGAGCCTTTATCTGGAATTCATTCATGGTGTGGTCTGGTGTCTGTTTCTCGGCATCGGACTTAGCGGTTTGGTGATGTCGGGAATTTGTCAGACTGAACCCATGCCACTGCCTCAAGGGTGCGTTGGTACTGCGTTGTGGCTGGGGGAGTGGCGGGCTGCCGCTTTCTTGCGTAGTTTCTAGACTACGGGTACGCTGTCCGGCTGACTCTCGAGGCAGACTTGCCAAGCCTCCCAGTATTGCATATCCACAGCAAGATGATAACGGTCAGCCGGCTGGAAAAGCAGGCTCTGTAATGGTTGGCTGTGAAGCGTCGAGTGGCGGCCCAACACCACTGGTCGTAGGACCCCAAATCCCCTAACCCTTGTCGACACAGGCGCACCTGAGCAGTCCCTGCAAGCTGTGAGCGAATCAGAGAGCATTGTATCGCATAGCCACCGTGCTGTAGTGCCCGAGGATAGCCACTCTCAGGCTCCGGCTTTGAGAGTTGCGGGGGCTTATGCAAGGTAGACGGCACCGCCTTGATGGAGTGTTGGTTCGGAGCTGATGTGTCCACCTCCTGCCGCCCTCCCACTCGGCGCCTGCGTCGCCATTGAGCTCTCCATATTCGTTCTCCCTGTTCTCTTCTCTCGCATTGAACCAAAGAATCGATCGCGTGGCAGCTCGGCCTGTTCGGCGCTCCGTTCGCCAGTAGCCATATGCGCACGACTCCGTGGCCTTCAGCATCACTGCTGACCCATGGCCGCACGCAAAAAGAACACATGGCGCGTTCGAGGGCTCGATCTGCGCTGCAGCGATGACTGCCTACGAAGGCTGCTGAGCGAGGACGATCAGGGATGTGCCGATTGCACAGTCCACTCGCTCGCCACTGAGCATCACGGACATTCTCAGACGGCCACTGTTAGCTTCACGAATGGGGAAGCAACGGTTGCGGAATCGTTGCCGCCGTGCACCAACCACACGGGGCAGTACGGGAGCCCGGCTCTCGACGACGAGTTCCTGGGCTTCACTACCCTCTTCGCACCACCCCCCGAGGATCACAAGATTGAGTGAGCTCCGACCTCACGAGGCACAACATGGGAACGGTCTGAAGCTAACCGTGAAGGGCAGCATCGTTGCCATTTCGGGCCTCGGCGGTCATGCTTTCGGCTCGTTCAAGGAGTGCGGCGGAGAGCACATGTGGCTACGCGACGCGCTGCCTCGCCACATTGTCAACCAGGAGACCGGGCGGCCGATGGCCCGGGTTCTCATCTATGGATACTTGTCGCGCGTCGCGGCCAGCAAGAGCATGCAAAATGTCGATGACATCGCGGGCCCGTTTCGCGAGCAGCTGTCAGGCCTCACCCCGCCCGGAGCTGTGGCGCGGCCCGTGGTCTTCATCTCCCACAGCCTGGGAGGCCTGGTGCTCAAGGAGGCCATAATATCCCTGGCAGCGTCAAGCGACGCCGACGCCGAGAGAGTGCGCAGAACCATCTATGGCCTCGTGTTCTTCGGCGTGCCTCATGCCGGCATGGACAACGCCTCGTTGATGACGATGGCCGGGAAGGGGCCGAACAGGGAGCTCGTGCTGTCGATCGGCCAGACCAACTCGCAATTTCTGACCCGGCAGCAGCGACATTTTCCAGGCGCGCTCGAGACGATGGGCCCGCAGCGGCGGGAGGTCTTCTGCTTCTACGAGACCTTGGAATCGCCTACAGCAGTGGTAAGCTTTCCTACTCGGGACACGCTCCAGTTTGATCCTTGCATGTTTCTTATCTTGCGCGCAAAGAGCATGGACGCTGACCAGCAAGTCACGCAGAAAACGGACGGCCGCTGGACAATGACTGGCCTGTCTTCCATCCTGGTATCAGTCACTTCTGCAACGCAGTGCCTGCTCGACACGCCGGATAAGCAGAACCACACGTGTGCCATCGACCGTACGCACTCTGAGATCGTCAAGTTCGCGGCACAGGACCCCTGGTACGATGTCGTGCTGCAGAGGCTTCTGCGCATCTCGCGGCGGGCCATCAACGAGTCCACCGCCGCGGCATACCACAGCAGTAGTGACCCAGCGCCGGGCTCCAGTCACATGCCCCTCCCGACCCCAAAGGTCACGACCTTGATCCCGATGAGGCAAAACAGGAGATTCACTGGCCGGCAATCGATTCTGGAACAGCTGCGTGATGCCTGCTTTCCCAAGATCCAGGGAGACGGCCAGGGCAAGAGCCACGACACGGTCGCTCTGGTCGGACTCGGCGGAATGGGCAAGACGCAGGTCGCGCTCGAGTTCTCGTACTGGGTGCGGCAGCACAGGCCCGACTGCTCGATATTCTGGATCTCTGCACTGAGCGAGGAGATGTTCGACCAGTCGTGCTCAGAGATTCTTCGCGAACTTGGGCTCACCCTGGACGACACTGGTGGTGGGCAGAAGCGTGACGTGAAGCAGCAGCTGAAGGACTACCTGTCACGGAGTCACTTGGCCGGCAAGTGGCTAATCGTTCTTGATAACGTGGACGACATTGACCTTGTCAAGGGTCTGCGCAGGCACCTGCCGTATAGCGATGAGGGTATCACGTTGATCACGACGCGTACCGAAGAGGTGGCTACTATGATCAACTCGAGCACGATCCTCGTGAGCATCAGTGACATGCCGATGGATGAGGGTCGACAGCTTCTGGAAAAGTCTCTCAACAGCAGTAGGGTGCCCGACTACAGCGAAGAGTCGTGCGCACGGTTGCTATCGGCTCTCGAAGCACTACCACTAGCTATCACGCAGGCGGCAGCATACTTGAATGGAAACCACACGTCGATCCGGGACTATCTTGGCTATCTGCAGGGCCGAGAAGAGGAGGCGATCCAGCTCTTGAGCTTTGAGAGCAATCTGTCAGAGCACTACCCGCCCGAGAAGCAGCACCATGCCGTCATGAGGACCTGGCTGGTCTCGTTGGACGAGATGAGGCAGCGAGACGAAAGAGAGAGAGGCGAGGGAGAGGAGGCCCTCAGCCCGACAGTGCAGCTTCTCATGTTTCTGTCTCGGATCGAGCCCAAGGCGATCCCCAAGTCGATTCTGCCGATGGTCGGACGATCCATGGTGGTACTTGACAACACGATCCGTACACTGCTCGGCTATACGTTTCTGACGAAGCGGGAGGGCGATGTGTACGACATGCACAGCCTAGTACACCTGGCGATCCGGAGCTGGGTCTCGCAAGAGGGTCTGGCTCACAAGGCGACCCTGAACACTCTGGACTTGTTAGAGCGCCAAATGTATTTCCGGGAGGCGACCCCCTGGGCGCGCGTGCGATGGAGGGCGTACATGCCGCATGCGCTGCGCGTGCTGGCGACCAGCGAGGTAGAGCGCGCGGAAGCCCGGTTCTGGCTTGCGCATGACGTGTCGTTTTGCCAGGGCTGGGATGGGCGGTATGACGACGCGCTGAGATGGGCGCGGGTGTGCAGCGAGGGCGTCACTGCACTGTATCCCGAAGGCAGCAATGAGTGGCTGTGGGCACAACGACGCCTCGCAAACGCATGCAGGCATACTGGCCAGCTCGAAACCGCCCTGTCATTACTGGAGCAGGTCGTTAGTTGGTTGGAGCAGAGTCGCCCGGCCACTGACGAGTTGCTAGTGGGAGCACAACTGGAGCTTGGGGGCGCGCTTAGCGGAGCCGGGCAGCATCGGCGTGCTCTCCAAGTTGTGCGGCTCGCGGCGGGCGCGGTCTCGAAGGGGCACCCCGATTGGGCCCGCATCCAATCCTGGCTTGGGCATGCCTATCGACACAGGCAGCCAGAACGAGCCATCGAACACTGCGAGCGAGCACTTGCCCGCCAGAAAACGCTGCCACCAGGGGACCCAAACCGACTGAACACTGAACACACTCTCGCGACGGCATACTTCAAATCTGGCCAGCCACAGAGGGCACTGCCCTTGCTCCAGCACGTGGCTTCCGTGCGGCAGTCAACCCTGTCATCCCAGCATCCCGACCTGCTGACTGCACAACTGGACCTTGCCCTGACATACCTACAGAGCGGCGAGCCCACAGATGCACTCCCTCTCCTCCAGCACGTCGTCGAGCTGCGATCCCCACACCTGCCACCCAATGGGTTTGGGTGGCCGCGTTCACATCGGGACCTCGCTTCCGCATATTTAGCATGTGCAGAAGTTCAAGAGGCAGTCGCTGTACTCGAACAACTCGTCAAAGCTGATGATGCTTCAACACCGCCAGCCAAGGAACGTCTCTTTTGGCGGGACACTCTCTGGCTCCTGCAGGATGTCTATGAGGCACTCGGCGACCAAGGCAATCATTCCCGGCTCGGAATCCGAATCCAGGAGTTGACGCAATTGCTTGGCAGCATATAACCACCACTCGTGGAATTGCCACCCGCAGACCAGCCGGTGCCAGAACACGACAGCAATGAGCTTCAGTTTAGCAGTTCCAAGCGCAAGGGCTTGCCACAAAGGCCGGGATTCGCCCAATCGGCATGAGCACGTGGTGACTCGAACAACACTCGAGGGCACGTCATGCAGAAGCCTCCCACCAGAAGGCTACGATACTCAAAGGGTTCTAGTTCTGACCGCAACGCTCGCCATGCTGCCCCATAACGTAACGTCATCGCTGCAGCTCATGTCTCGCATGAGGTATCCGACTTGTTTGAGAATCCCGTCGCCGATGCGGTCGGAACGGGGACTGGCATTAGATAATTATTCTGCTTCTTGAACATGGCAGCATGCTTCCAGATGGAATCTGTGATCACCTGGGCATGTTGGAAATTGCTTTGTTAATTAATAACCCCGTTGGATCAGTATCCGTACACCCATTCCCCTCGTCAGAAAGCTCTGATCCTTCTATCCTCAAGGGGCTGCCGGCATGCAGCTGTATTCTGGGGAATCATTCTTCGCGCGCCAAAATTAGACCGGTACCCCTACTCAGGTACAGCATAACAGTCAGCCAGAGGTCGCAAAGGCACTTCAACCTTGCATTTCACATACAGAGCCATATTGTAGATGTCATATTCTAAGAGACTCCTTCATTACTACAGACCACTAAAGCTTCGTACATGACACTGGACAGACTCAGTCCTCTAGCCACCATCATGCTATTGATACAAGGGGACAACTGCAAGGACTTCCGCTTTCACCTGACCGCGGGTGGGCACCCTTTCGAAAGCTCCTTCCGACGTCCACGACCCCTCTCAAGCACTGCTGGTGGTCTTCTCTTTCACCTGTACCGGGCCAGCCGCAGCATCCGACTCGACATCCGAAGACCCGGCGCCGCCGCTGCCGCCCTTCTGCCCATCCTCGAGCCCAAATTTAGTATCCAGCTCCGTCCGCAGCACAACCTCCTTCTCCATGAACACGAGTGCAAAACCCAGCGCGGCCGGCGCAATGCTCGCCAGCCAGGTAACCTTCAGCGCCCGGGTAAACACATCCACGACCTGGTCCCGCGTCTCGGGTGTGAAAGTGCCAATCAGCGCGGCAGTGACATAACTATACGCCTCACCATCGCTGAGCCGGTCCCGCACCGCCTCGTCAGTAATCCGGTACGCCTCGACCGCGAACCGCGCGTTGAACACCGCGGCCGGGATCGCGACGCCCCAGATGGACCCGTACGCGCGCATGAAGCTGAACGCCGCGGTGGCAGCGGCGACCTGCTCCTCGGGCAAGTCGGCCTGCACGGCGGGGAGGTTGGTCGACATCATGAAGCCGACGCCAAAGGCCGGGAGCATCTGCACAATGACCCACTCGGCGGTCGAGGTCCAGCGGTCGAAGCGCGCAAACAGGCCGAAGCCGAGGGTCATGACGCCGAAGGCGAACAGGTGCAAGGGTTTGTACCGCCCTGTCTTGGTGACGAGGGCGCCGCCGACGACGGCGAGGGGCACCTCGACGAGCACCGTGGGGAGCAGCCACACGCCGGACTGGGTGCTGCCCGCGAGCAGGACGGCCTGGAAGTACACGGGGAGGAAGTAGATGGCCCAGAAGAGCAGCATGAAGCTCAGGAAGGCGAGCAGCAGGGCTGCGGCGGGGGTCCGGCGGCGGAAGACCTGCTCGGGGAGGGTCGGGTATTTCACCCAGCTGGCCGTCTCGTAGGCGTGGAAGACGAAGAGGCCCAGGATGCCCAGCACCAGGGGCACGATGATGCGCGCGTCGGACCAGGCGTACAGCGTGCCACCGTAGGACAGGCCGATCAGGACAGAGGTGACGGCACCGACGAGGATCAGGGTGCCAATGTAGTCGATGCGCTTCAGGCGCTCGCTCATGGCCGTGGTGCGGTCGTACTTGACGCGGAGGAAGATGAGGAGGGAGATGAGGGCGACGCCGCCGAGGGGCAGGTTGAGCCTGGGACAATGCTTTGTGTCAGGAATAGCCACTACTGTGTTGGATGTACGGCGTGAAGATAAAACAACGATAATCAGGCAAAACTCACCAGAACACCCAGCGCCACGACGAACGCTCAACCAAGACTCCACCGACGAATGGCCCCATGGCAGTGCCGAGGGCAAAAAAGGCAAAAAGCAGGGCCATGTAATTGCCGCGCTCGCGAAGTGGCACCAGGTCACTGACAACCAGCTCGATGCACAGGTTGATGCCGCCACCGCCAATGCCCTGCACCGCTCTGCCCGCAATGAGCATGGTTGCCGTGTTGCTGCCGCCCGCGATGCCGCTGCCCAGTGTGAAGATGGCGACGACCGAGATGAAGACCCAGCGGCGGCCAAAGATGTCGGCGAGCTGGCCAAACAGGGGCAGGAAGGCGGCGCTGGTGAGGAAGTAGGCATTGACGAACCACACATAGAGCTCGCCGGCGTTGAGCTCGTGCACAATGAAGGGGAGCGCGGTGGACGTGACGGTTGACTCGACAGCTACGAGCAGCGAGACGAGCATCAGGGTCGGGAAGATGACCCAGAAGCGCCAGCCCTTGGGGCTAGGGGCGTTGACGGGCTCTGCCGCGCTGCTAGATGGCATGGCTGGCCTGTTGTCCGTCTCGGTTGAAGACTCGTGATGAGTCGCCATTATGCTGGGAATTGGTGTAAGCCGGACTGTTTTGCTCAATGTCGTGGTAGTGTGTTGGGCAATATCCGATTCCTGCTCGAGTGATATCTGGGCAGAAGTGGTCGCAGAGATGGGCGTCCTGTGAGCACGAACAATAAAGATGAAGCACTACAATCTGGAAAGCTCGTTGTATCCATGATTTCGTAATCAGCTTCCCGCAAATGGCTGGGTATTTTACGCATCCCTTGATGACAGACAATAGATTGGAAATCATCAAGCTCAGGACGCGCCTGTTGGTTGGTAGACGCTGCCCGAAGAGGCAACTCGCCGAATGGGGCAAGACGCCGACTCGGCGACTCCCCCTCCTCCCTTGATTTGTCCAGGTCGGCGAGTTGCCTGGTCTGGTACCCGCCGAGCACTGTCAGCCGCCGATGGCAAACGACCCTGCCGAGCCTCTACAAGCCTTCCGTCCCTGGCCTGGCTGGTGCCTGCGTCCACGGCCCCGCCCAAGCATTTCAGCTGCCTTGCGAGTGAAGGCTTGCACAGCACCAGCACAGTAAGCAGCCCTGCCTCCACCTTCAGAACGCTGCAGCCGCTAGGCACGGCCCGCCGTTGCTAGAGGCGCTCGGGAACGCAGGCTGGTGGCGCAGCATAAGCTTGGTTGCGAGATGTGGCCGCCGCACTGAAAAACAAGGCCACGAGAGCGACGAGAGCGTCCCAGGCACAGCCGTCGCGTCGCCTTGCATGTGCCATTTGCAAGCCCGAGGCTTTTACCGTTCCTGGCAGTTGGTCCGTACTTCTAGGGCTCGACCCGGGTCACAGCGATGAAGTTAGTCTAGGCTTGTGCGACATTGTGACTCCCTGCCTACGCCAAGCCTGGCTGTGTCACGATTGTCGTCTTCGAGAAGGTCATCGTCCACGATGCGGCTGATGGAGCCGCCCCGGGCCAAGCCTTGAGAGCGGGAATAATTGGGGTCAGCCCTGTCTTCCGGTTTCTCTGGTGAACCAAGGACCCGCCTCTTGTGCGCCCGCGGAGTCTGAGAGAAAATCTGTCTCACCACAAGCGCAGCCTCAGCGTCGCCGGTTTCGGCATCGCGCTCTGGCCGTCTTATCCTCGCATTACCTCCAAAGGCAGGCAGAGCCTTAACGCAACGTTGCGCAAGACCCAGACGTGACGCAAACACCGAGGCATGGAACTCTGAACACCCCAGTCACAAGGGCGTGTCACCCAGTCCGGGGATGGACAGGGGCGATGTCTCTTGTCGTTCTAGGACCCCGCGGGGTCCTGCCTTAGCATGGTATGGGACAGCCGAGACGATCACCACATCCACGTGCAAGATGATGTGCTGTCTGAGACCATGTGCATGATTACAGCAGTTGTGGCAGAGCTGACGATTAGTCTGCTTGTCAAAGTAGCGTCCTGGCGTCGCGAGGGCTCGCCTTATATCGCGTAGCCCTTTACGGCGCACCAACTTTGTGTGGATTCACACGTGGCTTGGCACACTGGACCACTGGACAACTGGACCAACAAACCCTTCCAGGGGCTGGAATTCAGGGGGTCCACCAGCACTGCGACTTTCTGCAGGACTCTGGCATGTCAGCCCCAGGGTCTGCGGACGAATGGCATCTCCAGCTCCTCCTCCCAGTGTCACCACGAAGACAACACGGGAAACGGGGACGCGCGGACGATCTGCTTAAAAGTCTCGTGGCAGTCGTCGCGGCGGCAGCAGCCCGTCTCCTCGGTGATTGTGCCGGTTCCAGTCTACGATTTCGAGATTGCTCCGTCCTCAGTCGAGCTTGCTCGGCAACCTGCGCTGCTCTGCTCTGCTTCGCGCCGCCGCCCCTTTCTGCGTGCCGCACGAGACGAGACCTGGTGCCACGGACGGGAGACGACGTCGTGCCGGGTGCCACGACACGGCCGCACCCAGCAGCCAAGGCGGACGGGGCGGGGGGCCGGTCCGGAACCAGTCCAGAGCAGACCTGATCAGGTCATAGAGTACGTGGGTATAGTGCTGTCCATCCATCCTACCACACAGGATGATCCACGTGCAACCGGCGCGGCAGTACCAGCTGCGGCGTGCCTGTGACCGCTGCCACAAGAGCAAGCTGCGCTGCCTGCGCGAGAACGACGACGACGATGCCTGCCAGCGCTGCATCCAGGCCGCCGTCCCGTGCTCCTCGAGCCCGGCGTCACGGCCCCAGCGGCACAAGAGCAACGGCACCAGCAGCATCCCAAGACACAGGCCGCAGTCATCGCAGGGCCCGGGCCAGGGCCAGGGGGAGCATTGTATGGAGCTCGTGACGGCTTCGTCTTCGTCATCATCAGCGGCCCTGGCCAGCAGCAGGGCGTACACGGCCGCCACTCTGACAAACACTTCACATCAGCGCAGAGCCGGCGCCGACAGCATGGCTGCGGCACAAACCCTGCTCGACAGCACCACCGGCGGCCCAGGCCTCATCTGGCACACCACCACCCCAACCACCACAACCACAACCGCCACCACACGCCCGGACTTGGCCGCTATATCGGCGGCCACCCGCTTCGATGTCCTGCCCGACTTCCACGACCAGGCGGCCTTTGACCAGCTCTTCCTACTCCACGACACGGACATGGATATCACGTTGGACGACGCCCCTGGGGATAGCAGCGGGCCCTCCCCACCCTCGTCATCCTCGTACAACTCGCGGGCGGCGGGTGCCGGCCGTCACAACAGGCTTGCCTCGACAGCTGCCAATACCCTACTCAGCTCGTCTTCCTCTGCCATATCCTCGGGCCCATCCTCGACGCCCATGTCACATAGCGGCCTCGATGTGGCAGCCGCCTCAAACCAGCTTGGACAACTGGAACCCTCCCCGTCACCACCACCGCCGCCGCGAACTCACCACAAACAAGACCACGCTGCCGCATCCTTCCCTTCTCTGGACTACTACATGAGGAAAGTCTCCGACGTTGGCCTGACGCTCATGGAGCATCTGCAGGTCATGCCCATCGTCAGTCCCGACCACGACGACGACGATGACGACGATGACGGTGCTAGGGAGCTACCCGCCCCCGCCTCCAGGGACGAGCAGACACAGTTCAGGTGTCCCATCGACCAGGTCTTCCACCTCTCAGAGGTCTTTGTCGAGACGCTCGCCGAGCTGCTTCCCCGATTGCCGCCGCCCTTCACCAGCACACCCATCAGCCCCCTCACACCAGACTGCCTATCTCTCGACGCGGCATCAGAGCTGCTCATCTTCTCGACGTATCTGCGCCTCCTGGAGATATATGACCGGATCCTGCAACACATTCAACTGCACTGCCAGCAGGGTTCGAGGCCAGCCGCCATAACCGCTGCACGGGCACCAGCCTCCTCCGCGTTATCACTAACGTCAACCTCCTCGGCTTCCAACACCGCGGGTGGCCGACCGCGAGCATCTTCGTCATCTGGCATGGGCGGCAATAGCAACGGCAACAACAACGGCAACAGCAGCAGCAGCGGCAGCGGGATGAACGCCGCCTTCAACCTCCCCGGCTGGTCCATCGGGACTTTTTCCCTGTCCGCGCAGTCAAAGACCCAGCAGCTCTTCATGATCCACCTGATCGAGACGATGCTGACGCGCGCCAGGGACCTCGTATCGGACGCGGTGAGCAAGAAGGCCACCCTGGGGTACCGGGGCAACTGGGAGTGCTTTGGGGGCCTGTCGCTGAGCATAGTGCCCGACCTGGCGGTGCAGGCGATCCGGGCGCGCGAGAAGGCCGCCATGAGGAGGGTGGCGGGGATCAAGGCTGCGCTGAGAGGGTGAATGAGGAGGGAAGAGATGAAAATGATGGCTTTGAAAGAGAGAGAGAGAGAGAGAGAGAGAGATAGTGGTCCCTGCAAGAAACTTTGAGATGGGTCTTATAGACAGACGTGGCTCAGGCCTGTGTTACGACTGCGCACGATGACATGCCGTCATGATTTATGAGGGGGACACGATCATATTAGCGGGAGTTCTTATTAGCATCGAAGTAGGAATTTGCAAAGACGCCGATCTGAGAAAAATACGTTTCGAACGGGTAGGACCATGTTCGCGATCCACGATAAAGCCGCCAGATCGGCTTCTTATCTACCAAAAGCTCAATGAGATGTGATTGTAGGTGGTCGAGATGTTCGACCAATTTGGCGTACAATTGCGCTTTAGTCTCTCAAAACTGATCCTCTCAACCAAAAGCACAACTGCTTATCATCCCTTTCCAACCTGGCCACCAGAGCGCGCCATCCTCTTTCATCCCCCGAACGCTCAGTCCCTTCAACCAGTGCCTCGTCCACGCAGCGCTTCATACTTCGCCCTGTCCCTCCATTCGAAACCAAGCATATCCAAATTTTTGCCACCGTCACTTGCAATCGCCGCTTCGGCCACAAATCACAACCCGCCAGCCCACAGCCCCGCGGCCACGAAGAAACAAACCGCCGCCGGCACCCCCGTGAGCGCGGTCCTCCGCCCGTCCAGCCGCGCCAGTTTCTCCTCGGCGGCCGCGCGGTCCGCGACAGCCGCCTTGTCGTCACTCAGCGTGAAGTTGAGCGGAACGAGGCGCAGCGTGATCGTGTACAGGTAGTACGCGACGGTGAGGAGCGTGCCGGCAACGTACAGGCCTCGAGACCAAGACATTGGCCCGGCCGCTACATTCGTAGAGGAGGAGGGCCAAAACAGAAGCGCATTGGCCCCACCTAGCACGATGCTCGAGTTGTACGCGCCAAAGATGGTGCGCAGGCTCGCGGCGCGCACGCTGCGAAACCAGTGCGGCATGGAAGCCCATTTGGCCGAGGGGGCCATCTCCGGGTGGCGGAAGCCGCCGAAGAAGACGGAGAAGGCGTACGAGTAAGTCGCGCCTACGGCAGAGGTCAGGACTGGAGCGAGGCGGAGGAACGTGGTGAGGAGCATGGTGGTCTGGGCTTGATCTGCCATGGTGTTGGCTGGATGGAGAAAGTGCTTGTGTGAGCGGTCTTGATACTACTGCGTGGATATTTGTCTAGTAAATGGGCATGGACAGTGAGCACAATAGAAATGCTCTGGAGTGGTGAGACTGGAACGTCCTGCTTGAATGCCTTGATTAAAATCAGAAGCGAGAATTGTGTGTCTTTTCTTGGGTTTACTTTGGCATAATGATTAAATGAAGCAGGGGAAGCTGGAAATGCCGTGGCCAATATGCCGGGCTGGTTGAGACGCCCCCCCTGCTTAGGACATGCACCGGGCCGTTTCCAGGGACCTGACACGCCGGTCACTGGCTTGATAGCAACTACCCGACAATGCTATGGCAGGCAGCAGAGGCAACAACTGCCTCTCCGAGCATGAAGGCGGGCGGACATGCCCGAAGCCAGCTGTGTTGGTCAGCCGAACGTTTTGTTGCCGGCCTGTGTTGCGCCGAGTTTCCTTCCGATCGCCGGATGCCTCGAGCTGCATGTTGTCGGTCAATTGGAGCGCCACCTCCAGCCACCGGCACAAGCCAAGGGCACAGTCTCACCGAGAGCGATGCTGACCAATAAAGTGTTCGTCAGGCAGTGTTGTCAGCTTTGAAATGCACGCGGGGACAGCCGGCCAAATGGAGTTATGCTGACCAACTTTCGGCGCTGGGTTTAACCGCGCGACGAGACCACGAAGCACACTTGTCCAGCCTGTATGAACTTGAAGCTCTCACAGTTCCAGTAATTGCTTTGGAGTAGAGCCTTTTAGTGACGTACGAAAATTCGCTCGATGTCTTTTTAGGAATATGATTAACAAAAGTATTTGGCAAGAATATTTATAATTTCATTATTTGACATCTCTCATCAAAAAAAAGCTGTTCTTTCAAGTATAAAGCACATGCAGTAAATGAGATAAATTGTATTGTCCAGTGAAAATCGGCATGAAATCAACTGCAAACGAGAAATAATGACTGGATCTAAGGCGCAACGCTCATTTCCTTGAACTTGGGGTACGTGGGCTTCCCGTCCGCAGTCACATTGACCAGCTTGCCGTCCTGGATGTACGTCTCAACCCAGCCAATGCTCTGCTCCACGTGCGTGCGGCTAACAATTGGGCCTTCAAGGGCCTGGATATCAAAATGAATTAGTTAATGACGCCTTTCTACACATTAGCAAAACAGCAGGCCCTTGATTGAACTTACCTGCATCGCCTGAAAGTCTGCATCCGCCGCAAGCGCAGACAAGGTCGCCATGTCGCGAAAGTAGAACTCGACCTGCAGGTCATAGTCGCGAATCACCCACTTGTCGCCCAGCGCAGCATTGAGCTGCTTGGAAGCCTGGCGGAAGCTCGCAGGGGTGAAGACCTGTTAGAAGAGTAGGATCTACTTTAGCTTTACCCCGCGACCTCAAAATGCGGCACGAGAAGGTACAGTGAGAACCGAGGGAAAAAGAGTACAAGCTTACAATGCCATATGCCTCCATGCCGTGCCGGATGTGGATCTTGGCGGCGTTGACGGCGTGCTCCTCGGTCGCGAAGCGATGCATCTCTTCCTCGCTGCACTCCTCGTTCTTGTAGTGCGACAGCGTCATGCGCAGGAGGCGCTGCTTCTTGATGTCTCCAAAGTCTCCCATGATGAGCTGCGGTGATCGCTGAGGTTGCGTCAAGCGAGAAACGGCGGTCTGTCTGATAGAGGCGTTGGAGGCCGGGGTGACCTGAAAGAATTGGCAAATTTTAAAGCCGCGGAGCTGGCCGTTGTAGTCTTACACACGTCTGAGACGGAAAGTGATTACATTTCCCTTGACAACAGCACGCAACAAATCTGTCTTTTACCGAGTCTTGTTCAAGACTGTGTCTTGGGACTTGACGTGCGGCTGACACGACACCGTCTCGGAGCCAGCGCCGGCCATCGGCAGTGGGCTGAAGCCCTTCGGTGATCTCCGCTGTCTTACGCCGTTCCTGGGGTTCCCGGGGTCACCAAGGCCTTCTGTCAGCCCCCGCGAGGCCCCGCAACCTCCTGCACAGTCGGCACAAAACATTGTCTACGCCGGTGAGACACGGTTAGCACATGCAATGAACTGTTTTGCTCCTGCTGACATACCTGGCAAGCTAGCCCGAGGAATACGTGACACACTCCCGAAGCGGAAGAACGCCGAGTACCGAAGCGCCACGTTGCCGGGTCAGCATTGACTATGCGCCGCACAACAAATTTGTGCGAATCACAACGATAATTGAAGCGGCAAAAACGAAAGAAATCACGCAAGGCACGCTTTTCCATATGGGGCAGGTAGCCGTATGGGGTGACAAGGAAAGGCAACCAAGTGTTCGCATGAACCACTAGCTATATTCTACTCTGCTTACGCTACAAGCACAGTCAGATCGCACCGAGCCGTGAACCGAGCTATACGAAGAAGTCGGGCAGGCGTGGGTGGAGGAAAACCAGATGTTGGTGTGCCATTGGATGCCTGTCCCAAGAAACAGAGACGCTTGCCTATCGCCTTGAGAATATTCACTATTGCCAGATTGTTCCGTGAATGTGTAAGCAATACCGGCGCAGTCTCTGGTCGGCGCCGACGGGCGTCTTTGCGGAACTGGGTACCTTTGCTCAGTAGGCCGTGACACCAGAAGAAGTGGCTCCGCCCCATGTTTAGTAATCTGTGGCAACACGGGTGTTTCTTTAAGTGACCTTGCCTTGACTAAGCATTAATGAATGTCTCGGAGCGCCAGAAATGCTGTAGGAATTGCTCGCTCAGCTTGGTCTCAAGACCAACACTAGCATTGTTAAGCAAGTGCGAATTTACGATTGCTTGGTAATTGGTGTATTCCCTTGGAATTCATATCCTCGTCTCGTTCCTCAATCTAGCTTGATATTGGATCGGAGTACTCTTGCACTCGTTCAAGCATAGAAAGCCACCAGTTTACTATATCGCAAGGGGTAGCCGATGTTCACCGGTCCCATCAACAAGGCAACTGTTCCTTTACTCACCTCGGGGCTCTAGCGTACCCGGAGCGAATCAAAAACACTCCCGAATGCGACCATATCGTCCTGTCACTTGGTAACAATAGGAACCGCCTCGACCTGCCCTTTCCGTGCGTATGAGCAGGGATGGCTGGACTTGGTCGAGCGTCATGTGAAGAGTGGCCCCATTGTCGTAGGGCTGATGGGTGGCGCATTTGCCAAGCTCACCGTCCCCCTGCCTGAGCCCCCTCAGAGAGACACCTCCCAAGAAGGAAAATTGCCGAAACCCTTGTGCCTGTGCCTGTACATGTGCCGGTGCTAGTTCCTGCGCCACGCGGATGCGACTACACAGCGCGGAAATAGGGGATGCTGCCCGGAGCTGACAAGGGTACATGCTTATGTGCGCACATATCGTATCTCCCCGAGTGCCAACATCATTGGTTGGGTGACCGGGTCATCATTGTCAATTAAGTCAAGTCTTCTGATTCAGGAAGGTTCTGGTCTGAGGTTGCGAAAATGGGTTGGGTCGGGGAGTGCCATTGGTCCATATGGTCAAGGCCGTAGCCACAAATGTCACCATGGACCAGAATAATTATCCAATACGAAGAATACGAAGGCAACATTCACTACGTGCTTTACCACTAATCTTTCGTCACACACCCAGTCGCCACGCAATCAAGCGTGACCATTGGTCTGCTTGATCTCCCCGCTGGCAGACAAGGGCGCCCGCTTGATCCCCCACACCTTGTCCAGCCACGCAAACGTGCGCTGCGCCGAGTACTGGAACGCGGCGATCTTGGCCTGCAGCCCTCCCGTGGCGATGTCGGTGGCGATCCATATCTCCTTCTCCACGCCCGGCTCGAGGCTCGTCAGCGATGCGTACAGCTTGTCCGTCGTGGTTGCCGGGTCGAAGTAGAAGCTGGCGCCCGCGCCCGTGACGAGCGTCGGGCACTTGATGCCGGCGAGGTACTCGGAGCCGTCCTTGTTAAGGAAGGTGTAGTCGCGCATGCGGTACATGATGTCGGCCTCGGTAGCCGACGCGGTGACCCACTTGAGGTGATTGACTATAAGAAAAACGCAACCAAGAGTTGCCTGTCAGCATGCTGTGTGTGTGGGGACCATGTTGGGGGCTGAAGAAAATGGATCATGGGTGATCGGCGCCAGGAAGCAGGAAAAGGGGGAGTGGGGAAGGCTGAGTGCGTATGTGTGTGTGTGGGCTTGTGGTCTGCTTACATTCCCAGCGTGCCTGGAAGTCGAGCCGCTGCAGGGTCCGCAGGATAAAGTTGAACATGCCGTCGCTGAGCCAGCCGCTCGAGAAGCCCTTCCATAGCGGGGCTGGCATGCGGCCCGACGCGTAGGCCTCGAGGCTGTAGAAGCTGTCGATGGACAGGCACGCGGTGATGCGGGGGTCTGCCGCTGCTCGCAGGGCAAAGTAGCCACCCATACTGGCGCCGGTCACCGCAATGCGCGACAAGTCGAGGTCCAGCTCTGGATGGAACGAGACAAAGTCGAACAGGTGGTCGAGGACCTTGCTCGTGACAGCCTCCCAGTCGTGTCGCATGGGCAGCTTGTCGTGGCGGAGCACAATACCCTGACCCGGCCCCTCAAACGTGAGGACCGCATAGCCGACTTCGGGGCCGAAGTACGGGTTGACAAAGTAGATTTCCTCCTGCGTGGAGTCACCACCACCGCAGTTGATGAGAAGGGGGATCTTGGAGGTTCCTGGGATACGCTTCGACTCGTGTGGCAAGTAGAGATATCCCGGTAGCTTGACCCCATTCTCGTAGGGGATGTCGAGGAAGAACGTCTTGCCATCGCGGTACTGCACGCCCTTGCGGAAGTTGCGGATGGCACGCTCAATCGTGGGCAGGACACGAGTGTCGGCGCCAATCGCGCCCTCGTTGAGCATGAACTGCGCGGCGCGGATGTAGTTGGAGGACCGCAGGTACGCCTTGCGAGCACTGACTCGGTCACCCGAGTGTTCAGCCTCTTTGGCAATCTTCTCTGCGTTGTCGCCCTGCTCCATGAAGGCCTTGTACCAGCTCTCTGGGTCGAGATCCTTAATCTTGCCTGCGGCCTCGAGGGCCTCGCCAATCTCGGCACCCTCCATCGGGGCCATGGCGAGGAGGCGCAGGTACTCGAACTGGAAGAAGGGAGACTTGAAGACGTTGTGCATTGTCGCCATGTTGATTCTCGATAGCTGGGCCACCCAAACTGATAGTGAAAGTTGAGTAGAGAGAGTGCTTGATATCCCTGAGAATTAACGCAAACTATCGTCAATCCTCTGGCTACATATGAATGTCTATGGATCTTGGTGGTTTAGCTCGAAACGCTAGATCTTGTTCTCTTCGTTGGTATAGACCTCGGCTTAGTTGTTGGTTGCTTGGGGGCCATCGGCGGCGGCATCAGACCGTCTGACCTCCGACAGCTCTGGTCAGTGCCTCCGATGGCGAAATTCGGGAACGGCCTTTAAACCGGCCCAGAGCAACGTACACATCCAAGTACGGGGCAAGTCGCCGACCTGAGCTACGCTAATTGCTGACCCGTGCCGAGACAAGTGGCTGGCTGAACTCTGAAGGATTCAGCCCTGCTGCAACGACGGCAATGGAACTTCTAGATCTTTTGTTGTGATTCGTCGACACGGGTAAATCTCACGTCCGAGTCGATCGATGAGTCCTCACCGCGGTCCTCACGATCCTCGTGGTCAGCCCTGTCTTTCCCGAACTAGCATTGTACCGTCAAGCCTCTTCGGCATGGTATGGTGGCAGCCTGGCATGGTGGGACAACAGCGTGGTTACTCTACTCGAGTATCAGCTCTAAAAGGACTATAACAAATGGCCAAAGAAGGAGTTTTGGCTTTGCTTGCTGCTTCGATGAATACGCTGGCCCAAGTAACATCCCAAGCTGTCAACCTACAGCACAACTCGCAACCATGAGTGCCTACATCCACCCGCCACAAGAGCCCATCGCCATCATTGGCAGTGGCTGCAGGTTTCCAGGTGATGCTACTTCCCCTTCCAAACTCTGGGAACTCCTCTCCCAGCCCAGAGATGTCTCGAAGCGTGTACCCGAGCGGTCTTTCAACCCTGACGGCTTCTACCATCCCAATGGCGAGCATCACGGCGCCAGTAATGTCGCCAAATCCTACTTCATTGAGGAGGACCCGAGGTTGTTTGACTCAGTCTTCTTCAACATCAGCCCCAGGGAGGCCGAGGCCATCGACCCTCAGCAGCGGCTGCTGCTTGAGACTGTGTATGAGGCGATGGAGTCGTCTGGCCTGACGCTCAAGCAGCTACAGGGAAGTCTGACCTCGGCATTCGTGGGTATCATGACGAACGACTACACAGATACACATGTGAGTCTTGTGACGCGTGTTGAATCCCCCCTTATGCTGAAAGTTGTTACTGACTCATCCTCATCTACTCCGTTAGGCCAGGGACACAGAGTTCTTCTCCCAGTACCAAGCAACCGGCACTTCCCGCGCCTTGTCCTCCAACCGTCTCTCTTACTTCTTCGACTGGAAAGGCCCGTCCATGACCGTTGACACGGCCTGCTCCTCGAGTCTCGCTGCCATTCACCTCGCCCTGCAGAGCCTGCGCAGCGGCGAGAGCACCATCGCCTGCGCCGCCGGCGCCAACCTGCTCCTCGGGCCGGACCTGTTCATCGGCGCGACCAGCCTGCACATGATCTCGCCCTCGGGGCGGTCGCAGATGTGGGACGCCGGGGCGGACGGGTACGCCCGTGGAGAAGGAATCGCTGCGGTGTTTCTCAAGACGTTGTCCCAGGCGCTCAGGGATGGGGACAGGATCGACATGCTGATTCGTGAGACCGGTGTCAACTCGGATGGCAGGACAAAGGGGATCACGCTGCCCAGTCCGGAGGCGCAGGCAACGCTCATCAGGAGCACTTACAAGAGGGCCGGCCTTGACTTGTTGTCCCCGCTGCATAGGCCGCAGTATTTCGAGGCTCATGGTGGGTGGACTCCTTCCCATCAGAGAGGACTTTGACACGTCATCGTCTGTCTGGCAACTGACTCGTGGGGCATATCAGGAACTGGCACTCAGGCTGGCGACCCAAGAGAGGCTTCTGCCATCAAGGCAGCGTTTTTCCCAGAGGAGAGGCCGGGAGAAAAAATATTTGTCGGCTCAATCAAGACGGTCATTGGACATACAGAAGGTACAAACTCGCATCTCTGCCCTAGTCTGAGGTAGCTGCAGAACCTGGCTGACATATTTCGTCTCTACAGGATGTGCCGGTATCGCTGGTGTCCTGAAAGCCATGCTCGCCATGCAGAATCGCACCGTACCGCCGAACCAGCACCTGAAACTGCTCAACCCCAAGGTCGAGGAATCATATGCGAACCTGCAAGTGCCTCAGGAAGCCCTGCCATGGCCAGACGTTGCAAAGGGCCACCCTCTGCGGGCCAGTGTCAACAGCTTCGGCTTCGGCGGCACCAATGCCCACGCGATCCTCGAGTCGTACGTGCCGGAGCTTCACAACTATGGACCGTGGGGTCTGGAGAAAGCCGGCCTGTCCGTCCTACCCAAGAGCTTGAGCCCACCTTCAGAGAAGGCCCGATCAGCATTTACTCCGTTCCCGCTCGTGTTATCTGCCAACTCGGAGAAGGCTTTACTCCAGATAGTGTCTCACTATGCGGAACTGCTGCGGTCTAGCACTCCTGATACACTTGACCTTCTTCGCCTTGCCTGGACACTTCAGAAGAAGAGAACTATTCTGCCCTACAAGATTACCTTTTCTGGCACTTCGACCAAGGAGATCATTGCAGACATGCAGAAGAAGCTTGCCCAGGCCAGAGAAGCACCAGGCAAGTCCTTTGGGCAGCGCGCCACTGCGACGCAGTTCAGCCGCGACAGCCCGCCTCGCATCCTGGGAGTTTTCACCGGCCAAGGGGCGCAGTGGCCTCAGATGGGCCGGCATCTGATCCTCCAGTCAGAGACATTCCGAAGTGACATCCGCGCCCTGGAGGAGTCGCTCCGACTCCTACCCGATGCTCCATCGTGGTCGCTCGAGCAAGAACTTTCGGCGGGCCCAGAGTCCTCTCGCCTCAGTGAAGCAGCCCTATCCCAGCCCCTATGCACCGCAGTACAAGTCGCCCTGTGCAACCTTCTAGATCGTGCGGGGATACGTTTCCACACGGTCGTGGGCCACTCATCGGGCGAGATCGGCGCCGCCTACGCCGCGGGTCGGATCTCTGCGACCGATGCCATACGCATCGCGTACTACCGCGGGGTGCACGCGATCCACGCAGGTGGCTCTTCCGGCCAGAAGGGCTCCATGATTGCGGTGGGATTTGGTATCGACGAAGCCAAAATATTCTGCAGCTCCGCGGTAATGAAGGGCCGGCTGACCGTCGCCGCGAGCAACTCGCCCAGCGGTGTGACCCTGTCTGGTGACGAAGACGCCGTGAAGGAGGCAAAGGCACTGCTTGACGAGAGGGGCCTATTCAACCGTGTTCTACAGGTGGACACAGCTTACCACTCGCATCACATGGCTCCCTGTGCGGATGTTTACGTTCAGTCGCTGCTCGCGTGTGGCATCGAGGTCCAACCTGTCAAGAATGAGCGGAACTGCACGTGGGTGTCCAGCGTGCACGGCTCATCGCGGACCCCTGGCAATGAAGAGCTGAAGGCCACGTACTGGCGCGACAACATGGTTCAGACCGTGCTCTTTTCCCAGGCGGTTGATGAAGCACTCGACCTTCTCGAGCCATTCGACTTTGCCATTGAGGTCGGCCCACATCCTGCGCTCCGCGGGCCAGCGTTGCAGACCATCAAGGCCAAGCTTGGCCGTGACATTCCGTACTCGGGCGTGCTAGACCGCAAGAAGAACGACGTGACTGCGTTCTCCGACTTTCTCAGCTCCATCTGGATGACGCTCGGCCCCGAGGTTGCAGACCTGGCCGGCTACACCTCTGCCTTCGTCCCAGACTTCACACCGCCAGCGCCCCTGGCTGATCTGCCAACCTACCCGTGGCAGCACGAGACCATCCTGTGGCGCGAGTCGAGGCTCAACAAGCAGTACCGCCTACGCACGTCTCCTCCCCATGAGCTCCTTGGCGTCCGCACACCGGATGATACACCGCACGAGATGCGTTGGCGGAACCTGCTCAAGCTCGACGAGCTGGCCTGGCTTAGCGAGCACCGGATCCAGGGACAGATCATCGTCCCCGGTGCGGCGTACTGCATCATGGCTCTCGAGGCCGGCAAAGTCCTCGCCAAGAGCCACGGGATGGCGGAACAGGCGGTCGCGGTCGAGCTACGGGACTTGAGCATTGAGAAGCCCATCGCCCTCGATGATGCATCCGAGGCAACGGAGACGTTATTTTCGCTGCGGGAGACCGACAGCGGTGCCTCGCTGGCAGACAAGACCGCCACTGGGATGTCCGAGCACGTCATATCTGCGCAGTTTGTTCTCAGCGCCGGCACCGTCGAGGACGGAGTCATGCGGAGGGTGTGCCGTGGCGAAGTGCTCATCTTCGCAGCTGCTGGCACGCCGTCAAGCACCATCCCGGCAGGACAACAGCACTACGCGCAGCGCCAGGACCTGCGCCACATGAGTGTCGACAGATTCTATCGCTCCCTCGATACTGTCGGGCTCGAGTACTCCGGTGCCTTCCGGGGTCTGATCTATGCTGAGCGCGGCCTCGACACTGCGTCAGGGGTGATTGCACGGCGGCACGACACCGAGGCGGGCAACAATTCTCTCCCCGTGCACCCAACCTGGCTGGACGTGAGCTTCCAGGCCCTCTTTGCGGCCCTGTCTGCGCCAGGAGATAAGAGCATGTGGACGGCCTTTGTGCCCAGCTTCATCCGCAAGATCCGCTTCGCCCCGCGTGCGGGCGTGATCGAAGAAGGGGCTTCGCCGAGCTACTACGTCGACGCGCACCTGACGGGGTCGCAGCGGCCGTCTGGGGCCAGCCTCGCGACCATCACGGGCGATGTGTGCGTGTATAATGGCACATCCGGCGCGCTGGAGGTGCTGGTCGAGGATGTTACGATGACTGCGCTGCTGCCCTCCAACGCGAGGGACGATCGCCAGCTGTACATGCGGACCGTATGGCGACGGGACATCAATGACGGTCTGGATGTTGTCACTGACGCTGATGTGCCGCCTCAGTTTCCAGTGCAGAGTGTCGAATATGAACAAGACCTGGCAAACGCTTGTGAGACTGTTCTTCACGACTACCTCGTTCGACTGGAGACTCTTGCGGCTGTGAGCAGCGGTCACAAGGACATACTGAAAGCTATCAGCAGAGCTGTTGCTGCTGTCCAGCAACTCAGACATACCGCAGTCTCCCATAAGCGGACCGTTGACCTCCTGAAGTCCACGTACGCTAATTCCAGTGAGATGCAGCTGGTCGTTACGCTTAGTGATGCCCTTGCCAGAATTCTCCAGGGGCATATCATCAGCAAGACCGCAATCGAGGCAGTCAAGACGCTCTGGGTGCAGCACTTGCACGACCTCGCACGGGACCACAACCACGTCGGGCAGGTTCGACAGATTGCAGCACAAATCTCGCACAAGCACCCGCACATGCGCGTCCTGCAGGTTGGAGTCCCAGCCAATGTGCATCCTGCAGAGATCATCGCCGAGATTGGGCAGGGATTCTCGGCTTACACCATCATCTTGGCGAAGGATGATTCCGCATCAGGAGATATTGTCAAAGACCTGGAAGCACTGGCTGCCCGAGACTCACGAATCGAGCTTGTCACTCTCGACGGTGACGCCACTGCCTCGAAGTCCCTGGCAGGCCGATCATTTGATGTGGTTCTGCACGGGTATCAGAGTTTCGTACCCACCTCACCTTCATCGCCGGATGATTGCAGAACGATGCTGGTACCTGGTGGCTATCTCATCATGAGCGGTCTGAACCCGGATCACAAGATCCACCAGTTCGTGGCGCACGGCATGGAATTCTTATTTCAGAACAATAAGTCCCATGTGGAGAGGGAGCCGAAGAACCAATTGCTCGAAGGTCTGCGTACTCCGGTTCAGCTAGATGAGGTGCTTCGCCAAGAAAGGTTCAGCGGGATCGATGCGCTTCTCCCCAACAATGGCACCAACCGTCAGACGACTTCGAGGAGTAGCTACACCGTCCTGTCCCAAGCTACAGACACTACAATCGACGTCCTCCGCGCTCCCACGGAAGCTGACAACCTGTCCCACTTCCTTGGTCATGGCACCAGAGTCGCAATCATCGGCGGCATAGGTCTCGCCACCTCCAAGCTCGTCAGCAAACTGCGGCTGCTCCTGAAGATGCTGGAGATTGACGTGGCCATTGCGCACAGTCTTGCAGTGTTTGATGTGGACAGGTACAGCGACATTGACGCAGTCATCAGCCTAGCTGACCTTGACGCACCGATCCTGGACAACCTAGGCGAGGTCGGACTCAAGACGCTGCAGCACATAGCCGACAGCATGAAAACGGTCCTGTGGATCACTAGGGGCGGTCTGACCGGTGACAGTCCGGAGCAGAGCGCGACAGCCGGACTGTGGCGATCGATCACGAGCGAGAACGCACAGCTCGCGTTCCAGCTGGTGGATTTTGACATCACAAGCCCGGTAGATGAGAGGGTTATTGTCGATTGTTTCCTGCGGCTTAGAGTGCTAGGGAGTGTCACCGAGCTGCAGGACAATTCTTCTCGTCTTCTCTGGCCTCGCGAGACGGAAATCGTAGTCAGCGAGGGGAAGGTCATGGTTCCCCGGGTCGTGCCTGACGACGAGCGCAATGGAAGGCACAACTCACAGCGCAGAGTCGTTGACACTGCGGCATTATCTGGCAGTCCCCAACGGCAGACCCCACGGATCAAGGTGGCCTCGTCTCCAGCCGCGGAGCTTGATGTCGTGTACAGCTCCAGTGATCCAGTGGTGGCGCTCGACGGTGCTGGTGCGCGGCTGCAGCTTGTTATCGGACGTGGTGTATCCGACTCGTCACTAGTGGGAGCCGCTCTTGTTCCTGCCAATGATATGAGCCCTTCCCAGGACAATGTGGTGCTTGGTGCAGCAAGATTCGAAGCAATCACAGACTCCAGATGGGCTGCCGATAAGCTTGACCTTCGCTGGCTTACATCCGCCATGGTCATCAGGCTCCGGGCTTTGGCAATCGTAGCCAAATTGCCCAACAGGAAGACGTCGGTCATTCTCGGTGCTACTCAACCTCTTATACGTGCTATTCAGGACACGCTTGTTGAACAAGCGCGTAGCAAGAAATCTGTTGTTTTTCTTACCACCGATGTGTCCTTGGCCGCCACCCTGGACGTGTCGGAAGAGAGACACCAGGAGCTTGCCCGGGTAGTCGTGGTCCATCCGGAATCATCAACAAGGCTGGTTCGCACGGAGTTGCCCTGGCAGACTGAGTGTGTATTTGACTTGTCCTCAGAGACAGAGACTCCCTTGGACTTTTCTCTCTCGAGGAGTATCAACTGGTGGTGTCAGAAAGTCAAGCTTGCCATCGATGGGGATGGTGATGCCCTGCGAGTATGCCTGTCATCGACCGATTCTGGGCTTGGCGACTTGTTGGCACAAACCGTCAGTTATGCCACAGTCAACCTGACCCGACTCCAAGGGGGTGGTGAGGACGCCACCAACTCGATAATATCATCTCCTGCTGTTTCAGATCCTCCCAAGCGCATCAATACTATTGTCGATTGGACCGCCATGACCAAGCAACAGGTTCAGCCAGCTGTGCCACTCTTACCAGTCAAGCCCCTTTCTGCGAGTGGGCTGTTCTCCGGCGACAAGACATACCTCCTTTTTGGCCTCACTGGTCAGATCGGCCGCTCCATTACCGAGTACATCATCCGCAACGGCGGCAGGTACATCATCCTCGCGAGTCGCCGCCCAGTAGTCAACCCAACATGGCAAGCCTCCCTCCTCCGCAGGTACGACGCACATGTATCATTCGAAGCCGTTGACATCACCTCCATGGCCGCGTTGGAATCCCTGCGCAAGAAAGTGGAATCAGATCTGCCACCTGTAGGCGGCGTCATGAACGGCGCCATGATCCTCGCCGACGGATTGTTCCGGAGCATCACGCTGGACAAGCTGGACCGTGTGCTGCGCCCAAAGATGCTCGGGTCGAGGAACCTGGACGCCGTGTTTGGCGAGGCGCCGGCGGTGGCCGAGCTCGACTTCTTTGTAATGTTCTCTTCGTTGAGCGCGGTAATTGGGATGCCCGGGCAGAGCAACTATGCTGCTGCTAATATGGTACGTGTTTTTCATATTAGGGCCCATGCCTTCAAAGAACATTGGAGACTAACTTCGAGAACCTTGTGCTACTTGACTTTATAGTATATGGTTGGTCTCGCTGCACAGCGCCGTAAACGACATCTTGTTGCTTCGGTCGTCGATCTCGGCATGATCGTCGGCCTGGGATACATCTCTCGCGCCGAGGGCGATGAGGGCAGCGGGGCGGTCGAGAGCGCGCTGCGGCGGCAGAACTACATGCCTGTTGGCGAGCGGGATCTGCATGAGATCTTGACTGAAGCCATTGCTGCTAGTGGTAGGCTAAAAGAGCAGCGGGATGTTACAGGATTTGAACAAGGTGAGATCATCACCGGCCTAGCGCCGTACCGGAGCCGGGAGTCCGCGTCGTCGGACGGTGCGGCGCCGCCTGTGTGGGTGCACGAGCCGAAATTCTCCCACCTGGTGGTTCAGGATGCCGCTGAGAGTGGAGCCGGCGGCGCTGGTGAGGGCAAGAAGACCCTGAAGGTTGAGATTGCAGCTGCCTCATCGACTGAAGAAGTCGTGGAGATTGTGCAGCGGTACTTCATGGCGTATTTGGCGGCAACCCTCAAGGCAAGCTTTTTTTTCCTTTCTTTTTTTTTCCTTGCTCTTCAGACATAACGGTTTCATCTACAGTGGAAGATCAGAAGATGACCAGCTGACTTTCCATTTACGCGTACACAGCTCTCCGAGAGCCAAATGGGCCTCAATGTCCCCATCATCGACTTTGGCATTGACTCCCTGGTTGCAGTCGAGCTCCGGTCCTGGTTCTCCCTCGAGACCGGACAGGATGTGCCTGTCCTCAAGATTCTAGGAGGCGCGACCGTTCAGCAGCGTAAGTGAAACGAATCCGTCTTGAGGGTATATGGTCTTCATCACTAGAATGCTATGAGCTAACGTCAGATCCCTTTAGTATGCACCATCGCTGCTACAAACATCCCTCTCAGCAAGACGTCGGCAGATGCTCAAACTGGCCAGCCCGCGACGGAACGTCCAAAGGAACAGACCCAAATCCCACCCAATGGTCAAGTCGACGCAGACCCGATTCCCCGGATCGTCCTGCCAGGCCATGTTGAGGTACCGCAAGTGCTCTCTGTACAGCCGACGCCGGCTGAGACGTTTGTGACAAGCTACGTCGGCTCGGCAGCGACCTCGACGCGCAGCGGCACCGATACGCCGCTGAGCAGCGCCGAGTCAGACACAGGGAAAGACATCAATACGAGCAGCAAGAACGAACATTTGGCCGGCAACAAAGAAGTCGCAGTAATCCGGAGTGGGCCATTGTCCGCGGGCCAGGCGCGCTTCTACCTCCCCTCGCTGTACCTCGAAGACAGGTCGCCGTTCAACTGCACCACTTCTTATCAGATCACTGGACCCATCGATGTAACGCGCCTTGTCCAGGCGTTGAAGCACGTCGTCCAGCGCCATGAGATCCTCAGGACGGTATTCACCACGGACAAGGCCACTGGTCAGGGGATGCAGTCTGTTCTTGAGACGAACGGGACATTTGAGCCGAAAGTTCGAGTGATCGCAGTTGGACGGGAGGACAGCGGGGAGAATGAGAATGCAGTCATCACGGCCGAGTTTGACAAGATGCACCGTCATGTGTTCGACCTTGAAACGGGCGATACACTGAGAGCAACCATTTTATCCCACGAGACGGCCAGCACCAAGAAGGCTGACAAGCACACCCTCATCTTCGGCTACCACCACATTGTCATGGACGGCGTAAGCTGGCAGTCCTTCCTGGCAGATCTGGCCGAGTGCTACAAGCACGGCTCCTCGGCCCACCAGCTTCCAGCCGTGCCCTCTGGAGCGCAGTATCTCGACTTCTCCGTCGCCCAGGCTAGCAACATCCTCCCCGTTCCTTCAGCGGCATACCAGGAACGCCTGGATTACTGGAAGTCCGAATTTCCCCAGGGCGTACCGCCGCCCATGACACTCCTCCCCTTTGCTAGCACGCGCACCCGGAAGCTCGTGACCGAGTACAAGACGCGTACGATCGTGACACACGTCGAGCCAGACGTCGTCGCGCGGATTAGAAAGGTCGCGCAGACGCTCCGGGTCACGGCCTTTCACTTTTGGTTGGGCGCTTTCCAGACGATGCTGGCTCGACTGTTGCAAGACCAGGAAGAGGAGGAGAATGAGGGGGAGGACGGGCCAGTCCAAGCAATGCATCGAGACATGTGCATCGGCATCGTGGACGCGAACAGGTCAGATCAGACGTTTGCCAAGACGATAGGCTATCTCCTCGAGGTGCTCCCCGTCAAGTTTACTGTTGACAGGGAGCAGAGGTTTAGCACACTGCTGCAGAATGTGCGCAGCAAGGCGTACGGCGCGCTGGCCCGCAGCGGCGTGCCCCTCGAGGAAATCGTGCGAGCGGTTAGCAGCAGCAGTAGCGGCAACGACGGTGAAAATGGTGGTTCTGCCGCGGGAGCAACGCCGTTCTTCCAAGTCGTCTTCAACTACCGCATGGGCGCAACGAAAGCCCCCGACCTCGTCGGAGATGATAACACAGCCACCACGGCCAAGATGGACCTGCTCGACTACGCCGACGCCACGACGCCGTTCGACCTGTCCGTGTCTCTGGATGAGAAGGACGACGGGTCGGCGATGGTGACATTTGCAATGCTCGACTACCTGTATGATGGCGCAGCAGCGGACGCCATGGTGGGCAGCTACAAGTACATGGTTGACGTGCTCTCGCGGCAGCCGTCGATGGTTATCGGGGATGTGCCCCTTTTCTCAGATGCCATGGTACAGGAGGCGGTTGTTGCCGGCACCGGGGCGTCTCTTCCCACCACCGGAGAAAACCTCGCAACGGTATCAAGACGCATCGCACGCTGGGCTGAGCGCGATCCGCACGCCATCGCGGTCAAGGACAGCTCCGGCACGCCGCGGTCATACCTCGAGGTCTCGCAGCGCGCCGACGTCATCGCGGCAGCCCTGTCACGTACTGCCGCCTCATCCTCCTCAGCAGCCACGCCAATTGGACCCGGAAGCCTGATCTGCGTGCTGACCGAGCCCAGCGCCGACACGGTGAGCTGCATCCTCGCGATCCTGCGTCTTGGCGCCGCCTATGTGCCCCTGGACGTGCGCAACGCCGACGAGCGACTGGCGGATGTTCTCGACGAGTCCGGCGCGCGGATCGTCGTGTTCCACAACCAGACCAGGGAGCGGGCCATGAAGCTCCCACGAGACAAGCAAGGTGTACGGTTCCTCAACCTGTCCATACTCGACAACGAACACGATAAGGCAGATACAACCGCCAAGGCGAGCCACGGAGACCTTTCCCGCCCTGAAGATACGGCTTTTGTCCTCTACACGTCCGGGTCGACGGGCAAGCCCAAGGGCATCGCACTGACAAACGCCAACATGGCTACCCAGAACGCCTCGGTCACGCAGCACCTGGACATCGGCCGCGAGATCGTGCTCCAGCAGAGCGGCCTCGGCTTCGACGCGTCGCTGTGCCAGATATTCATGTGTCTGTGCAACGGCGGGACGCTGGTCATGGGGGACAATCGGAACCAGGACCCCGCGGAGCTTGCCGCGCTCGTGGCCCGCGAGGGAGTCACCTTTACGATCTGCATGATGAGCGAGATGGCAGCCATGTTGCGCCACGGCCAGGAGCTCCTCAAGACGTGTACAGGCTGGCGGCTGGCCATGTGTGCCGGCGAGGCGTTCCCGCCCCGGCTGGCGGAGGACTTTGCAGCCCTGGAGCTGCCCGGTCTGCAAGTTGTCAATGCGTATGGGCCGACTGAAGGGACGATCATGGCGACGATCGAGAAGGTGGAATATCGTGAGATGGCAAGGAATAAGAGTGAGAGAGTGTTGATTGGAGAGGTAAGTTAAGCCGGTGTATGCGCACCGTTATACAAGGCAAGTTCCGCTAATCGCAACTACTCATGATATCTAGGTCATCCCCGAGTATGGCGTCTACATTATCGACAGGGCTGGGAACCCGCTGCCTCGCGGGCATGCGGGCGAGATTGCATTAGCCGGACCAGGCGTTGCTCGGGGCTACCTCCACAACCCCAAGCTTACGACCGATAAGTTCATGCCTGATACCTTCTCCCATGTGGCGGTGGCCCAGCCCGGCGGCAAGGCCTCGCGCAGAGAAGGCTGGGACCGCGTGTACCGCACCGGCGACAAGGGAAGGCTTGTCGAGGGCAACAAGTTCCTGCATCTCGGCCGTATGGACGGCGACAGCCAGGTCAAGCTGCGCGGGATCCGGATCGAGCTGCAGGACATCCGGCACGGACTACTTGTCACTTCGAAGGGGGTGTTGGCCGACGCGGCGATTGTGCTGCGAAGCACTGGCACACAGGGTAACGAGTACCTCGCTGCGTTTGTGGTCTTTGCCAACGATGAGGACAAGGGAGCCAGCGGTGATAAACAGGCTTACCTTCGTGACCTTCTCCGCCAGCTCCCGCTGCCGCCATACATGCGACCTGCTGTGGCTGTACCTCTTGAAGGACTGCCCGTCACAGGCCGCGGGAAACTCGACACCAAGCTGCTGTCGACCATGCCGCTCGAAACGCACGATCTCACTGGCTCCTCGACAGAGGAAGAGATCCTCACCGAGACAGAGCAGCGCCTTCGGGAGGTGTGGCAGCAAGTACTCACGGACGCGGGTGTGGCCAAAGAGATCATGGCCATCAAGAAGGACTCGGACTTCTTCTCTGTGGGAGGCAACTCGCTGCTTCTCATGCAGCTGCGCGTGCAGATCCGCCGGGCGTTTGAGGGGGTGGACATCCCGCTCATCCAGCTGTTCCAGAGCAGTAGCCTTGCAGCGCTGGCTGCACGTATCGCTGGGACTGCAGAAGGTCATCACAAGGTGGACGTGATTGACTGGGAGAAGGAGACACAGCTTGACGAAGATGTCAAGCCCATTCTTCACGACGTCACTGCCCATAGCTCGACTGGAATAGACGCCAGTGTGACTCGTCAGTCAGAGTCTAGACGGGTAGGCGTCCTGCTTACTGGGGCAACAGGTTTCTTGGGCAGCGCCCTCCTCTCCCGCCTCGCGGCTGATCCTCGCGTCTCCCGAATCCACTGTGTCGCTGTCCGCGGCGACCCTTCCCGGCTTACGTCCTTGCTACCGCCGTCCTCGATCTCCAAGATCATCCCGTACGAAGGCGACCTCAGCCTCCCTCGTCTGGGCATGACCACCTCCGAAGTCGCCTCCATGATGGCCGACATCGACGTCGTGATCCACAACGGCGCCACGGTATCACATCTCAAGAGCTACCAAACCTTGAAAGCAGCAAACCTGGGCTCGACCAAGGAGCTCGTGAGACTTGTCGCGCAGGCCCACGCTCAGCATCAGCAGGGAGGCGTCACGAGGCACAACAAGATACCCATCCACTACATCTCCACCGGCGGGATCGCGCGGCTGTCCGGCCTCGAACATCAGCCCGAGGCTTCCCTAGCCGCGCATCCGCCACCCGTAGACGGGACAGACGGCTATGTGGCAACCAAATGGGCAAGCGAGCGGCTCCTGGAGCTTCTACACACGGCAGCACTTTCGACTTCGTCTTCTGGTGGGTGGCCTATCACGATCCACAGGCCGAGCAGCATTACAAGCCGTGCCGACATGTCCTCCGTGCCGGCCTCGGACATCACACACAACGCGCTGCGGTACTCGAGGGTGCTGAGGGCCGTGCCGGATTTCAGTGGCGCCAAGGGGGCCTTTGATTTTATTGATGTGGAGACGATCGTCACGAACATTGTAGACGATATATTCAGCGCTGGGGGCGCGGACAATGGCGTCGTATACAGACATCAGAGCGGGGAGATGGTCGTCCCCGCGGACGGGCTCGGAGGGTACCTCGAGCAGCTGGATCGCGAGGACAGGGTCGAGGTAGAGGAAGGGGGCAGAAAAGGATACGCGGTGCATAAGATAGACGAGTGGGTCAAGCTTGCCGTCGAGGCCGGGATGGATCCGCTGGTTGGGAGTTTCCTTGCTGCCACGGAAGGGAGGTTAGACATGCCGCTTCTCGTCAAGGAGGAGAAGGTGTGAATGGTTTACTGGTCCCGTGCGCCATGCGCTGGTCGCGATCGAGCCGGCAGTCAAGGGAAGGTTGCTTCGTTGCAGGAGAGCTTTTACATGAGCGAACATATCCAGTTGTCGGACCGATGCAGCTAATCGATGAACATGTACATATCATGCCAAGTGAAAACGCTTTTCTCTAAAAATATGATACAGAAACGAAATGACCACTACATCTGCGCCACTAAGCCGCTGAGGACCAACGCTGCAATATGTGCTCTCCTATACGCCAGCCACTTGTCTGCTTGCTATGCCCTGCCTCTTGAGTCGCCACCAGCGAGCCAGTGTCTCATCCGGGACACCTGACAGCCCCGAAGACCATTTGCTTTAACCCTTGAACGCGATGGGGGACAGGACGAGGTTCAGATCCCGGCCGTCGAGCCCACTCATGGGCAACTCTCCAAAGTGGAGATCACGCGCAGACTTCATCTTGCAGAGGCCCACACCGCGGATGCGGTCGACGTGCTCTACACGAGCCTTTGGCGCGCCACCGAGCTTAGCGACGTCATCGGCCTTCATATTGCGGCGGATGGCTGCGGCCTTGGTCATCTTGGCGACGCTCAGGATGTCGAGAGGTGCGAGGACCAAGCTGAAAATCGCGAGGAGGTCGTTACCATCGGACTTGACGATGTCGTAGATGTCGAGACCGGCGCCACCAAGCGTACCCAGTAACGCCATAATACGCGCGACATTAGCCATCGAGGCGACGGCGCCGACCACAGCACCCATTACCGGGATGAAGAAGAAAATAGCGCTCAAGAAGGCCATGATGATCATCTCGCGCTTCTGCTTGTCGATTTTGTCCGCGAGCTCCTTCACCTTCTTCATATTAGCGACTGCGTCTTCGACCATCGCAATCGGGATAATCAGAGCGTCAACGATATTATCGAGGTCGTCGTGGAAGGTATTGGCCTTGACGCTATCGAGGACCCTCGTCATCGACGGCCCGATATCGGTCAAGTTCTTCCGGGCATCGACCACGACATCCTTGGGGTTCAGGACGTCCTCGCGATCGTAGCCGCTCGGAACAGGGAAGTTGATATCCCAGTTCCGTTTTCTACAATCCTCCTTCGATTCCGTCGGCTCGCAGGCGTAGTGGTTCACGTCTGTCCACCTAATATTATCCTTGTCGATACCGACGGCCGAGTACAGGTCGGCATAAAAGTCGTTCTCTTTGCCAGACTTCATGGCCCATCTCGTTGTCTGTGGCCAATACCGCGTCGACGGCTTGGTGCCGCTTCGCTCAGAGTAGTCGGGCAGGCAGGTCATGTCCATCTCTTCGTACCGATAGGTGTGATCCGAGCAGCTGAGCACCTCGGGGTTGTCACAAATGCTATCCCAGCCGCAATCTTTGAGTCGAGAAAGTCAGCCAGGGCCTCGGATGCTTGGAGTTTAGCTTGGTGGAACACTTACCGTAATTCTCGCAGTACCGGCAGTTCTTGTCCGCGTCGGGGCTTCGATCGGCGGCGTAGCAGTGCTTGCAGCTGTCCTTCGTCTCGGTAACCTTGCAGGTAAAGTACTCTTTGCCGTTTTCGTACATGAAGTCCTCGACGGCGTCCTTGGCACCGTCGACAACCACGTCAGCGTACGTTTTGAAGCTGCCGTCGTAGCCTCCGTTAATGAGGCCATCGTAGCCCGTAATGGCGTCTGACAGCATCTTCTGCAGAGCTACGAGGATGTGCGCAGAGCGGCAGTGTGCAGGGACGCTGCCCGCATTCTTCTCCACGTCGTCGAGCGTGTTCCACTTGCCAACGTTCTCACATTTCTCGAGACGTGTGATGCCCTCGAGGTCGTCAAGGATGTCTTCGTCCCGGTCGTTCGTAAACTTTTGCAGGTCGACCGCCCAGTCAATGGTGCCTGCGAAATCATAGCCTTTCCACTTTTCTCGTCGTGTATTCTTGGTCATGTCGGTCATGTACGCGACCCACTCCAGTTCTTCAAGATTGTTAGGACGAGGTGGGTTGGACCGCTTCCATAAAAAGGAAACGGATTGTGGGGTCAGGGGTTAGGAGGGGACGTACTGTCATAAACGATGAAGTCCGAGTTACTCTTTAAATCATGCCAACTCTTGACCCCTGAATATCCCTTCTTGATGTGTTCGATCTCCGCGTTCGAGATATAGCCCGACGTGTTGGTGCACATCCCAGGCATTGCCTCAGAGTTGAGTCGGTCGCCGGTATATTTGCACATCGGCCCATCGCACCCAGCCGTGGCCATCCGGAATGACCTTCCGTAACTCGATTCGCCGACGAATATCTTGGAGGGAGACACGCCCGCCTTTGTGACTAGTAGTTGTGGCGGAGGGTTAGTTGGTTGATGGGCGCACAAGTTCTGAGTGCAGCACATACTCATGGAAAGAGCCTGCTCCGTTTCAGTGAGGTTCACATGGCTTCGGAGGCAGTTGCCGTCAGGACAACCGTCCGCAGACCACTTGTTGCCAGCGTCCCATTGGCCTGTCAAACATCCTGTATCAGTCGCTTGCTTGGCTATTTTTGCTTTGGGTGCCTACATACCGTGCAAGTCATAAGTCATGTAGACGATGTAGTCGAGATACTTCGCCATCTCCTTGATCGGAAATTGTTTCAGGTACCAGTATGACGCTGGCGCCGCAATGGAAAGGGTCTTGCTACCAAGCTTGCCCTTGATCAGGCTCAAGAACTTAAGATAATTTGGCCCGTCAGAAGGAACGCCGGGAAAGTCGGTGTCAGGGGCCTATTTTATAATCGCTGTCAGTCAAGAGAATAACCAGCTCGACATCTTGTCGAATTACTCACCCCCGGGTACTCCCAGTCAAAGTCAACTCCGTCAAGACTCTCGTCCTTGAGGAACTTGACGACGTTGTTGGCAAACGTCTCTCGGTTCGTCGGGCTCATCGCTTGTCTCAGAATGTCGTACGTTGGTTGCTCGTTCGAGAACGCCCAGCCACCAAAGGAGATGATCTTCTTGATATTCTTCAACCCCTTGAATCCCGACCACTGTTTATGCTCATCATCAATCTTGACGGTCCAATCCGTCATTGAAATTGATGCGAAGGACCAATGGATATGAGTATAGGTGCCATCTGTATTAGCGTTGGCAGCACTCATTGTCATACAAGGCCGATTGAAGTTCCAGCTCTCGTAGTAGCCGATGCGGCCAAAGGAGCCTGGCTTTTTACCGTCCGTCTTGATGGCCATGCCGCAGTTGCTCACACAGCTATGCTCGTCAGATCCACAGTTAGCAGTCATTGGACGAATGTGGAGCATCTACGGTGGCCGTCGCTGATGATGCTCGTTCAAGCGCTGAAGAGAAAGGCGTAGCAGCAGAGATAATGGATGTTACTTTCCCGCCGCGTGAAGTCCCAAAGAGATCGTGTGAGGATATATGCAACCAAAGCTTCAGTATAGAACGTACCCGTTTGTCTTTGGTGGCGAAGTGCCAGGATTGCCAGACTCCGCACGCTTCTCTGTACAAAAGTCGCTGTTGACACCACCTGTGCGCGATTGACATGTAAGCATCGACCGGAAGGCAAGCCCGCGGATACAACATTACTCACATTGACCCCAGATGTTGCAGCACACATTCAGAGGGCAAGGATTCAGGTCGGCAAGTACCTCGTTCCCTGATGGTGGCTCAGAGCCAGGCTTTGTAGGCCCACAAATGGCGTTGCTGACTGGCGCGGGCATAGGTGGCTTTCCCTTTGATAGACACTGTAGGCGAGGATGCAGAGTTAGTGCCTGTGCGACTTTCTATGCAATAGAAGTACCGCGATGCCCGATCGTGTGGCGGTGTTACATACGATGTTCATCCCATAGTTGAGGTTCTCGCAGCCAACCCAGCCCCAAGTGCCGTTCTGGCCTTTATTGAAGCTCTCAATCTGCTCGTTCGTCAGTCCATTCGCAGCAGCGAGGTTGGAACAGTTGTCGTTTTCGACGACAAGGTATGAAGCACAGGTTCTGCAGGGAAACACCATCAGCTCGGATCTATATCTATAATGCTGGATGCACAAGCAAACTTACCCGTCGGAATTGGGCTTCGGGGTGATATCCGGCATCGAGCCCGATGAGCAGCATATCGGTTGTCCTGGTTTAAGTGTCGAGCACAGGTTACTGGCGGTGTTGTACTTTGTGATATCGCTCCCAGAGATGCCGCAGCGTGATGCCAAAGAGCCGCAGTCATCGCCGAATACAACGCGAATGATGCGGCAGTCAGCGCGAGCAGCGAGGTGCCCAGCGGCAAAGCTCCCACCCAGCACGGTACCGTTGGTTGTGGAGTTACTGGCTGCGTCCGGCAGCACAATATTGGGCAGAGGCAGCTCTGAGATTTCAACGTCAACGTCGGAAGTTTTGGAGCCGCCAGCATTGTTGACGCACTTGGCCTCGCTCCACCCGCGGACAGTCTTCTGAACAGCCGAGAGATCTCCAGTGCCATCAATGACGACACCCAGAACGTGATCCGCGTTGCGGCCCTGTCCGCATAGCTGGACAGAGGTATGCTCGCTCGCGTCAGCGCCAAGCTTGTCGACCAGGCTGCTGACAGTGGAAGACTTCCCAAAGGCGTCACCGACGTAGGCACCCGCGACTGTGCCATTGGCATAGCCGAACAAAGCCACCCGCCGGCAGTTGGTAGACTGCTTGAAGTAGGTCTTGAAGCCGTCAAGGATGGCGAGCGCCCCAGAAGCCGAACCGGCCCCACCGCGGGCGACGGAGAAGGTGGCTTTGGCAGGTGTTCCAGTGGCGCACGAGGCGGCCCCGTCTGAGTCCTCCCCGTCGGCCTGACGCTCGCCAAGGACAGGCGCGCTTGCGTCGTCATCACCACCATCGATGTCGGGTAGAGAGGACAGCACACTAAGGATCTCGTCGTGATGCTCGGCCAACTCCTGCGGATCGGTAAAAATGGGCTCGAACAGTGCATTGACCTGTGAAGTGGCGTCGCCGGTGGTGCAGGCGCGGATCCTTGTAATGGTTGTCTCATCCGCGATCGTGCTGTAAAGCCCAACCTGGAAAAGCTGTGGCTGGTCGCAGAACTTGATGCGTTGGAAGGAGGAGAAGACGTCCCACTCTTCTGCCGGTCGGCTGTCACATGCGCGCGGGCAGGCGTGCCGGTCCGAGTAGTACGTGTTCGGATCCGCCGGCTCGGTATAGACGTCGATGGCCGCCTCCTGAGCCACTGGGAGAGCAGCCCACAGGGCCGCTGCCACGCTCAAGCAGCGCAACATTGGAGGCAGAGCTGGTAGGGAGAGATGGCTGAAAGAGTGGGCGGAATGATGGAAGACGCAGGAAGAATCAACTCCTTGAGGTGCTCATGGAGATGAGGTCCCTCACTGCAGTGCAAGTCTGAAGGCCTTTCCTGAGCGAGTTGAGGGCAGTGGTCCGCATGATGGGCTTTTGTATTATCAACCCAAGTCCACGTGTGACTGTCGGGACGAGTCGTGAGGGATTTGCACCAAGGTAGCAACACAGTTTGACACGCAGGAGCGGTTGCATCTTCCTGGGCAGGCATCTCGAGGCCCGCCATCCTCCCGCCATTGTTTTCTTCGCAACGTTTATCCTCCAATTTGTCCAACACATGAGCCGCTGAGCTGAAGGGCGCCGACGATACTGGAAGAGGCCCGCGCGCGATGCAACAATCCAAGTCTTGACTTTGGCCAAGACAAGCAGCATGCCACGCGAGCAGAGATTGTGCCCCTGCACGTCCACCACTGGGGACCTGGAAGGAGCAATAGAGCCGAAAAAGAAGCACTAGTGGGGATTCTCCCATCTGCTACACAGTCTCCAAAAATGGTGTACCTGCCTGTTCGAGCTCGGCAGCTCCCGCAGGATTGGACGCCACACGACTAGAGCCTGTGAGCTGCTCTAACCGCGACCATCGTTACATCAGCGTATTTATAGCAGCAGCTTCTGCCGCTCGGACAAGCCCGAGATTGAGCTCGGCCTTGGCACTGGATACACCACAAACCACGATGCCAGCAAGCAAAGGGCTAGGTGCCTGCGCCTGGACGGCCTCCCGTGCGGAACGTCCCATCACAATGGCCACCATGTCGCGCATCGTGATCGACATGTCGTTTCAGCAGGTCCAAGTGCCCCTTCGCCGATGCTTAATAAGGTCTGTGTGCTTGTGACGGGCGGGACATTGGCAGGTTCATGGGCGTTGCCCCGGTGCAATGTAACATTTCTAGTAGTGGTGGACGAAGAAAGACACCCCTGCATGAGTGGTTTTGCTGGCAAAAAGATCTATTGTCTTCGCGATAGGCATAATCAGCGAATAATACTTATACCGTGGCTGCGATCGGATCAAGGCTTGTGATGTTCAGCAGCTCCTTGCGCCCTTCTTGGTCACTCGTCTCTCAGCCCCCTGCTTCCTCGATCTCGCCTGGCCTGTGTCCTGCCCGCTATGCGAGTCGCTCTGTCCATTCTGGCAGGAGCGCTGCTCGTGCCTTCGGGTGCCTGCTTCGGCGCTCGTGGCGCTGCAGAGCGGTAAGAAATGAACTGCCCGGCGTCAGACTTGCCCAGATGCGAGCCGCTTGTCTAACGTGAGCAAACAGAGCGTCATACTTCTCGACTTATATGGGTGAAGAGGTTTTTGAGAATGCTGGAGACAGGAAGATCGCCACTGGCTGTTTCGGCACCAGGACGGGTATCCGGGGTCAGGCAAATCGTGTAAGTCTGGCAGATGTGCGGAACGACGCGAATGCTTGCGCTCCACTAACGTGTTTCCTTGTGCCTTTTTCAACAGTGCAACCTCATCGAATTCCTCAACTATATCCGTGACGAAGTTACAGACGGGAATCTGGCACTCAAGGACGATGTTGCTATCGGCGACCGAAGCGTGAACCAGGCAAAGTACCAGTACTTTCCCAACCCGTGGAACCCCAACCCCCCAACGCAGATCTGGACCGGCCGCGACTGGGGCCAGATGGGACAGTTGGAGGGCATGACGCCAGTCGACCGGGCCAAGTGGATCACCGACATGGTGGATCAAGCCAACATCAAGAAAATGAATGTCATGTTCGACATCCCCAGCGACCGGCACCCGAGCTACGCAGAATTCGTCCGGCGCAACCCGGGCTGGACCGTCGGCAGCACGCGCAAGGGCGAGGGCAACGTCAATGGGGTGCCTCAGATGAGGCCTGGCAACAACATCGCGTGGCAGAACGTGCAAAATAGAGATACAATCCTTTACACGGGGAATGTGAATTACCAGCGTCTTGAGGGCATTGCCCGGCCCGCCGGCAAGCCGTCGTGGGAGGCAATGGTGGCGGCCTGGCCTGGCTATCAACAGCGCGTTAACAACGCCATCAACTCTGCCACCGGTCTCGACCAGGCTACCAAGGACAGGCTCACTGGATGGAAAGATACATGCATCAAGAGCTATGACATTGTTGTCGAGCTGCGCAAGATGGGCCTTGACGAGGCCGTACACACTCAGCCCCGAACGGGAAATCACCAGACCTTCTCCCAATACTGGGCTGGCGACATCATCACGACAACCTACAACTCGCCCACAGGCTACTCGTGGAGAATCATGGATAGTGTCGCCACCATTCAAGCCGCCGTCGATAGTGGCAGGTTTGCAAACAGGGAGGCGGCTGAAAAGGCATTCTTCACAGCCTGGGGTCAATACACTGCCCAGGACTCCGTCATTGATCACCAGGACGTGTTCCAGAAGTGGCGAAACTCCGCTGCTGCTGCTGCATCCTGTTCGTGAGCTGTCGTGGTTTTTGAATCCACCGCAACGCCTTGCTTTTAAATTCAACCGCAGAACGCGCAAGGTTTGTTGTGTTTGACCTTGCGTCCAAGCCTGGCTTAGCTCTCTCTCGCTACCATGTTTGTTATTGTGAAACTTCTAGTATTAAAATATTCAGTTCTTGAACAGATTTGAGGCGATTCAACTACGAAATTCATGCGGACAATAAGCCTGTGATAACTTGACCGAGTACATCTCACCTGGGGCACAATATAACATTAATACTAGGTTTAGTCTCGTATCTGTTATCTTTCTGGAGTTACGCTCGGTTCAAATGAGCCGTTGCGGCTAGCAAGATATGCTGTAAAGCAGTTGCTACCTTCGCTACATGCATCGAGAACGCCACTATTCGTGCCGCCGCTTTGATCGGAACGGACAGGTTGGTCAATACGCATCAAAGTTCTACGGTATCTGTGTATCTGACTCCAGAATCCGTCCGGTCCTGCATATGTATACACACTTCCCGGGAACGTGTAAGTAGTCGTTTCCAACGTGATCGCCGGCAATTGTTTTCATCTAAGTACAAGATATAAGAACAAGCAAAGACGATATCGTTTTCTTTTTACAAACTCACCCACGCAAGTCCAGCTGGATTTTTATTGCCCCCGAAATCTAAGCATTCTGAGTCTCGACAACGCGATTCAAAGTCTCTGTCTGACTAACCGCTTCGGTGTGCTAATATATCTTGACCACTCTGCATCTATCATTGCAGCCACTATCAAGTACTTGCTGTCACTCCTTAGTTGCCCGGCACGAGACTCAGCGGGACCAACGAAGGTGATATGACTCGCGAATAGTGCCTACAGTAGGATTTCTGCTGTAGTTTAGAATATTGGCTCTACTATGCCGTGGCGTGCGGTGAGAACGCAGTCGACCCTAGCGGGCTTATAAGAGCCCTGCGTACGGAATTCTGGATGTTCTTCAAAACGGCATTGTGCGAGCGGCGCTTCTGTAGATTTGGTTGCCGGCCGATGTATAACTTTTCAAATTGCCTGAAATGTGCCAATGACTAGAGTGAACACGTCATCAGCCTTCGTACAGTTTTCCTTTTGTCAATTTGGAGCCCACCTACGCGATGCAAGGCGTGACTGTCACGCGAGAGAGAAAGAACAATCCTCGCGGGCAGCGGACCTCAGCAGCGGGCCTTTTACAACGCCGCCAACAATAACTGCAGGAGAGGCACTCTCTTTAGACTCCGTAGCGGCTGCGTTTAAAGCTGTGACCTCCGACTACTAATGTTACCAATCGAGGGACGGTACGAACGTTCATGCCAAAATCTAGGGGTTAGTAGGACTGCCCATAATGGCACTAAACGATCAATGGTTTGATTGTGCCATGCGCGACGTGCTGATCGCGATCCCGTACTCGTGGGAAAGATTTCTTCGTTCGATTTTCAAGCTCTGTCGTTAAGTACGAAGCTCCGCATTCCACGAGCCCTCCGGATAGACGGCTGTCAGGACAAAGCCACCACTGGACCGGAGCCAAATCCGCGGGGACCGGTTGTCTTGAATGATATGGTTGACTCTGCCGTACTGGTATGCGTCGTGGACGAGGTGGATCTTGCGCCGCGGCAGGTTGTCTAGGTCCTTGGGCGATAGCCAGTAAACGACAAACACCTCGTTGTTGCCGTCTCGCACGTACACCCGGCTCTTATTTGTGGACTGACTGTACACGGTCGTTGTGGGGAACAACTTCATCCCAAGCGGCCCTCTAAAGTCCCCGACTCTTCTGCTTGAGAGGATGGCGACGATCCCGCCTTGCGAGTCCTGCATCTTAGGGTCCTTCTCGATGTAAGGCACCTCCATCATGAGCCCCCAGGGTGTCGGAGTCATGGGCTCGACCTCGAGCGCCCAGGACGGGACGAAATGGACAATGCCGCCCGCATTGGCAAACTGGCTCGGAGAGGGCGCCAGCACCGGCCCAAAGGTCGCCGAGCGCAAATCACCCACGTCCAATTTCGGCAGCCAAGCCAGTACCGAGTCGTCGGTACCTTTGTGGATGATCTCCTCCTGCAGCCGACGGAACGCGCTCCCACGTCCCTCGCCGTATAAGGGAGCCAGGATAACGCCAAATATACCGAACATGGAATAGGACTCGTCCTCCTCCCGAGTCGCCGCTCTCCGGGACGCCCACGACATCTTCTGTGCTACGCTAGCTAGGTTAAAGCCAGCCTGACTCGTCAGTGCTTCACCAGAGATACCAGTAATCTCGCTAAGCAGGCGAGACCATGTCGGGTCCGTCTTTTTGCCGAGCCGGGTCCATTCGCGCGAATAGAGAAAAACGTAGGCCGGGGCGATCAGCTCTTGCAGCGTCCAACATCTCCAGAACCAATGACAGCGGGCAAGCCTCTCGGTACGAGTATCCTTCTCCCTGGGGCCCTGCGAGCGAGGACTGTGAGCCCCAGTATTGTCCCGGAAGGTGTTTGGGTCAAGGTGAACTGGAGATAGCATCTGGTCTGAGATGTCGCCGAGGTATACGTAGCAGATATCCGCCTTGCGGTACCACGTGAACATAGAATTTATTGCTTCTGAGAGCTCCGCGCTAGACGACTTGTCGATACAGCAGTTGTCGATCCAGATGTACTGGTAGCCACCGCCCCGTGCGAGTTTCACTGCTCCTTGGAACATGGCGTACCCGTGCTTCACATGTGCCCGATCGTTCTCGATATCCTGGAAGAGGACCACGTCATCCTCCCAGGTAAGCGAGAGGATCGCGTAGCGAGGGGGCGGACTAATAAGCTGGACGAGCCGCTCTGTGGAAGTGTCGACGAGGCGCATATTGGTAGAGTAGACGGTTAAGCTGTTCTGTCCTCTTTAGAGCCTTGCGAAGTGTGAACACCGCTATATCTGGAAGAACAACGACTTGAGGCTGTGCTAACTGCATGCGAGACATGCAGTTTGTGCGGGGGTGTCGTGTTGGCTGGCCACAAGGCATCCTGCATTGGCTAACTGGACTCTGCTAGCTAAGCCGTGTCTACCCCTCATTGTTCCTGAAACTTGCATAAAAGACCTCTGCGTTATCTTAGGGATCAATGTGCATGTTCACAAATTGGCCTGTCGGGCTTTCCTGTGTGAGGCGTGTTGCTGTAGGCGTGCCTGGACGATATCACGGCAACAAAGCGGGGCATTATGTCGATGCAGCGTCTGAGCGCCAAACCCGGTATGCTGACTGATGGCATCAGCGACCCCTGTGAGCGGCGTTAGAAACTCGCTGAAAGATCAGAGCCTAGCCGGAAGGCCAGATGCTGGCCGAGCAACATCAGCATCCCTGTTGGGACTATACATGAGTGCAGAACGGCGAAATTCGATTCATGTTGAACATGCCACCCTCATCAGTTGCGACGTCAAACGCTTCGCAATCTCTCAGATCGAAAGAGGGCATGCCAACAAGGACGCATAAGACATGCCGGTGACCTGCCCACCAAGAGCGACATAAACATTGTCGACGGTGGCAACGTCGCCCCGGGACAAACAACGACGGGGCGTGATCTCCGATCATTTACAAAAAAAGCTGGGGGGGACGTTTTCTTGAGGCACCAGAGGTGCGGCCCTCAAGTTCAGTTATGAGTCTCTTGGCCTGATGCACTCATACTTGTACGGCCAGGACACATGGACAACCATCACCTCTGGGTCTGATGGCAAGACTATTGTTCGTAAGCAGGACATAGAGAGCTAGGCAAGAACGTACCACACCCCGAATCCACTAATTCTCACTCGATCAACTACTGATCCCGCATTATCGCGACTTATGTATGAAATGCGCGGTGTCAACTTTTACGACCTCTAATAGCTAAACCAAACATGTCGGCACGCATGATTGTGCGGCACAGAGCCACATTCCGGCTGATGGAAATGTTGGTCGCCATTAGGAGCTTTTTGATCACGTTGACCAGTTCTTTTTGTCGACGTGTCACGCGTGTCTTGTGTGGGCGTAGAGCAGGAAGTCCCCGAGGCAGCAGCCACATGTGGCTCTCTGCGCCATGCCTGTAAAAGGAGCTGATGGCATAGGAATAGTGTTGTGCGGACGGGAGAGGCGGAGGAAATGCCGATCGCCGCCGGCGCGAGTCATGGGTCGTGGATCGTTTCCCTGAAAAATGGCCGAAAACCACACGGGGACCAGAAAACGTGGAAACAGCTTGGCAGGTAAACCCCCGGCGAGCTATGACATAATCAGTGAATACGAGGCGGCCCCATAAGTCTAGTGAAATGAAGCTTCCTTGGGCTCTCTCGAAACCCTAGCTCCCAGCGCGCGTCCACGGCTAGCGTGTCAGTGATGAGCAGGGGTCTACCTCGTGAAGGCAGCCGGCATTGATCGTGTGGAGCACCCGAGCCATCGAAATGACGTCCTGCCAAGGGTGCCCTGCTCGGTAATGAGATTTGACGGGTGACAGACGATTAATGCGGGGGCCGTGCAAGAACTTTCGGGTTTCCATTTAATGTATGTGATGGGATTTCCAACATCCCGTCGAAGAAAGTCGATAGCTCATCACCAATACCGGGCAAGGTCATCATCGCACGCCTCCTCACCATGATACCCAACTACAAGCTTACGGCTGTCCTGGCTGTCCTGCCGGCCCTTTCTGCCGCGTCGCCAATTGTCGGCGGCACGACCGCTAAGGAGGGAGCCTTCCCCTTCCTCGTCAGCTTGTCCAACAACGGCAAGCACTTCTGCGGAGGTTCTCTGCTCAATGCCACCACTGTCCTGACCGCCGCCCATTGCTCCGTTTACCAGAGCACCGCCAACGCCCGCGTCCGGGCTGGTACTCTCGTACGTGCTATGCCCACGCAGCGCAGATTGAAAATCTCCCATCACGATAGCTCTGCAAGCGGAGTCATGCTAACCGCCGTGGTGCACAGGACTGGACCTCCGGCGGCGTTGAAGTCGGCGTCTCAAGTATCCTTGTCAACCGTAATTACGGCATGGCCTCGAAGAACAATGACATCGCATTGTGGTACCTGGATGCACCCATCGAGACGAGCGCGGACATTGCCTACGCAACACTGCCTGCCGCGGGTTCCGACCCTGAGGTCGGCACAATGGTTACCATTGCCGGATGGTAAGTCGAAGTCACGCCCGCTTGTCTGGCTTGTGCACTCCCGCCGTCGTGGTACAGACGCGAGATGTCTGTCAGCTGCCGATACTAACGAATTCTTTGTACGCGCAGGGGCGCCACGGCCTCCGGCAACACCACGTCGCCGACAAACATGTTGCAGGTCACCATACCTGTCAGCGATCGCGAGTCCTGCCAGGCCACCTACGGCAACTGGAACGGCGCGGAAGTCACGGACCAGATGTTCTGCGCAGGCTTCCCCGAGGGCGGCAAGGGGTCATGCCAGGGCGATTCGGGCGGCCCTGTCGTCGACGCGCAGTCCAAGACGTTGCTCGGCGTTGTGTCTTGGGCCGACGGGTGCGCTCAGGCCGGCCGGCCCGGCGTGTACACTCGTGTCGGGCAGTTCATCGACTGGATTAAGGAGAATACTGCATAGACTTAGTAATTAATGGGATGGTGCCCGGGCACTGAACAAGAATAGAGTGTGGTCATGTATGTCTTCCAGCACCAAACGACAACCATGCCCGCACGGCACTCTAGTAGCATTCTTGAGCTCCTCACTCCAGACAAGATGTCTGTGCATGTCAAGCAGGCCCTAGAGTGCTTGGAAGCTTCTTGGTATGGATTGCGAATCGCTTGACAAGAACACGACCTGATCAGGCTTGTGAAGCGATTGATCCTTAATGAGAGATCATTCCAAGCGTGGCTTAAGTGAACTGCCTCCGGCAATTGCGGCTAGTAAAAGTCAGAAGTCCTTGACCACAACTGGGATAGGCTTCAAGCATACATAAGTCACTCGGTCCAAACTGGAAAGATCTCGCGCTACTACTCCTTCAAACCTTTGAGTTGCCTGAGCCCTTGTCATATGTCTATACGTGTCTCAGAACCCTGGGATGAGCCCGTTTATAAGCCCGCATAATCTCTGATCTGTGTGACGTACACGTGGGTGGGGTGCATCCACCGATTCATATCGTCCAAGCCTATAGTAACGTTTTAGGAGAGAATGTTTCAGGCGATCATGATTCTTCCTCAATTACAGTATATATTTCTCACGTATACTTCCTGAATATATCAGTGAAGCTTGAAAGTTTGCGTGGGGTAGGGAACGACTTAGAGCAGGGTCTAGCGCATTGCAGAGTTTTCAGTCCCTGCATGACCACTGGGCTCGCTGCTGCTGCTTCGTTGCACACACAATCAAGTTTTGATTCGCTGGTCCTCCTCACAATGTAACTTTCACTCGGAGGAAGATCTTCACCTCAATACGCCCTCTTGCACGTCACTTTTCGCTGTTTTGCATAGCACACACCAGGTGAACTGGTTCCATAATATGATATCTCTGACTATACGGTTTCGATATCCTGAACTTATATGAAAAGCCAGCACCGCAAACATGGGCACATTAGAAGTATTCATTCAGCTCTAGTTGTGGTTGTAGTTACAAGACACAGGTTGAATATGTTACAATTTCAAACATCTCAGCCTACGTGGGTTTCTAGTTCAATTGATCTGTTCTGGTCTTTAAATCATGCAATAGAAGTCAAACACAACCGGAATTGAAGTACGCAGTAACATTGTTGACCCAAAGTGCGTGTAGTATTATCTGCTGGTAGCAGCAAATCGTCCCGAATATGATATTGCTTCCGGTCTTCGTGGTATCAGCCCGCAGCTGCTATCTCTCATTGACAGCAACCCCTCTATAATGCTAAGACTGCATACATACACGCTATCGGTCGCGTTGTCATCTAGCTAAGTAAAAAAAGAGGGTCTGTCCAAGGTAATGTGTCGCTTGATGCACTTCATGATCGGTTTACCTGCTTGCACTGCATGAAGACACCGTGCGCCTGAATGAGTGTATCATTGAGGAGTTCCGACCCAGACGTCAATCCTTGGTGAAATGGATAGAAATCCTAGCGCATCGCCCATTCCTCGCAGCAATGGTAAACAAACCCATGTTGGCAGACACTTAGCATGCGGAACATAGCGGTATCACAGGCGGTTGAGTTTGTTGAGCATGAAAGACACTCATCCACTCAGAGGCACTATTTTGCAGCGAAGGATCCACGGATTGAGCATCGAGACTTCGACAACAACAGTGATAAGCAGTCACCCGGACTCCCAATCTCCCACGTGTGGTCCATATCCCAGGGTTTAGAACAGTATGACGACACTACGGGGCTTCGGCGTAAGTAACGAGCGTTGGTAGTCGTCATAGTGACGGATTAAGTATATTATCGTATATTGGGTTTCTTGATTGGACCTCTGTTAGCGTTTTAGGTAGAAAATTCAGAGAAGATACTCTTAGTCATTATTGTTACCCGGGAAAGATAGACTTTACATTTTGGCGAGATATATAGGAACCAGTTTATTATTGTATATGACAAGTTCGTATCCGATTACTAGACTTCATAAGTGTTTGGTCTTCTCAGCTCTTGTAAGAAGTGATAATTATTTTTGTATTGCAAGCTTGTTGGGGTCGTTATTCATAGCGTGGGGGCAAGCTTCCAACTACAGTCGCTGCGAGAAACAAGATTCTCGGCCTGTCCGGGAAGCAATCAAGCTATTCGCTTCTTTCAAGGGCTTGCTCAATGAACATTGATCCCTAACTGGCGCCCTTATAATCTTGCTAACATACAGTGCCCAGCCGCTTAGCTCGAGAACGAGCAAGGGACAAAGAGCACATTCAAACTAGATCCCATTGTCCAGTTATACTCGATCAAGTTTTGGGGGATTTGATATGCAAGTCATATGTGTATGTTGACGTTCAGCCATTATATTCTGAGACATTGTGTTCATGCGAATCAGTGTTCCAGCTGGGCTCTAGATAGAGCATACCAGTGGGTTGCGGAAGGACGTTGGAAGGCTGGTTGAGTTACCTTTCAACATATATAGTTACTGAAGTTTGAACACAGAACTGGGAGCTGTCATCATCAATGATACCACAACTGACTGGCGCGCGTGCATGGGAAGATGATGACGCATACTGAGCAATCTTGAAACAACACTTGATTTCACTGCAGGCCGCAAGATATCGTCGTGCGTCCGAAGGTTATCCCTGCCTTTCCATATCACTTAGTGATGTGGAGCTCGATGCTTTCAGAAGATCTCTTCTATCTCGAGCAGTGTCCAGATGGGGGTGATCCATGTTGATGTTCCACTGCCAGGACTCATGTCTGACTGACATGCTTAATGGGCGGGTCCAGGCCGTATCAAATGCGGGACAGAATGCGGGGGCGGGTGTGAGGCTCTGCCAGGGGTCTTCCTTGCCTTCCACAGGCCCTACCAGGTCTCTCCAGTATTAAGAGCTGCACTTGTTGACTTCATGCTTCTTGTATCCCTCAAAGTACCTCCTCATGCTGCCATGCCCTTTGAGTCAGGGCTTGGCGAGGAACGTGTCATCTGCGTCCGTCCAGCAGGCTCGCTCTGCATCTGGGGCAGTGGCCTGATGCGAGACGGTGGGCAGGGCTCACCACCCTAGGTGCACTCAGGCTCAGGTAGGAAGGTCTCCACACCCCCTTCTTGTTATTGCATGGCAAGGCTGCGTCACATCTTCTCCCAGTTGGAATTAACATGATGGTATCTCCCAAAAGAGCAAACCATCGAGATCGCCCGCTTCAAGTCCAATCGAAAGTACTTCAGGATTGGTAGTCACTGTGCCAAGCCTACATGTTTGTTGTGAGATGACGGACGTATGGATGTTCAGTTCCACCACCATCTCTTTCCACTATGGAGTGGCTGGCATTTGCGTGTTACCGATCTCTCTTAAGAGCGCTCATTTCGGGCCGGCTGGTGCTCAGTTTGCGATGTACGCGTCCTGTCGAGTGTGCATTTGCCTATTTGTTGTTCGTGTCTGTGTGACCGCGCAAGGGTATCAACGCCTCAGGCCATACGGAGTCTGCATTTGCCAAGGACCCTACCGGCCCCCTTTCCCAGCATAGAGCTCTTCGGTTGGGCCGGATGCTTCCGCCGCTCTGCCGTGGCTGGTTGCGTGGTCTCACTACCTCTGGCCGTGCATGGGCAGCCGGTGCATGAGTTGGGTGATGGCGCGAGACCCTGCCAAACAACGCGTCGAGTGTGCAGGCCAGACCCAGCTGGCGATTGGATGGGCATTACTGGCTGCACCCCACTCCTTTCACCGGACAGGCATTGAGACGCTCCAAAATGAGGGCGGCGTGCTCAAAGTGCTGTTTCCGTCTCTGATTATTCGGGAACTTTTTGCTCGTCTACCCCTGTCATGGCTGGAATGATGGCCAAATCCCAGGCCAGCTCTTTTGATAGCTGCAGGGAAGACTTGATATTGAAGATCGCTGACTGTCTAGCAAGTGCTGTGCCTCATGCGCATGGGGGCCCCTGAAGCAGGCGGTGGCCTTGTCATCGCACGCGCCCGGCTGATCTACCCGTGCCGGAACCAGTCAATCACGGAATGGCATGCTTGTTCCGCGGGCCGGACGAGAGATTAATAGCGCCAACACAGTGTGCAAAAGTTGCTTTGCAGGCCTGCAGCCGGCATTGAGATCTGCCTGACATTGCAAACCAGTACGGCCTCATAGGTGTCGGACAAGGGATGATGGGATTCTGGGACTTGACTACCGAAGCGGTACTGCCAGAATGCACCCAGACTCCCCGGCCGCTGGTTCTCATGCAAGAAATTGTCCATTGTTGGTGCCATCTACGCAAGGCACTCTGTCGGGCTTTTGGTGGATGGACAGGCACCTGCAGCACCACTGCTTTGTCCATTTGCGCAGTGTTGGCCGGCCTCGATCCCTGGCAGGAGTTATCCGGTAAGACTCCTTGCATCAGATACTGCGGCATGAACTCAGCTGGAAGAACGCCATGTAGGAATAAAGCGACCATTCATCCAAGCCCGCGCCATTCCTTGCGGAATAAGCCAAGGGATGGGGTGCCCCTAAACTGGGGAGAAACCAAACCGTGGTATGAGCAGTCCAGAGGGAACCTTGAGATTGTCAGCTACCGATGGTGTGTGTCCACAAGTCTCAGTCACGCCGAAGCAGAATCTCTGCATACAGGGGAGGCTACGAATGGATTGACCAGCTGCTCTCATGTGTGACTCACGACACTCGTCATAAGTGGTGAGCCTGGTGATGCCTGACACGTTGCTGGGCACAGCCAGCTCCCTTGCCCGCCCCGAGTGCCATAAACCCTCAGCGGCGACGTCAGGCATCGTGATTCATGTATATCATAGACGGTTAGACGAACCGAGGCAGCGATTTGCTCCTCTCTGATCGCGGGTCTCCTAGAGAAGGTCTTGAACACGGTTGGGTTGTCCACAAAATACAACGCTCAGTGGAATGACGCAGGGAGTGTCGGGTGATGCATATGGCTGCTTCGGGAGCCTGTCTTCAGCATGGATGTGTACCGAGCAATCGTGTCTGTGGACGGACATGCTGTGCCGGAAGCTGGTCCGGAGCTGCCGACACGCGACTGGGTCCCCTCGTCGAGCAGTTGACCTTGCACGGGATCGCAAATGTTGCTCCTAACCAGGGTTCGTGGCGGACTGTGAAGGATGGGAGGCAGCACACATGACGAGCACTGCACCGATCATTGGAACGCATATGCTCAGACCGTAACGCCTGAACTCACAGGCACCGTTCTTGACGTCATCCTACTGACCGTGAATGCCCACGCGACGTGTGAAATGGGACATGTACGTGTGCTGCAAGACTCATCCATTTGAAAGGCCCTGCAATCCGCGAACTATGGCGTGCCTTGAGCCTTCAGGAGATCTGCTGTTGTGAAGCCCCCCTTTAGAAACAGGCCCAGCTTGGCATCCGGGATTTTGGCTCATGTTGACCGACTACCCGGACTCGTTCACGCCAGGTCAACAAGGCGCTGGATCCTGACCTTCAACAGGCTGGCGTGCCCTGCCCAAAGACAAGACCCAAGGCTAGACGCAACCGAAACGCTCGTGTGGACATCCATTGTTCTCTCCATCCTTCTCGTCAATATGTCCATCTTCTTCCGCGCCTGGACTGCTAATAGCGCTGGACAAACCAGGCGTGCTGCTCCCAGAGGGGCATCGGCTAATAAGGATGTGACCAAGAACCCAGGGCGTCAGCGAGACAGGCGCGTATGACCTAGGTCACCTTCGAAGGGGTCCGAGACCCAGCGCGCCCTCTCAAAGTGGGCGGCAGCACGCAAAACCAATGCCATCGTGGTTGTGGCGCTTAAGAGGTGTTTCTTGCCGTCATAACTCCCTGAAATAGAGTGGGAAAGTTTGTGCTCGTAGTTGCTTGAGTCAAGAAGCCAGCAACTCTGCACTCTGATGGCATGCTTCGGTGCGGGTGTGTATCAACCAACGCGCCCCTGAGCATCCTGTCGCGACTCACAGTGTGAAGGAACTTTGGAAGACTGGGTTGAGGACTGGAGGCTGCCTTGTCCTTGCAAGATCAAGACGCATTACGCGGCCGGAACCAGGCCCTCAAGTGGTGGCTGTTGGTCCAGAGTATGACAGGCACTCCTGGCATATCGGCACCCTGAATGACATCCTAGTCAGGCCGATCTCTGTTCTGTTTGAAAGGCTTGGACACTCCGACCATGTCGCCACCCTTCCATATACGATGTCATGAGAATCGAACCGCTTGACGTGGCTGGTCGTCAAGTGTCTAGTGTACACCCTCCCATGCCTCAAGATGTTGCTGGCTGCATCACGGAGAGGGGACGTGGTTTCGGTGAGGCTGCAGTGGCGTGGACGCGCATCAGCCAAGTTCAGCGCGTCTTCCCACTATCAAACAAGGGGGGCAACCCCCAGTATGGCGCGCGAAGCCCATGCACGGCACCGTGCTCACACTCTAGCAGGGTTATCCCAGCAGCTAGCTAAGCGGAGAAAGGACGTCGAGGGCTGGGGATGCTCGCAGCTCCGTTAGCACACAACCAACAAGATTTATTTCGGAGTCTGCCAGCAATCGCAATCCACGCAGCGTCCTGGCCCCGAACCCTCTCCTCAACACGTTCTCACGGTCAGCACCTTGGTGCAAGTGTTGTGCCTTCACCTAAACATAATCCGCGCCCCCTGGGGCCAGATAGTGTCCCGGGCCTGTACTACACGATCTCAGCATCTGGTGGTGCTCCCGTCAAGATGGCGCAGCCACCGAGGACAGCGTAAGCCGCAAACCATATTCCACCACTTCGCAGTGTCTTCCAAAAAGCAGGAGTACAACTACTGACGTCCATTTTCAGTGTCCTCAGCATAGACCTTGGCAGCACAAGCCTTCGAGCGGCTTTACTAGAATTACCACGACGGAACGAGCCGCATGCGCAAATCTGGCATAGAGTACTCAACCCAAACCACGAGGGTCATTATATCAGATTCAAGGCCTACGAATGGCCTATCATGTTCGACCTCGGCGCCCTCAACTCCGAGTCTTCTCCCAGACCCGTCTGGCAACGTCGTCATGTCGTTGCGAGCCCTAGCTTCCTGTCGGCCAAATACAGCATGTACTTCCTCGCTAAAGCCAAGGAGATGCAGGAGCAGTACTGCGTTATCGGACCACAGTTCCCCCGAGAGCACCCAGGTCTAGAGAAGATACTCAACAAGGGCATGCTGGAGCTGTTTACTGCTGTAAAAGTGGTAGTCGACAGACTGTTGGAGCAAGCACACCTCAGAATCGGTCGAGTTGCACTTTCGATTCCGTCCCAATGGGATCAGCGATTCCAAACCGTCTACGAGAACCTTATATCGAGTGTTTTTCACGTCCCGGTCGATCAAATCGCGTTCGTGAAGGAAGTCGAGGCGATCGCACATTACATGTTCAAAGACGAAAGGTCGTACCTGCATCGGAGAAAACGAGCTTATGATCAGGAGCGTGTGATCTTCATTGACCTGGGTGGTCATAGCACAGTAAGTCTGCAGAATGTAGCGTCTTCGTTGGCTGGCCAAAGTCCAAGAACACCGTGGTTAACAAGCTTCTACGCGAAGAACTATTGCGCCTACGATGTGATGTATGGTCGGGACGTGAAATCAACAAACTTCATCCTTGACAACGAAACTCATGGTCAGTTCGCCAATCCCTCCGTCCATCAATTATTAGCATAGACTGACGAGAACGAGCAATAGGCGTTGGCGGCGGTTCTGAACACTGGGAATTCCGAATGATACAAGAATGCCAGCGGATTGCCAAACGTATGCCAGGTCGTCGGGGCCGTGATCTGCCAGCGCAAGCCCTGAAGGATCTAGCTGCACAGATCAACGCTGCTCAACGAGGTGTCATCGGTCCGGATCGACGACAGGATTTCGACTTCATGTTCAGGGAAGGAGCAGCTCAATCGCTCACACTACCTCATCGAACTATCCGGAATTGCTTTAAGGAGGCGTTCAAGAGGCCCTTGGCTGCCATTATGGAACAGGTCAATACACTCGCTAGCGGAAAGGGCGGGTTACTTGTGCTCTCTGGAGGCAGTTCGCTCATCGGTTGCTTACAAAACCATGTTCGTGACCTTTGTCTGGCAGTGGACCTCCCCCATGAGCCGATCTTTGTCGAAACCGACGACCGGGAAGGTTCAGGGTAAGTCTTTCCTTCTGACTGGAATCCTATCACATGATGCAGAACAACGCCACAAAAACAGAATTAACGCAACGTTCTCCACAGGCACAAGGTGTTCGCAGGTGCTGGCTACGCCGTTGCGCAAGGAATCACTGCCCGCATGTTCATGGCTCAAGGCGCCGCCTTCGCCTTACAGAGGAAACTCGGCAGCGAGGATGAATTTACACAATTGTTGCTCCACGAGGTAACTGCTCCCACGGAATCTCCCAGGCGCTCTTGGCATGCTTGGCCCTCATGAATACGGACTCACAGTTCATGCTAGGACCAACAACAGGCATCCTTTGACTTCCGAACCTCTGGCAAAGATGACTGGGTCATCATATGCGACCCCCTTTTCGGGTCTAGGCCCGGGGTCAACGCTCCTGATGACGGTGCCGTTCGTTATGGAAACGCATACGACGTTGCGGTTCTCGGGAAACTGCGGCGTGGTACGTGGAAGATAGACATGTCCTGGCACGACCCCAAGTCAGGCCACAAGCACGCTATTTTCGGGTCTGACGATCATCACAAATGCGAGTCACCAATCGGCAACCTCTGTGTCCAAATCAGGCTCTGGTACGGGGGCCGCAAGCCACGGGGCCAGCCTGACAAGAAGAATGAGTTCCTCAAGACACTCTACACAAACGTATACATGGAATATGGCAGCAACTGCGCTTTCTTTGACATCGAAGACGACAACAAGCGGACGCTAGCCAATATATGCGAACCCTTTCGCAAATTCAACCCGAATTCCGATGAGTCGGAATCAGATTCAGACGAAAGCCTGCAGAGACCAAAGCGCCGGCGAACCGCGTCACGACGGCTCCCATCGAGAAGGGGAAGAGGTCAAAGAGGCCGAGGGGGGCGAGGGGGTCGAGCTGCAGCGGGACGCGGTACTGCACGCGACTCGAGCACGGTCAAGGACCAGCCTCAACGCGCGGTAGAGCTCCAGCAGCTCGATCAAAGTCAATTCGTCGTCATCGCATCTTCCCCAGAACCACAACCCACCAGGTCAAGCCCCCATCAAGCCGACAATGGCAGTGGCAATCCCAGCCAAGTTTCTACCGAAGAAGCTTCACTTCAAATGACTCACGTGGGGACACGAAGTCGAATCTCTGGGCAGCCCGTGCCCCTGGCGAATGGAAAATGCGTAGCGGATGACCGTCGAAGCCATGATGCCACCAGACAGACGACAGGGTCCGCCAGGCCCTCGCGGGTGTCACAGCGGTCTCTTGGCTTGAGCCCCGCGAGCGATGCGCAAGCGGCTCAAGACCCGGGAAATTCAAACAGTCCCAACGCCCACAATCTGCACGGCATGCACAACCCTGCTGGAAGCGACCCAGAAGACGATAGAGTGTTCTCATATATGGCGGCGCAATACCAGCGAGACAAGTCCTCCACAACGAGAGGTGTCGAGGCTGATAAAGGAGCTGCTGTCACCTTCCCAAGTCCCGTGATTCCCGCACACCTACAGCTACATGAGGAAGCAACGACAATGGCCGTGACACATGATCAGAGCAATGGAACCTCACCATCCACCCCAATGTCGTCGTCGGCAGCGAGACAGTTCCTGTCCCGAACCAGAAAGTCTTCGCGGCCATTGGCACATTTCGCACAGATCTTGTGTACGCCAGACCTCGATTCCGCCGTGGATGCTTCAGATCAGCTGCACGACGGCTACAGAGAACAAGAAGACGCGCAACGAACGCCCTTGCCAGGACACTCACCGTCCAAGACCCACGTTGGCGGCATCACAACAATATTGTCTTACATACCAGGGCTGCGAAGTACCGATGAGTGAAGGGGGGAAGGTGAAAGATTTCACAACACGCTTTATGTTGGTCCTGCTGAGGTTGCAGTTGTTGGTTTGCACGCTGTAATCAGCCGACAAGCTCGTGTCCCAATCACCCAACTGCACTACACCAAGCATTGTTGAAAGGCCGCTAGCAGAGTCCTCTAATAAAAGAAATACCTCCTTTATTCAATCCATCCGTGACCAGTAGCCAAGGGCAAGGTATCGCGGGATGCTCGTCTGCTACTTGAGCGTGAATGTGAATGTTGTAGCATTCAGGCTCGCCAGGTGTGCATGGCTCGCCCACACTGAGAACTGCGTGCTGCCCCATGTTGACAGCGTTGCGCGCCTGAATCTGTGGCGGCGGTTATGTCCGCCTACCCCTGCCCCAGGTGGGACCACCCACTGCCGCTTGCTGCCAAGGGGTGAGTGAGGTCAATTTACAGTGGCAAACCCCCTGATGAACTCATGAGAGCAGTTGAATGTCACATTTTGTTGTGTGCGAACAATATTATTTAAAGCATTCTCCCATGGGATAACCAGGCTGGAGCCCATTCAGCTGGTCGAATTGAATCATGATCAAGGTTGTCAAATCGCACCAGGCCACAACATGGCGTCAGCCCATCGACAGATTAGTGAACGAATGCCTGCCCTTGAAAGATTGTCAGCTTGATCGCTGTGGACTTCAGTGTGCTGAAGTTACCTTTGTCATAGGAGCTTGGCCCGAAGGAAGCAAGAACTGCACTCCCATAATTTCCGCAGTCACCCTTCTGTAAGACATCAGCCACGTGAGTAAAACTCCGCATATTTCGATGCCAATTTTCCTCAGTTGCACCGCTGCGGGGGAAACTTGAACGACATGGACTCAGAATGCAGCACCGTTGTGCGCGACACAATCTTGAAATCAGCGTCCGTCCCAACCTACGACAAGGCCAGTCCGGTGGCCACTATGCGGCGGCTCCTGAGCACGGCCACCAAGGCGGAATCGAGCGCTTGCATCCATTCTATGGCGACCCTGTGTTAGTTGTCCTGAATGCATGGCCTTGCATCCATTAACAATGACAATCGATCAAGCATTGTAAATACCTTGTTATGCTCTGGTTCACGATATCAAAGTATTGCGAAAGGCATTTTGCTAATTCGGGCATTCCTCGGAGTGACCTGCGCTCTGAAATTCGGTAGAAAGGGTGCTCAAAAGCCAAACTAGAATTTGAAGCTGGGAGCATTGCTTTACCGACTAATTCTCGATGGGTGCCCTGATAATTAGTTCAGTTTCTTCGGATTAAAAGCACTCATCAACTAAACCCAGAGCCTAGGTAGACATAGATACGACTAAATATCACATGAAAGCTGCAAGATCAGGTGGCCAAAACAAAACTCTGATACACCTGGGGCTAGGTTCGTGTAAGATCCTTGTGGCACGATCGTGACATATATCAAGTTAAGTAAATATCCATTTTTGGCGTGATCCTTGTATACAGTAAAATGGGTTGCTTCAACAGGCATATGTGAGAATCTGGGCCGGTTACTCATTGAAATCGGCGATAGGAGCGTCGCTGACTCCTCGTACGAGAAAAGGAGCTTATTGCGGCCCATTCGCACCATGCAAACGCTTTCTATGGCTCTTTCTCGACTGTCATCGTGTATCATTCTCCCGGTTTGTCCACCAATGGATCATAATTGATCTGTTTCGGGCCAAGTTCCCTGCAACGGCTGTATAAGAAAATAAGTGCTGCTATGTCCAGTCGTATGTATCACAGATATCTGGGTTGAAGAGGGCATACAGAGTGAGATATGCAATATCAGGGTGGGAGCCGAGGCGTGTGATGGATTAATGACTTGTTTACAGTTCTCAACACTGGGTTGGAGCATCTTGGCGGAATGCAAGAACAGCATGAAGGGCAGCGAGGCCATGGAGAGGACAAGTAGGGAGAGCAGCATGGCTCAGCTTCGCTGGGCACCTGGCTTTGACGGTGGCCGTTTCATTACTGTTTCGAGCATCAACGTAGGTTGCACATACTTCCTGGATATGTTGCAGTTCTCTGATGACAGCTTGGTAGCTGGAGACGTGGTTGGGGGTATCTGATGCTGCCTCTATGGGGTTCTCATGAACCTGGACATAATGCAACAGTCACAGCCAGCTCCATGAAACTTTGCCAAGTTGATCGCCTCTTCTTCCACAGGACTTGTAGCAGGGTTGAGGTTCGGAACCTGAGGCCGCAGGCAATCGCGTCATCACCCTGACGTTTCCTGCTCTCCATCACGCAGCATCGTCTCAGGTCGGGAGTAGGATGATCAAGGGTCCTGACGTTTTGTTGCAGGGGTCAGCGGCGGGATGTTTATCAGGGCTTGGTGATACACGGAGTAACGACCAAACCCTTCAGGGGGGCTGGCTTACGTTGTGCCTAATGAAGAGTCCGTGCCCCCATCTATACCTTGTGACAGAAACCCGATAACCCGGAATATGGGACCGGACCGGTCACAGGGGTGCCCAGTTCTCGCAGCAAGTGGAGAAGGGCGACAAAATTACTACCAGGCTGCATGTCATGCTCTTCATGGTTATGGACACTGGCCGGTGTCATGAAGCGCTCGGAATCGCCGAGATTCTTCAGCATTATTGCGCTCCATTTTCTAGGCCTAGTGCCTTTTTGGGAAAAAAAGCCTTTCCATTTCCCAGTTCGTGTCGGGACTTACTCTATATGGAGAGTGATCCGAGGCTCTGGGAACTTTTGTGCATATGATGCAACGCCAAGTTGCAGGTCACAACCAACTGCATATCACCCCTACACCATGCACTGCCTCCCGTAAGCCACCAAGAGCAGACACACCGGCTGACGTGACAGGGGGTCGCCAACCACCACCTCCTGGCACGGGTATTCAGCGAGCCTCATTATTGATGGGCATATCCCCGCAGGCTCAACACAATGAGGTTCCGAGCACTTCGATTAAGACTCGCAGCAAATGGAAGCCCCAGCAAGTACCACATCCAACGACGACCTGCCACTCTGCATATGCGAGCATCATGCCAGACCGAAAAGCCCAGAAGCCAACGCTTCTAGCAGAGCTTGAATACCTGCTTGGATTCTCGCTCGATGGTCCATTGAAAAACAAACCGGAAGAACCCTTTCTTTGCTTTGGCATTGCCACAAGCCGCAAGGAGCGCTGCGGTAACACAATCGGCAAGGGGAGAAGAAAGAAGATTCACGAGTTCCTCGTCAAGGTCGACAAAGCTGGTGATCACTGGCAGGTTGAAGAGTGGATCGATCGTATCAAATGGCTGATAGAAGCGGCGTGCTGTTCTGGCCACGATCACAGCGGGCCGTTAAAGACGAGACTCTACACATGGATGGAGATGCAGATGAGCGGGCACAGTACGCAAGGAGACGAATACGACAGCAGTACGGATGACGACGACGAGGATGTTGACGCTGAAGAGGCTGTCGAGATGGACGAGGATGACGAGCGTCACAAGCCTGTTAACGAGCTAAAAGATGCTCAAACTATCATGGGAAAAGCACAGACCGAATATATCAAGAAGACGAGTCGCCTAGGTGTGGCAGGTCCAGATATGCATCGAGACAACAAGGAAGAGTGCTCTCGTCCAGTCTTCCCCGCACCACCTGAGGAGATCGCCTTGTCCATCGTCGACGCTGGCGTAGCGAGTCTCTCGCTCATGTCTGAGAACCCTCGTTCACCGAGTCGACAATTACGCGAAGAGACCACGGTGTCTGACCTGGCGACCCAGACGGAGTCTCCCAGCTTGGTGTCTTCCACGAGCTACAGCACCATCCTTACAAGCTCACCAGTGTCTGAGATCACAGTCACCACGGCAATGACAACGCCAGAAGCCGAAGTTTCACTGCCCAAATTGGCACGTCTATCTTCTCCGAGCTACGAATCTCTGCCGGAGGTTGGTCTTGGCCTAGAAGAACGGCTCGCAGCATTGATCGAGCAGCACGACAGTGCTAGTCAGACACTTCGGCAGAACAACAAGAGCACAACCGAAAGGGAGCAAGAAAGGGCCGATCGCCTTGTACGCCTCTCCCTTCTCAAGACGGACGCTGACCGACTACTGTGGATCGCCATTGAAGCCCGTCCCGATGAGGCTGATCTGGTAGAGGGCTTCTTGTACATATGCAAGCACAACACTCTGGACGATGTATATCACATTGGCTGGACACGTGGCGTCGCCCATATTGATGGAGTCGCAACCACGAGCGACGAGGCAGGGCATTATGCCCAGCAGAGTACCATCTTGTGGCAAAGCGATGACAGGTTAAGGGGCGCGTCGCGAGCCAAGAAGATTGCGATGGCCATGCTCAAGGGATACAGTCCACAGCAGACAGTGTCCTGTAACATCCCCTGTTGCGCTAGAAATCACTGCGAATGGTTCCAGTGCAGTATTGAGACTGTCCACGAGGCCATTGACATGGCATTGTTCTATATCAGCCGGGCCTACGATGAGCGCGGCATGCTTAACGACACGGGCATCGTCATGACGGAAACCTACTTTCGAGCGCCAAAAGTCGGAGCTTCTGCTTCTCATAGCGCCAACGAAGATCGGCAAGGGCTATCTCAAAAAGCCGCTGTGATAGGGCCTACGTTCGACAAGATCCTGTCGAACGTGGATCAGGAACATCACGAGGTCTTGCCGGAACAGAGGTCGATCCGAGTCCGGGATCTGATCAAAACGTTCGCGGGAGACACACTTTCAAAGGCGGAGGACAAGTTCTCTAGGACAAAGGCCAGCTTCCACCGGCGTCGAAGTGGTGGGGACCAACATATGGACGCGGATAACACGATGCTCTCGATCGACAGTGCTTTGTCAAATACTGACGCAACCCCAACAAGTCCCCCTTCAAAGAGTAGTGCATCAAGCAAAACGCACAGACTGCGTTCTTTTGCCAGCAGGCGCTTCCCAAGAGCGAGCAACGAGACTCTACATTGAGAAGCCATGGTGGCCATGCCACAAGCTTGATAGGAGACATAACCCTCCTTCTAGTTTTCAACGAGTTACTGCTAGTCACTCGCTTTTTTGACTTCTCAATGCCGCCGCCCTCGCCCCCTTGCGGCATTTTGAATCAGGAAGAAGTGGGCTTTATCAAAGGCATCGGATCCGCGGTATTTTGAACAGGGTCCTGTGAACTATTGTGGCTGGAAATCTCATGAGTAACTAGAGTTGTTAGCTGAATATGAGACGTGGCTAATACAGATGTGCTTTGACACGTTGTCCTCGTGAAAGTCTCCCTCTCGCCAATGACTTCGATATTGATTCCCTTGCTTGAGTGTGCGCGCATTGCGCACGTTGGACGGTCTGGTACTAACTGAGTGATGTCGGAATCGATATCGCAGTCCTTGAAAGGGCAGTAAAGACCCGTCCATTGGATTCTTTATGGTCAAGCTGACCGCCGGTATCGCCTGGAAGGCACTAGACTTGCTCTCTGCTTATTGTTATCTTGGCCCGCATACGTTCGCCGCTCTAGCCCTCAACGCGGGTCGTGTACCCTGATCACTGGGAGGGCCACAGGCGAAGTCACAGTCTCCAAGCCCCACCTTCCAGCTTCAGGTATGATAACCCCGCTCTCGAATGTTGGCAGCTGATATTCCCAAGGCTTCAAGCCGCCTTGCTCTTCCTGCATACCAGAATACCACTGACGACCCCACTTCCTCTGCGGATATCTTCATTGCGAATCAACACCCCGACCAAGTCTGCCGCTTCGAGATGGCGGTTCAAATACAATCTGACGTCAACTCGTTAGCTTTTACCGGCCTGGGCGCCTACTCAACTGTCTTGTCTGCCATGTCGGCGGACAACGTCCACCCAATCGCCATGATACAGCTCGATATCTCGGCTCGCTTTTCCACGTCAACGGCCCAAATGCCGGTCGTGTATCGGAGGTCCTGAAGAGGGCCGTATCTCACCCAGTTGGCCGCCTGTCTCTGTCCATAGGCTGGCGGCGCGGCGATGCTGTCTCTATGCTCGGCGATTCAGCTGGTGGCCAGGCAATCTCACTGCTCATGACTGCCCTGGTGTGCATCCACCGTCGCGGGAGCTACGGTCTGATCCTTTCGAGACTTTGTTCTTCGCTACTTCCTGCGAGTATGCCAGCCTCGAATCCGGCCCACCTTGCTGATGTGGCCGACTTGGTTGCTGCCAAAGCTGCACAGCTCTCGTTTGGAAACCTGTTGGCCGAACAGACACATCGTATTCTCTCTGTCTATGATCAGCTAGGCATGCGCCCACCAGCAGAACTATTAGACTTACCGTCCACCGAGTCGACACAACAGCTGTTTGAGTGTCTCAGCCAACTACGAGAGGACAAGCATATCGTCCGTATATCTGGATCTGTAGGGATCATCTACGTGGTCACTCTCATACTATTCATGTTCCCGTATTCAGCAATGGTGGCAGTCCAGTCGATCATTATCCACGATAATGAAAGGCGGCCCATCATCATTCAGATAACAGCCGAGGGCCCCACCAAGGTCCAAGTCGAGACTAAACTATCCCTGGACTCTGTGATTTCCGACGCTCTCATAACAAAAGAGACGAGAACAGCCATTCGCCAACGATGCACATACCTCTGGGACGGGTGGGTAGAACAGGCTTTACGAGTCGAACTAGGCAGGTATGGACTCATCTTAAGGGACGAATTCCTCCAGGCGTTCTGCGACTTCATAGTGCAGATTACACAGCACCTGCAGCTGTCCGGCCATTCTCCCCTACAGCCGGCAAAGTCGCAAAAGAACTTCAAAGAGCTACTCGGCTGGAATTACCAGCGCCGTATTCTCGAGACATGCAAAAGAACTTGCCAATGCACCCCAGCAGTCAACACCATAGACCGGGTCAAGAGCTGGCGACACTTTTCGTCCATCTTTGCATACACTCTTGCGCCCATCCAGTGCACTTGCGACTATTGTGGGCCTTCAATCAAAGACTGGACGAGGGTATCCCGCAGATGCACAGCGCACGTCCTTTCCAGAAGGATTGGGTCCATCTTCTCCAACAGCATCATGTGTTGCCTCCTAGAGCCGCAAGGCTCAGTTTCCGTGAGCATGGATATGAACCGCGGCGGCTGTACGATAGACGGGAGTCATATTCTGCGCACGATACGCTCGTTGGGTGGAGAAATCTCCGCCGAGGAGATTGGCGACCGAGCATCGCCACAAATTGCCTACCCTGCATTCTTGAGTCTTATTAGCCCACGCGCGTACGGTAACGGGGACGTCCTTGGGGCCAGCTCACAGGGTTCGAGCATCTACCCCGTGGTTCTGGAAACCCTCGAGGTCGCATCTAACACGGCGTTCACGTTCGTCCTCCGCGAGGGTGTGTTCATTCATGACGGCAAGTACTACGAGCAGCTGGGTCCGGCCAAAGAAAGTGGTGCACTGCACGCTATGACAGTGCCACAGGAGCATTTTTTGGCGCCCATAACTCTGTCGGCACTTCAGCAGCCACTTCCCCTGACGGTGTCTCTGCGCGCAGGCTTCAACGAGATATTGCTCTCCTTCAATGCGCAAGCATCAGGGTGGTACTTCTTCGTGGATGCGTACGAGGCGGTCCAGGCCCTCATGTATCTGGACACTTCATGGCACTGCCCACACGACGTGGACAGTCCACTGCCAAGCATTTTGGAACAGGACGTCGCGATCAGAAAAGTCGGCATGTCTCCATTACTAGATAAAATCAACGTATACACGACGCACGGAGATCGTAGGGCTCAATTTCTGGCGGGCGGGTTTGTCCGCTACAAGGATGGATGCCTTCTCAGAACCGGCTGCTTGACTTGTAGTGTGCATAAAGCTCAACAACTAGGTTACCGATCGGTCATAGTCTAGGTACTGTGAATCATGACAATGGAGGACTTCTGCTCAGTTCTCGTTGGTCCTGGCTGTGTATCGAACCACAGTGTTTCCTGAAACCTCTCAAAAAGCTTTGTCATCCTGGCCGAAAAAACCATAATTAAGCCATACCACGACGCAACCATTGCCAATATTTTGCTTTCGCACCGGTGCATTTGACGCTCTTCTGAAATCTTTACAGACTCTCCAAGCCATCCTGCTATACCTGCACATAAACATCCAAAGCTCAACTTGTCAAATCCTGATGTGGGGTTTTGCCTTTCTCGGCGTCGACCGCTGTCATGTGAGTGTGCATCCGCTGGCCAAAAACCACTTTTTTGGACCGAACTCCATGTCACTCGGTGAAAAGTCGAAGCTGGAAGCATTCTATTGCATTAGGACTCTGTCCATGACTAATTCCAACATGAAGTACGATGATCATGTACACCTGAGCATGGAGGATAGCAAAGGCACATGACTGATATCATTTGCTGCCTCTTTCAGCGAGCTTTGCTAGTTTGTTTGAAAGTCGACTACTGAGCTGCTCCGTGCCATGTCTTGTCCACACGCTTGGCAGAAGTCCAGGCTTGCCGTGCTTCGATTCTATGACGTCGACTCCACAATCAGCTAGATTGTTAGGGCTGAGCATCCGAGCAAGCCTCAAAAGCTGATTCATTGTGACGCAGCAGCGTCGGGGATCTGGGTGGAAAAGACCACGTGACGTAAAATGCATCCACGGGAGCACGTCCCCACGCTGGCAGCACAAAACCGACCAGGGGAGCTACACCCCTGAATTCTTTGGCACCATAGCCCAGTTTAAACGCGTAATGGCGTGGGCTTGCCCCACTGAAATGCTTGTCAACCCCTGACAATCTCCACGAGCTTACTTAAGGTGGGAGTCCTCGCAGCGTTTCAGGGTCTCCCCGACGTCACTTGTGGGTGTTCTGCCGGCGTCCTGTGGTTTTCTGCGCCCGGCGCGCGAGCTGTCCACAGTCTGTCTGTTATCACGGTCATTTCTGGCATCACCTCCCCCAGTGCGCAAGTCAAGCCTCGGCATGCGTCTGTAAGCGCGTCAGCATTGCACCCCTGGGCGGCGCTCTTTTCACGCAACCACAACCACACTAGCTCTGCGCGGCACATTGCGCACACTGCCCCTGACCGCTATGGGGTGGCTGACCCAACGCCTCGGGGAGCTCTCCTCGTCGCTAACAACCGGCAACAGCCACGGGGACGAGGCATGGCACAGCAAAGACCGCGATGATATCTCGTTACCTCTCGCCCGCAACCACAATGACTTGGACACCTCTCACGCGCAGGAGGCGTACAACGCCTCGCCGGACACAACGGCCGCCACGCAAAGAAACAGCGCAGACAAGATCCGCGCCCTCGATGGCCTGCGCGGCATCGCCTGCCTGATCGTATACAACTACCACTTTCTCTGGCCGTGGACGCCCCTGATCCTGCTCGGCTACGGGTCGCGCCCGCCGCTCACACCCGAGGCATACAGCTCATGGACGCAGCTGCCAATCCTCTGCCTCCTGCACCGCGGTCGACCCATGGTGGCGATCTTCTTTGCCATCTCGGGGTATGTGGTGTGCCGGCATGTCTTGCGGATCATTGTCGACGCCCATGACGAGCACAAGCGGGAGGTGATGAGACATGGGGCCAACGACGGTGTGGGCAGTGTGAAAGGGATGGACAAGGCATACCATATTCTCGCAACGGCGTCCTTCCGGCGCGTGTTCAGGCTGTACACGCCCGCGACGCTGAGCATGCTGCTGGTGGCCGTGCTCGCGCAGCTCGGCGGCTTCAAGACCGAATTTGACGTCTACCACGGGCCAGACTCTGTGTACATCAACGGCAGCGTGGGGACGTACTCGGGGACCGTGGACGGGTGGAGGATCACGGGCGTGCGAGGATCCCTGGTCGGCAGCGACGGGACGAGCGTGTACCTGAGCCCGACCGTCAACGCTGGCCTGCTGGTGTTTGGGCCTGGCGGGGGCAGCACGAGCCCGGCGTCCGGCTTTCGACGCCACCCTTCGTACTCGCCTAAGGTTCTGGACGGGGACTGGTCCTGCGAGGGCTGTCCGTGGGTCAAGCTCGGCGGCATGTGGGAGGAGCACCCGCTGGTCTACGACTCGCTGTGGCACGCGGCGACAAACTTTACCAAGACGTACAACGACTGGGCGAACCCATTCACGTTCAACGCGCAGCACACGCGGTACGACCCGCACACATACACCATGCCCATGGAGCTCCGGGGGTCGATGGTGCTGTACTTGTTCCTGCTGGCTACCGCGCGGTTGCAGGCAGTGTGGCGGTTGGTTCTGGGCCTGGGACTGGCGATGTACGCGCTGCGGATCGGGCGGTGGGAGATTGGCACCTTTCTGGGCGGGATGGTGCTGTCCGAGGTCGACATCCATCTTGGCTGGCAGGGAAACAATGACACGACGGACGAGTACATCGCAGACAGCAACGGGCACGGACACGGGCATGCGAGGAAGAAGAGCACCGACCGCACGCTCCCTCGCCATCAGCATCACCCCAGCCCACACTTGTCCACCTCGGCAGCATCACGACAGCCACGCCTCCGGGCCAGACTGATCCGCTACACCATCCTCTTCATCTCGCTGTACCTCCTCTCGTATCCAGACACCCACGCCGAGGTGACCCCTGGTTTTCGCACCCTTGCAGCGTGGTGCCCGAGGTACTACCCTATGTCCATCGAGAAGTGGCGCTTCTACCACGCACTAGGTGCCCTACTGTTCCTCCCCTGCGCCCTGCGCACGCGCTTCCTCGCGCAGACGGTCCTCGAGTCCGAGCCTGCGCAGTACCTGGGCAAGATCAGCTTCGCGTTTTACCTGGTCCACGGGCCCGTGCTGCACAGCCTCGGGTTCTGGATCATGCCGCGGCTGTTTGACGCCTTTGGGGGCAAGGTGACGGGCGAGGTGAATGTGGCTGGGCTCCTCTTCGGGTGGGCGCTGTTGGGCCTGACGAGCTTGTGTCTGGCGGATGTGTGGTATCGCAAGGTCGATGTGTGGAGTGTGGGTGTTGGGCGGAGGGTAGAGCGGTTCATGAGTGGTGGTCTCTAGGATTTAGTGCCGAGGTTTATAGTAACAATCACAAGGTTATGCCTGCAATTTGTATTCTCAGTGACAATATCAACTCTTTGCTTGCTATGAACACGCTACACTAGTGATGCAGCCTTTGTCCGGCGATGCTTATAACACAAGTGGAAGGCCGCCAAGCATGCAGTGCCGTAACCGGATCAATCCCACCGAGGCATACTTGTCGTTATTGTTCGGCATCTCGGGGCCGCTCCGATGATCGGCTCGGCCACTTTGAGTGTGGGGTTCGGTCCAGCATAGCCCGAGGTGGTGGCTTCTCCTCCAGAAGGCGACCCAAATGCGGACCCTGAGTCGTCGAGGGAACCCTTTGAGTGCGGGGGAAAGTAGTGAAATTCAATTCGTCTTTTCTCCTCACCATCTCTCGTCTCCAGCTCGACACATCTTCACACAGAGACGTCATCCGCTAGAAACCCATCACAATGAGCTTCTCTGCCGTCCGCACAGCCCTCCAGAAGGCCCAGACGGCCTTTGGCTTCTGGCTAACGTGAGTGTCTCCAGACTTCTGCCTACAGACCCAGGCCAGCCGACCCCTCCTGCATATTGCCTGAAACTTCCTCCTCGTAACACAAGAACCCACTGGCGTATGCACTGTCGATTGTTAACTTTCGCACTCGCTGACAACACTCCTCCTCGCACAGCTTCCCTAGCGCCGCCGTCGCCAAGCAGTTCCTCCGCACTTCGGCCGCACACCCTTCGGGCGGCTTCAGCTGGGTCCTTGTCGACGCCGAGCACGGCCTGATTTCGGACCAGCACTACTATGAGGTGTGTCCATAACCGGCACATAGCCACCATGGTGCTGAGGCTCGAGTCTGTGCGCGCATGCTCCAGAGCGAGTCCAGACGAGAGTCATAGCACAAGGTCCCAGAGAACACAGACAACACAAGACAAGAGCACGAACATACCAGAGAGGAAGAACACAGAGGGCTGACGCGAGACAAACATTCGACAGATCTGCAACGCCATCGCCGCCGAGGGCGCGAGCCCCATCATCCGCATCCCCTGGGCAGAGGAGTGGATGATCAAGCGCGCTCTCGACTCGGGCGCGCATGGCGTGCTCACGCCAATGTGCCACAACGCGGTGCGTCTTTGACCACTCTCTCCCTGCATCGCACCCCAGCACGCGGCCACAAATTCTAAGCCGTGGCGGCTGCGCATATGAAAGGAAAGACTGAGGCTTCACGAACATATGGCTGACAACCCGCGACCTCAAAACAGGACGACGCAAAGAAGATCGTGAGCTACTCGAAATACCCACCCGTCGGATCGCGCGGCTACGGTCCGCTCTTTGCGCCGCACTCGTTCCCCGGCATCCAGCCCGGCCCCGCGTACGACGACGCGGCAGACAAGGGCCTCATGGTCATGGTGCAGATCGAGTCGCCCCAGGGTGTTGAAAATGTCGAGGAGATCACCAAGGTCGAGGGCCTAGACGGCGTTCTGATTGGTCAGTTTGGTCATAAATCACGTCTGTTCTTGATGGATCGGAGGCGACAAGGGCTGACACATGAGTGGTGATTTGACAGGACCTTTCGATCTCGCCAAGTCGATGGGCGTTGAGCGCTGCGGAGAGCAGCACGAGGCTGCGATCCAGCGCATCCTCAAGGCTGCGAAGGACGCGGGCAAGAAGGCTGCCATCTTCTGTGAGTCGATCTTTCGGCATCTACACCTGAAAAACAGAAAGCTGACTCTATTCGCACCAACTTGAAAGGCACGGGAGGCGACGACGCCAAGATGCGCGCAGACCAAGGCTTTGACATGGTCTCGGTCATCACGGACGGCGGCGTCATGGCGGCAGGCATGTTCAAGGAGCTCAGCACGGCAAGCTCGTCGAGCGCGGCAAGAACCGGGGGCGGATACTGAATGATCATTTACTAGCCTCACGTTTACGAAGCAGTCGCCCTAGCCAATGGGATAGAGAACGAAAACTCTAGGAACTCTTTCGTGTAACCATGGTTCCGCGCTATCATCATGCAGGCAGGGCTGAGTCACCGCCTAGCTGCAGGCTTTGATTGCGAGTGTGGGCGCATTACCTATGTGTTTAATCGTTGGCCTCGTCCGCCTCATCGGCATATGAATGCTCTGACTCGATCCCAGGCAAGGATACGATCGCATCACCAAGGGCGTTGTCCTGGCGACTCAAACTGCATTACACTAAGGCATATGGTTGAACTACAATATATTGATCGACCTACGACAGTCTTGGCCAACCGAGCCCTAGGTCTTGACAATGGAGTACAAACCACTAATGCTCGCTTAGAAAGACCGGATACATTGCCTGTGTCGTTGCTTCACGGTGGCCCCTTATCAAGTACGACATCCGACATGCCATCATCTTCGGTCCAAGCCGAGCTATCCAAACAAGATACCAAGGCTATCACCATGTCATTCATTCCAGGCATGCTAAAGTGTATGATCTCGATGCATCTACGCGAGGAGATTGCATCTATCTCACTCAACATTGCAGGTGGTCTGAACACGACCGGTCTATCAACGATGTGAAGAGTGTACGTGGCATGGCATTGTCTTCATCCAGGACCTTCGTCGCTGCTCTTCTAGCTGCCTAGTCCAGTTGGACGACTTCTCTGAGTGCTACACATCAGTTGGCCAGAGTAAAGACCCCGCGGGGTATCCGACTCCGGAGCTCACCCCTGCAGACAAATAAGCTCTGAGCTTGTGGGGTCGCTCATCGCCATCAACACACACCAGATTGGGATGATCACGCCATTGCCATGCCCGAGGATTTTTAATTGGAGGGGTTGCGGGGATGGCGCCCTCCCGGAACAACGAAGCCAGACATATCAAGCAGCCTGATCCAGCAAAAATTAGTCAAGTGGTTCCAATCGCGACGAAGCCAAGGGGTATTGGTCTGGTACCAAGCAGAACCTCGAAAGCTCGTCATCTCGAATCTACGCCATGGCAACCACCACCATAACCTCTTCTGGTGACGGGGCCGCCGACAAGAGCATCTTCCCCGACGGCTACAAGACATCTGGCCAGCATGCGCCAGTGCCAGAACGAGTACACCCTTTCGAGGCCTATCCCGAGGAGATCACCGGCCCCACGGTCTGGCAGGCGGACGAGTATCGCAACAACCCGGAGAAATGGACGCATTCGTTCACCGATGATGAGATTCGCGAGATTGAACAAGCTACGGACCGCTTCATTGAGTCTGGTGTACCGCTGACAGCAATCACAAAGGTATGAACCAGGTTCATTGCACACACTATGGTATCCTTCATCACAATCTCACCTCTGAAACAGGAACACTTCGCCCTCCCTACCCTCGGCCCCTTCCTCGGCACCCTCCGCTACAAGACTCTCATCAACGGCCCCGGCTTCTTCCTCTTCAAGAACCTCCCCGTGCACACCACACACCCGCACTGGACCCTGCACAAGTCCGCGACAGCCTACATGGGCCTGGGCGCCCACCTCGGGTACCCAGTGTCCCAGAACTCGCGGGGCCACGTGCTCGGCCACGTCAAGGACCTGGGCGAGGACCCGACCAAGACGGACCGGGTGCGCATCTACCGTACCAACGCGCGGCAGTTCTTCCACACGGACGCGACGGACCTCGTCGGCCTGCTGTGCATCGCCAAGGCGATGGAGGGCGGCGAGTCGGACATCATCAGCACCCACCACGTGTGGAACATCCTCCGGCGGGATCATCCGGACGTGGCGAGGACGCTGACCGAGGACAAGTGGTTCTTTGACCGCAAGGGCGAGGTGAGCAAAGGCGAGGGGCAGTGGTACCGCGGGTGCGTGTTCTACCTGGAAAACGACGAGCTGGCCGACGGAGGAAACCGGCGGGTGTACCTGCGCTTCGACCCGAACAACGTCACCTCGCTGTCTCGCTTCAACTCGGGCCCGGACGCGCAGATCCCCCCGCTCAGCGAGGCGCAGCTGCACGCCATCAAGACCCTCGAGGAGACGTGCCTGGCCAACAGTCTGCACATGGTCCTCGATCCGGGGGACATCCAGCTGCTTGCCAACTCGCACGTCCTGCACGCCCGGACGGCATACAAGGACTACGAGCCTGGCACCGTGGACCCCGAGACGGGCAGGGAGAGGCCGAGACGCCATCTGATGAGGCTGTGGCTGGCGACGCCCGAGGACGACGGCGGGTGGAAGCTGCCATACCCAGACTCTGGGTGGAAGAAGAGGGGCGGGATCCAGGTCGACGACAATGCGCCTGCTTGTCCGCTGGACGCGGAGTGATTATTTTACACTAAGCAGGCTGATTTTAGCTGCAGAATTTGTAGGACAGCGGGACATAGAGGAGAGGGGACCAAGCGTCACAGGCAGCGCGAATTCCAGCCAACCCCAGCCCCTACCTGATCTTCCCCACGGCTACCATCACGCCCGCTGTGTCAGCGCGAGTCCAGGTATCCACAAGGTTGACATGCCCTTGATCTGATTTAGTTCGCAACACAATGAAACGTATATGCGGGTGATTCCTTCACAATAGGTGACTTGGGTTCAATGGAAGTGGCGATGGGCTGGCTACCTTTACGGCGGCGACTGCTGGGACGATCAGAGCTCGTGGATGTTTGCTGTGGTTGATGGACGGCTGGACGGAGGATGATGGCTTGGGTGAGAGTGCTGCAGGATGTGATTGTAACGAACTGTTCTGTACGATCCAGCTCCGCATTGTGTCCTTATCCCTTTCTCGATTATACTGTTGGATTCTGTAGTTGCCGCACTTTGGCGGATGAGAAATGGTGAACAGGCCTGCTATCTGTACCATTCGTCATCTAGGGACGGTTCTGAATTCATTTTTAACTCATTCTGGAAGCAAATATAATACTTTGTGACTCAATTTGCAAATTCTTAAATCAATCCGCCGACACGACCACGTATGGAGTTCCTTGCTTGTCAAGTTGGTCGGAAGTCGCTCAGTTACAGAGAAGGCTCCCCAGCCAATAAAGTACGAAGCATTCGTCCAACATAAAAGTTGACTCGGCCCTCAGGGCTCTGGTCAACCCCCAAGAAATTGCGTTGCCTTGAACACCTTTGGCACCGTCTTGACATCGACCTTGTCCCGCTTCAGGCCCCGCTCGACCACACTAAACACGACCTGCTCCCGCCTCGGCGCCTCCACCAGCTCGGCTGTCCATCCTCTCTCCTCGTTCCAAGCCCCCGGCGTCAGGCTCTGCAACCCATACGGCAGTTCCGAGTTCCTTTCATGCCGCCGCCCGGGGTTCGGGTCCGCCCACACAGCGGCGCGCTCGTCCTGAAGCGTCTCGAGCATGGCTTCGGTGCCTATGTGCGCGAGAGTAACCCGCGGGCACGTCTTGGGTGTTTTGGATCCTCCGGCTCTGGGCATGATGGCGGCCGTATCCTGCGTGCTGTTGCGCTGAAGTCCGTCTGCTATGTCCGTCTCGTACCAGAGACACATGCCGCCGAGGTGAGATGGGGAGGCGAGCGTTGGACCTTCTCTGCCTGGTCCTGTTATCCGGGATACCAACAACTCTACACTGGTATTATCGCCAAAAAAGCTGAAGGATCCAGCGGTATGCGTGGCGGCAGGAGCAGCAGCAGCAGCAACAGAAGCAGCAAAAGCAGGCCTCCTTTTCTTCCGGAGGGACGTTTGACAAGCCAACGCGCCCCTTCCAAGGGCTATGTGTTCGTACTGACGCTCGTCATACTTGAGCGTCAAGCGCGAGAAGATGTCAACGTCGCACATGGGCAGGTAGAACCAGGGCTCGCTGGCGCGGGAGCGCCGGTCCTGCGAGACCTGGTCCATGGACGGGCCATGGCCCTGCTCGCGGCTTCCCATTAGCGCCCACTCGGCGAGCAGCACCTCGTCGAGCGAGGGGAACAGCCTCAGCAGGTTGCACAGCTTGCGGGTCTTCGCCCAGGCCTCGCCGGCGTGGTTGACGAACCTGCTGCTGTCGCCCAGAGCGAGCCGCCTGGCCCTGGTGAGGTCCTGGGGGAGGAAAACGGACAGGTTCCACGGGATTTCCCGGTCCCCGTAGAGCAGCGGTAATTCTCTCTCCGTGACGTAGTCGTCCTCGCAGTCTCCAACATACAGCGTGTCGGCGGCAAAGTTGAACCAGGTGAGACCGCCGTGCTCGCGAGCATTGAAGAGCACCTGGTACTCGGCCCAAGTCGGCCCGTCGCCTTCCTCTGCACTTGTGATAAAGTGCCCTGGGTCAAGTCTATCCACAATCGCCCATAGCGCCGCGGTGTACTTGTCGGAGCACGTTGCCCTTGTGCCGAAGGCCAGCTCGTACCCGCTCTCTATCAACACCTGACGCGACTCCGCGCAGACGTGTAGAAACGCCGGAATGGGCGCCCGGCTGAACAGCTGCGATCGGCGGTGTGTCTGCCAGAGCAGCTTGGGAGGGCAGCCGTCCCGGTCGAGCATGCGCTGCAGCCGCTCGAGCGGCACCGGCTCCGGCTCACCAGGCTTGCGTGGCACCTTCCAGGGGTATGTCGCGCCGTGGTAGGCCAGAGAAGGGTGCAAGGTGTCTGCCCTGAGTGACCTTCTCGCGGCCGTCCCCTGTGGTTGCCGAGGCTGTTCTTCCTGCGTCTGCGTGCAGAGGGCCTCGCAGTGCGTGTGAAAGTCCTGGCGGGCAGCCTCGTACGATGGGAACGGGTCGAAGCGCTCCTGAACGTGGACGACGCGCTGAGGCGTCGCGAGGAGGTAGATTTGCCGGCGCAGCTCGAACGGCAGTTTGGGGAAGGAGTGGAACAGCGACAGGTCCGTCATGATAGCTCAAGCCGCGGAGCCCAGTCTCCTTGCTTTCGACCTTTGTATTCTGCTGAAGAGCTGCTGAGTGATTTTGTACTCTGATGTGTTCTTGCCAACACTATTGAGAACTGGCATAGGGGCTGGGCTGGGACATTGAGCATTGCCAGTTGTAATGAATGGCGGGGGTTGTGCCTGCCCGGGTGAATTTACTCCTTGTTGGAAATAGAGATTAGACACATGCCAAGCCATGCTGGCCGGGTTACGTCTCTGGGTGGGATTTGGTAGGGTCAAGAGTCAAAACTACAGTGTCCCCATGAATGGTGCCCATGAATGGTCCCCGGGTGGAGCCCGAACGGCCCCGAGCATCAGGAGCTACAACCTGGATTGGGAATAGCAAAGTGTCGTTAGCAGGATGGCGCGGAATAGGCAGCCGCGGCTATTTTTAGGTGCTCCGGGGACCACGCAGGACCACCCCTCCAGAGAGTAGCTGCCAAGACTGGAGGATAATGTCAACCGCCTTGACCTGCCTTGCAAGTGCTCGCACTCGTGGACGGCAGGCCAGAGTGTGCATTATATATCAAAAGTATGCGTGTCTCAGAGTGCAACAGTATCAACCAGTGCGCCATCACCACAGCTTATGACCGTGTGGTACGAGATCGAAAATGTTGTAGCTCGATGGGACAGCCATTTGTCTCTTTCGCATGCTCCAAAGTAGACAAAGCCTGGGCCATGGTTTGGGGGTGCGCAGCTTTTGTTCGCCTTCTTAATGTGTGTCAATCAAGTACATCCATGCGGAGTAATGCCCGAGTCTACTTGAGTATACAACTGTAGACTGATGATAGTGCAAGACAATCAGTTGTGGCTCAGCCCAGATGGCCCCGTTGTCATGCTCAGCATCAAACCACGTCGCTCAACAATTCGCTGGATTTTCTGCATAAACTATTACGCTCATACATCACCACGATGCTGTGTCCCCCATACAAGTCGCATTTCCCCTCGGCACTTCAGACCTGAGGGTCCAGCGAAAACTCGAGATTCCCAATGTCCACCGCATCCCGCATCATCCCCTTGTCCACCACACTCCACACCACCTGCTCCCTCCTGGGCGGGCACACCTTTTCCGAAGTCCAGCCGATCTGGCGATCAAACGGGGGCGGCATGATGGGCCGCGCCGAGAAGATATCCACGCTATCCCGGCGCACCTGCGCTCCGGACACTGCGTCGCCGTCGTCACTCGCCACGATGCCCGCCCACACAGCCTGGCGCTCAGCCTGCAGCGCCTCAAGCATGTCCTCCGTGCCGACGTGCGCGAGCGTAATCCTCAGCATCGTCTTCATGGCGGGCAGGCGCGGCAGGCCACCGAGCCCGCCGCCGAGGGGCGGTTGTCCTGCAAGAGTGGCCAGATCAGCGGTCCACAGCCGGGTCTGCTGGGCAAGAAAGGAGTGGGCTTCCTCCTCCTCTGCTTCTTCTTCTTCTTCTTCATCTGGCAGTCTTCCTGCGGCGCTGCTGCCGGCACCTCCTCGGCGCGGGACCCAGGGGTGTTGGCTCTTGAGCACGGAGTGCATCTGCAGCGCCATTGCCGCCACCGCGGTGGCCTGCTGCCCGTCCTCCATCTTGTACACGCGGGGCGAGAAGGCGTCGATGTCGCGCATGGGGAGGTAGAACCACGTCTCGCTCGCCCGGGCGATGCGGTCACGGTGGACCTGCTGCGGAGAAGGGCCGTCGGGTAGCCCGGCCCCGGTCTCGGCGTCTACAACAACATGAACATCATCACCATCATCATCGAGATGGCCCCCCAGCAGCGCCCACTCGGCGAGCAGCAGCTCCTTGAGGCGGGGGAACAGCCGCAGGTGGTCGACGAGGCCCATGTAGGCGTGCGGCACGTGTGCGAACCAGGTAGAGCCGGCCATGGAGCTGGCCCCAGGCAGGGCGAGGCGGGTCACGCGGGCGAGGTCGTGCGGCAGGAAGACGGACACGTCCCAGGGCTGGCTGTGGAGGAGTAGCCGCGGGTAGTCGCGCTGCTCGGGGGCAAAGTCGGACCCGTTGTGGCCGATGTACAGCACGTCCCGGGCAAAGTTGAACCACGTCATGCCGCCGTGCTCGCTCTGGCGGAGGAGCCGCTCGTCGATGTCGGCATTGTTGCTGTTGTTGCCATTGCTTTTATTCATATCAGCATCATCACCTGCATCATGATCGTCACCGTTTTCGTCATCACGACCACCACCAACGGTCATCCCCGGAAGCATCATCCTGTCCCACAGCCTCTCCGTATACGCCCGGGAACAGGTCGCCCGCGTCCCAAAGGCAAGCTCGTACCCGCTCTCGCGCAGCACCAGCCTCGACTCGGCACACGTGTGCAGCAGGGCCGGCACCGGCGTGGTGCTGTGCAGCCGCGTCTGGCGCCACAGATGCCAGGCCGCATCCTGGTCCCGGTTGGGGTGGTCCGGCAGCAGCAGCTGCGCCAGGGCAGGGACCTCGTCGCCGCCGTGCTCCTCGGGAGGGAACCAGGCGGCACTGCCCGGTGTCTGCCAGATGTGGGAGAAGTACGCGAGGGACGGGTGGAGTAGCGGCTCCTGCTCCTGCTGCTCTTCCTCTTGTCGTTGTTGCCGTTGCCGATAGCGTTGCACAACCTGAGGCCACTCGGTGCGAGGGGCGTGGTCGAGCACGTGCTGCCGCGTGGCCGCGTACGTAGCGTCCGCAGTGAAGCGCTCCTTCACGTGGACTACGCGCTGTGGCGTGGCCAGGAGGTAGATGATCCGTCTGAGCTCGTAGGGCAGGCGTGGGAACGGATGGAATTTTGCTGTCGCGGTGACCGTTGACTTGGTCGGTAATGGGGCCGGTTGTGATGACGGCGCTGGTGGCAGAGGCATGACGGGGAGACGGGGTGGGTGCAGGTATTGACAATGCTGCCAGCAGTTCGATTTCGAGTTCAGGGTCGGATGAGCAACTAGATGTCTTTCTTCCCTTTCGCCACGAGGATTGGATGATGCTACCAGTGTTAAAGGCCGTTGTCGAGGGTTGGATATGTTTATATCGAGTCTCGGCGAGCACGGAACCGGCCGACCTGCCCCGCAATGTGAGCTGGTAGTGGGACAGATACCTGGTCAAGGGGCCAAGGCTTCCCCTGTCCAGGGTCCAAAGACCCTGTAAGCGAGGGGTTGTGCTGACGGACAAATGTAAAAGTGCTGCCAGTCTGCCTGGCAAGGCGAAATGCAGCTGCCAAGCATGGAAACTGCCGTCGTTGCCAGGGCCACAGGGGCGAGAGCGAGACGAGCCATGCAAGGACCGCTCTCGTCTCCGCGCTGTGGACGAGACGCAAGGGTCCTTTCCCGACCCGTGACATCGGCTCGCGAAGGCCTAACGGAACGGACGGGTTTTATCTTTCAGCTCGCCAATCGCAGCACGCCCTGGAACCCGCTGACGTTGACAGCCTGAGAGCTGGCCACTCCCTGTGCCAACAAATCCACCTCGTCGTGCTGCTGCCCCAACCTGGCTAGCAAATGAACTCCTTCCCTGCTCGACTCGCGAATAAATCCCTTTCCCCCCCCGTCTAGTAAAGACCCAAAGCCCTCACAGCTCGTCCCGTGGGCTCTGCAGCCGCAACGACCGCCGCGCGCGCTCCTCGTCGTACGCCTCGCACCGGAACACCCACTCGCAGCTGCGCCGCTGCCGCGTGCGCCGCGCTTGCAGCTGCCGCTCCCACTCTTGCGGGTTCGCCGAGATGCTGGACGACCGGTGCATGGCCGCGGCCTGCTCGCGCTCGGGCACAAAGCCGGGGGTCCAGCGGCCGCAGTCCAGCGAGCTGAAGATGGCCCAGCGCGTGATGGTGGGCGGCTGGCATTGCGGTGGTTGTTGCTGCTTTCGGACAGGATGGCCGGCTGTTTGTGTGGCGGAACTGCTGTTGTGATGTACGATATGATGTTGCTGCTGCTCTCCGACCAGCGAAGACCCCTGCATGATCCGCAATGCCTTGTCGCTCAAGAGGCCCGCAGACCCGGTGTTGATGCATCCCTGTGGGATGTCGCTGCCCCAGAGAAGATAGTACATCATGTCGTACAGCAACCCCATCCTCAGACACCCGTCTGCCTCTTCGCCCCCGAACACGAGTCGATGGTGGAAATGACGCCCCCACCGCGCCCTGTCTATCGTGTACTGCCGCACAACCCGAGTACCTGGACCCAGCCGTCCCATGACGGCTGACAGGTGGTCATTGTCCAGGTACGGCGTCAGGTGGATGAAGTGCAGCACCTCTGTGGGCGGGGGCTGGCTGGGAAGCATGCGCCGCCAGCTCGCGCCGGCGCGGAGGAAGGCCTCGTGATGCCGCCGCTGGGAGCGCATGTCGGCCATGGGCAGCTTCAGGGAGAGGATGTCCGGGGGTGCGTGCCGCTGGATGACCGCGTACGGGCCGGAAGGGCCCGGCGGGTCGGTGATGATGTGCGGCTCTGCGAACAGGAGCGGGCCGAGCAGGTGCTCCAGCAGCGGATTCGGTTGCGCATGTTGCTTGGTCTGCGCGGCAGGCAGCAGGAACAGGTGTCTTTGCAGCTGGGGCGACGTGGTGATGAAGCGGTGCCAGGCCCTGCAGACCCTCTGGGCGGAGGTGAGGAGGGTGCCCTGGTCGAGCTGGAGCAGGATGGACTCGAACACCTCGGGGATGGAAAAGGCCGCAGAGAATGCCGGTGATGGCGTGACGGTGGTGGTGACACTGCGCTGGCTAGTCTTTGGTGACGCTCGTCCACCGCGACTGCGAGGCCCTTTCTTTTTCGCCATTGCTTGACTGATAGGAACAACACTATTGTGCATTCGTGAAATGGAGAGGTCGTTCATTTACCCTCGCTGTCGGCTGGAGGGGACGAGGCACGTCTCGTATCGTGATGACTCATACGCGTCGTCACAACCCCCTGCGGTGCCAGGCTCTTTTAGAACTGACCCCAAAATAGAAAGTGTTCCGTTTCAGACAACCAAAACCACGGCACCCCAGATTTCCAGCTCCAGACTAAATGACCAGCCGCAGAAACGAGGACTCATGCAGCCTTCTCAACGTTTCAGTGGTGCTGCTGCACCACTCGCGTGCGGAGCAAGTCATGAAAGCCTGCTACACACCCGCTCTTGCCTTGTCGTCTGCCCTCAAACAAGCAGGCTTCGTGTGCTCACTGCAACAAACTTGCGCTCGAACAATGTCCTGTCCGTTTCGCAGGTGCTGAATATTTCTGCCAAACCCAAGCTCATCCGTATCTGGCCTTGGAGGAAGCCACCTCGTGCACCATCATCTCGCCCTTCATCATGAGGCCCTGATATCTTCTTCTCACCTGGGTACACTGCTCATGCCAGACGATCCCTATGGTGGGTTCTCGTCCGAATCATTGGCCATCCGCGAACGGGCTGCTACGAGCAACATTTGTGACTAGTTTGACAACGGCGAAACTCTATTCGCCGGCTGCCTAAGTCTTTGTGGCGCCAAGCGTGATTACAACATCAAAAGAGGGACGGCCTCTCAGAATCAAGATTGAATACCTGCTGTGCTTCATTTTTATCTTCCCAGGACAGAATTGGTAGTATCAACGTCATTAAATAAAGTCACCGAAATGCAGATGTGATTTGTGCAGGAAAAAGTGGTTCGCTATCGGTCTCTTGCAAGGCGGCACATTCTGTTCAAGTTGACGCAGGGATGCTCTGCACCCTCGCCTGTGTAAGTTGATGCCCAGCAGCGACAGTACTAACCACTGCTTAGTGCATGAGGAGAACCGATTTTGCACGGATGAGTAGAGATCTCTGATGCCATTGAACTGGCAAAGATCAGTCTCTTCTGGGTCAAGGCTCGCGCAGGTATCAGAGGCAGCTGCTGAGGACGGGGGCAGACGCCGCTGGTGCTTGCCTGTCCCAATCAGCCGCCCATATTGTGAACGCCATGCCTATTGGTCTGGTGGATGGCAAAAAGGCTTGACCAGGTCCTTGGAGCTGGCGCTAATATCTTCATTGCACTGCCTTTTAAATCAGATTTTCTACCGCTACGGCCTGCCCGCTCCCAGTCTTCCCAGGTTGCGAGCATTGATCAAAGGGGTAGCAAAATGCGTCCATGTCAAGCTCCTCTTGAAAACATTGCTTGGACTGCCTGCAACACACATGGATCTATCTGTGTTTTGCCAATCCGTATTCTTCTCGGATTCTCTCCTCCTCGACATTCTGCGCATGATGCTGACCGCTTCCAGGCGGTCCCAAGCTTTGACATCATTGGTGTCTCGCGCACCAATATGAATGCAAAGAGAGGCAGATCACGGATGTGGACATGTATGCGCAGAACGCACCGGCCCTGCACATCTGTTCGCCTGCCTCCACAATAGTGCAACCTTACGCAGTGATATTTTCCGCCAGTAAGTCCAGTGCTTCGGACGAATGGCCAGGCTCCGCCATTCCCCGCGGTGTCAAAACATCGTGTACATCCATGCAGGGCGAGCAACTTGCGCTAAGAACAGGCTCGGCATTTTCCCACAGTTGCCAACAGCATTTGTTGCATGGCCGTCCAATTACCCCAGATGCGGGCGGGCTGCAGCCGCATCCGACAACAAGCTCAGACATTAGTCAGGGGCAAGGCACAAGACGCATGACGTCCTCGCCTTCGACCACAGCGATAGGTGGATCTGAGAGTCTCCACCGGGGCTGTTGTTTCTTGTTTCAATTAGCCAGGACCCCTGCGCCGCGTGGAGACTGATCATCCATGGCCGTGTCCCATCGAGACATGCGGACCTGGATGCTCCGAGTTATGGCGGAAAAACAAAGCAGAATGTCCACAGGAGATCCAGATTACCCAGGCCAACGGAAGACAGGGATCGGCACGGAGACAAGCTTCACCTATATTGAAGTGCCGGAGCCAAGCTCGAATCGGGGCACCCGCGGGCTGTCAAGATCAAGGCGGACGGACCCCTGACGTATAAAGCAACAGCCTCATCCTCGTTTCCCCAGAGAAGCTTTCTTGTCTCGGCCAAGCAGCATTGGCTTCCCCTTCTCTTCAGCCGACCAACTCACAAACACCCGACACGATGCACCTCCCCACCGCCACGCTCGTGGCCTGGATGCTCTGGCCCCTGCTCGCCTCGGCGGCCTCGCTCCAGAAGATCACCGAGAACTTTGGCTCCAACCCCCGCAATGTGGGCTTCTACATCTACAAGCCCGACCGGGTCCAGGCCAAGCCCCCGATCCTCGTCGCCATGCACTACTGCACCGGCACCGCACAGGTACGTGACGCCCGCGCTGCTAGCTGGACTCGATCATTATACTGACCATTGCCGTGTCCCGCAGGCATTCTTCTCGGGCACCCAGTACAAGTCCCTCGCCGACCAGTACGGCTTCATAGTCATCTACCCGGACAGCCCCAACAGCGGGCGGTGCTGGGACGTCTCGTCGACGCAGACCCTGACGCACAACGGCGGCGGCGACTCGCTGGGCATCGTGTCCATGGTCAAGTGGACGATCCAGCGCTACGGGGCCGACGCGGCCCGCGTGTTCGCGACGGGCAACAGCTCGGGCGCCATGATGACCAACGTCCTCATCGGCGCGTACCCGGACGTCTTTGCCGCGGGCGCCGCCGCCGCCGGCGTCCCCTACGGCTGCTTCGCCGCGGGCTCCAACAACTACGCCGCGTGGGTGTCGCAGTGCTCCCAGGGCAACCTGCGCCACACGCAGGCCGAGTGGGCGCAGATTGTGCGCAACGGCTTCCCCGGCTACAGCGGCTGGCGGCCCAAGATGAGCATCTACCACGGCACCAACGACGAGACGCTCAACTATGCAAACTTTGGCGAGGCCATCAAGGAGTGGACCGGCGTGTTTGGCGTGTCCGCCACCCCGACCCAGACCATCGCCAACAACCCCGGCAACGGCTGGACAAAGACCGTTTACGGCTCAAAGTTCGAGGCCTACAGCCTCGCCGGCGGCACCCACGGCATCCCGACACAGGAAGGCAATATCATAGCCTTCTTCGATTTGAAATGCACCAGCAACTGTTTCTCATATGGCAAGTAAGGAATGCTGAAGTTCAAGGTCATGTCGGCTTAGTCATCCGAGACATCACTTGTACCGATACATGTCGTGAAAGCACCACATAAGTTTTCTCCTTCAATTAATCAATTGCTCAAGCCCATTTTCAAAATAGAAAGCAGGATGTTGAACGGACCGATGTGAGGGGGAAGATCTGGGAGAGTGGACGATAGGTGCGGGACATGTGGACCAAGCTATTTCGAGTACATATTTGCGGTTTGTGTATATGCAAGAGTTGTGTGCTTTTGAGACTGTCCGTAGTTTCACATAACGTAATCCACGGGTAAGCGGGTCACACGGGTGAACGGGTCACCTTCCAGTAACTCGTACGACAATATATAAGACAATTTAACCACAACGCCTTAAATCAATTCAAACTATTCAGAATCCTCTTCTTCAGAGGCAGATACAACTTTCTGACACGTACGAGCATTATGACCGGGCTCGCCGCAGACGCCACATCGTCGCGCGCGCGTTTCGGGCCTCCTCGTACGACCACTATTCTGACTCGTTTCCGCTATTAACTGCTGCGTCACATCGATTTGAGCCTTCAAATCCTTTGCCTGATCAATCGTGAGGGACCCTCCTTTCTGTAGCTGCTTTCTTTTCGTACGACGACGGCGGCTAAGGCGGTCATTTGCATCTCGAAGTTCGGCGAGCTCTTGGCGTATAAGGTCCTGCTCGTGTACCATCATTATAACTCCTTTTTCCAGCTGCCGTAGGCTCTCAACAATGGACGACGGTGAGCTATTCTGGTGTCGTATGATGCGATTTTTAATATACTTCGTCTGCGATTCGGTCTCAATTGGGTTGTTCGGCGTCTTTGAAACCCATGGGGGTGGTAGTCCAGCAGAGGAACCAGGTGGTGTCGGCGTATGAAACTTCATATCTAGCTGCGAAATCACATAATTCGGGTCGTACGGTACTAGGCCTGTCGCTCTAAAGCCTGCCTGGATGTTTGATTTGGTCATTGCAGCGTCGTACGCCTTATAAAAGGCTGGGAGGAAGTCCTCCTTTGAAACGTGGGTTACGTGCGCCCGCATTAGACCTTCGATTTCTTTACCGTACGCCCGTTTCAGAGGTCCAAAACACCCAACATCGAGAGGCTGGAGCTTATGCGACGAATGAGCAGGCATACAGAGCGTGATAATATTCTGTTCCTTGCAGTAGAGCTCGAAATCGACGGAATGGTGGCTCTCGTGGCCGTCGAGGATAAGGAGGCGGTGGGTACCCTTCGTACGACTCTTTGTATGGAAATCAAAGTGTTTTACCCATTCTAGGCCTCTCTCGTTCGTCGTCCAACCGTTTTCTGAAAGCGCGATTACCCAGTCGGCCGGTAGAGGGCTATTCGCGGTCCAGGAGTCGAGGTGGACCTTCCCGGCGAAGATAATGTATGGCGGGATTGAATAGCCGTACGACGCGATACCCTGGATTACTGTAACCCATTCCTGATTGCCTTGTTGTACGGCTCTTGGCCTCCCGCGTCGATCGGAGGTCGTAACGACAGTTTCGGCGGAGATCTTGCCCATCGCGAAGCCCGTTTCGTCGAAGTTATAGATATCGTCATCGTGGATCCCGTATTTCGCGATTATGTTTCGTACGAGCTCAAACCACGCGCGATACGCGTCCGGATCCTCGCAAAGGACCCTCTGGTAATCGATTCTTCGATTAAAACGCGTACGGAGCTCAGGTCGTCGTCGTACGAAGGTTGAGGCCCAGTTCGTTCCAACGCGTGGCGCGTCGCGTACGCGGAGGAGTCGATCCGCCATTTCTCGAACACCACTTAACCGCGGTGGAAATGAACGCGAATCTAGGTCGAGTACGTATCGTACGATACTCTCCTCTTCGTATGAGGTTAATTTCTGGCAGGGTGGTCGGGTGTCGTGTTTCGCAGCTCGGCCGTGGTATCGTTGCTGGAGTGTCGTACGAGATACATTATAGATCTGCGCAGCCTTTCGTACGCTTAATTTTGGGTCGGATTGGAGCGCATTTAACGCTAGAACCAAATCACTTTCAATTGATTGTCGTCCCATGATTGGAGGTGGAGAAAAAGGAGAAGGAAGTGAACCTCAATTAAATCGCAGTAAAGTGACCCGTTCACCCGTGTGACCCGCTCACCCGTGGATTACGTTATCGAAGAAGCATCTTTTTACAGGTGAAAATGACTCTTTTCTTCTCGTGTTGTCGCAACCCTTGATACGCAGCATGGACCCCAATAACTCCAAGACCTTGAAATCTCTGTTCATTCGAAGATGAACAGCCTCCTTCTCGAAGTAAGGTGACTTCGAAATACATTCAGTACACTCCACTGGCCTTTCTCACCAACCACTTCCATCAAATCTTCACCAAAGTACTCGCAGTTCCGCCCTTCAGGCTTAGTGGAGATCCTAGGTAATCAGCTCTTTTGACTTCGTCCTTGACAGTGAGACTAAGTACTGCTCGCCATTAAGATCTGCATCGATCAAACCGAACAGGGTCTGTCGTCTGTGAGAGAAGCCTCCGGTGTGCTGTAAGACAGCCGGAAGGTGTACTTGTTTCGCCTTGTTGGTGGAAATCGTGGTCGCGACGATGTTGCGAGAGCATCAATGCTTGGCATGCGTGGCCCGAGATCTCCGCGCCAGAGAGGAGTGGTTGGGCGGCATCAGTGCTCGGAATCTGCGATCGGTAGACGTTGTCACCCAACCCACGCGACTCCCCTTCAAACCAGCACACGCGAGATCTTCCTGGTACGCGGTCGACCACGTTGTCGTCGCATTGAGGTCGCAGGTGAACCAGCTTCGCAACTTGTGCCCGGCTCTTCTTGCGGGCCGCGACCACTCTATGCGAACCCCAGTTGGCTTCGAGTCTCAGCCTGTCCTCTCGAATGCTTGCGAGGTAGTCAGGCTCAGACGAAGCTGCGCAAGTGCAGGACTAGACTGACTTGACTCCAAGTGTACACACTTTGGGCAGATTAGACACCCAAACATGACCAGCTGGAACATGCCGCAGAGCTTGTCGTTTCCGCACCGGCCGCAGATGATGAAAAGGATCATACAGCGGGTTGGGTCGGGTCCTGCAGTACAGAAACACGGTTGCCCAGCTTTAGATCGGCAGACCCTCCACAATGTCGCGGTTAACTCTTCTGGCGCTCTACTGTCACTGCCATCGCGGTATGCTCCGGCCAGCCGTCCCCAGTGAAGTTGTTGCTGGCGGCAACTATGGCGTGGTTGACGCGTGCATGATTCGGGCTCCGAATCACCTTGTTAAAGTAGCCCATGTCCACCCGTATATCGGTTGTGGCACATAGGTAAAGTAAGTATATCGATTAAGTATGCGATATTTGGGGGACCTTCGACTACTATGTAGCGCTAAGTGCCGGTGTTGGGAGATACGACGATGCGTATCAGTAAGACCTTGGATGGTTTGGTTCCACCGCGCTCGTAGGAGCAGCTTGGACATTCCCCCACCACAATGTCTGTGTACTAGCGAGGCGTCCGAGTACGACTGCCTTCTCCAACAATGGCCTAAGCGGCCCTTTAACCCTCAGAGCATGAGGTAGGCCAGAGTCAAGGATGCGGACGCCATTCGCATCCTTGTACTTGACGTGAGCTGACGACAGGGTGAACCGGCCTTGCCTGTCTGAAACCTTGCGGAAGCGGAGAGTCGAGGGGAGTTGTCGGTGGTGGTTGTCCAGAATGTCTGGAGTGATGGCCCGCATCGCAGTGATCGAGATTTTCATTTTGGCGATCTGTTGTTTGCCAGCAGCATCCATGAAGCGGAGTTCGTAGCCAATGTGTGGCCAATTCTTTGAATTGGGTCTTGAATCGCCGTTGATCTGAAATTTCGTCATGCTTTGCGTTGCTCCATGGCGGGCCAGCGCGTCATCGAGAAACAGTTTGACCACAACACTAGTGCCGGGCCTGGAATGGGTTGCTCTGGCCGGCAATTGATGATAGAGGGCCGCGTCACTGGTTGAAGAAGGTGATCATGTCGTCTGCAACACGTTGAATCTGCGCTGGCAATGCCCATTCTTCGGGGTGCATCCCGAGCAGTCGTTCTCTCTCGTCTCTCTTGAGAGGTACGGCGAGAATCGCCTAGAGGCTGTAATATTTGCCGTGCCAGACTTCGGTTCTCGTTTTCCAGTGGCGCATGGGTGGTTGAAGGCTGCGTGGCAAGGGAGTAGTGTCCCGAGTGAAGTTTTGCTGGGCTTTGGCCATGGCTGTCATCCGAGTGGTGGCATCGACGCTGGGAGGAGTGTATGTGACACGCTGATCAAAATCGCGCGCATTCAATTCTGCTTTCAATCTCCGCACGCGCTCCTTGTTGTCGATTATAACCTCTAACGGAGCGTGGAGAGGATCGGTCGGTTCAGCGTCCACAATGGTAGCGACCTTGTTGGAGCTCTGCTGGGTCGGTTTGATTGTGCCATCGCCGTGCTGCCTGCCTTCTTGGCCGTCGCTTGCGGTTTGATCCTGACAGATCCCTTCGTGATGGGACCTGTGGTCGTCTTGGCGCGTTTAGTTGGCTTCCGTACCCTTGACTTGTTCTGAATTGGTGCCTCGAGGCTGTCGTCAGAGCCGGCGAGGACCGGAGCCGACGCTTATCGAGTCGCCAGAAAGGTGTTGTGACTACTGCTCTGTCGCGTAGCTGCCCGCGTAATCGCGAGGCTGCTATACTGGTAAGGTGGTAGAGCCATATTCTAGTGGCAGTAGTTCGTTGAAAGACTGGGGCGTGACAGTGAGGATCCCAGTTTCGTGAGGCCGTAGTGAAGTCTAGTAAAAGAAGAGGGCGTCTTGAGTAATCGATTTTAGTAAACGCGTCACCGCGTTGGAACGTAAGCCTTCGCCGGCTGACGCCATAGAGACGCGGCGAGTGGCAGGCCGTCAACGTACGAGTTGGCTTCATGTGTTCTTCATTCTGGCGGGGGAAGAGTCCAGGAGGGAAGAATTGGAACTTGTGCGCTTGCGTCAGGCCGTGTGGTGGGTTGTTGCCTCGGGCACAAACTGGCAGATGCCTACCGGGCTTCAGCCGGCCAGGCATCAACTCGACACGCACTAGGCATAACCTCACAAGCCTTCACAAGGTCAATCAAGGCGACGGCGGCGCTCGCCGTCCAAGTCACACCTTCCTTCGCCTACCACTGCAGCAGATCCAACAACACATCCAACAGCACAGCCCGTCAGCGTGTCCTGAGCACATTCGGGGCACATCCAGCACCACAGCAATCATGTCTCAGCAATCTCCAGCTCGCGACGACAAGAACTCGCTACCCGACGGTGTCAAAGGCCCAGACATCAGCAACCTCAACGCTGCGTTCCACTTCTACTACGACCAAGCCCGGCGTGCGCACTGTGACGGTGACAACGACAAGGTCTCGTTCTTCTGGCAGCCCGTCCGAGACATGGCCGTTTACTAACATTCACTCATCACGCGTCGCAGGCCTACGAGATCTCCCGCTGACTGCTTCTTGAGCCACTGGTGCCCCCGCTCCGCGAAGCCGGTGCCTGCCTCATCCTCGCCCAGGGACCAGAGTACCCTTGCGACAAGGTCGAGCTTGCCGAGCGTGGCCTAGAGCTCTACGAGAAGGTCGAGAAGATCACTGCTGCCGAGGGACCCCACAGAGAGTACATCACGGCAGCCCTCGATCGTGCCAGACGGGTCTTGGCCCTGACACAGGAACACCTGGCTCGCTCCATCGCAGAGGACGAGGCCCGCGGCCCTATGTCCGAGGAGGAACTCGCCAAGATGCGCAGCGACATGGTCGAGCGCTACTGCGAGGCGGAGGGTTGGTTCCTCCCAGAAGAGGAGAATGCTGCACACCTCGAAGGTTCGGGCAACGATGACAGCGACAGCGACAGCGTCACCGACGGGCTCGACAACACGCAGCTCGACGACACGCAGCTTGACAACATGGCCTCGCAGTCTTCTGTCAGCACGGTCACAATGGCCGGCGATGAGTCCAAGGCCTCGGCCGCGACGACTGACGAGTCGCAGACTGTCCTGATGGGGGAGAGACCAGTTTACACCCTACTCGGCTGGCCAAGCGACGACGAGGACTTGTAAGTCCGTGGAGGGCTTTGACGCCGTTGGTCGCACGTGGGCAAGTGGACCCAGAGAGGGTTTCTGTATTAGTCAGCCATCAATGGTAGGTACTCAAGGTGAACAAGGAAAATGCACTTCATCAATTCCCCCAGCGTGATCATGCGTCGCAATGGATGGTGAACAAAGAGATTGTCTGCACCTTGTCATGAATGACTTGCCAATTTTATGACTATGACTCTTGTGTGTGCATTGTCAGCCCTTCCGCACTCCATCGAACAACCGTGTCTCGCCAACCCACTGGAGAGGCGTGAGACAGGACCAAGACAACTTGACCGAGGACCTGGCTCGCAAGTGCTCGTCCGTGTTGGCGAGTCAATGCCCAATTTTGTGCTGAAGGATGCGTCCTCTCTCACAGATCTTGGTCGCCACTTCTCTCATTACTTGAGTCGACAAATGAGGGCATCATATCTGCGTGGTACAACATTGCCCTGCTGTCTCCCCTGGGAAGCCATAACAGCTTGTAGTGATGCTCATGCCAAAGCATATCTGCGCGGTCAGTTGGACGGTCTGCAGTCATCGTGGTCAAGCTGCCACAGCCACCCGGCCCGGTCGATTGCATGCAAGTGGCTGAGCGTCCGGAGGATCTTTTGCCAAGTCCTCTGCTCATTGTGCGTGCTCCTCGTGTGGGCACTGGCGTTAGCGACGCACAGTCACTGCGGATTGCAAGGACTTGTAGAGTTCTGTCGGGCAGACATGCGGCTCGCAGACTTCTGTGAGGACGTGGGAGGGACAAGCGGCGTACTCTGTTCAGTGATGCCGACAATCTTTGAGATTCAGAGATATTGTATCCGTACTGGTTGTCTTGCCCCGTAAAATAATTGTCGAGCGGTCGAGCCGAATTGTGAGGGTCTGGCGTCAGAACGTTGAGCCTCGGCAGGACTTTTGATACTTGGCTTTCTCGTACAATCCATAAAGAATCACTGGGACATCTCTTGCAGCAATAAGTCTTATATGGGCGAGGAATTGCTCTGGCTAAGGTGAATCCCATGAGCGCCCGCGGATTAACTCTGGCCTTCGCTCGCGCGGACGGTTGGAGGGAAGCGGAGGTAACAACCGTGATCAACATGCAACTTGGAGAAGGCAGGTCATTATGAAAAGGAATCTGCGTGTATTCGACGAAGCTTCTGCTTCAGTACTCGAGTTGCCAAGTGCGGGGCCGGACTGACGCCGCACCCCAGTTGACCAACTTTGCAAGCTCGCAACTTCCACCCAACTGAGCACGAGAAGCAGCAGCTGAACGACTGACAGAGGCTTGCCTATTTACATAATAACAGCGACCTTGTCGTCCATGTAATTACCAATGTCTCCCAGGAACAGCGCCGCGATGATGGACACCGAGCCAAATGCGATACTAACCAAGTAGACATACTTGTACGCCTCTGCGAAAGCGACTTGTCCAGCATAGATGATGGTCTGGTGCAGCGCCTCATTCCCTGCAATACCAGGCAGCTGTCCAATCTCGTCGAGCAGGCTGGCGCCCGTGAGCTGTATGACCTCGCCGATCAGGGTCGGGTCGGTGAGCCCAGCTTGATACATGACGCCGCCAATATTTGTGGTCGCCGCACCAATAAATTTTGACAGGAAGACGTTGTAGTAAGTCGTGTAACCGATGCTTCCACCGATGACACGGATGCTAAGGGTGAGCGCTGCGACGGTGCCAATAAATTGTGGAGGGGTGATTATAGTCGTCATTATGGAAGCCTATGAAGCGTCAGTATGCTTTTCCAGGTTCCAGATGACATTTAGAATACAGCACATATCGATTTTCACAACAGGGGAAAAAAAGAAGAAAGGGGAAAGAAAGAAACTCACCGGTACGACGATGCCACCAATGCCCAACCCGGCAACGACCAAGATACCCCAAAGTTGGTAAAGGTTATCCACGCAGGCCACGGCAAGGGCACCACATCCCGCAGTCATGAGCACCGAGGAAATAATCATAAGAAGCTTGTTGTGGCCGCGGAAAACGGACAGCAGCCACAGAACCACGCACGCCCCGGTCAAGATGCTCAACCCGACGGGCAAACCGCGCAAACCGACGCCAATGGGGTCGTGGCCGTACGAATTGTACGCCTGGGTCGGCCAAAACATAAGAATAGAAAAGAAGTTGGCACCGGAAATGAAGGTGATGACGAGTGTGAGGATGAGTGTGCGTGGTGCCTGGTTCATACCGCGCGGAAACATGGGGTATGCGGCGAATTTAGCCTCCCAAACGACAAACGCGACGATTGTCAAGAAGCCAATGATGAGCGGAGCGAGTACGAAGCGGGATGTCCAGGGATACTGCGTTGGAGGAAAGAAAAAAAAAGAAAAAAAGTCAGTTGACGAGACACTCACACCAGATCCGGGAAAGGACCAAAGCTCACCTGGTATCCACCATATTGCAGGCCCACCATGAACAGCATCATGCCGGTGATGGAAAGAAACCCGCCGACATAGTCGATGCGCTTGAGAACGTCACGCCGGGTTAGACCCTCCGAGTTCACACGTGGTGGCGGGAAGTAGAAGATCGCAGTAAGTACGAGCCCAATAAACGCCCACAGCGCACAAAGCAAACCAATGTACCGCCACGACGAGTGATACGCAATCAGCTGGCCCCACAGGACCGAAGGGCAGAACGGCAGGATGGTGAAGATGAGGACGGCGACGTATTTGCCACGCTGTGAAGTTGGCGCAAGCTCAGCCGTCGCGGCCAGAGCGGTCAATTCTTCAATACCGGCGCCGACACCGGCGATACTCATGCCAGCTGCATTGTGTTCGTCAGCAGAAGAAAAAATAAAAATAGAGAATGTTTGCAAGAAAGGGGAGTGGAAATTGGTGTCAGGAGAAGGTGAAGGGGAACTTCCTACCGATGAAGGCATCCATGTGAGGAGCAAGCGAGCAAATAATCATTCCAATCACGATTAGCGCAGCTCCCGCAAGAGCCACGTACCGCCGACCGAAGAGATCCGACAAGGATCCGACGAAAGGGCAGATAGCTGCGAGCGAGAGTAGGTTGGCCAGGACGAACCACGTCCAGTGGTCAACGCCTCCTATGTCTCTGTAGATGTACGGTGGGACCTGTCATCATTGGCCAGAGTCAGCTTGTTGAAAGGCCGATGGATGAATCGCGGTTTTGCGTGCTTACAGCGCCAAAGAGGTAGACGGGAATCTGGGAGCCGGTCCAGAGGAAGGCCTGTGCACGTCAGTAACTGCCCGGATCTTGTCTCAACATGATCAAAGCTCACTTGTGCGACCAGAGCCATGCGCCTCTTGTGGGTCATCTGGGAAACGCAGATCAGTATCGCGCTCCTCAGTGCTAGGGCTAGCAGTGTGACGAACAGGTAGCTCTTCTCCACCATATCCATCCTCTGTTTGACAGCATACAATGTTAGCTCTCGATCGATGCGGAAAAGATCAAGCAGCCACAAGGAACCCCTGACATACCGCCATCGCTGGCCGTCTTGCCGTTGGTCGAGCCGCCACTGGTCGCGACCCTCTCGACCTGCTCAGCCTCCACCTTCTCGGGCACGGCCACGCCGTTGTGTGTAGCTGACATGTTGTTATCAGTTTGCTGTTCGCGTGCCAACCTGCGTGCTGGGTTTCCGTCAGGGAAGGGTGAGAAACTGGGTGTGCCAAGTACTCAGCCAGCATGCGGAATGCAAGATGAAGAGACAAGGACGAGGGGCAATCGCGGAGATATCTATATCTAAAGGTAGCAGTGGACCCAGTTGGAGTCAAACACGACGATCTCCCGGGGTAGACGGCAGGCCTAGCACGGTCCAGGCCAAACGAGAGTGGCTCGTCGAGACCCAAGATGAGATGAACTCTAAGGTGCCTCGTGGCAGAGCCGTCCCGACTGCCTGGAATGGACTACGCGGCTGCGGAGCAATTGCGCCTGCCTCACTGACAAGACCTTCCCGACTCATGACGGTCAACGTGCCATCACCACGAGAAATCTCAGCCCCTTTCCCCGGCGACATACCTCCCTGGGCGGGCAGTCCACCGCAGCGCCACTGCAGCACCACCCGCTAGTCTCCGGGGGTTGGAGCAATAGGCCACCCCTCGCAAGACGCCTCCAACCAGGGGATAGGCTGGGGCACGCGTGGCTGTCTCCCAAAACCCCGCATACGGTCCGACTCGTTGGAGTACGCTAGCCATCGATGTTTCCGCACGGCCATGCGTCTGCTCCTCCTTACGGCTCGCACGACTCGCGAGCTGGAATGAAGCCTGCACCGGTCAGCCCAGGAGCCTCGTCCGCTGAACGACTGCTTCGCTGAACATGTGCAAGCGCGCGAGTTGAGCTCGTTGTCAAAGACGTCGACAGCGAATTGTCTTCCTCCGACGCCTTCCACGGTCCCGGGACTCCTTCAGGCAAGCCCACGCCAATTAAGACACGCACAGCAGCAATTCCCGGAACTGCCAGCTGCCGAAACCACCAACAAACCAAGCTTTCACGACACCCCCAGCGAGATTTCAGCCCTTTTCCCCGCTGGTCTTCGGGATCCATCTGCCGGCCGCCCCGCGAGGCTTGGCCACGCATTCCCCATGGGGTCAATTCAAGGCTTGCAAAGTCTTGGCTTTTCCGGGGTATTTGGTCTGGTTGGGACTTCCCCACCTAACAAAGTGGACTTGGCGATGCCAGCGCGGAAGGTTGCGGTGCGGCATCAATGGCGCAGAAACGTGGAATGTGCTACTGATTTCATCCCCTAAAGAGCATGTTGCGGTTCATCGTGTCAGATTCACACATCACCGCGTGGGAAGACAGCCAGTGGTGGCCGTCGCTGTCTCGTTTGAGTAGTCCCGCAGAGGTGGCGTCTCTTGAAAGCCAAACAAGCACGGGAACGCGGGGTAGCGCGCACAACAAGCTTCAGCGTTATCGTCCGTCGGACCATGGAAAGGAGGGGGAAAGGCGACGACAGCCAATGAGGCTGCCCCCATCACACTGATGCCTCGGCACGGAGTCCGGATCTCAATCGACAGAGGGACAAAGGTACGTATGCTCAGATCGGCGCGTTGCTTGATCTAGAAGTATCCAGCCGCCCAAGGTTTGTTGCGTGGGCGCTGCAGGCATGTCGGATGACTTGACGCACCGCGTTTCTCCCGGGTTTAGTGGCACAACTCTGGCTAGTTGCTAGAATAGGTATCTGAGGAGTGGAGGCAGGGGAGATGTGAAAAGGCCGATCCAGACTGCTGGCTTCTGGACCAAGACCTCCGCTGGGAGCAACAAGAGCCCGCAACACAAGCGCGCGCACACACAGAACCATGCGGGAAGGAAGCGGAGGAGGATATGTGATATTGGGAACGGTCTGTATTTCTTCAGATCTCCGATGCGTGTTGTCATCCATGTGCTTGCGTGCAGCGAGGCGCTGTCAAGAATTATGGGTAGGCTGTCGCTTTCAGGGGTTGCTGCTCATGTACAGACGGAACCATTGCCCATGGACAACACAGCAGCGGCGATGTTCATGCGTTTCGTAAACACATTAAGCTCACTCTTTGTCTGTCATGCAGACACGCTACCACGAGACGGGGATTTAGCCCTGGGCCCAGACAGGCGATCTCGTGATGCATCTAGTAGGATTCCGAATTTGTGGTCCTGCACTGAGGCTAGTTCGAGCTGCTTATTGCAGGCCTAGAACCGGCTCCCGCCGATCTGTGCATGCAGGATGGTAACTAACCGTGTACCTGGGCGAGGAGGGTGCCTGGTCTGGGTAAATCATGCTCTGGCCAGCCACTGTGGAAGAGCACTTGGCCTATCTTGGAGGTTTGTATCACGGCTAACCACCCTTCCGGAGACCTTAGCCATGCTTAATCCATTCTCGGTTTCTTACTGCGGATTCAGCAGACTCTATCCTGCCATTGCTTGTGGGAGCATCGCAGATGAAATGTTGCACGCGTGACGCACTGTGGCCAGACGAAAACTACCTACATGACGCGAGGCCACGCTCTGCGTTAGTTAGCAACTGTTTGCAATATCTTGGGACGTTATGAATCATATGGCACGATCTAGGGCTTTCCAAGTTAACTGGTATGTCGATCAGCTTTGCTATGAACTGCATTAATCCTTCTATCTTAAGTTTAGGAGCCGGCAACGTGGCCTAGAATGACAGCATGTGCACCTTTGAACAGATGTCCAACCAACCGGTGCTCTCCAAACTCACACGGGCTCTCTCACCGTCAACGAAAACATTGGCACTGTCCGAACACATTGACCGAGTCTCCTCCCGGGTACGTTTACCTGCTCCGAAAGCCATGCTGACATGGAGTTTCTGCTCATTGCTTCTGTCGTCATCAATCCCAGCGCGCAGATCCACACCATCACCATTGCTATCCTCTCTGACGCCATCTCTATCATGCCCGCCTTGTCCGGCGGGAGGCTGTGCAGAAAAGGCTACAGATCTGGACCTCTGATACCCGCCATCTCTAGTCAATAACCATGCATTCACGCCCAATGACACTGGTCCAAGCTGGTACCCATGCGGGCCGGGAGCAGCCGCCGACACTGTTTGGTGCCCTATCGTTCCAGCCATGAACTGCCAGGGTGAGTTCGCCCGGGCCTGGAGCTAAATGACTGACCATAGACTACCGCGATGCTGCAGCCAGCTTTGGAAGGAGTGACATCTTGTACGGCTGCCCAATCGGACGGATCGTGAAGCCAGGCCCATGACGAGAAACAGCTTGCTAATATTCGGCTCCCGGCTTACAGCTCTCTGCGGCGTTACCATTCGACGTGATGTGCCTATTCAGATGCCTGGTGCGACGTACGGTGGCTCAAAAATGATTGTTTCAAGGTTCGGCAAGCGCAGGCTCTGTTGAAACAGGTCTGACTACGTGGGAATATAGGTACCCAACCTGCAATAACATTTGGCGTCAGCCAATATTTCGGTCGCTGGCGTCATCTCGCTAGCACTGACGCCAGCGAAGGGGATAAAGACGTTGGCACAATATGAAATCGCAGCTTATTGCACAAACCGGTAGGCAATTGTGTTGCTTGGCAATGATGACATGAACTTTCGTGGGCATCAAACAGGCGCAAACGACAATCATTCACTTCGTGTGCTACGTATAAAATTGCCCGCCTCCCGTAGGTTCTCAGATCTCTCACTCTCGGCCAGATACCTCTATCTGATCCATATCCAAGTCTCGCCAGAGTATTCAATGGTACTGTCAAGCCATCTGGTATCTCGTCGTTTCTGTCCTCTGCTAACAAGTACCGATCAGCGAACGCCCAAGATGCGACTGACGTACCCTCTCCAGACTCTGAGTCTGTTCTGGGCCATCTCGCTGGCCAGCCCAGTCCCCGCCCCTGCTCCTATTTCTGGACCGGTGTTGTCGGACGTTACGACTCGCGATCTTACGATTTTCGATTCCAGACCAATCAAGATTCAATACTACATCGACTACCAGTGCACCAAGTATAATGCCGAGTTCACTATCCAAAGCGACGCGTGCTATAACTACAGTTACACCGGCACTCACTCAGCCAACGCAGTCACGTGGTGGGATATCGCCGACGCCCACGTTTCTTGCTACTACTATACTGGCAAGGACTGCCAAGGAACACGTAGTGAATCGGTCGAGGATCACCGATGTATTAATAATCTCCAACGATTCGAAAGTGTAGCATGCTCATGGTATCATCCGTACAAAAGATAGAAAAGCATTAAAGGCGGATAAACAGTCTGGCCCGCAGGGCATAGGCGCCACTGGCCTTCAAACTATTCAATACATTCCGCGTTACTCGTTAGTCATCTATTCATATACACTAAAAGAAACTCTAATGCAGCATGCAAATCTTAGAAATCTTGCATCAGGATTCCTATTAGCCTGCCACGCGGAGGCGACTGCAGTGCACTTGAGATCCAAAGGATGGAGAAGACGCAAACTGCCATCGAATAAGTATGGCGCACCATTTTTTATTGCCAGTATTTTCTGATTGCCTACGTGGCTGTGCACGAAGTGTTTAAATGTAGGCCATAGGAACGGCCAATAAGCCGTCCATAAACTGGTGACCCGCGGAATGTGTTCGTGGTACTATGATTATGCATCCTGGTAAATTACGCCCCTCTCGTAAGGTCTCCTAGTCTGTTGTCTGATGCGCCCCATTTCGCGGGTAGTTTGTCAAGAAAGCAATCGTGGTTGCCCATGTGGGCAGCATACTCTTCTTACACTTTCTCAGATGGGGTTTGAAGACGATGAAAAGTGAGATCTTGGTGTTGACAACTGGTTAGCTACGGACATGGTTCTGTTCAGGTCCATCAAGTGGCTACAACCAGCACAATATCGAGCTGTGCTCAGGTACATTACGCGTGCGCCTTGTAGTTCATGGCCTTTTGCTTACTGCGAGACACGACCTCTCACGACGAAAGCAAGTCTTCGTGGTCGGTGGGCAAGAAGACACATGGATAAGCCTCTGGTTCAAGGTGCAATATAAGCTTCCCTACCAGCATTGCTAACACTTTTGCCGATATCCCAGGACTCTGCCATCGATGCACCAAAAGACTCCCTTGGCTGCAACACTGCCAAAGAGTCGCAATGGAACCCGTGGCTCAAGATGGACAGCAGACCAAGGCCAAGAAGCTCCTCCCTACTCGTGTCCAAGGAGCACAGCCACTGATGTTAGTTAAAATACCAGAAGGTCGGTGCACCGAAGGGCTATAAGGCACTGTTGGAATCCATGGTGGACGACGACATTACGCAAGAAGAATAGTGCCACTGTTTGATTCTGGAAATGGAATGATGCTGCTTGAGGTCACATAGACTGAAAGTGTGTGGCACCCCATCTTCATGTGGCTTTGGCAGTTTAAATTGTCATCCAGGCAGGGAAGTGGCAGAACGGGGAGAACCGACGTGTCTTTGCAATGGATCGTGGAATGGAATTGCAAGTGCTACTATGAATACCTAGCGGCGCCAACGCGAACTGCAAACACCGACATTTGCACGCCTTGCAGGAAAGATTGTCCCACCGTGCTCTTTCAGCCTCCCACTATGGCCCAAGTAAGCCTGAAAAGACACCTCTCGACCATAAAAAATAGAAGCAAAAAGGTTCCAAAACTACCAAGTACACGGGGCCGCGGTGTACTCAATGTCGATGCATCTGACCGTGTTGGTACCAGGGCCGGAAGCACAAATCTGGCTGCGATTCTTGGTCTGCACGAAACAGTACTTTCTGCCCGGCTGGTTGGTCCAGAAAATGTGGGCACGGCTCCTGGCACTGTCGATGCAGATCTCCTGGACAAAGTCGTAGTTCTTCTTGCAGCCGTCCAGAAAGTACCCGTAGTTGTGGGCGTCGCCATCGTCGGTGATGAGAGTCGTCGTCACGATCGGCACGACTTGCTGCACAATGTACATCTTGATCATGGTCGCGGAGGCGGTGCTGGCGGACAAGGCCGCCAGTGCGAGCGCGGCTGGGATGGCTGAGATATGCATGCTGGGAGGTGGTTAGCCACATGTTTGCGTTCTTGTGGACGCCAGACTTGTTGTCTGTCTGTTCACAACTCACATGAGGGAAGGGAGGATGCAGAGTAGATCAGGCAGGTTCTGATGGCTTGGGGGATTGAAGCTTGGAGCTGTGTTGCCTTGGCAGCCAAGAAAATTAGATCGAAGACAAGTCGGGCAGGCACTTTTTATACTTTGCACGATACCGAGCGGCTGCCTCAGTCATCTGCATGCACTCGCCGCCGCATAGTTCATCTTATCTCACTTGCGCCGGGTTGACTGCAATATGTCTAGATGCCATCATGTTCCCGAAACAGTCGAATATACGGCGCCACGAGGCGAAGCAGGCGTACTAGAGCACTAGAAATGTCCTCCTGGCCGGTACTTGGTACATCATGAGGCACCTAAAAAAGGGCATGAACTTGGTGCAGCATCATGTCTGTGCCCTGGTAACTGTTAATCGTGCACACTGCCCCAGGATTAATGCATCTCAGTCATCTCGGTACTTGCCTGCAAGCGTATGCTCCGCTACGATATGCGGGCACGTCTAGCCGGCCAGGATTGCTGTATTGTCGTCTGCCAGACTGCGTCGTAAGGTCAACAGCAGGGGATACATGGCTTTAAGTTGACATGGCATAGAAACGTGTCGGTAAGTGAACAGGGAAGGTAGTTGCCCGAGGCTTGACACAGCCCATGCCAGAACGGGAGTGGCCCCAGCTCGGACATAGACCACAGACCAGACCGTTACTCCAACCACGACGACAAAGTCGGTTCGTCTCATCTCAGGCATACCGAAACAATTTCGAGGCTCGAATATATCCTGGGGCGCAACAAGGTCATCGTGGCTGACACAACAATGATGACGACTAGTCGGTGACCGCGCTTATCAGGTGCTTGCGTGCTCACCAACTGTGTTTAGCTAGTGAAGTCACCTGAAGACAAGGCAGTACGCCGCGACGACCGGAGCTGCGGGTCAAGGCACCCGTAACATCTACTCATGCAGTATACTAGATATTCTTGTGGTCAACTCGAGGCTATAGTCGTCTGGCGCTCCAGGACAGACCAAATCCGGATGATCCACGCCAACAATCTGTAATCCTGCTTCTCACGCCGACCAGTGACAATGAATAGATTTGCTTCCCAGTGCTGAACCACCAGATTGTCTGTGCGACCCAGGGGCATGGATATGTGACTTCAAGGGGAGTGCTCCCCAGACTTGTTCCCGCGACTTGTAGCCAGTTTTCTGCTTGTCGTCCCTCAGTTCCCTGGAGCTGGCAAGGGGAGGGTAGTGCTAGTCTCCACTTTGCAAGCCATCTTAACGGTCAGGCTGCGCAGGAGGATCCAGGATATCGATCCTTCGAGTGGGTCTCCCCGGGCAAACCCCAGGCGTTGGTTCGGCATCATATCCGCGCTCATGCCAGGGTGTTACGGCAAAGTCATTGGTTCACGATTCTTGATTTCTACGTTACGCGATTCTGTAAGTATTTATAACACTCGCTGGCTATCTGCGAGCTGAGCTCTGCCACCTATAATACCCTGCACGAAGATCATCGAAATCTGACGAAAGGCGAGACCGCCCACGTTCTCAGCATCCGCAATACAATCGCATTACCGATCGCACAATCCTGCAGGAACAATAGGCTTTCGATATGCAACTCCCAGGACTTCTTGTTTTTACCAAAGGCCCCAATCGTACAGGGTGCTACTTTCTGCTTCAGGACTTCGGCCAGAAACAATGAAGTCGCCCGTACCGACCCTAGCTCCTTGACCCCCTTAGAGTCGGATCCCCCTTTGCGTCTCCAACTTATTGAAGTAAGAGTTTTGCAATGTCCGGGGTAACTAAACAATGCTGGCATCCGATAAGCGGAGAGAAAAAATCGACACGGGGGCCCCAACTCGGGGGGGGGGGGGGTCAAGGAGCTAGGGTCGGAGCTTACTTATGTCGCAGCGGCGGGCTTGACCGAGCTCCTGTTCGGGAAAACGTTTAGCAGGGCCCCGACCCGACGGAAGAGTGAATCATTTGTGGCTCGTATGGTTGGTTGACAATCCCGCGTCCATCATTGACACATGTCCGTGGCCGCTGGCTTGGAAATGTCTCCTCAAAACCCAACAGTCCGACCAAGATCGTGTTCACCAGGCTCCACATCACGGCAGCCCCTACGATTCGGTGTCGGGGGTAAGCTTTCTGACAGCCTACTTCTTGGACAGGCTGCAACCCCGGTCTCTAGTCTATATGGGTAGCCGAGTTTGTTCAAATGCTTCAAAATGTCCAGGGTCACTGCGCCGTGTGGCGCGGATCGGACGGCATCGATGTCGCGGGACATCAATAGATGGGCCAAGCTGAATATCTTGTTGCGTTGCGTTAATAGTCCACCTCGATGTAGAACAGGGGACAGTTCAGTCGTTTCACGATCCACACAACGATCGGAATGGCTGGTGGTGAGGCAGTCTTTGTCCTGGGTCGCACAACTACAGCCTGCGGACGATGTCTCGACCCGACTAAGTCACATACACCCCGTAATTATCTCTGCCCTTTTCAATCGTCACTGATCAGCAGCAACCGGCGACGGCCTTGCACTATCCAACTCAACCACGATGGCCTCCTCGCGGCCCTGGCGGCATGAGTCCGTCTCAAGACCTTGTTCGTGCCCAATGCCCGAGGGCTCGTCACATCAGAAGTGACTGGTACATGTGATCTGCAACCAGGGCCCAAGTGATTAACGCTGGCCGTCAATCCGACCAGGGGCCTGGAACAAGCATCTGGGCGATAAGCCCCAGCCCCGAATGCTCGGACCCACTTCCGCCTTTCTGGACTGCTGTCGTTGAAGTCGCACGAGTCATGACCCCCAGGTACAATTTCCGCTCCAATCACATCTGTATGATTTCATCAGGATCTGTATCGAGAGCTTTCATTTGCCAACTCTGGAAATACAATCGATGTGGCCCGTACGGGAGAGACTGAATTTGCCTAGAAAAGGCGATACCCTCCTGCGAAGCGGTGATCCCGCACAATCCTCAGATTAGAGATGTGAAGCAAGACCGCCTGTCCAGAATAGTACGTGCCAGCGGTGGCCTCCTACTCTCAGTGTACCATGCATCACTATCCTAAATTTCTACTTCTCCATTTCGACCAAAGCCGACTCTGGGACATGAAATATAGACAAGAACCTTCGTGTGCTGCCACCAAAGCCTAACGCCCTCGACCCACCACGCAGCAGACAACAAGTCTGGATGAGCTGTTCCAATGACTGGGCATAAATTATTCCAGCCTGCTGAAAGCGACTGGATGTACCCTCGGTCTCGATAGCAGCTGCTGTTACAAGCCCGCTCAAATCCACTTGTCCAACCCTTAGAACCCTTGATTTCCGGCTCCAGCTAGTCCTAACAGGAGATGACCTGTGGCAGCGACTAAAAATGAGGAAATAATGGTTATGACACCGATGAGAGAGGTGGCCCAATTTCTTGCAGTATTGACTCCGCCTGGTGAAGCCGCTTTTCCATACACAGCGAAACCTAGCCCTTCAAAGGGGAATACAATCAAATTGCCAGTGACGCACCTCATAATGAGTATAAGAATGACCTTCAAAGCGTCCAATTAAGCCACAGCGTCATGACACAACAGGCGGTCGGAGTACCGTCCAATAAAGAAGAGCTATGCCAAATGAGTGTAGGTGTTTGGGCGCGATGTCAATGACGTGGACGTTTGGAGGCCGGCTACTTGGCAGACCAAAAGTTTCCCCTGTAAGGATCGGTCGTCGAAGGTGTCAGAACAACCCTGGGTCTTCTCACAAGGCATTTCCGAGCCTCGGTCCCGTTTTCAAGGTATACTCATCTGCATCGGGCTTATAGTTTCATCTGACCAGATGACGACTAGTTTCACGGTAGCTGCATCTTTAAGCTTCCTAGTAGTCTAGACTTGGGTCCGTTGGGACGCCTGAGGCATTTGAGAAACAATATTCATTTGTCTTTACTGAAATGTACATGGGCTAGGCAGGAAATAGTCTCATTGAATATCATTTTCGGATGAGATATACACACGACGCCTCGCCTATAGTGGTCCTACAAACTCCGAGTCGCCTTTTAGCCATGCTTCAAACGAGGCTTGGCTTGGCCTCGTGGCATTTTGCGGTGGATCAATGACATGATGGTGGTCGCATGACAGTGCAGCAAAAGTATGTCCCATAATACTAGTCAGTCTTGAATGTCTTAGCCTGGATTGGTTCTCTTAGACTGTGCTATCAACCGTACTTCCTAGGCCGCCTAAGCGTATAGGGAAGGATTTCTTCTAGGTCGTGGATAGCCTATAGAATTTACCATAAGGCTCCTGAGTGCCGTGCCTTGAACTACTCTTGGACCATCCAAGGCAAAGAAGTGGTCGAGCTTCTGCGGGGGGAAACTTATAGTACCGTCACTCCTCAATGTTTAATAGGCTTTCTGGCCCAGGGGAGGTCGGGACTGTCAAAACGCGTCTCACACCTCACTGTAGGTCAGGTACCACAGCGGAAGCTCTAGCCACGATAGGCCGTCGCTGGAGAATACATTTGAAATACACCAAAAACTTGATCTGCATATTCTGAGCAGCAAGACTTCAGTGGTAGGAAACTTGCGGTATGTGTCACAGCGCACAAGGCACATACAAGAGTGCAGACTTCGATTTCAATCAGATCTGCGACCGCTCAGCAATAAGGATTCGAGAACCAAAGTAGTGTATTTAGCCCCCATCTGATTCGGCTGTTCGCCTCTCTCATGCTGTGGTAGCATATATACGCGTTCTGTTGGATGCTAAACAGAACCAGCGATCGAAGCCGCACCCTGCGGGTACACTCACGTCATCCCATTTCCTTTTACCCCCATCAAGCTTTGAAGGATTCGCCCTGTATTCGACAGAAGAGGTTATGCGAGGACGTATTGCAAATCATACGGTTGCTGTCCTAAACCGTCATGAGGGGAGTCTCAACCACTGTGTATGGCGAAATCCTCTCGCGTCTGCCGGTGTTTCCGGGCGGCTAACACAGAGTGGGCGAGCGGCGCTTGCTGAAAGCTCCACTATGGTCTGGGCTGCCTCAAGTCACAGGCTGCTGACCTTGGTCGTATACGATGAAGTATATGGAGGGATTGTCAGCTTACGCCAAGCAAAAGATCTTGTGGCCTGATATACTCTGCTCGGCAGGTTCATGCGTTTCCATGATTAAGCAGATCTCATATTCTACTTCAGCTCAACCTCCTTGCTCCATGATGGATCCTTTTGGTTGTTGATATGAGCTGGTGCTGCAGGGAAACCTAGCGCAGGCTTCCCGAGTACCAGTGCCCAAATACTTGCAGGCGGACCTAATCCTCAAACTCTGCACAGTTCAACCTGGATGAAGAGGATGGCGGGCTCCGGACTAAACGGGGCTCCGGCCCATAAGTCTTATCCAAGGAAGTTTCAATTTCTTCGAGGCGTTCTTGTGCAGGAGTTGCCGCTTTTTCGATCCACTTCCGTCGTAATCCTTGCCATCATCGGCTGGTCTCAGCGAGGGGAAATCGCCGTTCATGCCGGCCTCTTCACTGCGCAGGGATCGGACATTCCGGTTCGATCTTCCATTCGTCAATGAAAGAGGATATGACCAGGTTACTGTAATCTTTGACCCTGCGGCAATCAGTGCAAACCTGATCCGCGCGCCGGCCTGGCCTGCTATCGAGCGATACGGCGAAATGAAGGAAAGGATAGAACCGTCCGTTCCACCATCCTGTGGCTAAATCCAGTGGGGCTCTGGGCCAAATTTGGCGCCAGATTCTCCAATCCAGCCATCATAAACAGCTCTCTGCGAGATGTCGAGCGGGCGTGCGCAACAACGCCCAGTTGCTCCGAGCTCCTAGTGCTCTCAGCTGAACTTGCCAGCGCTTCCCGGTAAGAGGTGGCCAAGTCGCGGCAGCCAACCAGCTTGAATCTCGCAGGCGGTAAATCGCGGGGAATGATCCGGTACCGCGGCTGGAGTGGAGACGTGCCACAGCCAAAAGGTTTGGTGACTGAATGTCGTCAGGGGTCCTGCGTGCTAAGACTTAGGCGGAAGGCAATCTTGTACTGGCCTTTCGGGCTTCCAGACGCCCTGACACGCTTCGTCGACATTGCCCTGTCCTGTTGGTGCTCTCACAGCGGTCCGCCCGGGCAAGACTCCTGCTCTAGCCACATCGCACTTATCAACACCAGATATCATGCGGAGTGCGGCCTCCACCAAGCATCGGCTCTCGTGATCATGTGACGATGGCCATCCTCATGTGCACTTACTGATCTGTTCTTCTAGCCTCTGTGATAGCCAGAGGAACCCTGCATGGGGCCAAAAAGGGGCAGCGCCACTGGCCGGAGTCGTTTGTGTCCGGGCCCGGTGGCGCCAACTGCGCGTGTTTACACCAAAGACGTTGAGTGGACCGGATCACCTAGCGCGGATCATCGACCCAGCTTCTGGGACTAGAAGCCAGCTTTGGCAGCAGGCCTTCGTGGGCTAACCTTGCAGGGCACTAGCTCGGGATCGTGTGCTTCCCCAGGCTAAGCGATCTGGGGAAGTGGGTGCGTGGCCCCTGTCGAGGGGCTGCATTGAACTCGTTATTGCCTCGTGGATGAACTCTGATAAATAAAGGGGCCATGCAAAGACAGCACGGCATGTACCCGAACACCTGCAGCAGGGCAGCGCAGCTGGCGCGGCACCAAAGCACACGAGCGAGTCATCCTCTGACGCAAGCTGTTGACATCCCCAGCGTGGAAATTGAGACGCAGCCAGGGCGACTCGTGCCCGTCACATGTCTCGAGACCCAGCTCCGACATGAAAGCAACCTGCCTTCTCTTCTCGAATGCCGCTCTAACTGACTTTGCACCCTCAAATATCCCCCTTTCCCACATCCAATCGCAACTTGGCTTGTTGGTCTACCGGCAAGGGGGCCCGGGGCATATGCAACCCGGTGGCGCCAAGCGGTCCGCCGTTGCCCCTGAGGATTCTATCCGTGTTCTTGGAATCGCAAGCTTTTGGCCAAGCTTTTTCCTTCGTTTGAGCGCGCGCTCCTGGTTTGGCTGTCTGGTTGGCCTCACCACAATTTCTCGCCAAGCGAACGCGCCTAGTTCTTCCTATCGGCCGCTCATTACGTGGCGCTCCGGCTCAACGAGTATCACCAATGCCGCTAAATCATCGCCTCCGTCTCCTACAGACTATTGGAGGGCAGCAAGTCACTGAAAAACTCCCCAGGGCTGATCTCAACAGCCCAGACATGGCCCGTGGCCACTATGAGGCGCGAGGCTGCGGCCCACGACTCACGCTGATCCACGTTACCCCATGCAAGCCCAGCGCACATTAAGGTTCAGCTGGAATGTCGTTTCAGTGTGGCTTGCAACCAACAAGACGCGGTTGCATTACCAACTTTAAGTAGCGTGAGAGCTTTTCCCACTATCCAGGGATCCTTCCATCGGGGCGCGCTGGAACTTGTCGAGCTTGACCTTGACGTGGTTCGTGGAGCACTGCACTCCTTCCCAGAGCTTTGCCCCCCGGCGCTGGCTGATCTGGTATTAATCCACAGTGACCCCATCGTGGTTCAGACCTCGGTCTGCAGATCCGGGTCATGTTTTCCTCAAGCAAACTGTCTCCTTCTCCTGTGAGCACAGAGCCTATGTAGAAAATGGCGGCTGAGGCGTACGACAAACCTAACCGTCGACCGCTGATCATTGGCGTGACAGCGCCGCTTCTGGTCATGTCCATTACATGTGAGCCGTTCAAACCCCATTTGAGCTCTCCCCATATCTTGCTCGAGGCTCGCAAAATGCACGCTGTCACGAAGAAACATGTGGATCTCGCACCTTTGTAATCAAGCTAACACGACAAACCTTAGTCGTTGGCATCCGTTTCTATGGCAAGGGCGTTTTGCGCAAAATCATCCGTGCCGATGACTGGATCATCCTGGCCGCCTCGATATTCTCCATCGCCGTGTCCGCGATGCCACTTATAGCGCTGAAGTACGATCTCGGGTTCCGCCTCGTGGATGCAGACCCGGCGAATCTTGTCCACATGTCGAAAGTAGGTCCTGCACTTTACATGTCGTGCGCTCCATATACACAGCTGACATATCAATGATAACAACTCCAGATAGTCTACGCGAACGATTTGCTCTACCCCACAGCGGTCGGCCTCACCAAGGTGTCCATCTGCTTCTCCTACCTGCATCTCTTCCCCAGCCACGGCAACAAGATCTTCTGCTATACCATGACCGGCTTTGTCACGCTGTACAGCGTTCTTTGCTTGCTTCTCTCCCTGCTCGAGTGTCAGCCTCTAGAAGCGGTCTGGGATCATTCGATAGAGGGGCGGTGTCTGAATGCGGACGTCACCGTATACGTCGGAGCTTCGTTGAACAGCGCCATCGATCTGGTCGTCTACCTGTAAGTTCACTGGCCCCGGATGGGACTGCTTGTTGGCGCGGCACTGACACAAGCTCCCCCTTCCTTCGTTCAGCTGGCCTGTCCGACCCCTCTGGAAGCTCCAGCTCCCATCACAGCAGCGCTTCGGCCTCGTAGCACTGTTTTCGGTTGGACTGGTCGTCTGCGTGGTCGGCATCCTCCGTATCTATTATCTGTCACAACTCATGGCCAGTGCGGACTTTCTGTGTAGGTCAAAACTTTCTGCCCTACGTGCTTGAAGCACTAAAGCGGCGCCGTCACCTCAGTCTTGAACACAAAGCTCATTAGCCTCACAACAGGGAACGGGGTGCCCATCTGGGTCTGCTCCACGCTTGAGGTGAACCTTGGCATTATCTGCGCTTGCCTGACCGGCGTCAAGCCCGTCATGGCGATTTTGTTCCCGTCCATCTTTGGCTCGTCGCAGAAGAGCCACGGAAACTCTCGCTCATATACGCAGTACGGCCAGCGGACCGGACGCGGAACGACCAACGCCGAGTCCTTTGCTTTCGAGCAGCTGTCTTCCGCCCAGCGGGATCAGTACTCGAAGAGATCACCGGGCGACGACAAGTCGGAAGAGTTCGAGGTAATCGCCGGCAAGCACGCCGAGGACCAGCCCAAGAACGGCGTCTGGGTCAGCATCTCCAACCAGAAAGGGCCGGACCATCGTGTGCCGGCCAACGCCATCGGCGTGAGCTCAGAGGTTACTGTCAATAACGAGGCTGTGGACATTGCGGCGCCGAGGACCGTGACCGTCAAGCCCTCGGATGCAGGTAGTGAGGAATGGATCTTTAATGAGGAGGACGACCCAAAGACGACGCGGAACAAGTAAACTGGTTTATTGATGCACGAGGTTATCAGACGTCAGCTCGTTCTCAACTTGTTCTTCAAGCCATTGCAAGAAAGTTCGAAGCACTGCACAAGGTGATTTGTGCGGGAAGGCCAGAAAGGGTTTTATAAGGAACCCTTGGCAACTTCCAGGCTATGACGGAGGCGTATTGTGTTGTTGTACATGAAGAAGTCCACGACTCTCAATCTCCTACACGCGGCGCCAATGTTAGTCGGGCAGCAGCCATTCCGTCAATTACTACTCTTACCAGGATAGCTTTCGCCCGTGCAACTTCGTGAGGGTTCACGGCAAAGTGCACTGTGTTCCAAACTGACTCTTGATTTATTTAGATAAAGAGTCTAGTCGACCACTCTCAATCTTTAATCTGTCCTACCAATAGAGGGAAGCGGGAGTGGCAATACGAACAAGTCAGATTTCGTCGGATTCAGATCGTTGTTTCGTTCACGAGACGCCCTCGCTTTCGGACCCCTGGTGTTCACAGCGCAAATCTCTTTCGTTTGAAATTGTGCGGTCCCAACGCCTGGCTCAACAAAGCCATTCAGGGCCGGCATTTGGGGAAACATCCTGGTATCGAAGTGGTCCAGGCTCTCATTCACGCCTCCAGCGGCCGCAAGCTTATCGTGCCCACTACTTAACACTGAAGAAACCTATGTACTGGGCTCCACGGCCCACCACAGTTTGTACCCGGCTTTGCATTTCGCGCAACTCTGGAAAAGGACTCCGAGTTTGAACCCTTAACCGTACATCACGTTAACCAGTGGGTAAGGCTCACCCATCTTGTCTCTACGGAGAGCTTTCAGGGGGTCTTGGTCCAGAGCTACCACAATCAGCTAGTGTCCTGAAACCTGACCGAGTGTCTTTGCTCTACTACTGCCTCGACCACACAACCGTGCTATGAAGAGTCTTGGACTTGAATTGGTTCCCACAGGAAACAATCCATATACGTCAGCGAGCTGGCAGAGCAAGGCTTTCCAAACGCACATCTGTGCCACGTGCAGCCTTCCGAGCAAGGTGGGTGGGCGACATGGGTGAGACACCCTGCAGCCGTGCGGGCTTTGAATCACATTTCATACTTCCGCGGGCAAACAAAAGGAAACCGGCATCGTGTACGAGACAGTGCTGTGCCAGCATTGCACAAAGTATAAGACATGCATAGCCTCAAGCTATGGCACCATGCGTTGTTCCGAAACATGGCTGAAAGTCTCAACGAGGCCGCTCAGATACGCCGCAATGCCAGGAGCCAAGGTCAAAGAGATGATTGAGAAGTCCCCGCAACCAGCGGTTTTCCAGAGCATCTGCGTGACTGACGCAGTAGCTTTAAATATGCCCAGCTAGAATTGGACAGTAATAAAATCACGACAGCCACGGAATACACAATGTTCACGAGAGCGGCATCGTGTCCCAAAAGTCATGAGGTGACCGTACAAGACAAAACCATCAATTGGTCGTTGAAATATATACAAGCAATTATATTCTCTAGATCTCCATGAAACTGGACAAGTATTTGTCATCACCCAACCCCAACACCACGCCAGCTTGAAACTTTTAATCAAAATGCCCCATTATTTTGGCATTAGCCACCGCTTACCACTGCACAGCGGCACGGATGTTGGTCCAGGAGTTGTGCACACGCGCCTCCTGGCCCTCGGTGAACTCGGTCAGGCACACATCGTCAGAGTAGTCCATGTAGTTGTGGATGCTGTCGAGGCCGGGGGCGGGGCACGAGTCCTTGGTGCCGTCGGCAGGGCAGCCGTAGGTGGCCTCACTCTGGGCGGGGGTGTCGGCGACGAGGTCGCCGTCGCCGCCGCAGATGCCCTCGTCGGAGAAGACGTGGAACAGGCCGAGCCAGTGGCCGACCTCGTGGACCACGGTGATGCCCAGGTTGTACTTGTCCAGCGAGCCGCCGGGCACCGAGTTGCCGTCGGCGTGGACGCCGTCGAGCCACTTGTCGCTCTCGGGCTTGTCAAGGTCCGGGAACGTGGCGATGCCCAGCAGGCCTGCGGTCATCTCGTTGTAGAGCCAGATGTGCAGCGTCTTGTAGTCGCCGGTGCGGTACTGCTTCCAGTATGCCTCAATGTCGGGGTTGGGCGAGCCGCCAATGGCGCCCTCGGCGTCGTCCGAGTAGCTGAAGACGGAGATGGAGTCCGACACGGTGCGGGTGAAGCCCTCCTTGACAAAGATGACGTCGTGGTCGACGTAGGCGGCGTTGAGCACATCGAGCTGCTTCTGCAGCGAGGCGTCGTTGAGATATGCGTCGGTCGCGTTCTCGGGCACCGCGGCGTGGATCCACGTGGGCACCTTGATGGTGCGCTTGCACTTGGTCTGGCCGATCTCGGCCGCGTGCACGCGGCCGTAGGTGACGTCGTCGTCGGCTAGGCGGGACATCTGGTCGTAGATCTTGGGCGGAGGGACGTGGTTTGCGCAACGGCTCGGGCGGCCGGAGCGGGAGCTGAGGAGCGGAGAGTGAGCGGCGACCAGAGGGGTCACGGCCACCGCGGCAGCGAGGAAGTTGGTGATCTGCATATTTGTGGTTGCGTTTGGAGGTCACTGGGAAACAAGCGAATGTGTTTCGTTGAGCGAGAGTGTGATGGAACCGGCAAGGAAACTGGACTCGAAAGGCAAGGATGACGAGAGGAAAAGGGAATATTAAAACAACTGTGCAAGAGTTGTCTGAACCGTGAAGGGTGGGGAGAAGAAGAGGGGACAAGCACAAACTGTCACGAGGATGGGCCAGCAATCTATATACACCATGTGTTGTTCTGCTGGGCTGTGTCTCCCTCCAATCTAGGAAGGACTGCCTGGCGATGAATAGCAAGTGGGTATGCAGACAGCCTCACGGACACACTAATTAGCTGTGTGACGGATCATGCGTGCTGCTGTGGCTCGCTGGTGCCTCGTGCACTGCCAAGCGTTGCTCATTTCCACTGCCAGGGTCCAGCCGCAGATCTGGGATCCAGTGGATGTGCCGTCCTGCCCGTAAGGCTGGGACAGCCCCTGCGCGACCTAGGACGATCGTGTTGGGCACCCTCTGGTTCTCGAGCTGTCACTGGCTGGCCACACTCCGTGGCCTGGCACTACCATTCAGAAATGCAGAGGGTTGAGTGCTGCACAAGGGCATTGTCAGCCATGGCGTAACGGCTAGCAAATCAGCGCCCAGTCTTGTTGCGCACACATGGGGCTGGCGCGCGGACAACTAGCTCTCCCTGCCCTAGCAGCCCCTACCAGTGCCGCTCAAGGTTTTCTCCGCTGGCCTGCAGGTGTCGACAAAGGGGCGCAGTATTTAGGTGCCGTCGCTATCAATAGCAGCATTTCTTTTCTCTTCTTCCCTGCTACCAGGATAGTCATCCTCTCTGGCCTTGATCGATGACCCCGTGGACCAGCAAAGGATGCAGCCGGCGTCCATGTGGCCACTGCATTCTCGTGAAGCCAGCGGCCCTTTCCTTGCTGCCGTGTCCTTCAGCCTTCCTGCCCTTTCTGTCAGCTTGGCCGACTGCCACGATGCTGCGTGCTTGACCCCTGGGCAGCACAACCTTGGCTTCTGTGGGGAAGGCTTGAGGGGGCCGTACCCGCCCGCCATTAGCCCAGCCCCTTGAAGCAGGGTGCCAATGTCGTTCTGCTGCCGAGATCGATGCACGCGTCCAATAAGACAGGGGGGCCGGGGACCAATCGTCACGGCTCCCCAGTTTCATGCTGTCATGACAGTAAGCACGGAGGAATATGCGCCTTTCGCTTGTCTGCCGTAACCCCTTGTCGCTAATGAGCTGGCTCGACCGTGGCTTTCGCCAAGGACTTGGACTACCTTCTGTTCCTGTGAACTCTGTTGCGCGCAGGCTCATTGAGATGAGGGCGAATCGCGTGTTGCTAGTCTAGTCCTGCGCCACAGCAGTCACTGGGAAATGAGGGCAGGTCAGCCGTCGGGCGTAGGGAGAACACTATGCCACATACATCACTGGATGCACGCATACTGATGGCAAAGCTGCCGGACAAAACTTTCCATTGACATGTGGCTACAAACTCAGTACCGATCTGACAGCACATCTGAGGGCAAAGACCTGTTTATGCACTGTTGAAAACCAGGAGCGATTTAACTAGTGGCTCGTGTTCAAGCATCGTATTCAGACCGACCGCGGGGTTTTGGTCGGGGCCAGCGGGTCTCACATGGGAAGGACATTGAGATCGCTGTTTGCACGGCATGTTGACCCTCTGGACGTAAAGATGCGCACCTTTGTTTTCGTCAGGGTTTACAAAACAAGCCGTTTCGTCATTGTGCTCTGCTCGTCAAGACCTCGAAACCCATCTCAGAGTACTATCGAATATGCAAATGGATCTTTGCATCCTGATACCAAAACACTTTCTGCGTCCGTGCCGCCCGTTGTTCTCGAAACAAATCGGGTGCTCGTGCGCCGCCTCGGCTCAGGCACCCGATCTACGCCCTAGCACGGACGTGTCGTGCGCACTCGCTCTGCGCTTGCACGGTCATCTGATTGTTTCACCATACTTGGTCAATCAATCGAATCTGTGACTGTTTCGCTGTCCCTCCAAGGTTGCCGTGCGCACAATTCTTCAGGAATAACAATTCGGTGCCTTTGTTGACTGTCGTACACAAACACGGCTTCACAGCCACGTTACTACCGTGGCACCAGTAAGGACTATGCACCTGACCCAGACCGACAGAGCCCGTTGGCAGGGTACCCAACCAGCTGGCCGGCCCTAGGCTAGAAAGCCACAGCCCGCCGCCAGCAAAGCAAGCATAAAAGCAAGCTTACGGAGTCCACCACTGTGGCTGACTTAGTGCGTGGTCCCAGCCCCTGCCCTGCCACCGGTCAATCCGAGGACCAGGGACTGGGCCGAAGGTTTGCGCACAGCCGCGGTTTCAAACAAGGCACACTGGGCTGTCTATTTGGGGGAAATGGGGCACTCCACTTTGGGTCTTGCGTGCTGGCAGCGGCACGCCAGGGCTGGTCACGTTTATTTGCGCCGCACTGGATCAGTATGATGCTGGGCTGCGTGCGGGCCGTCGAGCGAGGACGTCAATAAGAAACAGAAAAGTCAGGTGATCCATGCTCCTCGAGCAACCCAGGCACGGGTGCCATAAGCACTTTGCAATCCTTTACGATGTAGCCTGGACATTGTCCACTGGGGAGATCACTGCCCTGGAAAGAAAGCCCCATAGTGACTGGTTGCTGTGCCGCACCAGAACGCTTGCCACTTTACGGAGTACTTTTGGCGTATGACGTCCTCATGCGCGCCCACCGGGGTAACCTCACCTCGTTCCTTGACCTGCCACTCCATCGCCCACGTCCTTGGTCAGCTTGTACGACTGTAAGGTTCTGCGGGACCACAAGGAAGGCACGGGACCCATCGTTGATGTTTTGAAATAGCAGAGGTAGCTGGTTTCCGATTTCATCCGGCCTTTATTATATATGTACATGCCCTAGAGCGCCAAAGTCTACAGCACCGGATAGATCGAGCGGAATGCCTCACGTTAGACAGTTACGCTACGGGCACAGGTAGATCTTTGAGAGTTTTTCCCCGTAGCGCTGACCTCCGTTGCGAACCATCTTACTTCAGATTGCTTGAATGAAAATATAAAATTACTGACTAGCAAGTACCTGCTGAACGCAATCACCACTTGGTCCTAATCCTTGTCATGTTGGCCACTGTCGCCTTCTGGCACCCCATGATACAATAGGGCAATATTCCCATAAATATTGACATGGGAAAACAAGCTCGCCTAGCAGTCAAGGATTGTCCAATAGCGCCGGCCACCAGGAAGCTTGGGTGCGAAAGAGTCGGCGAATCATGTCTCGATTCAAGCTTGGACGAAGCGATGTTGGACGCCCCAACTTCCAGGAGTTCCAGACACTCCTCACTCTATCTTTACGCCACGGGTCCTTGAGATGCTCCCATTCAGTGGCTGGCTGCCGAGTATGAATAGTAGGACCTCCCATTGTCGGCTTCGCGCGACACACACTGTCCGCGCATGTGAGTGACTTTAGAGTTCTGAGTCGATTCGTACCCCTGCTTACGCCACACTAACTGTTACTGTTGGCAAGGATACCGACATTCGGGTCAGACGGGTAATACTGTAGTACATCCAGCCGCATGCATGCTAAGCCCGAAGGGCCCGTCAGCACTTAATGTCTTGGCACGAGACGCATACAAGCATACCGAGGGGGCAGATGACAGCTGTTCTGGTGCTGATTGGACGTACATACTAGTATTAAGTTTCCTGATCCACACACAGCCGCATTTGTGTGTGCAGCTCATCTCGTACCGGCGAGCCAGTAATAAGCCCCCTCATTAAAGCATGTTGGAGCAGGAGGTTGGCAGCAGCAAGGAACTCTGAAACGGTTGTCGTAAAGCCAGTGACAAGTTGCCCACATTCACAGGCTCCCGGAATGGTGATTTATGTCAAATCTGCAAATCCAAGTAAGTGTTAACAATGGTAGTGAACACAGCCATGCATGCCCAGTTAATGCTCCATAAACTCGTGCTCGGGGCCCAGCCCCTCCAGGGGCACGAAATCCACCGTATGAGCATTCGATCTACAGAATCAGGCTCAAAGACGCGGCCGCCGACTCTATTGCCCAGCACCAAACTCCATCCTGCCCACCTCGCCCGGCTCGAAAACCGCGTCAAACCTCACCCCAGCGCGGCCAAACGACTCCCGAATCTCCTCGCCCCCTCGCACGAGCCAGTCCAGCGGCAGACTGGCGCCCTGCGGCGCAGGGAGACATTGATACCTCATCATGGGCATCGTGTCGACAACCACGCTGGCCAACCGCGGGTGCGTCTCGCTGCACACTCCCGCGAACCGCCGCAGCGCTAGCGGGAGCAGGTATTTGTGCGTGTACTCGCGCATGGGATCCTCGTAGTTGTGGTCGTTGGCCCCGACCCCGTCGCCGTGGGACATGATGCTCGAGAACGACAGCGGCGGGGACGGCGGGAGCGACGTGTCCGGTCCTACAGGTGTAGTGCTCGTCGTCTGTGGTACTGGCGGGGGCCCAGTGATGTTGACATAAGTCCAGCCGTCGCCGCTGCCCGTGCCGTTGGCGCCGTAGTCGTCGCCGTCGCCGTCGTCGCTGTCCTCCTCCTCTGGTTCGTGTCTAGTCTCATTTTGCTGGTTTTCGCCATTGCCGTGGAGGCTGAAACTGCTCCTGGCGCTGCTGCCTCGACTACTCCGACTACCACTACTGCCACCACCGTATCCCCCACCAGAAGCGGCAGCGGCGGCGGCGGCAGCAGCATCTGCGTCTTTGTAGCTGTCGAAGGTCGGGACTCCGTCCCCAGAGCCGTATTCGCCGCGCCGCTGCCAGTAGGGCGAGTGTGGAATGCAATAGTAGTCTGCTATCCGCAAGGCTCGGAGAGAGCGCGGGAGACACCGGAGAAACGGTATATCAGTGCGGGCTAGTGCCGTCGCGTCACTTTGTTGAGGTTGGCGATGGTCACCTCGTTGGTGGAGGGTGCCGTGCATGCCGTAGGGTTCCAAGGTTGAGGTCTTGCTGTTGTGGCTCTCGTCTGATCGTCTGGAGGCGGCAATGATGTCCCGCGGAAGCATGCCGTAGAAGCGCCACAGATCGCGGTTCGTCGCAATCAGGGGTAGTGCTATCCGCAGGACCTCGAGGTTGTCAAATAGACCCAGGTTGCGCAGTGGCCTGGGTAGCCGAGGTTGTTCATGCTGCTGCTGGTGCTGCGGTGCGTCCATCTCCAGAGATTCATCAGAAGCTGCGACATCCCAGCACGTCATCATGTCCAGAGCTTTCAGCGAGCGCCTGTGGCGTGACAGCACCGCATCGCAAGTATCGAGGTCTAGCGGGGCGCCGTCGCCTGCCCGTGAAAGCGGTGCGTCGTGGATGGTCGACTGAAACAGCACCAGTTCCTGGATCGTGTCTGGCTTGACCCGCGATCCCCGGTGGTCGCCCATATTGTCTTCCGGCAGGCCGAGGAACCCCTCAAGCGCCGTGTTCAGGGACGCTGAGCCGATGCAGAGCCTCGTGTACTTTGCCGTCTTGTCCTCCGTGGTATCGCGCATCGCCACAAACCCCTGCTCGTCTCCTTCTTCTCCTTCTTCTTCTCCGTGGCCGCGCGGCGGAGAGGGTCCTCGCGAATATGCCTTCCTCGACTCCGGCCCAAGCCAGAGCTCCCACCCGCCCAACGTCCCGTCGCTGCTTACCTGGCTCACACCGGGAACGCGCGCCAGCGCGGGACAGGCGTCACCGCGAGCCAGGTAACCCCGACAGAAGCCGTCATGCTTGTACAGCTCGTGCGGCGAGCTGCGGTCCAGGCCGTGCATACTTGTAAATGTGACTGCCTGCAGGCGAGATAGCGGCGGTCGCAGTAGCGATGATGTAAGTGGTGATAATGACGAGATAATGCTGGACTCGTGCCTCTTCATCGCCACGGCGTCGATGATGAGCTGGTCGAGCACCCTGTACCGCGCGTGGATGCTGGGGATCTGCGTGTCCCACGGTGGGCAGGCCAGCGTGATGGACCGCACCGAGTGGCACAGCAGCAGCACTGCCGCGAGGAGGCGCTCGGGCAGGCATCGCACCGAGTCTGGCGAGCCGGACAGTCTGGGCGTCGAGGCGTCGTGCTGCGTTTGCTCCTCGCTGGTGTTGACCTGGTCATGCTGCACCAACCCGCAGTATCGAAGGATTTGGACTGCGATGGCATCGTTGTTTGGTATCCGAATACCGGGGGCCAGACGCTCCCAGCTCTTGGCTATAATGCTCGGGTCATGCACCGGCCAGAAGCTCTGCCGGTACGCGTGCGCTTGCCTGAGGATGAAGTAACTGTTGATGTTGCCGACTGACCCTCGCAGCATGTCGTCGCCTTCAATGAGAGTGCGCAGGAAGAGCACCAGAGAGTCTGCCTCGAAACGTTGTTGGGGGACATCGCTGGTTGGCGAGGCGAAGAAGTGCTGGCTGCGCGAAAGAGTCACGGACCGGTACAGATGCGGCGCTGTGATGGACGCGAGGGTCTTGCATGACCGACAGAGACTCGACAAGATGGCTCTCCTCCTCCTGTCACGGTTGATGCCGTGCGGGTCCTTGTCTCTGGTGAAGACATCATCGTCGGCCGAGATGGACGATCGTGTCACGGGGTCCTGGGCGAGCAGCTGCACGACATGGTCGAGAACCTCTGGTGGCAGAGACAGTATGCTCGTAGGTTGCGTTACCGAGTGCAGATGCATGTTTGGCAGCCTTGCTCCCGCAGGCTCGGAATCCGCGGGAAAAGGCACACAACACGATGCAGTTGCAAGGACGAGGGAAAAGATGTCGGGAAAATCAATGTCCACGTGAGACGGTCGGGACCGCGTGGGGAGTTCCGCCACAAAAACCCAAACGGGACGTAAAGGGCAGCGTTGTACCCACAGGTGCGGACGCCGTTTTGCGGCCGGTAAACTCAAGTCAGGGCTAGCGACTCGTCAGCCAAGCACCCGGATGGACACGGAGAGGCACCAAGGCATGAGGGGCCGGAGAACGGAGACCCTTGGGGTTAGCTTCGCCTGTCACATCAGCTTACGTGAGGGGAAACGTTGGATCTGGTTGGCCGACAAACCCCTATTCTTTGTTTGCTTTGGCCCGACTATGGGCACGAGTATGTGCGGGCGATACGGGAGTGTCCAATTGCCAGGCAACAATGCAGGAGCTGTGGCGACGTTGGCGGTGATGTGCAAATTATGGCTAGCGAGCAATCTGCCTTGCGTAGATCATCAAGGTGAACAGAGGAAAGAGGAAAATTAATGCATAAATGAACAATGCGGTCATCAACACCGCACAAGGATGCAGACTATGCAGGAGCGACGGCCGTTCCATGCATGTATGTATTCTTGCGAGGTATCTCACCGTATTCTGTATCCGATCTGGTAATCCATTGGCAGCTGTACCTAGTTGCATACATTTGCTCGACCACTAAATGATGACTAGAACCCGAGGTTTACCCTTCAGATACAACTGAGCATCTAGACCTGATCCGGGGTCAAGCTCAAAATCGGGGCCGCCAGGAATATTCGAGGGCAATTGATAGGGGGGCATGACGAATTGATACGCGGGCATGACCCTTAGGGGGGCATGACTTTTCGGGCCTCTGATTCGTCAATTTCTTTTTTGTTAGTGTTGGCAGAATTCTGCCGTAGCCTGTTAAGTACCTCAAGGCTATCTCCCCTAATCTCGGAGCTGACACGACGCGACGCGATCAGATCAAGCCCACCAACAGCAAGCAAATCCACCATGGTCAACCTTCGATAATTGGGAACTTCGTCATGTTCCAATCCGAGTCTCCTTCCAACTCGAGACGACGAACCCGTAGTTCTAGTCCCCACGCTCAAGATCAAGTACGGCCACGAAAACGACAGCGGCAGAGCCGACAGGGCAAGTTCAGCCCGCCGATACTTGCGAATCGGCCATCCTCAACGAGCAGCATAGCAACAAGTATCGGCCAATACTACGGAGTCGGCGACGAAGATGTACTCGGAAATCTCTTTGCATCTTACCCAGAAACCTTCACGACAGCTCCACAGCCGCACGGATGGCGTGGACTTCACGAGCCACCATGGGAGCTCCGTTTCGATCACGAGGTGCACCTCTCAAACGATTTCCCGTCCGGTGGAAGGCAGTCCTTACGAGTGAGGATTCCTGTCCCAGGACCAGAAACCGACCCACTGTCTTCCTTGCCACTTCAATCAGCACAACAGCAGCAATCGTCACCCACACGGGCCGAGTTTCAATCTGCCCTGAAGCTAGTACGAAAAGTGATTGGGACGGAGCGGAGGCTTACGCTCGAGCTCGCTCGGTCATACGAACGAGTACGTCAATGGCGCGAGAGATGGGGCTACTCACCACTCAGCTCAGATGCGATTGAATCGCCTCCTCCCTACTCACCGCCCCGAGAGCCGTCCGCCCAAGCTTCATCTCCTCAAGAGATGCGATCTTCTCCTCGGATGTCTTCGTCCCCCGACCCAGACCCGATCCCGATTCCGCCGATCCCAGGCGACCCAAAGCCGTCAGCCGAAGCTTTGTTCGACGTGGTAAACACCTTTGCGAAAGAGAATGGCTTTGGCATCGTCCGACGACATGCCTATTCCTACAATGGTCGGAGGATGAGGTACTCTTTCCAATGTGACCGATACGGAGAACCACGGCCGAGTAGAGGTACAGGGCTTCGGCTACGCAAGTCTCGGAAGTGTGGATGCAAGTGGATGGTCATTGCTGAAGCTCTAGAAGAGGGCAAGTGGCTCCTAAGACAACACCCAAACCCCGAACACAATCAACACAATCATGGACGTAGCATTAGGCCGTCTGCGCACCCTTCCCACCGACGACTCACTACACCCATCAGGGCTACCATCGAGTCGACGAGCCGTCGGGTCGGTATCCGGGCCCGTGACGTACGGGCTGTGGTCCAAGACCAACATCCCGAGTCAATCTTGACGCAGAGGGACATCTACAACGCCCGAGCTCTCATCAACCGAGACAAGCTGAATGGCTATACTCCCACCGCCGCGTTAATCAAGCTGTTTGACGAGATGGAGATTCCCTATCTCGTGAAGTGGGCGGACGATGAGCCAAACCGTCTCGTTGGCCTTGTCTGGACTTTTCCCTACTGCCTCCAGATGTGGAAGCGGTTTCCCGAGGTGATCAGCTTCGACAACACATACAACACCAATCGCTTCAAGCTTCCATTATTTCAGGCAACAGGACAGACCTGCCTTAGCTCTGTCTTCAATGCTGCTTTCGGCCTGATTGACAACGAGAGACGGGAGGGGTTTCAGTTCCTCTCCGAGAGTATTCGACAGCTCTCAGAGCAACACTCTATTCGCCAACCGGACGTTATCATTACCGACTTCGACGATCAGATGAAGGCAGCCCTGAATGATCAGTTCCCTGATGCACAGCAGCAGCTGTGCATCCACCATATCAATTCTAACGTCTTGCTCAAGTCAAAGCAGAAGTGGGCCAAGGGCCACAGCAGCAGCAGTTCCGACAGCAGCGACGGAGAAGACTCTGCTCCACAGGCACAGGCTGAGCTGAGCCCCAAAGACCGACAGTTGGTCCACGCCCCGACGGCGGCGGTCATCCCTCATAGCTATCGAGGGGTCCTCATGATGTGGAAGCTCGTCATGTTTGCGGAGACTGAGGAGGCTCATGAGAAGGCGTGGAGAAATCTCTGCAATGAGTTTGATGACCAGCGAGCTATCCTGCGGAATCTCCATGGAACTTATATGCCTGTACGGGCGCAGTGGGCGCGCTGTTTCATTCGCAAGTATCGCAACTTCGGCGTCCGCGTCACCTCTGGTACAGAAGCAAGCAACAACAACATCAAGAGCTATCTCCTGAATGGTATGAGCCATCTCTATCGGCTCATGGAGGCTATGCAGGACATGATGAGGGACCAGGAGCGAGATTTCAACGACGCTTGCGCAGCGGACGAGGTACTTACCGCGCGAGAGTACATTGGGCCTAGCTCGGAGTATCTCGGCGAACTCCGGACGGCGCTCTCTTCCAAGGGCCTTGGACTGATCAACAAACAATATCGGCTTGCAAGGAAAGCAATGCCGACCGGGAAGAATCCGTTCCCTGAATCCCTCGGGGATTGCGGCGAGGACTGCTCGTTGTCGATCGAGCTTGGAATTCCCTGCTGCCACAGGATCTACTCAAAGCTGAATAATGGCACGCCTTTCACGAAATGGGACGTCCATCCTCGGTGGCACCTACGAGAAGCATCCTCTCGAGATCCATACCGACGAGTCCTCGACCCTAAGATCGCCACTGCTCTCCGTGGCAGACCTAAGAACGCCAAGCAGGCCGTTCCATCAGGGCTAGCCATCGAGACTAGTAGTCAGCCGATTGGTCAACCGGTCGGCCAGGGGCCCCCGAGCCGTAGGCGAGGTCGTCCACAGGGCAGCTTGAACAAGTCGACTCAGGCCAGAATGGAACTTGGGGCGAGCCGACAGGCCAGTGGCCAAGCTGATGTCTCGAATCAGCGCCAGTTACGCAGCCAGTCGACCCTTCTAGGGACGGGAAGAACCACAGGAGTTCGTGCCAGCGGGCGGAGGACGCAGCCCAGCATTCGGAGACGGAGGAATCAATGGGAGCTGGCTGATGGCGAAGAGGAGATTCTTCCTTCCATAGTAGTAAGGGGAGACGTAGACAGCTTTTGTTAATGAAACAGCCCTTGAATACCCTGTACCTGTGAGGGGGGCCGCACCCACTCAATGAGGAAGCACTCGCTGAGTCAGCGAGCGCCCGTCTCTTACCTGTCGCTCGCCTGGCGCTCGCCAATCGAGCGACGGTAAAGTAATAGTCTTGTACGACAGCGACCTTTTGGAATACAGAGAACTTCCCATCGCGTGCCTATTCCGGATCAGTACCTTCTCCTTAACAGTACCGAAAGCAATACTTCTCTTTGACGCCTGTTCTAAAGGGTTAGTGTTGGTCGGGTGCATTTGCGGTCACGAAATCTGGGCTTGTTAAGAGGGCTGGCTTCACCGCCTTTGCTCGGAAGTATTTATGGATCTAGAAAATTTGGCCCAATCAAGTGTTACAAAAAGTCATGCCCCCCTAAGGGTCATGCCCGCGTATCAATTCGTCATGCCCCCCTATCAATTGCCTATTCGAGACCGTTGTGACACAACCCACACGACGATAGTAGCCCGGTGGTTTAGTATCTGCGCGCTGGAGCAGCAAGGCTGATACTTCAGGGTTGGCTCCCCTGTAGTCCGTCATGACTGGCAACAACACAACATTCAAACGGTGAACTCCCTCTTCGTCCGGATGCACCTCGGCGTCGAGCTTTCCAATCCCATCGAGATGAATTGTGTTTGCAGTCATGGTGCCCGGTACGAGGTTGCCCTTGACGCGAAGCTCGCCTCCACGCAGAGCACTTGTGTCGTCCCCTTCAAAGGCAGGCGAGGTGCTCACGTCAATGATCTTGATGTGCCGACGCACCCCATCGTGGCTTGTAGGGAGCCCAGGAATTACATCGGTGTCTACGGCTGCCCAGCTCCAGCTTGGTATCCCCGTTGACGGTTGCGATGCTTTCAGTGAAGGGGCCGGTGTAATCGCATACCAGAGCAGTTGATCAATCAGCCCGGTCCGCCAGAGCCCTGCGAGATACCTGTCGCCGCCGCGCATGGCTCGCATCTTCTTGACCAGCCCACTGATGGCAACCATCTTGTCTGAGCGCCGGGTCAGCTTGGCCGCGCTGTACGCATCGACCCAGTTCGACCACAGCGACGACGTGTCGGACAGCCACGCGTCTCGCCTCGCCTGCACCAGCTGCTGTTCTCTCGAATGCCACACTTTTTCCAGGGCTGTCCGGTCGTCTGGGATCATCGCTGACTGAGCAACAATTGGCAATGTAGGCACGGGAGACCCTGTGTACTTGTTCTTCAAAACGTTCGCAGAGGCGTCGAGCGGCTTGATGCGGTCCACATCGTCGAGCAGCAGCTCGGGCAGTCCCGCGGGGAAAGTCTCGCAGGCGCTGAGGGATCGGCACTCCCACAGGAGCTGCTGGCTGCCGAAATGCAGCGCCCGCGGCGACAGGACGCGCTCCTGGAGCACCCACCCGCGGGTGTTGAGTGGCGCCTCGGCGACCGCCGTCCGCCACATGTCCTGGATCGCGAGATGATATGTCCTTCTGGTGGTCTGGCCTTGTATCTGCCTTCCCCCGTCCAGTTCCGCCGGTCGGGAGGAGCCTGCTGCACCCATGGACAACCACGCAGTCTCCACGCAGACGAGCCGCAGGGCAGCCTCGGGGTCGCGCTCGCGGGCCAGACCCCCGTGGCTGTCGCGGGAGGCCGTGGCCATGATGTTGAGCGTGCTGTTGCTGTACACGTCGCCCATGATGCCCGCCTCGGACGCCCAGTCGTCGGCCGAGTCCTGCACAATGCATAGCGAGTCGATCCATAGGTACGCGAGGCCCAGCCTGCGAACCATGGCGACGGCCTCGGCAAAGGTCCTGGGCAGCGAGCTCGCGGGGATGCCTGGCTGCTTCAGGCCGGCGATGCTGCGCGAGGTCAGGGTCGGCACATCGGCGCCGCCCCAGCAGTGGCTCAGGCTTGCGTAGCGAAGGTGGGGAGAAGCGAGGTTCTCCTCGGCCATGACGACGAGTCTGACTGGTGCTGATGGGTCAGGGCTGATCTGGAGCAGCCTCGTAGGCAGGAAGCTCGGGTCTTCTGGCCCACAGCCCGGGTGAGACGCGGTACAGTCGGCGAACCAGCGGTTGGCGAGCGACCAGGCCGCGCCAGAGACAGTACTGGGACCAGCGACGGCCAGGTGTTCCACGTGGGGGGCAGCGTCAAAGGCTGTGGCGCGATGGTGTCAGTTCAAAGGGGTCCCGCTTCCCATTCATTCACGAGCACTGCGACCTGGATGATGGCAAGAGAGCAGGCCAGTCAGTACTTACCGTCCGGCGACAGTAGCACGAACGTAGTCGACACCCAATCTGGCTCGACAAAATACGAGTCGTCCGCCACGATGATGAGTCTCAACCCTTCCGCTGTCGGGGCTGCCCTTCCTGCCTCTGACAGCTCCTGCAGCAGAGCCCACGTCGTGCAGCGCCTGCGGCCTTGCTGCTGCTCTAACGCGCGGAGCCTGGTGAGCCGAGGGATGATGATCTTGTCGCCCCCTCCGCCGCTACTATCGCCAGTGACCCTCGCGCACACGCGCAGGCATATGGCGCAGCCCAGCTCGACAGCCGCGACCAGGTCCTCGGGCGAGGCGTGGTGCGTGTGGCGCTCCTGCTCGGGTGGGTAGCTGCCGTCCGCGGGGGCCGTTGTGATTCTAGGATTGCCGTGAAAAATGGCGCGGCAGGCGGTGCACAGCGTCGTCATCATGGTGGCCGACGTGTTCGTCGGTTCGGTCTGTTCTGCGAGTTTGGGGCATTTCTCTGTCGTGGGTGACAAGGGTGAGTCGCAGATAAAAAGTGTTGCGAGCAGAAGAGCCAGCCGGTGTAACAAGCGTTGTTGTTTATGGACCCCTGCACTTTGTTGGTCGTCAGCTGTCCAAGAAGACTGGCTCCTGGCGCATCATCGACACAATCGCAAGAGTCCACAATTTGGATCTGGTCGACTGACTAGCTCCTCAAACAAGGATGCAACGTTCAATAAGGGAACAAGAAATCTCAAATCCTGTCACGCATTTGAGCGCAGGAAACAGTGAAGTTGTGGGATGAGTGGGTAGAGTCAGCTTTCGAACAAAGCACGGGCATGATTCATGATCAAAATTAACGGATCCCTTTTGGGAGATCGTTCGCCTGCGAGACTTATGATAACTATTTGATCCATCCTCTGACTCAGGCTAGAGCAATTCCATGGGCTGGTCCTGGATGGACGGGTCAATGTTCTGTATGAATTGGTCAAGCAGGCCCTGTTGTCATATATTGTCAGCAAATCCAGATTGTTCCTCAGTAGTTGCAGTATGTCTGTCTCGACCACAAAGGCATAGAGCACGAAGGAAAAGGCACCACAACTCACCCAGTCGATACTCTCCGACCCATCAATCATCATGGACATCGGAATCGCATACGACAACTCCTCCGGGTCATAGACCAGATCCACAGGCTCGAACTGAGGCTTGGCCTGGGCGATTGATGATGGACTATAGTCCCATGTCATGGAAGGTGTCGACTCCATGCCGTCGGGCGTGTAAGTTGTTGTCGTTGTCGTGGGCCCGGTGGCTCCGCCTCCTATGACACTGGCATCCGCCTCTACCACCGCGGCGTCGCTTTCCGCAATCTTGCGAAGCATCAGACCGAGCGCCTGTGCTGCCACACGGGCGTCAGGGGACACTTGGCTCGCGGCAGCATAGATCCGATGCGACGTCTGCAGGGCCTGGTACTCTCGAGCACTGAGCAAGTCATCGTTGTCGTCGTCGCCATCATTGTGCTCCCCGTCTTCATCCTGTCGTTGATCCCTCTCGAGCCTATGCATTCCGTGCCCCCGACGACTGGAAGAGCGACCCACGCTCCTCATGCGCACAGAGAGATCCAGGCACACCACCATCGCGGCGAGGAGGTAGTCGCTCGTCGCCACCGCACAGATGACCATCCATCGGTCGTGGTAAAGCCGGCCGTCAGGACTGCAGGCGGCATGAAGGTCCGCCTGGCGCGCGAGGATGTCCAGCGCGGCAGCAACGCACGCCCTGCGGAATCCACGGTGCTGTTGTTGTTGCTGCTGCTTCTGCTGCTCGTCCTGAGTGAGAGAGCCTGCCGGTTGGCTGTTCGTGGCATTGCCGTCCGCGTCGTGCCCATTGCCACGCTCGTGGTGACGGCTGTACGTGACATAGCGCCGGTGCAGCACGACCAGCCCCTTGAGATGCAGGATCTCGACCGTGGACCGCTGGCAGATCAGGCACGCGTTGTCCATGATGCTCGTCTGCCCGACATCCCGCGCACGCATGAGCTCGGGGACCTGGCTGCTATACACGTGCCTCATCTCGGCGTCCAGAGCGGCGGTCATGCGATCATACTGCTGCTCGGCCGTATACCTTTCCTCGGTGTGCTCATCTTCGTTTCCACCACCGCCGCCGCCGCCGCCGCCGCCATCGCCGCGGGGCAGCGCCATGGTGTGCCCCGTGATCTTCTTGAACACGGCCATGACGCCCGCCTTGACGATCGTGTACAGCACCGAGGTCTGCTGCTCGAGCGGCTTGGGTGGCGGGAGCGCCGTCATCTTTGGGAAGAGGTCGGTATTGTCGAGGTTCAGGGGCATCCTGGTGTCGCAGGCGTCCTGGGGGATCATGCTGGGCAGGCCGATCTGGAAGGACAGCAGCGCGTCGATCTGGAAAATGTTGAGCCAGACGCGGCGGCGCATCTCGGCCTCGAAGACGGTCACGCGCTTCGCGCCGGGTTGCCGGCTGCCGCTGCCGTTGCTGGCATTGTTGTGAGGCTGCGGGGCCGAAGAGAGCGAAGGGTCTTCGCGGTGGTAGCCCATCCGGAAGGCCAGGCGGATGATGGTGCCCATGAGGAACCACGCCTCGATCAGGGCCGTGTTGTTACTGAGCCTCGCGGCGGCGCAGGGCGAGGAGACGGCCGCCAGGGCGTGGCCCATGAAGGTGACCTGCAGGTGGAGGAGGAAGGCCTCGAGGGCGTGCGCGTTAGCCGTGGCATATCGGCCGAGGCTGAGGCACTGCAAGGTGCTCTGCTGGAACGTGGGGATCGAGGCAACGGCGGTCGCCGTCGTGTCCTTGTCCGTGGCCTCCGAGGTGATGCCAGAGATGGTCCGCAGACAGGTGGCAATGCCCAGCACCGCGAAGAGAAGGCCGATCCAGAGGGGTGAGGTTGTTCTGGGCGACATCCAGAATCGTTGGTACTGGTACAGTCTGTGGTGAGCTTTGATTTGCCAAGATCATGAAGAACGGACTCCTACCTCGCTTTGGAACTGGGCAGGATGCAAGACCCCTGTGCAGCAAGGCGCAAGTCAGCTTGGTATTAAACAACAACACGACCTTGCGGACAGAGCCATACCCAGAACCATGAACTGTGAGTTGAAGTACCACGACAACAGCATATCGCAGACCGATCTGGCAGGCAGGCGAGCGAGGATCTCGTCCAACGTGGCTGAGGACTGCAGTCCTGGCACCCCTCCCAGCAAGAGACTGGCATCTGACCCGCCGCTAGGCATCTCGCTCGCTGTCGCCGTGTCAGGCGTGTGCGACGCCGAGGACGTGCTTGCAGAGTGGTCCGACGTCTCGGCCAGGTGTTCGCGAACCTCCTTGATGTCGTCGAGGATGGACAACCAGTGGCTTGGATCGACGTAGTTGACTGCTGTCTGCACCGCGTCTGATGTCCCTGCCCCTGTCGTAGCAGCCTGACTGGCTGGAGACGGCAGAATCTTTCGGTTCTGTGTGTACCCGGAGGACATGGACGTTTGCCTGAGCTTGTCCGCCGTCATGTCGATTTTAGACTGCAGGCCATTCTTGCCGACCACTAGTGCTTCATTCAACGCGCCCGGGAGGCTCGTCTCCTGGGCCTTGCCCTGCGCGAGGAACGACGAGACCAGCGTCTCCAGGGAGCTCAGCCTGTCCTTCAGGTCCCTCGACTTTGCAGACCTGGCCCCGTTGCCACTGCCGCTTGGCCGGCCGCCACTCCGCACGGCGTTGCTGGCATAGCTACACGACGCCGCCTTGTCGCGCCGGACGCACGAGTCGCAGGGCAGCGTCCGGCTGCACTTGAGTCTGTCATGGGCATCTATGGTCAGCCTGAGGCTCTGTATGTGGCGCAGCAGCGCCCTGGCCTGGTACCGCCGCTGGGATTCGAGCCAGGTGCGTACTTTCGAGTCCGACATGCTTCGCACGAGATCGGCGGCCGGTTGCGTTTCTCGACGCGGCGCGAGGTGCTTTCCGTGTCCATCATGAAGAGAGTGGTGTGTTTGACGAGAACCGACGGAGCTATTATCCGCGCGATGGAGAGGGTGAGCGGGAGTAAGACATTTGCAACTCGGGAGCCGTCCGCTTACAAGGAGGAGGAGGTCGAGGTGGGAGCGGGGATAATAACTCCGCGCTCCACGCGGAGATTGTGCCGTCCCCGCTTAGTCACCTCACGCGCTTTCTGGCCTCGAAGGAATGGACGTTGCTCCTTTCGGTAAGCCCAGGATGGAGCCGCGGAGCGTGGACTTAATGAGTCCGCAGTTTTTGACCTTGGCAATGCAAAAGACAACGAAAGCCTAAAAAGGTGTCTCAGAGCTCGAGTATAATAAAAAATTGGACTCGCCCCCCCTCGGCTCATCGGGAAAAGTGCAGTGTCTCTCCAGCCCCCAAGCACACGCCGCCAAACAACAATATTCATAAAAGCAACAATAAAACAAACCAGCCAGTATCCGAAATGTCTACGCTATCAGCCCTTTACGGCCTGCACAGTGTCATCCGCGGCCGGTTCTGTGTGACTCTGCCGATCCCGGCCCCCAGCTCAGAACTCGCAAGCCAGACATTCATCGTCACTGGCGCCAACAGCGGCCTCGGCTATGAATCATGTCTACAGCTCGCACGTATCGGCGCCGGTAGGCTCATCCTCGCTGTCCGCACCCTGTCCAAGGGCGAGGAGGCCAAGCAGAAGATCCTGGCCACCACGACCTCCAACAACTGGCGCTCGGCGTCGAGCCCAATCGACATCCAGGTATGGCAGCTCGACATGGACAGCTTCGTTTCAATCAAGGCCTTTGCGGGCCGCTGCGCGACAGAGCTTGACCGCATCGATGGTGTCCTCGCCAATGCGGGCATCATGACAGCCAAGCTCGAGTACTCCGCATCCACCGTCGACAGCAGCACCAGCAGCACCGAGAAGTTTGAAAAGACGCTGCAGGTCAACGTCCTCGGCACGCTATACCTCTACCTCCTCCTTCTGCCCGCGATGAGGGCCTCCGCGGCCCGCACGGGCGTGGCTTGCAGGTTCACAATCCCCAACAGCGCGCTGCACTACTCGGCGTCCACCGCGGAGATTCTTGCCGGGCTCAAGGACGGGGATGATGCAGCAGCGGGACGCGAGGCAGCCCGCAAGAGCAGCAAGACACCAATCATTGACCGCCTCAACGATCCGGAGAAGGCAGACATGGCTGCACGTTATCCGCTGAGCAAGTTGCTCATCCTCTATGCCGTGCGGGAGCTCTCTAGCCGCAGCAACAGCAACAGCAGCAGTAGCAGTAGCACGACCAAGTCCGGCAACGTCATTCTAAACACCCCGAACCCGAGTTTCTGCAAGTCGGACCTGGCACGCGAGAGCGCCGGAAGCAAGGGCTTTCAAGCCTTTGAGCGGGTCATGGCGCGCACCGCCGAGGAAGGAAGCCGCACGCTCGTGCATGGGCTGCTTGGTGGGCCGGAGACGGACGGGCAGTACCTGGCTGACTGTCGCGTTGAGGTGTAAGTTGCTCCCGCCGCTACTTGTCCAGATCAGGGATGGGTGTGAGAGAGAAAATAAAGTGCTGACACTGACTTGAATCGCGCACAGGCCTGCTAAATTTGTCACCAACCAGTGGGGGCAGATGGTGCAGAAGAAGTTTGTCGACGAGCTGCTCGTCAGGCTGGAGAGGGTTGACCCTGGTATTTCATCGAATATCTGATCCTCTGATGGGTAGAAGAATTCCCTTAATCTGTGGACCTCCAGACGGGGCGGCCACGCACTGTTTCCCTTTGTTACCTAGATTAGATCATATTTTAATGATTCTTTTTATCCATACAATATTATTCCCTCATTTTCCATTAAGGTTTACCGGGCGTCACGCCACTGTGTTGAATATCAGCCACACAACAAGTTCATGAGAGACATATCCCAAAATAGGCTTGACAATGCCGCCTAGTGCACTAATGCGAATACATCATCGATCTGAGTTTCAACACAGAATATCGACCCAGTGCGGCGTTTGCATGCCAACACTGGGTAGGACACTCTTTGTTAAGGAAGGTCTTCAACCGATTTTTGTCATGTCGCAGCGGCACCATTATTCCCCTTCTACTATGATCCTCTTCCTTCTCCGGCTATGACAATCCATACACCCCACCATAAACTTCTGCTTCTTGGCCAGCACTTGCACCACTGTCTCACTGGACTCTGTGATCCCACAAGATGGACAGGGGCTTCATCGCATCGCCACCTGCTAGAGCGTTCGCCGCCCGCCTTCGTGTCGTCCCGTCCCGTGTGCCTTGCCGATACGCACGAAGCCCTCGATCTCGGCGTCCGTGGCGTTGCGGATGTGAAGCTTACTAATTTTAGAGGTTGGGGTTATGGAGGGTTCTGCTGACGCCAGCAGGCCTTGCTGGAATTGGGGGCGGCCGGCATGCCCTGCGTCCTCCTTCCTATATTGCCACCCAACGCCAGTGAAAGCTGAAGCAGACCGTTGCCTCAATCGCAATCACTGATTTCTGTCCTCATCATCGTGTTGGCTGTTGAGCTCAGCCTTCATAGGCACGCGAGTGATCGCGACGGCGCATTTGAGGTGCATCGAAAAGGCACAATTGATCCTGCACCCCTCACGCAGCTGAAACTAGACTAGCTGGCTCCCCATGACTGCGGCACGCCATGTTGCATGGACAAACTAGTGAAGCTCCTTCTTCTATTGAAGCATCTCCGTGCGCTGCACGGTTCCATTCTTGATGGAATGCGGGAGCGGACTCCGTAAAGATGTGTCTTAGGGCTGCGAGCATAATGGCCAAACCCCTGTTTCTCGGGCGGGGAGGCTCCACCGTAGGGTGGAATCTGTACCTATTTCCGTATCAGACCTTGGCCGTTAATGGAGTTTGCTAATTGAGGCCCAGCCACCATTGTCGGGTACCTGACCCTTTGGCGGTCCGTATTGGCTCGGACTTACGACAAAGGGAAAAAGATAGGGCTGTGAGCAGGGGTCGTCAAGTCAGGCCGTCGAGCTAAGGTCGATGTGGAGATTGACTTGCTGACCAATCTTTTCCACATCTTGGGCGCTGCTGCGTGACTTTCACTGGTGTCGTCGACCTGTCGTCTCGTTCATCGTCAGTCAAGTCATACTTTGTTTACACCGGGTGTCGTCTCCTGGGGTCATCAGGTTGCCATGGGAAATGGAGGCACAGGAGACTGGGACCAAGGGGTCCCACGCCTGAGACTTTGAGCTACCTTACTATGACGGGAACCGGCGAGTGAACTAGATCATGGCGCCATCCGTAGCACGGGTAGGGCCCTCTCACTCGGGACGTTGGACGAGGATGCGGACCCCACGGGCTGGCCTGCAGGCATTAGGCTGCATCAGCCAGTCACCCGCTCACCAACATCTGTCGATCACCCCTGCTCCCGTGCATTCAGCTCCAGGCTAAAAACGACAGCCCTTGCCATCAGAGGCGAGGCTCGCCTCCCTCCGCACTAATGCTGAAATCGACCCTCTTTTACCCTTTGGTCCTTTGGTCCTTTCGTCTTTTAGACAGCCAGACCCTTTCTTCCTTCTTTCTCGTTAAAAGATTTGCTCTACGTCGACAGAGTAGTGGCAACCGCACAGCATCGACATGTCGACAACCACATGGTCCCCGCAGCAAGGGGCGCTGCTTCTCGCCACCAGCTTCCTCAGCCCCCGAGTCGACGACGCGGATTACCAATGTAGCTCCGAGCACGCCTCCGACTACTACGGCCTGGGCGTGCGGCTGGGTATATACTTCTCGTGGCTGTCCGGGTGGCTCGCAAACACGTTCCTGTCGTCGGGCATCTCGGGGGCGGCCGACACCAACGCCATCTTCCTCTTCACGCTGCTGATCGCGATGACGGTCGACAGCAACACGGACAAGCTGTTCCAGATCGACGGCCTGATCCTGATGCAGCTCTGCTCGGGCACCATCTTTGGCATCCTGTCCGTGTGGGGCTACCGCACGCGGCTGTACACCGAGTACGGCCCCCGCGCGATCGGCCTCTTTGGCAGCTACGGCACGCACGTGCGCATGATGACGAGCCTGGGGGTCAGCGCGTTCGGCACGTGGTTCTGGACGTACGGGCTCGCGGGCCGCGCCGAGGTCATGGGCCCCGGGGACGGCGTGACCGACCCGGGCCAGAACAGCGAGGCGTGCTCCGTGCTGTGGATGTGGCTGTTTGTCAATGTCCGGGCCGACAGCCCCGGGATCAGGGGCCTGTACATCACGTTGTCGGTGGCGTGTACTGCGTACTTTGGCTTCATGCTCATCGTCAGCTCGCTCGCCGCGTGGTTCACGCTCGACAGGCTGGCGTCCAAGTCGGCCGGCATGTTCCCCCGGCGATGGGCCTGGACGGCGCAGCACCACAAGCAGAAGTTGGCGAGACCGGTATATGTGACGGGGTTCACCTCGACAGAGTGAGTTTGGTTTTCCTCCCTTTGTAGCCCGTCGTCAGTGGCAGATGTGATTCTCCGCCAGGCAGGAGGCGAGTGTCAAGGGATGGACAGAGAAAAGGCCATAAATACTGACCCATGCCCCCTCCTCAAAAGGCTCAAGTGGATCTTCAAATTCCTCCGCGTCGGCACAGTCATCTGGCTCGTCTTCAGCGCCCTCATGATCGAGATGACACTCAACGCCAACCACGTCCGCTCCGTCCTCGGCGACCCCAAGAACAACGCCCTCCAGCTCCCCGGCCAGCTCCTCCCGTTCCTCATCGGTCTCATGTCCTTCATCAGGGTCTGCTATGCCCTCTTCATCGAGCGCTGGGTCGACCGCGACGAGCCGCCTGTGCTGCTGCTCCCGCCGGAAGACGAGACACCCGGCAGCGCGGCGCCCATACCCCTGGGGAACTTCAACAACAGCTCGATCGCCCGGCACCGCACGGCGAAACGTCAAGGCGGACGCTATGGCCAGGCGGTAGGCGCCGAGGCGGGAGAGGCAGGAGAGGCAGGAGAGGCAGGAGAGGCAGGAGAGGCAGGAGAGGCGAGACCCGTGGCCCAAGGAGTGATCAGGTCGGTCAGCTCGTACGACAAGGCGCAGCTGCGGCGGTCGCTGTGGGTGCGGTATCTCGTCGCCTGGCTGCCGTGGCTCAGTCTCTTGCAGCACTACGACAACCAGCTCGAGGAGGTTGGCATCTCGCGCCACAGTACCGCGCTGAGCTCGTACGACGTCGCCCGGATCTATGCGAGTCCCCGCGAGGAGGAGTGGGGGAGTGCCTCCGTTCGTCCGGAGGTGCAGGCGAGCCTGATTCCAAAGTCTCCAGCGGGGGAATCCATCAGGGACCTCAGGTCGCCGTGAGTCGATGTGAGGTGTGATTTGGCGGAGGCATAAGCGTGGTGGTTTGGAAGATTCTGGGAGTTGCTCCAGAAGCGGCCGTCGTCGAAGAGCCGAGGCACGGAGACTAGGCCTCCATCCCCCGGGGCTCACCTTGTGATCTAGACTATTATAGGTAGTATCTTGCCTATGGAGGGGGCCGTAAGCTGCATTAGCCGCACGGATATCTGAAATGAAGACAGACTTCTCACGTTGTGGTTCAATAAGATTTGTTGCAGTTTGCAAACATTCAAGTGCCGAGGTCCGGAGTCAATGGCTCCGTGCGCTAGCTGCAAAGTGTCAGCTGACCGAGTGGCGACTGGTGGTTGCATAGCATCTTGTTGCATCGTGGGTGATGCAGGAGAACACTGGTTGGTGCTCTCTCATCTCCAACCTCGTGATCGGCCACTCATCAACATGACACCGTGCTCTGGCCGCCCGCACATCGCACCGGCAGGCGAGAGTCGGTTGTCTGCATGGATGGAGCCTGATGGGAGACGAGACGGAATAGTCCGCAGCATTATCAATCCCCGAGCCCTGCGTATGCGGTGATCATATCATTTGGCGCGATCCATATAGGCCTCCTGCACGCTAATGGTTGTCATGGGGCCGGTGTACTTGATCGCGGAGGTGGCTTGGCTTTGTTTTAGCTCGAGCTGCTCAGGCATGGGCAGCTAGCACCATCCTAGCATTCAGGTGGCACGCCTTGCTGCTACTATAGTGGACCTTGACCGGGGTTTCAGAACAAAGTGACAGGTCGTGTGTGGTATCTGGCGGCTGGCATTGCAAATGTGATATCGCTTTTCAACTGTTCCTTCATACAGATCAACTCGACAGAATCCGGGGTTCATCGTTGTTGTGGATGGTGCAACACAAAATGCAGAATTCGAGCGCGCCTGATGGTTGAGGCTACGACAATGCAGAGACAAATACACCAAGTACACACACCACTGCCCGTTACCCCGCTTAGCAACAGCGCCAAGACAATTGCCGGCCCAGATGATCGTCCCTCTGGTACGCCTGCCGGCAGAGAAACCGGCCGGTGGGATGCAAACGTCGTTGCAGAACGTGGCTTTCTGTCGTGGACGAGGCGGAAGCATGACTCCACAGCCGCGTGCGCGGAGGAGCCATCAGTCAAGGGTGGGTAAGGCGAGGTCGCCGGCCGGCCCAATCGCATCTCGCCGATGGCCTGGCGTGCCTGGTCACGCACTGGCAGCTCCATAAACCCGGTCCATCATCGCCGGATGGGGGAAGGATTGCCTGCCGCGCCTGAAGCCGCACCGGCAACTCGAGGCTGCCGACGGCCAGGATCCCCAGTCTCGCCAGTGAATTCCGCAGCAGCAAAAGCAACGACTTGTCCTGCGCAACAGCAATTGCCAAGGCCCGTCTATCGTGGCCGCGCAAGCCCCTGATCTCGGACCCAGCAGTTCTCGCGCCTGCCAGCATACGCGGGACCAGGCCAACCCTGCTCTGTCTACTCGAGGTCCACTTCGCCTAAGCACCCCAGACCACGGTATTCCTTCCGACGTGGGCCTCCAGACGTCAAAATTTCTCAGGGGTTGACACTATCGAGGTTGGGCACCATGCAGCGGCCCCAGGTTCATCCCACATCCTCCACGGCAACATCCTCGGCAGACCTGGCTGGGTATCTTTGTGAAAGTGATATCTGATTGCGAGCAAGGTTGTCGGAGATCGATCGACAGTTGCCGCAGCTTGGAGATAAATATCCCGTCTCGGGGCCCTCAAAATTGGTATCTCAAGTTCTCGACAAGCACACCGCACAACAGCTTCAGATCTCCTCCAGCACACAAGAGTCCCTCACGCCAGCCCTTCACGCAGATCCCCATAACTCATTCACCATGAAGTTCACCGCTGCCATCGCCACGGCGCTCCTCTCTTCCTTCGCCGCAGCTCTGCCCGCAGGGACACTCGAGGCCCGCCAGGTCCTCACCCGCGAGGAGGTTCAGATGGGCTCGTCCCCCGCTTGCCCCAAGGCCAGCTTCATCTTCGCCCGCGGCACCACCGAGTCGGGCAACATGGTAAGCCACATTTACTTCACAAGCAGGGGAGCCCCCTGTTTCTCTGTGCCACAACCGGACAGGCTGTCCAGCGCGTCTGGCATCCCCTGAAAGGCGCCTCTCTCTCTGCTTCAAAGCCAAGACCTGACACTGACAAAACTACAGGGCACCCTCGGTCCCCGCGTGGCCTCGGCCCTCGAGTCCCACTACGGCGACCGGCAAGTCTGGATCCAGGGCGTGGGCGACCCGTACACAGCGACCACCTCGACCAACCTGCTGCCTGACGGCGCCTCGACCGTCGCCATCAACGAGATGGTCCGCCTGATCAACCTCTCCGTGTCCAAGTGCCCGAACACCAAGGTCACCGTGGGCGGCTACTCCCAGGGCGCGGCCCTGACCGCCGCCGCCGTGGCCAAGCTGCCCTCGGCGACCCAGGACAAGATTGTCGGCGCGGTCCTGTTCGGATACACCAAGAACCAGCAGAACGGCGGGCGGATCAAGAACTTCCCGACCGACAAGACGGCCATCTACTGTGCGGTCGGAGATCTCGTGTGCACGGGGAGCCTGGTGATCACGGCTGCGCACTTGTCCTACCAGGACGAGGCTGCTGGTGCGGCGCCGCAGTTCTTGATCTCCAAGATTGGTGCCTGAGCCAATTTGTGAGGTTGGTGGCGGTGAGGGCCTGGAATAGAGACGGTGCTCTAGTCCGGGAATACGGGGAGAAGGGGCCAATCTGGCTGTGTGTCTTTGGAGGAGATTATTTTCGGCGACTATTGCTATTCCTGTACATTCTTTTCCTACGGAGGATTGACGAGATTCTCTTCCCTTTTAGTCCATAACATTCTTTTCTGATCGCGACGGCCGTCCAAGGAGCCTTCCAGCGTTGTTGTTAGCTGGGTGAGCCTGTGCGGAATGTACGACTTTAAGCGCGTGTTGTCACTGGCACAGAGAATGAGTGCGGTGGAAGAAAACTCCACCGCGATTAGTCCATCACTTTCTTTTCTTGGCGCCCCTACAGAAGGAAACCGCCCGAGGCCGTCTTGTCCTAGCAGCATACAGGTTACGTAGTTGTAAACAATCTTGCTTGCGGGCATTCGTAATCTCATCCGTCTTTCGCTATTGTAACCTGAAGAAAGCATCGAGCCCGTGAACTTCGTAAGATCCCTGGCTGGTAGTGGGTCATCATCCTGATGGAGGGCCTGATCTGCACGGCGCCGAGTTCAGACCCGACTCGAGGTCGCTCTCCCCCATAGCGACCACGTCTCGATGAACTTGTTCGCCCTCAGGAATGTCGTACCAATCATAAGATATGCGTGTGTAGGATTTCGTCCGGCAATGCTGTGCCACCTCGCGAGACCGCTGAGCTCTCTCCTTTTCGTGAACTACCGCAAAATTGTGCTGTCTCCCTGCACTGTACGTGCGCGCAAGTGTGCAAACTGCAACCCGCAGGATATAGAAAGCTCTTGAAATACCCCAGAAGACATGTTAGCATATCCAAAGTTCCCGACGATATCATCCTTCCTGCCGTCTTTCGGCCGGAGTGGCTGAACACTGCTCAGCACGGAGTATTGTGGCAACCGTGCACTTACAAAGATATCAATGACATGACAAAGGATGCCTGCGCCCTGACACATGCGCTCTCCCATCCCTGGCCTTCACCGCCACCGTCTGCGGACTGCTGCTTTGCGGCGCTGCAGCCTCGCTGTAGGTACCATGGCCGGAGACTGAGGTGCTCGAGGTCACTTAGATCAGAGGACATTTGCATCGCAATGCTGTAGGACCAGAAGCTCGCCATGAACAAGTCGGCAGGTATGCTGAACAGGGTCCAGTCGAAGCCCAGCACCGCAAGAATGCCGCGTTGGATGGTGAGGGCAAGTGACAGAGAAGCGATGGCGAGGTTGGAGTCCGTTAGGCTAGATTATACGACTTTCAGTCAGTGATTTAGTGCTCAAGGCCCCCCACACGGGACAGTGCTATCCTTGATTTAAACCCAGACGAAAACGCCATTAAGAACAACTCACCGCTGGGACCATATCAGAGGGATCTCTGGCGGCTCCTCATGGTTGGCGTAAAAGTATATCCGCAGGCTCGGGTCCGAGTTCCACCCGTTGTCGCCCCCGGTCTGCCAGAGCTTAGTGCGTGCTGAGCCGTCTACGAAGTCGACACACATCAGGGCGAAGGTAATGATACCGATGGCAGCTTGAAGGACGATGTGCCAGTGCCGTGCCATGACTGTTGTGAAGGTGGCAAGTCGCCATGACGGGCGGCACGGGATAATCATGACTGCAGTCGCTCAGGATGTGGTGATGGACAGCTGGGCCGGGATCATGAGATGAGCCTTGGGCGCAGTCCGTCGATGCCATGGAGTACACAACAGGCATCGTATTTATCTGATTGTGCATCCTGGCAGGCGATCCCATCCCCGCATATCGTGCTCAGGTGCTCCACGGGCAGGGCATGGTGTCGTCGTGCCGACACGACTGAATCAGGCAGCTACGTGGTCTCCAAGTCATGTCAGACCGCGGCACTCTGCGCAAACATGCTCAACTGCCCAGCAAGGAAGAGGACCTTGCAGTGCTGACCACCTTTGACCTCCACAACCAGGTGACTAGTGGAAATATGTAGCCAGGGCGTTGCCATGCAGTGTGGAAACAGCCGCAAACCTGCTCAATATCCCCGCTTGGTCAGCCGACTAGGCCAACCTCGGCCTCAGCCAACAACATTTTCATTCACTAATTATTCAGCGGATCCTAATTGAGTACAGGAAATCTGACAGTCTAGGAATCTATGTGCAACGGCTGTTGAAGTACACGACCGCGAGCCCCGGCAAGACTGATGCTTGAACGCAACCAACTTGAATCTTCCGCGGCTGCCACCCGGTCGTCCGGTCGGCCGAGTTCGACTTGGTTCAAAGCCTGCTCTCCCTGGCCACCTCTTCCACGCCCTCTTCGTCATCACCACCGACACCAGCCTCAACCTCCTCCAAGATCTCCCTGATTCTTGCCGCGCATGCCATCTCACCATTGAGCTTTGCCGCCTTGTACGCTTCCTTGCACCCTTCCCACTCAAAGACGTACCCATTCGCGTACAGAAAATCCACCATTTCCAGTCTCCCGTTCTCCGCTGCGCCGAGGAGAGCAGACTTGCCCAGCACCTTTGCGGGGCCGGCGTTGATGTCGGCCCCGTGGGCCAGCAGCGTCGCCGCGATCCCGCAGTTGCCCTGCGCGGCGGCGATCTGCAGGGCCGTGGCTCCGCCGCGGTGTGACGCGGGCGCGTTGGCGTCTGCCGGCTCCCAGGCGCGTGATGTGGGTAGCGAGGACGAGGACGAGTTGGTGTACTTGTCCGGGTTGAGCAGCATGTCCACAATCACCGCGCTGTTCTCCTCGACGGCCCTCTGCAAGGGTGTGCGGGACAACCCGGAGAAGAAGTTTAGCCTGCTCCACGATGCAGGGTCGTCGTCGATGGCGTCCTCGTCGGCTCCATCGCCGGTGAGGACAGAGGCAGGAGGGTAGTTGATCGTCGCCCCGTGCTCAAGCATCAGCTGGACGAGAGCGGGATCCCTTGCACCAATCGCGTGTAAGAACGAAGTCTCTACACTGTCGCCTCTCCATCCGCGAGAGGGGTCGTCCGGGTGGCACCCGCGGGCGAGGAGGGCGCGGATAATCTCGAGCTCGTCGTAGTCGTCGTCGTCGGCGTTGTGCCTTTGGCCTGCGGCGCCGTTGGGAGGAATCTCGGCCCCAAGTCCCTGAACGTCTACAACACCCGCACCCGCACCATCTTGTGGCTGGCCCCCCTTCTCCTTGATCCGCTTCTGGTAGACGTCGATGGCCTCCTTCATCGGTGAATTCGAGTACCGCCCGCACCGCACGTCAACCAGTCCAGAGTCGAGCAGCACCGCGACTGCCTCCCTGCCGACCTGCCTGCCATTGACGAGCGCGCTCTCGGTGGGCTCAAAGATCCGCATGGCATTGTGCGGCCTGGCCTCGAGCACAGCGCGGTCCTCCATGCGGATCGCCCCGATGAGTGCCTCGATACCGAAGCCGGGCTTCTGTGGCCGTGGCCGCCGCCCATCGCTGACGTCCTCGAGCACCCGCCGCAGCAGCTTCGGCGCCTTGATCCCCGCGGTTAACACCGCCTCGCTCGCCCCGTCCGCCCCCGCGGCCAGGAGCTTGTCCAGGAACGCTTCGTCCTGCGTGAAGAATGCGTGCTCGAGACAGCGCTTCAGGCCATCCGTGTTGATGAGGTGCTCGGCAACCAGGAAGTCCAGCATGTCGTGGTTCGCCCGGAGGTAGACCTGCACGCGCGTGCTCGGGAACGTCAGGCACTGCATGGGCCGCAGCGTCTTGACGCCGATGATGATGTCCCGCCGGCCCCAGAGGATCGCCTGGTCCAGGATGTCGCTCGACGTGTTCCTCGGGTGGTCGCTCGAGCCGGGATCCTCCTCGTCGCTCTGCCAGGGGTGAGAGTAGTCTCTCCGGGCAAAGTCGAACGAGTGCAAATACCGGTCAGACAGGTTGCTCCCGCCTCCTCCGCCGGACGCGAGGATCACGCGTGCGACGGGCAGGTTGCGTCGCAAGATGGCTGCGAACATGGGGTCCGGCGCGCAGGGTGAGTGGGATGTCCGCCGCGTCATGTCCCCGCCGGCCCTGTAAAGCGTGTAGAAGGCATCGTCGTGCCCGGCCAAGATGGCCATCGCCATGGCGTCTGTCATGTCCGCTGGCTTGATCTTCTTCTTGCAGACGTCTAGGATCTTGTCGAGGTACGCGACGTTGCCGATCGATGCTGCGCCCTGAAGTGCACACCTCCGGTGGTCTGCGTCCTTCTTGAGGGCCTCCAGAGCGCCCCTGGCCTCGCATACGGACGCGTAGTCGGCCCCGTACGGAGAGTCTGCCGTCAGCCCGCTTTCAATGGCCTCACTCAGGGGCGTCGAGTACCGCTCCATCGAGAGCCTGCCGTCAAAGTCGTCTGTATGGCGGTCGATGGTGTGCTTCTTGCACTTTGCAATGTCCGGCTCCATGGCGAGGATGCGGTCGATGATGGCACTGTCCCGGGTCCGGAAGGCTGCGCTGAGCGCCATGTCCCAGCGAATGTGCGGCGCGTACGTCTCGCGGTGCTTCTTGGTGAAGAAGTCGACAAGGCTAAGGAAGCGCCGCCGGCACGACTCGACGACCACCCAGGTCAGTGTCGAGTCGCCGTAGCGGGAGGGACACTCGCCGCATGGAGCCGCTTGCCCTGCCTCACTGGCGCTCCCTTCGGCGCCATGACCACCACCGCTGCACATGTAGTGGAAACGCTCTACAATCTCAAGGGCGTCGATCTCCCTTCTCGCATACCGTACAAGTTTGACCAGCATTCCGCCGCGACTGATCATGGTCCGGTGCATTTTTGGCGAGACGTGCAGCGCCAGCAGGAACGCGAGCTCCATCTCTCGTCGCTGGATCGCGTAGTCCACGATCGCCGGGTCGAAAGTACATCCTGCATCTAGGAGGAGCTTCGCCGGTGCGTACCCATCTTCTTTCTTGCGGTCCGACCCAAGACCCATGCTCCTGCCGATGGCTGGGTTCCCGCCCACGATCACGGCTAGGGGTCCCTTGCTGGGGCCGGGATTGTAGTCGTAGCTGTCGGTTGTGGTAGCGGGAGGAGAGAAGCGTTGATTCGGATCTGCACCGTGAGACAGGAGGAGGGCAATCATGTCTGCGTCACGGCTCCGAGCAGCTTGCTCAAGCAGTGTCTTGGGGGCGGGCCTGGGGCCGGCGTTTTTGGATGACATTGAAGTACGCGCGCGGATATCGTTGATAGATGCAGAAGCCGAGGGGGACGTGGACTTGGGTCTCAGCTCGAGCAGCATCTTGGCGACCGGCACGTCCTTTGCCGCAACGGCAGCCTTGAGGAGGTTGTCCGCCAGTGCCCGAGGGATGTGCCCGGGCAGCTTGAGGATGTTGCGCAACAGAGAGGTCGCATGGGCCTGCTGGCGGAGATGCGAGATGATGCTCTCGGCCGGGATGGCATCAAGCCCCGCGAAGCCATTGGCCACTGAGAACAGGAGCATGCGGAGCACCGTCGAGGCAGACATGTCGTTCTTGTCGATAAGGATGTGGCTGCCGAAATCAAACCCTAGCGAAGAGCCAGCTCCAGGCTTTGGGAGTGTGCGTCGCGTGCTGTTGTGATGGTTCCGGGAGAAACTGCACAGATACACATATAGAGCTGCGGGATCCATTGGGCGCGGGGAGTTTGTCGCCTTCTGGATCTCGAGAACAAGGCGTTGCATGTCCTCTTGCACATGCTGGATGCCCCTCGGGTCCTGCTTTAGCAGCTGCGCCCCGGTCGAGTTGTCTATAGCAACATATATCAGCCAGATGTTATTCGTGTGGGCGCTCGAGAGCTTACCGCCAAAGACTGTCTTCTCAAACCGCTGGAACGGTAATTCATGAAATTTGACGCTGGGCACAAAGGCTGCTGCAGCCTGATCAGACCGGCCAGTCGACACCTTCTCACTGATTGTCCTCAGCGATGTCCATCGCCCGTTGGCCTCAAGGACTTCAATGTCGATGTCCGGCAACTTCCCAGACGCGTAGTCTTCTTTTTGAGGCAATTGTATGGTCAGTTGCTGTCACTGGCTGATAGTTTGATGGAAAAGCGACTCACCGTCGTTGATGTTCCCTGCATCAGATCCAAACCTCTCCAGGAGCTCCGCCAACTCGCGTTCTGGGAGCAATTGGCCGTCTTGGAGTAGCCTGCAACGGGTTCCCGACGCAGTGAGGTCGTCACGCGCCTGTGAAACAACACGCCAGTGCTTCTGCCGTGCTGCGCGGCGGTTGTGCCATGTCTGCAGCCTTGCCTCGATCAGAGTTGGTCTGGAGGGGCGATTGTCAATTTGCGATTCTGCAAGCTCGGCGTTTGGACAGGTCCCAAGACTCACGACACTTCAATGTTATGCTGCTCACAGAGCATCTCTGCCACCGTGGCTATTTCATTGTCCTTGCTGGCCTGAAGCACAAATCCGCGAAGCCGCTCCAAGTCCTCGCTCACTTTGGCTGTGTCGGGCTGGAGCGAGTCTAATGTGGACGCCATCTTGTGCCGCGTATGTCTGCCGTCGAAGTATTCTTCTTGGCAGCCGTATCAAACTAAAGAGTTGATCAATTTTCAAAGATTGTCGGACGATGTGGTCATGGCTATGATGAACAACATGCTATGCTGCGAGCTGAGGCACGTCGTTCAACAGCAGGCAGCACCTGGAATGGGGCTTAGCCTGCCGCGCCTGTTGCCTGCGCGGCATAGTCCTACGAATGGGCAGCAGCCAGTCGAACCCCTGAATTCGGAGCTCCACTGCTGACAGATTTGCCCCGCGTCGTGGCGATCACACCCGTCTCATAGGAGACCCCACGGCCAGGGTATGCTTATGACATGTCAAGGGTTACAGACCAATGTCCCGAGGACGGCGGAGAGCCTGACGTGCTTTCTAGACCCAAGATATGTAAAGTTGGTTGGATCAGAGGTACGATGGCGATTCTCCTCCATTGGGGGCTACATGCTAAGTCGGCAGCACTACCGCTCCAGCCACACAGATTTCGCTCCTGTGGCGGGGGTGGCAGGGAGTTGATGCTTTCAGTCGAAGTCGTGACGACGACAGCATAATGATCGACTGTGGCACGGTCAGCCGGTGGTGGCGGGCGATAAACGCATGTGATGGATCAGATGCATTATTGAGGAGCCAGAAAGGGCTGAGCGAGGATAACCTTGAAGCATTCTTGAAGAGTCTTGACTGGTCGCGAACACAGATACCGATGATGCGAGATGCATCCGCAAGGCGCCATCGTTGCACGTGCCAGGTATGCACCACTCCCTTGACAAGGACAACGATATCGCCAGCGAATCAGCGTAACTGATGCCCGACATCCAGAGCCAGTGCGTGCTGTACGCAGGGAAAAGCAGTGTGGCATTTCGGAACTGCAGCTTCGGAATGCATAATTGGCGAGCACAACAGGCCTCGCCCTCGGTTCACGGCGCAATAGCATGCCACCAGGGCGGTAACATTCGGAGTATGGTGTTGCCCATTGAGCAAAATCGCCCACCACATCTGTGCTGTCCTCGAAAATCCTTCAGCCGGCCAAAGTAGCGCAAGTCACAAGCAACAGCGATAGCGGACGCATTGCCTCTTCTGAGCCTGGCGGGGGCGCCGTCCGTCCTCTACATAGGCCTAGCCAGGACCCGCCTCCATGTGCTGCTTAAATGTGCCTAGATCTCTCTAGCTCTGGCTCGAGCTAGCAAGCATACGTGCTAGGCAATTATGCAGCCTCCCACACATGGTGGTCCAGACCAAAGACACAAGTGAAGCACCTCGTCTTCGCCGGGTTCGATGTTCTGGACGCGGATGCACAAGGCGCTTGTGGCTGCCGATGACAAGCAAACCACTATGCAGAGTTTCCGCCCGTCCCCATGCCTGGAAATTGCCGACGTGGATCGTAGCTACGACGCACTAGCTGCCGCTTCTCTAAGCCCGGCTGCTCCGCGAATCTGCAAAGTCTGCAAAGCCCATAAGGGGAAGTTGTGCCTGCAGAGTGCGGCAGAGTGTGGCAGAGTGCTGGGGACAGAAGGCGTCATCTTCCCGCCTCCACCGTCGGGATAGCCACGTGAACCAATGTCGTCTTTGGTGCAACCCCTGACGCTACCTCTGTGTAGATGGCGAGAATAGAGGGACTCTTCTGAGGAGTCATTCTCTAAGACTTCAAGTATCACTCCAAGCCTCCTTGCGCTAAGACCCCCTTATTATTATTGTCCAACTTTACACAGTCTAGATGCGCTGTCTGATTTGAAAGCCTAGTGTAGGCTCGGCCATCTCGACTGCTGTCTATACGAAACCCTTGTCACCAGTCAGCCACCTTAACGCGGCCGATCGATAGCGCGGAGGGCCGGCCTCATCTCCACCCTGGAGCTTTAGCTGGCCACCAAGACCGCTCTCCACGAGGGCCTAGGCACGTTCTGGCGGAGGACCAGGTGGCTAGCCGTGTGCATGGGCAAGTGCTGTGACGATCCGGAATGACGATCGGTCGCCTCAACGGCTTCTATAGCGCGGGAAGCAGACGCCACTGACCCTCGGCTGCTCTAAATAGCCTCGAACGCCCAACTAACTTTGTGACGCCGTCTTCGATTCTGTCGCCTGCCCGTGACCCATCATGAAGTCAATAATCTCCGTTGTGGCTGCAGGAGCCTTGTTCTTCACCAATACAGTAGCCCAGGCGTTGCCGCCCTTTAACCCGCCGGGAGCCGCCATCAACTTCAAGGCCGTTGTCCTTTTCGGCGACAGCTACACGGACATAGGCACACGGCAATACCGCCCTAGACCGGAGACGGGAGCTGGTGATGTCCCTGTACGTTAATTTTCTGGCTCCTTCTCCTCGCTGCCTTTCTTACCGTTCTGGTTGAAGACACTAACCTCTCTAACGACATCCTCATACACGCAGACCGCGAAAGGCGCATCGGGAGGCCGCATGTGGCCTCAGTACGTTCAGCAGTACAGCGGCGCGCGCATCTACTCGTACGCGATCGCCGCATCGATGTGCACCAACGCCTTCAGCCCCACAAGCGGGCGCAAGACCATCCAGCAAGACCAGATCCCTTCGTTCCTTGCCGACTACAAGGCCCGCAGCGCAACCACAGGGCAGCCCATCCTCGATGTGCCCGCGGAGACGACCCTCTACGCGATCTGGATCGGCACCAACGACGTCGGCCCGAGCGGCTTCCTGACGGACCAGCAGCAGCCGGGCCTTCGACTGCCGGCCCTGCCGGACTGCGTGTACGCACAGATCGACACGCTCTGGCGCGACGCTGGCGCGCGGCACTTTGTGCTCATGAACACGCCGCCCTTGCACCTCGCGCCGCAGTACCAGCCTCTCGAGAGGGGCGGCAACGGGTTCATGGCGCAGTTCGACAGCAACCTGACGCGGAGCACCGAGAAGGTGCGCAACTACGTCGGGCTGGTCAACAGCCTGTACGACTGGCGTTCCGGGTACCACGTCCTCGTGGGCAAGCGCTGGGCGGGCTCCACGCTGGCCGTGTTCGACGTCGAGGCCCTGATGACAGACGTGTACAACAACCCGGGCCTGTACCTCAATGGCACTGCCGCGAGGCCACAGTCGCAGGGCTCTGCAGTACAGTGTGGCTCGGCGTGCACAGATGCGACGGTTCAGGCGCAGAATATCAGGGATAGTTATATGTGGTATGATGGCCTGCATCCGACTGAGCAGACGGGCCGTGTAATAGCGCGGGAGTTTATCAATGTGCAGAAGGGCAATAGTAAGTGGGCGAGGTACTGGGGGTTCTAGGAGAGAAAGGAGTAAGATGTATATAAATGGAGCAGATCTAGGATGACGGGTATATAGCGCAATACGACAGTGACCTAACACGGAGCACCGAGAAGGTGCACAACTGAGCCAGGCTGGTTAACAGCCTAGGTAATGCGCTGTCGGAGTACATACAGGCCGAGACGAGGAAGGACTTGATGGTCGGCGGGTTCGGCGAGGTCTCGCCGCCATATATAAAAGGGATGGTCATGGAGAAGGCAGGGAGATGGGAAGAGATGTCTGGGTGAACGATTGTGTTCCTGTGAAGCGTAGGATGTGTGGGAGTGATACGCGTTGGTGAACATGCCTGGCAGGATAGAGCGGAGCATCTGGACCTTCAGAGGAAAGCCGCACAACACAATCCGGCACATGATTTCGCGTACGGTTCCCAACAGTGACACTGTCTAGTATATCTCCATAGGGCGCACACATGCGCTGACGATTGGCCGTACCACTTGCTCACCTATCCACGACTCGTGCGTCTTGTCAGTCTGGGGCAGAGCCAAGGATACTCGCAATCCCGCGCCGTACCAGCTCACCGGCACCGAGGCTGAGCTGTGCCAGTGATACACAGTAATAAGGGGCATGGTCCCACCACTTGGCTACTTCTTGCTCACGTGGCGGAGACGATATGGCATGCAAGTGTCCCAAAGCCACCATGCGATGTACGTGCCCCCGTGCTCCGGCGCGGACTAACGGCTGATACGGATCAAGTAGCAGCAGGGCGAGGGTTTCAATTATCTCTGAAAAGGAGGCACGCCCAGAAAAGCGGACGAAATTCTCGCGCAGCATGGAGCGAAGCTGGTCAAGGGAGCGTCTCAGTTCAAGTACAAAGCTGGCGTTACCATGTCTTGGTTGGGAGAATCAAATATCTTGTCTGTTCTGCCGAGTAGTGGGAAGCCCGCTAGCCGTGGCGAAAGAATTCCCGGAGCTGAAAGGTCAGCTGGGTCTCACCACATCTGAGTTGGGAGAGACATTGGCAGCACCTTCTGGCGCACAAGACATGCCAGGCCTGAATCTGAGGGTGGAAACGCCTCAGAGCTAGACCGACGCCAGTCTTCTCATCGTCAATCAAGAGGGGCTGACTGTCATACGAAGGGACTATCCATGCGAAGAGGCCGACTCGCTTTATCGTTCTTAAGTGCAGACATTATTCAATGGGCCTGAATAAGCGCTGTGTCTTGCGTCAGACTAACGGCGTAGTTCCGCCAACATCCGCTAAACGAGTACAATCTATCGTCACCAACCAAATTGCACAAAGAATGCAGCATCGCGATGAGGCTGAGACGCGACCTATTAACGTGTAGCTCGAAGAGATAAGCCCCGAGATCTTGGCAAAGACAAGGCATTTTTGGACCCAAGATGGCCGCGAGTAATCACCCGCAGGGAGCTCGCCGCTCATTTGAGACATCTTTGGCGAGGGCTGACTGGAAGCTGTGAGTCAGAATTGAGACGTGCTCCTGGAATTCAAGCTGTCGGCCGCCCATCTTGGCATTATGGAGGACAACTTTTTGAGCCAATCAGGCACAGATGCAGGATCGGGGCTCATCTCGCACGACCACATTGTTTGCGAGCTGACGTGCATGCACCTTGAAGCAACGAGCGACTAACGCTATATTATAACAAATCGGAAAACATCACTTGAATGCTAGAACAGCTCCCAGTTAAGCTCCGATTACTATATCATTAGGTAATCAAATTCCGCACCTTTATAGAGTTATCTCAGCGTAGGCACCTCCTAGGGCTAAAAGGTGTCTCATCATATTTTCTGAATGGAATTCAAGGGATCGCTCGACGCTTCGGGGAATCCTGAAAAGTGCCGAACACGCACGACCCAACAAGCTGGGTGCAACTGGAGACAAGAAGCAGACATGTACGGCAGTGCCTTCATGCTTGAACTATGGTGATTTTGTCTTCCTGTAAGATTCTCCCGGAAGGCCGTTGGTGCCGCCTTGTTGCGGTTATCCTTTCATCGAATTTTCATTCTTCTGCCTAGCTCGCCCTTGTCAATCCTTCAGCATGCACAAGTCGCTTGCTCTCACCCCTTTGCTTTTTCTTGGTGCTGTCGGCCAGCAACTATGGGTAGCGATTCGCATTACCACTACCTCAAGTCTCGTGCTAGACGACTGCGTCAGCTACTTTACCACGACCGTGACCCCACCAATCAGCTACTTCACTATCACCACGGCCCTTGTTCAGTCAACGCGGACTGATGATTTCATAGACGAAACGACGGCATCCACGGTAAATGTCTTCATCTATACTACATATCAGCTTCCAGGAAGTTACGAGTGCTGACGCAAGAGTCATAGACTACGAGCGAGACCAGTGTTGCCACTATCTCCAGCATCACAACTACTGTAGGAAGCTAACAAAACGCCCACGTTAATGTTGTCGCATACTAAAGCTAAAGTACACAGACTCAACTCAATACTGCCATCGCTACGGAAACCACAACAGAGACGGTTAGTGGCCCCGTCTATCTCGGGTCATATGTATCAAGCTAACAATATCAAAGTCCACACTCACAACGACAAGCACAGTCTTCGCCACGGAATTTACCACGCTCGCTCGGCGGCAGGCTGTCAACGAGAGGGGCATCTCTACTGTACCAAATACATCCCTTGAGCCTCAATATGCGCCAGTATACCACCGGAGCGACAGTGCGGATTCTAGCACACGCCTGTGTGCGGGCGCGCGGACGATTACAGTTACCGCTCCAGCGCCCAGCTCGACTACGACCGTCTCACTGGATTTGACATCGAGCACCACAGTTACCTCGACACAGACAGAAACAGATACTGTCACTGAGCTTGTCTCGGTGTACATCACGACCCCCCTGACGTCCACCGTCGACGAGGTAAAAATAATTCATCCCTGCATCTCCGAGTCGAGCACGGCTAACAAGCAATACGAACGACAGACATCCACAACCACCTTCACTGAGACATCCACCACTGACACCACAACGACAACGGTCTCCACGTCAACATCTACAAGTAAGGACGAATGAATTTCCGGACCCCCTCCCCTTTACTTACTCCACGTGGAACCCTGCTCGAGAGTGAAGCCGCAAATGGCCCAAAGATATCTAACAGCCCCTATAGCCGTGGTACCTCAAAGCACAGGCGTCTTTCGCGCACGAGGGGGTACATTCGACGGCCAGTACGGGTACAACTCAAATGAGCTTTTTCCCGGAGTCTCCTTCCTCGTCTTCGGCGCACAGCGTGCCGACGCGACAACCATCATCCGCACGACTGAAGGTCACTTGCAGCTGCCGAACACAATGATCTTTGGCCGAGCCGGCCCAAGTCCTAATCTCTCCCCTTTCTTCTTCGTCAGGGACGGTGCCAGTGGTGGATTCGTCTATATCGACGCTGTAGTCGGACCTGATGGAGTACTTGCCTTCAGCCGCGGGGGCTCGCCAGGCATCGTCGTTAGTTGCGGTAGCACTGAAGCGAATATCGCTCAGACGGTGCCCGATGGATGCACAGAGTTTAGCATTGTCTATGAGGCCTTGTAGGAAACCCAATCAGGCAATGCAGCTGTGCTTGCCCATTTTGGACCGCAACTCACCATGCGTTGGGATCTTCTTGGCAACTGTAGACGGGCCGCGTTGTTGCGCGGGAGTTCGTTAATGTGCAGAACGAAGGGAAGCAACAAGTGGGGAGGTACCGGGGGTTCTGAAGGTAAGGAGGTAAGGATAATAGAGAAGATTTAGGGCACTGCTCGAGGGCGTCTGATGATGTGAAGCGGGCTTGGTGTCTTTATGTATTCTTATATACCCTTCCGCGGTTCCGGCAGACTACAATGCGAGATTATTGCAATGAGTGATTGTGCGTAATTCGACATTTGTGCTACTCGAAAACCAGTTGCGGAAATCATCAGGCAGGTCGATGCGTGTCCGTGTTTGATACACCCTGGTCAATGACAAAAGAGCTCTCGCGCTTAGTCCTCTTGTAGCCTAATCAATGTTTTTACGACAAAGAGACGGAGGATCCGAGATCAAAATGCCCACTGTGGTACATTTCAAACAGGCCTATCATCTAGATAGGCAGCTGCCAAGGTGTGCTCTGGTGTTCCAGCTGCGAGTTGGGCCGGAGTCCCGGGCTGTCGGGAGCTCGGTTGCCTTTCCCCCGCATCGAGCACCTTTGCCCCCCAAAAGCTTGCCATCGGATGCCCGGAGCTCCAGAGGCAAGCTCCACATTCTCCAATGAGTGGTAGGCCTATGCGTACATGGCGGCATCCACCAGGCTAGACACGGAAATGAACAGCCGCTTGGTGCCAACTGCGGACGCTCCAGGGCGCTATGAAGCAGCATATATACTGTCCCGAGGTGGCCTCGTTCATGTCACGAGTCAGCCCAGATATGCTTCACCAACCTTGCGCTGCCCGAGCACGGTCGTCCAGTATACACAGGTAACCCATCATGGCACCAATACCCACCAACACCACGCCTCTAGCCAGCAACGGCACCAGCCATCGCACCTCACACAAGCGGCCTGTCCACGTCGCGGGCGCCTCAGGGGGTTTCTCAGACCGGATCCATGCCATCTCGCGACTTGCCGCCAACGAGGATGTCGACGTGATTGTCGGTGACTGGCTAAGGTGAGTCTGCCGTCTCCTCAGGTTCTGTTCGTTCACCCCCTTGCGTCAAAATCCCAAGTCGTGCTCAGGAGAAGCTGGCTGACCTCGTGCCAAATCTCAAAACAAAGCGAGATGACCATGACGGTCCAGGGCTCAGGCAAGGTCAATGCCCTCAAAGCGGCTGCCGGCAAGATCCTCACGTTCGAGGAAAAGGTGGCCAACGCGCAGTACGCCGAGTCGTTCCTGTGGTGCCTCGAGCCCGCGCTGGACGACATTGCGCGGCGCGGCATCAAGCTCGCCGTCAACGCGGGCGCGAGCGACACAGAGCTGCTGGCGCAGGTCGTCCAGAGGATGGTCCGCGAGCGCGGGCTGTCCTTGAGGATCGCGTGGGTCGAAGGGGACGACGCCACGGGTGCGGTGAAGGCGCTGATTGAAGAGGGCGAGGAGTTCCGGAGCCTGATGCATGGCCGGAGCGTCGACGAGTGGGGGGTTGAGCCGGTGTGTGCGCAGTGCTACCTCGGCGGCATGGGGATCGCGAGGGCGCTTGAGGAGGGCGCCGGCATCGTGATTTGCGGCCGCGTGTCGGATGCGTCGCCCATCATCGGCGCCGCGGCGTGGTGGCATGGCTGGAAGGCCGACCAGTTTGACGAGCTCGCGGGCAGCCTGATCATCGGGCACCTGCTCGAGTGCGCAAGCTACGTGTCCGGCGGCTACTGCTCAGACTTTATCAAGCTGCTCAAGCAGGGAAAGCACATCAACGTCGGGTTCCCAATCTGTGCGATCGACCACAAGGGCGAGGGCGTCATGTACAAGGAGAAGAACACGGGCGGGCAGATGACGGTGTCGTCGGTGACCTCGCAGCTGCTGTACGAGATCCAGGGCCCTCAGTACTACAACTGCGATGTCACGGCGCAGATCGAAAACATCCGCATCGAGCAGGTTGGCGAGGACCGGGTCAAGGTCTCCGGGGTCAGGGGGCTGCCTCCGCCACCCACGACCAAGGTTGGGTAGGTCTTGATTCGAGCTCGACTTGCGTGCTCTGCGCCCAGAAATGTACAGCCACTGACGATCTATTCATAGTATCACCGGCCTGGCAGGCTGGCAAGCAGAGTACCACGTATACCTCGTCGGCCTCAACATTGAGGAGAAGTGCCGCTGGACCGAAGAGCAGATTCGCTACGAGCTCGGCCCCGAGCTACTCGAGAAATTTACCACCCTCAAGTTCATGCAGAACGGCTCGTCTCCTCTCGACGCCCGCAACCAGGACGTGGCGACGGTCGACTTCCGCATCTTTGCGCAGTCGCGCGACCGCGACCTCTTGCGCATCCACAACCCCCAGGGCTTCTTCCGCAAGAGCATGGTCACCTTCCTCATGAGCTGCCCGGGTGCCTCGCTGAGCAACGACATGCGTCAGGCCGAGGGCAAGCCCTACTTTGAGTACCACCCGGCGCTGCTGCCGCAGTCGGCCATCCCACAACGGGTGCACATTTTGAGTGATGATCAGACTGGCCGAGATGGCAAGACGATTGACATCCCCCTCGCCCCAGAGTTCAGGACGTACGATCGCCAGCAGCCGAGCTACGAGACGCGCAACCCGCTGCCACTCGACAGCTGGGGCGAGACGGTGCGCGCGCCGCTGGGGTTGATCGTGCTGGGACGCTCGGGGGACAAGTGCAGCGACTGCAACGTCGGGTTCTTTGTGAAGCACAACGACGAGTGGGACTGGCTGCGCTCGCTGCTGACGGTGCGCAAGATCAGAGAGCTGCTCGGGCCCGAGGAGGACAAGGGCAAGCCGATCGACCGCTTCGAGATGCCAAACATAAAAGCCGTGCACTTCCTGCTGCATGATCATCTGGATCGCGGATACGACGCGTGTAGCACGTATGATACTCTGGGTAAGAACTGTCTCGAGTATCTGAGAGCGAAGACGGTGGATGTGCCTCGGCGATTCATTGAGAGGGGGACTGTCTATTAGTGTAACTCGTTATTTCATTGCCAGCAGGAGTAATGGAATGTCATTTGCAAAATAGACATGCTAGGAAAGACTTTTCCCGCCATCGCAGCTGTTACGTGGTATGGCAGTTGTGACTCCATTGCATGGTACATAAGATTTTATATTCAGGGTTTGCACCGTGTCGTTTCTTTTGGCGGATAAGAACACTCCTTCATCTATGATGGCCATGTCTAGACAGCTTTTTCTGGCCTGGCCGTCTGGTCTGCGCTACATCGTGCCCTCATCACCTAACAATGGCAAAGCATCGATCACAATCACGCGCGGTACAGGGACAGTTCCGATTTTATTCTCTTTTCGAACAATCCCAAACTCATGCTCGGGACAAGATTCTTGACCACCCTCTCCCTCCTACGTGGTATGCCCGCCGTCGATCGAGTAGATGGCACCGGTCACAAAGGAAGACTCCGAGCTGAGCAGCCAGACGATGAGCGCGGCAATCTCCTCGGGCATGCCGTCGCGGTTGAGCGAGCCGGGCATGACGGGGTTGTCCTTGAGCTCGCCAAGGCACATGCCCAGATCTGTGAGCATGGGCGTCCGCACCGTGCCACTGTCGCCGCCGATGTTAGTGTTTTCCAAGTCGTCAAAGAATCATGCACCGGGGGGGAGACAAGAAGACTTACGGCGCCACAGCATTGACCCGGATGCCCCGGTCCTTTCCCACATCCTGCGCCGCGCACCTCGTCAGCCCAACGACGCCAAACTTGCTAGCCCCGTACGCCGCCGAGTTGCCATAGCCCTTGACGCCCGCGACGCTGGCCGCGTTGACCATGCTCGCGTGGTCGTTCATCCGCGGGATCTGCGCGCGCATGCAGTACATCAAGCCCGTCAGGTTGACCCCGATGCACTGCTCCCAGACCTCGTTGGTCACGTTCTCGATGCTGGCCGAGCTGGCGAGCGAGTTCTTGGGCAGCACGCCCGCGAGGTTGGCCACGCCGTCGATCCTGGCGCCCCCAAAGTCGGAGCAGGCCTGCGAGATCCAGCTCTCGACGCTCTCCTGCTTGCGCACGTCGACGACCGACGTCAACACCTGCACACCCGAGAAAGTGTCGCGCAGCTCCGCGGCGAAGTCGTTCAGGGGCTTTTCCGAGAAGTCTGCGAGCGAGATCTTTGCGCCGGACGCCGCTAGCAGGCGTGCGGTTTCCTTGCCGATGCCGCCTGCGCCACCAGAGACGAGAATCACCTTGTCCTTGAGCGTGGGGTAGATGGCCTCGCGCTTGGGCACCGTGAAGCTTCGAAGTTGTTGGGCCCGGCTACGGAATGACGCTGTGGCTGCTGTCATTCGGAGGGAGGCGGCCCGCAGGGCGCTGCTGCGCAGAAGGAGCGCTGGCGGTGACATGTTGTGATGATGTCTCTGTCGCGACTTTTGTGAGCCGACGTTTGTTCTTTGTCTGGTCAGCTAGGACGAGGAGAACTTTTGATAGGACAGTCGGACGGCGGAAAAGGGCGAAACTGACGGGTAGATTGCGATCCAGTAGCCCGTTTTGAATCTTGGCTTGTGGGATAAAGTCTAAGTACGTGACATACGTGACGATGGCAGGAGAGCTTCGTCTTTGATAGTACCTGCGACAAATCAGCTGGCAGTCAATAACCCGGCTGGGGCTCTGGACGGACAACCTTTTCCATGTGACGACCCCTGAACCTTTCCCGGCGACACTGCCCTTCCCTTGTCTGCTTTCCCCGCATTGCGGGGGAGCTCTAAGCATGGTCGTCTGGGGACATCCGTTTCCCCTCCCGCTTCTCAGCTGCCATTGAGCTGTGCTAGCCTCGAATCACCCAGGCGGTGCGGAGCCCTTAGCCTCGTTAACTTGCAGGACCCGAGCCGCGAGTCAGACATTGACGGAAAAGTAAGTGAACCCGAGTCAAGTTGTTATCAGCTCGTCGCGGTCACGCCGGGCAGGCAATCCACCTTTGTCGGACCTAGCCCAGCTTCTCTGGTGGCAGCTCGCTACCGCTTCGATTGTCTGGCGGATTCAGCTAGAGCTTGCTATTTCTCGCCTTGGGGCCGACCCTCCCCGCCTTGAGAATGCCGAGATGTTGTCCACCTGGTCCGCAAGGACGAGCATCCGCGTCATGCGACGGCATAACCAGTGAAGCTGAGCAACGGCGTTCAGGCACCGTTGCATAAATCAGCTGTACTCCGATCATCGAGCTGTGATCCAAGGGTCCTCGTTAGCGCGCACGAAGGCTGCGGACTCGCCGTCCTCCTCGATCTCTCGTTTCCCAGCGATGAAGACAGAACCCCAATGACGTCTTGTCCGAAACAGACGCGGAAACTTATACACGATGGCCCTTCTTCTGACCTCCCCCGACGCCCCTCTGTCGCCGCTGCAGGGGTTGTGTTGTAATAGCCGTCTGACCTCGCCTGCCTTGCCACGCTCAGCTCTGTCATCCTAAAGCTCGTATAGTTCAGGACATGGAAGCCGCAATAGCCTAACGCCTGGGGTTCTATTCCTCCGGGACTGCTACCATATCAGCAGTCATGGCCAACATGATTGATTGTTTGAGAATTAATGGAGAGTTACGTCCGTTCACCCCAGTGAAGAAAAGACGTGGCCTGCGTGGCAGTCTCACAGGCGCCACATATTGTCCCTTTGTTCTCAGCATCACTATGCATCAGATGCGCAAAGGCATGCGAGTAATGTCGATGCAATTTCTTTGCTCAGGTGACATACTGCGGGAGTGGCTGTCAGCACGGCTATCATAAAGCCCACCGGCTATATCACATAAGCCAGAGTCGCAGCGCGCGATCCTTCGCCTAGCAGAGTCCACAGTGCCATGGAGTGAGGCCTGTCACTTTGCCGCGAGGCCAAGGTTGACCTGTAGAAGTCCTTGACAAGCGCACGCACCTCTATAGCATATAAATATGAGCACACTGCTCAGAATGCTACTTTGTCCTCGCCGCCCGTCTTTCACTTTCCACAACAAGAGCACAGACACGACCAATCCTGAAAAATGTACGCTCTCAACACCCTCATCGCTGCCGTTGCGGCCTTTGGTACCCTGGCTACCGCCACAGTGGAGCCGGGCGACCCTTGCGTCTTCGCGCCCGGCACTCTCCAGCTCGACTGCAGCGCTAACACCCGCGACATTGTAAGCTGTCGACGCATTTGACCCTGCCCGTCTGCCTCCAACGACTAGAGGCGCTGTCAAGAATGAAGAACTTAACAGGACTGACCATGTTTCAACGCGTATAGCTTTTCTGCAGCAGTGCGTCCAGCACGTGGCAGATTCAGACCAGTTGCAGAGCGCCTGCCCATTGCGTGGCTGGCAGTGGCTGGTGTGTCATTGATCCTGGGGACATTCCGAAGCCTCCTGGAAATGGAAAGACTTTCCGCGCATAAACTAGATGGCAGGTCGACAAGAGGCGAGGATAGGTGGATGTAGGGGTGTCTGGTTAGGAAGTCGGAGTCGGAGTGTGTTACCACACAGTGTACCCGTGCTCTTAGAGTCTACAGCAACCAACCAATAACAATTCCTAAGCTGTTCTGGAAAATGTGTCCTGCGGAAATGGGTAGTAGAGATGTCAGCAGCTGCTCTCAAGAAAGAAAAGCCATTTTGCGAGCAGGACAATCATGGAATGCGAAATGGCTTGTATAGCGAGCACACTCTGTGCAAGTCCCTCGGCCGTCGTCAAGCTGTCGTAAGATAAAGCTGCAGGCCATGACTTCATTGACCTCATGAACAGGACATTCTCTGAAACGGGCAACGTCGCTCGGCAAAACCCGCACATGACTCCAGCCATACTCTGCGCCAGGCAAGATCGGCCGGTAACGAAGTCTCAGCCGACTAGTGTGCCAAAAGCAGTTCATCCTCTTGTATCCGAGCCACACCGCGCCCTTGATCTGGCTGCTCGATTCATGCCTGATTGGTGAGGTTGCAAATCTGGAGAAATCCCTAACAGGAATTGGTCTGTTCCACTAGTTGATGTGGCCCTCGTCAGTGCGGCAGGTGATCGTCAGGGTCCTTCTTCACTCATCTTGTCTCTTGTATTGGACCAGTCCATATAACACAACACATGCGATTGTATCTCAGTGATGTCAGAGGCTGTCCGTCCTTTCTCGCAGCCCTCGTCCCCATGCGGGGGTATCATAGGCTATTTATCAGAGACTTCTTCAAGTACAGTAGCCTCGTGCGATAAAGTAAATCAGTGGTGCTGGTGGCCCAAAAACAAATGTGAACTGCAGTTGAACCGGGTGGGGGAGGCCACCGCCGTCAATATTGGTCGTTGTCGTATTCCTTCTATTTTTGGCTCCAGAAGATACGGCAGGAATATTCACTTTTGCTAATCTTGTCCAGGTGTGGGCTGTCTCTAGGCGTCGCCGTAGCAGGGGCACGAACGCTCTTGAGCCCTTCCCAGCCCTTACCAAAAGTGCGAGGACACTACCAAGAAACGGGACGATGGTTGAGCCAAGGCAGGGGACCAGATTGCATTCCGGTCGTGGCATCAGATGCGACTCATGCCTCTCTGCCTTGCCTGGGACAATCTGGTGAGCAATGCAGTTGCTTACGCGACTGAGACATTGCACACAGATTGGGCTGCATCGCATTTGCCGGGCATTCCTGCAGGGCTACTAGGCGAATCTGGGACTCGGCGCGCCAGTGGTGTGGCATGTACGGCCGTGCCGATCCCTTGCTTCAACAACAATGGCTGCAGATGGCAACGCAGACAATATAAATAGGATGAACCGCGAAAGGGAATTGCCTCGGAAGTGCGGCACGCCAGAGAATTGCAGCTGTTCAATCTCGATATGCCGGGCCGTGGGTCTTATCAGCTTGGTGGTGTTGAGCGATTTCATTCACATCATTTCGAGGCAAAGTGGTGTCATTTGGTTACTACCTGTGGTTTCCCATCGTTGACTCAGCGCGTGGCAGGCATCACGATAATTGTAGCTCAAGTTCTCGTCGTAGGATCCAATAAGGATAGAGAGTGAAGAAGAAAACCTTCGCATGGACACCTGTGAGCGTGCACGGCAGCGAGATGAATAATGCCTTTTGTGTTAGAACCACAATGGACCGCTTGTCAGAGCTCAATCTAGAAGACCGTCCTACAGTGGCCCACCTTCATTCTTCCAATGTTGGCCTGCAAAGCCTCACGACGTCGCCCCAAGTTCACTAATTCGCTGTGGCGCTGGGCAGAACGGCAACACGGGAGACAGACCCCACATCGGGACACGCGTCTTGGCATGGATCCAGATTCTTGCGGTAGAGAGATAGCGTACGCTGGCACGAGGGCTTGATGATGTTTTGCTGCTTGGATACGAGCATGCGTTTGTATATAGAGCCGGCCGTGTCGCTGCTAGCCAAGACCCGACCGCGTTCCTTCTTCTGGGCCACTCTCACACAGGTCGTCTGCTAGTCTGCTCGTCGTCGCTAGCCACCATGAAGCTCATAATCACCTACGCGCAGGCGCTTTCGCTAGTGGCAGTCGCTTTGGCGGCACCGCAGACATTCCAACAAGCAGCTGGCGGGACTGTGCCATTTCCGCCTCAATCGCAGCAGCCCAAGGCCTTGAGCTTTGAGCAGGCCGTGGGCCTCGTGTCGCCCGCCGGCGGCAACATCATATCTAGCTCGCAGACGCCCGCACAGACAAACGGTGGAATATCGACCTCGGCCGGCTGCCGGAGAAATATCTTCAGGAAATGGGGTACCTTGTCAGCCACGGAGAAGGGCAACTTTGTCGGTGCGATCCGGTGTCTGACGCAGCGGCCGCCCCGAGGCGTGTGGTCCGGCGCTCGATCTCGCTACGACGAGCTAGTCTGGGTGCATGCCCAAATGACCCCACGGGTCCACGGGCTCGATCTTTTCCTGCCGTGGCACAGGTACTACCTGTTCGCGTTCCGGACCCTTCTATCCCAGGAGTGTGGCTACAACGGCGCTATCCCATGGTGGAGGGAGACGAACAATGCTGGGAATATTGCCGCGTCCGATATCTTCAGCCCGCAGTACTTTGGATCTCTACCACCGGCCACTGGAGGTGGCGGGCAGTGCCTTAATGACGGTGTAAGTCATGAGGCCAGCTTGGCGACATTTGAGCAACAACTGACTATTCTCACTGCCACATCCAGGCCTTTGCCGGCCTTACCTCACGCATCAACAACCAGTGCGTCTCCCGGGGTGAGGTCAAGTCGGAATCGAACCAGGTATCGGTGCAGAACGAGAACCTATGCCAGCAAGCTTCGTCATTCCCTCAGCACCGGGCCTGCGTCGAGTCCACGAACCACGCACGCATGCACAGAGGCATAGGTCCGACCATGGCCAATGCTGCCATGTCGCCATCCGAGTGAGTCACACCACCCCACGTCCGTCGCCATCTCAAGCTCCCCAGATGCAGAATACTGACCGAGCGGTGCCAGTCCGGTCTTCTTCCTCCACCATTCGTATGTGGACTGGCAGTGGAAACGCTGGCAGAATGCTGCCTCGTCTCGTTGGACCACAAGTAAGTTCGCCACCTCGATCATTCGAGTGAGGTAAACCAAGAACTCCGTGGTCGCTAACCGGCCCCTCTCTTCTTAGTCTCGGGCTGTGCCGACTTCAACAGCCCATGTACCCCTCTGAGACGCAAGACCGTCTTAACCTCGCTTGGACTCATCAAGAACATGAGACTGGGCAAGTTCTTGGACACGGAGGGAAACAGACTATGCTATACGTATGATGAGTTCTAGTGTTCTCGTCAAGCTGAGCAAAGCAAGCAGACATTTCGAAGTCATGGCTAGGATTCGTGTATACAGTTTTTGTTTGTAGATATTCCATTTGTCCTGTAATCGTGAACGTGCGGTCGTCCCCGCAGGGTTGATCGGTATTTTGAAAAGGCTTAGCGTCTAGCTTCTTGGACACTTGACTTCCTGCACAGGCCGCTTAGGCCCAGTCCGCACGCTATTCCGACGCGGGACGTGGAGCTTGTTAGCGTCGAAAGAACGGGCTGCCGGAAAGGTCAAGCTTCCGACCAACGGTGTTGTACGAGTCGTGGGACAGCAGCAACAGCCCAGGATGCGGGGTTTACTGGGCCGAGGCAGTCGATATTTCTCGGCATGCCCATGTCGGTATCGGCAGACGGGAGCTTGAATCCCTCCGAAACCTCTTACGCCATGACTCAAGTTCCACTTCTACCCATGGTGGGGTCTCATGAGCAGAGATAGGCCAAACACCATATCCCGGATGTCAGTATCTACAGTTCTTGGCGCAGCCTCAGCGGATCTTCTCCGCTATTGACTATTGTCTATCAATGAAATTCCTGCTTGCTACATATCGAACTGTGCACGGCGTTACAACGTCGTCCGTTCTGCCAAGCCTCCTGGTCGCCGCGATGCCGAGGCGATATGCAAAAAAATGTCGGAGACTTGACGACTAAATGTCCGACTGTTTTTGTTCGCCGCCTCGGATGCCCCTCAGCGTCATAGGGCCGGTAACTAGCAGAAGGCCGAAACCGAAACCTAAAATGTGTCTGTGCGGGGGCACTAGGGAGGTTCAGCACTTGACAATGACTCTGGCCAATCCCTCTTCTCGCTGATCTACATGGACCTCTATGGAGCGGGTGCGACTACTGCGCCCGCATTGATGCACGGATTGTTCGCGGACAGTCTAGGTATGCATTGGATACAGTGGACCATTGCCCGCCGAACCAGTTCTTTAGGGCTGCCGATACTTAGCTTACCTAGTTTATAAAGTTCCTCCAATGCCATTCCGAGCTCACCTTCACACATTGCATTCCCGGACAGCGGGGACTATTATTCGGCAATCTTTCAGTCAGCGCCTTAAGCACGATGATTCTACAGCACATGGCGATAGCCGCCCCTCTGGTGGTAAGTTCATCTTCACCATTGAGTTATGCCATTTTCTTTTTTAGCCGATGTGAAGCTGACATGGAAATTTCGAACAGGCCGGAGTCCTCCTCGCGGCTCGCTGCGTGCACCTCCTTATCTTCCATCCGCTTGCCAAAGTTCCAGGCCCGAAATCATATGCTCTAACCGACGCCTTCTATCTATACTATCTCGTAAGGGGCCGGTGGCCGGCTAAACTGAAGACGCTACATGATGAATATGGCCCGACTTTACGCTTCGGGCCCAGCGATGTTTCCTCGATCGCTCCCGAGACTTGGAAGACTGTGTACGCCCATAGGACGCAGCAACAAAAGACCTTTGAGAAGGATCGGAAATTCTTTGGCCAGCCGTACCAGGGCGTGGACAACATCCTTATCGCCGATAAAGAGAATCATCGGCGTGTTCGCCGCGTACTCGCTCACGCCTTCTCCGAAAAGAGCCTTCATGAACAGGAAGGTCTTATTACGAGTTATATCAACTTGTTCATTTCCAAGCTCGCTGAAAAAGCCGCCGCCCACGAACCCGCCGACATCGTAACTTGGTTCAACTTTTTTACCTTTGACGTAATCGGCGATCTATCCTTCGGAAAGCCTTTCGACTGTTTGGCGAACGGTGCTTACAGCCCCTGGGTGACAATGGTCTTCGAGGCCATCGCAAACGATATGTTTAAACAGGTCGTGCACCGGTATCCCATCCTGAAGAGCGTCAAGTCCTGGGTTGTCCCGGCGAAGCTAGCCAACAGCTTCGCCACCCACGCGCAGCTCAGCCAGAAGATCGCATTCGAGCGCATTGAGCGCGGCAACGTCGGCCGCAAGGACTTTATGGACTACATCCTGCGGCACAACGATGACGAGAAGAAAGGTCTCTCCAAGGTCGAAATTGCTGTTAACTCCGGTAGTCTTATCAGTGCTGGAAGCGAGACGACGGCGACCCTGCTCAGCGGTTGCATGTTTTACCTCCTAACAAATCGCGACAAGTATGAGACCTTGGCGCAGGAGATTCGCAACAGATACTCAACGGTTGATTCAATCAATATACACAACGTCAATGAGCTGCCGTACTTGTCGGCTACTCTCAAAGAGACGTTTAGGATGTGTAAGTCACATGTCTGCAGGAAGACAAACATGTTTGTGCCAGACTGCTGATACAAACCTTCTAGATCCTCCTGTCCCCGTTGGTCTGCCTCGTGTTGCACCAGAGGGTGGTGATACTGTCGCTGGGTACTTCATTCCCGAGAATGTAAGCCACTTTCTCCATCCGAAACTAGTTGAAAGTGCTACTGCTCGTGCATACTAGCTGGATCCGGTTCAGCACGCACGTGAATAATCCTTCTTGAACTGACCAGCGGCTTAACTTCAACAGACCAGCATAAGCGTTCCCCATTTTTGCGCGTACCACAGCGAGTCAAACTTTGCTGATGCCGAGACATTCGTGCCCGAGCGCTGGCTCGGCGATCCACGCTACGACAATGACAAGCGCGATGTCCTGCAACCTTTCTCGACTGGTCCGCGAGACTGCCTTGGCAAGAAGTGGGTCTACGCAACGCGTCAACCAGTATTTGGCGGCCAGCAGAGACTGGCTAAAAGATGTTGCGAAAGCTGACAATTTCGTGTGACTTACAGTCTCGCATACGCAGAGATGCGCCTAATGATGGTGCACCTGCTGTGGCATTTTGATCTGGAGCTCATGCCAGAGTCACGGAACTGGGCGAAACAGCGCGTCTTCATTCTCTGGGAGAAGCCTGCTCTGATGGTGAAGCTCATGCCTGTGCAGCGATTTTGAAGTTCGGACGAGGCCTTGCCTTATGGAAGGGGAAGCAAAGCGTCATGGTTGTTCGAGGTGCATGTCTGTTTGCTGGCTGTGATGTGGGTGTAAGGATCAGGGATCTTGTCAATCCTGGAGGCGCTATAGTCTCGAAACATATCCTTCTCATATCGCTATCAAGTCCCGCTTCTCATTTGTCGTGAGTGCATTGAAGCTGGTATCCAAAATTCAATCACGACGCTTGCTCTGCCGGACTAGTACCTCCATATGACGACCCGACCAATCGGTCATAAGATGGGGCTTAGGATAAGGGCAGATTATACACGTGGGATAGTGATTAGACGCTTATCTAAGGTAATAATTATGATAAGGATAAGGACTAGTTAGGGGTGTCCGACGCAACTTATCTCTAGCTTTTTTCACTAACTCTGTTTCCTCAAATTGGGCGACAAAGTCGTGAGAGTAAGCACCGAGGAAGCTATGCACGGTTATACGCCGAGGCTAAGCCGGCATGTTTAGCTCTTAATATGGGCGACCAGATGGGAGAACAAAAGATAAGTATATCTCTAGTACAGGATAAAATAACTTAATTTAAGGAGCTAGTCAGGTTCTTATTTTACCGGCAGTTGGCATCAAAGCGGTGAAATCAACTAGAAGAAACTTACGACCACCCAATTTACTTCTCGAATGAGGATGACCAGGGTTTAGTGGGGGTGTTAACAAGTACAGTATACATAGAGCAACTACGAGCCGCTCTGTTCACACCGCCAAAAATGACGGCATGGACCAAACGAATCTCGCGACACCAACAGCACATCCTCCTGTTTTTCTGTAAGAGTTATGCAAGGACGACAAGCAGTGGAAAGCACGTGCCGACTTCGGCATCCCTTCCGAGGGGGAGCCGGTCGTTATAATGTTGATTTTCCCAGCAGCCTTCGTCCGAGGTTGCGGTGCGCCACTACAATAAGCGGTGATTTGCTATGATAGTCCCATGTGGTTGTGAGCACTTTTCTCACAGATCTGAAGACGTTCCATTTAGCCACTCCCAGCAATGCGATCACCTTCATCACGTGCCACGCCGTGTGGCCTGGTCATGGCACCCACCACTGGCGTCAAACTTGGCTGCTTGTAAGTAGTAAGCACAGTACAAACGCCCCCTCAAGTGACCTTTTGCACTTGAGAGTAACCGTAGACAACCCGCCGTACAGGCGCAGTGGACCCGCTTTACCCCTGATGCACCCGCATCGTGACTAAGAGGGGCGACACACACCATTTAGCACACTGAGTGGCAACTCTGACTTTGGTGTTCCAGAGCGGGATTTGTTTGTGGTGCCCCAATCACCGACGCAGCCTCGGCACGAAAGGGCAGCAATCACGAAATACGACATGATGGGATGATTTCGTGGTGTTGAATGGCAAAGTCGCTTTGCAGCCAGTCAAAGGTGCTCGGACTGGAATGCTATTTCGAAGCTCGTGGCGTTGTTGGTGGTCCTGCATGTATGACACAAGAGTGCGAACACATCGCTTCACCCCAGCTCGTATGTATAAGCACCAAAGAATCTTCAAAGACTGACGGCACGCCCCGGGTGTTGTAAAAATAAACAATCTTTGGGATTTGTGACATTGTGTTTGAGGAGTCGCGGGCACCCCAGCGCGTCAGCTCCTCGTGGAATAATGTCAAACAACTAACGAAGTACCGAAATAACAAAGGTGCGCACTCCGCCCATGAGCTCGACTAGCATCAACGAGGTTTGATGAGCTCCCCAACATCAAGCGCCGACCAAACTATCACATTGGACACCGTGGATTCTGATCGATCCAGTCGTATACACTCAATAGTCCCAAGATATGTATCGCAGAGGCCAGGACCACGAAGACGTGGAAGATCTGGTGTGAAGCACCCCAAATGTCAAAAGTCTTGGGGGCCCAGGACTCGGGGAAGTATGTCTGTTTCGGGATGACCATCAGCTCTATGACCGGTTTCCCAGCAGCGTCCGAAACTTACCGCAAAGAAGACTGTGCCTGTGACGAGGGCTAATCCCTCAATCAGATAGTAGCCGAGTCCCGCCTGCCGGTTCAGCATAGCGAAGGGATACATGAAGACCGCGTGGATGACGGGAAGCAGACCAGATAATCCCATCGTGACGAATGTCGTTATGCGCAGCTTCCTCCATTGGCTGCCTTGGAAGCGCGGATTGACGACAATCACCATCGACATGATCCCAGCGCAGAAAGTCTGATGCCGAGCAATCTTATTCAGCCTTCTAAGCTATTACTGGGATCAGAACCACTTACAATGGTCCAGTAGATCTTCTGTGGGTTTGGCTCGCAGTAAAACGTGACATATATGCCAGAGGCGAACGATCCCATCGTCTGCAGAATGATGGCTGCGTAGTCCCAGCGAGCCCATAGGCCTGAGTAGGATTCCGAATGGCACTTCATCGTGTGGTAGATTGATGAGATCGAGAAGCACAGCAGTGATGTCGTGAGGTACAGATGAACTGCCAGTCGATCCGTTTGCGGTATTGCTAGATAGCGTGCTTGGAAGTATCTGTGCAGAATGCAGTTGCCGACAAAGGCGAGTATCGCTGGTATAAGATGGGTGTAGATATTGACCGTCTCATTATGGACCGAACGCAGGCTGTCGATACACGCTCTGACAGAACCGTTGACGGGACGGTAACCAGAAAGAAGAAAAATGTTGTCAGCGTACCATGATGGCGCTTGATGCGCATCGAGTAATCGTTGGCTGGAAATGGGTGGCTCGAGGTGTTCATCTTGCTCGGGGCCTTCCACATTCTGAGGCTTGCTGCCTGCAGGCGACAAGCGTTGGTGGAGGGTCATGGTGGGGGCTCGGGTCTTTACAGTGACAGAAAGTGCTGATTACCTTCCTGGAGGCGGGACGGCTTTGCAAAGCGCATGAAGAAAGAGCGGCGCATTTTATAAAAGAAAGGATGCTGGGCATTCATCGCCGGCATGCTGTTTGTTGGCTGAGCAAACATGGGCAATATTTTGGCACGAGGCAAACTGCGCACTACCCCCTGCGGGCGGCCGAACCATGGTCCTGCTTGTTTGCCATCATATCGTTATTGTTTGTATCTCTTGCGCGAGCGGTGTATGTATCAGCCTCTTTCGTATCGCAGTTGATGGCCCCTCGGACTTGTGTCTAGTCTGATTGTAGGCTTCCTCGATATTGACACGTTTCTAAGGCTGAGCGGCGGTCATTTGTGACCTAGAAGACTGATCTTTGATCCTAGCCTAAACATCTACTCATAGCCAACCCCTGTCCACGTCCAGCTCCAATATCAATGTATGTTATCCTCATTTCCACGGGAGATCTCGGGCGACTAAGCGCTACAGATCACCTCGTGGCTTTCTGCGACTCGCCAGCCAGAAGTCTATAGAATTGGTGCACTATAGTAGAGATCGGTAAAAAGCATTCTGGCATACAAACTATGCAAGAATTCCGGAGGCCTGTCTTTTTACCTACCTGCTCAAGTGCACTTGCGTGATTGCGCATTTGGGGGTTATGCCAGACTGGCCTTTATGGTGTACCATCCCCACTTTACCCCTGTCCAAGCTCCGCACCTACATCGTTACTAAAAGGGGTGACACACACCGTGCGCCCAGCATCCCTGAGAACCAGAAAAAAGATGACACATCTCCTCCCCCTCTGAACGAGATGCAAAGGAGAGCGGCAAAAGCATGGGCTCAGCCGGGATTTGAACCCGGGACCTGCTACATTTAGCACACTGAGTGGCAACTCTGGATTTGATGTTCCAGAGCGGGATTTGTTTGATCTCCCGAAGCAGCAATCATACGACTAGACCACTGAGCCGATGTCGGATGGGAATCGGCAGGCTTATTGGCCTCCATATCGAGTTGCGCAACCAGTTCCGCAGAATACGGCGACAGCCGACTCGGGCGAGTGTTCAGCGTCCTTGACTCTCGTTCGAGGTTGCAAGTCGCACATTGCTTACAACCAACCCAGGGCTCCATTCGTGCCAGGTCGTCGAAGCCAGGCTGTTATTGGATGCACACCTCGATCAAAGACCATGCTGGAGCGAAGCAGCAACAATATCAGATCACAACGTCACCAGCAGAAGACTACCTAACGAAGTCTTACATCTGAGCACTCGTGTCCTTGCATGCCCAATCAGACTTCCAGGCTTCACATAGCACGGGTGAGTCGAGACTTGCTTTCAAGCGTCACTCGTGCAGGGGCAAGCATCTCACCTAACCATGTGGAACCTGTCCCCATGGTGTTTCGTGGCTCGCCCGAGTTGTCCGAGTACGCCAGAGCGTCCACACAGGTTTGCGTCGGCATATCACGCTGCACCGTACTGAGGAAGGTGCATGAGACGATGTCGAGATTAAAGTCCACGCGGCAATCTATACCGCCGCATGCATCACCAACAACGAAGTTCATTCTCGAAACGCGCAGATTTCGGAATAGTTAGGGGCGAGCGAAGTGGGTTGCTCTATACCGATGACTGTGGCCTATGTTATGGAGTAGCTGTTCATGTGTCTCTCCGCTGGTGTCTGTAAACGAGGACCCTGAGCAGATCTTCTCGGGTCCGTCGAGAATGACCCGCATACATCTCAGGGCTTCCCCTGGTCCGTGGAGCTTAACAGGGCTGGAGAGACCCTGGAAATCCGTTTAACTGCGTCACATCGCCGCCCGCCAAGCCTGATTGGCTACTGGCCCGATAGTCTATTCATACTGCTGGGTCGAGGTCCGCTAAGCAAGTAATGGAGACTTACGTTTGTAGCTGGTAGGGGCGGTTTGTAGTATATACTTAAGGAATTAACATTATGACCTTCCGCATTCCAACGATTTCGCTTCGTATATGTGCTCGGGGTTGTACTTGAGGTTTCAACTGTTCGCTTTTAGAAGAGTCGCCAGCCTGGCGGGTTGCGAACCGGAGCAGCCGACCTCTTTCTGTACAAGAAGTGGCGCTTGCTCACTCTCAGCACATCGAAACCGCAAGGTTCAAACGTGGGCACTTTACTGTCGCGGTGAATCCCGACCATGACCCATTCCAGGGCCGGCAACCTCCCTTGACCATTCCTTTCAGCAGCACTACCGGCTTCGTCAAGCATCCAGGCGAGTGCTTTGTAATGGACACTGGCGTCCCCTATGGCGGTCACAGATGTCCAGAACCAGCGAAGACTGGGCGGCAAGAAGGAACACAAATCCAAGTCAGCGCCATTGTCCTCGTCGGAAGCCACGTCCGATCCTACCAGCGCAGAAATAGGACAACGTAGCTGCTCCAGGCTCGTCAGTCTGGCGCGCAGCGATCCGAGGGCGCCCCCATCGGCCTTTTCGACAATGTCGTCAGCGCCTTCCGCCGGCTCGAGCTCAAAATGGCGCAGATGCGGGCCGAACTCGCGCAGCACGCTGCCGTACATGGTGAGGTTGATGGCCTCGCGGCATTCGGTGAAAACATAGTGACAAATGAGAGTGTGGAGATTGGGGAAGATACGCAGCATCTCGCGTAGGCCGGCGAACGAGGATGGGAGACAGCTAAGCAGAGCGAAGCTCTTCAAGTTGGGATGGGAGCCGGCAGAAGTGAGCACTAGGCGTGAAGGCCAGCGGTCGTCATCGGCGTCCTCCTCGTCCTCACCGTCGCTTTCCTGCTCGTCCTCGTCCTCACCGTCGCTTTCCTGCTCGTCCTCATCCTCTTCTCCGTCCTCGTCGAGACCAAGCTGAGAAGTGTCGACCCAGTTGAAGCTGCACAACTCCAGCGTCTCAAGCCTAGGGAAAAGGAACAAGGGGTAGACATTCTTCTTTCTGCAGCTGTCGGGTTCGCCATGAGATGTCGTGGACGTGAGCTGTAGCGACCGCAGCTTATGTAGGGGCGCCACTGGGCTGGACCGCGTACTGTCGCCGTCTTTTCTCGCTCGTCTCATCACACCGCAGACGTAACGGCCGCACAACTCGAACAGCCGCGACAGAGCGTCGGCTTTGTCGTCAAGCGCGTCCACGTTCACGTTCAAGATCTCGATATTCGGCGTGAGGCAGAGGATCAGCGTGAGCAATAGTGTCTGTGGCAGAACCCCCCCGTTATCTTCCCAGTGCAGATCGATCCCGCCGTCGAGCAGGTGCTTGAGAAACTGGTTGAGCGCCGGCCAGCGGTATTTGTCCCTTATTAGCGGGCTAATGCGCTCGTATAGTAGACGCTCGAGGGTGGCGCAGTTCTCGGCGTTGTAGTCCCACGAGGAGTAGCTTATTGATCGCACGTGTTCGCCTAGGTCTGGGCGGCTGCATAACGTCTCGAGTACCTTCAGTGTATGGTAGCCCAGAGGCAGTTGCCCGTAAAGAATAGGCTCCGCGATGCGGCGTAGCTCGCGGGACGCTCGACTCATGCGCGAGAGGGTCTGCACCTGGATGCGCGCATAGTGGTGGTCCGGGATGTCGTTCCCGTCTGGGATGAGATAACTGAGGATGTGCAGGAGGATTTCTGCGGGGACTTGGCGTGGCATCATGGGTGAATGTCTGTATGCTGCTACTGCTGCCTATGCTGCTGCTGCCTGTGTGTGCTCCGATGGGCTAGTCGTGGAAGGGGGATGAAGTTCAATTGAGTTGATTCAAGAAGCCGTACATGAGAAGGGTATCTCCTTAGCTTTTTGAGCGTGGTTGTGCCGACATCTTTACGATGCGCCGACCAACAATACCCTAGCATGGCTGCCTGGCGCTAGAAACGGTTTTTGGCCCGTTCGGGCTCCACTAGCACGACATTGCAATTTCTTTTGGATAGGCCCGCACAATGTGGAGGGAGTTTCAGACGGCGGATGACCTGATTACAGTCCGTTTTCATGAAGAGTCGCGGGATTAGTGCCTGGCCATCTCTTGCATACCTCGAGGCGTCATCACGGTCGATGCGACCCTTCCACGATCCCAAATAGCCAATCCTGCGAGATACGCGCGACCGCCTCATTCTGGGACTGATCGTAGAGCACCAGTAGCTTGTAGGTATCGTGAAAGAAACAACATATTTGCTTGGCTGCAGGTTGTTGACCTCGTCGAGCTCCTTCAGAAAGGCGACGAAGTTCTTGCCGTCGTCCGGCCGCCTGCCGCAATCCCCTGCCCCGGGGTATTCCCAGCCAAAGTCGACGCCATCGAAGCCGTATCTTCGCATGAACCCGAGGAGGTTGCCGACGAAAAGCTTGCGATTCTCCGCAGTGCTCACCATGTCGCTGAAGACGGAATGGGTTGCTGTACCATTGTCGTTCAAAGTTCACCCTCCGAGAGCGATGACGGTCTTCAAGCCAGAATTTCGTCGCTTGATGGCTGTGAATTGCGAAAAGAGATCTGCTGGCAGATCGTCCATCGGCGCCACCTTCGGGGTGATGGGGATGATGTAGCCAAAGGCGAAGTACGCATGCGTCAGGCCGTCAACAGGGATCTCGTTGAAACCCATGCCGACACAAGCCTCCTTGTAGTTCCAAGCTTCGTAGTAGCCAATGACTCTTTTCTATAGTGCGCCAGCTTTGTTTTGAGGCCCAGGCTGCTTGCAATTGCTTTGGCAGCTGGTCATCTCGTCATCCGTAACCTCACAGAAGTCATCTGCCGTTCCGCAGAATCCAAACCGCGAGCAGCACTTGCCATGTGTTAGCTCGCCATGGGGCTTCAGCGTGTCTAGCGGACATCACGAGGGCTCACCACGTTGAGAGGACACTTTCGAACTGGGGTCTTGGCATAGCGGCCGCATTCGGCTTTGGCGTCGCAGTTCGACCAGCTGAATTCGTTTGGACTGATTTCATTTGTAACACACGCGACTGGACCGTATTTGCACTGGCCAGTCGCCTTTGGACAACATGCACCTGGGCACATGATCGTCAGACCGGAAGCCGGGCCACCAACTTCTGGGTCGGCCAATCCTACTGCGTCGGGCTGGCGGGCACGACGACGACCAACTCAGCGCCTTCTGCGAGTCCTACGCCTTTGCCCGTGCAGGCTTGCAATGCAGTCAAGGAGTGCAACGTCTTTGCGCAGGCCATCAAAGGTAATCCCTGTAGCACCTTTGCGGAGCGCAACGGCATCTCTCTCGAGCAGCTGTATACGTGGAACACCCTATTCAAGCAGAATGGCAATGGATGCGTGAATAACTTATGGGCTGGCTATTGGTACTGCATCAAGGTACAAGAAAGGCGTACTATACCGCCCACTTCTGAGGAGTGGCTGGCTGGGTCAACTATTACAATTCTTCTAGGGACTCCCAAGTACGTGACCCGCAGGCTGAGCTATCATTATAACCTGAAAGAATGATTGCACAGGAGAAAATGGAAGTTGGGGATGGTGCTTTTGTTCTCGGCTAGAAGCAAATGCAAGCTATGCAACTGAACAAAAACGGACAGGCATGCAAGGAACACTCGGTATGCCCGGGGGGTGTAAATAGGACGTGGTTGAGGGCGGCCTACTGCCAAGATCCAAGATCGACCGGGTACTACCCTTGAAACGGAGTCTTCAAGTCCAGGCCGACCCCACAGATCACTCGCATCAAGAGGAAACAGTTTGTGTGGTTCGCGGTGCTCCTCACTTGATGCATGCCACGTTGGCTAGCCGGGCCAGGCCAAGCCTTCTATCGTGTGTGGGCCCTTGCAGCTAGGTGAATACCACTCTGTTTCACCTACTTTGGTAGAAACAATTGTGGGAAAGACACCAAAACAATCCCTCCCATTACAGCACGACACCAGTTCGTGTGGTTAGCTCTCCCCAAACACGCCAAAATTTGCTATCACTATCGTCACCACATCCTGCCTGGCAAAATGGACCAGCTTCCGCCCGAGATTCTCCGCATGGTCATTTCATTCCTTGGCATGGATAAGGAACCCCTGGCAGCGCTGGCCACAACGTCACGATCATGGCAGGCCGCCATCGAGTACACGATCTTCGCCGAGCTCAAAATAGCCAGCGCGGATCTTGCCATGTTCAAAGAAGCATTCTGCACGCCTGGATGCGAGTACCGGCAAGTACTGCTACGCAGTCTGTGGTTCGAAGCCACGCTGCCACCCTACTCAGACGCAGCCTGCGCCACATACGAGAACGACAAGGACAGGACAAACAACTCGGCCGCCTTCTCTCACGACATGTCAACCCTTCTCCACATATTATCCAGGTTCCGCGCCGAAGATGCCGCCCTGAGACTGAACATTGAAGTGTCCTCGCCAACAGACGCATCCGGGCCGAGCGAAGAAAGAAATCAACGTCTCGCTGCTGCTGAAGCAGGGACGCGCAAAGACATCTTTGACCTTCGCTATCGCTACTCGTACCTTGGGCTGTACTGTTCCTTGCCCGTCAGCGTCCCCTGCGTTGTGGAACTATCCCCACCCTCCAGTTCCTTGCGAGCCATGCATCCAGCGGGCATGGTCACGCTGTCCAAGGTCTTTCCATGCCTGAAATCGTTGGACTGGGACTTCCACGACCCAGGAATCTATCTGTCTCTCCGCCGCCAGCACTATAAAGATTTTGTCCAGGCACTCGCATGCTTTCGTCTGCCGCCCGACACAGTCCGGGCCCGGATAATCTTCGAGGTGCCCGATTGGCGCGACTGGCAACAACTTCCCGACCTCGCGCAGCCCTTTGGGGAAGAAGACGGTGGCATCTCGATGTGTGCCGCGCTCCGCGAGGTTATCAACCACAGCAACCTCAAATCCATGCATTACCAAGGCCTCCTGGACCCGTCTCTCTTCTGGGACAACCTACCAGAAACAAAAGATGCCTCAGACAACGATAATACCCAGAACTGGAATACCCTGGAGGAGCTCGACATCGAGTTCAAAACCTACAGCCTGTCCGGGAAATGGTACTTTGAGGGCAAGCCTGGCGACAGAGTCTACCGGGAGATCAGCGACGTCACACTGCCAGCCCCGAGCCCTGGTGCCGGCCTGGCCGAGCGCGAAGAGGTGGGCGAGCTCATGCCCCCTGGCTACAGCACCGAAGAGGCGCAGGAGGACCATGACCGGGCCGCCGAGGCGTGGAAGATAGCCACGAACATCCCCCTCGAAGAGCCCGAGCAGTTCATCGTCGAGGACGCCTTCTTCCGCGCCACGCCCAGCAGCTCGGCCATGCTGCCCTTGCTCAAGGCGGTGGCGCATCGGCTAGCGCACGGCGCACCCAGCTTGGCCAGTCTGGAGATGCGGTGCCTTGTCAGTGGCTTTGGCATGTGGATTTTCAGCTTCTGTGCGCCGGGGCATACCTCTCTGTGGGTGCCCATGGAGTACGAGAAGACGGAAGCTGCGCGGGCGCGCGTGTTCATGCGAACTGGCGACTGGAGACCTGATGCTGAGACGATGGAACTGCTCAAAGGTATCGGCAAGTCTCGGTTTGGGAAAGATGCAGCTGTGTTGTTCTTGCCGCTATATAATTAAAGGGTGGGGTAAGAGCGATTTCGATTTTCCAATTTCATTGTTATGCACTTTCAGTCAACCGCAGGATCGCTTTTTCCGCCAGTCAGTGCCCTTGGCCGGGATAGAAGGCCGCTCCATTTGTGCTCACGATAACCTTCCGTGGATATGCTTCTTGTCAGACTTACTCGGTCCAGTCTCCTCCTCGTGATTTCACACGTTGTCGTGGGGGCCTCCTTTCAACCAAGGTGATTTCATCCCGCAGACGCGTGTGGCGGCGAGCGTTGCTACTTGTGTGAGACGCAGCAGGTGCTCAATTTTAAAGCCAGGGTTGTAGGCAAGGGAGTCATCATCGCGCCCTCGCCGAGCGCCGGTAACTATGTAGCGGACTCAGAGGGCTAGAAGGCTTGGTGACACGCACAGCGTAGTGGTGGAGCCCACTAGACTACAATCAGTCGGCCAAATGAAATCGGCGGGATTGTTTCTAAGTATCAGGTTTTGGCTTGGGACTCAGACTGCTTGTCACTACTTGTCAGGCCAGGCTTTGCAACGAGATGTTTGCACCTTTGCTGTGCTGATGACCAGAGCCGAGCGGTCGATCGAGCAGCAACAAAAGTATGCCGGCCAAAGCCATCGCAGATGTGCCGTTTGTCATGAGGAGAAACATAGCGTCGACCACCCTCTGGGCTGGCTGGCGATGCATGTGTGCGAGTCCCAGTGGCGAATATGCAGGCCCAGCCCAGCAACATCAAGAGACCCTGGCAGCCTCAGTTTTGTTCCTTTGCGTGTTCATGTCAAGTCTGGATAGACCGGGCATGAAGAGTAATGTGTCAATTACTTTGCCGCGTCTTATATGATTATGGGGCTACGTGCCCCGGGTGTTTGTAGTCCTTGGCAGGGGTCTTCATGGATTTGTCAGTCAGACTGCCAATAATTAAAACCCCCACCTCGACATGAACAACAACCCACCATACCAGCGCTGGTGACCATGTCCAACCACGACCACGACATCTTCTGCTCGATATGCGGCGATTCCTTTCTCGTGCCACATGTGCCCGAGCCTGATGAAGAGAACGACGGGGTCGGGACCGCCAGCTCTGACGAGGTGGAGGACCGTGAAGCTGCGCAGTGGCGGTCCGAGGCCGCCCTCCTGAGCGACCCGGCCAATGAGTTTGACCTCCACGAGCTGCACTACCGCGCGGGCAAGCGCAAGACCCTTGTCCCGCCCCCGATCGAGCTCGATGTCGACGACGTTGAGATCAGGATTGAGCCAGCCACCTTTGTGCGCCGCAATGTCTTCCGCATCCACGCCGCTGGCGGCTCACCATCGGAGACCGCAGAGGAGGAGGAGGTCGAGACCAACGACCACGTCGGCCATGACGAGCACGGCAGGTGGCTCTCAACCTACCGCATCGCCGTCCACGCAGCCTGCCTGCGCGTCGCGCAGGACTTCATCCGCGCCCAGAAGCGGTCCTCGGTCGCCACGGCCGCGCGGGTGACGAGCATGCGCACGCTGTGGAAAGCCCTGCGGATGCGCTGGGAGACACTCGACGCGATGCTGATGCTCTCAAACGGCTCAATGGGGGCGCCTGCATTTTCCGTGCTGCGTAAGGAGAGGGTGTACCAGTACCCGCCATTTGTCGAATATGTAGGTGCCAGGTATGATTCGCTGCAAAGCCGTCGAAGAATGTGTGAAGCTAAATCTGGTTTACATTCCAGCCCCAGCGCGATCCGTCCTGTCCGTCGCTCTTCGCAGGCCCCGAGAAGATGGCCGCGTGCATCGTCAACATGGCAGTCCCGCGCGGGAGAGAGGCTCTTGACTGGGATGCGTGGTGGACGAGCTTCCGGGCCAGATTCGACGCCCTGCCGCAGGAACTACAGGACATCATCACCGGCCTCATGGCCAGCGGCGGCGACATGGCTTTTGAATGCAACCGACTAGTCTCGAACGAGTCGTGGAGCGACATGCTCGTCAGGGGCCATGTTCTGCCTTTCATCGGCGCTCTGGACCGGGATGCCCTGCTTAAAGCAGAAAAGACACGCATCTCCGCAGGGGACGGAGGGGACGGGAATCAGCCATCACTCGACTGGGAGAAGCTTGTTCGCTGGCTCACAAAGGAGAGCTCATGGGTCACGACGGTATGGACGTACAAGATCTCGGGCTGGTCAGAGTTCAGGTTCTCGGTACCCGACGACTTGTGGAGCAGGAAGTGGAGGTGGGAGCTGCTACAGCACATGTTTGTCTGTGATGTGCTTCCGCGGCACAAGAACTGGATGATCCGCGAGACGGACCTCGTTGCAATTCCCCGTTACTGGGACGAGGCAGGACGAAGGGTGTATCCGATTGAGAGATTATCTGGAGAGGCAGCCTCCGAGTCTTGATCCGGCGGGTTTAGAAGGATCTTGCAAAGGACGATATTTAGCGAATTCTACGTAAATCAGAGAGTATTTACAGCTGCGGACAGAATGAGCCATTTCGAGGCCCTCCACTTAGAAACAAACGCCAGCCTCATCTCAGACCAGGCCGGCAACCTGGTAGTTGTATGTGCAGATGTTGCCTGTAGGGTTTGCCAAGATGCCTTTCGTCTGCTTGCCCCCTTCAATAATGGGCTTTCCCGCTGCATCGACAACCTGCACATGCTGCTCGCCCGTCTTGATGCCCCGGACAGCGCGGTAGTTGAGCCCAGGCAGGAGCTTCTCCTTGGAAATGAGCGAGCCGCCACTCCAGACCTGCACGTAATATGTCCCTGCGACACCGTCGTTGAGCACAACAGCCCAGTTGATCGTGTCTACCGCGGCACCAGCACCCTCGGGCCGCCCATCAGTACCCGCGCAGGATGATGTCGCCAGGAACTCGCGATGCCACATGGCGCCCACGACAAACGTGCGAGAGCCAGCGGGAGTGCGCATCTGCGAAGCGTCCTTGGCGTTGGCCTTCCACGCGGCGATGAAGCTGGCAAACAATGGCTGCCAGCCCTCGTGTGGGTGGTCGTTCTGGTTGGCATACACAAGCTGCTTCTCGTCGAGACCTTCGTGGCGCAGTGGGCCGATGTAGTGGCCCTCGCCCGCATCGTTCCAGCTCTGAATCTGGATAAAGTCGGGCCTGCTGCCAGCCGTGTTGGACAAGGCAAGCAGCTGCGTCATCTTCTCGGGCATGACGACATCGCCGGAGCGGTACCAGTGGCTGCCGTCCCAGTGCTTGTACTGGAACGTGGAGAGGCCCGTCATGTACGCCTTGCTGTTGCTGTGCGCCTTGCGCATCAGGCTGGCGTCCAAGTCGGTGCTGACGTTCTGGTGTGTGTTGGAACGGCCGGGCCAGGCCTGCTCCCATGTGAACACCCCATCTACGCCGGTCTTCCACGATGACCAGAACGCATCAGGGTTTGTGTAGTAGTTGGGCAGCTGATCAAACATGGGCACGAAATAGGTCTTGGAATCGAGCGAGTCGCGGAATTTGTTCCAGGAGGTGGCTGTCCAGCCATTGCCATTGCTGAATGTACTAAGCATGGGGAGGTTGCTGGGGCCTGCGGTGTAGTAGTTGGGGTGCTTGATGTAGGTGTTTATTGTCTTGCGGAAGCGCTCTGGATCGTTGGTGGCATAGAGGTCCAGACTGAAGAAGATCTTGAGCTTGGTGCCCTTGGTGGCGTTGAAGAGCCGCTGGGTCGATTCGACAGACCACGTCGGATCCGGCTGGCCGATGTTGAGGGCAAACGCGTCCACGCCCATCGCAACAGCCTTTGCTACATCGCCAGCAGCGCTTTCAGCCTTGAGACCCTGTCCCATGTAGTGCACAAAGACATCGCCCGCGACTGCAGGGGTAGAGAGGGCCAAAAGGCCGAGCAGAGATAGGGCAAGCATGACTGTTGACTCTGGCTGCAATATGAGAGCCTACCACTGTGCCTACTCTGGACGGGGCTTTTGGCTTTATATTCAATTCTCTCGAACCTGCTTCCTGAAAGCTCGGATGAAGGATGTCCTAGAGGCATTGATGTCGCTAGTAAATGCGACGACGCTAAGGCGCTGGCGTGCCATTGCCTGATCCTTCGGGGACCTCGCTGCACCCCTGGGACTGCGCCCGGACATTTTTACCCGGGAACCTGATGTTTCATGCAAAGCATACTCGTGCCACTGCCAAGACCGTCTGATCTAGGCTGACAGGGGTCCTTTCGCGCCCGTGATGTTGTGTTGGCGGAGATGCAGATCGCGCGCATGTTTGCTAATATTGCAAAGGTGGATGCCAGGTGCTCCCCTTGGTGTAACGTGCCTTTTTATCACGATCTTTCTAGGACGAGATGGTGTACATCGCCACTGAATTCACGTCCACGTCCCCGTTGTATGCCGAATCTGCAGTCCGCCAGACGTTTTGTGGTCGTGTAACGATCCTAGAATAATATGGCGTCGGCGCCAAGCTCTCCCCTGCAGATGTGGCAGGCGTGCATCTTGGCTGCCCACACATGAGTCTGGGCCTCTGATATGAGTAATTACACCTTTCACGGCCAACTTGGCCGAGTCCACCACCACTGATTCGATTCCGACACCACATACGTTGCACGTAAATGATCGAAGGTGGAAGCTCCCAGCTTGTGCATTGTCGTCCAAGGCCAACGTGAGGCTTAATTCAGGAGGACAGCTCTAACTCCAAGTGGGAAATCTACAGCGTCTTCTAGTCCTGCGCCTGCTCCCACGCATATGCGGCCTTGAGCATGTTTAGTTCATCCCAGAACTTCCCCACAATCTGCAAGCTGGCAGGGAGCATGAGATCTGGATCTTCCTTGCTCGGCACAAGACCAATGGGCATTGCCAATGCTGGGTGGCCAGAGCCGTTGAACGAGCACGTGTTCTCGAGCTTTCCAAGCGAAGCGTCAGCCTGTTGCAACGGCGTGGCATCAGGCTTTGGATACGGGTTGCTCGGCGTGACGGTGGTTGGCATGATCAAGAAGTCGACCTCCTTCAGTGTCTCGTCGTACAGGTCCCTGATCTTGCGCATGATATTGACAGATTTGGGATACGCCAGGGGGTAGTCTGACCACCCCAGCTCGCCAGCAAATAGTCCCTCTTTGCTCGTCATGTTCATCTGTTGTCATCAATATCAGCATCGGACACATCTCAAAGCGTGGATTGGGATGCCCACCTTGTGCAACACTTCCTGCGTATAAGGCAGGTTTTTGCGCTCGAACAAGTCTGTCAGCATGACTTGCCTGCGGCCTGTTGACCGTCCCAGCATGCCCATGTGGTTGCTCATCTTGCTCATGACTGTGTACACCGTTCTACCCTGCGCGTGTATGGGGACGCTAACTTCCTTGACCACCACGCCGAGCTTCTGGAAGACCTCGACGGCCGCGTAGAACTTCTCTTTGACCCCAGCATCCATGAAAGGCGACTCCAACCCCTCCTTCAGGATGCCCATGGTGACACCTTTCAACCCCTGACTCAGATCCATCGACGCCACCAAGTCGCCATACTTTGGCACCTCATGTAGAAAAGGCACACCGGCAATCTGTCTATCGTCCAGGCCATCCACGCCGGCGATAGCCTGTAGCAGCCTTGCGCAGTCAAGAGCGGTCTTGGTGACTGGTCCGACATAATCGACGCTCGCATCGTTGCTGGCGATGCCAGTATACGGTACTAGGCCCGTCGTCGCTTTGAAACCGTACAGCCCACACAGAGCCGCCGGGATGCGTATGCTACCTCCCTGGTCACAACCGATCCCAATGTCCGCTGCTCCGCTTGCGACAAGCGCGGCGGTCCCGGAACTACTCCCACCAGCGGAGTAGCCTTTTGCATACGGGTTGTCCACGGGACCAGAGGCGGCGGTGCAGCTGACGGCTCCGCGAGACAGGTTCTCACAGACGGCTTTGCCAGAAATTGTCCCGCCATGAGCTAGAATCCGCGTGACGACTGTTGCGTCCGTCGTCGGGGTCCAGCCCGTGAAGGTATCTGTGCCGAGGAGACATGGCACGCCTGCCATGGCAATATTGTCCTTGAGACATACAGTTTTGCCACTCAGGAGGTCCGATGATGGCTTGGCATGGACACAGTCACACCTGTACGCCCATGCTCCATGCGGATTGTCCTGCCTCTCTGGGAGATGGACGTTCTGGCGTGGGCTGAGGTCGTAGTGCGGCTCAGGCTGGTAATCTGCGAGCATTATTCTCAGGACGTGTTTCTAATCAATTCCGGGGCGTGGCACGCACCATCCATTTTGTCAACTGCCTCAAGGGCAGCTTTGGCCTTGCCCAGCAGAATGACATAGTCGTCCACTTCGCCCTCGGCCACGGCATAGCCGAGAGCTGCGGCTACCCTGGCCACGTCTTCCTTCGAGGCGGTCATCGTTTTCGTCTGGCAAGCTGGCTTGCACACAACTGTCTGCCACGGCGAGCAATATGCTATTGTGCGTTGTCCTCGGTACAGTCGCAACGATACTCGACTTCACAGGCATTGCAGCAACGGCCAACAATCAACTCTCCAATGTGCCTCTTTGGCTGCGGGCCCACAGTGTCCGACTCCAACGTGTCTAGCCCGTCGGAGTGGTCCGATCCAATAAACCGTTATCAGTTTCCGACGGAATGTGTGTGGGTCACCGTAGCATTCTGCTCATCCGCCACCCGCCATCGGGAAGCTTATCATCAACGCTGATCTCTATTCACGACTAAATGATATCGCCTTGCTGCAGATGAGCCTGCGGCGCAGTCACGCACTCTTGAGGTCTCCGGTCGGCTAGGCTCGACCGATCCGTGAGAGATTGCGCGCATTACCCCGAGAAGTGGCGTGTCGTAATCACGATCGGAAAGAGAATGCGAGTTCCGATTAGCTCTACATGTTCCGAACTATGCTTTGATCTTCGACGTTCTATTGGCCTCTTTCTCGGCCTGCAACTCTGGCGAATCCTGCTGGAACTTGACTTCCTGCGCAGAGCGATTTGTTTTAGTAGACTTCAAATACGGCTACGACCTGGACGTGCTTACCTTGATCAGCAAGCCCACAAGCATGCACGCCGCTGACATTGCTGTGAACGCGATGAACACCATACGGAGCCCGTGCGCGTATGCGCCTCGTACGAGATGTTGCAGGTCCGCTGGGAGAGCATCGAGGTCACCTAGGGCCGAGACAGAGAGCTCGCTCTGCTGCTCTGATGTGAGTGCGGTGATGGCGGCGAGCTGGCGTGAAACATCCTGCTGGTAAATAGCGTTGGCCGCTGATATAACTTTGTCAGTGATGGTATTGCCTTCAAAATACTTCTTGAGATCATACCGGCCAGTCCAAATCCAGCACCCATGGTTCGGGCATAATTGCGACCGCCGGTAACGACGGCTCTATCTTCGTTCTTGGTCGTTGCCAGGGCAGCGACAAGGGCTGTAGGCATGTTTGTCAGCCGTAAGCCAAACGTCGCGTCACGTTCGCTCTATGCACTTACTGGTCTGCAAGTTGAAGCCGACGCCGACAGCGCTGATCTCTAAGAACCCAATGATTTCGCCGAGAGAGCTATCCGTGGACCAGTAGATCTGTAGGCCCGCGCCGAGCGTCCAGAGGATCGCGCCGACAGTCTGGTATTGTCAGTTGAGTCCAGGTTTCGTATACAAACCGGAACCTCGCAGTGCTTACGATTATGTGCTTGTAGTGATTTGTCTTGGACACGTAGAACCCAGCAACAACGCCCCAAATCGCTTGAGGAAATGTGAAGGCAAGCATGAGGGCGCCCGCCACAAGAGCAGAGTAGCCCTTGACATACTGCAGGTAGATTGGGACATAGTACATGTTCTATTTTGATAGAGTCAGTTGACCAAACGAAGCCACGACGCCGACCAGTTCATACTTACCCCGAAATAGACCATGCCAAGCAAAAAGGACAGGGCCATGACCACAGTTGGCGTCCACATCCTGAAGAGCCGCACTGCAGACCATGTTAGTGCTTGGCTTGGCTCTGTGTTGCGCTTGTAAGGACCTACTCGGCAAGATTGGGATCTTTGCTAACCACGCTTCGACGGCCACGAAGCTTGCCAGACACCCGACCCCCAGAACTAACAGAATTATCGTCAAGGGGCTGCTCCATGCGAATGTTGATCCGCCACCTGAGATCGGCACTAGCAGGAAGATCGTGGCTGAAGATGACAGAAGAATGCCCAGGTAGTCTATCATCTTGATCTTGGGCAACATCTTGCCATGCACCGGCTTCAGCGGCACAATCCAATGTATAGCGAAGGCTGTGACTACTGCCGATATGGCAATCACTCGGAATAGCCAACGCCATTGGCCGGCAGATGCCAGCCCTCCTCCAACGAATGGCCCGATTGCGCTACCAAGTGAGCATGCCGCAGAGATGAAGCCTTGATACTTGCCGCGCTCTTTGAGAGGGACAATATCGGAGACCTGTGGTTGTCAATGTTGCTCTAGAAGTGGATTGGGAGCGTTTGTTCCGAAATTAACTTACAATGACCATGGCAATGTTTGTAATGCCGCCGCCGCCTATCCCGGAAACTGCCCGGAAAGCATACAGCTGTATGGGCGTTTGCGCAACCGAGCAGAGGATGTTCCCGACAGTAAGTAGCAATATGGCTGCTTGCAGGACGTTCTTGCGGCCAAAGATGTCCGAGATGCGGCCGTAGACAAGCTGAAAGGCGCAGCTGGGCAGTGTGTGAGCTTGAGATCTCCCTCCAACGTGGCATGCTAGCACTTACTTGCCAACAAAGAAAGCTGTGCCAACCCATGATATCGTATTGGACGCATTCAAGTCGTTAGCAATGACTGGTGTTGCAGTCGAGACTGCGCTCTGGTCCATAAAGGCAATCACAAGTGCCAACCCTGGATAATTGTCAGAATATCGACTTAGCATTCACGACCTTTCCCCTTTGAAACACTGACCTATTCCGAAATATACAATCAGAACTTTTCTGAGCGGCATTCGGCTTGACTGGTCCTGAAGACAGTTTTCGTCGACTTTCGAGTGGTCATTGTGATGTCCAGGCTCATCTTTGGGCGGCTCGCGCTGGGGACTATGCTCGCTGCTCATGAGGCTGCTGTCGGTTGACATGGCTAATGACGACTGGCTGTAAACGGTTCTGGATCTTCCCTGCCAAAGTCGTACACATCCAGAGTCCTGCCTTTTGCCTAGGCTGGCTTGTCCTTTGTGCTGCATGCGGTGGCCGCCATCGTGAAGATTCTGCGGCACCGAAAAGCTTCGCAATTGCGCGGTGTGGAGCCGATTTCCGACCAGCCCCTGGTCTGGTCCCGGGCCGCGCCGTCGGAGGCTCCGATGCCATCCTGGCACAACGCCACGCCTTTGATCCCCGGCGATTCCCCACTGTCGATGTGCTCCGGCGATTGTCAATCTGGCGGCCCTCGGTGACGGCTCATGGCAGATGGAATCCGAGCCTGCAAGGCCGAGTCAGCAGTGTGTCTCCCTATCATGGAGCCCTACCAGCGCGCTGCCAGGGGGCTTGTTCTCTTGGGGCTTCGTGCTAATTAGCCCGCCAACAAAGTCAGGCATGCGCATTTGGCAGCGCGAGTTGGTCTCAGATAGGGAATTTAGCAGGGATAGCCACAGCGTTAGCAAGTGCGGTACTCTATGCTTATCAAGAAGGCAATCCGTGCTTAATCTACTCTATGCATATAGTGGCCTGTTGCCCCCCTCCACGCACACGGGTGCCTTGGCCATCAGCTTCAGCACCACCTGCAGTTCGAGATGGCTGGCAAGCTGACAGAAAAGATGGGGGCGAAAGGTGCTGCCATCAAGCAGGCCTTTACGTCATCCCAGGCCATGGTGAAGTACCTCGAGGCTCCGTTGATGCCAGGTGACGAAGACAATAAGGAAAACCGCCGGGTAAGTGCTTCCTTTGCTGTCAGCTCGCACGACTTCCATCTGACCGAGGTAGTGGACAAATCGCGATCTCGCACCTTCGCCCCCAGAGGATCGCAAATGGAATCAGTGGACTTTCCTGGCCTTTTGGACCGCTCATGCCGCTGGTGCTGGTGCCTGGGTTGCCGGCTCAAGCCTAATCTCGGTCGGCCTCGAGCCCCTGAGCGCATACTTGTGCTTGGCAACCTCCCACATCCTCATCACCGGGTTCATTGTTCTCAATGGCCGAGCATCATCGCGCTACCATATTGGGGTAGGTTACAGACAGCAAGGCCCTTGATGTGAACTCCTAGTCGCTAACCATGGCCAGTTCCCGGTCTTCTCGCGCTCCGTCTTTGGCATGTGGGGGTCCTACATGGTCATCGCCATGCGTGCCATCGTGTGCATCATCTGGAACGGCACAAACTCTTATTACGGAGGCCGGTGCATTACCGTCGCCCTCACAGCCATCTGGCCACAGTACACCGCCATACCGAACGTGTTGCCGGCATCGGCTGGTATCTCTGCTCCCGATCTGCTCTCATGTACGTTGCCCTTCTTAATGCGTTTACTCGAGACCCCGCCTTGTCTGACCTCGCCTAGTCTTTATCTTCATGATCGTCTTCATCGCCATTTCCTTCGTGCATTCGCGAGACCTGCACTGGTTCTATGTGGGCAAATCAATCTTTGTCTTCGCCGCAATGCACGCGATCCTCATCTGGTACCTCGTCAGAGCCCAGGGGGTGTCGTGGACTACTCTCGCCAACTCGGAGCCCGTCACGGGGTCCGCCCACGTCTGGCTTGTGCTGCGTGCATTCAATACTGGTCTCGGCGCGGCATCGTCGCTTGCGGTCAACCAGGGTGACATGACGAGATATGCCAAAAAGCCAAGTGACGCCATTTGGGTAAGTCCTGATGTCTGAGATCCCTCCCATTCCAGTTGCCGGGCTGACTTTGACAGACGACACTCATTGGCTATCCCATCGCATCTGCCCTCCCCTGCTTGTACGGTATCCTCGTTGCTGCCGCGGCGAAGAAGTTGACCGGCACGGCATACTGGAACATGTGGGATGTGCTGAAGTACATGCTCGAGCAGTATCCCGACAACCACGGTGCTCGATTCGGCATCTTCCTTTGCGCCGTCGCCACGGCATTGGCCTATCTCGCTGGTGGGTACATCGCCCTGTCGAGCGATTGAGTACCATGCTGACATTTCCGCAGTCAACCTCGCCACCAACTCCCTGCCCTTCGGCTCCGACCTCAGCGCGATATTCCCGCGATGGATGACAATTCGCCGTGGTCAGGTCCTCTGTACTGTTCTTGGCATCACCATCGTGCCTTGGAAACTGCTCAACTCTGCCCAGGCTTTCTTGACCTTCTGTAAGTACCCAAGTACATCCATGCACCAGGAAACACGTCTAACCAATTTCAAAAGTGAGTGGCTACGGCTACTGGCTCGCCCCTATCGCGGCCTGCATGACGGTCGACTACTACCTTATCAAGCGCGGCAACCTGCGCATGAGCGACCTCTACCAGGGAAACTCGTCCTCGCGCTACTGGTACACTCGCGGTTTTAACCTGCGCGGAATCGCCGTAGTCATCCTTGCTCTGCTCCCCTGCCTGCCGTCGTTCGCGGCGCAGATTGCGCCTGACAGGCTCGGCCTGACGGGCACGGCGTACAACTTCTTCTACATCTCGTTCACGTTTACCTGGTTCTGCGCTGCGGCAATGTACTATGTTGCGTGTCTGATCTGGCCTGAGAAGGGGCCCGAGGCTCAAGCGGACAAGACCTTGGAATGGGAGCAGTTGGCCGACGAGGGCGACGAGGAGGAGCGGGCTATGACAACAATGGCTGTGACGGAGGAGGGGGCCCAGCCTTCGACTTCGGCGGATAGCCAACACAGCGGAGAGAAGAATGTCTCCAAGGTCGAGCTGATGTAGATCCACAATAGTGCGATGGATCGAAAGTTACTTGGGACAACAGATAGTTTGGGAGAGTTAAACGAGCACAGTTTGTTGATGCATCAGCACTGTTGATTCTGACCAAGCAATATCTCGTGTGATTCATGCGATCTGTCATGGAACGATGTAATTTGAAGTCTGCCCTGCGTGCGACAAGATGGGCAACTCGTCATGGTTGTGTCGCGTGTATGGAGATTGACACAAACACAAGCACAAACAAGTCAGACAAGATGTGTACCGTGAGGAATTTCTCGTATTGACTGATTCTAAACTGGAATGGAGATTTGACCGCATTCGGGAACAGGAGTCTGTCCAAAAGCTGTAGCAGGATCGTATGGGAACTTTTCCTGCCAGTGTTTTGCAATGTCGGCCCTTGTCGCAAACCATGCCCCCTTGGCTTGTGCGTATTTGATAAAGCTACCAGTTTGTCAGTCCAATCTCTCGTTATGTGAGGACCACGGGGAGACTCACTTCTCTAGTTGAATTGCACGGTTTGGCCGTCCGCACACGTGAGGGTGGAGCACAATTGTCATCATCTTGGGCTCTCCAGCCTCGGCCTCTTCATAGAAGCAGTCGAAGGTGTCTTTCTGGAGTTGCAGTACCTATCAGTACACGCTAGGCACTTCTCGCAAATTTGCACCTACAAGATAGGTTGCCCAGTCTGACGGGCAAGCCCAGCCGGAACCCCGCATGTTGAAGCGCATATCGCTCGTGTCGTACGAGAAGGGTACCATCAGTAAACCCTTGTCCGCTGCGACGGGAGACCTGGTCCAGTACGGCAAGTCGTCCTGGCAAGAGTCTGAGGAGTAGACCAGGGGGATGCCGCGAGACTCGTGCGCGCGGGCATACAGCTTGGTCGACAAACCAGTTCTCCTCTCGACAAACCAGCCTGCCTCATAATCAGAAACTGATCTGACTGGGTCATGGAAATGAGATCTCACCTTGAGGGCCACTATCATTTCCAGTAGCTTTCTGCAGGATGTCAAGACTCTTGTCTATCTCTGCCTCCTGAGTCTCGGCGCTGATGTTGTCGTGGAGATTGTCCTGGTACCGGTAGCCGCCAAGACTGATCTCTGCACCCGAATCGAGAATCGGCTTGACCCAGAACGGATTTCGCTCGATTGCGCGAGTGTCTGAGTCTTATTAGCAAGCGGCGCGCAAATCCACCATAATCCTGGGAGCTGGTGCGTACAGAGGTTCCAGGTCACAGGGACGTTGTGCCTGTATCGTCGTCAGTATGATGGAAAGGAAGCACGGCTTTCGCGTAAGGCATTACTTTTTGAAGATGTTGAGCAGCCGAGGTACTCCCTCTCTCCCGCCGTACTCGATCATCTGCTCAGCACTTTCATAGCGCCCTTTGTAGAATCTCTCTCTCGGTATTTCCATCAGCTCCGTGCAAGTCACATCGTCGCCGTTCAGGAACGACGGCTCCTGCCAACGAATTAGCTACTGCCGTGTCTTGGTATAGACTTAAGCCTCTTACCGCTCCCATGTAGTATTGCACCAGAAAACTGACGCAGACCTTGGCATCGTTAGGCCATTCCGGGTTGGGCATCTCCATGCCATATCCCACAAATTCCCTCTCCGCCCATTCTTCGGCGTATTTGTCCATGGTGGGTCAATTGTGTCAAGCGTGATTCGAGAAACAGTCCACGCAGCCGGTCACTTCAGCCTGCGTTGAACATATAAGCAGATATGATTTCGAATGGAGGCTCCCCCGCGGCGGAGAAGGGCCCGGCAGACAGCAAGCCGGATCGGCGGCCGATAAGGGCCTTGTGGCACAGCGGGTACGGCTTCGGACGCCGCCGAGCCGATTCCGTGATAAGGATCGGGGTAGCCCCGCCACACTCTATTCCCCGACGGGGGATCGCGGGAGATCCAGATAAGCGCCTTTGACAACCTCGCCCGCCGGCGATCGTCGTTGTTGCCGGGAGGAAGCAGTAGAATAATGGCTGGCCGGCCACGTCCTTCAAAGCTGCATACAACAGAGTGCTGCACGGCCACTAAAATCATCATACAACTCTGACAGAATGCCCACTGACGCCTGGCTCCCCCCTCGTGACTACGTCGGCTACGGCGGCGATTCACCCAAAGTGCTGTGGCCCGGCAACAAAGTAATCGCAGTCTCATTCGTGCTCAACTACGAAGAAGGCGCTGAGCACACACCGTGGAACGGCGATGACCAGAGCTGCGACTCCCTCCATGAGTTACACTATGACAGGCCCGCCATCCACGGTGGTCAAAGGGACGGTGTTGTAGAAGACATGGTGAGTGACTGCGCCTTACTATATATATGTCCAACAAGTAATACTCACTGTTCCAGTTTGAATGGGGCATCCGTCAAGGCCTGCCGCGTCTTATCAAGCTGTTCCGACAATACGGATGGAAATGGACGACCTGGACCTGCGCGCGGGCTTTCGAGGTAACCCCGACGTACGCGAAACTGCTCGCAGACGAGGGACACGAGGTAGGTCCACCGTTGCTCAAGGCAGCTATTGTCGCAGCTTACTAACGCCTAGCACACAGATCGCATGTCACGGCAACAGATGGCGCATCCATGGCACCAACCTCGCTGAGGCGAAAGCTCATGTCCATAAGTCTTTCGACCGGCTGCAAGCCACGACCGGCTTGACTGACGTGCCCACTGGCTGGTTCGGAGGCGGCGTGCCAAACCACACCAAGCTCGCGCGCGCCGAGGTGCACCGCGAGCGGCAAGTCCCCTTGCTCTACTGCTCAGACACGTACGCTGCGGATGTGCCATACTGGGTGCAGGACCCTTATGCTGCGGTGCACGGCGGCGAGGACAAAGGGATGCTTATGATTCCGTACTCGCTTTGCACCAATGACCATAGATGTATGAATTTCTTTTAGCGCGGTCTCTTTGTTCCTCTCGCGATTTGATTTGCATTTGCTGACGAGCCCCGCCCAGTCTTTGTGTCGCAAGGTGCCGGCGTGTCAAAACCGGACGACTGGTTCGATTTGCTCAAGTCCGAGTTTGACCAGCTCTACGAGGAGGGGCAAGCGGGATCGCCAAAGATGATGTATGTTGATCCATTCAGATATCCGGATTCAGATACTGACTTTTCAACAGGACCATCGCCATGCACAACCGCTTCGTTTGCAAGCCGGGTCGCACCATGGCGTTGAAGCGGTTCATGGCGTATGTCGCCACAAAGCCCGACGCCTGGGTCTGCACGCGACGAGAGATTGCCGCTCACTGGCGAGAGCATTACCCCTACGACAAGGTTGGTGCAACTGACCAACTGCATCCTACAGCGGATGCATCCGCATGATTTGGGATGAAGATTGCGACAATCATGGGATGGATGTAGTTGTGGACGAGTATCAGAAACCAAGAGACCTCTCTACTTGTCAGCGCATAGTTCATTATATAAGCGTATGCAATGTGAAACGTGATGCCTCGAAACTGCGCAGGCGACCTTACTAGGTGCTGGGACAGGACGTCCTCTGCATTCTGCGTAACATGTATGTCTACATCGGATACCGTGAACAGATACCAACCTAGCTATACTCCAAGTTGTCAGGGAGCCGCTGGAAGAAAATGGATTGATCTGACATCAGGTGGGAATGGGTCTCAGATAATTCCCTGCATTCAGATCCACCGTCGCGGCTGCAGCCCATCTCTTCTTAGATGAGATTAAGAACGGACAAACGTTGTACAAATAAGCACACCAAGCTCACACACACACACAATGAAGGCACCATTCCGCAGCACCATCGCATCATGTGCTGCGGGCTTTATATGGAACGCTCATGATCACCGTCTTGTCGCTATGAGCAACCGTCTCTCCTCGGCCTGGGCAAGCTTGACAACCCGCGCAAGACTCCCCTCGGAGCCAAAATCGACCGCCAAGGGACCAGACGACGTTATGGACGAGACCAGCCCTTCATAGGTTGTAGGCAAGCAGACCAGGAAGTGGAGGGCAAAGTACCACTCTGGCAGCTGCTGCAGCAGCGGCGTCGTAATGCACGCCATCTCAGCACGAAGCTTGGTGATACGTTCAACAAGCTGCGCGACGCCACCACCACCACCACCTAGCCCCTCGTGCGTCTCCGCAGACAGTCCCTTGAGCTCCCGGATGACTTCGAGGAGCGCCTGCTGCTTGGGCCTTTTGCACTCGCGCTCCAGCGTGAGCCATGCTTCCCGCGTGCACTCGATCCCCTCGATGCGCGCCTGCAACTCCTCAGAGAGGCTGCCCTCGATAGCCCCGAGGGCGAGCTCCCTCTTGCTGAGCCAGTACGTCATGTCGTCATTGTGCCGCCGCCAAGACTCCGGCGATGCGTCCGGCCGAGGCGTGCTTGGCCGCTCGCACTCGCCCGTCATCATGTCCCACACCCCCTCCTTGCGCGCTGCCGCCCGGACGGCCCTGACCCAGCGGTCGTACTGGTCGGGGCCCGTCAGCACGGGCAGCCCCTGGAACGAGGCCCCGTTGCCAATCTGGCGGCGCATGGAGCTGTCACAAGGGTTCAAGGCTGGACTGGCGGCCGGACAATCGGCCGGACTCGTGGGTGGTGGGCAGGCGGATTCTGCACACTGGGTAGAGCCCGCCGGTGGCGCGTCTGCGCTGTAGTGGCTTCTGGTTCTGCTGGCCGGTGTCGGTGGTCTGCTGTCTTCGGGCTGTGGGTTCGATGCAGCTGGATCTGGCCTTGAGTCGGGCGTCCTTATGTTGTCGTTGTTGTTGAAGCTATTGTTATCAGGTGACGGCTGCCGGTAGGGCTTGTCATTTCCGCATGGCCACCAGCCTTCCTGTCCTGTGCTGATGCGCCGCCGCTTGCCGGACCAAGTTGGACACGCGGAGTGGTGATGGAAGGGTGAGGCGGCGCTTTCTGATGCACCCGAGCCCGCTTGACTTGGGGACATGGACATGGAGCTGCCGGCGCCGGCACCGGTGTCGAGCTGAAAAGGCAACATGTCTCGGCCAAAGAGCGGTACGGGCTGTTGGCCGTTCTCGAGGACGACGGGGGGCAGGGCAAAGCTGGCAGGCTGAGCGGGAGCCTCGGCGTGGCTACTGGCGTTCCAGCCGTGCATGACGGCGGAGGCGGAGGCTCCGCTGCCTGTTGTTGTTGTTGTTGTTGTCGTTGCTGGCTGATACGAGCTGCCAAATCCGAAGCCGAAGTCAGGTGTTGCGGCAGCAGCACTGGTGCCGTCGAGCATCATGGACAAGTCGGCATTCGTCATTGGCAGATGGACCGAGCTGCCAAGGTGGTGGAAGGCGAGCTCTGACGACATGGCGGTGGTGGTGCTCGCCTCTGCCTGGAGGAGGCGCTGGTTGATGCCCTCGAGCATCATGGCAAGGTCTGCCTTGCTGTAGCGCTGGGCCGGGGGCGCATAGCAGCACTTGTGGCCGTTGCGGGCGCAGCCGCGGCACACTGGCTGGGCGCCGTCACACTTGATCTTCCTGTCGCGCTGCGGCCGTGGGCGTGCATTTGTCAGCAGGATTGGCAGCAGCTGCCGCAGCGTACGTGCGAGGGGACGGAACAGGAACCCACACATTGGTTGCACGCCTTGTGGCGTCCCGTCAGGGTCATGATGGGCTACTGCTAGGGGTGGTAGTGGTGGTGGCTTGCTTTGCTTGGCCGGGTGCGCATCGGGTTTTGGGTGTATTGAGAAACGGTGCTTGATGATAGTGGAAGTGTTTTGGCAGAGCAAGTCAAATCTGGCGTTGAGGTCCTGGAATACTACATTGGCTGACATAAGCAGGCCTCCCTTAGCGGCTCCCAATAGGCGCACGGGTACCCGTGCGTATAATATTACACGGGTACCCGTGCAGATTCTGCTTACAGCTTAGCGTGTCTTAATTCCCGCCGACATCGCAATCCTGGATCCATATCCGGGGTGCACCCATATCAGCAGAAAAGGTCTGTCTTGACCTTCGCTAGTGACCTCAGGTGCTGTTTGACCTCCGATCACAGTATGTGCGTTGCCTTACACGTATAACGTATTTGACTTAACCTTTAACTATAATACACTCATCATCATCCCGGTGAAGAACTTGCTGCTCCTCACAGTCCTGTGCCGCCCTCCTCCACACATCACCCATACCTCTTCGATTAGCTAGACCGCTTGTCGACTCCTGGGCAACCTGAACATCGATTCGCTCCGTCTCAGACCGATCCCAGTCCAAATATGCCATCATTTCTTCCCTTGTCCAGGCCCGTTCACCCTCTCGCGTTAAGCAACGCCTCGTCATTTGCTTATGGTCTAAGCACCAATCGTACTGCGCTTTACTATACCGTAATGGTAAACCCATTGCCTGCCGGTACATCTGGTTGCTCGCATAGGTACCCGGGAGTAGGGACTTCTTCCAGATCTCTCGCGTAGCGACGTATCTTTGGTAAATCGCTTTTGGGTCACTGTATTTTAAAGGCTGCTCCGGAGCTTGCTGGTGTTCTTCGGCGTACTCTGAGACGGGTTCTTTAGCTCGTCGTAAGGGCTGGTCGTTTTCTGAGAGCCGAGCTTCGATCTCTTCTAAGATCTGTTCCGTAATCCCTTCTTGGGCCGACGAGTTATTAAGAAGTTCGGGAATTGGCGACTCATGTTGAGGTCTGCACGTCGATAATTCAATCGTAGCTTCAGGTATCGACGTGTCGGCCGGCGGCTCTGGTGTTATTCGTAGCTGTTGCGATGCCGCCTCTACTCGAAGTTGTAGCTCTGCGTACTTTAGGGGGCATAATCGAGACGTCCTTGAATGACCTAGACGGTGACATCTAGTACAGGTTGAAGGTCCCTTTCGCTTAGCCGCGACTTCAACAGCTTCAAAGCCGCTAGGCTCCCTTCGGTTACTTGATCGCGGTAAAGAAGTGTTGGTACTAGTCATATCAATACGTTGGCGAGGCTCTTGGAGAAAAGGTTTCGCGCCGCTCCGGATTAGGTGCCAATGCGAATGGAAGTCTCCTAGGCAAAGGGCTTTTCCTTCGGACAACAAAGCCTCAAGTTTGTGAACGCATGGTAGGCCTTGCGACCGAGAGAATATGCCTGTACAGCGTTGTAGCGGACTGCTCGTCTGGAGAAGCTTCCGCTGCTCTTCAACCTTTCGAAGAGCCTCGTGTGATACCCAACCCCGTACTACACCATAAAGTGGACCGGAAAGTTCGATCGGAGACCGAATCTGCTGTTTTGCCTGGTTGGACCTCAGCTCCCCAAGTTGGTTTATTAGCGCATGCTTAATAGCCCTCCAGGCCTCAAACAAATCGAGTGTCGACGTTTTCAGATGACTTTTAAGAAGCGCATGGACACCTTCGACGCGCGAAGTAACAACATTACCGAAATGAGGGTAGCTGTCAACCCAGGCCTTTACAAGCTTTTCCTTATACAGGTCAAGCCATGTCTCTTTAATGTAGGCCACGTCCCGTACATGCGTTGTAATATAGCGTTGTTCAAATGTCGACATACGGATGTCGAATATTGCCTCGGTGGGAGAACGAATAATTTGGTGCCAGTGCTGGTAAAAGTCATGCCACTCTTTCAGTCTCGCAGATTTGTCGGCTTCGGAGTCCTGGAGTTGTAGCTGGATAGCGAATGAAGGCTGACAGTATCGAAGGACGGCTTTGTTCGCATGCCAAAGGCATAGCAATGAAGCAGCAGAAGGAAAGCATACTGCGATTGCGTTGATACAAGCAAGACATCGATCGGTAAGAATAACTGAAGGTAGGCGGGATTTGCTAATTTCGTAGAGTGACCGGAGGCGCTCTAGAGCCCAAACGAAATCTTCCTCGCTTTCTCCACTAAGAAATGCGAATGCGATACAGAAGGATCGTTGAGAAGCGTCTACTCCGATTATATCTAGGAGCGGCATTCCGTATTTGTTCGTTTTGTAGGTACAGTCGAGGATTAAAACATCCGGATAAGCTTGAAGATAGCTTAGCGACTCTGGATGGGCGAAAAGCACAGCCTTTACGCGGTTCTCCGAATCAAGTTGTAAACGGCTCCAGAAACCTTCATGGTCAAGCCGGTTAGCTAGGGCATTGATCGTGCTCTGCCCTTCGTACATCTCGCGCCTACTGTCCGCGATTCGGTTGTAGATATCTTGCTGCGTTGCAATCGAACTCGTGTTTTGGTGTATGTACGTTCGAATCTCCTTAGGTGCGACGCCAGCATTTGCGAGGCTAGATAGACGAGTGATCGTTTCCGTATCGAGTGCGCGATGCTTAGGATGGGCGGATGGGTGTAAACTTGGCTCGTGGTTGTGTTGGGCAAACTGCGGGTCGGGTCGGTGTCGTATTGTCCATGTGCCGCTGTCTCGTGACTCTTTTGCTAGTACAGAGAACGGACAGTTGGTACTTCGCGTAGATGTTTTTCGCTGGCGCGGTCTTCCAGAGGCGTAGTCGCGACATGATCGATCACATGCATATACGACTGAGAGCCTGCCTGTCTTTTCCTTTGTTGACCTTTTCGTAACAAAGGCGTAGCCTCTTGTGTACGCCCACTCGTTGATAGCTTTAAATAAGGTATCTCGGGACTCGTAGGTGCCTTCCGGAGGGAGACTGTCATCGGGAAATGAATGGTGGGTACTACTAGTAGCTGCCATCGGGAGACAAATCTGAGGCTAGTAATGGTAATAAAAGAAATACACGAAAGCACCTCAGCGCGCTTTGTAGCGCGTAAAGTATTGTATGCTGACAGCACCTGAGATCACCAGCGAAGGTCAAGACAGACCTTTTCTGCTGATATGGGTGCACCCCGGATATGGATCCAGGATTGCGATGTCGGCGGGAATTAAGACACGCTAAGCTGTAAGCAGAATCTGCACGGGTACCCGTGTAATATTATACGCACGGGTACCCGTGCGCCTATTGGGAGCCTCCCTTAGCCTGTAGCCGGGCGTCATGTTGGTCGCGCCCTCCCCGGGTTCCAGGCTTTGGAAGAGCCCTCAGGTCCATTCCGCCTCTCTGCCGTCGCCTTACTTGAAGCTCCTCCTGCATAGCACGATCTGCCAGATGCCAGAACGACAGAGGCCCCTGGTGGACGCCGCTGCGAGGGTCCGAGGTTGGCCTGGAGTGCAGGTGGATGGAGAACCTACAAAAGGTGGACATGGAAGTGTTAAGAAAGGCAGGAGAGAAAGAGGGAGGGGGCTGAGGCGAATCACCACGAGCAGAATAACTATTTTGCGTCCACAATCACGCAGCAAAGTCAGCAAGGGAGGCAGAAAGAAAGGGGAGACAAATCGCCAGAGGACAACAACACTCACGCGCCCTGCGCGGATGCCATTGCCAAAGGTGAGGGCGTCGAGCTCGGGGAAGTCGTCGGGGGGGCATCGAGATTTAGTCCAAGTTGGCCTTGTCAGCCACCGGATCATCTGTAATGAAGACTCAAGAGCGATCGAGCAGGAGGCGGAGCTGAACAAACCAGGGCCGGCCCGTCAATCGGCGTCGAATCCCAAAGGGGTTTAGACCCGGGCCGAAACCGCCGAGCCCCTGGGTATGCTGATTGGCCACCCACCCGGGGCACTGGGAGCAATGACTGCCATTGCAACAAATGCTGCCCGTCCCGCGTCAACAATAGAGACTGCTGTCTGACAAATGGAGCTCGAATTATTCAGCTCGCCCAGTCCGGCGACGCGAAGCAGCTGCCGTTAGCGGGCACCTCATAAATATGTGTTCCCTTGCCCGCGAGGCAAGGACCTCGAAACCATCCCAGACACGGCTACGACAGACCGTAAGAATATGATATCTCCGCCCCTCTAGCCTTCTGCAGTCTTCATCACTAGCAACCATGAGCGATAAGCCAGCATCACCGGGCCACGACTTGGCCATAGCCCCAGCCAGCGGCCTCGACAACAACCTCGAGCAAGAGAAATGCCCCGACACCGAAGGTGCCGCCGTCATCGGCGAGCGCGACATCAAGGGCGTCAGGTGGGCCCTCGCCATCTTTGCCATCCTCTCGTCTACATTCCTCTTTGCTCTCGACACGACAGTGGTATGTGTCAAATCCCGCCTCCCCAAGGCCGAAATCCTCCTGCTAACCCACCCCAGGTCGCCGACATCCAGCCATACATCATCCAGTCGGTAGGCGAGTTTCAAAAGTTTCCATGGCTCGGCTCCGCCTTTGTCCTCCCTGCGGCCACCCTCCAGCTCCCATGGGCCAAGGCGTACTCCATGTTCAACGTCAAGTGGCTGTACTTTGCCAACGTCACACTATTCGAGATCGGCAGTGCCATATCCGGCGCCGCACCCACCATGAACGCCCTCATTGTCGGCCGTGCCATTGCTGGTGTCGGCGGCTGCGGCATGTATATTGGCGGCCTGACCTACCTCAGCGTCCTCACGACCCCGAGGGAGCGTCCCTTTTACGTTTCCCTCGTCACTCCCGTCTGGGGTCTCGGAACTGTCCTCGGCCCACTCATTGGCGGTGCCTTTGCTGAGAGCCACGTCGGCTGGCGCTGGGGCTTTTATATCAACCTCTTCCTCTACGCCGCCGTCGTTCCCTCCATGCTCTTCATCCTGCCGGGCCTCAACTTCATGCCCAAGCTCACCACGCTGCAGAAGCTCGCCAAGTTTGACTGGCTGGGTCTCAGCATCTTCGTAGGTTGGGGCATCTCGTTCGTCATGGCTATGCAGTTTGGCGGCACCGTCTACGCCTGGAACTCGCCCAGCGAGATTATTCTCTGGGTCTTCTCGGGAGTTCTCATCGTCGCAATGGTCCTCAGCCACATCTACCACCCCTTTATCGACGCAGAGAACCGCCAATACCCGGCCCACCTTCTCAAGAATTTGAAGCTCGGCGCCCTCCAGTACGCCACTTTTGCGGGCCCTGCCGCAGTCTACATCCCCATCTATTATTTACCCCTGTACTTCCAGTTTGCTCGTGGCGAGACCGCCGTGCAGGCGGCCGTCCGCCTGCTGCCCCTGGTTTTCATGGTTGTCGCCCTCTCCATCATCAGCGGCGCACTTACCACAAAGGTCAACTACATCTTCCCCTGGTTCTTTGTCGGCGGCATCCTTACCGTGGTTGGCGGCGCCCTCATGTCCATCGTCACCCTCGCCACCAGCAACCCGGCCATCTACGGGTACACCGTCATCCTCGGCCTCGGCGGCGGCTGTCTCCTCATGAGCGCGTTTGGCTGCGCGTCTGCCGTCATTGCAGAGACCGACGTCATCGACGCCATTGGCGTGCTCAGCCTCGCCCAGGGCCTCGGCATCGTCTTCTTCGTGTCCGCCGCCGGCATCGTGTTCCAGAACCTCGGCCAGCAGTACATCGCGCCCATCTTGCCCGCGGATTTCGCCGGCCGGCCCGATGGCATCCTGGCTGGCAACAGCAGCCCGGACTACCAGAGCTTCTCCCCTGACGTGCGCGCGCTCATCGGCGAGGCCATTGTATCGGCCATGGGCCGTGTATATATCTTGTCGATCGCCGCGGGTGCCCTGACCGTGCTGGCGTCGCTCCTCATCATCGTGAGTTTACTTTACTTTTGCTGGGACTTGGTTGTGGATTGTGGCTCACCAAGTTGTCCAACAGAGAACCAAGGTCCACTGAGCCTTTCATCAACTTTCATTAGTGGAGGCGGCACTATAGGGGGTTCCCAAACACGGCTGTTCCCTCGTGCCCACGTCCGGCAACCTCTTGCGTCTCGTAGCGACTGCCTCTTGTACTGTCCCGTTATCGTTACTACATCTCTTGCTGCACGGGCAATTATCCGCTGCAAAAGTCTTCCACGACGAGAGCACAAATGCATCAAGCCTGCTGGGCTTCCAGGTTGTGCGGTATTTGTCATCCTTTGCATTCCAGGGCCTCTTAATAGATATCATCCCCCAGCACTGTGTTGCTGAGCCCAGCAGCCATATGCTAAGTTTTTCTGCGGCGGACTTGCTTGCCTCGGTGCATGTTGCTTCGAGCGCATGTCCGTGATTGATCTTCTGAATCGAGTATCGATTGCTTTATGGGCAGCCGTGTGAAAGTGTGCAAGTCCTGGTTGTGGTGTCTGTCTTGACAGATGGCAGCACGTCATCTCACGTATAAAGTCCTCGATGAGAGCCCCATGTAGTGACCGTGTCGCCATGTCGTTGCTCAGAGCGATATCGCTCTCGACTCCACCCGCTCACGGACGTGCCTCATCCCCTGCTCGTTCTTGCGGAACTGGTCAAACACCTTTTCGGGGGCGAGGAAGTTGATCTTGCAGCCAGTCTCCTTGTACGCAGTCAAGTCATGCTCGCGGAACAGTTCATCAAGGGCGTTGCCCTTGACCTCCCCGATGAGCAGGCGGCATAGGAACAGCTCGACGTCCTCGATGAGCTTTTCGGCGTCGGCGTCTCGTGTGGCGTGTCCGCAAGCCATGGTGACCCTTCTCTTTGTCTCCCCACCAACGTTTTCTGTGTGTGTTTGTGTGAGCGTGTGTGTCAGATTTGCCCTTCCCAGGAAAGGTAATCAGGCACAGAAACTTACCACCCTCGTCCTCATTCCATGCCCTGACCAACTCCCTCAGTCGATCAATCGTGCCGAAATAGGAAGCTATGTCGCCCTCGAGGGGAAAGCAAATCGGCACGCTCTCGTACATGGTGTCGCCGACAAACAGCACGCGCTCTGCGGGGTCCCAGATGGCGATCTCGTCCGGTGTGTGCCCTGGCGTGTGATAGATGAACAGGCCGAGCTCTTGTCCACCGAGCGACGACGACAACGACGACACGACCTGCTGCCCATCATCTGCCCAGTGCGTGACCGTGTACTGTGGGGTCTCCATGTCGAAGAATCGACATATCGACGTCGTGGCCAGGACGTCTTTGGCGAGGAACGCCTTGTCATAGGCGCTCGCCCAGACGTCTGCCTCGGGGAACTGCGCGATGCCGCCTATCCTTCTTATCAGAAAGCTGCCGGCCACTCAAATAAAGGAAGACAGGAACGCGACTGTACCAATGTGGTCAAAATGGCAGTGCGTGCAGATGACCAGGTACTCCTTCTCCGACCCGGCATTCAGCGGCCGGCCGTCATTGTCCGCGACGGGGACCGTCTCGATGTACTCGCGGATCGACGTCAGGCCCGCGGCCGGGTTCTTTGCCGCGTCCCCGCCGCCGCAGCCCGTGTCCACCAGCACGAGCAGCTCCGGGTACACCTTGACGTAGATGTATGGGATCTCGTACCACTTGTCCTCCTCGATGATGACAAAGGTCGTCGCGTTGAGGCGCGTGCACGTGAAGCAGCTGACGCTGGGGTCTTTCTTTGGCGGCGCCGGCGGCGCGGGGTTGTTGCCATCGCCAGATGCGGGCTGTGGGATAGGGCACATGGTGGTGGTGGTGACGGTGTGATTTTCGAGCAGTAGTAGCAAATGTGTTGCAATAATCAACGCTTGTTAGAGAGAGAACTTGAGCACAAACTCCGGTAGTCTCGTGAAGAGCTCGACAAAGTGCCCGAAAGGTTGCGGGTACTGCCTGGTTCAGTAGAAAAATGCCCCCCACACCTGAACCATGAGACCTTCGGCCTGAGTCATCCGTTGGCTTACTTGGTGGGGATCAAGCATCGTGTAGGCTTTTCGACCGGCAACATGCAACCTCTAGCGTGATATCGATTGGGTGAAACGTATCATAATCAGCTCTCATGGTTTTCCTCAATCGCACGTGCATCTCACTTCAGGAATATGGCATATTCCTGGAGAGCCCTCAGGCTAAACAACGCGTGCGATGACAAGATCTCATGCTTCTTGTTCCCCAGCGATTTCAGCCCGAAGCACATTCGTGGGAGAGGGAAGCTATGAAATGATATAACGCCCAAGACATGTCAACTGCCGGCCTTCTTAGTATGTTAGACATTTGTAAAGCCTCTAGAATTCAATACCAGTACTTTGCTCCCAAACAATTATATGGTCGTCTTGAGGACGCGAGAGATGTTTCGCCGTAGTCGTTCCTGGTTGGAGTCGTATATCAAAAGTCACGAGGCGAGAGGGCGAGCTCAGATCGCACAAGGGGGACTTTCACTTTGATTTTTAGTGCACCTGAGGCCTTCTCTGACATGTTGTGCCGGCGAAAGGATTTCAAAGTTTTGCATAGATGAGAACTGCAATCCAAGAAGGAAATCAGCAGTGACTACTCGTTTCGAGGACGAGAGAGATTCTTGAAACTTTTGCTTTGTTTGAAGAGTTGAGCATGCGACCTGCTATTGCTAGTAAGCTTCTTGCGAATGTCGTTATCCTTCCCCAGTATTTTTCAGCCGTAGATCTACTGCCATCCACAATGATGCGATGCATAGAGCTTATGGCGTGATGTGGAGGACATCTGCTTCCCCGCACGACGAGCCGAGAAGGAGGACCTGGATGCGTCACAGCCAAATCGAGATCTTTCTACATTCAAACACAGACGGTTCGCATGACTATCCGGGCGCACTAGCGATGGCAAGCCACAAGAGCCCACAGCCCTCTCAACTATCAAAATGGCACAGGCCAAAGAAGACAGCCTTCGACCTCCCCTGGGCTGATATCAAAGTGCTTGATCTTAGCATATTCGGCTCGGAAGAAGGCAAGAAGAGACTGGTCGAGGAATTACGCGATGCTGTAAGTGCGTGATTGCCCAGTAGCTATCACACGACCGTGCTGAAATAGCAAAACAGGTTCACAACACGGGCTTCTTCAGCCTGACCGGCACCGGCTTCACCGAGGAAGAAGTGCAGCGACAATATGATATTGCCCAGGGCTTCTTCGCGAATCCCCATGACGCAAAGAGTCGACCCGAATACAAGTGCGACTTTGCCACGGGCAACTACTTTGGCTACCGCGAGATCTACGAAAAGACCATCATGGGCACAGACGTGCGCGACAACGTCGAGCTCTACAACATTGCCAAGTTCACGCCACACAACGAGTCCGAGGTCCGGCATCCGTGGTTCGAGCCGTACAATGTCGAGATTGAGGCGTTCTCGCGCAAGGCCATCGAGGTGGCAGCCAAGGTGTTTGAGCTGTTCGCGCTCATGCTCGAGCTGCCCCCAGACTACTTCTCCTCGAAGCACCTTTACAACGACGCCAGCGACGATCACTTGCGGTACATGTCGTACCGGCCCCGCAGCGCCGAGGATGATGCGAAAGTGCAGAACACTTGGTCGCGGGCGCACACGGACTTTGGGTCGCTGACACTGCTCTGGAGCCAGAACGTGGCCGGTCTGCAAATCAAGACGGGCGGTGGCGAGTGGCGGTACGTGCCGCCCGTCGACGGGGGCATCATCTGCAACGTGGGCGACACGATGGACTTTTGGTCCGCGTCATACCTCAAGTCGACAACCCATCGCGTGGTGCGCCCGCCGCCAGACCAGCTGGACGGAAACCGCCTGGGCCTGTTCTATTTTGTACGGCCTGGCAATGATGTGGACATCAAGCCGGCCCCGTCGCCTCTGCTTAAACGGCTGGGGCTTGTGGCGGAGAATCAGGAAGACGCCGAGCCAGTAACTGGGCTCCAGTACGTGCGCGAGAGGGTCAAGAACTACCATAACCACGCGGACTATGGGGACCGGAAAGGACAGCACTTTCAAGTGGGCAGCCTCAAGATTGTGGACGAGGCGGACTGAGGAAGGATTGGTGGTATCGTTGTTGCATGCAGATTATACGCCACTGGTCACCAGCTTCATGGCATCATGGTCCTGCGATCCATGGCAAAGCCGTCTCGTGCTGGAAAGCTCGTGCCTGCCTCGCAGATCCTGGTGTAGACGGACACGGTGCCGGAAGGCTCAGCGGGGGGTAAAATAATCATGCAGAGGATCACAACTGCAAGACAACAAGACGATCAAGCAGTGGGCCAACTGAGAGTGAACTGAATCGCGTGGGTGACTGCATGAATACGCCCCAGGCCTCCTAGTCCAATGACTCCACAGGCTGGCTGTGCTCAGAGCAAGGGCCCTCCCTGAAAATTGTGCAGATATGCATTAAATCGCGCACAACAAGCCAGCGTGCATGCACAAACAGCTCGAGGTGCTGGGTCTTTTTTTTGCGAGTCTTCGTCCCGGATGCCATTGCCAGGGATCTCCTCACGAGGCTTGCTCGGCGCTGCCGGCACTTGATAGCGACACTCGGTTCCTGCGCTTCTGCACCACACCTGGTTACGTAGGCACTTTCAGACTTGCGCCGGGCACGTCCCAGTCTGGCGCCCAATTTCAATGGCAGGATTTTCATTTCTGAACTCTGGAGCATGCTCCCGCCTCACCGACTTCCCCCAACAGCTGAATCCGACACGAGGCTGCTTGAGCCGTCCGTGTTTGTGTCGTGCTCAACTTGTAGCGGTCTCGCAAAAGTCCCCTGTTGGCCCGTGGTTGACACGAAGAGCACTCCGCAAGATCCCCACTGCTGTGATGTCACTAAGCACCTGGGTTTGCGATTCGGTCGTCTTTCTGTGGGCACTCTGTCTGCTCTCGTGTTGTCGTGAGCGAGACGGCTGAACAGCTGCTCTGTGCTGGGGCTGCAAGCGGACCAACCATCGCCTCGCCTGGTTGGGCCCCTCTCCACGACAGGCTCTCCTCGCCCCAAGTCAGGCGTCTCCACTGAAGCTGCTAGACTGAAGCTATGGGAGCCTTGCTTGTCCCGAGTGCCGGTAGTGCCGAAACACGAGCGATGCTTCTGTACAATGTTCCAGTGGCTTCTCGTCCCATGGTCTGCCACTGTCTCAGAGGGCCCCCGCGCCAGCCCCCATCCCGCTTGTTTCTATTCATATCTCTCGGGCTGGGCCGCCAGAGTCTATTCCGTAGACACACACAGACCGCGAAGCAACGTTGTAATGGCGCCCGCCCTCTAGCGGCTGCGGAGGGTTCTCCCAGCCACGAGTGGCGTGTCGGTCAGTAACAGGTGCACGCCAGAATGACGCTTCAGAGGGCTTAAGCTTTCGGCCGTGCCGCCACACACAGCGATCGCACTTGGGACGATGGCAGTTTAGGGACTGGGGCCTGCCCAAGCTCAGCACAGCCACTTGTCCCTGCGTCTGCACGGCGGGCCGTCCAGCATTCCGGGACTAGGTCCCGCTGTGGCCAGCCAGCGCCCGCCCGACTTCGTATTGACGGGGCTTGATCGGCCCTCGTATTCCCCACATCATTCCACCTGCCGAGCGGAATGTGACCTCATTGCATCGCCCGTTCCTTGCCTCTGTGCCGGTGCGGTGGCATGACATCCAGCCTCGTCGCTGGGCTAGCTCTCATGGCAGATGGCAGATATAAAGATGTGATGGTCCTATTGTTTTGGCATCCTGTCTCAGCACCAGAATCATCATCACCACCAATACACACTCTCCAGCTCCAACTTCGCACCACAGCAGCAAACCACACTCGCTTTCTTCCCACAAAAACAAAACAACTCCAACCACCGCCACCATGTTCGCCAAGGTCTTCACCGCTGCGACCCTCCTCACTGCCGCCTCGGCCGGCTGCGTCCGCCCTTCGTCCACCAGCTCTGCTGCCCCTTCGGGCCCTACCGGCATCCCTGCCAATGGCAAGTTCGGCATCATGGCCCTGAGGTCGGCCAGCCCCATCCACTTCGCCTCCACGAGCGCCGAGGGCAGCCACCTCTACCTCAACGCGCCCGAGACCGGCGCCGTCTGCACCGGCGACAACGGCGGCTCTGCCGTCTTCTACCTCAAGGATGGCGGTCTCTACCTGTACACGACCGACGGCGCGCCGGCGCAGCAGATGTGGGTCGACCGCTCCGGCATGGGCCAGGGCATCACCGGCTACTCGACCGGCGGCCAGGGCGTGCCCCGCAACGGCGAGACCACCGGCTTCGCCATCGACTCCAACAACAGCCTGAGCTTCAACGGCGTCGGCTTCCTCGCCTGCCCCGGCGCCCCCAACGGCGGCTGGAGCATCTGGGTTGACGCCGGCATCAGCCAGCCCGGCGGCCACGAGGGCTGCCTCGGCTTCTCGGCCCGCGCCGTCGAGGAGTCCAGCCCTTTCCCCTGCGAGTACTCCCAGCAGTAGTTGACTGGCGAGAGGAGCTTGAGGAAATTCATGATTGATTGAAACATTGCATCGGCGTTGGCATGGAAATGGTTTTGATCGGTTTACAGAGTAGCATACGGCATAATATTGCATAAATAATTAATATCATAAAGCGTCAGACAAAAATGAATGTACCCTGGACGGTTCGACGTCGATGTGATTGTGACTGTGGTCTTGGAGCAGTTGTCTACGATGGATTTCCATACGCTTTCGAGGTTGACAGGGCAGCCTAGCAGCGCGGCTGCATCTCAGTTCTCGAATCGTACTGCGGCGGTAGGTCCAGGAATTTGGATTCCGGCCGGGCATGGCCGTATGCCTTTCTCGCCTTCCGCACAATTGCATATCACAAGAAACAGCGCGTCACATGAGAGAGAAGAGGTGACTCCGAGAAAGAGACTGGGTGGAGAAGATTGTGTTTTGGGACAGGGCCATGGCAAGATGTTCAAGACACGCTTCAGCCTGCGCAAGCTACTAAATAACCAGACTCCCCTTCTCCGGGGCTGTGCCTGTACTCCTCCTTCTCAGACGGGACGGAGGCCAGAGACCACATTACAAGAAGGGGGATTGTCAATAAATCATTTTTCTTTTCGAATCCTTCGCAAGGCGATCAAGCACGCGAGAGCGGCGCGCACAGCCCCATTCGCACGCCGGCAACAAGAGGGACGCGACATATCGGCGCGCTTAGGCGACCTTGGAGCCAACCTCGGTGTGGCCGACCTCGATGGGTCGCTTGTCGTCATCCTCGATGTGCGCGGTCTCGCCGCTGTGGATCTGCTTCTCGACAGCCGCGACGGCGCGCTCGGCCTTCTCCTTGCCCTCGAACACTGTACAGACGAGTCAGCAAAAGGGCGCGCGGTCTCGGGATGGGCATTCTGGGGACAAAACTTACAGAAGGCGAGTTCCTCGAGAGTGCGGCCGTGGGTCTCAGGGTAGAAGAAGAAGATAAAGACAAACTCGAATGCAATCCAGCCACAGCTTTTCTCCTTGTTAGCACGTGCAGGGAATATCAGGGATACGAGAGGACTTACTAGATGGCCAAGAACTTCCAGTCGAGGGCGGTGAGGGCGATGGGGTTGACGTTGCTGGAGAAGAAGCCACCGGCCTTGCCAAAAATCTGCTGCAGACCGATACCACGGCTGCGGACGGCGTAGGGGAACAGCTCGACGAGGTAGGTGTAGGTCAGAGCGTTGTTGCCCAGGTTGTAGCAGGGCGAGTAGGCAAAGTAGAAGAAGAGGGCGGCGATGCCCGCAGCGCTGTTGACAACCTTGTTGTCGGCAGCCACACGCAGCTCGTGGAAAGAGACGGTCATGGCGCAAAAGCAGAGGCACATGCTGCCGGCTGAGATCATGAACATGATGCGGCGGGGGAAGCGGCCGACCAGGATGGCGAAAATGGTACCGTTGATGAGGGACCAGCACTGGTTGGCAATGTTGATGCGGGTGGTCGCGTACTGGGTCGTGTAGCCCATCATGTTGAAGAGGAGACCCGAGTAGTACGAGAGCAGGGTGTTGCCGGACATCTGGGTGAAGAGACCGATGAAGATGGCGATGAAGACACGGCGGCGCATGGGGGCAGTGGCAACCATCTCCCACCACGACTGGCTGGAAGCCTCCATCTCCATCTTGATCGTGGTACGGATCTGCGTCATCTCGGCCTGGACGAGGACCGAGTTGGCGTCGCCCTCGGCGTGGTACTTGGTCAGGATAGCGTAGGCCTCGTCCTCGCGGTCGACCGACACGAGCCAGCGGGGAGACTCGGGCAGCAGGAACACGGTCGTGATCTGGAGCAGCGAGGGCATGATCTGGAGGAGCGAGGGGATACGCCAGCCCCAGTCGTCGGTTCTCTCACCGGTGCCGAGCGCGATGGCGCAGGCAATGATGGAACCAATCATCCACGAGGCGTTGAACAGCGAGGTGAGCACGGCACGCTCCTTGGGGTGGCCCAGCTCACCGATCATGGCGGAACCGGAAATGATGCAGAAGACGATGCCGAAACCGAGGATGATGCGGGCGACAATGTACATGGCAGTGTTCTGGGAGAAACCTTGGATGATGGCACCGGCGACCATGACGAGAGAGCCGAACATGATCGACACGCGGCGCCCGAACCTCTGGTTGACCCAGGGGGCAAGCGGCACTCCGAAGATGGAACCGAGCTGGTACGAAGAACCGAGGAATCCAAGCAGCGGCGGGTAGACGGCGGGCTTGCCTGCGGCATTCGTGTAGCCATTGCCAAAGACTATGTCGAGATTCGACTGTCAGCGTCCATCGGCCACTGCCGTGTTTCTTGGGGGCCGGCAGCAAAAGCAAGAAAGGAGAGCCACTTACATCTGACCCAGCTTTCGGTCAGCTGGAGGGCGTTGATGAGCTGCGAGTCGAAACCCGAGGTCATCTCAACGCCCATACAGCAGCAGAAGAGCAGGACGTAGAGCTTGCGCAAGTTGGGCTTCTTGTACCATGGCACCTTGTCCTCCTTGACGAGGCGGGTGACGATGGGGTCGGCGGTTCCGATGGCGCCAGCACTGACCATGTTGGGCAACTTTCACGCGGCGAGGCGGAGATGTTTGGGGAGGAGCTGCTGTTGTCGTCGTCGTCGAGAAATAAGAGCACACCCTGCGAGGCTCAGAAGGGGCAAGGTCGACTGGCTGGGGCAGGAAAAGAGCGGCGACCCGACTTGGAGCGTGGATCGGGACCAGGTTCTTATAACGAGGGAGCTCGGAGCGGGACGAAGCACCGCTCAGCAAGGCCACCTCTGCTGGGGAAGTGCGGAGCCCCGTGGCATTTGCGTTTTTCCCATGGGCAAGCCCTACCCCGGATTTGCCCTGTCTCCTCGTGTGGTACAGTACATGCATGCGGCCATTAGCCTTTGTTCCTGGGCGTGTGCTCACGCGCGCCGGGTCTCCGAGGCTCTGGCAGGGGCAGCCCCTGTCCAGCCTTGGCCAAGGAGTCGGCACGCCACCCGCATCGGCCATGCGGAAGCTTGAAAGCCCTGCCCCTGTTGAGGATTGGGGTTTCCAACCCTCCTCCACCTTGGCTGGACTTGGCTGCCCATCACACTTTCGTCAAGACTCTGCAGGCTCGCACATACACTTTGTTGCCTAACTTTGTTCGAGACTTCGAGAACTACAGCAGTATTCTAAAGAAGGCCAGTCCTCTGAGGAGGGCTGAACAGTCTGATCACATGGCTCCGGGAAGGGCTTTGGATCGAGCTGGGATGGATGGTTTATGGCACGGACGCAATCCATGAGGGCCAGCCTTTCATCTACCCCATGGGCTGCCAACAGCCGGCTGGGGAATATTGCGCCAGGCAGATTGAGGTGGTGGGGGAAATTTGGGGAAGATCAGGGATGCTCATGTGAGGGGAAGGACAGCCGCACAGTTTAGTTTTGCGTGAGTGACCCGCTGGAAAAGGCCAAGAAGTCGAGAATTTGCGACTTGGGGCGATGCGGGCCGGCACCCGACGGACCGCTGGAATGCCACGCCCTCTGCTGTGAGCTTGGTCTGGCCTGGGCCAGCGTGCCAAGCGAGTCAAGCACCACCAAGCTCGGGCCCTGACGCGCAGTTGTCTTGAGTCTCGCACGCGACGGTCCGCTGCCCATGAAAGTGCACATCTCTGCGGAAAATAACTATTGGATCCAGAATCGATCACTTTCTGGCAAGCTGGCATTACAGCCATTCTCATGAGCACATACGGCCTCGGAGATGGCAGGAACATGGCCGAGAAGACTTTTCAAGCTGCGTCAAAACCGGTCTCCATCTTCCAGAGCGCGCCGCCCCGGCGCCGCAGCTTTGAATTGCCGCATGCTCGATCCAGAATGGGCACCCCAGTTCGTGCCTCCACCTCGACATCCCTCAGCTCGCCCATGCTGCCCACAGTTTGTCTGCTTCCTTGCTATTGTGACTAACAAGCCTGGTCGGCCTGCATGTCAGCCCGTTCAGTCTCTTGTCCAGTCGGAATGCATCTAGGCTGGAGAGGCATCACTCGCTCGCCTAGGTGCGACTCTGGACCGACCGTGAACTGACATTCTCCTCGAATGACGGCCGCTCGTACCTGCGCTAATTAGTTGTTGTTGGTCTTGCTGTGACCGCCAGAATCCGCTCTAATTATGGGTTAACCTTCCCACAGCGCGGCCATTCACGGAAGTTCAAGGTTGAGTCTTGGCAACAGGTGATGATAGCTCCTGAACAGGTGATAATAGCTCCTGAGCAGCGGTGGGGCCCATCGAACCATACTGGTTATCTCGACACTCTGGTTGATTGACAGTGATTTGATCGAAGCACGCACCGGACCACAAGGTCGCATGGACGATCGCCCCGTCTGATGTTCGGCCCAGGGCGCGCATACTCGGCCGGACTGGGCATTTTCTGGTGCATTGGCAGCTGCACCACGAGGCAGCAGTGCAGGGATGGGTGAGGAGTCGTCCCGAGCTTGGACCCAGGCTGTCCGCGATGCTGCTCCGGGCCCCCCTGATGGGCTTCCAGAAGCCAATGGCGGCCGTGACGCATAAGATTTGGTTGCAGTATCACCTGCCATGCCGCTCTGCCAAACGAAACGAGCCCCCGTTGCCCTGTCGGCTCAGCTTCGCCTGTCCGGGGCCCCGTGGGTTTTACTCCTCAAACCCTGCGCTGCCTGCCTTACCCCAACGCCGCCTCAATCTGGCTTCGGGCCGTCCACGGCTTTGGGCCACGACTGCGAGCGACGGCGCGGGACGAGGGCCGGGAGACGCTGGGCATGATCCCCAAAGAGGCAATGGCGGCTCCAAACCACCGAGGGCTGATAGCCTCGGACCCGCCAACAACTCCCTCGTGCGACACAGAACGGCCGCTTCAGCTGGCAGATATATGACCTCGTCTTGGCAGGTTCTCATAGAAGCCACATGCGGCCGGCTGCTCGTGACCGGCCCGGGGAGGCTCACCGTTCTCCCCACACACATCGCCAGTCCACACAGCTAGTCTTGGCGGCTCCAGGTCTTCGGCCCTTCTAGAGACACTGTCCTGTCTTATGCACGACAGCGTGTCCCAAATCACACGCTGAGCCGGGCAGCCGAGGGAGCGATATTGAAATTGCTCGCCATAGCCAAGTACCTGCATCCAGGGTTCAGTGCGTGATTCGGGTCGTGAGATGAGACGTGCTGACAAGGCCATGATCGCTTTTACCATTCTCCGGATTCTCCAAAAACAGCTTGTACTCTCCTGAAAATCAGCCTGCCAAGTCCAATTCAGAACCAACATTCAAGATTGCGTCTCGGCATCTGCTGAGCGTCCTTGCACGGCAGCTGTGACGCCAAGCGCGAGAAGATCAGCTCGGATTCGCTGGGCCGGTCTCTCGGGCTTTGAACCCCTTCACTCCCCCAGAAACGCACGGCGCCAACGGGCCACCACCACTGACTGCGAATACCTTTTTTTTTTTGCGTATCAGATGGCCAATGCTCGTGCGGGGACGCGATTAGCGATCGCCTGAGCGGTCACGAGGCTGCTCCAGGCCAACAGTGGATGGCTTGGCCTCCATTGTCTAGGAAAGCGGCATGACAACCAACCAGCTTCCGACCTGGTGCACCTCGAGTGGCGAAGGATGCCGGCCATTTCCACGACGAGGCATATCCAGGTTGATCTCTGCCAACCAGTCCGGAAGACGGCTCTGGTAATGCTCACAGAACGGCCTGGATCACACCGACTCTACGACAGAGAATGGTTGGGTCAACCAAGCTTGCCCATACAGAATCGCTACACACATCGTACACCAGCCCCGGTGCAGCTGAGGATCGAATGGTCACATGCAGCTCCAGGAGCCTGTGTCTTTGCCACAACGATACCACGCCGAGCCGACAGTATGCTTGCTTCTTACCACAGGGCGGCAACACGACACTACACACAACCACCAGGGCGTATCGATACCTCTCCTCCGACTGGAGCCCCTCAAAGCGATCGACATGTCTCTACACACACCAGGAATAGCACTGTGCTGTGAAGCGCCAGCTTGCCTCAACGATGGACACCCGCCACTTGCTCTACCAATCAAGATTCTCGATGAAACTTTTCGTCGTCACCGTCCATCAACTCAGCCTTCGATGGCCTGCAAGAAGGGACCGGACAGGATGCACGCAGGAGCTGCGGCTTGGCTGGTGTGGCCTGTCTTCCTGCAGAGGTCTCATGCCACAGAATACATGGTAGCCCTCCACGTCGCAAAGGCTCACAGCCCCCCCTTCCCTGCTGAAGGCGCTGTTGTTCAGATGGAAGGCATCAGGCAACCTATTCCCCTTCACGCTTGATCATGACCAACCACCATGTCGGCCGTCAGATCCGCCAGACCCAGTAGCGGACCAAGTCCATGTTTGGATGGAAACTTGTCGTGTAGATCACAGAGGGGATGAACATGGGCGTGCGTGACCAGATCCTCGGCCTGTCGACATTTGATTCCGCCACCATTATCGAGCTCGACCACACCGTATAGGCCGCCAAAAGCGTGTCGACGCGGCGAGAGGGCTGGCGGCGTTAGTGGTTTGGACACTTATGACACGTCAAGCACCTTTGCCACACAGCATTTACTTCTCACCCTCTAACGTCTTAGGCAGACCTACGAATCACTCACCGACCAGTGCATGGTAGCGGCACACACACACGAAAGGCCTGCCACGCGCAGATTGGCATACATGTGAGTAGAGGGAGACGACCTCTTTGACCACGAGGCTGGGCATCATGATCCATGATTTGCCCTGCTCCGTGTTTGCCATGACTTGCGTACCTCTCCTTTTCCTCCCTCGCAGCACAAGCAAAGTGATGTCGCACGAGGCAAACATGTAAGTATGGACTTGTGACTTGAATGCACGAAACCCTCCGATGGGAGACCATGACCATACGCGCCAGGTAGAGGTAGGTCGGCAGGGAATGAGTTGTCTGTGGCCACAGGCTGTGCAGATGAGGTGTCAAGCTCGTAGTTTGCGGTTTTACGTGACACTTCCCTACAATGGACCCAATACGGACGGCTGGTGCTGGAAGTCGGCATATCGTGCCGTCGCAGGCGTCGGTTGAGACGCCTCGCCCAGTATGAGCTCAAGCCAATGTGGAAGCAGGAAGGTTGAATCTCATCGTGCGGCAATCTCGTTGGTGCTGTGGTGCCATCTGCCGTCCGACCTAGGATCATTCCCTCCCATAGTCGTAGAATAACGCGCAATCACAATGAAATAAGAGCTCCGTTGTCCACGCTGTTTTCACTATACCTTCACACTACTTCTCAGAACATCGGTATGGCATTGCCCTTGCTCACGTGCTTGTAAGTTTGAAGTTGGCCCGGCCGCTATATATTTGCATCCGGTCAAGTCAAATCGGCCCAGTTCGAGGCACAAGTGAGCCGCGCAGAGTTCACAGATTGGGTTCCAAGCAAGCGTGAAGCTTCACGATATCAGCGCAGTCAGCTTATGAGATTTCCGCCAGCTTGCAGGCCCATTCGATGCCTCGAAGATTGAGTATCTACACAAAGCGCATCGGCGCGATCCGGCCGCCGAAATGAGATGAGAATTATTTGCTTGCCACACCGGTGGTATCAGCCGTATAGATATCACTTGAGGACTCGAGACCAGATCTCAGCCCCGTCAGTTCCCGCGATTCCACATCCTTTACGGCGTTGACGCCGCCGCCGCCGCCGCCTCAGGCTTGCGTCCATACACGTATCGGACCTTCATATAGCCGTGGATGCTCGGCGTCTTGAGCTCCTTGCGCATCTGTGCCAGGAACACCTGGTACGCTTCCATGCTCTCGTTCTCAAACACGTTCTTCCACAAGAACAACGTGTAGCCTGCAGGGTGGGGGTTATTAAGCATGTGCTCATTCTCTCCCGCAAAACCACGAATATGGACGAGACTGACCTTCAATGTCGTTGAGCATGGTCAGCTGCACAAACCGGCCAACATCTGCAAGTTTCGGGTCCTGCGGCCACGGACCGACCGGGAGCTAAGGGGTTGTTTTCAGTCAGTCGTGCATCTATAAAAAGCCAGTGCCCCTCCCTGTCCCGTCTCACCTTGAAGTTGACCTCCTTGATGTCCTCGAAGCCGGCACTCTCCATGCCCTTGCGCTGGAGGCCCTCCTCGAGCACGCTGAACGAGTTGCCGAGCTTCTTGCCGGCCTCTCTAAACATCTTGGACCAGAGGGTGGCCATGGCCGAGTCCGGGGGCAAGCTGTTGTCGTCGCTCAGGATCTCGACGTCGCATTCGCAGCTCTGCAGGTAGCCCCCCGGCATGAGCACGTCGTAGGCCTTCTTGAAGAGGGCGTTCCAGTCGGGCACCGCGCCAAAGAGGTAGCGGATGTGCACAAAGTCGAACGAGCCCGGGGTCCACGTCCACTCGTCCAGGCAGTCGTCAATCTCGAAGCGGATGTTGGGCGGCACCCACGACGGCTGGATCGGGGACAGGTCGGTGCCGACTATATCGGTGTCCGGGTGCTGGTCCGCGAAGTCGCTGGAACAGACTAAAGTCAGTGGGGGGCCAATGATGTATCGTGACGCAACCGTGAGTGATGCTCACATGGCCCAGATGCCTGATGGAAATGTGTCAGCAGAAGTCTTGAAGATGGCGCAGCTTCTCCAAAAAAGGGGTTCTCACCTGTTCCAGTTCCGACATCAAGCACTTTCTACTGGCGTGCGTCAGCCCAGCCGCCGGCACGCACACGGATCATTGGAAGCGCGGCGACAACAAACAAACCTTTGGTTCCTTGATCGGGGTCAGGTGGAGCTTGTCGCCGAGCAGGATGGTGAGATAGTGGTGGGTGATGTCGACCGAGGTCTGCTGCTGGTCGTCGTTGGGCGTAAAGTACTCGGTGCTCTGGCGCTCGCTGTGAAAGGTGCGCCCCTGGATGGTGCGGTACTTGAGAATGCTAGACGCGATCGAGTCGGTGCTGCTGGCACTATTGGGGATCGTTGTGCGGTCAGTGTCTCTCGCCTGAAGAAAGTGGCCGCCCCTTCGTCTCTCACGTACATGTCAGTACCCAGCGTCGAGTCGACATCGTCCTCGATCGCTTGCGCCTGGATGACTGGTCAGCCCGACAGAACGCCTTTGCCTCGCGGGCCCCGCGCTGCAAGGTGTCGCGGGGACAATCAGAAGCACATACATCGGGGTTGACAGCAATGGGCTCGGCGGCCTGCACATCGGGTTGCTCCGCCATGGCTCAGTCTCAGTCTGGTTACGGGCAATCTAGGGTCGTAGGGTCGCGGGGTCGCAAGATGAGGAGCTAATGGACTGCGGGCACGCAGTGGTGGAGAGGAGAGGGGATATCGTGGCCGGAGAAGACCGCGAGCGGGGTTAGCGGCAGGCGTCAATTTGTATTTCTGATGGCTGCAGACAAGTCACCGGCGCTGGTGCCGGTTGCTGCGGGCTCGGGGGCAGACAGACAAAAGGCTGACGTCCACTGGAGAGAAAGAGAGGGGGTGCTGATATGTGGTCGAGGGCCAGGCCAGGGGTCGTCGGCCCTTGGCAGCGTGGCAGATGGGGCCGGCGGCAGTGGCGGCGGCGGCGTCCGCCGGAGCGGTCCGCACAGCACGGCGGCGGGCCAGAGAAGCAAATAATTAAAGACAGACAGATGCAGGTACGTGGGTGGGAGGTTCTTATGCAGGTGTCTCTCTCTCTCTGTTTAACTTTTCCCAATCATGACCCCATCACCACCTCTAGACTTCCACTCGTCTGGCTGACTGCAGCTTCGTCAAGGTCAAGAAACAAAGCGCCCCCCCCCCCACCAGCCGTGATGCTCTGCATGAAGTGGCCTGTTCCCGCGTGGGGCACATGCAAGACGTGCCAGGAATGCAACGACGGGCAGTGTGGACTGTGGACGCAGACTGCAACACGGCAGGGCCCCCAGCCAGGCTCCCGCGTGGCCTTCTTGCCGGTTCGTTGCCGACACGGCGATTGCCTTCACACCGCTGTTCCCAGCAATGACTGAGCTGTCCTCGCATTGCAGGATGGCTATTACCGCAGGGTCTCTCAGCCTTGATTGCGAGTGTGGTTCCCTAGCATGCCAGCTTTGGCGATGGAATCTCCCCGCTTCTGGTTTTAGTCCTGTGAATGGTGCCACTTGTCTCAGAAAAACAGCCACGCAGGGCCATTGGCGGATCAGACCGGGATCCAGTACGGTGTTGGCTCCGGCAACACATCACAACCCTGGTCTGGGTTGGCCGCTCGCTTGGCCGGCCGATATCTACGATCATGCACGCCTGCAGCGACGACATCTGCAAACCATATCTCGCCTCTTCTAGCACCACCCCTGGCTCTTGGGACTTGGCTTGTCAGCCCTTTCCAACTTGCTGTCAATACAACGGTTCAATATACTGTATCTTGTGCAGAATGGAAGCGCACTGCCGCCGAGACTCTCGGAGAGCATCGAGTCTGTCAGGCGGGTCTTATGCATTCTGTGGTCGTGATGTGGCCTCGCCTCTAGACCAAAAATACCTCAATGGTGATTTTTGATGCTTTGTATTCCAATGGTGCGAGACTGATCCAAAATACAGATCAGGCTCCGAGGAAGATATACTGTCCACGGGCAACATCAATCTGCATGCCTCCATGTGTGATCATTGGGTAGCCAGGTAGACCACACCCGTACCAGCCTCCAGCAGACTCCTTCACTAACCTCTGGTGGCAGGACAAGCTGCGGATGCTCTCAGTATCCTACGGACCAGACTGCCCCCGTAGACTTGATTGGGCGACGCCACAGAGAATCTTTCATCCTTGTGGGGGTCAATAATCGTAGAGACGGGATGGCAAATGGGTCCTCACGTGATTCTGAACATTTCAGTCCTTGGTAAGTTGGGCCTGCCACCTTTGCTGCTCCAGACACGTGACCCACCTACAATTACAGCGATAAGCACGATCGAATCCTCCAAGCACAGTCCGCGTGGCGCAATGGTAGCGCGTTGGACTTCTAAACCACTGTATCACCGAAAAATCTCGTCATTTGCCATGACTCGGGATGCTCGTCTGCGGTTAGGAGTCTATCCAAAGGTTGTGGGTTCGAGCCCCACCGTGGATGCTTTCCCTTTTTGCCCTTGGCCACGTACCGTCTGTCTGTCTGTGCCTTGCTCGAATGTCGTCGTGGGACTGCCTCTCGACGAGCGAAGCCAGCAGACCACCTGTTTTGCGAGCTCAAACCACTCAGAAATCACGGGCACAAATGTGGCGTTGGCTGGAGGTGAGCTCAGCCACACAGCCTAGACCCTCCCTGTCTTTTGGCTGTGGCTGCCACCACACGGTCCTATTGGATCAAGCAGGCACTTACTTCCACGTGCAGAGATCGTTCGAGATTGTTCTTCCTGCAATACGTGGTCACGTGTTTTGATCTCGATGCGCGATAACCTGCCTTAATTATACGCCATCCGGCCTAGCGCTCCAAGCGGCGAGGCCACTGGATGGAACAAGACACCAAAATCTCTACCCAAATCGCCTCTCCTGACTCGGCGGATAAGCGAGCTTGTTGCGCCACCGATGACTGGGTGGCGTGTTTTCTTCTTCTCTTTTTCTTTCCTTCGGGAGTACCAAGGCGGCTCAAAAAGCTAGCGTACCGAAGATCGGCAGGAGCAGCGAGCAGCAGAGCAGCCAGTGCGCGCGCCCGGGTGATTCGCATGTGGCATTCATTGCTTTACCCTGCTGCTTGTATACCGCCGCAATCACATGCCACCGCCCGGCTCAATGTCCTGTTGGCTGGATGCACGCGAAGCAAGCAAGACATCTGCCCGTTCCACAGAAAAGCGTGCTCTAGCGTGGTCCGTCCTCAACGTTCTGCGCTGTCCTCTGCTTCGAGCTTCCCTCTTGAGCAGGGGACCAGCCAGAGCCCCCCCTGTTGCTTCGCTTTACCAGCGACGCACGCACGCAGGGTCCCGATGCCTGTCTCGGATTGACTGATTGTCTCTCTGTCTCTCTCAATCTCTCCCTCTCTCTCCCTTGGGCGCCGTTTGGGGGTCTGTGCCCGGCGACTTATTCCCACACGGTTTGTGTGATCGCCCAGGGGCCCGTCCTCCATTGGCCCGGGCAGTTCGTGCCGGGTGTTCGCGGGGCCGGCAACGCCCATCAGAGGCGGATCCTCTGAGTGGTTCGCCTGGGCAAAAGAGCCAGGCGGCGGCGGTGAGGGAGCGAGGGGCCTTGGCGCAGAAAGTGGATAATAGTCGATCCAGACCCTTCTCCTCAACCCTTCCTGGGGGGGCGGAAAACATCCACACCCTGGTCCGAGGTGAGGTAGGTACTCCGTAGGAGCAAGCAGTCTTGATCTGCTCCCATATTGTGTGTGTGTATGTGTGTGTGTGCCTGGACATTATGCCATGTGCGCGAACACGTGTGAGGCGACTGCATATCTGCCCGGCTTGTCTCACTTTATTTCTGCTTTAGCAGCAGCGGCCGCCCGTCCGTCCGTCCATGCGCGGCGCCTCCGTGCGCCGGAGACCTTCCGCAGCGCCACGCACATGCCAATCGGCGCCGGTGTCGCGCGGCTCCTCGCGATGTGTTTCTGGAACCCCTGGAACGCAGCCCTGGTCGCCTACGGCGATTCAGGGTCCCCCCAATCCGCAATCCGCACCAGCTGGCCCGACCCACGCCCGCGACAACGTGCCTGGTTTCACCCGCACTAACCGCCAGGGGTCCTGCCTCAATTTGTTGGGACTGCTCCACCGTGGCAGAAAAAAATATGGGAAGACGAGGACCCCCAAACAGGGCAGTCCCCATTGACGGATGGCTAGAGGGGTCGGATAGGGGACCCTTGTGACTGACCTTTGGTGCGGCGGGCATCGAGGCGGTCCGGGCGAGGGGGTTAGGTAGTAGAGCTATTATTACTTCCGCCACAAAAGCGAGTGGCCTCTTTCCCTTCCTCTCTACATCCTCATCCTGCCATTCAGTGTTTGGCAGAGTATACGGAAGCAGTCTGCCAAGATGATTGCTACTACCCAGACCAAGACGACCGTGACGGAGCGCGGGACGGTAAGAACGAGTCATCAAGACACACACACACACACACACACACAAGATCGTTTTCATGCTGACTTGTCTCAGACCCGCATGAGAGGCTCGTCGACCGCCCAGGAGTTCCCCGACATCCAGACCATTCGTGATGCCATTCCCAAGCACTGCTTTGAGCCTTCGACGGCCCGTTCGCTCGGCTACGTCGCCCGCGACCTGACCATGGCCTCGGCCCTCGTCTGGGCTGCGCTCAAGTTCATCCCGCACATCGAGGACGCGACCCTGCGCTTCGCGGCGTGGATGGTCTACGGCCTGGTCCAGGGCATGGTCTGCACCGGCATCTGGATTCTCGCCCACGAGTGCGGCCACGGCGCCTTCAGCGTCCACCCGCGCCTCAACGACTTTGTTGGCTGGGCCCTGCACTCGAGTCTGATGGTCCCCTACTTCTCGTGGAAGTTCTCGCACCACCGCCACCACCGCTTCACTGGCAACATGGAGAAGGACATGGTCTTTGTGCCCGCCATCGCCACCGAGAAGCCCCAGCGCCGCCTCGCCTCCTTCTACCTCGACCCGGAGATCCTCGAGGACGCCCCCATCGTCAGCCTGATCCAGCTCATCGCCCACCAGCTCGCCGGCTGGCAGATGTACCTGCTCTTCAACGTCTCGGCCGGCCCCGACAGCAAGCAGCGCAAGGAGAGCGGCTGGCTCCGTGTCAGCCACTTTGAGCCCACCAGCGCCGTGTTCCGCTCCAGCGAGGCCTTCTACATCTTCCTCGCCGATGTCGGCCTCGCCCTCACCTGCGCCGCCATCTACTACGGCTCGACCCTCGTCGGCTGGCCCACCATGTTCTTCCTCTACTTTGTGCCCTACATGTGGTGGAACCACTGGCTCGTCGCCATCACCTACCTGCACCACACCCACCCGGATGTGCACCACTACGAGGCCGAGAGCTGGACCTACGTCAAGGGCGCCCTCGCCACCGTCGACCGCGACTTTGGCTGGATCGACAAGCACCTGTTCCAGTAAGTTTTTTCTTTTTCTGTCTTCTGACTGCATTCTTCTCTCGCTATGAGCAACAGCTGACTCATTCACTCACAGTGGCATCATTGGCTTCCACGTCATCCACCACATGTTTGCGCGCATCCCCTTCTACTACGCCGAGGAGGCGACCGCCGCCGTCCAGCCCGTCATCGGCAGCCACTACCACCGCGAGCCCGGCTCGTTCATCGGCTCGCTCTGGAACACCTTTACCAAGTGCCGCTACGTCGAGAAGGACCCGGAGCACCCCGGCGCCATGCGCTGGGTCAAGCCCAAGAACAAGAAGGCCATGTAAGGGGACATTATTATTTTGTCCTTTTTGGGGCGAAGTGGCCGCTGCTTGCAACTCTTGCAAGCACGCATATATAGACCGATTAGAAGTCGACAAAAACAAAACGACTCGCAACTCTTTTCTAGATGATAGATGATAGAAAAAGAATCGGGGGTACCGCGTGGTAGATGGAGTGGGGTTTCCGCCAGCCCTTGCAAAATCGAAGAATAGACAAATAGACAATGGGGCTACAGGATAGTCAAAGAATGAGCATATGAAGAATTACTGATCAACTACTACTCCTCATAACCTTGTGCCTGGCGGGTCTCTCATATAGCCGGCCGGCATCGGCGCTCGGCCCGCCCCCACCACCGCTTGGCTCTTTGTGCAGTTTTGTGGTTTCCTGTCCCTCCAATCAGTAATAGTATAAACTCTCACCTTATCAAGCAAAAGAAGATGAGCAGCTCGGATCTGCTGGAGGGCCTGCCGACCGCGGCACCGGCCCAGGCGAAAGCGCCTCTGCGCTTCATCGATGTATGTGCGGGTTTTTTCTCCGTGTGACGAGAGATGGATCACAAGCTCACAACCCATCCGGAATATACAGGTCGCCGTCACGGCCACGGCCAACGAGTTCGCGGGTATATACCGCAACAAGCAGTACCACGAGCCCGACTTTGACGCGGTGCTGGACCGGGCAGCCCAGGCCGGCGTCGACAAGGTCATGCTCACGGGGATGTCCCTCGGCGACGTCGAGGTGCACCGCAAGCTCGCCGCGGCCCGCCCGCAGCAGTGCTCCTACACGATCGGCGTGCACCCGTACCACGCGGCCGAGCCGGCCGAGGACCCGGGCTATCTCGAGAGACTCGGCGACGCGGTGGCGGCGGCCCTGCTGAAAGAGGAGAGGACGCCATGCCCCGTGGCCGCCTTTGGGGAGCTTGGCCTCGACTACGACCGCCTCGACCGGTGCCCGGGTGACGTGCAGATCCAGACGTTCCGCGCGCAGCTCGACCTGTACCTCGCGCGTGGGTTCACGGCGCTGCCGCTGTTTCTGCACTGCCGGGGAGCGGCCTTTGACGACTTCGTGGCCATCATGCGCGAGTATATCCCTCGAATCTCTGCCGCTGCCGCTGCGACTGCTGCTACTGCTACTACTGATCGGACCACCACCGCCCGACGGCACGGCCTCGTGCACTCGTTTGTCGGGACGTCGTCGCAGATGCAGCTCCTCACGACCGAGCTCGGCCTCGACGTCAGCGTCAACGGGTTCAGCTTCCGGGATCGGCCCAGCATCGAGATGGTGCGCGACGTGCCCCTCGAGCACCTGCACATCGAGACCGACGCGCCGTGGGGTCTCATCCCGGCCACCGCGGACGTGGCGAGGCGGTACCTCGTCAACGCGCCGCCGCTGCCCGCCAGCAAAAAGAGGGACAAGTTTGACCAGGCCGCCATGGTCAAGGAGCGCAACGAGAGCTGCTGCATCGACCGCGTGGCTTATATAGTGGCGGGGATCAAGGGCCTGGCGGTCGAGGAGGTTTGTGACCGGGCGCGGGAGAATAGCGCGGCGATGTTTGGGTTGTGAGCTGGTGAGGCGAAGGTTCCGGAGCCTTGTCAACTTCAGCGCAGAGTGACTGAACATGGGTACGCCAACTTTGTGCTTGATGCTCTTGACGGGTGCCCTCGGAATACTCATCATGCAGATCACCGAGTCACTCGCTGGAGCACTGGTCGTATAGGGCATACATCTCCTCATGACCGGCTGACAAGGCCCCAAAAAGAAATGCCGTCGCGGCTCCAAAGCTGCTTTGGCCATTATAACGTCGCGAGGAATTGCAGTCACCCAAATCTCAGAGGGAGGCGCAAGAGGCGAACAGTTTTTCAAAGAAGAGCAAAAAGACTGGGATATATTCCTCCGTGCGCCAAATCTAAAACTCAAATCCACCCAAACTTCACCATTATTCCCCGAATAACAAGCAAAAGCCCTACACCACTGAAGCGATAGCACTATCCTTGAACCGGTCCGCCTCCCTCTTGAGCATGCAGATACAGCTCGCGACCAAGAACGCCTCGACATCCTGGGGCGTCACCACCGCCGCACCCTTGCCGCCGTCCGGGGCAGCAGCAGCCCAGCCGCTCAGGTCGAGCACCAGGCGCCCGCCATTGCCGCCCATCCACCTCGTCGTGCCGGGCGTGCGCATGGCCTCGTTGCGCACCAGCTGCGCGACCTGCACGCCCCTCTTGCCCGACTTGCCGCCGGCACCACCGGCACCACCGGCACCACCGGCACCACCGTCCGTCCGCTCGCACACGAGCAGCGAGTCGGCATTGTTCTCGGGCTGCTTGCGCTCGGCGCGGTCGGCGTAGCGCCACTCAAAGGTGCCGAAGCTGGTGGCGAAGCGCTGCGTGCGGGAGAACATGTTGCGGCTCTTGACCTCGACGAGCTCACACTGGAGGTGGTCGTTGTTAATGGCGTCGTCGACCGAGACGGCAACTCCCGGGTTGGTGCTGCCACCAAAGATGCGCATCCGCGGCGGGCGGCCGGGCCCCCAGCGGTAGATGGTGGAGATGAGCGACCTGCTGGTGTCCTGGCCCCGGACGAGGGCGCACGAGTTGGACGACTTGGACAGGCGGACCGAGGTGTAGACCAGCTCGCCCGTGCTATCGACGCGGTTGACGGCGATGTTCTCGAGGGTGTTGCCGGTCAGGGCCTGGCCGTAGTCGTAGCCGACGGCGTGGATCTGGAGCTGGACGGTCGAAGGCGCGCTGGAGAAGGCGTCGTCGTAGGCGGGCGGGACGTCCGTGTCCGAGTCGCCGCTCATGCCGCCGGCGTGGTCGTAGGGGTCGACCTCGAGGTGTGTGTGGGGTTGTTTCTCGTCTGTGATGAAGGACATGGCTGTAGTTTTTTGGGTCGCTGGAGTTGTTGTCACTGTAGAGGTTTGTTTCTCTCTGTCTCTGTCTCCTGGTGTGTGTTTGTGTGTGTTTGTGTCCGTGATGAGCTGCGATGTGCGAATTGCTTCGTCTTTGCCGTGCGAGCAGCCTCGTTCTTTATACAAAGAGCCATCCTCTGGACAGCTTTACAGGGGTGACGTCAATACCCAAAGCGGAAATACAGAGGGCGCAGCAGGGCACGGTACGAACAGGCGAATGGCAGGGCCGGATCACAGCCTCCAGGCCAGGGCTCCCCCCACGACGGCGGCTGTGCTGTGCCCATAGCCCTATTATGCTGGGGCCACCCTTGAAAGCTTAGCACTAGAGCTAGGCACTTGGTGAGGTAGATTGACTTTGTTTTTCCCAAAGCGGGAATCCCCTCTGCTGCGCTTTTCGAGTATGCCGGCCACGCCGATTAAAAGTACGCAGACACCACGGGCACTGCCACTCTTTGCCATCACACAGGGTGAATCAGGCACAGCGTATACCCTTAGATAAGCGTACATTATACCATTGCAATCATCATCATCCTCATCATCATCCCCCGCCTCCCCTTCCTCATTTGCCCAGCCTAGCAGTCCGGCACACTGACCGGGATCGGCACGCTTGTTGCCAGCCCGCTCAGACTCGTCTCCTTGAACTCGCTGCGCATGCCAATGGCGGTGAGCCGCATCGCGCGCACCGCGTCGTCGAGGCGGACCTTCATGGTCTGCGGGTTGGACGAGAGGGCGAGGTTCGCCGAGCTGACGGCCTTGACGCTGCCGAGGGCGTTGCGCTCGATGCAGGGCGCCTGCACCAGGGACGCGATGGGGTCGCATGACAGGCCCAGGTTGTGCTCGATGCCAATCTCTGCCGCCATCTCGATCGTCTCGACGCCGGCGCCGTGCACCGCCGCGAAGCCCGCGGCCGCCATGCTGCACGCCACGCCCACCTCGGCCATGCACCCGCCCTCGGCCGCCGAGATGGTCGCGCCGCGCTTGAAGATCATGCCGATCGCCGCCGCGGTCAGCAGGAACGTCACAATGTCCCGGTCCGTGTCGTCCGCGTCGCTGATGAACTCGAGCGTGTACTTGAGCACCGACGGGATGATGCCCGCCGCGCCGTTGGTCGGGGCCGTCACCACCCGCCCGCCGCACGCGTTGGTCTCGTTGACCGCGATCGCGTACACTGTCAGATAGTCCATGGCCGGGAACGACGTCCGGCGCCGCGGCGAGGGCAGGATCGGGTGCGTCAGCGAGCCGTGGATCATGGGCAGGTTGCGCTTGGTCGCGGCGGCCAAGGCACGGGAGCGGGTCGAGCTGACGGGCGATGACGATGGTGCTGGTGCTGGTGATGACGATCTTGTGCGTGTCGTGACGGCCGTCTCAGAAACCTCGCCCTCCGACTTTTGTGATGATGATGATGGCTCCGACAGCCGTGCCGTTGCTGCTGCTGCTGCTGCCGTGTCCTCCGCCGCAGACCCGGGGATCCGGTCCGTGTGCGACGGGTACAGGCCCCGCGTGAGCCGGCGGTACAGCGCCGGGGCACGCCGGTGCAGCTTGAGCGAGCCCGGCAGCGTCGTGTTGAGGGGCGCCTGCACGGCCTCGAGGATGCTGTTGTCCATGACCTCCCAGATGCGGAACAGCTTGTCGTGGATCTCCTCGTCCGTGTACCCGTGGCTCTTTTCGTTCTCGTACACCAGCTGCGCAATCGTCAGGTTGTGCTTCTTGCACATGGCCAGCAGCGTCGCGGCGTCCCGGAAGGGGTACTTGGGCTGCTGGCTGTCCGGCGACGACGACGAGCCCGTCTCGCTGTCTGTGGTCGTGGCGGCTGTTGATCCCGCCGAGACCAGGGCAGAGCTCTCACCACTCGTTGTCGTGCTGCTGCTGCTCCCCGCGTCGAGCATCTTTTTGTCGTTGGCAACCTCTGCCTCGGGCGGCGCAATCACCTCGGTGCCCGTCCGGCGGTCACCTGCCGCATCTGACCGCTTGATCTCCTTGTAGAACAGGTTCTCAGCCAGGTCGACCGGGTGGTTCCCGCCAGTCGCAGCAGCCCCCTGGCCCGCCGCCTCGGCCGAGGACAACAACGACGATGAGGACGAGGACGACGAAGCGGCCGTCGACATGGCGCCGTTGACGACGAAGCCGCCGCCGACCGAGAACATGTCGTTGGTGGCCAGCATGTCGCCGTTCTCGTCAAACACCATGAGCCGCATGCCGTTGCTGTGCAGGGGCAGCTTCTTGCTCCACTCCCACACAAAGTCCTTTTTGTAGTCAAACTCAATCTCGCGCCCTCTGCTGCTCCCTTCCTCCTCGCCCTTGAAGCCCCGGCCCAGGTGCAGCTTCCCCGTGGCCTTGATCTCGTCGAACCGGCGCGGCACGTAGGCCGTGTCGACCGTCTCGACGTCGGCGCTCTCTAGCCCCAGCAGCAGCGCCGAGGGCGTCATGTGGCCCTCGCCCGTGAGCGCCAGGCTGCCGTAGATGGTGACGCGGATCTTGTGCACCTTGTCGAGGAGGCCCGCCTCGGCCAGGTCGGCCACAAAGATGTTGCCCGCGCGCATCGGCCCCACCGTGTGGCTCGACGAAGGGCCGATGCCGATGCTGAAGAGGTCAAACGTCGAGATGACGGCGTGCTCGCGGTCCGCCTCGCTGTACGTGCCGCCGGCGTCGTCCTCGCCGCCGCCGTTGTTGAAGGAGGTGGCCGTGGTGGTGAGCAGCCGCCGCCGGGGGTGTGGGCTCAGCGCAGGTATCGCGGACAGCCGAGGACGACCTGGATATCTGAATCTGGGGATGGAATTGGCAGTGCCGACTGCTCCCCGCAGCACCTGGCGCCCCATGCGCTGGGCCGTGATGGAGGCCATTGTGATGTGCGTACGTCTTCCTGGAATGACGGACGGACGGATTGACTGAACGAGTGACTGTAGGTTGGCTCCTTGGAATACAGGAAATATTCACACGGATATCGCCCAGATCAAACGTCGCCAATGAGGGCCGCGATAAGTACGTAGTATGGGAAAAACCAGGATGATCTGGGGAATGCTGGTTGGTCAATTCAAATGGCTGGCCACCCACAGGCCCGGAATTTAGATCGCGCGGGGCCCGCTGCGGACTCGGCACTGCGTTGGGGAGTGAGCCCTGTTTCTCTGACGTAAAACGGGGCCCCCGACAGTAGCCGTTGTTGGCCCTTTTGTGGTGGGTGTCGTGTGTTGAGCCCCTGGATTGACTTTGGAGTTGTTATTGTCGAGAACAGAAGCTGCCGAGAGAAAATCACAATCACGACATCACGCCCTCATGGCCTTTACGAGAAAAAGACAAAAAACAAACAAAAAAATGTCGGTGTGCGTCCGTGTCACGTCACTTGCTTGTCCCCGTCCCTGCCGCAGGAGCCCAGAGATAAGGCAGGCTGATCCGCTCGAGGCAGTGCCTGGCCCGTGGCGTGCGCCAAAACCGTTTCCAAGGTTTCGCCAGCTTATCAGGGTGGATCCTGCCACACCACTGGGCTCGGCTCGGTGTGACAATCCAGCATAACTCGTGTTTGCAACCTGTTGCGTTTGCGTCTTCTCCTACTACTCCCCGTCCACATCCATCGTGTCCATGTGCTGGCTTGCCCACGGGCTGCGCCTGCGGATCGCGGGGCCGTACCGGGCCAGCACAAACGGGATCGGGACCAGGGGCACCCCCAGGACCGCCAGCAGCGTCGCCCCCCACTGGAACCCGAGCTGCTTCATGAGGTGGTGGCCAAACAGCGGGAACGCCGCGCCGGCAATGTTGCGGATGAGCGCGGTGCCCGCCAGTGCAGAGGCAGAATAGACCTGGGCGGGTCGGTCAGTCATTGTGAAGTTTCCCAAGAGAAGAGGAAAGGGAAGGAAATGAGGGTGTGACAAACCCCGTACGAGTCGCCTATGTATACGACCGTCATGAGGATCATGGTGTAGAAGCACCACCCCCAGACGCCGGAGACCAAGATCGGCACGATGGGCGGGATCCATGTAAACGTCGTCCAGGCGAAGCAGAACATGGACACGGGGAATACTGAGACGGCGGTCAGTAAACTACTAGCCATCGAGAGATTGCGCGCAGGCAAGAGAGACACCTACAAACGGCGGCCGTCTTGGCCAGATGCACCCTCGCCTCGGGGATGTTGGCGCCTCCCGCCTCTCCGACGGCCCTGAGATACCGCCTCTCCTGCCAGGTGTTGGTCAAGACGCCGGCCGAGATGCCCGTGACCAGGCCGAGGAACGCGAAGCCGACGCCCGGGATGCTGAAGCCGTGGCCCTCATGGCCAAAGACGAGCATAAAGATGCCGTTGAAGAGGAAGCTCAGGCCAAAGAGGTAGCCATGATACAGCGCCGCGAAAATGACTATGGCCTCCGTGGCGAGAAAACGGAACGGCCGGGCCAGCGCGATTTGGAAGAGCTCCCTCACGGTTCTGTGGCTTCTCGCCAGGCTGCGCCGCCGGCGTTTGAGGATGGTTGTGTGCCTCGTCTCCCGGACGGCAAGGAGCATGATGATCCAGAACACGCTGCAGATGGTGAACAGTGCCCAGAAGACGTCCTGCCAGCGCCGGCCCTCGGCCACGAGGGACATGATCAGGAAGCCTGATGGGCTGCCGCAGGTCGCGGCCCATAGGTACAGAGACATGGCGACGCCGGTCTCGTAATGCGGCCAGAGGTCGGCGATCGTCCCGCCAAAGTTTGCTGTCTCTCGTCAGGCATGTTTATCTCACTTCTGGAGTTTTCGGAAAAGTTCACAATCCAGGGAGACAGGCGGGACTCACCCACAGTCACGCAGGCAAATAGCCCGCTTAGGAACCGCAGAACCATAAACGCGACCAGATTGTCCACCAGCGCCGTGACAGCCAACAGCACGAGGAACACGGCGTAGGACGCATTATACACGATGCTGCGGCCAAAGAACTCGCTCAGGGGCGCGAGGGACATTGGCCCAAACGCGAGGCCGAGGATATACAGCGACAGGCCCAGCGTCGCCACGGTCGTCGAGATCGAAAAGTGCTCGCGGAAGCTGTGCATCGCCGGAGAGAAGCCCGACGCACCCCACGAGACGGACAGGTCGACGGGTATGATGGCCGCGACGGTCAGCCACTTGCGCCATGCTGGCCAGTTGCGTGGGTTCTCCGGGTCGCCGGGTGGGAATGTGGCATTCTCGCTGTCATCAGGTGCCTTGGCCGGGGATGGCGGGCTGAGGAGAGGCGCCGATGTCGAGGAGCAACCACCCTCGTCGGCCCCAGCGAGCATCGACACATCTGAGCGGACGGGCATTGTCCTATGGGGTCCTTTTGAGATGTATGTTGTGCGAGGGCCAAAGCATGCAATGAGGTGGGGGATGTGGGTGATGATGCCATTGCTGCCACGACCGCGGGGTAGTACTCGTAGTAGTCCCTCGGGAAATGCAGATCACGCATCGAATGGCTCCGAAACAATAATGTCATTCTGTCACTAACACAATCGCGCTGCGGAAGTTGGAACCTCTATTCCATCGACCGGATGACTTGCTCCACGCCCGCAAACTCGAGCACCTTTAGTGTCTCCTCCCAGATCGCGTTCTTGTAGCGGGTTCCATCCTTGTCATCGTAGTACCAGTGGCAGTACCTGCAGTCAGCTTATTAGTGCATGCCCCGAGACACTGGGAGGGGGTCCAGGTATACTCACGGCGCCAGCTTGCAGTTCATCACGTAGGACCCGTGCGCCTCCTTCCCATGGGCCAGCACGGCGTCGAGGTATGTCGCGGCGCCTTGGTTCACTGGCCGCCCGACCACGTGCATCACACCCTTGAGCAAAGCACCTCCGGGCATCTCCCTGAACAGCCCCGTGCCTTTCACGAGGCCCGGCTCGACGAGCGTGATGGTGACCTTGTCCGCGTCTACGAGCGTCGACAGACGAGCCACGAAAAGCTGATTGAGAAGCTTGGACTGGGCATAGCGGTCGCCGAGCCAGTTGTCCGGCTGGTCAAACGCCTCGAGCAGCGGCCGCTTGTCCCGGAGGGCAAAGTCGGCCAAGTGGGCCGTCAGGGAGCTGGTGATGGCGAGCCTGCCCGGGGTGTTGGCCGGCGACTTGTCCCGGAGCACGGGGAGAAGGAGGATTGCGAGCAGGCTCGTGCTGATGTGGTTGACCTGGACTGTGGGCTCGTGGCCCGTGGTGGCGAGGGTCGAGAACTTCTGGTGAGCCAGGCCGGCGTTGAGAATGGCCATGTCGAGGCGGCCGAGCTCGGAGCTGCAGCGCCGGGCAAACGCCTGGATGGACTCGTACGACTCCATGTCGACCTGCCAGACCTCGATCTTGGTGGCGTGGCCACTCGGCACGGAGAGCTTGACCTGCTGGGCAGCCGCGTGCCCCTTCTCAAGGGACCGCACCGCCATGATCAGGTGCGACAGACCCAGAGACACGAGCTGGCGGCAGGCCTCGAGGCCGATGCCCGAGTTGGCACCCGTGACGATCGCGACTCTGCCGACCACATCGGGGTACATCTGCTTGGTAGGGAGCGGGATGGTGGTGCAGAACTGGTTGCGGACAAAGAGAGCACCGGGCCCAGTGGTGATGGGACCCTGGTCCCGCGAGTTGACGCTTGGTGAGTGCATGTTGTTCGGTGTGACTACAATCGAGAGCTGATGCTCTTGTGAAGAAGAATCCATCGCCAGTCGTGGGCTTTGTCGATGGCTTTATACCACTGCTGGTCCTTGGACCCTACCACTCATTATATCCAAAGCCCTCATGTGTCGCTCGTCTACAGCCACTCAAGACCCCTGCTGCGGCCCCAGTTCCATGGCCGAAAAAGGTAGACTAGCTGACGCGCCGGGGGAAGGACGCTGTACCAAGTCCTGACGCCACCTATGCTGACATTAACTCCGTCTCGGTTACTACATTTGGAATGGCGCGAACGCTGCTCGTCGAGGCTGTCTGGCTTGCCATCACCACCACAAACTGTGACCTTTCGCCCCTGAGCTTCTTTCTTCTTCGGGCAACCGAGCTTCCTGCCCCGAGGAAATCAACTACCAGCATGAACCCCTTTCGCGTGCTGTCGACAAAGGACTTTGATCCGGAGATACCAGGGTACCGCAGGCGGGTCAAGCACGCCAAGTCCACGACAGGATGCATCATGTGCAAGGCGAAGCGAGTCAAGGTACCCGATGCTCCAGGCCCGTCTGCTAATAATCTACTGGCTTCTAATCAGAAATGCAGTGCGACGAGGCCAAGCCTGTCTGTGCCCGATGCCACAGGAACCGCCGGGTCTGCCGTTACCCACAAGCGCCGGCTGGCGTTCTCGCCATGCCCTCGCCCCCGTCCTCGGATGACGACGTGCCCGGCACGCCCAGCAGGCAGCTGCTCCATCACTGCCAGACACACTGGGCGGACATATTCCCCGGCTTCGACCAGAACGAGGCGTTCCTGTCCACCTTCAAATCAAGTCCCCTCGTCCGCAGCGTCTGCCACGCCATCGCGGCTTCGCATCTGCGATTTGTCCACCCACCCCACCAGCCACATGTGCTTGCCGAGTATTCCCACCGCGCCGTGGCCCTGGACGCGTATAAGCAGCAGCTCGGTCTGACGGCCGCGCAGCTGGGCCAGTCTGGTGTCAACGCCATGCTGCTCGGGGCCATGCTGTTTAGCCTGCTTGCATTCCCCCTGTCGCCAGCCGAGCATGAAGCGAGGGCCGTGAGCAGCAGGAGTCCCTGGCTGACCCGCGACCACGACGCAGATCTAGGCTGGCTCACCTTCCAGGCCGGCGTCGGCCCGCTTATGAGGTCGGTGCTCAGATATCTCCCGCGGGCATGCCAGTTCCTCATCACCATCTTCTCGCCACAAGCCGGCGGGGCCATGTTCCCAAACGTGGCGCTGCAGCCGCCGCCCGTGCCGAGGCTGTGGGCGCAGTTCTTTGAGCTCGACGAGGAGGACCTCTTTGCGCAGAGCTCTGTTCCTGCCACCGCTTCGTCATCATCAACTCCGACCTCGGGCCCTCCTCCGCTCGCGTCCAGTGTCCGCCTCCTCGTGCGCATGACGGCGCTGGTCCGCGGCCTGGAACCCACGCCCGCCAACTCGGTCGCGTACCTCTCCTTCATGTTCAAGGCGCAGCGTGATTTCCGCGCGCTGCTGCTCACCGAGCACCCCCGCGCGTGGTGGCTGTACGGGTACTGGGCGGGCCTGATGCGGCGGTTCCCAAATCTGTGGTGGTGTCGGGAGCGTGCGGATGGGCAGTACGCCTCTGTAAAGGAGTGGCTAGCCAGAGTGGATGTGGACCGAAAGGACAGGAAGATTTGGGGGCAAATGATGGACGAGTATCACGCGGCGAGCGAGTATCCGCCGCCGGAGCTAGAGATGGTGTTTCCCCCCGATGAGGAGGAGGCGGAAGAGTAGAAGTCCGGGAGGCAGAAATATAACACATTTCATCATCTAGCCTATTCGTACGTGCTCGTCGGCCGCAGCTTCAGCCCTGCCGCCTCATAAGCCATGTCCAGCATCTTGGCCGTTGCGATCGAGTCCTCGGCCCCGAACCACTGCTTCGTTTCGCGGCCCCGGACCTTGTTGATAAACTGCTCGAGGCAGTGCCGGTAGGTGAGCCAGTACACCTCGCCCGGCTGGTCCACGCCGGCCCCCTTCCACGAGTACGCCTTGTGGTCCGCCTTTTTCGTCCACTTCTTGACAGTCTTGCCTCCTCCTGCAGGCCCGGTCTCGCGAAGCGTGTACTCGTCCTGGACGTGCACGGTATGGTAGACGTACGGCATGACGAAAAACGATAGCGACACTGTCCGGACGCGCACGACCTCCTGGCCGTCCTTGACAGACACGCCGGCCTTGCGGAGCTCCTCTGCTTCATCGCCGACCGCCCCCGCCCCCGCCACCATCACTCGCGGCTTGTGCACGACCTCGATCCTGTTGGGCATCTCCCACTCCGACAGCGGCATCTTCAGAGTGCCCCGCGCTATGCCCAGCCCGCCGTTCGCGAAGCGGAAGTGTACCTCGTACGCGGCGTCCACCTCGGCCTTTGCCCTGTCCACACCCGGCAGCGGCTTCCACTCGGCCTTTTCGCAGCTGACCGGCACGCCGCCGCCGAACGCGAGCCTCAGCGCGCCCATGGTGTACGGCCCCGTGTCCATCATGGCGCCGCCGGCCAGGGCGTAGTCGTACCGGATGTCGCTGTCCGCGATGAAGCCGGTCGGGACGAGCATGTTGGACGTGGCCCTCTCGATGCCCGCCGGGTCGACAAAGGACATGAAGCGCGACCAGGCAGGGTAGAACCACGAGTGCGCGGCCTCGAGCAGGACGGGGGCCCCCGGGTCCTTGAGCAGGGGGCTGTTGAAGAGCTTCTCGGCCTCGATGGCGTTGGAGACGGCGGGTTTCTCGAGGTACACGTGCTTGCCGGCCCTGAGGGCGCGGACGGCCCACTCGTAGTGCAGCCCGTTGGGCAGCGGGATGTACACGCAGTCGATGTCCGGGTCGTCGAGGAGGGCCTGGTACGACTCCTTGACGTTGGGGATCTTGTGCTTCTTGGCGAAGGCGGCGGCCCTGGCGGGGTCCCGCGCGGCGACGGCGGTGACGACGACCTCGGGGTGGGTGGAGGCCGGGGACAGGAAGGCCATGGGACTGGGCAGGCGGGCGGATTAGAGAGCTCCGGGTTAAGCGGGAGTGGGACAATGCGTACACGATGTTGGCGGCGCTGATGACGCCGAAGCGCAGAGGCTGCGGTCCCTTGGGCACCGTGGGCGGCGAGAAGAACTGCCAATTGCGGCTCAGGAAGCCCACTATGGAGGCCATGGCGATGATGGGTATAGACAAAGTCTATAGTCAGGGGTTGTGATGGATGTGGTATGACCAATCTGACGAGGCCCACAATGGTACAGCGGCAGTGGCAGTTTGGGGACTGGGCTTTGTGATGCCGGCAGATGTTCACAGTAGGCTACTCGGCCGACTGATGAGCAGGTGGAATGGCGCCTACAGCGGAATGAATGCACGATTGCTGGCGTACGTAACCCCCTGTAGAGCTGACCAAGCCGGTCCCCGGATTTAAGTTTATAGGGCGATTTCCTCCCAATTGGGTTGCCAGTCTCCTCTGCCCAATCACTGGGCGTCTGGCTTGCCGCTAGACCAAATATGGATATCAATCTCGTGAGAAGCCCGCCCTGTAACCCCGAACACTCACTCGTAGGTCACGGATATGGCTTCACCTTTCCGGAGCATGCAATTCTTATATAAAGACAGCTCTCCTGTCTCGAGAAGATCTCTCTGCTTCTGCTCATCACACAGCAACTCAGAATCGCCAGCACAGCAACCACAACAGCAACAGCAGCAACCATGCAATATCCGACCTACCACACCACCGGCGATGCCGCCTCTATCCCCGTCCCCGTGGCATCTGCCAACTTCTCCGTGGCCCCCATCGAGTTCGCTTTCCCCGGCCGTCAAGTTCCTCTCCAGGTCCGAGTCACGTTCCCGGCCACCGCCTCCTCCCTGGACAAGCTCCCCGTCGTAATCTTCTCCCACGGCGGCGGCCCGAGCTCCCACATCTCGTCGCTCCACGGCTACGCGCCGGTACGCGAGTTCTGGGCCTCGCACGGCCTCGTCGTCATCCAGCCGACACACCTCGACTCCAAAAGTCTCGCGCTCGATGTCAACCCGGGCAACGTCAAGCAGCTGTACCTCGACGCCCGGGCCGCCGACGTCTCGCGCATCATAGACGAGCTGCTCCGCCAGGACAACGCCATCGAACGGGCCATCCCCCTGCTCAAGGGAAAGCTCGACACCTCCAAGGTCGCCATGGCAGGCCACTCCTTTGGCGCCTTCACCACGTCCACCATCCTGGGAGCCATTAACCATGACAACGACGACACAACCACCGACGTCGTCGACACGCGCGTCAAGGCCGGCGTCATCTTCGCGGGCACGGGCTACCAGGGCCTGTCGGAGCAGGGCAAGGCCATCCTGCCGTTCTACGACATTGACTTTTCGACCATGAAGATCCCCGCGCTCGTCGTGTACGGCGACGAGGACGTGCAGCCTTTCCTGACGACGCGCGGGGCCGACTGGCACGCCGACCCGTACACCATGTCGCCCGGCCGCAAGGCGCTGCTGACGCTCAAGGGCGCGAAGCACGGCCTGGGCGGCATCGCGGGCTGGGATGTGAAAGAGGCGGACGACGACGACATCGAGAGGCTGTACCTCGTGCTCAAGACGTCGTGGGCATATCTGTGGAGCGCCCTGCACGATGAGGGAACTAGTGTTGGGGCTGACAAGGGCGCGTGGGCCGAGGTGGCTGGCGTTGTCAAGGGGCTCGGCCGTATGGCTGAGCTTGAGAGCAAGGAGTGATTGGATTGATGTAGAATGGCAGAGAATGTACACTTTGTGAATAGGCTGCTCTTGATGTAACGTGCGGCCGGTTGCAAATGGATGTGCACAGCCTGCGGGAGGCCAACCAACATGTCACTTTGGTGGCCAGATGTGGCCGCATCTTGGGCCGCTACGCCCTGTGACTGACGGCGCCAGCCTCTTGCAGCCCGACTGGTCTTCGACATTGGATCACTCTAGATTACTATATAAATTAGAAAGTCGTCTGATGCCAGCAGTGAGTGATCTCTGTTATTCCATTTCAATCAAGTACTTAACGTAATCCACAAGTGGGTGAATCACACAAGTGGATGAATCAGTTATCGGGTACTCGTACGACAATGTATAAGTCAATTCAACCATAACGCCTCAAATCAATTCAAACTATTCGGAATCCTCTTCTTCAGAGGCAGATATAACTTTCTGACACGTACGAGCATTATGCCCGGGCTCGCCGCAGACGCCACATCGTCGCGCGCGCATTTCGGGCCTCCTCGTACGACCACTATTCTGACTCGTTTCCGCTATTAACTGCTGCGTCGCATCGATTTGAGCCTTCAAATCCTTTGCCTGATCAATTGTGAGGGACCCTCCTTTCTGTAGCTGCTTTCTTTTCGTACGACGACGGCGGCTGAGGCGGTCGTTTGCATCTCGAAGTTCGGCGATTTCTTGGCGCATAAGGTCCTGCTCGTGCACCATCATTATAACTCCTTTTCCTAGCTGTCGTAGGCCCTGAACAATGGACGACGGAGAGCTATTCTGGTGTCGTACGATACGATTTTCAATATACTTCGTCTGCGATTCGGTCTCAATTGGGTTGTTCGGCGTCTTTGAAACCCATGGGGGTGGTAGTCCAGCAGAGGAACCTGGCGGTGTCGGCGTATGAAACTTCACATCTAGCTGCGAAATCACATAATTCGGGTCGTACGGTACTAGGCCTGTCGCTCTGAAGCCTGCCTGGATGTTTGATTTGGTCATTGCAGCGTCGTACGCCTTATAAAAGGCTGGGAGGAAGTCCTCCTTTGAAACGTGGGTTACGTGCGCCCGCATTAGACCTTCGATTTCTTTACCGTACGCCCGTTTCAGAGGTCCAAAACACCCAACATCGAGAGGCTGGAGCTTATGCGACGAATGAGCAGGCATACAGAGCGTAACAATATTCTGTTCCTTGCAGTAGAGCTCGAAATCGACGGAATGGTGGCTCTCGTGGCCGTCGAGGATAAGGAGGCGGTGGGTACCCTTCGTACGACTCTTTGTATGGAAATCAAAGTGTTTTACCCATTCTAGGCCTCTCTCGTTCGTCGTCCAACCGTTTTCTGAAAGCGCGATTACCCAGTTGGCCGGTAGAGGGCTATTCGCGGTCCAGGAGTCGAGGTGGACCTTCCCGGCGAAGATAATGTACGGCGGGATTGAATAGCCGTACGACGCGATACCCTGGATTACTGTAACCCATTCCTGATTGCCTTGTTGTACGGCTCTTGGCCTCCCGCGTCGATCGGAGGTCGTAACGACAGTTTCGGCGGAGATTTTACCCATCGCGAAGCCCGTTTCGTCGAAGTTGTAGATATCGTCATCGTGGATCCCGTATTTCGCGATTATGTTTTGTACGAGCTCAAACCACGCGCGATACGCGTCTGGATCTTCGCAGAGGACTCTCTGGTAGTCGATTCTTCGATTAAAACGCGTACGGAGCTCTGATCGTCGTCGTACGAAGTTTGAGGCCCAGTTCGTTCCGACGCGTGGCGCGTCGCGCACGCGGAGGAGTCGATCCGCCATTTCTCGAACACCACCTAACCGCGGTGGAAACGATCGCGAATCTAGGTCGATTATATATCGTACGATACTGTCCTCTTCGTACGAGGTCAATTTCTGGCAAGGTGGTCGGATATCTTGTTGCGCAGGTCGGCCGTGTTGTCGACGTTGGAGGGTTGAGAAGGATACATTATAGATCTGTGCAGCCTTTCGTACGCTCAATTCTGGGTTCGATTGAAGCGCATTTAGCGCGAGAACTAAATCGCTTTTATTTGATTGTCGTACCATAATTATTGGTGGAGAAAAGGGGGAAAGAAGACAGCCTGTACGAAAGTGGCGGGGGACTGATTCATCCACTTGTGTGATTCACCCACTTGTGGATTACGTTGTCACCACAATGTTCATTCCCCGCAATGTCGTGTCCAGTCAGGACGATCTGGTGGCACATACACCTCCAGAGTCTGTGGGGGTTGATCTCGACTCGGCTTTTGAAAACTTGGCTCTCGACGCGGGTGGAATTAACGAAGAAGGTAACAACGAGGCGGAAATCGGCGAGGAGAACGAGGACAATGACGGTGAGGCCGAGGACGACACCTCGTCCGACGATGACGGCAACTCGTCTGCAGACGACAGTGACTCGACGATATCCACCCCGGATCTTCACAGCGCTGCCGAGTCCCAGAGACTCACAGACCTTCTCGGCCTCCCCACCACCCTCTGGCGAGTCCAGCACAGATGGTCCCAGAGCCGACTCGACCAAGCCACCAACGACTATCTCGCCGCCGCGCAGAGGCCCATATCTTCTAATGTCGTGCACGATCGCGACCTCCGCGCAGCCGTGGAGCGGCACGTTGTCTGGTCCGACTGGTCCGCGCGGAGCTGCTTCCTCTCCACGATGAGTTGCGAAATGCACATGCGGAACTGGGTAACAAAGACCGGGGTCCGAGACCCTGTGCTTCTCAAGATCGACGTCGAAACTCTGCTGCGCGCGGTGGAGCCCAGGTTCCGAGAAGGGGCGGTGCTTGATATGGAGTGGCTGAAAGAGGAGTGGGGGCTGGATTACGGTTATGCCAGGGACGAATATCTCATCGTGAATCGCATTCCGAGGGAGGCTATTGTTTCGAAGTAGTGGCCTTAGCTCGCGGGCGGGGCATTTCACACAACACTCAGTGAAGGGTCAAGATTGGAACTAGGTATATCTTGAATGGATTCTTTTGGATTTATATAGCTCATCCAGCCTGGTTTGAAGAAGAAGAAAGCAAGAAAGCTCCAAGTAAATGCTGCTAAATCTATATGACTTTTTATGCACCCGCAAACTCCGATCTATATGCAATTCCCTTTACTCTCTCAACTTCACCCCCTCTAAGAAGAAGAAGAAAAGACGCTGCCAGAGCAGGCCTGGACGAACAGGCTGGAGAAGTCCGCGGGCGAGCTGCCGTCGGGGAAGACAATGTTGAAGGCGCTGCGGGCAGCACCGCCGCCGTTGGCCCAGAGGTAGCTGAAGGGCAGGGCGTCGCCGGCGTTGAGGTTCACGGTGGCGGAGCCGGGCGTCGAGCCCCCGGTCGTGCGGCTGGCCTTGAAGGCGGCGGCGTTGTCGGCCCAGGAGAGCGCGGCGGAGCCGGTCCAGAGCTCGGCAAAGTTGTCGTTGGTGTCCGAGGGCACGGAGAAGGTGTAGCTGCCGGACTGGGGCGCGACGAAGAAGCCCTGGAACAGGAGGGCGGCCTGGGAGACGTCAAAGGCGACCGGCTGGTCGAGCTGGAGGGTGAGGTCGGTCGAGTAGGGCCAGGCAGAGGTGGCGAAGTTGAGCGCGCTCCAGACGCCGGTGAAGTCGGGGGTCTTGGACTTGAAGTAGTTGGAGTTGAAGCCGGCGTTGGCCGAGTCGCCGTTGAAGGGGCTCTGGAACTTCTTGTAGGCGAGACCGTTGGCGGCGATGCTGGTGGCGACGGAGCCGACGGTGGTCGTGGTGGTGCTGGTCACGGTCTTGGCAGCGGCAGCGGCGGATGTCACAGTGACGGTCTTGGTGATGGTGATGCTGGTGGCGGCGTTGATCGTGGTAGTCGGGGACAGGGTCACAAGCGCGGCGACAGCAGCCGAGGTCACGCTGACGGTGGTGGTCTGGGTGGGGATGGCCGCGCAGCTGCAGATGATGGAGATGACACTGTCGGCGATGGTGGCGGGAATGTAGGCCGGGCGGGGAATGGTGAGCGCCTGGTTGGGAGCCGGGGCCGGGGCCGGGGCCGGGGCCGGGGCAGGGGCAGGAGCCGGTGCAAGCGGGCTCAGGAGTCCTCCGACCAGGTTCAAGAGACGGGGAACCAGGGCAGCGCCGGCCTCGTCAGCGCGCCTCGACGGCGGGGGAGCAGTGTGAAAGACCTCGAGCTCGGCACGGGTGGTGGGCTTGATGCCCTTGGTCTTGGTGTGCTTGGGCTTGCGAGCACCGGCCGCAGTGGTAACCTGGACGGCACGCTTGCCCTTGGTGGGAGCCGAGTACGCGCTGTTGAGGCAGGAGAGGACCGAGGTGGCCGTGGGGCTGGTGACCGAGACGGTGACATAGCTGGTGACATCCTGGGCCGCGGCCGCAGCAACAGTCGTGGTGACCGAGTTGGTGATGGTCACGGGGCCGCCACCATTGACCGTGACGGGGGATGTGACAGTCACGGCGTTGGCAGCCTTCTTGACGACGCTGGTGACGGTGGTGGTGGGGACGCTGATGAACTGGCGGCAGAAGGGGACCAGGATGGGGTCGTTGAGGAGAGTGTTGACATAGATGTTGTAGGGGATGCAGATGACATCGTTGATGAGGCCACGGCCCTCGACAATGGTGCCCGCGGGCAGAGCAGAGATGCCCATCGGCAGGGCGGCGGCGATGAAGGTGGAGGCGCGCATCTTGCTAGTGGCTGTGGAGAGAATGCGGGCTGTCTGTGGTAGAGACTGTGGTGATTGTGATGCTGATGATGCTCCGAGAGAGACATTGTGACGATGGGAGGATCTCGAGGAGAGTTATATAGCAGCGTGACGACCCGCGACAACGGTGCTTCGACGTTGCGAAGAATCCTTCTAGCGCCTCCCAGCTGGCCGGTAGCTCCAAGGAGAAGCAAGATACTCGTTCCACTTTCACTTCGCGCAACGCGATGTCCGCGCGGACCCAGCGATGCGGAAACCCGCCCGCCAGGGGCCGCCCCGGCCTCCGCGAGTCGAGAAGGCGGCGCCACGGCGGGCTCTGAAAGATGATGCTGGCGCAGCCCGGCCGAGTCTAGATGCCGTCTATCATCCTTGGGAGAGAAGACGCCAAGTCACGTGCAGAGGACACAGCATGACAGGCAGCTAACGCAAGGGTAAGCTCGGCCTCGAGCGTCCCGATGGAGCCAAGCCCGGATCTCAAGGGGCGGCCGCAGACTGGGACCATCCTTGATCCGGCCTTTGAGCAGGTACCGCGACCACGGAAAGTGGGCGCGTAGGTACATACCTCAGGTGAGACACTTGCTAGGACGAACTCTAAAGTCGTCGCTTACGCTGGCGTATGCAAAGTCTGGATCCTCCGACGGATGGCAACGGCTAGCCTGCTTGAGGAAGATAGCTGCGACGACTGAGGCCACAAACTGGCACGATGACGGTCCTAGGCATTGGGAAGAGCGTTGCTAGAGCGAATGCTGTCTTCAGAGGGCTGTTTCGGCATGATGTAGAGTTTGCAGCACAATGGCAAGGGCATCAGAGTTCCTGCTCGAAAACCGAGCTGACGGTTGGCCGAGGGAAGGATGCTCGGGTTCTAGAAACTGATCTCGGGGCTTTGTCCTCGGGTCGGGCACAGCTTGTTGTGTATGAGTAAAAAGTGATTTGAGTATATCCAGCGCGGCAGTCTGGCCAACCAGAGGACACGGAAGGGCCCGCCGGGGCGGCGATGCGGGGCCGCACTTACATGCATAGGCCCGGGACCGCGGGAGCGGAGCGGCCCTGAAGTGCCTGCATGTATCAACCTGACGTGCAGACGGAAAGGCTGCCTCCGTGGAAATGCAGGTACCCTAGACATGCACAAGGCAAGGCAGGTCCTTTTTTTTTTTCGCTTTTCCCCCGAGAGAACAGCCAACATGCTATTTTCGGCTCCCGAGGCCACCAGGGTGAGACACTCTTACCTCGACGGGAAGGCCGGAGCGACAGGACCGAGCCTGATTCGCTCTCTTTCTTGGCATTGGCCAGATCTTCAGATAAGGCATCAAGCCTGATTCGGCAAAGGCCAAGGAGAATTTTCTCTCTAGACTCTCCCACCAGCCTGGAGCGTTCAAACGTCGTCGCCCCTGCCGATCTCTCCAGCGGCTTTTGCGCTGCTGCCCAGCCCCCAGAGACCGGCCTCGAGTCGCGCCACACAACCGCCGCGGCCAGCATGACGCCTGGTGCGGACCGTCATCAGTAGCCCTGCCCTGCCCCGCCGTCTGGGGAATGTCTGACATTCTAGACCCTGCGCGTCATCGCGCAGAGCTTTCTTCGGTGCTGCTGTCTCAGGACTATGGCCCTCCCAGCGGAGCCTGACCCAGACGCGCGGAAAGTTGCCGCAGCGTCTTAACGGCCTTGGGGTTTTCTCCCCGGAGCTGATCTCTACAGCCGCGTAACGCAGTTAGAGCCCAGCGGGCGAGGCCGTTGCAGCCCAGGCCACAGTGGAGTTCGTCCTCGCGGGTCGAGCTTGACGCCTCGCCCTCTTCGCCTCCCCCGCGACTCTGTTCACCCATTGTTACCGGCTGACAGCCTGGAGCGGTCCACAGGAGCTATGGCAGCTGCTAGCAGGTCCATACCCTCGATCATGGCTCGCATTCTCGATCTGGGTGACGGAGGCGCGATAGCCCTCCGTCTGGCACCAGACGGCGGCATCGAGGTAGTAATCCGGCGGTGGTGGCCAGCACGTGGGCAGATATGGAGACGGGCATGCCCACCTGAGTCCAGATCTGACGGATCTCCAGATGGCGTTTTCTCCAGATCATGGCTTTGCAGAGGGACCCGTTGTGGTTGTGATTGGAAATCACAACGGGTGTTTCTAGCTGTTGGCGTTAAAGACGTGGCTTGTTCCCGCCTAGCCGACCCACGTGATTGTGATTCCACAGCGATGCCTCTGCGGGGGTGATGCCGCGGCAAGCAACTTGCTGCTCCGATGTTTTATGGGTCGATACTGGGTGTATTTGGCCTGTGATTGGGCATGAGCTGGATTGTGTGGCGTGACAGACTCCTCAGGGGTGGTGGTGTGATAGAACGAGAAGCAGCGCTTCTGTCTGCGATAGGCGTCAAACTGCCAGCAGGAGCACGGTGGCCGATTTGCCAAACTTCAAAGGCAAATCGAGTTTCAGGCTATTCCCTTGTCGCAGGTTTACACTGTATCTACGCACATTTGTGAAATCTAGGTAAATATCAACAATCGAGAAAGGAATGCCAGGACCTCAAGAACTGGCCGACCCTTCTCAACCCCCCAAAAACATATAGACATCGAATATAAGTACCGCGGCAACCTTCCCACGAAGTAGCGTCACCTCGCAGTGATCCCCCCACACCGACTTCTGTTCCACCACTACTTGGCGTAATAGATCTTCCACTCGGCATACTGCTTGACAGCAGAGCCGCCACAATCGAAGTTGCCACCCGCAGCGACCTTGCCAGACTTGCCATACTGCTTGACCGCCTCCTTTATGATGTCGATGACGTCCTGCCCCCCGACGTAGAAGACGATGTTGCCGTTGATCTTGCTCGCCCTGACGCTGAAGCGGCAGTGGCCGCCCTTGCCGATCTCGCGCCACTTCTTGCCGACGACCTCCATGGTCCACTGGGTGTCAGTGTCGGGCGTGATGGTCTTGACGATCTGCATGCAGTCCTCCACCGAGGGGGAGTCGCTCTTGGTCTCGTCGCGGTACGTCTCGGTCCCGCAGAGCTTGTTGCCCTCGAGCGCGTCGCAGGGCCAGTTGGGCGTGGCGCCCCTCTGGTGGCCGATTTCGTCGACGAGGTCCCACGACGCGAAGGCGACGTCCGGGTAGCACACGGGCAGGCGGATGAAGCCCGGGATGGTGATGTCGGTCTGGAGGAGCTCGCCCTGGATCATGGACGCCGAGATGTCGGTCTGGCCCGTGCGGCCCTCGTTCTTGAAGTTGTTGGCGAAGAACGTCCGGAGAGAGCCCTTGATGATGTCGTCCTTGGTCAGGCCGCCAAAGCTGCCGTCCTTGCCGAGGGCGTCGAGGCCTTTGGGCAAGCCGAACTTGGCGCCCTGGCAGTCCTCGTCGCTGGTGTCTTCGCACGAATCTGCGCTGCCGTTGGGCGCGGCGAGGTAGTACAGGCGGTTCAGGTAGCAGAACCCCGAGGCCTCCTGGTTCTTGGAGTTCATCCACCTGGGGATGGGGTCTTTCTGGTCGCAGGAGGCACCAGAGTCGAGGATGAAGGCATAGGTCTGGGAGCGCCGCCAGAGCTCGGGGATGGAGAAGCCGTAGAGGGCCTTGCCGATGGCGTTGATGGCGTCGGAGGACGACGTGCTTTTGGGGGAGCTCAGCTTGGGGTACAGCCTGCCGCCTGCAATGGCCTTCTCAATCATGGCGACCGAGGCGTCGCTGCCGTTGATGGTTTTCTTCCAGGACTCCTCGGCGAGCGCGGCCCACCCCTTGATGATCTGCTCCATAAAGGCCGAGAACTCGGTCTGCCCCGTCGCGGTCCACTCGCCAACCTTGAACTGCTTCTTGTCCTCTGGGGTGAAATCCTTGGCGAATGCGGCCTGCTGGCCGGCAAGAAGCATGGTCGTGTCCTTGAGGTTGTCGTAGGCTTTCGGGTTATTTACAAACTTGGGAAGCTGCTTGATGAAGCCGTTGAAGATGGGCCCGCCGACGGCTAGGGTGCCGAGGGTGAGCAGGTCGACGAGCAGCAGGAAGTCGCTGTTGTCCTTGGGCGGGATGGGCGCGAACGTGTCCAGCATCTTCTTCATGCCCAGGCTGTAGGTCGACGCGGCCTGGAACAACGCGGCGTGCAGGTTGGAATACCCGAGCCGGATCATGATGAGGGACTTCCAGATCATCATGCCGGCCGGGCCCGAAAGGGGGCCGTTCATGCCGGCTGCGCAACCTCCCGTGCCGCAGTCGCTGCCGTCGATCTTGTCGCACTCGGCCGAGTCGGCTTCGATCTTGAGCGTGCCGTGGACCGAGGACAGGAAGGTGCCGCCCTTGCCGCGCTCGGCGAGCCAAATACGCTTGACGTCGGCCCAGGCCGAGTCCCCCGCAAGGCCGTTCCACATCTCCGTGACCTCGTTTTCGACGTGATCCTCGTTTTCGACCCAGCGGTCGGTGCAGGTCTTGTTGGTCCAGTCGCCATTCCGCGTCGGGTCCAGCTCGACGGGGTCGTCTCCGTTGAGCGCCGCCTGCTTGAACACAGCCCAGTTCGCGGAGCCCCCGGGGGGGTCGTAGTATTTCTGCTGCGACACCGCCCAGTCGGTCGTGCCCCCGAGGCCCCAGCCCGCATACAGCGCCGCCCGCGCCGACTTGGTCGACGGGTTCATCCACGACACCCACTCGCCGTCGTCGTAGACGAGGATGTCGCTGTTGCTGCTCGCGTCCTTGTACTGCGTCACGACGCGGCCGGCCCGGCGGCGGTCATCGATAATCTCGTTGATCTCGGCATCGGCCAGGTAGCCCGCCGTGTCCGTGCAGACGCCCTTCTTGGCCGGCGAGGTCTTTGGGTCTCCCAGATATGTGCAGCCCGGCCCGGCACACCCGGCATCCGCCATCTTGTACGTGCGGCCGTAGCTGGTCACACCCACTATGACCTTGCGGCCCGGCACTCCGGCCTTGGTGATCATGGCGAGCGACTGCTTGGTCTCGGTCAGGTTGACCTGGCTGCGCAGGCAGTTGCCAAAGTCGCAGCCCTCCTGGGAGTAGTGGTTCTCGGTATCCCACTGGCCGTGCAGGTCGTACGTCATGTACACGATGTAGTCCACCACGGCCCCGATCTCCTTGATCGGGTACTGCTTGAGGTACCAGTACGACGACGGCGCCGCGATCGACACGCTCTTGCCCGGCAGGAGGTTCTTCAGCAGCACGAGGAACGCCAGGTAGTTGGGCCCGTCGTCCAGGCTGGCCGGAGGAAGGCCCGGGATGTCGGGTGCGCCGGGGTACTCCCAGTCGATGTCGACGCCGTCGAGGTCATGTTTCTTGATGAAGCTGGCAATCTTGAACGCCGAGTAGACGCGGTTGGCGGGCTTGACCGCGTTGGGGAAGATCATGTAGGTGGCGGGCATCGTCGAGAAGTCCCAGCCACCAAACGACAAGATGCGCTTGGGGCCCTTGACTTTCTTGAACTGCTCAAACTCATATGTCGACAGGGTGTCGCCCGTCTCGACGTCAAAGTCCTGGGTCAGGGTGCCAAAGCCAAAGTGCAGGTGCGTGTACGCATTGGTGTCGATCTGGGAGGCATCCTGGTGCAGGCACTTGCGGCCCCCCAGCGAGTAGCCCTCAAAGTAGCCGACGCGGATACTGCCGCCGCCGTCTCCCTTGACCACGTCAAGGCCGCAGTTGGAGATGCAGCCGTAGGTATCGGGCTCTGCCGTGCCGGGAGCGCCCGTGTTGGTGTCGATGCAGAAGTCCTTGGTGATGCCACATTGGCCCCACTGGTAGGCTCAGGTCAGTACGGGGAGAGTGAGTTGATAATGACAGCAGCAGGACTCACAATGTTGCAACACGCATTGAGCGGGCAGGGATTCAGCTCAGCAACATCCTTGCCATCCTTTGGGTCCTTGGTCCCCGGCTTCTGCGGCCCGCACACGGCATTCGGGATCTCTGCCGGGAACGGCGGAGTGCCTTTGCTGAGGCACATGATGGTGCCCGTGAACAGCAGCTGGCACCCGTTCCAGCCCCAGGTCTTCTTGTTGAACTCTTCCAGGTCCGGCTTGGTCAGGCTGTACTCGGCGGCCAGGTTATCGCAGTTGTCGTCCTGGACAATTGTGTACGCCTTGCAGGAACCGTCGGGGTTGGGCTTGGGGGCGAAATCCGGCATGGAGCCGCTGGAGCAGCACACGTGCTGCTTTGGCTTCAGCGAGCTGCAAAAGTTGTCGACCTTGTTGTAGCTCTCAAAGTCGGACCCGGAGACGCCGCACTTGGCCGCGAGGGTGCCGCAGTTGTCGCCCGACACCACCTGGACAGTGCGGCAGTCATCTCGGGCCTGGATGTTGCGGGCGGCCCCTGTGGCTGCTCGCCATCTCCGCGAAAAGGCTGACCGTGTCGTGTTTGTGTTGCCGCCTGTGATCGGCGGCGGCGGCGGCCGCTGTGTGGTCAAGTGCACCTCGCCCGCGACCTTGGTCGGCTTGTCCAGCGGCACACACTCGGCCTTGCTCCAGGCCTTGACGGCCTTCTGGATGGCGCCAAACTTGCCATCGTTGGCCAGCATGATGCCAAAGGTCTCGCTGCTGGTGCGGTTGGCGCCGCATAGCTGCATCGTCAGTGCAGATTCCGAGGTGCTCAGCGCCTGCTCGAGAGCCCCGAGCGCCGCCTGGCTGATGTCGTGGTTCGGCAGACCAAGACCAACATAGATGCCCACCGTCGCGTTGCCGGACTGCCCAAACATGACAAAGGGCTGGTCCGCAGAGTTGCCAGGGCCGCCGTCCACGTACTGGCGGATCTGCTGCACCAGCAATGTCTGGTTGCTGCTGATGCCCGTGTCAGCCTCGGCCGCCACCCCGATCTCGAAGCTGACCTCGGTGGTTGTCGTGTTGGGCGGCAGTGAGAGAGCGGTCACATTGGCTGCCATGGTCTCAAAGTCGGGCCCATGCGACGAGCATGCCGAGATGCGGTGGCTTCCCTTGATGTTGTCGTCGACGGGGTCGTTCAGAGAGAGGCGGTAGAACATGGTCCTGCCGCACTTCTTCATCCGCCGCATGTCGGGATAGACCGCCCACTTGTTCATATCGGGCCCAACCTTGCTACATGCGTCTGGGCATATATCGATGTTGGCATACGTCGGGCTCGCTCCCAGTCGCAGCGCCGCCGACGGCTGGGCCACGAGGCCAAGAACCGCCGCCAGCGCCACGGCCGGCCACGGCCGCGCACTGAGATGCATCTGGGCAAGCAAGTGTAGTATCAAAGATAGGTATAAAGACTGGAGGTGCGGGAGATGTGCGTAGCCGCTGCCTGCGTGTCCGGCTGCAGTGTTGGTCTGCTTGAAAACAGGCGGCCATCGCCGGGGTTCTTATATTGGTATACTGGTCATTTTAGACTCTGCAAATCTTTTCCAATATTCACTCTTTCCTTTAGCGATCCCCTTCATTTTTTCTTCATCCTTCTCACGTGCGTTGAACATGCCAAACTCTCATTCCCTCAGTCGTTCCAGAGCCATCGTGGATCAACGTTACATACTGCCATAGCCTATTGGTCCTCTTGTCCTCACTATTCCCACACCCTCAATCCATGGTCCCCGGTCATTGCTACCTTGCGGTCCCGGAACAAGTGATCGAGTTTGCAGCAGACGATTCCCGGACCCCACAACTCCAAAGCCGGGGTCGCGCGCGAGTGTGGCCCATTCGAACTCCAAGCATCTGACATGCAGATTGGATTAGCCTTTCGCGGGAGTGAACCCGGCAGGGATGCGACCTCGGAGTTATTCTTGGACTGCACCGGCTGGCAGCACATCTCCTAGCGCGTTCATCGTGGCAGCATCTAGGCTGGCCACAATGCTTCCCGCCGGCTTTGGCAGAACCTGCCACCATGCTCGCGGCAAGGCTGTTACGTAAGATCTACCGAATGCACCCCGGATGTTGAATCCGAGGGGCTGGGTTCTGGCCTGTGCGAGCTCCGAGGCGTCTACACAAAACGGGCCCGATTCCCACGCCCAGAGCCGGAGGTACCAACTCGTGGAAACGCCAGCCCATTGACCATCAGACATTGTGGCGACCGACTCCGGCGCGAGGGGCTACTTAGTCCTGGAAGATGGGGACCAAGGCGCCTGGGATGTACTGACGAGATGTGCGTTCATGTGGTGAGGGAGACGGGACCTCCGAGCTTTCGCGCCCAGAACCCGAGTCCTCGCGTGCGGACACCGATTGTGACGTTAATGGTCCATGGATTGAGCATGGGGTCGCACCGGAAGTGCCTCTCTGGGAGTATCTCCCATGCCGGATCTTGCTCATGCCAAGATCGACCCCGAAAGCAGGCGCCCACGTGAGCTGGGCATGGGCTGGGCTGGATTAGTTCCTAAAGATTAGATTAAGCTTACCTGCATGTGGCTGGCATGCTTGGACGTAACGTTCCTGAAAAGGAACGACCACTCGAGCGCCTCAGCAGATTTTGCATCCGGAAACAAGCAGAACGCAGGCTCACCATGCTTCACCTCGCCATCATCCTTACGGCAGCGTCTCTGCGCGAGTGGAAGCGGTGACCCGTTCCACTTGTACAGTCACTTCAAGATGGCGTGTTCTCGTGATGTGACTGGCCCTTGTACTTGAAAGGCCGACCACGGCTTTGGCGAATAGCTCGCATAGGTGGCGTGAATACCCGGAGAATTTGCAGAGGCAACGGCATAGCGCCTGGCACACAAAGAGGAGAATGCTGAAAACGCTGGATAATATTCCCTTTGACATTTTTGCATGTGTATGCCTCGCGAGCGTGCCTCTTTGCAAAACACCTCCGCTACGAGTAGCATCGTGGTACCTAGAAGAGAGATATGGCGTCGATGGCAATCAGAGCGATTACTTCGTTCACGATAACCACCTGTCTAGCCGCGGTATACTCTAATAACACGTGCCATGGCACATGTCTGATCTGATTTCCACGATGACTTGTTCCGACTGCGCTCAAAATTTCCTCGCCGCCTGAAGATGCTTCGGCTCTCCTCTCCCGTAAGACGCCAGCAGCAACTCAACCCGTGAGCATCGATTCATCGGCCAACCGGCACGTTACATGGCCATCCTTTTGCGTTGAGGATGATTATCCACTATAGAGTAAATTCAGTGTACGTCGGGAATGGGAGATCGTGCACCAGGCGGGTTTAGTCAGAGCGTCCACTGCTCCACATGTTCAGGGTCTAGAATCGACAAAATCCTCCGACATGGGGGTGGGTGGTTGAGAAAGCCTATAGCACCATGATCGTGACAAAACGGATCCAGAAACATCGCCCTGGTCAGCGCGTTAGTGTCCATTTTACTGGTTTTTTTTTTTTCTGTTGGCTCCACACAGCATCCTTTTCCCCAGGATCATTGTAGTTCCTGCCCAGGAAAAGGATGCACCTTTTGAGAACGGACAACGGTCAGGGCCTCCGCGACGAGGATATTCCCACACCCCTTCTCCCGCCGGCCTTGATCGGTTGTGCCGGCACTTGCTGCTGACCTGGAGCTGCTAGACTACAATGCAGACAATACGGCTGACATAGACTTCTAGATCGAGAACGCCACGAAGTGTGGACCCCCAGGATGCGGATGGAGGTAACCTTGGGCAGTGCTCCTCTGCAGAGAAGGAATGGTACCTGCATGGATCGTGGTTCATGACTGCTATGCAACATTGACTCGTGAGAATGTGTCGACTGCCAAGTATAAAGGTCCAGACTCAAGCATTGACAGCAGCTTCTGTTCCCGAGTCGACAACTCCCCAGCCCATCCATTCATTTAGACTTTGAAGTCAGCAGACCCTTGCCCATCTTGCCAATATGCACACTTCGCACGTCCTCATCGCCGCTGCCGGCTTGTTGTCGAACGCGGTCCTCGCCCAGAGAGCGCTGCCGAAGCGCGGCGTCGACTGCTTCTTCTCGTATACCCCATCCAAGGGCGATACCTGCGCCACTTTTGCTGCCAGCTGGGCCTTGGATGTCGCAGAGTTCCAGAGCCTGAACCCGGGTGTCTCTTGCCCCAACCTGGACACCTCGAAGCAGTACTGTGTTCTGGGCAACGTCAACGACGACGGCCCGGCCACGAGCACGTCGACGAGCACTTCTACCAAGGCGCCGACCCCGACCACTTCCAAGACTTCGACCACCGCGGCCCCTCCTGCTTCCAGCAACAGCCCCGCCATGCCTGGCCTCGCGGGCAACTGCGACGGCTTCCACAAGATTGTCAGCGGAGACAACTGCGACGCCATCAGCAAGAAGTACGGCATCACCAGGAGCCAGTTCCTCGGCTGGAACACCGAGGTCAACAAGGGTATGTGCGCAGACACTTCCTCTTCTTCCCGCTGACAACGTGTTCTGACACCGAGCTCGACCAACAGATTGCACCAACCTCTGGCTTGACTACTACGTCTGTGTCCACGTCTCGGGCGCCGGCTCCGGCCCGACCACCACCACCACGACCTCCAAGACGACCACGCCGCCCACCAGCCAGCCCACCAACTCTGGTCCCCAGCCGCAGATGCCCGGCATCGTCCCCAGCTGCAAGAAGTTCCACCTGGTCAAGGACGGCGAGGGCTGCTGGGCCATCTACACGAACGCGGGCATCACCTTTGAGCAGTTCCGCGCGTACAACACCCAGATCGACGAGAACTGCAGCAACATGTGGAAGGATGTGTACGTCTGTGTCGGGGTTTAAAGTGGGCAAGGCCCGTTGTCTGCCCGGTTCGCACGCGAGCTGTTCAGAAAATATACTCTGCTTCGGGACAGGGTCAACGCAGACTACGACCTAGCACGTCTACTACTCCGCTTTGGCTGACGGATGGACGAGAAGAAGACGGAGGGCACATGGGGTCATTCAGTATATAGTTCGTCTGTACATATTTTCAATACGAGTTTCTCATTTCATGGGACAGTCAATGAAAGATTTTCGGAATTTCGAGGACGTCCTGCTCGCAAATATTTCTGATCGACGACGATGCAGCGAGCTGGGAATTGTTGTCTACGTACAAAAGAAATAAAATGAATGTTACAAGGTGCGCTCCAGAGCGGTATTCATGTGCTCCGATGTATATTACCCACCGAGCCGTCTACGGGATGCCTTGCAGACTGGTTGATCCGGGGCTGTTGCGGATATTCGGCATGTTTTCCTCCCATGGCCTGTCTTAATTCTTCCCGGCCGTGCCACGCTTCCACACACACACAAACACGACGCTCTACGTCTTCGAAGATTATACAGGTAAAAACATTATGCTATAGGATATAATATGACACATAGGGAAAAAAAACACCCGCTGGCTCCATTTTATGCAGACGACCAACACAAACACTTCTCATTTCGTGGTTCTTCTCCCACTGATACACACACTTGGATGGATTTGATTACGACCTCGGCCCCGACCGCGGGAGCAGCTCGAAGCTGGGACTATCGGGCGTGCGCGGGGCCGCGACGCCCAAGAAGTCGGGCACGGCGCTGCTCCCATGGCTCCGAACCGACGCGTTGGTCGCGGACGGTGGCACGCCGGGCGAGGTCGCGCCCGAGGCGAACGTCTCGCTGGGATCCCATTTTTCTTTAGCCGACTTGTCGAGCATGAAGTCTGAGAGTGGCCGGTGCCGCGGCGGGCCCGAGCTGAGCGGAGAGGAGGCGCCGGTGCGGGACGTGCGGCCCTGCCGGACCTCGAGGTAGGTGGTCAGGAAGTCCTCGTCCGTCTTGGCCGCGGTGCGCTTCTTGTGCCAGTTCGCGAGGAACCAGCCCATCAGGACGAGGACGATGGCGCCGAGGGCCACGCCCACGCCCAAGCCGGCCTTGGCGCCCGTGGACAGGCCGGTGGAGGGTGCCTGGTCGTTGTTGCTACTGCTGCTGTTGTCGCCATTGTTGTTGGAAGGAGATGAGGGCGAGTTGACCGGCGCATTTCCCGGGGCCGTTTGTGTCGGGACTGCTACGGGGACGCCTGTCTGCTGTGTCGAGGTGTTGACCGTGGTGGTCGAGGCTACTGTGCTGAGCGTCGTCGCGGTGGTTGTGTCTGAAGATGATGAGCCCGGCCGGGCAGGTTTCACCGAAAAGACTGTGTGGTGGTTAGCTAGGGGCTCGTCCTGGAAGGCTGAGAGTTGGGAGTGGACTCACCATTTGATGCAACCTCGCCGTTGGCATCGTCTGCCATGAAACGAAACGCCCAGCTCTGTATCCCCAATCAGTATTGATCCGCTGTGGCCGTGCATGCTCGCAAACTTACACCACACGACTGACACGACACCTCATTGTCAGGCAGCGACACGGTCCACTCTATCGAGAAATCCGAGGTCACGTCGATCTTGCTGGCGACCTTGTGCTTGAACGGCAGCTGGCCCGAGATGCCCACGCTGGTAATGTACAGGTCGGCCGCCGTCTTGAGACAGCCCGGGCAGTAGGCCGGGAACCAGTCCTGGAGGCTGCTTGTCCAGCCGATCCGGATCTTCTGGCCGACGTTGATGGTGGTCGCCAAGTCCGGGCCCTTGGGGAACGTCCATGTGTCCTGGACGACCTGGGCGAGGGTTGTCGTCGCGAGGAGTGCTGTCGTCAGAAAGGGGATGGCATTGTGCGGTTGTCGTTGTCGCTGGTGTCGCCGCCTGCCGGGATTCGAGTTTGTTAGGAGGCGCATCGTGGTCCGCCGACGACCATGGCGTGTCGTCTGACGCTGGGCTGCTGGCTCTTGGATGAGGGGAGGGGTTGCTGGGCCTCTTGACAGGAGCGAAAGTACGACGAAAGAGAGGGCGAGGCCTAAGAGAAGAACGAGGGCACGGCCTCCCGGGACTTGTGCGGGCGACCCATGCGGACGGGCAGGTATTAATTAAATTGCAGCCCACCTCAGGCCGGGCCAGGCCAGGCACTGGGCGCCTACTAGCCGGTGCCTTGGCCCCGGTCGCAACCCCTGTCCCGGCAACGCCGCCCCTTTTGGTGCCCCCCGCTGCTGGACCAAGGGTACTCGTGTGTTTCCGCATCGTGACTGGCCCGTTTCGCCCGCCTCACCTGATCCCCCAGGGGTCCAAATGCAGCCTCTGTGCCTGTCGGCATGGGCCGAGTGGCTCAATACTTAGGAGCCGCTGCTGCTCGCTCGCTCATGCCCTGCCCGACTAGCTAATAGTCAGCGCGCGGCCAGCTGCCGTCACCACGGATTCGGGCCGCCCTCTGCCTGCGCGATCCCAATCTCTGTTCCGTGTTCTTGGAAATCAATAACGCAGAACTTGATATTGCTTCAGATGTGACTAGGAGCGTCCTCCATACATCGCGGCCGCCGATCAATGCAGTGATGGCACGCAAAACAAAATGAACCCTTGAGCCGATCCGTGGGGGGTTGTGTTGGCATTGATTCGTGACGATGCTACGCTGCCATCCACGTCGTCGCATCACGGGCAAACCAGTGGGGGAGGAGAGGAGGTGCATGTGATGGGCGTGGTGGCAATGGTTACAGATAGGTCAGCATTTGATGGCCAGCTTCGTCGTGATCAGCCCACACGCAGTGCGACCTCGGCCAGATTCGCGGCCACGTGCACAATGACGAGACTCTCCACAGGCGTCCCTGGCTGCTGGTAATCGACCTCGCCAGGGGTCAGAGGTCACTACAAAAGATGACCAGTCGCTGCTGCGCTCCCACCGCGATGGGCCAGTGTGGGCTCGACGGCTGTGGGCATGAGGCTGTCATAACTCATGTCCATGCAGCGCTCGTGATAACGGTGGGGCCCTGTGGGACGCCCGTTGTCGTGATCGCAGGAGGGTCTGCGGTGGCTCAGAGCATGAGACGGCTTTAATTGGGGGGGGGGGGGCAATGCCTTGCGTGGTCAATCCTTTGCGAGCCCTCTGGTCGGCAAGCTGTCATAAGACCGCACTCACAGATGTATTTGTAGAGCATCGTCAGCACTGGTCCTTTTCTGCCTAGTTCATAAGGCTAAAAGTGACAAGAGCATGGCCCGAAATGACATATCGAAATTTACTCCTGCCGCCCGGCTCCCCACACCTTTGTCAGAAAGTCCTCTGCACCCGTGAACTGAAACCCCTCCGGCAGCAGCCTATTGACCTCGTCTGAGCTGTCCCACGCGCCTTTGGAGAAGCTCAGCAGCGTCCCGATGGCGACCTGCTTGAGCAGCTCCTGCAGCTGCTCAGCCGCCACCGCTTTGTGGCTGAGCTGCAGTCCCCATGGGGACTTGAGCTCGCCAGCCTCCAGATCAGCCGTCTGAAGCACCGTGACGGTCATAGGTTGCCCTGTGATGAGTTAGTCAGCGATCACCCAAACGTGGATTGACAGCTTGGCTCACCAAAGATGCGCTCGCCCATGTCCAGGATGGCCCGCGCGGACAGCTTATTGCCGCAGATGCCCGCCGTCTTGGGCCACGGCACCTCGCCAGGGAGGTCAACCATGGCCAGCACTGCCTGGCCCACATCCGTGATGCTCGTGAACGTGATGGGGACGTCCTCGCGACCTTCGACAACCATGGCGCGCTTTCCCGAAAAGTCGAACACGGTCATCAGCGGGTCAAGGTAGGCGGTCGTCTTGTGCGGGGCGGCGAGATACTCGAGAAACATGCCCGGCTGGATGAGCGAGTACTCAAAGTCGTGCGTCTGGGCCAGCCGCTCGAGCTGGTCGCGGTGGGCCTGCTTGTTCTGGTAGAAAGACATGTCTGTGAAGGAGACGCTGCTCCACTCGCTCGGGGCGATGCGCCTGACTCCTGCAGCGACGGCGGCGTCGATGAGGTTCTCCTGCGCGGTCTTGCCAGCATCGGTGAAGAGCTGGAGGAAAGACAAGAGGGTGTGGGTGCCGGCGAGGGCCTGCTCGAGAGACGGACGGTCGTCGTAGTCGACGACTTGGATGCTGACCCCGGCAGGCAAGGGAGGTTCGGGAGGGGTGGACTGGTGGTTGTTAGCCAGGGTCGGGACGTCGGCATCAGACATGACGCACGCTGCGGCTGAGAACGACGACTTCGTGTCTCTGGGACTCTGCAAGAGCTTCGAAGATCTCACGGGCAACAGCTGTGAGGCACAGGCTCGCGTGTTAGTCTGTGAGCACAGTCTGTGATGTGATGTGGAGGTGAGGGGGTCGCATACTGCCGGTGCCGCCGGCGATGGTGACCTTGACCATGATGAGAGATTGCTTGTATGTTGGAATTGTGCTGCGCCGATTTGCTGCCTGTCTTGTGTGGCGATTGCAAGTCATTTCGAAGAGGCGATTGTGATTTCTCTTTATATCTGGAGCGCGTCCTTCCCGGCCGCGGCGCAACGGGCAGTAGCGCTTTGCCAACCGTCCGTGGGGCCGGTGGGTGCTCCTTCCCCATGCTTCGCCCGCGGCCGAGCACACCCGCACACGCCTACTCCGCCGCGATCAACGCACATATAGCCTCCGACATAGCCGGTCAGCAGCGACCAAAAGGCAACACCACGTCACCACAGTACCCGAAGCCGCCATGACCTCGACCACCGCGGCGAAGCGGCGCCGGGTGCGTAAGGGCACGCAGAGCTGCTGGCAGTGCAAGCGGCGCAAGACTCGCTGCACCTTCTTTGCGGCACGCGCGGCAGCTCCGGGCGACGGCAGACTCCAGGGCCCATGCGACGGGTGCCGCAGCCGACGGACAAAATGCGTCAGCCAGGAGTTTGAGGAGGACGGTGCCGTCTCTGTACAGGCTGCTGAAGACCAAGAGGGGTCCATACAGGCAAGTCTGGCGTGCACGCCGCCCTCGGTCATGTCTCGAAAATCCTGCTGATCACACATGTCACGGCCCAGGCCACCACTGCAGACGAGCATCATGTCCAGGACGTGCCGCCATTCACTGCTTGGTCCACCTTGAAGCCCCCAGACTTGTCGCGGGCGCTTGCATCAGTCTGGCCGCCTTGGGACGACCTGGTAAGGCTGACCGAGTGGCACGGCCATTCACACAATACTTTCCATGGCGTCATATGCCAGTCTTACGAGACCCTCTGGGACTCCCTCCGGGCCGACTCGCGCGAGAACTTGTTGCAAGGCATGCTGAGGCCACCGTCTGACGCCCAGGCGCAGCATCCCGTGCGGCTGGCGCGCCGCCTGCTTCTCCTCAGCAAATTCCTACAAGCAATTGGCGACAAAGTCAACCAAGGTGCGGGCAACCTGGCGCGGTCACCCACGGCGCGAAAGAGCCTGATGCACGACGCCTTTGAGGCAGCGACACGGCTCGTGACCTCGGACCACAGGCTCGTGGCCGGCTCTCTCGACGGCATCGAGTGCGTCATGATCGAGGCCATGTGCCACAACAACGCAGGCCGTCTCCGAGCCGCGTGGCTCACCAACCGGCGGGCCATGCTCATGGCTCAGATGCTAAGGGTGCATGACCAAGACACACAACAAACAGGAGAGCTGCCGGTCCTGCACACCACGACCCGGCACCGCATCGACCCGGAGATCATGTGGTTCCGACTCGTGGGCACGGACTGGTACCTCTCCATGCTGCTGGGCCTCGCCCCAGACAGCGCCTCGCTGGCAGAGCACCCGGCCTGGGCCAGCTCTACGACACTGGCCAGGTTCTCGCCACTCGAGCAGCTCGAGCGCATCATGATCGCTGTCGCAGGGCGGATCCTCATCCGTCAGCAACGAGAACGACAGGGACAGGTGGTCGACCAGGCACAGAGAAGAGAGCAGCTATTCGAAGAAGACAAGAGAATGCAGGCCGCCGCAAAACTGATGCCGCCAGAATGGTGGGCTCCATTTACAGACAAGGAGCCAGCTGGCCCCCAAGATCCCGCAGACGAGCTGCAGCAGATCCTCCGCGTCATGGGCCAGTTTGCATACTATCAGGTGCTGGTGCAGCTGCACCTACCACACATGCTATCCCGAGGCGACGAGGCGGACCTCGAGGTCTGCGACTATAGCCGGGCGACTGCCGCCCACGCGTGCCGCACCATCCTGTCGCTGTTTGAGCGGATGCGCGCCGCGCGGGCCGCGGGGAGCACGTACTGCCGCGGCGTCGATTTCGTCGTCTTTGTCGCCGCCGTCACGCTCTGCATTGCACACATTGACACGCGGCGGCGCCAGCAGCTGGCACGGATGTATGCACGGCGACCGCTCGACGCCCTCGAGCACCAGCGCCTCGCGGATCGAGCACTGCTGGACCGGACGCTCGGGGCCATGCACCACTCGCCCTTTGTGTCGTCGACCGACGGCAGCGGCGGGTCCGACGACGTGGTGGCCCAGAAGATGGCCGGTGTGGTCCAGTCACTACTCATGGTGGAGGGCGAGGTGGCCAAGGACCAGCACTGGGAGGTGTACATTGTGCGTGGCCGGAAAGCCTGCCACGCCAACGACGCCATGGAGTCTGTCCGCGTCGATATCCCGAACCTAGGCACGATAGTGCTCGAGCGCATCAGTGGCCAGCAGGCTGCGGATCTGTCGCCGCTTCCTGCAGCTGCCCTGTCGTGCGCGGCCATGGGCGATGTCGACGGATGCACGCTGCAGGGCGTCGACCTGGCGCTGTTTACGGGCATGACGGAGGGGCTGTTTGGCGAGACGACGATGTTTTGAGGCTCTGCCGCCGTATGTCGGCGATCCCCCGATCGGATGAAATCTGGTCCGGCTGAGCCAAGACAAGCCAAGCCCAGGCTACTGCGTGAAGTATACACCTGTGGGGGAGGGTCGGAGGCCGAGCCGGCCGGCCCCCGGAACCATACAAACAGTGTGCGCGTCACAAGCCAGTACGGCCGCCGCCACGACTCGTGACTCAGCCGGAGAGCAATCAGCCAAGTAACACCTCGCAGCCGTCGGCCGCCGACACTGTCAACCACACTCACAGCGTGCTTGGCAGCAGACGCACTTTTAATTAAACGGCCTCGCGACATTTCTCCTGCCATGACGGACACTGCAACTGCCCACGACGACGACTGACCGCCATGGCCACAGCGACGACGGCCTCACCCGAAGCGGCGGAAAAGACGGGCGACGGCGCCCCGTCCGAGTCCTCGCCCAGCGACACCAACGAGCTGCCCCAGGATCCAGCCTTTACCGCGTACAAGCGCATCTTCAGCTATGCCGGGCCCCTGGAAAAGGCCATGCAGGCCGTCGCCATCGTGGCCGCGCTCGCCTCGGGCGCCGGCATCGCCTGCCAGAACCTCATCTTTGGCAGCTTCATCACCAACATCACCGGCTTCGCCGTGACCGGCGTGTCCGGGGACGCCTTCCGCGCCTCCGTCTCGCAGCTGGCCCTCTACTTTGTGTACCTGGGCATCGGCCGGCTCGTGCTGTCGTACGCGTACAACACGCTGCTCACGCACGCCGCCTACCGGGTGGTGCGCAACATCCGGCACGACTACCTGCGGGCCGCGCTGCGCCAGGAGGTGGCCTTTTACGACTTTGGCACGGGCGGCTCCGTGGCGGCGCAGGCCACGTCTAACGGGCGCCTCGTGCTCGGCGGCATCTCTGAGAAGTTTGGGCTCACGTTTCAGGGCATCGGCGCCTTCGTCGCGGCGTTTGCGATCGCTTTTGCCGTGCAGTGGAAGCTGACGCTCATCTGCCTGTGCATCCCGCCGGTGACGATTGGCGTGACGGGCTTCGTGGCCGCGCTGGGGGCCAAGATCGAGACGCGCGTGCTCGAGATCCACGGGCAGGCCAACGCGTTTGCCGAGTCGGTCCTCTCGAGCGTGCGGACGACGCACGCGTTCGAGATGCGGGAGCGCCTCGTGGCCCGCTTCGACAGCTTCCTGGCCGACGCACACGCCACGGGGCGGAAGCTCAGCCCGCTGTGGGCGGTGCTCTTCTCGACCGAGTACACCATCATCTATCTGGGGTTCGGGCTGGCCTTCTGGCAGGGGGTCCGGATGCTCGCGAGCGGCGAGATCACCGAGACGGGCACCATCTTTACCGTGCTGCTATCCGTCGTCATCGCCTCGGTCAACCTGACCATCATCGCGCCCAACGCCCTCGACTTTGGCAGGGCCGCCGCCGCCGCCGCCCAGCTCTTTGCCCTCATCGACCGCGAGTCCAAGATCGACCCGCTGCTCAAGACGGGGCTCGAGCCCGACGTCACCACCGGCCATGTCCGGCTCGAGAACGTTACCTTTGCCTACCCGACCCGCCCGGGCGTCACCGTGCTCGACAACTTCAGTCTCGACGTCCCCGCCGGCAAGGTGACCGCGCTCGTGGGCCAGTCCGGCTCCGGCAAGAGCACCATTGTCGGGCTGCTCGAGCGGTGGTACAACCCGGGCTCCGGGAGCATCAAGCTCGACGGTGTGGCGATCGAGGACCTGAACCTCCACTGGCTGCGCAGGAACGTCCGGCTCGTGCAGCAGGAGCCCGTCCTGTTCCAGGGCTCCGTCTTTGACAACATCAACCACGGCCTGGTCGGCACGGCGTGGGAGCACGAGCCGCTCGAGGAGCGGATGCGGCGGGTCGAGGAGGCGGCGAGGATGGCCTTTGCCCACGACTTCATCTTGGAGCTCCCCGGCGGATACGACACCAACATTGGCCAGCGCGGCTCCCTGCTGTCGGGCGGCCAGAAGCAGCGGGTCGCCATTGCGCGCAGCATCGTCTCCCAGCCGAAGGTCCTGCTTCTCGACGAGGCCACCTCGGCCCTCGACCCCCATGCCGAGCACATTGTCCAGCAGGCGCTCGACCGCGCCGCCGTCGGCCGCACCACCATCGTCATTGCCCACAAGCTCGCCACCATCCGCAAGGCCGACAACATCGTCGTCATGTCCAAGGGCAGCATCGTCGAGCAGGGCAGCCACGCGTCGCTCATCGCCCACGACGGCGCCTACGCCCGGCTCGTCAGGGTGCAGGATCTCGCTGTGTCTGCGGCGCCGACAGTTGCCGAGCCGGAGGAGGAGGATGAGGAGAAGAAGACGGCCGCGGCGGCGGACGACCTCCAGCAGACCCTCACAAAGTACTCCACGGCGGTCCAGGACAAGCTCGCCTCCGGCACCCGGCGCGACGACTACGACCTCCACCAGCAGCGGGGCATCGTCGCCATGGTCTACATGCTCTTCCGCGAGTCGCCCGAGATCTTCTGGGTCGAGGTTGGCGTCCTGGTCTCGTGTGTGCTTGGCGCCATGACCATTCCCGGGCAGGCCATCCTCATGGCCAGCGTCGTCGACGTGTTTACGCTCACCGGCGACGCCATGGTGCAGAGGGGCGACTTCTTTGCCAGCATGTTCATCGTCATCGCGGCCGGCTGCCTGGTCGGATACGGGATGCTGGGCTACTTTGCCAACATTGTCGCGCAGCACCTCTCGCACAAGTACCGCCGCCAGACCCTCGCCGACCTCCTCCGCCAGGACCTGCAGTTCTTTGACCGGCCCGAGAACAACACGGGCGCGCTCGTCAGCCGCCTCGACTCGAACCCGCAGTCCATCCTCGAGCTCATGGGGTACAACGTGTCCCTCATCTTCATCGCCGTCTTCCAGCTCGCCGTCTGCAGCATCCTCGCCGTTGCCTACAGCTGGCGCCTGGGGCTGTGCATCATCGGCGCCGGTCTGCCCCCCTTGCTGGCCGCCGGCTACTACAAGATCCGCCTCGACGCCAAGCTCGACCGCGACAACGGCAAGCGCTACGGCGCCTCGGCCGCCATCGCCTCCGAGGCCATCAACGCCATCCGCACCATGTCGTCGCTCGCCATCGAGGAGTCGGTCCTCGCGCAGTACGTCGCCGAGCTCGACCATGCCGTCCACGGGTCGGTCGTGCCCACCCTCTGGCTCATGCTGTGTTTTGGTCTGACCCAGAGCATCGAGTACTGGTTCATGGCGCTCGGGTTCTGGTACGGGTGCACGCTGCTGTCGTACGGGACCATCACCCAGACCGAGTTCCTCGTGGCGTTCCTGTCCGTCTTCTACGCCGGCCAGGCCTCGGCGCAGCTCTTCATGTTCTCGTCGAGCGTGACCAAGGGCGTCAACGCGGCCAACTACACGGACTGGCTGCGCAGGCTGCAGCCCACGATCGCAGAGAAGGAGACGGCAGCAGAGGTCACGGCCGACAGCATCGCCCTCGACGGCGTGCGCTTCTCGTACCCGCTGCGGCCGGACGCGCAGGTCCTTCGCGGCGTCGACCTCGACATCCGGCGGGGCCAGTTTGTCGCGCTCGTCGGCGCCTCGGGCTGCGGCAAGTCGACCATGATTGCCATGCTCGAGCGCTTCTACGACCCGACGACGGGCACCATCTCGGTGGGGGCGTCCCGCACCCCTATGCCCGGCCTCAACCCCCGGCTGTACCGCCGGCAGGTCGCCCTCGTCCAGCAGGAGCCCACCTTGTTCCCGGGCTCCGTCCGCGACAACATTGCCCTCGGCGTCGACACCACTTCCCCCGTGGACGACCTCGCCATCGAAAAGGCCCTGCGCGCCGCCAACGCCTGGGATTTCGTGTCCTCCCTCCCCGACGGCCTCGCCACGCCCACGGGCACCAGCGGCAGCCAGCTCTCCGGCGGCCAGAGGCAGCGCATCGCCATTGCGCGCGCGCTGATCCGCTCCCCGCGGATCCTGCTGCTCGACGAGGCCACCAGCGCGCTGGACACGGAAAGCGAGAAGATTGTCCAGGCCGCGCTCGCCGAGGCAGCCGCGTCGGGTGGCGGCGTCGAGGGCAGGGTGACGGTCGCCGTGGCGCACCGGCTGAGCACGATCAAAGACGCGGACGTCATCTGCGTCTTCTACCAGGGCAAGATTGTCGAGATGGGCAGCCACAGGGAGCTCGTGGAGCTGGGCGGGATGTACAGGAAGATGTGCGAGGCGCAGGCCCTGGACTGATTTATGCATCTTTTCTTTTGTATTTGTGCGTTTGCTCAACTATAGATAATGTAATCGTTGGTCGCCAAGGGCCAGCATTGTCGAGGCCGCCCCTTGTCATGCGAATGCTGTCGTAGAACATCTGACTCTCCTTTGTGTCGGGTTGACGACCTAGACCGCACCCCGGCCAATGTGCCAAGGAACATTGTGTCGAAGAGATTCGCGAGCCATGGATGCCCTTGATCCATCAAATTCGACGCCAGGATGTGTGGCAGCCGACGCAGCTGTCGTCGTGGCCCTCCCTCCACTAGTACCCAATGAGCCTGGCTGGCGATGTGGTTTACGCGTGCTGCGGTGTAGTAATGGCTGTGGCGATGCCCAACAAGGGATCGCACTCTTCAATGTTTTGGACGCCGAGTATGGTGTTTCAAGCCTCGGGAGAAAAGGTTTTTTGTCCTTTTATTATTATTTCTTCAACAACACCTCTGCATCGCACCCCCGACACGCAACTCCTCGTTAATAACCAGCCTTCCGCTCCTGGCAGTACTTGGCAACCTCCTTGGCCAGCCTCTCGCGCTGGATCACGACATTCTGCATCATCTCGCCCACGGTGTCAATCTCCTTCTTGGTCAGCCCGGCCCACCGCTCATCCCCCGCGCCCTCCTTGTCGCTGCCGCTGCCAGCACCAGCCCCGCCGCCAGTCCAGACGCCTTCCTCGAGGATGGCCCAGAGCCCCGAGCCCTGGGCCACGTCGACCATGAGGTCCATGACGGCGGCGAGCTGGTTGGGCAGCCAGGTGATGATGGGGCTGCCTCCCGTCGCCGTGGGGTGCTGCGTGTACTTCAGTATGTACTCCCGGGTGAACTGCCAGTGCCGCCAGCGGAAGCTGCGCACGTGGTCCAGCACGCGGAGGTACATGATGGCGGCCGAGAGGTCCCCGGCCCCCTTGGTGAGGAACCCGCGCACCCCCACCTCGGCGGCCGTCTCGCGCACGTACTTGAGGAAGCGGCGGTGCGGCTTGGGCCGGTACTCGCGGAACTCGACGAGGATGTCGGTGAGCGGGTTCTTGGGCATGGGGATCTCGCACAGGTGGTCGAGCAGCGGGATGATGGCGTCGTTGGCGCCCGACTCGCCGCGGAAGGCCACGGGCTTGTCGTCAAAGGAGCCCTCGTAGACGACGCCGTCGGGGAACATGCTCTGGCTCGTGATGCCGTAGATGAATGTCCTGTAGCTCATCTGTTGGATGTTAGTTGGGATGATGTGGTGGTCCACACAGAGACATGTCCAACTCACATAGTCCTTGGGCTTCGAGTTCCCCCACATCGACTCCATCGCGGCCTCAATCGCCTGCATCGCGTCGAGGATCTTGGCCAGCCCCTGCCTGGCCGTGTCGGCAGACTCTGCCTCGGCCGCATGCAGCACGTCGACCGCGCCCTCGATCAGCGCGCCCGTGCGCACGACCATGTGGATGTGCGTGAGGATAAACCCGGCCTCGGACGACTTGGGGTCGAGGCCCTTCTCGAACGCCCGGACGAGGCGCAGGTTCTCGTAGTCGCCGTGGCCCGCGCTGGGGCGGACGAGGTAGTAGTTGTACAGCGCGTACGAGGCCGCGTACGACATGAAAGGGGGGATGTCGAGGATCGCGCCGCACCTGACGAGCGGGCCGGCGATGCAGCGGGGGAGGGTCTGGCGGCCCAGGCCGTAGCCCTTGTTGCCGTCCTTGTCGGTGCTCTTGCCCGTGCTGTACGTCTCCCAGCAGGGCTCGAGCAGGTACGACGAGGCGACGAACGAGTAGTCCCGGAACGCGGCCGTGACGGCGTCCATGTCGAGCTTGTCCGTACCCGGGACCACGAGGTTGTCAATCTCGCCGGTCAGGTCCGGGAGGGCGCCGCCGTCAATCAGGGGTCCGAGCTGGAACGTGGCCAGCAGGCCCGGCTGCCCGTCCAGCTTCTCGATGGGCATCTCGTCGAGGATCTCGCTGAGCTTGTCAAAGGCAGCAGGCAGGCGGCGGAGGGGCAGGCGGCAGGGAAGGTAGCCCATCTGGGCAGTGATCTCAAAGGGGTCTGCGTGCGCTGGCACGTCGGCCGGGTCGACGGTGAGGTACGGCACCTCGGTCTTGGCACTTGCCATGGCAGAGGTCATCTTTTCTCGTGTAAGTGGGAGCAGGTGCAGATGTGATGGGGGGGGGGGGGGGTGGTGTGCTTTTTGGTGGTGGTGCTTTGCTTGGTGTAAGCCAACTTGTGAAGGCAAAGGTGGCAAGTTTCCGCCGGGTCCTCCGGGGCAGCCCACGGCGGGCGGCTCCGTTAATATACATCGTGGCCGGAAAGCGTTCCGGCCTACGATGTTCTGTAATTCCGGCCTCGACGCCGAGAAGTCACGTGAGGGCCGTACGTAACAATTAGACACGCAGCACGAAAGTGGCCCACCGACCCCGGGCGACCCCGGGTCCGCCGCCCATCTCATTAGTAACGTGGGGAGCCCCCGGGCGAATCAGAGAGGGCACACGCTGGCCATGTGCGTGTCTTGGCAGGCCCCAGCTCGGAGCGTTCTGGCTTATCGGACTTGCGGTGCTTTGGTAGTTTTCTAATTGGCGCTGCACACGAGTCACAATGCTGGCTCCCCCAGCTGTCACCCTTGCATCCATTCAGTCCGGCTCGTCGATAAGGCTGCCGTGCTCGGTGACCCAGGACACACTAGTCTTGCCGATTCTGCCCACCGCCTTCAGCCGCCAATGACCCTGAGGACGCGTAGCTGCGTAGTATGTCCAGACTGGGTTGATCGAGATGTTCCCCGTCTGTCCCACAAATTTACTAGACTATACACAAGCTGCCGTGTGGGAGAAAGACGGGGGTGACGCCACTGTTCTGTACTGCTCCCGCTCCAAATGCAGATTGGAGTTTCACAACGCCGACACTGAAATGCTAGGTGCAGGCATGTCCCAAACTGACACTATACCAAGAAGTTGCATTAGCCTTTGCCAAACACAATCAAAGTAAACTTATTACTCACCAGCGCGAAGCCGTAGGCCAGCACAATCATGCACAGCAAGCCCAGCAAGCCCATGCCTACCATGTCCATGCTCACGTTATGGTTCCGCCTTCCTATCATGGCCACCAGCACTACCCTGGTCATCAGATGTTTTCGCCTCACCCCCACGGACACCAGCAGCCATACACTCACTACGGCGGTCATGGCCCAAATGACTCCAGCTACATGAGTCAATACATCCAAGGTCCTTATGGAAGTGCCCATAGCCCTCAAGGTCCTGTCCAGTAGCACCTCCTGGGTCGAGAGCCACAGCCTATGACTGGTTAGTGCTGTGATATTGACAACTCCCCCTGTACATCTGCTGACCTTTCAAAGAATCCCATTTGCCCATGATCAACCAGGGCGTTGTTCCAGGTCCGCTTGGCATGACTGGCAGAATCCGTCCTCTGCTGGACGAGACCCTGCGGCTGGCGGATCAAGTACGAGACGTCTCTGCCTTCCTGGCTCCGCCTGAGAAGCGAGCCCGTGAACAAGGCACGTCTCCTACCGAGGCCACTGCCTCGAAGACCAGGACTTTTTACCAACGGTGATAGAAAAAGAATAATTGGACGATCTGGCTCTCGCGGCAAGTCTTCCTTGGGGCGCGGAGGCGGATAAAAGGTTCAATATCTGGTGAGAGCTTGAGAATCAGCACAAGACGTTCATGCAAGTCGATGACTACTTGCGAACATCTCTTGACCATCACATGTGCAGGTAAGGTCTCAAGGTTCATGAAGCCTGGTCTGAATTGCTATGGCGATTTCCTGTATTGCATACCGCCGGCTTTGACCTTTCTTCCCTGGGCTAAAAGACCAGGCATGCCATGCACTTGGTCACCGACTGCATAAAGAGGAATGCCCTAGTGCCAGATCCTGCCCTCATATGCCATGCTGTACCAATTCCGATCTTGCTCAGCCCTGGTGCTAGTCCTCATCCGCAGCCGTGGTGGGAAACTGGCCTGCGATTTGGGCGCCGGCTGTGCCGCCGTCGGTGTCGTGGGCGGTCTGCTGACCCGCACCCAAAATATTGGCGCCCTCCTCATATTGATTGCTACCAAAGTTGGCCGCAGGCGCACCCTGAGGAGGCGGCGGAACGGACTGTGCACCGCCAAGGTATTGCTGCGGAATGCTCAGTGGCAGCATTCCATGCTGTGGGATGCCAAGCAAGATGTCGTGCGGAGGGTGCTCGGGAGCCAGCGAGACACCCGAAGTCGAGGGCGGGCTGGTGTAGGAATCGGGCTGGCCTTGGATGCCCGACGCGACCGTGCTGGGTGCCTCTGTTGTGGTCTGTCGTGTGGACTGGCGCTGTTCATGCTGGATGGCCGCTGGCGATGCGCGTTAGTGTTTGGTTCGCAGACATTACCCGGGGTCAGGCTTACCAGTAGTGAACACGAGGAGTGCGGCCGGGAGGCCACGCTTGTCTATGAGCGCAAACAAGATCTCCTCGAACCGTTGATTAGCCTCCTTCTCCAAGGCCGCGCGAGCGTGTTTCTTGTTGTTAGGCGCCATGGTTGTGAGCGGAGTGGGTGTGTGAGCTTTTGATTGTTGGCTTCAGGTTGAGCGCGTGGTGATGAGCCACTGAGAGATGTTGTTCAGGTTGAGAGTTGTGAGCAAAGGGACGGGCGATCATTCCTCCCGCAGGCAGGCGAGTGCCGGCCGCATTTCTCACAGGCAATAATGCGCTTTCGCCATGAATGGGTCCAGGTGCTCCATTGTTCAACGCCAGAGAGGACGCATGTCTACGTGCCAGGAAACTGTGCCTTTTTCTCTATGTTTCGACAACACCGCAGGCCCCAATTCGTCTCATCACCACTCCACTGCATCGCGGCACTTCACTTTCTCCTGCATCAAAGTCCCCCAACCACTTACCATCACCAAGGATACCCCCTCTCACGATCAACGGCCTGGCAATGCCGTCCAACGCGAACTCGTCATCGCGCATCCCTCCTCCACGACCAGAAGACACCGCGGTGGTGACTGCGATCCGCGCAAAGTCGGAGCGTGTACAGCCGTGGCTCGTCAAGGTATGCAAACTGTTCCCGCAGACGACCAGGCCGTGCTTGCTGACAACCAATCTGCAATAGGTCTGCAACGTGCTCCACGACTTCTTCCAGAGCGAAATGACGGACCAGACCATTCCCGACATCGCTGAGATTCGCACAGAGTGCTCCAAGACCTCCCATCGCTCGCTGAGGCCATGTGCCGTGACGCCACTGGCGCCGAGCCGCCCAATCACGTGTCGTTCAAAAAGAAGGGCAAAAGCAAGAATAAAGGCAACAAGAAACACCAATACGGCCAACAGATCGATATTCACATCAACAAGCTCGTCCACCAGAGCCTTGCTGGCATCTTTTGCGTCTCAAACAAGATTTCCGAGCCAGGCGAGCGATTTCAACTCGCCAGCACGGGCAAGGAGTTTGAGAACTCGTGGGACCGACATCCTCGCAGCCGCGGACGCCGTGAAGGCTACCAGTCTTGTCTTTGGCGATACGCTCGGCAAGTTGCGTGAGCGCGTCGCGAACATGGCAGACTTCCTTGGACAAGTAGCTCGATGTAGCCCATTTTACCCTCTGAAAGACGCAGGTCGGCTAACCCGAGGTGGAGTTGAGATGGAGCAATGAAAGATCACCACATGCATAGAGCCCACGTAGCGATTGGCCACCCCTGAAATGAACTGACTGATCCTGCAAGGGCACAGTAGAAGATCAACACGTTGCCCGATCGTGACGCCCCACAAATATGACCATGTTGTCGATAATTCCCGTAAATACACCGCCATCTGCTTCCATCCCTCTCATCTCGCACGCCCGATGGCTGCCCTAAGTGTTCAGCCTCTGCACCACTTCCACCCTGTCTCTCGATCCTTCATCATGGCGTAAGGGCAATGAGAAAACCCGGGCTTGGTCGAAGCCGCTGTAAATCCGAAAGCATGCCGCTGATGACTATATCCCACAAGTCGGTCCTCCCCTAGATAAGAGCCTCGGCCTCAATCTCGACCACCATCTCCTCCAGAGCCAGCCGCCTGACCTCTACGCAGGTCCAGGTTGGTCGGTGATCCGGGCCTAGCTCCTTGAACGCCTTGGTCATCACCTCAAACGCCCCGGCAATGTCGGTGTGGAAACTGCGCACCGAAACGACGTTGTGCCAGCCCGCCGACGGCTCGGCAGCGCGCAGGGCGGCGAGGATGTTTTGCAGGGCCAGGGAGATCTGCTCCTTGGGGTCGGCCGCGACCTTGCCGTCCTTGTCCCAGCCGCCCTGCCCGGAGATGCGCAGGATATTGCCGATGCGGACTGCTTGGGAGTAGTGATATGTTTCGGCAAAGCTCTCGGTGCCGGGGTAGTTGGAGAACTGTGCCTTGGACATGGTGGAATGTGTATGCATGGATGGATGGATGGATGAATAGGAGGAAAAGTCTTGGCTTCCACTTGCGGCCTGCGCGAGTTTAATACTCAAAACAGTTTCCAGTCAGCCACAGTCTCAGCCAGCCTCGTTCGCGCCGGCGTAGATTTTGACTCTGCCAACTTCAACCTTCCGGCGGCATCGTGGCTTGGCGCCAAGCTGGTGGTCGCGGTCTCGAACAGGACACCCCCAAAGCTTATTTCCAGCTCCCTGGTCGCGGATTGCGGGGGCGGGCCGCGCTAGTGGGTCTGGCTTCCTGATGCGGAAACGCGATCCCGCTGCCGGGGAGCAGATATCAGAGCGCGGCCGGGTGTGGCCTGACGGCTCGCCACTGTGCACCCTTATCAGTGTCTCACAGGCCATCTGCCGTATCTGTGCAGCCATGGCCGCGTCACATTGTTTGGCACCCGCCAGGGATGTGCATGCCCAGAAGCCTTGATGTAGATAAGGTTCGGAGCAGCAACGCTTTCCGAACACAATACTTAACCCTGTGGTCCTCTCCTGCCGTGCACAGACAAGGGCAGAGTGCCCACCTGCAAGCGACAACAATCACCTGCCGCTAGGAAGACATCTAGACTCTCCACAGACTACCATGACTGATCGCCGCCATTCGTCGTCCGAGAAGGGCTCGGGCGCGGGCTCCCTCCCCGGCACCGCGCCGCTCGAGCAGCATGGCACGAACCAGACCGCCACCGTCGAGGACCTCCAGCTCAACGAGCTCGGCTACGTGCCGTCCTTTGCGCGCAACCGCTCCATGTTCACCATCCTCTTCATGTCGCTGTCCATTGCGGCCGTGCCATACGGGATCGGCGGGCCTCTGCTGTCGGGCATCATCGGCGGCGGGCCGCTGTCGCTGTGGCTGGGCCTCGTCGTCGTCATGATCCTCGACGGCTGCGTCGCAGTCTCCCTCGGCGAGCTGGCCTCGCGCTGGCCCACATCGGCCGGCACCTACTACTGGACGTACCAGCTCGCGTCCCTGCGGAGCGGCAGCAACGCGCAGCTCCTCTCGTACATCTGTGGCTGGACGTGGTGGGTGGGCAACGTCACCATCACGCTGTCGGTCAACTTTGGCTTCGCGTCGCTCATCGCGGCCACCGTCGCCATCTACAACCCAGACTGGACCGCCTCCGCCTGGCAGCTCCTCCTCATCTTCTACGCCATCTGCGTCGTCACCTTCTTCATCTGCTGGGCCGCCGACAGCTTCCTGCCGCTCATCGACACGGCCGCCGCCACCGCGACCCTCGTGACCGTCGTCGCCGTCGCCATCGCCCTGTCGGTAACCGCCATGGCCGGCCGCCACGACGGCGCGTACGCGTTCGCGCACTACGACGCCTCCCAGAGCGGCTGGGGCGACGGCTTCACCTTCTTCCTCGGCCTGCTCCCCCCCGCGTACACCTTCTCGGCCATTGGCATGATCTCGTCCATGGCCGAGGAGGTCCACCACCCGGAGGTCCAGCTCCCCAGGGCGCTCGTGTCGTGCGTCCCCGTCGGCGGCATCGCCGCGCTCATCTTCATCCTCCCCATCTGCTTCACTCTCCCGGACCTCGGCGACATCATCGCGTACTCGGCCTACGGCCAGGCCCTGCCGTACATTGTCTACACCGTCATGGGCACGCAGGCCGGCGCCGTCGTCATCATGACCCTCGTCCTGCTCGTCACCTTCTTCTGCTCTATTAGTATCACGACCACGGCCTCGCGCTGCACCTTCGCCTTTGCCCGCGACCGCACCGTGCCCATGTGGCGCCTCTGGTCGTCCGTGCCCTACGGCCGCCCCCTGCCGGCGCTCGCCCTCGTCACGCTGATCCAGATGCTGCTCGGGCTCATCAACCTCGGCAGCTCGAGCGCGTTCACCGCGTTTGTCTCGGTCGGGGTCATCGCGCTGGCCCTGGGATACCTGATCCCCATATCGATCAGCCTCGTCTCCGGCCGCAAGGAGGTGTCCAAGGCGCCGTGGAACGTGGGCGGGGTGATGGGCACGCTGGCCAACGTGGTCGCCATCGCGTGGATCCTCTTTGAGCTCGTCCTGTTCTCCATGCCCACCGTGCTGCCGGTCACTGCGATCTCGATGAACTACGCGTCGGTGGTGCTGGTGGGGTTTGCGGCCATCGGTGTCGGGCTGTACTACGGCTACGGCCGGAAGAGTGAGTTTTTTGTTGTGCTCTGAGCGCGTGATGCTGAGAGAGTGCTAATTGTGGACACAGACTTTCACGGACCCGGCATGTCGATTAACTAGGGCGGCGCGGCGTGACGGAGGTGGGAGGCTAGAGCGGGTGTTTATGGAACTAGCAGACTAGAGTTGCGCGCTAGCTGAGTAGACACTACTTTGTTGTCAAGGCCGGCATCTATGGAAGGCTGTCTTGATGGAGGTCCAAGCACAGCATCGAGTCACCAAACATATTGGCCAGCCGACCTGAATCTTCCCATGTGATCCAGTGTGTCAGTCTAGAAATGCACGTCCCAGTCTGTAGCGACAGTTTTATTAAAATGAGTGGGTGACCGAGACTTGATTCACTCGACGAGAAGGATCATTACGCCGGATATGCTACAGTTTATCATTTACACGTGTTATTACTGCCCTCATGCCGGCTAACTGACCCAGCTGCTTCTTGACCTTCCGCCAGTCTCTCATACCTCATCCATCTAAACGTCGCCGCCCTCTGCATCTTCATTACCTTCATTATTATCATCCCCATTACTGTCACTGTCGCTGTCATTGTTCCAGTGGGCGAAAATGGTAGAAGGCGGGAAAATGATAGACTCGAGAGCAATTTTCGTGTGAATAAGCTCGAGGTGGTTCTCCGACAGCGCGGCAGCGAACATTTCGCGAGCCAGACGCGCGACAGTCGGGTTGCCCATAAAAGCTTCAATTGACGCCACAAACTCGGCCGTCTGAGAGACGAGGCTGCGGTGGGGGACACCGCTGGGCCTGGCCGCGCCAGTGATCACGGGAGGTGTCACAGGCTCAGAGCTGGAGCTGGACCTATCGCGGAACGGATCGTCATCGTCAGAAGGCTCGCGAGCCGGGCCCTCCCTGGACCCGCCACTGATCCCGAGTCTGCCCAGATCGTGCTCTAGCCCTGCGTGGTTGTTGGGGGGGTGGCTGAGGCCGTGTGGAATAGCGTCGAGTCCGTCCTGGCGGGTCGACGGAATGTAGTGAGCAGGGTTACCGAAGGGCCAGTTAGTACGTTGACGGTGCGACGCGTGAGGTCGCGGGCTCTGAAGAAGACCTTGGCCCGGCTGCTCGCTCGGGTTGGAGAGAGCGCTTAGGCGGCGGCGGCGGCGGGTGCTTTCCGAAATGATTGATAACGCTTTCGCGGGTCTAGTGGGCGTGGTGGGATCCGACTCATCAGCCTCGTCGGCAGGAGGACTGGCATTATCGCCGGATCGGCCAGCGTGAGCGCGAGGAGTGAGGGTGTCCTCTTCGTCGAGTGTCGGGACCGAAGTCTCCTCATCTTCGAGTGGGAGATCTTCATCTCCATCCTGCAAATTGGCCAGTCGGTCCTCGGATTGCATTTCTTCTCTGTCGGCGAGAGCGTTTGCCTCATCCGAGGTCACGTCGAAAACAATGGGTTCGGGGGGCTGGCGTCGGACAAGATACGGGTCGTAGAAGGGGGGGGTCGACCTTCAGCTGGGAAAGCAACTCCAGAATTTGAGGGTAAGACTCGCTGACGAAGTTGTGCTTGGCCTGTTCACGGAGTCAGCTGGACAGCCTAGCGCGGAGCTATCGGATGCACTTACTCTGTTGCTGGTGATCGTCTCCAGGCGTATATTGACGCTTGCCCAGGCGAAGTCACTTAGATGACGTGGACGGAGCGGCCATCCACTTACCATGGTCTCACCATGTTCAGCGTGCCCAATGGAGAACGTGAGAGGGTGGCAGACGACGCCAACAATGGGCAGGGAGAGGAAGTCAGAAAGTGCAAGCACGAGCTCCTCTTTGAACTCGCCACTCCATTCGCCAGCTTGTGGGTTGTTGCACAGTGTCGCGCATGCTGTGAGAATACAGAAGATATAGAGCGATTCCCACGACTCTGTGTGAGAACCCCCGTTAGTGGTGCATCAAATAGATAGGGATGTCCGAACATACCTTCGGTAACATCGTGCCTGTTGCAGGACCTTCTCATTCTCTCAAAGCGCAAGCACATTTCAGTCTTGCACACGCGCCAGCTCCAGGTTCGCGGCATCGAACATGCTGTATCAAACCAAAAACATCCGTCTTTGCTTTCAGCCAAATAGACATTCCACTCAGTTTGCAGGGCTTGCGCCAATGCTCTAAGCCGAGCCTTCACACTATGGCTGGTTGACATGATGATTGCAGCACCAGACGACACATCGCGAAGGTCGAGCCAAGGGCCGTCAATATCATCCAGAACGCGTCTGAACGCTTCCTCTTGATGGTAGAGTACACGTGCTTGTGACATGCCGTGTTTCGCAATGTGCACAAGGATGAAGTTGTGCTTCTGGTAAAACTTTGCCATGGTGTCACAGAAGGTAACAAACTCAACCGTCCGCGCGCGAAGAGCCTCAAGCGCGCCGCCTCCGTTGATAATTTCTCGTGCATCGCGGATATATGCACCAAGACCGTCAAGAAACGCAGGTATGTAGACGTATTTGACCTGGTCGACTGGCGGAGTGGTGAGAGCGAGGTTGCCGGCAATGTGGCGTGGACCTCTGCCGTATCTGGGGTGATAGGCAAATCGGAGCACTGCATCGACGCTGGGAATCTCATGTCGTCTCTGGGACCTTGTGGCCCTGTGCTCAACCGGGAGAGTTTCTGCGCGCCCTGCGGCATGAGTGTTCGGAAAGTTCGCTGAATTCTCGGGAAACCATGGCCGGGCCTCTGTGAGAGTGCTCAGTCTTTATGCAGGGGAAGCACTCGGCACCATAGTGTGTGTTGTCAACTCCCGGGCTCATAACCAGAAGGAAGAGGTGGACGGTGCAAAATGTTCGATCATTCCGTCTCCTTCTGACCAGGCGGGAGGCCCTATTCTTATAGATTTAGAGAACCATTGATCTCTGCCTGAGGGCTTGATTGCCGGACAATCATTCTAGAACACTAGATCATAATGAAACAAACAATAGGAAACACCTGAGGCACTCCATCATGAGCATCATTCCTCCGCACCTCCGCACACTCTTGCTTAAGGCGCCACCAGCCATCAATGCATGACAGCCCATCAATGGATGCCTTGCGATTGCTGTTGTATTGTCTCGGGTCAAAGTCAGCCCGCCTCGAGCTCAGCAACAAGCGCATGCGCAGCATTCAGGTCTTGAATCATGAGCCGCGTGGGATGCTGGCAGCATGGACGTTTGCAAGACACGTGGGATGATTAGAGGCTGGCAGGCCAGCACATGGAGAGTGAGTTCTGGATAGAGTTCTCCGTGGGAGTTCGCACAGCCCTCGGGATGGCTGGCTTCCCCGAGCACAATGTTATATTTCAATATCAATATCAATATATATCAAGAATGTAAATGTCTCCCCTGTCCACGCCGGCAGCTGCACTGCTGCTCCAAATAACATATGTTCTAGAACGAAAGTGTAGAATGTATATCGTCTGACTCTTTTGGTTCCTTCGTCGCCGCCAATTTTGCTGACTGGCTCGCCCACTCATGAGGCCGACCTCTGAGCCACGGCGCTGCCACGCCATCACCAGCGAAACCCAGCCCGTGTCTCGGTGTCTTTTTTACTGGAAGTCGTTACGCAGCTGAGCGACCGCATCGGCAATGTCCTGGCCAGACGCCTCGCCAGACCCGAGATGCACTCCGTCGGGGACCGAGAAATAGGCCACGCTCACAACGCCAAAGACGTGGTAAGGAGTGTATCCCCACTGCATTGCAGATGTTATTAGCTTGCATCATATCATTTGGTACCAGAAGGACTTACAGGAGCCCAGATGGAGCTTCCAGACTGGCCACCGGCGACCTTGGCGTTCGTCCACAGGGGGCCGTCGGGGCCACAACCGCCGTAGCGGTCCATTGTGATCGTGTCATGGCAGTACAAGCTACCTCCGTTCTCCTTGCTACCAGGGTAGCCGCATGAATGAATAAAAGGCCAGTCCTTCATATCATCGCCCGGGGCGCGGGCGCCGAGGTAGCCGGTGCGGTCGCCGGCGCGATCGGCGAGTACGACGATCGCCCAGTCCGACTTGAGCTCACAGTCTCCCTGGCCGCGCGACGGCTTGAAATAATGCGTGGGCCAGAAGCTGCCATAGGCGTTGTCGTTGCCGTTGTTGAACAACGGTGAGAACCTGATGGCGTGGTTGTCCTCGCTGTGGAGTATGGTCAGAACACCCCCAGAAAGCCTAGAAACCCACAGATGACTTACGGAATGCAGTGCTGCGCGGTAAGGACAAGACGAGGTCCAACTAAAAGGTTATGGTTAGCTTGAAAGCTCGAGCTCTAAAACTCAGAATCCAAGACACACCCAGAGTGCCACTGCAGATGACGCCCTCGGGCCACGTAAAGCGGCCAATGGCTCGCCAGGGGAAGTCCCCGCTGGTCTGGCGCCAGGAGTCGACAACGTCGCGCTTGTCCGAGGCAGCACCCGACTGGGGGTCGGTGCCGACGAAGAAGTCGACCGCCTCGGTGGCGTTGAGCCCCATGAGTCCGGCAAAGTCGGCGTGGCTCAGCTCCTGGATCGGGGCTGCGGGTGCGGGAGCGTCGGCGAAGAGGGCAGCCGCGCTCTCCGGGTCGTAGCCGACCTCGTAGTCGTTGCCGTTCCAGGTGATGGTGGTGGTGCCGGGGGCGCCGTCATCGCGGCGGCGGTGGGAGGAAGACGAGGGCTTCGAGGGGAGGGCAGAGGCCGTTGAGCCCATGGCCAGGGCGGCGATGAAGCCGCTTAGCAAGGTGGAGGCAACCATTTTGAGAGAGAACAATAGAGGAGATTTTCGCGGGCTGATCTTTGGAGACTAAGCTGTGACTGTGAAGCTGCTGCTCTGAGAATTTTCGGCTGACCAAGTGACGATCGCCAGCTTCTTTTATACTGAGCCAAGTTGACCACATTTTCTGCTCATGATGCTGCACCTCGACCGGTGTGATCCTGTGGGCGTGTTTCTGACCAACATCGTTGCAGTCGCCGCTCCTCATGTCGAGCCCAGGTAGCTTTCAAAAGACGCCTGCTGTTCCTTCCTCTCGTAACACCATCAGCACGGCATCGCCCGCTCACGCACTCGGCCGTCGTTGTAGTATTCGTTACCCGGCCGGGTATCTCTCCGTACACCCCGGCCAGCCTTGGCAGCTGAGAGGCGCAGTACGGACCCTTACGAGTGGCCCGTTGCCAGGGGTCGAATGCTCGGGGGCGGGACTTGATTGACGCCGTTGTCCAATGAGGATTTCCTGCGTGCTACATAGTCCTGTGGCAGGGGTAGGCAGAGGCAACGTGCCAGTGCGCGTTAATACATTGGGTGGTCGAGCACCGGGGACGACAAAAAGCCATGTCGCGTCGCAGCCAACCGTCCTCGTATCAATGTGCAGTTTCCCCCAAAAAGGACAGCCCTCACAAGGACAACAGTCCTAGATGTCGCCTCTTTGTGGCCAGCAACGGCCTGGTGGCTATTAGCCTTTATGAATCTTGCAAGTGTGTTTCGTTGCTCCTCAGATAGCTTCACAGCCTGGGTTCTGAACCCTCTCAATCTTTTTCTAATTGTGATTCCTCAACAGAAGCCGGGCCGCTGCTCGTCAGGGTTTACTGCAAGCTTCTTCTACTTGGACACCTGAAGCGAGGCTCTGGCCCCCAAAGCGCCGCCCCTTCACTCCGCATCCGGCACATCCGCGCAGGACATGCGATCGGGGGCCTTCACACCTCTCCCAAAGATGACCGGGCCAGATTCACATGGGTCACGTACCCGAAAGCCACACATTGTGCTTACGGACTTACTCAGGGTCAAGAAAGCATCTCAGCCGGTCTGGGCTCCTCTGATGGGGGCCGCTCCTTCGCTGAGGGCGCGCGTGCCATTGGGTAGCCTTCGACAATTACGAGGCTTTGATGGCAACCGCGTTGTCAGGCGTCGGGGCCAAGCACAGCGAGCGGTCGAGGTGCTTGCGTGATGGCCAGGGACCGTCGAGACGATCAAGCCAGTGAGATTTGCATAACCGGGGTCGTGATCATACCCGGCAAGTGTGATGCCGCTTGGGAGAATCGCAACCTTTGCCGGCGGGAAGACCCTTCTTCCGGTTGGGCTGCCACTGCCACCGACGGGGATGACAAGTCGACGTCGGGGTCGACAGAGACCGCCGCGTTGCGTCTTGTGTTTTTGCTGCCATTGGCTGCTCCTGCCTTGGCCCCGACGATGCTCACTCGGATTGCATCGTCCGAGATACTCAGTCGGCCTGTTGTCCTTACAGATGGAAGCTCTCGCAGTAAGCCGAGTGTTGTCGACCGGGAAACGCTGGATGTCATTGTCGTTGAGCAGACGTTCCCCTCATCTTCATGGCTGCGGGCAGGGCCAGTTTCCAGTAGCACCGACGCCGTGGCAGAGGCTCCAACTGCATTGCTCAAGCCCATGCTCCCAATTTCACATGGCTTCACGCCAAATGAACAGAGCGTGCTCTCACTCGTCCACCGCACCACACAGCTCCCGCGTGCATTGACTTTAAGGGTCTAAGTAGCTGAAAATGTCTGGGGCAGTGCTTAAATAAAGTTCCCCGGCATAGCATGTCCCTGCCAGGTGCGTAAACATGTCCATTGGTGCGTGCTCTCGGCCAGCCCCCTGTCACTCCCCCGGGGGGCATCGTATTATCCACCAGACAGATCCGACAACCTACGTGGACGCTCATTGGATCAACGTCCCGCCCACAAGTATGGGGATGATGCATGGAACGATCCATCAGGGGCAGGCAGCTGCCAAGACGGACCCCGGGACGTGAAGACAGACGACTGCCACGGCGGCATACGAGGGAGGACGATATCGACAGCGTTATGGCGACGACAAGGCCATGTTCCGAGGTACGACGAGGTCAACATCGTGGCCCTTTCGGTTGACTTACGACTCATGGGCAGACAGATGCTTGGCGGACTATTAACGAAAGCCTGCGCAGTCAACGAAAGCATGTGCAGCGAACAACATAAAAGAGGCCGACGACCACCTCTCGATTGACCAGAAGCTCCTAGTCCACCACCAGCTTCGCCCAACCGCAGCCTGTTTCTTCAAGATCGCCTCTCAGGACTCCCTCCGCCACTCAACCACAATGGTCGCAACGGCCATCCTCAACGGCCTCGTCGCCGCCCTGGCCATGGGCTCAACCGTCGCTGCCGCCCCGTCCAAGCCTTCCTCCTCCCGTCGTGACGAAGCTGCTCCCGGCACCACCACCATCACCTGGAACGGCAACGACTATGAGGTCGGCTACGACCCGGAGCGCGCCGCTGCCATCTTTGCCGATGCCGCCTTCCCTGCGGGTGCCATCCCTAGGCTGACCGAGGCGGATCTCGCTGCCATCGCCTCTGTCACCGGGCTCAATGCCACCGCGGCTGCCGACTTCTTCGTGGGCACCGAGCCTCAGTCGGACGATGCCGCCGCTGCCGACAAGCGCGACTGGAGCGAATCGTGGCACCAGACAAACTCAGACTTCCCCTACCGGGCGCTTGGCCGCATCACCTGGCAGAACGGAGCAGTCTGCAGTGGTACTCTTGGTATGTCTCTGGGGATCTGGGCGTTTTCTGAGGGGACCTGCTAACATTGGACCTCTAGTCGGCTCGCGTCTGGTCCTTACAGCAAGCCACTGCATCCCGTAAGTCTTGCCTCCTATATCGACGCTGTTGTGGGCAAAGAACTGACAAATCGCCCCTTGAAGCCCCGACAACTCGGCCGTGTCCTTCTCGCCATGGTACAACTACGGCAACGATGCAACCTTTGGCACCTACTGGGCAACTCATTATCTATCCTACGGGGGTGGTGATGGCTCCTTCTGCCAAATAAAGAACGACTGGGCTCTTATTGTGATTAGCGAGCGAGTCGGCCAGCTTCTTGGCTACCTCGGAGCCCGCAACGTGGGTGATGATATGCTGAATTGGCCCTATGTGCATAGCTGTGGATATCCCGGCGCCAAGGGCAGCGGGCGTGACATGTACTGCCACAACAACATCAGGGTGGACAGCTACGGAGGCTGCGGTGCCGATGGCCCCGTTCTTTCAAACGCCTTGGTCTATGGCGGACAGTCCGGCTCGGGGACCTGGACGCCCTTTGGCGGTTCCCCATACTCTGTCTTTGGCGTCGTCAGCGCCTCGATCGGGGCCCCGTACGACCAGACCGGCCATGCTTCTGGCCAGAGCATCCCGGAGGCGGTCCTCTACATGCGCAGCGAATTTCCGTAGGCGGTCCGAACTTGAGCACATCTCGGCATCCGTCAGGATGGCGAGGTCTCTTTGTTTTGTAAAGGCCAATGCCTTTGCACAGCTTATGGGAAGAGCGAGTCGCGGTGGACTGTGGGATAGATGGAGCCGGCCAGTTCAGAGTCATGGCGACGGAGGAAAGGCGATAGACCATAGCGCAGGACAAACCTGACTACTGCGGTGGCATGGAAAAGCTTGCAGCCTGGACAGGCGACACTTTGAATTCTTGACGTACATTTATATACAATGAATTTTGCCGCTTGGCGCCCTCTAACCACTCTGGAGTTGCTGACTTATGAGAATAACCTTAATCTTCGTGACACTGTCTGTGCTGTTTGTTTCAAAAACGATTTGTTAAAATCCCAGGGCTCCTGATTGCCCTTATAGCCAGCGCCAGACCGGCTGCGGTGGTCGCGCGCGATGTGACTGGGAGAATCCATTCAAGTGTTTGGCAGCAAGCCAGGGGTCGAATCTAGACAGCTTGGGCCGCCGGAGTACAAGAAAGCATGGTTTCCTCTCCAGACTGGCGTGCGAGGTCCAGAGGGACAAGGGACAAAGCCTGTCACGGCGATGAGGACGGTGTGAATAATTCTCTTATCATCTTCAGAGCAAAATTGGACAGGAGGCGGTTGCCTCTCTCTAAGGATTCATCTACGAAGCCTACTTCAAGACGCTATACTCGCCAAAGACACTCGCTGTGACTTGTTGCTGGCGAGATCCATGCTTCCATATGCATGTTCCTGCTAGTATGAGGGCCAAGTGTGGCCCTGGCTCGGTCTGTGACCAGCATCAAATGGGATCCTCTCCAGGAAGCTCGAGACTGCCTTCGCGACCAGCGCCGTGTCGGCTGCGGTGGTCGTGAGATGCCTCTTGAGTCAGGGATATCTCCGAAAGAAGGCTCGGGACGCTTCCGAGCGTCAGCCTTCGTGGACTGTAGCCTATCGCTCTCGTGCCGTGGCGATATCTCGTACTGCGCGACTCCTGTGGCGTTGTGATTTGAGGCGCGTGGTTCCCCCTGGCGTACCCGATGCAGGCAGTCCGCGTTGTGCTTTCTGGATGCACACGCTGCTAGTTTCTGTAGGCAACCTTGGTTCGTGCACCTGCTCGCCACTGGACGCGTCACATGGACGGCGCCCGTTTGCCTCGTCGACTATCCGTCAATGTATAATGTTCATCTTTCGCGATCTCAAACCGCATCAAGTAATCCGCTGTCTCTTGTGCCGCGTACTCGTCCCATTGCTCTTCCGCTTCATCGGTGCTGTCGCTCTTCCTTCTTTCGTCCTCGTCTCTGCTGACCTCAACGAATACCGCGTAGCAGGTCTCGCCACTGAGTCGTCTGTGAGCACGTCGGCCGACTTTCTCTTCCGTGTCGCCGGCTTTTGTCTCTCGTGTGTCCCGGCCCTTGGCTTCCGAGACAGCTCGATAAGCTTCAGAGGCTTCCTCTCGTACGGCGCGAGCTCGGGTAGGACAAACTGCCTCAGCCTCGGCGACGCACGCAGTGGCGAGTCGTTGCCCACAATCTCTGGGCGCAGAGTATGCTGGTCGATGACCGAGCTGTCGCTGTCCGAAGTCATCGAGTCCTCGACCGTGCTGACCAGCGAGAGGTCGGCCTCGTCGTCAAGCGGCGGTGGCGTCAACGGCTCCTGCACTGTGGGTTTGGATTCGGTCTCGGTAACAGCGGGCAGCGCGGCCTCTCCGTCCTCACGGGCGACGAGCCCACCAAAGAATCGGACGATGGCATCGAGCGAGCGGTGGCGGAAGAAGGCGACGCTATCGGCCCAGGTGCTGGCGGAGGATGCGCCATCAAAGACACCCGGCGAGGCAGTCACGCGGAGGGCGACGTGGTCGAGCGCGGCAATCATCTCGGTGAGGCGCTCCTTTTGGCGGATGGCCATGCGGCGGTGGAAGTCGGCGGTGTCGGCGGCGGCGGCGGCGGCCTCGCTGATGTCGTGGTGGAAGGCCTCAAAGTCCTGGAGGGGTGCGCGGTAGGTGTTGTATTGCTCGTGGAGAGAGGTGAAGAGGTCGTTGGGCTGCAGGCCGAGCTTCCACCACGGCCAGCGCCAGGCCGGGTGCGCAGCCCAGTCGTCGGGGGTCTCGAGGACAGGGTGCCACGGCTCCATCCTGGGGCGTATCGGTGGGTGGTTGGGTGTGGCAGCTCGCAGTGTTGATGCTGAGTCCGAGGTGCACACTTGGAGAGTTCGGCGCGGGTGTGCTCGTGACAGCACGTACCTGCACGGTGTGAGAGTGCGCGGCCGGCGCTGTGGCTGGCCGGGAGATGCTGAGTCAGCTGTGGCTGGCGGGTCACCGCCTGCGCAGGACCGTGTCCACACCGTGCTCACACTTGCACTTGCACCACTTGCCCGCACCCACCACCACCGCCGCCACTATCAAGACGCCTAACGACCACGACTCACGCTGCTGCTGCTGCTGCTTCTGGCACAGTGATGCATAGGGCTCCTCTTGAATGCCTCGAGGCGGGAACAATGGCTCACTCACCGAGCAGTTTGACGGCTCCACCAACCCGTTCTCGGACAGCTTCATCGAGCGGCGGCTCGCCCTGGTGTCTGATGTGAATGTCAGCGAAAGGACGGAACCACACCCTGATGGCTTTGTAGAGGCCGCAATTGAAAAGGACGCCTCCTGCTGGCAGGATGTTCCCATCAACCAGCTGAGCACTCACAACCTCGACCCGTCCTGCCGCCTGCTGCTCCAGCCTGCAAACGAGGTGGACATACAGGTCGCCCCAGAGACATCCTCTGCAAGATGGATGACCTTGGCCACCCTGGAGGGGCATGACCCGGTCACATGCCTCGCTATCTGTCAGGGGCCAGCAGAGCCAAGTGTGAAGATCAGCCTGCCCATCCCGATGGAGGTGTTCTTTGACTCACAGACCGACGCTGTCGAGATCCGCAACCGATCTCCAGACACCTTGCTTGACTTTCGCCGTGTCGACGACGACGACGACGACGACGACGACGGAGACGACGGACATGTACCGGTGGCGCCATTTGCCTCCGATCGCTTCAGCCCAGGAGCCTGGGCCGTCTCCGGCTTTGGCAGGGCCCCCGCCCTCCAGTTCGTCCTCTTCCCTCGCAAGCACCGCCTCGAGATTGTGCAGCAGAGCCTGGGCCTGCTGCAAGACAGTGCTGGCAGCAAGAGGCGCTTCTCGGCAAGGATCCGGCAGCAGTCGCTCACACGGTCTGGCCAAAGCCAGTCACAGCTCTGGGACGTGGTCAAGCCCGTCAAGTCACTCACCGAGGCAGTGGGCGCACAGACCGTCAGAATCACCGGCACCGACGGGACCGACTATACCATCTTCCGCATGTCCAACGCCGGGCCCAGCGCCTCTGCCGACGTGTTCGCGGCCCGCCTCAGCCAGTACCAAGGCCAGCTCGTGGTTGTCAAGGTGCTGAAGCCGGGCCCATCTTCTGCTGCCAGTCGGGCCCTCAACTGGGCTCGCGAGTACCGCATCCACGAGCGGCTTCGATCCGTGAGTTGTGCCGCGCAAAGAGACGGCAGAAGCCGAGGGCTGACACATACACATTCACATTCCCACAGGACACCATCGTGCAGCTCTACGGAGGCGACGCCCGCATCGACGCGCTGTTCCTCGCACACATCAACGCCAAGGACCTCGCCCACCAGTCGTGGTGCGAGAGGGGAGTGTTCCAGGGCACCGGCGGCGACGCGCGGCGCATTCTCGAGGACATGGCCCGGGCCCTGGCCTACCTGCGGACCGAGAAAGTCCTGCACAACGACATCAAGCCGCGCAACATCCTCTACAGCCGCTCGACAGGCGCCACCCTCATCGACTTTGGCCTGGGCAGCTCTGACGGCGACGCTCCTTCGTCGGGGGGCACACCCTGGTATGTCCCGCCAGAGTTCCTGGCCAGCGGCGCGCGGGCGGCACCTGCGGATGTCTGGGCTCTGGGCATCGTCATGCTCTACCTCTTCAACAAGGTGCCGCTGCCAGACAGCGGCAAGGAGGTGGCGGCGTGGCAGATCAGAGAAGTCGCGACCGGGCGCACGGCTTCCGCCGAGTGCATGGCACAGTGGCTGAGGCGTGTCGAAAAGGCTCGACGGGCACTTGCGGCGGATCAGGGCATCGATTCTATTGTACTACAGATGCTGCAGCCCTCCCCGCACGAGCGGATCCACGCGCGGGAGCTGCTCCGCCAGCTGGAGGAGTTGGGGACGTGATTGCTTTCTAAGAGATCTAATCTACCGGGCTATCATTACACACTCGAGATCACCTTTTTTTCCCCCCGTCTAGTCTCCCACTTCCTCCAAACTCAAGACTTGCCAAAGACGCCCTCGGGCCGGACCGCCTTGGCGCCAATGGCAATGAGCCCGCCGGCCAAGCACACGGCGCCGCCAAAGTAGCTGGCCTCCTCGAACCCGCCGTATTTCGCAACCAGCGCACCATCGACGGGCGGGCCGATCAGAGGACCGATGGCAGCCAGGGCCGTTCCCATGCCCATGTAGCTGCCAAACTCGCGCGGGTCGCTGGTCGTGCCGGTGATGGCGGCGATCGCCGCCGAGAAGATGGAGCCGGAGAAGAAGCCGAAAATGACGCTGTAGACGACGAAGCCGGCGGTGCTGGTGACGAGGTTGAAGCAGAAGATGATGATGCCCGAGGACACGCCGGCGAGCACCATCATGTTGAGGCGGCCGTACTTGTCGGCGAGGATGCCCGGGATTACGCGGCCAAAGGTGGACGCGCCGTTGACCATGGCGATGAGGTAGCCGGCGAGCGCGGGCTCGACGCCCCTGGAGACGGCGTAGACGGGCAGGAAGAAGAGCGGGGTGAACATGCCGACGAGGGAGAGGGCAAAGGACAAGACGATGAGGAGCCACTGCTTGTTCTTGAAGGCGGAGAGCAGCCAGAAGTTGGTCTTGCGCGGGGGCACGCGGGGCACGACGGCGATGGCGCAGAAGAGCATGAACGGCATCATGATGAAGCCGACGACGCGGACCGTCCAGCCGAAGCCCAGGTCGCTCTCGTTGAAGAGCTTGGCGAGGATGATGGGGAACACGATGCCGCCGACGGACGAGCCGGCGACGACCATCCCCAGGGCGACGCCGCGCTTCTTGTCGAACCACTGGGAGACGGAGGCCATGCCGGGGAGCTGCAGCATGCCCTGGCACAGGCCCATGAGCACGCCCTGGACGAGCATGATCTGCCAGTACTCGGTGCAGAGGCTGAGCATCATGACGGCAAACAGGTAGCCGACGGCGGCGGGCCGGAGGACGATGGCGCCGTACCGGTCAAACAGGGGGCCGGCGATCAGGCCGACGGACAGCTGGAGGAAGATGGAGATGGAGCCGATCCAGGCGACGTCGTCGGGCGAGCGCGAGGCCAGCTGGTGGGTGAGGTAGTACTGCTGGAAGGTGCCAAACGAGTTGGCGAAGCCGAGGGTGCAGAACGTGATGCAGCTGGCGCCCGCGGCGACGGACCAGGCCTTGAGGCCGCCATCGGGGGCCGTCGAGGGCGGTGGCTGTCCGTCGGTCTTGGCAGGGACATTGGCCGTGCTGCTGTCGGAGACGAAGCCCGCCTCGCCCGTGCCGTCACGGGAGGGGAGGTCGGTCTTCTCCTGAAGGGGCTGAGAGGGCTGAGAAGGAGCGGCTGCCATCTTGGTGGTGAGTTGTCGTGCTGGAGATGGCTATTATTAGGAAAATAATAGCAGCAGTGTCGTAGACGTTGCTGGTCTGTGTTGATGCCCGTTGGAGAGGAAAAGCCAAGAGGGTAGAAGCGTGAAACTGGCATCTTATAGCAGACCGGGCCCCCGGGATGCTCGTTCAGATTGTGTCATGAATGGCGGCGGCCCGGACGGACATAAGCGGCTCGGGCGTGTCTAGCAGGCGGGCGGGCAGGCAGCCACTTGTTAGATCCCGCATCGGTTAATAATTATCAATCTGCAGCCGCAAAAGGGCCTGTCCCTGTCGACACATGCGAGTGATGAGCCAACATATTCCCCCCCGGCGTGTGGCTTAAGACCCACTCCTCCTTTCCGCCGGCCCAGTCAGCGTGCACCGGCCGCCCGAGCCCGAGGCGGAGATAAGAGTCGGGAAATTCACTTCAGGGGTGGGTCGTCGGCAAATTGCGTCTGTCCGACATCAACCACCACTTTCGGCACCACCTCGATCTCTGCCCAGGTTTCTCTGCCATCCCTACGACCCGCTCGCTCGCACGCACGCACACAACGAACGCACCACACTGGCCGTGACAGTTGCGAACCAACAGTTGCAGAGACTGCAAGGTGCGAACCGACTTGTTCTTCTCCTCGGCCATCAACTGCGCAATGGCCGACACGGTGCACCGCCGCCGGCGCCCTGCCGTGTAAGTGCAATGATGATGGACGATGTCTCCTCCCGAGTCCGTCCGTCCGTCCGTCCGCCGCGCGCCCCCACCCTTCACGATGATGCATGTCACCTCGCTAACATGTTCCAGCTCATGCACGTTGTGCCGCCGCCGCAAGATCCGGTGCAACCGCGAGGCGCCGTGCAGCAACTGCATCCGCTCGGGCTCCGCGCCGTGCGTGTACGACGCTCCGCCGCCGCCCAGGAGGGCCGCCGGCAGCAATAACCACAACAATACCGCTGCTTCGCCTTGGCCGGCTGCCGGGGCCCGGCCTGGGACGCGGGGCCCGGCCGGGGCAGGGCCTGGGTCCACGTCCGTCGCCTGCGAGGTCTGGAAACAGGCGGCCCCGGGCGTGGCCACCCTGCACTCGTCGCTCAGCCCGTCGGCCGCAACGTCTGCCTCGTCCGTCATGCGGCGTGCCGGCGGTGGTGGCGGCGCGTTGTCGTCGTCGCCAGCCAGCACGGCCCCGCCCTCCCGGCCACGCTCGCACTGGGACGCGCCTTCCCCACCGCAGCTACAACTTCAGCAACAGCAACAACAACAACAACCACCACCACCCCAGCCCGTCCACGATGTCATTGACGAAATGTCGTCGCGCATCGCCGGCAGCTTCCACATGGTCAGCGACGGCGGGCCGGCCACGACCAGCGGCGGCGGCGGCGGCGGCACCAAGGCCGGCCACGGCGGCTCCAAGAACAAGCCCGCCATCCCGCGCATCGTCACCCACAAGCAGCGCACCTTTGGCCAGTCGCACTGGATCACGGCGTCGCTGCTCTTCTGGGACCTCATCGAGCTCATCGAGCCGCACCTCCAGGCCGGCCAGAACAACGACGCCACCGCCGGCCTCCGCCGCTGCAAGACGCTCGCCCGCATCGTCAAGGCCCGCAGGGCCCCCGCCTGGCCGACCGTGCCCACCCCGGACCTGCCCGACCGCCGCACCGCCGACGCCCTCGTCTCCTGCTACCTCCGCACCTCGGAGCGCCTCTACCGCGTCCTGCACATCCCCAGCTTCACCCGCGACTATGAGGCCCTGTGGACCACCACCCACGACCCGGCCACGGGCCAGTATACCGGGCCCCGGCCCCCGCCCGACAAGGACGCCAGCTTCCTCGTCCAGCTCAAGCTCGTGCTCGTCATCGGCACCGTCACCCACGACGCGACCTTTTCCCTGCGCGGCCACGCCACCCGCTGGATCTACGAGGCGCAGACCTGGCTGGCCGAGCCCAAGTTCAAGTCCCGGCTGCTGACGCTGCAGTCCGTCCAGACCCACATCCTGCTCCTCCTCGCCGAGGAGCTCGTCGCCGTCGGCGGGGACGCCGTCTGGATCGGCGCCGGCGCCCTGCTGCGGCGGGCCGTCCACCTCGGCCTGCACCGCGACCCGTCCCACCTGCCCCGGGCGTCGCTGCTCGTCACCGAGATGCGGCGCCGGCTGTGGAACACGATCCTGGAGCTCAACATGCAGTTCTGCGTCGCGGGCGGCACGCCGCCGGGCATGGTGCTCGAGGACTTTGACACGCTCCCGCCGGGCAACTTTGACGACGAGCAGCTCGTCGGCGGCGGCAGCGGCGGCGGCGGCGCAGCAGCAGCTGGTGGTGGCAAGGAGCCCTCGCCCAAGCCGGAGAGCGTGTACACGCAGACCTCGCTCGCGCTGGCCCTGCGGCGCACCTTACCCGTCCGGCTCAAGGCCGCGCGGGCGCTCAACAACGTCCGCTCCACGCACGGCACCTACGAGCAGATGCTGCGGCTGGACGGGGAGCTGCGGGCCGCGTACCGCGAGATGGGCGTCACGCTGCAGCGGTACAAGGCGCCGGCCGGGACCCCGTCGTCGTTTGAGCTCCGGGCCATCGACCTCATCATGCAGCGCTACCTGTGCTTCCTGCACATCCCCTACATCCAGGCGTCGCTGCACGAAAAGGCGTACGCGTACTCGCGCAAGGCGGCCCTCGAGTCGTCCATGAAGGTCTGGTATCTCGTGTTCCCGCCGCGGGCTGCTGCTACGACGACGACGACGACGACGACTCCCAGCGACAACAACAACAACGACGTCGACGACGAAGACCTGCTGGCACGCTTCGCGACCAACGGCCACGGCCTCTTCCGCACCACGGTGGCCAAGGTGTCGACCGTCGTCGCCAAGGAGCTGCGCATGCAGCGCCTCGAGGACACGAGCGTCATCCTCGCGTCGCCCGCCTCGGCGTTCCACATCCCCCTGCGCCCGGACCTGATTGCCATCCTCGACGCCTCGCGCGCGTGGCACCGCCGCACCCTCGAGTCCGGCGAGACCAACATGAAGGGGTTCTTGCTCGCGCACGCGGCCATGTCGTACGTCGACGTCATGGCCCGCGGGGAGCTTCCCGACCTGGCCGAGGAGCTGGTGCTGGTCATGATCAAGGCCATGGGGGAGAGCATCGAGCTGAGCATCCCGATCCTGGAGGCCGAGGCGGCGAAATACGGCCCGCCCGTCGTCGGCAAGGACATTGAGGCGCTCGCCGAGCTGGGCGGCAGGGAGAAGACCCGGGGAGAGCTGGACGGGCATGTGATTGGCCCGGTGGTGCAAGGGACTGAGATCTCGACGGGGGGACAAGGGGGAGGAGGAGGAGGAGGAGCGGCAGAGGGCGACGCCGGCTGGGATTTCATGGTGAGTTTTTTCTTCCTTCCTTGCTGTGACAGCGCTCAGTGTTAATTTCTCGCCCCCAAACAGATGTCGGACGGGCTGTTCACGGGCATGACCGACGCCGACCCGCTGAGCTGGATGGTCAGCGACGATGCCGTCGGGCAGGAGTGGTTCTTTCCATGACGAGTCGTCCCGTGAGCTCGTCTGGAACGGCGGCTGATTCTCTATGGGATCACGAGTTCCTTATCTGAACATGTCCACCGACCCTGTGTCACGCAAGTATCAGAAAGGCGCGACCTTGTCCCCTTATAAGCCTGATATCGAGAGCATGGCCAACCATATACATACTCGTTATTGCGAAACACAAGAACTACTGGCCGCCCCCACCACATCCAACAAGCACGGTGCCCGTCGCGCCGACATTCAGCGAGACGACCCTGGCCCCTTTCACCGCCCGCCTCCCCACGGCAATGGCCCGCGCGTGCTTGTGCGTGCCGCCGGGGATCTGGACCTCGGAGAACACGGCCAGCGTGCCGTCCACGAGCCGGCACTGCACGCTCCCGCCCGTCTGTGGCACGACGCAGTCGTACAGCGCGTCGTCCGACCCCGCGGGGGTGTCCTTGGCCAGCTGGCCGAGCACCGTCAGCCCGCCCTGCAGCTTGACCAGCGTAACCTGGCCAAACGGGCGGAGGTAGTTGAGCTGGCGCGACACGGTGAAGAGCTTCCCCTGGCTGTTGACGTGCATCGACACGCCCTTGCCGTGCTTGTCGTCGGACTCGTGGTCCTGGCTCTGGTGCTGGTTGCCCTGGTGGCCATGTTGGTGGCCCTTGCGGTACATGAAGATGCGCCGCTCGTTGCCGGCCGCGTCGGTCGCCTTGCGGCTGACCAGCGGGAACGACCGCCTCTTCGGTTGTTGCTGCTGCTGCTGCTGATTCCGGGGCACGCCGACCTCGGCCCTAAAGGTGGCGACCACCGACTTTTGCACCGTCGTCGTCACGGTCGAGCGGACGGTGGTGACGACGGGGCCGGGCGTCGTGGCGAGCGTTCTCTGCGTCGTGGCCGTGGCGTCGGTGAGGAGGCAGTTGCAGGCCTCGAGGTAGTTCCAGCGCGGGAAGGCCACGGTGTCGAGGCACGCCGGCGCCGGGGCGGGCGGGACAGCACGCTGTTCCAGGGGTACCGGAGGCGCAGTGGTCTTAGGGAAAGGGGCTGCCGCTTCTACATCTGCGTCTGCGGCACCGGCGCTGTCTTTATTCTCGGCCAGGATGGGGAACCCGGTCTGCTGTGCCACCTGGGCAGCACCCTGGATGCGGCTCTGGGGCTCGCAGACGCCCGAGGTGACGACCGAGGTGAAGGTCGAGGTCTGCGCGGGGCCCGTCGAGGTACCCGTGTACACGACGACGGTGGACGTGGCCCGGTCCAGGACGTAGCTGCAGAAGCGGCTGGCGGCGGCCGTCGACGAGGCGAAGCAGCCCTGGGCGTCGTCGCGGTAGTAGGCGTAGAAGTAGTCGTAGGGGAAGGCGTCGCTGCAGGTCGTGGCCGTGGCCGGCAGCTGAGAGTCGTAAAAGTTGCACAGGACGACGGTGCCGGTGGTACCGGGGTTCAACTCGGTGGTGCTCAGCTGCGCAATGTAGGCCTTGCAGGGGCCGCAGCAGCCCTCGCCGCACGCGGTGGCGCCGACGGGCGCATAGGCCGGGTAGGCGGCATACGAGATGGAGTTGACGGGCGCGCAGAGCGACGTGGCGATGCTGTTGTAGGCGGTGAGGCTGTAGAGGCTGTACGGGTGCGCGGTGCAGGTGCCCACGGCGGGCTGTGCGCAGGTGGTCAGTTGCTGGCCCATTGTGTTGTGCGTGGTATAGTAGCAGTAGATCCAGGTATGCAGAGGCGGACATGCATTGGCATCCCTCCCGGGCAGCGATATGCGTCCGTCCCTGGGCACATATAGACCTATACTTGTATTGTGCCTGGGCTGCAGTGACCGAGAGCCGGCCCGGGACGATGCTCCGACCACACAATTCATCTGGACCGCAGCGAAATGCTGGGCACACACAGACGACGCGCCGGGATGTGAGACACTACGGGATGTGAGACACGGCTGGGCTGGAGAGGGCTGAAGGAAGGGATTCCAATACCCGCAATGCATAGTATTCTCGGACCCCCAGAGGGATGAGGAAGCACGCGACTGTCAATAAAAAGCCCGCGGACCCCTGCCCCTTTGTTATTCCCCTCGCTCAGAGACACGACCTCGTTATGCATGGTGGAATGCCTATTGATTTGGTGGCTTGGGGACACAGGCTCCTGTTCCCTCTCTCCGGGGGCCTATGCAAAGAAGAAGCCCGTGAGCAATCAGGTCGAGTTTCTTCCCCTCTGGCCAGCTGCGAAGAATGAGCTCTGTTTATGGATGGCACGCAGGCCATCCAGACTCCCTTATCCCATGACGCCCAGGTCGACCCCAAGGGCCTCTCGCATGTGACGATCTGGAGAATGTGTGCTCATGTCCCGCAGCACAACATGGAAGCGCCACCGAGCTCAGCTACGAGCGTATATGTTGGGTATATATTTGCAGAGGCATACGCGGACCCGTAGGCTCTTGTACGGCCGTGCTCTATAACGCCGTCTGCGTGCGTCCGTTGATCCACGAGCGATTCACCAGGCGATAATAGCAACATGGAGATTCCCCTCCAGCCCGCCCTCGGCACCTGCGCTGCGCATCCGTACACCTTCTACGACATCGCGGCCTACAGTACTGCAGGGGGGACGCCATGCCCGCCGCCTAACCCCTACTCGACTGCCACCTCTGCAGTGACTTATTTGGGCGGCGGGATCGACAATTCATATGCCTGTCGTTACCAGTGTTCCAGCAGCTGCAAGGCCTATGTGGCTTATTATACAAGCTACCTCTACGGGCCGTCTCAGACGGTCAACTCGGTCAACTGCTTCTTTTACACTTCGCAGCTGCCGGCGCCGACCTCCTGCTCAGCGGCGGCGCCTTACATCTCCCTCTATGCCAGCTACTACGACGACATCCGGGTCTGCTTCCGCTCGTCGACCGCGGCGGCCAGCCGCTACTGCAGCTATCTGCTGAACAAGCCGGATCCGTCCACCGTCGTGATTTACACGACCACTTCCACGGGGCCGCCCCAGACCTCAACCTCCACCTCCGTCGTCACCTCGACAGTGTGTGCGCCGCAGAAACGCGCCCTGGGTGGCCGGGTGGCCCAGGAGACGGGCTTCCCCATCTTGACGGACGTAGGCTACGACAAGGCCGCCGCCGCCGCCGCCGCTCCGTCCCCGAAGCCTACCCCTTCCCCAGGGAAGCTGCCCCGGAGAGCGTTGGGCGCCCCTCCGGCATGCCCACCTCCTCAGCTGGAGCAGCGCGCACCACAGGCGCCACCCCCGGCGTGCTTTGATCCCGTTGCCTACTCGGACTGGACCTCCGTCGAGGCCTGTAGCTGCCTGCTCACGGACGACATCACGGCGACCACGGTGAGCTCTGCCAGCGTGACCCCAGGGGCGACGACCATCGTCAGCGCGACGGTGACGACGACGGTGCAGAGCTCGGCAGTGCCCACGTTCGAGGCCCTGGTCAACGTGCCTGCCAGGCAGCAGGGCGTGCCGCCCAGAGTCTTCCCGCTCATCAGCCGCAGGGTGACGGACGCGGACGGCAACGAGCGGCGCGTCCTGCTCTTCCGCAGGGGTCCCAAAAAGGAGCCCAAGGACGACCGCGGCGTGTCCATGTACGTCAGTCCCGAGGGCCAGCTGTTCACCGTCTCGCGCGAGCTCAACTACCTGCGGCCGTTTGGGCAGATCACCCTCGTCACCCTGCAGGGGGGGCTCGTCGTCCTGGGCCAGCTGCCGAAAGGCACAGCCGCGGACTCGCAGAACGTCCTCCAGGACTGCGTTGTGCCTGAGACGGGCAGCGTGCGGTGCAAGCTGAGCGACGGCCTGCCCGCGGTGTTTTCGGTGGTCCGGCTGCCGGGCGACGATCGCAAGCACGCGCGGGCCATTGCCGTCGGGCGGGAGGCCGTGGCGGGGGCCAGGGTCGTGTCACTGAACGTGGGCGCGCGGGGGACCGTGATTATCGGGTGTGGAGCGGAGGCGTAGTCTGTATGCATGTTTCCATGTTGTCGATTGCTGCTGATGGTATCTCGAGTGTTGGCTGGCAAGCCAGACCTGGCTGCGGATATGATCAGCGTCTGTTGAGAGCGGAGGGCTGCAAACGGGAAATCCAGGCACGAAGGCGCTTCAGTCACGTAATAAAACGCGCCATCACGAGGCGGTCATGTCGTTGTGGACGGGGTCACTCAGGTACGATACCTGGTTGAACAACGCGCATCATTGTTGAGGAGAGCTGGTCAAATGTCCGGACTCGAATAAAAAAGAGCAAAATAGAATTCCAAACTTCCAAAAATAAACACCAAAAACATACAACACCGGGGATTCGCTGGTCGTCACCGACCCAACTACTGATCCGGCGGTATCGAGCTTATGGAAAGGGGAGCGGACGGGACCCTCAGCTTTCTCGATCCTATGGTCGTATGTGCTGGGATTTGGTTTCTATGAGACTACATATAGGAACATGTTGTCTGCTGGTTCGGCAGTAAGACGATAGCACGTGACTAATCAACTGTGCCAAGCACATGCACATGCACCCACTTTGCCAAGCCTTGAGCTCGGACACGGTGGGTTATGTGTTGGTTTGACCAACAGGGCAAATTTGGTCAGGGCTTCAATGCTTGGAAATTGGAGTGCATCCTCCTTTTCGATTGATTGCCCGATTTCTCGGGAAGCATTACTTTGCCACCATTCACCGGCAGAGGAGTTCCTTCATCTCACAGCCTCACCACTCGGTACGATGCTGGCCGTCAGCCCCCCTGGCCGAAATGGTCATGGGTTACTACTGCTTGCTGCCATCATCCTCCTGCTCGTACAATCTGTGGCTGCCAAGGTGAAGCTCGACCAGGTGGGCGAAAACGCCAACCCCGACGTCTCGGGAAGAGTCCACTTCTACGCACCACGTCTCGACCGGACCTATCCAGGCTCGTGGGACAACACCACACCGAACCCGTGGACCCTCGAGCTCAACATCACCAGAGACCGCACGACTGGCCCCCTTGCAGACAGCCGCGTCCCACTCTTCACGCTACAGGCCATACCGCCCGCGCCGGGCCTGGACGGGGCGGTCTACTGGCCGAACGGCTCCTACACCATCGGCGATGTTGGGCCCTACGCTGTTAACCCCACCACGCAGAGCTGGTATGTCCAGATGGGTGTGCCGTACTGGACTCCAGACCTCGAGGTGCCCGAGGGCAACGACAAGCAGCGAGGGACCTGCCCCGGAAGCATATGGACCAGCAGGTGTATGGCTGCGATGCGCCAGGCCATCCAAGCCCAAGATCACTATGACCGCTTCAACGTCACGGGTCTTGCAGCCTGTGAGAGCCAGCCGACACTACACTTTCCCGTGTTCGGTGAGTACATCTGCCACCATCGTCTCGATAGGCATTCACTGACTTTGTTCAACCCCTGCCTTGAAATAGGCATAAGCCCGGATGACGATTTTACTGCCGGTACTATCGACCGCAACATCGCTCCTGATGGCTTTGGCACCTTTACAGAATACGACAGGCGAGGACTCGCGACGTTTCCGGTAGCCCTCGTCTTCAACATTCCTTACTGGTCCAAACTTCCTCAGCCGCCCTTGCCCGACGAGAACATCATCTTCGCATGTGTCAAGGTAGATACAACTCACAATGGTGCCAAGATGCCAACCGGAGGAGGTGTGATGACCGGAGGAAGTGCTCGGCAGGTTGGCGGGCAGGGTCGGTCGGCAATATGGTTCGCTATTGTCTCGGCGCTTTTTCTACTGGACAAAAGGCCTGGAGCATAATCATAAATAAATCAATCTCATAAACATACTGCTCCATTTCGGTCACAGTCTCTTTGTGCTCGGCCAAGCCGAGGCTGCATCGCCGGATGCGGTACCCGTGCACGTGGCCGACACCGCAAGGCACCGCAAGGCACCCACCCGCGCCAAGCCCCGCTGACGTCACCCCACGATCGCGTGTTGGCGCCTCGCTAATACCATACTAGACTGCGCCTTCCCTCGGGCAAACGGCGTCTCCCGCCCTCCCGAGGTCTACCTTCCTGCCTCACGCAACTTCACTCACCCCAATCCTCACCACCAGCCATGGCTCGCTCGCGACGCAGCCCGGGCGGCCTCCCGGCCACCACCACCCTCCTCCTCGTCCTCCTCCTCGCCTGCTGCCTCTTTGCGCAGCCCGCCGCGGCCTTTGGCGCCGGCTCCGTGCCGCCCGCCTCCGAATTCAACGGCTACGTCTGGCGCCACGGCGACATCTCCGAGGTCCTCAAGTACCTCCCCGCCAGCTTCATCACCGCCCACCGCTTCACCAAGCTCCAGCGCCGCCAAATCTACTTTGGCAACTGGTGTCGCGACTTTTCCCAGGTCATCGACACGACGTGCCTCGAGACGGTGCCGGAGCCGATCCTGCGGGCCATTGTGGCCGTCATGGCCTTCATGGAGTTTGGCTACGCGACCGACGAGTTCGACGTGACCCGCGAGCGCCTCGGCTGCTACACGCACGTCGAGCACATTGACAACCCCAAGGGCTACCCGGACAACGCCAAGGACGTCGACCCGCGCCTGCGCGGGCCCCTCGACCCCCGCGAGCTCGAGTTCGACCACCGCACGGGCATGAAGAACTACATTGCCAACAGCGGCAGAGGGTGGGACACGTCGGCCGACTACATACGCAGGCAGCTGCGGCTGAGCATCGAGCTCGGCCGCAAGGGCCGCAGCGGCAAGCACTCGGACGCCGCAAAGGAGAGCCTGTTCCACCTGGGCGCGGCCCTGCACACGCTCGAGGACTTTGCCGCGCACAGCAACTTTGTGGAGCTGTGCCTGCGCGAGCTGGGCGAGGACAACGTCTTCCCCATGGTGGGCGACCAGTGCACGGTCAAGGTGCCCGGCTGGAAGGGCAAGCAGGTGCCGCCGCTGGTGACGGGCACGTTTGGCATGCTCGACATTTTCCACAGCTTCCTCGGGGAGGCCGACGACATGGCGGTGCTGCAGAGCAAGGGCAGCCTGGGGGAGTTGGAGGAGGTGAGATTGTCTGTTTTGAACTCGCGAGAGAGAGAGAGAGAGAGCCAAAAACTAACCCCCGCAGAAATTCCAATTCGGCGGCATGGCCTTTGAGCAGCTCTTTGACCTCGTCAAGGGGGCCCTCGAGGCCCTCAGCAAGGTCACGGCCGGCAGCGAGCCCCTGCTGCAGCAGCTCGACGCGCTGCGGTCCATCTTCCAAAAGGCCGAGCAGGACGAGGCGGGCAGCGTGCACAGCGTCGACGAGGACGACTCGTCGCCCGTGCAGATTGCCAACGCCAACGCGCTCTGGTCCGCCATCGAGCCCATCTTCTACCCGCACGACCGCATAAAAAAGTGGCTGCAGGAGGGCGACGAGGAGGAGACGGAGGAGCAGGCCGGCGACCAGGCGACCAACGAGCTCGGCGACTACACGACCCAGATCGTGTGGCGGTTCCTGGCCATGATGATCGAGTCGTCGGTCAAGGAGCTGCGCAACGCCGTCCGGGCGGCCAAGGAGAAGGTCGACCAGGAGGCCGCCAAGTCGCACTCGGCCGAGATCTACCGCGCAGGGTCCGACGCCTCCGACCCCAGCCACTCGGACCTGTCCAAGGACCACTTTAGCAACGTGCTCAACCAGCCCGCGGGCCTCGTCTCGACCATCACGACCAACTGGGCCACGCAGCAGGTCGTCAGGTGCTGGGACAACCCAAAGCTCAGCGCCGACAGGACCATCGACGAGATCCTCAAGATCCTCCACCACCCGGCCTTCTACAGCAGGCGCGCGCCCATCCAGCAGTACATGTTCGACACGGTGCGCGGCTGGTGGGAGCACCACTCGGAGGAGAACAGGGACAAGATCCGCGGGATGCTGACCCGCGAGAGCGTCCAGGCCCGCGAGCACGAGGACCAGCACCTCACCCTCAAGGACCTGCAGGGCACCCTGCGGGGCGCCGCCGAGTTCCCCGGGTCCCGGCCCGATGTGAAGGCGCCGCCCAAGAAGCCGTCGGTGATTGTCAAGGGGGTCAACGAGGTGATTGCCGACGTGCAGTGGGTCGCCGGCACCGCGCACGAGAACACGAGCTACCTGGCCCGCGGGGTCTGGGACATCATCTCGCTGCCCGGGGGTTTGGTCGTGACGGTATTCCGGGCGACCAAGAGGACGGCCGGGTGGGTGGCCAGCGGCGTGTATGGTGTCGGGGCGAAGCTCTGGCCGTTTGGGAAGTGATTGGGCGGACAGAGGAATAAGCTGCATTCAAGGCGTCTGGTAATTGTAGGTTTGGCATAATAGATTCATCAGCAGAAGAAATATCAAAAAGTGGGTATATCCGACACACATAATTCACGTCCTTGTCGTCCTCCTCCCGCCGACCAGCCGGTCAAACTCGCCTCCGCGGTCGACCACGACCACCTCGTCCCTGCGGGTCCGCATGTTGCGCAGCGTGACCACGAGGGCCGAGTAGTCGTCGCCCTTCCACCGCGCGCCCATCCAGATGTACCGCCGGTCGAGGGGGATCTCGCCCGTGGCCGGGTCCCGCCCGGCCTCCTCGAGGGCGCAGGCGGCCTCGGTCCGGATCACGGCCGTCTTGCTGTCCCACTCGCTGCCGTGGCGGCGCACGAGCCGGCGGTACAGCGCGAAGCCCCGGTCCCGGACGTCGCGGTACCGGCAGCGCGCGGTGAAGCCGTGCACGATGGGGAGCAGCTGGTCGTCAAACATGCGGCGGATCGGGGTGGCGGCGGTGGTTTTGTTATTGTTTTTGTTGTTGTTGTTGCTGCTGTCGTGGCGTTTCTGCTGCTGCTCCTGGCGGTCCAGCTCGTCGAGCAGGTTCTCAATCAGCGAGCACGTCTCGCGGCACTGCTCGGCCAGCACGTCCCACATGCGCTCCGTCGGGTCCAGCGCCGCCATCGAGTGCACGAGCGCGAGGGAGCCCCCGATCTGGTAGACGAGGAGCATGCGTCGGGTCTGCTGGTGCTGCTGCCGCTGGGCTTGGGTGTCTGCAGTCTCGTGATCTTCGTGATCGTCGTCGTCGTCGCTCTCGGTCTTGCTCGTCGTCGTAGTGAGACTGCTGTTGATGCTCGCGAGGCGGTGCTTGAGCAGGGCCAGCCAGCCCCGGAACAGCGCGACGAGCTGGTTCTGCTCGTCCACGGCCCGCGGCGTGGGCGGGTGCTGCTCGATGACGACGAGCCGGTGGATGGCAAAGAACCAGGTCGTCACGGCCGTCATGGTCTTCTCGTAGGCGCGGCTGTTGCCCTCTGGGTCAGTGGCCGTGACTATCAAAGGGAAAGCGCGAAATGTACATGTGCTTACATAATCTCGGCCAGGCTGGCGTTGAGCGCCGGGACACCGGCCTTGAGGTCCAGCGGCACCGTCCAGAGGGCCTCGAGCTGCGGCGGCGGGAAGGCCGGGTAGTTTGGGGCACAGAAGCCGCGGATCACGGCGACGCGGGGCAGGAAGAACTCGGCCTCCTCGACGCCGGCGTCGTCGACGGCGGCTGCTATCTTGGGTGTCGGCTTCCTCGCCGTCGCCCCGGACCGCACCTTTCGTGCGTCATCTGGCCCCCGAACCACTTCGTCTGAGTCCCGAGCCGGCGCCGCGGCAGACAAGCTCGACAGCCGGCCCTTGAGCGCCAGCACCGCGGTAGCGAGCAGCTGGTCCACCGTGTCGATGTTACCCTGCAGGGCCTCGTACGCGACAAAGAGGATGCTGGCAATCAGGATCGTGCGGGCCTGCGACTCGACGGCCTTGCTGTCGTGGCCCGCCGCGAGCAGCTGCCGCATGTACGCGAGGGCCTGGATGTAATACCGCGTCGCGCGGGTGTGGTGGACGCTGAGGCGTGATGGTGAGGTGGCCGCGCACAGGGGTAGCTCGACTGGTCTGCTGTCGTCGTCGTCGTCCTTGCTGTTGTTGTTGGTGGCTGAGAATCCGGGACTCCCACTACTACTCGAGACAGGACTCGAGACAGGACTCGAGACAGGACTCGGAGACGGAGTGAGCGTGGCAGACGCGGCGGCGGCAGCAGCAGCATCCTGCCGGGCACAGTCGAGGGCGCCGAGGCCGAGGATGCAGGCGCGGATGCACGGGTTGCGCATGCCCTCGCGCGGCACGACGCGGGTCCAGAGGTCCAGGCTCTGGCCCTGGACGACCATGTTGTGCACGGTGCGCCGGCGGAAGACGTCGAAGTAGGCGGCCTCGAGGGCCGTCAGGCGCGTGTCGCACTGCGGCCTGATGGAGCCCGAGATGAGGTCTGTTCGTGGGCTGGATCTGCTGGAGGAGGCGGAGGAGGAGACAGAGGAGGAAGGCACGGCCGGCCGTTTGCCACCACCGAGTCCAGCCCCGGCCCCGGCACCGGACGTGGCCGGCCGCACGGCAAAGGAGCCCGGGAGGGCGGCAGTCAGCAGCTGCAGGGAGCAGTCCGAGCCGGCGGCGACGCAGCGGCCACAGCGCGGGCGGCGCTCGTCGCATTTGACATGGCGGCGCTTGCACTGGAGGCAGCCCAGGCGCGACTTTGTGCGGAAGGCTCGCTGGCGTGGGGCGGCAGCAGCAGCGGGCTCGGGCATGCCCGGCGGTCGAGGTGGTGGTGTGGTGTGGTTGTGACAGCGACGGGGATGGTTGCAGGCAGTGGGAGGAGGGAGGGAAAGGATTCGAGCCCAAAGCCCACCGTTGGACGACAGGACGGCAGTTGGCCGCCTCAGTGGAGCAAGCGTCGATGCGGTTAGCCCGGCCCTTGTCGAGACGTGTCCGGGCGGGTGGAGAAGCCGCAGGAGCTTGCCACGGCGCAATAATGGATATATAGAACGAGACCACGAAACTCATTCTGGTTCGATGCTGAGACACACATTTTTTCACGGGCTGCACAGAAACGAAACGAGGCAATTATGCAAACATCCGTGCGTCCCTGGCCCAGTATGGCGGGCGCACACAGGGATGCCGCATGCACATACGGCTAGTTCCGGCTGACATATTGCATGTGATAATTAACCCGGCTCGTCTATAGTCTGTCTGCTCTACCATAGTATAGTCTGGCACTCGCTCACAGCGCCTTCTCCAGCACCACAAAGTGCAGGTCGTCCCGCAGCACCCGCCCGCCGCGCATCCGCGCCACCATCTCGTGCGGGAACGGCCGCGTCGGCTCCGTGGTGCTCTGCGCGTAGCCCCGGCGCTCGTACCACGCGATGATGTCCGCCCGGGCCGCGATAACCGTCATCTCCATCGTCGTCACGCCCCAGCGCCGCGCCGCCTCGCGCTCCGCGTGCTCGAGCACCCGCCGCCCGATCCCGCCGGCCTGCCGGTTCGGGTCTACCGCGAACAGGCCAAAGTAGCCGACCTGCTGCTGTTTTTCGGTCGTCGTCTCCGTCGTGGTGGAAGAGGAGGAGGCGCCGCTCCGGTGCAGGAACTCGCAGCACGAGACGACGTCGTCGGTGCCCTCGACCGTGACCACCATGACCACCCCGTTGGGCTCCGAGATCTTCTCGAGCAGCCCGGGCTCGTCAATGCGCTCGCCCTCGACGAGGTCGGCCTCGGTGGTCCAGCCCTTGCGGCTGGCCTCGCCGCGGTACGCGGACTGGATGAGGGCGAGGAGCGCGGGTATGTCGGCCGCCGTGGCGTCCCGGAAGGTGAGATGTGGCTGGGACATTTTGGGCTGTGCTGGAGTGCTTGTGCTGGACGTTTGCTTGCGCTGAGCCAAAAGGGGCGGTGCAATTGCGTCGATGAGGGCCGTGGCCGGTCTAGTAGATGAAGCGAATGCTGAATATAAGAAATTAGGCTCGGCCAGGGATCTGCCCTTCCTCTGAGTCACTTCGCGAGGCCGGGACGGCGATGGCGGCGGAGGCGGGACAAAGAAAGGCCTGCCCACCTGCCTGCGCTTCGCGAGGGCCTCGCCAATTAATCTAGAACATTCCCAGCGCCGTTTGTTCGGCCCCACCACGGCTAACGTCTCCGTCCTTGCCCCGCCTCCGTGCTGACACCAGGGGCCGATCGAGGCCGGGCTTGTACCTTGACGAGGCAGGGGCTGCCCAGGTGACGTGGTCTTTCCACATGAGGAACGAGTGCACGCAAAAAGAGAAAAAAAGCCCCGGGGTGGATACAGACCCACGAGGACCCTGCCTGCTTGTCCTCGTACGTGAGTGGCGATTGCCGCGCGAGACTCGTCACCGCAGGCTGTGTCCCAAGGTGTGACTTCGGCCAGGCGGCAGGCGTTTCCTGACGCATTGTCAGTGTGCACACAGGGGCCGAGGATGGAGAGCTTGTCTGAGGATGATGAGGAAGAGGATGTGCCACGGAAGGGCTGCCGGCATGTGTGGCCCTTTACTCTGGGCTGGGAGCCGTGCACAAGTTAAACCCTCATTGAAAGTATGCCTGGACAGGGACGTGGCAAATCTTGGGCTTTCCAGTAGAGGAAGGTGACCGATTTGGAAAGAATGGCTAAGGGTCACTCAGTCCTTTAATTCACGTTCACAAAATACTACAATTCATTGCTGACACGTTCATTCATTCTGGTTTCTGATCTGTGCTACATAGTCCAAACCAGCCTACAGCTTCGACGCGACCTTGGACTGGTGCAGGTCGAACCGGTCGAGGTTGGCCACCTTTGTCCACACGTTGACAAAGTCCTTGACAAACTTGTCGCGGCTGTCGCTCTGGGCGTAGATCTCGGAGATGGCGCGCAGCTCGGCGTGCGAGCCGAAGACGAGGTCCACGCGGGAGCCGGTCCACTTCTTGGCGCCCGTCTTGCGGTCGGTGCCCTCAAAGGTCTCGCTGTCCGGGCCCGTGGGCTTCCAGACGGTGCTCATGTCGAGCAGGTTGACAAAGAAGTCGTTGGTCAGGGTGCCGGGCTTGTCGGTGAAGACGCCCGTCGACGAGCCGTCAAAGTTGGCGTTGAGCGCGCGCAGGCCGCCGAGCAGGACCGTCATCTCGGGCGCCGTGAGGGTCAGCAGGTGCGCGCGGTCGACGAGGAACTGCTCGGCCTTGACGCGCTGCGAGGAGCGGCCGTAGTTGCGGAACCCGTCGACGGCGGGCTCGAGGTGGCCCACGGACTGGACGTCGGTCTGCTCTTGGGTGGCGTCGCCGCGGCCCGGGGTGAAGGGCACCTCGACGTTGTGCCCCGCGTCCTTGGCGGCTTTCTCGACGGCGGCGACACCGGCCAGGACGATGATGTCGGCGATGCTGATCTTCTTGCCGCCCGACGCGGAGCTGTTGAAGCTGCCGGCAATGTCCTCGAGCGTCTTGAGCACGTGGCTGAGCTGCAGCGGGTTGTTGACCTTCCAGTCCTTCATCGGGCTCAGGCGGATGCGGGCGCCGTTGGCGCCGCCGCGCTTGTCGGAGCCGCGGAACGTCGACGCCGAGGCGAACGCCGTCGAGACGAGCTGCGGGACGGTCAGGCCCGAGGCCAGGATTTTCTCCTTGAGGGCGGCAATGTCGGAGCCGTCGACGAGGGCGTGCTCGACCGCCGGGATAGGGTCCTGCCACAGCAGGTCCTCTTTGGGGATCTCGGGCCCCAGGTACCGCGCCTTGGGGCCAACGTCGCGGTGGAGCAGCTTGAACCAGGCGCGCGCAAAGGCGTCGGCGAACTGGTCCGGGTTCTCGAGGAAGCGGCGCGAGATCTTCTCGTACTCTGGGTCGTAGCGCAGCGACAGGTCGGTCGTCAGCATGCGCGGCTTGTGCTTCTTGTTCTTGTCGTACGCGTCCGGGATGAACTCGTCGGCGTCCTTGGCCACCCACTGGTTCGCGCCGGCCGGGCTCTTGGTCAGCTCCCAGTCGTACTTGAACAGGTACTCAAAGTAGGCGTTGCTCCACTGCGTCGGGGTCTTGGTCCAGATGACCTCGAGGCCGGACGTGATGGTGTCCGGGCCCTTGCCCGAGGCGTGGCTGTTCTTCCAGCCGAAGCCCTGCTGCTCGATGCCCGCGCCCTCGGGCTCGTCGCCGACATTGTCGGACGACGCCGCGCCGTGGGTCTTGCCGAAGCTGTGGCCGCCGGCGATGAGGGCGACCGTCTCCTCGTCGTTCATGGCCATGCGGCCGAACGTCTCGCGGATGTCCCGGGCCGCGGCCTTGGGGTCCGGGTTGCCGTCGGGGCCCTCTGGGTTGACGTAGATGAGACCCATGTGCGCGGCGCCCAGGGGCTTCTCGAGGTTGCGGGTGTGGATGTTCTTGGCACCGCCCTCGTCCGAGTCGACGACGCCGCCCTTGGACACGCCCGGGTTGCCGTCCGAGTAGCGGACGTCGTTGCCGAGCCACGTCATCTCGCCGCCCCAGTACGTGCTCTGGTCGGCCTCGAACGTGTCGGCGCGGCCGCCGGCGAAGCCAAACGTCTTGAAGCCCATGGTCTCGAGGGCGACGTTGCCGGTGAGCAGCATCAGGTCGGCCCACGAGATCTTGTTGCCGTACTTTTGCTTGATGGGCCACAGCAGGCGGCGGGCCTTGTCGAGCGACACGTTGTCGGGCCAGCTGTTGAGGGGCGCGAAGCGCTGCTGGCCCTGGCCGCCGCCGCCGCGGCCGTCCTGGACGCGGTACGTGCCGGCGCTGTGCCAGGCCATGCGGACAAAGAGGCCGCCGTAGTGGCCAAAGTCGGCGGGCCACCACTCCTGCGAGTCGGTCATGAGGGCTGCCAGGTCCTTCTTGAGGCCCTGGTAGTCGAGCGTCTTGAAGGCCTCGGCATAGTCAAAGTCCTTGGCGAGGGGGCTCGAGACGCCCGTGTGCTGGCGCAGGATGTTGAGGTACAGGTTGTTGGGCCACCAGTCCTTGGGCTGGGTGCCGCCACCACCCGTGTTGATGGTGTTGGAAAAGGGACACTTCTTCTCCTCAGACATGGTTGCGGGTGGATGCTGTGAGGTGAGAGATGGGGGAGGATGGAGGAGGGAGGAAGAGGAGGGAGAGGAGGGAGAGAAGTAAGTAAAGGGCGAAGACGAAGAAAAATAAGACGGGAAACCTTAATTGGGCGACCCGGGAAGCCCAGGGAAGCAATGGCAAACGAGGACAACCGAGTCGTCGGAGCAAAGAGGAGGAGGAGGAGGCAACCCCGCACGCCCAGTCGCGGTCAGTAGTCCGCAGGGACTCGCTGGCCAGACAGCTGCAGCCTCGAAGCACGCCAATCACGCACAGGCATCTGTTCACGCAGCGCGAGCACGTCGTTGCCGCACCAGGTGGGATCATCGGCACCCCGCGAAACAGGCTGCATGTATGCTGTGTGTGCGTCGCTGCAACCCCCGCCGATTCCCGGCTGCAGTGCCGAAGCACCGTCTGTGGCAAGACACGATGATGATGACATCTGGGAGCTGCGTGGACGTGCTCGGCAGGCACAAGAGGGGTCCGTCTCTATCCATCTAGGGGTCCAGCCTAGCCCTCCTCCTAGTGTCCGGCTTGTCTCTGTCGCGCGTCCATGTGGTGATGCTCTCGTGGCAGAGTCGCCTCGATGGAAATTGGAAATGGATGACAAGGACTGACCCCACACGCGGGCCCACCACCCCCACTGCCCCTCCCCCGCCTCTGCGTCCGCACTTCCGCACCTCGGAAGCGGCCCCGCCACAAAGTGCAGCCAATGAGGCGGCCGTGATTACTCGCGCCCGCCCATCCTCGACGCGTCTCTCCCTCCCCCAAGGTTCTCGGCCTGCAAGGTAGGCAGCATTGACAACAGATTCCGGCACACCCCCGAGTGTCCGAGGCGGCATTCGCCGATAACGGACGGCTTACAGCACCCAGGCCTGGCCCAGGCGCAACATATTTTCCTCTCTGGTGGTGGCCTGCCTGCCTGCTGCTCCATGACGCATGCCGTGCCCACAATCAGCTCATTCCGCCTCCCCTGCTGCTGTCCCCCTTCGGCCCCACCAGCGCCTCCCTCCTGCTTCCCCCCCGATCGATCGTGTCGACGGGTTCAATGCGCGCAGTCAGCTGACCTTGGGCTGTGCTGGGAGCTGGACGAGCGGGGCTCGGCTCGTCGACGGCCAGCTTCGGCAGCGTTTCCGTCAGTTCCGGTGTCACGGGGTCGCGTACACCTTCCGGGACGAGCAGAGTATACAGTTGGTCAGAAGATATCGTGAGGTGGCACAGCGGCAACGCCTTGTATTGGGTTCTGCGACGATGGACATCTTCACAGCGACACCTTACACTCTGCCCCTCGGCTCCAGTGTCACCCACAAGCCGGCCATCATCCAGAACGCCGCGCTGTGCATCTTCTCCACGGGCCGCGTCGGGTCCAGGATCGTAAAGTCGTACCGGCGGAGCAGCTACACCCATCCACACAGATCAGCATTTTGTCCCCAAGTCGCACACACATCATCAGAGACAAATCTCACCTCGGGCAGCGCCTTGCTCAGCTGCATAAACGCCACGCTCCGGCCCAGGCACTTGAACCGGCCGTACCCAAACAGCGCCTCGAGGCAGGCCGACATGTCGTCCAGCCGCGCCCGGTCGCCCGCCGCCGCCTCGAGCCACCGCTCCGGGCGGAACACGTCGGCGTCGTCGCCCCAGTGCGTCTTGCTGCGGAGGATGCCCCACTGGCGGCACGAGGGAGAAGTCAGCACACCGAAACGAGAGTGATGGGCGATGTTCAGTAAACAGAGAGAATACACACCCCGTCCATGCCGACCTGCGTCCCCGCAGGCAGCTCGTACCCAGCCACGACGTCTCCGCCCGGGGGAACCGTCTTGTTGAGCAGCGGCGTCTGCGAGGGGAAGATGCGCACGCTCTCCCGGATCACGGCCTGCAGGTACGGCATCTTCTTGGCCTCGGCGTCGCGGATGATGGCGGTCGGGGCGGTGCTCGATGCCGAGACAGACGAGTCCGAGTCCGAGTCCGCGTCAGCAGAGGCATCAATCTCGGCCATGAGCTTGTTGTAGACGCGCGGGTTGGTCAGGATGTACACGAGCGCCATGCGCAGGGCCACGGCGACCGAGTCTGTCCCTGCGACGCTGTTTTTGGGGGCGGTATCAGTCAAGCATCAAATACAACACCACCGAATAACAAAACTCACACCTGCACGAGGGCTTCGCTGGTGGCCTCGCTCCTGGTGGCGCCCTGACGCAGGAACCTGTCTATCATGTCCCGCCTCGGCTCGGCGCCGGGCTGGAACCGCTCGTCGAGCGTCTCATCGGCGGCCCGGATGAAGCAGCCCAGGCCGCTCTTGTCCGTGGGCTTGGGCAGCGCCTCGGAGAACGGCCACGTCTGGAACAGCCTGCCCAGCACGGGGAACGTCGCGCACGTCGAGGCGATCGGGAAGAAGCCCTCGTTCCACCGGATCCAGTCAAATAGGTCCTCCCCGTCGTCCAGGAACCCAAACGGCCGACCAAACGTCATGTCCCCGACAATGTCGAGCGCCAGGAACTGCGTGATGACCGAGAGGTCCACCCTCTTCGTCGTCTCGGCACCATGGTGGTTCACGTGCCTGCGCTCGAGCAGCGCAAACAGTCGCGCGAGCTGCCGGTCGATGGCGTCCTCGACCATTGCGCTGGCCGAGTAGCCCGGGCCGATCTTGGTCCGCAGCGCGGCGTGCCGGTCCTCATCGAGCATCGAGAACGAGTGGTCCACGCCCTTCTGGAACCGGAACGTGCCGTACCAGGGGCCCTTGCGGTACGGCGACCGCGGGGCCTCCATCTTCTGGCAGTGCCGGAAGTCGGTCGTCAGCACGGCCTTGGGGCCGATGCGGACCAGCGGGCCTGCGGGGGTTGTCTGTGAGTCGACGTGTATGGTGGCATTGCAGGTAACAGCTGACGAGTCAAATCACTCACCATACTTCCTCGACAGGTCACTGAGCGACTTGTGCGAGTACCCGCCGAGGTTGGCCTGCAGCATCGGCAAGGGAGAGATGGACCACCAGAGCGGGCCCGGCACGTGCGCGAGGCGTCGCCACTCGACGACCCATTTCACGAGGTACGCGACGGGCAGCAGGGAGAGTAGGAGCGGGCGGACGAGGCCGGCAGTGTCGATGCTTGCGAAGGACACCATCGCGCCGAGTCTGTTGGGCCATCAAGTGTCAGAGGGGAAGGGGAGGAATCTGCACAAGCGGAGGAGGCATCTGCACCCAATCTTTATCAAGTGTGGGAGACCTTCCTACGGCTGGCCAGGCCACCCCAGAGTCTCAAAGTGACCTGTCAGCCCGGGCGGTGGATTGAAGAAATGGGCCGGCCTCATGACCCCTGTCTCGCGGCAGCCAAGCGGGGTCTCAGGGGTTGTTCCCTGGCAGAGTATGGCCAGCCAGAGTGTCGGGAATTTGATTTCTTGCGTGCGGCAGGCTGTAGATGAGATAAGACCAGTCGCGTATGCTTTGCCCTGGACGCATGTACCTGCGGTTGTCTATCGTGTCTCGGGCTCTGACGCATTGTCAGCATGGGGTGCCGCGCTGGCTGCCCTTTTAGGCCGCGAGAGGGAATCTCCTGAGCCATACGTACTGGCTGGCCCGGAGGCCCGGGTTCCTGGATCCCTCCATGTTCATCGCGCAGCCTTGTGGATCGGGCAGTTTTTGCTGCTCCACACGATGGACGGACGGAGCCAGCTGCGCTAGCGGCCCCATAAGGCGCCTGTCAACAGGGAACAAGCTGGCACGCGGGACAAACAGTGGAGGTGCGGCGATGGACCAGCTCGGGATGAAGGCGACGGCTTGTGTGGACTGCTTTTTTCCGATTCGCTCCGCGGGCGGCGGCAGCAGCCACAGCAGGAGCTGGAGCAGCCTCTAATGGAACACGGCTGAGGGACAAATCGTGTCGCTTCGATGCGCTCTGGGCTGAGCTGTCACTTTTGGCCGGCCCCGCGTTGCTTTTCCCAGTGTAGGCACGAGGACTGGAAGATTGTGATTAGCTGGCTGGCCACGAAGCAATGCCGCTCGCTTGAGATGCCCATTATCGCGCAGAGGGGGCGTTCCGCGAGCTTAAAACGACGAGGTAAGATGCAGGTACGTGAGATTGCACCGGGGGGCCGGCTTGCCTTTCTGAGCGTGACAATCCCACGCTGTGGGCGACCAGATAACACATCCCAGGCCGCCGGACACCCCGCGGCTCGTTTCCGGTGCAGGGAAGCTCGCGTGATGCGACCGTTCCGATGCGGGAGCGGGACAAAAGAAAATTGACGGCCCCAGGCTGTCACATATGTATGTCCCATGGCTAGCCTGACTGCCGATTGCCGAACGGCAAAAGGAACTGGCAGCTATCCTGCTAAAAGCAACGGCGATACAACACTGAGCCGACATAAAGACGAAGCGAGCTCCCGTCGGTGTTGGGACAGCGGACATGAGCCACCAACCCTGCCACTACCAGAGAAAACCACCATGTCGAGCCTCGGCGGCGAAGGGCCGTACTGCATCACGGTCCTGTGGACCCTCACGGCGATTGTCCTCGTGTTCCTCGTGCTGCGCATCTACACGCGCGTCGTGTGTCTCGCGGCGTACGGCCTCGACGACACGCTCTATGTCGTGACGACGGTGGGTTCTGGGCACCTGGTTTGATATAATGCACGATTAGCGTCACTGACACGGTGCCGCTGCCCAGATCCTCACGGCGGCCTACAGCTCCGTCGCGACCGTCGCCTGCCTGCACGGCTACGGGCGCAGCGACCTCGACGCGGCGGCCACGGCCGACACGACCCTGTGGCGGATGGTTGCGCAGACGTTTTCCCTGCTGGCGACCGGCACGTCCAAGGCGTCGGTGGGCTTCTTCCTGCTGCGCATCGTGGCCGCGCAGTGGCACCGGCTCGTCGTCTGGGCGGTCGTCGGCGTCATGGGGGTGTTGTCGTTATGTAGGTTAAACTGTGGGCGACGTTACTTCTGCGATTGATACTGACCCGCAACAGTGGGGGCCTTGTTCACCTTCCTCGGGTGCAGGCCCATCGCGTACTCGTGGGACGAGCGCATCGCCGGGTCGTGCATCAACACTGTGCCCCTCTCAATGGCCTTGGCCTGTATGTTGTTTGTCCGAGCTGCAGTCAGAACCGCCAGCTAACACCCTTCCCAGTGGGCACTGTCGCGGCCGACTTCATCTTTGTCATCCTCTCGTGGATCTTCATCTGGAAGCTCAACAGCCCGCGCAGGGACAAGACCATCCTCGCGGCCAGCCTGAGCCTGGGCCTCTTGTGGGTTATATCGTCTCCGTCTCCGTCTTGGCTACTGCGTGCTTACTCGTGTGTGTCATCATTAGTGCCGCCACCGCCGGGGCCTTCCGTATCATGAACGTCAGCGGCGTCCGGGACGTGCCCGTCGCCGTGATTGTCTGGTCGCAGGTCGAGACCAGCATGACGCTCATCTGCGTCGGTATCCCCGTGTGCCTGCCCCTGTGGACGATCCTGTGGCGCAAGGTACGAGGCGACAGCAGCAGCAACAACAATAACAACAACAGCCACCCACCACAAAACCACGGCGCCGACAGCAAGGGGTCTGAGAATATCGCCCTGCGCACCATCGGTGGCACCCCGTTGCGCGTGCCGGACAACAGCCCGGCGTCGAGCAAGCCGGCCATCCGGACGCCGCGGGTGCACTCCGTGATGAGGAGTGACGGCAGCAGCGACGAGGTCAAGCTGACGGCCGAGGAGGAGCAGTGCACGTGTGGAGGGCGACAGGATAGCATGACGTCGTCGGGGTGGATGGTCGGCAGTGGGACGGACAGTCTCGAGGGCAGGGCGCCCCATGAGCAATGATGGCATTGTTCGGCTACAGGAACGCTTTCAAGAATTGACAAAAAGAAGAAATTACCACTTTTACATGTTACCGCCGCGACGAGTCCAGCTCCAACGGCGGCGTCGACGACGGTAGCTCGGTGCTCACATGAGACGGCAGCTCGGTGCTCACATGATATGGCTGGCCCCCTGCCCAAGCCTTGGTGTGGTCGTGAGCAACGTAACCCCCGTAATAGCTCAGCGCCGCGCTGTCTGGGTATGACATGGTGCCACTAGACGGCGGCGGCGGCATGTGCTGGTACTGCCGCTGCAGCATCTCGTACTTGCTCTCCTGCCGCCTCTTCCATCGCTTGTAGCATAGGGCCATGATCAATCCGCCAACCAGCCCAACCGCGCCGAGCGTGGCCCCCACCGCGATGCCCGCGACCTGGCCGTTTGACAGTGCCGGAGCAGCACCCGATGCATCCGGCGAGCTGCCTGTGGGTGATAACGTGGTCGATCCGGTCTGTGTGGGTATCGAGGACGACGAGCCGGGCGACAAGGTGGTACTGGTGGTGGCCTTGCTGCTCGATGACACGAAGCCGGGCAGGTCGGATGCCTGGAAGACGAGCTGGAAGAGGGGCGCCTTGACATCCAATGCCCGGACGGCGGTGGTCGCGCCCTGGCTGTCGGTGACGACAAACGGCACCGTCTGCTCGGCCATGACGGCCATGGCGCCCGCCTCGCACAGCGCGGTCAGGACAGAGCCCGTCGTCGCCACGCGCGTGCACGTCTGGGCGTTGTTGTAGTCAGGCATGACCGCGCACTTAAAGCCCCTAGAGTCGGTGTCAGCACTTTTCGTCACTTCTTGTCTCTCTTTCCTTCAGCAACACATACACTGGGCAGCACCCGACGGCCGTCTCGCTGCTCTGCGGCCTCCAGTGGAACGAAAAGTCCCCCCTCTGCTTGGACCCGTCGTGTGTGCACGCCGTCGTGTAGCCTGCCGGGCACGCGATGCCGGGCGAGTACACGCCCCAGTCCATGAGCGGCACGGGAGTCGCGACGTTGCGCGTCCGCGGCGGCCAGCAGCCCGCGTCGTCCTGCACGCTCGTGCCTCCAGGGCACTCCTGGGCTTGCCAGGCGAGGGCGCATGTCGAGCACTGCGCGACCGCCACAGCGCACTGCGAGGGCGGTGTCCATGTCGTCGTGAGCTCGCCGAGGATCGGGGTGTCGGTCGCCATTTTTGGTTGCTGTGGATGTGGTTGTTTGTGTGGTAGTACTGGGGGAGATCGACAGGAGACCGGCAGTGGACAGCAGGTTGCACAATATCTCTGTAGCCCGGACGCAGTCCACTGGCCTCGGGCCCGACAGACGGGCAGATTCCCTCAAAATCGTCTGATCCGGCACTTGGCCCTTCAGCCTTGGGAATATTATCGTAATATCAGCCAATCAGGACCCCAGTCCCCCAACGGTCAGGGGCCGGCCCCTGGTCAGGAACCTGCCCTGGCGGCTAGCGCGAGCCGGGCCCTGTGCGTGGATGTTCTGGATTGGTGCGTCGTGGCGTCTGTCAGGATTGCCGCTGCTGGCTGCTGGCTCAGCTCGTGTTGGCGGAATGGCCGAATTGGCGGCTGGCGGGAGAACGAGGCGGCTAACGGCAGGTTGCGATGGTCTGGCCCTAGCTGGACTATTCCTCAGGAGGGTACGAGTCCCGCAAACCTGAACTGCAATGGCTAGGGCTGAGCAGGCTGTCAATGCAGGAGGCAGGGGTGTGACGTCCCCACGACGCACATTTGGCATGCCCGTGGGCTGGGGTTGTGTCCAAGACGAGGCTTGGCTGCACGGGGCCCGACCTGTCGGTTTGAGATGCCGTACGGGGCTCGTTGACGTGTTCCAGATTTGCTTGAAGGCAGATGCCGTGTGGCTGGCGGTCAGCACGGCGTCGGATTCGAAAGGCCGAGGGCGTGTTGTAGAGTGCTTGACAACCGGACAACCCTTGGATGCCTGTCAAGCCTCGTCGGGAAGGGTGGGGCGACGTCCTGTGGCGTCCTTGCAGCATCAGGGGATCTCTGATGTCGTCCTCGGCAGATGCTTTGTCCGAGGGGTCTGTATGCTGCCTCTGCCTTCTCGAAGACGCCGGCATTCTGGCGTTTGGAGTGATCTCAAGCGGCCGCTTTTGCACGTCGTGTAATAGGTATGGAATATGGTGCGTGCTGTCTCGATGCATCGCTCTGGGAAAGCAGCCAGTAGGCAGTGTCGATGGTTGATGAGCCTCATGATTAGAGTTTGGAGATCGTGATATGGAGCCTACCTTTTTCCGCTCGCTACTGAAGGAGTTCAACAATCGGCTGCAGGCAGAAGAGTTCGACGACATTGCAGACGGCGTCGCCAGTCTGTATAGCCCCACTGTCACAAGGCTGGGAGGAAAACATTGTGGCTCGCCGGTATCTCGTGGGGTGTTTGATCGGTCGGCGTCGAGTGGGGAGGCGTTTGCAGGATGAACAGACTGATGTCTCGAGGCGGTCGAGCGTGTCAGAGTCGACAGGATTCTGAGTGTTAGCCAAAGCGATCCCAGAGCAGAGCTTGAGTCGCTGGGCAAACGACAAGGCGAGAGCGAACCGACTGGGAGAATCGCGCGTGCGTCCTGATGGATCTCCTGTCAGAAATGCCGTGTCTCGTGTGAAGTAGGCTCCGCCGAGGAATTGTTGCCCACACTATTGTTCCGCTCGTGGCTTGAAATTTGACTGCTACGAAGCACCTCAGGCTTCCACGTATGACCGTCAAGAAAATCCAACTATCGAGGTATGATCCTGCCCTGCTATGCGGCGAGCGCGGCGAGTCGAGGTGGATGGGGGCAAACAATGAAGAGGATGCCGCTCTGACGAAACGGTGCGCTGGGAATAGCTCGACTCAGTGCGACGGTCGCACAGGCACTGGAGATTTGATTGTGGCAGGCCAGGCATCTACCCGATAACAGAGGCGAGGCACTTGGTGGTGGGACGGCAGCGCCACGAGCGCTGTTCGGTTGTTTGCATCTCGACGCGAGGCAGCTGCACGGCCACGCGCCAAGTGCAGGAACACTACAAATCGGCCACTCGCAGGAACAACACACAATCACTGTCACATCACCTTTTTCCCTTCACAGCATCTGGACCACCAGCACTTCCATGATGCCTTCGTCTCAACCCATCCAGCGGAATCAAGTCGCCGACAGCGATGGCAAGGCACAGCACCACCGTCTCAACGCTGCAGACAACGCCGGCCAGCTTCCCCGTCGTGAGCGTGGTCTCATCAAACCCGGCACCGTCAAGATTACGACTACTCAGTCTAAGGAGGTCAAGCGGAGCCTCCTGACCAGCGCGGATCGGATCGCAAAATTCCTCAACGACGGCCCTGAGCTGAGTCGAAGCGACGACGACGACGACGGCAGCCAATGTTCCCTCTCCCACGAGCTACACAAGCCAGGCGACTCGTACAAGGAGGCAGCACAACGCGACCAGAGCCTCGTGTTCCACAAGGCCAGCGGGCTCGTGTACAAGAAAAAGAGTGTGCCGCGCGAGACTCCCGCTGAGGCTTTCATGCTCCCCGAACACACGCTCCTGCCGAGGCAGCACCTCACTACATCCTCACCGTCCAAGACCAGCGACGCCACAGGCCCGGCAACTGAGCACAACAAGACTTCGGCTGCACACGTCGTGGCTGCTCAGCCTCTCCACAAGGACAGCGGCTGCCAGCTCGGTTCCTCCACTGCAGCAGATGCAGTTCGGCAGGGCACCGCGACCGCTCCCGACTCTGTCGCACCTCGCAGCGGCCAACATGAAGACGAAGACGGCGACTGGGTCGACATTCAGCCTCTGTCCCGTGAACACTTCAACTACGTTCACCTGACCGATGCCAAGGCGAAGGGCAAGGCCAACACGGCCCCGGCCACGGCCACTGCCGCGATGGGCGACCTGCTGTTGCCGGCGTGCGAGTTCATTGTCTCGCTCAGGCGCCAGAACCATCCAGGCGTTGACCAGGCAGACTTTCTGGAGCTGGCCCGCGAGATGGTTGCAGCCTCCCTGAGCGGAGACCAGGCTGGCGTCGAGGCAGGAGAGGCTGCCCTCCGCGGATTGTTGCGCTCGACCTAAAGGAAGGGGCTGCGAGAAATGGACTGGACGTGAACACACAAGATGAAGAATGGACTGGATCAAGTGATGGGTCTTGCACACACGTGAAGAGTCGCCAAGTTGGGCAGCTAAATGTAGAATAGAAGGAATGACCTGCACCACGCATCAACTGCTTTGACGTGACCATCGACACCCTGGCATCGGACTATTAGTCGTGATCACAGTAAACATACAGAGTGTGCACTGTCCTTATACTGTACGGCGTTTGCGACTCTGTCGATCATCCTTCCACCGCCGGCATACAGGTCCCAGCCCCGTCGCCTCTCGCCAATCGCTGGCTTGTTCGCGATCACAGCATCTCCCCAGTCCAGCCCCCGCAGAAAAGCTCGGGGTCTCCGCATGCCTCGCTCCATCCGCCCGCCGATACCTGCAGCGTCCATCCTACGAGTGTCTCGCTTGCCATTCCTTGACCGTGTCACACACTAGCAGCCGGAGGTGCCGTTCTAGAAACCTTCTAGGGCATGCCGATCTGGTCGCTGGAGGAGGGTGGCAGCCATCCGCAATTCGCAGAGGCAGAGGATCTCGCCACCGAGCTGCCGCGTGTCTGGCTGCGCGGAAGAACCCTATTCCAGAGTGTCGGTGCGACAACGACAGGCAATAACTCCTCGACCAGGATTGGCACGGGCGATCGCAATGCGGGCTGGCATCACCTGACCGAGCGATCCTCTGGCGAGACGCATTACCTAACGATCTCACGCGACCGGGTGAATCCGGAGAGCGGTGGTGGAGCTCTCTCCTCTCGCATGCCCATTCGCCATCCGACACAATTCGATCACGGGCCCCTCGACTTTGCCCGCTCAGGCGTTGTTTTCAATACCGGCGAAACAAGCCAGGAACGCGCACAATGGACCCGCATGGGAGCTAAGCCTTTCGAGCCAAGCGCCGGGTGGTCTCTCGGCACTATCGTGGGCCTCGAGGCAGAGGGTGGGACCCCAGCAACCGCGAGTCGCGGCAACTGTCGCGCTTTTCGTGCATGACGTATGCAGGCGGGCAGGGACTTGCTGGAGAAGAGTCCGGTGGTCTGGGACGCGCTGATTGACAGGAATCTGGGAAAGCGCTGAGGGTTGTCAGATACCGACGACGGGCAAAACTCTAATGTGCCGTGGGTGGCGTGGCCGCCAGGCAAGACAAGCACTCTGGACAAGCATTGCCAAGGTGAACGTCGGTGACAGCCCCTGCCGTCGGCCCTGCAGCCAAGCCCGCAAGCCGCCGGCAGAGGCGCCGCCAGTGACGTCGTGGCAGCTTGGCCCTGCGCCCCTGAGAACCACGTCGCCACCAATCCACGACTCACGACTCAATCGACACCAGCGATCCGGCGGCTAGCGAAAATCTTTTGCACGTCTGCTGGCCAGAAAACCCCAGACTTCCTTCTCCACACCCGCCTGCACGCCCGAGCTTTCGGTGACACTCGGTCAAATTTTCGCACTCCACTCCCGCAGCCATGGCACCCGGGACCTGGGACCTCCACGCGGGCTCGTCTCTGGGGCTCCACGATGATGCCATATGGCCATCTGCAGCCCCCATGGGCAACGTTTAAATACCTGAGCAGCACCCCCAATCCCGCATTCCTGGAGACAGCCCCAGAGAGGAGGACATCTCGCACCTGACACTATTTCCCGATACTCACCGCCACCATGCCGAAGAACACGGGCGAGCACATCGACAACACGGATCCTGAGATCCCCAAGCATCTCAATGAGCGCGATCTCGCCGCCGCCGCGCAGGCCGGCAGCTGGGAGGTCGATGCCCTGATTGCCCAGATGGAGCGCGAGCTAGAGGCTGCGGGCGGGCTCAAGAAGGGCTTCTTCCAGCTCGAGTTCAGCGACCCCAGGCACTTTACCTGGGTCATTGTCGCGTTTGCTTCCATGGGAGGACTGTGAGTTTGGTGCACTCTGCATTTTTTTCGAGTGTCTGCTGACGTCGGCAACAGGCTTTCCGGTCTCGACCAGTCCCTCATCTCCGGCGCCAACCTCTACCTTCCCAAGGACCTGAACCTGACGGACAGGGAGAACAGCTTGGTCAACGCCGGCATGAGTCTGGGTGCTATTGGTATGTTCTCGTGTCATTCTTTGCATTGCCTGACGTCAAACTGACCTCACCAGGTGGTGCCCTCTCCCTGGGTTTCTTTAACGAGCGCTTCGGCCGCTGGTGGGCCATCATGATCTCCATCATCCTGTACACCATCGGCGCGGCGCTCGAGGCCGGCGCCATCAACTACGGCATGATCATCTCTGGTCGCGTGATCCTCGGTCTTGGTGTCGGTCTCGAGGGCGGCACGGTCCCCGTCTACGTCGCGGAGACGGTCGAGCGCCGCATGCGCGGTAACCTCGTGTCTCTCTACCAGTTCAACATTGCCCTCGGCGAGGTTCTCGGTTATGCCGTCGCGGCCATCTTCCTGCGCGTGCCCGGCAACTGGCGCTGGATCCTGGGTTCCTCCCTCCTGTTCTCCACAATTATGGGTATCGGCATGCTCTTCCTCCCCGAGTCGCCCCGTCTCCTCATGCACAAGGGCAAGACCCTCGAGGCTTTCAAGGTCTGGAAGCGCATCCGCGGTGTCGAGACGCAGGATGCCAAGGAGGAGTTCTTTGTCATGCGGGCCTCGGTCGCGCACGAGGAACATGCGGTGGCTGAGGGCGCCAGCAACAAGCGCTTCCCCTGGATGGACTTCATCACCAACCCCCGAGCCCGCCGCGCCCTCGTCTACGCCAACATTATGATTCTTTTGGGGCAAATGACAGGTGTTAACGGCATCATGAGGTTTGTGCTTTTTTATCGCTTTCTACGCACGAAATGATGCTAATATCGTCACAGTTACATGTCTGTCCTCATGAACCAGATCGGCTTCGATGCGGAGCGGGCCAATTACATGTCCCTGGTGGGGGGTGGGTCCCTCCTGCTGGGAACGATCCCCGCTATTCTCCTTATGGAAAAGTACGGCCGCCGTTGGTTCGGTCTCGTTATGCTGCCGGGCTTCTTTGTCGGCCTCGTCCTCATCGGCGTCAGCTACCTGCTCTTCGACCCGAACAACCTGACCCCCTCGACGGCTCTCTACCTCGTCGGCCTCGTCCTCTACATGTCCTTCTTCGGCTGCTACGCCTGCCTGACCTGGGTCGTCCCCTCGGAAGTCTACCCGACCTATCTCCGCTCCTACGGCATGACCATCTCCGAGACGCTCCTCTTCCTCTTCTCCTTCATCGTCGTCTACAACTTTGACGGCATGCAGAAGGCCTTCACCCGCACGGGTCTCATGCTCGGCTTCTTCGGCGGCATCGCCTTCCTTGGCTGGTGGTACCAGCTCTTCTTCATGCCCGAGACCAAGAACAAGACCCTCGAGGAGATTGACATGCTCTTTGAGCGCCCCACCAGCGAGATCGTCAAGGAGAACATCCGCGGCATCTCGGGCCTGTGCGGTGGCGGCCGCAACCGCGGCAAGGCCGTCGCCCAGCCCGAGGGCATGCTCGAGAAGAAGGAGGAGGCTTAGAGGGGCGGTCCAGTGCCGGCCCATATTACCAGACATGACAGATACCCCTAGATCATAGAATAGAGTGCATAGCGCTTGAATTGATGATTCTGATTTTGTGTCCGCTGCGTGTCCACCAAAGCCGACGCGCCCGAAATGCCGTGCTCGCCGTGGGTTGTAGGAGCTTTTGCCTGAGACTCCAATTTGCTGCAAACGCACTGCCTGTCCCCAAAACCAAATCCCTGTGTCAACCAAATGCATCCCAAGTACCGGAGCGTGCCGATGATCACACGCGCATGTCAATTATTACAAGAGCGACAACTCAGTCCGAAGACTGCTGTCGGCATTCTCATCTTCCATCAACTTTTCCACGCCCTTGCTCGCATGGGCTCCATCAGATCTTCTCCCCATCCTCCGAGTTCACGCCCGTGCCGGTGTCGGCGCCATCATCCTCGCTGACGTCGGGAGGGCCGTGATCCGAGTCGCCCTCTTCACTACTGTAGCGGTGGCCCTCGGGCTCGCCGTCGCTTTCGGGCCGGTCTCTCTGCTCGAGACTGCCAGGTCGCGGGAACAGCAACCACTTGAGGGCGTTCTGAGCGATGTAGACACCGGCGTGGTCTCCAGCTCGAGCGTCACGTATCATCTGATCGATCAGCTCGGCCACGGTGGGGTCACGGTTGTAGTAGTCCTCGAGCGGCAAGCAGAACTCCATCGCCTCAAAAAGCAAGGGAGGTGGAGGAGGTGCGCTCTGGCGGAGCGCAATGGCGGCAGCATGCTCGCCGGCAGAGATGCCAGAGTCATCGGAGCGGGGGCTCACAGGAGCATCGCCCACCATCGACGACTGCGCCCGAGAGCGGGCAGCGTCCTTGCCACCGCCATCCTTGTTCTCATTGTCGTCTCCGGCAATGCCCAGCTGGCTGAGATCCTGCACGATGTCACTAATCTCGGCATCGGAGGCGGGCGTGACGTTGGGAGTCTTGGGGGTGGCGGAGAAGAGGTCGGTACTGGAACGGGCTTTCGCGAGTCGCGGGCTCTCTGAACTGTGTGGCTTCGGGCTTGCGGTGTTGGGCTGTTCCGAGGCGCTGGGGCGGCGGCGGCGGCTGGCTGGCGACTCTGCCTCGAGCTGGGTGGTTGTGGGCGGCGTGCTCTGGGCAGCGGACGCAGTCTGACCACTGGGGGCAGATGCAGGCACAGACGGCTTCTTGTCCTCGACGCCTCCTTCGTGGAAGGATGCGAGCAAGGCGTGAGAAGCCTCCTCGGCAGCGTCGTGGGCTGCGCGATCCTTCGAAGTGATGGGAGTGTTGCCAGGCGTGTCCATGTTGTGCGATGCGTGGACTGGGTGCTGCTCTGTTATGCATGAGACGCGTTGGTCAGCGTTGTACGTGGTGGAATGAGACTCCCCGACAGTTCGACGTACTCTCTAACTGTGCTCTGATGCTGACCGTGATCGAATCGACTGGGCCAGCTGGAGGCTGATTGGTGAAATTTGGCGTCAAGTTGAGCCGCTTGACAGGTTGGGGTTGTGGTGGTGGAAGAAGCACAAGACCGGTCGGCACCACAACAAAGTGGCGTTTGCCAACCATCAAGCTTGGGTCCTCACCGGACAGTCACGCAAGCCTCGGGTATCTTGGGAGGCAAGGCATGGCCTGTGGGTAGCTTGTTCTCGTTGAGTAATGATTCTCCGGTGGCCTCCACGCAAGCCGCAGAAGCGATTCCGGGGAGCGCAAGCCAGCCGGGGACAGCCAGCCCAGCACCAGGCCGGTCATGTGCTTTCTTGAGCAGTCGGTCACTTGGGAAGAAATCTAGAGTCTCTTTCACCGGCAAAGGCAATGTGCGCAGCTTTGTAGACTCATTTCACTCGACACCACTCCACGTCGCCACCACTCCAACACACCACGACACCACACCCAACCACAATGTCTTCCTCCCAGTCTCGCATCCCGGGCGCTACGCAGCCTGGCAATGCTGGACCAGGCGACGCCGTCCGCGATGTCTTCAAGTTCTTTTACCTGCAGGCGAACGAGGAGTTCTTCAACGGCGACCGCAACAGGGTAAGATCGCAAGGACACTTTGACGTCTGCTTCAAACAATTGACCACACGACCCCCAGGCCCTCAGCACTGCCTATTGGCTCCTCGCCCAGCCTGACCTCCCCGTCCTGGAACGAGCCGGCTCGCACCTCATGCTCGCCGACTCCACCGAGTTCCGCGCCTACCACGCCGAGCGGGCCCTGGCGCTGTACAAGAGCGTCCGTGACCAGTTCCCCGAGAGCCACCCCAACCGCAAGAACATCGACTTCTTCGTCGAGAAGGCGGAGGCGGTACACGCCCGCGTCCGCGACATCCCAGACCTCCCGGACAAGCAGCCCAGCGAGCAGGAGCTTCTCGAATGGGTCAAGGACGACATGCGAGCCCTCTATCGGCACTTTGGAGATCCCTCGGTGCTCAGAGGCCTCGACGCAGCAGCAGGCCGCCACACTTTTCCCGACGAGGCCCAGGAGGAGCTTCCAGGCGGAGACGCAGATGCGGGTCGTGACTGACTCCACGGCCGGGTACGCTGTGGTCCGAACTGCCCACAGGGCTGCGATGGAAAGCACAATGAGGTGATGACACTGGGACAGGAATAGAGGCTGCTGAAGGCCACACATAGTGCGTGACTGAGTCGGAGACATTGGCTCATCAGGAATAAAGCATAAAACCAGTACACAAACTTCTTGTGACTTGTAATCTGAATGGCGCGCTATCATCGCGTGTTTATTCTGTCGTGAATTGATTGACTATTTTCTGGGAATATACATCCGTGACAAACGACCATCTCCGAGACGCGGATCCTGTTCCCCTTCATCGTCTACACCGTGCTAGCCCTGGGCAACACCTTCCAATGCCACCGCGTAGAACAAGAGATAGTCCGCGTCCGGGGTGTCCCCAATCGACCACGTCTCCGCGTCCCTCCACACGGGCTCCCCTCCCAGCGAGTACAGCCTGACCGAGTCCTTCACCTCTCCCCCATCACCGCACCTGACCACCGCCACGAGCCGGTAGTCGAACTGCCTGACCCACACCTGCGGCGGCATCGCGGGCCCCTGCGGCGGGCCCAGCGTCTTGCCCGTAAAGTCGACCGCCTGCAGCTCGGTGAAAGAGCGCGGCTGCGTGACGTGATAGCGCACGCTGATGGCCACGGGCTGGCCGAAGAAGTACTGCACCAGGATGCCCCAGAGGGGTTGCATCAAGGGCTGGAAGTGGCAGCTCAGCACGGCCCCGAGCTCGTCGCTGCCGTCGTAGTAGACGGTCTCGTGGGGGCTCCTGTCCGAGGGGATCATCTGCCAGACGCCCTCGTTGCGGGGCCCGTCGCCGCCGCTGCGGCAGAAGCAGGTCCGGTGGAAGAGGGCGAACTCGGGCCGGCGCCAGAGGGTGGTCTGCAGCAGGGGTGTGTCGAGCAGGCCCGCCACGGTGAGCTGCTCGGGCTGCAGCTGCTGGACGACGACCTGCTTGATCCGGGCGTGGGCGGCCTCGGCAATGTCGTCGGTGCGCGAGAAGTCGGCCCAGAGGAAGCGCAGCAGCACGCACGAGGCCTCCTCGGGGGTGTACCAGTAGGTGTGCGAGACGGAGGGGAAGTCGACCGGGTGGCGGAGGACGTGGGCGTAGAGCTGGCGGAGGACGGTGATGGTGTTGTCGACAGGGACGGACTCGTCGTCGGGGGACTCGGAGAAGTCGAGGGTCAGCGCCCGGCTGGTGGTCTCGCGGGTGGTCTGGCCGAAGCGGAGGTCGCCTGCGTGCGAGATGGCCTCGTGGACGTTGGTGAAGTTCATGTTGGGTGGGGGTATTGATGTGGGATGGTCGATGGGCAGTGCATCTCGGGGCATCGCCGGTATATGAAGGCGTCTGTCTGGAGGGCGGGCATGAAGCCTGGTGAGGCATCCGCCATGGTCATCTTGGCCGGCGATTGTTGTTCCGTTGGAGGTGTTGGTAGTGACTGCGAGCGCGGGCAGTGTCTGGCCAGGCACCACTGTCTGTCTGTCTCTTGGGTGGATGTGAAACGGGAAGATCGTGCCTGGCGCGACGTGCATGTTGCACCTCCTCCTCGAGTAACCCTTCTCTTCTAACCACCACCCCGCAAGCTGGCATCACAGACACGGCCACGGTGCATCCCCGATCGAGAGCATCGACAAGTTCGAGTCAGCTCACGTCCTCGCACAACCGCTGACAGACAAGACGATTCATGTCGCAGTTGCCGACGTGAAGGCCGCCGCCAGGCTCTCCATTATTAAGACGCGGCACAAGAGTCGGCCACTCCTCGGTGCCTGGGCTCAGAGCTCGGCTTACCGACTCAAGGCTGGCAGAACAGCACCCCGAAACTCAGGCCAATTAAGTCGAAGCAACGCGCCAACGAAATATGTGCAGATTACCAAAAGCCCAGCGGCTTCGATCCACCGCCTGGTTTGGCATCGCTGCGTCCGTTTCAAGTACACCTGGGACAAGCATGGCACCGACCGGAGCGGCCCAACCAAACCTCCTCGTCCAGCAGGTATGGCCACCTTCGAGACCTGCCAGAACCCAGCGTGCATCGAGTGGCGGGCCGCCGCATTCAACCTGGATCCAGAAAAGAAGGGTGACGATACGCCGAGACGCGGTGCTCGACATGCTGGATTGACCGGCATAACCACAAAGGCACAGACTGGACGCCAGGAATTCGAGACCGCAGCCAGTGGTTGGCTCATGGCGATGACACAAACTTTGACGGATGTCAGGCGGACGACTGTGACAAAAAGCGCAAGCCAAACCAGTATGGCGCCGTTACTACCACGTCCACATCACAAACCACGCCTTGTCAAACAGCGTCCATTCATGTGTTGTACAGCGGCTCACTCAATACAATGACTTTCGCGTCTCGACACTCGTTTAGAACAACTGGCTGGTGTAGATGGCATAGCCGCCACTGGACTCCTCAAATATCCGACCAGCCGCTATTACTTCCAGCCACGACTCCGTGCCACACCACCTACCCGAGCCGCCCCTTCTCCAGCCACCTCGCGCCCTCCTCTCCGAGCTCCGCCCTCGCCTTGGCCAGGTACTTTTCATTGTCCTCCGCCGACAGGACATCCGCCCACCGGCCGTTGGTGCCCTTGTTGACAAAGGTCTGCGCGCCGCCCTCCCACACGACGGCGGCCTGCGGCGGGCTCACCTGCTCGGCGTGCTCCTTCATCCACCGGAACGTGCAGTGCTCGACCGCCTCGTCCCACTTGTCGCCGCCGACCATCTTGCCCTCCCCGAGGAACTCGGCGATCCGCCGCATCTCCCCGTCCAGGTCCTTCATCATGTCGTTGAAGTGCACGAGCAGCAGGTTCGGCTGGTCGCGGGCCTCCCACCACTGGCGGGTGTGGCTCCAGAACGGCCACGGCAGAGACGCCCGCGTGTCGTCCTCGGCCAGGTCGACCAGCATGTCCCGCGGGTCCGGCGACGTCGGCGCCTGGTACGGCGGGCCCACGCGGCCGGGCGTGTCGTTGAGGAGCTGCCAGAAGAGCGGCGTCGCCCGGGCAAAGTGGTGGTGCAGGCTCCAGATCATGTCGCGGCCGTCGCGGCCCACAAAGATGTACTTGGCGTCCGGGCTCCACACGAGCGCGTCGAGCGGCGAGTGCGTCTTCATGAAGCGCCGGTGTGTCTGGGCCTCGAGCATGCCGTGCATGGCCTCTTTGGGCACGAAGCGCGTGTCCACCCACGGCGAGATGAGCCCGGGGGCCACATCCGGGTTGGCGTTTTGTGTCAGCTGGCCGACAATCTGCTGCACCCACTGTTCGTGAGGGGTCAGCCGTGGTCCTTCCGCGAGGTAGTCTGTATGCTTACAGTCGTCCCGGACTTGCTATAGGTCGCAATGAAGATGTCGTCGGGGCGGAAGGGGAAGCCGTTCCAGACCTCCGAGTCCATGCTGTGGTTCTGGAACTCGCGGGTCTTGACGGGGATTTTGGGAGCGGCCATTGTGGAGGTTGTGGTTCTGTGTATGGGTTGGGTTGGGGCATTCACAATGTACACAGGGCGGGCGAGCCGCCTCTATTTATCTCGAGATTAAACTCTGCAAGAATCACTATTCCACGAAGCTCTCAACTATCGCAACATGTGCGCTTTGTCTGATTGGCCGGCTGCCGCCAGGGACACTCCTGGCAACTCTCAGCTAGTGCTGACAAGTAAGTCCGACAGCTCGCAGAAAGTTTCCGCAGCGCTCCACATCAGCAGGGACTATTTCGACGGGGGCATTCTTATAAATTTCCCTGTCAGGAAATATAGCGTCTGAAAAATGGAGCCCAGCAGCTCGGGCCTGTCGCGCATAGGCTATTCACCTGGGACGTAACCCCGGTCTGCCCTTGTATAATTGGGCGCCTGAGCGAGGCTGCTCATCAGCCCTGAAGCTGACCTTTGGGTTTTTGTGTCTGGCCATCCGAAGCACCCGTGGCCGCTAGGCGAGAAATCGACCGCGTGTGCATATCCAGAATGCAGGTGCTGATGTTGAAGTCTCCAGTTCCGGTGCGCTGCTATGCTAGGCTTGTTCCTCGTCTGGTGTCGCTCGATCGCTATTCCCCAGAGTCAGCTAGTGCGCTATGCTTCGTGTCAGGCGGGATCTCTGCGTACCATGTCTTTCGGCTCCCTCAGCCATTATTCCCGAGCACGCTCTGTGTGTCTTGCCTCCTCCTGGATATGCCGAACCGCCCATTCGACACCTACACGGAGTTCAATCAGATCCCGGGTGAGCTTCTCCCGCTGCGTTAAAATGGAGAATGCAGTCTGATTGCCTGGGGCTCCCGCCGCCGATACAAGCTCAGGGAGCCACGACCCAGGCTGTGTGCGCTGGCCGGCTATCGCAAGCAAGTCGACAGCTCTCTCGTACACCTCGCGGGCCGCAACGGCGTGGGCATCCGTGTGTTTGGCTCGGCCGGCGCGGATCTCGACCTCGATCTCTGCAAGCTCTCGGCGCGCCATGAAGAACACCGCCTTGGCGGTGGCGAGAACCCGTTCGTCCTCGCTCTGGGGCTGGGAGGCGGGAGGCGCTTGGGCTGACATTGTGTACGATGTGTCAGTGTGGTGAGCGGCACGATGGTTGCCAGTTGTGGCGGATGGCGTGTTTGTCTTGCGTTGTGGATGGCGTTTGATGGACTTGTGCGTGGACTTGCTGTGGTATGTGACTCAGGCAACGCACAAACAGCACATCGAGAGAGCACAGTTTAGCAACTGCCCACCACCCCGCTACTTCAACATCTCGCATGCACGCACGCACGCACGCACGCAGACGACAACCATGCAGAACAACGAGAGCCCCCGCCCGCGTCACGAGGACGCCATGACGAAGCTCAAGAGCCTCAGGGAGCACCGCCGCCGTCACAAGCGAGCCGCCCGAGCTCACCGACAGCTCATGAGGACGCACCAGCCGCAGAACCACCACGCCCACCCAGATCCCCAGCAGGGAGGAAGGGACGGTCCGCACACTGGTGGCGGCGCAGAGCCTGGCCCAGCGCAACCGTCGAGGGCACACATGCCCAGTGTCCAGCAGGATGCAGGGAGCGTGCTCCCTCGCGGGAGTGTGGCCAGCCCAGCGCTTGCTGCCTTGGACGACAGTGCCTGGACCTTTGATGGCCTCGGCTCTGAGACGGCGCCAGTTTCTGGTAAGACTCTCCAACTGACTCCCCCACAGCCATTGCCTGTATTTCCAACGCCGCTGCGGCCAATTGCCCAGTCACTGGGAGCCACATACTCGGACCATCAACGACTGGAGCGCCGGATCAAGCAGCTCGAGCAGCAGCTCGCCACGCGCGTCCGCGACTTCACTGGGGGGTTGCGGCACGACGAGGCCGTGGACAGCGGCAGCGGCAACGGCAGCGACAGCATCGACGAAAGTGACGAGAGCACCGACGACGACGACGGCGCTGCCGCGCCCGGTGGAGAGCGTGAGGTGGCTGGTTTTACCTCGATACCTGGCCTCCTGGGTGCGGTCTCGACCGTTCCATCTGTTGTTCGAGAGCGGCAGGACTACCCAGTCCCGCGGACTCTCAACACAAACCCACCGCTCTCCTCTGCCGGAGTGCTAGTGAGAGCTGGCCAGAGTGCATTCTAGACGAGTAGCGAGCCGGAGGTGGACCGCGAGGCAAGATGGAGAGCTATGGGTCGATCAATGGGCAGATATAACTTCAAGCACTTCCAGTGGGATTGAGGGGGGAGACCGGTGCAGATGAAGAGGAATTCAACGTTTGAACCGGCTATTTTGTGTCTGTGTGTGCTTTTGAAGTGACTGGTGACTTGAATGTGTCTCATACTATCGCATCCCGATTAAGGGACGCCTTGACGATATAAGGCCAGTTGCTCAAGCAGCTGCCCTAGGAAGCAACTGGGGCGAGGCTGCCACAGCAGGCGCCTGGCCAGTTGGCGCTGTCGCCAGCGGCAATGATTTTCTGGCCTGGACTTTGCAACAACACCACGCACAACCCCTCACATTCACACCTGCATCACCTCAACCACCGCACACACGCACACACACACCACACACACACACAATGGCCGACCAGCAGCAAAATGTGCAGCGCCTCGAACAGCAACACCTCCGCCGCCTCGCCCAAATGCGCCTCCAGGGCATGGAGGAGCGTCTCGGGCAACTGGAGCGCCTCGCGCAGCAGCAGCAGCAGCAGCATACTGGACAGCACCACGCGTCACCGGTCGACGCCTCCGCCCTCCCAGCACCCACCCCGGTCGATATCCCGCCCGTGCCCTCTGGCGTCAAGAAGAAGCGCAACAGGGGATGCAGAGGAGGCAAAGGCAAGGCCAAGCAGCAAGCAGCCTCCCAGGCGCTCGCTGCCGCCACGTCGAGCCGGGCTCTTCCCCCCGCCGTCTTGTCCCAGTCCGGCGTGCGGCTTCTCCCGAGCTCTGCAGACGGCATCCGGGTTTTCACCACCGTGGATCCGCCGGGCGTCTGGGTCTCCCTCGACGGGCTCGACGCCGAGCGCAGCAGGACGCTGGCCGAGGGGATACAGAACTTCCTTGCTCTTACGAAGCAGGATGACGCTGCTCCTTTGGTTCCGGTGGCCGAAGCTGCTGCTCCGGAGGGCGCCTCGAGCCAGGCTGCCACTCAGCAGGCGCCTGGTCAGTGGCCAATCAAGGAGGACGTGGATGCTTTCTTCGAGTGATCATATCGTGTCATGGCTGTAAAGGACAAGAGATGATGAAGGGATTGGGTGACGGCTGGAGAGGAGAAAGAATTGGGATCCTGGGATAGAGTAGGATTAGTCACAGCGAATAAAAGGCAATTTTTTCATCTGCTTGACAGCGGGCTGGAGAGGACGGTCATCCCTGTTAGCCTCACTCTAGTGGCCAAGGCCACGATCGAGGCGGCACTCTGGAGGACAGAGGCGAAATGGCCGTACCTAGCCATGCCGGATTAAGATAGGATGGAGAGAAAAAGTGTCAAGTTGTCAATACAGGTCGTCGACCTTTGCTTCATGCTCGGCGAGCTCAGCGACGAGACGCTGCCGCCTCCTGTCCAGGTCGGCCAGCTCCGCACTGGTGTCCTTTATGTGGCGGCTGTGGTTGTACAGCGCCGTGAACTGCTGGGCGAGCTCTCGAATCTCTTCTTCGGACAGCATCGCGACCGGATGACTGCTATGCGGGTCGGCATCGTGGTTCGGCGGGCCGCCGGCTCGTTCTTCGTCTGGACCACCAGGGCCCGGCGGCGCGGTCGGTCTCTGCGCCTGTGTCGCGAGGCTAGGTTGAGCTGGCGCGATCCTGACGACCTCGACGCCCCGATCGGTGACGACGAGTCTCTTCTTCTCGCGCTGGCGGGGACCGAACCACTTCCTCGCCACCTCGTTGGTGCTGATGAGCTGTGCGCTCTCTCTCTCAGCAACCTCACGGGCCTTCCTCTCCTTTCTGTTGAGGCGCTGCTGCGCTCTCTTGGCCTTCTTCTCCTCGGCGGTGGCGGCAGAGAAGTGGTTTGGGGTGACGGAAGTCGTGTCGTCGGTGGTGGTGGCGGTGGCGGCGGCGGTCGTGGAGGCAAAGCCGTATCGCATGGCACCCTGGATGGTCTCATCCAAGGTGTCGTCCAAGGTGCCCGAGTCTGGAGCATGGACCGAGGCGTCCAGCCCCGTGAGCGGCCGCTCCTGCTGCTGCTCCTGATCCGACATGGTGTGTGTGCGTGTGTGTGTGTGTGTGTGTGTGGATGTGGTGATGCTGTCAAGGCGCATGCAATTGCGGAGGTGGTTGTTGCAGCTCGTGACGCTTGCATGCCGACACGGACTTGAGGGTTGAGCATTTGCCATGCCAGACGAAGTACCAGTTAATGCCGTTGCGTCCAGGATGCACGCTAAATCAAGTGGGCTTTGGGACAAGGTTGCATCAAGAGTACCTCGTCCAGTCATCTTCGAGGACCCCGCTGGATCGGGCAAGTGTGCGCGTCTCACTACTCCAGGCCCCGCAATTTATCAACGACGACCGACCCCGACATGTTGTGTATCTCGTCAGCTGGCCCTCTGATACCATGTGTTTCCAGCTGAAACTGCGTGCCCGCGTGAATTCATTGATGTGCCCCCGTGATTGATTGTTCTCCCCAGCTGCAAACAGACTGCCATCGCTGGTGGATCTGTGGTTGCAGTTGCCTGGCCACAGCGTCAGGCGGCCATAGGGAGAGCACTCTCCTCGAGGCGGCAGCAGCAGAGTCGCCTGCGGTTGTCGCTCACGCCCATGCAGATTGAGGCACTTGGTACTCGCAAGACGCCGCCCGAGGCTGTCTACGATGACAACGGCGCAACATGGTGAAGCGACTATGAATACGGCAGACTTGACCAGCCCTGGCAGCATGCGCGCACACCAAGAAAGCCACGAGCTGCGCACTCGTCCATTATCGAGCACAATACGTGGTCGAGTACACCTGCAATCACTTCCAAGATCGTTCTCAACACCGCCTCGTCAAAGTCGACCACTCGCCACGGCCATCTCCCCCCCGTGCACCGGCGCGACGAGGGTGTCCAGCGCAAAGATGGGCGGAATCCCCCTGGATACGGCGGTTCTCGTACGGCGCCCGGCTAACACATCGACGTCGCCGGCCAGGCTGCACAAGGACGAATGATCCGATGGAGTACGATAAAAACAACCCCAACCGACAGACCAGGCGCGAGGTGCGCTTCCACCATCAGCAGACACAGCCTGCTTGAGCAGGTTGTGGGTTGGCTGAGCGGCCTTATACGCCACCCACTTCTGGATATTGCCGGGCAGATGCCATTGCACAAGGCCAGTAGTATCCAGTGTGAGTTGTGTGCTGTGGTCCTTGCCCTTGTTGGCCTTGTTGCCCCTCTTAACTCTTCTTCCGCGACGTGTGAACTTGACCTATACGGCCGGATCGCAACCCATTCGCTCACGACACATGGCGCGACCGAGGCCACCTAGGTTTTCGATGATCGCATGCGCAACCTCTGAAGGGGAGGGTCCTCGTCGTTTGTAGATTCCTGTTTAAAGTACAGCGCGATGCCACCTGCAATTTGAGCTGGGCACCGGTGTTAGTACATCCTGCTTGTGGGCGGGCGGGTTCTGAAATCATTAACTGACCTTGCTGGAAGTAGGTGCCGGGGCGTTGCTCCTGTCGGACATCGTATCGACTCTGAAGCTGCTGGAACTGATTGCAGCACAGGTTCGTATCGAAATGTGACAGCATATATTGTCCGTGGTGGGGAGAGTGCCGTCCTCGAAGAGGAAAGTCTGCAGGAATTCAGAGTTGCGGTGCTGGTGGTAGTTTGAATGGTGACATCGAGAGGGCAACCGACGACTCCCAAGGCGTTGGCGTTGCGGACCGAGTTCTGACAAGGCGGCAGGTGACGGGGAATCCTTTCCAGGCTCATAACCAGGAGAAAGGATGGCGCAATAATGCTGGACGAGAGGAGATGAGACGAGGGCGGCGGGAAGGAGTTGGAGAGTGGAGGATGGGAGACGAGGGATGAGGTGCTGGATGTCTGAGCAGGAGTCTTCTGTAAGGCGGGAGGAGGCGCCACCTTTATACTGGAAAGGCCTGGGCGTCGCCGGCTGGGGGTCTGAATGCCTGGCGAGATGAATGGTGGGCTGCCATTGTCGTGCAGCGAGAACAATGGGTGGCTTTCAATTGTCCTCCGTGGATCAGGCTGCACGCCTTTTGAGTCATCGAGAGGCATGACGCGAGACGGCCGATGGAGGGCTGCTGGGATGAATCGAGAGGCTTAAACGACGGCGTGACTGTTGTTGAATCAAGAATCAGCCTGTTGAGCGAGATTGCCACTGGCCTGCGCATTGTCGCTGAATGGTCTCAGGGCCGGCGCGGATGTGGCGAGCGGAGTAATGTTGATTTGTGCCCCGTGGCTGTGCCTGTGCGTTGCGGCCTTGGGCATCGCGCAATGGCGCTCATTCGGGTGATTGTTCTCCCCGGGAGAGAAGAGTTGCTGGACAAACAGCCTGCCGGAGCTGACTCTGGCGGCTTTGCGATCGGGAGCTGTGGCGGTTTGTCAAGTCGACCATGCGCACGCGGGAGGAGCAGCTCACTTGCGTTGGGTGCGTCCCATGCCACCACACATCACCAGGAGACGCCGCCAGCTCCCGCACCACACTCCGTCCAGAACACTGTCGTCTATCCTCAGCCATGCCATTCACGCGTTCACCACAACCCGCCGCAGCCAGCCAGCCTCTCGACCGCCGCCGCCCTCCGCAGCCCAGACCATCACATTGACAGCCTTCGAGCCTGCGCCTCGACAGGCCTCGCCTATTTGGCCTTCACTGCCCACCCCAGACGAGCTCGACCAGACAGCAACACGTGTACAGTATGCTGCCTCGTCTCGTGCGATAGCCTCTGCCCAGGACGCTGGTCGAACGGCAGGCAGAAGCGACCGCCCCGACAAACACAGTCCATGGTCAGTGCGAACCTCGGTGTTCCAAATGGGCAGCCTCTTCGAAGTTGGCAAACTGACAATTATTCAACAGCAGACGACGCCACCACGCCTTGAGCCACATCAGCCCTCTCTTCATCGGTCGACCCACGCCTCAAAGACCCCCTTCATTTATTCACGCCTCAGAAACCGCCGACAAGACCACGTCCGATCACTTGGCCACAATACAAGCCACTCCCCTGGCGAACGCCGCGGCCGGCGCGTCATCGCGGCGACAGCTGTGCACTCCATCGTCGATGATCGCTGCTGCAGAATGACCGAGGCAAGGGCCAGATCGCAGCTGGCCGGGAGCCCTACATCCTGGTGTCCACGTTGTTTCCAAAAGACCAGCCCTGCGCCAAACAGCTGTCTCGTCCTGCCGAGATGTCCGACACGATGCCAGAGGAGACAAGCAACGGGCGTTACGACACCATAGCAAGCCGGAAGTTGTGGGATGACATCGGAGCGCCTACAGGAGCGGATCGGATACTCTCCATCGACTTTATCGGCTTAACCGTGCCAATCAGGCTCTCGCTACGACTAAGCCAGCTGCCCACAACCATGTACATGCGGAAAGGGCGGACGCGAGCGTTCTGCTCTCGTGCCCGGCGACCCAACTCCTGGGCCATGAACGCCAGGTCTGCCGCACAACGGGGTGATAGCTCGCTGGGCTTGGACGAATTCCGGATGAGAACGAAGGCGGCATTACCAAGAACGCATCACGACAAGACATGCACGACTATACCGACGGCAGCGATTATCTGGAGCCACGGGCACAGCTACTGGCATCCCGAGACGACCCCCGGGCTCAGCCAGTGCCTGCACAGCCAATCGGGTCATCATTGGCGACCTGACAGGCCGCCGGAGATAGGCTAATCGGCCAGTATGCAGGCGGCTCAGAACCAACCCCAGCGAGCCGCTCGGAGGAGCTTGCCCGAATCGGGCAGGGTTTCCACCCTCGTCGGATATAGTGGAACGGCGCAACATTGGGCCGCCGGTCTGGCCACGAGGGTAGCGCGTGTAGCGGACGCTGCGACAAAAAAGTCTCCGGTTACTGGTGCTCGTGGCGCAATCTCATGTAGCTTTCTCCAGCCGGCCGGGGCCAGCGGCTGCTCTTGGCAGCCTTATACTTCGGGGGGACAGACCGGCCGGCTTATAAACATGAACCCACCTGGGCGGGTGAACTCGACGAGGCCTGTTATAAATCAACGGCGATGCAACAACGACGAGCACTCGCGATGCAGCGACACGGCGGCTCGCAGACGGAGCATGTATATAGGGCAGGCTTGTGCGACCATGGCTGGTATGAAACAATCAAATCACATCACGCCACGACAAGACACATAACCACCGACAATGACTCCCTCCCCGAAGCGCACGGTGCTCATCACGGGCTGTTCCGCGGGCGGCATCGGCGACTACCTCGCGCAGGCCTTCCACGCCCGGGGCGACTGCCGGGTCTTTGCGACGGCGCGGAACCCGTCCAAGATGTCGCACCTCGCCGCGCTGGGCATCGAGACGCTGGCGCTCGACGTGACGTCCGCCGAGTCGATTGCCAGCTGCGTGGGCAAGGTCGCGGCCGAGACGAACGGGCGAGGGCTGGACGTGCTTGTCAACAACGCGGGCAACGGATCCCCAGGCCCCCTGATGGAGACGGATATGGAAGCCGCACGACACGTCATGGAGCTCAACTTCTGGGCCGTGCTCGAGACGACGCGCGGATTCCTGCCGCTGCTGATCAAGAGCGGGCGCGGCGTCATTGTCAATAACACGTCTGCCGGTTCTAGCATCCTGCTGCTCTGGGCGGGCGTGTACAGCCTCGCTAAGGCCGCCACCGCCATGATGTGCGAGGTGCTGCGGCTCGAGCTCGAGCCGCTCGGGGTGCAGGTCGTCGACATCAAGACGGGCGGCGTCAAGACCAACTTCCACAGCAACCAGCTCGGCGACAGCCGGGATCCGACGCTGGTGCCCGGGAGCCTGTACGAGACGGCGAGGAAGGAGATCGAGGCGCACATGGGCGGAAAGGAGCTGCGTGAGGGCGCGGTCGAGGTGGACGTCTATGCGACCAAGGTGGTGGCCGACCTGCTCGGCGGCAAGCGGGCGCCGAGGTTCGTGTGGCAGGGTGCGGGGAGCCGCCTCTTGTGGATGAGCCTGACCTTTTTCCCGAGCTCGGTCATGGATATGTTGGTCCGGCAGGTCAGCAAGCTGGACGTGATTGAGAAGGTGATGAAGGATGCCAGGCGTGTCGGGGGGAAGCCTTGAGTGTGGGGACATGGGATCTGGGTCGGGATCTGGGTCACGATCCGAGGTTGTAGTCCAATCAAAGTTCTGACGCAGTGGGATTGATTGGCCACTATTCTGTTTCTCCCGGAGGTTCCTGTCGACCGAATGTGGACCCGTTCGAGCGACCAGTTTCCGTCCAAAACTATATCAGAGGAGGCACTTATTCATGCAACAACGGGATGAATCCTCGAGCTATCTCTTCCACAGGTCTTGAACATCCCGGACGAAGGTCTGCCGTCTCGTGCCAGTCTTTGCATGTCGACAGTGCAATGTAGCCGAGGTGCCTTGACCGCGAAGGTCTCGGCAGCAAGCACCTTTCAGGAAGCCGGGTCTAGCCGTCTGCGACCTCCTGGAGTGCGATTGTACCTTGCCGCTCAAGGAAGGCCGGAAGGGCACTTATATCGGCCGCCCTAAAGACGGTCAATGGATTGTCGGGTTTAGAAGAAATGGAGGCATCGGCGGCCGGGTGATGGATTACCATCGCTCATACGTCACCAAGCATGCGCCTCCCAATGTGAGTGAACGGTCGCACCACAGCCATATCCTGGTGTCAACCCTGTTTGGACAGGAGCAACCTTGCGCGAGGCAGCTGGCGCATATTGCCGAGCTTTTCGACACGATGTACCTCGGAGCGCTTCCATTTGAGGTCAGTGGCAGCCGCTGGGACACCTCGGCCAGTCGAGGGGCCTGGAACGAGACTCGGAAGAGGGCATCGCCCGCCTGGCCTCAACTTTGCGAACCAGTCGCTGCAGGGTGCATTTCTTGCCAGCCGCGCCGATCTGCCGACGGAGTGTGGGTACGCCTTGCCATCGTGCCCGGCGGCCTGAGCCTGGGATACCACCGCCAAGATTGCTACACCAAAGCACGATGGCAACATCAGATGCCACCATACCAGTTGCTAGATGTTGGAGGGTCGTTGCCTTACGTGAAGGCATACCACAGGCATATCGAGGCACAAGGCCGGTTGGTCCTCGTTGACGGCAACCCGGACACGAGAGTCGACTGCGACGCTGCGCGCACATGATGCACGCCATTTTCCAATGCCGGATCCGAGGGGCGCGGCCGGCGCTGCCACATGGATCGGACACTGGAATACAACGGACGTGTCTACCGGGCAAGGCGGGGCAGGAACAACGCCAAACGGCAGGGCATTCAGGACATCTGCATGGACCCGGCATGTGGTATACCTCTGTGCGAGCTTCGTAGGCTGGAGTCCTGCTGGTCGCTGTCAGTCTTGCTACAAGCACCAAAGAGCCAACCCCGGCGAAGAGCGAACCCCCGGACAGCAAACGACAGAGGTGGGTTCCCCGGACACGCAAGGGCGGAGAATGGCAAATACCAGAAAACCCGCGCCCGATCGGCCAAGTAGTTGTAAGTACGTACCAGAATCCGAAATATACAGCCTGGCGGAGGGACGCGCTTGGCCTGGGCCCGACTCCGAAGCACGCCTGTGACGGAGCCGCAACTCGTTGTGCAGCCTGCTAGGAACGGCTGAAGCGATAGCCCACCGACCGGGAACTAAGTATCATCGACAGCCGGCACGACACCAATCCTGACCGCCTTGCCTGCTCGTTTGGCCGCTCTGCCGCGGTGGGTGAACTTTGACCTTTACGGCCGAGTCGCGGCCCATCTGCTCACGACATCAAGCCCCCCATGTCCACGACGATATCGTCCCTGGCCGCGATGACTGCGCGACGCAGATATTGGAGATGAGCCAACAGCGGATAAGATCCCCTGCTGCAGCTGGTCCCTTGCTGCAGGGACCAGGGATTGGCAGCACGGCCGACTCCCTACAGACTGCCAGCCTGACTCGAGTGTGCTATTCCCGGCACAAACGGCCTGGGACGCCCCACCCGAGCGTGAAGAGGGGCGGGCAGATAAGTGAGCGGCCGCGAGGTCGGCACGTGTGGCGCAGACCGGCCCGTGATAGGGCGGGTGGGACAGCAAAGGCCGCGTCGCCCCGTATGGTCTGGCGTGTTGGAGGCTCGCGAGATCGTGGGGGAGCCTTGCGCGGCCTCTCGATTCAAGAGCTGAGGTTCGCAACAACGGCACATGCCTGCGGCTGCGAGCCGTGATTGGCAGGGTCGACGAGAGACGATTTGGGTGCTCGTGCAGTGGCCCGTCGGCGAGCCCGACACGAGCATCCCCAAATGAGCACGCGACAGCAACCGGGATGGAGGGCTTGGCTGCATCGGGCGGATGCGATGATGTGGGAGGCGCTGTGCTTGGCGACGGGAGCCAATTCGCATCAAGCCCCCGGGGGCGCTGGCCTCCAAGGAGAAAACCCCCGCCAGGGATCCACCAGGCAAAGGGCGCCAGGCCGCATCCAGCAGCTCGTCACTTCTGGGAGCTTCGCCCAACCTCCCCATCTCCCCCAGGCCAAGGGTAGGGTTCCATCCATCCATCCAGTGTTGGTTGCGCCCCGGCTGGCTCTCGCTTAGAGCTAGGCCGTTCGAGCTGCAGCTCAGCTCGCCGAGGTCAAGTGCTCTTTCCTGCGCGCGCTGGTGGTGCCGATCCCTTCCTGTGCCGTGTTGCGCCTGCCGCTATTTATTTACACGTGCTCCCTCCCTTCGCAGCTCGTCTTCTTCCCGTCTCCTCTCCGCCAGCGTCATGCCGTTGCTCCACGGGCCCTGATCAACCTAGCTCTCTCACAGCATCCCTAACCCCTACGAGACCTTCATCGCTAGCATCACCATCGCCATGGGCCTCTTCTCGGGCCGCAGCTCCAAGGAGCCACAGCCGGACCCGCAGCCGGCCACGACCGCAGCCGCCACCACCCCGGGAGTCGCCGCCGCCGACCCCCCGCTGAGCTTCTACGAAAAGATCAAGCCCGTCTTCGCCTGCGGCGCCGGTCTCTTCTCCGACGGCTACATCAACAACGTCATCGGCTCCGTCAACACCACCCTCGCCCGCCAGTACGGCGCCACCTACACGGGCTCCACGGCCGCCAAGAATGTCTCGTCCATTGCCTTTGCCGGCACCGTCGTCGGCCAGCTCTTCTTTGGCTACCTCTCGGACCGCTGGTCCCGCTCCAACGCCCTGCTCGTGTCCACCATCATCCTCGTCCTCTTCACCGCCCTCGCGACGGGCTCCTACTACAAGGGCGAGGCCGCCGGCATGTTCGCCATGCTCACGGCCTGGCGCTTCTTTGTCGGCGTCGGTATCGGCGGCGAGTACCCGGCCGGCAGCGTGGGCTGTGCCGAGTCGACCGGCGGGCTGAAGTCCGGCTCCCGCAACCGCTGGTTCATCCTCTTCACCAACTCCATGATCGACTGGGGCTTCGTCATCGGCGCCTTTGTGCCCTACGTCGTCGCCGCGGCCGCCCACGACACCTACTACGAGACCATCTGGCGCACCAGTCTCGGCATCGGCGTCGTCTTCCCCATGTTCCTCTTCTACCTCCGCCTCAAGCTCAAGGAGCCCGAGGAGTTCCAGACCGAGAACATGAAACGCAACACGCCCTACCTGCTCGCCTTCAAGTTCTACTGGGCCCGCCTGCTCGCCGTCTCGCTCATCTGGTTCATCTACAACTTTTCCGTGTACGCGTTTGGCATATATTCGAGCTCGATTCTCTCTGGCATCTACTCGGACGGTGCTCCGCTCACAACTGTGTTCGGGTGGAACACTGTCATCAACTTGTTCTACATCCCCGGCACGCTCATCGGCGCCTTTGTGAGCGACTGGCTGGGCCCCAAGTACACCCTGATCCTGGGCCTGTCGCTACAGTGCATTGTCGGGTACATCATGGCCGGCGTCTATGCGCAGATCTCGCAGAACATCGCCGCCTTTGCCGTCGTGTACGGTATCTTCTTGTCCCTGGGCGAGTTTGGGCCTGGAAACAACATCGGGCTGCTCGCGTCCAAGACCTGCGCCACCGGAGTGCGTGGGCGATACTACGGCATCGCCGCGGCAGCCGGCAAAGTGGGCGCATTCGTGGGCACGTGGGTCTTTCCTTACATCGAGGCCGCTGGTGGTTCGGATGCGGTCAAGTCGGCGCAGTATCCGTTCTGGGTGGCGGCATCGCTATGTGTGCTGTCGGTGGCGATCGCGTTTTTCTTCATCCCCAACATCGAGCAGGACACGATCGCGCAGGAGGACCTACGGTTCAGGGCTTATCTCGAGAGCAAGGGATGGGACACGAGCCTGCTGGGCGCGGGAAGCAAGGTCGAGGATGGGAGTGCGGTGCCGGTGGGTGCGGAGGCGGAGCCCGAGGAGAAGCGGGCGTCCCTGTAAATATGGGGCAGCACAGATTGTCTGACAAGGCTGCGACGAGCGTATCTAGTTGGCTAGGGCTGTCGGAATGAGAAATTGCTCGTCTTGTCGTCTTGTTGGTGGGTGCTGTCCTGGGGAACAGCCCCTGAGCTGCGGGCCTCCACAGAGCGTGACCAAACTCTGGGCCGTGACATTTGCAAGCTATGAATCTGCGAAAGCCTCAATCATATAAGAAGATCCCGGGCACGGAACTGTTGTGCGGCGTGTGTGCCAATATCAGTGCAACGACCGCTTAGTCAGCCGGCGGTGCGGGCCGGGCCCGAGTCAATTGCAACGCCCGGCATTGAGGATGCCGACCAGTTCTACCAACAACACTCCCTCATCCATCCCCCCGCCGGCATCTCCCGTCTTCTCAGGCCACCCTGCCGACCAGAGCAACCCCAAATGCCAGATCCGTCAGTCCACAGACTGCACTCGTCCCTCCGCAGCAGAAGACTATCAGCGCGCGCTGACAAATCGCCCAGGTGCACGCACCTCCACCTCCGCGATCATCGCCAGACCATGGCCCGTTTCTGGACCCTGGACGGACTCCTTCAGGGAGCCGGAATCCCGGCCCGCGACCGCGAGACACAGCGACTGGTGGGCAGCGTCGGCTGAAAGCGGCAGGCCTAGCGGCACGGAGGGATTGGCTCCCCCGGCCGCTACACGACGATGACAAAAAAAAGTCCACGCGTGGCGGTGACGTGAGCGCGAGATGTGGGGTCTTGCCGCTGCGGGCGTAGGCACTGCCGACGCTAAAAAAACATCTCGCTACACGACGTCATGGCTGTGTTATAAGTAGTTGGTTCGCGTTCGACGTCGCCAGGCATGTGCCCGGTTAGGAGGGATCATCTTTCAAACACACTCCACTCGGTTTCCCTCATCTCTCACATATCGACGCAAACACCAAACCACTACAAAATGTCCCTCCCGCAGACCTTCCAGGCCGCCCTCCTCACCGGCGCCGGCGCCCCGATCGAGGTCCGCGACCGCACGCCCGAGCGGGCCGGCCTCGAGCCACAGGAGGTCGCCATCAAGATGACCGCGACGGCCATCAACCCGGTCGACTGGAAGCTGCGCGACCACCCGTCCATCTTCTTCGGGGACCGGCTGCCCGCCGTGCTGGGCACCGACGCGGCCGGCACGATCCACGCCAAGGGATCGTCGGTCACAAACCTCGAGGTCGGCGACCGCGTCTTCTTCCAGGGCCACCTGGGCAAGTACGACACGTCGTCGTTCCAGGAGTACGCGCGGACCGACGCCGCCGTCGTCGGCAGGACGCCGCGCAACATCTCGGACGAGCAGGCCGCCGGGGTCAGCCTCGCGGGCATGACGGCCGCGATTGGCCTGTACCACTCTGTCGGTCGGGGGCTTGCCGCACCCTGGGATGACAACGGTGGCAGCCAGGCGGGCAACGGCAAGGCGATTGTGGTGCTGGGCGGCAGCGCGAGCGTGGGTCAGTACGTCGTGCAGCTTGCGCGGCTGTCGGGGTACTCGCGGATCGTGACCAACGCGAGCGCGGCCCACGCGACGCTGCTCAGGAGGCTCGGCGCGAGCACCGTGCTGGACCGCAAGACGCAGAACTCGGCGGGAGACTTTGTTCAGGCTGTCGGAGAGGATATCGAGCTCGACTGCGTGTACGACACGATCGGCACGCCCGAGACGCAGTGCCTGGCCGTCGAGATCCTGCAAAAGGCCCGCAAGGTCCGCGGCGGCAGCGCAGGCGCCCCGAGTCTCGTCGTGTGCACGCACAACGCCGACGACAAGGCGGTGCGGCAGGGCAGCAAGCTGGAGGGCGGCGCGAGGAAGGTCGAGATCAAGGGCATCCTGGCCGTCGGCCCAGCACCCGAGTACCGCAACGTGTCGGAGCCGTTCTACGTGCACGTCGCCAGGTGGCTCGAGGCGGGCGAGTTTGTGCCCAACAGCCCCGTCGTCGTCGAGGGGGGCGTGCACGGCATCGAGGAGGCGCTGCGGATGCAGAAGGCGGGCGTGTCCGGGGCCAAGGTTGTCGTCAAGTTCTGAGAGGTGGCGGGTGGTAGAAGAGACAGGCTAGGACGAGTTGAATAGACACGGCGCGGCGGCGAGCAGTGGCAGCGGCAGACTATCCCATCCTGCGTGTCCCATCCTGGTTTCTGTGAAAGCGTCACGTCACATCACATCACAGGGTCATCTTTTGTCCTGGCAGCTGGGCGACTTTGGCCTGTTGCTTCCAAGGACGAGACGGTCAAGAGATAGGCAAGTCCCGTCCAGTCCGCAGCCTCCCAATCGCAAGCTCGACATGGGGTTATCCCGGCATGTTCGCGATCCCGCTACTGCTGCCAAGACCGCCCCGTTGTGTCACCTCGTGCACACTCGGGCGTGACGCGTAATCACTGGGGCTGCTTTTGGGGAGCAGAGATGCACAACAATTTCTCGTCATCTTGTTCACCTGCCAGGTGCCGCGGCTGCAATTGATCGTACTGGTTGGGCGGAAGCTGCTGAGAATGCCTCTATCGCTGCTTTATCTGAGCTGGATCTCATTTCTACGACACCTCGACCGTTCTGGCGTGTCTGGACGAGTTGGCCGATAAGACTGCACACTACACCGGATCTGGACGTCCGATCGACTCCGCCACCCGCGTCGCCTCGCCTCGCACAGACAATGCATAGTGACTATATAAGCCCTCCGCCCGATCAAAGTGGCCCCGTCCCCTGGCATGCTTGAAAATGCACGCCAGCCTACTGGTCACTGCTCGTGAGTGCCCCCCCCTGTCAAGGCGGAGACGATCTCGCGCAGGTGTGCCTTGCAGCAGCCGGACCGGCATGGCGCGCGGTCAACTACCTGCCGAGTCGAAGCGCACTGGGCAAGCCACCACCGTTATTGTTCATCCCGCTACCTGGACTGAAACTTTTGCTCCACCACCACGCGTCCCCTACAAACTAGTCTGCTTGGCGTGCGCTTGCCCTAGTCTGGCCGCCGGGAGGTGGAGGAGAACGGACCCAACTACCGGGGGCCGGCCCACAGCCTGGCGCCATCCGCCGGTGCTGTCAAAGATGCCCTATCGGAGATTGCATCATGTCTGATCCCTGTCCCTCCGTGTCTGTATCGATCACAGCGTGCTTGAGTGGCTTTTTAAGCTTACGCGGCGGGCCGGAGGCATGGACTCGGTAGTAAGAGCTGCGCCCCGAACAGTCGTCGTCGTCGTCGTCGTCGTCGTCGACACGGCACGTTGGTCTTGGCGTACCCCCACTCATCCTCGACGACGACGACGACGACGACGACTTGGATAGCGAACAAGCACCAGACTAGAAGCTTGGTCGAGGCTTGGTCGAGGCTTGGCCGAGGCTTGTGTGAGGTATAAAGACTGCCAAGCTGGGAGCGTGAATCTGGCGTCTCTCGGATCCTCACCACCATCACTACCACTTCATCCTCCTCCTCTTTCACCAGACAATCTCTTTCAGCACACAGCACAATGCACTCGTCCAAGCTCTTTGCCGCCGTCCTGGCCTTCTCGGGCGTCGCGTTCAGTCATCCCGGCCACGACATCGCCCAGGAGGCTGCCGAGCGCCGTGCCTACCTCGACAACGTGGCCCGAGCCGATCTCAGCCACTGCGCGGACAAGCTTGCCAGCCGCGGCGTCACCGCCCGCAACGTCGAGCGCCGGCTCGCCACCGTCCGCCGGGCCCGCGAGAAGCGTGAGTCTCTTCATCTCTCCCTGTTTTTCACCACTCGACTTACACAAGACACCACCAGGCTCCATCACCCGCCGCGACCTCGACAGCGTCCTCGCCAAGGACCACAACGCCACGTCCCTGGGCTACACGCCCGAGACGGACCCCTCGCTGCTCTTCGCCGGCAACACGTCGTGCATCCTGACGCCCGAGGTCACCCAGGGCCCCTACTACGTCTCGGGCGAGCACGTCCGCGCCGACATTGCCGAGACGCAGGCCGGCGTGCCGACGGTCCTCGACTACCAGGTCATCGACGTCAACACGTGCGAGCCCGTGCCCAACGTCTACCTCGAGATCTGGCATTGCAACTCGACGGGCGTCTACTCGGGCGTCGTGGCCCAGGGCAACGGCGACTCCAGCGACACGACCAACATTGACGCCACCTTCAACCGCGGCATCCAGCGCACCGATGCCGACGGCGTCGCCCAGTTCGAGACGACCTTCCCGGGCCACTACACGGGCCGCGCCACCCACATCCACACCCTCGTCCACTCGGGCGCCCGCCTCTACTGCAACGGCACCCTCGGCAACCTCGTCAACTCGAGCCACGTCGGCCAGACCTTTTTCGACCAGTCCCTCATCTCCGCCGTCGAGGCCGTCGAGCCCTACGTGCCCAACACCCAGGAGCTCACCCTCAACTCCGAGGACAGCATCCTCGCCGAGGAGGTCGCCACCGGCGCCGACCCGTTCTTCCAGTACACGTACCTGGGTTCCACCGCCGCCGACGGCATCTTTGGCTGGATCGCGTTCGGGTACAACGCCTCGGCCCCCGGGTCCGCCGTCACTCCGGCCTCGTTCCTGTACGAGGATGGAGGCGTTGCGAACCCTGACAGCGGCATGGGTGGCGGTCCCGGTGGTGGCTCTCCTCCCAGCGGCGGCTCTCCTCCCAGCGGCTCCCTTCCTAGCGGCACCCCTCCTGCCAGTACCGCATCCGCTTAAGTGATTGCGGGTGCTAGTGTGGGTGTCAGGGTCACGGGCTGGTCTTTTATCTAGTTCATCTTGGGCCGAGTCCCCGGTTTAGTGCTGTGAGGATGCTACTATAAAGTGCTGGCAACAGGCCAAACTCTCGGAGCGCTTAGACAGAAACCAGATCCAACTCACACACCTCAATGACCGACATGACCACTGTGACTCTGTGCGATGACTGCTCCGTGATGCACCCGTGAACGTGGCCCAGCACATTGGAAGGTGATGGTGGTGCAAGTCCAAGGAGGTAAGTGCGTTCTGGGAAGTGACGGACGACAGTCTGGCGGATTAGTCACCGCACCAGTGGGTGCTCACCACTTCTCTCTGCACGCAGGCCTTTGCATGTGTCACGCCTTGCACGACCTCAGCACATCAGACACGATCCTACTTGACTTCCCAACAGCACGCATCCAGAGCATGCGATTCACAACGTGGACCAGCGACAATACATCGGCCCAAGAAACAAACCAATGACCTCGTCCCCGCTCTCCATCCTCTCCATCGCAAGCTGTCACATGGACAGCGCACACACCAAGCTCCACCGCTCTCCATCTGGGCCATACAATCTAATAGACACTGGGTCCGCCCCGTCTGCCAGCAGCCACGATGCTCGGCTCACCCCTGGCAGATACCGTCGATGCAGAATCTGCCGCCGCCAGAGAGCACACAGTCTAGTGCGAAAAAAGAGGGTCAGCTTGACTGGTGACTGGCCGGCCATTCGATTCCGTCAAGACGTCGACTTACCAGCTTCACCAACGCAAGGAGTACTGCCCGTGTTGGGCGCCTGGGGCACGCCGCAGAGCCCGTCGGCCTGGCAGGTCTGGCCCGGCACGCAGCAGGTGTCGTCGGCATTGCAGGCGCCTATGAGTGGGCGGTCAGCAGCTGTCACAACACGGAGAGGGTTTGAAAAAGAGAGAGAAAAAGAAAAAGACAACTCACGGCCATCGCCGACGCAAGGGTCGCCGGCATCGTCGGCCTGGCAGATGTTGTTGCTGCACACAGAGTCCGGGTTGCAGCACAGCCCCGTCGAGAAGGGCAGGCACATGCCGCCGTCCGCGATGCAGATGGGCTCGGCGTCGCCCGGCCCGCGCACGCGGCACGTCCCCGTCCCGGTGCTGTCGCAGAACGTGTCGGTGCCGCAGCAGGTGTCGCCGGTGAAGGGGCCGATGCAGGAGTCTGGAGCATGCCCGTCAGTGTCCGTTCCCCACGAAGTCGAGGGACTACTCACTCCCGACCGCGATGCAGACAGGCGGCTGGATCACCGGAGGCTCCAGGCACACCCCCGCATTGCACTCGTCGTCGTCGCAGCAGTCGCCGTTGGTGGTGCACATGCCAAACCGCGGCGAGCAGGTCGGCGGTGGCGGAGCCTGGCACTGGCCGCCGTTGCAGGTGAAGGCGGTGTTGCAGCAGGCCAGGGCGCCGACGACGCAGATGTCTAGACGCAAGAGCGGGTCAGTGGTGATGCTGCTGTCAAAGAACGCATGGCTGTGACTTACTGCCGTCAGGCACGCAGACGGGCTCGGGCTCGGGCACTGCGCAGATGCCGCCCTGGCAGGTGAGGCCGTCGCAGCACGGGTCGTTGGCGATAGGGTCGAGGACGTCGGCCAGGCGGTCCCAGAGGAGGATGCATCGGTCTGTGTCGTGTATTGTCAGTGGGAGAAGGGACAAGCTGGGCAGCAGTCATCTTACCGCCTTCGAGGGCACAGGCCGGTGGCGTAGGGGTCGGGATCGTGTCCGACGAGGTCGTGGAGCTGGAGGACGAGGTTGTCGAAGATGAAGTGGTCGAGGAGGTGGTCTCCGAGCTGGTGGAGCTCTCGGTGGTTGAGGGGTCGACAGAGCTCAAGGTTGAACTTCCGGTGCTGCTCGACGAGGAAACCGAGTCTGTGGAAACGCTGCTCGAGCTGGAGACTGACGAGGAGACCGACGAGCTCGTCTCACACGGAGACGTAGTCGACACCATGTACGAAGACGCCGTGCTGACCGGGTACGTCGCCACGGACGACATTGAGAAGCTGGTCGCCACATAGGTGTCGTAGGTGGCCGGCTGCGTCGAGTAGGCATGCTCCCCGCTGCCGTGCGTGGTCGGCGGCTTGTTGCATGGCTTGGCCGCGGTGCTGCCGATGACGGCGGCCAGCGACAGCAAGACTGCAGGCGACTTGACGAACATTATTGCGACGGGTGGAAGGAACGAGTGTGTGAGCTTCTGCGACTTGACGAAGCACAACGGCCATGTCGAGGGCGGCGCCGCTTTCTTATTTGCCGCGGACAGCCACCATCAATCTCCCCCAGAAACGCCGCTGACATCGACGGCATCTCGAATTGTGGGCGGCAGATCGATCGTCGTGCAAGGTCATGCTCCACTTCTTGAGCAAACCCTCCGGTCTGCCGTCGCGGAAGATGTTGTTTATCGTGTCGGCCGGTCACAGTTCCGTGGTGTTGGGCAGGACACCCCCTGCTTAAACTCGTCAGGCTAGCTGTGAGATGCGTGCTTAGCTCCGCGCTGGCGGCTCGGCTTCAGGGGCAGACTCATGATTTCCCCGGCAAACGCCTAGGGCTGCTCCACCGTGCAATCTGTCGACGCAAGCCACGTTCTGTCCATCTCTGCCCGATGCGGGTGCGAGCTGAACAGCCTTGGGGCAGCAGTCCGCCGCATTGGCCGCCAAGACTCGCCAGATCTGGACGACAATAACGTCCGGCGCGACGATCGTCATCGTGTTTGATAACTGAGCTGGGCTTGAGCAGTTCCCCTGGTGCCGGGCGTCTGTCGGGAGTGCTTCGTGTGGGGGATACGTTCAGTGCTCGCCGCTCGGCTCCTGGGTGCGGTCTTCACTCACAGTCCCGGGCAAGGCACCTTCGACCGAATGCCTCACTTTCAACGGCCAGCTGAGAACACAAGTCCCGAATCCAACGTCATTTCTACGCGATGACATTTTAATAGTGGCCCGCCAGTGGACCTCGGCGCGGCGGACCGGATCAACGACCACCTGGGCTGAACAGGCGCTAAGGCTGGTGATCCCAATGTCGCAGGGCCTCGGCCACAAGCTAATCCTTTTAGGCGGCACACCACCGGCGGCCTGAACCCTCTGAATGCCTCCCATATAGCCAGGTTGTCGGCGGCTGTCGGCCGGAGGCTGCAGATTATATGAACTCGATATCAGCCTATGGCCTGGTTCGAGGTCGCTGTTGGGGCCCCGGAGCCAGCTACCGTGAATGGCCAACCACTGGCTGCCTTTGTTCTCAGGCCAAGGACACAAGGAAGATTCAACAATAGTATACAATAACGACCCCCCGCACACTAGGCTTCAGCCCCAGCCCCCTCTCCACGGCTGCAACAGACGGCACCGATGGGTGTGGCTCGGCTTGTCCCCAAGGCTTATGAGGGGTTTGAAGTCCCGCCGTCGATTGGCCAGCCCCGCGATACAGTTCTAGATCCATCTGCCGTTGTTGATGGCCGACCACAGCCAAGCATTTCCTCAGCAGGGCACCAGCACGAGTCAGCAAGGGCGCCGAGATGCGGGGGTACTGGATTTTCAATGGCTGCTATCAAGGACGAGCGCCGTCTGATCCGACCGCGGCTTGACGAGAACAGTGCCCATTGATGGACAGTCGCACACCGCGAGGTGATGGCCACCTGGCTGCAGCCATAAGATGAACTCGGACATGAACAAAGAGCCCGACCCCGGATCTCCAAAAGGACAGCCTGCAGTCTGCCGACTCCACGTGCCTGGGTCCGGGATCTCCGGGTGCGTGGGACTGGATAACGCGGGGAAATGGGGAATTGTGGGGAAGCGCCACACCTGGCAGTGGCCACGAGGGCCCAGAAGGCGGTTATGCTTTTACGCTTAAGGTTCGCGCGGATGTGTGCACTGCTGTCCCGTGTTTCACAGCCGGGGTCAGAGCTGAGGCCATGGCATGACTTGCTCACCAGCTGGGATGCGCCACGCCAATCTCTGGAGAGGGCGGCCGTCCGCCTACATAAACCGCGAGGCATCTCCCCGGAGTCCCGAGTCCATCCACGCACATGCACATCCGTAGCAACAACGACCACAATATGTCGGACTCGGACAAGGCAGGCAACACCGCCGTGGCGGTTGGCATCGAGCATGCCCACAAGGAGTGCGTTGGTCTCTCCGCGCGCACCACAGCCCCCTCTGCTGACGACGACAACAGACAGGCTCCCCCGGCGGCCACGGTGGCCATCGACAAGGCGGCAGAGCGGCGCCTGAGGAACAAGATTGACCTGATGATTGTGCCCACGGTTGCCTTGCTGTACCTCTTCTGCTTCATCGACCGCGCCAACATTGGTAGGAGCTGCATGACAGAATGGTCACCTCGGAGCCAAGGCTAACCTCTACAAACAGGAAACGCCCGCCTCGCCGGCCTCGAGGCCGACCTAGGGCTCGTCGGCAACGACTACAACGCCCTGCTGTCCGTCTTCTACATTTCCTACATTGTCTGCGAAATACCGTGCAACATCCTCTGCAAGTGGATGGGCCCCGGGTGGTTCCTCCCGACGACGTCGCTGGGCTTCGGCATCGCCTCGATCGGCACGGCCTTTGTGCACACCAAGTCGCAGGCCATGGGCGTGCGATTCATCCTGGGCGTCTTCGAGGCCGGCATGCTCCCCGGCATCGCCTACTACATGTCGCGCTGGTACACGCGTGCGGAGCTGACGTTCCGCCTGTCTCTGTACATCGTCATGGCGCCCCTGGCGGGTGCCTTTGGCGGGCTGCTGGCCTCGGCGATCCTGACGCTGCCCAACTTTGGCAGCCTGCACAGGTGGCAGATGATTTTTGGTGAGTGGCCTGCATATATCGAAAGTAGGCTCAGCTAACGATGGACGGCAGCAATCGAGGGCATCATCACAATCGGCCTGGCGCTCATCTCGTTTCGTAGGTGCAAACCAACCCCGTTAGGACTCACTCTCTCTAACACCACACGACAGTCACCCTGACCGATCGCCCCCAGACGGCGCGCTGGCTCAACGCCGAGGAGAAGCAGCTGGCGCTGGCGCGCATCAACGTCGAGCGCGTGTCCACGCACGAGGTCCTCGACAAGCTCAACAAGACGAAGCTGCGGCGCGGCCTGTTCAACCCGGTGGTCCTGGGCACGGCCCTCATCTTCGCCTTTGACAACGTGACGGTCCAGGGCCTGGCGTTCTTCCTGCCGACCATTGTGCGGACCATCTACCCGACCGCCACGACCGTCACGCAGCAGCTGTACACGGTGCCGCCGTACGTCGTGGGCGCCTTCTTCACGCTGCTGCTCCCGGGCATCTGCTGGCGCACCGACAGCCGGCAGTACATGGTCATTGCGGCCGCGCCCATGGTCATGGCCGGCTACATCATGTTCCTGGCCAGCCACGCCTCGGCCGTGCGCTACGGCGCGACTTTTCTGATTGCCAGCTCCGCGTTCGCCCTCGGGCCCATCACCAACGCGCAGGTCAGCGCCAACGTGGTCAGCGACACGGCCCGCAGCACGGCCATCGGGATGAATGGTGAGTTTTGTGGTTGTGCTCTTTTGGATTACGAACCTATAACTGACATCGTAAAAAAGTCATGTTTGGCAACATTGGCGGCCTCATCTCGACCTGGTCGTTCCAGTCCTGGGACGGCCCCAACTACCCGATCGGCAACGGGCTCAACCTCGCGACCTCGAGCTCCATCCTCGTCTGCGGCACGCTGCTGCTGCTGTGGATGAAGCGCGACAACCGCCGCCGCGCCGCCGAGAGCTCGCGCGAGGAGCTCATCGGCATGTCGGAGCAGGAGATTGAGGACCTGGACTGGAAGCACCCTGATTTCCGGTGGAACATCTGAGGGGGGCACGGATGTGCGGGAGGAGAGTGTGGGCACGTCCTGGGCGTGTATGCTAGCTAGTGTCTTGGATTCTCGACATCCGGGAGTTGCATCAGAGACTGATAACGCTGTAGCCTGGACTCCATACAGCCCTGATCCGATCCCGCTCGTGCAGGCTCGCCACGTGCAAAGACAGTGTCGGGACCGAGCATTTGTGCCATGGTGCTCGAGCCGATCCCCCGGGCCGGATTGCTTTTACATGTCTGCGGCTAGATCTGCCAAGCCGGCTCTGAAACGTGCTGGTTGGCCCGAGCCGCGAGATCTGGCAGAGGCTGACGGAATTTGCCGAAGGGTGTCTTCGCAGGGTCTGTCGATCTCAGACACAAGCAGCGTCGGAGCGGTCTCCGAATACGACTGGTCTGCAAAGTGCACAAATTTGCAGGAATCACATCTGGACCGGTGAGGGTCCTCTTCTTATCACGGCTGAGACCCAGGCACAGCTGACGGCCTCCCGCATTTCTGGGCCAGAGTGAACTGCGACTCGTGTCAGACTCTGTCTTTCTGTTTCGCCTGCAGAGACGGTCAGTAGCTGCGGTGGCCAGGGCGGTCCAGTCAAGAGGCGAGAGGCACAGTGACGTGTGGTTCATCGCAGAGCGACCGTCACAGCGCATGAAGCCATCACGACGTGATATCGGAACGTGCCGACACAAGCTTTCTGATGCTGCACCTTCCCATGCCATGCGGCATCACCAGACCCAGGCGGTCGGGTTCCCGAGGGGACGACACCCAGGATCGGCCCGATCGGGTCAATAAGGGCAGAAGTCGTTCCGGCAGGTGCCCTGCTCGCTACCTATCAGGGGGCTGTCTTGCGAGACACCCGCCCACGCTGACAACACTCTGCCTGGCTGTTAGTCTCAGTGCACAGGCTGCATGGTGGCCGAGACTCGCACCTGTGTATTCAGAAGCCCTCCTGCTGTACTGGGCACTGAATTCTCGTCCTCCGGCATGCGGGCTGATATCATAGCTCCGGCTTCCACTGGTGCGACCCTCGAAACCGGTGAGCGGAGTGTTTCAGGCTCCCCCCTCCCTCGCGGCTTTTGGCCCGTTGCAGAAAGGGACCCAGCGCGTGCCATGGTCTCGGGTACCGACGGCCTGGTCCTGGGACGTACGTCGTCCAAGCTCGAGACTGCTCATATCTGCTTGTCTCTGAACCGGACCATCATGGCCTGACCGTCTCCCCCCACGCGCAGCATTCCCCTCCAAGACAGGTTGATGTCACACGCCGGGAGTCCCCCCTTTCCGAGACAATAAGTCCCTATCCTCCTTCTAGTCAGGGGCTGCGCACGTTCGAGGTCTGGCCCCAGCCACACGGCGGTGGCCTGGAGAGGATCGCGACTAATCAGCGATGGCGAGCTTTGGTCCTGAGCAATAGCTCGCGACAGAACAATCCGCGAGAAGGCCCACTGCTCACAAGAAGACGACTTGGGGACATGCCCCCCTGCAGCGTAGATCCCTGGGCCTTTCCGGCCCTGCCTGCATGTTATATTGAACCCCCCGAGGGCAGATTTCCCCCGTTCGGCCTGACTTGTCCGTGGATCAGCATTTATCCCCGTGGCGCTCGTGGCATGTGCCCCATGGACAGCGCAAACTGAGACATGATTATGCAGTTCTGACAGCTGCGGCCCCCCAGCTTCCGGCAAGCTTTCCGCTCGCTCGCTCGAGCGCCCGTGCCGCCGGCGGGCGCGCAAATCACAAGCTGAGACAGGTCCTGCGGCACAGCAGAAAAGAAAATTGTGCGCATTTGGTGCAAATGCCCCGAATGGAGGTCGCGCGCCCATTGCCCCTATTGCGGATCGCAAACCCCAAGACAAGAGGAGCCCGCGGGAGAAAAAGCAAGTGCCTTTGTGTCGGCAGGTTCAAACCGGTGAGGAATGGTGGTCATGTGACGGGCGTTGTCCCAGGGCGGCGGCATTCTTTGGAGGAGCCGACACTCGAGGTCGGCAGAAAAGGAAGCACGGCTTGGCAAGGGTGAGCTGGTCTTCTAATCGTCTGCAGTCTGGAGATAGTCCTCCGGGGGGTCGACTTGCAACTGTGAGTCCTATTCAAAGCATGCAATCGCAGCCACGTAAAGCGGATTATAAAGATGAGGCTGGATCCTCGATGGATGGCAGTACAGGGACCTTTCACCACAAGTCAGCATGTCTGAGCTCCTACTATCGCACCGACACGACGAGCTGCGCATCCCGCCCTCCGTGACACTATCCGCCTGCACCATGAGCTACGACGACAACAGCGACTCGCTGAGCCTCGACCAACCGGGCCAGTGGGAAGTGGAGGCAGAGGGTAAGCAGGGTGGCTGATTCTAAAAGGAGCCCTGTCACTAACCAAATACCCCAGAACTCTGCCAGGTCCTGGGCATAGGCCCCCCCGAGTACCTGCTCGGCTCGGACCAGAGAGGTGAGCAGCATCGCGTCGTCGTGACCTTGCCGAGAAATCAAACTGCTGACCCGCGCGAACGACCCCAGGGACACACACCGCATGGGGCTACGCCGTGCGGCTGGAGGCGACGTACCTTGCACCCCGGTACTGGTACACGTGGGAGAACCGGCACAATGCCAAGGAGGCCACCGCGGAGGAGCTGGTCAGGAACATCTACAAGAACTACTACAACTCGCAGCCCGAGCCGCCGCGGAAGAGGGCCAAGAAGAAGGGCTCCCACAGCAGGAAATGACAGCCACGGAGGGCTTGGGGGAGCCGAGGTTGGTGTAGGTTAATGCAGCAGCGCGCCCAATACGTAACAAAGCAGAACAGAACTGTCCCGAGTGTGGTGCCGTGTGGTGTCCTTGAAATCGTCCGGGGGCCTGCATTCCCTGCCGCAGATCTGGCAGATCCAGATCAAGACTATCATCCCCCAGACTGATTCATCACTTGTCCGCCGCCTTTGTCGAATACAATCTCCCCGCGAGGGTGCAAACATGCCTCGGCAGATCAACGCCACCTCCGCAACCTCCCTTGGCACATCAGTAAAAGAAGCCCCCTGTTCAATCACAATGACGGGTGCCATTGTCACCAATCTGGCTAGAGGAGGCCCCGGCGCCGTGGCTAGCGTCCTAGCGGCTGGCATATCGCGCGTGTGCCGTCCCACCTCGCACCACGCCAAAAAAGATCCTCCGCGTGATAGTGCCGACGATCATGGCGCCGGGTTTGATTGAGAGATCCGAGAGCACGAGCGAGGGACCCGAGAGGACAAATAAAGGAGCTGCGGTCCCGGGCAGGGTGACTCGTCTTGACATGCGTCCCTTGCCGATTCATCACACACTGACAAGATGCTGCTGCCCCTGGGACGACTCCTGCTCTGCCTGCCCCTGGCACACGCCGCTGCGGTGGCCGTGCCTCGGCAGGATATCAATGAGCCCGTCGAGAGCGACCTGCAGCTCGGTGCCGTCGTCGGCGGACTCACCAGCGGCCTGCTCGGGCAGCTCAACACTGCCATCTCGACGGGCAACCTGGAGGGCGTCCTCACCCAGCTCCGGAACCTGACACCCGGCAACAAGCCCAGCAGCGTCGCCGAGGTCACGTCCATCCTGCAGCCGATCGCCCAGACCAAGTCGGCAACCATCATCGACTACGGCGCCCAGCTCATCGCCAACGGCATCCTGTCGGGCACCGTGGAGGGCCTCTTTGACTTTGCACAGGGCGCCGCCTCGGGTGCTGGCGGCAGCGACAACGTGTATGTCCTTTGTTCCAGTGCCTCCTGAATGACTGCTCACCAAACATCCACACCACAGAAACCCCGACCCGTCCAGGAGCGTCTATCCCAAGGCCAAAGCCTGCGACGCGCCATACTCGGTGCCCGAGGACAAGCTGCGCTCGGCCATCTACATCCCGCCGACCTTTACGTACGGCCAGAAGCGGCCCGTCATCCTCTTCCCCGGCACGGGCAACACGGGGTACATCACCTTCTCTGGCAACTTCATCCCGCTGCTCACGGGGGTCGACTGGGCCGACCCGGTCTGGGTCAACGTGCCGGGCCTGCTGCTCGACGACGCGCAGGTCAACTCCGAGTACGCGGCCTACGCGATGAATTACATTGCGGCCCTGACCTCGCGGGACGACGTCGGCATCGTCGCCTGGTCCCAGGGCAACCTCGACTGCCAGTGGGCGTACAAGTACTGGCCGAGCACGCGCGCCGTCGTGACGGACCACGTCGCCGTGAGCGCCGACTACGCGGGGACCGTGTTTGCCAACGCCGCCACCCTGCTGGTGCCCCTTCTCACCAACGACCCAAGCGTACTCCAGCAGGAGGCCGGCAGCGCCTTTGTCACGCGGCTGCGCCAGGGCGGCGGCGACTCGGCGCTCGTGCCCACAACCAGCCTGTACTCGGGCTACTTTGACGAGGTGGTCCAGCCGCAGAGCGGCACGGGGGCATCCGCGTTCCTCCGGGGCGCCACCAACGTCGAGGTCCAGCAGGCCTGCGGCGGCAAGGGCCTGGCGGGGACGTTCTACACGCACGAGGGCCTGCTGGTCAACCCGCTGGCTTTCGCGATGGCCAAGGACGCCCTGACCCACGAGGGGCCGGGCCAGCTGGCGAGGGTCGAGGGCGGGCTGGACGAGGTCTGCAAGCCGTACCTGGCGCCGGGGCTGGGGCTGGACGAGCTGCTGCTCACGGAGAATGCGGTCTTGATCGCCGTGCTCAGTTTGATCCTGTACCCGGAAAAGGTGGCTGCCGAGCCGGCATTGAAGAGCTATGCCACGAGTCAGACTCGGAGCTGCTAGTGTATATATTCCTATCAGAGTATATAGTTGTCCTAATGTTTAATTCTTGCAACCCACTACACGATCGGGCTGTAAAAGCCGAACCGGTTCATCGGGTCAAACTCCCTCTTCAGCGCCCGCAGCCGCTGCAGCCTCGCCGGGTCCTCCCCGTACACCTCGGGCACCGACTCGTCTCCCATGGCATAGTTCACATAGCTGTGCGGCTTCTCGGCGTCCCTCGGCCGGACCGCCTCCTGGAACTTGACCCCCCACGCCCTCACCTCGGCCACGTCCCCCTCGTCCGCCCCGTCCCACCACAGCACCGGCGCGTGCAGGATATGCCGCTGCCGCTCCTCGGCCGGGACCGCGGCCGACGCGACGTCGATGTCCCGGACCCCCTTGCGCCCAAACGACTCGAGCAGCCACATCGACGTGCTGTACTTGGCCTGCCGCGTCAGCTCCGTGAAGAGCTCGAACCCGGCGCGCATGCCCGCGCCGTCCCACCGCGAGACCGAGGCCGGGTAGCCGACGACGTTGGCGTCCTTGCGGCACACGGGCGAGTCCACGCCGAACCCGCCCGTGGCGAACACGTCGCCGTAGGGGATGTCGGTGACCGTGACGCTCGCGGCGGGCGGGCCGAGCGCACCCTGGAAGGCGGCGACGTAGCGCTCGATGGCGGTGGCGTTGCCTGCGCTGTAGAGCAGGATGTTGATGATTGGCTTTGGTTCCACGTCAGTTCGTGCCCAGGCATCGGGGCATTAAAAAAACTCACGTGCTTGTCATCCAGCGCCGGATTCCAGGCGACCGTGCCGCCCGCCACCAGCAGGCCCGGGTCCGCAATCTCGTCCTCGAGCTCGTTCCACACGGCAAAGATCTGCTCGAGCTTGTCCTGGGTATAGGTGAGCACGTCCATCCGCCACAGCTCGTCCGCGTCGTACAGGCTCATCTCGAGGCTCGTGACGACCCCGAGGTTGTGCCCGGCCCCCTTGAGCCCCCAGAACAGGTCCGGGTTCTGCGTGCCGGACGCGGTGACCGAGGTCCCGTTGGCCAGGGTCACCCGCGCCGAGACGAGGTTGTCGGCCGCGAAGCCGTGTCGGCCCTGGAGCATGCCGTGGCCGCCGCCGAGGGCGGGGCCGGCGACGGAGACGCACGCGCAGATGCCGGTTGCTGTGGCCTGGGGTTAGTCTGGATCAAGAACGGAGCCGGGGGGGGGGTGAGGGGGGGGGGGAGGGGACACCGTACGGGTCATCTTGCCCTTGGCGAACAGGGCCCTCGTAGCCTCCCACTGCAGGATCCCGCCGCCCGCCGTGGCCGTCAACCCGTCGTCATTGACTGTGACCGAGTTCATCCGGCGCAGGTTGATCTGGATCCCGTTGTGCATCTCGGCCAGGGCCGTCGTCCAGCCGTGTGAGCCCGACGCGGCGAGGAAGGGATAGCCGTGCTTATTTGCGAAGCGGATCTAGCCGTGATGGCCGCGGGAGTCAGCGAACCAGCTTCTGAAATTGTCATGTCGGAACAGCAGGGTGCTCACCGTATGCTCAACGTCGGCCTCGGTGGCAACCTCTACGACAGCAATGTACTGCGGCGCGACCCTCGGCGTGGAAGCACGCGCGACGAGGTCGTGCCAGGCTTCGTCGCCCGGGAAGACTACGGCCGCGCCATCTGACAAGACCGGAGCTAGGTCCAGCTCGATGGTCGTCTGGGCGCACGTGCCGAGGGGATACTGTCCATCCGGGAGAACGGGCAAATCGGCGCTGACGAGTGCTGTGGACAGCAGGGTCCAGAGAGACAAAAAGGACGTGGTACCTCGAGAGAACAGCATATTGCCCATAGATACAGTAGAGAAGTCAGCAGCATTTCTCGCAAAGCAGGACTCGGGGCGTCGACGTTTTAATCAAAGAGTATAGGACCGTGGAACTACGCGGCCGCCCCCCTTGCACGCGGGCTGACTCGGGCCAAGAGCTGTGTCCTGCATGCCGTATGACGGCAGAGTCGTCGCGCGGCGTCCCCCATAGGCGCAGGCGCTCATGCCAAGACATGGTATGAGAAAGCGCGCGGCCCACTGGGACTCGGGCAGTGGAATTATTTGTCACTGCCGATGCTTAAGTTTTCTGGCCCAGAGGCTCGATGCCATCTGCTGCGTGCCTAGCGCTTACTTTTGGAGGGCTCCGGGGCTCATCTCGATGACAGCGATTTCTCCCAGGTACCCTGACAGTGCTTGCCCCGCGCTCTGGACGTTGCTTATCGCTGAGTGTGTCCAGTTGGGAGAGTATACCTCGAGACCCACAAGGCGATGGTAGTCCAAGTCAAGGCCCTGTACAGCCGAGATGCACACACAGAGATCTTCCTCGGAGATCCCACAGGGCTCTCGGTATAAACGCGTCCCACGTCATCCAATTGCTGATTGATGTGCCTGGATGATGACTGTTTGAGCGGAAGTAGAAAGCAACTGCGACGATCGCAAGTTCCTTGAAGGGAACGTTACGATTTCTCGCAATGAGCAAGAATGAGCAAGGTATCTGCAAATGTAACCGATCGCACTGGCTCGGATCCCAGTATGTTCTTTTTCCTCCACTAGTTTCGCACCGGAGCCTCATGTCCTGCGCCGTAACTCTCGGCCCTCTTCTTCAGGTCCTCGTTCACCCGCTGGAACCCGCCAGACGTCTTCTCCTGGTCGCTCTTCATTCCAAACGTCAGGAGCCCCGTAAAGTCCTCGTACTGCACAAACGTGGTGCCGCCCGGCGTCGCCTGCGACGGGCGGAACTCGAACGTGTGCTCCCCGACCAGGAGGTACGAAACGCCGCCTTTCCAGGTCAGTCGGTCTTTGGAGTTTTCCTAGGGTTTGGAGGGGTCAGCAAGCGAACTTTTCTTCATCACCAATCATCAGATCAGAGTGACGGAAGGAGACCGACGGTGATGTTTGCGCCAAAGTTCATGCCGCCGCCGAGGTTGACGCGCATCTTGTCGCCGGGCGCCAGGGTGATTCCCTTTTTGCCTGGCGTGACAATGTCGAGGGACTTGAAGTGGGACGTGTGCCATTGTGACATGTGGTCAAAGTCGAGGAACTGGGCGGCGGCAAGTGTCAGTTTGCGGTGGTTCTTCAGAGGCGGACGGTGCCGCTCTTACGATCTCACGCACCCGCTCGGGCGAGGCGGCAATCTCGATTGGAGGGACACGAGCGCGGATGCCCATGGTGCGGTGGCGGGAGCTTTGAGCAGGCTGGTGTGTTTTATAAGGGTGCGGAAGTAGAAGAAGTTGGCTTTGGCTGCTGTTATTGTGAAATATGGCGAGTGCCTTGTCTCGACTTCTTTATAATCATTTCCAGCCTACATCACATCCAGCTCGCGCCCGAGAAACGAGCATGCGATACCTCAGCCTTGTCGATCATTATCGTCCTGCATGCAGGGTCTGAACCTGGGCTTTAGCAGATCTCGGACAACGGGCAGAAAGTCAACCAGCAGGTGACGCAGACTTGGGCCAATCATGTCCAAGCTCCGCAGCCGACAAACCATGTAGAGTCGCGCCGCCTTCGCGCCTTTCTCGGCCGGGCCACCCCGCCACATGTCGGCGCCTCAACACTGGGCCACCGACACGGAGGACATTCGCGGGCTGGGCCACTGCCGCTACCTACAGACTGTCTCGTGTGTTTTCGGATCAACTATGGGCCACAAAGGGAGTCCATCCACCTAAACAGTCTAATGCGCCCCCGTGTGAACTACAAACCGAACAGACACAGCCTCCCAGGACAATGCAGACACTAGCACGCGCTTCATGGTTAAAAAAATAATTGTATTAGAATGGCTACAAGGAAAGACATGCGACGTGGCACAAGGTCAACAGCGTGAGACCTTGGCAACCCGGCCCATTCGATCCGGCGGACCCGGCCCCTTCTTCCCATCGGGCAGCGGCAGCTTCAGCGGCTGGTGGGTTCGCTCTGGGCCCTCGATGGCTCGTACCACGGCCTTTATGCACAGCAGGATCCTAATGTACCGCTGCAGGCCGGGGGATAGTGTCTCGCGGGCGGTTCTGGTCGACGGGGTGCCAGTAGTGGTGGCAGTAGTGGGAGAGTTTGGTGTGTCGCTGTGTTTCCTGAAAGTTAGCATGGCGTTGTATTAAAAAACCAACAGCACAGGGCAACGCACCTTAGCCGGGCCATGAACTGGGCCGTCCGGCCATCGAGCAGTATAGACACGGCCGAGCAGACGACGTACGCGGGCGAGCCGTGCCGGAAGCCGGAGTCGTACGTCGCGAGGAACCCGCCGAGCACGGCAGCCGCGGTGTGCAGCGTGCGCGGGCCGAGGGCGACGGGGGAGAGCTTTGTGCACGAGAAGATGAGGAGGCGGGCGTAGAGGAACGAGTCGAAGCCCAGGCGGATGTTGGCCCGGTGCAGCGAGGGCGAACTCAGGAAAAAGGCGAGGATCGTGGTGACGAGGCGGAACAGGAAAGGCTGGATGCGCAAGCCGAGCGGGATGAGGTCCTTGTAGCCGGCGCGCGTGCGGCGCAGGAGGACCTGGTAGCTGGAGAAGCAGTGGGCGAGCCCCAGGGCGAGGTCGCAGAGGGTCGGGTGGACGGGCTGGCCGCCGAGCGCGCGCCACTGCAGCCGGCCGAGCTCGAAGAAGCTGATGGCGATGTGGGCGAGGAGCCAGAGGTTGGCGGGCCGGTGGAAGGCGCGGAGGGCGCGGCCGATGGTGAGGCGCGTGCGCAGGGCGACGACGATGATGAGGAGGCCGAAGATGCAGGCGAGCTCGGTGCGGGCGGCGATGTGGTGGTGTTGTTGTTGGTGAGGATCGTAATGATTAGGCGTGGCCGAGATGGTCATGAGATATTCTTGGTGCTGTTGCGGCGGTTGGCGCAACGAGGCAAAGGCCCCGGCGGAAGGACTGGCCTGCGCCATGGCGGCGGCGGAGGCGGCGCTGGTGCGCTGCTCCGGCGAGCCGTGTACGTGTAATAGTACGTGTACGGGCGGGCGGAGAGGTCTAGACGGCCGCGGCGGCGGCGGAGGTCATGGTGGGAGGCACGGACCGGGAGTGACGATGTTGAGGCATGGCCGGTGATCCGCGGAGGAGGACGCGGCGGACTGGGCAGAGGAGCGGGACAGACAAGCGAGCGAGGCAGAAGAGGCAAGTGATGGACATGGGCATATGATATATTGAGAGGCCGCTAGCGTTTGGCCATTTGCACAAGATAGCTGGATGTGACGCTGTGTGGATCTGGGGCGCCGCCTTCAGGGGCTTGCTTGCTTTGCTCGTGGCGCTCGTGCAGGCTACCCCTGCCAAAACAAAGTGCTTGTCCCCAATTCCTGCCCTGCCCTGCTTCCGGACGAAACGAAACAATTCCCTTTTGGGACGGCTTGACGACGAGGGCCGCCTCGTGTCGTGTGGATTGTCCCGTCTCTGCGCAGGATTTGCTCGGAAAGGAGCCCGCCCAGCGTTGCAGTCGCCATGGGGAAATGGCCCAACTGCGTCGTCGTGCTGGCTCCCACAGGCCCGACTGCGATCCCTCAGGCTGCGCATCTCCGCGACCAACCTACGGTGGTTTGTAACACCGGATGGGCGGCCGTGCTGCGACTGGGAGGGGAGGGGAGGGAGGGGGCCTCGACAATGACGATTGACGCAAGACAGGGCCCCCCTCAGCTCAGGCCGAGCACCGAGAGAGCATGGCCTAATTAGCGTGGCATCCGCCGCCACCTCGAGGGAGCTAGTGCCAATGTGGCCCGGTCAAGGTTTACAGTCAGGGTTCTTCTGTTCGGCAGACACTGGACCCCCCCTGGTGCTGGTCCGCGAGGGTCGGCGAGCCAACAGACTGGCACCCTCATTAATATAATCATGTCGCCAGATGGGAGGCAATGACACGTCGTGGTCTTTACCAGGACCAACACGCAGCAGCTGGCATCCGGAGATGCGACGCTTCTTGCATTATTACTGCGACCTGCCAGGAATGAGTCGTCGCGACGGCCCAAGAGGCAGGCTCCACTGCCGGGCATGACGAAAGGAGCCCGTGAACCTTGGTGCTGTGCCGGTGGCGCCCACGCTGGGCCATAACGGGCAGGGATGTGCAACAAGGGGCACCCCCCTAGCCGGGCCGGTCGTTTCTTGGCTCTTCGTCCAGTCTTTTTCTCTGCCTGCCTGCAGCCAAAGTGCGTTGCGTCTTGTGTCGTTTCCATGCGACGGCCATGCACGCACGCTCGCACTTTCAGCCGCAAGACTTGTCGGGACCAGCTGGCTGGGAGGTCCGGTCCGAATAGTCAAGACCGATCCCACGGGCCCGGGGCACCGTTGCTGGCGGCTCAGCCGTGGCTGACGTTCCGTCAGAGACCACAGCAACAGAAGACCCCGTCTCTCTTGCCTCTTGCTTCTTCTCCGAAGAATCCAGACAGATAAGGCAGTTGATTCGATTTGATCAGTGCTCAAATCACCCGGCACTGCACTCTCCAGCAACTCGTGCTTGGCATTTTCCCAAACCAGCAGAGACGGACCTTTCCGCGCATTGCTGGCCCAAGCACCACCGCCAGCGGGGGCCAACCAACCAACAAACGTCATCCCGGGCCCTCGCGCAGAAACAAGACCTTATCGCGGCACTTACTTGCTTGATGCGACCTGTGCACGTCCGTCCACATGTCAGGCTGGCAGGATTGGGTCTGCAGCAGAGAGGCAGCACTCGGTTGAATTCAGAGGAGGAGGCAGCTAATATTCCCCTCAGAAGTCCAGGCCAACGCTTCCCTCCATCTGAGACCTGCATGCATACCCGTCCCCGTCTGAGACTCCTGCCATCATCATCCCCAAGACACAGAGGACCTCATGGTTGCGGGAATGGCGCAACGGGCACGACCTGTGCAGTGTCTGCTGCTGCTGTCTGCTCGTGGCGTCTGGCCATCTTGTCTCAGTCCGGCGACCGAAAGCCCCGACAGTGAGAACTCTTTCGCTCTGGTTTAGACTCGAGTTGCAGTGCTTAGCGGATCTGGCCCCGACACCTGTGACAGGCTAGATGCCTGCCTCATTCAGACTGGGCGGCGGGGGCACCTTTGCAAGTTCGCATGGGCAAAGCAGACGCAGTCGCGCTTGTGGCGCAGGTCGTGGCTGTCCGCTAGAACGGTGTTCTGTTCCAGTGGAAGCCGGCGATGCTGGCACGTTGGGATGTTGAACACAAGCATCATCGGCCATTGGGGGGGATTGTGCAAACGTGAACCTGCCACACGAGCCAGTGTTTACTCCTTGAACACAGAGGCGTGGTTTCTGCCTCGCATCCTTCGGCCCAGTCCCTCCATTTATCTCCGACTTGCCGCCCCATCTGCGACACATCAAAGACATCTCGGGAGCTTGTTCTCCTCGGCACGATCTGATCTGCGAGAGACTGAACCAGCCACGGCTTTGCCACGACGCTGCACGTGACGGGCCTCAGCTGACATATGCAGAAGACCATGGCTGGCTTACTCGGGACCAAAGGCTGTGTGGCGGGCGTTCACGGGGCGTGGTCGAGGATCTGACAGCTGGGAGGAGAGTTTGTTCCCAATCTGAGACGAGACCTGTGTCTTGAGGAATAGACTTTCGGGTAAACACTGCTCAATCACGGGGCGGGCTCCCGTGAGCATAGTCAGCCTCGTCTTTGTGTATCTGATCGCAATTCTGCTTTCTCATGCAATGAGAGGATGTCAAGAGTGCGCCGTTCCGAGGCGAGGGCATGCCGGGTAGACAGACACATCGCTATATCGTGAAGGCCCAACCTAGTTTTGATATCCAGCATCTGCTCGCTCTGTAGAAGACTCGCTGGATTTCGGTTACTTCAACCACGGCCCGCGAGATGCAGCGTGTGTTTGGACTGGAGTTCCTGGCCAATGATGGCGTCCGTGTACGTTAAAAGGCTGTGAATTTATTACTACAATGCATGGCGCCTTGCACCAGGGTATCATGTCTATAGCTCTATAATCTCGTCTCGTTGAACTCATTGCCCCCCAGAACACCCCAGTATCAGCCCATCAATAAAGACCACCGCAAAGAGAAATCACCGACCCAGCTCCTTGGCGAACAGACTCCTCGCCCGGATCCTCTCGCCAAACACGCAGAGCACCCACGGCACGAGACACAGGACCACCGCGATGCCGCCCAGCAGGCTCTCGCCGCCCGCGTAGCCCAGGCGGTCGTACATGGCGTCGGCGACGAGCGGCAGCACCCCGGCCAGGACGTTGCGGCACAGGCTCTGCGCGGCCTGCGCGGACGAGGCGAAGCGCCCGTACGCGTCGGCCAGGTAGTTGAACACGGCGAGGTAGATGATGAATATGCCCGTCACGGACAGGGCGATGGCGATGGTCGGGACGATGGGGTGGAAATCAGGTGTCTGGGCTGCTGATGCCTCTGATGAGGAGGAGGCGGTCGTCGTCCAGCCAAACATGAACAGCCCGGCGGGGAGGAGGATCGTGCCGAGGCAGGCAAAGTAGATTCTGGACTCGGGGCTCTTCTTGTTGTCGTGGCTCGTGTTTGGATCTTGCTTCTCCTCGTCGTGGGTTGTTCCGGCCGCCTCGTTGCGATGCGTCAACCACATCCTCGCTCTGCTCGCCACGTTCACGACCGCGACAGACCTCGCCATCTTGTCCTGCGCGATGCAGAGCCCACAGCCCAGCAGACACCCCGCGATGACGGCAATGTACGCCAGTCCGAGCTGCAGGTCGTCGAAGCCGTGCACGTCGCGGAAGACCCGCGGGATCGTGGCGAACTGCATGTAGAGGATGGCCCACGCGAACGAGACCCAGGCAGAGAAGCACGAGACGATGGGCTCGGTGACGAGGAGCTGCAGGGGGAAGCACAAGGACCGCCAGACCTGGGCGAGCAGGGACGGCGGTCTCGCCGAAGCCGAGGAGGACGATGACGGGTGTGGAACGCGGAACCGTGTACGCTTCTGTTGCTGAGACCTCCCCGGGGCCGGCACTCCAGAGCCCGCGTCGTTCAGCAGGTCGCGGTCGCAGACGACAGATCCGTCCTTCTCCAGCTCGTCAATGTGCTCGTTGAGCACCCGGCAGTTCCTCGCGAGCAGCACATTGGCCCTCGTCTCCTCAAACACGAGCGCGACCGCGACCGTGACCGCCGCGATGAGCATCATCTGGATATAGAATATCCATCTCCACGAGAGCAGCCGCCCGTCCTCCTCGTCAGGGACAGCGACAGCCGCCCTGGCCGCGATCGCCCCCGAGACCAGGGGCCCCACGCCGGTGCCCGCACACAGGCAGAGCGAATACAGGGCCATGGGCGTGGACCGCTCGGCCGCGCCGGGGAACAGGTCGCTGACGACGCCCGCGGTCAGCGTCGCAAAGACGCTCGCGCCGGCGCCCGTGATGAACCGGGCGACCAGCATCCCCGCGAACGAGGTCGTGACCGCGCACCCGGCCGTGCCGAGCAGGAACACGACGCCGCAAGACACGAAGATCCAGTACCGCCCGTAGATCTCGCTCAGCAGGGCGAGCACCACGGGCGCGAGGCCGAATCCCAGCACAAAGGTCGTGATGCCCGTGTTGTAGGCCGCGGGCGACAGGGACCAGGCCTGCTTGAGCGGGGTGCCGGCAAAGGCGTACGAGCCGGCCGCGTAGCCGGCCAGGAGGGCGGCGAGGCAGGGGAACACGAGGGCGCGGACCTTGCGGGCGAGGGGCCAGTCGGCCGGCGAGGCGTGCAGGTTGAGGCCGGGAAGTGTGCTGCTGCAGGACGTCTTGAGGATCTCGAGGGCGCGCTCCTGCACGGAGAAGTCGAGGTCGACGTATTCGAGCGCCCAGGTCTGGATCCGGGAGAGGGCCTGGTCCAGGTCGGCGCCGTGGTGGTGGTGGTGATGTTCATGCTCGCCGAGGCTCGTCCTGGGGCTCGTTGAGGCCGTCGATATGTGTTCCAGGGGCACTGGCTGTGCTTCGACGTCGGTGGGTGTCATTTTGATGCTGTTGGATGATGAATCTGCACCGTGACGCTGTTATCATATCACAGGGTACTGACGAACTCCGCCAAGCTGTCGGGACAGGGCGTAGTGTGCCCATGCGGCTCTGTGCTTCTTATTACTCCGTGACTGCTCAATGCCCAGAGGCACAGAACAGCATCGTGGCCAACTCCACAGACCAGTACCCATCTTGGCGAGCCAACACCGAGGAGTGGGCTCTGTGCCGCTGGAGAATGCTCCGCGGCCCATGTCGCCCTCCCTGATAAGTGGTTCTCCGCCGGCAGGTGGGCTGTCGATGGCACCACGCCCTGGGCCGGGTTTGTCCGGAGCACGGAGCACGCGGATCCAGAGAGTCGCCGTTCACTTGCGCGGCGTCTGGGAAAATCTCTTCGCCGTGCTTCGGGCTCAACTCGCTGCGGATTAAGGTTGAGGCTTGGGCAAAAACTACCGCTTCCCTCGTCCGAAACGCACGTCCATGCCGCAGAGCCTCAACCACGAGGATGCGGGCCCCTTGCGGCACGCTAATGCACACTGACATGATGCCGGTGCCCAATCAAGGATTCCCAGCCGGCGGGAAAAGAGAAAAAGGCCCACAGCAACACCTAGCTCCGGAAATCCCTCGGCATGGTGGGACCGTCTCTTCTGACTGTGGTGTCACCAATGACAAATATGTGGTGGAAGGTCTGCGAATTCCTGACTGCCGATGGAGACAGATGGATCATGCAACCTCTGCTGGGACCTGGAAACACTAAGAGCAAACCGGGCGAGATCTCCAACAGAGAGCCGCCTGGCAGTCACAAGGCACCTTGCAGACATCAGCGTCTCTACATGAGGCAGACAGTCAAAGCGAAGAACATTTATTTCGAAACTCGACTACGAAAAGACAACCCCGTGCAATAAAGCCATGTACAACGAAGAGATCCGCCCCGCCACCCTATCATTCTACCTCTGCATTCGGCCTACTTGCGGAACGCCTTCCAGATCTTCCGGAGCCGCTTCCTCTGGCCCTTGGTGAAGCCCGTGTAGCACGTGTCGTCCGAATAGTCCATAAAGTTTCGGATGTTGTCCACGCCGATCTTGCCGGGGCACGAGTCCTTGTTGACGGGGCAGCCGAAGCTGGGCGTCGACTGGATGGGCGTGTCCTTGACGTAGTCGTTGCGGCCGGTGCACGAGGCGCCCTCGAACGGGTGCATCAGGCCGAACCAGTGGCCCGCCTCGTGCACGGCCGTGGCGCCGGCGTTGTACGGCCCGCCCGGCGAGCCTCCGGGCATCGTCCACGACACGAGCCGGCACCCGTCGACGATGAAGTTGTTGCTGCCGGGCAGCGGCTTGGGCGTGACGGGGAAGTAGCAGTAGCCGAGCAGGTTGTCGGGCAGCGAGGCGAGGAAGTACATGTTGAGCGCGTTGTACCCGCCCTTGCGCAGCTTCACGCCCATGCCGTGCTCGTCCTCGCCCGCCGCCCACGTCGTGTTGATGGTCCACTCGGCGCCCTTGTAGTCAAAGAAGACGCCCTGCGGGTTGTACGCGTCGCTCATGGCCTTGAGCTGCGCGTTGACGAGGGACTGCGGCACGTAGCCGTCCGCGGCGCTGTCCGAGGCCGCAATGATGTGGAAGTACAGGGGCACCGTGATGTTGCGGTTCGGCGCTGCGGCCTGCGCGGTCAGGTCGTCCGCCTCGGCCGCTTCTTGGGCGCTCATCTTGTCCGAGATGGCGATGAAGGCCGCGCCTGCTTTGGCGCCGCAGGACCGCTGGGGGGATGAGGCCGCGCGACCGATAAAGTCGGCGTCTTCGCCGATGGCTGCGGCGGCAGCCAGCGTGAGGAGAGGGAGGAGCCTAAAGAGCATGGTGGCGGTGGGAGCTGATGAGCTGATGGCGAGGAAGAGGCTTGATCACTGTGAAGAGTCAAGACTGCGCCTCTGGATGTCGATCAAGATTTCGGGATCATAGACGACGGCGAGTGCCCCTTCTTTATACGTTGTTGAGCCCAGCGGATGGCGTTCCAGGCGCGCGGCGCGCACCGTTAGCTTGGGGAAGCCAAGCAGCGCGCTGCAGCTGACATGAGATAGAGTTGCGCCCATCGGGGCCTCGATCTGTTCGGTCCGGGCCCGAGAGGCAGTTGCAAAAGATGCACGAGACCATCATACAAAGACTGCCGCAGCTTCAGCTGCAGCCGCAGAGAGTGCTGGTGGATTGGACGGCGGTTTGAAGAGCCTGCTGTATCAGTAAACCCTCAGCGACAACTACACCGGGCAAGGTTCAACGAGGCGCGCCGGGCCTCGCCTAGCAGATGGTAGCCGAGGGAGCGAGGCCCCAAGAGGGACCCGACCCGAGCGTGCTAGACAGATCTAGACAGCGCGAGGCGAGTTCTGGCCCAAAGGAGCGGGCGACGCTCGGCTGGCAAAAGTCTAAAGCCCAGCTTGGATATGCTGATTCGACAGTGTGCATGTGTCTAGCCTGCCGCTAAGAGTGCGGGTATGCAGGGCGGCTGCCGAACCTTATGCATCGTTGACATGCTCTAGGGGCAAAGTCTTGACAGGCGGCAGGTAACCAGTAAACTGCTCTGCAAAGTCCAGGCAGGCCAAGAGTGTCCAGGCGAGCCTAAATGCCAACGCTCCTCAGCTGCAGTACCATGCTCGCGGGGACGGCCCCGTCCAGGACTAGTATACTCTGTATCACTGCACATTCCGAGTCATTATGAGACAAGGCTTGTGCCCAGCCCTAGGCATGCGGCTGGAGACGGTACCAAGGCAGAGCACGAGGCACCCGTCACCCCCGGATTTGCAGCTTGGACCACGCCACATCTACCCAGGCGTGCGTGCCATATTATGCCCTACCTTGGAGTACACCAGCCACGGGTCTCTGGCCTTTGTCTTCTGGCCCCACGGGCTCCGATACAAGGCGCCCCGTGCCATCCTGGCGTCCACTGGAGTGTCGAGACCATCCTTGCTGAAGTGGAGCAGCCATGATAATGATTAACACAAATGATGCTCCCAGCTCAGATACATTCGCACGACAGCCTCATGGGCTCAAAGCCTCCGCGGACTTTGAGCTGCCCTCGGAGCCGGACCTTGACCCGACCTCCGACTCCTCGCCTGCCTCCTCAGTCGGGCCGGACTTTGCTGATAATCCCAACCTTTTGGACGCCAAATAAGACGTGCGCGAGTCGCTCGCTGCCCTGAAGTGGCATCTGCAACACCCTCGCGCGGATCGTGGGGGGTTTCGAAGTGCCGAGACCCCTGTTGTAATGCGGCTCGAGTCAGGTCGTGATTTCATGTCTGCAGGGGAATGAGCACCAGGGTTCTCGCCGCATGATAAGGACGGCGCATTCACCAGTGCAGCTCGAGATCGTGGGCAGCGATGATTTCAAATCAATGGCCATGGCAATCGAGGTCACGCTTCAAATTGTGCAGCCCATGCCCGGGCTTTTTGTCACTGAGACAGGATGGGCCCCCGGCCGCCCCCCTTGTCAGCGTGTCTGCTCTATCGAGTATCGTATCAACAAAAGCCGCCCGCCGCATGGCTTGGCGTCTGACGCAGCATCGCTGTGACGTCGCCTGTTGGCAGGGTTCTTGGTGGGGGGACACCACGTTACGCCACATAGCCACGCAGCCATCACAGCCGATTATCTGGTCTTTTTCATGTCCTCCACTCGAATGCCCACGCCCAGGTCCGGGGTACATAACTTTTGGCTCCAACGTTGGTCGCTTCCTCCCGTACTGGTGGCAGCACCCAGTCTTTATGAGGGACTGGTTAAACGCTAGCATTCAGGCCGCTGGGAATGGGTGGGCTGGACCCCTGGAAGCTGGGGGCCCGAATTCCGCATTCCCACAGCCTGCTTGCTTTTTACAGTGACCAAAAAGTGACCGAGGGGCACAGGATTCCTCCTCTTGGCCAAGCCCTGCAGTGAGCATAGTAAGCAACCCGCCCCCTCGACGTGCGCTGGCCCTCCAAGCCACGAAGAAGCACGCCGCCTGCACACGGAGCTTAACTAAAAGACCCGTTAACTGCACCACGAGACATTCTCGCGGCGTTGACAAAGAAGCACCTGTTGAACTTGAACCTTAAGTGGTTGGACTCCGCAAGAATATGCATTGGGGTTTCAGGTACCCGGCCGAGAGGACCCCTGGCCGACGGAGACGGTCACGCCTGCGGCATGCAACTCCAAACGGATATTATATAGCCACCAAGACCCATAGTATTGCGCCATGTTCACAATACGCGGCCCTGAGCCCGGCACATCGGGAAGACGAGGTGGGAACTAGCCACCCCAGGACCAGGCACCACCCGTCGCCTGATTTCTGTAACACAGCTGCATGTGAGACTCTATTACTGTCGACATCCTGATTGAGCCCTGATCGCTCTTGCGTGCTGACATCAGCCGCCACGGCCCCCAGACGGCGACCATATGACGCGCTGCCTCCCCCGATCCTCCCAAGCACAGGCTGTGACCATCGCTGCATACGCCGCACGCCGCTATTTCTTATTCAGTGGGCCGGCCTCTCTCGGGCAGTGCTCCTCATGGCCCACACGTTCACCGGCTCACCATCGTCCTCATCGAACGCATCAGTAGGAACTCTGAGCCCAACAAGTCCACACCATACATAACGGCCAACATCATGGCCTTCGACGCAACGATTGCCGGCGTGACGCTGGGCGGCAGCCTGCTGTCTGCCACTGCCTCCTTCTGCGTCCTCGCCTGTTTCGTCTTCTTCAACAAGAGCCAGCGCTCGTTCCGGCACGCCTTGGTGTTCAACCTGGCTCTGGCAGGTGAGGCCTGACCCGATTCCTCTTCATCAGAGGTCCTGGCATTCCGGAAGGGCTGACACTGGAGGCGCAACAGACTTTATCAATGCCACCGACAACAGCATATCGGGCATCATATACGTGCGCGACAAGCAGCTGTACCCGGGCCCCGCGTGCGCCTTCAACGGCTGGCTCGGCCAGCTGTCCGTCCAGGCCACCGACTTCTCGGTGCTGGCCATCAGCATCGCGACGCTCTTGGTCGTCACCCAGACGGGCCGTGTCGCCGAGGCATCCACTCTCGTAAAGGCCATCATGTGCCTGTCCGTCTGGATCATGCCCATCATCACGAGCACGACGGCGCTGGCGCTGGGCCAGATGGTGCCCGTCAGTGGTAACTGGGTATGTTTTGCCGTCAAGCATCGTCCAGGGGCCTGATTGCTAACGTCTGCGTTCGTCACACAGTGCTGGATCTCGGCGCAGCGCACCGACCTGCGATATGCCCTCGGCCACGGCTGGCGCTTCGCCATCATGTTCATCACCATCGTCACGTACACATACATCTGGATCTACATTACGCGGCACTTCAGCAGGCTGAGCGCCGTGTCCACGGGCCCGCCTTCCTCGGGCTCCTCGCTGGCCGCAAAGGCGGCATCGTGGCGGCACAAGAAGAGCCTCTCGTCGTCGCCGGCGTCAGAAAGCATCGAGCTGGACCAGAAACGCGGCTTCCAAGACAGCGAGGCTGGCACCTCGTCATCACAAGAACACCTGTACCAGTACGAGGGCCTCGAGCCTCAGCAGCAGCAGCAGCAGGGCATCACAGCCACCACGACAATCACAATCGGCCACGACGCCGCAGCAGGGGCGAGCCACCACCAAGCCTCGGCAGCCGCGGCGACGACAACGACATCGGGGACCGACGCGGTGAACCACGAGCTGTCGAACCAGTTCCGGGCGCGCTCGCAAAAGGTCGAGCGCGACATCAAAAAGATGCTGCTGCTCAACGGGTACCCGATCTGCTACGTGATCCTGTGGATCCCGGGCATCACGAACCGCATCATGGAGGCCTCGGGCAGCACCTCGAACAACCGGGCCCTGGCGATCCTGCAGGCGTCGACGCAGTTCATCGGGTTTGCGAATGCGGTCACGTACGGGCTGAATCAGCAGTGGCGTGGACGGTGAGGCGTGTTTACTCGTCGATTTATTTGCTAGCAACCAATTGATTTTCTTATCCAAATGCCGGCTACTCATTGTGACAAACTCCTGTCAGTGAACACAGTCCGTCACTTCCTCCGCAACACTGCAAGCAGGTGATCTGCGCCGCCGAGATGCCTCTCCTGCTCAGAGTACTGCTCGAACATGAGGTCTGCCCAAGCCTGGACCACTTCGGGCTCTGCGCCGACCAGGCTCCTGTCGAGCCCGCCGCCCAGGATCCCCTCGGTCGAGCGCAGGCCGACGAGGTCGGCGGCCGCGGCAAAGTGCCGCTGGAGGAAGTCCCGGGCGTCGCTGCTGTTCGTGTGGAAGGACTGTGACGTCGTCCCGAGCGTGCTGTTGTGTCTTGCATAACGGCCATTTTGTAGCTAACGGCTTGTCAGTATACGCATCCTTTCAGAGTGGGCCGGCCCCCTTTGAGACCATACATAGGCGGCGTAAAACTCCCTCTGCTCGACCAGCCGCTGGGGCTCCCGCACGGCAAGATCCCGCAGGTGCGCCTCGACGCTGACAAAGGCGCAGAAGACGAGCCCGCCGTCGGGCCTCGCGAGGTTTAGCGCGTTGCGCACCGCGGCGACCCGCTCCGCCTCCTCCAGGAGATGGTACAGCGGCCCGAGGAGGAGCACTGCATCGTAGGAGCCCGCCGCCAGGGGCAGGTTCTGGTCCAGCGCGTCCCCCACGCCGATGCTCGCGAGCAGGGCCTGGTGTTCATCACCCTGGGTATTGGCGCGGCGATTGTCCTGTTCTTGACGAGCTAAGTCGATCAGGCCGGGGCTGAGGTCGACGAGGTCGACGTGGTGGCCCTCATCCGCCAACGCAAAGGCCAGTTTCCCCGGCCCGCCGCCAACGTCTGCGATGCGTTTCTGCTGGTTTCTCGAGTCAGCAGCGGACCCGAAGCCGGAAAGGTGGTGCCGAATGGCGCGCAGGGTAATCTCGCGCTCCATTGGGTGAGTCGCCAATCGCGTGTTCTCCGACTCGGCAATCTTGCCGTACAACTCGGCCACGGCTGCGCGTGATGTCGACATTTTACACGATTTGGCCACGGGGTCCTGGCTTGCAGAGTCTTGTGGGGTGCGTGAATTTTCATCGGCGTGTGGACGACCAGATCGACAGTTGTGCTTTGACAAACGTAGCTAAATAGTGAGGCATTAATCGCGCAACGGGACCTGATCACATGATCTTGCCATAGCGAGACCTCCCTTGCGGCTGCGCACTTACTTTTAGGATCCTATAATTCATCTTCGTTGCTCAGACTGTCGGAAAAGGTCAAATACGTGCTCAAAGACTTCATACATGCCAGAATCAACACACGATGACCAGGGCCAGACGCAGGCAACATGTCGATTGATTCCATTATCATCACTATATAATCCAGCCGAAAAGGCCCACCATATCCCTACTCATAGCTCAGCCCGTGGCCGAACCTGAAGACGGGATCCTTCGTATCAAACGGCACGTCCTCCATCGACTCCTCGACCGCCTGCTGGCTCCGGGGCAGGTCGAACGGCAGCTTCCCCTCGGGCCGGCTGGCGCCAAACACGACGTCCAGGAACGCGTCGGGCCCGCTGCCGTAGCTGCCCAGCACGGCGGCCGCCTGCTCAAACACCTCGGGGATCGCGACCGCGCGGCTGAAGGTGATGTCCACGACGGACGGCACGGCGGCGTAGATCTCGGCCTGCCGCGCCTTCTCCTCGGCCGTGAACTCGAGGCTGCCGCTGGGGAAGGAAGACTCGAAGCCGCCCGGGCGCGGGTACGAGGGGGCGTGGAAGCGGAGCAGCGCGACGTCGGCCTCCGCGGGGGTCTCGACGACCGTGAGGCCCCGGCTGGCCATGTACGTCGCGTTGAAGCCCTCGATGTAGAACTTTGTGGTGGTGGTCGGGGTTTTGAGCGGCAGGATGGCGTCGTTGTTGGTCAGCAGCGTGTAGGACCGGCGCTGGGCCTCCCTGCCGAGCTTGACAAAGGCCTCCTGGCCGACGAGCTCGTTGGCCGCGGCGACGTCGACGTAGGGGTTGTCAAAGATGCCCAGGATGAACTTCTCGCGCATGAGCTTGCGCACCGAGACGTCGACGCGATCCTCCGAGAGCAGGCCCTGGGCCATGGCCTCGAGCACAATGTCAACGCGGTGCTCGCCGCCGAGCTGGTCGCACCCGGCGTCAAAGACGGCCGCGCACCGCTCGACCTCGGACTTGTCCTCGAGCCCCCACGCGCGGGCGGGCATCTCCTGGCCGCGGATGATGGCGTCGGTGAGCAGGCCCCAGTCGGTGACCACAATGCCGTCGAAGCCGAGCTGTCCCCGCAGGAGGCCCGTGATGACGGGCTTGTTGAAGCCGAACGCGACGGGCGGGATGCCCAGGTCCTCGAGCAGCCCGATGGGCCGCGAGTACGCGGGCATCATCTGCCGGGCGCCCGCGGCGACGGCCGCCTTGAACGGGATGAGGTGGTAGTCGAGCTGCCCGCCGGGGTATGTGTTGTTCTTGCCGTAAACAAAGTGCGAGTCCTCGCCGTCCTCTGCAGGGCCGCCGCCGGGGAAGTGCTTGGTGACGGTCGTGATGCTGTGCGTGCCAAACGTCCTGGCCTCGTCGCCCTCGGGCGTCGGGCCCCCGAGCTGCAGGCCCCGGATGTACGCCGCGATCAGCTCGGCCGTGAGCTCGGCGTCCTCGCCCCAGGTGCCCGAGGTGCGGGCCCAGCGGTACTCGGTGGACACGTCGACCTGCGGGTGCAGCGCCGCCTTGAAGCCGACGGCGAGGTACTCCTGGCGGACCACGTCGGCAAACTGCCGGACGAGCGAGGCGTCACGCAGCGCGGCGAGGCCCAGCGTCTCGGGCCACTGCGAGAAGCTGCCGGCCGCGAAGCCCGTGCCGACGTTCTCGGTGAACGCGTGGCGCGGGTCCGTCGACAGGGTGATGGGGATGCCGAGGCGGCTGTTGTCGAGGGCCAGCTTCTGGATCGAGTTGACCAGCGCGGCCGTCTCGGTCGCATTGGTCACGTCGCCGACCAGGTTGAAGTGCGTCATCTTCTTGTTGACAACCATGTCAAACGTGCTGTTGCGCGTGGCGTCGCTCTCGTTGAAGGGGCCGGGAAAGATCATGTGGTGGTACAGCTGCCCGACCTTTTCCTCGCGGGTCAGCCGGCTCACGAGGTCGTCGACGCGCTCGTCCACCGAGTACGAGGGGTCCTTGTAGATGGGCATTGCGGGCGTGGGAGGAGGGTGGCTGCCGCAGCCACGAGCCTGGCGGACGGCGTCGAAAGGTGCGGTGGGGGAGGCAGTGGTCGTCGTGGCCAGCAGGTAGACTGCGAGGGTCGCCACGGTGCGGAGAGGTCCCAGCTGCATTGTGAGGCGCTGTTTTTAGAGTTTCTCGGAGTAGAGTCCGGTCCTGAGACAGTATAGGCACTTCACACCGGGCAGGTTCACGATAGTATAGAGAGCGCGCACACTCGGAATTTATATCCTGGCCCAGACTCCAGCCGGCCCCTGACGAAGAATTTCGTCACGAGTCACTTCTGAGCCGGACACCAGCAAATCTCGACTCGGGACCACACGGCAGTTGGCTGCCTCGACCCGTGTAGAACGCCCGAGGGCAAGTGCCGGCTCTTGCAGGGTCGTTGCAGACGCCAAGACATTTACAAAAGTCACAAGCCAAGGTTTTCCTAATTGCTCCTCGCTCGGAGATGACATTGCGGATAATCCACGGCAAGCCAGAGGTCTCCGTTGCGTGGGGTCAAGGCAGGAATGTCCAATCATGGCGGGAAGAGCGCGAAGCGTGGAGTAGATGCATGTACCCCAGTGTCTGTCTCTTGCCCATGTCACAGCGATGGCAGGCTAGATCGTGGGGAAGAGTAGCGAGAGACGTGACACATGGAGTCGGTGGGCATTCGGTCCGACTGAGGAGTAGTAGCTTCTTGGCATCGTGTTGGCTGCTGGCCGGTCGGGGGCAAGGCTGGCGATCCCCACGATTCCCAGGGGAAAACGCCCCTGCCGTCTCCAGATCCCCTCCACTATTTTGCAGAGGTGGAGACTTGGAGAATCCTGGTCTATGGCCGTGTTGGCAGCATGGAGCCGGAGCATGTGGAGGAGGACCGGATGAAAAGAGGGGAAAGAGGAGCGAGCAAGAGCCAGGTTTTTGTCTTGCAGGTGACCACGCGCTGCCGGCATGCTTCTGCTCAGAAGTGGGCACTTCCGGCTATTGCCACTATTCAAGACAATGGGCCGCCCTCCGTGTCCAGGGCAAAGACGTAATGGGCCCCTGTTTGTCATGACCGACGGGCCGGGCGAAAACGGCCCGGAGAAGAGGCTGGCAGAAAGTTGTTCCGTCGGGCACGCGCCTAGGAGAAGTTTTCACGAGGACGAGACGATGCATTCGGTCAGAATGGGAGTGGGACACGGTTAGCAGGACGCGCTTGCTCCCTGTTGACCCGCCGGTGCTGTCGCCTATTTGCCTGCCGAAAAATATCGTAGTGGAATGCACAAGCTTGCTAGGGGGTCAGAGCCGGTGCATCCAAAGTAGATAGGGCGTGGCTTTACGGGAATTGGCCCTTGGGCGAGACAGACCGTCCAGGCAAAATATCATCGACGATTGAGCCCCGCACGCGTATTGAACGATGGGGGCGCAAAAAGCTACGGTGTTTGCTGGTGGGCTCTGGAGCAGATAGACTATAGAGTCAACGCGGAAAATACAAAAAGCAAGAAATCCACAAAAAGAAAATACCACCTGTAGCAGATGTTTTTCAAGAACTTGAATGTCCTCGGTGAGGCTCGAACTCACGACCTTTGGATGTCCCAACCTGAGATTGGGTCACAGACTATATGAGACCAACGCTCTAACCAACTGAGCCACGAAGACAATTGGTGGGTTTTGATTGATGTCTCGGATGTGGCTTAGCAGGCCTCTTATTCACGTGACAGCGCGTAACTTGGCATCTCCCACACATTGGTCCTCATCACTCACTTCGAACACAGACTAAGCTAACAGGACCACGAGCTTGATGTGGCTCTCGGCAACTTGACAGTGGCTCCTGTGAGCATTTTCAATAATTATTTGGAATTGAGTTGGCAGCACTAGAGACGTATTCGTGAATTCCCCTGGAATAGGTGTTCCCCTCGTCACTTGAATGGGCAAGACAAAGTAGACTCCAGGCACAATGGAGCTCAAAAGAGTTGCTCAGACTACTCTGAGAGTTGACTGACGACCTGATTAACCATTGAGCACGTCAGTCCTTCGATACTTTTGCCCCCAGCGAGAAATTAGCGACCCGTTCCTTAGATATGAAATAGTTAGGAGGGTGTCCTCCAGCCCCGATACGAGGGTAGTGTCGCGTTCTCTATTTTTAATATGCACTAGTATTATACCGTGGTCGCGCTCCGAGGGGTGGAGAGAGAAATAGCGGGTGCTCCGCGAATTGAGAAATATGGCACAACTTGTCAACCACATGAGCCGTCCCGTATCGCGCTGGACAAAAGTCGCATGTACCGATCCTCTACACCCTAGCATGGCCCAAGTCTTGAAATGTTGTCCAAGCAGAATCAGATCGTACATGACTCTGACGAGACGTGCAAGCAGAAAGGTTTTCTGAAATGATCGATTCATTAATTCAGAATCCTATCTTTGTTTTTAAAATTAATCACAGAAAAAGTACGACATACTATTTTCAGCCTTTAGAATTTAGGACTAGCTATAACGACCTGATACGCTTCGCCACCGCCAAGGGTTTTGATAATGCAAAGAGAACAGCACCAAGTATAATATAATACGACCATCGGAGATCCAACCGTGACTTTGTATGAGTCAGAAAATAACATAAGCACCCGTGCTTCCAACCGACCAATCAGAGAACGATTGGATCAATGGCTCGGTTAGCTCAGTTGGTTAGAGCGTCGTACTAATATTTCGCCCTCCCAAGGACGATATATACAGTAATGCGAAGGTCATGAGTTCAACCCTCATACTGAGCATATTCACATGGCCTTAAACGGGCTCTGTGTTGTTCTCTTTTTGCCGTTTATACCTCTGGTCGTTTGTGGCGAGTTTATTTTGTCCCTGTAACAAGGCGATCGCTGTTCCGTAAATGTAGATAGCCGGGACGTAAACCCAGGAGAAGTTATTGCTTATGTCAGATGCTCCGTGGGGCAAGCGGATGACATCTCACCTCCCGCTCAGCAATCTAGAAGACACCCTCCCAAAGCTGTCCAACCTCATCAGCATTTCAAACTGCCCACAAGCCACTACCACGCATCGTCCACGTATACGCCGCCCAGACACACCATGGCAGACCAACGCACTGCCCAGGACGTCATCGAGGAGCTCGCCCTCAAGCCCCACCCGGAAAAGGGCTTCTTCATCGAGACCTTCCGCGACACCGCCACCACCTCGGCGACGTCCTCTCGCCCGCAGAGCACCCAGATCTACTACCTGCTCGCCGGCGACGAGGGCGTCTCGCACTGGCACCGCGTGCTCGACGCCGTCGAGGTGTGGCACTTCTACGACGGCGCACCGCTGCGGCTCTCGCTGAGCTGGGACGACGGCAAGCCCGTCCGGGACGTCGTTCTGGGCCGCGACCTGTGGAAGGGGGAGAGGCCGCAGGTCATTGTGCAGCGTGGGGAGTGGCAGCATGCGCGGAGCCTCGGGGAGTGGACGCTCGTCGGGTGCACGGTCGCACCGGGGTTTGTGGAGGAGGCCTTTGACATGGCGGAGCCTGGCTGGGAGCCCAAGGGCAGTGATGGCAAGGCATGAGTTCATGGATGTCTTGAGCAAAGGAGAAACGTGCAGAGAACACTGATATGCCATTACTGGAAGGGGAATCCACGGATGGAAATCTGCTACACAATAGACACCCTCTCGAAACTGAGTTTCTCCCAGTCCTGAGCCCCGTACATCAAGCCGTCGACGTAGACTTCGCCGACCAGTATCCACGGCTGTTCTCCAGAAGTCCTGATTCTGGCGAGCTTCGCCTCAATGCCAGAGATCTCCTTCTCGACGGCTGAGACGAGGCTAGCCTCCCGGCTGCCACCATTCTTTATCCGCAGGTCGCCCAGGTTCTTCCTCAGCTCCACCAGCTTCCTCCGCCATACCTCACCCGCCCTCGTAAACACATACGGCACCCTGCCGCCCTGGACCAGCATGATTCGATCTCCCGCCCTCGCCCACGCCGGGGCGAGAGCCAGGTTGCCCTCGACAGTGGTATACACACAGCGCCACGGCAGCACGGCCTCCTGCGCGCTGCGGTACTTCTCCAGCATGGCCCGGTCGTCGAGCTGCCTGCGCTCCTGGGTGCCTGGCCTCGGCGGGAGCGGCGGGCTCTTGGGACCCAAGGATATCTTGTCGATGCTCAGGTTGCTCCTGCTATTGCTGTGGTTCGACCATAACCTCGGCGTCAGAGGGCGCCGATGGGGCTTTCCGGGGGACTCTGCAGGCCGTTGGGTGGCCCCAGCATCCGCGGCGCCTGCGAAGGGCAGCTCAGGCCAAGGCTGGCCGGGAAAGGCGGCCTGCAGCGCTGCGTACGACCCTTGCAGCCGCGCCGAGATGTCCCGGATCATGGCCGGGTTGTCCTTGGCCGCGGCCTCGGCGTCGCGCAGCTGTCCGATCTCCTCGAGGACCATCGCGTCAATGTGCTGGCAGAACCCGACCATGCGGGCGCTGTCCATGCGGTGGGCCTTGTCCTCGCCGGTGTCCTCGGCGTCGTCAGGCGAGGACAAGTCGGTACCGTCCCAGAGGCCAGCCGTCAGAGTCTTGGCCAGTGCGACGAGGAAGTCGTTGCTTCTGCTGGTGTTGCTGCCATCAAGATACCCGTCCTCCATGTCGACACTGCCCTGCATCGCCCGCACAACTTCCGCCCTCTGCCTGGGGTTCAGATCCCGCCCCTGGAACTCGCGCCTCATGCGCAGCACGTCCTCGAGGAACCCGATCGGCGAGTCGAGGCCGTACGGGCTGGACTTGTCGTACCTGCGGCGACCCGTGATTGTGCGTTCCTGGACCACATCAACGACGGCGGCATGCATGTACAGCGTGGTGCCGTCGGCCGATATGCGCGGCCGCGTGTCGACACTGCTCACGCCGTACGGGATGCTCGCACAGTATCCCACGCCTCCGAGGTGGATCAGCGAGGGCAGGACGTCCGACTCCCAGGACCCCGGGGCGGGGACCCAGGACGGCAGGGTCGCCGAGATGTGCTGCGCGAAGCTCGTGTCCGCGGCGGGGGCGTTGAGGGCGACGTCGGCGTGGAAGATGGACTGTCCCGCCTCAAAGGACTGGCCGGGATACCTGGACGCCACGGACAGCAAGGTGGTCGAGCCGGGGCGGGAGAGCAGGCACGCCGCCAGGTTGAAGAAGACCTCGGGTGCCTCGGCGGAGTAGTCTGCCGTCAGACACGGCCACAGCTTTGCTCCTGCGGTCCCCTGTCCTGGTTGCTGCGTCTCGAGCAGGACGAGGTCCCTCGAGATCTGCAGCGACGAGTCCAGCATCATGTACAGCCCGCCGTACACCATGTCCCTCGCGTCCGAGGCCTGCCTGCCCCTCGACATCTCCAGCCACTCCTCCACGGTGATCTTCCTGCCCTCCCGCAGGAGCCGCTCCCGCAGCTCGAGGGACAGCGGCAGGTGCTTGATGTGCGTGCCCGGGTTGACCGCCTTCATCGCGTCGAACCGGTACACAATGTCCCAGTACTCCCTATCCATCACCTTGGCGATCCAGCCGTACGCGTCCCGCAGCGTGCGCTCGCGGAACTCGAACGCATCGCCGAGCAGGAACGCGACGTCGGTCGCGAGGCAGAGCTCCTGGACCACCCACAGCCTGCTGAACCAGCGCCGCGTGAGCAGCATGATGGCCGCCGACACAAGCCCGTACAGCCCGGCGTCGGTGACGGGGTTGCGCAGCGCGAGACGCCGGCGCAGGGCCGTCGCGTCGGGGAGCTGGGCAGGCGGCGTGGTCAGCAGCCGCTTGAGGCCAGGGGACAGCAGGGACGGGTACGTCCCGACCCAGACGGATACGTGGCGGGCGCTCGAGTAGATCCTGCCCATCATCTGGACCTGGGCGCCGCGCTCGACGGGGTCGTTCTGGTTGATGCAGATGGCGTCGATCCAGTACCTCGACACGGGGGGCTGCTGCTGCTGCTCTTCCTTGCGGCGAGGTCTGCGCAGGCGAGAGAGGGCATCGTGCAGGTTCGGGAGTACGGCAAACGGGTGGCCGTCGATGATGACTGTGCGCTTGGCCTGGACGCACTTGTCACGGATCGTGTCGACAAAGCCTAAGCTGTCGGCATCTGCCCCGTCGCGGTTCGGCACTCCGCCTGGGCGGGAGCCGATGAGGTTGTTCCACAGGTCAAAGACCGTATTCTTTACCTTGCCGTTGATCGTGTCGACCAGGAAGTAGGGCAGGGCATAGTCGATCTCCCACGTGTAGGACAGGGCTGTGTACGTGGGATCGTCTTCGAGGTCCACGATGTGGAGGGAGCAGTGTATCTCGGAAGAGTCGCCGGGCTCGATGCGAAGCAGGCGGACGCTCGTATCGTTGGGCAGTGGCTGGTATGGGAAGTCGGTCTTGCCTGGGGAGGTCTTTGAACACAAGAAGGCATTAGCTGGAAAGTTGGCCGAACGAAGCGAAACGGCTGGCCCCTTACCTTGAGGAACTTGTCTGGTCGGACGACATAGTTTCCGAACCTGCTCGTCGCCTTGTAGAATCGTCCGCGGTCCTTGGTCGGGCGGTTCTCCGGCGAGAGCTTCTCGTCCATGCCTAAACTTGAGGCGGAGGCTGCTGCGTCATTCTTTGCTGGCGCCATCTTAGGCTAGCTCGGGGTGCTCTCAGGCTTGAGGGGGCACGCCAGCCGCATGGCCTGCTTGTTATCTTCTTATACGGGTGGATGGTGTGCTGCAGGATTGCTGCCAAGACGAGCGCTGTCAGCTCATAGCCTTACCCGGTGGCCCCCAGAACCCCAATCGGGAAAGGTTTTTGCGAGCGCCCGACAAGGGTTATTGCTGGCATGTGCACCGGGGCAGCGTCGACGGCAATGTCGTCACACGGCTGCGTGATGTCATGCTTACTTGCTTGGCAGCGCCTTCGGACCAGTGGTCGATATAGAAGCCTATGACCAACGAATGGCGGTTGTGGTCGGTCGGGTACCCTGCCCGTATGGGTTGCGGGCTGAGTAGGCGATACAAGCGGCTGATCTGTCTTTCTCTGTTGACCGGTGGAGCAGGGAATAGCCGGTGCTACCGGTGAACTCCAGAGCCGGGCACCACAATGAGTACTCACGTTCCGTCTCTTCCTTTTCTCGCCAAGATGGTGGCCTTGACACCCTCAAGGGGGGCGGCTGGGCTTCCAACATATCATGCGCATCAAGTCTCGTCTATTTTGAGAGTTATGATGTCTCCCCTTGAGTTGTCGACGACGCGCAAACTATGGTAATTGTATATCAATGGGCATAGATCCCTAAACGAGTGACGGTTTGTATTGTATGCTGCTAAGCTATTGAACGAATGTGGAGACGGCAGAGCTCTTTGAAGATCGCCGGGTCGTCAAGACTTTGAACTCTCCACGCGAAAAACGAGCCAAAACCAATTCCCAAGTGCGGGACCTCCGCTTGCAATGAGGGATGGGACACCCCGGGCTGATTCCCCACGAGGCTGCGTGAGAGAAGACGTTTGGATGAACAACTCAGATATCAAGGCCGATGTGCCACCGGTGTACTACTAGACCACCGGGGCCGGAGGGGCTGGGACCTCGCTCGGAGCCGGAGGTGGAGTCCCATCTGCCGGCGGGGGAGGTGGAGGAGGAACACCGCTCGGTGGGGGCGGCGGAGGAGTGCCGGAAGGCGGAGGAGGAGGAGGTGGAGCACCACCCGGGGGAGGAGGTGGCGGCGGCGGAACACTGCCTGGAGGAGGAGGAGGAGGGGGCGCGCCTCCTGGAGGACCAGGCGGCGGCGGCGGCGGCGGCGGAGCACCTCCCGGTGGAGGAGGAGGAGGAGGAGGAGGAGGAACTCCCCCTGGGGGAGGCGGAGGAGGAGGGACGGTCTGTGGTGCTCTCTGGTCGAGCGGATGTGCGCTCGCGCCGTTGAGGAGCAGCAGGGCCGCAAGCAAGGCGTTGTTGAAGCGGACCATGTCTGAGGGCAGTCTCGCAAAATGTGCAGTGTGTTGTTCGTTTGAAAGAAGAAGTAGTGTGCTGTCTTGATGAAAGGGGATGTTTCTTTGGTGTTGCAAGTGATGGTCCATGTGAGGAATCGCCAGCATTTATATATCTTTTGGACTGCTGTATGGAACCGCCTTTGCTGTCACGGATTGCTTTTGTCCCGGAAACTGTGTCACTCTCCTGTTTGAGGCTCGATTGCGATGGCTCATCTTCGCCAAGGCCGCGATGATGGCGACATACGTAGTCGACGAGAGGACTAATGTTCTTGGCGTGTAGAAGGTCCTGCCATAGCCACTGAGTAACGACACGGCGCTGACGCGCCCTGTTGCCCAACTTGCTCGTCATTGTTCGACAAAGTCTTGGCGGTACCATTACCGTGATTTATCTCGGTAGAGCTTGAGCCAGTTGACGGCCTGTTTTGCCAGACACAATGGTTCCCTGTCCGATTTGCGTTGATGAAACAACTCTAAAACCTAATCGTTGCGGAGCCCGGGGTGTAGTGGCTAGGTGTCAGGGATCACAGGTGGCAGTGCTTGTTCTCGAAGCTTATACGGCATCCGCTCTGCCGAGTGCTAGCCGGAGCAGGGATCCAGGCACGACACACTCACTAGTTGGCCCCGTGGTAAGCCATCGTCGATAAGGTTTGCGGGGCCATCAAGTCCTGGGGCGCCGCCATGCTCCTCGATCGCGCTCATTCGGTGGACGCATCCTTTAGGCATTTCTCCGCTCAACGCATCCAGCCATACACACTGTAGAGACCGCGTGGCGGCAACCCTCAATCTGAGTCCCCATTTGACAAGTCTTTTGCTCTGTGTGAACTTAATTAATATATTTGATGCCCGTTGGCCCCTGTCGGGTGAGCCATCATCGCCATCCGGGTTGCCCTGATGCTGGCTTGCGCAACCAGTAATAATGATCGCTGTCCACGTCACTCTCCATGCCCCGTCCATACAAGGATGGAATGGTATTTGGCACTAGTCCGGGTCTCACGGTATTTCAGGCTTCCTTAGGCTGTAGATCACGACCTCCAAATGATCCCTGATCAGCTGAACCCACCAGAATAGAAAGCAATGACAACTCCGAGTCCCGCTCTCTTTGATTTATGGATCCTGCAGTGGGCGCTGCTGGTGAGTCTCGACCACGCCAGCAAGCTAAACAAGGTCGGTCCGGGATGCTCACGTTCGCATGCTCATCGAAATGCGCGTAGTCTTGTCCTGGCGCTCTCTGTGTGGCACGAAACTCAGATTACTTGTCCATAACCGCCGCTTCCTGACAACGGGGCAGATTGGAGGCAACTAAGCAGGTCCTGTCCCGTGGGCAGGTCCGCAGGCGCTCCTTCGGTCGTCTAGATGAAACGTTTGCTTGCCCGAGGCCATTGTACTCTGGTAGTCTTCATGAGAGCTTTGCAATGGTGCCACGGTACTCTATGATGATGCCGGACGAGACGCAGGCTTTGGAGCCAAAACTTGAAAGACAATGATGCTGACAAGTCCTGTCGTTCAATCGACATGACGTCAATACCCAGGTTGGAGGGCGCGGCAGAGGACTACTTCAATGGAATGACCACATCCTAGAGGGTACGATCTCATTTTGCACCCCTCGTGGCAGGCGAGGAGCACTGGAGAGCTGTGTGGGAGTGAAGGCATGATCCGAGCCTGCTGCGCTGCAGTCGCTGATGCCCGCGCTACGCTGATGTACGCAAGGAAGGCCTTGCAACAGAGAGAAATCGCCATGTGCCAGAGAGAGCTGGCTTGGCAATGAGATGCCAGCAACTCTCTGACTTTCGGCAAGAACACTGTCAGTCCATTTACTATCTGTGGCTGGAACACTTCTGCAGAACTGTCGTGGGAGTAGCTACGATGTTGACATGTCAAGACTACGGGCCTGCGCCACGATACCTAGGCCACGCATCCCTCGACGCGCGCTTTTGTTGATTGACCGGACAGAACTTGCACCATTGGAGTATGCACCAGCTCCAGACAGCAAGCTCCTGAAGCGACCTTGCCCCGTTCAATCGGGATAATTGGTTCGCCCAAGGCGCATCGAGCGGGCAAGAAAACTGTGTTCGTGGCGTACGTCCATTTTCGATCCGATAATGTACCGAAACAAGTGCTCAAGTGTCCGACACATCAGCCACTGTCTCTACGTGCGGCTTCAATCGTGATGGGGGGCAGCTGCAGGATAAATACGCAGATTTGGTGGTCGAACAGGGGTATATTCCAGGGGGCGGCCCCACGGTCCAACGTCTCTCCGGGTGGCGTTTCTTAGCTCCATGCTAAGCTCCCTTGGGCGTTGCTTGTCCCCGAGGAATCAATGCACCTGATGGCGTATCTGTGCCACCGCGGCCAGCCAGGCTAGATAGCCACGCGGACAAAGCGCCGGTGGCTTTAGGGGAAACGAGCGTCTACAGAATGCCGACCGCGTGCTATTATGGACTTTGTTGTGCTTCCCCATCGACCCCTGGATCTGTCGCCTGTGTCTGCACTTTAAATCCCCGCCCCGCTCCTTACTCCTCCCCCTGGGTCACCATTCTCCAATCCCATCCATTTCCTGCATCATCACCATCCCCCCTTGGCTGGAAACGCAAGGCTCGGCCTCACTCCAGCACCGACAATCTGGCTACTTCAAAGATCCTCACCGGCGCGGCCCTTATCCTCGTCCTTGGCGTCTCCGTCTCACAGCTATCGTCCACCATGGGTCCGACATTAAGCGTCTCGACCAAGATCGAGATCCAGGCCTCTCCAGCAGTCGTGCGCGCCGCGGTACGTCTTTCTCATCAATGTGCACCTCGGCCGATGCTGACAACCCTCTATACAGTTCATGAACTGGCCCCGCTACTCGCAATGGCACCCCAACCCAAATTGGAACCTGCAGGCCGCGGAGAAGGACAAACAACCGCTCGACCTCAAGGAAGGCGATGCGCTGAACGTCAGCATGGACGGCAAGGCCCACAGTCCCGTCGTCGTGGTGAGTCATGGCTCTCTTCGTGCAGCGTCTCGCAAAGCAAACCCAGAACTGACCAGATTGCCTCTATGATCTCGAACAGGAGAACTCCGCCGCAGCATTCAAATGGAAGGGCTCGCTGTTTGGCCTGGGCAGCGGCGTGCACCAGTTCCACTTCAAGCCAAGCGAGGAGAACCCTGGAGCCACGACCTTTGTGCAGGGCGAGGACTTTGAGGGCGTTGTAATCACGCTATCATCCCCGTGGTGGAAGGGACGGACCTTTGACATGAGTCCCTGGGACAAGTTCAACGCGTGCCTGAAGGCCGAGGCTGAGAAGAATGCCAGCGCGGCGAACTAAGCGGGTTGGTGCCTCTACAATGTAGTGCTCGACAGATGAATAATCTTGACTGCGCTCCCCACGATCAAGCACCTGGAATGCTTGCACCAGGCTTGCACATACGTGAATGTAGGAAACCCTGATCAGCGTCTGCCGATCAAGCCGGCTTGACCTTGACAGACTCTGGCGAGTCTCCCGCGACCAGCCTCCCATCAGGAAGCTTCACCTCGGTCTTGCGGACCGACCGCAGCACAAACAGATACGCTAGATCGCACAGAATACTGAACCCACTCATGAATATGGCCAACGGGCTCAGCCAGAACCCGTGCGCCTCCGGCCAGTACCACCACAGCAGGCCTGGAGCGAGCTGCATCCCAAACAAGGATCCAACGAAGCGGACGAACCTGGAGACGGCGAGGGAAGCGTCAGGGGCAGACCTCAAGACAAAAGACAGAGCCGAGGCACTACTCACCAGATCAGATATCCCGTCCCTCCCGAGTGCCCACGGGCAACCAACTGCGCGAGACTCGCCGCGCTGAAGACATCCTGGGCGAGACCGGCCGACCAGAAGCTCAGCTCGGTCGTGTCGAGTCCTTCGCGCCCTCTCCAGAACTTGCCGGCCTTGTTGACGCCGGCGCTCACGCCATACTTGCCCGCGACAACAGCACGGGCGACGAGACCCGGCCGGGCAAAGAACGTAAGCACAAAGGCCGCCTGCCCGACACATCCGACGAGGACCATGCCGTATAGCACCCAGCCCAGATGCCTCGCGACCCACCTCCCACCGCCAGTGCTCTCCCGCCAGTCGTCGCCGGCGTGCTTCAAGAGGCTGTACACGATCAGCCCGTCCAGCGCCAGCCACGTCGCGAAGCCGACCCGCTCGAGCAGCGTGTCCGCCACCACGAAGGCATAGGCAATCTCCCAGGAGACGTTGAGCGCCAGGCCGAGAAGCGGGACGCCGCTGGACTTGGTGGTGCGGCTGCGCAGGAACATGAGGATGTAGGTGATGTCCCAGCACACGACGCCCGCGCCAAGCAGGGCGGTCTGCACCGGGATGAGCCACGAGGGCGCGGTCGCGGGAGGGACATCCGAGGATCCCATTGTCGAGGGCGGGATGGTTGCTGGACTTTGGAAGCGAGGGTGGGCTGATCTTTGTACTGTATCCTAGGGTGAGCGCAGTCGAGGAGTCTGGAGTTGAGATGACCCAGGAGGTGCGCTGTGCCGTCTTTAAGAGATGACGTTCCTTACGAGAGAGGGGAGCCCCGATAGCCAAGGCTGAATTGAAACTTCTTGGAGGATATGGGCTCCTGGCAGGGGGTGAGCACCACCTCACTCTCGTACGGCTGACAGGATTGCCAAGGCAAGATTCGCACTCATGCCCCTGAGCCGGAAGTGTCGCCTTTTGTGGGTCGCCTCTCTCATGATTGAGCGAGGAGGTTCGTTCCGCCGTCAATATGCAGATACGGAGCTAGGCAGGGTTACGTCAGCACGAGCACACTATCGATCGATCCAGATCTTTGGGAAGGATCTGGGGACGTCGTGATGTGAGTATCAGATCGGACGACCAGCGAAATGATTGTCGAGCTACGCAGGTCGGTGTGGTGGTGGAATTGGTTTGGTTCTGCCATGATCGTAGTGCAATACAGAACTGCCACCCATCAAAACGCAGAGAGCATGACGATCCTTCACATTGACACTGTCGGGGTGTCTACAATCAACATGATGCAGAAATGATTTCCAGTGCGTGAAACGTCAAAAATAGTCGGGTATCGTGCCCTGGGCTGTGGTTACTGTTGAGTGACTGGAACTGTCTGCAGAGATGAACATCTTGAACCGCTGGGACGGCCAAGGAGAACCCTCAAGTATGGCCATGTTGTAATCATGGACACTGTCGACTTATTGGTTGCAGAACGAGGCCAGCACGACAAGCATCATCGTGACTTCATGACCAGAACGTCCAGATAATGACTCTTAGCCACAGAAATGTGCCGAGTGGCCTGCCGTTGCTGCCTCGTGAGATCTCGGAGTCTCTGCCCCAGTCAGCCGTTCAAGGCACGACAGTGACGAGTGGTGTTGTTCCATACACCTAACATTCCTCCGTGGCCTCGCTCAGCTCCAGCACAAGGTGATTGTCAGATGAGGCATGGACTGCCAGCGAGGCATTAAACAATGCCAGCCAGATGTGGTACGGAGACCATATAAGACACGCACGCGGCCGCGCTTTGCAGCCAGAGATGGGACAGATATTACACCCTCTAAGAAAGATCCATTGATACCGTCGACGTCTTTGGCAACAAGCCCTCTACCTTCCCACCGCCGACAACCAAAGACCAACATCAATCAGCAAGCAACACACCACGAAAACGGCCATGTGCCACTACAAGACAACCCAGTTCCAGTGCCCGAGCTGCGGCAGGCCCATGACGATGAACCGCGAGGCAGTCCCCTGCATCCTGGCGCGGGACACCAACCTCTTCCAAGCCTGCGGCCTAGAGCAGCTACAGGAAGAGCACGTGTACCAGAACAGCTCGACCGCGTGCACCGGATGTGCGCGCCGCCGCGCAAACGAGCCAGACCACCCCGACAGTATCCGCGACCGGCACCGAGAGCGGGAGCAGCAGCGCCAGTTCGAGGAGCTCATAAACCACGCCCACCGGGCCGGGTGGGAGCACGGGAGCCCGGAGGCCCAGGCGGCTCAGCGGCAGGCAGAGCAGGAGGAGCGGCGGCGGGCGCAGCACCTGCGGTACCTCCGCCAGATGCGTCGCGATCACGAGAGTAATTCGAAACGTAGAAGTCGGCGGGGATGAGACATTGCTGGAGGGGGGAACGGAGTGGGTGTCGAGCATAGACATTGACACATGGGTAGTGCGCTTGTGTCCTCTGGTTAAGCGTTTGGTTTTCATGGATTAGGAGATACAGCACCAGGGTTTTGCATGCGACAGTCTAGATTAAAGCCCAGACACACTTTAGAAATGCGAAGTTTTCACCCAGACATTGATCATGCAAAAGTGCAAGTTCCAGAGAGCTCAGGGGTATACGAGAGACAGGCCGGGTAGGCCATGCCTCCAAGTATCATTGTATGGTATCTTAAGCTACGGCAAGAACAGGAATCATATTACTAGTCCTTATGGCATGAGTTTCATGAGCCATGTCGCATCGGAGAGAGACTGGTGAATGCAGGCCGAGCAGGTCATCGAGTCACCAAGACGTTTGTCAGACAAAACACCCGCCGAGACCAGATCCTGCCCCGCCCTGCAAGCAACATCCGTCCCATCTCTAGATCTTCTTCTCGTCAATGGACACGGGATCAGCAGCAGGGGTGGCCTGGATGGCGGGCTTCTTCTCGTCAATGGCGGCAGGCAGCTCGTGGTCCGAGTCCGAGTCGGTCTTGTCGGCGGGCTTCATGTCGTCAAAGTCGGTGTTGATGATGAAGTCCTGGTTGTCGAGGTGCCTGAAGGTGAACCAGAAGGCGACGGTGACGATGGCACCGGCAATGGTCGGGGCAGCGAAGACCCAGGGGAGGTAAGGGTCACCAATGGCGGCCGAGGTGGCGAGGGAGATGATGGCGGCAATGGCGGACATGAAGAGGTTGATGGAGGCGACGAGGCCCTTCATGTTCTTGGGGGACTGGGTGTAGGCGATGCCGTAGGCGGTGACGTTGATGAAGATCTCCGAGATGGCGGTGATGATGGTCGGGATGGCGTAGAGACCAATGTGCACGGTCGAGAAGCCCTCGTCGCCGAGCGGGCCCTCGGTGCAGGAGCTGGCCTGGTTGCCGCAGGGCGAGCTCTGGTAGACCTGGTGGGACAGGACCGAGTAGGCAATCGAGCCGAGGGTGCACATGGCGAAGCCAAAGGTCATGCGGGAGATGGGGCCGAAGCGGATGCCGGCACGGCGGAGAGCTGGGTAGATGAGGTGGTTCATGATGGGGACGGCGACGACGATGGAGACGGGGTTCAGGTTGTCGAGCAGGTCGTTGGGCATGCCGTGGGCAGCCATGCCGGCGGTGAGGGTGTTGCCCGCAGCACCGATGCCGCCGTCGTTGAGCTGGATGATGGGCTGGAAGAGGAAGATACCGCAGGCCTGGAACGTGCGGCGGACGTCGTTGACAAACTCGTCGTCGTAGGTGTACTCCTTCTGAGAGCCGGCGGCGCGGCGGACAGAGGGCTTGCCGATCTCCCAGAAGCCCTTGCGGCCAATGTGGCTCATGCCACCGTTGGCAAAGATGTCGCCGAGCACGCGGAAGACGTTGCTCAGGTCAGAGCCACCGGCGGGCTGCTTGACGATGCGGGACTGTGAAGGAAGATGTCAGCTGGAGGCCACTGTCTCGAAGTAAACAAGGGAACACTCACGTTGAGGTACCACAGAAGGGGAGGAAGCATGAGGTACACGATGGTGGGGATCAGGTAGGCGGCCCAGTAGCCGACCAGCTTGGCAAGGTAACTGGTCGGGATTCCGAAGCAGGCGCCGACGTTGATGAGAAGGTAGAACCACAGCATGACGGAGGCGATGGACTCCTCGGGGTCGACGACGACCTTCTCGCCGTTCTTGTCCTTGATGACGTGGGGGATCTTGTGGGGCGACTGGTCCATGAGGGTGGGCGAGATGTTGGGCTTGAACTGGGCGGCACCGATGGCGAGCATGTACAGCGACAAGGCAAAGGGGCCGATGGCGTTGCCGGAGGTGAGCACGGAGGGGATCGCAGAGATGATCATGATGATGTGGGCAACACCGCAGATGCCGACACCCCAGCAGATCATCTTGAAGCGGCCGTACTTGGCATCGGCGAGCCAGCCGAAGAAGACGGGCAGGGCGTAGGCGAGGAACTTGAAGGCCTCGGTCCTGAGGTAGAAAGTGTCGGGTTAGTCGTCGGGTTCTCATTAGTTACGAAAGAGCATCTCGACTTACATGGCAGTGGCAATCTGAGGGCCCCTTCCGAGCGCACCGGGGTTGTAGGCGGTGCCGGGAGGGGTGGCACCAGTGGTCGATCCGGGCGGGAGAGGGGAGCGGATGAACTGCTTGTAGACCTGGTAGCAGCCGTAGTAACTGGCACGCTCGGCGAACTCGACGGCGCAGAGCCAGTAGCACGAGGCAGGCATCTTTCCGGCCACACGGCGCAGCGTGCGCTTCTCCTCCTCGGTGGCGACAATGAGGCCGTGGAAGGTCTCGCGGCCGGCAAACTCATCGTCAATGTCAGCCGGGGTGATCTTGGCGTTGTCAATGGCGCGGCCGACAGTCTCGTCGTACGAGGCGCGGCGGTCAGCACCGACATCGCCAACGCCGGCGGCGACCGTGCCGAGGGTGCCCTGGGTATCTATGAAGAGGCGGGCCGTGTTAGTCAAGGCTTGAGGGGCTTTGTGCAATGTCTTCACTGTGGAGGGTGCGTACCGGCAAGAGTAGTCATCTTGGCAGAGTAGAGGGGGAGACGGTGCCGTTACACTACAGGTGTTGGACCTCGCTCTCACTGGCGACTGGAGAAGCGAGAGAGGGTTCAGCGCGACGAGACAGAGGGCGGCGCCGGCACCTTGATATATTATCAGTTACGGCGAGGGGGCGACGCGCACATGGATCGAGTGAGGGTTCCATCACCCCCTGCCCCCTGGTGCAATCGTCCGAAGGCAAAGACGTCCCCTTTGATAGTCAAGGATGTTGGTCCATATCGCGACAGCATGTGTCCCACACCACGCCCTAGGTCCTGTCGCGATCCTTGGCTCCGAGGGGACAAGACTTCTGCGCAACAATTCCCCCTATCTCCGGGGGGGCGAGTAGGGCTGCCGCTCATGGTCAGCTCCCACTCCGGACGAAGGACTGCCGTGCCATTGGCGAGACGGGCGAGGTCGAGGCGCCTCCGCGACGTTCCCGGTCCTGGCAGGAGGACCGGGATGTGGTTGTCGTTTCTAGAAAGCCTTCTTGGCGCGGGCCCCATGTTACCAGACGTCTAGTTCGACCTTCCCGATTTGTCTTTCTGCTCGGGTCGGGCCCGTTGACTAGCGCCGCCTGGCTGCGTGGAAGCAAGAGTTGCCAAGCGAGTTGAGCCGCCGACTTGGGCAGCTTGACCGGCCTTGTCGCTCTTGGGGATGTGTGGCAAGAGCAATGGCACTGAGGTTGTTATCTCGAGAGCCCTTGGCGGGCGGGGGTTGTGTAGTCGCCAAGGGAGGCCAAGACGCTCGGATGGGGAATACGGCCGAGCGTGTTGGCCGCTCGCCTCGGCCCGCCAAGACCCCAAGAGATAACGCTGGCCGGGCCCCGGTTGGCCGCATATCCGGTCAGGCCTCGTCTTGCTCGCACGGCATGCATGTGGTTGTCTGGTTGTCTGCCGGGTATAAACCTCGGGCGACTTGGGCTCCTCTGGGCGGGTTCCTGTGGCGGTCTCTTCTGGTGGCAGGGCCTGGTGTAGCGAGAGAGGAGGGCCCGGCACTTGGCAGGCCCACGAACCTTATTCAAACGTGCACAGCACGCGGGCTCAGCTGACTCAAGACGCCGGTGCTGCTGGATCTCCTTGGCCGCTGGGCGTTGCCCGAAAGACAATGGCCCTTCTCTCCATGTCTCGCGACAAGCATGCCTTGCCAACATTGAAGGCCCTCCAGTCCTTGCACTCTAGTCCTGGCGAGGATCTGGGTGACGCACGGGGACAGACCGCGGGGCGAGGGAGCACACAAGAGTCTTGGTATGCTGGGCCAAGGGCTTGGGCCCCGCTAGGATAAGACCCCCAAGCGCCTATCGCAAGCTGGGCCAAGATGTTCGCGCCTCCTGGTGGCGGAGGGAAGCAACGGGCACAAGCCCTTGGCATAATCTTCTGTCCCGCCCAGTACACTGCGTCTTGCGCCTTTGGGAAGGAGCCCTTTTACTAATATCTTCTAGCGACGAGGTCGCGTGATGTGTGCCGGCAACAGCAAGCTTGCCGCCCGCACGCAATCAGTAAGTGGGATGATCATGGATCGGGCGGCCCGGGCAATCACCCCCAAAGCACCGGCGAGGACCGGGTCAATGCCGCATCGTCCGTCTATCAATCTGTACGCTGTGGTTGGTCGCTGCGAGTCGCAAGAGCAGTGATAAGCCAGGGGTTGGCGGTGGCCCTGAGGAGGTTGACATGATCAACGGGGCAGGATCCATCACCACAGGCTCTGAGCTCGCACGTCACGTCACGACCTGGCCTGGCAGCCAGCCTCGATTCAGGCATGAAAGTTTGCCAGGCCTCAGTCCAGCCTCGGGTCCAGCCCTTTTCGAGGCGAAACAGCCTTCGGCCGACTCGCCCCCTCGGTCACATTCTGCGACTCAGTATTCCCAGCCCTGTGGGTATCACAACATGACCTGACTCTCTCCAAACCATATCTGCGGGTCTGACCAGGGGTAGAAAGTCCCCCATCCCGGCGCCAAACTCCACTCACCAACGGCGGTAGACCCCTGGCTCGCCCTGCTCTATACGTAGTAGGAAGAACGTAGCACGGACTATTCCCAAGGGTGGCTTGATGTTGACGAGAATAAGTGGAGTGGCCCGGGCATGACTAAGGCCAACACTCGTGGTGTCCATCTGCGCAGCCCGCGCAAATGGTGGCAATTTTTGTGGCCGCTTAAGGCTCAGGGGCACCAGAATCGATCCTGCCGCCGCTGCTTGGCGGCTCTGCAGCACCACATCATGCACTTGGATGCGCAACGTTTCTGCGGAGGGATTCTCGCATGACACCGATCTCACTGCGACCATGTCTCCAAGGTTGCAAGATTCCTGCCGTTACCGCCAGTCTGGTCCTCGGTGCCGTTCCCGAGGCCTTATCAGGGCGATGCAAATGCAGTTGGATCAGCGGCCAGGATGATGGGCCTTGACCACATGGGTAGACTTCAAGACGCGCCGCCTAATGGTAGTGAGTAGACAACGGACTGAACCTGGGAAGCGAGACGCCTAGGAAGACAGAACGTGCACTCATTCCGGCCAGGCAAACCGAATAAGCTTGCAAGTCTCACCTTGGCACCTTGACCGCATTGAGTTATCTCCGGATGCTCCGATTACCAGGATCCAAGGCTAGTTGCCATCCATTGGTGTATTCAAGACTGCAGCACCTCTACTGTCCAGAGATATCAAAGGACCCAGCCAATGAGCTTCCTGGCTCTTCTGTGAAACCGCGGACAGGTCATGACAGTATTCAGGGTGTAGTGCGGCGCATTGAGGATGCGATGACTGTTTTTCGAGCTCTTCAAGCTACTTCTTGTATCCAAAGCCTGTCTGCACCGAAGAGGACAACCCTTGCCATCAGCCCTACGTCCCCGCCTTGACAGATTGGCGGCATAGACATGGTTGACGCCGGTGGCTAGTAAGTAGGCGGCAGATTGAACATCTGAAACGAAGATTCATATTTGGAGCGATTTCGCTATACTATCTATTCTCAATAAGTAGTAAGGGCCCAGCCCGTTGGCGTTTCCTCATCACCGTCCTCGATAACGTCTGGCTCACGCGGGGCTCTGTCCTTCCCGTTGTGCTGCGGCCATATGCGTTCATAATTCAAGACACTGCAGGCTCGTTCCGGAAGCCGTTATTCAACCACCCATATGTGGCGGAGCTGGCTTATGGCATGAAGTGGCCCCTTTTGCAACCAGACAACCAGATAATGCACACCGAGATGCAATATCTCGCAATGTCCCAAGCTCTTCGCCTTGCAACGATGGCCTCTCCACACGTTGCAATTGGTGTGGCTTTGCGTTCACAGAGCCCAATGAAAGACCAATCATTCCGCAGCGCGTTCCTCGGGCACACACAGCGGTGATCGTCTCCGGTGGGGGTGGGCCGAACCCCGGACTCAGCTCCGTCCCGATGGGGGTGCGGGACACGCGGAGAAAGACAAGAGGGCTATGATGTGGCGCTACTTGGCATCACACAGCTCGGCAGTCCGCACCGATGGGGGCCTTCCATCCAACGACAGCGCAGGCCCGCAGCTTGCCGCTCCTTGGCCGGAGGATGGATGATGCGTCGTCACTCTGCAGACGCGAAGTCGGTCCCGGCTAAAATCGACGGGCGTGTCACCGCATAAGCTTCACAATGTTGCAGGTTAGGACTATGCCGTCATCGGAGAGGAGAAGATCGCTGCCCCACGCGGCTTAATCCTCTTGGTGCCTTATTGAACTTCCTCTGATAAAATTGCAGCGTCCATTTCAGCATCGAATTGCAGTTCAGCAACTCGTGACTTCTTCCTCAAAGTGCCTACTCTGCGTATGAACAGACACGGCGCAGCACGCCAAGATGTTTGCCAAAGACGAAAACACGCTCATTTTCCGCTACGACGCAGAGCAGCTCTGGGTCCAGCCATGGGGCCCGCACGCGCTCCGCATCCGGGCAACAAAGACGGCCTCGATGCCCGCGGAGGACTGGGCGCTCACCGAGACCCTGCCCCCGACGTCCACCGCCGACACCAAGATTGAAATCACCGCCGAGCAGGCCACGCTGACACACGGCAGCATCAAGGCTTGCATATCTCGCCTGGGAAAGCTTTCCGTGTACAAGGACGGGGGGAAGACGGTCATCCTGGAAGAGTACTGCCGCAACCGGCGAGATGTGCTCGATCCGAACTGCAGCGCCCTCGAGATCGAGGCCCGCGAGTTCAAGCCGATCATAGGGGCGGACAACTACCACCTGACAATGCGCTTCCAGAGCCTCGGCAGCAATGACGTCACGGACGACCAGGAGTACAGCGAGGAGAGGATCTACGGCCTCGGGCAGTACCAGCAGCCCATCCTCAATGTCAAGGGGCAAGACGTCGAGCTCGCCCAGCGCAACAGCCAGGCCTCGGTGCCCTTCTACGTCTCCTCCAAAGGCTACGGCTTCCTCTGGAACAACCCTGCCGTCGGGCGCGCTGTGTTCGGCAAGAACATCACCACGTTCGAGGCCTATAGCACGCGCGTGCTGGACTATTGGATCGTGGCGGGAGACACGCCCGCTGACATTGTGCACCGCTACGCCGACGTCACGGGCAAAGTGCCCATGATGCCGGAGTACGGGCTGGGATTCTGGCAGTGCAAGCTGCGGTACCAGAGCCAGGAGGAGCTGCTGGGGATCGCGCGGGAATACAAGAAGAGGGAGATCCCGCTGGATGTGATTGTGGTGGATTTCTTCCACTGGGAGAAGCAGGGGAACTGGTCCTTTGATAAGACGTATTGGCCTGATCCAGGTTCGTTTCCTTTCTACTGCTATCTATCCTAGAGATACTGACTGACCGCGACCACCACAGACGCCATGGTCGCCGAGCTCAAATCCATGGACATCGAGCTCATGGTCAGCATCTGGCCGACCGTCGAGCACGGCTCCGTCAACTACGCCGAGATGCTCGAGAAGGGGTACCTGATCCGCACGGAGCGCGGCCTGCGCGCGGCCATGGACTTCCAGGCGACCACGACGCACATCGACGTGACGAACCCGGGCGCCCGCAAGTTCCTCTGGGACACCGCCAACAAGAACTACTTTTCCAAGGGCATCAAGACTTTCTGGCTTGACGAGGCGGAGCCCGAGTACTCAGTGTACGACCTTGACGCGTACCGCTACCACCTCGGCCCGAATCTGGCAGTCGGCAACATCTACCCGCGCGAGTACGCGCGGGCGTTTTATGAGGGGCAGACGGCCGCGGGCCAGACCAACGTGGTCAACCTCCTGCGGTGCGCGTGGGCGGGCTCGCAGCGCTACGGCGCGCTGGTGTGGAGCGGCGACATTGCGTCCTCCTGGGGCAGTTTCCGGAACCAGCTCGCCGCGGGGCTGAGCATGGGCATGTGCGGTATCCCGTGGTGGACGACGGACATTGGTGGTTTCCACGGCGGGGACCCCAGGGACGAAGGGTTCCGGGAGCTGTTTGTGCGGTGGTTCCAGGTACGTCTTGCCCCGTGATATCGGAGACCTGGACTGACAAGCGACTGTAGTGGGGTGCCTTTTGTCCCGTCATGAGGCTCCACGGTGACCGCGAGCCGAGACAGCCGCAGCAAGGGACGACTGGCGGCGCGACGTGCTGCTCTGGCGCGCCGAACGAGGTGTGGTCCTACGGCGAGGAGGTGTACAAGATTTGCGTCCGGTACATCAAGGTCCGCGAGCAGCTGCGGGAGTACACTCGGGGGCTGATGAGGGAGGCGCACGAGAAGGGCTCGCCGGTGATCAGGCCGCTCTTCTACGAGTTCCCGGCGGACAGCACGAGCTGGCGGGTGGAGACGCAGTACATGTTTGGCAGCAAGTACCTCGTCTGTCCGGTCCTGAAACCCGGCCTGGGGGCGATGCAGGTGTACTTGCCTCCGCTCGAGGGTGGTGCTCAGTGGACGGCATTCGGGGGGAAGGAGAGCTTCGATGGCGGGCAGCTGATCAATGTCGGGTGTACGATTGAAGAGATGCCCGTGTTCGAGAGGAAGGTCTAGTTTGTTATTCCTTGCACTTGGTCTACTCGAAGCGTAGGGTATATTGAAACGCTGCTTATTTTGGTTAGACATTTACAGACCTTCATTTTGTGTAGCCTGATAGCATGCCATTCATGCCTGTGCACGTCTCTCTCGATATAGGCAGGGTGTGGATACACGGGCAAAGTAGGTCACAAGTTGAGTAGGATTACTGCACCTGAATCACTCGATAATAGCTGGTGGGCTTGAGCAGGCTTCTGGGGTATTGTGATGCCTTGCCTCCAGCACATTCTACCGGGATGATTAATTGATTAGATGTTGTGACTTAAGAACTATCCTTCTGATCTAGACAGCTTGAAGCAGACTATCACGGCCCAGTGGCCCGGGCAAGGTTCAGAATCCTGTCCATGAACCCCCCTCTGATGCCACTCGCTGCTGCCGCCGAGCCCTCCCGCCTGATATCCCGCGCCGTCCACGTTTTATCCCCCGAGAGCGCCCGCAGCCCTTCCCGGAGGATCTTCTGTGGTGCGCCGGGCTTGCAGATATCGCCCACGCGGACCATGTTGGCCTCCATCTTCTGCCCTCGTCGTACATAAACCTGCACAATCTCGTCGTCGCAGGGGCGGTCGAGGTGGATAAAGGTTGGGTCCAGGTCCGAGTCTTCGTTCTCTCCATCATCGCCATCGTCGCCGCCGCCTTCGTCACCATTCGTCGGATTTGCTTCTTGTGGAGGACTGCCCTGTGCCTGGCCCGAGGATCGATCATCCGCTGCATCCTGCTGAACACGGAGAGTGTTGCCCATCTGCTGCGTGAAAGACAGCGTCGAGATGCTGTATGACCACACGACGAGAACAGCGAGATAGACGGCGAACGGCTCGATGAAACCGCCCGTGCTGTACCGCCGGACGTGCCACAGGACCGCGCCAGCGTGGATGATGGACAGGCGGGCCTTGAACTGGTCGATGATGGCCCAGCGGCGAATGTTTCCAAACGCATCATCGAACGACTTGTCACTGCGCTGCTGCTGCTGGGTCATGCCCGCCGCGACGGTCTGGATGTGGCAGACAGGGCTGAGGATCAGGAGCCGCGAGAGGTGCAGGTGCAGGATCGTGGGATGCTCGAACCCGCCGGCCCCGGCGCTGATCATGTTGGCGTTCCAGTGCAGGACATCGAGGCAGTCGCATGAGCTGTTGCGCCACCTCATGACCATCGGGTTCGAGGGCGGCCAGGTGGACTCTTGCATTTGAGACGCGGTGCGTGCTTGGGCAGCTGCGTTGGGCGTCCAGGATGGCAGCATTGTGCGGTGGTGATAGAGGGCCTCATCCATCCGGCGGCACACGGCATAGGTCAGGAGGATCTTGGAGAACTCGCTCAGGTTCGGCGGCAGCCGCTTCTCCATGTAAAGAATCTCCAAGGCCTCGGGCACCGTCACTGTGTTGAAGGTCAGCGACTGGGAGGAGCTGGCAAGGTCTAGAAACTAACCTGTGGTCAAGCTTTGATTTGTGAGACTGTCAATCGTTGGTCTTTCCCATTGCTCCTCCAAACATGGTAGTGGGCTTTGGGCATCATATAGACGGAACGAGGGGCGGCAGTCGAATTCAGCGGCTAGCATAGAATCAACCAGCTGGTCACGTCAGCATTGTGAAGCAGAAGCGACAGGCATTGGTGGACATACCCAGAACATGAATCCCGTGCGCAACGCCGACTGAGCGGCGACCCATGTTTCCATATGCGGTTGCGACCCGTCGATGTTGGGCAACTCAGTAGACAAGAGGCCCATGGTGCGGCACTGCTCATTGAGACGATGTCGACATCCTATCACCCGTCGTCTTTGAGCTTTGCTGTCGCCGCCGTGGGCATGTGCAATCAGGTAGAGGAGACTGGCCTGTAGTTCCAGCAATATGTCTTCTCGAGACCTGTTTCTGTCGTCAATGTCAATGTCTATCGTGTTGCTGGAGACGATTGCATCTAGCACAGTCTCCAGTGCCTTTTGCGCTGGTGCCTCTTCCGCGTAGCTAGCACCTATCGCTGCCACAGCCAGAAGCAAGAGCCAGCCACGAGGAGGCACAAAGCACGACGAGTTCTTCCTCAAGAACGGGTACGTCGGATGGAACTTGTCAAAATACAGGTCCACGAAACGCCTGATTACGTCGAGGGTCGGCAGTGCGGCTATATCGAGGACATCAACCGAGTTCTGTGCGTGCTGAAGGACTCGGTGGCGCATGGCGTCATAAGCAGCGTCAGAAACCAGGACGCGATTGTCACTCGGATGCAGCGCGCCTGTGCTAGTGGCAGTTTCGCCATAAGTCACGGACGTCTCGCCGGACAGTCGACGCTGTTTCTGAAGCCTGCCGCCAAACGGCTGGCGACCTTCAGCGCCATCGACATACAAAGCCCCGTCTCTCGTCTTGGCACTTGCTGTGCTGTGGCTGGGCGTGCGTGTGTGGCTCGATGGCGAAATGTCAACCTGTGGTGTGGAAGGTGTCACAGGCACGAAAGCCACTGGCGACACGGCAACTGGCCAGGGAACGGGTTGTGTCGCAGTGGCACTGCCTGGCGGAAATGTCCAGACGTCACTGGCAAAGTTGCAGCTGCCGTCCTGAAACGGCACCATCATGTTGTTCCACGAGATGCCATCCTGGAACTGGGGTGACAGCCAGTTGACTGACGAGCCTACACCATCATTGATGTCTCTCAACGGCTGGTAGTCAGTGGCACTGTTGTAGCTGTCCGCAATGGGTCGCAGGAGTCCGTTCGTGTTGGCGTAGCCTGTTTCCTGCGTCCAAGGCAGACCCTGGGAGGCAGCAGGCTGTGGTTGTGACGGCGCTGCTGCATATGGAAAGCCAACCTGCCCGGCCAGGGGTATCTGCTGCTGCACCGCATCCTGGCCAGAGTAAGCAGAAGCCTCGACAGGTTCCGGTCTCGTCTGCAGTGTGACATTCTCGGGCGTCACATTGTCCTGCTGTTGCTGTATGCTGTCTGCAAGGCTGGTCTGAGCGGGCGAGTGTGCCGATTCGGCATGTGTCGATCTGCTCGTGGCCGGATACATGCACAGCGCTTCCAGGCCTCGATCACGGCATCGTTGACAGGGGAGGTCCTTGGAGCATCGCACGCGAGAGGCCGCGCACTCGGTACATGCACGGGCAGACGAGCTAGCCGCCGCCCGTGGCGGATGCCGGTGGGCCTGAATGTGTCGATTCAGAACATCCTGCCGGGAGAAGGACTTTGGGCACTGCGGACACCGGTACGGCTTCTCGCGCGTGTGGGCCCGGACGTGACGGGCAAGGTGCTCCTGACGAGCAAATACGGCCTCGCAGAACCGGCAGCGGAAGGCAGCGGCACGCCGGGGGCCAGTCATGGTGACTTGGAGGACTCGGCCATCGGGTGTGCCACCGGAATGGGGATTGATCCTGTGGACGAGGTTGTTGAGACAGAGGAGCGAGGTCGCAGGAGAAGCGGAGGTGGAGGTGGGGGAGGCAGCTCGGGTTCCCCGTGGGCCCCAAATGCTGATGATCGTCCCTCCTCCCCACCGGAAGAAGTGCTGCCTCGTTCCCGCTTGAGTTCTGGCCTGTGGTGGCCGCTCCAGCAGGGGTTGCCGTAAGCCAAACCTTGGCTTTGTTTCTGGTCCTTCCGATGGGGCACGCTTCGCTCGTACCCCAATCCGTAGAGCACAGTGGATAGCTCGCCTACCAGGTTCCCTACCCCAGCTTTACCCCAGATTCCCCACGAGTCGCCGCGTGGCGGCCTAGTGTGTGGTTGGACAGCCAGCCAAGCGCCAGCGTCGTCAGCAAATGACACAATGGGGACCTGCTGATAATAAGAGGTTCTCCATGTCCCTGACAACGGAGGTGATCGTCGTGCTCACTGCACTGTCGCCAGCGTTATTCCAGGGCGATCACATCATTATCAACTCGTCCATCACTCCCAGACACTAACTAGCCGTGACTCGGACCAGAACCACAATGGACGACGAAAAGGTGGCTCGCGTGAGCGAGGATGAGGCGCGTCGCGCCAGCGTCCCTGCCAAGGACGTCGCCTTTGCCAAGCAGGCCGCCGACGACGAGCACAATCTTGGGTTCCGCGAGGCCGTCCGCCGCTATCCCAAGGCCGTAGCCTGGTCTGTCCTGGTGTCGACGGCCATCATCAGTCAGTGACTTTGACAGCTGTGCTTCCATTCCACCAAGTTCTGCTGGCTGACTCCTGCTGCAGTGGAGGGCTACGACATTGTCCTCATTTCGTCATTCTTCGCCCAACCCTCCTTTCGCCAGCGCTACGGCGAGTACGACCCCGGGACCAACTCGTACCAGATCTCGGCCTCGTGGCAGAACGGACTGTCCAACGCAGTCTCGGTCGGAACGATTGTCGGCGCCTTTGCCAACGGTTACTTCACCCACAAGTTTGGGTACCGCAAGGTCCTGCTTGCCTCCCTGGTCGCGATCTGTGCCTTCATATTCATCTCCTTCTTCTCGCCCAGCCTGCCTGTCCTCCTCGTCGGCCAGTTCCTCTGCGGCATTCCGTGGGGCGTCTTTGCAACCATGGCGCCGAGTTACGCCTCTGAGGTCTGCCCGATGGCGCTGCGCGGCTACCTGACGGTGTACGTCAACCTCTGCTGGGCGCTGGGCCAGCTCGTCTCCGCGGGCGTGCAGTCTGGTTTTGCCGACACCCAGGGCGAGTGGTCGTACCGGGTGCCGTTTGCCATCCAGTGGGCCTGGCCCGTTCCGCTTTTCGTCGTCCTGTTCTTCGCGCCAGAGTCCCCCTGGCACTATGTGCGTACTGGCGACTACGAGAGTGCAAAGAGATCGATCGCCCGCCTCAGCTCGTCACCCAAGCCGGGCCACGCGGAACAGCAGCTCGCCATGATGATCCACACCAACGAGATCGAGCAGATGATAGACGAAGGCACGTCATATACCGACTGTCTCCGAGGTGTCGACCGCAGGCGGACCGAGATCGCCTGCATGGCGTTCGCCGCCCAGCCGTTCTGTGGGTCCGCCATGGGAGGCTCGCCTACTTTCTTCTTTGTCTCTGCTGGCCTGCCGGAAACCATCAGCTTCCGCATGTCAGTTGGTGGGCTGGGGATCGCCTCGGTCGGCACCATCGTCTCATGGTGGCTCCTGCGCCCCTTTGGACGACGGCAGCTCTACCTCTGGGGTCTCGGTCTTCTCTCCGTCGTTTTGTTTACTGTGGGCTTTATCTCTGTCGGTGCGGGCGACTCCACTAGTGGCAACTTCGCGCAGGCCGGCATGATGCTGGCGTGGCTCGCAATCTACTACACGACCGTTGGCCCAGTGTGCTACATCATCATCTCGGAAGCGTCGTCGACACGACTGCGCAACAAGAGCATCTGTCTCAGCCGCATCGCCTACTACGTCGCCCAGATCATCTGCAACGTCATCAACCCGTACATGCTCAACCCCACTGCGGGGAACTGGAAGGGCAAGACCGCGTTCTTCTGGGGCGGCTGCACGGTGCTGTTCTTCGTCTGGACCTTCTTCCGGCTGCCCGAGACCAAGGACAAGACGTTTGAGGAGCTGGATATCCTCTTTGCTCGGAACGTCAAGGCGAGGGACTTTGCCAAGTGCCAGGTCGATGCTTATGCTGAGGATGATGCGCAGGCCATTACCAAGAATTGATGAGACAGTGAATTGAGGAAGTGGGCTGTCTTCTCCTTGGTGTGATGTTTTTGTATAGGCTGAAGGAGGAGGTCAATGCTATTATGCAAGATATAGAATTAAACCCCGAAATTCACATATCATTTCACTGACTGCCATGCTCCAGAAGCTACAATGGAGGCAATCTGATCTCACGATGAACGATCCGGGAAGCCTTGCCGTGCTGGGTGACTCCCAGCACTTCCCGAACGTTGCATCTTCCAAGATAGTGAATGCAACGGTTTAGGGCCCAACTCGCCCGAGCCCATGCGCACCAACCACACAACGTTCCCCGCGACATGTGAAGGTCTGTGCCTGAGGCCACAGTCCCGAGCAAATGTCACGGTGGAGGACGACGGATTGCGGGGGTGGAGCCCCCCGGATCGGCACTTTAGCGCAGTGCGGGGCAAAGGTCACAACCGTCCCACCGGAGCCGTCGGGGCTTCCATGCGTCGTGACTCGCAATTGCTGCCCGTGACGGCTGCTCTTACGACTGGTGGACTGATGAGATGGCGGAGTTGCTGATGTGAAAGACATCTTGAAGATCAGTTCATTGAGCATATCAGCCTGTGGGTGGCATGGTGCTACGGCAGAAACAAGGACTTACGGCTCCGACCTCTCCAACTTTTACCCCACCGGAGCCTAAGCACTAGGCACTGGCCGGTAGTCATGGGGCGACATGCGGAGTACACAATGCCACCCTGGTCCTGCGGCACCGGATTCGCACCGTAGTTTCGTGAGCCAGAATTGCCGTGATGCTGCTAGCTCGTCCCTGACCGTTTCCAGGACCACCAGGAGATCTGCACTGCCGCCATATACTTGGCCCAGATATAGCACGTGAGAGCCATGCAAGGGCGAGCTTCCTGTTTGGCGCGCCTTCTACCCGAGGCAAAGAAACTTGGACTCGTCGTTGGAGATGGAGCAAGTCTGGGGAAAGGGCGATCAGTCGCAGGGGTCTTCGTGGGTATATAATGGTGATGCAGTGATTCAACTGCTTCGAGACGAAAGACTCAGTCCTGCTTCGGTGCTTGTGGAGAAGACAAGATTTCTCTTGCTAGGAAATCCCCAATATCGGCCTTGACACGGCGCAACCGACTCCTGTGCCGCCCGATACCGGTCCCGCGCGACCTGCCCTTGCCCAACATTCCACCTGTGGCTGTTCCCGCTATAAATTCATCACCATGAAGTCTCTCACCCTCTCCCGCACCGCATCCACAGCCACGGCTGCTATCCTGGCAGCAATGGCAGCCGCAATGCCCACCTCCTCTGCCCCTGTGGGCCACACAGACCGCCAGACTGTCGCCCCAGCTATTGTCAACCTCACCACGCTCACAGGCCGCGCAACCTGTCTCGCATCAGGTTTTATTTACGGCTGGCCGGACAACGGCACCTCTGCTTCCACCGCGATCCCTTCCTCGCTCGTTACCGGCATCCACTTCCGCGCCAACCGTGCCGGCGGGGCTCAGCTCCCTGCGCCCGCCCTCGGCTGGGCCGCAGGCGGCTACGACGGATACATTGGCCGTTTCGATTCGGCGCTGTCCAACTATCGCACCACGAGGCTGTACGGCGGGACGTTCATACTGCTTCCGCATGATCTGTGGGGTGCAGACGGGAAGCAGGATGGATCGTCGATCTTCCCCGGTGACAATGGCGATTGGACCGAGATGGAGGCATTCTGGACGCAGGTGGTCAAGGACCTGAAGGAGAATGATATGCTGGAGGAGCTGGTGATTGATGTGTGGAACGAGCCCGACATCGACAGCTTTTGGGATCGGAGCTGGGAGCAGTATCTAGAGTACTGGACGAGGGCGGTGCGTTTGCTCAGGTTCGTGCTCCTCTCATATTTCTGTGTCTCGATGGTCCCTTGCCAGGACGTTGCGTCACTCCAGGGGCATGTGGCGGCCGTATATCACAAATCACGGTAAAGATCGTTCTATCTCTCTCTGAGCTAACATTCTACTCCCACGTCACAGAGCCGAACTCCCTGGGACGCTTCTCAGCGGCCCCTCGACTTCTGCTTCCCCCCGGATCCCAACGTCAACTCAATGGTCCTCATACCTGGCACTGCTTGCGGGTGCCGGCAACGACACCATCCCGGACATCTACGCATGGCACCAGCTCAGCGACCTCGACACGGAGCCCGACGTCACCATCCCGACGTTCCACTCGCTGCTGGAGCAGTACGGCCTGCCGCCCTCACAGCACAACATCGACATCAACGAGTATGCCTGGCCCACGGAGCAGAACCCCGGCGCATCTGCGTGGTACATGGGCCAGCTGGAACGAAACGAAGCACGAGGACTGAGAGCGCATTGGGGTACCGCTTCGGGTCTTCACGACAGTATGGCAAACATGATTTATCCTCTTCCAGTGGAGGAGGAGGGCCAAGGGATCGACGGGAGTAATTATAAGAAGAATGGCGAGTGGTACGTTTATGACTACTACAAGGCGATGTCGGACGGCCCCGATACGCAACGGGTCAGCACTACTGCATCGGGGGATCGCAAATTCGACCTGTTTGCGACATCTGACGGCGCTGTTGTAAAGTTGTTGGCCGGGACAAGATCCGTGGATGGCGATTACGTAATCCAGGTAAATGGGCTGCCGGCCACAGCGGGCAGCGAGGTCTCCGTGCGTGCGATCAGGTTCGATTGGGCTGGGCCTGTAGCGGATACTGGTCCATCAGTTGACTTGGGAATAACGACTTATCAGGTCGAGGGGGGCTCGGTACGTCTTCATCTTGCCCACCCCTCTTAAAACTTAAACTTCGAAGATGTTTATTTGCTGACTCGATATTCGTGCGTACAGCTCACTATTCCTGTCCCTGCAAAGAGTTCGATTGCGTATGCTTTCGAAATTGAGCTGGCATAGCCAGCTCAGTCTCAGGAGCACGGAAGCTGCTGGTTGGTGGGGGGTCTGGCGTGCGTGAATGGCGCCTACTAAACAGGTGAAGGTCGATGAGCTACGGGCTCGTGACTGACGAGACAGAAGCAAGGTGCATCCTCAATGTAAATAATCCGCTGACATTTGCTGTCATGACTGAATAAACGTTGTATCACCCCAAACAAGCTGCGGGAGGTGCTCACTTTAATCATTGACTCTTGCCCTTGATACCTGCTCGTGGACCAAGCATAGCGTGAATGTAAGCTCTTCGCGCAGGCCTGGTGCATGTTCTTCTCGCACTCTTGACCATTTTCGTGTCAGATTCTGAATTAAGGGCTGTAATCCACCACGATACGTCGTCTGGTGACCTGCTTTCTAGAGTTTGCAGTGCTTTCGTGAGTGGGCCATAACTTTGTCAGCCACGTCATAACGCTAGCGGGGCTTTTACTTAATCAACAACTGCAACACAGAACCACATATGTGGTTCCGTTAGACAGGACGGCATAAAAGCACACATGGTCGCCGAAGAACGAAATCCTCAATGAGATTTGAGGTTAAATACAGAAAGCCACGCCAATCTTGGATGCAGACTCTTTATTCACTTGTATCTTCGAGCTTCAGCAACAGGACAGCCATATCTCCCACAAACAGCACAAGCAGCTACTATCCCGCCTTTAACGTGATCACGAGCTATGGCATCAGCGCGAATCCTCGTCCTCGGCGCCGGCGAACTCGGCCTGAGCGTCTTGCGAGCTCTGTCGTCTCACCGTTCAAGCGAAGCCGAGGACCGCAATCCGGCCCTTGCAATCCTCGTCCGCGAATCATCTCTGACGTCAAACCCCTCCCTCTCCGCCGAGCTCACTGCATTAGGGATCACCTCAATCGAGACCGCAGACGTGGTGAAATCATCCACGCAAGAACTTGCGGCGATATTCGCCAAGTACGACACCATCATCTCGTGCAACGGGATGGGTCTGCCGGCAGGGATACAGCTAAAGCTGTCAGACGCGGTGATCCTCTCCACTCAAGACTCGGAGAGGGGAACAAAGAAGAGGTACTTCCCGTGGCAGTTCGGCATGGACTACGACACAATAGGCCGCGGCAGCGCCCAGGATCTGTTTGACGAGCAGCTCGCGGTGCGGGACTGCCTGCGCGGCGACAGGACAGGACTGGTGGACTGGACGATCGTCTCGCCGGGCCTGTTCATGAGCTTCCTTTTCCGCCCGGACTTTGGCGTCGTGGACATCCCGGGCCGCACGGTGCGCGCGCTGGGGAGCTGGGACGAGAAGATTACAATCACGGACGTGACGGACATCGGTGTTGCTGTCGCCGAGGCGGTCTTCCACCCTGCAGAGGACGATAACAGTGGGCAGCATAATGGATCCGTGCTGTTCATCGCAGGCGACACCCTGAGTTATCGCGAGATTGCGGACCTTGTGGATCAGCGATTCGCCACGGACGGGAGGGCACAGTTTGAGCGGCAGCTGTGGGATGATGAGGCGTTGGCGAGGCAGAGGGAGGTTGACGGCGACATTGTCATGTTCAAATACCGGTCGACGTTTGCGAAGGGGAAAGGGGTAGCGTGGGAAAAGGACGACACCTTTGGCGCTAAACGAGGGCTGAAAATGGTGGACGTTAAGACGTATCTGGAAAGACTGGACGAGAGGCACGTCAAGGAATAAACAAGAATCGTGAGGTACAGCTAAGTGGATATTCTGAGAACGGACACGACGTGAATCGGACAAATGCATGTAGAAAGCAGCTGACCCAAAGAATTAAACCCTTACCGTCACATCTTGATATCAATATGCGCTTCGGCGCCGCTTCCCTACAGTAGTCTCTCCACCCAGGCTGGGAGCCCATCTTTCAGCCTTATCCGGCTCCGTCCAGATTTGCTGGCCGCAGCTCCAGGCGCCTCCCGTGCCCGCCTGAGTCTAGTCACTCCACCACTGCTCGCGATTCTGATGTGCTCGTCGCTCATTGCCTGGTGGCGCGCTTGCCCCCAGGATAGACTTGACATCATGGGAGTCATAAACCACGCTGACGGGTACCGGACCTCGGACTATCTCATGGCCACTAATGGCAGGACATAGGACAAAGCGATCGGCTCAACTTATAGCTGATGAATGGGGGAAAATACATGCACACTTGCCGGTTTGTTGCTGCTTTTCTGGATTATACAGCACGGAGCAATCGCAAGCCGACGGGGTGGGTCTGCTTATGAAGGCGGTTGCCACCAGAAATGGAAGCATGTTCCGAGCATCCACATTCTGCGCTAGCTCTATCTACCTGTGATTCGACAGAGAAGTATTGTCTGCGTACAAGCCTATGCTCCGACGCTGATTCAAGAACGATGTGATCACCGGGCCGACTCGGGCAGTGCCTAGACTTACCAGATGCCAGCTCGTCCAGAGGAAACATCAATTCCACACGTACCGCTTCTTACTCCACTATACGACAGGTCTTTGTCAGCCTACCGCTACGATTGTCAGTCAGGTACACGAACTTCGACTATAAAGTTTGCCAGGCCCGTGTCCTTCATCGAGCAATGCGTCTGCTTCGAAATCACCAGTCCAGCTCTTCACAAAACTCTCCAAGCCGCACTCTATCCTGGACGGTCCACGCGTCATGTCGTCCGAGCGCATCCTTGTCCTCGGCGCCGGCGAGCTTGGCCTCGCCGTCATCCGCGCGCTGTCTGCATACGTTAAGCGCGGCGGTGCCGCAACGAGAGCTACAATCTCGGTCCTGCTGCGCGAGTCGACCCTGACGGCAAGGCCCGCTCTCAGCAGGGAACTACATGCGCTTGGCATCAGCAACATCGAGACAGCAGACGTGGCCGCCTCCTCCGTGGAGGCCCTTGCGCACTTGTTCTCGCGCTACGACACCATCGTATCCTGCAATGGACTAACTTTGCCGCCGGGAACACAGCTCAAGCTCGTCGAGGCTGTGATTCAGTCCGCCGGCGTCGCGCTGGGAGAAAGGGGAACGGAGCAGCGTCAGCAGCAGCCGAAGAAGAGGTATTTCCCCTGGCAATTCGGCGTCGACTACGATACCATCGGCCGCGGCAGCGCCCAGGACCTGTTCGACGAACAGCTCGCCGTGCGGGACCGGTTACGCTCCCCGGTCGCCGCTGCTGCTGGAGTCGACTGGACCATCATCACGACTGGGCTGTTTATGAGCTTCTTGTTCCGCGCGGATTTTGGCATCGTCGACATCGGCGCGCGCACGGTCCGCGCCCTCGGAGCATGGGACCAGAAACTCACGGTGACTGATGTCGCCGACATCGGGGCGGCAGTGGCGGAGGCGGCCTTCTATCCTCCGCTTCCAGGACAAGGATGGGATGGCGGGAAGGCGGAGGAGGATCAGAACGGACGGGTGTTGTTCATCGCGGGCGACACGCTGAGCTACGCACAGATTGCAGATCTTGTGAATGGTCGTTATGCTGCAGACGGGGGCAGCACGTTTGAGCGAGTGCTGTGGGATATTCCGGCGCTGGAGAGGCAGAAGGACAAGGACCAGAACCTGTTCATGTTCAAGTATCGCGCCATGTTTGCACGCGGCAAGGGCATCGCATGGGAGAAGGCGGGGACTTTTGGAGAGAGACGGGCCTTGAAGATGACAAATGTCAATACGTATCTGCACAGACTAGACGAGGAGGGGCAGTTGACAGTGTAAACGAGGGGTGCATGGACGGTCAGCTCCCACGGGTTGTGCTACAAGGTCGTTTATCCACGCAGTAGTCCAACTTGCTCGATTGATCCATGGACAGAGCCTTGAACTTTGCAGACGTGCCAAAGATCAGATCATCATCCCAAACTCGGCATCTCTATCTTGCTAAGCTCTCACTTGTCCTGGGGATACACCGTGCCTCCTTGCTGCCGGATGGAGTCCATAATCTCCATCACGCGCACCGATTCTGCCCACGGCATGACCGAGCTCTCCTTCCTGCCCGCCGCGATATCCAGCGCCGTGTTGTCCGCCTCGTAGATGAATCCTTGGTACGGCTTCAGCGGGTACTCGTAGCTGCCCAGAGGCTTGGGCTTGCTCCCTGGCGCCACACCCACCCACTTTGGGTACACGGTGAACTTGGTCGGGTGGCTGGGTGCGTTGCCCTCGACCTCGATGAACCCTTCGGTGCCCTCGATCGTGGCAAAGTGGTGGCCGGCCCCGCGCTGGGTGTTCATGGTCGAAGTGATGACTCCCTGCCGCCCGCTGCTCGGGTACCTGAGGATGGCGGCCGTTGAGGTCTCGACGCCCACGGTGGGCTCGAAACTCTGGCTGGCCAGGACGACGGGCTGCTCGCTGCTCGTCTCGAGATCCCCTTGCCCCTGGGCGCTGCTCTTGCCCTTGAGCCCGCCCTCCGCCGGCGTCGACGGATCAAGCGTCAGAATCGCCCAGGTCAACGAGTAGATGCCAATGTCCAGCAGCGACCCCGCGCCCAGCTCGGGAATCAGGTGGCGCGAGTTCTTGTCGAGCTTGCTGAAGTCCAGGCCCATGCGGAAGTCGCAGGCCGTGCGGAACACGTCGCCAATGACCTTGTCGTCGTATAGTTGCTTGCGGATGTCGCGGATCAGCGGGCGGTGGCGCAGCCACATGGCCTCGGCGACGTAGACGTTCTTCTCCCTGGCGAGGGCAAACACCTCGCGGGCCTCGCGGGCGTTGATGGTGAAGGCCTTTTCGCAGAGCACGTTCTTGCCGGCGTTGATGGCGTTCTTGAGGTCCCGGTAGTGCAGGCCGTGCGGGCTGCCGATGTAGACGCAGTCGACGTTTGGGTCGTTGTAGACCTCGTCGTAGCTGCTGTAGAGGGTCGGGTTGTGCTGGACCGCGCCAGTGTCGGCGTCGGTGATGTACTTTTTGATAAAGTCCTTGCCCTTCTGCTCGCTGGACGCGCCGATGGCCTGGATGACGTGCTTGGCCTTTGCGTCGGGCCGGGGCGCGACGAGGTCGGCCACGAACCACGACGAGATGAGGCCGACGGCTGGGAGGAGGGAAGTGGTCAGCTAAGGCGCTTGTGGTCGAGGAGATGGTGGTGATGTCACTCACTGATTATGCCCCAGCGGCAGGTGGGAACTTGGCTGTCAGACATTGTTGTCGTTATTCTCACGGAAATGTTGTGCTCGAGGAATTTGGTAGACCTGTCCAAACGAAAGGCGGTTGTGGCTTTGAAGTAGGGCGACTACTAGCTCGGTAAGACGACCGGCTAAAAACAACCTCAGCCTCAAAACTCAATATCGTCATTGAGGAGGGCAGTGCGGGGTTGTGAATGTCCACGACCCTTGAAGCTGCTGTGGGGATCTCAGATACTCCACAGTCGCCGACTGCGGAGAGACCAGCTGGGCATTACATCAGCGAGGGGGTGGTCAAGCCAGACTGGCAGAGACTGTTGGGATGGTCAAGAACTACCACGTCTTGAAAATGGATAGCAGCACGAACATGACTGTGGTTTGTAGCACGATTCAAATCAAGAACACGAAAGAGTGCAGCTCGGCAGGCACGACACCACGATTAGTCGAAAGATTTGCCCTTCAAGGGGAACTTTCACCACAGGAGCGCTGTCCATTCTCAACGACGAAAACCAAGCCGTGGACAAGGGCCACGAAGTTATTGGAAAAGAAAATAAACAAACAACCGAGCAGGAAACTTCTATCCTGTCCTCACACGATATAAGCTGTCATGCCGTAAAGGCGTGCTCCACCCCGAAATGACGCTCGCCTGCCCAGAGCCTGTCCCCAGAAGGTGACAAAGCCTGCCACTCACCAGGTCCCCGGGTATCCACCTTTCGCCGCACTCCGGCTGCTCCAAGACTCCACTTATGTCCGTATCGCTACAAGTCCGCAATCCTGCGGGTTGCTCTGGATACATCGTGACCCCATGCTTAGCAATTCGTACAAGAGGTGGTTGATGGAGTGTTGGCGCAGACACAGGCTGAGAGGTTTGATCTCTCGGAGAGTACAAATAGACATGAACGCGCCCATCTGCTTGACGAGATGTTCTCAACCATCACCGAGCCACAGCAACAGAGCAGCGCCCACCAAGTGTTATATCCTCTAAACAACACCCCAAACCTCACCCAACATGTCCAAGATTCTCACCGTCGTCGGTGCCACTGGCATCCAGGGCAGTTCCGTCGTGGCCGCGCTGCTCAACAACCCGACCTACACCATCCGCGGTGTCACTCGCAACACTGACAGCGACAAGGCCCGCGCCCTGGCCGCCCAAGGCGTGCAGGTCGTCCAGGCCAACCTCGATGACCTCGAGTCCCTGAAGCGTGCCTTTGACGGCTCGCACGCCATCTTCGCCGTCACCAACTTCTTCGAGCCGCTCGCCCTGACCAGCGACATCGCCACCGCGATGCGCACCGAGACGCAGCAGGGCCGCAATCTCGCCGATGCGGCGGCCGCCACGGCCGGGCTGGAGCACTACATCTGGTCTTCCCTGCCCAACTCCTCGGAGAACACAAAGGGCCAGGCAGACGTCTGCTACTTTGCGAGCAAGAACGCCGTGGACGAGCACATCCGCACCGACCTGCCGGAGCTCTGGGCCAAGACGACGCTCGTCTGGTTCGGCTGGTACGCCGGAAATATGGGGTACCCTCTCTTCACGCCGCACCCGCTGGCCAACTTCGACCCCAGCAGCAGAGACGTCGTGCATCTGATCAACGTCCCCGGCGGGACTCTGATTCCGATGCTCGGCAGCACGGCAATCAACCCGGGGCTCTTCGTCCGCGCCATCCTCGAGCAGCCCGCCGTTACCTTGCCGGGCAAGGCGGTCGCCGGGATTGTCGAGTACCTGTCCGTGGAGGAGCTCGTCGCGTCATACGAGCGGACCAGGGCCGAGGCAGCGGGCAAGTCGCCGGGCAAGACGCACGTGATCGAGGTCAGCGATGACAAGTACGCCGAGATGTGGCCAGTCTGGGGCGAGGCTCTCGGTACCTCCCATCGTTACATGGAGGCGCTGCCTGGCCAGTGTATGAGCAGCGTGCACGGCGAGATTGAGGTGTTGCACCGGGGGGACCTTGCCGGGCTGGAGGGGTTGGTGACCACCGAGCAAGCCTTTCGCGACATGGCAAAGGCAACGGCTGTGTAGGCTAGTTGGATCAACAGGGTTGCCCCTTATGAGTTTTGAGAGCCTACAAGATTCTCCTTTCACCTTTGTAGACTAGATCCGGGACAGATAAGACATACGTTACAGTTTCTATTCGTGCATGTCATGCTGGACCAGGACGGGGCAAGTCTGTGAGGCGTACGCAACTGGGGTGTTTATCATAAAAAATATGACCATGAAAAGCCGCGCTGGCCTCTTGCACGCCCGCGAATTGCCTTGCGAATGCTAAAGTGTCAAACATGCGGCTTGGTGGACACAGTCAGTGGGAGGATCGAATCGGATACCACCGATAAACCCTGGCTCCCGCTGGTGGGGGCCGAGGTCCCGGCTTATTGCTGTGCTCCGACTTCGATTTCTAAGCACACCGCTCACCTCTTCGGCGGGCCGCCACCGAATGCGCGAATCACACCATGTTCTGTAGCAACAAACCGTCGTGATCATTGCTCGGCGCCCACGAGTCCACAAAACAACATGTCCCTGCGCAGGAGAGCGTGCAATGCTTGCCACACTGGCCGGCGGAAGTGTGACCTTGACCTGCCGAGCTGTGGATCCTGCTGTCGGGCTGGAAAAGACTGCCGCTATCTGTACGCCCCCATCCAAAGTACGTTGACTCAACTACCCCGACCAGAGCGGGATGGTCACGCACATGGCGACTCTGGGGAGTCAGCATCAAGAGCTCGGCATCATGGGGTGGCGGACGTCGCTGGGCGACGAAAACGGCAGGCAAAGGTGGCCTCGCGAGCAAGGCTCAACACGATACTGTCCTCAGCAACGCACTCCATGGACGCGGCAGACTATGTCCCGGACTCTGGTGGCATGAATCGCAGTTCAAGGTATCGGATCGAAGTATCCTCGTTGGCAGGGATTGATAGCTCGGTTACGGCCGTCACTGGCCATTCCGAACCCATATCGCCAGACTTTGAAGGCGAACACCACCGCCATGAAGCAGTCTCTGAGACAGCGCCTTGCTTATGGCTGGACAGTAGCATCGATCTCAACCCAGACTCATCACCCAGCAGAACGAGTGACACAGACCCATTCTCGGGTGTGAGCACAGGCAGAACTGCAGCAGGCTCACCTTCATCACTTCCCGCCACCAACGATACTCCCTCTACAACATCAACTCGACGAAGCTCTCCGCAAATGGCGTCTCCCAAGCCCTCGGCCCCCAATTTCGTGGGACCCCTCGGCATCCCGCAGCCTGTCGTGGGCAGGACAGAAAGCTGGCGATGGGCCATTGAGCAGTTCAAGTCGCTGCCCCGCGAGTTTGCACAGCGCGGTGAGACCATCTTCTTGCCCAAGCATCTCCACTTATACAGCCGACATGATGGCGACCGCGGCGGCAGCGGAACGGTGGTGCCTCTCCCACGGACCATCAGGGCTGCGCTTGGTGTTGCATCTGCGTATGCCGTGGCCGGCGAGGACAACAGGGACATGCTCTTCCAGATCGTCAGCGCAGAGGTCTTGGAGCTCATGCTGCTCCTGACGTCCTCTGCGAACGGGGTAACAGAGGGCCCTTCTGTGCTGGAGGAGCTGGCCCAGCTTCAGGCGCTGCTGATCTATCAGATTATCCAGCTGTTGTGTGGCGGGATCGAGCAGCGCGTCATGGCCGAGCAGCAGCGCGACATCACGCTCATGGCGGCGCTCCGGCTTGTCCGACGAGTCAACCGGACCACGTCGAAGACCGAGGGCGGCGGCGGCGAGTCGCACGTGGAGCAGGACCAGAGCTGGCACGACTGGGTTGTCGCCGAGTCGGTCCGCCGCACGGTGCTCCTGCTCTTCTGTCTCTTCACCATGAACGACGTCCATCGCCACGGCGTATGCCTGGCGTTTGACGCGCTCTCGCAGCTGCCCGTGACGAACCGGAGTGATTTGTACTGGGACATGGCCGAGGCTGAGTTCTCCCGGGCACAACATGAAGGCGGTGACGAGAAGACGAGCCGTGGCAAGCAGACGGTGCAGTATGCACGTTTCACCCAGGGCTGGTTGGACGCCACACCTAGACGGCTTGGTCGCTTTGAGACGATGGTACTGGTCATGTGTAAAGGTCTGGATATAGTCAAAGCGCACAGCCTGCCCTAGCTGGCCCGTCGAGGCTCCATGTCTGGGACTGCGGGATCACATTTTCTGAAATATCCTAATGGCGGTGGCGAATTTCTTCTCAGGCCGTGACTAGCTTGTCCGATGCAATGAAACAAACGGCCCACAGTAGAATCCTGCTTGCAAATGACGAATCCGCGCATAGGATCATGTCCGTATACTGGCTCGTGATGAATACGTAAGCGGATCTGACAGTTACATCCCCGTCGGGATCCCCCCTGCCTGCCAGTCAATCCTTCTCCGCCCAGACACTAATGGACTCTTTCTGGTCCGGCCAGCGTGTTCCTGGCGGACGACAACGCCGCGCACGCTGCTCGGGACATGGCATTTACAGAGGCGTCGGGTTTCAGGTATGAGACGAAGCATGCACAGAGGCCTGGATGCCTCGCTCCCTACCGCGTGGCACTAGTCCGAGCTCGGGCAAAGATTGCACAAAGTAGCAGTAACCTTTCCCGTGTTTGATCCGAGCGGGGTTCCGGTTCCGCAGGGGGGGGGGCATAGTGGCGTTGGCTGCTTCGATCGCGAGCTGCCCTGGCCCATGCTTCTAACCTCCGCGCGTTACAAGGTTCCAGATCTCCCCGTCAGTGCCGCATTGGTAAGCGCAAGGCCTCTGGACCGCATTTATAAGCGACATCTCGCTATATAACAACAGGACAGCACGCCAGAGTTGGGAGTCTTCCGCGAACAGTCCCACAGCACTCGCAGACATGAGCAGCTCTATCCAGATCAACGACCTCTTTGGCGTCGACGGCCTCGTGGCCGTCGTCACGGGGGGCGGCACTGGTAAGCGCGCGGCCCTCTCTACCGTTCTCGAGACTGCTACAACTCAAGCAGGAGGCTGATCTCAACTCGCATCAAGGCATCGGCCTGATGATTGCCCAGGGGCTCGAGGCCAACGGCGCAACAGTTTATATCCTCGGCCGGCGGCTCGAGACGCTGCAGAATGCCGCAAAGACAGCTGTGAGCTCTTCCTCACCCCGCGGCCGCTGTGCGCCTTAGAATCGCACGATGTCGCCATCCCATGTCAAAATGGCATATCGACAGGGCGCCATAACGCTCCTCAGTGGCTAACCAGGCACCGCATCCCCACAGAAACACGGCAAACTGATCCCCATCCAAGCCGACGTCACCTCCAAGGAGTCTCTCCTGCAGGCCGCCGAGCAGATCAAGTCCGAGCAAGGCTTCGTCAACCTCGTCGTCGCCAACTCGGGCATCACCGGGCCCGGCGCGGCGGGCTACCCCGCGGACCCGACCATCACGCAGCTCCGGGACCTCATGCTGTCCTGGGACACGGCCGCGATGGTGCAGACCTACGAGGTCAACGTGGTCGGCGTCATCACCACGATCGCCGCGTTCCTCGAGCTGCTCGACGCGGGCAACAGGAAGGGCAACGTCGTGCAGAAGAGCCAGGCCGTGGCGGTCTCGAGCATCGGCGGCTTCAGCCGGAGGGCGTTGGGCGGGTACACGTACGGCAGCTCCAAGGCGGCGGTCATGCAGCTGATGAAGACGCTCTCGACGGCGTGGACGCCGTTCGACATCCGCGCAAACGTCATTGCGCCCGGTAGTAAGTCCTGTTGTTTGTTTTCCGTGTTTATTTCGTCGTCCCTGGGCCATGTAGACCATCCATGTGCATCCCTTTGAAGAAGAAATGAAGGCAACGTCCCTTCGTTTCAAGGGATCAGCGCGTTTATCGAAATCCGTTCTCCCGAAGCCCCTGCCCTGCCTTTGGCTCCGATCCAGCACTCCCTGTCGACCATGCTAATCAATCCGTCTCCCGGCCCTTCCTCTAGTCTACCCCAGCGAGATGACAGGCACCATCGTGAAGACGCAGGAGGAAAATGGCTGGCCGAGAAGCGTAGTTCCACTGCAGCGTGCAGGTGACCAGCAGGACCTGGCGGGTGCCATCTTGTTCCTGGCCAGTCGCGCAGGCGCATATCTCAACGGCAACGTCCTGGTCACGGACGGTGGGAGGCTAGGGGTACTGCCGTCGAGCTACTGAGTCTTTTATTAGACCCGCTTCGCCGTTCCCCAGTTTAAGCTTGTATCACTCTTAGCCATGGTTACGTTGTTGGAATACAGGCGAAACATGATCTGAACTGCAACCTGAGAGAAGTTACCGTGGGGCATCACAAGACCAGGGATAGCGCTATTTTGTAGCACTAGTAACGGTAGCTGTCCCTCTGCCGAAGCCTCTCCAGGCCTGAGACAAGCGCGCCCTATGGCACGCCCTAGGGGTGGATCGCAGCAGTCTGTGGGCGCCTCCATCGCCGATGTGGGGGTCCCGTGGCGTGTCCCCATGGCAGGCAGTGGCACGCTCAGAGGTTCTTCGTTATGATTGCTCGGCTTGGCAAGCGGAGAACGTTTCCCAACAAATCGGATGTTGACGAAGCGTGGCAAGGTGATCGCTAGCAGTAACTGTGTGGTGATGGCAGATGACAACGATGACGGCCTCCCCACAGAGCTCGGGGGAGCTGCTTTTCTGACTGAGCTCCATCGAGCCGTGCCTGACGGGGGCGAAAGCAGTCGTCATGGGACCCCTCGCGTAGAGTGACGCGCCGGCAGGCTCCGTTCCTGCAAACAAGATCCGTGACCGGTTTCTGGGTGGCCCGCCAGTAGGCATTAACCTGCCAGGCCCTCCCTGTCAGCAAGCACGGCGCGGGCCTGTCATTCGCTATTCCCGGGCCCTCAGCAGCGATCGGCGGCGCGGACTCCTAGAGCGGGGGCACTAACGGCGCGGCGCAGAAGCCCGATGGCTGCGAAGATCTCGATGTCATGAATGCAATTTGCGAATTGCCCATGGTCCCAGAGGAGGTCCGCCTCCCTGACCTGCGGCCACATCCCCCGCTTTCTCCCTCCTCTCTGAAACCGCAAGTCCTCGAAGGTTTTCTCGGAACGTAGCCAGAACATCTTTTTGGCAGTACAACAGACCAAGCTTCGAAATTCGCCCGGCACTCAAATCACAGTCCTCAAAGTCACCAGCACTCGGCGTTCGGGCAGAAACATCCTCAATCACACCACAGCAGCACGCGTCCATGGAGTACACATTCCAGCCCACCAGGAGAGGCCCATCGCATCGCCGCCGGGGAGTCACGATAAGCACATCGACCACAACGACGGCGAGCCGGCCGCGCCTGGTGCACCACACACCCGCCACGGGCAGCACAATAGACACCACTCGCGCATCGCCATCGTCCTACACGTCAATATCAGATGCAGGCTCGTCGACGTCCTCGACGAATCCCTTTGACACGGTCGACGAAGCCACCCGCCAGTCAGCAACAACAACGAGAACAACAGCAGCAACAGCCCCGGCTAACCCTCTGCCTCCTCGCGGGCAGCAGGAATTGCAGACCTTCGAGGTCCAAGAGCTCGACCCGAGCGACACCCAGGAAACTTTCGACCTGTCCCCTCCTCTGCAGATCTCGGGCCACGGCCAGTTGCTGCTGTGGCAGGGGTGCATCGTGCACATCTACCACAGCGACGACGATACCACCCCTGGAGAGCAGCTGCCACTCGGAGACGGCAAGGGGATCGTGCCGCACGGCGTGTCGGTGTGGTTGGCGGGGAGGCATGGGATGGTCAAGACGCGGGACGCATTGTCGCCCTGAGTAGATGAGATGCAGCTGAAAATAAATGTCGTCAAGCGGATATGACTGTTTATGCTTCGTTTGGGTCCTGTCTTTATGCCACGGCGTCTGTAGCGTCCATCTCGCGGGTATTTTGGCACACGGAAGCTCCGATACCCTTTCTTTATTTTTTGTTTTTCGCATCTCAATCTGCATCATGGCGTTGATAGGCGTAGCAATATATCAAAACAGCACTGGGGCCTCTCCTTTATCTTACAACACTTCTAATTATCGCGCTTCTTGTCAGCCCGTCCTACCGTGCGATAAATGTCTACCCATCGTGTTCCTCGGCCTTTGCAAGGCTGGAATGTCTTGAAAACGCCCCCCAGGCCTACATCTATACACAGCACTAGACCATTACACAATCACCCGGCCCCATGCCCGCTCATCCCGTTCTTCCACCTCCGCCAGGAAAGCGCCTCCTCCCACACCACCTGCCCCGGCTCATCGCACACGGCGTCCAGCCACAGGAAGCGCATCATGCGCGCCTTGCAGTCCAGCCAGGACGACGCCATCCCGCCGTCCTCGGCACGATGCCCGTTTCCGTTTCCATCCCCGTGCCAGTTCCCGTCGCTGTGTACGGGGTACTGGCTGTGATTTGGCATCTGATGCCGCTTGTGCTCGTGGTGCTGCATGTCCTCGGCGAGCAGCTCCACGTACGCGTCGTGCAGGGTCGTGAACCTCGTCGCGATGGCGCCGAGGACGATCGCCCAGGAGAGGAAGTCGTCTTCGCCGGGGATCTCTGGGGTCGTCGTTGTTGCGGTGTGTCCTCTCGTTCCAGTGTGAGCGGCCGACCGTGGTTGCTTCTGTTCATGACCCGGCAGCACCGTGTAGCCCTGCGACGGCGACGGGGTAGGCGAGGGCGAGAGCTGGACCAGCCGCGGCATGTGGTCGTAGCTGTCGTAGACGACGTCTGTGTTGTATTCAACATCGTCAAAGACGACTTCCACCTCGAGCTGCTCGTCGGTCCACGGACAGTCCCCGCCAGCACCGTTGCCGTATTGCTGCTGCTGGTGCGGATGCTGGAGATGCAGCCTTCCCAGGTCCTCGCCGAGCAGGTAGTCGAATCCTCTGACCTGGCCTGCTCGACCGATACCACCGTGGCCGCCACCCGCGACCGCAGACGCCTGATGGAGGTGATGATGACCTCCCTGACTTGAGGTGGCATTCGCTCCACCACCAGAAGACCGCCGCAGGGCTTTGAGCAACGGGAGCATGAGGCCTGCGTGCCGCAGCTTGACCCCGGTGCGCGCGGGCGTCGGGAAGATGACCATGTCCTGGTAAATCATGGCCGCGCGGCGTGACAACTCGCGGAGGACCACGTGGCGCGGCAGTATCCTCTTCCTGCTGCTGCCCTGATCTCCCGAGGCGAAGTGGGTATCGTCTTGCTTCTTCTTCTCGTCGTCATGCATCGGGGTATGCATCCTCCCCAGACGACTGCGGCTGCTATCGGCTGCTGTAGTCGTTGTTGGCCCCTGACCTGAAGACGTCCTTTCGTCACCCAGCTGCTCCTCATCAAGCAGAGAGCCCAGACACATCATCCGGTGCGCCACCAGATCCGCATTGTTCACAAAGAAGTCCAGGCTCCGGGGTGCGCCGCCCCCGCCTCCTCCTCCTCCTACTCCCGCTACTCCTCCCTCGCGCACGAAATGGTCAAAAGCGACAGTCAGCTCGGCCATCACGCCCAGCAGGCCCAGCACCTCGTCCTCGAGCCCCACCATCACGGTCCGCACGACCGTCGCGGTGGGCGAGTACGAGGGGGCAAACATCCCGGGCGTCGTCGGCGCGCTCGCCGTCTCCAGGACCCGGTGCGGGCACCGGACCGCCGGGAAGCCCGCGCCGGAGGTCGTGTCGAGCAGGAAGCGGGCGCGCGGGTCGGGCTGCCAGTCTGGCGTGTCCCGCATGGGCAGGAGGTGGCGGTGGCAGGGGACGCGTGGGGGTCTGCCGAGGCGGAGGTTGTAGAGCATGTCGGCACTGCGATGTGGAGATGGATGTTAGCAGCTGGGCGTCATTACTGGACACATCAGGGAGGGGTAGTGAAAAGGAAGAGAGATGGCTGTAGTAGCGCTGGGAACGGGGAAAGGAGCCACATAGAAAAACAAACTCACGGCGGCAGCACATATCCAAACACGGTCTGGTTCATCCTCGGCAAGCCCCCCTTGGCCTCGACCAGCTTGTACATGGCCGTCATGTGCTCGTCCCGCATCCGCATCTGCCCATAGATGTGCATGTCGCGGTACATGGCCAGCGGGGCCGGGGGGTGCGGCTCCGGGACGGGCGTCAGGTCGATCGAGTCGTGCACGGCGAGCACCAGGATCGCGAGCACCATGCTGTCCGTGGCGCCCGCGGCGGCGGCGGCCGAGGCCGAGGCCGGCTGCACGGCTGTCGAGGGCGAGATGAACGACGGTGAGGCGGTCGAGGCTGGCGAGTCAGCGGCCGCAGACGATAAGGTCGATGCTGGCGAGAGGGCTGCTGCTGCAGCTGGGGGTGGTGGTTGTTGTTGGTCTGGTGGCGAGATGTGGTCGTGGGCTTGCGGATGGTGTTGTGGTTGATCGTGCGAGAACGGGTGGGAAGACTGGCGGCTCATGCTTGCTGCCGCGGCACTGCCATGATGATGCCCGTCCTCGATCAGCATCTGGTGCTGCTGGTCATGCCGCTGTCCCTCGAGCTGCTCCTGCTGGCGGTGGAAGCGGTCAAGCTCGTACTGCAGTGCCTTGAGAGCCTTGTGCTTGGCCTGCAGGCTCGTCGTGAAGGCCTTGCGTTGTGTCGAGCCGTCGGCATACGGAACTGTGAGGTAGTGCGCGGCCGCGCCGGCGATCTGGGCAAACAGCGCCGCGGGCGACTCGATCGTCGCCCAGATCCAGCTTTGGGCCAGTTCCTGCTGGCCTGTCTGGGACTCGCCAAACTTGGCCCATGTTGTCGTCAGAGCTAGTGTATATCAATGTTAACCAATCAGTCCAGAAGTTCAAAGATGAAGAAGGCAGAGTGGTGATGCATGAAAGAGGTTTCCAAGCTGGCTTGAGGGGGAAAGGGGGGGACAAGAAACTTCGGCTGAAAGTTCCCAGCCGGGCCTCCCAGCAGGATATATGCGGTTGGCGAATCAGGGATGCCACGCTTGGAGTGATGACTACAATCCACGTAATCCGCCACACTTCTCTCTCGACAGGCCACCCACGAGGCAGGACAGAACATGGCGCACTATGCTGCGCCAAGAGGCGTTGGACAGGAGCCGAGTACCGGGCCTTGGCCTCCCACGTGGCGTGATCCGGAACCAAGTCCGTGCCTTGCTGTGTTTCCTTGCGGTTGAAAGAAAGACATCGAGCGGGAGGACGGAGGGTGGGGGCACACAGTGATGCCAGGGAACGACGCAAGACGCAAGACTTACCATAGTGCAGCATGAACTGCTCCGAGTGTGACAGGTTGTGCACAGCCAATGAGTCGAAGGGGTCCCAGGAGTCTGCGGAGAGACTCCGAGGGGGGTTGATATCGCCCGCTGTGGCGACAATGGCGCGTGACGAGTCGATGAAGATGTAGTTTTGGTGGCTCTGCTGTTGTTGGCTGTGGTGATCCTGTCCGATGTAATGTTGCTGATGCTCTTGTTGATAGTGATGATGTGTCGTGATCAACGCCGCCTCGAACGGCATCGTCGACGACGACGCGCCAGATATCGCCGAGTCAAAGGACCCTTGCCGTGATGAGGCTCCGTAGTCGCTGTAACCAGTGCCATCACCACTGTAGGGGCCGCCAGCGGTGGCAACATCGCCGCCGGGCGCTGGGACGGTCACATTGGAGCCATCTCCCTGGACAGAGACGAACCGGAATGAGCGCTTGGCCGCGGCGCTGCTCTTGGAGTGGCCCCTGCGCGAGGCATGGGCACGAGCAGCAGTTGTCAGCGCCGACTTGTGTCCACCTGGTCCAGCCGACGACGAGCCGTGGTGGAGGAAGACGAGCCCCGAGGGCGACTCGGTGGCCGGCTTGCTGGATGACGAGGACGACGAGGTTGGCGGTGGCCGGGATGCGCTCGGGGCCCCGCGCCGGTTGCCTCCCGCCATGTGGGCGGCGAGCTTTTGTTGGGCGGCCCTTGCTCGCCTGTGTGTGGGGATGTCGTACGGGACTTGCGGTGATGTTGGACTGCAGCCGACCTTACGAGCCTATGGGTACGGTAGCAGCAGTTCGGGACCTGCGTGCTTACATGAGCTGGATTGGACCGGCCCTGCTGCTTCTTCTGTGGTCCTCGGCAGCGCCGGCAGGGATTCAGTTGGCTGTTGGCGGGGGGGACCTTGGCCGTGGGTGGTTGTGTGCCGGGCCCAGTGAGTGAGTGAGTGGAACGCTGTGAGTCGGCAGCCGTCGAGCAACATGTGGCGCTGGGCGCGCGCTCAGCAGTTGCGGATGAGAAGTCCCGGGCAGGATGTCTGGCAGACCGGGCATGCCAGTATGCGGGACACACGAAGTTGGTTGAGAGTGGCGGTGTCGAGGCTCAAGCTGTTTACCTGCCTGTGGCCAGCCTGGTCGCGGCAAGAAGAGAGAGGGGAGGCAGGCAGGTTGCAGGGGTGACGAGGGCGAGACGGGGACAGGACGGGGGGGACCAGGTGCGACACTGCAGGGGCCTAAGGGCTTTTTGTCATCCTTGTCCCGGGCTGAAGCGGTCTGTCTGCAGACTGGCTGAAGGACCCCTGCCTGGCGATGCTTTCAACGGCTCAGCGTGTTTGCCTGGCTGGACCGGCAACGTTGCTCGTGGCTCGCAAGCAAGGCGTTGGCGGAAGAGGCGCGCAGAGGGGCCACCGGCTTTTTCTCGACGGCGTACCGCCCGCCTGGAAACTGGAAACTGGATGATGCGATTCAAAGTCTTCTGGTCGCCGGAGAAGCCTCCGCTAGTGGACGTGTCACGAGTAGGCAGTTGCCAAATCCGGCCTCTCGCCGCAGCCACAGGTGTGGGAGATGGACAGGTCGCCCAGGCACAACCTCGTGGGATCGCGGCAGTCTCGGCCCCGCCTCGCTCGCTCCCGTCCGCCCGTCCAGTGAGTTCATGACCATGTGCCGACGTCAGTCGAGGGCCCGCAAACTCTAATTCGTCGCCCTACGCCTTTTCCGGCAGCCAGCATCATTCCCAGACAGGACCATGGACCATCGAAAGAGTTCTCGATGCAAATCTGCAGCGTTCTGGGCCCCAGAGAATTGCCCATCATCAGTACCGATAACCGTGAAGCTTTCTTTCGTGGCATTGGGGTCAACGAAGAGGCCTCCGTGGACCAGCCTGCTGGCTCGAGACCCAAAAGTCACGTGACACGCTCGCCCAGCACTCAAGCACCGAACTGGACATTTATGAATGCAATGCCGCCTAGCCTAGCACTGGATTTCACTGGCCTGGCATCCCTTCCGCAAGCTCGCTATAAGCTGGTCAAGTCGCGAATCTGGTTGAACAAGCTCTGACGCGCTCAGGTCGTGAGAAGCCTAAGCGTGGCGTATGCAAGGCTAAGTCACAGTGGATGCAGGCAATGGCCTGATTGCCTCTCGACCGATCTTTCCTAGGCTTGCACAAGGATCGATTTCAAGTTGATCCTAGTGTTGTGCAACGTTCCACGCCTCGCCACGTTGGCCGCAATATTCGTGCGTTGGCTGTCCGTCCCGGCCGAGCTCTGGTCTGGGCGAAACGTCGACGTTGCGGGGCAGTGGCGCTCAGCCTCACTGTCTTGGGTAGATTGGGCCGGAAGGTCACAGGCCGTGCTTGGTGGTAACAGTGCCACGGAATATAAGTTCCCGTCTTATACCCAGGGTTGAGACCCTCAACACCCACAGGTCGAGAATGTACAAGATGACATGCTTTGTGTCGAGCGAGCAGCCTTTAAGGCTCGCGCACATGCCCTGTGGTGGCCTTGGGGTGGCAAAAGCAGGGGAAATGGTCACGTTTGTTAGTCGCTTCATAGCGGTCGGCGGCCTTGTCTATTGCCATTGGTTCGTCGTCCATCAATGGCGTGCGTGTGTGTATGTCTAAGCCTGCAGGAGCCATCGAGGAATCGCAGAGCCGTGTTCCTCACATCTAGAATATGGTCATGTATGTCATAGAGAGCTTTGGTGACACTGGAGCACTCTCCTGGACACGCAGCAATGATGTTTAGCGTTTGGGAACAGCCTTGCTTGACAGCAGGGAGCAGTTTTGCCATCACCAACTATGGCAGCCACTTCATCGAGAACAGTCGCAGCAATTGTTTCGCCGTCGCAAGTCGCGTAGACGCATTCGAGACACGCTATTCCTCTCCTTGACAACCCAGACATGTCCCATGGAACAGAAGTGTCTCTTATGTGCGTCTCGCCCAGTAGCCGGCCGGCCCGGCACGTGGCATGAGCGAGAGCTATGATGGCCAGATGCGGCTGCACAACGGTTGGAAGATTTGCGGCACGCGCCGCACGACGCCATCGGCCCAGACGTCATGTCGGCTTGGCCACGCGGCAGCCGCGTCTTAGCCGTCCTCGCCACCAGCACGCAGCTGCTGGAAGGTAGGCAGTTTTGCAGGCTAGGAGCGACGCCTCATGGCACGCGCTCCCAGTTGCGATATAGGGGCTCTGGCGACCGTCGTCGATGGTTTGGCCAGTTCTGTATGCTTATCCTGGATGCGTGAAGGGACGCCTTCACATGAATGCGGTAGGCGCCGATGGCTGCTACGGCATTGGTGACAGGCTAGAGGACACTGGGCACCTACAGGCTACGGGATGGTTAGATATGTCAGCCATTCTTAGAGACGGCGTCCGTGGACACCCATTGCTCAGTCGGAGAAGAGGCGCTGGAGCATCTTCAAATCGGCATCGTTGAGCAGAGAGCCCAGCTGGGACAGTTCCACCGGCCACTGATGGATAGACACAATGGGGGTACTGGCGTCCTGAGCACCGCGTTCAAGCTGCAGATCGAAATGATCAGATCGAATGGGGGACTATGCCCACAGGACGTCTTCCCGTAAGCCATAGACTCGCTTGACTTGTCTTGAACAATCTATGCCGTCACAGTCGTGGCCACAAATCAAATCATATCTTTCTCTCATGCTAGCTGTCCTGCAGAAGGATTGCCAGCCAGGGTCGTGCCTGTGGATCCCCCATCGCCCTGCTGCCTGAGCCTGGAACGCAAGAGATTGTTGCCAGGCAGACTTGGCTACAATATGCCGCCACTGCGGAAGAATCTTGTAAGATAGGCCGACCATCGCCACGTTGCAATGGGACAACCTTTCCCCACATAGACAGACAAGCTCATCTCAAGATAGCAATCAATACAGCATCCCTGAAAATCTTCCAAAAGTCCGCCTGGTCAGATCGAGCCAATCCATCCATCCACCCCTTCCATCCCGGGCAAGGGTCTAAAAGGTGGAGCGGCCCACCTGGACGGAGTCGACTCCGACAACTTGCATACACACCTGGCACACACAAAAGTGCATTAGGATTCACCAATGAGGCAACGCAAGCGAGGTCAAGGCTGCCCCTCCTTTCTTGCACGGCCTGCTTCGTACAGCCGGTTCGTGTACCCGGCTGTACCCGACTGTGCTCCCACAGGCTTGGGTCCATCGTATTTCGTACATTTAAAAACGGCCAGGGGGGTGGGCACTCCCCCACGGTACGTCACAAAATCGGGTGGGTGCGGGCTTGTGCGGAGGGATGCCACTCTTTGGGCCAGAACACGAGGAATGCGGCGGCTACGTCTCTTGGCGATGTTCCTGTCCTCTATCTCGGGCATCAGACGAGAGAACTTGCTGCGGATTTTGCGCGCGTGGGGACACGTCTGAGCGAGTTTCGGCTTTGTGTGGCTTAGGAACGCAGGCTTCTGTGTGGGATACCGTCAACGACTGCACACAGGCTGCCAGGGAGCACCGTTGCAGATGTTGCGGCTGCACCTAGACCGCAGAAAAAACCTTAATCACCGCCACGGTGATATGTCCGGTGAAGAATCATAGCTGGCCCGTGGACCCGCTGGACTGGAGACAAGCCAGCAAGTGGAGATTGTGTGCCGGATCCAACAGGCGTGGATAATGCAGCCACCGGCCCCCAAAACCGTTGATTTCGTTATTGCGCATGGCGTTTTCCCAAGGTTCATCCACTCTACCAATGCCGTGTGCTTGGGCCACTTGTTCAAGCCCGCCAAGGCCGGCATATAGCGCGCAACGCCCCTTAGTCCCTTATTAGTTCCGCCTGCAGCCAGCCAAATAGTGACAATGATTCGCCATGGAGCGCCCTTTCTCCTGATATGGACTATGATCTCCATGACCCTAGTTGCAACAAGATTGAGGCGCTGCTGCTGCCTATGCTCCTATCGCTATCACAGGGCGTCTCTTTCGTCAGCATAGCCACGCGGCTTTGCGGCACGGCAACCTCTCCAGGCTGTGAAGATACGTGCGTCATTGTGATTCATCTAGGTAGCCTCGGCTCCGGCGAGTCTTGGCATTGTCGCACTGCTCGCTTTCGAGGGAAAAACTGCACAAATGCTCAATCTCGTGACAATCAGCCGCAGGCACCACAAGAAGACAGACAGAACGGGCGGCCAGGGAGATGAGCTTGTTCCTTCGCTGCCATGGTTGCCGCTGCTGCTGCTGCTGCTGATTGCTGTTGTGCCAGCCGAGGAAGCCGGGTTTTGGGGCGGTTTAACCGGCGCAGGAGAGGCCAGCCCTCCCGCATCTTTGGCTGGAGAACAGTTTCCCCAGAGTATTGCCGACATGCCCTTTACAACTGTCGCGGTTCCTGCTGTCCTGTGGCCATGTAATTGGCCAGGAGACAACACCGACATGAGACAACGGCAGCCCGGGGGAAACCGCTAAGCCAGTCATGATCCTCGCGCGGCGTCCTCAAGCCACAGCCGGGTGTTATTTTGAGCACAAGCGCATGTTGCCGGCCAGGGGTCGAACTCTTGAATTTCTCTTTGGTTGTAGCCTGCCTTGCTCCTTGCCAATCGGAGCACTTTTTCCCCATGACCAGGCCAGGGGGAAGCTGGACAGCTGGGTCTGAGAAAAGTGCACTTTTGGGGCTGAAAGACCACAGCCCGGGGTCAAGGATCTAGAGGAGGATCGGGCAAGTGGGGAATGCCTGTTCTGGACCTGGTCGGGCACTCTGTCCATCGCGGGTGTCACCCTGCAGTAAATTAATGGCCCCTCCTTATGTGCCTTGGTGGCACCCAGGAAAACAAAAGAGAGAGAGATAGGGCTCTCTCGTCGTCGAGCAGCCGCCGCGGCTTCGTCATGAGGGCTGACGACAGTGGCAAGGCAGCAGTGACACAATGGCCCAAGCAGCAAAGACACACCACGACCATTAGGGCCGAGGGGGGCTACTGTTCCATTCGCAGGGCTTAGCCCATGCACGCCCTTTAGTCTCCAAGGACGTTGTGCATTAGCCGTCCTCGTTGGACTCACCTCGCCAGTGTAAGGTATGCATTCCTGTCGTTCACTGGCCACGGCCGGGAAAATCCAACAGCCCACGGCCCCCTCCTTCTCCCCTCGTGACAGGTTTTGGCCCCCAGCGGGACGCCCACCCCTAGGATTTAGAGTATGCAGGGATCCCCCCTGGTCCGGCCCAGCGCAATCGCCAAAGGTACCAGACAGCATGCATTACAGAACCAGGGGCCCGGCAGTCCAAGGCCAAGCTAGATTGCTTCTTGATTCTTGACCGACCAGATGAAGACCAGAGTCATATGCTGTTTCTGGTCCTCGTCGTCCCTTTGCTCGCTTGGGCTCGCCTCGGGGACTTCCGTGGATCCCCCCCGTGCGTTCACTCTGCCTACATTACATGACAGGATGCAGTCACAGCCCTATGTAGGGCCAGCCCACCACCCCTTCCAAGGTTCCTAGTCTGCCTGGCGGGCACCGCGCATACTTGTACGTGAGCCCTGCCCACAAATGTAGGCTCGGCCCGTAACGCTCCAGGAGTCCTCAACCTTTCTACCCAACACGGACCGCAAACTATGCTCGGTGCCGTATCCAAGTTCCAACATGGCCACACACTATATGGAGCAGCGGGACGTCGACGATGATCTGTCAGCCAGCAGCCCAGCAACCACGGTGCACACGCAGAGCACCACCGCCCACGCGGGCGCGTGCTTCTCCCCGTTCACCGACGCCTCGGCGCCGTCGACTGTATCCTCGGCGCCTTCGAGCCCCGCGGCGTACGCCGGGAACAAGAAACAACAACATCACAGCCGGCGGCAGATCGGCTCTATCGACAGCATCGCCGGCGGCAGCTCGAGTGCCACGACTGCACACGAAGAGGATGAGTGGCAGCATATCACAGACCCCCGGGAGAGGCGCAAGGTGCAGAACAGGATAGCGCAGAGGAAGTATAGTAAGTCCACTCGTAGAAAAACCCCCAGGCCCCCGTGTCGTCTTCTACACGATGTCAACAATCCGAACCCCATCTCGGGAGGAGAGCAGCCAGCACTGACGATGGGAAATCTTGACACACAAACAGGAGAGAAGGCCGCCCTCAAGCGGGAGACTGAGCGCCGCGACGCGCGCAACCAGCAGCTCGCCGGCGGGTCCTACGCCCGGCCGTGGGTGACGAGCAGCAGCCACGACGAGACTGCCACCGCATCGTCGTCGTCGATATTGCCTCGGCCCCTGGACAACGACGCTGAACAACACGAGCTCAACGGCGTGCCATGGGGCGGACTGGTCTTCAGCAGACCCCCCTCCATGATGAGGACCCAGACGCAGCATGGCTCGTGGCAGGCCGAGCAGGAAGAGATGCGACGCCAGTTCATGGACAGGCAGAGGCTGTTGTGGCAGCGGCAGCAGATGCAGATGCACCGGAGGCATCGGCTGCAGCAGCAGGAGCAGCAGCAGCAGCAGCAGCAGCAGCAGCAAGCGCACGCGAAGAAAGAGAGGCATAAGCACAAGAAAACACAGCGGCAACACGTGCAGGACGGGAATGTCCACACGGCCGGGTCATCCTCTGCACTGGCGTCCTCCGCGATGCCGTCACTGCTACAAACACAGCACGGTGGCTTTCATAGTGATGGCGTGCCCCAGACTATACAAGGTCAGATGCTGCCAGGCACAGCGACAGGGGTGGCGACCAGTGGCTACCAAAACAACATGTTCTTTGTCGCCGAGGGTCCTCAATCAACAGGCCACCTTCCTCCGACAGGAGGAGCAATGGACGCCTTTTTCCGGGGCTCCGTGTTCTACGACTCGTCGGTGCAGTCACTTTGGTCGGAGTACACGCCTATCGATCCGTCGCTGCTTGTGAACATGGGGGGCGGGGCCATGATGCATTTGTCTCCTGCATTTGGGGCAGGGCATGGGCAGCACGTCGGTGGGGACGGCGGTCTTGTTGATAGCATCATGCTGGATGATGATGCTGGCGTAGAGGATGAGTTGTTGGCGTGGCCGGACTAAGCGAGGACAGCATGGAGTAGGGTTGTTTTTATCTCTGCTAAAATGACATATGATACCAGAGTCAAATAACAGTAGAGCTGCAGCAAGTAGAGATGGAAAGGATAGGCACGACTGTGCACTTTAAACCTCGCCGTGCACGGCCGGTACTGAAATACCGCACTGTATCTATTAATGTAGTAGTGAGATATACATCACGCACTGTTCACAGAGGCCGCCGTGAGGTTGTCCTGATTGCCCTGTGAGCTCAATTACGGACAAACGAAACCGCCCCGTAACAATCGCAAACAGTGTTTACGAGTAAAGACTGTTTGTAGTCAACAACATCTCTTTGTGGACAAGTCCTGGCACGCCAGAGCATAAGCGAACACCAATCAGCTCAGCACTCAATCTCTTCTGGGCACTCGCTGCACTGCTCCGGTCTCTCTGTCTGACCTCAGGACTTTTGCTCCGCCATCTCTAGTTCTCATCTTACATAGGAACCAACTTCCATCTTATACAATCCCTCTCGCAGCCGGACCACAAACAAACCACCACCTACGCAACAGCTCACGATGCCCACCATCAGGAAGCAGGAGGAAGGCACTCCAGTCAATATCAAGGCCGAAGACGCAGACGAAGCGTGGGACTCGGATGCGCGCGACGATGTCGCGGTCCACAACCTCAGACTCAGTCCCCTTCGCCCAGCGAAGCGCTGCCACGAGTCATCATCGCCCTCGTCCTCGGTTTCATCGTCTGGAGAGGACGTCATCCGGCCCTTACAGGCAGATGGCAGAGCTCAGGCCACGCTCATGCCAGCATCTCGTGCTCTTCTTGCAGTAGAGAACGGTACCTCAACCTCAGCGGCTGCCGGCTTGCGTTCCCGATCAGAGGGAGGACGTCCCAGCAAGCGTGTCCGACACGAGTCTCCCAGAAATGCTGAGCCACCCATCCGCGATAACGATAATGCCAACAATCTCAATGACAACCGTGGCGGCAACCATGAGGCAGCCGCTGCTTCGCCCAACACACAAGACGCCCGTCCAATCCCTCTCGACCTGAACAAATGCATCCTCCGTCTCAACGCAAGCACCGGCTTTGACGTTGCGCTAGCCGAGTTCATCGCTTCGGACATGGCCACGTCAGACTTGATCACGCGCTTCTCCTGGGCCAAATTCCTCGACTGGCACCATACCATTGAGCGACGGGGCTACAACACAGGCGCAGTAGACGCGGCATACGGGCGGTATGAGACTTCTGACGGGTCTGTGGTCAATGACAAGTACTCGTGGCATGTCTTCCTGCTTGAGGCGCAGGAGGCAGGTCATGCTGATAGCGCTGGTGGTTCTGGACCAAACTTCTGAAGCGTGGCGCTCGAGTCGAGGACAGTGGGCAAGATTATCACCGAGTCAGGCATGGATTGTATGGGCGCAGAAGAATGTTCGTGTTGTGAACCTCAGTACACAGAATGGCTGGGTTCGATAAAACGAAACACTTGGAGCTGCGGCTTTTGTTCATGGTGACGCTCTTGCCAGAGACCGCGGCTGCTGGATAAGAGACGTTCAACAAGACGTTCCGGTGTACGTCTGCAGTATAGTGTAGCCAACGTCCTCTCGATATCGAGGCAGATGAAAGAACATTACACCAGCATGGGAATTGACCACGTGCTGTTGACCAACCCAAATGTCCTTCTCTCCCACTACCGATCCTTTCCCCTGGACAGGAGCCCCGTATAAACCTTCCCTACTATGCCTCATTGTCGTTTCCCCAGCTGCTATTTGCCACTGAACTTGCGCAGCTCGACCTTGAGTGCCATGACACAGCCGCGCTGCTCCCGTACGAACACATCTGTCTCACTCCAGTACTTGGCGCCGACTCTGGCCGCCAGCTCGTGGTACGCAATGGCCGACTCGACCTCGCTGGGGCGGCGGAGAACCAGGCCCATCCCGCAGTGGGCCTCGGCGATGGCGTATGCTCTAATTCGACGTAGCGGTCATGACCGATAGTCAGCAAACAGGAGAAACGAAACGAAGCCAAACAACTCGTCAAACTGCAAATCACAGAAGGTGAAAGGAAACCAGACAGACAAACTCACAGTCCAAACAGCTCGGCCGGCTCTTGACCCCAGTTCTTCTTGCGCAGGTTCCACTCGCGACTCTTGAGCTCCCGGATCCAGGCGTGCAGCTCAGCCAGATCGATCCCAGCCATAGAGGCACGCTGATGCTCCAAGACTTCGAAGGTAGGATGGATCTGGCTGGCGGGGACGAAGCCCGGCGCTGGTCCTCTTCCTCTGTCTCCTGCACTCCCACCACCAGCAACACCACGGCTCGCACCCTCAACGCACCGCGCACATCCGCACACAAACCCATGGCACTCCCCCAGCGTCCTCCTCCGGGCCTCCCACGCCATGAACCTGGGCAGGTAGCTCACCAGCAACTCCTCGCCTGCCTGCAGGTCCCGCCGCGCGCGGAGGTGGTACACCCCGTTGTGGTCCACCGCGAACACGACGTTGGGCTCGCACGTGTGGTTCATCCGCGCCGCCACGGAGGGGAACAGCCCCGTGTACGTCTTGCCGTCCGCGGCGCCCAGGAACGCGATCCCGTTGGACGTGGCGGCCAGGTAGATCGCGATGTCTGCTTCCGTGAGTGGTTGTTGTTGTTGTGGCGGCACTGCTGCCCGCGAGTTTGCAGACGACGTTCCAGAACTCGCGGATACCGTCCGTTTGCGCCGCTTCGATGCCGGAAAGCCCGCGCCAGAGTGCGTGCTGCTGCCCGCGTTCGTACCGGGATCATCGCCTGCTTGGGTTGTCCCGCTCTCGTCGTCGTCCCCGTTGTCAGAGTGCGCGAGCTCAAGCATGATCCGTCTCGACCGCACGGTGTCGACGGGGCAGTGCAGGCTACGGATCTTGTCCTGGTCCTCGGCGGGGAGCCGGGCGAAGCACGCCGCGAGGCTGCGGCAGGCCTGGCGCGCCGGGAGGGATGCGTCGAGGGTGAGCAGTGCCGGCTCGCTGAAGATCAGGGTGCCAGCGGAGGTGTCGCGTCGCGCAAAGACGCCGTTGCCCTTGCCGGGAGAAGGTTGGATGACGAATAAGGGTGGACAGGACATGTTGCTTGTTGTTATAGGTGGTCTCCTGCAGGTACGTAGTTATGGCTGTTGTTGTTGTGGTTGAGTTTGAGACTGAATGGTATACTTACGTAGTTGTGCTAGATTGCCGCTCAGGATGTCGGGCGAGATGTCAGAGATATGGAGGGGTGGTGATGATCTCGTGAGGCACTAGGATGTAGAAGTTGGGCCAAGAATGTGCAGACAGCAATATAGAACAAGCCTCTAGGTCTATGGCAGAGGCCATTCTGGCCTAAATTATATCGTCGATAGTCTGAAGAATGCCTGATAACAAGTGCTCAGGTACAAACGGAATTGTGGTATAAAAAAGTACGATGGTAACAGAACGCTCAGGCATCGTATTCAACTTTGAAGTATGCATAGGCTTCGCGAGGCAGCATATTCGCACAGCCCACTGAGGCCACGGAGAGAGCTATTCCAACAGGTTGATGTCAGTTTGCGTTGTTGGACAAGGGCTAGTGCTGTCCTATATCTAGTAGCATGTAGTTCAGGAGATGGATACGACAAAGTCAACCATTGTTCATCCCCTCGGAAGTGATGCGGTCTGGCGCTTTGGCATAACAAAATAAATCATGCTGACTGGCAGGCCACCAATGTTGGTGATAACCTCTTGCGACGTGAGTCACACTGATTCCAATGCCTGAGAGAGGTCCCTCGACCACGGCGTCCCCTGCGAGGCTCGAGGTACCGCCCCGAGGCCCCATCCAAAGCCAGAAACCATTCTAAACCTGGGGCGTGCTTGGCATGCCACTTCGCCAAGTCTGACCCAGTGGGAAAACGACGTTCCAAGTCAACGCAGAATGTGACCACAGTAATACCAAATTTCCCTAACCGAGTCATCACAACTCAGAATCCCCACTGAGTGGTAACAGGCCCGAGTAGCGTGCGGCTACCCCCATAGGCTAAAGCTAAATGGCACTAAACTCTCCGCCATCCTCAGAAAATAGAGTGACCCAAACCCCGCATACAAGCTGTGCCGCTGAGAGACGGGCAAGACAAACGCTTTCGCGCTCAAGGGCAACCGCCACCAGGCTCTCCTATTTTGACTTCTCCAAGATAGTACTGATGGCTTCCGACGCTTGTCTCGACTGCTGTAGCGCCTTCACGGAGGACCAGTTCCTGAAGTGTCAGGCACTAGTCGGGCCGTGATTGAGCCCAAAAGCAGCTACCACGTGGGGGACTATTTCCGAACGATCTGCTGCAGGACCAAGAGTGCTTCCCCACCAGCAGAGGGATCGGAGAACGATTTGTGGCGGGCGTTTCTGCATCCCCTGCATGAGTGCTTCGCAGGCCATGCGTGCCTGACGAGGTATGATATGCACGCTGGGCAGCACCGAGAAGTAACAGAGTCATCTCACAAGGGGTTCTCTGGTGCCCGAGCTGAGGCACCAGCAGAAGGATTTGCAACAGGTACGGGCCCCAATGGGGAAAAGATATACTTGACTCGGTGTGGAAGACCAGGGCCGCCGCCGGCCCAAGTACCAAAGGTCAATGGCGCTCTCTCTCTGCACGGGCAGAAAATGCCGGAAATGGGCCACATTGCGTGATGAGAGTACAGGGGGTCCTGGCGATCTTACACAGCCCTGACAAAACCTGGCGGGTGAAAATCATTGCTTCAACCTCTGTCGACGCCAACCGCTCCGACGGCAGGCTCAGCCAATGTCGTCCCCAGTCTCCAGGGGGAGCTTTGCGACAAAGCGGGACCAGCACAGGGATCGTCGGCCGAGCAGGACGGACAATAGCCGACGGCTCCGCCTAACCTGGCTTCGAGAACTTTTTAGCCAGGTGCCGCACACACAAACTGGGAAGTGCTCAGCGCTGGGCACCCCTGTCAACCACTGCTGGGAACGGCGCCACAGGGCTGGGTCGTCATCTTGTCGGCCACGCAAGCTTTCAGTGTTTTTCTTTTTCATCCTGGATCGGCGGCCCCGGCCGGTTTGTCGCCCCCTGCCCACTATGGCATACATAGCTCTAGGGGTCTTGACTCAAGACGCCCTGACGTCGCCTGGGTCCGGGTTGGTATCTCCAAAACTCTATTTTGCCCCAACGGGCCGCTGCTGCTGCTCTCGTCCTCCCTGTGCGTGCTTCCACACTGCTTCGAGAAGGCCCCCTTCAGCACTAGAGAGTTTAGAGACGCCGGCCCCGCGCGCCCCGTTGTCCCCAACTAGACACGGTACCCCAGCCTGAAGCCATCGTGAGAGGATCCTTGCGCTGGCTGGTGTAAGGAGGCACACAGGCCTGGGCGTTTCGACGAGCTGATGGAAACCAAACCTGGACGCCCGACAGCAGCCAATGCTACCCACGCGGCCGCCCTCCCAGCAACAGCAGCACGCTCCCGAAGCCGGCCAAGGTGACCAGTACCAATACCAGCAGCAGCACCCCGTAGATGCGGTGCAGCATGTGCTGCGCCAACGGGTTCCGCTGTCGGCCTCTGCATCGCCAGCATACGCCGCCGTGACAGTCGAGGACCTCTTCCTGGGGACTTGCACCACGACTGCCACCAGCAGCAGCTACAATGACAGCTACAACGGCAGCTATAATGGCAGTGTGCTGGCCGCGGAGGACGACGAGGAGGGCGACGCGGCGGCCACGACTAACACCACCAGAGCGGGCAGTGGTGGTGACGGGGATGAGACAGCCACCGCCGCAACGTCCCCGCCCAGGCGCACGGGGACACGCTCGCGGCGCGGATGCTGGACATGCCGCAACAAAAAGGCCAAGAAGCGCTGCGACGAGGAGAAGCCCACCTGCGGGCGCTGCCGGCGCATGAACCTCGTCTGCGACTATACGCCCCGGCCATCGCTGGCGGAGCGCCGGCGGCAGCAGGCAATGCTTGATGCCCAGCAGCAGCAGCCACAGCAACATGAACATGAACAGCAGCAGCAGCAGCAGCAGCAGCAGCAGCAGCAGCAGCAGCAGCAGCAACAACATCATCATGATCCGCAGTACTTGTATTACGATGGGCAGCAGCAACAGCAGCAACAGCAACAGCAACAATATGGCCCCCAGCTGCCGCCAGGTATGCAGCAGTTTGGACCCGGCCAGCAACAGCACCACCATCATTACTATCCACATCAACAACAACAACAACAGCAACCCCAGACAGAGCAATATCCGCAGTACTACACTCAGCAGTACTACAGCGGCTCTCCAGACCACTCACATAATCATCCACAGGCACAGCAACAGCACCAGCGGGACCAGCGGCACCACCAACACCTCCTGGCACCACCAACACAATCACGACACTATTACGCCCCATTCTCCTCCTCTCCCAGCGCAGCATCCAGCTCTGTCTCGGCCCCCGCCAGCCCCCTCGCCATGGTGCGCCTCTCCACGGCAGCCGGCGAGGTCAGCTCGTCCTCCCTGCCCCTGGGCCCGCGGGACCACGAGGCGATCCGCTTCTTCCGGACCGTGTTCGCCAAGACGCACCACACCAAGAACCCCGAGTTTTCGCTCTTCGCCATCATGTTCGACATTGCCCAGGACGCCCCCATGGTGATGCACATGGTCTTGTCGCTGGGCATGCGGGCGATGGACCTGCGCCGGCCGTCTAGGCAGCAGCAGCAGCAACATCAGCAGTCGTATGGCGGAAATAGTAGTAGTATGGGTGGTGGTGGTGGTGCTGGCGGTAGAGGAGGCAACATGCCAGCCAACCGGACGCCATTATACCACTACTCCGCCGCGCTGCGCTCCATGGCCGACACGGTCTCGGCTACCGACGGGAATACGGACCCTCCGCCGCCGGGTCAGGATATGGACGCCATCCTGACGGCGCTGTGGCTCATGTGCATCTACGAGCAGCAGTTTGGCGACTCCAGGTGTCTGGGATATGCGAACCACTTGATGGGCGCGGCGTCGTTCCTGCAGCACCAGCAGCGGAGCTTGCGGAGGCTCAAGCCTCCCCTGACGCCGAGGATGGTTGTGGATGACGATAGCGATGATGATAGTGAGGAAGAGGAGGACGGGGACGAGGATGAGGATGATGACGGCGACGGCGACGGCGACGAGTCGGGAACTAGGGATGGAGAGGGGAATGAAACGGAGGACGACCAAGAGGTGGAAACAGAGGCAGAGGAGTCAGACGAAGAGCAGGAGCCGACAGCATTGGCGAGACACAACACCGCACAGGGGAAGGAACCCAGGCTGTCCGTCTTTTCGGCGCGCATCCTCGTCTGGCTGTCCCTGCACGACTCCGCTGCCGCTTCGAGCGGCCTGGGCGGACACTTGAACACGATGATGTATCGCATTCTAGGCAGCCAGGACGGCGAAAGTAGTTCACATATCAACAGATCGTCAGGGGCGGCCTCGCCAATGACGAGATCACCGCCGCCGGCACCGTGGGTCCCAGTCACACCACCCGTCAACCCGACCGATACCTTCCGTGACCTCTACCGCTACTCGAACCCTCTGTACCGGAGCATGTGGGGTGACGCCTACCCGCAGGCCGAGCTGCTCGACGACGTCGAGAACCGCGCCATCTTTGGGTTCCTGGCCAACACGAACCAGCTGCGTTTCCTTGTCGCTCAGCTCGCCGACGAAGCCGCTGGCAGTGGTGGTGGCGACGCCCCTAAAAGCGGCAGCAGCAGCACACCCAGCTTCGCGACCCGTGCGGCCCAGGTTGACGCCGAGATCCGGCGCGTGGGGTACGAGAGCACCGAGCTGCTCGAGGTGGCGTGTGGCTTGTCGCCCGAGACGGACAACTCGCACCGGCTGGTCGCGAATATCCGGACCATCGTGCCGCTGTACCACGCCGTCATTCTTGATTACTTGCGAGTGGTAGAGCTCTACAGCGGCGGTGGCGGCGGCGTCCGGAGTAAAAAGGCTGCCAGGGCAAGGGGCGCCGTGGGAGGGAAGAGCAAGCCGAACAGGACCAAGACAGCAGGAGGAAGAGGAGGAGCAGCACCAGCAAAGGCTCGAATAGCAGCACAGCGCCGCCGCGAGCGTGCCATCGCGGCGACGATGAATCTCGCGTACCAGACGTACCGGCACGGCGGGGACGAGCTGCTGACCAAGATTGCGTGGCCGCTGTTCATGGTCGCGATCGAGGAGGACCCTCTACCAATACACGGTGCCGGCGTCGGACATGATCAGAACCCCCGCCAACCCCAACATAGAGAGTGGATCCTCCAGCGCTTTGAAGCTTTCGGCGCGTACGGGGATAACTTTGTGCGGGCGGCGCGGTTCCTCAGGGAGAGGATGCTGCCGCTGCAGGATCAGCTGGGGCAGCGGGGGGTCGATTGGCGGGCCGTGATGAGAGAGGGAGACATCTTCATCCTGGGCATCTGACTGTCATATCTGACATGGGACAAGACGAGGTGTGGAGCCGGGAAGGATGAGATGTTGTAATGAATCGAGAATAATGTAAGAAATAGAACAATAGACAAAGATGGCGACATTAACTATATCTACGCGTGTCATATAGTGAGAGTAATGCACTTGGAGTCAAGAACGGGAATCAGAAAAGCCAGTCCTCTCTCGTCATGTTATCGATGTGCTGTTGATATCCAGTGGGGGTCTCAGCCCCCAGAGTCAAGCCCATACATGCCACAATCCGTGTGTGACACGCTGTCGCCCATCCCCAGCGATCGACACATACCAGGACAGCTGCGCTGATTGGTCTAGATACCCGAGACGCCATTTAGTGGTTGGTGTGATGGACGGCCTACATGATGACCACAACGATGATCTCGTTGTATATCGGGTCAGGAAACGTCAGCATGAGCATGCCCGAAGTGCTATTTGATCTGAAGAGTGTTATTGAGTAGTCTAGATGGAAGCATTATGGGTGATCTTTAAGACCCCGCTACGCTGCTCGGTCATCTCCGTCCTTCGCTATGACCAAGAGGATGTCTCAAAGAGATCCGACACGACCACCCACCTGAAAGAAAGGGAAACAAAAATCAAGGCTCGTCGTTGTACACCACCTTGTTTGATCCGTCACGGACTTGAACCGCAGACCTTCAGTGTGTTAGACTGACGTGATAACCAACTACACCAACGGACCCGAGAGGAAGCGGATGCTCGCATCTGATTGGTTGAAGGCTGCAGCCCGTTAAGAAGTGTCAACTGCGTGGATACGATCGTGGTCCCTTGGTGGAGCTGATGGGGCCAGCCGCAACGCAAGGGCTTTGTTCGGCCCGACCGAGCAAATTCTGGGACTTGGCAAACTCACCGCAAACAAGGAAATTTTCTGCGAGTGGCGAGGGTCGAACTGAGTTTGCCCAGGAAAAACATCACCGACAGTACAATGTGGGCAGCTGATGCCTGTTGTCCGAATGCAGCCGAGATGGCCAGTTCGTCCTCCAAACTTTGGGCTTTGTGTCCGTGAACGGGCCTCAGCCCTGTACAGGGTCCTTTTGTTCTCTAAAGTCGAGCGCAAGCTGTCCCGTCCCTCTTGGGCACGGGATTATCGTTCTCCGATGGTGTTGTTTCACCACGCGGTCTAGGCCGAAGCCACCCGCTTTCTGCAGCAGTCTCAGAGGTCCACCGACAGTTTGCAGACTGAGCACAAACGGCATCGCGATGCTCCAGGATCTCAAGTTCACAGCAGGCCTCCATGTACTTCTCTAGTCAATTCCAGGCTCTGGCCGGGCAAGCCGAAACCTCGAGGACCTTACACAATATCGTCATTAGTTTGAGGTGTGGCGCATGGCCATGAATGACTCCCCGCCGGATCGTGCCGGCTCCAAGGAAGCCACATGGCGGCAGAGGTCTGGCCAAGCCACATGGTCCAGCAATTGCTGATGTCCGGAGCCACCAGTGGACAAAGGCGAGGCTGCTCAAAGCCGACGGGATTCCCTCACGATCTGTCAACAGAAGGGCTCGATCCAGAGGATTTGTACGAACTTGTCAATCGGCTTGGCTATCACCTGTACTCGAGATAAACTACGCATGGCAAAGAAGTATAGCTGTGTTGAGTAATCCAGCTTCGTCACGCGACGTATGAGAGACCTGCACCAAGTCCTAGGTTGAGCTTAGCCAGCCAAAGGAATGACGCCTCCATCCTGACTCTCGGGGTCTTCATAGACTCCGTCAGACAGTCTCTAAACGATCTCGCGTCTGCCACGATGGCCATGTGTTGGTCTAGAACCTGGTGGTTGGGACAGGACAGCAAGCCGTTGACACAACTCTGCGATAGCGACAAATTTAGAGACATGGACCTGGGTGTCATCAGGCGGATTAGATGAAGGGTGTTGGCAGGCGGGACGTCCAAGACCTGGTTTCAGGCCCAAGAATGACACGCGGCTGCCAGGGCGCCTGCCACGGCGGCGGTGGCTAAAACGTGGGCATCCCAAGCAGCGATTGCTGTGGCAGTCGTGAAAGGCCATATGGCCACAGTGCAAAGAATGTATGGTGTGTGTAGGTGAGGCAGGGTGGGACATGTATGACTTTGGTGGCCTGCGGAGCACGTTCGAGCTGCCCTTCGTGAACGACTGGGCGAAGAGCCGCGGCAGGACACCGCAGAGCCATGCTATACTGCATGGTTGCTAAGGACGCCAGTAGTGACAGCCTCAGTATCATAGCCAGTCTGGGGCGGGCCGAGGCGAGGTATAGGGGTGTTCTTCCGCTCCTCGCGGGATCATTACTTTTCTTTTTGTCGGCAACCGCCTGGCGTTCTCAAAGCATCATGCGATTTCCTCATTGGGCACTAGCACTTCCGTCCGTCAATTACACAACAGAGGGATGACGTCAGAGGCTGCTATCCTCGCCCGGCTATTGGCAAAGCCGCTCCTCCCTGTTGTCATCTGACTCCACCAGGGAGACAAAGCGACCAAATGGCGGTGCGGAGCCGACGAGGAGGGAGGCCGCACGGGACAAGCTCATGCAATGTCGAATCATGCGACAGGAAAGAGAGACATACCCACTCGCTATGAAGATATGCTCCTCCCTGACTGGCACACGCGTCTCAGACTTTCGGAGGAATCATTGGCGGGAGTCAAATGTGCCAAGCTGTCAGATTTACGGTTTTAGAGATGCGGGAGTATCCGCATCCAGTGTCTGCCTGCGCCACGGAGGCTTTTTTTTGCGTGATAGGCCACGCTTGCCGTGTGGTCCTTAGTAAGATACATCAGTGCCTGAGCCAGCGGCTCTTGTCTGACAGGCGCACGGGGGTTGGCCGGGGGATCGGCATCCGATCTTGATAGGAAGGAACAAAGTTTACCGACAAGATCAAAAGTACCTCTCAAAGGCACCAATTCTTATCCTTAAATGTCGGACTATCAAGTAGTGTGCATCATCTCTTACTATTGACCTCGATCTGCACAAAACAATGAGATCGAGTTAGATCTCGAGTCAAAATGCAAACTGCTCCTCAACGATAGTACCGGGGCGATATTCCCTTATTTCCGAGAGTTGGTCCCACGGGCACGGGCACGCCACTGGCTGGTTGCATCAAGCCCCGATGGAAACTTCCGGGAATCTATCGAGCTCTGGCCAACTTTGTAGTTGCTGCGGTGGGTGTCGCACCAAGCACATACTGGTTAGTCTTCCATAGAGTCAAGTCATGAAGTTCATGACCCTCTGAACAAAGAAACGTACGCGTAAAGCTTCCGGCCGTGGAAGACGTCATTTGAGTTGCGAGCAAGGAGACGGTGAGATTCTTGGCACGAGAAGCGCATAATAACCTCACGCCGGTACACCTTACACCACAGTCAGTCGACAGATCTCGACTCTAGCCGGCCAAAGTTTTGCACGAGGCAAGTATTTCCTGCGCAGAAGCCATGAACGTCGACTTGCAGCCATAACGGCCTGGACGCAGTCTCAAGAAGCCCCACCCCTACTCTTCGTGGCATGTTAAGTGTGAGACATTGGCCAACCACATCTCCACATGTGTGTTGACGAACGGTAGCGGCTCGTGCCTCAACAAGCCTCGGGTTCTTCAAACACCCCGATGTGTCTTGCGTAGTGTTCGGCGCATGTCTTGGGGTGCCTCGAGTTGGGCCCCCTATGCATCTGGCCAGCCTGTGAGATCCGTAATGACGAATAGTAGGAACTTTGGCAGGAGGGCGAAGAGCATCGTGCTCAGGATCAGCAGGTAACCTCGAAATATAGGCAGGCTAGTCTAAATATATAATGGGGTATCCCGCCGCTCCCTGTTCGACAGTCCGGACCAGCCAGCCCTGAACAATCTGACAACGGCACACCGTCATTCGCGCTTCCTTCTCATCCGCTAGAGACCCTTTCAGCACCTCTGACCTTCCCAGAAGCACAGCTTCCGCGATCGCCTCTTCTTCACAATGAAGTTCTTTAGCATCCTGACCTTTGCTGCGGCAGTAGCCGCCACGCCGATGCCTGGCCTCGAGCTCAGCGTCGAGCAGCCCAAGGATCTTGCTGTCCGCCAGGCGAACCTTGCCACGGTCGTGCAGACCACGGTCCAGACAGTCAGCCAGACAATTAACACGAGTCTGGACGCCATCAGTACGTCCTAACATACCCCTCAAACATCGCGGACAGGCAACGCAACTTCCTGTGTCTCTGTGTCCCTTGCCGCCACGTATACTGACTGGTTCCACTACCCAAATGCAGCCACTGCCATCTACCAAGCCGGGGGCAACATCACCGTCCAAGTCCAAACCATCATTGAGGCGAACCTCCAAGCCATCGCGGATGCTCTCGGCACTGGTGCCAACGCCATCACCGCCGCCATCGCCGCCGCGGGCGGCAACATCGGCGCCATCGTCACGGGCTACGGACTCGTCCAGGTCGGGCAGCTTCTCAATGCTACCAACCAGCTCGTCGCTCTCCTCACCAACCTGGGCGTCAAGCTCTCCGTCATTGTCGAAAACCTCGAAGGCGTCCCGCCGGCCGTGCTCGCGGCGCTTCAGGCCGAGCTGCAGGCCATCAACGACGCCATCAGCCCCTTTGTCGGCCCCGTCGGCCTCGTTATCAATGCCGTGCGCGCCGTCAGCCTCACGGGCAGCCTGCTGCTGACCGGCTTCAATGCCCTTGTGCCGGGTCTGTTGAACATCATCTTTAGCCTGCTTGGCGGGATCTAAATGGGGCCTCACAACTAGCGCTTGACATCGCCCTCGGTGAACGTCAGAGAGGGTTCAGATTGTGGTAACCTGTACTAAACCTCGGATGAGTGGGTCGCGGATGACGGGGTTGGATACACGTCGGGAGTCGTGGTGTTTGATGGTCTCACCAGGTTTCAATTGAAGAGCATGCGGACTTTGGGTTTCTCCGTCCTGTTCCAGGCTAGAAGGATAATGAGTTTACGACATTTCATGTTGACGGTCCTTTTCTACGATTGGTATTTGAGATATGAATCTACAATATTTCGCAATCTCTATCGGACTTGACGCCTCACTTCATCCTACCCATGACATACTCAAACCCTCGCCTCAGCAAGCCCAATCTCCTCATATGTTCCTCGTCTCCTAATATCCCCCAGACCACTCCTTCCGCCTCCCTTGCCAGCATTGCTACCTTCCCTCCGCCGCCTTGCAGCACCACCGCAGCACGCCACTTTCCTCCACACCATGCCAAACAACCCCGGCATGTCGTCCTCCACCCCGGCCGCCGCGCTCAGTGCTTTTCCCGGGTGCACGACGGCAAAGGCCAGCAGCGCGAGCGCCATGGGCAGCGCCTCGAGGGCGTACAGGTACGTCTCGCTCGTGGTGAGACTGTTGACGGTGCTGCCGGAGCTCATCTCGACGAAGCGGTACACTATGCGGAGCGTGATCATGGCGAGGGCAAAGTACAGGGCGCCCAGCAGCGCGCGCCATGAGTCCAGAGCGGGTAGGAAGATCCCGGCGGCCCTGCTGCGCTGCGGACTCGCCTCGATTTTGTCCGCTGCCCCGGAGTGAGGATAAGAGAACGAAGATGGCAAGGCTCCGCGCCGCTCATCCCGCGCGACCTCGATGTGGAACCGCACCGCCAGGCCCAGGAACACCACGATGAAGAACTGCTGCAGGCCGATGCCGCCCATGTAGATGTGGATGGCGCGCAGCTGCTCGTCTGGAGGCGCCATGGGCCCCGCGGTGACGCCGCCGACAAACTGCACCACGAAGGCGACCACGTCGAGCGTGACGAAGAGCGCCGAGAAGACATACGCGGGGATGCCGAGCAGGGAGTGCGTCGCGGGGCGGTAGGCGTGTATCAGGCGGCCGAGGACAATGTAGGCAAAAGCGTTTATCCCTGGATGGCGCAGTATTCCGTTAGCTTGAGTTCTGAAGTTCTTCTCTTTCAAGTATCTGGATGGCCGCCCGGATACTTACACAACGGCGCGAGCAGGATAAAGATTTGCGTCATGAGATACAAGCCCGTGACGTCCTGGGCCTTGGTGCTCGCCGTGCGGAACACGAAACCGAGAAACTCCCACGCGCACGCCATGACGAGGATCCAGCACCACCCCTTCCTGTACTGCAGGAACGCCTTCCAGACATGGACGCCAGTCAGGATGCCAAAAGCGACGGCCGCTACGACTGCCGCAACGAAGGACGGATAGTACTTGTACAGCGCCCCGCAGGTCCCCGGTGGGAGGTACCCGTTGGCATCGGGCGTGATGGTACGAATGCAGGTCGGAATGACGATGTCGATGGTCTTGTCGGGCATGGTGACATGGGCGTTTGTGAAGCCCGTGATGGTGATGTGGCTGGTTGTGTAGAATGTGCCTGTGGGGACAGGGGTTGTTGTCGGTGGTGGCGTCGATGATGGCATCACGCCGCCGTCTGTGGGAGTTGCATGATCATCTTTCCGGACCAAGTAGTCATTGGCAGGAAGAGCCGTCGCCGTGACTGCTTGGAAATCCAGAGCCTGAGGAGCGGCCACTGGTGAAAAGATGTGGCCAGTCGCGAGGGAGCCGCTGAGAGCAAGCACGAGAAGTGGATTGGAATGCGGTTGGCGCATCTTGTGGTTGGTCTTGCGTAGTTTGAAGGCTGTAGGATGGGAATTACACTGGTTAGAACATAGACCTTCGTGTAGACATGATGCCGAGCACACTATATATTCTAGAATTGCCATGCGATATATTGTCTTTAGCTACATCTCGCACTTCTGACTTCGAGCAATGCAGCAATGCCTCACAATAATGTGAGTGCCTGGCGGCTCGTTCAGGGGTCCGGTCCACTGAGCTTGGGGGGCTGTGGGTCCGATGCGAGCGAACTAATCACATCGTCTTGGGCTGCGACACTTGAAGGCCCTGCCCATCGCTTCATGGCCCGGGGAAAGAGGCCAAGCTTTCTGGGAGAAACCATGCCCAAGGCGCAGGGCAATGCGAAAGTCTCTGGGACCGATATCCACTGTAGTTATGCGTGGTGGAGAAGCCGGCCATTGACAACAAGAAGCACCGTCTTCATGTGATCTCGCGCCGGCCGGCTTAATCGTCAACGACACACCTGCTTTGGTGGATGACAACGCTGTATCGCATGATCTTGCACGCACATCAGCCTAGTGGAAGACATGTGCCTATCCTATCGGCAGTTGCTATGCGATTCCTGCTGCCCACGCACTTCTGGATGCTGTTTGGTACTCTTCTCTATTTTTGGAGGCGCAGGCTTTGGAACCAGGCAACACTGTCAGCTTCTGCCCCACAAGGCTAGATCTGTCCTGTCCTTGGGGCTGTGCCTGTCTTGACCGGGCACCACCAAGGGCCGGCTAGTGGGGGCGAGTCCGAGCAGTCTGCCTCTCCTTCTGCCACCAAAGTGTGGCCAGCGCGTCCAGCAATCGTAGGCACCCATGTTCGCTGTCTGTAAGCCAATTGCGTCCGACCTGGAGCTTTCTCCGCCCATGGCTCTGCCTTGGTGTCCTGGTGCCGCCATACTGCAGAGGCTTCTGACTGTGTACGACGGCTTTGACCAACCTCGGACCTCAATGCATACACAAACTACCTTTTGTCGATTGATTTTACAAGCCGCGCTCCTTTTCCAGGTCCCTCCGAGACCAGATGACTTGCAACTGCATGACTCAGAATGACTCGACGGTGCCTTAAAAGCTTCTGTATGTGGGCGTCGGCATTGACCAATTATCTATGTAGGCGTTGGTATTGACCAATTATCTATGCGTTTCTCACTGAAATCTGCCATTCACTGCTTTTTTAGGCCCCTCTGAAGCCATCTCAGAGTACGCTGGATGACTCAGCGGTGCCTCCCCCAATGTGGACGAGTCCGGCGTGCTCGGCGAAGTTCATGTCAGCCACTTTGGTTGCGTGGACGGCACAAACAGCGGGGCGGCGACGCGGCAATAAGCTCCGAACGAGGCTCATCGGCCGGACGCGAATGTCAACCATAATTTGAGGTGCGGCGCCGGCAATGCATGCGTGACGGCAGAAAGGATATAAGTGCCAAAGACTTTCCGAGAAGTGCATCATAGCCTGTTTGCTGTCTGTTATGTCCAGCTCAGGACTCTTCTACTTATCCGGACTTAGAGGACATAAGCGCAACACAGACCCCAGCCCGCCGCAATCGCCGACTTGCAGAACTCTTGGCCCGCGAATTCGTCCTCACGGCATATCATTAAAGAACGTGGGATTTCGTCAACTGCTTTTCGACTCGAGATGTCATCATCATACGTTTCACTAGCAAACCCGACTTCCACTGCGATCGGTAACCACACAAACATGGCATTCCGCGTCTCATACTGGGTAAAGACCCTCCTTGGATCTCCCCGCACCACTCACATGCAAACAGCAAGACTGACACACAGCCCGTCCTCCACCACAGGTGATCCCCATATTCTCAGGCCTCTCCTGGCTCGTCACCCTGCTCGCCCTCCTCCTGTACTGGATCGTTGCAACCTCCTCGACGCACTACTCCTCCATGAGCCCCGAGCAGACCATCGCATTCATCTCGGACGTCGGCGCGTCGACCCTCAAGCCGCTCTTCGTGACGGGCTGCATCCTCACCAGCGTCCTCCTCGACGCCTCGTTCCTCTGCGACTGGTTTCTGAGGCGCAGGGGCCGGCTCCTGCCCAACGAGACGCGCACGGAGCGCGTGCTGTCCGGCCTCACCGTCGCCTTCGCGGTGGTCGGCATGGTCGGGCTGTGCTGCCTCGCCGGGTTCGACACGGCCAGGTTTCCCAGGCTGCACCTGGTCTTTTTGTTCTTTTTCATCGTCGGGTATCTGATTTCTGCCGTGTGCATCTGCGCGCAATACCGGCGGCTGGGGAAGCGTAAGTCTCTCGGGCGCGGGCGTGCCTCCTGTCAAAGCAAATCCCGTGGCATGATAGTTGGCTAATGTGTTTACGAGAGCTGCAGGGTACCTTGAAAACCCACTCCTCCGGACGTCCTACCGCATCAAGCTCGCCTTCGTGGTCGTCGAGTTCCTCCTCGCGGTCACGTTCGTCGCGCTGCTGGTCCGCGGCGGCGAGTACTACAACCGCGCTGCGGTCGTGGAGTGGGTCCTCGCGCTCGTCTTCTCGTTCTACGCCTTCTCCTTCGCGATCGACCTGTACCCGGCGGCCGAGACCTCGACGCGTCGGCAGCAGCGGCAGAGTGTGACGGACAAGAATGGGGTGGCAGAGCCGGAATATACTGTGGCCGGCGGGGCAGAGCTGGGCCGGGCCGACGAGGAGATGGCGATGCGGTCTGCGAGGGTTGGCGGGGAGGATGGTACCAGGCTGCTTTGAGGTATTGTCTGGGCTGGCAGTGGTAGGGCAATCTGTCCTGGGGCTTGATGCCACTCGTTGTCTTTGCGTTTTTTGGCTTTGAATTCTGCGCGCGTACTTCCCTCCCTTTATGTCTCTTCATAGCGCCGGCGTTGTATGGGCATTGGATATAGATCACTTATAGAGTTTGCATTTAGTCACACCAAACGTCCCGTCACGAGGCCAATCCAGGCAATTATGATCACCAGAGGCTCCTTGGCGGCCAAATGTTCGATTTAGCCCCAGTGTGCATGCTACAACTGCCATACATGCTCCCCATACCTTCCATTCTCCCATCATACCTCGCCCTTTTCAACAATCTGGACCTCTGGCCCCTCGATCTTTTTCACCTTTCTCCCTTCCCACCATGACATGAGGCCCGAGAACATGCCCGTTGCGCATCCGAGCGCGATGAATGTGCCCGTGGCCCAGGACTATTCATGAGAGACAAAAAATGAGTGTTAGTCAGCCATCCTTACGCCGTCGCCGCCCAGAAAATCGGGTTCCATCAGAAGCCGCAGGCCTGTTCTGGAGCAGCTGCCTCTCAGATACATGCTGTTGAGCTTCGCAGCCCCGACCGCACAGAGAGTAAACAAGACTTACCGGCCGATTGAACCGATTGTACCCCCACATAAAGTAGCACAGCACGACCTGGAACCCGGTGTTCATCACCATCATCATGATGGTGAAGAGCAGCTTCCACAGCGCCGTGGGCGGGGCCGTCTGGCCCGTAAACGTCATCGACCTGGCCGCCAGCCGGGGCTCAAAGTCCAGCTCCTCCTGCTCATCCTCCTCGTCGTGGTCATGGTGGCGCTGAGTGCCGTGGCCGAGCTCAATGTCGCCGCCGTTGTCGTCGTGGTCGCGGAACCGGTCGTGGTCCGTGGTGGGCACGTTGCTGTACTTTGCTGTCGTCGTCGTCGTCGTCGTCGATTGGCCTGCGGTATTACTCCCCATCGATGCGGCAGCACCATCGCCCCTAGCACCACTACCATTGGCCGCGGCGCCGTCTGTGACGGCCCACCGCGGCGGGCGGAACCAACCCTTGTTCTGCCTCGCAAGGCGCTGCATCGCGTCGGCGTCCCGGAAGCGCGTGGCCCGCACGAAAAAGTACAGGTCGCGGAAGCGCCACGGCGCGAGGCCCAGGCCGGTGACGCAGAACAGGGCGTTGAGAATCTGCGAGTCGATCTCGAGCCAGATCTTGCGCGGGGAGTAGTCGTCGTCGGCGTTGGGCACCGCCATGGCGGGGGCAGCGTTGAGGAGGAGGAAGAAGAGCATGGCCTGGGAGGAGTTGAGGTTAGTGTTTTTAGGATTTCGAGCACGAAGAGGGAGTCATCTCAACGGCGGAGAGTGATGCGTGGCCGCCAGAAAAGACTTACACCCCAGGCCTAGAAGAGTGAGAAGAATGTTAGCCGTCAAACCAGCAGAAGCAGCAGCACGAACGCAGCAAGACCGGGGCCAGACATACCACAATGTTCAGGCCGTATATAGTGATGCAGAAGCCGGCAAACGTGGTGAAGAACTTCCAGAACGCGAGCAGCCCGTTGCGGACCGTGGGCCCCCACTTCTCGAGCCTCTCGTGCTTGTGCTTGTCCTTGAGCGTCTGCCGCCTCTTGAGTCCCCTGAACCGGTGCCCGTGGCGGCGGCCCTTCCTGTCATCGCGGCCGCTGTCGGGCACCGTGGTCACCGCCTCCAAGCCATTCCCGGTCCTCCCAGATGAAGACGCCGGCCGGGAGGTGGGTGGCTTTCCCTGGTGGTCACCATCTTCGTCCTCGCGTACCTCCGCCAGCACAGTCCCCGTCCCCGTGTCCCGTCGCGTCAGCCCACCACCACCACCCATGAGCGAGCCCCTCCTCCCCGCCGCCGCCATCGACAAGTTTGTGTTTGACCGTACCAGCACGAGCTCGCCGTCGTCCTCCTCGGCCACGATGCGCGCCGAGTGGCCCTGGCTGTTGAACTCGATGTTGAGCCCGCCAGACTCGGTGCCACGCAGCTCTGCGAGGTTGGGCGCTTGGGCGATGGCGGTGCCGGTGGCTTGCCACATGCCCAGCTGCGGGTTCGTGTTCATGATGCTGACGGACGCGCGCCGGACCAGCTCCCCGATGATGGCGCCCGGGCCGGCCGGCCCTGGCCCGGAAGGACCGGAGCTGTGGTTGTGCGCGTGAATATCATGGTGGGCGCTGTGGTCTATTGCGGATGGAGCTGCTGCTGCTGCTGCTGCGGTTGTTGGATTGGCCACAGTCGTGGCGCGGGCGCGGCTCATGGTTCTCTGCTGGTGAGAGTCCGGATATGTGCGTGAGTGTGTTCCTATGTGTTGAGCAGGTTGTGAGGGCGTTGTTGAAATGGGAGATATCGCCCGTGCCGAGGCCCTGGTGCCTAGCGTGCGCCACTCCCTCGCGCTCTCCGGCGGTCGTCGCGTCGTCTGCGCCCCCCTTGCACTGCTATGCGTGCCTAGTGCTGTGTGTATTGGGCGCCCACTGTTACTGCTGCCCTCGGTGCGTGCGACGATCTGAGCCCTCGACTGTGTTTCCCCCGGCTGCGAAGAATGCGCGCGCTGTTGACTGCCCTCCCACCAGGATTGGGAGCGACGTGTGTGGGTAATTCATTGACAGAGCAGCCAGCAGCAGAAATTAGGTTTTCTGGGTGCCTCCGCTCGCCCGCATGGGAGCTAGTCGAGGACGAAGGATGTAAGCTCACCTCGATGGGTCCAGAGGATCCAAAGGTCACAGCTCGCATGCGGCCTAACGCTGGTTGTTATTTTCGGCCCTGCAAAGCGCGGGGAGCCCCCTGTGCAGTGCATAACACGCCAGAGGGGGGTCCCATGGCTCAGTCTGTATCCCGAGCAGTTTGGATAGTACTAGGGAGAACTAGCCTGCATTTTTTACCCTGAGTCGTCAGATCTACTGCAGGGCCACCTGGTTTTCTAGGACAGTAGGGTGGTGCTCCTGTTGTGTCCTTTACTGTGCACTTCAACCCGCGTTGTGTCTTCTCCAGGTACGACAAGAACACGAGACCTCCAGATCTGTCGGTCGGCATGCTTCGGGGCCGGGGCCCCCACTCCGACCTCGTATCGGAGCTCTTTTTGGGGCGAATCAGGGGATGGTTGCTGACTCAATGGCTTGTTTCGCGAACCATTTCAGACTACGAGGACAGCAACAATTGGATTCCCTTTTACGACGTCTTCTCCCTCCTCAACACACCAACATTGATCACCACTACGAGCACGTCTGTCCGCCCCGATGCCGGAACAACAAGGGACAGAACAACGACAACCGCGGTCCCGCGTGCTCACACGCCGCGCCCTCGGCGCCGTGGCAGTATGCTGCACGATCCTCACGACCCTCTCCCTGCTCGCGACGCTGTCGGCCGGCGGGATGGAAATCGACGGCGACTGCATGGACTCCCCGGGCCCCAGCAGCGGCGGCGGCGGAGGAGGCTGCCTACTCTTCCAGTCCCTCGCACCGCTGCACTTTAGCGGCATCCTGCCTATCGCCGACGACATCAATAACAACAGCACCACTACCAACATCTCCACTCCCAGCACAGACGGGCGGCCGAGATACCAGGTCACAATGTACTTCTTCCAGAACGCATTCTCCTTCCACTGGCCCGCCGCGCCGACCTGGGACACGGCAGCCGGCATCATCCACAATGTCGACCGCGGGCTGTACCCGTCCTCGCCCGCGCTGCGGCTCCCCTCGGACCTCGCCGCCGTCGCGCGCCGCATGCGTCTCCCGCACGCGGACTACGAGTGTCTCGAGGATCACCACTTTGGCGGGGGTGGCAGGCAGATCCGTGCCGCAACGGACGGAGAAGCAGGGGAAGCAGCGGCAGCGGCGTGCGCGAATCCGTTCTTGGAGATGTGGCGGGTGCTCAGTAGGCCGGAGGCGCAGCGGGAGGGCGGCGCCGGGGGCGTGTTCCACGCCATGGTGTCGAGTATCCTGTTCTTGTTCGCGGGGCTGGTGATCGTCACTCTGCCTCTGTATGAGTGGATCATGAGGATGGGACTGCCGGGTCTGTTCGCGTGGAAGGAGCAGGTGGAGGAAGAGGAGCGGATCAGGCTAAGGGGAAACCGGCAGCCGACGAGCGCTAGGCCCGCGGGCGGCGATGGCGGCGAAGCAGAGGAGGAGGATGACGAGGATCAAGACGCGGCCGGGCGGGAGTGTACGTGCCCGCCCCCGATGCGCAAGATGGGCCTCTGTCTCTGCTACAGACTTCGCACAGGACTCGCCAAAGCCGGCTCGCCAGCGGGTGTGCGCGACACGGCGAGAGCGTCGATGTTGAGCGTGGCCGGGATATTGTACGCGCTAGGAGCTGTCGCGTTGTTCGTCGAGGCCCGTCTGATCAAGACGTATGTCGATGCTGTGGATGAGGAGATGGCCGCGCAAGGAGGCGGAGGCATGCAGGCCGGTTACGGGGCGGGATTCTTTGTGTCCAGTGCTCTCACGCTGGCTTGCATCGCGGTGGCTGTGGCTTGCCTCGCCATCCGGGCGCGGATGGAGAGGCAGACTGGCCGGATCAGACTTGAAGATTACGAGACTGTTCCTGGGGTGGAGCCCGAGGACGACATCGATGGGACGGACAGTGCTGCAGATGCGGTGGCCAGCAATGAGGGAGAGCGGTAGCATGAGATTTATGACAGAAAATTGCGCAAAGATAGGCCCTAAGCAGGATTTGGGCAGCCTTCAAATTGGAATAGATTGATGCCAACCAGGAGCCACGCCGGGAGCGGAAAACACGCCCGGTGCGGCAGACCTATGCGAGACCTTCCGTTCACCATCAATCTTAGAAGGACTGATGATAGCTATGCGAAACCCAGGCCGGGACTAAATCATGTAAATGCAATACTATACTTTTGTGTGCATAACGCTTTGGGAATGGTGGCACATCTAGGAAGACAATACCACCACCACCTGCAACCCTGAAATCTAAAGAGCTCCAAACCAGTCTCCCGCCAAGACTTTTGATGTCTCCTCTTCTCTTCTGCCTAGCAATCAAACCTTTTATGACAGAGTCTTGACGGGCGTCTTGAGCCCCATATCGCTCGTGTCGTAGCCGTTGAGCTCGAGGTAGTTGCGGAAACGGACGTCCTCGTCCTCAAGGTTCTCCGGGTGCTATCGTGGCGGGGAAACCAGTCAGTACCACATCATCAAGTTGATTCTGAAAATCATGACTCACATTGGGAATCAAAAACCACACAACCAGAGTACCAACAACCGAGATGGCCGACCCGATCAGGAAAACCACCTGCTGGCCTTGAACCGAGCCGTTGTACGACGCCAGACAGGCCGACAGCGCCGTCGTGCCGATCGCGGCGCCCGCCTTGCCCACGGCGGCCGCGAAGCCGAGGAAGTGCCCGCGCAGCGGGGTGGGGAACGACTCGGACGAGACGAGGAAGTTGCAGTCGCCCGGGCCGACGGACAAGAAAGTCTGAAAGAGCGCGTAGAGCACGACGAAGAGCGGGAAGATCTTGTTCAGCTGGATCATGGCGCCGCCGATGACGAAGCCGAAGACGCACACGATGGACCAGCCCAGCGCGTAGGTCTGCCGGCGGCCGATGCGGTCCATGAGCAGCGCGCCGATGAAGGCGCCCGGCAGGGCGAAGAAGTTGACCAGTGCGGACCAGCCGATGCTCTGGATCAGCGTGGACTTGGTGTCGCCCTGGATCCCCGCGACGAGGGTCGGCGCGAGAAGGTTGAACGGGTAGACGACAAAGTCGTAGAGGAACCACGCGCTGCAGCAGCCGAGCAGGGGCTTCCAGTAGAACTTGAGGGCGAGCTTGTAGGGGACCTTGTGCTGGATCGCGTGCTTCTTGTACTGCTCCGAGTCGGCGAGGCGCATGCGGAAGACGAAGATGAAGAGCGGGAGCTGCGAGAGAGGATGGGTCAGAGCTGTGTCGACGTCGTCCCAAAACCTCGAGGGCTACTCACCACAATGCCAATGCCCATGCAGATCCGCCAAACGCCCTCGTGGGCCTCGCCGCCGTACGCAGCGAGCACGATGAGCGACACGATGGACGAGGCAACGAATCCAGAGATGATGGCTGCGTTGGTCGCAACAGCGACAAGCATGCCTCGCCGCTTCTTCATCGCAGGTGTGCTGTCGGCGCACTCGACTGCCTGGCTCGTGCACACGGTGTACTCGCCTCCCGCGCCGACACCAGCGACACCACGACCAATGACCATCATCCATAGCATGCCCTCAATGGTGGCGCCGTGGGCAGCCGTCGCAAGAATGATACCCTAGAGACTGTCAGCTGCTGTGGATGGCTTAGGCGCAAAGACGGGAGAGGGTCATCCTCACAAGAACAAGAAACACGGTGGTCAGGATGATGCCAATGCGACGGCCGAAGCGGTCGATGCACAAGCCGAAGATGATCATGCCAAAGACGTCGCCAATGAGGATCGAGTTGGAGAGACGCGTCTTGACCTCGGTGGTCATCTGCGCCGGGTAGAGCTTGGCCAGCACCGAGTTCATGTAGCCGATGATCTGAATGTTGTAGCCGTCGGAGAAGAGCGCCGCGCCCTGGACGAGGACATCAAGCTTGCCCTTGGGACGGCCCTCGCCATTGCCCTTTGATGGCGCCTCGAGCGAGGACACGTCCTTGGCGTTCGTCTCGACCACGGCCTCGGCCATGGTCTTGCTGGCATGTTCGGTAGAGTTATCCATGGCTGCACAATCAGACGCTGTGGTGTGGTCCCTGGACCGTGGGCGATGAGAGAACGGGCGCAGGAGTTTGTGTGCTGCAGATCGATTCAGCATCCCAACTCGGTGTAACACGGCGGCTGCCAGAGTGGTCTTTATAGCTACAAGCCATGCTGCCAAATAACACTGACTCCCATCATGGAAAAAGCTGCTACTAGATTGTTGCGAAGCCAGCAACGAACTCGTAGTGCAACACGTGTTTGCTTCATCCCGCCCGCCGAATTTCGGAAGACGGCCGACATGGCCTCAGGGTCCCTGTCGTCGGAGCCGGCGCCGAGTAGTGGCACCAGAGACCCGGGCTCGAGGTGTGATGTCGGCTCACTGTCACAGTCTGTGGGGCCGTGACTGATATCGCGCGATAACCCAGGGCGGTGCCTGGCCACTAAAGGCAAGCACGTGCTGGTTCCTGGGAGTCGTGAGATCGGGAGCGGCACCGGCTTGCCGACACCTTCTAGAAATTGGACGTATTTGCGTCAAAATTTCGCAAGAAAGAAAGGCCCAGATGTCCAGGGGTCCAACAAGCCTCTGGCGACAAAGCGAGGCGTTGTCAAGCTTTGTGGAGCCCGGTTAAGGGCCCTAGCCCGGCCGCTTTGCCGACAGGGCACCACGTGCTGGGCGCGAACGGATATCATTGGCGGTGCATAGTCGGGCATTTTCTGAGATGCCGCTGGCACCAGACAGGCATTTGACTGATGGCCTGTGAAGCATGCTCGGCCGAGAAATTTCAATTCCAGGGGCAAGCCGCCCGCCAAGAACCAGATTTGCGGTAATGCAGCGCGTGCTCATTCCCATGACAGCCGCATCTTGGCCATTTGCATGAGAGTCGACCGTCATGGCTGCCTCATTCATGCTGGATGCTGCCTTTGCAGCGGCCACTTTGTCGCTGCGTTTCACCACCGTCCTCTTTGTCCGTCACGTAAGTTTGCACGCGACCCTTTATCAACTGGAAGCGGTAACTGACCAGATCCTGGAAGCATCCGATTGGGCCCAGATATCTTCCCAGAATTTACGCTGCATGTGGTGCATATCTCACTCTCGTTGCTGTCCACTGCTTGTCGTTCATCCGCGGACCCAGTGACAGCAGACCGAACCCCCGAAGGCATCTCTTGGGGATTGCGCTGCTCGGCTGGCTCGATCTCGCAAGACGCCCTATCCTCTCCGCGCTGACCGTCCTTGTCAACGTCCTCTGCCTACTCGCGACTGTGGACTTTATCTATCGTGGCCATATCTTGTACCCCAGCGCCGACAGTAGCTTCTCGCGCCTCGGCTTTGTCTCTGTCTCGTCTGCCAGCATCGCGATCCGTGCACCGAACACAACCGCAGTTGAATTGCAGTATCGTGGCCAGAATGATAAGGGGGAAGGCATCGACTCATGGACAGTCGCGGAGACAATCCGCACATCAGACGAGAGTGACTGGACGGGCATCTTCCACATCAACGGTCTGACGCCAGGCACCGAGTACACCTACCGCACCAACGCGAGCCATGAGGGCACATTCAAGACAAGCCCTTCCACCCTCAAGAAGTTCACGTTCGTCTCCACGAGCTGCATCAAGCCCTTCTACCCGTACAACCCGCTCAACCACGCCCTTCGCATCCCCGGGCTCGAACACCTCGGCCGCTTCGCTTCCCAGCGCACCATCGACTTTGTCCTCTTCCTCGGCGACTTCATCTACATCGATCTTCCCCTGCCGCTGGGGTGGTCGCGCGAGCACTACACCACCCTGTACCGCCAGGTCTACGCGTCGCCGAGCTGGTCCACCGCGGCGCTGCGGAACGTGCCGTGGCTTCACGTCTACGACGACCACGAGATTGTGAATGACTACCACTCGGAGCAGCTGCTCAACAGCACAGCAGCTGGGTCGGCGGCCGCGGCCATTGATTATGACAGCGCGCTGCATCCATATTTCCACTACCAGGGCCACGCGAATCCGCCCTCTTCGGAGAAATTTGGCCAGGGCGAGGCGTACTACACGTTTTCCCATGGAGACGTTGCATTCTTCGTGCTCGACACGCGGCGCTACCGGTCGGCGCCGGACACGCCGGATCGGGTGGGCGAGAAGACGATGCTGGGCGCGAAGCAGCTCGCGGACTTGCGGCGCTGGCTGGAGACGGAGGATAAGTGGAAGGTGGTGGTCAGCAGCGTGCCCTTTACTCGCAACTGGCGCGGCCCGGACGCCGCGGACTCGTGGGCAGGGTATCTGGCCGAGAGGGAGGTCGTGTTTGAGATGATGCGGAAGACGGAGGGCGTAGTGATTCTGAGCGGTGTAAGTCCCGACAGCGTCCTGCAGGGCCCTCGCACAGGTCCCGAACTCATCCTGAGCACCTATGCCATCACGAGAGATACTAACCACCATGCAAACGTATCAGGACCGCCATGAGCACGCCACGACGCTCTTCCCCGCCTCCACCTCTACCGATCCCCGCGGCAAAGACATCATCGAGTTCTCCACCTCGGCGCTGAACCAGTTCTTTGAGCCGTTTAGCCGGCACCACCGGCAGATCGAGGACACCGACGTTGCCATTGCAAACTTCTACAAGGGCAACTCGAAGTTTGCGGCCGTGACGTTCGACACGTCTAACTCCTCGCGGTGGATCACAGACTTTGAGCTGGTGATTGACGGGGTTGTTACTTGGACGTATCAGTGGGTTTTCGTTCGGTAGAATGGGGTTGCAGAGATAGACAAGGTTGATATTGGAGTGGAGCTTTCTTCATTTCTAACAAGAAGAGATCAAGATTCGATTGCTGGCCACAACGAAAGTCCTTGTATCGGCGGCTTGGGGAATTGGGGGGAAGTGGGGAATAGTACCATCGTAAAAACCAGGGGCTCGGACTTTGCTCCGCCCCTGCCTGACAAATCATGCGGCTCAAACGGCACTTCCCAAACGGGACCTGTTTCCCCTTTGGGCCTCAAGACAACCACGGCAGTCTGTCGGCCGCGGTCGAGGGAGGCCCAGGTAGCAGCATTTTATGTCAGCATCGAACCGAGACCTAGTTTCCTCGGTCCCGGAGGTCGCAATCAATACAAGTCTGAGTACCGGATGCCGAGTCCTGGATCTTAGTTCCTGTGAGCACTCGTATCCTTTGATCTGTCATCAGACTATGCCCAGAACGTAAAGATTACTCCATCGGGACGGATGACATCGACTCCAGATTCGTGCCTTGCTAAGCGGCAGGGCATTCACAACGTGACACAAGTTGCGACAATGCCATGAACTTCACCTCAATGCTGTGGCTCTGTCGCTTGGAATATATAATGGGACAGCTCCGTCTGCCAGTCCCAGGTTCTAATAGTTCCAATATGCACGAACAATCACGTCCAACCATAGTCCCATCATCAAGCATCCTTCTACGTAACATGTCTCCTCCGACCAAGCAGCAACAAGGCCGCTCGATCGCCCTCGTAGGCGCAGGCGGCCACATCGGCAAGCCCATCCTGGACGCCCTCCTTGCCCTAGGCATCCACGACATCACCATCCTCACCCGCCCAGACTCCGCGTCCACCGCACCAGCCAACGTCAAGGTCCATCAGACAAACTACACCACCACCGAAGAGCCAGCCCTCGTCGAGATCCTCTCCACCATCGACGTGCTCATCGTGGCGGTCGCTTTCACCGCGTACGCTGTCCAGACCCCGCTCTTTCGCGCCGCCGCCGCCGCAGGGGTCAAGTACATCCTGCCCTGCGAGTTTGGCGGCGACCCGAACGCCAAGCTGCGGCAGCATCTGGACGTCATCTCCGAGAAGGACCAGTACCGCGCGCTCGTGGAGGAGCTGGGTGTCAGCTCGTGGATTGGCGTGGTCTGCGGGCCGTGGTTTGAGTTCACCATCCAGATGGGCGGGCTTGGCGTTGATGTGCGCAGCAAGACTGCGAGTTTGCTGGGGAGTGAGGACAAGGGTTTCGGAGTGCAGAAGGCGAGTGTGACTACCTTCAAGAGGACGGGCGAGATGGTGGCGGGCTTGCTCAGCCTGCCCGAGGAGAAGCTGGCGGCGTACAAGAACCGGTGGGTGTTCTTCTCGTCGTTCACCATCAGTCAGCAGGAGTTGCTGGACAGCGTAAAGAGGGTCACCGGGAGTGGTGAGGGACAGTGGACTATCAAGGAGTGGACCGTAGAGGAACTGCTCGCTACGTCGAAGCAGAAGATGCAGGAGCAGGAGACGTTCATGGAGGGCCGGCTCATGATGCTCCAGCTGGTGTTTGGTGAGGGTCTTGGAGGGGATTTCAGTGCCAAGGTGCTGGACAGCGAGGAGCTTGGGCTCCAGCCGGAAGACTTGGACGAGGTTGTGCGAGGCGTCGTTTGAGACAGCTCGCACTAATTTCGCGTGTTTGACTTGGATTGACCTATCGATGAGTCGAAGATAGCTAGTGCGAATTCCCAATTTGACACAAGGTGTTGCTATATTTGTAGCTCAAAGATTTTATCAAAACCATTGCTTCCCGACCACACACTGAGAATTCGGTACAAGACTATACTGTGTTTGAGCTCGGATCAGTCGACCTTACAATCCCGCATATTTGTCGGCTTCCTCCGTCAGGCAGTACTCGGGCCTCCCATCTTCTATCAACGACATCGGCAGTTCCTCTTCGGTGTCTACCAGTTGGTAGTCGTCGGATCCATTGCGGATATCATCAATAATACTCTCTCGCAGTGGCCGCCAGCAATCACTGCCCGAAGTCTGAAATGCCTCTTGGTAGAGCTTTACAAGCGAGGCCCATATCTGGATGGCCTTTTCTGCAGATGGTCTGTAGAATTTGGTGATGTATAGTCGAAACTGACCCCCATCTTCTTCGTCTTCACGTAACCGGATCGAAACGTATAGTATCGAGCCAAGAAGCTCTTTTGCTGGGCAGCGTATATCGCTCGGAGAAGCAAACATCCTCCACCCATCTGACCAGAGTTTGGGAATTGGAGGGAAGAAGTGTCGCAATATGTCTTCTATCCCCGCTTCCAATATCAGGACGCACGTGTCATGGCTCCAAGAACGACGATCCCCTACCAATACCCGATACTCCCGATGTATATGGACTGGGTCTGTGAAGGGATTCGCTTTGAATGGATCCCTTCCAATGTGAAGACCAAACACATGGCGTCTATCCAGGCGTGCCCCTGCACTTTCAAGCCTTCGTGAGATTTGATTTGGTGTGTCGCCTTGCGACCAGTAGCCTTCAGGCTTTCTCAGGACCACCCGAAACACCAAATTGAGTAGCCACGTTTCATAAGGGCTGAGAACCCTAACGAATTTGCTTCGTTGTCCGAAGTCCACATAATTCGTATAGTCGATGCCTTCACGATTGGGGTCTGCTCCGTTCTGGACCAGCGCTTCAAGAATGGTAATCTTCCTGGGATCAAAATTCAGCCGCGTCATCTGCAAGCGCAAGATGGAGGTTGCTTGTCTGAAGTCCTTGGCGTGCATTTCAAAAAGCCTTGCGCGGTATTGTGCAGACGCTGGCAAATTCTTGTCGGATAGCAAGAACCCGATGAAGGGCTTGCGTGGTACCAAAGGACCCCATCGAAGCTGCCATTCCCCACTATCATCGTCTGCAACCAACTTGTCTCGATCGTGCCAGGCATGGAAGACTGTGAGGAGCTTTTGCAGTTCTTTGTGAGACCCATCGGCCATCTCATGGTCAACGGATATGAAGGAGCGATACCACAACATCAGATCCTCTGGATGAATTCCAATTCGAGCCTTCACCAAACCGCTTTTGAGACAGGCAATGAGAACGTCGCTTCTGGTCATTCCGCTTGAGGCTCTAATTTCTCGGCCTTCGGGCGTTTCGTTTATGAAGTCGAATGCTGTCCTGTGTGTGAAGTCAATCCAGCTTGTAGGCCATTCCACGAATTCGGATCGGAACCTAAGCCCAGTAACGTGATCGCCATTGAATACCTCAAGGAGGCCTGCCGAGCGCATACTAACGTCGGCACCGAAAGCCTGGATCCTGGCGACAAGATGTTCAACAGATAAGTCGACTTCTGGTCGAAGTATGGCGTTTTGAATCAGGGGGTCGAAGGCTCCCATATAGGCGATTAGTGGCCACGCAGGAGTTCTGTCAATTCGTGCGAGCTCGGGATCCTGTTCGTTTTGGACTTGCTTCAGGACGGTGAGTACTTCGATATACGCAGCACCACGTTGCTGATAGAGCGCATTGTTCTGGTTGAGACGAGCCCACATATCCTTGTAGAGCCCACTTAGTTCCTCCGGAAGCATTCGCAGGCGTTCCCAGAGCTCCTTAGCTGTATCATCATTCCTGAGTCCCACGGATAGGGCCCTGATGGCGAGCACGGTCCAAAGAAAGACACCCGAGGATTTTCGCACCACTTCGTACTCGAAGTCCTCTTGCTCTTGTCGCGGCATCCCACTGGCACTAATAGCGTGTCCTATGCGCCGTCGGAAGAAGCGGATCATGTCGCGCTCAGTCAAGTAATGCAGTCTCAAGTGCTGCGCCTTTCCGTATTGCTTCTCAAACATGCGTTCGGGGCGACTTGCCACGCACACTTTGACGTGGTTATACCGAAGTATTGCATGAACAAAGCCCATGATATCCTCCGAGTCCGAGCTTTCCGCTTCGTCCAGGCCATCAATGACGAAGAAGAGGGTATTGGGCCAATGCTTCAAGGTATAGTGCACTAGGCGGCTAGCCTCATCCACGCTCCAATCCGAGTGGTCATCAGGACCTTTAGTCCGCGCCTTGTAGCGAGACATGACCTCATCAAGGACCGTCGACTCGGAGCCGAGTAATTGGTAGAGAATGCTCAAAAGCATGCCCTTGAAGCTCTTCTGGAGGCCCCGGCCTGGCTTCCAGAAGTAATGCGTGACGATGAAGGTGTTTGGTCGCCAGCCGCTGAGCTCGCGCTTTGTTCGCTCGTTCTGGGCGATGTACTTGACAAGTGTGCTTTTTCCAGAGCCGGGTTTTCCACTAATCCAGTACAGCTTGTCGTCCGACTTGAGCCAATCGCCAAAATTATCCCAGAGAGTGCTGTCCAATTTGAGGAAAGCTCTGTCTTGGGATACATCTCCTCTCGTGCCGTGGCCGGATTCATACTCGGATGAAGAATCCCAGTCCGCATGCTCTTCAGCTGAGCCGTAATCCTCTTGTTCTGGGGGTTGCTGAACGGATCCCTCATTTTCGTTTCCAAATATCCAGTCAAATGTGGAACGCTCGGCCTCACGAATCGCGCTCTGCCTAGCATTCATCTCGATGTATCTGAAGCTCTTCAAGAATCGCTGCCGCTCGTTCTCAGTATATGTCTTTAATCGTATGGTCTCGAATTGATCCGATAACTGCTCAAGAGCCCGTTCGCGTGATTCATTGGCGGACCGCGTCAGTTCATCCCGAGTTCTCATGGCCGACGAGTCGATTGCAGTCGTGATTGCCTGTACTGCGCCGTTGGATTCTTCAGTCATGTGCTGCCTCATGTGCTCGGACTCGTTGTTCACAAATGCCGTCAGGCCTAGAAAGCCGGCGGCGCAAACATCTACAAACTGTCGCTGTGCCGCGTCAAAAGTTGCGAAAGCCTTCGATTGCTTCAAGGCCAACAGATCGTTCTGCTTGCTGTTTTCGACATTAGCATCCCTACTCATAGTAACAGTAACCTTCTGCATCCAGACTCACCAAATTCTATGCAGCAGCTGCGTCCTCATCGTGTCCTCGCACTTCCGGAGGGAAGATTCTGTCTCGCGGAGGCGCCTCCCTCTCCACATGGTTGTCAAGGTAGTCTTCAGCGCCGCACGCAGATCGCCTTGCGCCTGATGCTTGGTCATGTATGCGACCTCGTCGATGAGGGCCCTGGCCACGACGCCACACTTCTCGGCCGTCCGGGCCAGCTTCTCCTCATCATCGCCCTGTCGCTTCCACTCGGCACACTTGTTCTGCATGCTGTCGGAAATCGCCTTGAGCGACTCGGCCGCAAGCACGAGCTCGTCGTCGATCGTGCCTGGTCGTCCCTTATAGATGCTTTTGCAGAGGATGACTGCTTTGGCCGCCGTGCCGAGGATTTGCATGATATTGCAGGCGATGCCGATGGCCTCGAAGCCCGACATCGCGGCGGCTGGGGATCGTATCGAGTATCGTGGAGCTGAGGCGGTGGACTTCACAAGGCTGCAAGGCAAATGACGCTGTTACTCGATTCATGTGTTGCTTGTACGCGACCAGAGACTGGTGGGAGATGAGGGAACCACGAGAATCACAGACACATTGTGCCTCGCAACACTGCCACGATTCCTTGAGGCGGGGTTCATGCGGCGAAGCATCTGCAACGCACAACCAACTGCATATTGAGAGGCGGCCCAACATGGGGACGTGCGTGTACACATGTCCACTGGCGTACAACGTCCCCCGAGAATGCCCACATATGCCTCGATGGAACAATTCTCTACATCCCGATACATTGCAACTCGCATGACCACCAACACGACCTAGCTTCTGGCGGGATTGCAGATTTGGCTCCTTCTAGTCTATGCTGCTGAGTGATCTCACCCTGCAAGGGTCCACCAGCCATGCTCAGATGTATACTCACCATTTCTGCACAGCATAGATGCTCTGACTAGCCAGGAGGATTGATAGTTTCATCTCCGGATGGCCCATAGCCACGTCGTGCTAGGCAGAAGCGTTATGAGAGTGCTTACACTGGTTGCTTCGCGTGCTGAGGTCCCCGAATCGTTGTAGCGTGATCTGAATCCCTGTCTACCCCTCTTTCGTCAGCAGAAATGGCCGCCACGACGTCATTCCGCCATGCGCGCCGCGATGTTTGGGGGCCATCAAAGATATGCCTGGATCTGTATGCAACCCCATATTTCTTTGACACCTGGTCATGTTGGCTTGAGGTTGCCAAGTTCACCTGGCTCCGGTCTACTGGCCTTACCTGACATAATACGTGACACGACCCATCATGACGTACACCATCGAGCTTGCGGCTGCCGACGACGCCGAGGGCATCGCCAGAGTAATGCTCAACACCACGGAGAGCGAGTTCTCGCGTCTGCAGCGCGGCACAATGGGCGACGAGGACTCCCAGGCACGGATGGCCACGAGGTTGCAGTCCGTCATTGCGAGTCCCGAGCAGCACGTCGTTGTCGCGCGCGTGCAGGAGACTGGCGAGATTGCTAGCGCCGCGGTGTGGGCGATCAAGGAAGAGGAGGCTGTCCCCAGTGCAGATGTGAGTTGAGCAGCAGTTGGGCGACGGGAACTGCGCAACTAAGAAGTGCGATCTTGCTGACGGCTATGCTATGTCGACCTTGCTGCTGGAAAGGAACGAGCAAGAAAGATAGAGGAGCGCAGGCAGGCTTTTGACCCAAGGATGAATGTCGAGTACATTGTCGAGCTTATGCAAAAGCTCGGAGATCTGGAGCACTCTCTCGTGCAAGGACGGAAGCACTGGCGTAAGTGTTTCCCTGAGGCGCTTATCCGTCCATCAGTCGAACCAGCCCCCGACTCACCCTGACCTCTGTCCTTGGCCAAATGACTGACACGGGATAAGTCCTCGATAATCTCGCCACCCTGCCCGAGCATCGACGGCAGGGGCTTGCAGGCAAGCTGGTTGAGTGGCCACTCGAGATGGCCGATCGAGAGGGCATCCTGTGCTTTCTGACAACTGCTGATGGGGGCGGCGGCGAGAGCCTCTACAAGAAGTATGGCTTTGAGCGTGTCGGGGCAGCTGAATTCGATCTCGCCAAATATGGAGGCAGTGGACCGCATACACACATCGCCATGTTGAGGGAGGCGAAGCGAAACGCATGAGCATTTGGTAGTGTATCGCAGAATCGTTGGGGGCATAAGAAATCTTTTGGTAGATCTGAATCAGGCGTTGTAGAATTCATGCTCGAGCCCTCCCCGGTACGACTGTCTGTAACCAAAGTGAGCCACCGAATATTCCTGACAGCTTGTGGCCTCGGGCTTACTCGGTGATGTTCATTGGTTGCAGTCGTGTGACGTGAAGTTTGCAGGGATTCCCGGTGCAAGTCAGCACCGCTAGCTCTTCTGGCTGGCCAACGGGAACTCGATGAAGCACGATCCAGCAAACATATATTTGACGCCACAGAGTAGCATCCACAAGCGATCGCACATCCTTGTTGGCCAAAGACCGCTTCGGAACAAGTCAGTGCGGAAGCAAGTGGGCTTACTTGTGTGTGGGCTACTTTACGGCGCATCTCCCCACCTCCCTCCCCCTGGTCTCCGAGAGCCTTGACTGACAAGGGTCAAAGCAAACCACAACGAGGTAATGGTAGGTAGCCGTTCTAATAGCCGAAGCAGGCTTTCACAAAATGCAGAACCGCCGCCGCCGCCGCCGCCTCCTCCGCCTCCGCCGCGTCACTCCCTGATCCTGATCCTCTACGCGGTCTCACAAGATTGAACCCAACCTCCTCTTCGGTCAAAGAGTATGGGCTCCTGGCTGACAACCGTCCTCAATGCGCCACGAACCAACGACCGACGAGAATGAAAGCTCCTCGACTCCCACGTCAATGCCGGACGGGCCGACGACGACCTTCCACGCCTTTCTCAGCCTTCCAACCGAGCTCAGGATCCAAATATGGAGGAACACTGTCCATCCGCGGATCTTGCACATGTGCAGGAAGGAAGACGTAGCTCTTGAACCCCTTGAGGAGTCCGCTCACAAAGGGGCAGAGTCCTCTACCCATTTGAGCTCCGGCTATCAGGAGCGGTGCGTGACGTATCTCGCCACCACCACGCCGATACCGCCTGTGATGCAGGTCAGTCGTGAAGCCCGCCGTCTAGGCCTCTACCAACGCGCCTGGGTGCAGAGCGACTGTGAAAAGAACCCAGATGACGGCGAGCATGACGAGCGATTACGTTTGTTGCCGTGGCAAAGATACATATGGGTGAACTGGGACATCGACATCCTGTCCATCGGCAGTCTGCCACTGGAGTCACTCCAACCTTGTACGCCACTCATCAGACGACTGTGTCTGAGCCGCGAGGTCGGCGATGAATGGAGGTACAAGCAGGACAGTGGGCTGCAGGACTTTGCCAGTCTGGAGGAGATATACGTCGAGTGTGACACCTTGCTGTGGTACTGGTCGGAAACCCTCAAGAACCGCTCGTGGCCGTGCCCGGCGGACAGGGTGTTTCTCGTCAAATCGGCTAACCGGCGAATGACGAAGGCCGTGGACATAGAGAGGTTTAATGCGTGGGTCAACGACGAGCTCAAACGTCAGCGGGTTTTTGACGCGTCAAGGCAGTGCCATGATATGTTCAGGTGGCCGGCCTACGAGAAGTTTGCGGAGGGACTCGTGTACGACTTTCCCGATGTGGCTTTAGCGCGAGCGGGTGCAACGTAGATTAAATGACGAAGGCTCTCGTGTAATCCAGATTTGTCGATCTGTTCAAGAAGCTGGGGGTAGCATGACCACAGCCGATGCCCACAAGCTGCTGCCAGTAGTGAAGCTGATCACCCAGGCGGGACGTCTGTCCTTGCCTTTGTCGTGTGAATATTATGCAATGGCACGAAGTAGCAACGGTGCAATGCAGAGTTCGCTCACGGGTCGCCAGGTTCTGAAGTGCTGTGTCGATTTTCTGACCCGGGCATAGCTGTGCATTTCGCCAGCGCCAGACAGCCCCACGGCACCAAATCCTGGTCTGCCCCAAAGCAACCGGCATGTGACTAATGGACACACCGCTCAGTTCCTCCACTCAAACTATTCACAACACGCATCATCACTCCACGTCTGGAGGACTGCATATGTGGTATTCTTTTCCAACCTTCTCGTCGATAAGCAAGCGCGTCACAAATAAACTCCGCTCCTAGCAATGGCGACGTTCCACCAGTTCCCAGAGCTTCCCTTTGAACTTCGCATCCTCGTTTGGAGAGCAACAGTTGAGCCCCGCACAGTCGACCTCCGCTTCGAAGAGGATTCGTACACCAAGAGAAGGTCGGGGACCTGGTCCGTCGCATCGAACTATCTAGCTTCCTCCATGTCGGTGCCCGCCCCGTTGCATACTTGTCGAGAGGCACGCGGCGCCGGCTTGTACCGCAAGGCGTACAGCATCGAGGGCGATGTAGTCGCCGATCCTAGGGAATCTTACGTCTGGGTCAACTGGGACCTCGACGTCATCGCGGTCCGTACGGACCTGGACGACTTCCTTCCTCTCAGACGTGTCATTCAGAGGCTCTATCTCGCGCAAGACAACTACAGCGAACACTGGTACCACAACCAGTCGCGCCACGTGCTGTCGCAGTTTGAGAGCCTCAGGGAGGCGTACGTTCTATGTTTGGACAAGGTGGCGAACTGGTCCGACACGATCCAGGAGCACTCGTGGCCATGCCCCAAGGAGAATGTATACTTGCAGGATCCGTCCTCTGGTCGTGCCGTGAGGGCAGTGGACTTGAGCAGGTATTTCGAGCATAATCGGATGCTAGTGGACAGAGACGGGCCGGAGGCACACCCGGATCTTCTGGACGAACATAGCGATCTGAAGCTCCCACATGATCTTGTGTTACTGCCTGACGCGATTGAAGTTCCGCAGTTGCCGGGACACACATGCAAGTCTCATCATGATCGTAAGGTGCTGTTCCTCAAAGTGGGCATTTACAGCTGATTTGCCGAAGGTCATCTCTGGCAGTCAGTAATCATCTGAGCTAGAGAGGCTGTTCTGCATCAGGTAACGGCAGTTGTTCATCGATTTGTTTCGATCATAATGTGCGTATGCTGAATCAACGACCACGTGGGTCGCCAGGAAAGCGGCTGAGCGCGAAACTTACAAAGTCGCAATAGATGAGCGAGTCGCATTGTTCATTCAATCAAGCTATCCTCTTTTTTAATGCTGCTACATTGCGATAGGCTGTGCGGTGCAACATTCTTTGTTTTACCAAAACTCGTGACCTGATGGAATGGTTAGCGTGGTGTTCGCTGTTTTGTTCAACGTTCAAACTCATCGCGGTCGCAAGTTTGTGGTGCTGTGCTGTACATTGAATCACGTTGGCACTTGCCTGAGGTCTTTCATCAACAATTGATAATAATAACACTGTTTATTCCTGGAAAGTTCAGTCTCGGACGATTTGTCTCAACACTAAGATCCGCATGAGAATATTGCCTTACGCGTTTCTGTACCAATGACAACTCTGCATTCAAAATAAGGGTTTTATAAAAACAAAAATCAACGAAAAAAATAAAAATAGCCTGAACCCAGCACGTAACTAAATCAATCTTGGCGGAAATGCACATTACTCTATCTCCTATTTTTCCGGTTTTTCTTTCTCTCCATATCTCTGTCTTGCGAACAAACGGTCGTGTATGGTACACCTTGGAGTTGTGCCCATCACGACGCCCGATGCCAGCCCCGGATGCGGTATCCGTGACGTTTGAAAGGGGCCGGTCAACTTCCCTAACTCCGCCCATGCCTCTGTGCACAGCCCCGAGCATGTTTCCAAATTTGGCACTGAGAAGGACATCTCCCCAAGGGAATTCTGATCACATAATGAAGCGGTGGTCGATCCTCCTCGAAATGAAATTGAAGGGGTCCCGACTCGGATCGTCCCCCCTGCTGGAGACGTTCGCCGCCAAATCCTGCCGGGCGCTTTCCTGCATCCAGAGACATTCTCCCCCCACGTGTGCACCTCGCGCCGCCCTTCTCTCTCTACCTTATCAAACGCTCCCCTCGAGGCTGGCCCCATCAGGCTCTCGCGAGTCTGCCTCGTCACGCCTTGGCGCGGCCAGCCGCACGCGCCGCCCACACCTCGATCCTGGTCCGTCTTAGGTCAGCTCCGCAGACCAAGCGAGGAAATTCCCACTTCAAATCATGTCAGCGGCCTGCCTGGCATACATGCATGGGCTATGTGGGCCCCCCAAAAACCCTGCTCCGCGAATCCCGGTCGCTTCTCAGCCCGACGTAAAACCTGTCCAATCATGGGATCCTTTCCCATCTCCAGATGCACAGACCAAAAGTGAGATGGGAAAGTTGACTGCCTTGGGATAGATAGATGGCCCGTGGGTCTGATGCTGCTTCACAACGGGCGAAATTGTAAGGGGTCGCTGTCCGTTTTTTTACGACCCGTTGTCCTTCCGGAATTTGCAAAACGACCCAGTCCGCACTTCTGAATGCCCCCCAGCACTCGTTTCCCCTCGAAGCTCGAAACTGTGGTCGTGCGCCCCCGCCATCAAATATGCCTTGGGGGGATGAACTAAAAGCGGGCTGACAGGGCTGAACCTTTCTGCAGGGCTATGCTGGCGCCGCATATCTGGGCAACAAAACCCACACCACCTCGATGGGAACCCCCTCACCCCCTGTTACTCGTGCAACCAACCAGCCACCCACTCACTTATCCTTTTCACACGCGGCTGGTGTGTCCTGCGAGGGCTGTCAGTCACGGAACTAGCCTTTCTAGCGACATGACATGTTGTGGCAGTGGTTGCTGGTGCATGCATGGGTAGCGCGGGCGAGGAGTAGGCTATCTGCATGTGCTGTGTGCTGTTGGTCACCCCTCACTCAAACGCAGGCAAGGCAGGGATAACAGGCAGGCTCGCAGGCTCGCCGCAAGTCTCGCCTTTGGCAGCCTGAGTTCTGACGTGCGTCTTCCATGTCAAGGTGCTGCGGCATAATGATCATGGGCTGACGCCACCAAGGCTCTCTCTCCCAGTCTGACTCTAACACTGCCGAGGAGTGGCGCCAGCCCAGATGAAAGGGGGCGGCGGGCGGGGGGCGCAAGCCTGTGTGCTGTGCCGCAGACGGGCAGTTTTTCGATACATGCCCCCGTTCACGATCTACGTCTCGTGGCAGCCACACACACAGAGAGAGATAGAGATGGGGAGAGATCATGGACAGAGAAATTGTTCTGGAGGTGATCAAATTTTTCTTGTTAAACATTAACCGTGAACACCAGGAGAGTGGTCGGCCGAATCTAAATGCGGGGTATTTGGACCGGCCATCTCCTCTGATCCCGAGAGACAAATGAACCCATGAACCCCTTTGAGAATTTGACAAGAAAAAGCGACGACAGAGTGAGAAAACAAGAGAAACCCAAGAAAATGCTATGCAAGTGGCCACCAAAAAAAAAGACTAATGCAAACTACACCGACACACGCACACTCATCGCCCCTCCTTCACCTCACGTCAGATGCCGCGTGGTGAACTCAAACTTCGGTGCGCGACGCGGGAGCGAGAAGAAATCACCGCGTTGTGCCAAACTTGCGCACGTTGAACTGCATGTCCCTGACCGCAAAGGTGACGTTGCCGATCGAGTTGTATGCCTGGGTGCCGAAGCCGGCGTAGCCCAGGTAGTTGGTGAAGGTGGGCTTGTCGACCTTGAACTGCGTGGCCAGCTTGTCGTCAAGCTCGATGATGCTTGTGAACAAGGGGCGCAGGTCCGAGTTGATGCTGGTCACGGGCCGCGTCGCGATCCACGAGAAGACGTTTTGCTTGTTGTTGTTCTGGCCGGCAAAGAGGTTACTGGAGGGGGAGAATCACGGTTAGCATGGCTTTCTTGAGAGAGTGCGCGACGAGCTTGATGTGTGGGAGAACGTACAATTCGTGTCCGTCGATGGTCTGGCTCTTGACGATGGTGCCGTTGCCGAAGCCGACAGGGTGCTGAAGACCATACTTGGCAAAGACGATGATCATCTCAAACTTGGCAGAGCTCGCGTTGCGCGCCCTCTCCTCGGTCGAGTCGAGATACATGTCGAGCGCGACACTAGAGTTGACCTGCGCGGCGCCCAGGCGGAGCTCGCTCGTCTCGGGAGAGGGCTCGCTGCCCGTGCCCATGGTCCACTTGAAGTCGAGCGTCAGCTCGCCGAGGTCCTCGAGCCTGATGGGCAGGACACCGCCGTCGGCAATCGAGATTTGCGGGAACGCGTGGATCAGGGGCTGCGTCTGGTTCCTTGGAGCCGAGGCATTGGCGATCTTGAAGGGGTAGTCCCAGGTGAAGCTGAAATCCGGTGTCGTCGAGCTTGTGGGGTATGTGCCGTTCTGGTATTTTGTGATGGTTGTGCAGAGAGTGGATCCAGGGGCCTCGAGGATCTCGTTGGAGTTTACTAAAGAGGGGGAAAGCTGGTTGTTAGTGATGCTGTTGGAAAGGTCCGGGGCAACACAGGCGGAGCGAAGAAAACTTACTCGTGTAGTTGTTGCCGAGCCTGTTGAGCGCAAATTCGTGGAACTCGCCACAGATCGAGCCTGTGAGGATATGGTCGAACCTCTCAGGATCGGTGGGTGCGACCTTGCGCTCGTTCTGGAAGGGTCTGACGCCGAAGAGCGTGCCCAGGCTGGCGCCAATCGGCACGCCTATGAGGACGGCGTTGACAATGAGGCCAACAAAGAAGCCCATGGTTGCGGATTATGGTTGAACAGATAATTACAAGCGAAGGAAATTAACAACCAAGATATGCGCCTATGAGGCAGAGGGCGGATGCTGCAAAAGGAAAAAGACTGGTCGTGGATAGATATGTCGTGCACTTGGGAGAGAGCAGGTGGGGGGCTGCCGACGATGTTATGTATGGAGAGGTGAGGTGTGTACTGCAGCACGACTTGGCCGGGCCCGTCTGATATGATTTAATATGGCGTATCCAGCGCGGTCGTAAGTGGTGCACGTACGGCAGCCCTGGGACTCTTGCTGGCCTGGTCCCCGGCTGCGGATCACAGGGCAAGCTGACTCTAATTCGGGTGCATGGAGAGGAGGCGGTGGCCGTGTAAGTGGGCTGGGCAGTTGTCAAAGCCTTTTCCTGTCACCGACCCATGTCGGTTTGGATGCCCCCTCTGGAGCCTCCTGCCAGCTCAAGCCCGACAAGCGGATAGCGTGAGCGCGGGCTGTGGCTCGCAGGGAAAAGCGGGCAGGGCAGCCCTGGGGGGCACGGCAAGGAATCGGCAGGACCTGGGTCAGCTCTTCGCCGGGGCGCTAGGCTAGGTCTGACAGGTCTTACCATCTCACGCAATTTCGCAGAAATCTCACGGAGTCCTCTCCTGGGCTGACAGGGAGCTGGGGCTTGGCAAGCAGGTATCAACAGTGTCGTGCAGACAAGGGTGCCGCTGCACTGAGCCTGGAGTGGCCACAGGATAAGTCCGATGGCGGACAGCGGCTGATGGACAGCCCGCAAGGACAGAGCCAGGTCTTGGGGCCATGCATGGAGACGGCCATTTTCTGGAGCTTGTGACCAGTGAAACCGTGGAGAACCGACCCAAGCTGTCGGACCAGCGAGAGGGCAGAGGCTAGCCAGAGATAAGAGCAGCCACCTAAGCCCAGCCCTACAGAACACCATGAGCCAGATCGCAAAGCCACAACCGGGCTGGGGAGCCAAGCCAGTCGGGGACTCGCGCACACAGCAGTAGCTGGAAATGCGTCTAAAAATACAGCAGATCATTTGCTGTTGTGGGCACTGGGCATGGGCGATAAGGGTCCCCTTGGTGGAGGAAAACGGCGGGATGGATGGGGGTTGCGCTTGGGCGAGATGACCAGGGGGTTGGTGAAAGAAGGTGAGCACTAGGCCCGAAGAGAGCTGGGCTGGAGCAACCCATGGCCTGCAGCAAGATGAGATGAGGCTGTGAGAGCACCGCAAGAGGCCGAGAGAGCCAATCACGGACCCCTGATAATGGCACCGGATTGTTCGAGCTCCTTGAGCTCCTCTAGCTTCATCGTCCTTAGCTAAGCTGGGCACAGCCACTCTGCCCGTCTGCCGGCGTCCGCGAGCCTCGCGCTGATTCGCCAGATCCGCGAGCTGCGGCCGGGTTCATCTTGAGCTGTGGGCGGTCTCTGTGAGTGACAGGGCGTGCTGACGGTAAAAATAGGATTCCAAGCCCCCTGCCACATGCTCTGGGCCCGGCAACTTAGCTCTGCTGGCGTCCAACCTCATGCGGGGGTGCCCCAGGCTAGGGCAACAGCTCATTCGTGCAGCTCCCCGAGGCGGTGATGATGAGCTGCGCAGAGGCTCACCCGCGGCGGTGCTGGTCGGACTGCCCATCCCAACCCGACGGCTATTGGAACCGCAGACGGCCTGCCTTGTGCCCTGTCAGGCTCGGCATCCTTGCTCTCCCTGACCCTGACAATGCCATTCTGGAACAGAGCTCAGCCCAGTGCCGCTTGCCCAGCCCCGGCCCGGCAGCCCATCCCACCCTGCATAAGCCCTAGGACACACATTGTCCCACGATGGGTCTGGTGGTGCGGCTTGATCATAAGTAAAGCCTGCCCATCCTGCCTTTGTCGAGATATTTTTCTAAGAGGCATCCAGCAAACTAACCCGGCAGCTCTCTGGCCTTCATCAGCAACCATAGAAGTGTCTTATCTCCAACACAGGCTTTACAGGTGACTCGGTCATCCAGTTACCTATTTGTCTTTTTTCCTTTTCCTTTTTTCCTTCTGAGCCTTTGATTCATTCCTCTCCAACCGCCAAGATGCAGCAAGAAAAGGACAGCCTGCTCAACTCGGGCCACGGCGTCGACATCGCCGACCACCCCGCTTGGATGCAGGATATCCCCGATGACCGGGCCTCTCCCTACGTCTACGAGGGCGGCCAGTATGACAACTACTCGAGCGGCACTGCCACTCCTGCGCGGCCCGTCATTGTTCGGGACCGCAGCACCTCGGTCGTCTCGTCGCGGTCCGCCTCGATGGGCCACGGCCCGTCCCAGAGCTACCCTCAGAGCACCAACAATGACAACCCCGTCTACGAGAACCCCACCGGCTACAACAGCCACTTGTCGATGATGTCGACATCAGATCTGCTTCCGCCCAAGAACTCCACGCGCTCGCGCCTGTCTCAGCAGGTGCTCCTGAGCGACGCCAACCTCGGCGTCTACGAGGACTACACCGACCGTCGGTTGTCCTCGACCAGCGTCGGCAGCAACTACAAGCGCATGGGCCAGATTGTGCGCCTGCACGACCGCGACGACTCAGAGCAGTGGAAGGGTGTCAAGCGGTACCTGTACTTCTTCGCGCCCTTCTTCATTGCCATTGATGTCCTCATCTACCTCGCCTACCTTGGCTTCCGCCTCTACTGCAACATTGACGTGCAGCAGCGTACCGGCATCAGCGCCGGTGCCGCGTGGGTCTTTGTCGGTGTCGAGTTCCTCATCACCATCCCCTACCTCATGAACAATGCCTGGGCCCTCTTCTCGCTCAAGTCGCGCACCCGGCCCCGGCTCCGGTTGACCGGCGACGCGGACGTCCCCACTCTCGATGTCTTTGTCACCTGCTGCAAGGAGGACAACGAGGTCGTCATGGACACTGTCAAGGCTGCCTGCGACCAGGACTACCCGATCGAGAAGTTCCGTGTCATCATCCTTGACGATGGCAAGTCGGCCGAGCTGGAGCAGCTGGCGCTCGAGGCGGCCAAGACCTGGCCCAACCTGTTCTACATGTCCCGCGAGAAGAAGCCCGGCGTTCCCCACCACTTCAAGGCTGGCAACCTCAACTACGGTCTCGAGCAGCTCACTCTCCTCCCTGGCGGTACTGCCGAGTTTGTCGGTGCCCTCGATGCTGAGTAAGTTTTCTTCTCTCCTCTGAATGACTTTCGGGTAACTAACATTGTCTCCAGCATGATTCCCGAGCCTCACTGGGCGCGTTCCCTGCTTCCTCACCTTCTGAGCGATCGCAAGGTGGCCATGGCCTGCCCTCCCCAGCTCTTCTACAACACTCCCCGCTCCGACCCTCTCGGCCAGTCTCTCGACTTCTTTGTCCACATCACTGAGCCCATCAAGGACACTCTCAACGCCGCCTGGTGCACTGGTTCCGGCTACATCTGCCGCCGCACTGCTCTCGACGACATTGGTGGTATCCCTGTCGGTGGTATCGCTGAGGATGTCGCCACCTCCAACCTGTTCATCGGCAAGGGCTGGGTTACTGCCTACGTCCACGAGCCTCTCCAGTTCGGCACCGTCCCCGACGACTTCTCGTCCCATCTTAAGCAGCGCACGCGCTGGGCCATCGGTACCGTCGAGAACGCCATGAACGTCAACTTCTACCTCTGGGGCGACAAGATCAAGCGCATGACCGCCCCGGCCCGCATCAGCTCCTTCCTCATCGGCATCCTCTCCTTCTACCCGATCGTCTTCTGCATTTCGCTCTTCTCCATCCCCATCATCCTCATCATGGGCCAGCCCCTGATCCTCTTCGCCGATGACGAGCAGTTCCGCTGGCTCCTCCGCGCCGCCTTCGCCACCGTCATCTCCCGCCGCATCATGGAGTTCATCATCTACATCCCCGCCGGCTACCACACTGGCCAGCGCTTCGCCCGCTACCAGATCTGGATGGCTCCTTACCTCGCCCTCTGCCTCATCCGCGCCTTCATCCTGCCCAAGTGGCTCGGCGGCGCCTCGACCGCCTTCAAGCCCACCGGCTCTCTCGGCTCGGCCATTAACGAGCGCGACGCCGAGACCCGCAAGGGCATGCTGCACCGCCTCTTTGCCATCCTGATCCAGTGCCAGGCTCTCTTCCACCTGCTCTTTGTCTACTTTGTCATCGCCGGCGTCTGCATCACCACCTACAAGTGCTTCATCGTCGAGCTCAATCTCCGCGACATCCTGACCTGCATGATCACCCACGCCTGGTGGCCCCCCTTGACCTGGCTCTTCCTCGCCAGCTCCATCTGGACCCCGATCGCCTACGCCATCAACCCCCCCAGCGTGCCCGACCGCGAGGAGCTCCTCAACCGCGACCCCAAGACCGGCATCGCCCACCCCAGAAACGTCACCAAGAAGATCGCCTTTGGCGCCCAGGCTGCCTGGTTCGAGACCGAGTACACCATCACCACTCTGTACACGACCTTCTGCTTCGTGGCTACTTTCTTCTACTTCTAAGTTTGTAGCGGAAGTCTCTAGTGGATGGGGGGATGTGTGATTGGGGAGAGAGAAGTGAGGGATGGGGTGATAGATTGATACCATTTGGTGACTCAAAGTATGAAAACCCGGACATGGACAGGGAGGGGCGCATTGGAACCATTAATTCTTTGTTTTGTCATTGCAGCTTCTTAGCATTTACATTGGCGTTGCGCTTGGCTTTACGCAAAGCATCTGTTTCTCGAATTGAATCATACCACTTCAAAGTCTGTCCATTTGAGCGTCATGGTCAAAACAACCTGTGTGCAAGGCATCTCGCGGTGTGCGCTTCACTTCCCCGCCAAAATAGCCAGAGATATCGAAGGCGAGTCGACCTTCCCGCCTTATCATGCAGCACTTGAGCACGGCAAGGTTTAGCGTGCCTTAGGGCAATCGCCAGTTGGCCAACGTGGCACCGAGTCAAAAAAGAAAAGGGTACCCTGTGCTAACCCTTTCACATGCCAAGGAATATCCACCGGAAAATAGACTCGAGGGTGACATGGCTTGCGGCACAGATCTTGTCAGCGTGGCACAATAAGCCCTTGCGTGGCTGGCTGGGCTACAAGCCGGCTGGCTGACAACCCAGCTGCGCCCGATCTCGCCGGCTGTGGCTGAAGGTCGTCAGCTGACGCGAGCACGGTACAAGGTACAATCAGCGTCGTATCATGCAAGCCGGGTAGCCTTCTCCCATTTCGCTGACACTGGTGGGATCCCGATTTCTCTATGAGCGATTCACTCAACTGAGCTTGGGAAACCCCATCATCGGCTGCGAGGGGGACCTGCTGCACGAATGCACATTATCTTGCTTAAATTGTGTTCGGGTCGCTGCAGACGTCATCGGCTGTATCTCAGGCCAGCTGGTGGTTCAAGCCAGTTCGAGTACCGCTCCCTCATCAGAGGGGTTTTGGTGCTACGTGAGCATCAATCGTGCTTCCTTTGACTCCGCAATGGCAGCGGCCCATCTAAAACATGATGTCTACCAGTCCTGCCAATGTCCACTGTCATTCTGGAATGTACCAAGCCAAAACTCAGGCGACTGTGCTAGTCTCCATCTCCGCGAGCTCCTTCTCCACCATTGCCGTCTCAGCGTCGAGGGCCCTGCTGTATGCCTCACGGAGATCTAGCTGCTCGGCTACGGTCAGAGGCACGTCCTGACCTCGACGCCGCGTCCAGCTGGAGTCGGTCTCCTTCAGCGAAGCCTCTGAATCTTGCCCAGTGGCGTCTGCAAACGTATAGGATCTGATCTCCGCGTTCGCCCAGCCAGTGCCTATGTGATATCATGCAGCGTCAGCCAATGGTGAGTTTTTGGTCCTTGGTGGGATATATCTCGATACCACGAGTCGTCATGTCATGTTAGGTAAACACACCTTTACGCTGAGGAATGCCGTCCCAGTCCTCAATCAGGAAGTGCAGAAAGCCGCCGTGCGTGACCAGGACAATCTGCACGTCCCTTCCTTCCCTCTCAGCAGTGTCGTTGCTGCCGGTCGCTGCCAGGGTAGTAGTGAGTGCGAGGTCCCGCAGCCAGAGTCTCACCCTCCTCGCCCTCACGATGAGATTCGCGACCGTGGGTTGCCGTTCCTCGCAGCCCTTCGAGTTCCAGCCGGGCGGCACAAGTGCCAGGTCGACCCGCTCGCCAAATTCGGCGCGCAAGGTCTCGACATCGGTGCCCCGGTCGCAGTCGTATAGTGACAATTCCTGGGAATCGGGCAGCGCGATAATCTTGCCAGTCCGTGCCACGGCAGGCGCAAAGGCGACGAGACACGTTGACAGGGTCCGTCGCAGCGGCGAGGCAACCAGATGGGTGATCTTGTCGTGATCGGGGAAGCTGTCGCGCAGCTCGAAGCACTGCTGCTCGCCCAGAGGAGTGAGCTCCGGGTCTCGCAGATGTTGGCTGTGGATGCTGATGTTGTGATAGCCCTGTCCGTGGCGGACGAGATGGATCGTCGGAGTCATGACTTCTAGGCAGCAGACTCACGTGCCGTGTCTGTCGCGATGAGGTTTTCCCGAAATCATCTCGAAACTTATTTGCACGAGAGATCTCACTGTTAGTTGAGCTCCACACATATTGTTTTTAGACAGCTCGAGTGAATGTGTTCCTCTCGACCGGACCGGGCGGCCATATCCATCCGAGTCACGGAAGGGCGCTCGTCGCGGCTCCACTGCCATGTGGCAGTGCTCGGGAATGACTAGGTCTGGCGCCATTGAGCCAATCGCGCTGTTGCATATTGCGGACATCGGCTTGAAATCGTGGGCACTCGGAGATTGATGCTCGAAATGATCCTGTACTGGGACTTTTCGCATTGACGACAGCAAGGACGAAGTCGGTTCGCCGGCTTGGCTTGGGGACAGGCACAACCTGCACTGCTAGCCCATGGGGGTATGCACCGATAGCATTGCTCTTCTGGGCCCGTCGCGGACGACATTGACCCGACTATCATCCTCACAGTGTTGGACAGGCTGGAGCTTTCGACCGCTAGGGTCATGCCAACTTGGGAGCAGAGAAGCCTTCGAAGAGCTCTTGCCACAGAGTTTGCTTATATTCGAGATACCTGCTTTTGGGCAAGCATATTTCGCCAGTGAGGTCTCTCCTACGCTGCGGACGAACACTTTTAGCACGGAAGAGGAACATGAAATACATTTCTACGAGCCTTGTTCTTTGGGTCGGAAAATGCCGGAGAAATAGCTATGGCACGGCGCGTGGCTAATCAGGCTGCCTGGGATATCCTGTGTAGTGACATGTGCTTCTGATCTTGTTGGTGTGCTTGGTCTTCTTGCTGCATCTCAGGGGTCACCAAAGAGCCATAGATTGCCTGCTGGCACACATAACGAGGCATGCCCCGCTTTCAAGCAGGCCCGGGTGATAACAATAACCACATGAATGCTGGTCAGCCAGGGTCTGAGGGGTAGTTGATGTAAGCCGAGCCGTTGCCTCCCTCGGCCTCAGGATTCCCCGCACTTCTGCTTTTCCTCGTATTTCTTGGACACAACTGTAGAACAAAGTTAGCGCTCAAACCGGAATCCGATCCTGACACGACTGGCCCCTGGATTGGACCTGCTCAGGTTGACAGCGGTTACCTTGCAAAGATGGTACGTGCTCGCGCTCGGCGATAAAGGAGTGGAACCTGAGGCTAATGGAGACCGCCGGACAGCCACTAAGCAGAATCTACCCCGACAGCGAAGACTCCCCTTTCAGAGTGGAGTAAGTATACTCCTGCTCTACGTGACTAGCGCCCGTGCTCATTCGTTCAGTGTGGTTGCCGTCCACGGCTTGAACCCGCGCGGTAAGGAGGCCGAACACCATGCTTTGGGCACCTGGACCGCTCCCGACGGCCATCTGTGGCTGCGCGACGATCTCCCAAAGATCCTACCCGAAGCTCGAATCTTCATATACCAGTACGACGCTGCCGTCGTGTACGGCTCGGACAGAACCACGTTCCTCGACAAGGCCAATGACCTCCTTGAGCAGATCCGATGCGAACGAAACAAGGCCACGGAACGCCTTCCCATCATCTTCGTGGGACACAGCATGGGCGGGTTGCTGATCAAGCAGGCCCTTATCAATGCGCAACAAAACCAGAAATACACATCGATCAAGGAGGCAACCACGGGCCTGGCATTCTTTGCAACTCCCCATTTCGGGGGAAAGGCGATGCTCGTCAGCACTGGAAAGGCTGCAGCTGATATCGCCCACGGCCTTGGGTTCAGAAAAGGGGACAGGATCCTTGAAATCCTTGATGAAGGCAGTACCTGCAGTGATATCATGCGGGAGGGCTTCAGACACCAGCAGGACGAGTATCAGATCGTTTCCTTCTGGGGGTCAAGAGATAGCGTACGTACCATGAGCTTCAGTCCTCGATGTCAAACAATAAAGCTGACGAGGAGGGAGAAACCCTATAGGTTGTGCAACGGGACAGTTCAAGATTGGGCTTGCCAGGACACTGGGAGAACATCGTTTCTCTCGATGCCGACCATACTCAGGTTTGCAAATTTGGGCAGAGCCAAAGCGAGAGGAACAAGTTCAAAGTTGTCAGGAGAAACATGGAGGATCTGTATGACTTTGCTATCAAAAAATGTGAGTTGCTACACCAACTCTCGAGGCCCGACTTGGAAGCTGTGCGCCTGGGTGATGAGAATCTCGCGCAGCGCATGGCTAGTCTCCAAAGAGGCGTGTAGGTTCTCAGCAATAAATTGATCGTTCAAGTGCACAGATCAGACAATGCTCCAAGTTGAGGTGGAACATCAAGAAGCCATGGAGAAGGCTTTCTCCCTAAGTCTGGACTTTCCAGAGCGGACGTTGAGACAAAGGACTATCGAAGGTGCAGAAGCTACTCCAAGCACAATGAAATGGATAATGGACGACAAACATACGACCTTGCATGGGTTTCCGGAATGGCTGCGCAGTGACGACCCTATCTACTGGATCTCGGGCAAACTTGGAAGCGGCAAGTCGACGATGATGGCTCACATCATCAACAACCCCCGGACGCTGGAGTGCCTCGGAGAGTGGTCAAAGCACAGCCCTATAAAAGTTCTTCAGCACTACTTCTGGCAAGCCGGATCTGCCGAGCTTCAGCGCAACATAGAGGGTCTACTCCGGAGCCTCTTGCTGCAGCTTTGTGAAGCTGATCCCGTTCTAATCTCCATGGTGTCGGACAAGCTGGCGATCTCAACCGCCAGAGTAATGCCAGCTTGGGACCAGAGAAGGCTTCGAATGGCGGTGGCCATTGCGTCTGCACATGCGAGAGACAATCACTTTTGCTTGTTCCTGGATGGCTTGGATGAGTGTAGTGGAGATCAGTCCGCGTTACTTGATGCCATCGCTCTTTTACAACAATCCATGGCCACAAAGATGAAGATATGCGTCTCAAGCCGCCCAGAGCCTATCTTTATTCGTCGACTTTCTCACGTTCCGAAACTTGAGATGCAAGAATTCAACTATGAGGATATCCGCCAATACGTGGCCGCACAGCTGGGTTCAGAGAAAATTCGATCGTCCTATCTGAAGAAATTCGAGACATGTAGACGGATCGCTCGCAGTGCGGAAGGCATTTTCCTTTGGGCTGTCCTTGTCACCCGCTCACTTATCAAGGCTGCTGATGATGGTGACGACGATCTTATGCTAGATGTCCGACTCTCCTCGATTCCTCAAGGTATGAAGGAGCTCTTCGAGAAGTTCTTTCAGAACATAGATGAGCTGCACAAAGGGTCGATCAACTGGTATGTGGGGATCCTGAATCTTCAGCGTGAGGTTGGCAGGCAGCTAGGAAGCATTGCTCACCTTGCTGCTGCACAAGCTGCAAAACAGCACGACATTCGCCCATTCAAGGACCCTGTTATCTTTTTGGAGCTTTGCCAGCAGATTGAAGTGCAGATATTGGCTCGCGGTCATGGCCTTTTTCAAATAGTCGCACAAACTCCGCTTCGTCGCATGGGATGGTCATCACTGGAATGGAAGCAGAACCCTGCTCGGCTGTCGACTAATGATCCCGGGTTGCGACAATCGCGCACTGTGGCAAAACAATTGTATAGGATGGTTCTCTACGAATATCGAACTATACAATGGACACACCGATCCGCCCAAGACTACTGTCTGAGCCAAGCCGACCTCCCGGATTCATGGCTGCGACCTCCACCTATGACTGGCGTTTTTAGACAGCTTGTCGATGCAGCAATCGTATATTGCAAACATGCTCCGTCAGCATGCCTGACTTCAGACCAGAAGAATCGACCTGTACTGGAAGAAATACCTAGGCGGTGGACAGACATCATGAGGATCTTTGCGAGGGCAACACGCCACGGTGCCTTTGCCATTCAGTTGCAAGGCGCAAAGTCTATTGCATACGGTGCAGCGGATCGCCTTAGACCCTTGAGCTGTTGGATCGATTCTGAGTTACGTCTCGGGACTGGCACCGTGTTTTGGAGATCATGTGCTGACGCCGGGTTTTCCGGATATGTGCTGCGGAGAGCCAATCGCGTACCATGGTATAGCATGCCGCTTTTGATCCATTCGGCAGTGAAGAGTCCCAGAGACGGAAATATTCCTCAAGGAGCGGCTGTCTCTCATGAACTTCTGCCCCGTCTTTGTTGGAAACTACTGGACGAAACCAACCGTGCAGATGGTACTCCAACATCTGAGTTGGTGATCAGATTCTCCTACGATTCCATACCCTTTTCCTATGTGCGGGCACAAGACCATTCAGACACTGGCTCGGCGGATATAGAGCGGCATTTTGCAGTCTGCTTTGCTCGTTGTGCCACTTCGTTCCCCCCAAGACGAGACAAATTGGCCCCAGCTCGATATAGTGTGTTCGCCGATGCCTGGAGACGATCAGTGGTCACGTTAGGCGCTATCGGGGCTGCCTACGGCTTGTACGTTGACATCGGGTCCTCGGAATGCTTGCACCTTCAACTGGCTGTTACAGAATATCTCAAGTACATAAACACTTATGACGCCACCGAACCCCCACGAAGATGGACTTCAGCCGGTTACCCTCTTTTACGCCTGATTTGTGGTGAGAAACATGGAGACACCCACTCATCGTATTACCCAGACTCAACCATCAGCAAGATGATTCTTCAATATCTGTTCATTCCATGGTTATCTCCATGCTGTGAGCTGCGCGCCACAACATGGGAGCTCATGGAGATTGTGAAAGCTCTAGAAAGCGAAATGGGGGGCCAAATGAACATTTCCGGGCTCCCTGAAGGACATTTCAAATCTCATTGTCTGCGTCAAAACCTTTCTAGGCTTTTATTGCGTATGAGGAAAGACCTATTTATTCATTTGCGTAGGCGAGTTCTGCCGAGACCGGTCGTCTACGAGGTCCTTGACACGAAGGGAGACCAGGACACTGATTCGACTGCTGAGGCTTGGGAGGACCTGGCTCCACTCAGTGACCTTGTGGCCGAGCCTCGCTTCAGGGACCATAGGCCACCATGGCCACTCGATGACATCCAAACCCCATGGGCTGCGGATCCAGTGTGGGATCACAACGTTGGCTATGAGGAGACGGAGAAGCTCAAACCGCAGCCTATCTTCGGCATTTGGAAGGTTCAATCAGTGAAACGCCGTTTCCTGCCCGCGACTACCAAGAGGCGCGAATCCAGACTTTCGTGTCTTTTGCAACGTCCACGGCTGTTAAAACATGTGTCAACACGCTCAAGAATGCCGCACTAGATGATGCTTTGTGTTAGTCATTGGTTGATCGCGAGAAATAGGATCATGTATGCATTTCGTAGCGTATATAGACCTCTTGGTGCTTGGGTGTCAGGCATGAGGTATCTTCACATCATTGGAGTAGCCGCTGTAGTCGCCTTTGTGCGACTCGTTATTCCAAACTTGCAGGTTATTCATGAGTTGTTTGTCACAACAGGAATTATGAAGATTATTGAACAGGACCAAGGATCTCTATGAGTCTCAGCTGTCATCATCTTCGCGTCTAGTCTATTTTGATCTAGTCATACCACCTTTGCCAGAATGATAGCCAATAGCATGATCAATACAGCAGCCAGCACACCCAACAACGTTTCGTCCCGGCCAGCGAGCACATCCTCGACCCAGACCTCGACGGCAGGCGGCATCGTGGCCAGTGTGGTCCCCAATATGCCAAGCTGCCCGACCTTGCCCAGAGCCTGCCGCCTCTGCAGAACTCTCTTGAGCAGATGCTCTTGTAGCCCTTCAATCTCCACGACGACCCTGTGCGTCTTCGCAGCAAGCCGCTTACCCGCGCGCCCGCCATCAAGCCCAGCCCCAAGCCGACTGCGCACGTACAGCGTCTGCTGGACAGCATTATACGACCAGTCCGCATCATTCACCCTGACCACAAGCTTCTTCCCAGCATAGTGGTATGCCGGCAGGAAAATCTCTGTCTGGTGCGCCTTGTCCTCCAGCTCATCGAGCAGGGCCTTCTTCTTGTCCTTGTGCCCGGCGGAAACATCCTTCCCACCGACCGTCCAGTCGAGCTCGAACCTGAGCGTCCTAGGATCCCAGCTCGTCCGGGTCGGCTCGCCCGCAATCTTGGCCGCGTACGGCCGGATGAGGACATCGATCGCCCGCCCGCCCTTGTACACCTCGTCCGCCTCGTGCTCGGCGTTGCGGTAGTCCGGTACGTGCTCCGGCGCGGCGTCGCTCGTGAACATGCTAAAGTCCTCCTTGTTCCAGCCGTCGCCAAACTCGACCGTGTTGCCCGGGTTGTAGTTCCACAGGGTGAACCCGACCAGGCTGTCCTCCATCCCCGCGATCAGTGCGTTGTAGAGGTCCCGGTGGATGTCGAAATTGCCCGTCCTGTACGCGACCTTGCCGTTGATGTCAAAGGGGATCCCGATCTCTCCGATGATCGTCGGGACGTTGCCGCCCAGCGACAAGGGCCCGTGCTTGACAATGTTGCCAATCTGCCGGGAGTAGTTCCTCCGCAGACCGGCCGAGAGGAAGTGCAGCGCTTTTAGGGGGAACACGCCCCTCGACAGACCTTGCACGTCGACGCTCATGACCCCGCTGTACTCCTTGTTGAAGAGCACGTTGAGGTCGTAAAAGTGCGGCGCGTAGACCATGTTCTCGGGCCGGGGCGTGTCGATGATGGTCTTGGTGGCGTAAGTCTGCCTCCGCGCGGCGGTCTCGTGTTTGACGGGCTGCCACGGCGGCATGAACTCGTTGGGTATGGGCGCCACAAAGGCCATCATGTCCGTGACTCCTTCTGCGCCTTGTTTCTTGCCAGTAGCGGCGGCCGTGCTCCGGGCCCGACGCATCCGCTCGTTGAACCGCCGGACAAAGGGCGCGTAGCAGTCGCGGTACCACTCGAGCGGCCTGCCCTCGCGGCCGGGCCTGTGGTCGTACTCAAAGTACTTGTCCTCGAGCACTATCGGGGACTGTGTCTTGCTGTTCCACTCCCACACACCGTGGGCTTGCCACACGCACCCGCCCAGCCCCTTTGGCCTGTCCGGTGCCGACGACGACACGGCGAGATCCCCCGTGAGCCACGCGGGTCTACCCTTGGGGTCTATGCGGGAGTAGTGCGACACGCGCGTCGGGTACGGCCAGGTCTTGACGTAGAAGGGCACCTCCTGCGGGTACCCACTTCCCAGGGCGAGGGCCTGAAGAAAAGAAGGGTAGTGCCCGATGTGCAGATCCGTGTCGTAGTTCCAGTTGTGGACATGGTGCAGGTTGACCAGCCCGCGATGCGGCTCGTTCATGGCCTCGAAGCCAATGCACGCCTCGAGCGGCGACACAGCGTCCGCCAGGCGACCGAACGCCTCGATCAGCGCGTCCTGAAGGAAGGTCTGGACCGATACTTCTGCTTCTCCCTTCCCGGACGGGCTGGGCACCGTCCGCATACACCGCAGCTTCGGCGCCAGCGCATCGCCCGCCCAGAAGAGCGTCGCCATGGTCGACGCCGCGAGCTTCTGGTACCCGGACGGCCAGACGAACGGCCCGCTGGGCTCGTTGTCCTTGGCCAGGCCGCCCGCCCGCCTCGCCTCGTCCTGGCCGTGGATGTACGCGGCCCCCGTGTCGGTGAACGCCTCAATGTCGAACCCGGCGGCCTCGAACGTCCAGGCCGGGGCGCCGCTGCCGCCGCTGAACCGGCTCCACACGTCCTGGTGCGCGCAGATGAAGCACTTGAGGCCGTACTGGGGCATCATGGCGACCAGCCGGCGCAGGTAGTCGATGTACTCGACGTCGAGGTCCGTGGCCGGGTTCGGCCCGGCGTGGCCGAGCGACTCCCACGTGACGAGCAGCCGGATAAAGGTCAGGCCGTAGGTGCGCAGGCGGCCGAGGTGGAAGGGGGCATCCTCGAGGGGGAACGGGCGGCCGACAAAGGAGACGGTCCGGTGCAGGTCGTAGAAGCCCTCGGTGAGGTGGGAGCGGCCGTCCGGGGTGGTGGGCAGCTTGCTGCAGCCCGAGACGTTGAGGCCGCGCGGGATGACGACGCGGTTGTAGCCGTCGACGAAGCGGTGGCCGCGGATGCGCATGGGCACGCCGCCCAGCGCCGCGTCCGAGAGGTCGGGCGCCGCGTGGGACTCGAGCATGGTTCGAGACTGCGGGCTCGCCGTTGTTGTTAGTGGCGGCGGTGAGTGGTGATGATATCAAATGTTAGTGGTGTGTCTCGAATCGGGAGACAGGCGGCCCAGGTACGTATCTCGAGATAAGGTGCTGCCCGTGGCGTATACCATACCAACGTCCCTGCGATACCACCTCCCTGTGATAGGTGGCTGGATCGTCGTTAGCGGTCGGCCACGGCCCGCGGCAAGGGGGTGGTCCGTCGGGGTTTGTGGGCCGGGACTGCTTAGACGCACTTTACGGCTTGTCTTCATATCCTCCTTTCGTGCTAATCCTCCGTGGCCCCAGCATTAGTTGATCGATAGTCGATAGCGTGTTAACCCCCTCGCCCTTAATACGCTAGAATATTCCCACATCGCGAGCCAGGATGTCTCGTCCCCCTTGAGGCCATTTAGAGTTTGCTCTGCTCCCCTGTTCCCAGCACACAACCAACAGCCCCAGCCCGTTGGGCAGCCACAGGGCCCCCGTCCTCGGAATGGCCTGACCTGATCAAATTCTCCCTCGCATCCTCCACGGGACCCCCACACCCCCCAGAAGGAGGACCCTGAGGGTTCACTGTCCCCGACCACTTGCATCCCCTCCACCCTCCGGCCTGGGCTCCGGTCCTGCAAAATCGTCATTCTGCAGCAAATGTCCAATAGATAGTTCGGAGAAGGAAGTCCTGCTGCACGTCTCAGCCAGAAGATGGCCTGCGTTCCACCGAGAATCACCACCCCGGCTTCATTTCCGGTGCCCGGCAAGTTCCGGTTGACGGCATGCCAGCTTTGTGTGACCGGTCACCTAGGCACAGCCGTTCAGCCAACCTCGCGTGGCAGGAACGTGTCAGCTTGCGTGTTTGCTACCTACTACCCCTATACAACAGACATGTTGGATGGGTTGCATCCCATACCGCCGTGCCCCCCCCCCTCCTCCCAAGGAAACCATGTCCTGCACTTTCGAAAGAAATTGGCCGGCGCCCGGGGAACATGGAGACGGGTGTCCCGACTTGTGGTGGTGGTGGCCATGCTCCAGAATAAGCGTTGGCCTCCCCTCGCTCCCCGCGGCTATTCAGCCCCTTGCCAACGTTTACACGAGCGCGCACTGCTCCTTTCCTCGGCACGGCACAGCACAGCAGGGGCCGGGTCTGCGGGCGATTGTGGGAATATTGAAACACGGTGAGTGACCCGGCGGCAAGGGGGGGCTGGCCGGATGCGACGACAGGAGTGTCATCCGTATCTTTTAATCGGAGATTTATTATCGTAGTCCCGTAGACGAGGCTACTGCGTATGAGCGGTGGAGGTCAAAGCTGCATACTACAGAGTATGAATCGACCTTCTGCTCTCTCCTGATACGAGTCGGTGCTGCACCCCCCTGGCCAAAGGGTATCGCTGCTGAAACACACTGGGACATTTGGACCTGGAAACAGTACACACCGCTAAGCTTTGGTTACCTGACGAGAAAAATTCTGGGAGCATGCCTGGTTCTGTCTCATTGTGATCCTGCGTGCGTGGGTGGAGCGACTCCGCCCGCTGAATGTCTGATATTACAACGTCCTAGGTAGTCTGGTCATCCTCTGTGAAAATGCCCTTGGTCGTATACGTGGGCCTTTACGAGTCTACGACGCTTGACACTACGATGAGAGTCCCTCTTCGGATTCCCCGTCCCGAGTAAAATCTTCCGGACGAAAGAAAGGAAGAGAAGGAAGAAAAAAAAAGGGAGAAAGATCACGCGAATGACAAAACGCATCGCTTGCCGTACTCTTGGGAAACAGAAAACACTCATAGCCTCAAAAGAAAGTGCACACGCATCGAGCGGGTACACATCAAGCCTCCCAAGGATCCTTTAATGCTTAACCATCTGATCCGCCGCATAAGCCCAGTACCTCTCGGCGCCCTTCTCACGGAAGCTCTTGCCCTTCCAGATCATGAGCAGGAACGAGAAGCCCGTGACCAGGGCGATGACGCCGACCGCGATGAACGTGTTCTGGAGCCCGCTGGCCTCGATCCAGGGGGTGATGGCGTAGCTAAACGCAAAGGTCATGGTGTTGCGCACGAGGATGAGCGAGACCATGCTCTCGCCGGCAATCTCCTTGAAGCAGTCGACGTCGTAGGCGATGGCAAAGGAGCCACCGCTCACGATGCCGAAGCCGCAGAAGACGCTGCCCACGAGGATGACGCCCAGGGGCGCACCGTGCGCCGCGCCGACACCCCACATGAGCAGGCCGAGGGGTAGGATGACGCCGTACGAGACGAGGCCCCAGAGGCGGTGCTCGGGCTCGCGCAGCCCCTGGTTCCGGTGCGCCAGGCGCAGGGCGAGCTTGTCGCTCACAGGGCCGGCTACGAACCCCCCAATCACGGCGCCGAATAAAGGCGCGAGGTACGTCACGCCGACCATGGACGAGGTGAAGTTGAAGGGCGCCGAGGTGAGGATGAGCGAGGCCGTCGCGTTGTAGACCGAGTACCACGAGTTGGTGAAGCCGTACTGGAAGCCCGCCCACAGGATGTTGGGGAAGTGGTAGAGCATCACGATGGGCCGCCAGGAAATGGTCAGCGCCTGGGACACGCTGAGCTCGGAGGGCGTGTAGAAGGTGATGCGCTTCCACATGGGCTTTGGGTGTTGTGGGATCGCGGTGCCGCTGGTGGCGGCGGTGGCGGTAACGGTGGTGGTCGCGGTGGGCGATGGGCTACGGTCGGGCGAGCCGGTAGAAGTGGTCTTTTGCTTCTCGTTGTCGTTGTCGTGGTCATTGTCATTGTCGTTCGCTGTCCCGGCAGACGCAACCCTCGCAATCTGCCCAATCTCCACGGCAGAGTCGGACTCCTGCGTGTCCGCCTCGACGGTCGAGCGGAAGTACATGGACTCCTCCTGCAGGAAGAAGGAGAAGACAAAGTTGAAGGCTAGCAGGATCGCACCCCAATGCTGCACCCACCGCCAGCCGATGGCGTCGTTCATGAAGCCCGCGCACAGCGGGGCGATAAAGTTGCTCCCGTTGAGAATCAGGCTGTAGTAGCCCACGTACGCGCCGCGCTCGTGGGCAAAGTACGTGTCCGGGATGCTGATCTCGGGCAGCACCTCGACAGGGGCGACCATGAAGCCGTAGAGGATCCGGGCCGCCGCCCACTGCGGGAACGAGGAGATGTGTGCGGTCCATTCGGTGATGGCGAAGCAGCCGACCAGGCTGAGCAGGAAGACGGGGCGGCGGCCGATGCTGAGCGCCAGAGGCTGCCAGATGAGGTTTCCCCAGCCGGCAAGCAGGAAGATGAAGCCCGTGCCGAGGTTGAGCTCGGTCAGCGTGATGCCCGTCTCGCGGCTGATGTCGACGAGGCACGAGTATGTCGCGGTGGCGGCGACGCCCGTGGTGAAGGTGTACATGTAGACGCAGATGATGTGAAGCAGCTTGCGGTACTTGGACCAGTTCAAGGGGTCGTCCGGGTGGCTCGAGGGCTTGGGCACGAGCACGATCTCGTCGTCTCGCTCCACGAGCACGAGATGCACCGTGCCCGGAGGCAGGAGCGTCGATGTCGAGTGAGGCAGGGCCATGGTCGGCGGTGGTGATGTGAGGCGGGACTAGTACTCTTTGCCGGCAGCGGAGGACGACTCGTGTGTCATGTCCTGCCTGCTATACACAGGTCCTGCTTGGCCAGTCCGGTCTAACTGCCGAGGGTAAGGGACGCGACCGGGGTATAAGTGGAGAGGAAGTGAATATATAAGCTTCTAGAATTTGTGTTCAGGAGTGCAGCCGGCCGACGACTTTGTCTCGCAGCGGGCAGCGGCAGCGCTATGCTCGATCGAGGGAGCCAGCCTTGCTCGCCCACACCACCACGGCAGGATGCGGCACTTGCAAGCTTGGCTCGTCAGCGTGCAGGACGTACTATCTATTGACAAGACAACGGCTGAAGGCTAGGATGGCCTGTCTCGGCCGGGTGGCTTGCGCGGCCCAGTCGGGGGTCGTCGATGCTATCACCCGGGAGCAGGCAGGGAGCAAATGTTTGCCATGCTGCAAGACACTGGCATGGGTCGTGGAGGGCGGCCGCATGGGATGGCGTCGCATGGCATGGGAAAGGGGACAGGCCCAGCGCCGACGGTGAAGGCGACGGGAGCAAATAAGAGGGCAGCCCAGGCATATTACAGTTGATCAGCACCGAGCCCGGCCAACAAGAACCACCACACCAACACGACACGACCAGCCCGGCAGCCATGATTCAGCACCTTGTGGACACGGCCCGGGAGACGAGGCCCAAAGCAGGACAAGCCCCCTGCGAGCTGTCCAGTGCTGTCTCGGGACATCCTTGCTGCCACTCTCCACAGGGAGGACAGCCCCCCAGGGCTCCGAGGGCGCTCCAGGGCCCAGACCCCGGCTCCGCGCCCCCAACCTTAACTCACGGCGCGTTGACGAAGCCGGTGTGCTTTGGGTTCAGGCCCAGGCCCTGCCCGCAACGCCGACGGAGCACCAGGCAATTAAAAACAGGCGCCAGGTGGGCCACTGCTGGTGCTACTGCTGGTGCTGGTGCGGCCTCGTTGCTGCATGTGGTGGAGAGAGCAGAGAGAGAGAGAGACAAGTCAACCCAGAGGGTGCCCGCGGGCGTGCGGGCGGGTGGAGGACGGTCCGACGAAACCAGGACGCAACCAAGCAAGCAATTCGCGCTGGCTGGCTGGCTGGCTGAGCTGAGCTGAGCTGGATGAGGGCGTAAATCATTAGCCTGCCCTTGCAACCCGACGTAAGCTGGCGTGCAGTCCCATTTCACTCATTCATCCAGATTCCCGCCCATCAAGAACAGAACCCCTTCTGCTTGCGGCAACACTGTGCCCCTCCTCCCAAGCCTGGCTTCCTTCCCTCTTGGTCCTGGCTGCGCCGCTCTCCTTGTGCCCCTCGCCGCCTGCCCTTCCGCAAATTTCCCCCTAATCTCCACCCGCGAGTCCACTCCCCAGCCCGCCCTTTGCCTCGCCGCCGATTGCACCACGGGACGACCACGGACCTGGATCGCCGGCTGCAGCCAGCCAGCGAGCCAACTACTGTTGCGGTTGGCCAAGACTGCCCAGAGCCCAACGCACCAGGCCTCGTCCTGACCCGGGGACCACCCCATGCCGCCGGTCCGCAAGGCCTCGTCCTCGTCCGCGTCCGCCGTTGGCTCCGCCTCCGTGCCCGGCTGCGACGGCAACGGTAACGGCAACGGCGGCACAGCAGTAGCAGCAACGTCCGTCCGGCCAAAGGGCCGGCCCCGAGGATTCCGCCGGGATCGAGACTGCCGCACCTGCAAGGCCCGGAACGTCAAGTGCGATCTCAACCGGCCCAGCTGCGGCATCTGCGTGGCCGAGGGCATCGCCTGCCAGGGCTATGCCACCACGGTCCGCTGGGCCAGCAATGCCTTTGCTCCCCCGCTGACGCCGGCATCGTCGTCGTCCACGGGCTCTGGCAAGTCGGTCACACCGGTGTCCGCATCGTCATTCACAGCCTCGCCATCATGCGGGCCGTCCCCGTCTCCCTCGCTGTCTCATTCGTCGGTGTCATCGCCGCCAGATTTCATCTTTAAAGCACAACATCATCAACATAATCATCATCATCATCATCAGCAGCAGCAGCAGCAGCAGCAGCTCGCTGACACAAGTAGGAGTCATGGCATCTTCAACAGCGGATCCGCCGCCTCCTACTCCCCAGCCAGCACCAGCATCACGACGGCTGAACCAACACCGCCGCCAGGATCAACTACCACTACTGACTCCCCGCCGCCTGAAAAGTTCTACAACCCGCGCCGGACGACGGCACCCCTCCAGGTGCGGCAGGACCAGCGGGCCCAGCTGCTGAGCGCGGCGCTCGAGGACAACCCGGAGGACTCGAACTGGACGACACACTACCTGGCGTACTACGAGTTCTTCACGAAGCAGTTTGCGGAGGCGCGGCGCAGCATCACCAAGGAACGGCGGTACCGGCCCGAGGGCGTCACACCGGGGCCGGACGCATCGTATCCGCTGGTCGACCGAGACCTGGGGAACGTGTGGCAACTCCTGTGGCAACGCCTAAAGGGCCAGATCCCTCACGGCCCGGGGGACCACCACCACACGGGCAGCGTGGAGCTGCTGACGTCGCACGCGGCGGCGCTGGCGGAGCTCAACGAGGCGATCCGGGCGGGGGACATCCTGGCGCTGTACGGGGTGGTGACGCTGAGCTTCCTGGACGTGTACGAGGGCCCCTTTATCGACTGCCAGTGGCACATGCACGGGGCGCGGGCGCTGCTGCAGCTGCACTGCCACGACGCGGCGAGCCTGGACGCGCTGTGTGCCGAGCTGGCGGGCCTGCGCGAGGCCGTGAGCCTGCTCTCGTGGTACGACACGATGGGCTTCTACTTTGAGCAGAACCGGCGCAACGCCCTCGTGTTCCCGGACTGGGTGCGCGAGGGCATGCGCGACGACTTCTTCCAGCTCGTCTCGTGCCCCCGGGACAGCTACATGGTCTACGCCGCCGTGGTCAAGGCCCGGACCGCGCACCGCGGCCGCAAGGAGGACGACGACGACGTGGTCAAGATGGCCGCCGCCGAGATGGACGCCCAGCAGAAGCGGCACCAGCGCGATCTCAAGCTCTCCATGCTCGCCGTCCAGCAGATCCTGCGCACCAGCTTCAACCTCACCGGCCGCCACGACGACACCCTCGTCCTCCAGGACAGCTTCCGCTACGCCGCCGCCCTCATCGCCACCGAGACGGCCCACGTCGGCGGCTTCATCGACAACGAGACCGACGACACGCTCTCGACCCTCGCCGACCGCGTCTGCGACAAGATCCTCGCCGGCGTCCCCGTCACCTCGGGCAAGTACCGCCACCTCGCCTGCCAGGTCACCATCCTCGGCCACCACGCCCGCACCCCCCGCCACCGCCAGGCCGTCGACGGGTACTGGATGCGCTGCGACACGCTTGCCAGGCCCATCTATCCCAACGGCAGGATACACAGCGGCAGCGAGGAGCACTGGACGCGGATTCTGGGCAAGTCGACGGGGGCATGAAAGGGGGCCCCTAGATGTTCTGTTGTATCCCGGAAAGAGGAGAAGGAGGTGGAGGAGGAAGACGAGGAAGACGAGGCGGAGGAGGCGGAGGAGGCGGAGCAGGAGGCGGAGAACAGGGCCGTATTACCGGCTTTATGACGCCGTAGAATGTGCTCGCCGATGGATTACCGGAAATAACCTCGGCCCAGCGAGGCGTCCCACCTTGTTGGTAACAGGAAAGAAATCATAATCATGACAAAGACAAAAGGCAAGCGGCACATCTAGCGGGTGTCTTGGTGTCTCCCCACTTTCCGGCCGTTGCACGACGTCGTGCCTCTGCTCCGTGTCTGTGCTGGGTCACTCCGCACTGATCCTTACTAGCCTCGACTGCCAACCGCTCTCTCGGGCGCGGGAAGGGACCGCTTCTTTTCGCCAATCGCGTGGCGGACCTTGGCTGATCTCGCTGCGACAAAAGGCACGCACGCCGCCCCCGTTGCCAAACTCCATCGTCAGATGTTGCGCCAGTGGAGGAAAGGCAAGTGGCCGTCGGAGCGGAGCCCGACAACCTCCACACTCTCAACCTTATCGGACGACTGCTATGGTTGCTTTCCCAAAACGGCCAGGCTTCATTTTGCTTTGTGGTTGTTCCCGCCCTGGCCGGACTTTCTCTTCCCCGCACGTTGTTACACAAAGCGGCGATTCCAACACACAAATCACAAATATGAGCAGTCACCAAGAGACTCGCTAGCCTGGCAGCACCTTGCAGACGCCATCGACTAGTGTCGTCATGCCATGCACGTCGTTTGGCATTCCACGTCAGCATCGCCATGTGGCTGCCCTGGGCCTGGCCATGCAGGCTAGCAAGCAAACCCGTTTGCCTCATCCCCACCCTTGCTGTCTCGATTGACTGCCTTCCGCATTCATTTCGTCTGAAGGAGGAAAAAGAACCCCCCCCCCCTCCCTCTGGCGTATCGTGCCACGAAGACCTACATGCATTAGCTTGGAGCAGGACCCCCAAATTAGAGGATAAACAGAAGCCCGGTACCAAAACCCTGTCTGCTCCAGCCAAGCCCTGGACCAGCAAAGGTAATCGATAAATCTTTCAGTAACACATATACCATGACAAAGTGTCGTATGACCACCGAACCCTTGTCCATTCTTGCTTGTTGTTCCCCTCCTCGCCATCCACGCTGCTGGGAACGGCTGCTAGCCCAGTAACGATCTCTCGCTTGGGCAGCCCTGGCAAATCCTTTCATCCCTGGCATCTGGCGTGTTTGGCTAACACGATCCCGGCTGAACTTTGCTTGTTGGCCCTGCTCAGGTTGTTGCACCACCAGCCAGCCCATGCGGCTCCGGGTAAGAACATCTGACCAACTTTTTTCGGAGTAGGATTGCCCTCCGCCGCCGCCGCCGCCGCCGCTGCCGCCGCATCGTCCCCCCATTCAACCGGGCACAACACTCTCCCGGCAGCCTGATTGACTTCCGCTTTTGATACCTTCCGAAGCCGATCCATATCCCCCCGCCTTATCCCGCCGGTATTCTTGGAGAGAGCGTGGGGGTACCAGGAGCCGGCGGAGGGGAAAACAGTCACGATATCCAGGTTGACCCCCTCTGGACGGTTGGGCGTGTGCGTGAAGCCAACTGGGCACTGGATGGGCATCCTTGCGTATCTTCGAGTTACACAAGTATGGGACTTGCCCCGGCGCCCTCTTGGGTTCCCACTTCTCTTTCCATCTGGTTGGGTTGTGAGACAGAGCCCACGAATAACAGCTGGGTCCGATCCTCTCTTGGCAACAACAGCCTCGAGCCTGATTTTCCGTGTCTCTTGCCTTATTGTGACGTATCGCAACGGTCTGAACCAACCTGGCTTCGGGGTCAAAGAGTGATCTGCGCTTCGTACTGGCTTTTCACGACACCATATCACGACTCTCGCCCAGGTAATTAAGTCATCGTCCCATACCTGATCCCATCTCAACATTCAAAACCTCCTCCCCGTTCATCAACCACGAATAAGAGCGTATTCCATACAACGCCCACCGGCGACCACTACCGCCACCATGTCCACCACAACAGTAACAACAATGACAACGACAACAACAATGACAACAACGCCAACAACAACCACCATCACCATGGCTCCCAGTGAAAAGCCCGCCTGGAAACTCCGCGCCGCCCAGAAGCGAGCCGAAGTCCACGCCAGCATCCCCGCCGAATACATCCTCCCGGCATCCATCCTCGCCTCCCCGCCCAAGGACACGCTGCAATGGCTCCGGACCTCGGGCATCCTGGACCCGACCGAGCTCGAAATCACCGAGACCACCTCTGCCCCGGTGCTGCTCGACAAGCTCGCCACCGGCGTCTACACGGCCGTCCAGGTCCTCCGCGCATTCTTCAAGCGCGCCGCCCTCGCGCAGCAGCTCATCGGGTGCTGCACGGAAATGTTCTTCCCCTTGGCGCTGCGCCGGGCCGAAGCCCTGGACGAGTACTACCGCTCCTCGGGGGGGAAAGCGGTCGGTCCGCTGCACGGGTTGCCGGTGAGCCTGAAGGACTTGCTGGATGTGAAAGGGGTGGACTCGACCGAGGGCTGGGTCGGGCAGATTGGGAAGCCCAAGGAGAAGGACTGCGGGCTTGTCGAGGTGCTCAGGGGGCTGGGGGCTGTGATGTATGTCAAGACGAATATTTCGCAGAGTATCATGGTGAGTTGCGGTTTTCTTGAGGCTTCAACCTTCCTCAGTCTCCTTCTCCTCCTCTTTTTCCTTGCTACTATGCATTTTGCGTCGTGTCGAACTTGACCCGAAACTGGTGCTACAAAAGCGAACCCCTTCCTCGAGAGTACACCGTAAGAACCCTGTCACTGACAACGGGGGGGAAAAAGATGGCCGACTCGTACAACCACGTCTTCCTGCAGTCCCTGCACCCGCGCAACCGCGAGCTCATCTCGGGCGGCAGCTCCGGCGGCGAGGGCGCGCTGGTCGGCAGCCGGGCCTCGGTGATCGGGTTCGGCACCGACACGGGCGGGTCCGTCCGGATCCCGTCGCACCTCCAGGGATGCTACGGGCTCGCGCCGACCGTGGGCCGGCTCGCGTTCGCCGACTCGGCCAAGGCCCGCCGGTTCATCGCGCCGCCCGTGGTGGGACCCATCGCGAGCAGCCTCGCCACCATGGAGTGTGTCCTCGCGGCGTACCTCGGGGCCCAGCCGTGGCTGCGTAACCCGGAGGTGTATCCCATCCCCTGGAGGAAGGAGCTTGCTGACGCGGCGCGGTTTGAGCCGGAAAAAGGTGGGAGGAAGTTGAGGATCGGGTGGTATCTTGATGACGGCAAAGCCCTGCCGCAGCCGCCCGTCACGGCGACGGTGCGGAGGGTCATTGGCCTGCTGCGCACCGCGGGCCACGAGGTCATCGAGTGGTCGACCGCCGAGCACGAGGAACTCTGGCAGTCCTGGGGGAAAGCGATCATGGACGACGGCGGCAAGTACGCCAACGACTCGTGCGCGCTCAGCGGGGAGCCGCTGATCGAGGGCATGATTGTCGGCACGGACGCGGACCTCCTGAGCCAGGACGAGGCCGAGGCTCTCGCCGACTTGCGCGTCGAGCATCAGAAGGCGTACCTGAAGCGGTGGAGCGAGGCCCGGCTGGATGCGCTGGTCACGCCGATCCAGCCGTGGACGGGCCTGCGCAGGCGGGAGTGGGTCAGGAGCGAGCCGCATGTCGGGCTCACGTGTATCTGGAACTGGCTGGGCTTCGCGGCGCTGGCGGTGCCGGTGGGCGTGGTCGACGAGGAGAATGTCAAGGGTGACGAGACCTGGACGAAGCATCAGCCCAGAAACAACAGCGACAAGATCAACTATGAGAGTTGTAAGTGGTTGCTGCCCTAAACCCTATTGTTTCAAAGCGGATATTTGTTGGAATTGGATACTCACTAACTCTGAAATAGACGACCCAGCACTAGTAATGGGCCAACCTGTTGGTGTCCAGGTTGTTGGCGGGCGGTTTGGTGAGGAGCAGAGCATTGCAGTGGCCAAGGTCATTGAGAAGCTGCTTGCAGAGGATAACGCAAAGAAGGCTTGATGAGGAGAGTTCAGCATCCGTGGTCTCACTGGAGACTTGCACAATACCAGACGTGTCAGCATAGACTCGAGTGTTACAGGAGTCAATTCGAGCCGTGATTCTATATTGCGGTACAGCCACTCAGTCACACGTGCCCGCAGGATGAAATGGAGTAGTTTGACTTCTTTCAAGATCTCTTGTTCACAGGTTGTGATATGTACTGCCAGAATAATATGAACCATTAACTCGAAACTTGTCACAATTCCTTAAGCCCCGTCCTCGGGGGTCCTCAACCATATAACGCCGCCCTTTCAAATAGAAATTTTCATTCACCATTTCGCGCCCGCACGCTCAAAACAAAAGTTCGTCAATATGCAAGCTCAGCCAATCCGACGAGTCCTTCCTAAAGTCATCACTCAGCAACGAGCTGCTCCCCTTGAAGAACTGCATGAGCTGCTTGCCCTGCATCCACTTGGGCCAGCTCGGATACCCGCCTTTGCCGACGTTCGGGTCCAGGTTGTACAGGAAGTTGATGTAGTACGCGCGCTGGCTGCGGGCGGCGTAGTTGTCCAGCACGCCCAGGAAGACCTGGAGGATGTCGCCGCCGTGCAGGCTGCCGAGCACGGGGGTCCCGTAGTTCTGACTCGCCAGGTACGACCAGAAGGGCACGCTGGGCCGGAGGCGCTGGGCGTGCTGCAGCATGACGCGGCGCGAGAGCGTGAACACCAGGTCGCCCAGCACCGCGGCGCGGCGCTTGAAGCCCGGGAAGATCTCGTTGAGTAGGCCCGTGCGGTGTGGTGAGCCGTCGACGACGGCGGCGATGCCCGTGTCGTAGGTCGCGACGTACTCGGCCAGGTCAGCCTTGGTCGCACGCTGGAAGTAGTAGGCCTTGAGGTAGTCGACCAGATCGGCCGGGCTGGTCAGGTTGGGCTGGAAGATGCCGAAGAGCGTGCCCTCGTCTTCCTGATCGCCGATGATGAACGGGACGGGCGCGTATAGGCCCTGGTCCGCGAGGAGATGTGGTGACTGTGGCAGGGTGTCGCCGTCTGGTCGGGGGAGGTACGACAGCGCGAGGGACTGGTAGCTGAGCAGGCCCGGCACGGAGGTGACCGCGCGGTAGAAATCTGCATATGACAGGCCGCGGAGGCAGTTGAGCGTGTCAGCGGCACCAGAGCAGCCGGCCGTGGCAACGACCTTGTCGTACACGATCTGTCCCTTGTTGGAATCAATCGCCTCGGTGGGCACGATGCTGCCAGAGCTCATGATCGCGCCGCGGAACAGGGGCTTGTTCTTGTACTTGTACTGGCCGCCGTAGAGGGCCATCTGGTCGAACACGGAGATGGAGCCAGCAGACTCGCCCCAGATGGTCACCTTGTCCGGGTCACCGCCAAAGCTGGCAATGTTATCCGCAACCCACTCAAGGCCCATGCGCTATATTGGCTGTCAGTATCGTGATCGCGTCGAAAATGACTTTGAAGAAGAACTCACCTGATCACGAAGACCAAGGTTGCCAGAGCCGTCGGCCTTGATTTCCTTGCCGGGCATGAAACCCCAGCCCGCCACTCTGTAATTGACCGCCACAAAGACAAAGGGCTCGCCGATGCTGACGCCGTAGTTGACGAGGCTGCTGCCGTCATACATGGACGTCCAACCGAGCTAGCAATTGCAATTATCAGCACGGTGCGCCCTTTTGCAAATCGTTACAAGGGGTTGATCATGCACTTACCTCAAATCCCCCGCCAAAGATCCAGAACAGCACAGGAAGCTTGGCATCCGCCTTGGTCCCCGCAGGCCTCGCAATCGTCACTGTCAAACAATCCTCCGTCTGGCCAGTCACATCCTGGACGAACGGCAGCCCGGCAATATCCCCCAGCAAGTCGAACAGCACGTTCTTGCTATCGTTCGAGACGACGAACTGCGGACACGCCGCAGCCGGGCCCGTGACATCCCTCGTGCCCAGGTTGCCAGTGATGCGCTGCGGCGGACGCAGACGCAGCGGGCCGACGGGAGCCTGCGCGTAGGGGATGCCTCCATACGACTCGACGTTGTTGATGACGTTGCCGATAAACGTGCCGGCAGGTGAAGTCACGGTTGCGGTCTTGATGGCGAGCTGAGAGACTGGCGCATCTGCCGAGTCGGCGTCCGCGGCTGGTGCGGGAGACGCCGTGCCGGCATCTTGAGCAAATGTGCGTGCGGCAAGGAGTGCACTGCTCCAGAAGAGGGAGTGGAGAGCAACCATCGTGGGTGTCTTATCTGTCTGCCTCTCGAAGGAGGAGTGGGCAGGAGCTGGGGTTCAGGCCTGTGAAGGCAGGGAGGGCCAGGGACAAGAGACCAAGTCTGACTTTGGGTCTGTAGCCACGAGAGACAAGACACGAATCACTCTGAGCCTACCGACACACAACAGAAAATTCACAAACAGTGAGGCGGGCGACGGCGCTTCTCTTTATCCTAATTTTCGGTAGTTCATCTGCTGGAGGTCCACAAGTGGGTAGCCTCGCAGAAAAACTTGACGTCTGGGCGCCAAAGTGGGTGTCGATCTCACGATCAATTGGGGGCCTGCTGTGCTGGACACGGGAGCATCGAATACCCCGGACAAGGATTGTGCCAATACCTCTAGGAAGCTTTGCTTGGCACTGCCAGTGGACGCGCAGGTTTCCATTTTCACATGTGCAAGGACGGTTTGACACTCTGGGGAACCTGGAGTACCTGGGTCTTGACCAGGCTAATGTGGTCACCAGCACATTCTAGTATATATGCGGGCGGCGTATTTGTCTCGATTCGGCATGAGCCTCCGAGGCGCCCAGCTGTCAGAAAAGTCTGGAAGTGTGGCTCGTGGGGTCGGATGTGCCGGGTCAGACAGGCAGGCAATTGGACCTCTCTCTCCGTGCGGTAGCATGACAGCGCTGTGGATCTGGGGTACAGAGGGAGCTGCAGAGGAATTTAACGTGCTGCTGTTCTTAGCGAGGCGGCAAGGGTGGCTTGCACTAGCTCGTTGAAGCGGCAGGAGAAGACGACGAAATCGAGTCACGGGAGCTCGCAATGGGCGCCATGAAATGCAACGTAAAGCACGTTTACGGGAAATCCAGAGGGGAAACGACGCTCGGAGGCAGAGCGCTAATATGACATGTGAATATGTGTCGAGAGGCACAGCAGGAAAAACTCGCTCGTGATGCGGTGAGCATTGAAGGAAGCGCATTTGTTGAGGCTGGGCAAAAACCCATCGACATCCCTGCCAAATGTGGGGGATCGGGCAAGACGAGGTTGTTCTTTTGCGGGGTAAAGTGATAGGCTTGACGGGAACAGCCACGCGGGGTGGGAAAGGTAAGGGAAGAACCCATCGGTCGCTCTCTTTAGGCGCCGCAGAGGTCAATAGGCTTTTGCCAATACGGGAATGTGATTGCTGCTCTAATGGGAGGCGGCACTACTTCGGACAGCTGCCAGCGGTGGTGATCATGATCCACGAGACTGGGTCCAGGCTGGCCAGTCACGTCCTCTCGAGCTCGGCGGCAAGCAGCGAGCTAGCAAGCAAGATTTGACTAACAAAAGTGCCACGGGCAGGAATACAATACGACAATGCCTTGTTTTGTGTTTCCTCGCAAGAGGAGGCTGTCTTGGGATCATCAACCGACTGATCTTTTGCATGACTGCCGCCGATGCAGACTAGCATGATCTGCAGCACAGATGGATTGAGTTCAGGCTAGAAGCTCACTAGCCCACGGATTGTTGCGCTGTCGTGCGGGAGGAGCACGGTCATGCCTCGGCACATTGAGCTCCAGGCTGCTGCTCTGGTCCACCACCCACCATAACGCCCTCCACACCCCAATCATAAGATGCCGTCATGCAATACTGTCCAACGTGGTGCCCAGCTCGGCGCAACCCTCCCACCCCACGGGGGAGGCACCTCCCCCTCCTTCTGCTTTGGGGGCCGAGTTTGTCGCTTTCCTGGGGTGAGACAGGGGTGTCATCTGGCTTGGTTGTCTTGTGGTCACATGAGCACAATCCTTGAGCCATCCATCCACTTGGCCAAGCAGCCCGCAAGCGATCTTCGCTGGACGCTTACAAAGACTGGAGAGACTGGGCTAAAGCCCCAGGCGGGCGGGTATTCATTCTCGCAGGCGAGACGCCCACCTCTCTCCTCTCCCGCTTACCGCCATCTACCAGTGACATTGTTGTTTGTATGGATCAGCAAAGATCCACTGTCTGTTAAGCCTCAGGGGTCATATTCAGGCACCAGAGCTTCGTATCCAATGATGCTAGTGAGCTACAAAGCATAGCCGCTTTCTTGATCATGGGGGAATTAGGTTGCCAGCGACAAGACAGATCTGCGACCAGTGGAAATGGTCGCCTCGAAGCTCGCTTAGGGCTTCCATGCGCCGACGTACCCGCGCTCGTGTCATGGTCCCAGCAGCGACCGTGCGCAACGGGCCTGCACGGGAAGCAACCGAACAAATTGCCGACGCCACGGTACGGATCCCTGTTCCCTCTTTCTATAATATTCATGCCGCTCTGGCTATTCTAGTTTCTAGTGTCAGGGTTGTGCTTATGTACTGAGCGGCACCCGTCGGATGAGAGTGAACCCCGGCACCAGGCTTGCAGGCAACATCAAGCCACACAACGTCGTCCACCACGAGCTCGTCCAATCCCGTAAACCTTCAAGGTGGAACAAGCGGGGTAAATCTGATTGACTCTGTCGAGGTTTTATAATCAATTCCATGTGACGATGGCATCTTCCGGGTCTGCTTGCTCTTTCATCCGCTCTGCATAACTCCCGAGGCCACAGGCCTGCCCTTCGAGTGGCTGCTTTTGCAGTCGTTGGGGGAATTCATGCCATGAAACCCGTCACAGCTCACGTGATAGCGACGACACAGCACTTCCATGTGCACAGGCTTTCGTCCGCGGAGGATAACCCGGCAACTTGGCTTTTGGGACAAGGTGCAGACTGTTCACAGCCTGCGGTCATCGTTGCAACGAGTCTCCTGGTACTGCGGCGCGGCTGTCTGCTCGCCTCCAGTGAAGTACTGCACATGATCAAAGGCATAGCCTCTAAGCTCGGAAGTTGCCATTGATTGATTTAAAGACTCCTGAGTATCTCTATACTTTTAACAAGACCCAGTTGTGAACCTTTGTTGCTGTCTTGGACCATTCTCTAAGGTACTACTCTTATGCTATTACCGGCTGCGTAGATCAAGACCTGCGCAACCTGTTACGATTGCGGACAGACCATGCAAACCCTTATTGATGGTCACCATTGATCACTTGCGTCGCTGTATTCGGACATCTCCGAAAAACAAATGGCCCTCTCAATACTGCTGTATAGTATCTGCTGTGCAGTACATGACGTGTGAAGAAACATCCAGGTAATTCTCGACGTCCACCTCGTAGGTAAGAAGCCGCCGGAGGGCAAAGGTAGACTTGTCATTGCCCGCCGGCGTCCTCTACTCGAACCGCAATGTCGGACTCCTAAAACGGGCCAGCCAGGTCCACCAGCTTGTAATCGAGTAACATAAGCGCAAGTGCCTCTTGTGAAACCAGTCGAGAGGGGTGGTCCTCTGCGAACGCCCTCCTTTGCAACGCCACCACATACTTTAGAAGCTCGACCGCCTTATTGACCTGTCCGTCTGCTCGATATGCCATTGCGAGCCCGTGCTGTGACGCTAGTCGAGCGGGGTGCTCTTCCGAGAGTGTCCGCCCTCGTACTCTTACTACATACTCCAGTAGCTCGACCGCCTTCTTTACCTGTCCGTCTTCTCGATTCGCTGATGCGAGCTGGTGCTGTGACGCTAGTCGATCTGGGTGGTCCTCCACGAGCGTCCTCCGTCGCACCGCTACTATATGTTCTAGTAGCTCGACCGCCTCCTTGACCTGTCCGTCTGCTCGATATGCTAATGCGAGCGCATGCTGTGACGTGAGTTGAGAAGGGTGCTCTTCCGAGAGAGTCCGCCCTTTTACCGCAACGGTATACTCTAGTAGCTCGACTGCCTTCTTCACCTGTCTGTCTTCTAGGTATGCTAATGCGAGCCCGTGCTGTGACGCTAGTCGATTACGGTGCTCTTCCGCCAGAGTCCTCCCTCGTACTGTTACCACATACTCTAGTAGCTCGACCGCCTTCTTCACCTGTCCGTCTGCTAGATATGCTGATGCGAGCGTATGCTGTGACGCTAGTCGACCTGGATGATCTTCTTGAAATCGACCTTCACGCCATCGACGAGTCTCTTCTAGGTGCCGGACTGCTTCCTTGACTCGCCCGTCTGCTAGCAAACAACGTCCAACCCAGAAATTCAGTGTATATTTCTCCTCCATATCGTCCCCGTCACCGCTGCTGAGCAGTCGGAAAGCATGTGGAAGGTATTCCCTCCACGTTTCTCGGTTCTCATAGTCGTCATCCGGAAACACATACTGCACATGCCGGATTGCCTTCCTCATTTCCTGTGCCTCAAGGCCCGCCTGACGCAGCTGATTTCGAGCTGCCAGCTGAACCAACCGGTGCATGTCAAAGATCTTGCTGTCACCGCGCCAGGTGAGGAAGGCGTATGCACACAGCGTCCCGATTGCACTCGCCAGCTGCTGTGCTGGCTCAAATCGGGGAAGCAGCGATTGAGGAATCCCTTTCGCCTCTATACACGACACGAAAGATAGCAGCTCGGCCGCTGCCGGGTCTGAATCGCGAATGTGATCAAAGGACACGAGCCACGTCGTCGCTACCGCGTTTCGTGATCCTTCATATCGAGTGTCGTCCCGGAACTCCTCGCTCATTAGTCCGATGGCGTCTGCCTCCGTGGCATCCAGCAGTTTGAGATACTCCGCGGCCGGCGTCTTTTTGATGTTCAGGTACGCCGCCGCCTGTGTTATCGCTAGCGGCAAGTATGCGAGCTTCTCTAGCAGCGTTGCCGTCACCGCGTCGTCGCGGAGCAGATCCTTCTGAGCGACAGACTTGGTCATGAAGGCTTTCGCCTCTTCCGGATCCATCTCATGTAGCTCCACCACGTCACTTCCTGCTACGGAGAAGGCTACCTCGGTGAAGCGAGTCGTGAATAACGTCACGCCGTGCCGGCTCTTGGGAAGATACTGGTTTAAGCCGCCGGGCGCCTCTGGTGTACTGAAGAGCAGCTTCATATCATCGGCATTGTCCACGACGAGGAGCCACTTGCCAGCAGAATCAGAGCTCAGATACCGCCGCAATGCCTTTCTCGCGTCGTCGTTGTCTGCGGCTGTTGGTATGTCGAACGTGCTCACTATGTCGGCGCACGCCTGCTCGAAGCTGCCGTCGCTTAGTGCTGGCAGCCAGAAGACGGAGTGCTCCCTTCTGCATTCTTTCACCCAGTATGCAATCTGTAATGCCACTTGCGTCTTTCCCATGCCGCCTAAGCCCACGAGCGCAACCTTCGGCCTCCTCTTGTCGAACAACGCTTTGAGCTGATTCAATTGGGTTTTTCGGCCGACAAAGCGCTCATTTTCGTCCAGAGGAATGTAATGGCGAGAAGCTTTGGCTTTGTATGATATTAGCGCCTGTATATTGCCGCATTTCATACTCTTAACACAAAAAACATACTTGGTCCGCCAAGTTCGACGGGCATCCGCTGCGTGTGTCTTCCCGCCCCGATCGTGCTCGAAGCCAATTCCTGGTCGTCCATTGCCTTCCCACCCTGGTCAATGCCGACAAAGTTGTCCACGAACGTCTTGATCTTCGACATGTTCTCGTTGAGATAGTTGTTGGTGTGGGCTGAAATCTTGCTGGACTTCTCCCAATCAGATAGTGTGATGTCCTGTATGCCATGGTCGACATTGAATCGATAGTACCGGCCGCTACCACCGTACCGGCTCTGCAGAGTCGTCGCTACCTTCTTGGATGATGTTGCCATCTTCTTCAGTGCGTTTATAATCGAAAGCCACGAGCCGCCAATCTCGACAGCGTCTCCAATGCCGGTGCCAACACTGAGGACTTGCATCTGTCCATGACTGGGAAACTGCCGCTGGGCTTCGTCAATAAGAACCTCGCAAGGGTTATTGTATCCAAATGCGGCGTCAATAAACTCGATCTCGTCCCGGCCCACCTTGATGGGCTTGAAGAAAGTCGTAGCAGCCGACGTGGCACGGGCGACCTCCCAAATTTTGCAGCCATCCAGCCCGGCAGTGTATCGACGTTGTCCTTCGTGATGGCCAGAACAACTCTGGAACACGTCAGTCATCCCCCGTCCATCATGCGCGCGAAGGTGAATAACGTACGTCTTTGTACACGACTTGCTGCGGAACAAAGCATCGCCGTGTGGGCATGACTCTGTGGTCGTGTGGCCTTGTCGCCGCCGCTCCACACACTCCAATTCCACACAGAACTCCCTGACGATCCGCTTGATGGCTGCCTCAAGGGCATTGGCGGAAAAGGCGCCGGATCGTGGTTTCTTCAATATGGTCGTCGTCTTTGGAGTGAAAGCCTGCTCGGCCACATTCTTGTATGCTCGTATGCACTCATCGACCGTCATCCGCAGCCGCCCGAGCATGATTGCAATGATCCTGCGCAGTCGTTAGCGTGTACGCCTGACATCCGGACCAGCGTTATGTACTCTCCCGTGCTTGTACCGCCGATCAGATCGAACCGATCGCATGGCCGTGGGACGTGGTCGAGTCGCTCGGCGTCGTGGATCTGCTCCATGACATTCTCTAGAATGAGCAGGCTTGAGACCCCGCGAATGCCCCCGCCATCTGAACGGGCGGTGTCAGCGCGACAACAAGGCTGCGAGGGCTGGAACCTTACCTAGAGAGAGGATTCGCAACGGCTCGAGAGAAGCCATCGCGATGCCTGCCTGTCCACTCTTTTTATGCTGCTATTTGTGATCTGTCGGGAAAGGTCGTCGGTCGAAGCCTGTCACCACGTATGCTAGATGGCAGGCGAGATGGAAAAGGGCCATGTTGGGCGCGGCCCGTGATGATGTCCTCCTTTGCAGGGGTGCCTTCAGGTGTCAGGCTGCAAGCTGCAAAGCATTGCCACACCCGTCTGCATGGGACACTACGACGGAATATGCCTACCTTATCATCACCAGGCTGCAGCGGGGCGCAGTTATGCCGCAGTCATGCCACCATCGACTCGATCATCCTTGCTCCTGGCTTGCATGGCCGGAACACAGGCCCTCAGCAAAGCAGACCGCTCTGTTACGCAGCCAGTCTAGTTGTCGTACAAGTCGGGGAAGAATCGCAAGGCGTCTGGCTCGGCCGGGCGCCTCTCCCGCACCATACAGGATCCTCCATTGACGCCAAGAACCAACAACAAAACTCCAGCGCTGTGGCTGTGCCTCATTTGGAGACAATCATTTCAATGTGGAAGCTGTGGCGCATTAGGTCGCATATTGTGCACGTCCACGAATAGACAGATTCCGGCTGACCCCAAGGCAGTCTTGGTCCTCATTTGCAAGATGACGCCTGCAACTTCACTCTTGGCATAACAATGTCCGTGTCAACAGCAGCAAAGATGGCGCCACGACTAGGCCTAGCTAAACCAAACTCAGATCGATGCGATACTTGGCCAAAGGTGTCCAGTGCCGAGATCTCGAGCCTGTTGGTTCTTCCTCCTCCTGATCAAGAACTACGCTAGAAACACAAGGCCCTATGACGCCCATGGCTATCGTGCCCTCGCCTTCGTCGGACCTATATCACGCGCAGGATGGAAGCCGCATAATGCCGTAGATACCCGACCAACGTGGCCACAGCCACATCAGCCAACTTTCTGGGTGGTAATGCCGCAGCCCTTTGCTTTACACGTATATGATCGTCCGTGCGCTCGTCAGTGGGCTGTCTTGCGCACCATGTTATATGGCAACCGTGTAAGCAACTGGCATGATGCTATTCCAGAAAGATCACAACGTAAGCGTAAAAGTTGACATGACCCCAGGCAGGATGCTCAAGAAAGAACACGGGTCTTTACGGGACTTGAACTTCCTAGCATGCGTCGCTCACAATCCCTCTAGAGGTAGGTCCTTCGGCTCAGCTCAAACATAGAAGCGGGGCCGGCCCGTTCTTCACGAGAGAATGGAAGAGACCATGCGAGAGACAAGATTGGGAGCAGGACTGATCAGGATGCCTGAGGGATTTCGTGCTGATTCCTATTCCAATCCCCATTGAGCACCTGCAGAACAGAGGAGTATAAGGAGCCGAGTGATAACAAACAGTGGTAAGCAACTACGACTAGCGTGGCCCTTCCGGCTCACGGCGGTGGACGGCGCCGTTGTGGGGCCGGCCCGGTCCTCACTACCGACGCTACCCGGCCTGTATCAAGGATTTGGCGATGCTTGCAATTGATGCGAGCTGTGTAGCAGGGGAACTGCTCTTGCCGGAATAACCAGTGTGCATCAAGAGGGTAGTCTCGCTCCGTAGTTACCCAACACAGAGCTGGGCCAGTACCGAACCTAACTTGATGTTGGTTACAGTGCAAATAGCGTAGAACAAGGGCCTTCTCGTCCCGTTGTACGAAACGTGACGGCTGTGGACGGCAAAGATCACGTGAGCCACCCGGGCAGCTTTGCGAGATTCGATGATGTCTATTTAAGTAGGCCCAGATGATGCCCGGGTGGTTGAGCCCTCAAAGATCCGCTTGCTAGTTGTCAATATCTTCGTGGGAGACATCACGCACGGGTTTAAGTGAGCAGTTTCTGCCTTTCTCATTCGCCATGGCTCTCCGGCTATTGGCAAAAGCCTTGGCCCTGGCGCCGGCCATGCTGGCCTCGGCTCAGGAGCTGCAAGTCCCGAAGAAACTCCCGGGCAACTGGACGTACCAATACTGCTGGACGTGAGTAACTTACGCCCTCTCATGAGGTGGTTCTGCAAGGCTAAGGGCTGATTACCTTCTTGCTACAAAGCGATGTCGGTCGGACCATCGACACGGCTTACAGCACTTCCAAGAAGATGACTATCGAGTCTTGCCTCGCGTACTGCGAGCAACAGGAGCTCCCTTTCGCGGGTGTCGAGTACTACAACCAATGCTGTAAGTTGTCAGCCTTCTCACTGTGCAAGACGCGCAGAGTAGTAGTCATGTGCACCCGTTCTAACTAGCAGAATGCAGTCTGCGGCCTCCAGCTCGCTCCTGGCGCCAGACAGCAGAGCTCAAATTCGTCTTGCAACACGCCCTGTGCCGGCAACTCGCGCCAGCCGTGCGGTGGCGCAGACCGCCTGACGCTGTTCCACAACCCGACACTTGCAGGCTTCCAGCCGAACCACGACATCGAGGACTGGCCATATCTCGGCTGCTACACGGAAGGCACCAAGAACCGCCGCGCGCTCCAATACCAAGCCGACATCCCTCCGGGAGACATGACCGGCCGTGCCTGCACTTCGGCCTGTCAGGCCAAAGGCTTCCATCTTGCGGGAACAGAATACTCGAACCAATGCTGTATGTGGTTGATCCCCAATACAATTAAAGCCACCGCGATGCTAACAATGCCACACAGTCTGTGGCGACGCAATCAAAAACGGCGGCACGGCTGCGGCAAACGCCTGTGTCATGAAGTGCAGCGGAAACTCGACCGAGATCTGTGGCGGTGCCGACCGTCTCAGCGTCTACAGCTTCAAGGGCGTGAAGCCGCCCAAGGTTATCGCCCCGATGCCTTCGAGCAGCAGTAGCACTTCCAAGAAGGCCACTTCGACCTCGAAGCGGTCGACGAGCAGCTCCACCAAGCGAACATCGGTGACTACTACTAGTACTACATCGACGAAGCGCTCCTCGACGACGAGTAGCGGCAAGTCGACGGGAACGACCACGTCTTCGCTTACTGGGAAGACGACCAGTAGTTCGCGGTTCGTGACTTCGACGACAACGTCCGCCACCACAACCAGCTCAGGTATGGTGACATCAACATTTGGCAGCAGTAGTACGAGCACAATCACCAGCACCAGCACGACCAGCACATCTAGCAGCTCCTCCCCAACCAGCAGCACGCCTCCTGGCTTCCCTGCAGGATGGTCTTACTTTGGCTGCTGGCAAGACGGCCCTGGTCCGCGGATCCTGCCTCAATACCAGGCGCCTGACAATGCGAACCTGACGCGCGAGAGCTGTGCCAACCTCTGTGACAGCATGGGATACAACATCTCGGGCACCGAGTACTTCCGGCAGTGCTTCTGCAGCAACGACATCTATAACGGCGGCAAGGAGTCACCCGACGACTCTGGGTGCCAGACGCCCTGCAGCGGCAACACGACCGAGATGTGCGGCGGCTCGGGCTACCTGACCATCTACTCGGACGGCACGCCCGAGGTCTTCCAGCCGCCGGCGGTGCAGCTGGGCGGGCTCAACGGCACGTGGCAGTACCAGGGCTGCTACGTGTCGGTCAACACGACCGACAACACGCACAACCTGCCGTGGAAGCTGGAGCTGCCTGACACCAACGACCCAGAGACATGCCTGAGCCTCTGCGGCGAGTTTGGCTACATGGCCGCGGGCCTCGAGTACGGCCTGCAGTGCTTCTGCGGCGACCCGCAGGACGTCGTCGACGCCGCCGAGCAGAAGGTCGACGAGTCCCAGTGCAACATTGCCTGCTCGGGCAACGCGACCGTCATCTGCAGCGGCGGGAACCGGCACACGCTCTACTACTGGAACGGGACCTCGCCGCTGTACGCCTGGCACTATCCCCAGGGCGCCGGCGCGGGGGCGTACTCGTTCCTCGTGCCGGGTGTCGTGACTCCGCTCATGACGATGCAGTCCGTCACGGGCAAGGTGACGTTTCTGGAAAAGTACGGCACCGGCCTGCCCAACAGCACCGGCGCGTACGAGCTGGACCTGACGCTGGTCGACGACTTTGCGCACGCCTGGCGCGAGATGCACGTCGAGACGGACATTTTCTGCTCGGCCGGCATCATCCTGCCCGACAAGGGGGCGCGGCAGCTGACCATCGGCGGCTGGTCCCTCGAGTCGACGTTCGGCGTCCGGCTGTACTGGCCGGACGGCTCGCCGGGCGTCAACGGAACCCACGATTGGCAGGAGAACGTGCAGGAGCTCAGCCTGCAACAAGGACGCTGGTACCCCAGCGCCATGATCATGGCCAACGGCTCCGTGCTCGTCGTCGGTGGCGAGACGGGATCCAACGCCGGCCCTGTGCCAACCCTCGAGATCCTGCCCTTTACTGGCACCAAGCCTCTATACATGGACTGGCTATACCGGACCGACCCCAACAACCTGTACCCGTTCCTCGCGGTTTTGCCGAGCGGCGGCATCTTTGTGCAGTACTGGAACGAGGCCCGCATCCTCGACGAGCGGACCTTTGAGACGACCCGGATCCTGCCCAACGCCACCGGCTCTGTCATCGACCCCCGGGCCGGCCGCAACTATCCGCTCGAGGGCACCGCCGTGCTGCTCCCTCAGGTCGCCCCCTACACGGAGCCCCTGATGGTGCTCATCTGCGGCGGCGCCACGACGACGAGCATCGCCCTCGACAACTGCGTCTCTATCCAGCCCGACGCGGCCGACCCGCAGTGGACGCTCGAGCGCATGCCCTCGAAGCGCGTCATGTCGTGCATCGCGCCCCTCCCGGACGGGACATATCTGATCCTCAACGGCGCCCAGCAGGGCGTTGCCGGGTTCGGCCTCGCGACGGACCCGAACCTCGGCGCCGTGCTGTACGACCCAAGCCTGCCCGCGGGCCAGCGCATGTCCGTCATGGCCACCACCATCGTCGCCCGGCTGTACCACTCCGAGGCCATCACGCTGCTCGACGGCCGCGTGCTCGTCTCGGGCTCCGACCCCCAGGACGGCGTCCACCCGGAGGAGATGCGCGTCGAGGTCTTCACCCCGCCGTATCTCCTCGCCCTGGCCGGGGGCAACAGGACCCGGCCGTCCTTCACCGTGCCGGCGTACAGCAAGGACTGGACCTATGGAAGCCGGTACACCGTGCAGATCGGCACCAGCGACGGTGGTAACTCGACCACAGCTGGGCCGGTCAGCGGAGTGCAAAAGTTCTCCCTGCTCGGCTCCGTGTCGAGCACGCACGGCAACTCGATGGGCGCGAGGACGCTGTTCCCGGCCTTTACCTGTGCTGGATCGACCTGTGTCATCACGGCGCCGCCCAGCGCGCACATCTGCCCTCCCGGCTGGTATCAGTTGTTCTATCTGGTTGACGGCATCCCTGCTGTCGGCACGTACGTGCGCATCGGTGGGGATCCCGCGAGCTTGGGCAACTGGCCACAATATCCAGACTTTACTACGCCCGGGGTGTGACGAGGTGTCCGGATCCGACGGATTGTGAGTGGAAACGATGGGGAAAGTAATGATGGATGGTGTGCCATATACTTTTTCGGCTTTTCACAAACAGAGAGTTGTGAGACGTCAGGTTGATATTGCGGGGACAGAGCAGAGGCTCAGGAGAAAGCCAACGTGTCGGGAAAGGGTAACACTGGGGAGGCGTTCTCACTCTCTGAGCATCAGAGAGGTGAGCCACAGGTCCCCTAACGGAGAACTGGTAGCCCGGCTGTTTTCACTTGTCCTCGGAGAAGGAAGGCTCGTAGAATGGGTTGAAAAGTAAACAGGAATCTGGTTCAAGTCAGGCATCAGGCACTCAGGATAGCTACTTTAGCAGCAAAGAACTACGAGCGTGTTGAAGCAGTGCGACTGGTGGAAATCGAACTCGCATCGTCAATCTTGGTGAAGGTTCGAATGCGATTGCACCTACAATGCAGTCCGCTTCTGAGCACAGAGAGACGCGGTCAAGGTGAACACAGCCAACTCGTAGGCTAGTCGCCCTCTAAATTGTCGATCCATTAAGCAAAAAACTTGCGATTTGTTTGGTCCGCAGCAGCACTAATCTCCTAGCCAGGCACAGCCAGAGTACTCTTCTCGACACATATATGAGAACGAACGAGCGCATTGAGGGAGACGTGGACGGTGTGTACGATGAAATTCTTGCGATAGTCCGCATCGGGAATTTGACTTTCAGCGGCGAGGTGCTTCGTGCTATTCAGTATTTCTTTTGCCTTGCACACAGCCTAGTTATGCATAGTTGGGTGGGCTTGCGACTATCCACGTCTTCTGACTGATCGCAACGAGCATAGTACTTCGTGATGTAGGGTTGCCCTCAGAATGCCAAGCCTCCGATTTTTGTCCAAGCCTGGAGCATTTGTTCGCCATGCATGTCAGCCGCTTTTCGTGGATCACGAGCCGCAATGGTAAAAGGAAGCCAGTCGGCCGACGAAATCCCATGTCGCCTCACATCTAGAGTGCAGCCTTGAACACGAATCGTGCATGCATCTCCGTATTAACCTCTGAGACACAAGCCCCAGCCCACCGGAAGTGATTTCTTGGCGCTTCTTCGCGTGCGGGGTGGAGAACCATGACTTAATGTCGATTTTTGAAACAAAAGAACGTTTGGCCCGTCCTTCTTGACGTGACTAGCGGCCAAGGAGACAAAGAGGTTGCGACGTCGTGAGATCGACGGATCCGTCATAGTGATGAGATCTAGACTTGCTCCCGGCATGGCGAGGAGCCAAAAGGTTAGAGTTTGGTGACTGACTTGCCACAAGGCTTCGGACGTCGTGATGCGGAGGCCTGTGATGATGTCGCTAGAGGTTTCATGTTGAGCTTCAAAGAAAGAAACTACGTATGAGATTCAGAGCTATCGCCTTTTGCGGTGTATTTGATGCTCATGTGATGCGTTTTGCCGCCGGTCTTGCGAAGGGATGAACTCGTGCCATTGGGTGAAATAGCCGCATGACATAGCTTTGGACGTCCCCATTCACAGGCCAGCTCTCTCTATGAAATGCTAGCCAAGAAACCAAGACGACCCTTAAAGGGTCTCACAAACAGACCCTCACAGCATAGGACCCCTAGAGGCAGACACCTCACTTTATCATGATGACATGTGTCGCGCTGCGGACAATGCGCTCACGATGATCGTCATGAGCTCGCGACAACACAACAATCTGGGGGGTGCAGATCAACTATTGAAGCTCTGAGATCCTCCTCAGCTGCCAGACCTTTTCGCCACAACACAATGAGAATGCAAAACCCTCAGGGTCGTCGTCACAAAATGGAGGTTACGTGGCGTCGGCTGCATCCGCCAATGCCGACGCCTCGGGCATTCCCGTCGGTGCTAGCGTCATTCTTTGGTCGATAACACAGCCTGGGGAGAATTCTAGATCTACATGCGGCCAATTCCTCACAGAACAATGCAGAGCGCGATATCCTCGCTGCCCTGCAATTTGCCCCGTGCCCGCGCCCGAGATCGGAATGTGACGCGCGTCCGTGCTTGTTACGTGCCTGTGCATTACACCTTTGGAGCTTGCGGCTTGTTGTTCCTGCAGAGGCATCTTACCACACTGGCCATGGTGAACCCCATTTGCCACGCGTCTCGTCGAATGGGGACACATGGGAATCTGCTTTTTGTTTTTTTCAAGATGGACGAGCTCGCGCACCGCCCGCATGGTTAAACAACATGGTGGTGATGGTGGGTGCCGCGTCAGGCAAGGCGTGCTCCGCTTCATGCTTCAATGGACTCGACCCGAATCGAACAGGCTTGGCCAGGCCAGAACTCTGTCTCTCAGGGAATTGCCAAATGGGTGTGCTCCCATGCAGCTTTAAACAGCATCGAGCCAATGCGCATCGAGCCAATGCGCATCGAGGCCAGGCTGTTTTCGGGAGAACAAAGGAGAATCCTCTTCCTTGGCTCCCACCCACCTGTATGGGCCTAAGCTGGAAGAAATGGGGGCCAGGCTCGCAAGGCTAGTGCTAGAGTGAATATGAATGCCAGTGCCACGCCCAATCAAGCCGGCGCACTGGCCTGTTTTGGCCAGAGGTCCAGAGCAAATGTTGGCGCTGTCGTTGCTCGCTAACTGGCAGCGTGGTTAGCGCGTCCTCTCTTTTCAGCTGGTGACAAGAGGACGCCTTAAGCTGTACTTGGCGGGCTAGATCTGGGCCCGGCAGCGTGGCGAGATCGGCTTGGCCCGCACGCACGCACCACAATCAGTGGGTGTTTTGCTCCCCTTTCTGCCCGACAGCTCGGCGAGGGCCGAGCTTGAGGAAAGGATTTGCGGCGAATCCTGGTCATGAGATCTGCGGAAGGGTTCTGCTTCGCATACCTCCATGTTTTTACAGCTTTACAGGCATCAAGGGTCAAGGTTCGCTCAGCTCTTGTTCTGCATCTGGCCCGGACTGTGGTCTCGCCCACGCACAGAGCGAGAGGCGAGAACATGTTGGCGCATGTGTGCATGCACAACCGGCGAGAGCCCCGACAGAACAACAAAGTCCCCGCTGACTCACCATACGCGCGGAAGACACACAATAATATCAGCCACAGATGCGGTTCGGCAGCTCGGGGGCCAGGCACGCCTCTCTCTCTCGACTGTCACGGTGAGATTCAACACAGGGATAAGACTGCGAAATGCAGGGGTCGCTTGCTGGTGGCTGCCTGCTAATGCTGGGCCGTCGGACCACTGGGGTGGATGCCCAGCTCGCCAAATCCCATCGTGGCGTTGCGCTATTTGGTTTTCCCCCCTTCCGGTTCTAATGAGGGTTGCCACACCACCAAAGGCGATGCACCACCACACTCGAGCGGCCACATTCTGGAAGCAGGATCCTGCCTTCGGGGGACTGAACAAGTCCGCAAACTTTTGCTGTTGGTGGTTGCGGATCTGGTCCGCTCCAGCAGCAGCGGTGAGCTTGCGAAGCTGAACTCTCTCCTTGCTTGGGTTGACGTGAGGGTCATGCGAGACCATGAGGCGGCAAGTCATCACGACGTTGCATGCAGCCATGCATCATGCAAGGCACGCCAGGCAGCAAGACAAGACGGCAGTCAGCTTACCAATTAAAAATGCCACCCTTTGGAGAACGAAGTCGGACGTGGTTCATCATGCATACGGCACTTTGTCAATTTCCCGTGGCTCGTTCGGCACATGCACCCGTATCGTTGAATTGCGCACAGCTGCCTGCCGTGCATCGAACGGGGTACCATGCCGGACCCCTAATGCGAAGCAAGGTGTCGGTCCTGTGAGGGTTACAGCGTCAGCCGCTGTTCGCGGGAGCCTGGAGAGATCCTTGGCCCCCCGACACGACACGGAATTAAGCTCGTTTAGCCTGACCAGGAAGACCAGACAGAGAGGCTGACTGATGGCTCCCCCTGTTGGGTCTTGCTCGCGAACTTCCGTCTTCGCGATGATGATGATAACAACCCCCTCGTGCATGAAAGCAAACTGTCCCGCACAGCCCGAAATTGGAACAAGAAGTCCACGAAAACAAACAAGACGTGCGCCGCTCCTGCTAGGACCGAAGTCTGATCAGGCGAGATGGGTGTGGTGTGTTGCGCGATTGGCGATTGACTATTGGCGTGAGTCTTGTCTTCGTCACCCCAAATTTCCACAATGGAGCATGCACCACACACGCTTCAGCTGCTGGGCCCTGAACTGAACAGGTGTGAGTGGCTACCTGAGCTAGGCGACAAAACCCTCTGCATGCAAGGGCTTCCGCAGCGGGCTGCCTTGAAGCGCCAAGCACTGTAGGGAGAGCAAAGATGGTGGTCAACAGCTCCGGTTTGCTTCATTGGCTCGTCCCGTGAGATCATAGAGCTGCCTGCGTGACTCAGTTCCTTACAGAACATGATTATTACAATGTGCACTTTGTTGCGCCTCGTATGGAGACAAGACAACGAAGAGCCAGGTCATTGCTTACACGTACTCCTTCCGGACGGGGCAGAAGTGTAGCCCCTCATGCAGGTACCAGCACCGAAGCCAGGCCCCGAGCAGGCATACCAGGCTAGCTCTAGGGGGCCTGGCGACGCCGCCGGAGGCTGTGGCCGAATGTGGAAATGCGCTTGAGGCGGCGCCAGCCCCGGCCAGGCGACTGGGCTCTCTTTGGCGGCACGCCACCACGACTTTTGTTGTCCGTCCTGACAAGGGTCGGCACACCAGCTAGGCCACATGGAGCACGGCCGGACCGCCTCGTCCTCTGAGTTGTCCCTCACTTGCAGTCTAGTGCCGGCGCCCAGACACCCAGTATCGCGTTCTGGAACTGCTTGGAGCCGGGCGCGAGTGCATCCCGTGCGTGCCGCGCGTGCGACAGCGAGCTGAAGCCATTGCCGCCGTGTTTGCTTTTGGCATAGGGCAATTCCCACAACAGGGCAAGCCAAGAGTCGAAGAATTCCCCCAAGAGGTCTTGGACCCTCCAACCGCAGCTGTCCCGGACCCTCCATGAGCTGATGCCATGGCCTTGCTCAGTCTTTGACGGGCCCTGCCTTGCGTCCACAACTTCCGGAGCAGGGGGGGCTTGGCGGCAAGACATGGGGTCCCCATTGGGCCATCATGGCTTTCCTGCATCTAGGCTGCGCTTGTTGACTTTGTGTGTCTGCAAAAGTGGAGGTCACCACCCCCGGAACAATGTTCGTGATGGGCCAGGGTCGCGGTCTGGCTGTCAGTCCGTCGGCCTGCTAGGGAGGGCGCTAGGATCCCGATGAGCTGCCTCGACCCGCGGCACGGCCGCCGCCATGGCGTCCTTTTTACGAAGCCATCGCGAACGAGAGCCGCCTCGACTACATAATGAAGCTTGCTGCCCACCTCTCTCCGCCCTGCCTTGTCCTGACTCACGATCACGACTCGCAACGACAAGAATCCTCTCGGCTGCCCATCCAAACAAAGGACCTTCTCAGTGACTAACTGTCCTTCACTAAACCTAGAGGGCCTGTCGTCTTTCCGCACCCACATTGACACCGGAGGGTTTATACTTTTGACGCCCTAGACATTTTCATCGGGTCCTTGACGGGATACTTTCCGCCTCCGCCGCCCCGCGTCTAACAGATCAACGTATAAGACTCTTTGTGAACCCCCCGGGTCTCACCTGGAACCCCATCGGCCCGCCGATCTACACGAACATCACACCAGAGCACCCCACGTCATCGTCAGGATGGTGCGTCTCAACCTTGCGTCCTCCCTCGCGGCCGCTGCCGCCCTGAGCGGCCGCCTCTCTGCCCACGCCATGCCCCTGGACGGCGAGAAGGTCGTGGACCTCGAGGCCCGTGATGCCCCGACAGCGATCCCGGCCGGCTTCAACAAGGTCGTCTTCCTCGAGAACTTTGCTGCCAACAGCGTCCTCAACCTGAACAAGTGGCAGTACGACCTGGGCCACAACTACCCGGGCGGCCCGCCGCAATGGGGCACGTGGGAGGTGCAGCGGTACACGTCGGACGCGGGCAACATCTTCATCAACAGCTACGGCGTGCTGCAGATTGTGCCCAAGAAGAACGCCAACACGGGCGAGTGGACGTCGGCGCGGATCGAGACGAAGCCGGGCGTCGACATCCAGTGCTTCGACGGCGGCAAGGTGCGCGTGCAGGCGTCGATCCGGCTCGGGGCCGGGCGGGCGGCCGCGGGGGCCAACGACGGCTTCTGGCCGGCCTTCTGGCTGCTGAGCCCGGCGATCCGGGACAACTACCAGAACTGGCCGGCGATTGGTGAGATCGACATCCTCGAGTCGGTCAACGCCCTGCCGACGGCGTGGAACATTGCCCACTGCGGCACCAACCCGGGCGGTCCCTGTAACGAGCCCAACGGCCTCGGCGGCTCCGTCTCACTCCAGCGCGGCGTCTTCCACACGCACACCCTCGATATTGACCGCACTGCCGCCGACTGGAAGCAGGAGTCCATAACCTGGTACATTGACGGCGTCAAGACCCGGGTCCTCACCCCGGCCCAGATGCAGTACAACCAGGACGCCTGGTTCGCCCTCGTCAACCGCAAGAAGTTCATCCTCCTCAACGTCGCCGTCGGGGGCGGCTTCCCCGACGCCCTCGCCGGCAAGACGACCCCGACAGCCCTCTCGGCCGGTGGCGTCAACAACGGCATGGAGGTCGACTACGTGGTCGCCTGGAGCACGTAACATTCGCCCTAGTGTCAAAAGCTTTTTTTGCTTTTCTTTCTTTCCTTGTGTCTAGATTATGACAGCGATTCTGCGCCTCCTTGCTCGACAGAGCATTGGTCCGTGTACTATTATTAGCAGGCACTTATTAGCTCGGATGGCACATTGCACTTCTTGTATATGATTCCCCTTTTTTAGAAATACATAATTCACCACGGTCAGACTCAATCATCTTCTGTGCTCGACCCAGACTGCCGATTGTATGAAAATGGTAGTGTTGTGTTATGAAAAACTATCCTCAGTCATGCCAGTTGCTCCCTCCCTCCCTGAACTGTCGTCTTTCTCAGCTAACAAAGTACGCACTCCCAGCCTTGACAACCCCGTTCTCCTTGTTCCCCCCAATCACGCCAGCACCAGCACCATTATTCTGCACGACCGCAACACCGCCGTTCTCTCGGAGCCGCCACTGCGCCATGGCCGACCTGCTCGCGCGGTAGTGCCGGTCGAGCGCCTTCTCAATCGCCCTGGCCGTCGGCTCGACCTCGGCCGGGTCGATGCCCACCGAGATGCGCATGTACGGGTCCTCGTTGCGGATGAACGGCGTCGACGGCCAGACCCGCGTGACAGAGAAGCCCAGACCGCCACCTTTGGTCAGCGCGACGCCTTCCTCCTCTCCCGCACGCAGGATCAGCGCGGTAAAAGCGTCCAGGCTGGGCCGCTTGTTGATGCTCTCGTCACCGTACAGGCGGATGGTGACGACGTTGCCGCCGTGGCCCCAGCCCATCCCGCGCCAGTGCGTCGGGAAGTTGATCTTCGCGATGGTCCCGCACTTCTGGTCGAGCAGGTGGTACAGCCGCTCAGCGTTGGCCGTCAGCCAGCCCATACGGCTCTGGTGGATCGGCAAGTCGATGGGCGGGAGCACGTTGGCCTGCCGCGAGTACAGCGTCGTCCCCGTCACCTGCCGGATCAGGCCGATCGTCTCGTGGTGCTCGGCCGGGTACACGAGCAGGCCGCACATGACGACGTCCATGCCCATCTGGATGTACTTGTGCGCGGACTCGTAGTAGAGCACTTTGGGGTGGTGCGTCCCCGGCTGCCCGAACCAGTCGTACACGGGCATCCCGCCCGAGATGAGCGTCCCGTCGATCAGCAGGTACCGGTCGGCCCAGCCGTTGGTGGCGGCGTCGCCCCGCGACGAGAGCAGCTGCGCCATCTTGCGGATGTCGGTCGTGTCCAGGCCCAGCGTGTTGGCCATCGGGTCCAGGTACACGGCCTTGGCGTTGTGGGCTTCCGCCGTGGCGATGATGTCCTCGGCCGCGAAGGTGGGCGAGTTGACGACGCGGATGTGCGAGATGAGCCGGAGGTGCTCGAAGCACTCGAAGTAGAGGTAGGGGGAGATGACGATGGTGTCACCCGCGGTCAGAACCGTGCTCATGAGGAACTGGTGCAGCACGGTGAAGGCCGCCACGCCGCTCGAGGTGAGGAGCAGCTTGGTCGGGCAGGCCTTGCTGCCGAGCGCAAGAGCTTCGAGCAGTTGCGCCTCAAAGGCACGCACGTCGGGGGCGCCGTAGCGGTCGTAGTTGAGGCCGTCGGATAGATGGTAGGACGGATCGAACCACCAGACAGTCTTGGACTGGTCGTAGGCTGGGCTGGCGCGCTCAAAGAATGAGCCCAGGCAGGACTGCAGCTGGATCAGGGCTCGGTAGCGTTCCTCCATCTGCCATGGAGCCAGCGCGTACGATGCCAGCGGCGAGTTTGTACCCGCCTCGGGCGACTGCTGCTGCTGTCCCTGGATGCTCACGTTCTGGGTCTGCGTGATGGCCAGTTGCATCTCGAGCTCAGTGGTCAGCGTCTGAATGCGTGTGTATAGCTGCAGAAAGACGTCGATGCACCAGTCGTCCGTCCGGGCAGAGATCTCCTTCTCTATGCGCGCACGCTCGTCGTAGCGCTTCTTGATGACCGCTGTCGTGGCCTTGAGGCGAGACAGCAGTATGGCCCACATCTGTGCAATGGACAGTCTTGGGCTCTCGTACGGGGCTGAATTGGCCGTCCGCTTCACCAGTTGGCTGTTCTGGTGGCCATTGACGTGACCGCTGGCTCGAGCGTGGGCGTACCCATTGCCGAGGCCATTGACGTGGCCGTTGGAGTGCCCATTCTGGCTCTCAGCGTAGCCGTTGGTGTAACCATTCTGAGAGCTGATAGCTTTGGCGTACAACGAAGCCGTGGCGGAGGACATTCTTACGTTTGCTGAGATCACACTTGAGGGTTAAGGAGAAAGAGTCAGCAGTGAATGCCTGTGCTAGTTGACTCGAGTTGATGTACGATGACAAGTCCCCAGCCGTCGGCAGAAATTGTCGTATGGGCCAAACACAGAGCGGCATGGGCTCCTACTATAGAGAAGGAGACAGTGCCTCGGCGTACTCCATGCAGGGCAAACCCTAGCAGCGATGATCGGCCGAATAAAGTAGTGGCGGACGCGGCAACCGCCTCGTGCTCGTGCATGCGTGTCCTATTCGGCCTGTTGATATCCTACTCCGCCACCGATGTCCTAGTCCACACCACCTTCCAACACGAGTGCTGATCCGAAGAAGCAATACGACGCCATTGCATGAACATGGTCCGGGATGCTGGCCCCAGATGCAAGTGTCTGCAGAGTGGTCGTCCACGTCCGACATTGGTGGGACGTGCGGCCATGCCCCTCTGGTGGATCGACGACATCGGAGTGATAGCAGTAGATTGCCAGGGATAAGATTCCTGTGGACATCGTAGATATATGGTCAAAGTGGCATCTGCTGTCCCGTCGTGTTGGTTACGCGCGGAAGTTGTGCTCTTAATACACCTGGAGTCCCTGCTCCCACTTTTCATCGCCGCCGCTATCATCATGCCTTACCTCAACGGCCACAAGCCGATACGGCCAAAGGCCCACGTGCTCAACGTCCTCGAGCAGCGCTACAATGCCAGATTCTATGAGGCCATTGCCGCTGTCATGGCCCTGCGGACATCCTACCTTCGGGACAGATACATATTTGTCCGTGGCGAGGCCATGATCCCCATACTCCGGGGCCTCGGCGCACGGGAGGAGGACTTTGAGGCCGCAAAGCACATCAGCCATCTCACGGGGCCCGACCCGACCCTCGACTTCAGGACCGTCACATATGGGCGGTACTGCATCGACCCGGAGACGCGCAGCATCCGCCGCCTCGAGACGCAGCCGTACACGCTGACCGAGCAGGAGGACTACAAGCGGCACGACTCTGGGATCCCGCGCATGTTTGACGAGGCGCCGACGGCGATGCAGGGCAACACGGTGGTGCAGGCGCTCATGCTCTTCAAGGCCCTCGTCTTCCAGGGGGTGCCGCTCTCGCCGCGGCCGAAGCTCGACTACGCCGCGCCGCAGTGGATCGTGACCATGTTCAACGCGCGCACGCACACGCACCAAGAGAGCGGCATCTACGGGGAGCCCGCGCTCGAGGGCGTCCACTCGGACGGCTCGGACCACACGATGACGGTGATGCTGGGCACCGACAACATGCGCGCCGACTCGGCCGTCACGTACATCCACGACAACCGCGAGACCACGGGCGTGCGGACCGCTGAGACGGACCCCACGCTGATCCGCGGCAGGGTCCAGCACCAGGGGTTCCTGGACACGCTCATGTTCTGCGACCACGACTTCAAGCACAGCGTCACCTCGGTCTACCAGGACGACCCAGGGCGGCCGACCACCAGGGACATGCTGGTCGTCTTTACGAGGAAGCCCAAGGTCGACGGCCACGTCTCGGGGTACGCGGACACCTTGGAGCTCCATGCCGAGGCGCCGCTGCATGTACCCATGTGGCTGCCATGAAGGATTGGGACGACGTCTGTTGGAGAAAAAGGGGATGTGGAGAAACAGGATGGGTGTGCAAGGAAAATGTCGGTGTCCGAAATGGTTGTTCAGGGGTCCCCAATCGAGGCAATATTCCAGATCAATTGCTGCAGAGCCGCCAATCAGATTCCAACGTCATGTCCGGAAGGACAGATTGCATGAGACCTTCAAAAGAAACCGCCGTCATTGAGACGGAAAATAGATCTGCCGTGCTCGGGGGATAGCGTACGGCGCCGTGCAAAGCACTCTGCTCGTTCCTCATCTTTTTGCGACATCTCCTCTCAAAATCATCATTTGCCGACATGATCCCCTCATATCGTGCCTAAGACGATTGCCGAGAATATACTAGACAGTGCAGGTGGCTATTCCCGTGCTATTCCCGTGCCGCGCTGACCGCATGCTGGAGAAATGCATGTAAGCGGAGGACCGCCGTATTGTGTAGCCCCGGCCTCTATTATGATGCTGGCTGCATGACACAAGTTGTTGACCTGGGGAGCTTGCTGTGCTTACTCCGAACTTCATGCTTTTGGCCCCGCCTAGGAAATCCTAGCCGTCACATAACCCTTGAGGCTCCGGGTTTTGGATGAGAAATCCTGATAGGTCAACTCTCGACGAGATGGAATATCGATGCGTCGCATGGTTCCTCTCATCGAGACGGCATGCAAAAACCCTGGTGCCCACGTCAAAACAGCCAAACCCGGAAACGGACTAGGGATCAAAATTGCCAAATACGGAAATCATTAAAGAGCAAACTGCCAAGCAAGCCGATATCGCAAGGCACGTCCAGGTGCCTCGACGTCTGGCGACATTCCAAAACTTTTCCTCTCTGACGCCTTGTCAAATCGGGCAGCTCGTCGAACCCATGACGAACATCGAACGACAAGGGGATCGGGTCCGAGGCAAGCCACCGGGTGTCACTGACAGCGGGACGGACCCCACACCCTGGAACCGCGGGCTTAGAAGATAAGAACAAGGATACTGACTTCTGTGCCGCACCGTATAGCCTCGCGGATCCCACGACGCGCGTCTGGTCTCCCCCAATGCGGCGCGGAGTCTGAAATGGACGAGAGTAACGCGCGCGTGGGGCTCGACGGTTGTCTAGACAGGGATTTGCAGGTGGGTTCGTAAAGTCGCCCAGCCCGGATCCGAGCTCACACCCAGACCGCCAAGGCCGCAAGGACGTCGAGATAAGACTGTTGCTTGGCGACTTGTCATGAACAAGCCTTGCTACTTCCATAAAAGAAAAATGGGAACGCGGGGTTTTGGAGTACGTGTGGGCTTGTTGCCAAGACGGATGACAGCTTTTTCTTTCTTCAATGACAAAAGTGCCACGCATGCACAAGGGGTATGCAGGGGTCCTGCAAGCATGACGACATGGCGAGAGCGTGAAAGCCTATTCGAGGACGCTTTGTCGTATGTGAGGAGCCCAGCGCAAGAAGGTGTTAAGACGTCTTTCGGGGACCATGATCGCGTTAAGAGGCTGCGATCGACCCTGGAAGCCCATGTAAGGCAGGTCCTTTGCGGGGCATGTCGGCTGACATTGAAAGTGGTACCGTCGCGATGCAGGCCAGCGAAGCAACCTGCTCAAATCAATGTTCCTATAAGAGTAATTATGCCATTGTAGGCAGCAGAGCTCACTCGCATTGAGCGTGATTAGAATGCAGCCTAGGAGCTGTCAGCGTTTCATCGATGGTGTGATGTGCCGCTCTGACATCACACTGTGTCGATACATGCCGTCTCTTGTAGTTTGTTCAATGCAACCGGATACCATCAGTTCGAACAGTTCGCAGTACTAGCTCAGGAATAAAATGGAAAGGGCCAGACTACACGGTTAGCATAAGCCGATATAGAATGATTCCCAAAGCAGCACGTGGAGGATGACTGGATGTCCAGGAAGATTACGTTCGAAAAGATTCGAGCTAGGACGAGTTCGTTCTGACAGTAGACTATCTATCTTGTGTCTGGGAAATATAGTCGTCTGAGTCCTCGAGGTCATCTAGTGTTTGTCACGCATGATGAGAGTTTCAGAAGATGGCAGAGATTTATGCTGGGAGAATGTAAATGCAGACATCGGTGTCAGGCAACCACTGCGTAGTCCATCATCCACCACTTGAGTCTTCTCAACCGCCAGAGTTCACTCCCGCTGATTTGATCTGGACACATTTCCGAACGACAAGCGCAAGGCCCTGCAGCCATTCGGTGTCGGTCCGAGGAATCACACGAGCAGCTGGTAAGCTGGCCCTATTTCCCTGGCCCCATGCCATGTGCGGCAATATTTCTATTCTCCGCCTTGGTGAGACCATGAAAATGAAACCCTGATAGGTCTTTCCGAGGTCACAGCTTGGCCTATACAGAAGGAGGGCTCATCTTCGGCTGTACCATGTGGAGGTCTGGCTTTCGCCTGGCGGACTCAGCCCCGTGATGGACGCATCGTCATACGGAACATGCCATCTGGCTTAGGCCAAGACTGGAGACAGTAATCCGACTGCGCCAGTAGTTGGCTGATTGTCGACCCACGACCATAGCTGCCCTGCAAAACGGGCGGGGATGTCAGCAGGGAGGCCCCTGTGCTGGTGAAGATCCTTCCGAAACCGTACGAACAAAAGGGGAAGATAAGACTGCATGCAAACACTTCCCCCGCCTTGGCCCCGCAGGCGCAGAAGACCAAGGCTGCTTATCGACTTCAAGACTCACGACAAAACGCTTGGCGTTAACGCTGGCGGACTTTGGAGAATATGACCCCGGCCCGGTCCGTTGGCAAGGATGGCTCCGGGGATCCCGGCACGAGGAGATATGCACGCACGACCCACCCGACATCTTCACTTCCTCGCGGGCTCGAGTGAACACCGAAGGGGGTAGGGCAAGTGCGGGGAAAGATAGCTAGCCGTTGCAGAGTTCTGCTGCATGGAAGGAATCCTTCGTATTTCTGCCGTCAGGATTTCGATAGTGGCCACGTAACGATGCCCCTCGCACCCTTGGGATCTGCAATGTAACGAAGCGACAGCGGTGTGCCAGCGTCACCATTCAATGACCAAGAACCGTCTCCGGTGTCCTGCCCGCTATTGTTGAACCTCGGTTGTAGGGTGGACGGGACAGAACTATTCCGTTCTGGCCCCCGATCACGGAGTTGGCCAAAATTATCGGCAAGACTTTGTTCACATCCAAGCGAATGCCTTGTGACGCATTTTGTTCTCGTCGGGGAGTAGGAACAAACCCAAATGAACCGTTTTATTTCATCGCGAGATCAATTGAACAAAGATGTAGGCATTTTGTTGATCCATCACGACAAAGGATGTCCACGAAGAGATAGAGAGTGAACCGAGTGAATCGTGATGAACCTACAGCTTCGACTTCACTGCGCCCTGTCCACGCTCAGGAACCTCGCTCGGCCTCTCCCCCTCCCAGGCATCCAGGCCTCTGTACTCAAAGAACCGCGTCCACTCCTCGTCGCCCAGCAGTCTCGGCAGCAATTCCTTCTCCACCGTCAGCAAGACCTCCATGCCCTCGTCCGCGCCCGCGGGCCCGTGCCGCGGCGCATAAACACAGATCTGGCTCAGCGCGACCCTGCCCATGAGCACCCTCCACGCGACGGGCTTGCCGAACCCAAAGTCCATGCTGCAGTAGTCTGCGGCGCGCCAGTCGCTGACCAGGTTGGCCAGGGGCGGGTACAGATCGACGTTGATGGAGAGGTCGGCCTTGTTGCGCACGCCGCGGTGCCGCTGGAGCTCGTCGGCGAGCATCTTGACGTCGACCCCGTCCGTCATGTGCCGCATGTAGGTGGCGAGCCTGCTCAGGGGCGCGGTGTGGACGACCTCGCGCAGCGTCAGCGCAGGGAACCCGGGCATGAGCGAGTTGACGTCGAGGTGCAGGTTGCCCTGGAGCTGCGCGGGCAGGGGCGGGTTCTTAAAGATGCGGTGGAACGAGACGCTCTGGGCCCAGACTGGCAGCGAGTCCCAACCCGGCGAGTAGACGGGCTCGCGGAGCCGGCTGAGCACGCGCCAGAGCAGGCCGCACACTGCGTCGTAGGTGGAGATCCAGCCCTCCTCGGGAGTGGCGAGGGCCTTGAGCTGGGCGCCGCGGGATTTGGGCAGGTGGAACATGGCGGAGCAGGACGGGCGGAAGGCCGCGTTGCGCCCGGGGCTGCGCGGCGGAGCGGTGATCATGTCGGCTTCCGATGGAGCTGGGAGCTGCTCGAGGGCATAGCGGTCGATGGTCGTGCGGTCGAGAGCCACAGGATCAAAGGTCGGAAGGGGCGTGCCATATGCTTCGTGGCGGCAGTTTGCACTGAGGAGCTCGTTGAACGAGAGCATGCCACTGAGACTGTTCCAGTAGTGGTGCGTGGCGAGCGTAATGATGAGGCCCCCACGAATGTAGTTGATCTTGAGCGAGACCATCGGCGGGCTGTTGTCTGGATGCGCCTCGGGGATGTTGGCCACGATCATGGGGTAGTTGCTCAGCAGGCGGGCGTCGCCCAGGATGGGAGCCAGGAAGTTGCCCTTGTCCAGCTCATCCATGGACGGGTACGTGTCGTCTGCGCCATCGAGATACTGCGAGACATACAATGCGGAGCTGTCGCGCTTCACGACAATGGAATGTCCGCCGTTACCGTCCTTCTCTATCGTCCCGACCAAAGTCGGCACTCGGGCTATGGTCCGCTCCAGGCCTCGTCTGAAGATGGTGGCGGCATGTCTGTAGACGGTGGGTGAGTTTGCATTCAGACGTAATGTTTGGAGCAGGCGGAACTCACTCCCTCTTGTCGCCAGGCAGCCTGAAGATGAACAGATGGGGAATGTAACAGGTTGTTGACAGATAGTCCAGAGTGTGGAGCGGAAAGCGCTGCTCGGCAGGGAAAGTCTCCCACCCCAAAGGGCGGACTCTGTCTTCAATCACTCGTGGCATGTCTGCGGGTGACAAGATGCCGAGACAAAGATTGCTGAAAGGTCCGCAGCGGGAGCAGCGACGACAGCCAGCGACGAAAGTGCCCAGCTCATGAAATGGACGGGGAATGGTCCTGTACAGTGCGCGCGGCCTGCTTCCCCGCACTCGTGCAGGACATTACAGACTGTCAGAAGGCGCAACACGTCCGGAGTCATCTTATGATTGATTGGGAAGGTGAGATTGAGGACTGCTGCATGTAGTCGGACGGAGCCTTTACGAGGTACACTCCCCCAGCATACGGCGGGCAGGGGGGTCGACGATCCACATCACTATGGTCTGATTGCCTCCGTTAATCTCCAATGGGCTGGTGACGCGCACTGTCGTGTTTCCTTGCGTTGTATTTGGACAACATAACGTACAACGCTGTGCTACAGAGACTGAGCGCTCGAGAAGGCTTGTACTACCCATGTCACACAAGCCTTGGGCAGTGAGTCTTACATATATCCTCGCTAGCCCCATAAGGCTCCAGTACAACATGAGTGGAGACAATCCAGGAATCTGAGCCAATACGACCGTTCATGTAAAGGGGAACATTGTTCGTTGCGTGGATGAGCAGCTTTCTCGAAGGACTTCTGATCGGCACAGCTCTTTACCACTTCCGCTTGAACAAGGATTCCCTAGAGCCTTCGATGAGCGCCAGGACAACATAGGACGCCTTTGTGTGGGAGCCTTACTGGATCAGCGAGGATGCATCTGCATTGTCGCTCGATTTCGCATTGGCAGAGACGTAGCTCACGGAACAGCATTGTAAGAGGACTACTCATTTGATGCAAATAATGCAAGACACTACAAGACGAGTAAAGACTGCTTCGTGTTTTTACCATCCATGATTAAATCCAAGAAGCCCTCCGCTGCCGCTTGGCCATCTTCGCAAACCGCCCTTCGGGCTCTTTTCAGGACGAGTCGTACATGATCCGGCGCTCGCTGGACGACTCCCCGCTTTTGCTGACTTCAATCTCGCTCGTGATCTGGATCTTCCCATGGTTCTCCTGCTGAGCTTCCAGCACTGCCATATCGGACGGCGGCATGCCAGACTTGCCAATGCTGTGAAGCATGTAGTTGTCTGACCGACCACGCCCGGCCCAGCGCTCGTGGAAAGGGACCCTGGTGCTACCGCCGCCGCCGCCGCCGCCGCCGCCCGCGGCGGCCGTCACGGTGGTCTGGGTCCGATCACGGCCGGCAATCCTGCTACGGCTGTTGCTGTTATCGCTCGGGTGAGAAGACGGGCCAGTGACGCCGCTGCCAAAGAGCTTCTCTCCGAGGCGTGGCATGTGCTGCCGCACGAACGGGCGGAGCATGGCCATCGAGTTACAGATGAGTCCGATGTTGAGCTCGAGAATGGCCAGGATCGTCACGGTCGCCTGGTTGTAGGTCACGTCGACGTTGGAGACCCAGCTCTGGATATATCCTGCGCGGATGATTGGGAACACGACGCAACTATTCATAAAGGCGCAACGAGTCAGTCATTTTCCCCTGGTCCAAGGCTCGCTCGGGGCAAGAACAAGAAGTTACTTACGAAGAGCTGAGGGCCAGTAACGCGGCCACTGTCAGCTTTTGCCTCTTGGGCATGTTAAGCTTCAGCGTCATTGGTATAGGCATTGCCAGGAGGAGCAAGTCGCTGCTGATGTTCGTCGCCATCTGTGATATGGTCACGCTGTTTAGGCATTGCAGGTTGCCCTTCTGCGGGTTGCACGGGCCCAAGAGGAGCACGGTATAGACGACTGTCGGTGTGATGGTGAAGGCGGCTACACAGTGCCCACAGTACCGGAACACCATGTTGGGATTGATTCGGTAGTAGATTATCGCCAGGGATAGCTTGACGCATGTAGGCGGCCATAAGTAGGTGACAGCTAGGACCGGCACCATGCGGAGGAAGGCTGCAAACTGTTCCTGGTTGACGTCCCAAATGTGTCTGCCGAAGCCTGCCGGAAGTACTACATTCGAAGAGTTGGTAAGCTTGTTTCAGTCATTCTTCCTCAGACCTCGATTTCACGAGGCGGCAGTGATGGTGATGGAGACATACTAATAACAATGGCTACGAAGAAGCCCGCACTAAAACACCACGATATCACGACGAGCACTGGGCTAGTCAGCAGGTACTCGAGGCGACGATGCGATGAAAATGTCCGCGGAAGGGGAGGTTACTGAACACGTCTACTTACAAGCATCCCACGCTGAGCCCTTCACGAGGCAGAAGCCAGTATAAAGCCTAGCTCCCACGAGCAAGGTGGCGGCGGAAAATGTGACGGCAAAAATGATGCACAGCTCAAGCTGGTGGGAAGTGAAGCTGTGGAAGTCAGGCACAACGCCATCGGGTGGCGGCGCCACCGGCGCAAGAGGATCCATCGTGGTTGCTTGTACGAAGGAAGAGCGAACCTCTAGAAACAGGAAGGGTGTTGCGCACAAAGATGAATTATCCTGTAACGCCCTATGGTCGTAGATTGGCCTAAAGCTGAAGGCCACAAGCCGGTTGAGATGAGACTTGAGATCGAGATTGTCGCATTATATGAAAAAGGGGCATTCCACGAGTTTATGACAATATTCAAAGCAGCAGGTAAGCAACAGGCATGCATACAACAGTAATTCGGGGACCATTTGTCTGCAAACCAGGCCTTTTAGACCCTTAGACTACGATCTTAGCGCTGTGACGGCTTCTAGTGACCTGTCTCAGAGGCCCGATCATGGCGCTAGCATGACTGTACGTATCTGTGCCGTCGTCGTCGTTGTCGTTGTGTGGCAGCCGTAGGGCCACATGCTTCCTCTCTACGGCGCTTCTCATGGAACTCGCGAGATGCTCAAGAGGAGCTAGGTCTTTGTTGGGATAAGATGATGGACCTAGCGTGTGTGGCGGTCCTCCGTCGCGGCGATCAATGAGCTAGTCTGCCTGCCCGGAGCAATTGTTCGTCCGGAGCAAAGACCTGGTTACCCCAGACCTGCGCCACATTGGATCGACATCCGGGCTTGGACCCTGCACTCCGCCGAAGTGCCAATGGGACTGGTGGTGGCTACTGGCTTGGTCCTAGCCGCGGATACTGTATAGTGCATGGAGGAAATGATTCCACGCCATTTTAGACGCGGCCAAGACCCTCCGCCGGAGAGTAGACTGTTGGCCGGGTGCTCTATCGGTGAAGTCTCCCGACAGCTTTGCCACTTAAGGTGACCACCTGTGGCTTCGACCAGCTCAAGGGCTCTGGTGGTCAGAGACACACATGTCGGACAGGTGGCCCCCACGTGAGAAACAACAAGGTCAACGGCGCCTGCCGGCATGCAAATTGAGGCCGTGTTCCTAGTAGGCTTCCCTGGTGCTTTCATTGTCGCGAACCGTAGCTGGACTTTAACTTGACAGTATTTGGCGCCTCGCCGATGGGCATGTGTTATCCAACGGCCGAGACAGACACACGGCAGAGAGATAGTGCCCGCACCCATCCGCACTGCTAGCACTCAAAGGATTACACACATGACTCGTAAAGGCTGCTATATGCAAGCCGGGGGGGTCGGCGCGCGGAGGTGGCCGTCCGCGCCATTTAGACAGAGGACTAGCCTGTCGGGCTCTTCCGACGGGATCTTTGAACGCCGTCTGCACGGGAAGCACCTGTGTGAGTCCATCAGGCTCTGGAACTCCATACTGAGACCATCAACAACTCCTCTAAGTTCTACCGTGGGCGGACCTTGGAGATCTTGGTGCTCAGGCAAGCACTGCCAAAATGACCTCGAAAAAACACGAAGGTAAACCATCAACCTCAGATGAGGCATTCATCATGGACGTAGAGCAGAAAGTCTTTTAAGGTCTTCAATAATGACCAGACACGAAGGATCCAGCTTTCCCCCGCTGCTTAACAGGTATCTGGCTTTTCTCTGCAAAAGTATGTGCCAGTTGTAATTTATCTATTTGCATGCGTGCACATCGTTCAATGGAAGTCCCGTCCACATCCATCTCGAACACTAAACGCGAAATGGATTGTTAATAACGCTCATAATATTTAAGAGGCGACCCAGCGAGGGCCCAAACAATATAAAACGTAACAATTTGAATCCCCATTCAACTAGCTGTACCATAAACTCAAATGACAATTCCAGGCGAACACTCCCGTCGCGCCAAGACCAACCAGAACACTCAAACAACCCCAATCCCATAGCTCCGTGTCGTCGGCCGCATTGTCGTCAAAAGCTCGGCGCATCATCCTTCCATATATCTCGCCCCGTCCCCCCCCCCCCTCATGTCCTACTTTTCCACGACCGGCACTGAGCTCACATCAGTATTGCCTTCCTCCTCCCACTCCTCCTCCCACATCTTGATTACTGAGCAAGATTGTCATTCCTCGAAATCCTTGTGACATAAATACATTACCAGTCAGGATACTCTGATCGGTGATCTGGAGTGTAAATAGAAGACTTGTCCGAAGTCAAGCGAAGGTGTTTGCCACGAACGCAGCTTCGACGTCTCAGGTTTGATCGCAGGCAGACACTGAAGTCTTGATGATTCCAATGTCGTATCAAACACAAGCTGAATGCCTCACGTCGAAGCAATTCATTTGATTCAAAAGGTCTGTTGATCAGCGTCACTGCTGGCTGGCAACTGATACTCCTTGTGTCCAGCCGTCTCCGCCAAGACGTGCTAACCAACGCCTGTGTCGCTCGTGAAACACCTCATCCATGATGGTATACACGATACCTGCGGACACAACGGAGCCGAGAATAGGAGGGTGAAGACGGTCCTTATGACTGGGCAGATGGGTTATGCTAGGTCATCGAACGTGAAGAACTCCGCGTGAAAGGCATCAAGGTTGTTTTAGCGAGCCTGTCTGCAGCGATGACGATGGTCGAGCGGATAGGACAAACTTGGAGCGGCCGATGATGAGCTAGATAGTTGAAGCACGTAGAGTGCTGGAATAGTACGAACGGCCGCGTCTAATTCATCTCGTGTCATCATCATCGAGGATGAAGTCTGTGGATGTAGTGGCGAGGGCATAAATTGGCCAGGGAGTAGCCCCTAGAGTTTCATTTATCGCCATTTACTGATCGGGACAGTGGCTGCTTGCCATCATGTTCCTCGGCAACCACCGGCTCAGTCCGCTTGCCAAGTGGCAGGCCCGTGCCGTAACGCTCACCAAAAGAAGAGTGAGGCACAGGCCGTGTATCCGGTTTCTTCGCGGAATCTGAAGCGCTCGTTCTGGCTTGCTCATGTCGTTCTCTTTCGTGAATGACGATTTGCGTGAAGTCTTGTGACATCTGCTGGAAGGATTCATCGCTGAAATGGCCGCCAGCTTGCTTGACTCTATCTCCTTCGCCTTCGTTCTTCCCATGAAGTGGCTTGTCATTCATTGATACCATATATTGAATGATGTCATTCCCTTTCGCGTGGTTTTCGATATTGCTGATATGCGACTCGAGGACTTCGTCGACATTAGTGCAAAACTCCAAGCAATTTCGTAGTGTCCTCGCCTCTGTCTGCAGTCGCTTTGACGCCGCCTCGTCCTCGGTTGACAACGGAGACCTTGGGTTTGTTGTCATGCTCTTGTTAAGTCTTAGTCGATTTTTCTCAAGCTGTTCCAGTGTGAAACGCATGTGATGCAAGCAGCCTGCTAATCCCTCACCGAAAAGTGCTTCGGATGATGGGAGAGGATCTGGCATTGCGGAACGGCTTCCTTGATCGCCAAAGAAGTCGATGTGAATCCTTTGGATAGCTTCCGAAAGATCACCACAGAACTGGATGCCTTTCTCTGTGCTACGTAGTTCCGCCTCAATGCGATGTCGTACAGGCCCTTCAGTATCTGTGCCGTATTCTGCTCGCCGTGAAAGAGAGTCGAGCTTCGTCTGCACTCCTTGCAAATGAGCCTGCAAGTCGATGGTTGCAGTCGTAATAATATCTCGGCAAGCGAGGACAGCTTCTTTGGTGGCCACGGAGGTGTGACTGTGGGTCGATGTCAGCTACCGCTACAACTACAAGGCGAGAGAGATATGTACTCACAGCGTCGCAAACGCCAAGGCAACCGTTACTGTGGTCTTGTAGCCGATTAGTTGCTGGCGGAATCCGTCAATGCCGTCGCCGCTGCTGCATTTGAGCTTGGCCCAGTCACGGAAACTGGTTCTTTCTTCGGTTGACCTTGAGCAGTACTTTTGGAGCTCGGCGTCAACATCATCACAAGATCGTTTACATTGCTTGAGGGCGAGTTCAAGAGCCGTGAGGTCTACTTCGAGACCGAGATCGCTGTTCTGAGAAAGGTCGTGTAGGACAGTGTTGAGTGCCGATAACTCGTCGAGGAGTTCACGTACTTGGCGGGGATGGGAGGGAAATTCTTGGATGGTTTTGCAGAGTCGTTTGCTAGACTTGAGGGCAAATGTGGCAAGGGTGAGGACGCCCGAAATCACTCCAACGACCTCTGCCATGTCGCTGGGCAGTTTGTTATCGATTGCCGGTCACACGCCGGTTGAGACGTCTGGCGCAATCGAGATTACTGAGTGTTCCGCCCGGATGGAGGGGGCAAAGGAGACTGCTGTGTCACCAGCCAGTGCGCAGGGCCCAGGTAATTAACGCCCAGCGAGTGCGGGGTAGCGCATCCCAACGGCCCCTGATAACAAAGGCCCGTGTTATCGAGGAGACTTGATTCGTCAACGTTCATCAGTCGGGCCTTCATGAATAAGCTCGCCATGATGGAGTAACTCCGCCATCATAAGCTCCTCGTAGATCCTCCCGAGCATCATCACATACCATTCTACCTGTTGTCCCCGAGGTATGACATTCGCAACAATACGTTGTAGGAGTGCGCCCAGCGATAGAGAGACGCGACCCGCGTGCTGCCAGGCATTGCGGCCTGAAGAGGAAGTCAATTGTCCTTCAGCCTACAAGGCTGACAGGTGCATGATATGCATGTACACACATAGTGGCGCAGCTTGCATTCACTGTCACGGAGTAGTGGCTGCAGCGGGCAAGCATAGCCCACAAGGCCGTCCCCCGCAGATGCTGTCGGGCACCTGCGCAGGGCGGCAGGCCAGGCACGCTGGGCAGACATCTGTTGGTTGTGCCGATGCAACCGTCATGGTAGGAAAAGCCAGCAACTTCTGCCTTTGCTGCCTCTGCCCCACGACTGGACTAAAAGCCAGTCCTTATCACCCCGTGCCAATATTCCGAGCTAGCTTTTGCCCACGCAGGCCTCTCGACCACAATTCCACAAGCTCCGATTTGAATAATTGCCATGTCAGAACTGTACTCCGGTCTGCAATTGGAGCCGTCACGGGCCGAGATCCGGTTGCTCAGGCTCAAAGCCGTTGCAGTACCTGGGTCCATCGGCGCGCATGATACGACACCAGAACCTCTGAAAGAAAGTCCGCTACTGCTCGAGTGCTCGATGGAAGTCTTTAAGCTCGACAGTTATCCTAGCTTTGCGGCTCTTTCATATGTCTGGGGTGATCCTAACGATACGACTCCCACGATGATCAACGACATCAAGGTTTCCATAACACGCAACCTGCGCACTGCGCTGGGAATGTTCTTCAATACTACACCGGATGTATACGTCTGGGCGGACGCCGTCTGCATCAATCAAGCTGATAACGCCGAGAAAAGATCCCAGATTGCATTGATGAGCCGCATCTATCACCAGGCCGGGGTTGTGGTCTGCCACCTAGGTGGAGTTCTCAGCGAGGAGTTAAGACTCTACCTTGCTGTGAACTTTGAGCTCCAGCAACGCGAGCAAAGCAAGGAAGTCTTCTGGGCTCGATTACGAAACAACTTCAAAGCACAGGGTTTATCAGACGAGATGCAAGTGTCCGTGTCCACAGCCATTCTCGTTGGTCAGCGCGAATTCCACGAGCTGCCTTACTTTCAAAGGATGTGGACGTTCCAAGAAGCTCTGATACCAGGCCGCCGGGCCATGTTCTACATCGGTGATGATCTCTTGGAGTTTTATGATCCGCGCAACTATCAATTAATCAGCCGGCCGGACTATATTGAGGAAGCATCGGTCAAGCTCATCAACACCCCGAGATCCCAGATGACGCGTGTGCAGCACGACACTTATGCATTGCTGGACGTTTCGGGTCTTCCGAAGTTCAATCAAATCTACTTCCACGATATGCTACGACTTTCGCAGCTGGAGACCAAGCGACACCTGAGTACGGGCTACTGTTCACCAACCTTCGAGATGCATAAGCTCCTCGCGATTAGCCATGAGAGGCTCTGCGGTGAGCCGCGTGACAAGATCTTTGCCGTTCTCGCCCTACTGCCAGATTTCCCCGATGATTTCACCAGTGCAGCAGCAGCGCACGCAGCAAGGAAGCGATACCTTGACATTGACTATGACAAATCTATAGAGCTGGTCGTACGCGACGCCCTGTTTTACGTGCATCATTTCGAGAAGCCCACAGCTCTCGGGCTGCTGTGTGTAGGGTATCTTCCTTATGGAGTTTCTATTCACCGTCAACGACAGAATGAACGCCATCGCCACATGGACGGCCCGGAGACGAGAGTAGTCGAGAATGGCGGCTGCGCGACCTGGGTGCCCGACATGACGCGGCCGACGAACAAGAACCGCATTAATGCCTGGAAATGGATGGAAATATCGCAAATGTCCCATGGGATTCACTGGCTGGCTGCAGATGACAGCAGGGGTGTCGGGGACCGGCTGCGGTTCACTATCAGGGTGATCGGTCGTGTCACCCAGACTCTCACATTTCCTACCACGACAGACGCCATCATTGATACAGTCGCTTCCATCCTGGGTGACGCTTGTCTGCTGCTAGAAGACTCGCCCCTGTATCGTACCCATCATGCTTTATCCAAAGAATACGGGCTTCCAATGCTCGTGACACCCCCATATACGTCTCAGTACCGACAGGAGATCCGCAACTTCGTCTGGAACATCAAGGTACCCCAGACTACGCAGAACGAGCGGCGAGAGCCCATGGACAGCGTCCACGACCGGCTTTCAGCAGCCTTGTTTTCCTAGTTCAAGGATGAGAGAGTGCCAGAGATCCACGAAGGGATCCCGTGGTGCTTCAGTCTGCCTTACGTGCTGCGGTCACTACCAACGGATCAGGAGAGCTGGAGCGACATCCACAGGGCCCAGGCACACGGGATCGAGCAGCAGAGCAAACACTTTTTGAGTCAAGCGCTGTTTCTTCTTGACTCGGGGAACTTTGGCGTGTGTAGTGATGCTGTACAAGTTGGGGATGAGGCCGTGTACGCCGACTCTTTCCGGAGCCCAATGATGCTCAGACCAGATTCCCAGCTTCCCCATGAGGATGGGCACCCATCCAATGCGGACCCAAAGCCAAGATGGAGCTCAGACGTGGATGACATGGAGCAACAAACCCATCAGACGGTGGATTACCCATTCGTGGATGGTCTCGGTCAGGGTGGTGATGGTGCGGATACTCCGTTTCTCAAGTTCATCAAGGAGAAAGAAGAGCGGACTATCGTTCTTGGATAGGAGAAGACGAATTCGCCGCAACAATAGTACAAATTAGCGACAGAGAAATATTGCATGGGTCAAGCCGAAGCGAAAACAAAAACCTCCAGGCTTTATTTTGGGAACGATGCTGACTGCCTTGTAGAGCCGCGCCAAATTTTCCAGGCGATTCCGCTTTGCATGAGCCATGATAATCAGAAGCAAACTCTGAAGCTCAGCTCTGTGGATCGACAGATTTCAGCTCGGGGCAGATCGCCGCGTGACATCAAATTCAGAAAAGATTGTTCGTAAATGTTCAAGATCAGGATAGCCACACCGGCATATCCATCACGAATCGTACAAGAGTTTCATGGCAGCATCATTCCACAATCAGAAGCTCTCCGACTCAAAGAATAACGAACATAGCTGCCAAAGGACCTCAAGCGCTTAACTCGGCAATAGCCGAATCCTGGCGCACGCCCAACGGCGGCTACACGTTCAGGGCAGTCTGGGTCCGTGCAATCTATATTGCCGCATCCACTGTTTGGCCATGCTCGCCAAATTGGCTACTGGCCATGCTCTGTAGACATCCTGGCGCTTATCGTTTCTGTAGCCAGGGTTGCCCCAAGCAGGCCATAGAATTTATCAACTGCCATACAGAAGCCGGTGATAGGAGCCACAGTTGTGCCTTCAGCTGCTAGCGTCTGGGCTCCTGCTTTTGGACGAATGCGACGGACAACACTGGTAGCATGGGTTTAGAAGCATTTCAATGAAGACCCCACCTAAACGACTTCATTTTCCCTGTCTATACTGTACCGCAAACACAAATGACCATTGCAATTGAACGTTCCCACTACGCGAAAGACAAGCGAACAACCAATAACCCGGACTCGAGGACTGCGCATCGCCCCCTTCGTCATCAAAAGCCCAGCTCTTCCTTCTTGCCCCGTAAATCACAGCCGCGCCCCTTTTCCCCTTCTACACTTCCACGACAGTCACAGAGCTCGTGTCAATAATCCCGCCAGCGTCACTACTGCCTTCCTCCTCACCCCAACCCTGCTCTCCCATCCCTATCTTGATCATCCCGCAGCTGGCCAGCCCGCCGAGGACCAAGAAGAGACACGCGACGAGCTGCATGCCAAACACGAGCACGAGCGACAGGGCCCCGGCGCCAAAGAACGCAGTGAGCACAGGTACGGATTTATTGCCGCCGCCGTCTTGCGGGTCGATTACGGCGATCATGCCGTACATGAGCCGGACGAAGAGGAACGGCACGGCGGCGAGGGCGCTCAGGGTAAGGAGTCGTAGCTTGAGGAGGGTCTGATTTTGTTCGTCGTCGTTGCCCTCGTGGGCGTCAAGGGACGCCTTGTCGGCGGTGTTGTTGTCGTCGTTGGTGGTGGTGTTTTCGGTGTTGACCGAAGCCATCGAGGAGGTAGCCCTGGGAGTTGTGTTGCCGGTGCTAGTACTGGTGGTGCCGGTAGTGCTGGAGACCGTCGAGGTGCGGTACATGAGAAAGCCGCTCTCGGCGCCCACGGTGAAAAGTTCGAGCATCAGGACGGCGTGGGTGCAGAGCATGAGGACATGGGTCGTCGCGTCGGACATGTACCTGTTGTCGTGGTCGTTGCTGCTCGGGTACGTGGACGCGAGGAGGGCGCCGCCGACCGTGCTGAAGACGGCCCCGACGTAGTGGAGGGTGTGACATGCCCATGTGGCCTTGCGTTCGTCTTCGGAGGCTGGGAGGTATTCTGACCTGTGATTGCGATGACTCGTCAGTGCTGTGTTGCTTGTAGGAAGGGGGGGAATGCGGTGACGCTTGATGTGCGAAGTCTTTGGGGAGAAAGTGAATCGTGCTGGTGATGGATATGGGATATAAGTCGACACATCCCTCGGCGGGAAGCGGGATGACTGATGTGGGAAGGTTGAAGCATCCAAGCACTTCGCCATAACTACGTTGGACATCAGGGAGAAATGAATACTTACACTTCAAGGTTGATTCCAGAGATGGCAGCCATCAGCCCGCAAATACCCACGGCATTGACAAACGCCGTAAGAGTGGACGTCTCAGCGCTGCCGTCCTTGATCTGCAGGCCGGCCGCGACCATGCGCAGCGCGCAGAACATGAGGAGGGAGCCCCATGCGCTTAACCCACGTGTGCCGTGGCGGATGGCGATGTAGGTGCACACCCCAGAGAGCACGGCGTAGATGGCCAGCTCCACAATGGCGATGGTCAATGTCGGCGAGGCCATTTTCGATGTTGGACGCAGATGGGGGGTGCTTATGACAGGTATTGGTGATGACCTGGTTGGTCTGAGGATAGAGGTTGTGTGACGGATGATCTAATGTTATGTGCGGTGGGAAGCAACGATATGTGTGTGGGGAGAGAAGGCCAGAAAGCACACAACAGCGGAGGAGCAGTTCACCGAGGTGGATTTTATGCTCTCTAGAACATTACTCTCGCAGTCTTACATCTCCGTTGCATTTTTTACTCGGTGTCACGCAGCAGAGATGGGTTGTGTTAACCTCAACCATGTCGGATGCTGGACTGGACCAGCCCACGCATACCGTACAGCTGGAAAGCGGATTGAGCGACACTACCAACCAAACCTCGATGGTGGCATTTGTCTCTTGGGCTTTCTTGTGCAAGCCACATGGAGCACTCATCCGAACGCGTGGGACTCACATGCTGTCATAATATGGCGTCGCGCAAGAGAGAGCGTCCTCGCGCAGCCTTGAGCTGCTGCGTGCAGTTGAAATCGAACAAGAAATACTGCTCTTCAGAAACAGCACATTCCCCGACACAGGGACTTTCTAGCTTGACTACCGTTACGACGCAATAGTAGACCCCAACGCCAGGGCGATCACCCTAACCCCGGCTGTCAAGCCTGGGAGACTCGCTATAGATTGCCTCGAACCAAGCACGCCGAGGAAGTCCCTTCCCAGTGATACAAAGTAAAGCAACGAAACCTCTTACAGATTTGACTCCTTGCCCCCGCCTAGTGGCGAGCCCGGTTCGAGATCCTTCTTCATCTCCTCTACAACCTTCTGATGGAAATCGCGGACAATCTGGTTATCCGGACCAGGGTCATCCCAACACATCCTGACGCTGCCGCCCTCTTCCGGCTCGACCGGCTTGACCTTGAATATTAACTCGGGGGGAGAAGGGGATGCCTTCCAGCCTTGCGGCAGTGGGGTTTCGTGCGTCTCAAGGTGCTTCGTCTGGATACTCTCCCCGTCCACGATCTCCTCGCGTTCGACCACCACCTCTTTCGCGAGGTAAGGGAGGATTGGCTTGGTAGGCAGCATGTCATGGTCACGCGCAATGATGCTAGCGACCCAGTCGTACAGCGTCACGCTCTCGAGGGCCTTGGACTGGTTGGTGAACTCCTCGACGGCCGTCCTGATGTCCTCGTGCCCTGCAAAGGCCCTGTCCAGATCCTCCTTGCTGATCCTCCACTCTTTTGCCTTGACACATTCGGTCGGCACGAGCAAGGTGGGTATATTCTTCTGCTTGACCTTGTCGAGGAACTGCCATGCTGACCAAAGGTCGACAGCGACGTTGAACTGGTTGGAGAGAATGTTTTCCCTGCCACTTATGAAGCAGGCCATGGCCGTCACGCTCGTCATGGGAAGGTCCTCCTGGAGCCACTTCAAGGCTTCAGTAAAAGGCCCACCGATCATGACTGGCCAGTCCCGTTGCTGCAAGCTCTCTGACCTTTGCTTCTGCTCTGCTATCAAGTCGTCAAATGGCGATAGGATGGTGTTGATGCCGTCACGCTTGCACTTCTCCTCTTCCGCGTTGTTATAGCGTTCGCAGAATTGCCGGAGCCTCCTCCTGCGCTCATCTGCGTTGTCCACCTGCAGTATCCGTTCATGTTCGGCCAGCTCCTCTATGGCTGTGATCTCTGCCTTTTTCTCCTCTGTCACTTTCTCCTCTGTCACTTTCTCCTCGCTGGGCTCCTTCTTGGGTTTTGTATAGCCATATGTGTAGTCGGGCACGTGGGAAGCATGCCTCATGCCTGGCGCGATCTTCTCCATGGATGCCTCGTCCCAGTAGAGGCGGTAGCGCGAGGAAGGGATTCCCCTGCTGCGTAGAAAGCTGGCAATTCGGTAGGCGGACGTTTTCATGTAGAGCCTCGTGTCCTCCTTGAGCCCATTTTTGTCGTTTCCCTCGCCGATCTCGAAGATCCGGTCTGGCGTGGTAAAGTAAGGCAGCACGTCTTCGTCCTCTATTTCGTTGACCCATTCGGGCGGTGTCGTGTAGGCCGTCATCTTGCGCCTGACCATGGTGGCGATGTCGAGCTTGCCATCTGGCAGTTTAGGAATGATTTTGAACAGGGCTCTCTCGACGGGGCCGGACCGTCCCTGGGCATCATCGGGACCTGGATAAAGCTTGACGGCAAAGTCGACAGGGCGGGGCGCCAGAACGATGTTGGCGCGGCGGTCGGGATAGCCCTTGATGATGGACAGGCAACAGAGGACGTTGTCCACATCAGGGACGTCGACAAATACGAGGATCTCACGCTCCAACTCCGAATCCTGCGCAGCTTCTGCTTGGTGCTCTGGGACCTTGCTAGTGGACGGTGACTGTGGTTGGGGCTCCATTGTGGGAGCATTCGACGGCGTGAAGGCGGATTTGACTCTCTGGAGGCAGGAGGTGAGGACTGTGCTGTCGATTCTCATGGTGAATGTCTTCTTTGCTATAAAATTCAAGTGGCTGTCACTGTGGTGCTTGGTGTGATGATCACTGTCCGACTGCCACGCTTCACTTGTGTATAAGTACTGGATGGGTCTTTAGTCACGTGTGATGATGATGGTGGTGGTTGCCGGCTCAGGTGCCTGGGTCGTTTGCGATGAGCTGGGGTGACTGGCACTGAGTGTTGTTGGTTGCTGATGGTGTTTGCTGTTGGCGGCACGGATGGTGTTTGTGATATGAGGTTGTTTGTCTCTGCCTGGGGGGTAGTGCTCTGGACGAGCAGGGTAGAGCAGACGGGGGCGCTGTCATTCCGACCGGGCGGGTGACTGCGTTTTCAGGATGCGCTGGTCTCGGGAGTGTCTTGACTTGTCTTGACGCTCAGAGACCTCGTGAGACGGCAGCGGCGGCTGACAGGCAGGCAGGCCACGTGATGACGGAGAGGGGCAGGCGCGGCGCTTGGGGCCGGGGAGGGCGCTCTTATATTTAGCTGGCGCTGGCGCTGGGAGGCGGGCGCAGTGGACGGATGAGTCGACACCGGCAGCGCGGTTCAGGCAGCGGCCAGGGGGGTGGCGATGGAAATGCTGGCGGGGGAGGATGACTCTAGCGGATTGTGCTGATGATGATGCTGGTCGTGGAATGTGGAGAGGGAATGTGTGGTGGTGGGCGGGTGGGTGGAGGGCTGAGGGCGGGCAGGGCAGCCTGGTCCCTCGAGTGCCTTGCGATTGAGGCACCCACGGCCTCTGCCTGCCTGTCGTTGCTTCCTCCAGGGCTCCAGAGCTCCAGGGCTCCAGGGCTGCCTTCCAAGGCGGACTGCACTTGCCTTGGCAAACGAGGGGCTATCGATACTGCTCTGGTGACTACTAGCAAAGTACTGTGGTACACAGATAAGCACTCAGCCTCCACGTGATTAGATGTACCCTAGGACTTTGCCGCTGCTCAGCCACACACCCTGGCCACCTGGCCACCCACGAGGGCTCCTCCCTCATAGGCTGACGCCACATGCGCCAACCACAACCCACGAGAACTCCATCACGAATCACCAACTGCCCATTCCAGGTTACCGTCTGGGTATTCTTCCCTGTCCAGGCACATGGATGCAACCACTCACTCCCCCCAGACATGCGCATTGAGGGCCCCCATTGTACACTTGTTCCAGACGCCTTCCAAGGTTGCTTCCACCGTTTCAGGCTGTCCTCGCGCACATTGTTCCAGAAGCGGACCCTCTTTCTCCATCTCACCACCTCACAGTCCCAGTTCCGGTCCCCCCTGGCTGTACTTTGACGACCCTAATGCACCATGTCCTAAGGTACCTCACGCATTTTTTACATGTCTTTTTTTATATATTCCTTTTTTTGAGTTTAATAACCCAACAAAAATGAAAGTTTTCATCTCTGAGTTTTTATAGGCCGTTTCACAATTTTCGTTGACTGCCAAGCGGGTAACCTGCAGTATCAATGGGCATCGATGCCTCAGCCCATCTACTGTGGGCCTTTCCCTGGCGCCCACGGACAGTCGAGTTGATCATGCTCCATGAGAGGGACCCCCCAGCGTGGCACCACGGCCCAGGACACCTCCTACAACCAGGCACGCTGCGCCACGTTGATGTAATCATTCGTCCGAGTGTTCTCGGATCAAAACCGAATGGCCTAAGCTAAGCTGGGACACACAGTACCTCAGATTTAGGCGGCGGGCGACCTGCTGCACAGCCGCTAGGTAGGCCTGTAACGATGTCGTCACGGAACACCAATCTCCATCAGGGGCTGGCTGATTCCTGCACGAAAGGTGAGCTCCAGAACCGCGAGGTTGCACCGGGGCTCTCAGCATGGCGGGGAAACCACAGACGGCCATGTCAGAACGTGGCTGCCCAGAAAGCCGGCTTTCGGTCCGTTACGAGACTGCCTTCGCTAGGCGAACCGGACCTCCGGACTCAATGAAACAGCGTAACAGTGCAAAGCCTGCTCGCAGATTGTTGCAGATTCGTGGTCATTGGGGGAACAGTCTGGCGAATCACCCGGCTCTCATAGCCCGCAGCATCAAACAGGCCCGTGACAAGCGTGACCCAGACACCCGGGACGAAAAAGGAGAAGTTGATGAAAAAAACAGCCTTGGCGGTGAGCCCATGATGGAGAAGTTGCACTTTTCTCAGGATTGGCGCGCGCTAGGAGGCCAGGCAGTGTTTAGGACTAGGATGGAAAGGAGAGCTTGGGCTCCACCCTCGGGCATTTCTCCGAGCGTCTACGGTGATAGAGTATGATTGAGAACGACCAAACAAGGGCACTCCATGAGCGCCCTCTGAATCACGCTATGCCAAGCCTCGTGAATGGTTCATCCGGGACTTGGAGGGGTCGCCACTTGTGCTGATCAGGCGGTGGAGGCTGTGTGCAAATGTTACTATGCCTCACATCATATTCTGTCACCATAAGCCTTCCGTCAGCCTTGCTGTTGGCTGGGCCTTGGTAGATTACAAGACTCACAAGCTAAAATCAATGTCCGAGTCATGACTTTGCTTCGTGTTGAGACTCCTGTGGCGGCCGACAGCCTCGGATCATTTGATCATTAATCAAACTCCTGCATTTTCTATGTAGATCAAATGGTCGAGCCTGGAATTATGCAGTCAGACGGCTTTGCCTCGTTCTTGACCATGCCTCGTTTCACGAGAAAATGTCAGGTGGACATGTGCACTATGGCGACAGCGCAGGGAATAGAACGAGCAGAAGGAGAAGCGAAAATTTTGATGCTTGTTGGCTTGCTTGCTGGCACAAAAGCACGCCATACTGCCTGGCAAGGACTGGACTACGTGGAGCAGGGAACTTTGCACGATTGACGTGGTTCGCCCAAGTTCTGTCGCGACGCTTAGCTGCCTATGTGGGAGCAGGTTCGCACTTAGCCCGGTCATAACTTGGCAGAGTAATGCTCATGATTCCTGGTCTTTTCACCCACGCACCTGACAGACAGAAGACGTACAGTTGCGGCTTCAGTGCTTCTCAGCGTCATGCATAAAAGGCAAGACCATGGGCCTGGGTTTCTTCTCTACGTCCCTGTATGCCGATTAACAGGGATAGCATATCATGATGTCGCCTTCAAAAATTCGTGATTTATCTCGAGGGATGACCAAAAGCAAAGACACAGAAAGCGTGGCCACAAAAGTCGAGGTGGCTTGTACAATCTGGGGACAAATTCTGGCCGAAAAAGTCTCCCCGGGAAGCTATGGAACAGCTTGGTCAGCAACGCGTGAACCCTGTCAACGCCAGGCAGCACTGCACCAATGAATTCTGCGTGTCGAGTGAATCAAGGCTTGATGAGGCAGAGCTCTGAAACCCAACCTCATTGGCCCGAGCTGCTCTCTCGAAAGGTCCTTCATACACCTGGCTGCCACGGAAGAGAGAACCACAATCCAAGCGCGATGAAACGAGAAGGTTTGCACGGCCAAGATAGGGATCTGCAGGCTGGTCCTATCACTGGTTCATACATTATACCCTGGAGAATTCTTAGGCGAACCGGAACTTTCAGGTCTCCTGTACCATATCCCTCTGTGGACAGTCACTGACCAACCTGATGGGCACGTTCGGTAGTCCTTGCTGAGAACAACTGGGAAGGACCCCAGTTTCGGAGCTCGGAAAACTCGTCCATCGGTTGAGTAGGATAATCTGGAGGTCACAGCTTCATGTTAAGCGCTGCGATGTCCAGTAAATACCGCCCCTTCCGTAAAGTAGTAAAGTGACAACCTGCCCCTGGAGTGTCGGATTATTAAGGGCAGGAGAATTGACTTTGGCGGGACTGGTGGGTCATTCCAGCGATTCTGCATCTAGAAGCGCATTTGGAACACCAGCAGTACATTAGGGGGGCATGTCAGGCCAGGAAACTATTCTTTTGCTTGCAAGATGCTGATTGGCACGGTTTTCGATATGTCACATGTTCTACCTCTTGTACCATGGTGACACTCAGCCAAGCGCCGTTCGCCTTACCAGTGTCATGTTGCAGTGATTGTCCCGACTGTGCCGAGATCCCGGAGGTTCCGCATATGGTATCTCCGGCGCACAAGCAAGCCTCCAGCCTGTCTAGAAACGTGAAGCTGGAGCGCCTGGGAGCATTATGAAGTTGCGAAACCTAACATGTATTTGAAGACAGGCAAGGCAAGGTCCCATTCCCACTGTGACCTGCCGTAGACAGGCCAGGTTCGCGACGCGATGCCTGCAGCGGATCAAAAAGCGGGCCGGCCCAGCCCGTTCAGGATTGGCATCCTTGTATAACACTTGCTGCCCGTAGCTTGAGTGATCCGTTTTACCAAGAGCCTTACGAGTAACTCTGGGTCATTCGGCGCAACCTGTCATCGATATCCGGGTACAAGAAGCTGCGAGTCCCGGTTCTTTAATGACTACAAGCGGCCAGCAGTAGAACCACACTTTCCAGTCTTCATCAACCGACCACCCACAAACGTTGCTCTGACCACATTCGTCGTCTTAGTCACCAGAACTCATCATGCTTTCCACCAAAGCTTTTATCGTCCTAGCGTTGACCCTTGCGGCCGCCCCCTTTACGTTCGCGGCGCCCGCTGTCGTGCTCTCAGGCTCCAACACCGACTTGGGTGCCCGAGATCGCGTTGATTCGGACGGCTACGGCATACACAGCCGTGACGAAGTAGTCTCTGACCAGGGTTATGGTATTCACAGCGCCGAAGATGTTGTCCAGCGGCGGGGCTTCGGCATACACAGCGCCGGTGCAGCAGTCTTTGGCCAGGGTTATGGCATGGTCTCTGTCGATGATAAACGCAGCAGCAGATAAGATGCCAAGTGTCAAGGCTGCTGCATTCTCAGGCTACCTGGCAAGGGAGTGCGTTTCGACCGGTGGAAATCTCATCGAAATGTCGGCTTCTGACTGGGAGACTTCATTCGGTGACCCCTCCGGCCGGTCCAAGCCTCTGGCTGGGAGACCCTTTCGTTGTCGTACAAGGGCTTATGCGATTCCAATCAGCTAGTGGGTGAAGAGGGCGAGTCACGAACCAGTGAAGCACCGTACTTTAGGAACGAAAATTAATGCAGCCAGACGGACTTTCTCGTCTTTCTACCTCTTGACCAGTTTGTACGCGACCCAGGCTGGTCGTGGCTATATTACAGCGCCTATCCAGGGCACTTTCCTGCATAGATGCAATATCGAACTTGGTAGATGAAAAAAGGCCAAAGGTGGGTGCCTAGAGGCGTACCGCGGTTTCAATCCTGCTTTAATAGCTCTCATACAAGAAGAAATTCTGAAACACTTCCACAAAGGCAGTCGAAAAGCACCAGTTTCTCCATCTTCACGCCGATATACTGCCAAGTCTCTTGAATGTCTCAGATTGAACAGCCCTGTTGTCATTCTAGAAGCGATGCCACGTTTCTGAACACTATAGTCATACCTGCTGCTCACACTTGGACGCTAAGGTATGATCTGTGGCACGGCATTGCTTTCACTTCCTCTGCTCCTCGCGAAGTCTCTCCAGTCTTTGCTTCTCGTGACTGAACAACTGTGGCCATTTGTCAAACATGTCAAGTGTCAGGCGCAGATCCCACTTTACGGCATAATCTACTGCCGTCAGACCATCGGCATCTTTCAAACTCAGATCCACATCATCGCCCCATTCAATGAGCATAGCTTCCATGAAACTGAGGTAGTCCTTTCTCGCAGCATGTAAGGTGAGTGTTGATCCAATACTAGAACGCTCATTGATGTCGAAGCGAGGGGCAGCGGAACGTAAGGCTTTGAAAACTCGGCTGAAATCAGCATTCCATGCCGCATTACGACGGGAGGGATAGTACGCTCCATAGTTGCTGCAGAAGGAATACATAATGGTGATCGGCTTCTGTCGCTCAGTTGTGAAATCAAGCCTGGGGCATGACAAAAAAGCTACTATGGCTTCGATTCGTTGCCTGGGTTCGTGTAAAGCAGCTGAGAGTGGTCGAAACCCCATGCAATCTGCTTGTTCAATATTGACAACCGGATGATCCAGAAGCAGCTGGACCTTGCTCCCTTGCCCGCTCCGGGCAGCATACCATAGTGGCGTGCGCCTTTTTTGATCTGGCAGGTCGACCTTTTGTGAGTGGGTAGCGGCTAAGAGTAATCTCAAGCTTTCAATGTCGCCACGTTCCGCACAGTGTGACAGCGGAGTCCGGCCACAATTGTCGGCAGTATTGGCATCGACTCCCGGCAAGGAAAGCAGCTTGCGTATGACAGGTTCGTTTCCCTCCGTTGTGGCCGCCCACGCCAGTGGTGTTCTCCCGTAATTGTCAGCCAGATCCGGACGGATTGGAGGAATGAAGCGCGCCAAAAGATTGAGAGACAACAGGCGGTCCTGGGTGTAGGAATAAGGGATTTCCGCCACAGCGTAAGAGAAGGCAGTGCGGCCTTCATTGTCCGTCGCATTGAGATTGCATTTTTCATATCTTAGAACAAGATCGACCCCTTCCGTTGTTTTCTTGTACCATATATTGGAAGAGAAACACTTTATGAGCCAAGTTCTCCCTTTCTTGTCCGGTGAGTTGACATCGAGGATGTCATTGTTAAGGAATACTCGCAGAACATGTGGTTCAGCCTTCTCGACTGAGCAATTCCAAGCAGACTGAACGAGTGCTTTCTTTTGTCCTTCGCTGAAGCTTTCTCGATGCATAGCGTTAAGTAAAAACGATAAGCACTCTTCTTGTCCATCCCGCGTTGCTGCGTCAAGCGCTGCGTTGTATGCGTTGAGTTCTAGACCTAGCGAACTTCCGAATTGCAGCAGGAGCTGTAAATTGTCTTGACAGGTGTCCTTTGCTGCAGCTTCAACGATGTCGACGAACTTCGTTCTTTCATTCGACACGTGGGAGGGGATATAACGTTCGAGCAGAAACTGGATCCAGTCTGCAGCACCTGGGTGCGGCGCGAATGCTTCTAGGCAGTGTCCGACGTTATGTACGTGCAGCCTATGATGCTGAGTCAATGCCTTCATGACTGCCTTCTCTTGCAGCGTGACGAACCAAGAGCGGGCCGTCAGAAGTGTCTGAAGTGCCAGCTCCGATACAGGTGCGTGGCACACCAACAATTTGGCCGTCTGGACGTGTTCGTATTGCATTGCCGTGTAGATAGCCCGTTCAAGTACCATTGCCGGAATCTGAACCTTCTCAAGGAGAGTTTGAGTCGTGGAGCCGTGGTCATGTCGCGCACTTAGTAGAAGCGGATGATGGTCATGCCACTCGAACAAGCTCTCCTCGTTGAGTCGGTACGACGACTCACCACTGCAGGAGTAGCCACCATCGACTAGCTTCATCAACAGCTCGTCCAGGCCCCAGCGAGCTGCAAGAGAAACAGCCCCAGGCTTTCGCAACCTAAAACTTTCGGGGAAGTAGCCCAATGAGTACGTGCCAATGCCTTGCTCGTGATCGAAGTGCTCGCGAGACTTCTCGTCTTGATCCCAATACACAGAGAGGGCTCTCTCATTGGCCAAAAACTCCATTGCGGCCTCTTGCAAGGATGCAGTGGCGCGGGAGTAATGGACCGCCCAGTAGTCCCTGGCATAAGGTAGGAGAGGCCATTGGCAAGTCATGAGAAGGGGCCGGTTGGCTGGTGTGACGTACCCAGATCCCCAGTCGCGTGGCGACTTCGGCTTTGAGCTGCGCAGCCACTCTTCATGCATTGCCACAACAGTATCATGAAGTTGTGGAGTAAGCAGGTATGTCAGGCAAGAAAGCGCAGCGGTTTCGTTCGAAAGCGGGGCAAAGATCTCGGGTTTGACCCTTTCCAGGTATTCTTGTGCCGTGTAGTGAACAAGCCGAACAACATTTGTTTTCGAATCCACCGTCACAAGACCGAGACAGACGGCAAGCATGATCTTGAAGCTGGGGACGTTCTTTTTCGGATCCTTCACGAGGTTAGGCCGAATAGCGACTGCATTCTGCAGCTCGATGGGTGTGAGTGCGCGCTGGCTACGAATAACCCAACCAATGACCGACTGCGCTAGCTCTTTTCTTCTGAGACTTTGAGCGCTGATGCGATGAAGAGTAGCCTCATATGTCTTTCCGATCGCATCTTCTCCCGTTGGCATCCCGTCAAGGATTGCCTCTACGTCATCCAGGGTGAACGCGTCCACGAGGGAGCGCACGTGGAATGCAGCTAGGAGAAACCTGAACTTGACGTCAGCCAGGGCTCAATGCCTCTACACTAAACTCGAGGAGCCGAAAAGCATATAACTCACATCCCATCCGCAGCTTCGAGAATCCGATCGACGATTCGTTCCTTTAAGCTTTGCGACATGTCGTCGTCGTAGTCATCTTCAGGAAGGCAGTCGAGATCATTGACTCGCGTCTTGAGAAACAATCGAAGGTCTTGTTCGGCGGAGTATATATGGAAGGTGGACTCTGGATTGAACGAAGCGGGAAGCTCAGTGTCGGGACGAGCTGTCATGAGCACGTGCAGCGCATGGCCCGTTGCCGCCGTCTTCTGGAGTTCCATGATACTGTTGAGAAGGCTCTTACGACTATCCATGCCTCCTTCATTCGAAATCTCGTCTAATGCGTCCAAGACAATAAAGGAGCGAGATGCATTTTGTACAAGGTTGCCTAGAAGGGCAGATATTGCGTCTGCACTTGGTTCGCTTCTCTCGTGGGCTTTCCAGAAGTCTTGGATCCTCTTGTCGAGCCTTTTTCTCTTGTAGACGAACTGCCAAAGGATGGAAAGTAGTATGCGTGTAAGACCTTGTTGGCCCTGAGACTTGTAATTGAAATAGATAACGCTGACGTTTGTGTCCGCCTGTGGAAACCTCACGCTGAGGTAGTTCGCGACGACCGAAGCGATAATAGTCTTGCCAGCACCTGGTATGCCAGGGCAATACATTGTCTTGGCTGTGCCAGTACACCAGGACTGAAAAGGCTCCGACTCGAGAAACCATGTTCCAGTTCCGGCCTGGGCTCTGTTGAAATGATCGCCCTGGATCTTGTCGAAGCGGATGACACGCTTCTCGACCCAGTCCAGAATGCTCCTTCGTGTCGCTTCCTCCTCGGCGCTTGCATGTGACTCGATCAATGCTGTCGTGTCCTCTTTGATTGATGTTGTCCCCTCTTTGATTGCTGTCGTGTCGTGCTTGACTGCTGCCGTGTCCTCTTTGATGCCGTCAAGAGCCTTGCCATGGGAAGCTGTCTGCACCCTGTAACTCATGGGTTAGCAATAGAGCACGAAACTTCCGTAATTATGCTGCAGCACGTACCACGATTCGCTCGAGATACAGAGCTCGATGGTGCCCTTGAGCCGGTCCACTCTCTGAAAAGCCTTTTCGAGGTCGGCCTTGTCGCTCTTCCATGTAGCTATTTTCCTGAGTCCCCGAAAGTTGTGTATATCGCTATACTCTTCCAGCTTCGAACGAATCTCCTCCAGGCATGTCCGGTACTGGCCCAGGATGTTGTCCGACTGTATGAGCGAGTTGAAGGCCTCAAGATGGACCCCATCAGGTCCGGGAGCATCTTGTCTGATGCGGTTAATGCAGTCCTTGAGCCTGAAGAGCACGATACACGATGACTGTGCCTCGAGAAGAAACTTGCCGACCTCGGTAGACGCGTCCTTGAACTCTCGAAGCAGGTTAATGACCTTCTGGCTTGCGTCGAGGAGTGTGATGATGTTGACCGTCAAGCTTAGTGGATCCATCGTGTCGTTGTGACTTGAGTGTGGCCTAGCGCCCGTGGAAGGCCGCCGGGGGAGAGTTTGCTGCCTTCATTCCTCGCAGACGGGTTTGGATATCGCGCGGGGTTGGTCGCGTGCGCGGGGTCAGCCTGACCGCAGCACGGGTAGGGATCCCGACAGACCCCTGCTTCCGCAGGCTGACAACAGGGAAGTATTGGTTGTAAAGTCGCGGCCATGTTCTGGTGGTCTCAGTCCGTTGGGTCAACAAGGTTGGAGGACGAGCCAGAATGGGATATCTCGAAGGCAATTGATAGGGGGGCATGACGAATTGATACGCGGGCATGACCCTTAGGGGGGCATGACTTTTTGTAACACTTGATTGGGCCAAATTTTCTAGATCCATAAATACTTCCGAGCAAAGGCGGTGAAGCCAGCCCTCTTAACAAGCCCAGATTTCGTGACCGCAAATGCACCCGACCAACACTAACCCTTTAGAACAGGCGTCAAAGAGAAGTATTGCTTTCGGTACTGTTAAGGAGAAGGTACTGATCCGGAATAGGCACGCGATGGGAAGTTCTCTGTATTCCAAAAGGTCGCTGTCGTACAAGACTATTACTTTACCGTCGCTCGATTGGCGAGCGCCAGGCGAGCGACAGGTAAGAGACGGGCGCTCGCTGACTCAGCGAGTGCTTCCTCATTGAGTGGGTGCGGCCCCCCTCACAGGTACAGGGTATTCAAGGGCTGTTTCATTAACAAAAGCTGTCTACGTCTCCCCTTACTACTATGGAAGGAAGAATCTCCTCTTCGCCATCAGCCAGCTCCCATTGATTCCTCCGTCTCCGAATGCTGGGCTGCGTCCTCCGCCCGCTGGCACGAACTCCTGTGGTTCTTCCCGTCCCTAGAAGGGTCGACTGGCTGCGTAACTGGCGCTGATTCGAGACATCAGCTTGGCCACTGGCCTGTCGGCTCGCCCCAAGTTCCATTCTGGCCTGAGTCGACTTGTTCAAGCTGCCCTGTGGACGACCTCGCCTACGGCTCGGGGGCCCCTGGCCGACCGGTTGACCAATCGGCTGACTACTAGTCTCGATGGCTAGCCCTGATGGAACGGCCTGCTTGGCGTTCTTAGGTCTGCCACGGAGAGCAGTGGCGATCTTAGGGTCGAGGACTCGTCGGTATGGATCTCGAGAGGATGCTTCTCGTAGGTGCCACCGAGGATGGACGTCCCATTTCGTGAAAGGCGTGCCATTATTCAGCTTTGAGTAGATCCTGTGGCAGCAGGGAATTCCAAGCTCGATCGATAACGAGCAGTCCTCGCCGCAATCCCCGAGGGATTCAGGGAACGGATTCTTCCCGGTCGGCATTGCTTTCCTTGCAAGCCGATATTGTTTGTTGATCAGTCCAAGGCCCTTGGAAGAGAGCGCCGTCCGGAGTTCGCCGAGATACTCCGAGCTAGGCCCAATGTACTCTCGCGCGGTAAGTACCTCGTCCGCTGCGCAAGCGTCGTTGAAATCTCGCTCCTGGTCCCTCATCATGTCCTGCATAGCCTCCATGAGCCGATAGAGATGGCTCATACCATTCAGGAGATAGCTCTTGATGTTGTTGTTGCTTGCTTCTGTACCAGAGGTGACGCGGACGCCGAAGTTGCGATACTTGCGAATGAAACAGCGCGCCCACTGCGCCCGTACAGGCATATAAGTTCCATGGAGATACCGCAGGATAGCTCGCTGGTCATCAAACTCATTGCAGAGATTTCTCCACGCCTTCTCATGAGCCTCCTCAGTCTCCGCAAACATGACGAGCTTCCACATCATGAGGACCCCTCGATAGCTATGAGGGATGACCGCCGCCGTCGGGGCGTGGACCAACTGTCGGTCTTTGGGGCTCAGCTCAGCCTGTGCCTGTGGAGCAGAGTCTTCTCCGTCGCTGCTGTCGGAACTGCTGCTGCTGTGGCCCTTGGCCCACTTCTGCTTTGACTTGAGCAAGACGTTAGAATTGATATGGTGGATGCACAGCTGCTGCTGTGCATCAGGGAACTGATCATTCAGGGCTGCCTTCATCTGATCGTCGAAGTCGGTAATGATAACGTCCGGTTGGCGAATAGAGTGTTGCTCTGAGAGCTGTCGAATACTCTCGGAGAGGAACTGAAACCCCTCCCGTCTCTCGTTGTCAATCAGGCCGAAAGCAGCATTGAAGACAGAGCTAAGGCAGGTCTGTCCTATTGCCTGAAATAATGGAAGCTTGAAGCGATTGGTGTTGTATGTGTTGTCGAAGCTGATCACCTCGGGAAACCGCTTCCACATCTGGAGGCAGTAGGGAAAAGTCCAGACAAGGCCAACGAGACGGTTTGGCTCATCGTCCGCCCACTTCACGAGATAGGGAATCTCCATCTCGTCAAACAGCTTGATTAACGCGGCGGTGGGAGTATAGCCATTCAGCTTGTCTCGGTTGATGAGAGCTCGGGCGTTGTAGATGTGAGTCGTCGGTGGGAAGGGTGCGCAGACGGCCTAATGCTACGTCCATGATTGTGTTGATTGTGTTCGGGGTTTGGGTGTTGTCTTAGGAGCCACTTGCCCTCTTCTAGAGCTTCAGCAATGACCATCCACTTGCATCCACACTTCCGAGACTTGCGTAGCCGAAGCCCTGTACCTCTACTCGGCCGTGGTTCTCCGTATCGGTCACATTGGAAAGAGTACCTCATCCTCCGACCATTGTAGGAATAGGCATGTCGTCGGACGATGCCAAAGCCATTCTCTTTCGCAAAGGTGTTTACCACGTCGAACAAAGCTTCGGCTGACGGCTTTGGGTCGCCTGGGATCGGCGGAATCGGGATCGGGTCTGGGTCGGGGGACGAAGACATCCGAGGAGAAGATCGCATCTCTTGAGGTGATGAAGCTTGGGCGGACGGCTCTCGGGGCGGTGAGTAGGGAGGAGGCGATTCAATCGCATCTGAGCTGAGTGGTGAGTAGCCCCATCTCTCGCGCCATTGACGTACTCGTTCGTATGACCGAGCGAGCTCGAGCGTAAGCCTCCGCTCCGTCCCAATCACTTTTCGTACTAGCTTCAGGGCAGATTGAAACTCGGCCCGTGTGGGTGACGATTGCTGCTGTTGTGCTGATTGAAGTGGCAAGGAAGACAGTGGGTCGGTTTCTGGTCCTGGGACAGGAATCCTCACTCGTAAGGACTGCCTTCCACCGGACGGGAAATCGTTTGAGAGGTGCACCTCGTGATCGAAACGGAGCTCCCATGGTGGCTCGTGAAGTCCACGCCATCCGTGCGGCTGTGGAGCTGTCGTGAAGGTTTCTGGGTAAGATGCAAAGAGATTTCCGAGTACATCTTCGTCGCCGACTCCGTAGTATTGGCCGATACTTGTTGCTATGCTGCTCGTTGAGGATGGCCGATTCGCAAGTATCGGCGGGCTGAACTTGCCCTGTCGGCTCTGCCGCTGTCGTTTTCGTGGCCGTACTTGATCTTGAGCGTGGGGACTAGAACTACGGGTTCGTCGTCTCGAGTTGGAAGGAGACTCGGATTGGAACATGACGAAGTTCCCAATTATCGAAGGTTGACCATGGTGGATTTGCTTGCTGTTGGTGGGCTTGATCTGATCGCGTCGCGTCGTGTCAGCTCCGAGATTAGGGGAGATAGCCTTGAGGTACTTAACAGGCTACGGCAGAATTCTGCCAACACTAACAAAAAAGAAATTGACGAATCAGAGGCCCGAAAAGTCATGCCCCCCTAAGGGTCATGCCCGCGTATCAATTCGTCATGCCCCCCTATCAATTGCCATCTCGAATATGGTACATAGATGACACCTTACTTTGCCCTCCAAGCGCACTTTTAGTGCACCTTGGAAACCAGAACCCGCGAGATCGTTAACTGTGGGAAGGACGGCACCATCCGCCTTAAACCAATCAGCCGCAAAGTTCATCCAAGGCCTTCCAGATAGTGTCCTTCTTGACCGCACATCCGCCGCCCTCAGTTGAGGTGCAACCGCCTTCCAGGGCTCGAGCTACACTCTCTATTTTCTCTTCCGACGTTGCATAACGCATGAGCAGCGTGTAGGCCTTGCCACATTCGACGCCACCACCGTCATCCTCTGTCTCTCTCGGAGCTGTACCGCCAGACGTTGGGGCGACAGCGATCTGGGTGAGATCTGCCATTGGATTCTCAGCCAGGCGCGATACAAGTTTACAGGGACCAAGTTGTTTCGCTTTGCAGGAAGCATACGCCGTGGGTGCTGACGTGCAAGTTGGTGGACCTCCTCCACGTGATTCAGAATGCGAGCATGCTGAAGAGCTGGAGTGGGAAGAAGAGCCCATGGCATTGACAGGCGGTAAAGTGGTCGTTGTTTTTGGCGCAACGTCGGCCAGATCACTCGATTGTTCTCCATGGTCGTTTAGGGGTTCACCATGATTGGGACAAGGGAGTGCTGTCCTGTTCGCGGTGTCTGGATCTTCTCTGGAATGCGATACTGACATTGAAGCTGCAAACATCTGGGCTTTCCGCATAACCCGCAGGCAGGGCTCGCTGCTTGAGCCATGAGGATCATATCCGGGCTTCTCCTCTTTAGCCCATAGCTCAACCTCGGAGCTGTCGAAGCCGGTAAGGAGGAGAAGCTCCCTCAAGCGTTCGTTCTCCGCGATGACCTTGCGTGCTGCCAACTGCACTTCTATAGTCGCAGATATTCCCTGCTCGCGGGCCTCTGTGATCTTGCGCTCGAGATCGGAGACGTATTCTTTCTGCCGGGCCCGGTAACGGCGCTTGTTCAGCGTTAATCGCGACGTCTTCGCGTTGTCGCTCTGCTCAGCGCCGTGTATGTCAGCAAAGATTCCACGTTCCTGGTTGATCCTCAGCGAAGAGGGCATGGGCGGGGAACAGGGGGGGGGGTGCATGGAAGTACTGACTTTTGACTTGCTCGCGACTATCATATCGTTAACCATGTTTCTGCGAGGAAGAATGCCTCGGCACGGAGCACGCATAGCAAGCGAATCCTGTAGGTAAGGATCAATTCGTCATCGGGAAAAGATGTCGCGCTAAGCGAGTCCGAGATGTCTTGTGGATGTTGCTGGGATGATGAAAAGCGTGGCAGCGTTATGTCAGAGGATTTCAAGCAGGTTGGGGGAACAGGTACATTGGACGGGAAGGGTAGTCAGCCCCTGACGGTAAGGATACACTATATGGGCATGCCTGCCTTATCCCCAATTCCTCCCTTCCTACCCCGCTTGGGAGTGATGGCCAGAAAGAACCTGTAGCCAATAAGCACGCAGCTGTCTGTCCACCATGGCGTGACTAGACTCAAAACATCAGCAGCCACCTGTGGACAGACAGAGGGGGTTTCATTGGCTCGCGTGTTAGTCTCACACATTTTGAGCAAGCCACCAGGAGCTAGCTCGTAAGGTCTAATTAACAATATCATGAGGCGCTCGGTTTCTGCCGTCTGTTGCTGGAATAAGCTCCGACTAGCGCTGGAACACGCCCTGGCACAAATCTTGGTGTCTCATGGCCAAGTCCGTAGCCCAACAATGAACCAATCAGAATTGTCTTGTCTGTCCATCTGTCCTGTCGCTCTCATAGCTCAAGCCAGACGACCTACCAGGATGTGGCTACTTAAAGGCCATGCGCCGAATGGGCTGGAGAGTCGCATATCGAGACTGTTGTGACCATCAGCCCCCCGGTTGGTTCTTCGACTTTTTTTTTTCAATTTGGCTTGCTTCCGACTCGGAGACGTTCAGAAAAATGACATCTCCGCCTCCCATCACACAGCATGACACAGCGGAGCCCAGCAAGTTCGGGGCTGAGTGCAGGGACGAATCTCTGCAACGACACGACGTAGAAACAGCGGAGCCCTCCATCAGTGTGAGATCCGAAAGCCCGGGCCTCGGCGATAATTCCAATGTCCCGAGACTGTCCCTGCTCAAGCTGTTCTGGTTCTTTTTCTACAACTTTGGGCTGTTCGCATGGGGCGGCCCCGTGGCTCAGATCGCCCTCATCAAGGACAAGCTCGTGGTGCAGGACAAATGGATCACTCTTGCGCGATTTCAGCGCGTCTTCGCCGTGTACCAAGTCCTTCCTGGGCCTGAGGCTGCGGAGCTGTGCATGTTCTTTGGCTGCCTGTCGGCGGGCAGGATCGGTGGAATACTCGCGGGCATCGCGTTCATTTTGCCCGGTTTCGCTTTGATGCTGCTGGCCAGCTACCTGTACACCTTGGCTGGGTTTGAGAACATATATTTCAACGCCTCATTCCGCGCACTGCAGCCAGTGGTTGCGGCCATGGTAAGACTGCCTCCCCCATCCCCTTGCGACACACTGTCAAAGTGGCCCACGTCCACCGCGTGCTAACGAACCTGCAGGTGCTGCGCGCAACGCACAAGATAGCCGAGCATTCCGTGCGGAAGCATGACACAGCCAAGGTTGACCCATTTCTGGTACTGTTTGCCATCTGCACCGCTATCAACGGCGCGCTCCGCATAAATATGTGAGTCGATATATCTAGAAAGTGTTCGTACGAAAACTCTTGCGTTTCGTGACGATCATCACTTGCCCGACCACATCTCCAAACTAAAGTGCTCGCTGACGTCTCGAATGTCACTTCCAGCTTCATTTCCCTCGGTCTGTATGGCATCATCTACGCCTTCATTGCCCGTCGTCTCTGGATCCCCGCCGGCGTCCTTTTCATCTTGCAATACGTCGGCTACGCGCTCTATGTCGTGTTCCATGGAGTGCCATTGCCAGTATCGCTGGCTCTCGGCATAGCCAAAACGCCTTCGCTTATCAACCTCTTCGTCCTTGGCCTAGTCGCAGGCTCGCTCTCCTTTGGCGGCGCATACACCGCTATCCCGTTCGTGCAAGTGGAGGCGGTGCTCATGGGGGGCTGGCTCCCGCAGAGCGTGTTCATTGATGGAATCGCGATCGGAAACATCCTCCCCGCGCCGCTCGTCATATTCGCGACATTCGTGGGGTTCCAGGGTGCGTACGGCCAGGACGGCTCGCTTGGCAATGCATTTGCCGGCGCGGTCATCATCACCCTGGGCATGTTCTTCCCTTGCTTTGTGTTTACCATAGCTGGTCACGAAGTGCTGGAGAAGCTTGTCCACAATAAGGTCAGTAGACGCTCGTCGCATCCAACCGTTTTTCATTGGATGTAGTTGCGAGCCAACGGGCACACTTTCTGACATCTAAGCTTGATCCCCGATCTAGTTCCTCTCCTCATTCTTTGATGGGCTGTGCGGCTCTGTAATCGGCGTGATCGCAATCATCGCAGTCCAGATTCTCAAAGCAGGTGTCGAGGGACCTGTAGACAAGCTGCGCAGCAAGCCCCTGGATGAAGTGATCAGTGGCGTTGTGCAGGTCGGTCCTGCGGCGGTCCTGTTCATGTTAGCGCTTGGGGCTCTGTACAAGTTTACCAACAAGTACACTGCGCTGGTGATGGTTGTCATTGCGGCAGTCGCGGGGCAGTTCCTGTTTGTCGATTAGAGAGGCCAGAGCTTGTTCAATATTTGGTGGGCGAAGAGGAAATGGCCTAGTACTGTTTGCCACCGCACGAGGGATGGAGCGGTGAGCAACGTCCTGCCTCTTACGTCATGAGATCTGACCTAGAACTACGACTTCGCATGCCGCTCGCAGAGGTGGAAAGAGACCTAGCCTTATCAGTTGACCCATCACCAGCAGAATAAGGGAAAGTCAAAGAAGGATGATAGTTTAACCGACAGAGAGATGATCTCCGGTCGCAATCAAGGAAGGACACTGAGCCACAGGACAAGGATGGCAAGGAGGCCGCATCAGATGAAGGGCCAGTGAATCCGAATATCCAGAGTTACAGAGCCCAACTGCTGTAGGTAGATAAATTAGTAACAACGTATATAACTAAGCAGTCACATCCTTAAGTAGGTCATACAGCTGCTTTCACCAGGCAGGTGGCAAAAGCCCGGCTCCGCTCGCAGACAGAACCAGATCTGCGAGAAAGGGGCTCAAGATCCTCCCGACATGCCAAGACTGCCACTGTGCGAAGAGCCCCTCAACCTCACTGGCAATATCTTCCTCTACGCGGATTACGCCCACGTCGATATCATCGCCACTAGTGACGCTCTTTCTAGACGCGGCATCCAAAGTTTTCCCCACGGGATGTTGATGGTCAAGCTGTAGCTCAAGTTCCCGACCAATAGCCGCGATCTGGTCATTGATTGGGAAGATGAGATATGCTACGCATGGCCCCGTTAGGACAAGGGGGATGAGGGCGACGAGGTAGTGTGTCCAGTGCTGCTGGAGCTGCTGCTGGTGCCTACTTGCATTGTCGCCCCCTAGCTCGTTGGCGCCAGCGATGGACTGATTGCAGCTGTCATGCCAGTACGTTGCGCCTGCAAGGGCAATGAGTGCCACGGGGATGAGCCGCGACGCAGGCTGGAGATACTTGAAACCAAGCGCGATGACGTAATTGAACTGTCTGATCCGTGCAGCCGTGCTGCTTGCTGCGCTCGTGACAGGAGAAACTCCGCGCAAGGAGGTGAGCGTGATGACTGGCATGGTCTAGCACCGCAGACTCAGGGCGATGCCGCCAAGAAGGGTGAGCGCAGAGATAACGAGATTGTGAGTGAGGCCGATGACGACCAGGGCGATGTCGGTGAACGCTGCCATGATTTTGAGGTGCAGGACTCTACTTGGAGAGGGCGTGGTATCTTTCGTTGAGGATTAAATCTAGGCCACGGGCAATAAAGTACACAAATAGTTCCCACAGCTTGCTGGTTTGGTGGAGTTCTCAGGATGGCAGAGTCGAGGAGCAATCTCGCACTACTCTAACGAAGTCTCATACCAACTCGAAGTGGTGGCGGGCACTCCTTCAATTTGACCCGACGCGGTTGGGCGCCGGCACCGCGCATAATGTCATCGTGCAGTCAGGCCACATGTTGGTCGAGAGCCTGTTTTCACGTGCGAACATCTGCCAGGGCCATCGCTATTGCATCTGGTTCCCTAACCGATCTATGAGCATCTCAGCGTCTTGGTTGGTCATGACGATATCAGCTTGCAAGTATAATCTCCGAATCGGGATGATCATACGTCAACAGGGCATTGTAGGCTCTGGGGCGAGAGTCCCCCGTTGTCTTCAACTTGCACATGCTTTTCTAGTCTCAACTAGTTCCACCAGTGCCCTCTCGCCACCTTCACTCGGGGACCAGTTCCTCGGGCGCGCCAATTGTCCGAGCTTAGACTGGCCCGTCGCTAGCGCACACCTCAAAAGCTAGTCTCCGCGTCATCGACGTCGGCCTCAGCCCTGCGAGCCTGGCTGGCAGCCACGGTTTTGATGTAAAGCCGCACGCTATCCGATGCCAGGTCGGCGTCACGGCGCCTATAGAGGCCGTCTGTTCAGACAAGCCGGCCCCGTCGGTGGTACGAGAAGCTTCAACGGCGCCGAGTGCGACCGCTTCCTCGCCAGCAGCCATGACTAGGTGCAGTGGAAGATGTCGTACCCGGGCAACATTTTGCCTCCCGCCCAAGTATACGTTGAAAGCAACATATATAGCCATCCAGTCCTTCTTCATGACGAGGCTTATCATGGTCATGACATGAGTTGCAGATCTAAAGACACATCACAAATCTTCTGGTAGCTGCACTAAACATCTCAGTGACGACTCGCAGTCTTCAAGATCAAACCATGCCTAGGTACGCAATCCTCGGCGCGACCGGCCAAAACGGCGGGCACGTCCTCCAGACGCTTCTCGATCGACCAGACGCGAAGATCCGGGCTTTCGTCCGCTCCAAAGCGAAGCTCGAGAAGCAACACCCACAAATCAACCGTCCAGAGATCAAGACCAGGCTTACCATGTACGAGGGCAGTATCACCGATGTCGACGTCCTTGCATCCTGCCTCCGCGGCACCGACGCGGCATTCCTCTGTGTCGCCGCAATAAACAGCCAGCCGGGCTGCCACATCGCGCAAGACCAGGCCACCAATGTGGTGGCCGCGCTCGAGCGGATCCGAACCAGCGACGGCAAGAACAGGCGCGACAGCGGTGTCGGCGGTATCGACGGTTCGAACACTGCCAGGCTGCCGACGCTAATCATGCTCTCGTCCGCTGCGACGGAAAGCAAGCTCGATGACGTGCCATGGGTGTTGGAGAAGATCCTCTTTGCAGCAAATTACCACATCTACATAGATCTGATCAAGGCCGAGGAGTATCTCCGCCAGCGCGCGGACTGGGTCGACGCAGTGTACTTCAAGCCTGGTGGCATTTCGGATGATGAGGCCACCGGGCACGTGTTGTCGACAGAGAAATGTCAGACGTTTGTCAGTTACTGGGACACCGCGGCGGGGATGGTTCAGATTGCAGACGATGGGGAGCGCTGGCATGGGAAGAGCGTGAGCGTGCAGAGCAAGAGGAAGGCGAGGCCGCAGTATGAGAATTTGCCTCTGCTGTTCAAGGGCTTGCTTGTGTATTTGTTTCCCTTCCTTTACAGTTGGCTCTTTTGATCCCGTTGGAAAGGGAAGAGGGTTTCAGTCCTCAATGTACGGGTAGCACGTTTGTAAAATAAAGAGAGTGCACTTCCGTGACTGGCTGAGTCCTTAGCCATTGGGACAGAGTTGGCGAAACCAGCAAGATAAGCTGTTGGCTGATCAGAGACATATTCATGCGGGCAGGCCCCTGGCTTGTCCCGGATCGCGTACCCGGCGCAGTTTGACGTCGTCTGCCGATCAGCGCCCCTCGGAGACTCAAATCGCCCAGTCAGCATGTGCTACAAGGGTAACACAAGACAGCACATCTGACGTCAATCGCCAAGACCACCAGTGCAACTCTCTTTCATTGGACCGGGACCCCACGACACTTTTCGTATCTTCTCGTCACGAAACATTCCTGACATCCTCTTCACTGTTCTACACAATATTTTGTTGTTCGCCACACATCAACGATATTGCGCATACCATCTCAGCAATTAGACCCTACGGGAGCAAACACCACAACACACACTCGGTGCACTGACCTCATTGAAACCGAAAGACTGCCATGGACGCAAGAAGCACTGGGGATGCGACAAAAGGGGGAAGCTCCTTCTACGGCGGCGGCGGAGGCCCGTCCTGGCGTGGACAGGCAAAGATTCCCGGCTGGGCGATTGCGCTGATTGTGTTGTTTGGATTCATGCTCATTGGCTTCACCTGCATGTTTTTCTACTTCCTGCGGAACGGTGAGTGGCTCTACTCCTTTGTCTGAGTGGTCAACCAGAATCGTGGGACAACTTGTTGCGGCCTTTGCCTGTGATGCTATATTGGGCTGGCCCGTGCTTGAACGGGATGGGCAATGCTTCCGAAAAGCGGTTCAATCGCGGGACCGATAGACAACCCAGGGCTGACGATGTCCCATTCACGATGAGCAGAGCGCATTCGCAAAGAATACAACATGAAGCCCCGCTACCACGTCGCCGCAGGCCGTGCGGCGCTGTGCGCAGTCGGAGTCAAGCCCGTGCAGATGATCTTCAACGGGCTGGGCTGGCGGCACGACCACTGCGGCGGCCTGTGCGGGCCCCGGTGCACGCGCGACAAGATTGAGAAGAGTCTGGCGGATGAGAAGATCGCCGCCGAGAGGGAGGCGAAGAGGCTGGAAAAGGAGAAGGGTGTAGCTGCGGCTGCTGGCGGGCGAGGTAGGGAGAGCAGCAGCTCGGAGCAGACGTTGGCTTGATTACCTACTGTATAAAGGCGACTTTGGGCACATAGAGGAATTGATTGATGCCAAGATGGTTTTTACCACCTGTGTGCGACAACGAACTATAGCGAAAGGAGGTTGTCGATGGGTCTGAGCTGGATATCCGTCACAAATACTTTGGAGAGTGCGACATACAGGCACGAACTGGATGCGCTCTAGCTGGGGGGATTACGGGACATAGAACCCACACTTGTATTCACCTTTTTCTTAACCTTAGAATGACATGTATGCGGGAATGTTACCTGTCCCCGTCTCACCACAGCCCATTTCTACACTTTCGTCCAACCCCATCCGCTCTGCAGCACTCTGGCAGCAGCAAAGCACGCCATGCCAGCAAGCATCTCGAGCCCACAGAACACCTGCAAGCCCCAGTAGTCCTTGCCGCCCATGCTCTCCAGGATCGCGCCCGCGATGGGCGGCGAGATGAGCACCCCGACGCCACCGAGGCCGAACGCGATGCCTGTGCGCGTACCAACCTCGCGGATCTTGCTGACCTGCGCGACGCAGGCCGGGGCCAGGTTGAAGATGGAGCCGGACACGAAGCCGAAGAGCACGGCGTACGCGACGAGGGCGGGCGTGCTGTGGACGCCGGGCAGCCACAGCGCGAGGGTGAGGACGCCGGACGCAAGGAGCCAGAGCGTGGTGAGGTTGAAGCGGCCCATCCTGTCGGCGAGGAGGCCAGGGATGATCCGACCGGGGATGCTGCCAGGCGCGTTAGAATAGACGGTGCTTACAAAGGGCTGTGTTATTAGAAGGCAGAAACTCACCTTGATGCACTCCAGATGGAGATCAGGTAAGCCACAAAATTCTCGCTCACGCCCGCCTGCCTGGCCTGCACGACGATGTAGTTCTGCGGCACAAACATGCCCCCGAAGAACAAGAAGCACCCGACAAACAACAGCGCCGACGTCCTCTCCTTGAACGGAGCCGTGTAGTCCTTCAATAGCAGCGGCTCGGGCTTGGGCTTGAGCCGTGAGCTCACGAGCACGCACGCCGTGACGCACAGGCATAAGCACAAGAAACCCACGACGCGCATGGCCCAGCCGAACCCGATCCGGGGGATGAGCTGCGTGAGGATGATGGGCAAGACCACGCCGCCGACCCCGGAACCGGAGATGGCGATGCCCAGCGCGGCCGCGCGCCGGCGCTTGAACCACGTCATGATGCACGCCATGGTCGTGGTCGCGATGCACGACTGGCCGATGCCGCTGACTATGCCCTGCGCCAGGATGAAATGGTAGTACTGCGTGGAGAGCGAGGTCATCATGAGGCCCAGGATGAAGATGAGCGTGCCGCTGTAGAGCAGCCAGCGGTGGCCGTACGAGTCGAAGGCGCGGCCGACCTAGAAGTGGAGGGTCTTTTGTCAGCATTGACCTTTCTTAGGACTTCTGACGACGACAATTCAGTCACCAGCGATGGACACTGGGGCCATAAAGAAGGAGCGGAAACTCACGGCAGCCGTGCTGCTGTCCATAGCAAAGCCCTGGATTGCCGGGATCCACGAGATCAAGGCCAGGCTGCTGTCACGCAGGATGTCGTCGTGATACACCTGGACAAAGATGCCCGAGCAGTTGAACATGCCAAAGGTGCACAGGAACGCGCACCACGCGCCAAACACGACCGACCAGGCTGCCAGGCCTCCATCTGGATAGTCGTCGTCGTCATTGGTCGGTGCGGCGGTGAATGATGTTGCCGAGATGGTGGGCGTCAGGGGCGTGCCCGTGGCTGGCTCTGGGTGTGAGGCATTATGGTGCTGATTCTGGGAGGAATCGTCCTTTGCTGGCGCTTTTGCTGTTGTGAATTGGCGGGCCTCGAGGTCCGGGTTGGATGTCGCAGTGGGGGAATCGTCGTTCTCAAGGACGTCCCCATGGGCCGAGGCTCCGTGATGAGCCATGCTGCTAGGAGTCCTAAAGTCTCCAATCTAATCGTACAGGTGCAAGTCAATTTTTATGATAACATTACAGCCGGCTGTCGAAAAAGGTGTAGAGATTCAGCTCGACGACAACGGAAAGAAAAGTTTGGAGGAGGTCATGGCATGGAGACGAGATTCCAGACGGGAAATAAGTGGCCCGACAACCGGAGCTTGAAGAGCCACTGGGCGAGGGATCCATTAGTCATTGGCCGGGGATTGTCAACCACGCCCTTTGGCGTTGGGCCTCATGTCGATTCGGGCACCGGGATCCCCAGCTCCCCACAAAAGCAACCTTGAACCAGATCCCCCCTGGTCCCTTTCTGGCGTGTCCTTCGGCCCGTAGCGCCATTCTCAGTGCTTGTCGCGTTTGGCCAAGCAGGTTCACCTCTTTTTCCGCGGGCTCATCTCTGTGCAGCATGCTCAAATAGATCGCGCTTCGCGGGCTTTGGCTCTGGGCATGAAAACGTCATGGTGATCCAGTAGACTTGGACGGTCCGAGACAAGCGGGGCAACATGTCCAAGTAGCCTAGCAAAGGGCGTGGCATGCAACACAAACACGCCTCTGCACAGACATACATGCCTATCTTGTCGTCCACGTTCATGACATGTCACGGACCCAGTGCGACAACATAGTGCACCCCTTGCCGGGCTGGTCCCCTGACTCGACGCTGGGAAAGCTCAGTTCCTGCCGTCGGGTTCTGATGATCCGCCCTCGTATCGCTCATCTCGCACTAGAGGCTTCCGTGACAACCGTATCAGAGCTAGGAATCTCATGTCAAATCTGCATCACTTGGCCGATGCTGCATGCTCATCATCGATTCCACAGACGTAACAAGCATCCACGTCTGACCTGACCGGCTATACCTACCACTTTGGGGCGTAAGCGGGAAGCGGGTCCACAGGAATTTGGGGTCCGGGGAAACAGATCCCGAACCATCCACAGCTAGCCACATGAGTCAGCCTTGACACTTATAGACACCAAGCGTAGAAGCAGACAACAGTCACTGCCAGATCTGGATGTGGAAAGACCAGCGATCATACCTGTGCTGTCTCTCCACGCCGCCACACTCATTGTAGGAACTCGTGAAAGAACGGTACTTGAATATCGTCTAGGGAGCGTGGGGGAAAGACTGTTACACGTGATCCGTACCTCCTTCCATGGGAAAACTGCCTGCCTCCATTGAATCCAAAGTCTGGTTCCCCCTTGCGGGTAGTGCATTTCCAGTGTCACAACAGCATTCTCGGCCTGTTGGGACACCCTGGGCTCGCAAGGAGAACTTGTTAATGAGGAAAGTTGATCTACGCCTTCCCCTTCGAATCTCCACCATCCTCCCATCATCATCAAATGGAATCAGCTTGCGAGGTAGATACTGCAGCCCATCTAAGCGGCCCAGCACTGGTAGCTCGAGACCTTGTCGTTGGGAGGGTTGATACCGCAGACCTTGGCCACCTGGCTCAGGTCGGTGTAGCCGGGAGCGGTCAAGTCGAAGTGGTCGCACGAGTTGGACGGGCAGCCATAGTCGCTGAATTTGAACACGAGAAGAATTAGCGAGGGTTCTAAACGATACTAACAAGAAGATGAAGACCAAGCAGGGCAGTACTAACAAGTTGAAGCGGCAGTACGCGCCAGCATCAGGGCCAACGGAAGAGACCTTGTCGTTGAGGTCGTCGGCGAGAGGGACTGATTCACCGGACTGTTAGCTTGGATCTCTGCCTCGTCTTCTGCAAGTGGTTGACGCCGTCAGGGTATGCATTCTGGGCTGCTCACCACACACGCCCGACGGGGCCACGATGTGCACACAGTGGCCTTGCCAGCCAGCGTTGGTGCAGAGGTAGACTCCGTAGTCGGCACGCTTGGCCAGGCCATCGCGGGCCGCGATCTCAGTGGCACTGCCCGTGCCCTTGATGTAGTCGGGAATGTCCTCGGGCGCGATGACCGTGTAGGTCACGCCATCGGGGATGCGGGCGCTGAGAGAGGCGGGAATGGCAGAGGCCATGGCCGTGGCAAAGAGGCCAAACACGACGGTGGTGGAGAGCATTTTGAAAGAGGAGGTATAAGGCAGCTGAGAGGTCTGGGGCGCGAGTGTCCTGTGTGCTGGGTTCCTGGGGTTGCTTGAGGATGCTGAGTTCTCGTGAGCTGGATGAGAGAGGAGGATTCGCGTCCTTTTATATTCCGAGTATATGGCTTGGTGCCGAAGCGGCCATGGGGTTCTTGCGCATCCACGAACCTCTCTCGCGCATATTGGGCTACAACGAAGCCAAAGCTCATGAGAGACTTCACCGGTGAGAACACAGATCCCCATCCCCACCTTCCAAGCCATGCTCTCAGCCTTGCATGTTTGGTAAAAGGACCAGGGACACTTTGCACGAGACCTGCTCGAGTTCTCTGCTGAAAGACGGTGAGTCAGGCCTCTGCATTGCTTCGACAGGCTTGTCTCCAGCAAAGTTGAGAACTATCGTCCTCCTCATGTGGGTAGCCGATACATATGTCACCCTTGGATAAACAACACAGACGAATGTATCTCGCATTTGCCGACACAGTATTTTAAACGCCACCCATGGCGTCGAGTCTCAGTTGGCTGCTTGGCAGATGCTGCAAGGACGATGGCAAGGTTTGTCTTCTGCGTGGTGTTGCACCAAGTGCCCTGTTTAGGTAGCAGTGGCGCAAGTGGGTATCAGAATCAATGCGATTCTGCACGGGTACTTACTCATCTCCAGACGATATGGGCCGGTGTGGAAAGTGCAGTTCTCTGGCTTGGGAAGCAAAAGAGCTTGCCCAAGCTGCGAGTCAATACACAATGGCTCGTCCAAGCCTACAGACAATCGCAAGAAGGGGCCGGTTCTTGGTAAAGAGAGTGTATAACACGGCTTCCCGGTCATACTAAGGCACTAGATCGCGGTCGGAATGCAGATTCCCACACGCCTCAGATAAAAGATGGGGCTCTTCCCCCGGCCCGAAGTTCGAAGCCACACCGCGGATCTCGCAGCGGCAAGGTCCGTTCGGATGAAATTCAGCCAAATCGAGGCGGGACCCCAACATCGGCTGATGATCAGACGGCATGCTGCCCCAGCTGCCCCAGCTGCAGCGGCACGGTCCGGCAGGTGCTGGCGCCATCATCGCAGCGGGGGGGTTATTCAGCCAGCAACTTTTGAGGACAATGATTGGCTCCACCCCCTCCCTCACAGCCAATGTTCTGGTTAAATTTAGCAAGCGGGCCGGTCCGAGACTTCCTCCTTGCATCATGCAAGACGAGCCAGATACTCTACCTGGAGCTTTTAGGATACGGTCTGCACAAGGCTCGCATCCCCACACGGGAAACGTACTGGTGCTCTTTCGCCACAGTATACATGTTTTGACAGGGCACACAGCTTGTTGGCAGCCCTGCTTCCGACGCTGCTGTCTCTTGCGTCGAAGGGTCTAGACTTTGAGTGGCGGATAGCATATGTTGTATGGCTGATAAGTTCCCTGCAGCTGCTCAGCTGCACACATGAGATCAGCTCACCCCCTGACCATGAGCCTCTCTGTCAGCGCACAATTCGACCAGGCGATCTGGTGGTGGGGGCCATAAACCGGACCATGTGCTACACGAAGAGCGGGAACACATCGCGCTTGAATTGCTGGCATCGCCGCCGCTCTCTCTACCTCACCGCCATGCCTCTTGGCCCCAGGTACTTTGACGACTGAGATTCGTCACCCACAGGCCCCAGAGTAGTAGTCGCTCCACATTCCTCTCTGCTCAGATAGTAGTCCTGGTTCTCGAGTGGTATGTCGTCCGTCCGAGCATCGCGATGTCGCTATCAAAACACCCTCTGGGCTCCCTAGAGACGCGGCCTAGAGGATCCCAGTGTGTCTAGTCCGGTACACCCTGGCGATTGAATAAAGAGCAAGTCTGTCTCAATGCTATTGAAGTTTCATGATGTCTATCTCTGCTCGTACCATGTGCTTATTTAGATCAGCCAGCCGCGGGGTTGAACGTGAGCACTTTGCCCCATACTTCCATCGCCCGGTGGCGCAGGCCGGGATGTGGCATCTGCAGCGTGAACTGCGCCATGACGGGGTTGATGCCCTCCAGAACGGCGCCGTAGGGCCGCAGTGTAGTAGTGTTGTTGGGGCGGCCCTGCAAGGCGGCCTCGATGCCGGCAAGCAGCTCGCCCATGGCGGACTTGTAGTCGTCGCCGCCCGGCTTGTCCGAGAGGTCGAAGACGGTGTAGATGCAGTAGTAGCAGCCGGCCATTGCGAGGCCGGCCTCACTGTAGTAGGAGACCTGTCCATGCTCGCTAGCTGCCATTGCCTGGACCATCCTCTGCTGATTAGCAGCCATCCACGCCTTGAGCAGGGCCATCATGAGGGTTTGTTCCTGCTGATACACGTGCCATTGCTCTGCTGCACTGCTGTGGTGGTCCTCGCCGCTACTCTGGTGCACCAGCATTGCTGCCTGGACTCGAATGCACCACATGATTGCGTGGAGCAGGCACTGCGTCCACATGCGCGAGAACTCTGAAGCGCTGTAACGAGCGTCGGGTGGGAAGGGCCAGGGCCGGGGCCCGTATGCGGCAGGACTTGGAAGCCGCAGGATGGCCTCTCTGGCTTGCCGATACCGCGAGGACAGCCCGGCGTTTAAGAGCATGTGGCGCACGAGGACAGTCTCGGCCTCGCAGGTGCTTTCGTCGTCGAGAATGCTAGCTATCTGGGAGGCCGAGCTCGGCCCCTTGGTGGCGAGACTGCCCTGCATGATGGGCTCGTGTAAAAGTGACAAGCCGAGAGCGCCGAGCTGGTCTGCGGCCGCCGGGTTGCCTTGCAGGGTCTCGAACCCGACGAGCAAGATGGTGGCGATGAGGATGGCTCGGCCCGCGCCGCTGCTCTGCAGGGGCATCGTGATGAGGCGGCGGAGCGAGCCGAGGGCTCGGGTGTAGTGTACGAGGGCTTGGTAGTAGTGGTCGTAGCCGGGAGCCCCGGCCAGCGTCTGCAGCTGTGTCTTGTACAGGGGCAGTCCGGCTTGTGCGTCGACGGTCGTCCAGTCACTACCGTACTGCTTCTGGGCACACGCGAGAGCCCCCAGCGCAATGATGGCGTTACGAACGCAGTCGTCGCGGCCGCTCTCACGGAGGACTGTGTTTCGCCAGAACCCGCTGAACCCGTGGCCGAGCTGATAGATGACGTTGTGTCGGAAGTTGTCAAAGTAGGGCACCTCTGAGGGCGTCATCAGGCAGGCCGAAGGCTCAACAAGACGCAGCGCCCGGGGCTTGCTGGGGTCCGGGAGCAGAGGCTGGAAGGCGGATGCTGCTGAGCCTCGGTGGCTCCTCCAGGATAGGGGTTGGTTGCAGGCAATTTGTCGGCGATGGCACCGGCCGCATACAGGGCGCTGCTCGTCACATTTGACATGCGATGCCTTGCATTGCCGGCACCCTAGGTAGCGGGTTTCCCTGCGCGTAAGCCGGCTTGCCTGCCTCGACCATCCAAGACGCCGCCAAGAAGGAAAGGGTTCCGTACCTGACTTGACTTTGGGGGCCCAAGCCCGCTTTTTCTTGGGCTCGGGCTTGGGCTGGCTCGACTCGGCCGGCGCGTCCAGCCGAGCTGGCACGTCACCAGCCATGCTCTTCGTATGGATTCAGCCAATCCACTGCTCGTCGAGTCTGGACAAACTAGGGGTGGGGGAGAAGAACTTCTAAGCACACTTTAAGGGTCCGCTGCTTTGCCGACACAATGTGGGGCCCCTGTAATTTTCCCCCTATCGTCAAAATGTGCACCCGTCTTATTGGTCTTAAGTCACCGGTCAATGCTCCGTAGTCTTTGGCTGCTAACCGCTTCCAGGACGTTTGCATTAATCAATTTTTTTTTCTCACGGGAATACGACACGGTACTTGACTTTACAGGTTGAAGCTAAACACATTAATCCTGTCTCAGCCTTCACACGCGCGTGTTTCTGAGCTCTTCTCCGTAGACATCAGCCCCTGGGCGACTCAGGTCGCGCCTGGCAAGCTGGCTAGGATGTCTTGACCCACACCCGAAACCCTGCAAATACAGCAGCTATCTAACAAAAAGCCTTACATCAAGTCACCAGGGCATTGATAGTTTCCTCAACGGCTGGCCAACGGCGGGCTTTGAAGGGCGCCGAAGCGGTTTAGCAAGGTTGCTTGCTGAGGTTGCCAGTGTCAGCTTGTTTTACAGATCGAGTTGCCAGCTGAATGACCAAGGTCCTCGTTGTCGAGCATTCTTCTTCGTGAGGACAAGCTTCGGGATCTGGTTACGATGCAAGACCTCCCAACACAGCAAACCTGTTTTAAAATGTACCCATGTGTCGACACGGAGTACACGACTCTCAGGTCGTCCATCCTGAAGATATTCAGCAGAACCAGGAGGTGTTTGGATTCATTACAGAGCGCTGACAGGCGAACTGTTCACTACGGAGGTTAGGGGCGTCGAACCGGCCCATGCAAAAGGCGAAAGCGAATCCCGTTTGAGGGCTCAGTAGATGTTCCTGTTGCTCTAAAGGCCTGTGGTAAGGCTCACCTATCGAAACATGGCGGATCTCTCAAGCTGGGATGTCAATAAATGCGGGAATCTCTAGGCGGATCTATGTATGCCGGCGCAGGCTCATCTCTAGGATTTTGAGACACCTTGAGAGAGCCTTACTCGGGTCCTGAACCCCGATGGTTCACGAGGTTTCTCGAAGCAGGCTGCGAGAAGGCCGCACACGATTGGCTGAACAAGTGGTATGCCTGCCCAGGCAACATACCCTGCTGCATGCACTGCGGCTGTTCGAGTTGCAGCAGGCTGTGCAAGCAGCAAGGACATCAAGGCGCAGTCATCTTGGGCGCCAACGGACCTGCTTCTAGTTATTGTGATGGGTTCCAAGACTTGCCAAAACCACTACCTCGTGCCGTGGTAAGCTTCTTGGCAGTTGAAAATTGTTTTCAAGGCTCTGTGATCCTCGCGGTGATGCTGCCTCTCTTTAGGCCATTGTTCCACAGATCCTCCTCCTCGACGCTAAAATCACGACTGTTATGGGAGCGCAACCCACAGTCCCCATGCACCCACGAGGTGCGCACGATCTTGAAAGTCAGACCCCTGTTGCTGACTGCGGGGGCTCTTTGACGTCTGCGGAGCGTCAAGAAAATCCGCGACCGCGTGAAAACGTTATCAATCAGACAACTGCGACGTACCCGGCCCCAACGGATGCAGTGGTATCCAGCAGCATTCCCTCGGGGGAATCAACAACCTCCCAGCCGACACTCAAACACTTTTTCGCTCGCCGGAACTTTCGAAATTCCAGCGGCACAGGAATCAGATCTTGGAGACGCTGGAACCCTTCGTGGCTGTGAACTCGTCCGCCCTTTTCTTGTGCTCTGGTGCGCCAGACTTCTGTCGTATCCTGCCAGTTCAGATAGACATTTCGGCTGGCGCCGTTGACCAATGGCGCCAAGCTCGGCAGGCCTGGCGAAATGCACACGGAAATTGGAAGTCGTTTTTGCCGTGGTACAGGGTAATAAAGGTGACGGTAGTCGAGGTAAGACTTCGCATAGCCCTGTGGCTCAAACATCTGGTATCAAATTACTCATATAGACTCCAAGATCGCCATTGCTGGTCCGGAACAGGACTACAGGCCTGGGCATGCAACGGTATACGCAGGCATGTACGCACCGGCTCAGTTGAAAATTGACACCACCAGGCTCGCGGTTAATCCACTTGATATCCCGGATGAAAACATAGACACGTGCCAATTCAACACGTATTGGGGTACTTGGGACCACACCGTTGATTGTCCAATGGTGTGGAGCGATCCGGACTTGGGGTCGAGGTGTCCCATGGAGGGCGGTTTCGCGTCCCAAAAGCAGCACCTGCGCCTGCGGTGGCAGCCTTTCTTCAAGAACTATTTCGAGCATCCCGAACTCGCGGCCTGGCATGGGGATATGGATAAATACGAGCTGCTGATCAGCCAATGGTAAGCGCAACTCTCACAGTCGAGTGAATCTCCACGCAGACCTGACAAGATCTCAGGGATATATTGAGCCAGTGGCGTGATCTCAACATTACAAGTCTTGGACAATTCACGTTCAAAGGCTTGCTTGTGCAGGAGGGCTGGCATGCCAGGCAATACCAAGTCATGTCATCCTTCGTACTACCAGTTTTCGTGTTCCTCGCCGTGTTTGTGGCTTGGCTCGTCTATGGCGAGTGGGCCACCGCATGGCAGGTCGCAGGCTGCGTGATTGCGGCGATGTCCTTGGGTGTCTACACCAAGCACTGCGAGGAACGCAAGGGCAGATAATGGCCCAATCCGTCCCTCTCCCCCGTATCCGCCCCTCCTCCGTGTTGTGCCGGCGGACACGACTCGTGCACCCGCCCAACAAATGCGGGGATGCCCAGGCTAGCGCCCGAGCAAGTGGGCAGTGGGTGCTTATCGTATCTACAAAAACAGCCGACATCGGCAGACTCCCAGGGTCCCCCCTCCCGACGGATACGGATCTCCTGACAGCAGCGTCCTCGAACCAGCAGATATGCCAGAGATAACGGGGCGTTTACATGTGGGTTGACGCGGTTAACGTAACGAGATCGCATTGATTGTCGGTGCTGCCTCCGGTTCCTGGCGGCTTGGCTTGGCACCATTGGGGATTCTGGAGGGGTTTCGGGGCCAGATTTAGTGCCCGGCGGGACTTGATTATCGTGACGGCCGAGCTGGTGTTTCCGTCATTGCTCCTTAAACTCTTCGCTTTCCTTTGAACGTGTCCCGTTGCTCAGAGTGTCCATCTTTCAACTTGTTTTAACCTCATCCAATTCTTCAGTAACTTCCTGTCATTATCCCAGGCAGCCAGTACCCCCGCATCACACTCCTAGCCGTCTCTACAGCCCACACACAACATGGCCGACGTCACGCTCCCCGAGCCTTTCGCGAGCATCCCGCGCGAGTCGTTCCTCTTTGGCCCATCCCCAATCCAGAGCCTCCCCAGGATATCCGCGGCGCTGGGTGGCAAGGTCAATGTCTACGCCAAGCGTGAGGACTGCAACTCTGGCCTGGCCTATGGCGGCAACAAGACCAGAAAGCTAGAGTGAGCATCTTCCCTTCCGCCCCTCCCTGAACGGGACGACCAGGCCCATCTTTGCCTTCTAAACTGACACAATATCTTTACCTGCAGATATCTCGCTTCCGAAGCCCTCGCGCAAGGTTGCGACACCCTCGTCTCGGTAGGCGGCGTGCAGTCCAACCACACGCGGCAGGTGACGGCTGTGGCGGCCAAGCTGGGGCTCAAGGCGGCGACGATCCAGGAGCGCTGGGTCGACTGGACGGACCCGGTGTACGACAAGGTCGGCAACATCCAGCTGTCGCGGCTCATGGGCGGCGACGTGCGGCTCAACGCCGAGGGTTTCCACATTGGGCACAAGGAGGCGCTCAAGAACCTGACCGACGAGATCAAGGCCAAGGGCGGCAAGCCGTACTACATCCCCGCGGGCGCGTCGGACCACCCGCTCGGCGGCCTGGGGTTCGCGCGGTGGGCGCTCGAGGTGGAGATGCAGGAGAAGGAGATGGGCGTCTTCTTCGACACGGTCATTGTCTGCGCGGTGACGGGGTCCACGTTCGCCGGCATGGTGGCGGGCTTCAAGCTCGCCGAGAAGAAGCTGGGCAGCAGGCCGCGCAAGGTCATTGGCATCGACGCCTCGGGCAAGGTGCAGGCCACGTTTGACCAGGTGCTGCGGATCGCCAAGTTCACCGCGGCCAAGATTGGCCTGACTGAGGACGACATCACGCCCGAGGACATCATCCTCGACGACAAGTACAACGCCAAGATCTACGGCATCCCCGACGACGAGACCAAGGCGGCCATGAAGTTCGGCGCCGAGACCGAGGGCTTCATCACCGACCCCGTCTACGAGGGCAAGAGCCTGGCGGGCATGATTGACTTGATCAAGACGGGCAAGATTGCGAGTGGCAACGTGCTGTATGCCCACCTCGGCGGACAGCTGGCCCTTAACGCGTACTCGGGGATGTAGATGTCTATTAATTCAACGACACAAATAACCAACTTATACTTCTTGTTAATTATTGGTCTTGGGGTATCTCGTGTGTGTGAGTGAGCATTGCTGAGCCATGAAAGTAATGTACCGAATCACTTTCCATTCTCGCTAGTCGAATCTTACGACAAGAGAGTATCCTCACCCTCGAGCCACCGGACGATGCCTCGGGCACAATCCTCCCAGTACGCATCCATCATGAGGTGGTGTCCACATCCCTCTACAACGAGGTGCATGCACGCTTCCCCTGGCGTGTCTGCGTGCTCAAGCCCTATGGCCCGCGCGACCTCTGCGTACTTGTTGTACTCCCTTTCGACCATATCTGGTGTGACGAGCCTATCCTCACCGCCAGCAATGAACAGGATCTTCCGTCTCTTCGTCTTCATTCCATTCCCTCCCGCAGCCTCACCTTCGCCGCCGCCACCATCTACACCACCCAAATCGGCTTCAAACCCATCAACATGCCTTAGCACACGCTCATACTCGCCCATCTTCCGAAAACACCGCAGCCCAGCCACGGCGCCCTCGATCGGGGTCTTGCACTCGCGGATCCACCGCTCCACCACGTCGTCCTCCGTCTCCCGGCTGAAGAACGCGGCGCGCACGTGCGCGGGCGTCCGCAGTAGTACCGGCGGGCCCTTTCTCGCCGCCAGGTTCTTGTCCTCGAGCCCCACGATCATCTCGGCGGCCTGCCAGTTGGCGTTGATGGTCCTACCGGCGCCGAAGAGCGGGGCGGCGGCGAGCAGGATGAGGCCGGATATGGCGTGGCTGCGTCTGCTCTGCCCTGCGCCCGCGAGCGGCGGTGGCGGCGCGGATGTGCCTTTTGCGCGTGGTGCACTTCTCCTGGGGGCTGGGTTCGCCTCCTTGTATACATCCTTTTCAACTCCTTTTCTCGAACTCTTCCCGCCTCCGCCGCCGCCGCCGCCGCCGCCACCGCCACCGCTGCTTTGATCATCAGGCGCAACACCACCACCGGCTGGAGCCCGAAAACCCTTGGACCCGACGAGATACTGCGCGAACCCGCCGCCCAGGGAATGCCCGCCCAGCACCGGCGCGGGGCGGTCCGGATGCCGCCCGGCCACGTAGGCAAGCGCGGCCGAGATGTCCCGCGCCCAGTCCCGGCCCCGGGTGAAGAGCATCTTGCCGAGAAAGGACTGGGCGTACGAGTTGCCGTGGCCGCGCACGCTCAGCCCGTAGGCCGGATAGCCCTGGGCGGCGAGGTAGGGGAGCAGCAGGGCGAAGTCGTGGGCGGAGCACATGGCGCCGTGGACGAAGAGGACGGGCGGCTTGGCATGGCGGCGGGCGCCGCGATTGCGCGGGTCGTTGTGGTTTGTGGTGGTGGTGATAGTAGTGGCGTCAATAGTGTTGGAGAGGGAGGCTGCTGTTGATGGTGAATTGGACACGCTACGAGCGCGGGGGAGGCTGCAGAGCAGTTCGAGAGGGCCTCCAGGGCCAGATATTTCGATTGACTCCATGGTTCATCTGCGGCTCGTCCTCACGCCACTTGATGTCTGCGGATGAAGCTGGAAAAAGGGATGCGGCGGCATGACGGCGAAAGGCACGTTTGGCGTAGCTAGTGTTTGTTGATGATGTGCTCGATTTCGTCAGCCCCTGAAAGGCTATTCGGGGATGTAGCCCGGAACAAGCGGGTACTGACAACCTTAGTTGCGCAGTTGGGCTGGGAGACCCTGCGCACATGAAAGTGCAAGCGGCTCTAGTGCTTACTCCCCATCTGGCTTTTTGTTCTCGGGGTCCAGGCGATTGCTCAGGGGCATCCGTAGTGCAGGCTTCGCAATTGTGGGAGGATTGGCGAGTGTCATTGCTGATTGATCCAGTAGTGAGTTCATCCGTAGCCTGACGTCAGGGGAGGCCATGCTCTGGAATGTGGGCCCAACCATCCGGGAGCAGTACACAGAGTCATGTAGCCGTCCGTCATGAGAAAAGCCGACAACTTATCCTATACACAAGGCACAACTAACTGTCTCTGCCTTCACGAGAATGGCTTGACAGGTTGTGGTGGCGTTTGTGGCGTGCCTCCGCGTGCCCAAGCGCAAACCACCGATGGAAAACGTTTGTGGGGTCCTGATGAGGTGGCGCTACTGTGGGCGTCTTTCTATTTATACTCTAGAACCACGACTTGTCCATGGTCCGAATTCACTGACATTGGAAGAAGACACGGGTAGATTCCTCGTGCAAATAACCAGTTGACCGTATCGACCATGCTGTCCATGCAGTCCGCCTGCAAATAGCTCTGTCACAAGCGAGCACATGATGGACAGACCGCACCCTTGTCAACGCCCGATACAACAGGGCGGGCGCATTTACCTGATGCACATGCTCTCTATTGCCATGCAGAAGCATCAGCAGAAACCGCGGTGTTCTTCAGCGAGACCAGGATGGTGTTCCGCGTCCTGACAATGCATCTTCATGCATTATTCGGCGCGACCTGGTTGCAACAAGGCATGCCGCCGTTGCCACCGTCCAGCCCTGGCATGACTACCACCCTAGAATCGTGGGCCCCCCGAAACAACACAACCTCGGGACTCGTTGGCCCAATCCCGGCCTCGCAAGTCGACCCCAGGGCATGCCCACCCGCGTGCCTTGAATCGTGCAAATCCCCGTCGGGTCACAAGCCAGCGATCGACACGGACTCTCCGCACTCTTGGGACCCCGCAATTCTCCACGATCTGCTTCGTGCTTGGCATCTAGTCCTTCCATCATTGGAGGAAAACAACCCCGAACATGCCCCCCAGCTGCCGCATGACGCCTACAGGCCCGGCACTTGTTTGCGGGGAGGCGCGATGGCGCCCCAGCTAGCGAGACGATCACGTGCCGCTGGCGATTCCATTGGCGCGCTTCTTGCATATTCCAACTTCGAGTTTCCCCTTTGGTCGCTGATGGGCGGAGTCGTGATGCTACCCTGGCTTGGGGTTTCCAAGCAAAAACAATAATGCCGACGCATAATTGAATCGTCCCAACACGAAGTGATCGGCAGTCAACATGACGGTTCGACAAGTATATATAGCTTTTTGACCGCTGGATGCCGTGGTCGAAGATTTGACGAGGTTTGGTTCTCTCTGCTCATGGCCGGTTTGCTCCCTTGACCACACATCTCCATCAAAAAAGCCATGATCCCCAAACACAGCACCACCGCGGCGGCCCTTGCGGCCTGGGCCCGCCTGGCCTCTGCGTCTCCCGTGCGCCGCTCCGATACCACCTCGGACAGCGCCGTTGCCGCCGGCCCCTACGAGGCGACGTGGGAGTCGACCAACAAGCACAACGCGGCGCCCGAGTGGTTCCGGGACGCCAAGCTGGGCGTGTACTGGCACTGGGGCGCCTTCTCGACGGCCCAGTACGGTAGCGAGTGGTACCCGCGCAACATGTACCGCAAGGACTCGAGCGAGTACGCGCACCACGTCGCCACCTACGGCGACCCGGACACCGTCTTTGGCTACCAGAACTTCACGCTCGGCGGCACCGACCTCGCGGGCAACCACGTCGAGTTCAAGCCCGTGCTCAAGAGCGAGGGCGGCCAGTTTGACCCAGAGGCCTGGCTCGACGCCGTTGTCGCCTCGGGCGCGCGGTTCGCCGGCCCCGTGGCCGAGCACCACGACGGCTACTCGCTCTGGGACAGCCAGGTCAACGACTGGAACTCGATGAAGCTGGGGCCGCACCTCGACCTGGTCAAGATCTTTGCCGACCTCGTCCGGGCAAGGGGTCTCAAGCTCGTCATTGCGATGCACCAGGCGTTCAACGTCAACGGGTACTTCGCCGCCGCCCCCGCGCAGACCGACCCGGCCCTCCGCCGGCTTCTCGGCCAGTGGGACAACCACGAGGACGCGTCCAAGTACTGGCTGGCCAAGCAGCTCGAGGCGCTCGACCACGTGCAGCCGGATATGGTGTGGAACGACTTCTCGCTGTGGTCGCCCGGGTGGTGCCAGGGCGACAGCGATATCTGCGGCATCAACGAAGCCCAGCGGCTCGAGTTCCTCGCGCACTACTTCAACCGCGGCGAGGAGTGGGGGAAAGAGGTCCTCACCACGTACAAGCACTTCGACTCGGGCTTCAACGACAGCTCAGCCGTCGCCGACTGGGAGCGCGGCGGGCCCGCGGAGCTCACCAGGCCATACTGGCAGACGGACGACGCCATCAGCGCCAGCTCCTGGTCCTACACCGTTGGCATCAGCTACTACTCGTCCAAACAGATGATCCACTCGCTGCTCGACCGCGTCAGCAAGAACGGCAACATGCTCCTCAACGTCTCGCCCACAGCCGCGGGCGTCCTGCCCGCCGCTCAGGTCCAGGTCCTCCGCGACATCGGCGCGTACCTGGGCCGCTACGCCGAGGCCGTCTACGCCACCCGCGCGTGGGACATTTACGGCGAAGGGCCGAACCGCGCGGGCGGCGGGTCGTTCACGGCCCCGCTGCAGGGGAACAGCAGCGATATCCGGTTCACGCGCTCGCAGGACGAGAAGGTCCTGTACGCGACGATACTCGGGTGGCCGGCGGACAGGCTCGTCAACATCGAGAGTCTGGGCAGCGATCGGCTGGTCGACATCTCCGGGCTGACGGGCGTGCAGCTGCTGGGTGATACGGCGGGCGAGTATCTCGATGTCGTGGACTCCCAGCAGAATGCTGGTGGGTTGGCGGTCACACTGCCCTCCACGCAGCCCGCCGAGGCGTATGGATATGTCCTCAAGCTTACCTTTTCCGAGCGCATCCCAGTCCCTCAGCCTGCTCAGGGTGCGACGGTATGGCCCGCTGGTGGCCAAGTCTCTGCTGCGACCAAGGGCGTCACGCTTGGCCTGGGCGACTTCCGCGGCATCTTCTTGTCCGAGGCGGGTGTCGAGGGCAGCAAGGTCGGCGTCATTCGCGTCTCGGCTGGTAGCAAGGTTAGCGTCTTTGCCAGCAGCGACCTGAGTGGTGATGTTGCCGTCGTGTACACTGAGGGCGAGCACGCTGTGGAGGAGGGATCGGTCGGCTCGGTCAGGGTCGAGGCAGCGTAAGCGAGGCTGACGGGTGAGGGTTGATTGTACCAGTCGCTTTGTAAATTGATGGCGAAACACAGACACGAAAAGAGCGACGTGGTTTGTGCTATTCATATCCAGCAAAAACCAGTATTCAGCAAGTCTTTTTCTATGTGCTGTGCCGTGACATTCATATTTACACTTGCTTGCCGAGAGTACTGAGACCACGGGATTTCTATCAGGAATACGAGGCACGAGGACCTTGCTTTGTGTCCCCAGCTGGTGTAACAGACGGGGAGCACATATATAGTGCCTGCCCGTGAAGAATTTTCCGTGCTGGACTGTGTTGAGCATCGGGCCCGGCTCAAGGTTTGCTACTGGCCACACTGGCACAAACAAAGCCCCGAGGAATGCAACAACATGGGGTGAGGTGACACTTAGATGGTTCTACATAATTGGGGTCATACATGCCATCGGCATGCTCAAGGGTATCTTATCTTTGCCCTTGCATTCACGTATTGCGAAAACCATTTAGAAACCCCGGTTGACAATTCTGCCAATTTTTCTTTTTGCTCAGGGACCAATTCCCGATTCGGTTTGTTTCTATGTGATAATAACCAAGATTAGGGTGCTAAGTGGAGCTGGTAGGCTCTACCTTTGTTGTACATATGACTAGAGGCCCTTGCAGTCGCCGCGGCTATATGGCGCACATAAAGGTATCCAGAAGCACAATATCGTGGTGCCTCCTTGTCCTCAGCATAAGCAGCAAAGGAGGAAGCGCATGTACAACTTGGACATTTCTTACCAGCAAACCTGTGCCAGGTTTAAGAGACAGTTCACGTGGAACAGGTTTCAAACAATGGTTATACATGCCTGTCACCAGCACTCACCCATCACTCTCTCATCGTCGACATGTCTTCCCATGTTGGACCGCCCCTTAGGTCATTCCCTCTGTCATCTCTGCGGTGGACAGACGACAAGGTGGTGCATGTAGGGCGCCCCGCCGCCATCAGGATGAACCCGTCACTGTCAAGCATCGACCATGTGGATTTTCGGTTCTGGCTTGAATTCGGCCCGTTCGATGGCTTCCAGAAAAGATCTCAAGATCGACAAAGACAAGGTTCCTGATAAAGGATGCGACTTTTCCATTACGGGCAAAGTATATGGTCCGCCGCACGATCAAGCTTCATCAGGGCATCTTTGCACTCCCGACCATACTGCGGATGCTCCTGACGATGATGTAGACCTGCACCCCAAGCGAACCAAGGTTTTTACGTCCCCTGCAGAAGCCGAAGCGCCCAGGGACCTCATGGACCGGATGGAGCCAAGAATACGCTAGAGGGCCCGGATGAGAAGCAGGCCAGCCGAGAGAGGAAACATTCATATGGCGCCACTGTCGTGATGCAGCATCGAGTTTAAAATGATCAGTCCAATAATCGAATTATGAGACGGCACAATACCACTTTGGATAGTGCGATTCAGCATGTGATGACGGATCTTCCGTGCCATGATGAGGCCGTTGCCAGTCGACACACGGGAAGTACCCGAGGAACCGGGAAGCACCCGGAAGCCAAGCCCCTAAGCCCCTGACAGGACGCCGAACTTTGTCGTCGGGAAGCACGGTCTGCTAGTTCCATCGGCGCCACACGTGGCGTTCCACGTGCGCGATTTGGACGGGCGGGAGAGGCAGTGAACTTTAGTATTACCGATAAGTTGAATCCGAGCGAGAGCTTTATATCTGTTTGGGCCGCCGGGTGAATGAGCTCGAGCACCGAATTTAGATGGTCGGGCTGGCAGCATTAAGCCAGTCGACAAGCAGCCATACACTATCAGGTCAATGTTATATTTTTTTGTAGTGTGTCCACTCCAATAAGAAGAATGAATGTCACATAACACCCCGTTGAATGAAACGGCTTTGCTCCAGGCCGTTCCAATGACGACCATTGACGCTTATGAGGAGGGGAGGAGCGCGGGAGCCCAACCGAGGGATAAATTCATGCTAATTCGGCTGAGACATGACGTCACGCCAATCTCCTTGCCACTGATGTTGATGTACTGGCTTGACGTAAGCGATGGGCTTGTCGGCAAGCGCAAGCGCGATTGCGGAGTGAGAAATGCCGCCATGATAACATCAGTAATCAAGATTGGCGATACGCCGATACCCTGGCGAGTGGAACCCTAGTGCTTATGGAAGTGTGCGAGAATGGCCGGAGGTGCTCCTGGGAGAGCACCCAAAGAATCATGCTTTCTGATCTTCCAGAAATCCCTCAACTTCGAGGACACCCCACCTTTCACCCTTGTGAGGGTGGATGTGCTTGCCTGGACGAGCATTGCATCCCTTTCGTCCTTGTCTGCATGCTGCATGCACTCCAATCATCTTCCCAGTTGAAAGATCCACCCTCATTCGAGCCATGGCGGAGCTTATCACAGGATGCAGCTACGCTAGATCCCGTAACTCTAATGACTCCAGCTTCTTGTGCAACCCTGGAGACTCTGAATCTCCGCCTAGCCGCTAATCTCCCGGCCTCTGGAGGCACAACTCGGATATTTATTTAATTATGGCAATTGCTACACCGGCGTGAACGAATGGCTACACCGGCGTCACTCTTATACAGGCGTCGCTTTTACGGCCTTTGATTGGTCCATCCCTTTTTGTTAGTGCATTTAGATTCTGCCAACAGCGCCCGTTGTACCTCGGGCTTACCTCTCCACCGCAACGATCGACGCGCCTTATGGAAGCTCTTCACCAGCTAGCTACTACACTAATTACCTCTTTGCCGCATGTCGAGCCTACTTAGAATGATTTTCGCGAAAGATACGGTATTTGTTAAGGTCACAGGGCTGGAGTGAGGTGTGTTGGACCCCTGCTGAGACCAAAACTCGAACACAGGCTGTATCAGATCGCGCCAACAGCCTCATCTAGAATCGGCATCGCAAAGCAGGTCTTTACTTTCTGCCCGAAATGAGACCCTTCTTTCCTTCTTTCATAGTCGAATCAAGTACTCTTTTACTCATCTTCTCACCGTGCGTGCGACACTCCCTATCGCGATCGAGGCCGTCATGTCCCAGCCCGAGTCTCCATCTAGCTCCCTAAGCAACCAACGACGACGAAGCTATCAATTCCGGCCTCGAAAACGACAGCGGCAGGACCAATCTGATAGTTCAAGACCACCTTCCTCTAATAGCACAGGCACGAGCATTGGCCGACACTACGGCGTCGGCGACGATGAAGCACTCTATAATCTTTTCGCCTCATATCCAGAGACGTTGACGACCGCGCCACGGCCCCGTGGATCGCGCGGGCTGAACGAGCCACCATGGGGGCTACGATTCGATCAAGAGATTCACCTTTCGAACGATTTCCCATCCCAAGGAAGACGGTCCCAACGAGTTAGAATCCCTATACCAGGCCCAGAAACGGACCAACTACCTCGCTCCTCTCCACCGCAATCAGTACAAGAGCATCCCTCTCCCACCAAGGCCGAGTTTCATTCTGTTCTCAAGCTAGTACGCGAGGTGATTGGGACACACCGGAGACTAACCCTCGAGCTCGTCCGGTCATACGAACAAGTCCGCCAATGGCGTGAGAGATGGGGTTACTCGCCGCTTAGTTCAGATGCACTCGAATCACCTCCGCCCTACTCGCCTCCCCGAGACAGGCACTCTCCGACTATAGCTTCACCGCCCTTGCCCGACCTCTCGTCATCGCCTGTCCCTGACGGGATCCCGAACCCAGCTATCCCAGGCGACCCAGCGCCGTCAGCCGAAGTCCTGTTCGAGTGGGTGAATACTTTCGCGAAGGCTAATGGCTTCGGTATTGTTCGACGAAATGCACATTCATATAAGGGTCGGAGGATCCGGTACACTTTTCAATGCGATCGATTCGGAGAACCAGCCCCTAGTCAAGGCGCAGGACTTCGACGACGGAAGTCTCGAAAGTGTGGATGTAAATGGATGGTTGTTGCCGAGGCGTTAGAAGAGGGGAAGTGGCTCTTACGACAACACTCGAAGCCCGAACACAGCCAGCATAACCACGGCCGCAGCATCGGGCCATCTGCTCATCCCTCCCATCGGAGACTCACCGAGCCTATCAGGACAACGGTCGAATCGACAAGCCGTCGGGTCGGAATTCGGGCCCGTGACGTACGTGCTATCGTCCAGGAGCAGCATCCCGAATCATCCTTTACACGGAAAGACATCTATAACGCCAGATCTCGTATCAACCGAGACAAGCTGGATGGCCATACTCCTACTGCAGCACTGATCAAGCTGCTTGACGAGATGAAGGTTCCCTATCTCGTTAAGTGGGGAGACGATGAGCCAAACCGTCTTGTTGGCCTTGTCTGGACATTTCCTTACTGCCTCCAGATGTGGAAGCGGTTCCCCGAGGTGATCAGCTTCGACAACACATATAACACGAACCGCTTCAAGCTTCCCTTATTCCAAGCAACGGGACAGACATGCCTTGGCTCTGTCTATAACGCTGCCTTCGGTCTGATAGATAACGAGAGGAGAGAAGGGTTCCAATTCCTCTCCGAGAGCATTCGACAGCTAGCAGAGCAGCACTCCATCCGGCGACCGGATGTGATCGTCACCGATTTCGACGACCAGATGAAAGCCGCATTGAACGACCAGTTCCCCGATGTACAGCAGCAGCTGTGCATCCACCACATCAATTCGAACATCCTGCTTAAGTCAAAGCAGAGGTGGGTTAACGCCCGCAGCAGCAGCAGAAGTAGCCCTGGTACCAGCGACGGAGAGGCAACTACCCCGCAGCCACAAGCTCAACTAACCCCTCAAGACCGAGAGTTGGTTCACACGCCAATAACCGAGGCTATCCCTCATAACTATCGAGGAGTTCTCATCATGTGGAAGCTCGTCTTATTTGCTGAGACGGAGGAGGCCCACGACGAGGCATGGGCAAACCTCTGTAAGGAGTTTGATGACCAGCGAGCTATCCTGCGGTATCTCCATGGAACCTACATGCCCGTCAGGGCCCAATGGGCCCGCTGTTTCATCCGGAAGTATCGCAATTTCGGGGTCCGTGTCACCTCTGGTACAGAAGCAAGCAACAACAACATCAAGAGCTATCTTCTGAATGGTATGAGCAATCTTTATCGCCTTTTTGAGGCTATGCAGGACATGATGAAGGACCAAGAGCGGGATTTCAACGATGCCTGCGCAGCGGATGAGGTACTTACCGCACGAGAGTATATGGGGTCCAGCTCGGAGTATCTTGGCGAACTCCGAATAGCGCTCTCTTCGAAGGGTCTCGGACTGATCACGAAACAATATCGGCTGGCAAGGAAAGCAATGCCGACAGGAAAGAATCCGTTTCCTGACCCTCTCGGGGATTGCGGCGAGGAATGCTCGGTTTCGACCGAACTTGGAATCCCCTGCTGTCACACAATCTACTCAAAGCTGGGAAGTGGCACGCCTTTCACCAAATGGGAGGTCCATCCTCGGTGGCGCCTACGAGAGCCATCCTCTCGAGATCCATACCGACGAATCCTCGACCCTAAGATCGCCACTGCTCTCCGGGGCAGACCTAAGAACACCACGCAGGTTGTTCCAGCGCGGCTAGCCATCGGGGCAAGCAGCCAGCCCAGTAGCCAGCCAGCCAACAAACCAGCAAGCAAGTCACCACGGCGCAGACGTGGTCGACCACCGGGAAGTCTCAACAAGTCAACGCTAGCTAGGCCTCCACTGGAAGTGAGCCAACAGACCAGCAGCCAGGCTAGTAACCAGGCCAGTACCCCATCCCAGCGCCAAACGCGCAGCCGGTCAGTTGTTCTTGGAGCTGGAAGAACTACAGGAGTACGTGCCAGCGGGCGGCAGACGCAGCCTAGCATTCGTAGGCGAAGGAGTCAGTGGGAGCTGCTTGACAGCGACGAGGAGGTACTTCCCTCGATAGTAGTGAGAGGATAGCGATATGGAGAGCTGGCATCTAGAGCATACTTGAATTGGTCTTGTTCTGCAGATCTTGTTATGAGCTCGATTTAGACCTGGGTTGACCCTATTGGTTCTTTACCGAAGCTGAGGGACTTGTTAAGGGAGCTGGCTTCACCGCCTTTGCGCCGATGTACCTGTGGGTCGAAGGAAAAAAGAGCGAATCAGAGGCCATGGAAGTGACGCCTGTGTAAGAGTGACGCCGGTGTAGCCATTCGTTCACGCCGGTGTAGCAATTGCCTTCTCAAAATAGCCGATAGAGCATATAAGGCGAGTTAGCTGGCCCCGGTGCCACGCCTGCTTCATTCGTCGGCCACCTATATCCAGCTCAATCCTCTAGCAGTATTCATCATGCTTTTCATCCGGTCCAAGATCACGTCGACATGGGCCGCCTCTGCTAAGGCCGTGATGGGCCTGCTGCTCCTGGCACAACATACAGCAGCTCACACAACCGCCCAAGGTCTGACTATTGCCATCGACAATGTTTCGTACCACATCGCCCTAAGCTCGGTTGGCAAGTTGCCGGGTTGTCACCACACACGGCCTGGCAATGACGACACTCTTCCCTTTGGCTTGATTCCCATAACTATCCTCGATGTTGAGCAGTCTGAGTGCAACGCCCAGGGCTTGAAGCAGCTGATCGCGTCATACATTGACGAGGACGATGTCTTCAACGAGGGATTTCTTCAAGGTAGACTGCGAGCCATTCCATCACGCTTGTGTTGAACCTCTCACTAACAGGCGTGATTTCCCACGAGAACAGGTGTCTACCTGAGAGGTGAGGTCATCAACACCACCGCGCTTGACGTGGGAAACGACTCGAACATCGGCTATATTCGATCCGTTCCGGCTGCACTTTTCAGTGCGCCTGCCGGCCCATATTTGCTCTCACAATCAACGGGCGAGGTCTATGTGCCTTACCGGCTGTACTCCGACACTATGGGTTCTTTCCACCAAGGCGTGATCACATCAAGAGATGGCAAGGGCTTCGTGCCACTCGGATCCGCAATCGCCGGCTCATCTGCCGTCACTATCGGAGTTCCATCGCGGCTGTACTACAAGCCCACCACGGAAAGGCCGCTAGCTGGGGTTCGTGTCGGTGTCAAAGACATCTACGACCTGACCGGCATCAAAACTGGAGCTGGCAGCCGGGCGTACTATGACATTTACCCGGAGGCTGACACGAACGCTGTGCCCGTCCAGCGCCTGATCGATGCCGGCGCTATTATTGTCGGTAAGATGAAGACCACGCAGTTCGCTGGGCCCGAGAACGTCCGGGATGCTCTTGACTACCAGGCCCCGTTTAACCCTCGTGGTGACGGGTATCAGGAGGTTGGCTCGTCTTCCTCCGGACCGGGCAGTGGCATGGCTTCGTACGACTGGCTTGATCTCGCTCTTGGCTCCGATACGGGCGGTTCCGTCCGCGTTCCGGCTGAGGACAACGGCCTGTTTGGTAACCGTCCGAGTCATGATATGGTGCCGCTGAATAACACTGTGCCGCTCGCTCCCCAGTACGACACGGCTGGCTTCCTTGCACGGGATCCCAAGTTGTGGCACACAGCCTGCAAGGCCCTTTACTCTGGCCTGGCAACAAGCTACACCCGGCTCCCAAGTAAGGTCATTGCATACGAGCTTCCCTCGGCTGGAACTACCGACTTGACCGAAGCCCAGAAACTGGTCCTCGAGTTTGTCGGCAAGATTGCCAAGCACTTATCCGCATCGACATCGACTTTCAACCTTTCGGCAGCTTGGGCCCAGACCCGCCCCGCAGGGACGCCCGAGAACTACAACGACATGCTGAACACGACCTGGGCAATCCTCGCCGCGCAGGAGCAGATACGCCTTGTCCGTGACCCGTTCTTCAAGGACTATGCCGCCAAGTACAATGGCCGGGAACCATTCGTGAACCCCTCGACGAACGGGTCATGGCACTGGGGTTCTGGGTTCCCAAATCTCATCGACGAAGCTGTCGCGAACAAGACCCTCTTCATGAACTGGTGGAACACGGTTGCCCTGCCGCCCAACAAGGAAACCTGCTCGGAGAGCATCTTCATCTACACGTTCAGCAATTACCAACCTGCGTACCGTAGCACGTACACGGGCAGTGTCATCAGCACACCCGAAGGCATCCCGGGTGTCCTGCTCGGCCTGAATACAGGCTTCATCTCTCCCATGGCGGGAAACCCTGACTTCGTGGTGCCTGTCGGCCAGGTCAAGTATCAGAGTGTCATTACGCAACACGAGGAGGTGCTGCCAGTGTCTGTGCGCATCATGGCTGCGAGGGGATGTGATTTGATGTTGTTGGACCTGATCAACGAGCTTGTCGAAGCAGGCATTGTCCCACAAGTCAAGACCGGTGACAGCCTGGACGGAGGGCCGATCTACATCTAGATCAGGTCCACTTTACAATGTACTTCAGGCATATGTTCTGTCCGGTCCGTGATTGTGGCTCGTGATCGATTGTATGAGCTGAGGGGTCCCTGGCTTTGAGATGACCATGCCTCGGCTTGAAGTATCCAATGCGTAGATGTAGTCCAGCTGGAAGAACCACGTCCAGCACGTTCCTGAGACTCACTCACTCGGCATTCTGAGGAAACGAACTCTAAGATATGCTACAATAAGGGTAAATCAACTACAATCGGTCCATTCTCTTGAGTCCAAGATCATCTCTGTGTGTGGCGCTGCAAACGGCGCCGTTGACCACTGCACTGCAATACACAACGCCGCAATGCATGATGCACTCAGAGCCGACACGCGGAAAACTCTCCCTCGTTTTCCATGTTTTCTGTCCACGGAATCAGTCGCGATGGCTGCGACTTGCACACAGGTAAAAACAGTCCGGTATGTTTTGTCACACAGCGGAGTTACGATTCTCCCTAGACATGTTGATGCCATCGCTACAGAATCAGAGATACCTGGCCACCGTCTTTGCGTGCGTTTGACCCAGTCGGTGGCCTCAACAAGGGTTTGGTGTCCTCAGGCCAAGATCGAGAGCGCAGAGCAACGCGCGGGACGTGATATAAAAGATCGAGCCCAAATGCCACACTTCGAGATTACCAGCATACTATTCCACAACACCGCATTGCACACTAACCAATAAGAACAGCCATCGGCAACATCTCCTATACACGACGCCACTTTACCCACATCCTCGTCGAGGCTGGATCTCAGCACATCATGTCGTCAGACACCCCCACCGAAGGAACTTCCGACCAGTCCTCCTGTGGCATCCAAGTCTTCGACGCATACCAGGACGTCTTGAACGTCCTCGAGAAGCGCTTCCGCCGCCCAGAATGGGTCATCCTCGAAGACAGCGTGGACGATGCGAAGCAGGAGTTGACGGTGCCCATCGTCGCTATCGGCCTGACGGCAGAGGAACTACTCGGGAAGCTGCAGAGCATGATCTCAAACTTCTCAGGTCCGGGGGTGTGAGTTTTCACCTTCCGCTCGCTGTGGTGTGGGCGTCCTTGGTGTCGGCCCGACAGGTCGCAGAAGTAACACATGTGTTGAAGCACGGCTGACATCTGTCACAGGTTCATCGCCCTTGATAAGAAGGACCACGACTGGACGGGTAGCGCCAGGGTCACGGGCCCTGACGGCAATGAGTACATTGTCTTCGTGAAGGTGCAGTTCAAGCCGAGGTAGAGAGCGCGCACAGATTGAAATCTTCCCGCATAGCGAGAGGTTTTGTTGTGGCAATCAACAATCGCGTCGGATCTTGCGACGTCAATTATTGGTATCGTCCACCGCGAGGCGAAACCGGCGGGCAAGGGCTGAGGCGGAATGCGGGTCTCCGATTAGGGAATATCTTAGATACACCGAGGGTCGCTGGCGTACAACACCCAAAGGAAACTCTTGTACCATGTAACTTACATTCTACGAAGAACGCTACGGCGTATTGGCACTACTAAATGTTACTTCTCAGAGGACAACAAGGGGGTGAGCTGCTCGGCCAAGATGCGGCAGGCATCAGCACTTAGTCTTCGCCTTGTCTTGTGGTCGACAAATGCGGCTATGTCAGCCGACGGCGAGGGCCCAAGGAAGTAGCTGGAACTCGGCCTCCTGTGAGACGTTCTTTGCTTGTTGATTACCCGTGATGTACAAGCAGCCTCTCCCGAAGCTGAGGCTAGCGACTATCACTTGCCTGCATTCCCAAGACATTCGCAGCTCCATCGGCTCGTTTGCTTTGGAAGAGGGTGTTTGTTGATTAGGAATGCCTGCCCTAAGACGCGCACGATTAGATGCCCGCCAACGCTGGGCGTCTCATGTGTGAAGAGACTGTCCGGCTCTGTGGATTCGTGCGGGTTTCACGCACCATTCGTTCTTCTGTGCAGCCGTGTGCTCTTTCACGTGCTGTGACCAAGCACGAGGGCACTGCCATACTCCATGGTGCTATGCTGTGCTTGGCTTGTTGATGAGCTTCACAAGGGCCTGTTGACGCGAATCACACTTCTTTGCGCCTTGCCATATTCGGTGTATTCCTTTGGTCTGCATTCCAAGCCCGTTGCATGCGTCTTCCGTGTGATGAATGTGGAATGTGACAGCCTCATTCATGGGGCAAGCAAACCGCCGTGCAGCCGTTGTATCACCTCAACCGGGCCACGGACAGGGGCCATGACCTTTGAGATGGTAGATTTTGTTTGTCTGCATGTCTCAGCGTGCTCAAACGCATGCCAATAGTGACCGACATCTCTGTGCCCATGGATGACCCAACAGAATCATGGCCAGCCGTCCCATCGAGAGCCCGATTCCATTGGCCTTACAGGCGAGTAACACTTGTGTCACAGGCATTCTGCTGCACAAGTTGGCCAATTCTATGACGCTGTCATCTTTGATGGTACATGCTGGCTGGGCGTCTTTGTATGGTCACCCCATCGGGTGAACCCATGACTCCTGAGAGTAATACAGCTTCTTCAAGGTTCTTGGCCACCTGTGCAGCAGCATTTGCGCTGACCGGAGCTTCTCGCTTTCACAATCTAGAGTGTACTTCCATGGAACACAAAATGCCAGCTTAGCGATACGTATGGCCAATAGGCAACAGTCAGGGTCGAATGCATGACAGTGAGCCGGCTGGAGGCCATGTCTCCATCGCTGGCCAGTTCGGTGGCTGTAGGTGACAAGAAGGTGGCCCATAAGAACGAACGAGCTGCATGCATATCAGGAAGACAAGAGAGCTCTTTTAGTCCTCACAGTTACCCAGATATCTTCGCAGCGGATGTAAAGACATCAGCACCTCGTCTTCGAGTCAACATTTGCGACTACCCTTGGCCACCACCCGTAGCAAGAGCCATTATTTCGCAAGATGGTGGAGCGAACCAACACAACTCGGCCTGATCAATCTGCAGACCAAGGCCATTCCTCTGGGCAAGATGTCAGCTCAGTCGATTCCGACTACTCTACTCTGGGCCATCGTCCAGATCTGAGGCAGTACACGCAGCCAGTCACTCTGCTGCTTCAAGTGCACGATGTTGTGTGGGGCCCTGCCATTATCCATAGAACGATCTCGCCCGCGCAGCTGGAATCAGCGAGCCAATTCGACACCCGCACCACAGAACATCCATCCCGGGGAGACATGGAGATCATCCAGAAGTTCTTGCTCGACAAAGTGCTCAAGAATTTCAGCCTGATCCTGAACAAGGAGAACTCGAGCGTGTGGGAGATCGACATCTACTGCGCTGAACCTGAAGTGCACGGCGAGAAGCGTAGTCACGCGTGGATGCAAACATTTGCTCCAGACTCTACGCGGCGACCGTTCGGGACAGGGTTCTTCCGCAAGACCTTTGACAATGGCCAGGTGTACGTCAGCTCTCTTCTCCCAGTTCATGATCACAAACTGACACGGTCATTCTCTGCTCCGCAGTCTCGCCTCGTTCCTTCAAAGCCCGAGAGACTATTATCGATGGGCTGGAGAGGTCTCGATCCGAAAGAGCCTGATTAGCGACAGCTCAAAGAAGCCTGGCCTCCAAGTTGCCTTGCGCTTCTACCACATCGGTGGATTACCCCTTGCGATGAACCAGGCAGGACGCAATCCAAAACGGCACGTCCAAGATGATCGTCCACAGAACCGTGCCTTGCGAGCCCTGCAGCCCGCCCCGGTTTCGACATCGGGTGCTAGCAGGAACTAATGCTCTCCCAATGCCGTGTGTGTGTGGGGACACAAGGGATCCGGCTGGAATGGGAGTGCGCGCTCGCTGCAACTCATCCCCTCACCATACAGTCGTTTGGGCAAGGCGTGCAAGACTGTAAGGATTGCGAAATGAAGAAAACCTCGCTCTTTAGAAATCCAGTAGTCTAAAATTGAGTAGAGGCTTTACGTACAGCGCTACTATTACACGTTTTACACATATGCAATCTTTGTCCTTCATGAAAGCCACACAAAAAATGCTCGCCTCTCAGCCTCCGCTAGTGGGCTGTCCGCTATTCTGCGAAGGCAGCGCGTGCATTGTCGACCGCGATGGTAGTACGCTAGACCTATGACCTCGCTTCCATCATCGCCATGAGCCACAGAGACTTTGCGTAGAAGCTAACCTCGGATCTAGATTTTGACCCAGTCCTCACTGATGAGCTCCGAGGCTGTGCGACGCTTGGCAGGATCCCACTGCAGCATGGAATCCATCATTCGAAGGAATGCTTCCTTTTCTTGGCCCTGCAGACGCTCCTCAAGCGAGCCAAGAGTTACTGGGTCGGGACTGGAGATTCCGCCCCCAAAGTCTCCTGCGTTTTCATGAATCAGTATATCAGCTCATCTAGTCATTGGTGATGCAAATGAGGGGGTAACTGCTCCCAGATGAAGGAGTATGGAGTATAGGAGGCTTCTCGCACGCACCATTTTCTGCAAAGAACTTGCTCGTAAGCGAGCCCCTCTGGAGTAGGCTGGATGGCGGCGGTCCCAGCAGGGCTATTATCTCGGAGAGATGCGCCCGGCTGCGATATAAGCGGTGTTCTGGGTCGTAACCAGTGAACAAGTGGCGACCTTGAAAGAGGTCCCAGACCTGTACGTGCCTTTTTCTGAGTATCTGAAGTTTTAGGGAGAAAAAAGGTCGGAGAATAGACTTACCATGCACCCGGCGTTCCAGATGTCAATTGGATATGACCAGGGAGCTCCAAGGATGACCTCTGGCGCTCGGTAGACGTTTGGCTGGACATCTTCCGTGTGCTCCTGGTCGCCGACTACCGCGGAGCCAAAGTCACAGAGAACGATATCGCTGTGTCTTTTCGGCATCGACAGCTGGCGGCATGTGTAGATGATTCTACCGTCCACCTCCTTCCGGGGGCTCGGGTTCAGGAGCTCCTCCTGCTCAAAGGTCTCGAACACGGAGTCGTCGGCAATGCCAAACATGATGTTGTCGGCTTTGATGTCTGTGATTTTGGCCACGTCAGAAAGCATAAGCCAAAGGCTTTCTGGATTTCCAGTACCTGTATGAATGATGTGACATTCGGTATGCAAAAAGTCCAGCGCGAAGAAGAGGCGCTGCATAATATATGCTACCAAGGGAGCCGGTAGCCTGGCCTCTGGATTGCGATGTAGAAAGGTAAGCATGCTGTCCCACAGTGGAGGATGGACCAAGCACCGGTGCTCCCCGTCTGGGCTAGAGATGTCGAAGGAGTCGAGCAGCTGACGGACCGCAGTGCGGCCCGGGTGGTTGGACTTGACCTGGGCCATACGCCGGTACATGTCGAGCTCGTTGTCGTTCTGTGCGCCCATGGAGCGCGCGTGGACAAAGAGCTTGAGTGCGACATGACGACGGCGACTGGTTGTGTCAGGACGTGGTATTGGTGGTCAGCATATGGCCCTGCATTGACTGGGACTTGGACAGGCAGGCCGGGGGACGCTTGCGCGGACATACACGAGATCTCGTGCCAGCCAAACTGTTGAGCTCGCGCCGAAGCCGAGCTTGCCTACAATCTGGTACTGGTCGCGCAGGACGTCGCCGAGGCGGACAGGATAATAGCGAGAAGCCAAATAGTCCGGGAGGCACTCCTCCTCGACCTTGTGCTCTGCGGGGAGCCGGACGAAGCGGGTGGCCTGAGAAAAGTCGAGCGGCTTCCAGGGACGGCCAGCGCGATGGAGCAGCCAGCCAAGCCAGGAGGACGCCATTTCATTGGCACGCAGGGGACAAGGCTGAGAGGGCAGAGTTGAGGGCGCGCGGCGTCCCAACGGTAAATGAATGGCAAGGACGGGGCGGGACACTGTCCACGACAAGGGGGTTGGTCGATCAGCGGCGCTCCCAAGTGTTGGACGGCATGACGGGTCCACACGGCCCCGGCCAAGTTGCCTTGCGCTTCTACCACACGGTTAGATCCGGTGATGAATACGGGGCAGATGGCAAGCCGGAAGAACGCGTCCAAGACATTTGCCACGTTGGCCGCAGCTCACCCGCCCCAACTTCGGTGTTGAAGGCTAGCAAAGACCATGTACTGCTCCAATAGCCGTGGCGTGACAAAAGACATCCGGTGACAATGCAATGCGCGCGCCCACTGCAACCCGTCCGTTGCACCTCTCGATGCTTCAACACTGTTTCCTCAGCTAATCGCGTTACTTTGCAACTCAATCCGCATTGATCAGAATCTTGGGTTTTTTTTGCATTAAAATATCTCCTCCGTGCATGCCTGTGTCATTCAGGTAATTATGCCCAGGTAGTCGTCCGCCTGGTCAGTGCTTGTCGTACCTTTCATGACGGAGGAGGCATCGCGAAGTAAGTATGGTCGGTGTTTGTGTTGGTGAGGCACGAACGCAGCACCAGAATGCTGGATTGTTCACTGGGGATAATTGCCGGCAGTCAGCAGCCATCCTTGAAGGGATAACGAGACATAATGTGTACGACTTGTTCAAGATCTCTGGTCAAAATGATATGAGCATATTTAAGGAGTGTTAGATTTACATTTGGAAGGTAAGGAAGTGCCTCCTCGTTCAAAATGCCAAAACAGACTTTTTACAAAGCGGAAATTTCAAGAAACAAACAAGAAAAATAGACGAAAACCAAACAAAGACTTGAAAAGTGAGAAGGAAGAACAGCTCAAGCCATCGTGATGAGTCTTGCACTCACACGTCGAAGGCCCTCGCGTACCGCTCTGCGACATTGCCATAAATGCGGCTTGGGGATCGGGCAATGACCTGCGACTCGGTTTCTTTGACTTCCATTACCTCGGCAGGGTGATTCATGGCTGCGGCAGAGGAGTCCCGAGCTTTAAGAGTGAAGTCGAGTGGGTTGAAGATGATCTGCCAGAAAGAATAGTCAGATCATGGCTGCAGGTGACCCAGCATGTTTTCACTGCAGAGACAAATCTATGCTTACATAAAGAGGCCCCTGGTTATCCCAAGTGATGGTGCGCTGAGTGCAACTAGCGGGCCTGCCGCAGATGTAGGTGCCAGGGGTATATCCCACAAGCTCAATGTCTTTGCGTCTGAACCACTCGGTGTTCGTCGAGCCAGAACGTGTTTGGTCCTCCGTTTCCCAAGAGAGCGACCAGAAGCGTGAGGCGCTCGCGCACCAATCACCCCAACTGCTCGTCTTGGCTTCAACGTAGCCTACTGACGCGCAGGTGATACCTTGCCGGGAGACGACGACGGAAGCATCCGTGCCGTTGTTATTCAGGCACCTGTCTGTACCAGCACCGGCTTTGAAGTTGACCGTGAAGTTCTGCGATGGTGGAGTGGGTAGGTTGATGCATGCATAGATGATGGCACCTACATAAACTCCTTAGTAAATGTGCGTAGCACATCTCAAGTGATGAGAGCAGACCTACCTGGTCCCGCTTGAGCGAGGCCCGAGAGCGCGGCGAAGGCCGTGGTAAGTATGATTGTCTTGATGGACATGATGTCAAGAGGTGTCGGGTCTTGTTGGACTTTGCGGCTTCGAGATTATGGTTGTGGGATTGAGGATGCTTGGGTGCGGTGCTGATGCTGACTGAGAACATGGAGGAAAACTTCGAGAGCCGATGCTCAATATTTTATAGGCGAACAGAATCATCGTCTCGTGGTCTTTTGCCTCACAGCACAACAAATCATGAGTTTCAAGACATGAGCTCCTCACTGTCATACTGCTGCCTATGGACGCCCTTAGGCTGCCAGATTTGACAGAGTTCGTCTTCTGATCATCATTTCTTGGCCGTCGTCCACATCAGGCCACTGCGATCCCGGCCTACGGCAAAGGCGTTGAGACATAAAGTGTATACATTGCGAAGGATCCATACGCTGATGGTCTTGGCAACGCCTCGTTCCAGCCTCGGATCGGATGTGGCATTTCCATTTAGGATCACAGAATCGCGCAAAAAACCACAAGACAGGCATATCGGCCACGCATTTTAACCTCAAGCGCACCATCCCCGTGCCGAGAACTGTATAGCGCTTCTCTCCGCGGTACATGTGTGGAGCCCAGCGCCAAAACCTTGTGCGATTCGGTAGGCAACGGCGGAGAGGCCGGTTTGGAACAACTCGGCCGAGTGGCGCACACGTGCCAATGTCTCACCACGAACCTTGACCGCGAACTATAACTCAGTTCTGCCTACCTGCCAGATTTTGGCGTCTTTGGGAACGCCACATTGTCATCTAGAAGGGTGTTTGACGTGCCGGGTGAGCCTGTCAGCTCCGCAAGCCACTTCTGTGTGCCAAGGCTCGAGCTTTGAGGTTGTCCCGAGTTTGGAAGTTCTGCACTCGGCTTGACGGCATATTGACTTCTTTCAGGTCCTCGTAAATGCAATATTCTATACCAGATGCCACTGTCGCGCAAAAAATCAAAACAAGTTTCGAGAGGATTCTGCAGCTTGTTTTTACGTGTATGATGCTGTAGAAAAAGGACGAGCTTCTCTGGTGTTGAGGCCGCGATTCCCCCACTACGATCAACCATCAAGTTCAACCCGTAACAAGTCGGCGACCACTGCACACTATTTTTCCATATATTTGTTCTATTGCGCTCACACTTACATTTGAAATAACACAAGAACCACCCGGTCCTCTGAAATCATGGCGGATTTCAGACAAAGTTCAATGGATTCTGCTCCCCCTACTACTGGCCAGTACCAAGGCTCCAAAGCTTTTGCAAATGTTATTCTGCAGCAGAGCGAGTCAATCAATCCTAATACAGGCACTCTCAACTTTTCCAAGTCGCTAGTCCACCTCCGTGGCGTACGAGACAGCATCAACTGTCTCGTCGACATCACCTACAATCCCGGCGCTTTGGGAACTTTCGGCCTCCCTAGAGGATGGGGACTCAAGCTGCCGCACGTGATCCCAGGCGCCAGCGTCACTGCCGGCGGACGGACTTACGCCATTGATCTGCGCTGGGTTGATTCCAAGGGATACATGTCCGGGTTGCGCTACCTCAACGACCATGGCGTCAAGTTCGAGGTCAAGGAGCCCCCGCTTCCCCTGCCATCGAAGAAGGACGGTCTCTTCACATACCGGATTCTCCATGGTGACGGGTCTGTCGATTACTTTGATGCTACCGGCCTGCCTATCGAGCATGATGATGTCTTTGGCAACCGCATCCACTACAAATACATCTCTAGGGGCGGTCCTCAGCAGGCGTTGCTCGACTACATCGAGGATTCCTGGGGCCAGCGTATCCAGTTCAAGTATCAACCCGGCTCGCAGATCATTGTGATTGGCCCTGATCAAGGGACAACCACGATAAACTTGGCCCAGCAGACAGGCGTCCTGTCGATTGAGGATCCTGTCGGATTTGTCACGCGCTTTCACTACGATAAGTCACCTGCCGGCGGCAACGCAATAGTCAAGGAGATCAGATACCCCACCGGCCTAGCAACTCGCTTCTTCTACTCCAACATGGCGTACCTTGACAGCACAGGCGTGGCGCGAGACATGCCTAGTGTTCAGCGTTGTACCCGAGTTGATGCCAACTCAAACATCGTCTTGACACGCACAGATTATCACTTCGGCACGCTTTCCAATGGCAACACGTTCACCGGGGCTAACGTTGGCTGTCGGATTGGAGGTCTCCAAGATAACTTGCTAGACGGCAACACCTTTTATGCGCACTATAAGTCTGTTGTGTCCCATCTCTCCGAATCCCCTACTGATACAGACTTGCTGACGTTGAGCAACAGGTATGATGTGAGGATGATCCAGCTTGACGGAGCAGGGAAACAGCTGGCCGCGACATACTGGTTCAACCACATGCACCTTCCAGTCTCTGAGATTGAGCACAAGATCGACCAGGGCCATTTGCTTGACACGTTCCGTACCGACTACGAGTACAACATCACGTACGACAAGCACAGGCTGTCGCCGAGTTGGTCTAGGCCGGTCAAGAGTACTCGTTCCGCAATCTGAATGCGACCTTTGGCGTCAAGCCAGACTGACAGCCAATGACACGGGCCCTAGTGAGCTATAACGATTACAGCAACATCACATCGACACAGAAGGACATGTATGACCCGTCCGTGGGGCGCTTCGTCCCACAGGCGACTTCTTCTACGCTTTACCAAGAAGTGACATGGAATGGCCACGCCAGCCAGATGCCAATCCAGGTGACTGAGACGGATGCCATTTCAAAATTCGAGCGCTATACTTTCCACACGTTATCAAGCAATGACAAGACGATAACACAGACTGATACCAGATTCAGGGTCGAATCTGCCCAGAACTCAGAGCTCCGCGACTGGAAGATCTCGTCGTACACGTATGATAGCGAGGGGCGAATGACGTCCAAAAAGATTGCCTGGATCACGCCGCCAACCGACGTGGAACGATCAAGGAAGGAGGTCAGAACTGAGATCGACTACGAGTTCCGCGACGGCACGCTCACCGAAACCACCAAAGATCCTTCGGGAGCCAAGACCAAATCAATCTACGGCGTGCGCGTGACCTCAGGTCCATTGATCAGCAGGGTGAAAGCGAAGGGGGCCACCGAAAGTTTCGAGTATGATCTGCTCGGCAGACTACGCAAGCACACCGACTTTCTCGGTCAAGAGACGAACATCCGCAACCCGGACCCGGCCTCTCCCTGTACTCAAAGCCGGACCGACCACTTCGGGTACACGAAGCGAACTACTTTTGACGCGCTCGGGCGCGAGATAAGCGTCATGGACAACGGCGATCCTACCGTCGACGAGTCTACAGCTGCTGGTGGAGAGCCGACGCGCACACTGAGTCAAACTCGGTATGACTGTCTGTCACAGCCGAAGGAGCAGACCGATAACATCGGTCTGGTGACAACGTTCCACGTCGACGCACTCAGACGTCCGCTCGAGACGACTGATCCGGACGGCAACGTCACTTCGTACGAGTATGATGACGCGCAGGGGAAAGTCACGCAGCGTATCAATGGCGACGTTCGCCTAGTCACCTTTACAGATGGCATGTCGCGAGTTAAGCGTCAGGTGCAGTATCCGGACTCGGGGAGTGACGATGCCATCTGCTTGGAGATGGTGACCCATTACGACGGCTCCGACCGCAAGATCCTTGAAGTCGCAGCTCAGATACCTCTGGCGCAGAGACTTGACAACCCAGCGAGCGGACCGCTCAAAAAAATGGAACTGGTCTACGATTTCGATGGCGCGGTTACTTCAAAGACCGAGACTGGCTATAGGGCAGATGGTTCACAGGACGTAGTGCACCGCAGGTACCAGCTCGATCTGTTTGGAAACCGGCAAACGTACGTCAAGACAACGAGCTACGCCGGAGCAAGCGGTCTCGAGAACCATGGGCCGATTCTGGTATATGACGAGTCGAACAGGTTCACAGAACTGCGGAACCAGCTTGGAAATGTCGAGACGCATGAGTACGACGACGACGGCAACCTCATTCTGACTAGGCGCTTCGACAAAACGAGACTCACGTATGAGTACGACGCAGCTGGGCAAGTTGCGAGTTCCTCCTCCCCGTCGGGGACTACGAGGATGGCATACCTCGCGATTGGCAGAGTCTCGCTTGTTCATCGCGACAGGCAGGAGAAAGAGTATGAGTATGCTCTTGACGGGACACTTTTATCAATCAGCAACAACAACAGCAACAACAGCAACGACGGTCCCAACACAACGCAGAAGTACACTCTAGACAAGTTCTCCCGCGTAATAGCCGAGACCGATGCCTTCCACGTGGTTCGGGAGACAGCATTCGACGAGCAAGGCCGCGTTTCGCGTCGCTCCTGCAAGGACGAGGTTTGCACCTCCAAGTACGACGTCGTGAATCACACACGCGGCATTCTCACAGAGGTACACTGGAGCGGAGATAAGCACCACAGCCGCGCGCTGGCTTACGACGGCTTCGGCAGGGTTCGGCGGGAGACTGTCACCGACCATCAAACAGGTACTGTGCTGCTGGACACGATGTTCGTCCGGGATGGCAAGCAGCAGCTCACGCGTGTCGAGTCTCAGTCTGATGTCTCGCCCGAGCTTAACTTCAAGAGGGAGTACACGTACGATGGAATCGGACAGCTGAAGGAGGATGCGGTGACGACGAGGAGCCCCACCAGGTCAGACGAAGAGGCAACAACGAGGACGAAATATGAATATGACGGCAACGCCAATATCGTCGTGGTCAACAAAGATGGGGAGGAGAAGAAAATGCAGTACAATGAGATTGACCAGCGAATTGACGGGACATTCAGATATGACGCCAATGGCCGGTTGCTTGAGGACGGAGAAGGCAGAATATACACCTTCGACGACCAGGACCGTCTGTTGCACGTGAAGCAGACAAACGCGGACTCTGTGGTTGACAGTAAGTTCAGTTACTACCCGGACGACTTGCTGGCCCGCCATGAGAGTCCTGACAAGGGGGTGTCGATGTTCTGGGACGACTCGAAAGCCGTCAATGGCATCGAGACCACGTATCATGCTGCTCAAAACAGCCAGGACGAGGGCAGTGCCGACAGAACATCCCTGCTCCTCGACAGCGAAGGACGGCTAGCAGCAGGGTACTCCGGCTCGGGCCCGCCGACCTATCTCGTCGACCAGAACGGCTCTACGGCGCTGGCCCTGCGCGACAAGCATGCCAGGGCTACGACGTATGAGGCCTACGGTTCTGCCAAGAAGGGCAGCCTGACCGCTTCATCGTCCATACCAGCAGGCCGCTATCCGTCGGAAACTACATTAGCAACAACAACAACATCAGCCGCAGTGGCGGCCTTAGGCTTCCGGCAGGAGTACTCAGACCAGGCCACAGGCCTTGCCTACCTGCGCTCTCGCTTCTACAGCACCGCACACATGAGCTTCGTGTCCATGGACGCAACACTGACCGAGAACCGCTACGCATACTGCGCGGGGGATCCAATCAACCTGGCCGACCCGACCGGCCATTTCTGGTCGACGGTGGTGCGCTGGACCGTGGGCATCGTGGTCGCTGCGGCCGTGACCGCTGTAGCAGGGCCGGTCATCGGCGCCGCGATCGGGAGCGGGACGGCGGCGATCCTGGCCACGGCGGCCCTGAGCGGCGCCGTGAGCAACTTGGCGGCAGGGGCGGCCGCCTCGCTGGTCGAGGGCAACGGCTACTCGCTCGGGCAGGCGGCCGTGGATCTGACAGTCGGCGCGGTGACCGGGCTGGCGACCCAAGGCACGACGCTCCTGACGGCGACGGCGCTGAGCCAGGCCGGGGTCGGTGAGACTGTGTCGGCCGGCGCGTCGTGGGCGGCCGGGCAGCTGGGCGGCGTGGTGGCGGGGACGGCGACGGACAGCGCGCTGACGGGCCGCAGTATCGACTGGGCCAGCGTTGCGGCGAGCGCGGCCACCAGTCTCGCCGTCAGCCGTCCGAGGAGCGGTGCCGGGGGGCTCATAGCTGCAAGCAGGGGTGCATCTCCGCGCTCCAGTATCACTGCCGTCTCCAATGGCAGCCGCGCTGCTTTTGGGGCCCGGATGCTGCAGAATGCAACCTCGAGACTGCCTTTGAAGGGCAGCTTTTCGTCGTCTCCACGGAGCTCATTCGAGTCTTCGGTGTCGAGGGCGTCCACAGCGGACTCTTTCAGCGGTTCCATGGGTGGTTCATCCCCAGCTCAGTCGAACCCGCTTGCGTTCGTGGCGCTGCAGGCCAGGTTCTCGACGTTTTGCAAGCCAGATGCATTGGCCAACTACCGTCCGGACGACAGGGGTCCATTGGGAGGTATGCTTGCTTTGATGGTTGCGACCTAGGTGGAAGGATCCTGAGACACGATACTGCCAAATGTGCATGTATAATGCTGTCCATCAGATATCACTTATTAGCCCCGTTCTTTCACGCCAAAGACCAAAGATCACTATTACACGTGCTATTCTACGTGCCAAACTGCTTTGAGGACAAAGGCTAGTCAGACCAGCTACTAACATGTGTCTGTGACTCTTCAAGGGCTGGGACCTTACGCAGTATCCAGAAGCACTGTTAATTCTACATCCAATGTCCGACTAGGAACCGGCCTTGGCATTTCCCAGAAACCACTCTCGGTTATGTTTATCAAGGAGGTTAATAAGAACTGGTTTACGGAAGCCCCTCCGACTGTCGTAAGGGCCAAAGCGGACGCATGAGACCGATGCTGACGATGGCAATCTTTTCCAAACCCAAATTAAAAGTCATATTCAAGATGTGGGACTACCTCATTGTACAATCAAATGGTCCGATGCCGTAAGCCAAAGCATAACCTGAGCAAAGGTTACCAGCCGCCCGGCCTCAGGGTCCGTAGCCCTGATCGGATTATCCCCTTCTAATGACGCTTGGATTGCTATTAATCATTCATGGGGTACTGTAAGTCCTTGAGGATTAAGTTTCTTGTTTTTTCTCAAGGCGGGTACCCCCTCCTTTGCCAGCGATACTATTGGCTGTCTCTAACCGCCAGGGCGAGTCAAGCAGTAAACCCCTGCCTCCTTTCGGGTCCGTCGTGCCTCCGCCATATCCGTGTGACAGACAACGAAATGGACACAACACTTTGCTAGGCTGCTGCGCATACGCTTACCACATGGCAGGCTCAATTTACGATGTACTTTCCGGGCCTGGCTTGGATCCCCGTTGAGCCTCGCGTTTTCGTATGTCCTGCCTGCCTAATGCAAGTCTCTCACCGCCAGGAACCAGGATGCTCGAGTTACGATCCCCCGGCTGGAAATTTGCGAACCAGGGTCTGCAATTGCTGTGAGGACCGGCTCTGGTGGAGTTCCAGTCTCCTCTCTTCAAGGGTCTGGCTATCGACTATTGGATGCTGAGCACCCAGTATGCGTGTCCTGGGATCTTGCATGGGCTGATGTCAGCGCTAGAGCACGAGAACCCAGACCCTGCATGACCACCCCACGAAGGCCAGAAATCTAGAATACGACCGATGCCACCAAGCCCTGATGGGCCCCGGGTCCGGCAGATCGGGTCTATACATAGGTCTGTGCTGATTCACCACGGTGGCTAACAAACTATTTCCACCGACTTCCAGCACGGCCATCACCATCAGCAAGACTTAGCATGCAGTTCTCCACGTGTAAGGGACTTGTCGCGCTTCTGGGTTTGTCCAGCTCGGTGGCAGCTGCGCCATCCAAGCGTTTCGACCCTGGCAGTGCCACTGATGCCTTCGCCGACTTGCAAAGCCAGGCTCTACAGGCCCTGGGTGTGGCCGACGTCGCCTCGGACACGCTCTCGCCGCCGCAGAAGCGCGGGTCTTGCCACTTGGGCAATGCCTACGTCCGCAAGGACTGGAAGTGGCTGAGTGACCAAGACAAGACGGCTTACATCAACGCCGTGCTCTGCCTTCAGAAGAAGCCCTCCAAGGCAGATCCCAGCTTCGCGCCCGGAGCCCGTACGCGCTACGATGACTTTGTCGCCGTGCACCTCAACCAGACTTTGTCCATCCATGGCACAGGCAACTTCCTCACCTGGCACCGCTACTTCACGTGGGCCTACGAGAACGCCCTCCGTCAGGAGTGCGGCTACAGCGGCTCGCAGCCCTACTGGAACTGGTTTGACGGCTCCGACTTTGCGAACTCGCCCGTGTTCGACGGCAGCGCCACCTCTATGTCCGGTGACGGCGCCTTCGTGGCTCACAACGGCTCCGTCTCGGGCAGCGGCAACATCTACATCCCGTCCGGCAACGGCGGGGGCTGTCTCAAGGACGGCCCTTTCAAGGACATGATCATCAACCTCGGCCCTGTCTCCCCCGGCATGGACGGCATGAAGCCGGGCCCCGACGGGGGGCTGGGCTACAACCCTCGCTGCCTCCTGCGAGACCTGTCCACCTACTCTGTCGACACCACGATGACCCTTAGTAATCTCGCCAACGTCACCGTCGGCTCCGCCTCGCACTCAATACTCGCCTTCCAGAACGAGCTGCAGGGCCGCTTCAGCGACCGCTTTCTTGGCATGCACGCCGCCGGCCACTTCACCATGGGCGGCGAGGCGTCCGACCTCTTCACATCGCCCAACGATCCCGGTAATCCCTCTTTCTTTCCTCCTAACGCCGCCTCCTTCTATAACTGTAAGTTCAGAAAATTAACAAATCTGGCAGTTTTCTTCCTTCACCATTCCATGGTGGACCACCTCTACTTTATCTGGCAGGCCCTGCAACCTCACCAGGCACGCGACATCGCTGGCACCATCACGATCTTGAACAGGCCTCCTTCGCGTGACGCTCTGAAGAGCGATATCCTCAACATGGGCACCCTTGCACCTAGCATCACCATCGACGATGCACTGAGCACCTTTGGCGGTCCGTTCTGCTATTACTACATCTAGGGGATCCATATTTTGGCTTTCGAGGATATCCCGAGGTGCATCCATTAGCTAGCGCACATTAGCAGCAGTGTAATGAATATTCGTATCCTATTTTGGACGCATATGTTATGGTCGCCGCGGTCGTGACCACTGTGGCAGGCCCGGTCATCGGGGCCGCGATCGGAAGCGAACGGCGGCGATCCTAGCCACGGCGGCCCTAACCGGGGCCGGGGGGCTTATGGCTGGAAGCAGAAGGGCATCTCCACGCTCCAGTGTCACTGCCGTGTCCAATGGCAGCTCCGCCGCTCCGGGCGCTCGGATGATCCTGCAGAATGCAACCTCGAGGTTGCCTTAACCCCAGATTCAAAAAGTCACATTCAAGCTGTGGAAACTCCCTCATTGTATAACCAAATGGTCGGATCTCATGAGCCAAGCTTAACGTGAGCAAACGTTACCAGCCGCCTGTCTCAGGATCCGAAGCCCTCGTCTTAGTAGCTCCCTCTGAGGGTTTCTTATTCCTTTCGAGCTGATAGGCCGTTGTGCCACAACGCCCAAGGCCGCCCATAAGCCACATTGTGACGTAGCCACCGGGCTTACATGCATCGCTCCGCGATTGCTTCGTTCATTCCACCACTGGCACACCTCAAGACAGCCGCGCATTTGAATAAGTTATAAGAAACAGGCATTTGCTGGCTGCTCCTGCCGTGTCGCTTCTTATCCGTAAAAGATCACGCGGAACTAGACGACTGACAACCACAGCCATGAAGTGCCTTTTCCAGCTCATCCCTCTCGTCACCGCAGTCTCTGCTGTCAATGTCCTCCTGTTCGCTGGCAGCAACCGCTGTGGTGATGCCAGTTATTTTATCTGCACAAACATCAGCCGTTTTCAGTGTTGCAACAGCATGCTGCCCGTCATCTTCCAGTCTGTTGCGATCCAGGCTGCGCCCGAGGGCGTCAACGCCACGCTGTACGGATCCGAAGATACGCAATGTTCTTTCAAGACCCCGGCACGCCCCGGCCAGACTTGTCTTCCAGGGCGTTGGAATAGTGCTAGCTGGTCTCCCACCACCGCGGTGGCCGAGGCGAGATCCCAGGAGGCGGAATGCCAGGAGCCTGACCATTTTGTTCATGAGAATGGGACCATCTATGATCTGGCCGAAGTGAAGATGGAGGACGTTCTCAGAATGGTAGGTGCTCTGCGTGATCAGACTCCCTTCCTCGTTGGACTGACACACGACTAAGTCCATAAAGACGTCTCTGCTAACGCTGCTTTGTAGATACCACAGTAGGGTGCTGGGCTCCCGTAGTCCCAGTCAAAATAGCTAGTGATGTTCTCCAAACCTCACCCTCTTACCAGCATAGTGGATGGCATCTTGCTCCTGTGGTTTTGGTATTCCTCGGGTCGGTGTACTTATGAAGGACACGGCTTTTGAATCCTCAATGCAAATTCCTGGACAGTAGAGCTTGAGATCAGTGGCAGCGCTAAGTGACAAGTATGAAATGAAAGGTTCCTTTCCACAAAAACGCTCCTAGCCCCTCCTGTGAACTATTAACGCCCGATTCTCTGCAGCCTTGCACACCCCAAATAGACATGACTTTGCACTTCAGGCCCTCTAAAGGATCATGTATCCCCCAGCAAGGCCAGGTCTTAGCACGCATTAGCCAAGAGGGCTCACGGAGCAGACAGGAAATTTGATTTTGGTCGATTCCATTGGGTGCCTGTGTTGCAAGTTCAATGACAAGTTCAACCTTCATTAATGCTCCTCAGTCGATAAGGTTCATTGGGCACAGAAATGAACAGTTGTTCTCATCATGGACAGCCGGTTGATCATTGCTGAATTTGTGAAGCAGTGGTGTTGGCTAAACAGCAGCGGTGGCGCGGAATCCTCCTTCTGGGTTGGGCAGAAACTCAAGGCACTGTGCCTCTTTCATATGACCTACAAGCACAGAAGCTTTTGTCCCAGCACTGAACCAAGGCATCACTCGACGCAGCAGCCGGAGCCACCAAGTCTCCATCGCCTCAAGCCGCGTGACGTATCCAGACAGGCTGACAATCTTGTCCGCGCGGGGCCTTTGCTCTCTCTCATACTTCTGAAACACGTGCTGGAGCTCCACCGTGCTGAGCCGCTGCTTGTCCTTTTTATCTGCAGACTCTGTCTTTCCGGTAAGAGCAGCACGAAGAGAATTGACCAGGGCGACGACTCCTTCGACCGCTAGATTACCACCCAGCCCCGGGTTGATGGTAGCCTTGTGTACCGCATCACCCAACAAAACGACCCTGCCGCTGTTGCTCCACTTGGTGGGCAGCACGCCTTCCTCCAGCGGGACCATCGCCGCCTTGATGCGGGCATCCCACAGGTCGTGAAACGTGTACCCAGGACCGAGGGCGAAACCGCCATACTTGTCGATCGTGGCATGCATATCCTCCTCGCTATATCGCGGAGTGTCTGGGGTCCTTGTGGTGGCCTCGCTCTTGACGAACAGGAACCAGAACACCAGCCCTTGGACCCCGACGGCCGCGATGCCGGAGAAGTTTGGGTAGTACACGTTATGTACCATGGCATCTGGCAGAAAGGGCTTCCCAGCAGCATTGGAGTTGTGGGAAGTCGCAAAGATGCAGTGGTACCTGGCCACGAAGCTCGACAGCAGCTTTTGTGAAGTCGCCAGATCCATGGGCCTGAGCTGCTCGGCCATGTGTGCTCGCACTGCGCTATGCACACCATCTGCACCAATAAGGATGTCACCGCGGATAGTCTCGCCCGAGTCTGTGGTGACGTGGATGCAGTCTTCATGTTCGGCGTAGGAGACGAAGCCCGTGCGAGCACGCACTTTGGTCTTGCCGGCGATCTGGTTGTAGACGCACTGCAGAAGGAATTTGCGCTCCATGAACAGAGTGAGGCCGCCATTTGTCCTTGTCCTGAAATTAGCTCTTCTGAGCTTGGGGATCAGTCTTGGGAAACGTACTGTCGCGATATCTCGCCGAGCACGTCAGAGTTGTCAAACATGGTTCCATGCTGGTCAAAGTGCTCGCGGTCTGTAAGAGGAATCACCCCTGCCTCGATCTCCGGCCAGACACCCAACTGCTCCAGCACGACCTGCACATGTGGGTGCACCGAGATGGACGCGCCGAGATGTGGTGCAATGTCGCGCGCTTCGAGCAGCACGAATTCTATGCTAGCTTTCTCCAAGGCTAGGGCGGTGACCAGGCCTGAATAGCCTCCACCGGCTATGATGACTCGGAAGGGGCGATCAGCCATCGTGCGAGCGAGTCAGGAAATAGTTCCAACTGATGTGTGACAGAGCCGAATGTTGCATACAATGTCGGCGATGAGATCGGAAACCCCTCATCATAATTTAATGAGCGCTCTGTTGGTTATTTGCGCTCAACCAGCATGGAAGAAACGGTCCGGGATCGGGGGCTGAGCCAAGGACAAAGCCATGCGATATGGGGCTGCATGCCTGTCGTTGGTTGTGCGTAGACTGGGGGGCGGCTGTCTTGGCTGGATGTGATTTATGCACGAGCAAGGGGGTGAGAGAGGTCACCTACGTCGTGATGGATGACGAAATGAACATATCGAATGGCATTGTTGCCACATCAGAGGCGGAGAACCAGACCATGGTAGGGTCGTACCGTGAAGGGCTCTCTACATGTACAGCAGGATGTTCCAAACATCTTTGGTGTGCGATTGAAGCGTGCAGTGATATTGAGCTGATATGACGAGAGCCATAAACGGCGCGGCAAGCACTGTTTGCTCGTGCCCATGCCCATTATGCAGGACGCCCTTGTCAAAACTAATGTTTACGCTTGGCATTCAAGGAGCTCACCACCATCTGAGGCATATCACACTTTGTATTCTCCCTTTATTGGCTGAATTTCGTGACGGTCTGGGGATCCTTGGATTTGTTGGTTGCCTCCTGGCCACCGGACCGACGAGCCCCCTTGTCGGGAGCAGGGGTCTCTGTCACCCGACAGAAGCACACATCCGCCAGGATATGTCATGTCCATATCCGGAAATCCATACGTGAAAGCTCGGCCCGATGTCAAACTCTCGGGAGGCTTTTAAGACGCTGGATACCTAGTCTGGACGTGACTCAATAATGCTAGTGAATCATTTGACTTGACAAGTTGAATCATAGCTTTCACTCGAACATGATGGCAGCAAGCACTACTTTGAGTGCCCAGGAGCTGCGCGAGATCACCATTTCTTACGGCACCATCATCGGCACAGGGCTTTTGGCTTTGTTAGTATGCGGCACACGGGTGAGAGTTCATCCTTTCAAACACTACGTCAGCTAAGACTAACAGGAATTTAGCTTTACGTCCGGAAGTACGTCAAGGTCGCTTTCGGAATTGACGACTGGGCCTGCTTGTTGGCTTTGGTGAGCAGAACCGCGGTTAATGGTCCGCAAAAGAAGCGTCTGACTTTCTCGTAGCTTTTGGTTACCACTTTCAACGGTATCGGCATAGCCGTGGTACATTACGGAGCTGGTAAGCGCATGCACAACGTGTCTCAAGAGGACATGGCGCAATGGTTCCTGGTATGTTGTCTTCCTCGCTCAGGGCTGCTCCACAGTCGCTCATATGTCGCAGCTCTATTACGTCTGCGTGTGCATATACCTATCGATCTCCTTCGCTGTCAAGACAAACCTTCTGCTATTCTTGAGGCGAGTCTTTCCCAATGGTAAGTCGCACCTGACCATCTGCACGGCCATCGTCAGACCATTGATAGTGTTGTCGCTAGCATATATCCAACACACCACGCTCGGCATGCTCATTTTCCTGGTGCTCTTCACGATCTCTGGAAGTTTCGCGGCGGCCTTCCAATGCACCCCACCCAAGTACTTCTACAAACTCGAGTTTCTCATGGCGCCAGACCGGGCCGACCACTGCTTTTCGGCGCACACCTCTTACATCATTTTCCTGTATCAGGCCGTGGTGATCTTTATCTGCGATGTCATCATGTTCCTCCTGCCCATCCCTGCTCTGCTCCAGCTCAACCTGAGCGCGTCGAAGCGTTGGGCTCTCGTTCTTGTCTTCGCCAGCGGTGGCGTGGCATGCATTGCGCCTGCACTGCGGTTCAGCAGCTTGAGTTTCCATGGCAAAGAAACCGCTGATACGACATGTAAGTGCCATTTTCTGACCGCCGCATTGGGTCATCTCCGCTAACAACAAAGCACATACGCAGTCGATGCCGCGTCTTCGCTGTACTGGATGGCCATTGAATACAACTTAGGGCTGGTTGCAGGGTCACTGACAAGCTTGCGCCCGCTCTTCGCCAGATACGGGCTTTTCAGGACAGCGGCGGATTCTAATCGTCGCCAGTCACGAGGCGCCAAACGTATGTCTTATAGACTTGATGATAGCCCTGGGAGTAGCTGGGGCCATGGACGGAGTGGGCATGGTCAGGCTGGTGCGGAGAGATATCAGGGCGACAGCGTCCTGGCAACAACAGTCGTGGATCAAACCATAGTTGACCAAAAGAGCATTGAGACATCTCATGCCCATTGAGCACGAGAAATGAGAAGTGCCAAATCCGAGTTCATTAGAAGTTGTCGCAGGTCAAAAGGGAGAAGAGATTAAAGACAAGGACCTTCTCACGACAAGCAAACTTGCTCAAGAGTAGAAACACTATGCTGTTAAGAAATGGCGATAGCGGCAAGGTGGCCCGTTACATGTGTTATTCCAGAAAATCACGACCGAAAGGTCTTCGCATCTCAACCAAAGGAGAAGGCTCTCGTACCTCGAAAGTTGTCGCAATCCATTCATCAAATGATGCGAAGCGCGGGATGCTCCGTAGAGTTGCGAAGGTCGCTTTCAAGTCGCTGACGCCATTGAGGCGCTCGTGAGGCCATCATACCTTCCGGATCCAGCAGCATAGGTGCAGTGCAGGCACTCTCAAGGTGGAGGCCTTGTGTAGGACCTGCTGTAAGCAGATTGCAACACGCCAGATATAAATATGCCGCCGTGCCGGGTGCCGGGTGACGCGGCCTGTGACAGGCCAGGATTGTCGTATGCCGCACGAATCGATGAGTCCTGACGTGACTGTGGGTAGAGATCACGCCTGGAGCAGCGCAGAAACAAGGAAGAGCCGGGGGCATGATTGGGTCCTGTCGGGCAGCAGCCAAACCAGGGGCGACCGCCCACGTCGACGCACGATTCGGGGCTAGACGAGGAGCCATATCAAGTGCGCTGCCGACGCTAGCACCGTAGAGGGAGGCCAATAGTTGTCCAATGGTAGTCATGAGCGGAGCTTCTGGGCGCTGATAGGCCCATCGTGGTTGCCCCCAGCCCGAATCTGCAATCTCGGGCTGGGGTCCTTTGTTCCTTTGCCATTTGCGCGCCCCCACACGGCGCATGGCCTTTATGTGAGGATCGGCAAAGCTTGTCGCAATCAAGCAACTCTTGGCTGCAGGCATCCTAAAGCTTGATTTCCCTGGCAGTGCCAGCCAGCCTGCCAACCTGCCAAAAGCGCAGCAGCGTGGGATCCCCTCAGGGGTTTGCGGTGGGCCTCTATGGGCCTCCATGGCCCAGAGTCGCAGCTCAAGAGCCTGACTGCCGCTTGACTGGCGAGCAGGCGCTGTCTCGAAGGGGAAGGTCGAACACCGAGCCGCGCGTCACGTCACCAGTGGGCAGCCCAACTGCCGGTTTCGTGGGGGAAGCTCAGCAGCACGACAGGCCCTGAAACCACTGCCTGCGCATCTTGCCCGCCCTCCAATGCTATACCCTTAAGCTTCCGGATCAGTGGCAATGTGGAAGCTCTGTAGTCATCGTGGCTTTTTGCGCCGGTGCGGCAGCTGCCTCTTTCTACTGGCGCCGTTACTAGGGGACCTTTCACTCAGAGGTCCTGTTCGCCGCATCAGATGACTCTTCCCATAGGCTGTGGCAAGGCACGTTGCCCAGACCTCCCCGCTTGCCAGCCCCAGGAGATTGCCCAACGGTGCCGTGGTCCTATCACAGGCCGTCTTGGCCATATCTAGGCAGAGCCGGGGTTCAAAGCTTGGCCTTGATTCCCGTCGGCGGTGGCGTTTTGAACAACGGAAACACAGCTTCCTCTTTCGACCAAAACACCAGATCGTCATGCTGGCGATACGTCTGGAACTGTGATCGCCGGGCCAAGTTCATGCTTCGGCCGCCATACTCGCACACAACCTCAGCATCTATATAATCCGCCATCACCGCCCTCCATCTCGCAATCTTATTCTCCCCAGCCATCAGCGCTAAAGCGAGTAGCCTCCTGCAGCCCGAGCTAGAATCCGATCACTTACACTCTTTCTTGACCTCCAACTGCATCCTCCTTCTGGCTATACCGGCTCCCTCAAACTTTAACCAACCATCACGATGCACGCCCTCACCAGCACCCTGGTGGCTGCCGCCATTGTCCAGGGCGGCCTTGCTGCCACTGTGCCTTCCCACGCCCGCCTCGGCCTGGCTGGCACCGCCTCGTTCGTGGCGCCCCGCAAGACGCTCGAGAACTTCAACGGCGCCCTGTCCGTCTACAACGCCCACTTGAAGTTCGGCGCCACTCCTCCCCCGGCTCTCGCCGCGCTCGTCGCCAACATCACCTCCGCTGTCAACCAGCGCCGGTCTACCGGCTCCGTCACCACTTCTCCCATTGACAGCGATGATGATGCGTACGACGCCAACGTGCAGATCGGCACCCCTGCCCAGACCCTGAGCCTCGACTTCGACACGGGCTCTTCGGACCTGTGGGTGTTCAGCAGCGAGACCCCGAGCAGCCAGCGCAACGGCCAGAGCATCTACACGCCGTCCAAGAGCAGCACTGCCTCGAAGCTCAGTGGTGCCACCTGGCAGATCTCGTACGGCGACGGCTCCTCGTCCAGCGGCGATGTCTACAAGGACACCGTCACCATCGGCGGCCTGACCGTCACTGGCCAGGCGGTCGAGTCCGCCAAGAAGGTCTCGTCGAGCTTCACCCAGGAGTCCGCCACGGACGGCCTCGTCGGCCTCGCCTTCAGCAGCATCAACACCGTCAGCCCCACGAAGCAGAAGACCTTCTTCGACAACGCCAAGTCGGCCCTCAACAGCCCCCTCTTCACCGCGGACCTGAAGCACCAGGCTGCCGGCAAGTACAACTTTGGCTACATTGACACGGCCGCCTACACGGGCTCCATCACCTACGTGCCCGTCGACACGTCCGAGGGCTTCTGGGGCTTCACCTCGTCCGGCTACGCCGTCGGCAGCGGCTCCTTCAAGTCGACCAAGACCTCGGGCATCGCCGACACCGGCACCACCCTGCTCTACCTCCCCGACTCGGTCGTCTCGGCCTACTACGGCCAGATCAAGGGCGCCGGCAACGACGACTCGGTCGGCGGTTACACCTTCCCCTGCAGCGCCACCCCTCCCAGCTTCACCTTTGGCGTCGGCTCGGGCCGCATCACCATCCCCGGCAGCTTCATGAACTTTGGCGACGCCGGCGATGGCAGCTGCTTCGGCGGCATCCAGAGCAGCGACTCCATCGGCATCAACATCTACGGTGATGTCGCTCTCAAGGCCGCCTTTGTCGTCTTCAGCGGCACCAGCTCCCCCCAGCTCGGCTGGGCTTCCAAGAGCCTCTAAGCTGCAGGCGGGCCCTTGCGTGTTGCCTGGGTCTAGATCAAAGCTGGCTACAGCTTTGTCTAACGAGCGAGGATTTGAATTGAGGGGATGAGCGGTGGGAAATGGATCGAGATTCGAGATCTAGCCGATGGGGTTGGGCTTGCTTTTTACATTCTTTTGCAGAACGACTGGACTGGGGACTCCGTTCCTGTAGTAGAGCCGGGACGAGATCAGCGATTTTGCTTATCACAAAGGTGGGCGGGGGTGGTTTTCTGCAGTGTCGGCGGGTCGACTTTGTTCTTCTTGCACATATGCCGAGTTGCGAGTGGTGCTCCGTACATAGCTTGATATGTCCTTCGGTATGCTTGAAATGGATGATGATCATATTATTACAACTCGATGCTTGCTCTTGCTTCTGCTCGGTGGGTTCAGTGTGCCATCTGTGCTTTGATTGCCATCAGGCTGCTCTTCTCTTTCTGGATGGGCTCCTCATGGTAGCGAAGTGAAGCTTCGGATATGGTTGATGCGCCTACAGGACTTGTTATAGAGGTGCATCGCGCGATGGCATGACCACTTACCGACTGTCGAAGATTTGCGGTATAAAAAAAGATTCGATTCCCGGTGGACGTCCCATTTTGACGCGAGGGAGCCACGTGCCCTGGGATGTCTACTCCATACAGCCTGCAAGAGGAAATGCCTTGCTCATTGTCTGTCCAGATCATAAATGACATAATTTTGCTATCATCTTCTCACTTTATGAGCACAAAGTGCCGTCGGTGCCTATGCTCTCCATTCCCTTCTCTTAGGTAACAAGCTCCTGTCAAAGTCTCCGCAATACCAGCGATAATCCAGTAGAGCCGAACGGAGCGAAGTCACACGTCACAGCCACCAACACTGAAGAGACCTTACAGCTGCTCCTTGACCGCGGTCTTGCGCTTCTCGGTGTACCGCATCCACCCGAAGCCCGCCATGACAAAGATCCAGTACACGTTGTACGAGATGACGGAGCCGTAGGTCGCCGAGTTCTGCCAGCCCAGGATGGCGTTGAACACGCCCCAGCCGCCGCCGCCGTTGAGGTCTGGGCTGCAGCACTGGTTGTTCGCAAACACGGACATGTCAGTGGACTTCATATCCGCACAATGCCACTCGTGTGTATGTGGTAGGGGAGACGGGGAAAGGGGAAGGGGATATGCAGTAAAAGTGGAGAGAAACTCACGTTGACATGCCACACACTCTTGTCAATATCGTACGAGCCTGGCCCGTCCCCGACTTCAGCGGCATCTCCTCCGACAACCTCGTTCCACTTCTGCGACTCGATGAGCCAGACCGCGCGGGAGAACAGGCCCGCGGCAACGAGGTACAGCAGGCAGCAGGATGCGATGAGGAAGAACTTGAGCGAGGTCGTGGAGCCGCCCCTGTTCGTGGCAAGTCAGTGTCAGCATACAATGTCGGCAGTGGTGACATCGAATTTTGATTGATGCAATGGGTGCTTCCCGTGCATGCAGGGAGTGAAGTTTGGGTAGATCGACCGATTCAATGGGTAAAGAGAAGAGGGACACTTACTTGTACAGCGCGTACCCGACCACACACCCAGCAATCAACCCAATCACCACGGGCAGCGGTACCGAGGTAGCAGGCGCCGAGAATGTAACTCCCGCAATGAACACGACCGCCTCGATGCCCTCGCGCAGCACCGTGATCAAAGGCAGGAAAAACATGGCATACTTCTCGCACAAGAGCTTGAACTTGTCCCAGGCGGATAGCTTCCCCACGGCAGCCGCAGCAGCAGCATCACCACCAGCCACGTCGTCGACGTCCTCGCTGCCGCCGCCGCCGCCCGCGCTCTTTGCACGACGCGAGGACGAGCGGAGGGGCGAGTCGAGGGCCGCGGCCAGCCTGGCGCGCCACTTCTGCTGCATCTTGCCGATGCGCAGGAGGGCGGCACCCATGATGGTGATGATGACGCTGGCGACGAGGCAGAACGCGCCCTCGTAGTAGCCCTCGGAGCCGGACCAGGCGTCCACGCCGACGCGGTAGAAGACGCCGATCACGGCGCCCGCGACGATCAGGCAGATGAGCAGGCCGAGTGCCGTGCCTAGCCAGACCTGTTTGTTGTCGAAGAGAGAGAGGAGAGGATCGTCAGTTGCGTGGTGGTACACAGGCAAGGTGGGACAAGGATGTGTGAGCATTGGCGGTGAGGAGACGTCGCAGGAAAATCAATGCTTAGAGACGAAGGGGGTTAGGTAGCTGGCGGAGATGGGCATACCTGTCTGGTGAGTTTCTTGTAGGTCTTGTGGCTGCCATCGGAGCCGTCGAGGGAGAGCTTGAGGAATGCGAGCAGGACCGACACGATGATGACGGTCTCGAGCGTCTCGCGGAAGACGATGAGGAAGACGGGCACCGAGAAGACGTCTACGGCCATGGCGACGAGCTGATGTCCTGTGTGTACAGTTGGAAGGATGCGCCTCTGGTGGAGATGCAGAATTGACTTGATGGGCGTTGAAAGGAAAGAATGAAAGGAGCAGCAGACGAGCAATTGTCGGATGTCAGGCTCCCAATCGGGGTCTCAGACAGTACACGGCCCAAGACAATGATGCCCTCGAAGGCTGGGCAGCCGATTGTGGTCGTTCAAAGCCACGTCCAGTCGATGGCTCGGTTATCAGATGAGGGGTTCGCCCCCCCTGCTGTCCTTGATCAATCAAATCATATCAGATCATCTCTGATTAAACGGAAAAAGCCACAGGGAAAAAAAAAGGTCGGAAAACCCCTCAGCAGCGGCAAGTGCGGCACACCCACCTCGGGCAGCGAGCAGAGATGCTTTAGTGAGACGCCGGCGCGAAGCCACTGCGGGTGGTGATTGGCACGGTGGCACTGCAGCTGAAGACGCTAGAGTTCAAGCTGTTCAAGACAGGCAGCTAAGGGGGAGGGGCGGGGTCGGACAAGGGCCTGCAAAGCTTAGAGAAGCTTGTGAAGCTTGTTCGGCGCTGGATCCCTGCGCCGGTCTGGGGACTGGGGTGCCGATCGCTCGCTTGGGCGATCGCCTGACTGGACACAGACTGGAAGCCACAATGGGTCACGGCTGGCCCTTCTGTGGTTCACCGACCCCCCGTGGCAGCCAACCATAAGGGAAGGTGGCGTCAGCAACGGGGCTAGCATGGCAAATTCCTCTCGAGGGGCTGGCCCGTTCGCCATCTGATTACGCGGATCTTGCCAGCCCCGGCCCATCTGATAAGATCGAGACTGTCTCTGGTGGGCTGACCTTGTCCTGTCGGCTCATCGGGTCATGCTGGACTGCTCGTGCGGCTGCCAAGGGATAGTCTTGGGCTCCCCAGCCATTCCTCCTCTTTGTTCTCCTGCTTTGTTGCTCAACTGATCTCAAGCAGAAGCATCTTGAAAGCTTGACTGCTTTGTGCTCGAGGCATCTGCCGCCCATCGACCAGACTCGGCACCGCTCTCGTCTCGCAACAGGCAACCTCAAGATGTGCCGGCTCCTCTTGCTGGTGGCAGCCGCCTTGACGGCCACGGCCAAGACCATTACCTACGACTTTGAGATTGGCTGGGTTTCGGCCAACCCAGACGGCCAGTTCGAGCGGCAAGTGATTGGCATCAATGGACAGTGGCCCATCCCCACGATCCGCGGCGACGTGGGCGACCGCATAATCATCAACACGCTCAACTCGCTTGGCGACCAGGACACGTCGCTGCACTTCCACGGCCTTTTCATGAACGGCACCACGCACATGGACGGGCCGGTCCAGGTCTCGCAGTGTCCCATCCCGCCGGGAGCACGCTTCACCTACAACTTCACTGTACGCTTTCCACCAGTTGCTGTCGCCTTCAGTTACCAGAGCAAGCTAACGCCATGAACAGCTCCAACAACCAGGCACGTACTGGTACCACTCGCACAACAAGGGCCAGTACCCCGACGGCCTGCGCGGCCCGCTCATCATCAACGACCCAGAGAACCCCCACAAGGACCTGTACTCGGAGGAGCTCGTGCTGTCCGTGTCGGACTGGTACCACGACCCCATGACCGACCTGATCGCGGGCTTCATGTACAAGGGTAACCCCACCGGCGCCGAGCCCGTGCCTGACGCCGCGCTGTGGAACGAGACCCAGGATCTCAAGGTTGCCGTGCGCCCAAACACGACGTACCTCTTCCGCGTGGTCAACATTGGCGCGTTCGCGGGGCAGTATATCTGGGCCGAGGGCCACACGATGCAGATTGTCGAGGTCGATGGTGTGTACACGCAGCCGGCGGATGCGGAGATGATCTATCTGTCTGCGGCACAGAGGTGCAGCTTCCTGATCACGACCAAGAACGACACGAGCGCCAACTTTCCCCTGGTGGCCAGCATGGACACGGTCAGTTGCAAGTTGTGAATGCTCTTGATTCAAAGCATCAGGCACGAGTTTCCTAAGTCTCCGCCTGCTAACTCTTTGTATCTTTAGTCTCTTTTCGACACACTCCCAGATACCCTCAATTGGAACGTCACGGCGTGGCTCACGTACAACGACACGGCAGACTTTCCTGGCCCGGCACTGGTTGACGAACTCAGTCCATTTGATGACATCACCCTCGTCCCATACGACCAGATGGAGCTCCTTCCCGAGCCGGACCAGACCTTTGAGCTCAACGTCATCATGGACGACCTGAGCGACGGAGCGAACTAGTAAGTGCCACGCGAGTACTGCACTCCATAAGCCCCCTTCTGTCCCCGCAGCAGCCGAAACTGACTCCCTGTGGCAATGAACAGCGCCTTCTTCAACAACATCACCTACAAGCACCCCACCGTGCCGACGCTCTACACGGCCCTGACCTCCGGCGCCAACGCCACGTCGCCCGAGATCTACGGCACCTACACGCACGCCATGGTCCTCGAGAAGGACAGCATCGTGCAGATCGTCGTCAACAACCTCGACTCCGGGCGGCACCCGTTCCACCTGCACGGGCACAACTTCCAGGCGCTGTACCGCAGCGACGAGGAGGGCGGCACGTGGGAGGATACGGTGGCCGCGGCGAGTGTAGACTTCCCCAAGACGCCGATGCGCAGGGACACGTTTGTGCTGTACCCGGATGGGAATATCGTGCTGCGGTTCAAGGCGGACAATGCTGGTGAGTTCTCTTTGGGTCCCCTTTTCGCCTTCTTGCTCTTCTGAGATTGTGATTGGGATCATCATCATCTGGAAGAATAGCTGCTAATGAAACTGGTCAATGGGTATCAGGAATCTGGCTCTTCCACTGCCACATCGAGTGGCACGTCGTGTCTGGCCTCATGGCGACCTTTGTCGAGGCGCCCCTGGAGCTGCAGAAGACCATCTCCATCCCGCAGGACCACTATGCCGCGTGCTCGGCGGACAACATCCCCGTCAAGGGCAACGCCGCGGGTAACGTGGTCGACCTGTTCAATCTGAACGGCCAGCCTTCGCCGCCGCCGCCGCTGCCGGAGGGGTAAGTTATTCTCCTCTCTCTGCCCTTTTTTTTTTTTTTTTTTTGTTCTGTTTTTTTCCTTTCATCGCCTTGCCTCTACTGGCATTGTATATTGTCGCAACTTGTGCAATTGGTGCATTTGGCATGGCTTTTCCCCTCAAGATGTCGTACCACACACACACTCCATGAAGCTTGCGCCCCTATGACTGACCTTGTTGCTTCGACACAACAGATTCACCACCCGCGGCATCGTGGCCCTCGTCTTCAGCACGCTGTGCGGGATCCTCGGCGTGCTGGTCGTCATCTGGTACGGCCTGGCCGACGAGCCTGCCGTCCCGACCGCGGAACTGGCAGGGGCGGCCGCCGGCAATGGCAACGACTTGGTGGTGAGGGGGCCCAGCAGCAGTGACGACGCGGTCGCTGGAGAGGAGAAGAGCGCAGGGGCGACGGTTCAGGGCCGGGTTGATTCTGTCAGTGGTAGTGGTGGTGATGGCGGTGTTGAGAGAGAGAGCGCTGCGAGCGGAGGGCGATGAGCGACAGCTTCGACCTCTCTCCGCGTGAACCAGATGAAGAGGGAGGGCCTAACGTCCGGTGCAAGTGCTGATTTAATGGGCCATGCCTAGGATAGACTTGACTGACCTGAGGGCACGAAGTTGCGACAATTGTGCGATATTCTCGCGGCCCAGATGTTAATTAAATGCCGCGCCCAGGACAACCGAATCTTAAGGGTTGTCGCACTTTGATTGAGGTCTCAAAAGGGTCCGACCGAGATGATGAAAACAATGCTCTGATGCTGGATTGCACGCAACGCTAAAGATATGCTAAACTTTTGAAGACCAACGCAGCATGGCCGAAAGTACGCCGCTCTCCACGCTGATGCTCGGTTTTTCATTTCCCCTGCATGTTATGACCCTTCCCTCCTCCTTTTCCTCAAAGCAACTCAAAACACCGCCTTCAGCTTGAACCCCGTCCTCGAGACCCGGGCGAACACCACGCCCGTCGTCCCCGCAAGCAGGAACACGCCCGCAAACAGCTTCAAACCGTTCCACCCGGCGGGCGTCTCGAGGATCAGGCCCGCGATGGGGCTCGTGATGAGCCCCCCCACGGCCGAGCACAGGAACATGATGCCGTTGCGGTAGCCAATCTCCTCCATGGGGCTGATGGCCGGGACGAGGGCGCCCATGAGGGAGATGTAGGCGCCCGACACCAGGCCGAAGGAGAGGGCAAAGGCGATGGCCGCGGCCTCGGTGCGGGCCGGGATCCAGAGCGCCAGGACGAGGATGCCCGACAGGTAGCCGCAGAGGATGTAGATGTTGTATTTGCCGTAGCGGTCCGAGAGCCAGCCGGAGCCGAGGCGGCCGAAGAGGCTGGAGGGGGGTTTTGTCCCTTGGTTAGTATCTTCGTTTCAAGCAAACGGGGACGATCTTCAGGGCAACAGTGAGAATGGCGACAGGCGGACTTACCTTGTAGCATTGTAGAAGGCAACTAGGTTGATCGCCATGCCCGGCGACACGTACCCCTCGCCCGTCGCCGCGACAGGCAGGTAGGTGATGGGCACGTACATGCCAAACGGCATCAGGAACAAGCCCAGGACCAGCAGGTTGAACGACAGCTCGGTGAAGGGCTTCTTGAGGCTCGCGGCGGTGAGCTTGACGGGCCGGGGCGGCCTGCGCGTGCGCAGTGTGAAGTTGGCCACGACGAGGAGCGCGAGGATGAGGAACGCGTCGATGCGCATCGCCCAGCCGTACCCGAGGACACGAATCAGGTTGCTCGACATGATGGGGAAGACGACGCCGCCGACGCTCGAGCCTGTGGCCAGCACGCCAAACGCCAGGCCACGCTTCTTGTCGAACCAGTCGCTGATGCAGCTCAGGCCGCAGACAAAGACCATGGCGACGCCGATGGAGCTGCACACGCCCTGAGAGAGCAGGAACTGGTAGTACTTGTCCGAGAGGGAAGCCATCATCAGGCCAACGACGTGCATCGCGGACCCGACGCGCACGAGGTACGTGATGCCGTAGCGGTCGTAGATCTGCCCCGTCACGGGGCCCAGCACCGACATGAAGAAGACCTGGAGCGACGTGATCCACGAGATCTGGCTGGGCGAGTACTCGGCCAGGGGCCCGTTCTGGTAGTACTCCTGCCACGTGCCGATGCTGTTGATCCAGCCGTACCCGACAAAGGAGGCGCACCAGGCCCCCAGCACGCACAGCCACGCGTTGGCGCCGCCGTCGGGGGGCACATCACCACAGTTGTTGTTGCCGTGGGCAATGGGCACGGAGCTGTCGTCGCCGCTGCCGGTGCCGCCTTCGATGTCCTGGACAGTTGTGCGGGAGTTCGGCCGGCTGGCGGAAAGGTCGGCTGCCGACTTCTCGTTGGTGGCGGCCATTGTGGAGGGCAACAGCGAAATCGCAGACTTGCAAGGCGAGGCGGGAGGTATCCGCGAGTTGTAATGGACACCGGCTGTCCTGGAGAGTCTAGCCGTTGTGAGGAACAATTGTGCTTTCCCGCGACTTTTGCCAATTGCTCATGCCCAAGAGCCCCTGCACCGTGCTGCTGCTCTTGTGTTGTTTTCTCTCGGCGAAAGAGTCACCGGCGCGCGACGAGGGAGAAAAATTACCAGGAATCCCAGTTTAGGAGATCTGCTCCGGCCGGTTTCCGCAGGGTGGAGAACAAAGTTTCCAGGCCCGTCGGCAAAAGGGACCCCTTGGCACGGGGGGGCGGGATAGCCATCCACGATTGGGGCACATTTACGGACGGCAGCGGGGCAGGAGAGGCGGAATTTTGTTCCCGACGAGATCGGCATCCTTCAGCTCTCCAAAAGGGCAGCCGCCGCCCTCCCGTCTTTGTGTATTCCACTTAGTCATCGCCTCCGCAATGCGGAACTGGCCGTTGCCGACGCCCGCTGTCGGCGGCAGGGCGCCATGCGGGGTGCAGATGACCAGGCTCTGGTGATTGGCGTGATTGACGTGATTGACGTGCTTCAAGGGATACGCCATCCTGGCATGCTAAGGCGAGTTGTCGCGAGCTTGGTCAGCAGTGATGCCGTGAAGACGCGACGAGCGGGACGACTGACCTGGCCCTTCCTTGATTCTGAGTGGAGAGCGCGGTATCGCCAAGTAGTTTCTATGTCGTGTTTCACTGTGGAAGTCCCCCAATGCCACCCTCATGCATACGCCAGCGCCGCGATGGCAAAACCCATTGGCTAAAGCGCCGCATACGAAGTGAGTGCTGACTGCTTTGGTAAGTAGCCTTAACTATATTCTTGCAGATGTGCTTATATATCATCGGAGAAAAGTTGACACGCGGCATAAGACGTACCGGCAGGTATCGCAATTCCGGACGAACCCAGGAAAGCCTATGGAGAGCTACCATCCAGCCACGAGCACCCAGTTGTGCTCGTCCGTATTTTGGCGCCACGATCACATCTAATAGTAGCATGAGAGCAATGTGTCTAACGACATATTCGCAGCAGCAGTTTTGCGGCTCTCTCGCTTAGCATATACTCCCTGTCCTTCTTCTACAAGGGCTTCCTCGCCACAACACTGAGCACACCCTCCTGGTGCACGACAACCCCCTTCTCCGTCTCCTCCACACACTTGACAAACAGCTCGGTGAAGCTCTCCTTGGTGACCGGCGAGTTGGGCGCCAGCGCCTTGCTCGGCAGGAGATCCGGAATCTCCTCCCACACCATGAGGTAGTTCTCGGTCCAGGCCTTTAGATCCGCAGGCCGCTTGGGTGTCTGCTTGCTCTCGACGCTCTCGAACCCGCCCTTCTCGAGATGGGACCCGAGCTGGGCCAGAAAGTCGTACGTGTTGCCCAGCGCGGCCCCGCCGGCGTTGATGACCTTTATGAGCGTCTCGTTGGCTGTCTTGCTCACCTCGGGCCCGGCCGAAGAGCAGGTCTGCAGGTCGACGCGGGTCTCCTCCCACTGGACGTGGCCGCCGGGCTTGAGCATGCGGAGGACCACGCCGATGATGGCCGAGGGGTCGTTCTTGGTTACGATCGAGACGAAGGCGCGGAGGTGCACGACGTCGTAGACCCCCTCGAGCTCGGCGGGGAGGTTGAACACGTTGAGGGTGCTGAGGTGGATGTTGGAGGGCAGGGTGTGGGCAGGCGGGAAGTTGACGGGGTTGACGTCGAACCCGTCGAGGCGGTGGGAGGTGACGCCCTGCGCGGTGAGGGAGTCGTGGAGGTCTGAGAGCCAGACGCCGTTGCCACAGCCAAGGTCTGCCACGCGCAGAGAGGAGGACCCGGAGGCGGCGGCGTCGATGCTTGGATGCAGGAGCACGTTGTTGAGGGTCTTCTGGAAGAGCGCGTGCTGGAAGTGCAGACGGGCCGAGGACCGGAAGTTGCGCTTGGGAGCGACCCAGTAGGTCTCTGGGTCGTAGGTCGGCTCGGTGGAGGACGCCATATTGGTGCGTTGGATGTACGTGAAGGGGATCCAATTGAAAATTAGCTGGTGGTTTTGGTGGATGTGTACAGCAGGTGCCAAGTGATGGATGCTGGGGGGAAGTTGGACAACGCCGCAGGTCAATCACTCTTATACTGATTGCATGGCGGATGGTGGTGAGTGGTGATGGTGGTCAGCACGCTGGGGGAGAAACATTGCTGCATTGGGCAGGCCTGCCGGATAAAGGTCCGATGTGATCTGATGCCTCTTGCCATGGCTAGGGATGACAGCGTGGTTTCAAGTCGGTGTCGTTGGAGCGATTGGATGGTTCGCGAGAAAAGGCGTTCAGCCTTGGAAAGCTAGTAGAGCTAAATAGCCGAGCCCGCATACGCTGTAGGGTCTTTGGGTCGCACCCAGCCTGTTGGAGCTGGCTGCCGTCCAATCCGAGTCTATAGAGTAGCTTGTGTGGAGTGCAGCCCTTGCATACTCGGCGTGGATGCAAGTAAGACGGCCAGTGGAGCAGGCACGGAAACGGCATTTCTTCATAGTACCCATCAGACGCCGTTCTTGGGATATCAGGATCCATAGACCTTGCTCCAGGATCTATTTCAAGCTACAGAGCAGCCGTAGACCGTCTTGTGCTCTGTAAGGCTACTGGGGCCACTCTGCAATAGCCGGGCCCGCTAGTTCAACGACGGATAGTCGTGCTGGGGCTCGCCTACAAAGCCAGGGGCTTATCTCACGTCAGATTCAGCCCTCGCGTGCAAGACGCGGTCCAGGGTCTGCCTATGCTCAAGCACCAAGTCCAAATAGCCCGCGCGCATCATCAAACGAGACATGCCCGCTGACAAAGTCTTTCTTCGCCTCGCCGCAACTCGTTCGTTTCATTGTCTATTCTGGGTTTAACGTCCATCACCATGGCGTCCACGACGCAGACGCCGCCAGCCCACCTGCGGGTCCTGCGCAAGTTCGGCATCAAGTAAGCGCCATGCTAGCCTGTAGGCAATCCTGGTAACAAGCGCTGACCATGTTACTGCGCGAAAAGCGAGACGTACCAGCTGGCCATGTATCTCCTTGATCAGTATCGGGGGACATCTCTGTCCTGCCGCTACGCGATCCCGGCGCGCATGGCAAGCCCGGAATCGCGTCCCCAGCTCGAGCAAGCAGTCACCGCTGCCGTGCTGGACATCATCGCCAAACACCCGATGCTGCAGGTCGGCACCAAGAACGCGACAGCCAAGACTCCCTCATGGGTACAGCTCCCGCGCCTGAATCTGTCCGAGCACATCCAATGGCTGTATCTCGAGGCCAACGACGACTTTGCGCAACGGGTGCAGCAGGTATTTGCCGAGCAGCTGGACGACAAGTACCCTGACTTTGAAGAATTTTTACCACACTGGAAAGTCACTGTCATCCGGCAAGGCCCGGCCTCGACAGAGATGGAAGTCCTGCTCACGTGGAACCATCAGCACTTTGACGGCGCAGGGGCCCGGGTCCTCCAGGAAGACCTGCTCGCCTCGCTCAACGCCATGCTTAATGCAGATAGCAAAGACAAGAGTGCCAGTGACCACAGCAAGCTTGAAAGGGTCTACGACCGCCCAGGCTTCGACGCTACCCACCAACACCCTCACGCTTCCATCGTCTCCACCACCAAACCTGCCAGTCCCCATTGAGAAGCTCGCCAAGCTGTCCGTCGGCGTCGGGCATTTCCTCCGCACAGTCTACCAGGAAACACGCCCGCCCATCCTGACCCGCGACCCTTCCTTTGCGAAGTGGTGTCCCATCCGCAGCGGCGTTCCCTACAAGACGCAGTTCCGGTGCTTCGACGTCGACGCGGCGGCGCTGAAGACGCTCATCGCCTCGTGCAGGGAGAACCAGACCACCATCACCGGCCTGATGCACGGGCTCGCGCTGGTCTCGTTTGCGAGGCACTTGCGCAAGGACAGAGCCACGGCTTTCCAGTGCTCCACGGTCATGGATCACCGACGCAATCTGCCGGCGGACGGCACGGCAGATGGGCCCTGGGGAGGAAAGGATCGGGCGGTGGCGAATTACGTGACGTAGCTGCCGCACAAGCACAGCTCGCAGCTCGTCGCGAGGATACGTGGCCTGCTTGACCCCCTTTCGCGGGAGAAAATGGGCACGTGAATGGCCAAGGTCCTGAGAATGTCACTGACAGGGAATATTTCTTGTCCACCGAGCTGGTCCGTGAAGTGTGGGCGGTCTCGGCGCAGTCGCGCAAGGAGATTGCCCGACAGCTTGAGCTCGGGCTCAAGAACGACATTGTGGGCATGTTCAAATTTGTCGGGGACTGGCAGCAGACTATGAAGGAAATGGCCAAGAGGCCACGACAGTTCAGCTGGCTCGTCACGAATATCGGTGTTCTCGATGGGCAAGGGAAGCGTGGTGGTGGTGATGGTGGTGGTGTTGAGAATTCTGTCGGGTGGTCTATCACCAGGGCACAGTTTGGACCCAGCGCCGAGACGCCCGCAGGTGCGATCGAGTTCTCGCCTGCCAGCGTGGCTGGTGGCGCGATGTGCGTCGGTGCAAACTGGCATGACTGTGCGGTGGACGTTGAGCTGGGAGAGGCCGTGGTGGGAGACATGGAGCGATGGCTGAACCAGCTGGCCAGAGAGAAGTAGACCAGTAATAGTGTGCGTCCAGCGCGGGTGTAGTTTGTAGAAGAACAATAATTCATTTAGACTATTAATACAATCTGGATTTAGTTGCACATGATGGAAGTATCGTACAATGCAGTCGTCATTTGTGAACTCAAGTTGTTCACCCTTAGACGTACGGCTTCAGCACCTTTTCAGTCTCTGCAACCAACTTTTCCTTTCCCCCATTGACGTACAACTTCTCCAGCACCTCCTTTGGCTGCTCACAGTTCCCCCGAGGCAACACGACAAACACAGACCCGTTGTCCCCTCCCGCCAGCGTCTTCCCCTTTTCCCCGCCCGCCTTCTCCTCAACGCCGTCCTTATTTGGCACAGCCACTCCCTTCCCGCCGTACATCGCACTGGTGATCAGGAACAACGACTTCTCTCCCGACTCCTCTGGAGAGATCGGCGGCTCCCTGGAGAAGCGCTGGAAGAAGGACATGACCGGCCGGACCCAGCGGATCAGCGTGGGGCCCCAACTCCCCTCGTTCCATCCCTTGAGGATGATGTCCGTCTCCACGACGCCAGGGTGATTGTGGATGAAGACGACGCCGGCGTTCTGCGGGTCTGATGCAAGGTGATCCAGATACACGGTATTTAGGCTCGCACAGGTGGCCGCCCAGTTCATGATGCCAAAATTGGACTTGGATTTGAGGTCCAGGTCGTCAAGAGGGATGTTGGCCTTCTCCATCCCCGCGGCGTAGATGCTGATGACTCGAGGGTTGTTATTGGTGGTGCTGTTGGAAGACGTGGATGAGGCCCCGGCGCGAAGGAGCGGGAGTAGCTGGTTGGCCAAGAGGGCACGAGTCCAGAATGACATGGCCATGGTGGTGTCGTAGCCCTCGGATGTGTCTGTAGGTAGTCAGCATGTTTGTTTTCCCATTTGCACAAGGTGATAATGAACCTTTTCGCCCGCCTAGCGGAACATAGCCCGCGCTCATGAAGAGCAGGTCGAGGCTCTTCTCTTTCGACTTGACTATGAAGGCTTTAGTATCGACACGTTTCAGCAGCAATGCAGACCAGTCGCTCCCTTACTCTCGTCGCAGAGCCTCCTTGTCTCACTCAGCAGCGATACCTGCCCCTCCAGCCATACAATCTCTGCCTTTGAATTTGACGCCCGCAGCTCGTCGAGGAACCCTGCGTGCGTTGGGCCATTGCGTCCAATCACGTATACCTTGATCTCGGTGCCGACCGCGACAAGCTTCTGGAGCGTGGCCTTGCCAATGCCGGCTGTCCCACCCGTAAAGACAGCCACCCTGGGGGCGTCTGCCGGGGTGATTCCCGCGTTGGACTCGCGAACCACGGCGTGCGTGGGCATGCCGGTGAGAAAATGTCCGTAGTTGGGCGGTTGTGCCTTTGAAGGGGGCGTACGGGCAGCTCTGAACCAATGGCTAGGCTGGAAGCTGGAGGTCCTAGCTGGTATGCGTGAACTAATGTGTATGATGAGACTCAGACAGCTAAAAGATACCCGGTGCCGTTCTCGGGGATAGCCGACGGAAGTGTCGTGATTCGATATGAGCGAGATACACCAGAGCGACAAGTCTACCTATTTAAGTGCTAACGAGGAAGACCGTCCTTAAAGGGCTCGAGCTGCAGCATCGGCACACAGCAGCGTCGACATGATGAGGTCATGGGCCAGCCCCAGCCGCACGCCACTCCCGAAAAGTTGGTGTGCCCAGACGTACGTTCCCCTCATGCTACAGCCTCCCCAAGAGACAATTGGAAAACCCGCCAACAGGCCTTGTGCTGGCCAGGCACGGCATCGGCGACAGTTACCTCCGTCTACCGGCCTCGTCCTGATTTGATTCGTTGTACTGTTTGGCTGGAGGTCGTAGCACACGTGGATAAATTGCTCCTGCCCACACAAAAGTTGTTGGAGATCGCAGTTTAGAAATCCCCGAGGTGGCCCTCGGGTCACCTAGCAATGCGGGCCCGCCTGCCGTTAAGGTTCATCGTGTGGGACGCCGGCTTGGCATATGCTTAAACAGGTAAACAATGTCGTCCCACTTTAGATCATATCTTCGATTCACGGTGTTAACCGTAAATACCCAGTGGTAGGGGCAAGCCGGCTAGCATCCCTGCAATGACATATCTCCGGCGGCGTGACTTTTGTTGTTGTTGCAGCCTACACTATGTAGGAAATAACTCAGCTCGCGCACCGCTTGGTCTCTCTAACTTCGCAAGCTATGAATGGCTTTGGGTTACACATAGCAACAGACGTCGTAAACGGATAACGCCACGTGCTCGATATATTCGAGTCTGCCTCAGTACAAGACCAGGTGCTTACCTGGAAAGCAAGCACGCTGGTGTCTGTGGTAGAAGGTAGCATGTACACCATTGGAGCGAACATCGAGGCATGGGTACAATGCACACGTCTACACGATTACTTCTGAGCCAAGCATTGTCTCTGAAACATGTACAGGCGCGGAATGAAGGAGCGACTAACTCTGCTCGGCTCCAGCCTTGACATGGCTGGATCTTATTGTCGTTCAACTGTCAGAGTAACCACGTGCCTCAAAATTATTGGGAGACACACTCCGCCACAGCTGCCTCTAAGTCTGGAGAGTTGCTGCCTGAACTCCATTTTGTCTTACCATGCTTACCCCACTTTGCTTACAAGGTGGCGGTGCATTTTGCATGTTGGCGTGTTGGCGTGCGGCGTGGGGGCTGTGAATCTTTGTATTTGTGTTTGCCACCTGCAACATCAGCTGCAACCGTGATAGGCCTGCCAGAACAACTTAGAGCCTTGCGGTGCCAAGAATGGACTTACCCCTCCTTGGATTACATATTCATGGCTTGCTCTTCTTCCTGTAGCCTCTGCCTTTAAGGCAAAAGTTCACTACATACTGGGCAGCGTAGCTCTGAACCAAGTGTGTCGGGCCTAGCACCATGGACGTCGCAGGTGTTGCCCTGGGCGCCATATCCCTGGCGATAGAGGTCACCAAGGGCATCATTAACTTCACTGAAGCTGTTAAAAGCAAGGAGAACGACCTCAAAGGCTTACGACAGAAAGCAACTACGCTATCCAGCACCTTGGTCCTCGTGGGTCAGACGCTCCAGCGGGTCCAGGCTACGGCGACAAATGCGCAGGCGCCAACGACAGTATCGCTGCTCCACGCAACCGCAAAGAGCATCGAGTCGTGCAAGTCTGACTTGCTGGATCTGAACCAATTCCTCTTCGATTACACTGAATGCTCTAGCACAGACGCAGACTTCAAGGAGAAATGTCTGAGTGCGTGGAAAAAGCTCAAGTACGGCTTCAAGCACGGTGAGGTCGGCGAGATGGAGCGCAAGCTTGCCAGCGTCAACTCAGTCCTGGAGGTAGGGCTACAAAGTCTGGGCCTGTAAGTTGATGACACCCGTTATAGGGCTTTCCCTTTCCGCTACTGACATTCTCGCCCAGAAATGTAATAATCGACCAGTCGACCAGCATCGCAAATGCTCAGCACGAAGCCAGCCAGGCCATCTTAGCCAAGGCCGAATCTCATGCGCAAAGTCTGTCACAAGTGCAGTCAGACGCGACAGAGATTCTCCAAACCCTCGACACCGCACAAACCGCAGTCGATGTCCTCGGCCCGCTGCTCGCCGAGGTCCTGCAGTCGAGCATCCCTGCGCTCCAGACCCACATTGAAACGGCAAGCAGAGATACCGCAAGCAACCTCGATGCCATGTCCTCGCGGCTCGAGAGTCTCTCGCTGTCACATCACGCGACAATCCTGACAAAGGTTGATACCATGATGCAGACACAGGCAGACTTGCTAGAAGCGATCTCGGCACAGCCAGGCTATGCATCGTCGTCCAGCCAGAGTGCTCGCCTCGCCATGCAACAGCTTTGTCAGCAGCCTGATCTGCTCGCCACCTCGATGTCAAGCAGGGACTCGATTGAAGCCACACGCGAGCTCACCGATATGGAAACAACGGAGCTGTATTCCAGATCGGGCACTCGTGCCGTATGCAATTGCCGGGCGTATCGCGTGTCTCACTCACGGCAAGCCCAGCGCGGCATATCGCGCGTCTTCATGTCAACTGGCCGCGAGATCATTCAGCACTCCCGCGAATGCAGTCTGTCGACGTACAACAGGACAATGGAAACAGCAGAAAGAGCTGTGGCTTTCCGAGTCAGATTCCTCAACACCTTGATTGATGCGGCTTTCAAATTCACCTATGGCTGGCGGGGAGGAGCCGGGGGTCTTAATATCAGCAGTCAGTTGGCGATCTGCGCCGTTGTTGACCGACACGTTTCGCCGTCATTCAGACTTGTGCGAGTCTTTCAACACTTCATACTTGAACTCTGCTGCATCGAGCACAATCACACCAGGATAGCTGAAAAGTTTGTCGCGCCTTTTTTACGAAAGGCAGGAGAAATATACTCTGCTGGAAGGGCGTCCCCAACGGATGTTGATCACAGTGGGTCAACAGTTCTTCATGGAATTACATTCTACCTTGTAGGCAAACTGGTTATGTCTCATTCGCCGTGAGAAATACAAGCTAATCCAGAGACCTATAGCAGCTGCTCCGGCCTTCCGACCATGAGCTCGTACGCGATATGATTATCCAAATGGTGAATGTGTACGGGATTCGCCCTGAGCAAGAAAATCGTAACGGACAGTAAGCTCGCTCCTCGACAGTGGTGAACGGGGGATATGGATTGCTTCAGAACTAATTGCTTTCTAAAATAGGTTGGCGCTCAATGGCGTTTTGTGGGTAGACTTCCACGACTCTCCGGAAGGGAATGCTGCACTCGACTTGCTGTTGCCACGCTACGTGCAGTCAGACACTGCCAATGCCAAATTGGACTACAGGATTATGCTAGGTTGGTGGCGATGGACGTGGGGCGGTCCTGCATATGCAATGGTGGGTCAGAAATACAAGTAGCCTAATGATCTTGTGATCTGATTGTGGGATGCTAACTAAATTGAATCCGTGTAGAGTTGCGCCCCGACCCGCTTAGTGAGGCTATTGTACTTGACGATGCTGTCTCGGTCACAGAGATGGTCCGTTGTCAACCCTATCTACTCGGCGATCAAGCAGCACTCGGTCATGGGACCCATGTGGAGCTCGCACTCTTCACAGGCCAGTGTTTCGAGGCGCTTGTGTCAGGCCTGATCCTGGGAGAACAAGATGGAAACGACCTTGCCTCGGCTAAACTCAGGGGCGTCGCTGAGTATCAAAACAGCTCTGGGGAGACACTGGCAGAGTTGGTGCTCACTATTTGCTCAGAACAGATGCACGGGCGTGTGCATGAGCTTTGTTGGTGTTATTCGCACATGGTTCAATTGTTCAAAATCAGATGCAGGATACGGTCAAGTCGCTCCTTCTTCCGTCGGATCCTGCGTCTTGTGTGTCCACCCTCCAGCGAGTGTCTTGCCCTGTATCTTTCCGAACTGGCACACCGCCGGGACCACCTGCGCGACCTGGCACGGAGGCATCTGTCCAGACAAGAGGTTACCGAGTTTGCGCTCAACCAGGACGCTCCACTGGATCGCCACACCTTGCAAGTCGTCCAGCATCTCCGCAATCTCGGCATCAAGATTTCGAGCTTCCTGACCACTGCCGATGACGACTCCGATCTTAGACCAATCTGGCACTTACTATTCGAAGTAGTTGCGGAAGCCAGCAGAAAAGGATCCCTCCATCGGACACACATGTACAGCGCGATCGCTTCCGGGTTGCGCCGTGCTGGCTTTCACGATTCAGAGGCGCCCTTCTCGGACGGATCGAATTTCCTGTATCAACTTGTCCACGTAGTCGGCCAGAGCGAGGAGAACTGGCGGTATCCACCTTGGGACCTCCTCAAATATGCTGTATCAGGCGGAGCCGACTGGACAACCACAATACAGAGCACGTGGAACTTGTACTGTGCGTCATCCAAGTCGTGCAAGATTTGCAGAGCTACTAAATCCAAACAAGGAGTCACAATCGCTCATGTGCTGGCCGTTGGCCTGAGGTATGTCCATGCTAAGCTCGGCTACACCGTCAAAGAACCAAAGTCTAGACGCTCTCTACTTGCGAATATTTCCCACTTGACCCATATGGATTCAAGTCTCTGTCTCTGCTCTGGAACCGGTCGCACTCCCTTCATGTACTGGCTCACAGAATCTCTTGCAGTCCTGGACAATGGCACACCTTGGAGAAGTCCGCAATGGCTCGCCGATCGTCTTCTAGAGATGATTGCCGAGTTTGGAACCTCATGGAATACGCAGCACTATCTAGCAGCGTTCCGTCTTCTGACCTTCGAGGCACTCTCTCTAGAGCACACGTGCGGCCTGACGCCTGATGACGAGCCACCGCTCCACGATCCCGACAATGCGCATGATGAACTCGTTGAATCATTATTCCATGAGATAGTTGCGGAGTGTTACAGTATGATTGGAGGTAGAACTGGTTACGTCTTGGCCCAGGAAAAGCCTGTTGAGCAGGATTTACCAGAGGAACGTGAGCCTGGTGATCAGGACCAGGAGACGGGTAATACACCTAATTCTGACATTCTGGCTGGCTCTACTTTCGCATCCAGCGATGGATTCTCTGATTCGGCTCGACCTCTGTGGCAGCATTGGCTAGGAGTTTGGGTGACTCGCCTGAATCGTGTGCTTGATTCTCTGCATGATCAGAGCATTAGAGACAACCACAAACAGGCTGCAGAGAGTATTGGTGTCGTGTGGTGTGAGCCACCACCACCATCACCACCGTCAGGAGACGAGTCAGTTGAGGAACAAGCAGATCGTTCAAATCTGGAATATTGGCTTGCGAAGCTGGACGAAATATGACTTGATGTAGGTGTAACTTGAAACACGGCGATTTCGCCAAACCCTTTTTTCCCATTATGGTACGGAATAATTCTAGAACGAGCCCATCGTACGCCTTGTAGTTACACTGGATCTATTTCTCTTAATCTCCCTTCAGTTGATCACTCACAGAATGCTATCGTTGCCGAACTCCTACATGTGGGAGTCGGGCCATACTCATCATTACTGTTCGGGGGATCCATGGCTCCGCGTCAGAGTGAATCTTGGCACCACCTGCCAACAAAGGCAGGAGCGCTTGCTTCCTTGTCTCCGCAATCGTTTTCTCAGTCACGCGAGTCTGTTGAACATGTCTCTCATAACAAGAAGCAGTATCACAAATAAATGGCTCAGCACCGAGAATTGCGACTAAGCTTCAGCCGCTAGCGCCTGCGCCGCTCGTGTTCGCGTAGAACATTCCAATGACGATAACCCCTTTTCATGCGTGGTCTGTCGCTAAGATACTTCGTTCAGGAGTAATGTGAGCGAAATTAGTCCCTCTGGCGCTAGCGCATTGCTGCCTGCTCAGGCCCGCGCGCCAATGCTTAATTAGGCATCGTGGTTTCACCTCCAATTCGTGAGGATTCATGGGTGATGTGCCCAACACGTTCAGCTGGCGCGGGGTATTCACATGCTCTCAGCCTGATTAATTGGTCTCGTCGTGAAACAAGAACAGCGCCGGTGGCGCGGGAGACTTTGGAAGGCTTTTGCGACACTGGTATCAACCGTGATTCACAGGAGGGATCTATTTTATTCATTCCCCGACAGGCCCAAGTCAATGCACATGATGAACAGGAATATATAACTATCAGACAATTCCACAGGTTCCATGCATTGATCTGTGGACACTGCCCATTCCACGCAATACAATACGCGCTCATCCAAGCATTCAGACACAATCACCAAGCATGGCTGGCGAGTGGAAAGCCCCCAAGTTTGGCAGCCCAGTGGTCAGTCTCCAGGCTCTGGTGGCACATTTTTGTGTACACCCGCAGTGACATTCCAATATGCTCTGCATCTCGTTACGGCAAAGATCCAGCGCGCCCTTACTGACAGGTAGTGGTTTGAAACACAAAGTGGTTGGGCATCTCCGCGTCCAATGTCCCGCGAGGTCCGTATCGCTCCGCCTTTATCCACTCCCAGTGCAGCTGCCACAGTGTCGGCATGCACACCCTATGCAAAGACCTCATGCTGAAGTATTATGAACACCAGCCCGCGAATTTTACGCCAAAGTCTTTGATTGGACCTTCAAACAGCATTCCACGCAGCCGGACGACCCCGAAAAACTGGCCATGTTCGACTTCAACCCCGGCGTGTCCCTGTCTGGTGGGATACAGAAAGCCCCAGAGTCCACTGGCGTGCTGCAACCCGGCGGCGCAGGAGTGGTCATCTACTGGCTGGTCGAAGACCTTGACAAGAGCGCCGCAGCCATCGAGGCTGCTGGTGGCTCCATGCTCAGCGGGCCGGAGAAGGAAGGAGAATCGGGCATGTATCGTTACTTCAAGGACACTGAAGGCACGACGGGCGGTATCTATCAGATCTTGTCCTCATGTGCAAACTAGTTGGTGGAAGAAGCAACTGGATGAGCCGGTATCTTCCTAAGCATATGAGGTGGTGCATTTGTGGTAATGGCTGGACAGCATTGTTGGGACAGAATGTGAACGGGACTTGAGATTTTAGCAGAAAACAAACCTCGATACTCAATTAGTTATTTTGCGGCTTGTGTTTCACAGACTCGTATGTCCTGACGGGTTGACAATTACGTGCAAGCCGAAACTGAACGAAGCCTTATCTACTCGCACAAACGAGATATCGAGGGAAATGCATATCCACCAAACTCGCTCACATCGAGGCATGCCTAAGCTTTCTCCCCGCCACATAGTCTGGCGCGGTGTCCACGAAAATCCTGCGGCCCTTGACGTAGTTCACCATCCAGCCCCAGAGCTTCCATCCCCCGACCTGACCGGTCCCGTACTTGGGCCCCAGCGACAGAAAAATCATGGTCTTGTCCAGTGGCTTGTACTCCTTGGCCGGCGACTTTGCGGCTGCCGCCCCTTGGCCATTTCCTGTGAGAACCTGATCCAGTGCGTCGGCGAGGAATGTAATTTGCGCGTCCGTGTTGGTCACCTGCTTTGGCTCGAGATCCCCGATGTCACCGATGCCCCAGATGTTGTCAGTGCCGATGACGCGCATCGTCGTCTTCTCGAGCTTGACATTTCCCGCCTCGTCGAGGAGTTGCGGTGGGACTAAGTCGGTGTTTGGTCGGACACCGAAAAGTGGGAGGTACACGTCTGCTGTGAGGGTTGAGCCGCTGGACAGGGTCAGGACAATGCTGCCCTCACTAAATTCACCGTCCTTTTCGCCTTCTGCCACTCCTCGGATCTCGACCACCTTGGTGTTGGCCAGGACCTTGACGCCGAGCTTGCGCAGATCCTGCTCGACCGTGTTGGCTAGCGCTGCAGACACGTTTGACCCCGCGAGGACATGCTCGCTGGCGCTGACGAGGGTGATTGCCTTGGTGCGACCATAGAAGGCGGCCAGCTCGCCAGCGGCCTCGACGCCCGTGGGCCCAGAACCTGCCACTACAACAGACTTTGCTGCACCAATGCGTTCCTGTAGTGTATGAAGAGCGGCGACAGTCTCGTCTGCGGTGCCGATCAGTTTGAAAGGAAGAGACCCTCCACTGACATGCGAGCCGGTGGCGATGACGAGCTGGTCGTACGCTATGGTCTGTTGGTCACCGCTGTTCAAGACGACATCGACACTGTTGGTCTCGGGCATAATGGAAGTAGCCTTGCCGAGGACAAAGTCCCAGCCCTCTGACGGATGGCGGGAAAGGGCAGGCTCAATGGGTATGAATAGCTGGTCGTCGGGAATTGCACCGGGGATGACGCCCCGTGTTGCGGCGAGGTTCCAGTAGAACTTTGAGCTGGGCGAGACGAGGATGACTTTCAGCTTGGTTTTCGGGGCCGTGTAGATCAGAAGCTTGTGTGCTAGGGGCAGGCCTGTGAAGCCGGCACCGAGGATGACTACCGTCTTGGTGGCCATGATGTGCAACAGCAGGGGAATTTTGAGGATTCGTGGTGTGAGAGCACCTTTCATGCTTTGTGTAGGCAGAGCACCATAGGTCATTGTAGGCGTGCATATTAGAGATGGTGCTTATATACAGCCAGCATACTTAGGTCCTGGAAGTGTGGACCCTGCAAAGAGGCTCGGCCGGAGACAAGGCCCGGCGTCAAGGGCCGAAGCCTTCGGCCTTGGAGCCAATCAAAACACGCCCAGGGCCGACCGCCCATTGTTTGAGACGGGGTAAGCAGCAACTTCGTGCGGCTGCGGTCTGCCAGGTACAACCGTCGGCCGCCACTTGTGCGAACAAGCCTTGACCACAGGACATTCAAAAACATGGCGAGGCCATTCACCCTTGGCGACGGCGTCGACGGGCTCAAGATCTGGGTGAGAAATCTCCGTTCGCACCCCTTGCTGCTCTTATCCGGCGCCCATCCCCTGAACTTGCGCAACTGACTTGACCGTGTCACCCCCGAGGCAGAGCTGCACAAACTGCCGGAGGCGCAAGGTGAAATGCGACAGGCACGATCCCTGTGCGCCCTGCACACGGAACAAGGTCACTTGCGTCTTCCCCGTGTCTGGTCGCGTGCCACGTCGCGCACAGCTGGCTGGCAGGCAGCACGCGGCCACTACACATCGAAATGCACAACTGTTAGGCCGGCTGCGACATCTCGAGGCCCTCATCTCCGACCTTGGCTCCCAGGTAGAGGTCGCCGTTTCGGGCCCCATCGAGGACGGCAGCGACTGCAGCATCATGTCAGCCTCCTCTGCTGCCGCGAGCAGCCAGGGCCGAGACACCAACAACATGAGTACCACCAGCAACATGACCAGTGAGGCTGGCAATCACATGGCAGTTGATCAGCCCAGCACACAGGCAGGCCCAGATCTCGGCAGCGGCGGGCTGGCGACTTGCGACAACGGCGATCTCATCGTGGAAGATCGCTTTTGGACAATATTCTGCTCCGAGGTAGCTATTTGCCATCGCTTCCATCGTTTCTCCAGCTTGGCTCCTGATCGCAAAGTTCCAAATCTGACTTGCAGTGTATAGGTAGAGCAGATTTTCGATGCCGTCCGGGACCACAGCCGGCCACCGTTCTTCACACAGCATGATTCAAGCGAGCGCCCTCATGTGAGCTACTTCAGCTACCTCTTAGGCCGAGTGGTCCCTGGCAATAACAGCTCTTCTCTTGATCTCTTTCCCATGCCTTCTCAGATGCTGTTTATCTGGCAGACATTTGAGGAGAGGGTTGATCCCATCATTAAGCTGCTGCACAAGCCATCCATGGTGGATATTATCCGCAATCTCACCGGCGACTGGTCGAGGCTCGACGCAGCTTTGGCGGCTCTGGTCCTGGCAGTGTCCTTTGCTGCCGTTGCTGCATTTGATGAGGACGAGGTGAGTAGACGACCTCAGGCAAAGACCCTAGACCAACCTCGAATTTTGCTGACGTCCCTGACCTTCAGGTTCCCAAGAACTTTGGTTCCTCCAAATCGGAAGTACTCGCCCGTTACCGACTTGGCGCAGAGCAGGCATTTCAGCAGTGCGACTTACTCACGACAAAAGACCTCGGAGTATTGCAAGCTTACGTCATATACTTGAATGTGCTCGTGCGCGGCGGTGATGCCGAGCGGGCCTGGCCTTTGATCGGCATGCTTGTGCGGTTGGCGGTTCGCTTGCAGCTACACCGAGACAGTAGCCAGTCGCCAGGGTTCAGCAGCTTCGATGTCGAGATGCGCCGTCGGCTCTGGTGGCAGATCTGTCTGCTCGATTCGCATCTCGGAGCGGGAGCACCGCGAAGCTCCAACTTTCTGATATCACAGGACATGTTTGACACTGCAAGACCCTTGAACATTGATGACGCAGCCCTCGGTCCGAATTCCATGGTCACAGATACAGAGACAACAGGAGGGGGTCGCACGGACATGACTCCAACACTTGCACGCCTGGACACGTGGACAGCTTTGCAAGGGTTCAGGTCCCTCACCACCGCGACCGCGCTGAGCCCTTCGTCCTCGACCGAGAGCCTGGGGGGCTTGCTACAGCACGCTAGTATCCTCCGCCAGACGTATACGGGGAGGCTGTCATCCGCCGACGCCCTGCGTCACCCGCTAGATCGCTACCTCGCAACCATGGCACGACTCTCTTTTGCAAGAATCGAGCTCTTCCTCCGCCAGCACGGACTGCCGCCGGCGGACCCTGCGATTGCGAACGCACAACCTGCTAGAGAGGTCATCCAGCCAGCAGTCTTCATCCTGGAGGATGTTGTCGCTCTGCATCAAGAACCAGCCTGGAAGCGCTGGCGCTGGCTCCTGCCCCCAACATTTAGCACCCCCTGGGTAGCGCTCCACGTGGCGCTCAAGTACATTTCCGGAGACGCTGCTGCGCAGAGCCAAGGCTCTCATGGCAGTGGCGGTGATGGCGACGACTCACTCGGCGGCCGGGCATTGTCTGCGGTCGAAAGGGCCTTTGGGCTTATACCTGACGAGGCTAAGACAATGCCTCAGTACGCGATACTCTTGGACCTCCATACGCGTGCGGCGGCTTCCCGTGCTGCCGCTGCTGTCGCTGTTCAGCAGACTTTACAACCGCCGGGGCAGCGATTCGATGCGACACCGGCTGCCACACACATTACGGATGGGGCATTCGACATACCAGCCGCTTTCGCGTCACCAGAGATGGACCCGTTTAACCATGTATCGTCTTGGAATTCTAGAGAAGCGCAGCCGCTCGGTGGGGTGGCTGGTGTAATACCATACCCAGAGATTGCTCGAGGTGAGAACGCAATGCAGTGGTGGCAGGCTTGGGAGTTTGCAGATTGGATTGACTTTTGAATCCCCAAGTAAAGATTCCTCTAGTTTAGATGGTGATTCCTTTATGCTTCGGGGATCTATCCAAGTATTATTCTTACCGACTACTTAGACTAGGTGCTTGATTAAGAATACTAACTCACTATTGCTCTCTCCCGAAGGTCAGTTGTCGTATATCGGATTCTCCTGGCGCTCATCCTAGGTTTAGTCATTGTTGCGGCACAAGGGGGGGCCTGGACAGGCACACTCATGGGATAGTCCATATTCATACATGACTAGGCTGCCAGTTCGATAATGCATTCAGGCGGAATGAGGATTGCTGTTCAGGGTTCCAACTGTGTTCTTTCTCATTTCCAAGCGTTGCCCGGATAGCATTTACCTGTCTCAGTGCTGTCTAATATGTAGATCTGCCTGTCCAGTCCTGTTCAGGTAACTAGCAATCATCTCCGTGTTTCTTACTCGTCATCCGCATATGATTTTGAAGTCGAATGAGTGTGATCCATAAGTTGCTAAATCTTTCGAATAACTATCTCGTTGTACAGTCAAATCTCCCGACTCGGGCCACTGTTCCATCCCCCCGAAGCGACTTGGAACAACCACCTTGTGATGCAACGCGCGCTTTGAGTTGGGGATCGAGCAAGCGCACCCCTGTTCGTCAAGTTATCCTACCGGGCCAATTTAGGACGCAGGCTTTGGCGGGGCGAAATTGGTCAAGCCGGACGCGTAAATGCTGAGGTACTTGGCCATCTTGGTGTCTGCGAAAACATGAGTGATCAGTGGTCCCAAAATCGGTTCAACAGGGAAATGCTTACACAAGGCGACACCATGCGCGAGCTGTATAGCCATGTAGTTGGGTAGATCCTACGAAGCTCATTAGCAGACTTCACCAAGCACGAATGGGATTGTCTCTGGATCTTACGGCATCATCGGCACCCTTGTGAAGCCAATCCTTGATCTCCTGAGCATCGGCCAGCGCCGCGTTCCAGACTGTGACGATGGACTGGATGTTCGTGTGGAACTCGACGCGGTCGACGGCGGCTGTCTCGATGAGGGTCGTCCGGGCCGTTTCGACGGCTGCCTTCTTCTCCTTGAGTGCGGCAAGTTCGGCCTTTTTCTTGTTGATCTCATCCTGACAAGCTGCGTCATGGTCACTACTGTTAGCAAGGGGCAGAGAGTAGCACGAAAGCGCGGGTCATCATGATTGTGGGTGGTTGGGGGGCCAGACTTACCCGCAAATTGAATCCCTGTTGTCACCAATCCAACGCCGAATCCGATCATCAGGAGAGCGCCAGCCACCTGGGCTATAGTTAGTATGATCGCACGAGAGGTACCTCGCTTGACTCGGACGACGACTCACCCAACAGACCGGGGCGAATGGCCCAGCCCAACATCCGCCGATGGCAACTCCCAATCCCACACCAGCTCCCACGCCGAAGCCAATCAGCACGTTGCGAAGGGTCTTGAGCCTGTCGGCGAGTCCTGTCAGTTCCTTGTTGGCTGCCTCGATCTCCGCGTCGAACTTGGTGCTCGTCGTGTTGGCCCAGTTGGCGAAGTCGACGGTGAGCTTGTTGAAGGCGGCGTCAGCCGCGTTCAGGTCGTCAACGATCTTGCTAGCACGAGCCTTGTGCTCCACCACTTCCTGCAAAATATTCAGTCATTTCACTCGTCATATGCCACCAGGTGCTATTCACCAACCTCAATGGCTCTATTAATCGCCTCCAGTCTCCTATCCGTGCTCAGCGTCTTGTCGGCGCAAATGTTTACGACTTCCTCGTCAAAGTTCTCGCTGTAGACGGCAATGTCGGCTGCAAGTGTGCGGCTCTCTTTGATGACGGATCGATACTGCTCTCTCAGCGCCTCCAGCTGGGGCGCAAACTTGTCATCTTGGATGTTGTTGTCCTTGTCGATCCTGTACAACATGGTCAAGAGCTCCGCAAAGATGTCGTCGTTCCTCTTGCAAGAAGCCACAGCGGCTACAGCTGCTGCCTCGAGGCGCTTGAGGGCTTCTTCGTCCTTGGCAATGTACTTGGCGACATCGTCGTACAGCTTCTTCTTGATGTCGTCATCCAGAGGTGCGGGAATAGGTGCGCTGTTGATGGCTGCTATCTCCTCGGCAGAGAGTTTGGCCATGGCAGCGGGCACAGCAGTCCCGTTCTTTGCGCTGTCAATCACGCCACTAATGACGGATTCGTAAGAGGGGGGCGCGACAGCAGCCATCTTGTAAATGTATGAAGAGGATAATTGTGAGTGTGTTTATGTGTGTTTGTGTGGTCAAGTGAAGAGCGTATGGGGAGTGTGTTGATGTCTATGTGCTGGATTATCTTCGCGGCGGCAGGTCCAGCCAGATATTTGTATGCCTCCATAGTGTGCTGCTACAAATACATAGCAACATTCCGAGCTCTGCTCCCGTGACACAACATGGTCTCGCGAAGACTGCCAGATGCGCATCTTTCCTTGGGGCTCACAAGATGCAGTGACTTTCGCCAGCGCTGGAGCAAAAGTCAACAAAAGCCTAACTGTACACGTCATCGCTACAACTTGGCAGCTAATATTGGTCCGCTGATACACCGGGCACCGAGAACCCACATGCGACATATGCTGATCCGTCCTGCTCCAACAAGAAGCGCTGTGTCCGTCTGTGTGTCTGGCCATCTGGTTCTCCAGCCAAGTCTCGACTGTGACGACAGAGATCCACAGCTTGGTTCCTTTGCGGCATGATACGGGCCACATGTCTCCAGCTCAGCCATGTATTCATGTCTCGAACTTACTAGTCCGGGGCCGATCATGCACATCTACAAGCGCGCATTGGTCGCATGCTCGAGCGGCTGGGTCTGGCCGAGCCCGACTATTGCTGAGAGTGGATCGATAAGCGAGCAGTCATCTTGTCTATCCAGATGATCGTCTAACTGGCAGAGGTGATGCAATAGAACATCTGTTTACTGCGGCTAGCTGAGCGTGCTGTGATTTGGCAGCGCTAAGACCGAGACCTCTTGCCACATCTGGCGGGGAGGTCGATGGCAAGCAGATCATTCGAGATGCGTTCTCGCCAAAGAATCTTCACTCATTCCACTGTCCACAGGGCCGGATGTTCAGCTGTCGATCTTGCCGGGACTATTGATGCAACTACCATGCATGAGGTCGTTTTGTCTTTGAATCATCGGTGACGCTCAAATCTGTTTGTCCGAGCACGGCACGTACACTCGACCCAGACACGCCTCGACTGCCAGAGTATACTTCAATCATGGCCTACAGCATCAGTGTGATATGGAGCAGATCACCGCACGTTTCTAGCTAGCCACTTTCCCTTCCCCGCCTGCCAAGCGATTCTGCATATCTTCAGCCAGCCACTTTCTCTTCCGGGCCCTTCCCCGACAGCCAAGCAATTCTACATGTCTTCAGCAAGCTACGTCCCCCTTCTTGCAAGCCGAGCGCCATCTCCATGGTTGTACCCGCAGTGCTGTCTCCCTTGGGGATGCCTGGGAGCAGGGCGGGACCACGGAATCGCGAGATCCGTTTAGGCTTCAGCTGAACTCTGTCTGCGTAAGAGCGCAGGTTTCATAAGACATCGCGCCGGCGAAGCACCACAACGGCTACGTCGTCGCTCGTCTCCCTGGGGGGTAAGAGGGGGGAGCGAGTGCAGCCAGCAAAGAGACTATTCCGCTGCGGGCTTTGTGGAATGGGCGGCACCTCCCGTGGTCCTGCAGCGGGCAGGAATAAGACAACGGAACGGCCCGCGATCCGCTACAGCCACAAACAGCTTTCATCCTTGCACACACATGAGCTTCGGTGTGAAGTCGGGTAGATGCCAGCCATGTGGGACCGACCGCGAGGAGTGGCACCGCCGACCTAGTCTTATTATGGTCTTGCAGGCTGCAAGATTCAATATTGAGGCGCCGTATGTGGAATGGCGGGGCCAACGCACAGTCCTCGCCTCTGCTTGTCGCTCAGATGTGTTGCGGTCCCCTTTGCGCCTAGTCGCCATCGGTTAACTGCAAGCAGTGGGGGTCCGAGACCCAACTTTGCTCGGCAGGGCATCCTACATGTTGGCTCTACGTCATGTCTAAGTGAGGCTACGGGCGGGGCTTCCCCTCAAGCCCTTTCAAAGATAACTTGGCTCAGAGAAAGGGCCTCGCCTTTCTCGGGCACCCCAAGTGAACAATACCATACTGAGTCTAACGATGTGAGCAGTAGTTTATGCATCATCATGACTGAAACAAAAGTGATGGCATAGACGATGAGTGACTTGCACATCCTTCAAGTCCCTCATGCATGCTTGAGAGTCTTCACAACCACGCCATCCTTGACCTGGTAACGCACATCCTGCCCAAAGCCATACTCGGCAGGCCCCGGCCGCCGCACAAACAATCCCCGTACGCCCTGCACAAGACTGCCGACAGCCGATGTCCCCATCCGACGCCGTCGAGGCTGGCCTGCGTCCGCGTCAGGGAAAGACGATGACGACGAAGACACCCACCTCGCCACATCATCGTCCGTCACCGCCGAGCTCGCCAATAACAACCCCTGCGCGTCCGCGTGACTCGCGACCTGCCCGACAGCAGACCACGCCTGCTCGAGGAAGCTCCACCGCGACTCCCTGAGGAACAGCACCAGCACCAGCACAAACAGCACCACGTGTGCGGCAATGATGCCCATCACGGACAGGAACCCCGCGCGCGCGGCGGGCGCGAGCACCAGGATCTCCTCGTCGACCTCGGCCGAGGTCAAGTTACCCGAGAACGCTTTCAGCGCGTCGTAGTATATCATTCTGGCCTGGGTGAAGCGGAACGCCTGGATCGCGCGGGCCGGGGAGCTCGTGTCATCGAGCGCGGCGGCGAAGATGGCCGACAGCAGCGAGTCGGTGATGCGGATGTTGATGGCCTGCTCGGCGTCGTGCTTCTCGGCGCGGATGGCCCAGGGCTGGAGCAGGATCGTGTGCTCGCCGCGCAGGTTCACGCGCGAGTCGATGTACCGGTCGGCCGCGAGGCTGGCGTTGAGGGGCTTGCCGCGGATGGAGGCCAGGCTTTGGTCGAGGGAGGATTTGGAGAGGGTGAGGATTTGTCTCTGGGATGATGTTGATGTTGTTGTTGTTGTTGTCGTCGAGGTTGCGCCAAGCTGCTCGCGGATGAGGGTCGTGTCGAATGTGTCGGCCTGGCCGTCGAATTGGTACGAGGGTTCCTTGTTCGAATGGCGGTCCGTGGAGGCAGTAATGTTCATGTACCGCACGGGGCCGTCGCTAGAAATGTGTATGTATACATCAGCACGCTCCCATTACACACTCGAAACACAAAGCACAGAGCAGATGGATCCTTGACTTACGCAACCAGCTCAGAGCACCAGGACGTCTTGAAACTGAGCAGCTGCGGAGACTTGTCGGGAGGAGTGTATCGAACCTGCTGGTGCGTCCAGGGCCCCTCTGCCTTGGCGTCGAGCATCGTCCACGTCCCGTTTCTCGTCAGGTTCGCGGTGTACCCGTACGGAGCCATCTCCTGCAGCTGGCGGAAAATGTCCCGTGCATTCAACACGACCATGCTGCGACTACTGCCCGCGATCTGCGGATAGTACTCCCCGTACGCCGTCGCGTTGCTCAGCATGGAAGCCAGCTGCACGCCGCTCGTCATGCACAGGGCCCAGTCGTGGTCCCGCCGGTCCTCGCTCCACTGTGTAGCCACAATGTCGCACTGAAAGGTCGAGTTGACACTGAGCGGGTGTAGCCCTTGTTCCGGCGGGGTCGTCTTGCTGCTCGGCTTCACATATGCCTTGTCCGGGAGCCTCGGCGTGCCGCTCCGGACGCTCCCGCAGAGCTGGTACACGGGCCAGTTCTCCGACGACCAGGACCCGCACACGCGGACGTCTGTCAGTTCCGGCCGCACGCAGGCCACCCGGGCGTCCAGGACTTTCGCCATGCCCTGGAAGTTGCGGACGCGCTCCCGCTCGGGCTGGGAGGTCAGTGGCAGCAGGGCCCGGACCGTGGCACCGGTATCGTCGACGCCGTCCGTCTCGGTGGCAGTCGGCTCGCTGTATTCGGCAAAGATGCCAAAGACGTCCGGGCGGTGCTTGTAGTAGTCGAGTGTGTCTCCGCTCAAGGCGACATTGGGGTGGGTCATGTTTGCGCTGTAGGGGAAGGTCACGGTCCTGCTAAAGTTCATGACGGGGACCGGCTGCAGGTCCAGCACGAGCAAGGTGGAAGAGAACTGCGCAGCGAGAGTCAAGAGGAACAGTAGCGTAATCAAGAATGTGTAGAAGCCGCCGAGGGTTGACGGTGAGAGGAAGAGGTGGATCAGAGACAGCGCGCCGCTGTTGCTGTAGCGGGTAATTGATATCGGCAGTAGGGCGTCCAGGGCCACGCCACGTCGCTCGAGTACAATGGCTGCGATCATGGACGTAGTAGGCGGCGCCAGGATCCCGAGGGCTGTCCTAATAAGGACGCCGGAGAGCGTGACAGACTGAGCCGCATAGGCATCGAGAGCCAGCCGGCGCCATGTCACTGATCCTCTGTCGCCAAACCATAACCAGCTCAAGAAGCTGATTGTGCCAACGAGGATGGCGAAAGCGAGGATAATGAGAAACCTCACCCACTTGCGCAGCGCTCTCGGCCGTTTTGGGGGTTTCTCAGCCGCTTCGTCTCGGTATTAGGCTGTTGTGCTCTCATAGGTAGTTGGGTGCTCGTAATCGTCCTGGGGAAGCTGCCCGAGATGATAGTCTGTCTTGCCCCGCCCGTGATGATCCGCCGACATATCGTACGGCTGTTCGTACGCAATGTACGGCTGGTAGGCCATGTCGGGGGACAGACGTCAGGGCCAGCGGACCAGCTCGTCGCCGCTGGTATTGTGATGACAAAGGACCGCGGTCCTGGGACGCGTTGGTGTTTGTGGAAACTTGACCGCTCGTGGGCCTTACTGAGGACGTCCTCATATATTTGCCTTCCGATGTAGGGGAACACAAAGAACCCTGCTGGTCTGACCACCCCCTCCGATACCCTTGTCTTGTGCAGCCGCGCGGGAGCGGCACCCGAAACAGCCGTGTGAGCCTCAGGGGCACCCCAGCCCCTATATCCTCACATGCCGCATAATAGTAGGGCAGAGCAGTCGCGTGTGCCCCTAACAACAATACTCTCTGGGCCAGCTCTATGATTGTCATCAGTGCCCATTGGAAGCTAACATCGACGTCGGACATGTGTTCGAGGAAACTCCACTGGCGCTGCCTTGAGGTTGCATGCATCGTTTCTCTCGTACGGGGGCTTGGCACAACCAGGCTCTGGCCTTGGCAAAGAGCCATGCATTTGCCAGGTGTCTGATTTGCCACTTGTGCTACCAGAGTTGAAACAATCTTGCGGGTCTGTATTTGGGGTCCGTTTGGGGGCCGGGCGGTCAGAGCCTTGACGCCTTTTTTGTGTCGAGTATTGTTCATTCACGATCACGGAGTGGACCGCATAGACAGCTTTTGCGCTGGGTAGTCCACCAGCTAAGACACAGCGCGTCTGCTTACGAGCCCGCGGAGCACTGGCGGTGGGCATTGACTGCGGCCAAGAGGTGGAGCTTGGCAAAGACCCACGACTTTCTCATGGCTCATGATGAGCAGGTGGGATGACGGGGATGACGGGAATGTCAAGCCCAACTATACATCACGTGACAGAGTTTATGTACATACGTGGTCTGCGATTCGAATGGGTGACACGCAAACGGCCATGGCACGGTACCTACGCTAGGTAGCACTGCTCGCCAATTCTTCAATAACGCCCGCCAGATGCGTGACCTATTTCCCTGCTCGTGTCATAATTTGCACAAGCAGCATGTCGAGCTGCGTGACCAACGCCAACAATAACAGAAAGGATCCTTCACCATGTTACGCGGAACCAAATAGGGGTAGTAACTGCTCCTTCCCTGCCCCGTCTCGAACCCCCATCCAGTCGCATAGTTCTTGCTTGTCACCCTGGCCTCCCAATTGGTTCCCGAGTCGGAGTCTTCAGGGTCTCGGTGTCAGTCGGACGTTGAGTGGCGTCTTCATCCAGACAAAGAAACCGTGCGACTGCTTCTTGGACCATTCGCGGGAGTCTGCGTCGGCAAACTCCATGTCAAAATTGTAGATCATCCTCGCGAGGATGAGGCGGAGTTCCATGATTGCAAGACTGAGAAGTGAGACAGCCACAATGGAGGTATTAGCACAGAATTGCAGAAGCACAGGTCGAGTTTTCGAATCACAAAGGGGCGGGGTGTCAAAACATACTTTTGTCCAATGCAGTCCCTCGACCCTGTGAAGAAGGGCTTGAACAACTCTCTCGAGTCTCCCTCATAGCGCGGATCTTCATTGAGCCATCGCTCCGGGTGAAACTCTTCCGCATCGGTCCAGAACTGTTTCGAGCGGTACAAAGACCAAGTCCATGCGCCGACAACCGTCTGTCGAGAGGGTTCGAAGTCAGTTGCTTATCACACGTGATGATGGTGGGAGGAACACTTACGTCTTGAGGAACGACCGTCCCGCAGATATTCATGACTCGGTCAGTCATCCTCAGCGAAGCCGCACCAGTCGTAGGGAAGATCCGCATCGTCTCATCGAGACAAGCGCAGAGGTACGGCAGGTTCTTGCTCACCACCTCAGAAGTGATATCTCCATCAGTAGAAAACGCTCCGCGAACCTCCTTCTGCACCCTTTCGAGCATACTCGGGTTGTCGAGGAGCAGCGAAGTCACAGCTGCCAAGGTCGTCGCAGTCGTCTCTGCGCCAGCGCCAATGATGACCTGGGAGTTGGCCATGAGTTCTTCGAGGGCGGCTTCCTCGTTGTAGGACGAGCCGCTGCGCGACGCGTCGTCCTTGGATTGCGCCTCCCTCGCCTTGTTCTGCAGCCGGATGAGAGGGCTCACCAGGTCTGGCCGGGAATCGCCCTGCGCTAACCGGCGGTTGACGGCCGGCTTGATATGGTTGTTCATGAGTTTGGCCATTTGCTGAGCTGAGCTGCCGATCAGCCAGTCCACAATGGCCGCAAGGGTCGGGTACATGTTGATGGCGATCAGCGCGATGAACGAGCCGCCGGCGCTCTCCATGGCCTTGATCCAGGGGTGTATGGTGACGCTGTTGATGCAGTCCAGGGATTCGCCGAGGGCCAGGTCGCAGATGACGTCAAAGACGACATAGCGGTACCACATCTCGAGGTTGTAGACCGTGCCTTGCGTACTGCTGCTAGAGGCGGGAGGGGCTGTGCCCTCGTCGTAATTGGCGCCCGAGCGGAGGCGGGAGATCAAGGCAGTGATGTGGTTCTGTATCATGGGCTCTTGGGCGCGCAGAGATGCGTCTGAGAACCCTGGGGAAAGTGCTTTGCGCAAGATGCGGTGGTGCTCCTTGCTTGTAGTATTCTGGATGTGAGGTGGCAGAAACCGGGGGACGCCATACATGCCGGACCTGGCTCAGGATCAGAGTTAACACAATTGGGGATCTGCGGTGAGACACGGACCACTTTTGCAGCCTCGACAGCAGAGAGAGTAGACTGACCATTTTGGGATATCGCTGTTGCCGCCGCCCATGATGTCTCGCCAAACGTTGGCATCTAGGAAGGACAGCTCATTGGGAGCGGTCCTGACCACGGGGCCATACTTGCGATGGAGCTCGTCAATGTCATAGATGCTCCTATTGCGTAGCAGAGACACCGTCCAGGGAATCCTCGTCGCTTTGCGAAGGAGTGGGCCTGGAAAAGACGCCAGAGGGTGGAAAAAGATGTTGTAGATGACTTTGACCAAAACGAGACCGACGATAGCCTGTGACGAGCGCAATGATCAGCTGTTCGGCTCCTCGAGAGGGCAAAGCCTTTGTGGATGCGCGGATTGGTCTGATGGGTCACTCACCGAGAGGAAGCTCTGCACGAGCGACCGCCCCTCGAAAAACGCCATCACGAGACTTGGCGCCTCCACAGTGTGCGACGCTCTGCGGTCTAGCGATCCTCTAATAGTCGACACGCAGCTGCTTGGGTTGCGGGCCAGGTGCAATTGAGCGGCTGGCAATCGTCACACTATGCCACGAGCGTGTCAAGGTGAGCGTGTAGAAAGTGAGGAAGAGGCCGATCAGTGCGGGGGAGGATTGAGGTTTTGAGCCCAAGTGAGGAGCTCCACTGGGGGACCCAGTACAACGCTGACAGCTTGCGGCACGGATTGCTAGGGGGCGCACTACGCTAAGGGCTATCTATATAATAGCCTATCAGTGTCGGCCCTATCCACGCGCGTAGTAGGCGACTGTAAGGATTGCTGAAAGGCAATCACATGGGGAAGTCATCCACAATTTGCGACCCAGCACGAATCCACCACCTGTCACGCTCAGGCTAAGAGCGGTCGGGCCAGAAACCAACAGCTGTCTCAGGATGTGCTGGACCAGCGACGAGGGTGCAAACCTTAAGGAGTTTCACAAGATAGACTGGTTAGAGCGTTCAACGTGAGCACGACTAAAACCCAATGGGCTCACTTAGTTAGTGGGACTGACTGTTGATGGAGAAAACAGTTCAGGTCCATACGCGCCGCCTCCCAATGGGGCGAAAGCCAAGGCCGTGGCTTGGCACGTACGCCAGCTTTACGGGGGATAATGCTTAGCTAAGGGCTGACAGGTCCCTATTTTCGGGCACTTTGTTTTAGGGATGGCCCCCGGAAGGCTGGAGGCGCTAGTGAGTGCTAATTTGCTTGTGTTGGTTAGAGTGCTTCAATAGCCTAGTTCTCATCCTCCGATGTGGAGAACAGTTGGGGCAAGTGCACAGCATAAAAACCCTAGTGCATGGAGATCGACCTCCTGCACATTGATATTCTTCCTTCCCTGAGCTGATGTGCGCCCCCAGGTGGACGTGCTGACAAAGGGATACGCGCGGCCCGCCGGCGCCGCCGCATCTTGATGGTGATGGTTCCATTTTTCCAGCAGCAACAGCTGTGTTCACTTTCTCGTAGCCCGCGATACACTTGCCTCGCCGTCCGTGCTGCCCTGTCATCAATGCAGGCACGGCTGGCTCAACGATTTGAGCGACCTGCAGGTCTGTAATTAGCAAATGGACGCATGGGTGGTGACGTATCGGATGAGACCTCATGACCCGTGAGTGCATGGATCGACAAGCATTGTCTCAAGTAGCTAGGCTAGCAGCCCGAAACGAAAAGCATAAGTACTGCAAGTTCCCGCTCAGGTGTTGGAGCAGCAACAAGCCGAATCGTAGCACCATCTCCTCCTTTTGCCACACATTGAAATCCGATGCAATGGACTTCATCCTCGCCTTGTTTGCGTTGTCCGTGTTCTGCATGGCATCGCGCGCCACCGATATCCAGGACGGCGCTCTCACCCAACTGGACAAACAGCGACTCCATGATCGTATCTTCCAGACCGCCCTTCGGGGGCCGCGACTGCGTAAGCCACCAGTATACTTGCCTCCGTTTATATAGCATTGTCCCCTAACGTCTTCGTTGGCTTCAGCTGCGAGCGACCAACAGAACTCCATGCTGGACTCAATCGCCAGCGCGATGAACGTAGCTGGCTTGACGACATCAACTCTAAACTACACAATGTACCGGTAAGCTTTCCGGGATGGCATTTCTCTCCCGCAGCCATCGACTAATCCGTCCCAGCTGGGATCCTCGCTGGTGGTCCCTAGAGGCAACCTTGGCCAACGGCACTCGTGTTGGCTTCAAGACCACGGGCTACTATCCTTACTCTGGCAATACTGGAGCTCGCGGAGTCACCGGCAAGGTCCACGACGCCGGATCGTACGCAGTCGATCCACACACACAAGAGGCAGTGTTTAGCTCACTGGATCTCAAAGGACTAGAACCAGGCACCATCGCCTTCTTTGACAATCCCACCGTGACCAAAAACTACAGTGCTCCTGGCTATGGCCTTTTTGGGTTTGTCAATGCTGATTCCCGATTACGTTGATACCAACAAGTCTGATTCACTGGCATAGGACTTCGCGAAACATCTCGGAAGACGAGATACCCGAGGTGAGTGGTGGCACGAGATGACCAGCTCCCAGATTGTGTCTCGAGACACTCACGCAGCCTTGCACAGCTTGGTAACCTCACAAATCCGCACTGGATCTCGGCAAAGACGCTGAACTTTACCGGTAAGATACGGACCAGCCCCGGATCCCTCATTGGCAGCAGCACAAATTGACTGACCCCCCTCGCCAGAAATGAACGAGCTCAACGTTGCGGCGGTCGTTCTCTCCTGGGTGGACGCGTCTGATGAGAATGCTGCCCTTCAGTGGCTGCCTTCGGACGCGCCTGAGGGCGACGGCACCTACAGTTGCCCAACGCTCTATGTTGGGAACTCGACTGGCGAGACGATCCGCCAGCTCATCCACGACAATCAAATCAGCGACATGTCCGTCATTCTCGACGCTCCAAGCTACGAGGCCCCAACCTACACGCTAATTAGCCACCTAGAGGGGACCGGCAAGACGAACAATAGCATCGTTCTCTACACTCACAGTGGGTTTCTACCATTCTGTCTTGTGAACGCGATAAGGCCAGTGCTGATGTCTTAACTCACAGGTGACGGTCCTAGTATCATTGAAGAAAACGGTAGGAACACAAATGGTTCAACGCAGCTCGATCAACCAGCATAACTTAACTGAGACTTTTGTCAACAGGCCCAATAATGCTCTTGACTCTTGCTGAATACTTTTCTCGAAACCTCCCGTTCATAAACCTTGAGTAAGTCGCACTCACGGGGAGCTATGTAAATCTATTTTTGCTAACTGTGTTTCCTAGCCTTGTCATGACGACTGGTCACTTGAGTGAGTACCGCTAGAGGATCTCTGAATGCATCAAGAAATGTTTGCAGCAAGATACTGATCGATCCTCCACGAACCAGGTGGCGACAAGTTGAACGAGAGTGACTGGATGGGCCAGAGGCCGGATCTGATGGCGAATGCGTATGCCGAGATCAGCATTGAGCATTTTGGCGCCATTGAGTGGAAGGATGTGCAGACCGAGTCGGGTCCAGTGTACACGGCAACTGGCTGGACCGAACCCATGTGGACCTTCGCGTCAGTCGACCCTACTTACTGCTCACCTTTCCCACCACTCACTGTGTTCTCATGTCCCGCAACAATGAGTCTCTAGGTGTGACAAGTTCTAACGTGGGGGCTACAGCAACGGTTCATCCGAGAGCGACGCGATGCGCAGTACCTACCTTGAAGCCTTTGAAGGCTCGCCCGACTATCTGCGAATGGCCCTGTTGCAGCCCCTGAGGGTCAACGGAGTTCGGTCCAAATGGTATGGCGTCGGGGGAGCGAGCAAATGGGGCTATAGCGATGTTCCCTCAGTCGGGTAAGCAATCCATTCCATTCTCGTTGCTCGCAGAGTTCTGCGAATATCGGCAGCTAATGGCTCAAAATATAGTATTATCCCGCAGCCTGATTATCTCTGTAAGTACCACCCGCGTCCTACGGAACCCTAAAAAATTGGCATGCTGAACTCTTTTTCAATGACTAGGGGCTTCTATGATCGACGGCGGATATTCAAAGTATGACCATGATCAGGCGGTTGCGCAGCTCGAGGTCATCATCAGAGCCATCAAGAGCCTTGACCAGCAGTTCTGCTCTGGTCAATGAGCTGCTTGGCAGATATCAGGATGCTGGTGCAAATTTATCAGTCGCGAAAGTAGAATGCTAGCTGGACAAGGGTTGTCACATATGAAATGGCAGGTGAGAAGTAAAAATTCCACAGTCTCAAGCCCGCCTAATACCCGTCTCGATGCACCCTTGGGCAAAACTCAAGGGTTGAGGGATAGTGAAACATGGCGAAGTGACGTCCTGGCGAGCGTGGCGTCCCAGCTAAAAAAGAAAAAGTAGTGTGGGTGTCCAGCCTTGTCTCGCGCGTCATTGAAAGCAATATGACGTTTTCATGTTTCGAGGCACTCACGATGCAAGCACCAGTATTCCACTTGCTGCCCTCTGTACAACCAAGTCCCACGCCGCTAGCACGGCACTCGCGCCTCATACTTCATCCGCTTCAAGCTCTTGACAACCGCAAAATACCGATCGCCCCGGCCAAACTGGCTAGAAATGCCCCAAGAAGCTTGACCATCGAGGTGATTACAGCTACTCCATATCCGCCCGCCCCTGCGCTCGTCAGCGTCGCAAACCAGCTTCCCGCTGCGACAATGCCTATGGCCGCGTGCTTGGCGGCCGCCACAGACGCTGCGTTTTGTGTGGCCAGTCAGCATCATGTCTCAACTAGCGCATTCTCGTTGTGAATGTGGGGTTGTCTTCCTACCGGGACCGATACCGAGGGAGCCAAACCCGATGAGGTGTATGATACCGATAATGACGCTGAATGCAATGCCGGGGAGGCCGAGAAGGGCGAGACCGCCTGCGCCAAGACTTGAGATGACAGGGCTATTCCTGATCACACGCAGCATGGCAGCGTGGATTGTGCTGACAGAAGCAGCCCGTGACATGATGACGCCCGTGGAGGATGATGGAGCGGCAAGTTGTGTCTGTACTAGGTGTGCTTGCTAGAATCGCTGGACTCGGCTGGCAATAAACGGAGGACGTCTGAATGCCCACAGACTACAGCTGGACACTTTTAAATAGAAGCAGCAAGAATGGCATTTTCTGCCTCGCAGAGAGCCTGCGCGAAGCGCCCCCGGTGGTTGGTGGCACACCACCAACATCTAGGCGCCAACCGCATATCCGGGTTGTATCTGCGGCCGACCAGCAAGGCCAGGTCAACAGGCTCTCACCAGATGGGCTAACTTTGGGAATCTCGCGCAAACGACACAACTCTTCTCCAGATTTGTCCTTGTCCTCGACAAGTTGGACAATCTATTCTTTGAATTATGTCTGTTGATCTGTGAGCTGTTGCCGAATAAAACAAATGAGTTTCGATTTTTTTTCGGAAGCAAGCCGAGCCAGGCAATAACAAAGGGTTTATCCCTGTCCCATTGACTACGGCACTTCGCCCAGTCGAAGAATCACGTGATAATGAATGATTCTGCTCCTTTTCACCGCCCAGGCCCGTTAACCAGGCTCGCCTGTCCTTACCCCGCTGCGCGACCTCATCGCTTAACTCCAGTTCTTCTTCCTGTGCCTAGCACGATTTGCCTTACCCCTTCTGCGTGTGCAGAATACTGTCAAGCCGCCAGCCCTCAACATGGATTCAGATCCTGCAACTCCGACTGAGCCATCGACAGCTCCATCACCTCCTGTTGTCAATCTCGAAAATATCAAGATAGGCGTCGATGCAATTCAATTACTCGTCTCCGTCGACAACCGTGTACAGAATGCCAAAGATGTAGAGGTGGCGGAGAGGGGTGTGCAATGCAGTGGGATGTGGACCGAGAACTCGATCACGGAGATGGCGCGTTCTTTGCGCGATCGGCCACGCCCAGTCCAGACAAACGGAAGCACGACGCCTAGCACCACAAACCTTGCGAAGAGCCAGGGGGGACGCATTCTTGGGGGGGACCCAAGACCTAGGTAGAGCTGACGAGGAACGTCGAGGAGATATGGAACTCCGGCATCGAGACAAGTATTCCTAGACCAAGGACGATTCATGATTACAAAAAGAGAGCTCAGGTCAGGGTGATTGATTTCTTCTTTGGTTTTTAACGAGGTCCTCGAGCGCATTTGGTGTGAACGTCCCAACGATTTGGGTACCGCGTTCGCCGATCGTGACCCTCTTGACGTTGAAGAGCTCGCCCAGCGATGCGATGAGCATTTGCTGCCCGTCAACCCCTATGTCAACATCTTCCAACACATGAACCGCTCCTGATGATACTGTGTGCGATGCTACGTTGCATATTGCGAGACACTGCTTTGTGCTCTCGAGTTCAGATCCGAGTCCATCTGACTCGGGGACAAAGTCTGTCTCGACTACGGCTGCTGTTGACGACGAAGAAAACGTCCCCCTCAATCGAGTTTGAGCTTCATCGCCATGGACTTGCAAGGTCCTTATGGTGTCTTTAAGCTTCTCACTGCATTCTTTCAGTGTTGAGAGCGTAATGGTATCTGCTCGTGTCAAGGCCTCGGGTGACAGCCAGGCTGTCGTTGTTGTTGATAAAGCCTCAGACGAGATGGGCTGAAATCTCATGCCGGTGATGTTCTTCAGTACGTCTGTGCAGATCTCCAAGCACTTTGCGGTGCTCTCCTGTTCCCGCTGGAGACTCTGGACCATTGAGTCATCGACAGCTATACGTTGTGCCTTGACTGGTGCGAGCGATTGTAGCCTGGCATTGATCTGCTCCAGCCGGTCTTCGAGGTCCCTGGTAGTATCGTGTATCATTGTCTTGTAGTCGTTGAGGACCTGCAGTGTAACGGTGCTCGAGCGCCTGCGCGAACTTGGTGAGTCTTGAGTGGCTGGGGTGGGCAGAGGAGGATTTGGGTAACACACAAGTTTGCATCTGCCAGCGCGATACATATCGTTGATTTATAGCTTGCGATGGCTGATGTGAACCCGGACACGTCGTTGCCCATGTACTGCAGCTTCGCCCAGTCCCTGAAGCTTATTTTCGAACCACCAGAATGCCTTGTACATTCCAAAAGCAAAATCTGAAAACTTGTGCAAGCTTTACAGCACTGCTCTAGTGGCAGCCTGAGCGGCTGGAGGGCCTCTGTGTCCGAGGCCGCAAGGGCTTCGAGCGAAGTAAGGACATCGTTGAGGCCCCTCAGCTCCTCGACGAGCAGCCGGATCGCCCGCGGGTGATCCTGTAGCGTCTGGAGAGTAGCGTAGAGTGCCCGACTAGTTTGGACGGTTGCCGTGATGATGGCAAGAATACCCACGCTAATACTCAGTGGGTCCATCTGGGAGTTTGGCGTGAAGTCTATGAGTAACACGAAACGAACGCCCGCGGGAAGCCTGATCAGACGGCCAGTAGACTAGCCCGAGAGGCCAACAAACATGAGTCTCCGACATGAACCTCCAAGACTCCAAGGAATAAAAAAACCTCGCCTTGTTCCCCGCAGAGAGTGGGGCCACCCCGCTAGGGCACCGCCCGCGTGCCACTTCATCTTCCGCTTCTTCTCGAGGTCAGAGGCGTCTGAACCACGGAAGAACCCGCGCGCGCGAGAAGTCACGCCGGACACGTTAGGCACCCCTACGACCTGGTTAGTCTCTTTGCTGCTTGAACCATAGAAAGAAGTCCATCGAGCCAGTGGCTTTCTGTGCTTGCCTGTAGATGGATGTTGTTGAGCGACAGTGCCACGTGGAGCCGCGAGCGAGGCTTTAAGATCCTCGTGCTGCCGAACTCTGCCTAGGTCTTGTATGATGAACGCGAGAGTGGCTGTGATTACAGAGAGTCACCTGTGGAGACCCGGTATGATAACTGCCCGGCCAGACGCTTAACCCCGAATGTCGAATCGTGACGCCTCGGTGTTGGCGGGCATCCATCCGCCTGACGTCTGAGTGGCGTCCGAATAAGCGCCCGGCAAGTGCCGCCGGCATGTTGCCGCCGGCATGTGCCCCCTGTCAGCAAGCCCAGCTCAACCCCGCCAGGTCGATCGACTCGAAGAACTTGTGCAAACAACTTTTCCATGCGCTACCTGGCCCACCTATTCAGGCGAGCCAGGCACGGATTAGGCGCCTATTGTATGTTTGCATGACCGCCCAGAGCATGTATAGGTCTGTGGCGAACCAGCGTCGGAAGTTCGATCTCCATGTACGGGGTGGGGATCGTCCCGCACCAGCCTGGACGGGGTGTTCATGTGTTAAAAGTGAGCCATTCATAGTGCTTTAGCTTACTAAGTTGAGGCCTTCTGCGCAGAATAGCTGATGCTTAGACGAGGGGGCTGTTTATTCTTTTTATCGCCAAATTTCCCGTCTCTCATAAGAGCTCCAGTAAATCGTGGCAACCGCGTGCACCAGTCTCCCAACCCCACAAGCTACCTGCCTGACATGGCACTTTACACGACTGGAAAGATACTGCCCGCAGCGAACTGGCGTTCAATAGTTTTGGCTATAGCTGCCAGGGATACTAGGAAGCCTAGTAATCCGCAAATCCCAGGCCGCGTAAAACATCTGAAAAGATGAGGCTGATTCCTGCTCCTTGGAGTGCCGCGGTGATGGCAGCCACACCATGGCCTCCAGCTCCAGCACTCGTCAAAATCGCAAAGATGCTCCCAGCAGTAACACTGCCGATGGCGGACTGAAGGGCTGCTGCAGTAGATCCTGGAGTGGCGTGCCCAACACCATTAGCATGTATGGCTTCCGGTCATGTCCCTGAGCATTGTCACTCAGATGGGACGAGACGCTGTGGCTTCGTGACGGCGAATTCGGACTGTTCTACATACCGGCAAGAACTCCTGCTGTCTCGAAGCCAAGGGCATGCAGGATCGCCACTGCTGGGCCACCAGCTAGGTGGGGAGCGCCAATGACAAGTAAAGCTCCGATGGAGAGCTGGGGATGCTCTTTGGCGACCTCGAACATCTTGTCTGCGGCCTTGACAAGCTCGTCCAAGACAGACTCAATGTATGCCATGATCAGCGTGTCAAACGCGTGCGCATATCCATAGAAACGGTCTTCGTCCGGGCTGGCGAAGACCGTTTCTGGTGCTGGTAGGGCGACGAAGGCTTCTGGAGCTGGTAGGATGTTGCCATCTTCTGGACTTTGTACCGGGAGTCGCGCACCGGCAAGCATAGTGATGTTGTGCTCGTGACCAGCCGAGAGGACTGCTAGAGCTACATGCGCAACGATGGTCAAGTGACTCGCAAGCATGATGTTGTCTCTGAGAGGTTCGAGGTCTTGGCCGAGGCCAGTTCGGTTGCTCCAGGGATAGTTGAAGTGGCTTGGAAAGCCCAATGCATGCGTGCTACCCCTTTCGCGCAGAAGAAAAGTGCTCGTGGCACACGTCCGATAGTTGGTGTCGTCAGACTGTAATGCGATAGTCAAGGCTGCCTGGCAAGGAAATATCGCTACGGAGAATTGTGCACGAGACGCAGCACTGGTTCCCGCAAGGTGAGCTTCCCGAGTCCACGTGCATTTACCATCTGAATTGTCCCTCCTCAAACTCATGGGGTTTGTGCTGGAAATATACCCCACGACATGGAGAAACTGCTATTCCCCGACGGCTGACAACGCTACTGGATTTGGGTTCGCATGGTTCTCCAGCAGTTCCTCAGCTCCCATGGCACTGGCGCTCTGACTGTCTGTATGCCGTCCTCCTTTCTTTTTTTTCGATGAACCAGACCGCGGACCAGCGCTGAAATCATGCTGGCCTGCCATGAGTGACTGTTTCACGCGCCTTCTGATTAAGGCTGATTGGCGGCCTCGAGAGTCTCGATGTAGACACGTGCTCAGCCTCTGCATCTGCAGGGTGCATGGCCAGGGCCTGTAGCTGCAATGGTGGCGATGCTCGAGGCTCCCCGCCCCTTCGCCCCCACGCCGCCCAGCTTCCTTCCTCCCCCGCCTGACCGGTTGGTTGTATAACGCAGTATATTCTGTCTGCCTGACTTGCAGACGGTTGACGATCTTCTGTCTCCATCGTGCCGTGCGAGGCCCGCCTGCCGCCATGGAGGCGCTGACGGTCCTCAGTCTTACTGCCAACATCTGCCAGTTTGTCGATTATGCCTACAAGATTGTGAGGGAGATCTACACCTCGCCCGGCGGTGTCACCAAGCAGGTCGAGCATGCCTCTTTCCTGTCGCGCGAGTCCGCAAGACTCGCCGCACAACTCATCGATGAGACGAAGGCCGCCAGGAGTAGCGGAAGTTTGACAGAAGATGAACAGGCGCTCGTCCGGCTTGCAGAGCGCTGTACACAGCTTGCCACCAGCTTGGAAATGCAGACGAGCAAAGTCCGAGCTACGCAGAATGGAAAGAAGAAGAGCGCAATCACGAGCCTCTTCCGCCATGTCAGGACCAAGTCGGAGCGTGAAGACATCCAGCGGCAGCTGGACGACTGTTGCAGGCAGCTCAATTTGCAGATCAGTAACTTGTCGCGGTGAGTCCTGCCTCTTGCTCATATAGAGGGGCGCGAGGAGAAGATCAGTCTAATTTCCAGATGTCTCCAGTTCGACACTATCTAAAAGGCTCGAAGCGCTCATCACCACCACCAGCACTACCCAGGCTGATGTAGAGAGGATTAAAACAATCATTGACAGCTTCCGAAAGACGTCTGCTGCAGACGTGCGCCTCATCACCAATTCACTACAGCCAGTGCTCGTGGCCATCACGGCAGTTGTGCAGCGTGATGCAATACTACGGAATATGCCATACCCGAAGATGAGCGCGCGATTCGAAACAGTGGAGAATGCCCACGACGGAACTTTTGAATGGCTCCTGAGCGGCATCCCCGAGCCTCGTCAGATACAAGCCACCTCGCTATTGAGCGAGTCTTCTGTGGGCCAGGTCGACTGGCAGACGGAAAGTCGTGCGTTAAAGAATGCAAAGCACAAAGAGTTCGTTAGCTGGCTACAAGGGGTCAAGCCACAAGCCCTACGACAAGGTGAAAGCCATCCTCCCTATAGCCAGACCTGCATATTTCATATTACCGGCAAGCCTGGCGCAGGCAAATCGACACTGATGAAGTTCATATGGAACCACAAGAGCACCAGACCTTACCTCCAGAAGTGGGCAGGCGAAAAACGCCTGATCTGCGCGAAGGCCTTTTTCTCCAGGTGGGGTGAGGACGAGGAGAACAGCATATTCGGACTCGCAAAGTGTTTGCTCGGCCAGATCCTGGGAGCCGCCCCTGGCCTTCTGGACCTTACGGCTCTATCTGGCACACAGGTCGGCTCGAACATTGTCATGACTTTCGAAACGCTGCTTAGCGAACCAAAGATTCTCAAAGGCAATGCGTTCGCCTTGTTCATCGACGGGCTAGATGAGTTCAACGGTGCACCGATCAAGCTCGTGCGGAAAATTCATGAGTGGGCAGCTTATAGCTCGGAAAGTATCAAACTGTGTGTGTCAAGCCGGGAGTGGCCTGCTTTCGAGTTCGGGTTCCGAAATGATGGTCGACTTCGCATCCACGAGTTTACACAGGACGACCTCAAGATACTGACGACCCGAAGTCTTATGGACGCGTCCCAGCTGGCAGAGACTGTCAGTGAACATGACCTGCTGTCTCTGCGATACGACATAGTCCGGAAAGCAGAGGGAGTGTTTCTCTGGGTACGACTTGTTCTTGAGGCCATCGAAGCTGGGATCTTGAACGGCGACGACATCCTGGATCTGCGCGCCAAGATGCCACCCTTACCAGAGGAACTTGGCAGTTTGTATCGACATCTTTTCGACTCGATACCAGTCGATGATCGCAAGCGTGCGTATGCGGCTTTCATGTACACGGCATTCAGGTCCTTCAAACCAGGACGTGACCTCATCCGATACAAATTCTTGAACAACCTGATTTCAGATCCAAAGTCCGCCACGGACATCGCACAAGAGCCTCTCAACGACTCGGAGCTTATAAAGCAGGCTTCCCTGGCTAGCCGCCAGGTTAAAGGGCTCTGTCAAGGATTCTTGGACATCTATGAGCCACCAGAGGCAATCTACGCAGGCCACAAACTCGTCTGCTTCATGCACAGCACTGCCCACGAATTCATGCATCAGAACGACGTCAGGGAACAGATTGAGCGCTATATCTCGATCGATGAGATGTTTCACCTATCATGTCGAATAATACTTGTCGCTATCAAGTTGCTTCCGACTGGCGATTACTCTGTCTTTCCCTGTGCCATGCTTAAAGACTTCCCAAAGCGCTTTGGACCCAAGTCGATTACGACATGGGATCTACATGAAATCATGGAAGTATTTCGATGCGGACCCGCTGCATACACTTCTACTCAGTTCGGGGGATTTGATACATCTCGTCTTCTACAAGACTTGGCAGAAATCGAGTCAGCTATCGTGTCTCGCTCTGAAAAACATAAATCTCATCCGTTAGATGGCCACTTCTTGGAAAACCAAGCACTTGGAGACAGTTCGACCAACCAGCTCAGTCGAGGGCCGCATTGCACAGATTCGAGCAGAATCACACCATACTCCATCGTCAACCATGTTGCAATGCGACAGCTTGTGGTCGAAATCTTCGAGCAGAAGAGCAGCCCTCCATCCAGATCAGACACTTTGCGCGACCTGCTGTCACAGGATTCTCACTTCGTCGACAGCGTCGTGGATGTGGTACAAAGTTATCCGCGCACCAATCGAGCTATCCGAATGCTTCATTACATCTTCCGTTCTGGCACGTCGCCTTATCATGTCATCAATCCGGAGAACTTTCCCAATCTTCAGGCTACAGAAATATGGAGTTTGCTTCTGTACAGGCTTGTTCACAACCCTTTTGAGTGGTGGGGTCAAGACTGCATTACGTATGCCCATAGAATCGTCAATGCCTGCCTCCGCTATGGGCTTGAAGACGACGTCATGATGCGCCTGGACGCCTGCTGCCGGATCACCTACTCTAATGAGCCAATCCTAGCAGTCAGAATATCTCTGACCCGCGCTAATGGTCACGCTCTAGTGCAGGGCTACAAGCAGCACGAATGGCTACCACTTCAGAGCAGAATTGTGCAGGACTTGAGGCGGCTCAATGGCGAAGCCTCGATGAGACAGGTACTCTCACCGGGCTTTTGGAGAAACCTCGACGAGGCCGGCGGGATGACGGGCCGGTCTCAACCAGACCACAGTAACACGCCCGGCACCAGTACCACTCCTAGCAGGACAGACGACGAGCTGGCAGGAATCCCACTTGATTACGGTCTGGGCTCTCTCTCGCAGCGAAGCGAGTGGAACTGGCGGGAATTCCCGAATCGCTTTGTGGACCTGAGGCTGATCCCACAACGAGGCGTCCCCTGCATGGACCATACGAATGCCTGCTACGATAGCTTTGAGCAGAATGCATACGTAGCGCAACGGAGACTTAGCTAAGGCCTGGTGTCACTGGCCAAGATAGATGCAACATGGAGGCACGTTTGAATCTGAAGGACAGATTTGCGAAGCAGTCGCCCTTTCAGAAGAAACTACGGCAGCAAACGACTTTGTTGTCACAGCCTGGTCCCGTGCCACATGATGTTGTGCTCAAGCTTGACACAGCTGAATTTCACACTTGATTATTGAGAGATAACCTTGGTAAATCCTGAACAGCCGATGCTTGCTACAAACATCTTCACCACCTCCCTCCATCCATGAACCCCCGCGAACCGGGCTTCGATGTCGCTTCAGCCAGCTGCTTGTTGTCCCTCCCCATCGAGTTCCCAAACGGGTTGACATTGTCCAGGACATACGCCTCGCCGCCAAACTGCGTGCCGTTGCCCTTGGAACTAGACCTGCTCTTGGTCCTGCCGTGCATGCCCGTGCCACCACCCTCGAGATCCTTGACCTTGCCGCCCCCCACATCGTCCATGCTGCCCTCGCTGCCCATCCGGCCGAGGTAGTTCCTCGTGAGGGCGCTCTCGTCCTCGTCGAAGGTCCTCGTCTCGCGGGTGACCTTGACCTCCTTGACGACGACGATCTCGCCCCAGTGCTTGCTGATCTGGGGCCAGAAGATGGGCAGGCTGGCGCAGATGGCGGCGCAGTCGATCTCGAGGATGGCGAGCAGCACGCTCTGCGGGGCGTACCAGGTCGGGTCGACGACGGGCCAGGTGGCGGCCTTGTTGCGGACAATGGTGACGAGGCGCCACGCGGCGAAGACGACGATCCAGCTGCCCATGACGAGCAGCACGAGCAGGCGCGTCTTCTGCGCGCGGTCCGACCCGGGGGAGAAGAAGAGCACGCAGGGGATCCCGATGATGATGATGTCCAGGACCATGTTGGTCGCCGTGTGCGCGGCGTACGTGGCCATGACGGCGTCGGGGATCTTGGAGCCGAACCCGAAGCACTGGTTCGGGCTCAGCACGTCCCAGTAGTCGCGCACCGGGTGGCACGGCATCCAGGCCAGGATCGAGAAGGCGATGCCCCAGAGCGCGGTGACCACGGCCGTGCCGATGCACAGCTTGTACATCTTGGTGCCGCGCTCGAACACGCGCAGGTACTGGAAGAGCAGGGCCAGCTTGATGAAGGCCGTCGCCGAAGCATAGGAGGCGCTGGCGATGTAGAAGTCCTGAGTGCGGGAGAGAGGGAGAGAGGTGTGTCAGTGGTTGTGAATAGGTATAAACGAGGATTTGCCGCAACTCACGATAGAGAAAGTGTTCATCCCATCAATCCCCAGCGTGATGAAGTGCTCGCCGAACCCATGAGAAACAGCTGTGTGAACCCTGTCAGTCGCTTGTTGTCGATATAAAGTGGCATGATGCGCGTTGTGCACTCACATGTGGCAATCGAGACTGTCCCTGCCGTCGTCATGATGGCATAGAGAATAACAAAAAAGTCGTCCCATCCAGGGGACTTGACAACAAAGTAGCGGATGTATAGTCGGTTGACAATACAAATCCACGCAATAGTCTGCAATGCATGGGTCAGTATGCGTCCGCGCAGACATAGACTCGTGGCCATGGCGCTGGCCTGCATATTGATCTCGGCTTACAAGAAAGGTAATGGGCAGTCCCAGGAGGATCGACCTATGGTTGGCCCATGGTCGCTCCTCGTCCAGGTTGATCGTGGAGAAGCTGTCTGCCATAGTTTTGTGAATATGGTTGTGTCCTCGTCGGCCTCTCTGTCGCGAAAAGCAACAGTCGCTATCGCTTGAGACGAGCTCGCGTTACGTCTGAACCATCAATACCCGCCGGCTGCCCAGTCGTGCGTATTGTCGTCGAAGTGGTAAGCGGATGGGGCCTTTACAGTCGTCGTGTATTAATTGCTCCAGGCTCGAATATCGTTCGGCGACATTACGCAAGTGAAGAATGCACAACGGTAGAATAGAGGCAAACCGAAATCGAGACGCAGGTCCCCTCGACGATATGAAGAACGGCCGTGACAGCTGAGGATGTGGTGTCGTCGACGGCGTCCTTTTGAGATGTGAGCTGTCTCCTCTGACCCCCATGTAGACGACCAGGGTCCAAGACACGACGCTGCAGGGATCCCCCTGGCGATGGGCCTGTCACGCCTCCACGCTGAGCGCAACCCCATTCTCTCGCGTCATTTGCCAGTTGCTTACAAGGGAGGGCCGAGCGGGGCATGAGGTCGAGGGTTCTCGTTGCGCCCTCCGGGCCACTGCCCGTCCCGGGCATGCTTGTTTGTTCTGAGGCGGGCCCCTGAAATTCGTCGCTAGTGTGTTTGTTTCTTGCGCCAGCGCCATTCCACACACGTAGGAGGTCCCCATTGGAAGGGAATGTGCCGGTGCAGGTACCAACCCGCGATCCCCGCGGAGCCCAAACACGACGAGTGAGTGATGTGCATGATGTGAGGCAGATCGGCAGTGGTTTGCTCACCCGGCCTGTTTCTGCGCAGAGCCTAAGTGCCTGGGGTTGTACTCATCACAGGGGTTTTCCCGCTTTCGTCGCCCGGCCGGGTCACACTCGCTTGGTTGCAGCGCAGCGCTGCTCGGTACCTTCTTACTGTTTGGGGCAGTGACAGTGGCATCGTAGGAATCTTTGCAGGTTTGCTGCTCCAGTGGGTGGCAGCACGGCCGCTATTGGAGATGGGGCTGGGCTGGGCTCAGCGCCATGGATGCAACGCCGCGTTCCCTCTGTCTTCTTCCTCTGCTTCCCCGTCCTCCATGGATAGATGACATGCCCTCTCCTGCACGTTCAGACCTCCGAGGGCCTCTTCTCAGCCCGTCCGTGCATGGAAGGCACCCCGGAATACGGAGTACACCACCAGTGGACCGCCACCGCACCGCGGGTGGTAGTGGTATGCTACCGGTAGACCAAGGCACACACATATTCATACTTTCTTGGGTGCAGCAGTAGTGCCTTGCCACCGCACAAGGGTACCACGCGCTCGCTGCAACCCACGTCCACCACCGTCCGTGAGCGTGCTTACTGCACACACACGCACACACTCAGCATGCGACTCTCGGTTTGACCCCTGAGCTAGCACGGCTGGGTGCCTCGGATGGGTGACTTGGCATCGCCCATCAAAGCGAGTCGCAACCATATTGGCATCACATTCTTGCTTCTTTTGAATAGTGACTTTTTGCTGTCACCCTCGCATTCCTGACCTGGGCGGCATAGGTATCCTGGCCTGGCGCCACCAGGCAGCGCGGCACAGGCGGGGTTCAATACCCAGCGACTTTCTGACAGTCCCGAACACCACCTTCTACAGTTCTGGCACCTTGGCGAACAACGATACCGCGGGCACAGTCAGCTGTTCTTGGCCCGCCCCCTCTTTACTGTGGTATCTGGGCATTCCCCTTGAGTGCAACCAACACAAGCAACAGCGGTGATCTTGGCCAATCAGCAACACGGCTGTGCGCTTGAGCCCCCTTCTGCTTTCCCCCCACGTGTGCAGGTGCTCCACACAGGCACCACCCCATTCTGATTTCTCTTGAGGGCTCGCCGCCGGGGCTGTAGGCAGCATCGTGAGAGAAATGTTGAGATGGCCGCGGGCATCGGCGGGGGGGTTCACACGTGGGCGGTCGATCCACAGAGTCCACCGGGAGCCAGCGGCACAGCACTGCAGAGCCGGACGGTAGAAACATCTCCAGAGACTTTGACAGATAAGTGTGGAGGTTCTGAAGGTGGGGGGCTGGATTGGCACCAAAAAGTCATGACAAGAAAAACATGTCAAGCTCTCGAGTGCGTGGAAAGCCGCCCCGCCGTTGTGCTGTGGGAAAAAAAAAAGAGGAGTGCAGGCTGGCCCGCCCACGTCGTGTTTCATGGCGCACGGCACAGGTCTGGTTGCCGAGGCGGGTTCTCCGTCTTCCCCCCCGCCCAGTGATGGCTGCATGGAAGAAGGCAGAATGGAGGCAAAAGGAGCGGGGGAGGAAGAAAAGGAACGGGTTACGAAAAGCAAAAGCGGGACAATCGGAAATCAATAAATAATGCGTGCAGGAATTATCAGAATTATTCAATTTCGCACGAGGGTTGGTTCTTGTCATTTTGTGACGGGGAGCGACGAGAAAAGAAACCACCGGTGGGCCTGGGTCAAGCAGCAGCCGGGGCAGAGCCGGATGCAACCGAGAAAGTCTGTCGGGTCTGCACGGACACTGTGACTGGTTCAACTGTGCCATGTCGGCGAACTTCCATTGTGCAGTATTACTCTGTATAACTATGGTATCGTGGTCGTCATGCCGACAGGTCGGCAATTGGGGATATCATTTCTGGTCTGCCCAGCCCCGCCACGTGTTTCACTGGTCCCGATCAAGCATGATGATCAGCCCTCCGCGGTCGCTATCTTCACCAAGGCGCCATGGTCCCACCTTGGACCCCATCTGTGTCCCGTCTGGTTCCGGGAGGTCCGGGTGTCTCAAGACCTGCCTTGGCGGCGACTGATTCGTACCGGTGATAAGGTGCATGCAGAGAGCAACGAACCGCTGTGCAGAGTGAAGAACACGATAGCCAGGGCAGGTCAAGTTGCCCGAGATTTGGCAGGGTCTTGGCTGGCCTGCCCTGGCTAGTTGCCCGGAGTGGAGCAGTGAGGACGTGGACATCATCCCCGCCTGGCGGACCCCTGAGTGAGTGACTCGGGAAGTCATGGGGCAGGGTGCCGTTGAAAGCCGTTGAAGGCCAGAACAGTCTGGGGGCACCTGGGGCCGCTTTGGTCCCCGCTCGGCAGCTTTTCTGGATTCCTCGTCGCCGTCTCATTATGAATTCGTCATCTCCCCCGTCTCGCAAGTTTGGCGTGGAGATTTAGTGCGGAGAGCTGGGTGGTTGTGCGCGATCTTTGCTGATCAAGCTACTTTCCGGGCATGCTCCTCGTCCGAAACAGAAACACAAGTGCCGCAGCCCCGGCGATCAAGGTACAGGGGGGGGTTTTCCGACCGCACTCGCTTACATACCTACAGTGCCGTCCTGCTTCCGAAGCCCGTTGCCTGTCCCTATTGCTCAAACGGATGACGCCACAATGAGCAAGTCATGCCGAAGTCCACGCCGCTGGAACTTCGGCCGGCTGGGGAGCTACGCGGCAGAAGAAATACGGTAAGACGCGCCCCACGGTGGGACCAGCAGTGCATATCCACAGCCGCCTGCGGCCCGCCAGAGGCACGTATATGACCTGCTGCTATATGCTCCTGGCGCTGTAACAGCAAGGGACGTCTAATTGCTCAGTGTTCGACCTTCTGGAACGGCAGATTGCGATCCGCAATTCCTGAAGCCACTTTGGATGGCACGCTGCTCAATGCATACCGGTTTTCGTACAAAGATGAACCGGTGCCGGTATGCATGTCGGCGGCTTACCGCAGACAGCAACATGAATAAATGCAAGACGCTGCCGTTGAGTGGTCGCTCCTTGGCCCGAGTTCTGCAGATGCATGTTCCAGAACAGAGCCGCACGGCAGCTTCCGGGGGCGCCGTTGAATTACTATGTACCTCTGGACAATCAAGCGCAAACTCTATCCTTGCCGGATCCTCGTTCCGCCCCGAAACAAGGTGTCGTGGGTCCTCGACATGGTAGTGACTTGTCCGAGGCTTACTCCGGGATTTCAAGGGCGCAGACGGCATTTGCTCGCTTACAGTAAGCTTGCGGGGGACTTGGTGCTGCCACGGAAGCAGTTGCTCTTGTCACTGGCTCGTGGCAAACTGCGGACGACGCAATGAGCTGGGAGGCCCATCGCGCTCTGTTGCTCTTGGGGAAATGCCATCGCTGCCACACGACAACTGTGGCCTAGACTATACACAGCAGGGTTCATTCCATCTGAAGAACCAGACGATATCATTGAACTGCCCAGTGTCTGCTAGGACCTGTGTCTCGGAGCGTCCCTGAAGCTTGATCACAATGAGCTATCCGTGGCCGCACATTTGACACTCCCTGCCCAATCGCATCGTGAGTATGTGTTCTCAGTGTGCCTGGGAGGTCAAAGAACATTCAAGGCCTCATCGTTCTGCAGGACATTCAAACAGACTGTCCTCGAAATTTACGAAAACAATGTAACGGAACGAATGTATATGAGTAGCAATGCAGCTCAAGGTTCCAAAACTATATCCAGTCCGCGACTGATACCATCCACATACTTCGACCAGTTCCGCTTCCGATTCCCCCTTCCCTCCGGAATCACCCTAGAATGCCCACATATAGAATCGCTAGAAGCAGTAATCTGGATCCGTCGAGTCAGTCCCGCCACAGCCCCTGCTACAAAACTCCCTATACACAATGTCGCCGCCGTCGATGCAGTCGAACTTGGAGTTCTGGATGTGGTCCTCGGAGGTGGGCTGGCCGGCCGCCTGGAGCGTCTCCACGATGTGATCGCGGTAGTTGCCTGTCGTGACGTTGCGTTTCGCCGCGTTAGTCGAGCCGAGGGGAAAAGGGCAGATACCATTGTACTCGACATGCTTTCTGGCATCAAATCGACGGGTCACAACGTACCTTTGCGCAAAAGAGAGGAGCCGCAGTAGACGCCGCCGCGGTTGCAACTGTCGGCTGCAACCGTTGCAGCCAGGATGGTGGTGGTGATGATGGCGGTGAACTTCATGTTTTTGATTTGGTTTGCGGAACGGGTATTTGTGTGCTCTGTGAAGTGGTCTTTGATGGAAACAAAGACGGCGATGGGATTGCTGAAGCCATCTGGGTTTATATAGACATTGGCCGCTATCGCTGCGGCGGCTTGCCCTGCCTTGTATCTGATTCCTTTCGACATTCTTGGAGGCTCGGGCCACCATGAAAGGAATCCACAGCCTGTCCCGTGATGCAGGACTTCCGATCACACGTCCCACCGCTGTCCTACCACAGACTACGTCGTGCAAAAACTCTTCACAGCACCAATTTCCCGGCTGTTTATTGGCATGTTGGAAGACATTTACGTCACTGACGCTTACGAGACACACCGCCTATACGAGCTTGTCATGTCGTCTATATACTCTTTCGGGATGGAGATCGACAAATCGTGGAATAGTGGGTACTCTTTTTCTCACAAATGAGACACGCTGCGCCTCGCGGACGGGCGACAAGTCCTGGGGAAGAACAAGGCTGACCAACCACAGGCGGCCATGCTCCGCAGATGTACCCGACGCTTCCGAGTCCTGATCTTCACTGATGCAGCTACAAAGGAACCATGTCGGCCAACTGGCCTCATTTTCCCGTGGCTCGGTCAGACATAACGGACTGTCGAGCGAGTCATATAAAGAATCTAGGGCCCGCGCTTACTTGGCTGTGCTGCCAGTGGCCAACGGGTATTGCCGCATATGCAGACAAAAGTCTCATCACTTTGTGGATCTACAGCTTCGGCTGTCTTGGCGGAAACTGTACGCGGTGTGTGTCTTCCATTTGGGAACCTTGGTCATCGGGCCATGAGAGTTGGTGTACTGGGGCGACGTAACGTTGCTATATTCAAGCCGTAGGCAACATCTGTGCCGTGTCTTGGTACTCTGGGATTTTGCTCCTTCAAACGTGGTGGCAAAGCTTTCGCTGGCAAATAAGCTGACATACTGACACGGAACGTCACGGGCTTGTCCACAAGGAGTGCAGACGTGTGAAGAACAATCGCCAGCAGTACCATTCGGAAGGATTGGAAAGTTGCCAGGGCTGCCGAAGCGAGGACTTTCATGGTCTGTGGTTTCTACCACGTCTTTCATCTACGGAGTTAGCTAGTGCGTACGCGCGCGCGCGCAAGGCTGCCGAGCGGGCATTTCGTCCGGAGTGGCAACCAATGGCTTGTATTGACCGCCCCACGATCCACAGGGCTGCATTTGCACATGGATTGTCCAAGCTCGGTCAGCCGCAGACCCTTTGTTGCTCTTGTATAACCGTTCCAGCCTGGTTAAGCCCCATTGTCATGCCCATGCCGTTTTCTTCCGCAAGTGAAGTGCTGCAGTTTGCTTGACGCCGCGGTGAGACGCTAGTTGGCGTGAAACCTGACAACCGCGCTGTGCTGCTTGACAGCCCTCCTCAGTGGAAGATATACGATTAGGCCAGACCGATGTTGGGAAGAAGAAGCGACAAATCACGAGCCTTGCTAAGAGTATACCAATTGTGAGACCTATGGATGGCGTCTGTTCTCTCATGGCATCTTCTTCTTTATTGGGCGATGGCTAATGCTTGAAAGGTGCGATAGGGAATCTACGTCTTCGAAACGAATGGGTTGCCGAGCACGAGCTTTTGACTGGATGTCTCTTGAGGTCCAGGCTGCGGTGCAAAGCCGCAGCTGTATCGTCCATACTTCTTATAGGTGACTCTGGGGGATGCCCTTCTATGACGGGTTGCTCGGCGCTTGGGCTAATGATCAAAGGAGAAACAAATATAGAATCCTGCAGATTGCACTACACCTAGAGCTTGTCGAGCCCTCGGGTCCACATGTCTCTTGGGCTCTAGCCTTGCAACACAGCACCAACCTCTGCACGTCTGTGCGTTTGATAGCCTGCAGCCTTGGTCACCGCTGTCCTTGTCATGACATAAACCACAGGTAGCTCTTGCCTCTGCGCATTGAACCTTGGACCTTTGATGCAGGCGTACAAGACTCGTTACAGTTTCCCTGCCAGAGGGTCATCAAAATCTCGTGATATGACGGTGTATTCATCTTTATTTATCATTTGCTGTAATAAAGAACCCAATCCAAGCTGTGGTTCTTGGTACGCAAGCCGAGGCTGCCCAACTGACCCAGCTGCCTGCGACTCTTGCAGTGTGCTGGCGTCGTCCCATCAAGCCAACGGGTAAATACTACCCTCTCCCCTGTCAGACGATGCCAAACTTCTTCTGCAGCTCCTCGGTTGAGCTGGTGCGGCTTGCCGAATCGTCGTCTTTGTGCTCATGCACGACCCTTGTCTCGACGGTGCGCTGGATCCCCTTGCCATCGACAATGTCATCGGCGCCGCTGTCCCGGTTGCCCGTGACAAAGGTCTGCATGCGCACCGCGTTCGGGTCTCCGCTGTGGGGCCCGTTGTGCCGGTGCTGTCGGTGGGTCCCGGTCGCGGTGGGGCCGGTTGCAGCCCCGCCCGTGCTCGAGTGATGGTAATACACGCCCGGGTCGCTGCCGGCATCGCCGCGCACCGTCTTGGCAATCAGATCCGCCAGGTTCAGCTCGATGTGCAGCTTCAACCCGTACACCAATGGATGGAACATCGTGTAAATAAACCCCGAACCAATCGACATAGTGGCGATGAGGATAACCTGCGAGAAACAAATGGAACAAGTCAGCCTGCGAAATGCCGTCTCGGACGCCGGGGGATGCCACCATCGCGACATCCACGAGACCACGGCAACCACGATACCCCACGTGCCGGAGATGGGAAGAAAGGGAGAGAGACTCACGTCGAGCGACAGCGACACGCAGATCATGGCAATGTTGAAGTGGAACAGGCCGTTGTACTTGGTCAGCCCGTTGGCGATGAGCTTGGACCGGACCAGGTGGATAAAGTAGACGTTGAGAGCAACGTCGACCAGTGCAAAGATGACCTTGCCCACCCGGTCCCAGATGAAGTTGACGTGCGCGTACGTCGCCGACACCTGCAGCTGCGCCGGGATCCAGATGCAGAAGACCGAGATGTTGACGGCGCCGATAATGCCAATCGCGAGCCACTGCAGGCGCCGGATGCGCGTCTTGTCGCGCACGAGCAGGGCAATCCGGTTGATGATGATCTGGATAATCTGAACACAAGTGGAACCATAGATGTCAGCGGCTGCAATCATCGCACGAATCACCCCTCGGGGTAAACCTTCGAGAAAGAAAAACACTTACACACTGCGTCTGAAAAACCCAGAAACAGAGGACACAGAAGAAAAAAGCAAAGCTAAGTTTTCACCACAGCCAGGTCAGCCATGACGATTCCGGGTCATATCGCTTGCCCGAGCGGCCCAACTCACCTGGGAGGAATGATTCCCCAGAGATATAGCCAGCAAAGAATGCTGATCATGAAGCAGACAAACAGCTCTATCCACACCATGATGATGTAGGCGTTCAGCGTCCCCTTGCGCCTCCACACGCCATTGGTCTGCCGGGCTGCTTTGGCGAGGGTGAACATGGACGACCCGATCGAGACGCCCCAGACCAGAGAGGCGATGTTCATCTCAAGCGGCTCCGGGGCCACAGAGACGTAGTTGTCGGGCATGAAGAGGCCGCCCATCTTGACTGGTTGTCCCTCGGCGGCTGTAGATGATGATGTTGCTGGTGTCGTTGTGCGAGGGAAATGGTAGACGGCTGACGCACCCCCTTGAGCTCTTCGCCAAAGTCAACAACGATCAAGGAGCGACACGTCTGACGGCCGGAGGAGCACAGACAAAGGGCGAGGAGGATCGACGATGGCTTCCCCGGGATGTCTGGAATACTGCGTGAGTATATACCCTCAACCCGCATTACAGAAGCCGGCCCCTGAAATCATGGCTGAATGCCGGGTCTAGAGTAGCCAAGAGTCGGGCCACCCTCCCCACGACGACGATCTTCGCCGCCGCCGCGACTGCAGAGAATGACACTTCCATGCAGATGTGGCGGCGTGGCACAGTAGTGTGCACTAGTGTCTCGCGCCGGCGTCCTGGCTGGGGGGAACCTGAATCCCGGCCCCGCACTGGCAACGCCAACGCCTGGGGTCTCAGTTCAGCCGCGCCAGCATTAATACACACTGCCGGGAGTCGTCCCGGCATTTGTTGAGTGCCAAGCAAGCCACGGCTGAGCCGTTAGACTGCCCGCTAGCGGACGTCCTGGCCGATTTCGTCAAGGCTCTGCAATCTCGACGGGATGGTCCCCGGGCACCTCGACCAGGGGACAATGGGAGTTGGAGGCCCGGCGACTTGGAACCAGCAGGGGAAGTAACTTGTACATGCCAGGGAGAAAGACTCCGGCGAGAGACAGCAAGTGATCGACAACCCGTCGAACCCATGACCTGGTTGGACATTGACACGCTGCACGCCCTTGTTCAGTAGTGACGCGGGGAAATCCACGCTTTGTGGGTAGAAGGAGTGCACGACCAAGCGGTTAACCTTGAGTAAGAAACCATTGATGCAGGAGCTCTTCAGCAGAGAAGCCGATACCCTGAAGTGCTGCCGGCACAGCATTTTCTCAAGGCAAGCATGCCGCACTTGGCTGGGCGGGCGGAACACCGCAGCCGCCACCACGAACCAGTGCAAAGCTTTTCCCTCGGCTGCAGAAATATAGGGGGTTTTCGCCTCCAACTGCAGCTCCTCGCACTAGCAACCACGCCAACCCCGTCCCAGCTCTAACTCTCCGCTCCTACTTACAGCGAAGGAAACTGCAATCTTCAGTCCCACTTGGCCTCGCGCCCAGTGGCCATGGTCAGGACCCTTGGCATTAGTGAATGGTGTCTTGGCTGTGTGGCCTAAGCATGGGCATGGTATAATCTGGGCATGGTATAATCTGGTGAGCGCTTCGAAAGTGACGCCGACCTGCCATGGACGCCGATCGGCTATTCACCAGACGGCCGACTGGTGAGGGTGGTCTTGGGAAAAAGGACGTAATCCAGAGTAGCAGACAGCCGTTGCACCGTGCACACGGCGCAAGTGCAGCCATCTTCTTTCAGGACGTGTCTTGGAAGTAATTAGTGTTTCTCCAACGACCCCTGAACATTTATTGATGGGCGATCTGCATCACTGCCAGCAGATCACTTACTGCAGGCACGCGCAGGCACGCCACGTGAGCTCTGGCGTGCCGGGTCCTGAAACCCGGGCTATCGAACAAGCAGTAACTTCCAGTGTATGGCCCGTGCTTCATAGCAGGACCTTCCCTTCGTGTGTGTCCCGGTCGGCCCCCCGAAGTCCACACTCGACTTTCAAGAACAAGCATCGACCGCAGACAGCGGACGGCTTCGACCAGATTTGCTCAGACAGACCGACAGCCAGCCCCCGACGGAATCGGCTTCCTGTCGGCCGAGTCGGCCAATGCCCGTTGCTGCATGTGCGGGCACCCATCCGGCCGAGTGGGCGGCGGGCAGGCGTCCACAAAACTTGGCCGTTGCGTCCCAGCGGCGGCGGCGGGTCGTCGTCGTCGTCGTCGCCACGTTTAATTAGGTATACTGGAGCCTGGCCGAATGACAAGTGTCAAATGTGCCTGCGCCATGGAAAAGGACAAACTCGCAGGCGGGCATCTGAGCAAATCGAGACACGGCGCTACCGTCACCTCCACCACGTGGCGCACCTGGCGCAACCCCACCACGCAATGCAAAAGGGTGACTCGAGGTTTTAGATCGTGGATCGTGGCTTGCGCACGTGGCTTGCACGTCTGAGACTAGATGACAAGGGAAGATGTAATTACGCAGCACCACTGAGGCTAGTCCGTCTGGTTCTTGCAAGCACTACCCGACCCGGGCCCGGGACCGGATCTGCAGTGCCAACTTACTTGGCTGACCACCTTGCACGGAGGAATCTCCGTTCCAAAACGCGTGATTGTCCATCGGGAGACAGTTGGTCCCGCGGTCCCTGCACCTCGAAATCCGGTGCGACGCCGCGCTACGCCGTAGTCTCGAGACCTTGGGCGGAGACTCTTGTGGTTGGCTGCATACCAGTGGTATTTAGATGATGACGATGGCCGTCAGCATCAAGCCCAGTGGCTAGCTCAATAGTGTTTCCATGAGTGCACTCCACTAGGGCGGCGCTGGCAGGCTCGAGACTACCGACCAGTATTGGCCACCTCTTGATAGGGAGCCCTCCCCACCATGATCTACAGCCTCTAACAAGTGGAGTGCATCGCGGAGAGCGAGCAGCAGACCGTCCTACTTCTAGGTCTTAGGGGGTATCCGACGGTTTAAAGCTGGGCCGTCGGAGATGTCACCGGTTGGCTTGTGGCTGCAATGCTTGACCGTGCGGATTACGCCCGGCGACGGCTATCCTCAGCGTGCAAATGCTCGCGACAGGGAGCCAGACCAATCTCACGACTCACACTGTGCGCTAATACAAATTGGCAGATATCGCCAGCCGTGTTAATGACGACACTCACAGCCAGCGGCGCACCGTCGTCTCAGCATCTGGCTAAGGACCTCTTACCATCGCTGATTCCTATGAAGATGTGGCCTGGAGATTTGCTCTAGATCCAGCTGCTGATCAGGGAACTTCGGCGTGAATTTGCTTGTGTCTGTCGTGCGTCATGTTGCGTCTGATGCGCTGCCGTGCCAGCACAAAATGGCACCTGATGGGTTTTTGGGTGATCAGCTACAGAGTCAAGTTTGGTTGAGATGAATGCAGCCGGAAGGACGGGCAGGATTGATGCTGAGAGACATGGGACGGGCCGGGTTGCCTTCAAGTGCAAATACGGTAGAACAGCCGAAGTGATCTATCTCCATCGCCTCACGTTTCCGAGCAGCCGATCACACAACGACGCGCGGCCAGGCTCCAGAAGAAAGCCTGTAAATGTGTTGGCTGGATGGGCGGGTCCACCGAAGCCAAAACTGGCTGGGCTCCGCCGAATCTTCGCTCCAGCTTCCCGCTCCAGGGGCTAATTTACTGCTTCTGTGTGCCTGTGCCTGGGCATGCCAGTGTCTCGGGGGCCCGCAGTGCCTGTTTCATGGCCGCCGCGAGTCAACAACCAACAACGCCCTCCACCAGCCTACAGCAGCGCTTGTGCACCCGACTCAGGCACACATCCATGCATCCGGCTGACACTGCCGTGCTTGCGGTGGCGCCTGTCCGATGTCGTTTACAAAAACTCAAAAAGGTTGTGGTTAAGGTTAAGCTGATTTTGCTTTAGACCCATGCCACCACACATTAGTCGCGAGACTTCGGCGTGATCTGCATCGTCAACAATTGTAGTGTTGATGGGTGCAGATGCTCCGTGCCTTGGCCTTGCAGAGAGTCGTGTTCTCTCGCCCGGAGTGTCTAGACGGGAGATTTGCAAGACGTGCACCAAGGACAGGACACCTGCGAGTACTCCGTAAAATCTTCTGAATCAATGCAGAAAGCACAACTCTGGCATCTTGTCGATCTCTACGGCCCACCCTGCTCGCCAACATAAACAGCAGGCTCGAAATAGCCACAGACAACGCCTCGCTGTAATAACAACAAAAGCTTGCCGTCCGCAGGGAAAGCTTGTCGATGCTCTACGGATGACGATACGAGCAGGCCCCTGGAGGCGGCGATCCGCAGTGGACGGCAGGTTCCGCAACGGCCAGCACCAATGGGGGACCCCTGTGTAGTTTCTTGGCAGCCCACCAGGATGCTACAAAACAACGCCCTCTGAAACATCAGCCATCGTCAGATGCTCGAGATGGGCCGACAATGGACGCCCAGAGCCTCCCCTCGCTTGCGCCGCTGCGCCTTCTCTTCCGCCTTCTATTCTCCGATGCGCCCTGCCCGGCCGTCCCTTGTTGCAAAGAACCCTGCCGGTGGAAACACTCCCCATCCGCACAAAACACGGGCAGTCGCAGCCCGGGCTGCCGCCGGCCCACTGTAGCATCACCGTTGCCGTTGCCGTTGCCGTTGCCAGTGCTGTTGCTGCTGGTCTGTTCTGGTCATCCGCTCCACATGCTGGCCCGTCTTATAAAGTCGTGATGGCCAGGGCCAGCACCCTCTTGAGTCTCGTCTTGCTCCCCTTTTCGGTCTCTTGTGCCGGTTCACACGTGCTATTCCTCACTACTTTTCCCTTTTCGGAGTGTTTCTTCTGCTTCTTCACTGGCAGCCGGCCTGCGTTCACTTTCCGTGTGCATAATCGACTTTTTCTCTCTCTCAATCTTTCGAGGCGCCTCACATTATCCAGCAAGATGGTTTCTTCACGCGTGCTGTACGGTCTGACGACCATCGTGGCCCTGGTCAACGGCCAGGCTATCATCCAGAAGGCCGTTGGCGACAAGGGTCAAAGCAAGAGTCTACTGGGTACGTCGACGGCAACATCTATTTAATCATATCACACTTTGATTGCTAACATCTTTTCCCCCGGCCAACAGTCAACGCCGCCGACCCCAAGGACGCCAACCTGATCAAGCAGCAGGAGATTGTCACCAACATTGTCAACGAGTGCGGCCGGACCCTGCTGGCAGGCAACATCGACATTGGCGAGCAGACCGAGATCGAGCTGGCAGCCGGCAACGTGACGCAGTCCAAGAAGGGCGGCGTCGTCACGGTCACGATCAACCAGGTCAACAACCAGGGCTCCGGCCCGTTCACGTGTGACATGGACCTGACGAGCAACTCGAACGGCGCGGTCGGACAGACCCCGCTCAAGGTCACGCAGAACAAGGCCGACTTTGGCAACGGCGTGCTGACGCTCAAGGTCGAGATGCCTAAGGACATGGTCTGTGTTGGAGGTGAGCAGGCACAATCTCTCTTGACCTGAAGTAAAGGCTTCTTCTTGCTAACTTCGAATCACCCCCCTCCCTCTCAGCCTCCACGGGTGATATCTGCACCGTCCGCTGCCGCAACGCCCAGGAGTTTGGCGGCTGCTTCGCCGTCCAGCAGACCGACGTCAAGCCCAACGCCAACACCCCGGACAACATTGTCACCGTCGCCACGCTGGACCAGGTGCTCAAGCAGGTCGCGCAGGACCAGAAGGACTTTGAGACCTCCGTCAACGCCATTGCCAAGTCTGGGCTCAACGACCAGGGCACTGCTGTCGCGGACGCCCTGGTTCAGAACAACGCCGATGTGCTGAATGGCAACAACGGCAATGGTAACAACAACAACGGTAACAATGGCAACGGTAACAACAACAACAACAATGGTGGTGGTGGCCGCGGCGGTAACGGTAACAACAACAACGCCGGCGGCGGCCGTGGTGGCAATGGCAATGGCAATGGCAACAACAACAACAACGGTGGCGGTCGTGGAAATGCTGGCGGTAACGGCAACGCGAATGGCAACGGTAACGGTGCTGGCCGCGGCGGCAACAACAACAACAACGCTGGAAACGGCAACGCTGCGAACGGCAACGCCGGTGCCGGCCGGGGCGGCAACAACAACGCGGCCAATGGCAACGCCGGCAACCGTAACAACAACCGCAAGCGCTTCGCCCGGGCGATGCGCAAGTTCAACGCTTAGACGGCGATATGACGTGTCTGGATCAAGCATGGACATCAGGAGGCTCTTGTTTGGGAAAACAGCGTGCATGTTGAGTTGACCTGCGTGCGCCAGCCAGGCCTTTTGCGGGCACGGCTTGGAATCCGGTGTGTTTTTTCAGGACCGAATACTTCGTGTACAGCAGAGATAGAGGATCATTGACAATTAATCTGGTGTTGAGGGAACCCTTGGTCAAAAGAATAAAGACGGATGCTTGTAGTGATACGTTGTGAAAAGGCAGACCAGTTGCAGCGTCGTGCTTTGAGTCGGTATGTTCGCCACGAATCCCCGATTTGATGTAGACAATGCAGTACAGTCGTCGATGTGTATCTACTGTGGTTTATTGTGGATGCATGTGATGTTGTTGGCTCTGTCCTGGGGCACCAGAAAGCTACAGTCATCCAAGTGACCAGGTTTAGGAACAGCCAGTGGTCCTGCCGGGGAGGTTCTCGGGTACCCGCCAATTTAATGTATTGAATCAACTAACCTCTAGACAAGAGAGTATTGGGAGCGGAGGGAAGTGGTGCTACACAGAAAGGCTCTCTGCATATCTATTTATGCTGCAGGTCAGATGTCATTATCCGGGATTAAATCGTTGCGCCGGTCAATTCGGGAGTGCAGCCTTCTGCCAAAGATGGAAATATGATCATAGAACGTGAAGCACGGGCCAACAAGGATTCAAGCAGATTCAGAGCTAATACAGGCCTAGAGTCATTAGAATCATGATATGCCAGCATATCCGGCTTCACGCAAAAGATTAAAGGCAAGCACCAACCACATAATGACAAACCATTGAGAGTTGCCCCTTCATTTTTTTCAGAGGTTTTCTGTACATGACTCGCTGCAGCAGAGCGTCTTGATCCTCTGCACCACATCAGGCTCGCATTGTGCTGGGGTAGCATACCAACGCAATGGAGTCATCGAAATGTCTTGTTACGTTTTGGTCGCAGTCTTAGCGAACAGATACGAGGCCCTTATGCCTATGACGATGGTGAACCAAGTCCTTCACAACTTCCTCCGAGGCAAGGACCACTTCATAGTCTGACGCGCTAGGGGTTGCTTTGTCCAGCAATCGCGAGTCCATTGCCCTCCACCCAGGGACGGAAGAAGGCCAGCCAAAATGTTGTCAGTCGTAGGATGGGATCGCGGTCGGCGGGTGCATGCCTGACCTCAAAGCGGTAGAAGTGTCGTCACAGACCATCATGTACACGTCGGTTGCGGGCTTATCCGAGTCCGCGTGAGGATATTGTTCTCGATTGAGAGTCGGGTCTTTCCTCAGCCAGGAATTGACAGACCTATGGCTGACCCTTGTATGATTCATCCGCTCCTGCATGGGGCCACATTTGCAGCCACAGCCGTCGTTCTAGGCTTATGCATTAAATTCATCTTGGCAGGTGAAAGGCCAATTCCTAGGGACATCGGCCGTGACGGAGCCGCGTGTGGAAAGCCAGTAGAGACGCGAGCGGCACGCTTTAATCGGCAGGCACATCTTTCGAGATGGTAGCAGTGATTGCCCTATGCATTGGACATGACTCACGCTTTCTAGACCACACCCTCGATGACCTGATCCCTGCAGAAGGGTTCTTCTTCTTCCAGCAAACGTTAACTCCTGAGGTATGATCGACGACCGACATGCACCACACGCGCTGCCCGCTGGAATTTGCAAGCAATCCCCGTAGCTTATCGCCGACTGCTTGAGCCTCTTACAACTGTGGCGTCTTAGCAGAGACATAACGCCCCACCCGTGCCCTGCACCTGTGCTGTCAGGTCATCTTAATCCCAGAGGCCAAGCCTTAGCGTGGGCATCGGCGTTAAGCGCCCTCCGGCCAATGTTAGACGCTGACAAAGGACCTGCTGGTCGGCGATACAGCACACTGAATGTTCCAGCAAGCGTTCGCAGGTCAGAGATAAGGAATATGAGCAAAGAAAGAGAGGGAAGTGATTGACGCAGTCACATCATTTTGCAGAATGGCACCTACGGTCCGCTTGTCCCTTGGCGTCATCAGTAGCTGACAAACGTGGATTCTTGACAGGATTGAAGTGCTGGATCGCCATGTGCGGTTCTTCAAAAGCACGGGCATTTCGTCCGCCGCTGAGAAATAGAGCCCCTGCGGTCCCGCTGGGACAACTCCGATCCTGGAGAGCCTCTTCCGCTGATGGTGTTCTTGGCGCGCTAGGACAGCTCCGTCCCATGCAGACCACGCTTTCGGGTCGGCCAGTCACACACTGTACCCTTTGCCTCGTTTTTGGCGTCAGCGCAGATAGGACCCTTCCGACAGCGAGATGCAAGAGGTGCGAAGACGGGCATGTTGTGCCAATTGCGCGCGCACACGACATGTTGCAGTCGACAGAAGCCATCAAACCTTGATCGTCTTGAAGAAAAGACTGTCCCGCAATTGAAAATCTCAGGGTTCAGGACCCAATGGCTCTGAAGGGCTACACAGTGTCTGTCTGGCCTTATGAAAAATGCTTATCGCGCAAGTCTTGGCTTGGGCAGAGGTGAGCGATGCCCCACGCCTCTCTCACGCAGGATTACCAACCAATGGATCGTTGTGCCGGGGACCTCAGACACCCTGGTTTCCCAGGCCGTGTCTCAAGGGCTTACAAATTCGCGGATGGAAGCTACGCCGAACCTGGTCGCGGCAGTTGTCTCTCATTCTCAGGGGTGCCAATCTAGATCTGAGTCCCTGACTCAGCTAGCACTAGCAGATCTGATATAAAGCAGGATGCCGCCTGGTTGTACAGCGCTAGTGATTTGTACGAAGGGGGTGCTCTATCACTTACAACTTGCCGACCACCGCTGTACAACTTGACTGCACAGGGCAGACGATTCGTGCCGCACACTGACAAGCTCGAGAACAACGAATCCGCCAAGATGGACTCTTCAGAGGCCCCGTCGACCACACGGTCCTCGACAGATATTGAGAAGAATGCGCAGGCTGAAGGTCAAGCGAGCGGCACGGACTCCTTGTCACCACAAACAGAGCCTAAGGAGGAGGTCCAGCAAGCGACTGCATTGCAACTGGTGCTGGTCATGACTGTCGCTATCACGTCTGTCCTCGTCATCGGTCTCGACCAGGTAGGTTTTCGTCCTCTTCCTGCCCAAGCTCCCTTCTGCAGCCGCCACAAGCCGGATGTGCATCACTTGGCTGACGCGGCTTGTCCTCATCACCCCAGACCATTGTCGCAACGGCCATTCCCCGCATCACCGATGAGTTCAAGGGTCTCGACAAGGTCTCGTGGTACGGTTCCTCCTATTTCCTGACCTCGGCCGCCATGACGCCCGCGTGGGGTAAGCTCTTTCGCTACATCCCGCTCAAGACCGCCTACCTCGCCGCCTTCTTCGTCTTCGAACTCGGATCCCTCATCTGCGGCGTGGCGCCCAATGCGGACGCGCTCATAGTCGGCCGAGCGATCGCGGGCCTGGGCGTCGGTGGCATGCTCACCGGCTGCCTGATGATGATTACCTATGCGATGCCGCCCGCCACCCGTCCCATGGGCTTCAGCAGCGTAGTGACGGGGTACGGCATCGCGGCGGCCCTCGGTCCCCTCATCGGTGGCGCATTCACCGAGCACGTCTCCTGGCGGTGGTGCTTCTACATCAACCTCCCCATCGGTGTTCTCACGCTCGCGGCAATCATCTTCGTCCCCAAGCTCGAGGCAGCAAAAACCCAGCCCGCCACCATTAAGGAGATCATCCTTCAGCTCGACCTTGTCGGTGCGTCCCTGCTCATGGGCGCCATCGTGGCCATCATCCTCGCCCTGCAATACGCTGGTCAGACCCTGCCGTGGGGCAGCGCTACCGTCATCGGCCTGCTCGTCGGCTTCTTCTTGATCATTGCTGCCTTCTGCGCGTGGCAGGTGTACCTGGGAGAGAAGGCTGTGCTGGTCCCGCGGCTCATGAAAACGTATCCCCTCTGGGCGAACGCTACGTGGCAGTTCTTCTTCTCGGGCGCGTACTTCATCTCGCTGTACTATCTCCCCCTGTACTTCCAGAGCGTGTCGGGCGTGAGCCCTGGCGAGTCCGGCGTGCGCAACCTGCCCCTCGTGCTGGCCGTCTGCCTGGTCTCGATCCCCGCGGGTAAAGTGCAGGGCATGTGGCCGTCCAGCATTGTCTGGTTCAAGACGCTTTTTGGCGCCCTCGTCATCATCACCTGCGCGCTGTTCTACACGATGGACGAGAACACCTCCACGGGCCAGTGGATCGGCTTCCAGATCTTGGGCGGCGCCGCGTGGGCCTCTGCCTGGCAGTGTGCCATGCTCACGGTGCAGAGGGACCAGGAACCGGCGGATCTGCCCATCGCCACGTCGACCATTAGTCGTAAGTGCCTGCTTCCCCTTCCTTTATCGAGAGTGCTCCATCATTTGCCCATTGGCTAACATGACCGCTTTTCCCCCGCATCTAGTGACCCAGTTCCTCGGCGGCGCCATCGGCGTGTCCATCGCCCAGATGCTCTTCAACAACCGCCTCCTGTCGTCCCTCGCCGAGTCCGCGCCCGACATCGACACGGCGGTCGTGCTCCACACCGGCGCCACCGAGCTGCGCAACGTCTTCAGCCCCGAGGACGTCCCCCGCGTCGTCTCCGCATATCTCGCGGGCCTGCATTGGGTGTGGATATTCGTCACCGTGTTCGCGAGCATCGGGTGGGTGCTGAGTCTGCTGGACTACGTGTACATGAGGGACTTGCTCCGGGCGCCGGCTGGTGGCAAGGAGAGTGGTAAGAGTGCGGAGCCGGTGATTGCGCATTAGATTTGAATTTTCAGCTTGGCATATGGGCCGTTAAGACGGGTATTGAAGGATCTGCAGCCTCGTGGTACTTTTCAGCGAGAAGGATGTCTCCGCCAAGCCCTCGCAATCTTGACAATCAGGGATGAAAGGTGCGGGGCCGAGGAAGCTCCCTCTCAACCATCTCCCCTGATACTGCTCTTAGAACAATGACATAGAATAGATTGCTACCAAAACCTCCACGACTAGGCGACGATTGAACATGATGGGAGCCTGGCACATATTTGTGTTAGTAGTATGGCTACATTTGCACAGATAATTTCAAACCGAAGGCTGATACTTGCGAGGGTCAACTGGTTTAACATGCACGATCTCTTATTTGCTGAAGGTTCTCATTTGAAACAATAGTTGATGCTGGAGCGGTGCACGCGGCCGCATAGAGATTGTCGCTTCTTGTGGCCAACTCGCTCCGAATGGCCGTAGAACGTCATGTGAGTCTGTCAATTTGACTTGATGCAACAAAAGACCTGTGATGGTGGGATAGGAGATGTTCATAGCGGCATCCTTGGTCCATGAAGCGTTACTTCCCGCGTTGGACGTTGCGCCTGGCCCATACTAATGCTTCCCGTGTCCTCTGATCTTGCTTTGGCCCGTAAGCATGGTTTTTGCATGCTACAAGATCTTCGAGAACATGGACCGCCTCCTCAGCCCGCCTCCCGGCCACGTACGCCCGTGCAAGCCAGTGGCGCGACATGAACCTGCTTGTAAAACTAGCCTCGTCAAGGTCATCTAAGACTGTGCTATCTTCCGCGTCAACATTCTCCAGCAGCTCAATTGCCGGCTGTGGCCTCCCAACGCCGAGATATAATCCCGCGAGCCTATTCTTGAGCTCAACCCGACGTGGGATTGTCTCTCTCATCGCAGCGCGGTCATACTCAAGCTGCAGCTCGAGGCAGCGGATCGCCTCATTTGGCTGACCTGCTGTCGAGTATGCGTCTGCAAGCCATTCTCTTGTGAGATCATGGCATAATTCCTCCTCAGGCAACTGTAGCTCGCGCATGTCCACAATAGACTCGAGAAGCTCAATAGCCTGTTCTGTGCGCCCTGAAGCCATGAATGCTTGCGCCAGCTTATCCTCTATCTGGAGCCGGAGGATATCTATCGCATCCAATCTTTCTCTGGCAATCTTGTTGAGCTCTTCTAGTATCTGCGTTCCTTTTTCAGGCTGAGCGGCAATTATGTATGTGTCCGCAAGATCCATCTGCCCTTCAAGCAACCTTTTGTCGCCGGCGTCCATTGTGAGCTTCTCGTTTTCGACCACGTGAACAAGGAGCTCCTCTGCGTCTGCGAAACGATTTGCTTGCAGGTATGCACCTGCCAGCCGGCGCTCCGAGTCGAGTCGACTGGGATTTTGTTCGGGCAGCACTAGCCTCTCCTCCGCCACAACTTCTTCCAAGAGCGTAATAGCCTTTTCGACCTGCCCGTTTTTCAGATGAATGTCTCCAAGGATAAGTTGAAATGCCAGACGGGCAGGATTTGTGCTATCAAACTTTGCATAGAAGTCGACATGATCCTGCATCAGACTTATACCCTTAGCATGCATGCCGTGGAAGGCATAAGCACGGGCTAGACATGTTTCGATCGCAGATCGGCATCGATCTGTTGGAGGTCGGCTGTCTTTCACCTGCTCATACGCATTTTGCAGGTATGGCAGAGCTTCGGTAAACCGAAACTGGTGTATCAACTGGCGTGCCACCCTGTAAGTGAGTTCTGGCCCGTAACGCACGGGATGCGTTAGTTTTGTCGCGAGTAAACGGACTGCGTGCGGAAGGTAGAGTCGCCACTCACGCCGACTGCTTATATTGGCGTCAGAGCTCGGCAGGACCCGTCCAAGATGTCGGATTCCCCCAAGGACTTGTTCGTCAGACTGCCCTTGCTTCTCGACCCATAGTCTTGTTGCGAGATGCACAAGACTGTGCATATCGTACACCTCGCCATTCCCACGGTCGACTAGAAACGCATATCCCAACAGCATGCTCAGGGCCTCGACAGTCTCAACCTCCGTAGACGCCTTGGGTAGCATCGATCGTGGAATCGACTTCGGCTCAACACATGAGATGAATGCCAGCAGACCGGCTGCCGCCTTGCTGTACTTCTGTATCTGCTCAAAAGAGACAAGCCAAGTGGTCGCCACCGCGTTATTCGAATGACGGTACCTTGTGCTATCCCGAAACTCCCTGCTCATAAGCTCAACCATGTTTTGATCAGCGCTGTTGAGCAGGTGGAGATATTGCTTGATAGATACTTGGTTCCGGTTTAGGTATGCTGTGGCCTGCGTGATTGCTAGTGGAAGGAATGTGAGTTGTTGCAGGAGTTTGTCTGTTGCGTCTTCGTTTGTGGTCGGCTTCCGTATCAGAGACTTGGCCAAAAGGTCTCTGGCTTCGTGGGGTTCCATCTCATCCAACTTGATCACATCCGACCCAGCCATCTCGCAACCGACTCCCCAAGACCTCGTCGTAAAAAGAAGGAGGCCATGCTCGCTCTCGGGCAGATAGTCTTCAATGCCTGATGATCCGAGTACTAGCCCGGCGTCGTCTGCGTTGTCGACTATGAGGAGCCACTTTCCTGCGCTTTCAGAGCACAAGTAATTTCGAATGGTTTCTTTCGGCTCCTCCAGCTTCGCGTCGATAGTGACACCCAGTCTTGCCCCGAAATCAAGGTACGCCTGATCGAATGCTCCGATGCTCGAGACAGGCAACCAGCAAATGTGGTACTCGGGCTTATTCTGTTGCATCCAATGTGCAAACTGCAGGGCAATCTGTGTCTTCCCGACACCCCCAAGACCCACGATAGCGAGTCTCCGACACTCTTCCTGATCGAATAACTTCGTCCGTATCTCTTCTAGTACTGCCGTACGTCCGGTGAAGTTCTTGTTGCGCATCAACGGAAGGCAGACAACACAAGCTGAACGGGTTGCAAGGGCGGGAGCTGCTGCTGAGAGGAGAATCAATGTCAGCAGGAGTACAGCTGTGGGAAACGTCTGGGGCCGCCAAAGATAACTCACCTGGGGCGGCTGCTGATCGAGGTACCCACGAATCCAGGAACGCTTTTGCACAAGCCGCTGCTATGGCCGCCGCATAGTGCTGCCAGGCTTTGCTCTTGTGGCTGTCCGCGTAGTCGCAAGCCCCCTTGATCACCAGGCAGGGGAAGATGTCCCAGACCCCGGCGCCCTCCATCTCGAAGCCAATGATGCCCTCCTCCCGGGCGATTCTGTCGCGTTCCTCGCCTGATTTGAGGACAGTATCACCTGATGCAATCAGGCCGAAATGCACTCTGGGACGACAGCTGCTGTCATTGTTTTCTAAAGCAAGCCGATTCCTCGATAGCAATGGGCCGTCGCATCCGCACTGGATGCAGGTCTTGTCTCTGTCGAGGTGATGGTACGTGGGTTCGAACAGTCGGTCATGCTCTTTCCCCGGATACTGTGCTGCCAGGATCGGTTGCTTTTGCAATAGAGCCAAGTAATGCTCCAGCTTTGCTTGAAAGACCTGCTGATCACGAAGGCCTTGCAGCTTTGCCAGCATACTCCTGATCTCGAGGGTTGGTCGCGCCAACGAGTCAAGAAGCGTGTCCTTGCGCTCAAACCGGTCTGGATACCGTCTGCCAAGGTCATGCTGGACCACGCCGCTGCTTACGACGACGTCGCCAAGCACAATCTCGGTCCTCGCGTCGCCAGGGCCGTAGAACGGGACAGCGCCACACACCCCAACAATGAGGGCGAGCCTGATGTTCGGGAAACTCGTCTTGCAATAAGCCGCGGCCATGCTGGCGCTCGTCTTGCCCATGCCCGGCATGTGCACGAGCACGACGTTGTGCCGGCCCATCGTCCCTGTCGAGTAGGCATTTGGATCGCCCGATGCTTTGTCGTAGGGCTGTTTATTGGTGTCGCTATCCTGGTCTTCACCCTCATTATCGTCCCAGTGGTGATCGAAGAGGGCCTTGACGGCATCGGCCTCGTGCACGAGGGCACAGATGATGGCGATCTCGAAGTCGGCGCGGGCTGCCGGCCTTCGCGGCGGGCGCTCTCTGAAAGCCATGACCGCAGCAAACGGCCCCGAGACTCGTCAAGCCATGGTATCTCCGGGCCTTCTTCAAACTGGTCGTCGCAGCTCAACTTGCGCAGAAGATGATGAATGGGGGTCAGAGGTTTTGGTAGTGACACAAGTGACAGCCTGACGCAACGCCTTGGGCTGACCTGGCTACGACTCAGCCCCACTCACCTCCTTGTGACAACCCAACCAACTGCATGGAAGGACTCGGCCAGGGACAAGGGCAGGCGGGCTGAGGGGGCAGACAAGCGGTAATTAGGTAATCCATCTGCGCAATCATCCACACAAAGAGCCAAGAGCTGATTCTTAGCAGTCGGCTCGCATCACATGCGAATGCCGCCCACTACGACTTGAGGTTGTCGCACCCCGCGACTACATAAATAGACATGACATACACGAGGAAGGAGAGGTTTGTACCAGGGGAAAGATGCATAGATGATTGGCTTACTTTTCACTCCGTGATAGATCCAAGGATCATTTCAACCCATACTTGGGCCGGTCCATCGGTGGCCCAAAGTGACATCTCTTCGTGGAGACACAAGAGAGAAGATAAGTTAAGAATCGGTACTGTAACAAATCCAGCCTCGCAGAACAGCAAAGACCTTCAGCGCCTAGCCCGCGGCTGGCCTCGGACCCCGTAGGCTGAATCGTGACAATATAGTTCCGGAGGTGCAATACTATTAAGGGGCATCTGGATAGGCTCACAGGCCCTGTGCTGACTGCATGAGTTCTGTCGCCACGAAAAGCATTGCGGAACTTGACAACGGGGGCACCCGGCACAGCCACCACAAGACAGCCCTGCCAGGCCCCCACATATCAGTCGGGGGGCGCTTTCGAGCGCCTAATATTTACGTCGATGCTGGGAACACCTCCTTTCGGACTGCATATTAGCCAGGATCAGGTACCCGACTTTAAGCGACTACTGCCCGGACGCAAAATGCCTCCGGAAGCTATCAACGGATCCTACCAACGGAACTTGCCATGTGCGCAGCCCCAATCTGCTTGCCGCCCTGACGAGGCGGGAAGGTATCGCGTCCCCATTCGCCACGGCACAGTCGATATCAACAGGCTGCAGGAGGAATAAAGCGTGTTGCCAAGCACCTTGTTGGGGGTCCACAGTCTGTCTTTACAGCGCCACGAATTGCTGCATGCTCGTGTAGCATCCTCTCTCGTGAGGCCGGTGACGGATGTGTAAAAATAACAATCAGGGCTTGACACGTCGCCTTCGCCTTGAACTACCACTTACAAACACACCGTGGCCCCTGACCTATAAGACTTCATTCGTAGAATATGCCATGCTAATGAGACGGAGTCGAGAAGCTCTGCAACGAAGCTTCCGCAACACAGGTGACAACAGCCCGTATGATCAGGACCCAAAACCTCGCTCAAGATGGCTCCTTTTACGTCGGTCCCCGCACATGCTCGTACGATAGCCGGCGCCTGGAGAGACGACCCAAGTCCTTTGAACCACGACCACAACATCGATGACCATGATACAGAGGACGCCAGCCTCCTGGGGCATAATGGTACAAGTCATACGCCAGCGGAAGCATATCGATACGCAAGCGTCCAGATGTTGAAGCAATATATCCCAGAGGTTGAGCCAGACCATGACCGCGCAAAAACGCTGCGTGTCAAGATGGCGAAGCGGTCTGTGATGCTGACAATACAGCTTAGCATTGCGGGCTTTGTCCTCGTGCTCAACTTGGGCCTTTTGCTGTGGCTGCTAAAGTTCTACCCCGTGGACGCCCGCGGCATCGGCACTTTTGTCTTTGGGAACTGCCAGGACCTCAACTTGCTCAACGGCGCCGCACACGCGGTCCTCAACATCGTCTCGTCGCTCTTCCTTGCATCTGGCAACTATTGCATGCAAATACTGGTGGCGCCCTCTAGGGTCGAGATCGACAAGGCGGAGAAGCAGGGACGCTCGCTCGAGGTTGGAGTACCCAGCATCAAGAACTTGCAATACATTGGCTGGGACCGGACGATGCTGTGGCTCCTTATCGGGGCCATGTCGACACTGCTACATCTCTTGTAGGTATTCCCGAAGGACATCTATTGCTTCACTCCAAATTCTTATTCATTCCCAACTAATGCTCGGCGTGGCAGCTGGAACTCGACCTTGTTCACATCCATACCCGTCTTTGCCATACCTCGCGCAGTCGCCACCAGCGACTTTCTGGTGGCGCCCGACAACTGGACTCTGTCAGATCCACTGGGAACGAGCGGTTGGTGGGCGTATGCACCCGGCTACGGCGAGCTCTCGCACAATCTGTCGCTGATCTACGACCTCCAGGTGGCCGCACCGACCATGAAGCGGCTGGAACCGGCCGAGTGTATCGACAAGTTCATAGACCCACTGACTGTATCAGCAAGTGTCATTGTTGTCGCTCAGAACATGACATCGGCGCAATTCAACGGGACTTCGCTGCTGGACGGGTGGGTGTCTGGGTGGGAGTCGTGGACGGGCTCGACGAGCTGGATCTGCAGCGCATACATGTCGCCGGAGCCAGACAAGTACCGCATCTGCAACGACGACTGGACTAGCGAGTTCAAGCATGACTGGCAGCTCAACTGGCACAGCAAGTGGTGGATCAAGGTCGACCACTGCCTGGTGGATGTGGACGAGAGCAACACCCAGGACAAGTGTGGCTTCCACTACAGCATGCACATCTGGGCCATGGTGTGTGCGTGCTCTGCCCTCGAGGCGGCCGTCATCTTCGTCGTGTGGCTCAAGAATCATCGGATGCGCGCAACAGGCCCCAAGAAGCAGCGGCGTACTTTGGTCACCATCGGTGACGCGATTCAGAGTTTCTTGGAGCACCCAGACTTTGGCGACGATAGCGATCATGAATTGTCAGCCAGCAGAACGACCAGGACGAGGAAGTCTGCCGAGATTGTCACCGTCAAAAGAATGCCATGGCATGTCACACCACGTCTCAATTGGTTCGCAGCCATCAGCAAGCGAGCATGGCTTCTTTCGTACACCTTGTAAGTGGGCTGGCAGTTCCAACTGACCTTTTCCCCGATACCACTTTGGACAAATCATCCCTGCTAACACGCCATTTGAAGCTTCATCGCAGGTCTAGCCGTCCCAACAATCTCCATTGCCTTCTCTTGGGACCACCTGCGCAGAGTTGGCATCGACATGAGCTTCAAGGCGATCTGGGCGCGCAAGTTCAGCGTATTTCCCGCCACGACCACCAACCGCTTCGGACCACTCGACGATGTTCCAAAGTCGCCGTTGGTAGTGCTGCTCGCCAATGTACTCGTGGCTAACAGCCCCCAGCTGCTCATGAGTGTCCTCTACCTCTTCTACAACAACATCCTGACCCGGCAGCTGCTTGCAGACGAGTGGTTGCGGTTTTTCCGCAGGAGCGAGAAGAAGCCGCTGCGTGTCTCCTCGCCCAAGGGCATCCAGCGATCCTCGTATTCGCTGTCTCTGCCACTCAAATACTCGGTGCCCCTGCTGGCTTGCACGACGCTCTTGCACTGGCTCCTCTCGCAGAGCATTTTTCTAGTGCAGACGAGTGCCTTCCAGCTTGCCCGTAACGGTGGCCACCGCCAACCCGAGTACGATGCCACGATGCGCGGCTACTCGATGCTAGGCAGTCTGCTCAGCGTCGGGCTTGCCTTGCTGCTGCTGCTGGCCATCACCTTCAACGCCACCCTGCGCAGCTACCGCGACATTCCGGCGGCAGCGGCAGCGACAGCGGATGGAGTCACGGCTCCCAGGGCCAGCATGAAGAACCTCGGTCTCCTGCGACTTGGCTACCACTGTGGCATCCTGAGGGCACTCTGTGCTGAACGACCCGCCGCCGATGTTGACGCGCACTTGTTCCCGCTCGGCATCGGCATGGTCGAGACCGCCAAGAGCAAAGCCGCGGCCTGTCGTGGGCAGCTCGTCTTCTCGACAGACATCCAGCTCGACCAGGCGCCAGTCCCGGGCGAGCTGTACCTCGTGCCTACCCTCGAGCTTCGTGAGCCGAGACCTGGGGGCGCATGGCACATTCGTGCTAGCGTGGCTGCGCGTGAGACGGTCCGGAGAGCTACTGCCGTACTGGGGATTCGTCGGCATCGAGGAGGACGATCGTCATGAGAGACAGTCACCTTTGCGAGAACATAACTGTTGTCACAGGAGGAAAAATATGCATTGCGCTTGTTTTGACACAGATAGTGTTCGCGAAAGCAGTATCTAATTATTGGCTTATCATTGCCTTCGTGGTGTAGTTAATTCTTTGTTGTAGTTGAGTCAGTGTCAACCTTTTGCACTATTCCTTGCAAACAGAAAGGCAAAGCTATTGAATTTTGCCTGACGAACACCTAAGCTGATCACTGCTTTTCTTTTAGTCAACAAACTGCCACAAGGGACCGTGTTTAAACAGGTTCTTCCAGCTGAGGATGGAATTTCATGTCGTCTCTTCGCCGTTCTCGGTCGTATCTCAGAACTCAATATTTCGAATTCTTCAAGAAATCCAGAGGTCCGAGCACTGCTGAGGTCAGCATCAGCCGCTCGATTCGTTTTGTAATTGCATGCACACGACTGCCTTGATTTCTCCTCCTCCTCCTCACTCGTGGTGGCGTTACTTTGCCAGGCGCCTGACCAATACAGACGTGCGGCACCCGGTGCGACAATTACAGTATAAAGATGAAAGGCGGTGCCCAAGAATCATTTTTGAGCAGGCTTGGGGATCAATTCCTTAACCCTTGAACACTACGATGTTCCTTGAATGTACCTGGAACCTCGGACAGGAAACAGTATTCTGTCGAGCAGGGGTGCAGAAAGGTGTGGGTGGGGCGGGGCTGCTTCAGCGCGTCCAGGCCGCGCCCTGCACTGCACCCCTGCTTGACCTTCTGCCATTCACTTATGAAGCTTCAAGCACAGTACCATAATAACCGCGGCCATGCCCTCCTTCACTTGCCTGCTTGCCCGCCAATGCGGCCATCAAGACTATCACCATGCCGTCGTTGGCGAATGCTGCACGAAAACACACTGATTTTGTTCGCCTCTTTCAAGAGAGGGAGGCGGAGCAACGGAGCAAACGGCCAGATGTGCTCGACGCCTCACAGCATGAAACGTTGCGCAAAAACCTCGACGAGTTGAAATTCATTCCCCCTGTCTGGGCTGATTCGACGCAGCTGGGTGTCTACCTCGTAGCAAAAAAATGGAAAGAGTAAGTCATCAGACATGTCATATCTTGGAAGACTTCTAATAAGTTATACACCTCAGTTACTGCGAATCCAACAAGCTCGGCGACTGGATATCCGTCTTGAAAGAGACTGAAAACATCAAAGCCATTGCCATGGACTTTTTGCTATGGATCTGCGAAAATGGGGCAATCAACTCCTACGGCACTACCTGGGGATATTTTCGACGCTTCAAGCAGTTGTTTGTGTTAACCACACGACGGGATTTTGCGAAGATTGACACTATGGAGGTTGACAAGGTAAGTAGGCTGTTCCGCGGCTGTTCCAAGAGAAGACGTGAGAGCGAAGAGGTTGATAGAGGGCTTGCGAGGATGATGAGTGACCCAATAACTAGTCGAAACTGATCCAGGACATTATCCTTTTCGCGACTCGAAAGACCGACGAGTAGCTGGTCTAGGACTGGAAGGTAGGTCGCATCAAGTTTCGATTCCTGGCTTCTTGTCCGGTGAGCTAAAACCTTTTGTAGCTGTTTATCCGGGTTGCCGCATTTACGGTCGGCCAGAAAGCGACATACGGTGGCAGCGAAGATAAACAGCGGGATGGCCATTTCAACTAGGGCTTGGACTGTCGACTGGCCGGGCCATGTCGTAGCTAGCTGGCGATCTGGAGGGACTGAGACATTGTACTGATCCCGGATCCTTGCTAGCTCGGTCTCCAAGAAAGCGCCAATATCGTGCTCGAGAATCGGTGCGGGTATCTCGTGGAGCACGAGGTCCTCGTACGTGCCGTTAAGCTCTGCAAAGCCAAGGCGGATGGGAAGCTCAGGCCGGCTTGTAAGGAGAACCCTTAAGCACAGCGATCTAAGGGTCCTTGCGCGTGAGAGAAGATGGATAATCAGCTTCACATCCTCCTCCCGTTCACATTCATCGAGTGCATCGACTACTAGAATGAGGTTTGGGGCCGGGGAGGCGGCTTGCAGAGGCGCGAAGATGAGCTTATCGAACTGTTCCGGTATCGCTTTCGTGACTACCGTTGGGTCGGCGTCAATCGCTTTCTTGACGTGCACCGCTAGGCCAGGCCAGCGCAGGGTGAGCTGGGCGGCAACGGTTGTGAAGAACTTGGCGGCCTTGCCGCCGTCGCCGTCGCCTCGCTTGAAGAAGAAGCTGGCGCCGAGGCGGCGGCGGTCTGCGAAGTGGCGGGCGACGGTGCGGGATATGGTGGACTTTCCGGTGCCGGCCATGCCGTTGAGCCAGAAGATGGCGTGTGCCTGGGGCTGGTTGCCGGGCTGATCGGCCCATTCGCGTATCCGGCGGAGAAGATCGACTCGCGTGTCGCGGTGGCAGGTCGGGGCGGTGCCCTCGGCTTGGGAGTCGAAAGCGGCGCCGTCGGCAGTGGGTAGCTTGTCGAGAACGAAGAGAGTACTACTGGTTTCCCTACTGCTGGTTTCCCCACTGCTGATTTCCCCACTGCTGATTTCCCTTTTGAGCCTTCGAATAGCATTCTGCTTCCCCTCGCCGTATAAAGCCGGCATGGAGACGCTGAAAATGCCTAGTAGACAGTATGCCCAGTCTTCTTCGCGTGTAGTCTCGCGGCTCTTCGCCCATTCGAATCGTTCGTCGACGTCGAACTGGGAAAGGTCGGTGCCTCGAAGTGCTGCGGTAGCTATCCTTGTTATTTCGTGGATCGGTTGCTCCAGAGATTTCTTGTCACCAAGTCTTTGACCCCCTCGCGCGAAGAACTCGACCGATGCCGGCGCAAGAAGCTCTTGGAGCGTCCAGCCCCGGGTGAACCATCTGCTGTCTCGAAATGCCCGTTCCCAAGGCTCAGATGGCTCTCTCTTCCGCTTACGCGCCCACAGCCAGCAATTGAGACATCCGACAGATATACGTAGCAGCGAGCTGCTTTGCGGTACCAACGAAACATCGAGATAATCGCCTCGTTCAGCTCGACTTGGTTCGACTTGTCGATGCAGCAGGTGTCGACCCAGAAATATCGCAAGCCGTCATGTATCGCTCGGTTTGCGCAGAACCTCAGTTTATCGTAGCCAGCCTTATCGCCATCGGTGCCGTCGACCAAATCTTTGAAGGTGACCTCCTCGGGGCCCCATGTGTGCGAGAGTATGGCATATTCGAGATCTTCGTTCGCAGGTAGATCCTCTGTTCGAGTGAAGCTGCCATCGGGACTGCATTCCAGGAGTCGCATTTGGCATAAAGGTCACAAAGGGTACGTTTCGATGAGCGGGAGCGTTGTACGCCGCTCTGGCGAGAGCCGAGCGTAAGTCGAGCTGGAACATCGAGGCTAGGAGGGCGAGGATATCGTGAGGCTGTAGGCAACCACCGCGGATCCCAGAAATTGCGCACCCGTAAAGACGATTCGGCGGCTGGGCCAACTCGGCTGAACCTCGGGTCCAATCGAAAAGTATGGCAGAGGTCACGATCTCAGGCCTTGCACTAGCCACATTCCAAATCAGCCACAGAACGAGGCCTGTGTGAGCATCGTTGGGCACTAACCGAAATCGTCATTCGCTTTTATCCGAGGTACTGTTCTGCGTCGCGATTTGGTAAAGATCTGGACACCACAACAGCCACAAGGCTCATAACGATTACTGGCGTAGTAACGAGGCCCTAAAGCTCGGATATGACCTTTTTATAAGTATTAGAGGTGATAAGAGCTTGATGGTAGAAGCATATTGGAGGAACTCTCTTTTGCTGTCAACGGAGAGGTTCTACAGATCAGGCGCGAGGGCGACAACCCCAAGGTAAATTTCTAGTAAGAGGGGCTGAGAATGCTCAAGAGTGGCTGGAGAATACGACTTATATAAAAGTTTGGGAGACGTTGATATGTGTGGAGTTTTTGACATGTTTACAGTCAAAGTACCCGTCATTTTTTTCGGCACGGCGGGCTTTTCGCCACGCAGGGATGGACGTTAGTTTAAACTGTACAGTTTGCCGAATTGCTTCCCAAGGAGTCATGGATCTAGGAAAATCTGTCCGAAGGCTTCGCGGGCCTGATGCTGGAAAACAAATTCCAACGATCCAAATGCCGATGGCTGACCACTGTAGGTTACTGGAGGCGTGTGCACCCTCGAAGGGTCATACCGGCATTCAAATCGCGTGACAAAAGGTTGAGATCTTGGATCTACTTCTTGGTAGTTTTTGCGAAGTGCCCCGGAGTTCATTTTGAGTACCTAAAAGAAGGCAAGAACAACCATGAAAGCAGGACAAGCCCTCCGAGAAAAGAAAGAGGTCTGCAAGGAGCGACATCGGGCTCCCGCCCGGCCGAAACGGGAGGACCAGGAACCAGACTGCACACACACACGCACACACACACGACGATCTCTCCCCCCCCTTCCCCACCAAGGGTCCGCCCCTGCCGATCGCTAAAAATTAGCGCCGGGACTCTATTTGGAGTGCAAAATCGCAGCGACTTGAATGTCTCTGTGACGGCTGCTTCTCGCTCGCATCGCCATATCAACGTATTGTAGCTATTTTGAGAAGGGGACCGTTTCTAGCGTTTGGAAGGCCTCCCACGGTTTTTGAACAAGGACACGGCCATTTCCACCACATGAATGGGCTCGTCGACTCGCTGGCCACTCTTCCACACCACAATACAGTACAACGCTCCTCCATTTCGGGCTGAACCCGGGGTCACTGGGGCCCCAGCGAAAAGCCAATGGCCCAAAAACCAGCCCTTTCAGCAGAATTAGGGCAGCTATCGACCGGAATTTGGGATTATGCGAACCGGTCCTCTGTTGCATTTGGCGGGGCCTTGCACGAGGTTGCTCACCGGAGATTTCCCACAAGGGTCGCGGGATTCTAGGCCCAACACCGGAGACTGCACAAGTCTTGTACTGGGACCTTTGCAGTCTGCTAAGCCAGTTAACAGCAAATGGGTTAGATTTGGTGGACGAAACATCGTTTGCAACTACTAAATAATCTCGTACAGAACGCGAAACTCAATGCATTCCTTCCCGCCAACATTAATGAAAGTACCACTATCAACCAGCATTCCCTTAAATGGGCCAGCAAACTTTCGTGCGTATTGAGTACCATTATGAAGTCCAGTATCCTGTGGTGTATTAGGAAGTGTAGGTGGTTCGCTGGATGTAGTAGGCTGTGGTTGTAGTTTGGTCGGATAAGTCTGACAGCGTACCTCTGTCCCTGTCGTTCCACCTGCGTTTTGGATGGAAAGTTCGTCATCGGAACTAGCTGTGCTGCCGCAATGAATGTTCGCTTTTTGCCATATATCTAGTTCACAAAGCCTGGACATCGTACGAGGGTGATGTGGGCCAAGTACTTGCTGGCTGAGCTGGACGCAACGGCGCATCAAGTCCAATGCGTCATCATGACGACCTTGGCCTTTCCAAGTACAAGCAAGATTGTTAATGCCGGTCAGCGTGTCAGGGTGCTCCGGCCCCAGCACTCTCAAGCGGATCTCAAGTGCTTTTGCTTGCAAATTTTCAGCCTCCGCCCATCGGCCTTGATTCCGATACGTCAACGCTAGATCAGCCATGCTGGTCAGCGTGTCGGGATGCTCCGGCCCCAGTACCCTTTTTCTTATCTCCATAACTTGTAAGTCCAACGACTCGGCCTCTGCCCATCGGCCTTGATTCCGGTACGTCGACGCCAGATTGGCCATACTACTCCGCGTGTCAGGAGGCCCCGGCCACAGTGCCCTTAAGCAGATTTCGAGTTCTTCCGCTTGAACTTCCTCGGTCTCTGCCCATGACCTCGGTGCAGTCCAGCACATGGCCTTTTATCATTTCGGGGTGGCCCAGAACAGGGCCTGATTTCAGGACCAGAGGTGGTCCAGAACAGGGCTTCTGTATCATATCGGGTGGGCCCAGAACCGGACTCACATGTCACGTGTGCGCGAGAAAAGCGGCCAGCCGAAACAATCGAAAAATCCCAGCTTGAGAAATTTCGCTGACAAGGTCTACTCGAGGATATCGAAAATTCCCAGCTTGGGAAATTTCGCTGACAAGGTCTACTCGAGGATATCGAAAATTCCCAGCTTGGGAAATTTCGCTGACGAGGTCTGCTCGAGGATATCGAAAAATCCCAGCCTGAGAAATTTCGCTGATGAGGTCTACTCGAGGACCTCGAATATTCCTTGTCTAAGAAATTTCGCCGACGAGGTCTGCTCGAGGAAATCGAAAAATCCCAGCTCGAGATATTTCGCTGACGAGGTTTGCTCGAGGACATCGAAAATTCCTTGTCTAAGAAATCCGAGGAGAAAAATCCCAGCTCCAACTCAGTTTCAGGTCTCCCTAAGAAAGATCAATTGTTGGTGAAGTAAGGAACCCAAGTTGACGTCGTGCCGGGTTCCGGAAAAAATTAGTAACCGGAACCGCAGCGAGGGGACCCGGACATCATGAACGGGGCCGATCATCCCTCGATGCTGACCAGCATGGGCAACCTGGCGTCGTGGACCTATTGGCCTCCAGGGTGGATGTGATGACTAAGGCAGAATTTGCTTGGCGCTTACCAGCGCACACGCGCAACCATGTCGTTTCTTTGCAAGACCCTCCACGACGAGTCCGCGCAGCCTCATGAACGCCTCCCTACGCCGCTCTGGGGAGCCGCGACTCTCGGTTCGGATGCGGGAGTCGTAGGACAGCGGTCGTTTCTAGTTCAACCTCGCGTCGCGGTGCAGCTTCGATGTCGATGAAATCTATTGGGAGGCGCTGCATAAAGAGGGTATGGGCGAGGCAATGCTAGACGAAGCAATACTCTTCGAGAAGAAGAGATTCGTGAAAGAGAAGATGGACCAGTTCGATGGGTATCGGAGGGAGAAGGAAAGTGAGCGCTTTGCTAAGCAGTAGGAGTCGGGTTTGAATAGATTAAATGTGTCGACCATCTTTCTTTCTAGTCTAAATTGATCTGCTAAAGGCCTTAGCAATGGCACATGAACCATCACTGAACCCGACTAACCGTCCACCCCGACCCCTTTTGCCGATGAGCCCCTAGTAAGGGTTGCGCTGTGCATGGCCTGTCTCACACGGCTGAGAGGAAGGTCCTCCGATCCTCCGACGAGGCGCCAAGTGATCACCCTTTTGTTCCATCTGCAGCCCGAGAGAACGAATTCCGAGATACCGTGGACATCTGGGAAGCCACAGCGGGGTTCGTTCATCGCTCTTTCCGTGTCGTCATCGAAGTTTCCGGTTCTCGGCAAGCCGACAAAATGCTGGAAACGTCCAAGGGCAGCATTGTCATCCACCGCTGGATTAATGTCATTAGGGTCTCTGGAGCGGTCCAACTACCCAAATGCTTGGAGGAATTCTCGCACTTGGGTTTGCTTCTGAGGAGGTAGAGACATAAAGGTAACCTGGGTCGCAAGGCTTGCCTTTGGAGCAACCCATCGTTGTGTGCTCGTTGCCATTTCAAGCTTCTGGGGGCTGTTGGAGAGTAACAGGGACTGTGACTAGGGAGAGATGCTGGGCAGTATTTGCGCGACTTGCTGGATGGAGAGAGAGAGAGATGAAGTTGGAGAGGATTGTTCTTGTCTATGCGGTTAGTCCGTCCTTTTATATAATGTTTCGTGGAAGGCGGCATGTTAACGTCTTTTTGATGGTCGGTCCGGGGTGACTAAATTCGGGCTAGTAACGAGATAAAAGTCGCAACCACAAGCTTCTCTGAGAATGCAGAGTTCGGCGATGTCCAACGCCCGAACCAGAAAGTCAGGACCGAGACGTGCATGCAGGCATATTGTTGGCAATAGTTGGACTAGACCGGGCAAAAGCCCGCATGGTTCTCAACAAAGATTGAAAGCCTGCGTCTCAGCAAAGTAAGTTGCACCGATTCTCGGATACCATGTGATTTCTAATCCCCTTCGCGTCTTCACCACCCACTTTGGCGGATTTCAAATGAAAAAGCGTTGGGGGAGCCGGAAGTGGTGAAGATCCAAGAAGAATTTGATGGGGTTTGATGTTCTGCGACTACTTTTGATTGGTCTATTTTAGGGGGCTTTAAAATTGAGTTTAAGAGGGCCGCGTCGACTGGTGTGATGAGGTGACCCGACTCTGACCTTTCATCGAGAGTATGGACCCATAAAAGACAAAGAGCATGTGATCGGCACCTTTCGCGGCCCCGGCCAGGACCACGACAAACTCTACGAGGCCGATGAGCACGGCGTCGAGAAAGAAGTCGACCGCCCGCGACGGCCAGATTCCAGCCGGACCCGAGTGTGGTACGGGCCCATTGGCTCCGGCGAGAAGCTGATGAAGAATGCTCGGAAGAGGAATGAGACTGAGGGACACGCACAACGTCATAGGGCTCGAAATGGAGGCCGCCGGGACAATGAACCGACGTATGTCGCTGCCATGGCTGCTGCCTATGCCAAGGCTGTTTTGTCAGAGATTCTTCCGAGGAACATTCCGCCACAGCCTGCCGCCACCTCACAGGCACAAGGTGGTGCCGTTTTCAACGGACCTCTTTCTGCCCGGAATCTAGTTGCCGGGATGTCCATGTCTGGTGGTACCACGAACCTAAATTTTTCTTGAACAAAGAAACATCGGACCTGGCATTGTTCTGTCTGGAAATTCTGGGAAATTCTCAAGGGCAGTGGACTCGGGATGCATGAGTCCCATGAGCAAGTGGCGAAACGCCCTGACCCGAGGACGATGTCTTCCTCACGGGTACGACTGGGGAAATTGACACGACGGGCCTCGATATAATCAGCACGGGCCGTTGCATTGAATTCCAGGCAAATGAGACAGCCATAATACGACGCTCTTCTGCAGCCTTCGGGCACGTATTCGAGGCACATGCATACCGATGCATGTTGATTTGGCGAGGCCGATATGTCGGGCCGTGATATCCTCTTAGCCAATCGGTCTCGGTTTGAAGTGCCAAGGCACGAAATCTGGCTAACAGCACCAAACACTCATCGTTGCAGGACTCTACTCGCTTTATTATACGAGCATCGTATTACTTGGTATGCAGTGTGACCCGACCACCAAACCGATGCTACCATGCGTCGGGCTTAATGGCCGAAGTCCTCAACCGCATGTGTTGGGCTCAGTGACCAAAGTCCTCGACCGAGATGCTGCCATGTGCCGGGGAAAATGACCGAAGCACGGAAGTCCAAGAGAAAGGGAAATAAAGAGGAGTTGAATCCGACTGGCAGACCCTCTGTAATGATCCAAGTGATCCCCATCCCTACCCTTTCTCTGAGCATCGGGGGTAGAACTCCGGTTGATCCAGCACAATGCCGTCGCCCCTGAGTCGCCTAGGCCTTCGATGGGCACAGCTGTTCGTGGCTGTACTCTTGCTGGCTCATCAATGCGCCGCAAAGGATAGTCTAAAACTATCAGAGGTAAAAAGCGCCAGTTCAATCGCTAGGATGACAGATGCTGACATCGAAAAGGCGAAACGGAAGTATATAACCGCATGCCACATCCTCGACTACCACGACATCGTTGATGCCTTTGGACATGCCTCAATTCGCAACCCAGATGACAACTCGACTTTCATCATGGAGAGGTTGATCGCGTCTGCACTGGTTGCCGACGACAGGGACCTTGCGCTGTACCACATCAGTGACGGGTCCCCGGTCCGGCCGCAGGACGTTGGCATGGCCCGAGGGGAACGATTCATTCACAGCGAGATTTTGAAGCGGTTTTCTGGACTGAACGCGTGCGTCCATGCGCATACGGTAGCCGTGCTACCGTACTCTACGAGCGACGTTCCTTTCTTACCCGTGTATCACATGGTCGGGTATCTAGGTGAGGATCTTCCCTATCCCGAAAGAAGTTGCCGTGCTGAGAATTCCTGTAGGTTTTGATGTACCGCTGTGGGATATTGTTCCCCTGTACAATGCGACCGATATACAAGACAATTTGGTTTCCAACACCCGATTTGGTGCCAGTCTCGCGCAGGCGTTTGACGCCAACGGAACCTTTCCCGGAGGCAACGAAACCTTTTATGGAGGCAACGGAACCTTTCCTCGACATGTTTTAGTACTAATGAAGCAACATGGCTTCGTAACGTGTGCAGCAACGATCGAGGAGGCCACGTATCAAGCTGTTTATGCGAAGGATGCCGCATTAGTGGAGACGGGGCAGTTGGAGCTGCGACATGCTTACCACGGAACCGGCGTCGAGTCATCCGGGGGCGTCAACGCGTTGAGTCCGAAACAAGTGGAGGGGATGAGGAACTTCCCGGCAAGGTTCCGGGACACGTACTGGGAGTATTGGGTGAGACAGGTCGAAGTAGAGCCGCTTTATCAGAACAACATTGAGCGTCGATTTGGGGGGTTCTATCTAGCCGATTGGCCATGATGCAGTTCGACGGCGCCGCGCTGCGGCCCGTTGTCTGATAATCTGGCGGCGGCACAAGCGCCCTCTCACCCTCTTCTGGGCTCATGTCTCGATAGACGCACAGCGGAACAGTGGCCAGTTGCTCCACAAAAGTCTTGAGCTCGTCGAGCGTCGCCTGCACAGATCGGAGTTCCGCCGTGATATCTGTCAGATGTGTCATCGAGGGTACCGCGTAGCCGAATGTTTCGTTGGAAGGGCATGAAAAGGGTGGAAAGTGGTAGGTTTCTGGCACACTTCCCCCATATTCCCAGGAGGCGGGCAATCTCCGGATAAAGTCGCTGGCCGTCGGCGTTTGGGTTCGCGAGGCCACAAAGGGTGCGAGCCTCAGGCATGAAAAAACTCTTGCCCCGCGGGAAGAGTTTTTCATGCCTGAGGCAGCAACATTTGAAGGACTGCACTTGGGGCTATCTCCGCTGGGTCAGATGGCCTGAGGGCGTTGTCGAGCACTCAGCCGTGCAACACGCCGCGCAACACGCCACGCCATCAGTTGTGGCGCACCTGCAGATCTTCAACTTGCTACCCCAGCGGAATGGGGTGGATGGTATCGGCCCAGGTTCTGCTGCAGCCCTTCTTTCCGCAGGTTTCATCCCAAACTAGGCGGTGGCTGGGTCCGTGCCTTGGCCGCACCGTTTGCGTATAAGTATCCAGGCAAATCCCCTCCCCTGTTGCTCCGTTCTTCCACCTTCCGAAACGGGCGCTATGCGCGGCTTCGCCGAGGACCTGCTGGTCAAAGACATGTCTGGCGCAAGGCCCATGATGGATAAGTTGGAGAGTGAGGGCTGGCGACGTGGCCGAACTCTGTTTGTGAGTTCAATACGGCGCCCTTTTCGTGGGTAAGAGCTTGCGCATTCTCACATGCTTCTCAGGTCGTCGATGCCGAGACAGGGGGTTCCGCCGAAGGGGTTCTCAGAGAGTGTGGCTACGTAGAAGCGGGCACGATCCCGGACTATGGAACCAGCCCCAGCGGCCGGAAGATGGGCGGGATTTTCTTCTACAAGGAGCTGCGTGCGCCTGAGGTTTCTGGATTGGCGATGGATATGAACATGACAGCGGACGAAGTTCGTCCCTGGGAGCTGTGATGGTGGAGACCCGTCCCTCCCGACCGTCTCTTCCTGCCAAGCCAAGGCGACTCCGAGACTGGACCACAGTCTGGCTCATTCTGCACAATGCTGGGGGCGGGACTTCGCCTGAGCTCCGAGATAGAAAAACAAACAATCAAGATCCCATGCGCTATGAAGATGCTGGGCCTCCGCCAGGATGCGGCTGAACCTCACACTCTCCCGGACCGAGAGCGGTGCAGATACGGCCTCCCAGCCCGTGTGCGCTACAAGGCCAAGTCATAAATACGTGGGCCGTGCCAAGAGTTGAATTAGAGCTCAGGAGCGGAGAACTCAACAGCCTCAGTACGTGAGAAGACACAATCGGGAAACGGCATGGCGCTGCTGTGGTGGTCGTAGCCGTCCATGACAATCGGTGCATGGTGCGACTGCAAGCTGGCCTTTCGAGTAGGCAAGAAGAGCGTTGACAAGGTTAGTGCGGTCGGGCAACTTTTCCAACAGCCTGCTGGCAGCGCATCCGTGCCTTATGTCGTGCCTTCTGTCACGCCAGTGGTGCGGAACGAGGCATTAGTGAGCAGAGTGCTTGCATTATATACAGGTATGAGATGCGCCGAATATCGTGTCGGCATCGAGCGACGGGACGATCCGGTTCTGGGAGGCGCGGAGGGGTCTACTCGGTCGCGTTTTCGGCGAACGCCAGCCGACACTTGCTCCTCGTACTCGAGTGGGATGTCGCGAGACGCGAAGACGATATGCGAACTGGAACTCAGACCACCGCGACTTACGGCTCTGGAAGGCCTTCGTGGGCGCCTTCTACCTGGCCACGATGATGCGCGCGGGACTTCTCGGCGGCAAGGACGCGGCGCTCCCGGAGGTGCGAGTGTCGTTGAACCGCTGCCTGCGGACGGAGCGAAGTTGTCATTGTGAGAGAGCGGGGCGACGCCAGAAACGCACTTGTCGGATTACAGAGCATCTAGCATGAACACCGGGCTTCGTGGTGGTAAAACGGAATGAAAAAGAACTTGCAGTAGCACAACGCCGTCGGCACCAAGTGACGCGTGATTTAATTATGTCATCGTCGAGACAAGCTGCACGGAGGATTCGAGGTTTGCGGCTCGGGCGGTGTTGCGGCGAGGTGGTCAGCCCAGCAGCCACAGCGCCCGTGGCCGCCGAGGTGTCGGTTGCTTACTCTGCCATCGGCGAAGCTGCTTCTGCCGGCTCGCCTGGCGATGGTCCATCGGCTGGGACCACGGGTGTGCCGCACGGGCCACAATGTCGAACTTTGACATAGCTTGGCATTGCGGCCCGTGCAACGTACCCTCTCGGCAACGGTGGTTCAGGAGGGGAGGCGCCTGAACTTGGGTCCTGAAAGTGGTCCCTCACCGAACAATTGTCCCAAGTCTTTCGCAAATCCCTCAATCTCCCATGGAGCAACAAGGGACCCATCAGACGCATGTTGCAGCTTGCCTACCGGCGAGGGAGAAAGCCCACTGGCGCATCCGTCCGCTCGTTGACCTGGCCACTTCCACCCGAAAGCCGTAACTCAAGGAGGTCCGCGGCGACATCGTTGTTGCCGTCTATCATCACCATCGTCGAGCACGTTCTGCATATCTCCCGGTGACTATATCTCGTCTAACGCGTCGCTCCTTCCCGACCTCTGTTCCTAGTCCTGTAACGTGTCCTCACTCGATTTTTTTCCTTGCATCGCCGCTTGCCACTCATCGTAATCTGCGCAGGCTCTCTCGCAACCTCGGCTGTAACGAGAGACCATGTACGCGGGCATGCCCGTCAGGAGTAAGTGGCAGAGGACTCCGCCGACTACCGCTATTCTGTAGTAGACTCTTGGGTTTACCTGGAAATCGTTAGTAACCGTAGCTGATGATGCGTTATCCCGGTTTCACCAGTGGTGGAAGCAGAGCCACGGTACGTACAATCAGATAGGCTTGGTGTCGGCAAGGTTCGTGTCGATGATCGTGTCCTGCGAGCCCGGTTCTGGCCAATGGCACAAAGTTTAAGGCTTGGATGAATCTGCTGGACGCCCCCCGTCCGACAGCCCGACCTGAACTGAATCTTGCAGAATCCAACATGCACAATTCTCCTTATTTTTAATTGAAGAATAATCAATTTAAGCTACAAAGCGGGGATGCATGTAACTATTCCGCAGATTGTAGAATCTACATGCGGACACCAGCGCAAAACCAACTAGCGGAACTAATTCATTAACTCGTGGTGGATTTTTGAGAAACGGGTGCTGTAAGATTAGCTTAATCCGCGATCACCAAAGGAATAGCAACGCACCTCTCCTAGCTTGCTGGCGGAGGCAGTCATGGTTAGAGTCAAGAAATCGATCGCCTCGGCTGACCAGTCTGTGGGGGTTTTCAACCGGAGTGTAGTCTCTGTTGATCCCCCAGTAGCCATACCCTCCTCTAAGTCTTCACCCATTAGCGTACTCATGACTAGTCCTAAGGCTTTTGTATCAGCCAACCGGTTCTCCGGAATAGTGGCGGAGCAGTTTTCAGGATTAGCTATAAACCACCGTTAGCGAACAACCACGCAAGTCAACCTTACACCTACCAATTTTAACGACTCCTTCAGTGGTCAAGAGGACGCTTGAACAAGTAATGGAGCCATGGGTTAGATTCTGCGACGTGAGGTACGATATGGCGTCCAATATCTGGGTCTCGTGTTAGTCTGTAAGTTCTCGATAATCAAAGCATGCCTTACCTGATGTACGATGGCGGCCAGTTGGACTTCGTCCGGGCGGACCAGTATGACCCCTTCCAGCGAAATTGCTGTATATTCAGAGATAACATAAAATGAGTCTTCGAAGGAGAATATTTCTTCTGGACTGAGAAGATTCTGGTGCTTCAGCTGGCGAAGCATATAAAGCTTCTCTTCCCTGCTTGGCCCTGAAAAGCTGTGTATCGCAAATAGCTTTTCCGTAGCTGGAGTCTTGCAAACAACCGCTACAGAGCCTCCTAGTTCAAGGCCATAAGCGTTCCGGTAGTGCTTCCACGGTGAGCCTTCTATGACGGGAACCGATCGATCTCCGTAGGACGCTGCAGACTTGACTGGCAGATTTATGCGACGAAGCCTGCCTCCCTGACTGTTAGCCCTGTTAGGAAGTTCTGGAAGCCTAGCCTTAGGTGTGCTAGGAGAAACTGATTCTGGCCTGAAACGTTCAGTCCACTGATGGCTACCGGGAAATATGGTGTCGCGTTTGTCCATCTCGAACGCAATACTTTGAGCATGAAACAGTATTGTTATCAATAAGAAGTGCGTTAGCTTTTTATTTAAGTATATACGTAGGGTACTTAAGCCGAGCCCAAAGTGGCCCAGAATTGGGAACGTTGGCCCAACACTGGTCCCCTGCTTGACCAGTTCGTGACTCTCCCGTGTCGGAAAACGGATGACATCCTGCCGCGCCATCCCGTGATGAGGTCCCTGTTTTGGGCCATTCCTGTGTCGTGTCCATTCTGCCCTTGGGCCCTCTGTTTTGGACCCTCCTCTTTTTGGAGTAACCTTGGACGCAGTCGCACCACTGAGCGGGCCGCACAGTCGACGGCTTCGAATTTTCTTCATCGGACCAGGCTTGCTGCCAATCGGTCATGGACTTTCAGGAACACGGCAGTTCAGGGCATGGGGTGCTATCCCATCGAGTGCCACACAACAGCACTCTTTGTACCGGGCCGCATCGATGCTTAGTCATTTTATTTCGGCGCCCAAAATTCAGCAGCAGACTAGATCACACTGACAGCCACTATAATTCCAGGTAGCTTCAGCGCACGGAAATGGATTTAGGCCGGGTTTAGTGCAGTGCGTCCGCTGAAATCTGCGGCCTCTCACTGTACCGAAAATTTCCCTTCTGATTGGTCGAACCCCCTGCCCGGTACAATGAACTGCTGTGTGTTCTGCCTAGGAAGGAGTGCCCCCCTCCCCCAAAGGTGATTCCATCCGCAGCCGTTTCAAAGCTCTGACGCGTTCCCTCTTCTGCGTGTCTCAAACTCTCTAATCCGCTCACGGCTTAGGGTTGATTCCTTCTCCCAAGAATTATCGGAGTCAGGACGTCCTTTCCACCTCACGAAGTACTCAATCCCTCCTTGACGTATCCGTTTGTCGAGCAGTTCCACCCCCAAATGGTTCCCTCCATACTCCGAGTAGGCTGCGTCAAACTTGTCGACCAGTTCAGTGCTGATGTCCTTTCGTTTCTCCCACGAGTTAGCTTCATCAGAGAAGCCTTTCCACTTCACAAGGTACAGAAGTTTCACGCGCGCGCGCCTGGCGTGTCCATATTCCCGGCCTAGTAGCGATGTATTTTAAGCATGCTGCAAGATATAGTGGGATTTCGTACGAGGCAAGACGAAAGCAAAGTCTACCGCTGTCCCCGATGCTATCCTCTCAGGTTCGTGTCCAGCCCCGTCCGCATGTGGCCCTTGCACATCCTCCATGTCCTACCGGGCATAGAAGCCGTCCTGCCAACTATCGACCATCAGCGCCGTCCTCCGCCGCGTGTTTCATGGGTGGAAGGGGTGCGCTTTACCTTGTCTCTTAGGTACCATACGCCTTGGCGAGCTCGCACAGCGCGGTGCGGAGGAGGTCCTCGAAGTCGAAGTGCTCCATGGCCTTGTGGAAGGTGATGATCTCCTCCTCCTGCAGGCGATGGGTCCAGCGTTCTGACGCCAAATTCTTGAGCCACTTGCAGTCCCGTCGTTCCTCCCACATACGCCGGTGGTTGTCGAACTGTTGCAGTAGTCGCTTCCACGGCATGGGGTCACAGTCATCGACGATGGCGCCAACGCGATGGGCGAGGGGCTCGAGGGACGGCTTGGTCGCCCCGGCCGCAAGCTCGATGAGGGGACTCGGACTCCTGTCCGCATCGCGCATGGCATGAATGTAGCCCGTGAGAAGGTTGATGATGACGCCCAGGACGTCCTTGCGCGCCGTGAGGCGGAGCGCTGCCATCTTAGCGCAGTGCTCCTTCAGCTTGCGTTGGGTCTTTGCGCATTCTTTGAGCTTGCGTTGGGTCTTGGCACGATTCTTGGCCTTGGCGTGTTCGCGTGCCGCCGATACGGCGCGGAGTGTGGGACAAGAGCTGGTGTCGAACCCGGTGAAATGCGTGCGGAAACGCTGGGAGATGGGATTCCCGTGGACAGGCATCGTGGACGGGTGCGCGCGATTGTGCGTGTGGATGGGTTGTGGGGATGAGATGTTTTGAGTACGTTAGGGAGATATTGTCTTGAGTGTATGTGTTGTGTATTCTTCTGGAGAGGTTGGTCCTTTTGGGGAGAAGTGAGAGAGAAAGAGAGAGTCCGTGAAGTGGAAGGGAGAAGGGTTTTAATAGTACGAGGGAGGCAGCGAGGGAAAGAAGACCAGTGAATCATGGCTCCCGGGGCGACTGTCCCCTCGGGCTCACGTTCACGGCAATCTGGCGATGGCTGTGCGCAACGAAAGGTAGTTAGGCATCCAGGCTCTTCGCCCGTCCTTCAGTCACCGCTGGTCTGCTCGGCTGCCTTCTCTCTGGAGAATTGTCACCTGGCTCTTTCCAACGTACTTGGCTGATGCGCAGCTGTGACGCCCCGTGGGCTCCCTCCTTGCTTGGCTGAGCTCTTTTCTCATTTGTAAGCGCCTTTCTGACCCTCCATGATGCTGCACCTCTATGGGCATCAAGGCACCCTTGCAGCACAGCCTCGCCAACAGTACACAGCCCGTGATTACCAAGTCACGTTGACGGATTCTAAATAGCTCCTTTCATCTGAGTCGCCAGGCTTTGGGAGCTCTTCTCACACTAAACATACATGGAACGCCATCGGCCACCGCCCAAAGTGGCCTTGTACTGGACAGGGGGTCTGGTCAATCGTCGAGGAAATGGCGCCCTTCAACGTACGAGGCGGGCTAGACCCCAGCACAAGTCCGTCGGGCGAGGAGCTCGATCAGTTCTTTGAGGACCATAGCACGGACTCGACCGACTCCCGAGTACGTGGCATTCACAGCACAGCTCGGTTGGTATGGTACGTGATGAGTCGAGATTGAACCTTCTAGCCTACTGCAGAGTCAGATACGAGGGACGCTCTGCCAGGAGAAGAAAGGAAAGAAGCTGCGTCAAGCAGGCGATCAGCGAAGCTTGGCATGTTGCTGCCTCAGGCTTAAAAATTCTCTTGCCGTGGGGCAAGAGAATTTTTAAGCCTGAGGCAGAAAGCTCGTTCTATGATTGGTCCACGGGTTGCTGCTCGGGCCAATCGTGTGTCATGTTCACATCCCCTTTTGGTAAATGTGCACAGACCCCAATACGCCGAAGTGCGAGACCAGTTCTGGGCCCCAAGTACAAAGGGTCCCAAATCTGAACACGTGTCTACACAGTACATCGGACCAGATGTGGCCCAGAATATGGCCTCCATGCCATTTGGGATAGACCTAGGAACGGATTCGCATGACACGTTCGCTCGCTCGGCGGCTCCACGTTCCTGGCCGCGGGACAACGTTCGCCCAAGTTAACATTATAGGATCATTTCGACGAGATTATGCATGTCTGGCAGCGATGAATTGCTCATGTACCCAGAACTTGTGCTGTGCGAGGCTCGGAGCTTACCAGATTTGAGTCCTTAGCCTTGACCCGAACCAGGTGGATGTCCATTTTCAGTGGCGAATCACATGTGATGGCGGCTGGGTACCTGTGTAATGTCTGCCTGGCCCCGTCTGAGGAGCGGAAAATCGCCATTCCCTGTCCTACCCTGAGACCGCAATGAGCCTCCCCCAATGACGCACTGACCACACCTTGTTGGAACAACGATATTTACCCAGATGGATGGAGATGTCGAAATCTGCCCGCGTTGGATCTTTCAACGTGACTGTCGCACGAAACCCTGGCGTGAGTTCGACAACCAGCGCATGCTGTACCATGTTAGCCTCCCTCCGCGACACCAACTCGGGAAGCCGTACCAACATATCCCGGAAATGTTTCTTAAAGTCCTCCAAGTCCTTAACCTCCTAAGCATTCTTGGGTTCACATTCTCTGGTCCAGGGTCTTAACACTGCGGCCTAAAAGGAAGATTATTCATAAGCGACTGGAGTACTTGGTCCGACTCCCTGACCAGCGGGACACCTGGGTCTTTGCCCCCGACATACTGGATCACGTCTCCCCTCGGACGCTGCAAGCTTGGTGTGAGAAGGAGTCGACGAAGCAAGATACAAAGGACCGAACTCGGCTCGATCCCAGTAACAAAAACGGCCCGTTTCAGAGCCAGAGGTAGAGGGCCTTGATTGGAACCATTTGAAACGACGTGGGCTGGAACTAAGGTCGATGGACGAAGCGACCGGTCTGCGAAACGATCCATTACGACTTTAATGATGTGATGGGTTTCGGGAAATGGAGGTGATATCGTCCTAACAAGGTGGGGTTAGCGCGTCATTGTTTGAAAGCTAGGAGGCGCATTGCATCCGCGGTTTCGGCTCCGCAGACGGCGCACAGCAAACATTGTGCTGTAACATGGTTACACAGTATAAGTTCCCAGAACCAAAAGCTCGCACAGATCATTCATTCAGCTCTATTCTGTTTTCATGCATTATGTCTCCGGTATAGACAGCACTTGGAATCAATGCCGAACGATGTCGTTCCCGTCATAATGACGCCACAACGTCAACGTTGATGGGCCATACGTTGCTCCGGGGACCGGAACATGGGCACACCGAGCGAGCACATGTGATACGTGACACCATTTCCAGTCTCACCCCCAAAATAGCACAGAGGCCATATTCTAGGCCACACCTCGTTCGACGTAGACACGTTTTCGGATCCCATAGCATTTATCTTATTTGGCCCAGAACTAGTCTCACATATCCCATGTGGAAGAGCCAGATCGTGTTTGTGCCAATGAAAGCGTGTCAATGGCATGATTCCCAGCACCCCGGCATCAGTCCGATTTGTGCTATTTGGGTATGCGGTGGGATAGAACGAATTTCCCGCCAAAGGACCCCAACTTTTGAACCAAGAGAAACCATTGATCTCCTCCGAGCAAAAGGATCTCGGGACCGGAAAAGATGAGAAAGGGAAAGAGGAAAGAGAAGGACTCCAAGGGAGCACGTACGCTTGACATTCGCTGGTCACTCCGCCTGCACTGCCTTGATGACGGCGCGGTGATGACGCATGCTATACATGGCGGCGCCCATCTGGTGTCGGCATTTCCGAAGATCATGGGCGGCCCCATCGCCATTGAGGCAGAGCTTTGGGGCGCAGCTGTTTGCGGCAACGACAGACTGGGGGCCTTGTCATCTCCATGAGACCTGGCGTGTCGTCTCGGACGATCTCTTCCACAATTCGATGTCCGAGGGTGATATTGCGAGCAAAAATGTGGACATTGCAAGGGGCGCAGTAGTGGCAAGGCACATGTTGCGCTGGGGCTGGGGCTGATTCGCTAGCACGCATGAATGCTGCCTTGAGTGAGGTTCCCTGGTGGACTTGGAGAACCTGAATCCTGTATATGTGGATGCCTTGGAGACCTCCCCAGTGCATATATAACCCGCCCTCCTCGGATTGTCCGCGAGGTAGATGAAGCCCCCCAGCTGCCTCTGCACCTTACCGAAGCAAACATTACAATCAGACCTAGCATGGGGTAAGCTGAATTGATCTAAGCCTTCAACTTGAGTTATCCGATTATTGATTCCCTCTATAGGTATTCGCATTACTGGAACATAATGGGAGCCGCCTTTTGGCAAGATATCTTGCCGAAGTTGGTCGAAGACAGCCGCAAGATCATCGACGCGTCTGGGGTACACGTGCAATACGAGAGCGACGACGAATCGCCGCCAATTCTAGACGCGATCCAGGGCATTCAGTTCAACGGCCGTGGCGACGAGTAAGTCAATATGCACTGTACCCGCATGTGTCGAAAGGAAATGCGCTCAAACCAATCGCAGCGGCCATGAAACCTTCGACATTTGCGGTGGCGACTGCAAGACTGACCGGAAGCCATACGACTTGGTTGTGTGCGCAATCCTCTTAAGAGCCCACCAGCTTGCTCCTAGTGCGATTAGTATCAGGTGTGTTCAAACTGACAGTTAGCTAAATTCATGGATATTGACGGCGTGCTAGGTCTGATGGAAACTGGGGAGACTGGTGGGAAGCTCATGACTTGGTTAGCAGGCTCTGGCCAGGCGCGACGGTGAGCTGTCCCTGGGAGGAGACAGAGCAAACTGAGGAGTCGGTGGGAATAAAGGTGCAATACGTTCGATTTCCGTCGGCGCTACCAATTCGTCGTGGAGTAGTCGGCATAATGGTGGTGTCATGGCCGGCAGGGAATTCGTAGTCCAATAGGCAGGTGGCTGGGTCAGAATACGACGATGGGGATGGAGGGGAATATCCCAGAATCGGGGGGGAGCGTGCTTCTAGTGGATTAGTCATTTCACACTGTAACATGTCAGATAGGTAGAACCTTTACCCAGCTGGCATTAAATCTACAGTGTAAACTTGTTAGAATAAAGAGGGTGGGTTAAAAGCCAGAGCGCAGTTTTGTCGGGTAGAGAGGACAGAGAGGTATCAGTGATGGAACATGAATCCCAAACTCTGCTTCCTAGGAAGATTGTCCCCTTTCCCTCCAAAGATGATTCCATCCGCAGCCGTTTCAAAACTCTAACACCTTCCCTCTCCTGCGCGCCTCAAACTCACCAATGCGCTCACAGCTTATGGTTGATTCCTTCTCCCAAGAATTTTCGGAAGCAGGACGTCCCTTCCACCTCACAAAGTATTCAGCCCTTCCCTGGTGTATCCGTTTGTCGAGCAGTTCCACCCCCAAATGGTTTCCTCCGTACTCCGAGTAGGCGGTGTCAAACTTATCGACCAACTCAGCGCTTATGTCCTTTCGTTTCTCCCACGAGTTAGCTTCATCAGAGAAGCCTTTCCACTTCACAAGGTACAGAACTTTTCTCCCTTGCTTCCATTTAGCAAGCAATGCCTCGACCTCCCATATGTCGTCATCCTCGTCGATTGCGGCAGGTTTGAGGGCCCCGCCATCGTCACTACCTCCTTGGCCGACTGAAGGTGACTCTGTCACCACTCCTTCCATGTGCTCGGCAGAGGATATGTCAGTTCCAAGCTCCGGATCGACCAACTCCATGGGGACTGTAGACAAGAGTGGAGTAGCCCGTAAGCTTTCATTTGCCCATTGTCCCGGAAATGCGCCTTGGTTCCCATGTGCAGCAATGGTATCCGTCGAATCGACAGGACCGGAGATCTGAGAGAGGGGCGGCTGAATATCAGACAGACTCCCCTCACGTCCATCCTCGAGAGTCGTTTGAAACGTGTCATGACAGATGAAAGACAGCGCTGTATCGGCATGACATGCTCGTCCCTCCGTCCAGCCCCATGCGTTAGGACCATTGGGTGACCATGAAGACGAAGAGGGAGATGTGGTGTGCTCGTTGACGCAAAGGTTCTTCCCATCAGCGAAGCTGAGAGATGGCGATGAAATCGACGCGATTGACGGGCATACGTCGGGAAGAGAATCGAGGTCAAAGACTGAGGACTGGGGCGTACCGGTGCCGGGGGAGTCGATGCTTGTTTCCGGACCACTGTTGCAGCGGCTGGAAGGAATCGATGTGGGCCAAATGGATCTGGCCTCCGGCTTGATGCTTTCCGCTGATGCCGACTCGTAGCTGCCAATCTCTTTCTCGACGTGGACTCGGCGCCGCTTTTGCTCGACAAGGGAACATCCTCCGTCCACGAAGATATCCCTTTCTTTTTCGATCTTCGTCCTGGCGCCTCGGGGAGGATAGCTGTGGGCATCTTGGAGATGATACCATAAGTCCTGCTCCGACTCGTATGCTATGGAGCAATCGGGGTCAGGACACGGAAGCACCTCCGTCCTACCAAACTTCCCCACATATGTAGGGACGCACTCGTTGATGTGTTTCTCCCAGCTCACTTGCTTCCTGAACCCGTACAGCCGTCGAACGGCAGGCAGTCGTTTGTTATGCATGCATGTCATGCATCTTCCGGCGTAAACGATGGCTCGGCGGAACTTGACGAAGTCGCAGCGTTGAGGTAGTTCGTGTCTGTCGATGTGCTCTTGACAGTGGCTTTCCCACGCCTTTAGGCCTGCCACTGCATGGTGACATATGGAGCAAAATTCAACGAATTTGTGTCCTCCCTTGTGGTACGCCATGGAGCATTCGAAGACGTGCTTCCATCTGTGGTCAATATGTATCCTAGAGTAGATGCACGCGTTAGCAATAAGAAGCCGAGTTCAGCTCTGAATTTGTCCTTACTGTTCGAGGTCCACTCCACAATGTGGCACTGGACATTTGCCCTGCCGCGGCCGGAGTGACGGTTGATAAGCAACTCGGCAGTTGCTCTTCAAAAGAGAAAGAAGATCCTTAACAGCCGATACACCCTCCGGGCTTCGTAGCGGAGAAACGGAGAAGAGCGCATGTGAGAGCCTTTCGCGTTCTGGCATCAGGTGTCGAAGGCGATCGAACCAGGAACGGTCCTGGTCCACATGATACTTCCCCTTCCCTCCGCGCTCCGCCGGGTGCATCCGGTCCTGCGTACTGCGGACTCTGTTCAGCTCTTCTTTCTCAAGCATGCGTCTTTGCTTGAGAAGTTGATTCCTAATAGCCGTCCGAGTTTCGGCGTTCGTCTCAAAAGAGAGATCCTCGAGCTTCTTCGTGATGGCGACGTAATCTTCCCTCTGTCTTAGCTCGTCCTGCGTCTTTGCAGGCATCGACAGGAAAAGTTCAGGGTTTCTCTTCACAGTCATAGACCGGAAGTCCTCGGCTTGGTCGCTCCGAAGAGGCAGTTTGAGGAAGCCTCCCAGACCATCCACGACAGTGATAGAGCTCAAATAGTCTCTAGTCATGGTCATTTGGTTCGTGTGTGCGGCGAACTTCATCAACTCGTCTTTCGAGTAACCATTGCCTGAACTCCGATTAGCTAACTGGAATACAGAGAAATGAGTAAAAAGTCCTACTTGTAGCTTGGATGAGGCTCTCCCGGCGGATGCCGTGTACTGTCACGAGCTGTTCCATTCCTGCCCGTAGTGACAATTGCCTGACCTGTGTGCAGAACGCAGAAGCCGACTGGATCTTCTGAGTCGGACCGTCTGGTGACATTTCCGGAAAGACAGGGAGATCCAGGGCGTGGACGTGATCGGCCCATTCAAGAACCCAGTACTTTTGATCGGTTGGCGGTTTGACGGCCAAGACCTGTTCGATAGTGATCTCGCCTACTCTGGCTGACGTGAAAACATGACACTTCAGCTTGGCACTGATGAGCACCCGGTATCCGTCGTGGACATATTCATGGCCGTCACTCTGCCAGAGCTGTCTCTCCATGTACATGTAGTTCTCGAGGGTGAGATAGGTCCTTGGCCTCGTGGCCGTTGACAAGCCGAGTTTCTTTTTCAATGGACCCTTGATGTACTGTCCCATAGTCAGTGCCAAAGTTGTGACGATAGTGGAGGGACGGGGAACTTACATTGGTGATGGAATCTGTATGATCTCTCGAAATCAAGGACTTGGGATTGTCTATATTCCAACCGGAGACGAAGCATCGGAAGTAGTTCCGTACGGTTTGAACAGTCGGCTTCCCGTTTGGATCGAGCAACCCTTTGATGGACTTGGCCATGAACTCGGCGAAATGTTTCAGAGTTTTCAAATCGTGGGGAGTGGCTTCGGGGTGTGTGGTTTTGTACCTTGGAGAATGTTAATTCCAATCAGGACCGAACGGCTGGAAACGCAACTTACTCAAGCCACAGCTCCATTTGCACATCGTATCTTTCCTTGGTGTAATCCAAGACATCCCGTGGGATAGGATTATCGTCAACATCAGTGTCATCGTCATTGAAGCCATTCTCCTCAGCATATCTCCTCTTCTCCTCTGCCGTCCTTTTCCTGCCCATCTTCGGCGACGACTTCCACTGATGGAGCAGAAGGACCAAAATAGTCGGTAGCCGGTAGGGCAAATGGAGGCGTGGCGATCCGCTGTGGTGTCTCAAAGACGACAAAAGCTGGATCTAACGGTTGACAGAGAATGGGAATGACCTGCACTCGTAATGGGCACGGAGGGGGAACTGGAAGGACGAGAGGTGAGAGGATGAAGAAATGGAGAGTGATCGCGGGACCTGAACTGGGTTTATATGGGAGGACTCTCAGATTGGGTGGATGGGTGCCCATTGAGTCCTCGGGGGAAGAGGGCCCATTTCTGGGACCAGGTGGCCCAAAACTGTTCCCTCGCGAAAAGTTGACATTTTTCATTTTCAGAACTCCAGGGAGTCGCAAAGCACAGCCCATTTGTCTAGACCAGTTTTGATGGCTTTCCTGATCAAGACCTGAGTAGCGCCTGAGTAAAGCGGCGAGGGGTGGTGTGGTTGACTGGGGGTTAGTGAGGGCAATCGATGCGTAAAGCAACAGCAGTGGTACGCGTGTTGGCTGCTATCTGTGCGATTGTTCCAGCTACCTCTTTCTGCGTCCTGGATTGCGGACGCGGCGACGACTGCAGCTGCGTTCTGATTTCCGGCGCCATTCAACCATGCGTGTTGGCGAAGTTGAAGGTGGCCATTTGCGTCATGGAGAACGGCGAGTACTTCGCACGCACGTGGGAGTGCATGGTGCCCATTCATATTAATCGCGTCAAGCAAAATATCTTCGCATACGTCCCGATTCAGACCTTTCAGTTCCTCAAAGAAGAACTGCAAACAGACATACGCACTGTTATGAGCGTAGTGACTGTGTGGCAGTATGGCGAGGGGTCCAAGTATGATGCGCGGCTGCTTACAAGCCAACATCACGGAGCGGAGGAAGACGCGTGGTTGCAGGTGATCTTATATGGAAAGGAGGAAGAGGAGGAAGAGGAGGACGGCGAGGACGACAGCGATATTATTGAAGAGGTCGCCAAAAAGTTTCAAATGATGAAATGAATACAAGCAGATATATTCCAAGTATTTGGTCAAGGAGTTCAGTTCATTGCCATCCCAGTCTTCGCAAACACTCCTTAGATACCTTCTTCTTGTCAACCCAGCAGGCCTCATGCAACTTACGCTGGCGCCAAGCTAACCGAAGCTGCTCACGACGTCCCTTCCATCGTGAAGCGACGATGTTTTGGACTCCTGGCCCGAAACCCTTGTAGTTCGTCTCGAAGTTGGTGACGAGGTCCTCGCTGACGTTTGATTTGGTCACCCAAGTGATCTCATCGTTCTCCCATTCTACGAGGTAGTAACTGCCCCATTTTTCGAGAACGGTCTTCGCAGGGAAGACTGCGTCTGTCTCATTATTAGCTTCAGATCGCGAGATGAAAGTCGGGTCGGACTTACCCTCGACAATGCAGTCTTGTGGACCTGGCTGGATAGTTATTCCAGACGTAGGTGGGCAACGATGGTCTGGCAGATCGAATTCGAGCGTGAAACGCCCACCAAGTGCCGGGATATGCAGTACCGCATTATCGAGGTCCCACATCGCGATATCAGAGAGTCCAGCCTGTAGCTTGGCAGCCCGGCGGCGTGGCGTGACTGCGCGATCATTGCGCCCTCGTCCAGGAACACCTCCTTTCCTGGCAGTTGTCGAGCGCGGTTCGATCTGCCTTGTCAAGGCTTTACGAGGGGCATGGCGCCTCGTTGTGCGCCTGAGTGCCGGGGATTCGGGTCCAACCAGTGGTAAGTTGACAGCATCTGGAGGAGTTGTGCTTGCTTGGTCCCCATCGCTACCCGTCACTGAACATGATCTTGACGTGTTTCTCATGCTCTTAGCAGGCGTATCGCTTCTTGGAGAAGGTTCTTGCTGCACCCCATCAGCCTGAGAGGCGTCTGTGGCGTCGGAGCCAGCGAGACGGGAGCCCCCGTGGAGCATGGGAGGGGAACCCGCCGCTTCTAGTCCACGGACTTGTTCCTCCGCACCTGCATTTCCCACTATGTGGGCGGCGTTGGTGTGAGTTTGGGCCTTGGCTTTTCTGCTGAGGTCTGTTCCCTTGATGCCTGTGGGGGTGTGGAACCAGCAGGGCTTTGATTGTCTTTGACAGCCGGCACAATCCGCGCTTCGGGCTCGTGTGACAGCAGAGAGACTTGTGGGGCTCTGCTTAGTATCCCCTGACGAAGGTTCTCCTCCAACAAGTGTGTTGAGTTCCGCAGTTGCAGCGGCGGTTGTTCCAGTAAGGGACATCCTAGGCTGGTTCTCTGCATTCTCGATGCCCCCTGCATCACGACAATAAACATGATTGTCGGCAGTTGCCGGATCGTGCGTGAGCGGTTCATCAACAGCTCTGTCTGGCTGCAGCAATTTCTCCACGCCATCTCTCTCTGTCAACATTCGAAGAGAGCCATCTGCGTCTCTGACGACTGGCCAGAGCTGCTCGGATGCAAAGTACAGAAAGCCCGGAACATCGGCTCGTTTCCTCAACCAAGAATCATATTCTGTGTGGAGCGAACTTGCCGGGTCGTTGAGAGCCTCTGAATCTGTGCCCGGACCGGCTGGGAGTGATATCGCCATTGATTCGCTTGGGCTGTGTCCTGAATTCGGAGGTGAACAGAATTGTCCGTAGGGTGATCCGATGGCATGGGTAGGGGACGAAAGACTCGACCCAGTGGTCTCAATCTCATGGCCGCCGTCTTCATGTATCTGGAAATCTTGAGAATCGTGTCGATGAGAGTCGAGAGTGGCAGCATCGTCGGCCACGTCTGTATGCTGAATAGGGGAGCTGGGCATATCGAATCGATCTTCCGAGCTGTCGCGTGGGGAGATCGACAGTGATGCCTGTCTTTGAAGCCGTGCTGGGAGCCTCCGAGCCCTTCCACGTCCACTGTCCCAGCTATCGAGCGAATCCGTGTCGCTGTCACTGGAGTCGTAAATGGTGATGAGGCCGGGATTGGCCATGGCTGAGGCGTTTCGAATGTGTTGAATGGTGAATTATGTTGCCTTCGGCAGAAACTAGGGCGCCAATTGATACCAAGGTTGAGGGTGGACGAGGAAATCAAAGACCTGGGCGCGAGCACCGGAGAGTCATATACAGGTCGGACATCTGCGCACGCTGGTCAAAAGCGAATGACCCATAATGGGCTCGCTGCGATAACGGCGGGAGGGTTACGAGCGATCGGGCGGGGTTTGCCATGCGAGACACGGGAGCTGAGCCATCCATAAAATACGTCACAGTGGCGCATCTCTGGGCAAACTGACGGTGCTCATTGGATAGATTGCCAGCTTGACGGGAGATTGGGCTTTTCGGCAAGACGAGCCACTTGAGCAGGAGGCCAGAAAATGCGGCCTTGTGGTGCGATGGCTGACGCGGCCAAGACGGCAAAGGAGGGCCACCTGACCAGAAGGTCAGGAAACAGTGGCTTGTGGTGTGATGGCTGACGTGGCCAAGTTGGCGAAGGGGGGCCACCTGACCAGGAGGTCAGGAAACCAGGGCTGGTGGTCGGACGGCTGATGTCTCCGGGCAGGCCAGCCAACCAGGAGGTTGGCAGTAGAGAGTTGGCAGGAGGAATGCTCCCATGGTCGGGTGGTCCACCCGACCAGTAGGCCAGAAGTTCTCAGGCGCGGGTGTTCACGGCAGCCCCAGTAGCAGCACAGAAAGATGTGACAGCAACGTGCGACTTCGTGGCGCGACCTTCGGGAGAGGTTCGAGCATGTCCAGGCGGTGTGCAGTGCTGATGTCGAGGTGCTCAGCTATGGTTCACTGGATTGGCGTGAGGGGATATGTCAAAGCAGAGAATGACGGCCTGTGTTGATGACTGAAGGGGATGCTGGGCGACTGAGAATCAGAGGGAGGAATGGAGTGAGGTGTTTCGAGAGTGAGTTGGAGTTGAAAGAAGGAGAAAGTCAAGGAGACATCGAAGATACCTCGAAGAAGTTGGCATGGTTTATATATGCGACGTCAGGTCAGAGGTGGGCGCGCTGCCCCTTTGGGAAGCGCTAAGCCGGATTGGGCCGAACACCGCCTTCCGTTCTACGATAATCTTCTCCAACAATATCGACACCTTGATATCGGAGAGCCGACTACTAAGCGTAAACTGATCACCTAATCACTATGATCATTTAATACACCTAACCTGCCCTACTTCGCTGTCTACCTAGACTTATACCCCAATTGTGCGAGCTTGTTGAAAGGAGCCCGTTTCGCTCGGACAATCCCCTGTTAGTAGAGGTTGTCACATTGATACTTCATCAACGGTCCCGATCGTCTGCTCGACGCCGACGAGCTTCTTGCTCAAGTTCCATAGTTTGGCCTCCTTGTCCGCGTCGAATGCCCACTCGGCATGGCCGTACTCGAGCAGATCTACCGCGTCCTTAGGCACCGGTCCTGCTACGGCGCTACCCTCTAGATAGAGACCCGTGCTGGCCTCACCTTTGCCGCGGTTCTGTGCCTTGACGAAGTTGATAGGCTCCTGTGCCAGGGCCCCGTAGACGGCCGTCGCGCATGCCTGCTCGTAGTTATAATACGACACGGCGAGCCTAGGGTCCGACTTCCAGCCGCTCAACTCCTCGGGGGTGCAGTGCTGCTGGAGGTTCGGGCTCACAAAGGAGCCTGGCGTCGCGCTAAAGCCATAGAGATTCTGGTTACCGTGGAGCCGGGTGATTTGCGAGGCCATATAGATGTTTGAAATCTTGGACTGGATGTCTATTTTACGAGGATGGATATTAGAATAAATTAGGATTTATAAGAAGGGAGGGGGAGAGGAAACACTAACATGCTATCCAGGGATCGTACGCGCCCTCCTTCTCAGGGTTCAAGGCCTCCAGGTCGAGGGGAGCAGCCTTATGACCTGCGGATGTCGTATTAACGACCCTCGAAGGGAACTCTGGCGTCGCGCTAGCAAGCATTATATCCTTGAGTAGCCAGAAGAGCAAGAAGTGCGATAGGTGGTTAGTCGCAAACTGTAGCTCGTACCCGTCCTTTGTGCGCTGCTCGGGCGTGCGCATAACCCCAGCGTTGTTAATAAGGATGTTAAGCTGCGGCCCCTTCTGCTTGCCCTGCGCGGAAGAGGAGGAAGCGACGTGCTTGATAAACTCGGCTACGCACGCTCGCACGCTCGAAAGGTCTGCCTGGTCGAGATGGAGTATATGCACCCTACCGCTGCCGTTATCGTTGCCATTAATGTCGTCGTTACTAGCGATAAGGTCCTCGCCGATGGCCTCCTTGGCCTTGTCGATATCCCGCGCCCCAACGTAGATAGTAGCGCCCGTGGCCGCAAGCGCGCGGACCATATACGGCCCCATCCCGGAGGACGCGCCCGTTACGAAGATGACCTTATCGGCGAGCGAGGAGACGAGGCCCTCGTCCTTGATGATCTGGAGCGCGGTCGGGCGGGCATCACCGGGCCCGCGGAGGGTCTCCCATCTGTTACCGTCGGCGTAGCGGCCCTGGAGAGGGAATGGGGAGGGAGACTTGAACGACATTCTTTTTCCTCGTCGATATAGTTATGTCTGTGGGCTGGTTTGTACCAATGATTGCCTTCTCTAGCGAGGTTTTCGAGTCGATGTAAGCTAGTATGCAATGACTTTGAGGGTAGAAGACTGTCTGTGGTTCCGTATTGAGGGTGGGAGATGGTTTGGAAATATGGGCAACGTTCAACTGAACTCGTGTTCCTTTATATCATGTCAACGAAGCCGCCTCTGTGTAGAGACTTGGGCCTAGTAAGAGCAGCTGCCACTTCGACGAGCGTGGACGCATCACGGATATACGTCTTATTGCCGTCCGTCAGAAGCAACATCATCATACTTTGATTGCAATACTCGCGAGAAGCGTCTCACGCCCGTACACGCGTAGAGAGAGACTAGACAGCCAGGGATGTCATGCAGGAGAAGTGCAATTGGGCGTTCGCCTGCTGAGGCCGGCAGGGCTCCATGCATGGCATCCAGGCACCTGTGGGCTCTGTGTGACCTGGCTGTGTTACGAGTGCGCTGCTGCGCTGTAGCCAATCATCGTACACGGGCGGCCCGGGAAGGGAGGCAACGCTGGCGCCCTCCAGCATAGCCCCGCCGGAGCAGAGCGGTGCTTAACTCCATGTGCGGACTTTTTGCATTGCCACGTGATTTATGTAGGACCCCACGTCCGTCCTCCGCAGAGCGGACCTCACGAGTGCGGACTTCGCGATATTGCGGTCACCACCAACTCCGCAATTCCTCGTTACTCCGCACTGACCCCCGCAGCCGCGCCCATCTGAAGTCCGCATGAGGGACGGCCGCTGAACCTAAAACAGGGATAAGTGGACCCACGTGTCTGCAGCGAGCGAGGCAGCATTTGTCTAAAACTCTGTCATCTACGCAATAAGCAGACAAGAGGCGGGACGTTCCCATTCCGTAATGCGGAGTCTCCTGTATTAGCGCATCTTAGCCAGGTCTCCGTGTTGTCTCTTACATGACAGCTGTGGCACCAGGATCTGTAGGCTGTGATAACTATCATACAGGGTGTGTATAATGATGATGCAGGTTGTAGGAGTGATACGGAAGATGGCGGCAAATTTTTCATCGCTATGAGGCTCTGCTACAAAGTCTGGGGGCATTCCTCTGTGCCGAAGAGCTAGATCCTTTCGCACAGTCTTGATCTCCGTCTGATGTCCCATGCTTTATTCCAATGGCCTGGCCTATTGTCAGGGACATTAGGAGGCCCAGAAAGCATAATCCCAACTAGTCAAGTAAAGGGTCATGCTAGCCACTGGTGCTTGTCCTTTAACTGGTATCCTAGAGATTTAGCGAAACGTGCGATCAATCTGGCAACTTCAACGTTTTGCTGCAACTCTTTCCCCTTCAGGGCTGCATCAATCGCGGCATCGAATGGTGTACTTCCTGTTCTGGCACACATGGCTCCATGGTTGAGCAGGAGCTGCGTGATATCGAGGTGCCCTTGGCTGGCTGCGATTTCCAGAACGCTAACCCCTGATCTCCATCGCCAATGCACAGATTTAGTGATGTTGCAGTCCACGCCAGCCTCCAGGAGTATCAGGACAAGCTCAAGATTGCCGTGAAAGACAGATGCGCGAAGTCCGTCAGCAAACGTCAGCTGGATCTGGACATGGACACTGTCGGCACGGCTGAGGAGATATTTGACGGTGTCCACTTGGGCTTGGGCATCCCGTGCATTGATAGTGTTGCTGGAACAAGCGTGATACAACGCGTCTCCAGGTCGCGGTAGATCGAGGCTGGCGCCCCTTGCGATGAGCTCCTTGAGCAGAGCGAGATCCCAGTGCATAGCTGCAGCTGCCGCTGGGGTGATCGATTCATGGGTGGAGATTGCGTTCAAAGACGGCCCTGCATCAAGAACTCTGCGCACAAGCGCAAATGGCGCCTTGTAGTATATCAGCACCGCAAGCGGGCTACCGGGGCTGAGTGGCGCACCGCAGTCCAGGAGGAACTCGAACAGCGGCCAACTCCCATCCATTGCGCTCAGTTCGAGTAAGATGTAAGTGTTCGGCAGGCGTAAATGGAACCCATGCTGGTGAAAAACCCTCAAGGTTTCTAGATTGTCCCTGCACCTTGTAGACCAAGAAACATGCCGCGGACGTTGCCAGTATACCTGGAGCAAGCAGAAGGAGGAGGAGTCGCCAGCGTCGAGACGCAAAGGAGCACCTTTTGCGGCCAGGTGGGCCAGCATCCCGGGGTCCGGCCCGTCAATCGGGCTTGCTCTGCGTTCAACCCTGTCTCTGAGGCCATCGGTCCAGCGCCGTCGCCACTGGCGCACCAGCCCCCAGATGCTTGCCCCGAGCACGGTGAGTATCTTGTCCCCGCCAAAGTCTTCATGGAGAATATCTGCTTGCACGTCCACACCAGCCGCCAGAAGCCAAGCGACCGCATCGTAATTGTTGCGACGCGCCGGCCATGCCAGCGCCTGGCCTCCCAGTGTCCTGATGTCCGCACCAAGACTGTGAACCAAAGCCAAGAGGTCCGTTCCAGCGTCTGAGACGGCAGCCGCAATTGCAAACGAGTCGAACACCGCGCCATGCTCAAGGAGGCGACCAAGGCATTCAAGGGCACGGCCGCTCACTGCGTGGGCACGTAGATTCATGACTGCGCGACACAATAGCAGCGTAGCGTCCAAGCCTTCGACTTGGAGAAGTGCCAAGGTAGGGTCCACCCCGCAGTCGATCAATGCTGTAGCCACGTTCCAGTCAATCTCAGCGACATCAGCTCTCCAGTCACCGATGTCAAAGAGTACGAACTGCTCTGCAAGCACCAACTGTAAGAATCTTGCTTGCTCGTCCTGGTCCCCGCTGATTGACTGCAAGTACCGCGACAACTCGCTCGGGCCTATACGAGCGGACAGGCATATCCTGTCTCGCTCAAGCCTCTCACTAAGTGCGCGTCGATAGGAAGCCATCTGATCATAAATGCGTCGATCGATGTAGAACATTATTTCCAGCAAGGATATGTACCACGTCTGAGGAATTCTGGCAGCCCGAGAAAGCTGCCTGGACCTGCAAACGATGGTCCAGTTCTCGGCCTTCTCGTGGTTGAAGGAAGCATGCACATCTGCGTCGTTCTCCAGGAAGATCCTCAAGAATGCCGAATCTTTCTCTGTGCATGGATGGCGGAGAGTGTGGGCGAAATGTTCAAAGACGCTGAGCCTGCCAAAGCTGTGTTCGTTCACGTCGAAGGCTTGAACTATACCTTTTGCACACGCCAGGTGGCCATTCCTTTTGGCCAAACGAATTGCTCTGGATAGCAGCTCAGCGTGGTCATCGCAGACTTGCGCTCGTGCCAAAACGTCATTGAGTATCTCCACGCACCCAAATTTGGCGGCACCCAAGACGGCAGCCCTTGCAAATGTAGGCGATGCTTGGAAGCGTCGGTCGTTTACCTCCATCATGAAGACAAAAACGTCCTTGTCATCTAGCGCAGTTGCAATTTGAAGCAGTCGTTGACATGCGACTATGACGGAGGGGAGGGAGGCTCCGAGAAATGTCAGCAGCAGGCTTCTGCTCGATTTGGAGATGCGTGTGAATATGATTCTGAGCAGCACGCGGTTCTCCTCCTGTCGGGGCCCGTACCCCCACACTTCCGTGTTGCACAATCTCAAGACCGCCTTGCTAAGGAAGTATATGGGATCGAAGTCGAGAGTTAGAGCGCCACGTGAATATTGATGCTCGTGGTACAGTCTAAACAACACTGGATCGAATACTTCGTCGAGTAGACTCAAGGTGTCCAGGCGGGAAACGAGTTGTTGAAAGGTAGTTTCTGGGGCTTCCTTTCTCTCGTGGCCGCTCTCAGGCCGGTGTCTCCTGATACTGCTCGACCTGAGATGATCTGCTACAAGTCAGTACTTTCACTGGACTTTTACAGTCGCAGTGTACTTACAGGACATAGACGACATAAATTGAATCCATGGCAGATTGCGACAATTTCCCGCCCTCCAGGAGGCCCAGAATCTCTCTAGCGACAAGCTATCGTCAAACACTTGTGCAAGTAGCGGAGACGATTGAGCGCCTTCGGCTGCGTCGTCGACTGTGGGTGTAGTGCTCTGCCAAGAGTCTAATTTCAAGCCGTCTGCGTTCAGCTTGTGCTCGAACTGAAAACCGAAGCAGCGGAGTTCTGGTTGTTAACATACCTGGTCCAAGCACGTTGGCAGTAGCCGGTGGCCTCGGCATTTTTGTGCTGCCAGGCTCCCCACCGGTGATTGATGACGAGAATGGAGACACCCCTTCACCAGAAGTAACAGTGATGATGCCGCAACGACTCGAGTCAGAAGCGGCGACGCCTGGCCGGGTGGCAATCACAACACCTGGAGGCAACATGCGGAGGCGCGCAGCTATTCAGCGTGTCAGTGACTTCAACCGCTCAAAAGGTCCGGCGCAGACGACTTACGTGGTGTTGCTTTGTGATCGCAATTCCTCCTTATCTCTTTCCACGCCTTGACCCAAGGAATCTCGGTACCGTTGAGGTAGATGACAAGGGGCTCTTTTTTCCTCTCTTTGATTGCCTTATAGTGGTGCCACACTGTGGGCCAGTCGTGGCGACTGAGTTTCTTGCGCAGACCGAGATCCTTTTTGAGCTTCACCTCATATGTCGGCAATCTCCATATGGGGCTTGTCAGTATTTCGCACAACGACCAAGCTCTGAGAATATCTCGTTGGTTCGGGTGTGAGAAGAAGGAGGGCCTTACGATATGTCTGGAAAACCGTGATATCCCTCCATGATCTCCTTGATCTGCTCCAGCGTTTTGCTCTTGCCATCTCGTCCTTGGTAGAGGTCTCTCAGCAACTCCTTATGAGCGTGAAAGAGCTTGCTAATGTCGTCCTTGTTGCGGCTGCTCCGCGGCGTGGTGGACATGTTGAAGCGGACGGCGTCAAGGTCACCAAAATCGAGGTTGCCGGAAAGTACCACAAATGTAGGAAAGGATGAGTCTTGGTTGGAGAAAAACACTGCGGTGCTCGTCCAAAATGATAGACAATCCTTTCAGCAGATGAAGTGTCAATTATATATAGGGGACTGTGAGGTTGCTCACAGCCTTGTCCATGAGGTTCTGTCCAATATCGAGCCAATCATGACCCGGCTGCCTCGTCTGCTCCGGTTAATGGGCTGAGAGAGCGGGGCATGCATGATGACATGTCACAACACCATCAACCCTCCTGCACCAATACGTCCAGAATCGACACCACCTGATTGGACGCCTCTGCCGCAGTCTGTCCGAAATCGAGCTGCACCTTTTGAGGCGTCAGGGGTGTGGCGGTGGCGTTGCTACTGGCCAGTATTTGGTAGAAAGCCGGCGGAGGTGTGACTCGTTGAGCTTTTGTGACCTTGTTTGTGATCTTTTCGTTGTTAACACAGGAAACCAGGATATAGTGGTTAGTGCCAAGCTCCAGTGAAAGTGTGAATTTGTGGTATGTAGTCCGAACTACTTGTAGATGTGTACTGCTAGAAGAGATGCAATTTCAGGCACAGCATACGTCGTGTACGCACCGCAACCACCCCTACCGATTATGCCCATGCTTTCACAGCGTGCTCAACAAGAAACAAGATATCATCGCACAAGGATCCTCCTCGTCTCGAGCCCCTTCTCAGCGACTTCATACATGTATTCGCCTTCCATGATGCCATCAACATAGCATTCTCCAATGATCGTGAACAGGGTTTCTTCATCATCACCTATGCCCGTCTTGCGGAGGACGACCGGCACCGAGCACCCCATCAATATGGCAATCGTGTCGCCCTCTTCCGTGTTCCAGGGGAAGAAGCCCATGGCGCATCTCTCCTTTGTCGTGCCAAACGCCCTCGCGGTGAACAGCACCTCCAGACAGGCCAGCAAGCCGGGCGGCGCGCCGCTCAGGTCGCGCTTCTGGAACATGTCCTCCCCGGGCACGGCAAAGTTTGCGTGCAGGAACTCTATTGCCCGGTCCATCCACTCCTCGCTAGGGTGCAAGACCTCGTCGTCGAAAATCATCCTGTTCCCGATGAGGGTCCGGAAGAAGCTGCGACTCAGTATCCGTTGAGAATCCTGCTTCGTGAGGTACGATTCCATGCCATCCAGATAGATCCATGCCAGCGCGGGGAGACTGAGCTTGTTGTAGCCGTCCCGCAGGTGGGAAATGGCGCCGCTCAAGTTCGAGGTCGCCCGGACAGTGTCTACCAAGTACCCGTAGAACCCAACGTCGTAAAACTCATTCAGCTCCTCAACCGGGATAGAATTGTGCAGATCCAGGTCAGTATTATCCAGATAGCCTCCGGACGCTGAGTAGATCCGCCCGCTGGTGGACTTGAAGCAGTGCGTTGGCCCATGAGCTCCACGGGCATGCCGAAGACATCGCGAACAGCAGATCAAGCTTGGGCATTCCTGGCATGTAAAGGGGAGGCCGACTACGTCGCCGCCGCACCAGCAACAACCTCGTGCTCGGTGATAGAGCATGCTTCTCTGAGCATCAAGGACGGGCCGTGTGGGCATGGGTAGGCCAAACGTGGTCAGCGAGAGGACTTTGCATCCATAGATGTGGTGCACATGTGTCCAGGACTGTCCTTGCGAAAACTCCGCCGAATGCACATGATCTTCGTGCTTCCTATCCTTCTCAACATCGTGCCTCTCCGCACGTGTCGTCCACTCGACTATCTGCGGCCCAAACCAGGGGATCCAGCTCACTTGGAGCGCTCCCCAGTTTTGCATAGAGCGATGGTTACCTCGGCAGATAATGTCAAGCACTCCGCTTTGCTGGACGACGTGGTACACGGCGATCCGATAGAGTGCCAGCGTTCTGATCGCGCTCGAGTATCCTGGTAGCCACATGAGCGAGTCGACGTCGCTAGCAAGCGAGATAAAAGCGTAGATCCCATCCCGCGGGTCGGCGGACGAGAACCCCGCAAAGTTGTCGAGAAGTCTCTCCAGGGTCAGGCGCTCGGCTTGGCGGTTCCTTACGGCGGCGTGGGTCCAGAGCAAGCGGTGGAATCCCTTGAGAGGGTCGATGTCGGAGGATGGGAGATGGTGCGGGTGCTCTGGGTCTATTTCGCAGCTGTTGTGCCAGTCTTTACCGTCACGGTGTCGCGTCAGCTGTGGACGGAGAGTATTGAACACTATTTGCAAGGCTGCAAAGTCCTGCGTCCTCTTTCCCACCCAGATCACCGCGACTCGCGAGAGGACGTATTCCTGGACTATCCAACGCCGCGAGAACCACGGTCGTGAGAGGAATGCAAATATCGCCTCGTGGCCCTTCGGGTCGACCGCCGCTAGCAGCCGCTGCACATTCTCGGAAGTTTGGCCCGCTGGGTCATGAACAGCACCAGAATTGCTGTCTAGCGAGTCGCGTAGCCTCGCTAGCGGCTCCTCACGATACAGTGATGGCATGAGCGCAGAGACCTTGCCCAGCAGGTCCAGAACAATGTCGCTGCTGTCGTCCTCATAACCAAGCCAGATGATCAGGTCGCGGTCGCGGTAGACCTTGTCCATGTTTCGGACCTGATGCCCCTTCTCAAGTGCCTCGCCATCCTGGTTGATGCAGATGGCGTCCACCCAGATGTGCTGATTGCTAAGACATGTGCGCAGTTCTCGTAGCAACGAGGCAAGGTTTGGGCGTATTGCAAGTTGCGACCACTCTGTCTCGCCTTGCTGCCGGAGGTAAATTGTCGAGGATGCTGCCTCACTGCCCCAGCAGTACGAGACGGGATTGTACGCAGGTGCATTTTCTCTCTCGTAGGGCTTGAGCTCTCCATATATGGGACTGCGTGGGTCGTCAGTGTCGGCCGGGAGGAGGACCAGCAGTCTGATCCAGCTGTCGGGATCCGGCAGTGGCGTGTACTTGAAAGTGGAAGTTGTAGCCATTCTGGCACTATATGATGGAGCGCGCCAGTTAGCTCTCCACCTGGACGGCACCCGAGGGTTTGGCTTGCAGGTGGAGGAGCCGGGGCGCATTGCCTTGTCCTCGATGAAAATAAGGCCGCCGCCACAGCCGCCGAGACATGCACAGCCCGAGCTTGTCGTCACACCATGTCAGCTCAAAGAGACAAGGGGGGGTCACAGCCACACCACGAGTTCCTGCGTCCACACTTGATCAGCACAATCTGCAGTATGGGGTATCAGACAGCGTCATCGATGGATCCGGTTATTTTGCCTATCCACGAGTATCTGCCCCTTGTGTCTCTGCAGGTAATTATTATCTGCACGGTCCTTGCAGGTCGGTGGAGCGGCCCCCAACGGATGCTTGCTCGCAACTTTGACCCGCTCGTCCGTCTCGGGGTCCTGCTCGGCGCTGCAACTGGTTAATAGCAGTTGCCAAGACATGAGTAAAGTGGAATTCCCTGCATGTCAGATAAGTTCTGACCCCCGACAAAGGGGCGCGATTGGTCGATTTGCGTGCCGTGTCGAACGGAGTAAGCCCGTAGTACCCACAACCCAAGCCCTACGGTTGCCCCTTGGCCTATGCTATATAATGAATGACAAGGGCACTATCTGAGCCAGAGTCTGTTATTGATTCCGCGATCGCTGTGGTCATCCCAGTCCGATTCCAGCCTGGACGCGAAAACCTAGAAAGGCACTGGTTGCGTCCTGCGACACACCATGAGCAGTCAGCACAAGGTTGGGCAAGCTGTCTGGAGGCATGACAACAACTTACACTACAAAAGTGGCCGCGCTGGGAAGCCAAAGGTTAGAACAGGTGAGTGATTAATACATGAGAACCGCGTTTCAAGAGAAGTCTAGACTTCTGGCCAGACTCATCCGCTGACACCGCCTCGAATGAGCAGGATGCCACAGCTGCAAAGCCGCACATGTCAAGTGCGACGAGCAGAAGCCCGCATGCGGGCGGTGCCAGCGCCGCAAATCCACCTGCGCATACGCCACTGCGGCCATGAGGAAGGACGGCCTCGCCGCCTTGTCACAGCTGTGCTCCGAGTTCCGCGTCATCCGTCCTATAGACCTGGGTCTGCTCCGCCAGCCGTCTTCTATTGGGGGTCTCGTCCTTGTATCGCCGGGCGACGCGGCGTATTTCGACAAGTTCCGGCGCGATGTCGTACTGCGGCACGCCGAGGGCGAGTTCTGGCGCCGCACCGTAGTCCGCGAGAGCGTCCACGACGAGTGTGTCCGGAGCGCCATCCTGGCCCTCGGGGCGCTGGCACGGGCGCAGGAAGTCCGGGACAAAGAGGACGAGCACCAGCGACTGGGTCGACATAGGACCTACGGGCCTCCACTGTTCAGCACCCACCCCAGGGCCAGCAGAAATCCCGTCAAGGACAACACCAGCCAGGGCCATTACTACCAGGCACTGTTCCACCACACGAGAGCCATCGGGAGGCTCCGGCAACGGCTGCAGTCGCTCCAGGGCACAGGCAGCGGCACCGGCGGCACCGGCAGAGACACCGGGCGTGCGCGGGCGATCCTCATTGCGACGGTGCTCCTGGTGGCTTTCGAGCGGCAGCAGGGCAACACGGAGGCGGCCGACCAGCTCGCCGCCCACTGCGTCTCTCTGCTTCGGCCTATCCTCCTGCAAGGCCAGCTGTTGAAGGAAGACGACCAAGGCTACGACAAGAAGGGAGACGCAAATACGGCGGCGCCAGGGGCTGGGAAGAAGGACACACCCACCTCTTCATTCTCACTCATCGCCGCCTCCCTCGACGATGAGGGCGTCTACGAGGCTGAGACGGAGCTGATCCGCGATGCCTGTATCAGCGCCGCCTTTTCGGGAGTCTACCCACACGCGCGAAGGGTGCTCCTTGAGCTGCCGATCCCGAGCGTCCACGGGCCACCGCCACCAGCACCCGGCGCGAGTCTCGCTGCCTTCTCTCGCGCCTGGTCTCGAAACTTTGCTCTCATAATCCTCTGGTACTACCGCATGCTGACCACCCTGGGATCGATGCACCGGGGCAATAGCGCTTTTGCGTCCCTAGACTACCGGCAGGCCTGGTTCTCGCGGCACCGGGCGCAGCAGCGCGAGATCAAGGCCTTTCTTGAGACATGGAAGGAGGCAGCCAGGCACAGGTTCCACACAGCGCCGCCGGGCTCGAAGGACAAAGACACTTACAAGGGGCTTGCTGTCACAGTCGATGTGAGCTACTTGAGTGTATGCACCGTTTTCGACCTACCCGATGGCAAGCCCTGGGACGGCCTTGGAGCCGCCACGGCCAAGCTGCTTGACACATGCGAGGATGTCGTCGTGAGCAGGGAGCAGGCCGCGTCGACATCAGGAGCAGACGAGTCGGCCCTGGCCCAGGGAGACGCGCTGGGAGACCAGGACGTCCTGCACGGCGGCGTCATGATCGCCGTCGCGCAGATCGCCCAGGGGAGCAGGTTCCCAGAGGTGCGGCGGCGGGCCATGCGGCTATGGGAACGCATGGCGACAACCACGGGCCCCGGCCAGAAGCAGAAGCGGCAGCCGGCGTGGGACATGCAGGCCATGATTCTGGGCATCAAGGCCGTGCTCGAGGCCGAGGAGGCTCAGCGAGACCCCGTCATGGACATGGTCCCGTTCAAGGCGCAGTTCTACCCTTCGGGCGGGAAGTGGAGCGACGACTATACAGAGTTTAGGGTCACCATAACCGCCAAAATGCCCAACCCGGACGGGAAGATGGTCCACAAGGTAGTCAGGATGGCTGCGCTCGGCTGATGTCTGTAGGAGGGGCTGAATGACCTCATGCGGAGTGAATTAAGGAGGATGCGTGCAGGATTTAAATATCGCTCCACCACGCGGCTGGGATTTAGATCTGGAATCTGAATGTCGCGGTAGCATCACGTTATGCGATGAATTCAGAACTTCTAGACGATGTACTACGTTCCAAGCATAGACAGGAAGACATTTGTACATTATTCTACTTAATTCGGCCAGACCTCTGGAGGAGATGCGCTTCGTCTTCACGTACTAATCCGCAGTAATTCATGCCTTCGATATCACGTCCACACTATATTTTGTCTTTTCTAAAATCACTACAGTCACCATAAAGCATCTCAGTAACTATGGAGCTGCCTTGAATATCATCCCGTCCCCCTTGCTGGAAAAGCTTGAATGGACTCCCAGCACAGATATCTGGTTGCACAATGGCTGTGATCCCGTTAAAACACGATCACGAAAAGAGCCAAGATCCGGTCTTTAGTAAACAGATCTCACGCAGACGCAGAAGCTGGAACATCTTGACATCTCTCTGGCCACTTTAGCATGTGTCACGTTTCACTCTCCACGCGATCGTCGCTGTCGCCGTTTCACCTGATTCCCGCTGAGCAGGGGTTGGAGACTTCAGTAACGTCATGGCCAGACCAGGAAGGTGGTCACGCGACACCGGTCACTTATTCACACGCATCACCACAAAATGATTCACACAGCTGATTGTGGTGGTTTTTGGTCACGGCAGTACGTTTCTGGAAAGAAAGTATGTCCGTGCAACATAAGGACCATGAGGCGGGCCAACGTGTTGCCGCCGGGTACATCAGTCACGACTCGCAAATTCGCGAATGAAGCATCGGCATTAGTTGCTGTTAGTGAGAATGTGCCTTGAGATGAATTGAGACGGCTTCGCGATGCGCTAACAAACAAAAAATGAAGATAAGAAGATTTTAGGCAGCCGCCGGGTAGGTCAAAACACTGGCGCAGTCATCTCTGGTGCCCTTGAATTCGTTGTCTGACAGTAGGCTGTGTGCAGTTGAGCCATGGTAAAGACCTCGCGGACAGTGGTCATGGGCTTAGGATGATGCTCGAGCAGAATGTCGATCTTAGTCTTCCCCACACAATGCCACTCTTTCGGCTGATGGATGCCGAGTACACGCTGCGGTCCAGACAGAAACGCCGCCAAGCCATTCGTCCAAACAACGATGGGCTCATGTGCTGCTGAAAATAGCTACCACGAGATCTTGTTAGCAGGCTGCGGGGGCAGAACGATCGAAATGTATCATTGCCTCCTGCCCGATGGGCTAAGTGTCTGGAACAACTACCATGCAGCCAAGATACACCTGATGCGTCCAAGGCTTCGATATGGGACCAGGTTGTGCTGCTTGGCTTTCGCTTGAGGGTGTGGACAACGGGCTTGGCTCTTGGAGGTAGAATGCCGGCGTTGGCAGCAACAAATCCCAGATGAGCGAGCAGAGCAGTCAGATGAGCCACAAGAACTAAGCGTGCACTGGCCGGCCTGGTCAAACCCACCAGACCTTGGCGAGAGCCTTGGCTTAAAGGGGCGGCAACAACTTGGCTTCCTCCAAGCTTTTCTCGCCAGCCTTTTGGCGATGCACATCAGTTTATGAGGGAGCAAAGAAGACACTTCACACGAGGAGGTAAGCTGCTGTTTCCCTTGAGCCTTGGAGTGCGAGCAAGCCTCCTGAACTCGGCACAGCCTGACAATCGCATCCGGTCGTCTCCTCAATCGACTCACACGGCACGGCAGCCGCCAGAATAATGCCACCGAGAGAGTCTAACCGCCATATGGCAAAAAGGTCAAACCCATCTAAGGGGCCAAGGGAAAACTGACGCATTTCTGAAGGAGCTCGACCCCTTTGCCATGGCTCTTGGCCAGCGGACGCATCGTGGCGCTGCTTCTGCCTGCACTGCTACCACTCTATTGCCCTCTCGAAAGACAGCCTACCAACTGATTCTGCAGCCTTCTGCACCGGCAGACCCGGCTCAGCGGCGCTCCGTCGTACATCGGTCGAGGGGCCACCCGCGTTTCAGGGAGACGCCGCCCGACCTTGGCGGTCCGGCCGTGGGCGTCCTGCGTTGGTGGCTACCCCGGGCCGCCCAGCTTTCAGGGGGTGCTTGGCGGGCTGCTCAGGGCCCGGCGGCAGGGGTCGTCAGCCAGCACAGCCCACTGGTTGAGCCGCAAAGTAGTGACGCTCAGTGCACTATGGTGTCTGCATGTATGTTCAATGCCAGAGTAATTCAACCGCGCCTCAAGACTGCGCAGGAACCTTGGACTTTCGTCATTATCGGGGTAGTGCACGTGAGGAACGGGCAGTAATGGACGTGGGCCTTGATTGACCATGTTTCTCTTCGCCCAGCTCTGTCGGAAAACATTTGCAGCCCTGCCTTCACGGAGGCAAAGCCCCATCCCTGTTGCGACTTTGGTAATTGCTCAGTTTCTGGGGTCAATGGCGCCGAATCTCACATTAGCCAATAGCGGAGTCTTCATGCTCGCCAGCTCCAGGCAAATATCGGCCACTCTAGCCAATTTGTAGCGGGCATGGAAGCCCCTGGGCTCAACCCCAGGTCCCGCTGAGACCTCCGCCAAGCTTCTGCCAAGCCTAGGAGTCGAGCACCCATCTGAACGACCTCACTCACGCCGGTTACAGTGCTCGCTTGCTTGGCTCCGGCACTCGCCCCACTAGATATTTTCAGTGCCGGCACTTGCTCAGCCCAAGGATCCCTTGCCCAGTAGACCAGATGCAGTCCGAGCAGTTTAAGCCAGGTCTGGTCGCAAGTGGGTTTCCAATACCAGTAGGGGCGTTTAGGAAGATTCCTTGTTTCCCAAGCCATGGTGATATGTTCGTCGGATATCGAGAGCACCTGAACAACCCAGCCCATGCATGCACGTTGAGTTGATTTGGATCTCCCCACCCCGCTGGGCTAATTCTGTTATATATCGTGCATGATCGTCCGATATCCTTCCCTTTGTTTCCCTCCCATCTCCATTCTTTCTTCTCCATCGTCCAAGAGAACCCTTTCTCTCTTTCCTTGTCGATTTCCTATTCTGGGCAGGTTCCCTCTTTTTTCACACTTCCCTTCCCAGATCAACAAGCGCCCGGCCGCTCTTTTACCTCTGTGTTATTATACGTCTTCGCTTCGACCTCAACTTCACCCCAGAAAAAAAGAGGAGCCCTTATATATCTCGACAATATGCGTTTCTCATCGACACTTACCGCCGCGCTCGGCGTGGTTCCTCTGATCGCCGCCTTCCCTTCGATTCCTCGCGAACCCACTGGAGCTCTCATGACCAGAGACGCCGGCGCGGTATGGTCTCGCGGTATGGCTCCCCAGCAAGCCGCTGGTGGTGCTGCTGCTGAGGCTGGTGCCGGAGCTGAAGCGGGTGCCGGCCAAGGCAAGGGGAAGGCCAAGCAGGAGGACGCTGCTGCCGAACAGGGCGCCGAAGCGGGTGCTGGTGCTGGAGCGGGCAAGGACAAGGCCAAGGCCAAGGAGGGTGCGGCTGCCGAAGCGGGCAAGGAGAAAGAAAAGGCTAAAAACAAGGCCAAGGAGGGTGCTGCTGCCGAGGAGGGAGCCGGTCGGGGCAAGGAAAAGGGCAAGGAGGGCGCCGGCCGCGGAAACGGCGCGGGAGCCGGTGCTAATGCTGGCGAGGAGGCTGCCGAGGGCGAGGAGAAGGAAATTGCCGGTGTCCTTGGCACGCTGATTGACCTCGAGGGTGGAGACCTGAAGCAGGATGTCCTTTTCAAAGCTGTAAGTCATGCACTCCGATTCTGCCTCTTCGCCTGCGACGACTTCAAGGTACTGACATACGACGAAACCCAGGCTGTTGGATCGTTCGAGATCGAGTTTCAGGCCAAGACTGCCCGCCAGTTTGCCGTCATTGAGAACAAGACTCCCGGTGCTGCGCCCGCCGGCTTCAAGCTACTCGACCCCAGCTCTTTCATCGTCGCCTTCCAGCAGGGCGGTGGCGGCGCCTTGACTCTGGGCAAGATCGACTACATCTTTGATTCTGCGAGTAAGTATCTCTCGCTCGCACATCAAGCTGAGCATCGGAAGCCATGGCTAACAATTTTTGCTTCGCAGACCCCGCCCTTGCTGGCATCGATCTCACCAAGACCACCATCGGCAAGTTCTCCAACGCCAAGAAGGCTTTCGAGGTCGGCGACATTGTTGGCGAGACCGAATTTGAGGCCGAGGAGAACGAGATTGTACTCAAGGTCCAGGACCTCACTGGCGAGTTTGCTCTGTTCGTGCCCGACGCGGCCGCCGCGGGTGGCGAGGCTGCTGCTGGCGAGGAGGGCGAGGTTGCCGTTGTCGGACAGTTTGGCACAGGCAATGCCGTTGCTGGTGGCAATGTCAAGCAGGACATTCTCTTCCCTGCCAACGTGAGTTACCACATCCCTCTCTCCTGTCTACGTTATTGGTACGCGAGTTTTAACTGACATTCTCACGACTAGGCCGCTGGTGAGTTTGAGCTCGAGTTCAACGGTGCCGCTGCCAACCGCTTCGTCGTCGTCCCGACCACGCCCACCGGTGCTGCCCCCGCTGGCTTCGCCTTTGTCGACCCGCTCGCCTTCAAGGTTTCCGTCGAGGCCGCCACTGCCGCCGCGGACCTGCAGAAGATCGACTACTTCTTCAGCGACGCCATTGCCGCCCGCATTGACGCCGCCCAGGGCCGCATCGGCAAGCTCGACGCCGCAACCAACACGTACCTCGTCGACGGCGTCGGCGAGTTCGAGTTCGAGGCCGAGGAGAAGGAGTGGACTCTGACTGTCAAGGACCTCAACGGCGAGTGGGCCATGCTCGTGCCCCAGGCTGCCATCCGCGCTTAGTTGCGCGGCTGGACGGTCTAGTCGATGATATTATTCGCGGGAGTGGCTGCAATTCCGAGATACCAGTTCAAAACGATATATAAGACAATTCTTATTAAAAAAAAACGTTCAAAACAATCCGATGTGAGGCGATCTTAGTCTTCATGTTGTGCGAGATTCCTGTGTCTCCTTTATGGCCCGCTTTTGTGAATGCTGCAATGCTTCTGCTGTGGGTGATGATGGCCCCCCAGCTTTAGCGGTATGAGATTTTAGTCTATGGGGCAAGCTTTCGTGGGGCTGTCGCTGGGCCCGCTACTAATCACGGCTCCAGTTCTGTAAGCTCCCATATATGTGGTTGCATTTGCCCTTGAAGTGGCTTCTGCCGAGGGATTGCACGGTGCTTGGCCCGACAAAGTTTGTCACCAATTGCTGCTGGCATTTCAGGTTAGATGCATGGCTACTGCTTGCATTGGTAGAAATGTTTCCCGCTGGCATCTTGCTTGAAAGTGTTTAGCCAAGACTTTTGACCTGGCGACGTTCCACCCAAATCATCCTGTGAGTATAGCAGTGGAGCTGCAGAATTGCCTTGTAGCCATGGTAGCATCTCAAATGGTAGAGCGGGAGCTAATCGGCGACGATACTTGTGGCCCCCACGATGGATGGGCTCGATGCCCATATTCATGGATTCCACTCCTGTCTAACTTTCACTTCTCCTGCCGGCCAAAGGGCCCCTGTTTTCCAAGCCCGGCATGACTCAGCACCCGGTCAGCGATTTCGCGTTCTGGCCCAATCAGGTTCCGTCCCTTGTCTGAGCAACGATGATTCGAGATGTGCTCATAACACGTGATCAGCGCGAGGGGGGTCACCAACAACTCCAACAACCCTGCCTGTCATTGTCAAAGAGCCTCAAGTCTACGCCTCCCCCTCTTCGAGAAGAGCACTTCCATCTTTGGAACCCCATCTCGTAACACCACAGACTTGACAAGACCGCGGCCTCACCTGGAGGCCGGCTCACACCCTGCAACAATGTCGTCCATTGCAATCCACCAGATCGCAGCCCGATCCCAGACCGCCTTCTTCCACGCGCACTTCGGCCGCCGCTTCTGGGACCCCGAGTAATCTCTCGTTCGCCAATCAGGCTGCGGACGGCTTTTTTAACAATGTCCAGCCAGATTCCGTGAGCTCAGGGTCGCAGGATGCGACACCCCCAATCTTTTCTTTGTCTTTTCCAACTGGCGACGAATTTCCTTTGACGGCGGGACTGAATGGTGCATTTGAAAGCGGCGGGACAGATGCAGGATTGTTTGGTCGCGACAGCCTGATTGATTCGACCTTGTTTGATTTCCATCATCCTCTTGGTACTCAAAATCCACCGTGCTCAAGCCGACAAGGCGTGCTGACAACATTTGCAGATTCCTCTTTTTTCCCTGACTTCTCATCCATACATGTTTCTGAAGCTTCAGCACCATTGCCCCAGGAGCAATCACCAGGGTGGGCAGACTCCACCTCCAGCTTTCCCGCTTCCGACAACTTTCTTCCCATTCCCTCTACAACCATCAGCTCGACGTCCGCAACCCCTCCGGATCCCGCACGGGAACAGGAGAGCGGCGAATCAGAGGCGCTTCTGCGCAAGCGACGGACCAACCGCCTTGCCACACGCAAATGTCGTCAGAAGAAGCTGGATGAGCTCAAGCGGCTGGAGCGGGCGCTCGAGGACGTGAAACGGGAGAGAGATGACTTGAAATTGCGTCTCGTCGAACAAGAGGCGGAGGCCAAGGCGTTGAGACTCATTCTGAACATGAAGAAGTAAAATTTGTACAAATCTTGCTTAGGGCTGTTGTGGCGTTTTATATGTAGAAACCTGTTGAGGTGGCTCTGAATCATCAACAACCTTGTCAGCCTTTCGTTGCATCTGACGTGAGTTTTACTTTCCTGGCGCATTTATGCAAATCACCGATGTCGACTTCTCGTCCTTTGGGCGATCATGATTTTTCAAGTGCCTGGCAAGGATTGCTAGTTCTCATTGCAAAACTTAGACAGCTGTCGAAAACGCGAGGATGGTTGATGATACAATGAGCCTTGCCTTCAAAATAGCAACAACGATGATATTCAGATTCTATGCATGCGTTTCGCTTGCTTGGCGACAGCAGAAGCCTACCATGACGTGTCAATGTAGGATTCGGGGGCATCACTTAGATGTCTGCACTGGGATTTAGGTCAAAGCGAGGAGGAGGGTGTGGCCAGGGGAGCAGTTTGATGCCGACAACCACACGCTCTGAGAGGGTCTGCAGGGGTCCACCAACAAGTTATTGCTTCCAGATTAGGCCGAGTCCGACATCAAGTCGGCCCAATTGCGGAGGAGGAACGGGCAGTTGCGGAGGCTGTGATATGCACGGCGACATACCCCTGCTCACCTCGGCGCATGTACCAAGAATGAGCAATGTTGACACATCCTGGCACTTGACAATACGCACCTCACGATTTGTACGCTCAGTAGGCCACTTTTGAGATATAAAACTGTCTCCCGCCTGACCTAATGTTGGTAGTGCCTAGTCTCTAATCGTCATCAGCATGCAGCCTTTATCCCAACACTACACGGTAAGTCTACGACTACCCTATTGAGCTTCTCCCGTGAAAGAGACATGATGCACAAACCCTGTGGAAGCCTACGGTATCTTGATGACACCAGTGTGGACCTAGCTGACATCGCCTGACCCGTCTCGACCATTACCTCATTATTTCATTTTTGCTTTGACGAGTCCAGAGACAACATGCTAATACTTTGAGATGAGGACGGCAACGTCCAGCCGAACTGTGCAGAACATCCTCGGCGCCGCCGAGCACCCGACCACCTTTCTGTTAGAAATGGCGGTTCCGCATACCACCCCCAAGAAGAAGTCGACAAAGTCCCTGCGATCCCTCACTTCGTCCACCCCTTCGTCCGCCTCCATACATAAGCCTCAATGCTGGTCATGTCTCCCATGACCTTCCTCGTCCAGTCCGAGATTGGCACCAGTGGCGCGACCTTCTCCCCCAGAGTGTTGCCCTCGCCAAACTCGTGCAACGTCATCCACTCCGGCGCGTCTCCTCTCGCGGCCTTGTCCCCGCCGACGCTCTTGACATGAAAGGCGAGCTTGTAACGCGTCGACCGAATCCACCCGGGCTCCAGCGACATCTGCTCATTGTGCTCCTCGCGATACCACCGGTCCATGTCGTCACTGGCCGCGGCGTCCTTTGGTGTCATGCCGGCCGAGATGATGTGCGTCGCAAAGGCTGGTTTGTCCTGGTCAGTCCCCCCCTTTCGCGGCAGAATGATTCAAAGGGAACCGCAGAAGAACGCATGTAATGCGGGATAATGCGGGATAATGCGGGACAGACAAACACACAGACACACACATACCCTCATCGTGCTTCACCTTCTCAAACACCTCGACAAGCTCGTAAAAGCAAGTATCGATATCCACACTACCATGCACCGTCTTCCCGCCACCCACGTCCTCTTGCTCCCCCCCTTCCGCGGTCCCGCTCCCGCCGCCGCCAGGGAGAAGCTCGTGCGTCATGGGGATCCTGGCAAACGCCTCGCCCTGCAGCGCCCGCATGTCCGGCACCCGGTACGTCGCGAGGTACGGGTCCGGCCCGCGCGTGGCCGGGTCCCGGTCTGCGACCTCCCAGCGGGCGGCGTGCGAGACGGCGCCCGTGGCCAGCACGTCAGGGATGTGGTGCTCGTTGTACCACCTGTTGAAGACGTCCGGGGTGAGGTCCGGGGAGGTGATGTGCGAGGAGGCGTAGATCAGGCCCGGGCCCGCGGGAGCAGAGCCGGTGTAGGCTGTGCGCTTTGGGGCTGTCATTGTGTGTGGTGGGTGTTGATGATGTCGTTGGTGCTGCTTGACACGGCCTGTAAGAAGACACGTTCTGAGAATTAAAAGCTGGTACAGTAAAGTTGGGTTCAAAGACAGCGAAGAGGAAGGATGGATGACGTCTGGAAGTGTCGAGAGAATGCGGCCGTGAATGCCGCGGCACATTCAGTCAGGGTCTGGCGGCTTTGACGAACGCCTCCGCCCAGGATGTTTCCCCACATTTACAAGGGAAAAAGACGAACCGTGGCGTGCGGGCCGTCAGGATCCTCGTGGGGGAATGCGGGGCGTCGATGCTGGAATTAATTATCCGCCCTGCTGGCGGAGACCACCACAGCATCACAAATGCAAGGGGCTACCCGTTCTACATGTTTGAGAAGGCACACACTCGAACCATGATGGACTGGATCATAAAACTGATTGACTAGAAGGTGTCGAGCCTGCTGGTCCGAAGGAGGCGGACAACGTCGCCACACATTTAGTTCTTGGCCCTGCCCGTGGCTGTGCTGGGGTATCTTACTGCTGTAGCTCATCAACTTTTAGACCTCTGACGCCTCTTGTACACCTGAGGCTCTGAGCTCCTGGGCCTCTGGACCTCTAGCTTTGTGAATCATTGCGTCATTGGAGTCCAGTCGCCACCATAACCAAACAGTCATGCAAGTCTGGAAAAGGAGCACAACATTCAAACGTGGTTATCACCATTATTGCTTGCGCAGACATTCACTATAACGCGACTCCTCTCTCCCTTCCAAACCAGAGCCTCTGAAAACACGACCGAAGCACTCAAGACGAAACCCGCCTAGACCTCCGCCATGTTCTTCTCCTTGGACGCATCAATGTCGATGTGGCCCGAGTCGCCGCCCACGCTCGACTGCCGACCACCCGGGGCAGTAGCATCGATGAACCTGGTCCTCTCGCGGTTGACCAGCTCCTCGAACTTCATTGCGCCGGCCTCCTTCATCGCGGCGTCGGGAAAGACCAGGCATATCGCCGTGTACACGACAAAGGCGGTCGCAAAGGCGAGCAGGTATCCCAGGGTGTAAATCTGCTGCGGGGGCTCGAGCGGCGCCGCGAGGCTCGTGACGCCCAGTGTGCCGAGGAAGCCCGGGAACTGGATCGCGACGCCGACCACGTACGCGGCGTAGGCGCGCAGGTTGAACCCCTTGGTGTAGTAGTAGCGGCCCTTGGGGTCGGTGCTGTACAGGTCCTCGATGAAGTAGTTGCCCTTGCGGATGACGTAGTAGTCGGACAACATGACGCCGATCAGGGTCGCGACGAAGATGCCCATGCCCACGACGGCGTTGACGAACGCGGCGCCGTCGACCGACACCTTCCAGGGGACCATCAGCCACCCGCCCACGGCGGCGCAGATGACGGTCGCCCGGATGTAGTTGATGCGCCGCGGCCACAGGGCCGTCGCGTCGCTGCCGAACGGGACAATGTTGGCAATGTAGTTGGTGCAGACGTTGCCAAAGATGTACACGACCGCGGACACGAGGCAGGCGAACCGGGTCGCGCCGCTAAAGTTCTCCTCCATGATGGCCTCGAGCAGGAGCGCCGGGGACCAGTAGGCCTCGCCGTAGATCTTGCGCGAGCAGGCGGCGGTGATGAGGCCGAGGGCCACGACGACCGTGGCGGACCAGGGCGCAGAGATGGCCTGGCCAATCGTCGCATCGCGGCGCGACCGGGCAAAGCGTGTAATATCCTGGCCGGAAGCGACAAGAGGGCCGAAGTTGCCGTTCAGGGCCGAGTTGACTGCTGCGAGCATCGCCCACGCCAGCGCCGCCCGCGATGCCGCAAACTCGGTCAGTTGAAAATCACCCGGGCCACCAGATCTAATCATGGCGCAGATGAACAAGCCAAACATATTGATCGGCATGAGTACACTCTTGGCGTAGTACATCCACTTCATTTCGTTGGGGCGGTAGAATGTAGTCCAGGATTGAAGTACCCAGTACAGGAAAAAGGCCGTCATGCCTCGGGTGGTGATGGAGGCCGACGCGGGCAGCGCGTTCGGGATATTCTTCCAGGCGTCTCCAAAGATGGCGACAAAGGCCACATCGATGAACGTGCCGCCGAAAGTGCACTGGATGCCGTACCAGACGAGGTCGAGGACGGAGCGGGAGAAGACGGGCCAGAGCCCGCCATAGACACCAAAGCAGGCGCGCACCGCGACAGGGAACGCAATGTGGTAAGCAGCACCGGAACGCTAAAGAGCAAAAGCAAAAAGTCAGAACCAGTGGCTTGATTGCTGGTGCACCACGGTGGCAGAAATGGAACATGTGAGGGGGGAACGGGGAAGGGATCGTCCACAACAATGAGGTCGAAATCTCAACAACGAATGAACAGGTCGACTTACACAATTGAAGACGGCAAACGCGGCGCCAAAGAGATGAGCGACGGCGCAGGCGATCAGTGCATGCCACCAAAGGAGGCCGCTGACGACCATCTGCGCGCCAATGGTGAACTGTGTGACCGACCACGACTCGGAGATCCAGTACGACGCATACGTCTTCCAGTTCCAGTTGCGGCGCTCCTCGTCGATAGGCTCCAGATCCCAATTGGTCAGTCTCGAGCCGTTGGCGACGGTCTCCGGGTCCATCTTGAAGCTGTCAACGTACCGTGCCCGCAGGCCGGCCTTGTAGTTGTCCATCTTCATCTTGGCTGTTGTCTCCTGGTGCTTGGGCTGAGATGATGTTGTGGATGACGACAATGAAGGAAAGGGGCAGCTGCCTTGGGTGACCCAAGGACCCGGATCGCCGAGGGTGTGGGTTGTTATATGTATGGCTGCGTCACTGTCCCAGGGTGAGCGAGATGAGGGCCGTCCACACGAGGGAGTCGAGACCTGCGTCCTAGGACACCAGATCGCGCGTCCTTATCTACAGGCGTGGTCGCTCAGAACCTGGCGGCAGGGGGTAAGCTTGTAACCTTTGGGGAACCTCACTCAGCTGCAACCGCCCAAGACACGGGGAGCTGGGTCTGGGTCTAGAATCAAAGGCATGTGAGGTGACGAGACGCCACTACTGTAGCTCCCCTGCAAAGCATTATCACTACGGTGCCAAAAGGCTCCGGCAGTTGGTGGCTTGTGGGCTTGCTGTGCCGCCGCCAGCTTGGAGGTTATGGTCCCAGCCAACCCCTTGTCTCGATGCTGCTGGGGCGAGCTCACCAGCGCCATCTCAAGCTCAAGTGTGCTGGACGGACGACTGACGGGCCTCCTCCGCAGCAGCCATGTCGGAACCTCCGTGCCTAGATCCCTGTCCCATCGGCAATGTTGTCGACTCCCGATACGGCTGGAGCGGGGAAAGCAGCCACCCACAATCGACAATCGAGCTCTAATCCGTCGGGACTGATTCGTGGCACGGGCGCCTAGGCTGCTTTGGGCACTGGGTCGTGATAAGGACCAAGGCCACTGGCTCCACTGCAGGTACATATACTCTGGGGTATTGGTGGCTCGTGGGTTTGTGACCTCCCAGCCGGATGGGTCCGAGACTCTGCTGGCCCCTGGTTATCTGGGGTAGACTTATCTCTGGTGGGCCAGGCCACCTCATCAGCCCGGCAGTTTCATCGAGATAACGTCGCCCTGTGGTGAGGAGGCGAGGGTCCCTTCGTCTTCGTGATGATGAGTGCCGTGGTCCTCAGCCTCAGCCACGCGTTGATAACAACGCCCGAGACTGACTCCGAGGCCCAACGCTGCTATCTGTGAGACGGCGTCAGCGCGTCTGGACCTCTGGCTCTCTGGCGCGTGACTCGGACCTGGCTGCGACTTTGCATCTCAGTGCTGTACCTGCGCGCCTGGGCCACCCCTTGGCCTTGTCGATGGGATGCAGCCATCAACGGTTGATTGGGCGCTTTCAGCTTTTGAGTTTCACCATTGACAACCCATCTGCCACCACCAGGCTCCCTCTGACAATTACGCCGGTCCTGCGAAAGAACACTTCCAGAAGCCAAGGGCATGTTTTCGGACGCGAGTGGTCACCATCTCAGCTCGGCAATCTCACCGATTTGCGTTGCACTGCACTGCACCTCCTGAGGAGCAGGAAACGTGCCACAGATGGTTCACAACCCAATCGCAGCTCCAGCGGATCCCGTCTCCCGAGGTGGCGTCTTGCTGCCAGTGGAGGCTGCGCCGCGTGCCAACGGCAGATGGAACAACGTATCGTGCGGCTCACACGACACAGCCATGCCATCCGTCATGATCTGAAGAGAAGAACTGGCAGTGTTTTTTTTTTTTAAACAATGCTCTTGTAGCAATGGGCTACGTCCTTCAATGATGGAATCGCATGGGTGGCAGCTTCACAGAGCGCGGGCAAGCCAATGGCAACTGAGCGAGTCGCATGCGACACTGAGGGCAAAAGCACAGCGTTCTTCCCAAGATTGCGCCCAGCGATGATAAGAAGGACCCAGATGAACAAGCTTGAGGACAGTCGTCGCGTCCATGGCGTGACTGAGGGTTTGCTCACGTCTGCCCATACATGATATGATATCTCACCATGTCAGCCGAAGAGAGACAGGCTAGGGCCAAGAACCCCCAAACTCCACCGCTCGGCCAAGTCTCCGATGGAAGCTGGGTGGGGTGCGTTGCCTGTCCTTGGGGTCAACCCCCAGTCAGATCGGAGAGCAGACCGGGAGCCCGTCCACTTTCCGCTGCCTCGGCACCAGCAGCCTTCTTATGATGTAGATGCCTACTAGGATGTGTCTCAACCCTGAGCAAGTCCTCATGTGAGCTGAGAAAGGATAAAACTAGTTCCTTGCAAGGAGGACCGCGTCATCGCTGATGCACGCCATTCCTCATCTTCCTCGTGGCTGCTCTGTTGATAAGATGTAAACTTTTGCTGACGGCCAAAGATGCGGTGTCATGCGCTAATGGGGCTCGACAAGTACCGAGGAGGTGGCGCACGTGTTGTTGATTGCTCGGCAGTCGACTGTACCTCACGTGATACCCAGATCATCGCCTCTCGAGGCGTCAATGGAGAGCGAAGTGCCCATCCTACCAGGAGCCCCTCATGTTGTGCTATTCTTCGGCACTACACTTCCACTTCTGTAACTCTGACGCCCGGGGTCAAAAGACGGCGGCGAACACCACAAAACTGCCGCCCAGTCAAAATCCTGACCAAGCAATGCGCTTCCCCCGTGGCCTGGCGAGGCTGTGTAGATGATGCGCGTAGTACGCCTCCTTCGGACTGCTATGTTGACATTCGCTGGCGATCGAGACGAACGGTTTGTCGTCCATAGAGCTGCCGCCTGGACACGCGCTTTCACACGAGCCAGCAGGTCTCCACAGGCGAGGGGCTAATGGATTGAAGGGTATGAACATTTGTTTGATGGATGGCTTTCGTGGCTTGCGTATGTTCGGAACTCTGACTCGACCACAATGCAATGTCCAGTTTGTGAAGGATGTGGGTTTAGGGCTTGACGCGGCGACAGAGAAGACAACGAGAGATTGTGCGTCGATGGTGTGGTGAGCTCCAAGTATCTCGAATACGTTGAAGAAATTGAGATTCCGGCTCAAGCCGATAGATATTGTACGCTTGAAGCCCTCCATAGCTGTCATGCCTCGGATGCAGGCTAGGCTGTTGAGGACCAACGATGAAATTGGACTTGATCATTAAGGCTGATAACTCTTGATGGCTCTAATAGGACAAACAGAGCCAATTCATCGAGCTGCTGACCTCAGTCGTCACACAGTCCAAAAAGACTCTTTACCCAAACTCCAGCTTTGTAAGAGGCGACAAGTCTAGGGTGGGGACTACCTAGGTCTCCTAGAACCTGGAGCACGCAAGGTGCGCCGAGAGACCGACTGTGGGAGAGATAATCGGGTCCCACAGGCCGATCCAAATTGTCGGCAAGGCCCTGAACATACCGACCATTGCATCGAGCGAGATAGTCTCCAACTGGCGAAGCACAAACTTTTGTGCCTGTATAGAGCCCTACTTCCGACCTTTTTCGTTCCCCCGGAAAAGCCGGGCCACCAAAGCACGTGCCTCCACCACAACGGCCACCATGACGTCCAGATTACAAGAGCATCAACCCGCGAAATGGCTATTTTGGCTGGCGGCATCTTGTGTGGCGGGGATTGCCGGGTACCTATACATTGGACAGGGAGGATTACAGGGTCTTTCTGACGCAGACTATGCGGGCAGAACGCAGCAATTGTTACGCACCACCCCATTGATTGATGGCCACAACGATCTGCCGTATCTCCTCCGCATCGAGTTGCAGAACAAGATCTACAACAGCTCATACGATTTCCGAAACCGTAAGCACGCGAAGCCGTCACAACCTGCTCCTTTTTAGCTTCTCCGTCCTTGGCTCTCATTGATAAGTCCTGGACAGAACTCTCCACAGGCCACACAGACCTCGAACGCCTGCGGCAAGGCAAGGTAGGGGGCCAGTTCTGGTCCGTTTTCGTGGAATGCCCCGATCTCGAGAACCTTGACGACCCCAGCCACAGCGTCCGTGACACCCTGGAGCAGGTCGACGTGACGCGGCGCTTCATCGAGCAGGTTGAAGAGCTGCAGTTCTGCGACACGCCCGCCTGCGTCTCGTCAGCCTTCCGCTCTGGCAGGGTCGCGTCAATGCTCGGAGCAGAGGGCTTGCACCAGGCCGGGTCGTCCATCGCTGTCATCAGACAGCTCTTTGACCTGGGAGTTCGCTACATTACGATCACGCATAACTGTGATAACCCCTTTGCCACGGCGGCATCTACAGTCACCGCTGGGGGCGCAGACGAGGCGCTGAGCGAGTTTGGCATCGCCGGGATCCGCGAGATGAACCGTCTGGGCATGATGGTCGATCTTTCTCATGCGTCCCACGAGACCATGCGTCAGGTCCTAGACGTGACCCAGGCACCCATCATCTTCAGCCATAGCACGTGCTATGAGCTCGCAAAGACATACCGAAATGCCCCGGATGACGTTCTCGCCAGGTTAAGGCAGAATGGGGGAGTCCTGATGATTATGTTTGTGAAGCGGTTCCTTAATGCGGAGGACCCGGAAGCCGCCGACATTGAGAGGGTGGTCGACCACATCATGCATGTGGTCGAGGTGGCTGGGTGGGACCACGTCGGCATAGGCGGAGACTTTGACGGCACTGTGACCCTTGCTAACGGCATCACGTCGGTGGCTGACTATCCCAAGCTCATCGAGGCGGTGATGAAGCGTGGCGCCACGGACAGTCAAGTCAAGAAGCTGGTTGGGCAGAATCTTCTCAGGTAAGTGAAAAGCAGATAACAGCATGGCGCAATGGTTACGAGGAATATGCTTGTTCTGACGCATGATGTAGGGTATGGGCCGAGAATGAGAGGGTGGCAGCACGCTTGTCCCGAGAGATCATGCCCGTCGAGGACGTATGGAAAGGGAGACTATTCACGAGGTGGAACAACCCGCTACCGCGTTTAATTCCGGATAATCCAAATAGGATTGCTGCGACGGACTACCCTTGACGACGATCCTGTTCACGGGGTTCGAGATGAGGGACTACACTTAGCGAAGGGAAGAGACGAGAAGAAGAAGAAAATGCGATGGCACCTTTTGTCGGTAGCTGATATCTCAATCAAGAAGGGGCGGCTCCTGGACGCCCACCTGGCTCACCAGCGTCTCGTAATGCTCTGGCCTTCTATGCTTGTCAAAAGCAAAGACTCTCTCCTTGCCCTTGCGGCACTCAGCTAGATCAATGGTGGCGCATACCAGCTCGTCATCCTCGGTCTTCGACTCGGCAATGATATGCCCGTTCGGGTCGACAATGCTGCTCCCCGCAATTAGAGAACCGTGGTCTTCTTTCCCTGCCTTGCCTGCGTGCACGCTGAAGCATGCATTCGTGTAGCTCCCCGACTGGTTGGACAGGTGATGGTGGAAGAGCGCTTCCTGCTTCTGCCACTCGTTCGAGCCTGGATATTGTGGTGCGAAAGCAGTAGTGTTGTAGCCCTCCTGTGGACGCCCGCGGTCATCAGCGCTGCCTTTGAACTGCTGAGAGTGTTTCAGTGAAGCGACTTACTAGCACGAGCTCAACGCCTTGTAGGCCGTACGACCTCCAAGCCTCGGCCCAACGCCGATCATTGCAAAGGAGCATCCCCACGATCGGATCACCTTTCCCCTGCGCAGTATCTGCGGAGGTTGCATCCTTGGACTTGAGAGCTCCCTGAACGAGATCCGGCGCGCGAAACGCCTGGAACCCTAAATCGCCTACAGAGAAGAAGCGCTTCTCAAGCTGCTGTGTGACGCCGGGGCGGGTATCAGGCTCATGGCGGCCAGGCAAGTGTACTTTTCGGTATTTCGCGATGGCACGCCGCTGGGAGGCAGAATAGTACAGGGCCGTGTTGTAGTACGTCACTTTGCCGTGCTCATCCGTCCAGCGCTCGCCAAAGCCAACGTAGATGTCAATTCCCAGCTCCGCTGCCTTGTCAAACAGAGGTTTGCCGTTGGGCGAGTGGACAATCGCATACGGATCCTCTGGCGAAGCCGGCTCGAAGAACTTGTCCACATCCTCCTGCTTCTCGATTATATAGCCGGGAAAGAACGTCGTGAAAGCGAGCTCCGGGAAGACGACAAGCCGGACATTCTTTTCCGCGGCATCTTCGCACAGCTTGATCATTCGCGCGAGGGGCTCTGAGCGAGGCGTGTCCAGGCTCGTGATGGGGCCGAGCTGGGCCGCCGCCACAGTAAGCAGTCGTTGGCCTGAGGGTGCGCTCATCTTGTCTTGTTATAGACCTGCTGTCTTCGGAAATGACTTCCTGGATAAGAACGCGGACGATGTTAAGGTGAATAGCATCACAATTCCATGAGCTGCGCTTCATTTGTGGGGTTGTTGCTTTCGAGCCCGCCAGCCCGTTGTTTCCGGCTTCGGCATGAATGGGCCGACGCCGATGCCCCGCGCCGATTTACGGGGCTCAGGGTCTACGCCAGGTGATAACACATCTACTATTTCATTACATGTGGCATATCTGATAGGGCGACATGGTGGGCAAAGCAAGTTCCCAGGACTTCTGTACATACTTTTGAACTCCAGCTTGTGACTGGAGGATAGTGCAAACTCGACCAGCTTGTTCGAGCTTGATTTGAATCAAAATCCTCACCGTGACGCAGATCACAAACTTAGTATGGTGCCTTGGGCCGCCGTACTGCGTGTCTTGTCAGATCTTCAAGTTTTGGCGATGCTTGTCTAACGACTTATAATGCCAGCAGGGCTCATGGTGTTTATTGGACCTTCATCTTGCAATAGCCTGCATGCAGGTACGAGTACACCGTTCTATGCTTCAAAGGTGAGCCGAGTGACTCGGCACCAGTGCCGCAGCATACTGAGCCAGCCCCCTGTGAGACCAGATTAGCTTCCTGTTAGTGACCGACCCGCAAAGGAAACGGGAGACAGGCTCACCATCCGGCCTGGAAACCAGTACCTCCAGCGCCGTAGTTGTGAATGACTAGATTGCCTTCGATTGTCTCGGCCTCGACGCGAGCGCCTCCTTCCATCCCGGCTAGAGTGCGCAGTGTTAGTCCGATTACCGTGTCGAGAGCTGGAGTTGCCAGAAGACGTACGCCTCAGCCCGACTCCATGCTTGATCACCCTCAAGTCCTCCGGGCGGCCGAGCTCGGGCACCAGGGCGCAGCAACGCTCCTTGATCAGCTCGGCAAAGTCCATCTCGGGCTCGCCGTCCCATCGGCCCTTTTGCCTGCAACCCCCGAGTATGACACCTCCGCGTTCTCCCCGCGGGAAGATGTGCGTGGCCTCTCCGTCGCGGTGAGGGGCGCGGAAGTACATCTTGCGGATTGGCTCCTCCGGCCCTTCGACTAGTATTATTTGACCCTGACTCAAAGACGAATGTGTGAGCACGCATATTGACAATAAACGGGACAGGGAAGCCGATGAGAGACTGGTGATGGCATCCGCATCGAATGGTTTCTTCAGGACACATGCATACCCTTGCGGAGAAGATCCTCTTGTCCTCTACCCCTCCCAAGGTCAGAGCTCCGATACCTGTGCAGTTGAAAATGGCAGTGGTGTCTGGGTATGCTCGGAAGACGTCCCGGATGTGATGGAACACCCTGCGGTGAACTTCGATGCCGAGCCTCGTACACTCGGTCTGGAGCCTGTTTTGTCGGTCAGCATGACATCCGAGGGGGTCCTGAGCATCAGGCGGGGAGATGCTTGTGTCCCTCAGTGAAGCTGTATATCGTACCATGGCAGATATCTCTGAACGTCAATAACAAAGCTGGCCATCTCGTAGCCAAACGCACACCTAGGGGGCAGCTCGTGCTTGGGAATATCCTTCAACCCACCGACAAGATCCTCAAACCAGAGCTTTCCCGTCGCCGGCGTCTTGATTCCGACGACATCAATCGGCTGCTCATAGTGCCACCGGATCTGCATGGGCTTGATGCCGCACTCGGGGCGCGCCGCGCTCAGCTCGCCAAACTTGCGGTACGTGATGGCCTCCCAGTCCTCCTGAGGCCCGTTGTCTCTGGCGGCGGGAAACCAGTTGGCGCCGCCCCAGGCGGAGGCGTATTCTGGCGCCGAGTCTCCCGGAAGGAACTTGCCAGCGACGGTGATCTTGGCCTGGGGATATCTTGCGCACAGCTCAAGTGCTTGCACAAGGCCAACGACCCCGGCTCCGACGACGACGAAATAAGCTACATGTGAGGGTTTATGGTTTAGCTGTGGGGGACCCTCGTTCACGATAAAAGACAGAGGAGAGGAATTGGAGCGCAGAAAAGCACACAGCGAAATCTTACTCATGAATATTGCGTTTCAGATCCCCAAACGGTGGTTTTGACGAATTGGCAGAACTATCAGTCTGCTTGGCGGCCTGTAGCAAGTAGGTTTGGCCTATCCGAAATATAGTGGTCGAGCGCGAGGCCTCGGTGGGTTCATGACCCGCGTGGTTATGGCCAAGAGGCCGGTACCGGTTCCGCTGGGCAAGGGGCCGACCATCGGCATAGAGCCCGGGGCCGACACTGGCCAGCTCCTGGGAGACTAGGGACAATAGGCGATTATGTAGTGAGAGCAGCATTCCGGTATTCAAACCTAGAGCCATTGTTCAGGCACTTAATCTGCTGCTATTGTCTAACTTTGCTTTCATGCTCAAGTCTGCTGTACATTCTCGACATAAGGGATGCTAAATCGTCTAAATGATGTTGTTGACTGGCGTCACCGGCTTTCCCGTGCCAAAGAATGCTTCCACATTGTCCAAATTGATCTTGTCAAAGTTCTCCCAGCTGCTCCCCGAGCAGACCCCAATGTGTGGCAAGAGGGCCACGCGCCAATTGTCTTTGAGCTTCGGATTGACGCCTGGCTCGTTGGCGTGCACGTCCAACCCGGCTCCGACGACCTTGCCGCTCTCCAGGGCTTCTAACAAGGCGTCCTCGTCAATCATCTGGCCCCGCGCAATGTTCACAACCCGCAGCCCGCCCTTTTTGGCGAGGGAGAACTGCTTCGTAGAGAGCATATGGTGGGTGGCAGGCGTGTACGGTGCGGCCAGGACGATGCAGTCCACATGCGGGATCATGTCTTCAACGGAGGAGTGGTATACCGCCGGCTGCTTGAAGAGCTGCTCTGCTTCGGGTTTGCGCCGCGGGCCATGATAATGCACCGTCATGCCAAAGGCCGCCTCACACTTGCGCGCCACCGCGAGACCGATGTCGCCCAGGCCGACGACGCCCAACACCTTGTGCGTCGGGTCCACGGCCTCGAGTCCCAGATCGCGGCTCTTGAACCAGTCGAACCTGGCGCACCACTGCGCATAGGTGAGGAAGCGGAACGAGTCGAGCACCAGCGAGAGGGCGGTGTTGGCGACCGCCTCGGTGCACGCGTTGGGCGTGTTGCAGTACCAGATGCCCCTGGCCGTGATGGCATCGATGTCGGCTGTGTCGTGGCCATGGCCGCTGCAGCAGATGAGCTTCAGCGTCTCTGGGTAGTGCGGGACGACATCGCTGGCAAAGGGCACCTGGTAGGCGAGCGGCCCAGCCTTCAGCCAGCCATTCCGCACAATGGCGACAATCCTGTTGTAGGGCCCGCCGGGCTTCAGGCGCTCCTTGAATTCGTCGGTCGACTTGCAGTCGTAATAGATAAAATTGAGGTTGAATTTCGCTGCCACGGCCTCCCAGCGTGCAGTGTCGGAGGCCTGGACAGTAGACTCGATCATCAGAACATCTTGTTTTGGGGCCATGGTTGCTTTGTCGTTTCAGTCATGCTCTATGCTTTTCTTCTGCAACGTCGCTTGCGGGCCCCATGAAGTACTGACACGGTGGAGACTTGGCCGGCAACACGTTCTCGACAGGGGCCAAAAGAATGCAAACCAGCCGCACCAACGAGCTCTGGTTGTGGTGTCTCGCCGCGCTAATGCCTGCTCGGCCGAGCCACCCAACAGCCACTTCATCATATCATATCAATCACACAAGCTGTTGGTGCTAGTCCAGGGCAGCTGTCTCCGCATCTTTCGTCATCGCATATCGCTGATGGGAGCGATAAGGAAGGCTGACGAGGGGCCGTCCGCTGCTGTCATTGGGTTTCGGGGGCTGTTATCGGCCCCCGGCACCGGGATCGGCACTGGTGGACCGTGACTGCTGCCGTGCCGTCGGCTCACTTGCACTGCTAGCCCTGCTGTACTACCTCTGCACCTTTCTTAGGCTGCCAGTGACCCGCCCACGTCGGTCCCATCTCCCGGTTCCGCCAAACATCACGGACTCCGCCATGGCTGATCCACTGCAGTCTGAACCGGCCACGGCGTCAATTAGCCGCTCGAGTATTCGCCGTAACAAGAAGAGGTCTTGTGTTGCGTATGTGTCTGCCCCAAGGACTGCCTGTACGAATGGTGTTTGTTGTGCGAGTCGTGGGTTGCAAAGCAGGTGGACAAGAAGTGCTTCCACAGGCAAATCGCTCTGCATAATGACGGCCCGCTGATGGAGTCTTCTACAGGTGCCAGCGTTGCCATTCACTCAAGGTCAAGTGCTCTGGCGGAGCGCCGTGCCAGCGTTGCTCGAAGGCCCGCAGAGACACCCTTTGCCAGTATCCGCGGCGCGAGAGACGAGTGACTATATCCGAGAGGTAAATCAGGCCCTCACCATAGGCGTGTGAGAGAGACAGAACGGCGAGTGGCTGACAGTGCATACTTAGCTATCTTCAACAATTGCAGAACGCCCGTGAACATGCCGATCAAGCAACCGCGGGCATGGATGACTCCAGCATCCACGTCGTGGTGAGCAACAGTCGCCCTACTAGTCCCGAGGAGCGGCCCGCGAGTCATTCACCCCACGATGCAACTGCCCAGCCTTCCACGTCGTCTGCTACACCAGGGCCAGCTCACACAGCCAGCCATCTGTCTTCTCCTTCGCATCGGCGCATGCCCAATGTTGGCAAAGGAGGGAGCGATCCCATTCGCACGCCGGGCCATGATATTTCCAAGCACCAAGCCGTGGAGAAACAGGATTTCGTAGGCGAGTTGACTTGCTCCGCCTTTGGTGAACGCATACTGCAGTATCTTGATCCGGAGGCGGCGAACCCGCCCTTGCCCGTGGTTTCCAGATTTGTACGCAACGCCGCCTTTTCACGACAGATGAACGTCGTCGCCAACTGCAGGTTTCCCGACCGCATCCGCGCGACCTTGCTGGTGCGCGTGGCGACCCGGTTCGTGGGGCAGGACTATCACATGTTCATGCAGCAGGACTTCCTGCACCGCCTGGACAAGATGTACGCATCAGCATCAGGCCAGGAACGGGAGAACGATAGTGTTTGGGTTTGCAAGTTCTTCGTCATCCTGGCGCTGGGCGAGCTGTATTCCACGACGCTGGGCGCGGCCAAAGACCCAAAGCCCTCAACAGTGGCCGGGACCGAGTACTTTCTGACCGCCGTAGGGCTCTTACAAGACTTGTTCGAGGAGCCTTCCATTGAACAAATTGAGACGCTCGTCCTTTTCGTAAGTCTAAGCAGTTGCTATCGACCCATATTCTTTTCTCCCTCTTGTTCATCCCGTCCCTAGCCTGCTAACGGAGGCTCCCCATTGGTCCTCTCTCATAGTCTTTCTACTCGAACGCGCTCGGCCGTGTCAAGTCTGCGCACATGTACAGCGGCATGGCTCTGCGCTCGAGCACTGTCCTTGGGCTCCACCGCGAAAGCCCAGATGAGGCGGCCAAGCTCTCGTCCATAGAGCGGGAGCACCGCCGTCGGCTGTGGTGGACGGTCTACATCTTTGACCGGTCGACGTGCTCCAAGCTCGGCCAGCCCATCAGTATCCAGGACTCGGACATTAGTGTCGCCATGCCCTCGACGGACGGCCTGACACCGCGAGATCAAAAGACGCTGGGGGATTCTGCGGACCACCTCATTGCGTACATCAACCTGGCGCAGATCACGGGCTACATCATGAAGGACATCCACCTGCCCTCGCCCAAGGCCAACGGCGAGACATATCTGAAGAACGTCCGCTCTATCCTGCAAAGGCTCAGGAAATGGGACAGCCATGTTCCCGCTCGGCTCCGGTGGGACCCTGCCGGCGGTGTGCCTCGATCAGTCGCGTCTCTGCAGCTGCACTTCAACCAGTGCATCATCCTCACGACGCGGCCCGTCCTGCTGCACCTCTTCAAGCTCAAGAACCCATTCTCGAGCGCCGGCCCTGGTCTTCAGGGGCATGATCATGGTCGTAGCAGCAGCAGCAGCAGCAGCAGCAATGGCAGCAACGGCGACTTTTCCACGCCGCCAATCTCCGATACGGTCAGGTCGCTGGCGGACTCGTGCGTGGCCGCGGCCCGGACGTCCAACGCCATCATTGTGCAGCTCTTTGTCGAGAACGCGCTCGCCACCTGCGGCTACTTTGACGCCCACCACCTGTTTGCCTCGACGCTTGTGCTCATCCTGTCGGCCATCTCGTCACCCAACGCGAGCGACTCGGACGCCGTACAGACAGCGTTCCAGCTGCTCATGATGATGCGCGACAACGGCAACGCGATTGCGGGAGAGTACTTTGCCCGGCTGCTGCAGATCCAGTGGACCGTCAATCGGCTGTTCACGCAGGCCACCATCGCGGCGGCGGGTCAATCGACAGCAGTGCCTGCCATGGATGGGGTAGCGGATTTGGGAGGCGAGGGCGGATCGCAGGGAGGAGGAGGAGGAGGAGGAGCAAGGGAGGATAGTAGTGGCGACAGTGGTTATGAGAATGTCCCAAATAACTTGGACTCGCTCAGCATGGCTTCCATTGGCGTGCCCACCGCAGATGAGTACGACTGGGGCAAGTTTGTGATCCCTCCCTTCTCGTACGGCACCTTTGAGGAAGCAAACGGCGACGTGAGCGTCGATCCGTTGGACAACCCACTCTTACAAGCCTTCCTCGACCATGCTGACAGCAGTCCAAACGAGAGCCATTCGATGAGCGCGGTGCATATGGGATCAGCACTGTAGAGAACTGGAGAGCAGCCAGTGGAGGTTGTATTGCATGCAAGAATCTGTAGTACCGTATTTCTAAATAATGATATTGACGATTTCAACCAACAGTCTTCTCCATAACCCTGTCACAGCCATCTGAGTCTATTCGAACTGCTGATTAATGCCCTCCTGTCGTAAATCCCTCGAATTGAATTGGCGGCAGTCGTGACATTTCACCCAAGAGCCTGTATAACCTCGCTGATTGCACCCGCCACGTACTCGACATTGTCCTCGTTCACGCCGCTCAAGCTGGCTCGCCCATTCCGCATCAGGTAGACATGATGGACATCTCGCAGCCTCTGTACATGCTGCTCTGTGAGTCCGGTGTAGCTAAACATTCCAATCTGGGATTCGAGGTGCGCCCAGTCCCCAGCCCCTTTGTGTTGTTCAATCTGTTGCCGCAGCCTGCCTCTCACGCTCCTGATGCGGCTGGCCATGGTGTGCAGGTCTTGCTTCCACATTGCTGTAAGCTCTGGGTTGGAAAGCACTGTATGCACGATCCGACAGCCAAAGAGCGGACAGTTGGAGATCTCCGCCCTGATGAGGCGGTGCAGCTGACTCTGTGGGCCAAGAGGCGAGGCCTCTGGAGGCAGAACAAGGTGAAGCGCGCCCACCCGCTCGCCGTACAGGCCAAAGTTCTTGGCGAAAGACTGAGTAACACACATGCCAGCCGGGCTGCCCTCGCGGCCTGTCGACGGTGAAGGACTGCCGCCGCCACCGCCACCGCCGAAGAGGGTCTTGTGGAAGTGTCTGATGGCCCAGGCATCGGCGTCGACATCGCCCGTCGCGAAGCCCTGATACGCCGAGTCGAAAAAGGCAAACAGCTTCTTGCGCAGGAAGAGCTCCGCGAGCTCGCGCCATTGCTCTCTGGTCGGGTCGATACCCGTGGGGTTGTGCGCGCACGCGTGCAAGATGACCACGTCGCCCTCCTTGGCCTCGCTCTCTAGTGTGTTCTTCATGCCTTCGAAGTCCAGCGATTGGCTAGAGGGCTCGTAGTAGGGGTATGTCCTCCTCGCCACGGCCGGTGCAGCCATCTGCCAGATGAGATGGTGGTTGCTCCAGGTTGGGTCAGAGATGAAGACGTTCCGCGGCTGCACCTGTTGCGCCAGGAACAGAGCGCCGAGGTGGTTGGCCCCCGTGCCAGAGATGGTCTGGACGGATACGACGTGGCTGCGCGAGTGGTCGTACTCGTCCCCCAACACAAGTGCCTTTGCTACGTTCAGAAAGAGCTCATGTCCGCCGATGGGCAGATACTCGTGGTACAGCAGGGCGTCGTCGTGAAGAATATCTTTGGCCTATTCCTTGTGTCAGAAATAAACAGTGAACTTAATAGTCATTCAGTCAGACAGGTGCACGCAATAATGTGGTTGACATACCGCCTTGACACTTGGAAGAATCCATGGCTGGGAGTTTTCGTCGCGATAAACTCCAGCGCCCAAGCTCACCTTCCTCGGGTCCTGGTCAGCTATAAAGTCGGCCGTGATGGCAAAGGCCTCGTCTCGCTCCAGGACAGCAATTTCAATCAAAGTGTTGGGCATGGTTTCTTGGGAAACTTCTGTCAGTAATGTACGAGACGGGACACGGTCCCAAAGAATCGGTACAAGATACCCAGAACTGTGGTAATATGCCTGTTAGCAAAGAGCTTCTGGCGTGGTTGAAACCACTAGGCCCGACCGGCGAACTGCTGTAACGCGGCGAGTCGGTCTTGGCAGTGGCTGGCTCGTCGGCCTTTGTGCTGTTCAGCCGATAATCTGCGGATCCTCATGGCCGATCTAGCCTCTGGGATTGTGGTGTCCCCGCTAGCGCTCTATCTCAACTGCATATTATCACTCTTATCGAGCTATCACCCAGTTCAAAGATTACTACGACTCTTCTTGACCTTTGCGAACCTGTTATCACTTTATGGAAAAGAATCTTTGATTGAATAGCCTTTGTCTCATTGCCACAGCTGCTAGGAATCAGGATATCTACTGAAGCGCTGCCAATGTGAGACGCTTATAGACATCTACGCACTTGATCAAGTCGGGTATGGCAACCTGCTCATCTGTCCCGTGCGCGTGCAGAATTGATCCGGGTCCGTAGAGGAACTTCTTATGGGTTCCCTTTAGGCGTGGCACGTCCGTGCCGAACGACACCGGCTTGTGTTCGATCCCTTCCAGACAACAGAAGGCGTTAGCTTGAGAATTGGTTTAATTGGGCGTGGGGAACCGCCTCGCAGTAGGTGGTGAGCTTTACCTTCGAATTCATGGTCGAGCATTGTCTCCGGGTACGCAAAGGACTTCTTCAGTTCGATGTCGGGATATTTGCTCACAACATCCGCCACCTGCTTCTCGATGTTGGGGAGGTCGGCAGACACGCGAATGCCGCACAGCGCATAGGCCTCGGCAGCCACAACATTGTAAGCCAGGCCGCCTTCGAGCTTGCCGCAGTGATATGTCGTAGGCCCGAGAAGGTCAGAGGTGGGCAGCGGCAGCGAGGCCAGCTCGTGCAGGACCGAGACGAGCCGATCATTCGCGCTCCTCCCTAGATGAGGATATCCAGAGTGGCACGGGATCCCCCTTGCGAACAACTCAAAGACGAAATGGCCCTTGTGGCCCGTTCCCAGCGTTCCTTCTCTCGGCTCACCAAAGATGACAGTCTCCCATGAGAGGCCCATGTTGTTTACCGCCAGCATTCCCGGTCCTCCCTTCTCCTCGCCCACGACGAAGAGCAGCGAGACGTCGCCGTCCTTGACCGCATTCTCGGCCCTGAGCTCCTCGAGAGCAACGATTTGTGCAGCCATCGGACCCTTGTCATCGCACGCGCCGCGACCGTAAATGATGTTATCTCTGATGCTGAACGGGATATGTGGTGGAACGGTATCCATGTGCGAGGTCAGCATCGTTCGAGCCTTGCGATTGTTCCCCAGGTACGCGTATACATTGCGACGAGACGAGCCTGGTTCAATGGGGATTAGTTCTACCGTGTACCCAAGGCCAGTTAGGTACTCCTCGATGAATAGGCCAATTTCTTCCTCCTCCTCGCTGATAGACGGGATTTCCATCAGTTTCTGGAGGAGGTTAACTACCGGAGTGTCGGCCATATCGGAGGATGCGCAGAGTGTACTCCTGAGATAGTCGAGCTTTGAAGGTTGGCACCTGGAGGAAGAAAATACAATTGAGCTTGCGGAGCGCCTTCAAGTAATAATGCCTAGATCTTGGCTCCGCTGCCTCCCCGGATAGGAGGTTTGATTAACTGGAGATCTGCATCGTTGACGGGTTAAGGAGTCGGCTGTCCTACCCGAGCTGCTTGTCCGTGTTATCCAGTTGCGTCACATCAGACCTGCCGATAAGCCTAGGCCGAGCTAGGCCCATGGTGGCCGGCCGGATCTGCCAAAACATTCAAAGGACGGGCCTTAATCTGTTGGGCGTTTCGGTCATCGGCGCTGCGCGGACGCCGTTGGTCGAACACGGTCTCACTGGATGACATTATTCAGAGAATTGTCAGTTCAAGGACAATGACAGTCTGCTTCACATCATAAGGCGGCACACTCATTCTAGGGCGTTTTCTCGACGCGTAGACGGAATACCCCGGTCATAATATTATTATTCTTGGAATCGCAAGGCAGGCTACCTAGCGTTACACGGAAACATGACTTCACCCAATCAGCTGAGAATAGACACGAGCCGAGAGGAACCGAAGTGTTGACCCTGATACTAGGACCACAGATGTATAAGAAGAACTCGACGGCCACGAATCGACAGCTCAAAGATGAGTTCGGGGCAACCTCTAGACCATACCAGAATGATACGTGTTCACATATAACCTAACCAATACCCAGTCCAGACTAAAGACAGTATCGGAAGTGCACGTCGTAGTCTCCCAGAGCAGTGTCGGGCTCGATCGGGGTTCCAGCCTGTTCAGCCGCCAGCAGCTTGGCTGCTCGCTTCTTGTTGACCCACGTGAAGGCAGCCATGATGCAGCAGACGTCGACCAGGGCGAAGCAGGCCAGGCCCAGCGCAATGCGCAGACCGGGGAGGTACTGGGGCGCGGTCTCCGTCGTGAATATCTGTCCGACCGCGACGCCGGCCGTGTTTCCAAGTGTGAGGGTGAAGCCCACCATGGTGGCGCGCTTGTAGTGCCGCGAGACGTTGTCCTGCAGCCACATGAGAGAGAGGCCAGTGGTTGGGTAGATGCCCAGAGCCGCCACTGATTCTCGTGATTAGTAGTTGGTCACATGTGCGTTATCCGCACTCGAGTCCGGATTAGGCGGAAGGCTGATGGTCTGGCAGGACAAAAACTTACCGAAACACGCAAAGAATCTGACCTTCAGATTATCGACCGTTAGTAAGATGGAGTAGCCCACAATCAAGCATACAAGGCCGACGATGAGGAAAGGGCCGCGTAGTTTCGTCCGGTCGGACGCCCAGGCAAGGGCCAGGAAGAAGAACAAGGCAGCGATGTAGATGGGGACCGTCATCAGATTTGCAGTGACGGACTCGTATCCCAATCCGCGGACAATGCTTGGCATGAAGGTCGTGAGGCCGTACAAGCTGATGTTGATGGAGAACTGATACGCGAAGAACGCATACCACTTGGGATCGACAAAGGCCTTGAGGCACTCGCTCCATTCGAACTCGTCATCATAGCCCCAAGACGGGTCGGAAGCATAGCGGAGCTTCATCATGTGCTTCTCCTCTTCGGTCAGGAACCATGCCTCGGTCGGTGTCGTGGGGAACATGAACCAGAAGGGAACTGTGACGAGAATGGTGATGGCGCCTTCGACGGCGAAGAGCCACCTCCAGCCGGCGAAGTGTGCAGTGCGGATCTGCGTGAGGCCAAAGGCCAAGATGCCGCCAAAAGCACTGGAAAGTGCGCTGAAGGCAAAAATGAAGGAAGACCGCTGGCCTCGTTCTGACTTCTTGTAGACTGCGCCAATATAGACATTGACGCAGGGGATCAATCCGGCCTCGAAGAAACCAATGAGAAGGCGACAGGCGTAAAGCCCGTGGTAGTTCTGGATGAATGCTAGAATTGCATGTTGCGTGAGTGGCAAGCTTTGTGGAAAGTGTGATCGTCTAGAAGACACATCTCTTGTGTGGTAAGGACTTCAACATACACATTCCAAGACAGACGCATCCCCAGCATAGAGCGCATATCGTCATCAAGGGCTTGGGCCCGACGACCTTGAGCAGGATGGCGACGGGACCTTCGAACGGGACGTATGTAGCAAACCTGGAGGTAATGAAACTTTAGTTCGACTGCTTCTCACAATCACGGGCAACGGGGGGCGTTGTAAGTGGTGCTTGGAGCGTACAGGAGCGTGGTTGCAGTCCCAAATTGGTTACCTATGAGCCCTATCTCCTCGGGCATGCCGGCGATGTTTGCATTTCCCAAGTTGCTTCTGTCGAGATTGGACATCATGTACAAAACGCCCATTGCCATGATGGCATACAGCTACCAGGCATTCATTGTCAGCTGGGGACCGTAGAGTTAAATCCTAAAGACATGGCCACGTACATCAAACTTCCTCATCATCCGACGCTCCTTTGCCGGGTCAATGTAGTACGACTCAGATGTTTCTCCGAGGGATGCACTAGCCGGTGTCGATAAGGCCATTGCATCATCCTTCCCGGATGACTCCTCTGCGGTACCCATGGCGACTGGGTATGTAGTTTTTCCCTCGTCGTTATTGCCTTCTCTTGTTGTTCGCGCTCTGCCTTGAGCAAGGTCGAGATACCAGCGACGCGTGAGAAGAAGGACGAGGCCGGAGATGTAACGCGAGGCAAAGAGAGAGGGCTTGATTGCGTCAAAGATTCAATTGCCGGGAGATGTAGCCTGAAGCTGGAGCTGGAAGATGTCGTTGCTCTATATGCGGCTAGGACGCTGGGAGACTGAGCAGGGGACGACGTCTTTCCAGTGTCGCTGGGATACGGGCTTCTCTGTAGATAAGACACACTATCAGGGCCTGCCGGCCTCTCGGAGATGCAGCTGACAACCGAAGATGGCAAGGTCGGATCACTGTCCTCTGGGACCTCTGATGCCTTTCTGGTCATGGCAGCCTGGCACGTTCTTTGTTCTACGCGCTTTGAGTTGCCGACTGCCGCTTTCTACCTCAAGCAGTGATAAGGTCGTACGAGGACGTGCTATGTGTTATCTGCTTGTCCAGGGATGGCCCGCAGCTTGGAGACCCCTAGCCCGAACCGGCTGCCGTGAGCGGTTGATTGCAGGGACACACGGCACGGCTCCACCTGGACCACCGTCCGTGGCTGGGTCGGTTACCGCGAGCCGACGGGGAACCGGCACCACCGCCATTGTCTGAGCAAGACCATTCCGAACAGGTCGGCTTCACAGGAATAGAGCCCACGGCACTCCAGATTTATCACCACACTATACTGGAGATCTCTCAATCCATCTCGCACTAGAAAATTCCTAAAATTATTGAGGCATGTTCCAAGGACGAGCTCCGTAGGGAGGTTTCAGCATGGGAGGCCTATCTGACTTATCAGAGAGTCGCACTTGTCACAAGTTGCTTATCTGAAGGTACTGCAGATCCTTAGGCACAGTCACTCGGCTGCGGCTGTCCATGCCGGTGGTGCACCACTCAGCGACTCGGCTCACGATACCGACCGCCAGGCGTCTCCCTTGCCCTCTATGCACCATTGCACAGAGGCCGCATACCACACGCCGATTGGTCTGGTTCAGGCTGCTCACAAAGCCCCAGACAGGTCGCAAAGCAACATATGAGGCCCATGTAACTACTTTCTTTGCTCGGTTCATGTCCACCTCTTTCTTTCGTCTCTTACTCAATTAATCCAGGGCTGCCCCTCAAGCCACTCACAATCTCGCAATCATGACGAATTTTAAGCCCTCGGGGATCCGCATTGCCATCGACCGCGGCGGCACCTTTACAGATGCCTGGGCATGGATCCCTGACGTAGATGAGAAGTTGGTGGTCAAGGTTCTCTCGCAAAGCCCTGAAGAGTACTCGGACGCACCAACAGAATGCATTCGCCAGATTCTGGAGATAGCCAGCGGCAGGCCCATGCCCCGGGGAACGCCTCTAAATCTAGACGCCGTCGAGTCTATCCGTATGGGCACCACAGTGGCAACCAATGCGCTCTTGGAACGCAAGGGCGAACCCACGGCCTTGGTCATAACAAAGGGCTTCCGAGACATTCTGGAGATTGGCAACCAGGCCCGTCCTCACATCTTTGATCTGTCAGTCCGCCGTATGGGCAAGCTCTATGAGACCGTGGTCGAGGTCGATGAGCGGGTCACTATCGAAGGGTTCACCGAACACCCTGAACCCAAGCCCGTCATCGACGTTGGCAGTGATTCTGCCTTGGTAAAGGGCTTGTCTGGTGAAGTAGTGCGCATCATCAAGGCGCCAGACTACGACCAGGTCCGGAAAGACCTCTCGGCCCTGTGGGACCGTGGTTATCGCAGCGTGGCGGTCGCCATGCTTCACTCCTACACGTTCCAGGACCACGAGCAGGGCGTCGCCAAAGTCGCCCAGGATCTCGGCTTCCGCGTCTCTGCATCCTCGGAGCTCACAAAGATGGCCAAGATCGTGCCCCGGAGTCAATCGGCAGTGGCGGATGCCTATTTGTCACCAGTCACCGATACCTATCTCGAGGGCTTCCGCAAGGGCTTTGAGGGTCATTTGGAGGACCACAATGGCGAGAAGCTGCTCCTGAACCAGTCAGACGGCGGGCTTACGACGTTCTCCAACTTCACTGGCCTACGCGGCGTGCTGAGCGGCCCAGCAGGCGGTGTCATTGGGCTGTCCAAGACTTGCTATAACCCGGATAATGGAACGCCAGTCCTTGGGTTCGACATGGGTGGCACGAGTACAGATGTCGCTCGCTATGACGGATCTCTGGCGCATATCTTTGAGAGCACCATCGCCGAGGTGACTATCCAGACGCCGCAGCTGGATATTAGTACTGTCGCGGCTGGTGGTGGCTCCATATTGCGATGGGAAAATGGGCTTCTCAAAGTCGGCCCGGGCAGTGCAGGTGCCAACCCTGGCCCGGCATGTTACGGCAGAGGCGGCCCTCTCACAGTCACTGACGCCAACTTCTTCCTGGGCAGAATCGTCCCCGACTTGTTCCCTCGACCTCTAGACAAGGACGTTGTGCGGAACAAATTTGAGGCCCTGACCGTCGCGATCAACGAGGAAAAGGCTGGAGAGGTCAAGCTGACTGCAGAGGAGGTCGCCATCGGCTTTCTCAACGTGGCCAACGCGACAATGACGCGCCCTATCCGCACGCTGAGCGAAGGGCGTGGCTTTGAGGCGGGAGCGCACAATCTTGGATGCTTTGGTGGTGCTGGAGGGCAGCATGCCGTTGCTGTAGCTCGAGACCTTGGCATCAGGCGTGTCATTATTCCTCGCTATTCCAGCATTCTCTCAGCGTTCGGCATGGCGCTGGCAGACGTTGTAATTGAGAATCAGGAGCCAGAAACCATCAGCTTCTCTGAAAACGCATTCGACCAGCTGCAAGGCCGCTTCGACAGGCTATGTGCTCAAGGAGCCAAGTCACTACAGTCGCAGGGATTCCCCCTCGACCAAGTCAGACATGAGCTTTTCCTCAACATGCGGTACGAGGGATCTGACACCTCGCTGACGATCCCCCATCCCGGCTCGATTGCTGCTTTTAACAGTGCTTTCATTACTCGCCACCAACAAGAGTTTGGCTTTACCCAGACTCGTAGCATCATTGTCGATGATGTCAGAGTCCGTAGTGTTGGACAAGGTGCCGATGTTCAGCTCACCAACCCATTCGAAGAGCTGCGCAAGGTTCGCTCATCCCCGCCGGCCACTCCTAGTAAGCCTCGAGCATCCACACAAGTGTACTTCGACGTCCAAGGTTGGACAGAGACTGGGCTACACTATCTCAATGATCTGCCAGTTGGTAGTACTATCCGTGGACCCGCCATGGTGGTTGACAAGACCCAGACCATCGTGCTCGACCCCTCGAGTGCTGCCACTGTTCTGCCCGAGCACCTGATCCTGGAGATCCTGGATGTTGAAACTGCCAAGATCAACACGGAGACGGTGGACCCAGTGCAGCTCTCCATATTCGGCCATCGATTCATGAGTGTAGCCGAACAGATGGGGCAGACGATGCAAAAGACATCCATCTCCGTCAACATCAAAGAGCGCCTGGACTTTTCCTGCGCCATCTTTTCTGCGACTGGTGGCTTGGTCGCTAACGCTCCGCATATACCTGGCCACCTAGGCTCTATGAGTTATGCTATTGCCTATCAAGCCAAACTTTATGGGCCTGGCGAGCTCAAGCCCGGCGATGTTCTGCTTAGCAACCACCCTTGTTCTGGCGGCACCCATCTGCCTGACTTGACTGTGACCACACCAGTCTTTAGCGAGGATGACCCGTCCAAGATTCTCTTCTTTGTGGCTAATCGTGGCCACCACGCCGACATTGGCGGTATTCAACCTGGATCGATGCCTCCACACTCTACTGAGCTGTGGCAGGAAGGTGTGGCGGTTGAGACTTTCAAGATTGTCAAGGAAGGCGTGTTTGATGACGCAGGACTCCACGAGATTCTCGTTGACACTCCAGCTTCTTACCCCGGCTGCAGTGGGACTCGAACTTTAAAGGACAATATTGCGGACCTCAAGGCAGCTATTGCGTCCAACAATAGAGGCATCCAGCTCATCAACGGCCTGGTCAAGGAGTACACCTGGCCAGTTGTCGAGTACTACATGGAGGCCATCCAGCAAAACGCAGCACAGTGTGTGCGAGACCTGCTCAAGGGCTTCAGCAGGCGTTTCGAGGGGCAAAGATTGCAGGCCACAGACTATCTTGACGACGGCACGGTATTATCACTGCAGATAACCATCGACGCCGCCAGCGGCGATGCCGTGTTTGACTTTGAGGGCACGGGTCCCGAACACTTTGGCAACCTCAACTGCCCGCCTGCAGTCATGCTGTCTGGCATCATGGTAGGCCACACAGACACACAACACGCATTTCGAAGCTGGTCGCTGCCAAGGGACGACGCTAACTTTCTTCTTCATTATTTAGTACTGCCTCCGCTCAATGGTCGCGACGGATATGCCGTTGAACCAGGGCTGTCTTGACCCCATCAAGCTCAAGCTCCCACCGAACACCATTCTTTCTCCATCACTGAAAGCCGCGACGGTAGGATCCAATGTCGAGACCTCGCAGCGGATAGTGGATCTCGTCTTCAAGGCCTTCCAGGCGTGCGCCGCGTCGCAGGGCACCTGCAACAACCTGACCTTTGGCTACGGCGGCACCGACAGCACCACGGGAAAAGTCGTCAAGGGCTTTGGGTACTACGAGACCATTGCTGGCGGGTCGGGAGCCGGTGCAGACTGGCAGGGAGAGAGCGGCGTCCACACCCACGTCACCAACACCCGGATGTCGGACCCGGAGATCTTTGAGAAGAGGTATCCCGTCCTGCTGCACGAGTTCTCCGTCCGCCGGGGCAGCGGCGGCGACGGCCTGAACCGCGGCGGAGACGGGTGCGTCCGCGACATTGAGTTCCGCATGCCGCTCCAGGTGTCCATCCTCTCGGAGCGCCGGGTCATCGCGCCTTACGGCATGGCTGGGGGCGACGAGGGCAAGCGGGGTCTGAACCTGTGGATTCGCAAGGATCCTTCCGACGAAACCACCAGGACCATCAGTCTGGGCGGCAAGGCGACAACCATGATGAATGCGGGCGATCGGATCATCGTCATGACGCCGGGCGGCGGTGGGTACGGTCCCAGTCCTAACAAGACAAGGGCGGAGCAGCGGTTCGGCGTCTTCAAGATTGGAGACAAGTTCGCTGCACCATCCAGAGCGGGAGGAAGTGTAGCGCAGAGAGCCGCAACGGCTGAGGGAAACTAGTGTATCAACCTCAGGTATCAAACCACTCTTATGTCCAACTTCCACCACATTGGTAAATGAGACAACGGAACGTAGACCCGTAATTCGATAGTTACCAAGCGTCTTAGTGCCGATGGTCATGCCACAAACGTGCCATAAGAACTCGACGTTGGTCCCACGTGCTGCGTCGGCGTTCACAGTGGCCACCCAGGGAGGAGAGGCCATCAGCTAGGCGGAGTGGTGACAGCGTCGATTTGATTTGTTTGGATAGTCAAGGCGGGACTCGTGCTTTCAAAGGGGCGCGTAGTGCTGGAGTCTTGTCCGCCTTCAATTTCGCCGGCCACGCCGACTGCGCGGACGCCACATTGGTCCCTTTGCATTTTGTTCCCCATAGCGTCATGGGGACGCCACATCGGACGGTTTTCTGCCGCGCGGGGCGGTTAGCTGACCTGAACCCCTTTCTCTTTGCGGAGGATAGAATATGAAAGCTAGCCGCCCGCAGTGAACCGCGCACTCATGACCATAATTTAAGTCGAAACCAGAAGCATCTGTCTCTGGTTGTATCACAACCCACCGCCCTGTTTACAGACAGGAACAAGACAGGCAATTGTGATGGGGATCAGTCACATTCGTTCGTTGTGGAGAACCGGGGTTCACTGGCTTCGTGGCGTCAATATTGAACATGCGACCCTGGAAGCTCATGGTCAGCTCTCCAGTGACCCCTGACGGTTGTTCCTGTCAGCCAGCCACTTTCCGCGAGCGCATCACAGCAATTCATGGTTATTTTCCGCGGGCCCATTCAGAGCGGAATGCTCGCGCAGTTTTCAGCAGGTGGCTCGACGCCAACAGACGCGCACTTCAACGTCGCCTGACTCGATTGGCTCGTCACCGCAAGCAGGGAGACGGATAGTTCGCTCAGCTGACTGGTACCCTCAATAGTGGCATACGGTGGTCTGTACTGGGGCGTGCCCCCTGCTGGAGGACACATCCGGGACCGTGGAGGGGCACTGTTAAGATTTGAGGAAGCAAGGCAGCGCGAATGTCCGTCTGACTGTGCTAAGGCGGCCACTGCTTCATAAGGGTATGCGTCCGCTTGCCTGTATTCGCAGGTTGACCATTTGATATGTTGAGAAACCCGGTGCGAAAGGTGCCTACATCACAGCAGACCGGATATTTGATATCACGATGCATATCACCAGACAGACGGCGATTCTGCTGCTGCCGTACGCCCTTTGCGGTGTGGCGGCCTCGAAGTGTCATCCACGGCCGCCGATAGGGTCACTTTCCAGCAACTACTCAAGCTCGTTTCCCACGACGGTCGTAATGCATACATCGGAGGATCCATCATCCACCACTGCCTCCTCGCCAACCTCAGGCAGTGATTCATCGGTCACCTCGAGCGACCCTGAGACGCAATCGTCGACAAGCTGGGCCAGTGAGGTAGAGACAAGCTTTTCGAGGACTTCGCCAGGCCACGTGAGCGACACACAGACAAGCACGCAGACTTCGGCGTCGGTCACCACCGTGCCGCCCACTGTTACGAGCTCGACGGCCACGGACAATGTATCGTTCACCACATCCACCATCTCGAGCGTGGACTCGAATTCCGTTTCCAGCTCATCCGCCAGCGCAAGCACCGAGTCCGCCACGACGTCGGAGCCGCTGAGCACAGACTCGGCCGCATCGATGTCGTCGTCCACAGCAGAAAGCACGCCGTCCCAGACTTTCGATCCTTCCAACTACTCCTACTACGAGGTGACCCTGCCCGTCACGTTTGATCCCGCCGACCCGACCCTGCCCCCCACCACTACAGAGACACTGTCCATCACCCCGACGGCAGAGCCCCTATGTGCGCTCCCCAACCCTGAAGGTCAAGATCTGAGGCTGGGCGACAGCTCTAGCCACCGCTTCGTGGCCAAAGATGGCCGCATCGGTGTCCTCCGGGACAGCGACTTCCCATCATTCCGGGCCGGCGCCGTTGATGACGATGCTCAGGGAACTATGGCTGCGGCAAACCAGGCTTACTATGCGGGCATCGTGTTCCGGCTGACCGCGGCGCCGAACGGCTTCTACGACCTCTCGACCACGATCGACGGCAAGGTCCGCTACGTTGGATACCAGGTGGCTGATGGCCGTGTCGTGCTCACCAATACCAAGGCGGGCGCTCTTGATGCTGCGACCCCGCTGACAAGCATCTTCAAGGTGTCGTGCGCAGGCGAGCTCGAGGCGTGGGCGTTTTCAGGGCTCTTTGAGCTCACCTGGAGGGTCGATAGCAGCGGCGACTATACGGAAATGGTGGCCCAGAGCCCCGGCAACGGCCAGGCCATCCAGATCACCACGACCACATCACCTGGCCCCATTTCTGACGGCACTCCGGGGACTCACGGGCGTAGAAGTAGCAGTCGGCCGCGCTATGGAGCCATGCCAGAGCTGACCGGCCGGGACGTTAACAAGTATTCAGAGGGCCAGTACCCGCGAGTTCCCTCGACGCCGGCCGGGCTTATCTCACGGGCGCGGGCTGGGGCGCGAGGGATGACCTCGAACGGGTGCGGATCGGGAGCGCTGGGCAAGTACGTGCCGCAGCTGGGCTTTGGACACTGCTGCGACCTTCACGACTTCTGCTTTGACAACTGCGCCACGGGGCAGGTCGAGCGGTGCAGTGACAACCACTGCGCGCCTGGCCAGTTTGAGCGGTGCAACTCTGCCTTCTACGACTGCATGAGCAACTCGGTCTGCTCGCAGATCTCGTGGTTCTGGCACCCGGTCGACCGGGCCGTCTGCGAGGCCGAGGCCGTCTTCTACACGGGCGTCGTGTCGACCGGCCTCGGGGGCGACGCCTTCAAGGAGGCCACGGCCGAGCGCTGCGGCGCCTACTGCTCCCGCGGCGAGCCCTGGTGCTACCTCGACGGTCCCTCGAGCCCGCGCCGGTGTGCCGCGGCCACCGACAACACCAACTGTGCCGAGTGCGGCCAGCGGTGCGACACGAGCAAGGGCTACCAGTGTGTGGGCTCGCAGTGCAAGTGTACGGCCGACGTCGTCAACGACAGCAACAACTGCGGCGGCTGTGGCAACAAGTGCCCGCCTCACACCAAGTGCAGCGGCGGTGCCTGTGTCTGTGCCGACAACAAGTGCGGCAACCTGTGCGTCAGTGTCCTAACGCACCCGCGCAACTGCGGTGCCTGTGGCAGCGTGTGCGCCTCGGGCTACTGCTGGGACGGCGCCTGCATGGACGTCCCGCCGCCAGACCCAACAGGCCCGGCCCAGTGTCTGCCGACGGACGCCGTCAAGAACGGTGGCTTCGACAGCCTGGCCAACCCAAGCCCCTGGGTCGGGTCCGCCTTTAAAGGGAGGGCCGAGTTTGTCAAGGACAATGGCAAGAATGCAGCGTGAGTCTGGCTTCCCCCCTTGGGCCATCTAGCCCCAGGCCCGAGTTTTGATATGACGTTGTATGCGCCCTGAGCTGACACTTGGTCTTGTATGCTTTGCCCCCCAGGCGCCTCACCACCGACTACGCCGAGAACGCCTTCTTCGAGCCTGCCCCGAGTGCCACGCTCTACCAGGACCTGACGCTGTGCCCTGGGCTGTACTACGAGCTGACGTTCCAGCTCCGCGTCATCACCAGCGGCGCACTCGGAGTCAGCCTCAGCCACGACACCTCCTTCACGCCGCTATACGGCGACATCTTTGGGCTGGCTCCGCCCACCAATGGCGGCAACTGGCAAGGTATGGGACCTTTTGGGTTCACCGCCCCGGAGGCTGCCGGCGACGGCGACAAAACGGTGCAGCAGCGCCTCTACTTCTCCGTGGGCTCGACCTCCTTCCTGGGGCCGTACAATCCCGCCTCCATGGCTTTCGCAGAGATCTCGTTCTACCCGGCATGAGTCTCGGTGGTCTGTCTGACTCTCCGCGCTTACATCCGCTGCCACTGATTGTCAGAAACGGAACGACCGAAAGTCAAAGGGAACCCCCCCCCCCAATCCTGGCGACGGAAGATGACACAGGGTGACAGTGGCGGGCCAGTCTGAGCAGCCACATACATCCCAGTGCTGGTTGGCTTGTACGGCAGAGCGGTGTCGTTCATTAAGGCATGGGCTTAGGATAGAATAAAAATCTCGGCAATGCGCCGTAAAGTGATCGATTTGCTTGCCATTGACTATGTTAAAACTTGGCACTCTGTAGTACGCTGGTGGTAAAGTGGTCAGCCTTCACTCCACGTGGGTGCTTAAAATCTTGCATGACGCCGTATTCCCAACGGAGCCACGGGCATTGTTGGCGACATCGCCATCAAGATCAACTTCCACTATCCAGTCACAAAAGAGCTTGATGCGGAGAAATCGAGCATTTCCGGTGGCTTCAGGCCTTTGCCAGAGATTCGCCAGAGCCTCCTCCGCCCAAGCTAGTACCTCGTCGTCCCACGCGTCAAAACTTCAAGTCTCCCAGGCACTGAGACCCCGATTTGTCGAAATCGAAAACGTCATCGTCCTGAGATTCACTGTCAAACGGATCAAGCAAAAACTGCCGCGTGGCTTTCCGTGGCATTCATGCTCAGATAGAGGGTGCACCTACCCTCGTCAGACGAGCTTGATGATCGTATCCTCTGCGTCGTCAAAGTGGTGTCGACCTTGAGACTCGCCCAGACCGACCCGCCGATAACATGGAACGGAGGAAGACACATCCCTGCCCTCACTATCGACAGCCTCCAAGATCAAAAACCGCTCCCAGGTTTTTGAGGGGCCGCCGGGCTCCTCCGGTCCCCGCGGGTGAAATGTCTGTAACAGGAGACATGTATACAAACCTCCCTCGAGTACTTCCTCCTGCGTGTACATTTCATCGCCATGCCGAGAAGTCAAGGGAGCCAGACCTTGGCGGGACGTGAGGAATAAACCCTTTACCGGCCCGCAAAGCATGAGATGTGCTCGCCGCAGCTCCGAGACCAGAGGCTGGGCTTGCCACTCGATATCCCAGCTGTGCAGGCGTGCGCAGTTCGTGACTGTGCCGCATGATCTCGAGCTTGATATCGGAGTTATAATCCGGTCGCATCTCGAAATCCATGACCAGGACGGAATGCCCGGTATCACCTGCGAGTCGTCGTCTTGTGCGGACTCTCCCACCCAGGCGAGATCCGCCGCGATGGTCTCCTTCCAGCAGCCCAGCAGGTGCGTATAGCCACTCGCTTCCGCCATGCGCTGGACAATACCCGCCAGCGCGGCAAGCTTGTCTGAAGGAAAGGCGAACTGGAGCCGGCAGTACTGCCACGTCCACCCGCGCCAGGCATTATAAGCAAGGTTGGCGTCACCCTTGACGGGCCCGTCCAGATGATCAGTGAGGTGCACCTGCGCAAAGGTCCGAGTGAAGAAAGATTCCACAAAGGGCGGGCCGGACACGTCAACCCCGGCTTCCGTCAAGTACGCCTGGCCGCACTGCCAGTGCATCTCCGGGAAGCTGCAGTGCACGATGCGTCGAGAGAGGACCTGTTCCTGGAGGGCCCAGCCGCGCGTGCTCAGGATGCTCCGCGCCGTGGTGTGGCCGAGCGCGTGTGGGTAGGCCCGGACGCCGAGGGCTTTTGTTCCTGCGGTTCTGGCCGTGAAGCGATACACGCGGTCCACCCGGTCCATCTCGTCGCGGGATCCAGATCCAGATCCAGATTCCCCACTGGCAGCAGGAGGGCGCTCTCCGTCGATAAATAGCCCCTGATTGCACGATGCCGCACTCGATGCGGCGATCGTGAGCAAGGCGTTGGAATAGACGTCCTTCATGCGCGCAGCCTCCGCCCGCCAGTCCTCGGCGTCGTCTTGCACGATGCATAGGCTGTCGATCCAGATGTACGAAATCCCGAGGCTGCGGCAGAGGGCAAAGGCCTCGCGGAAGGTCCGGGGCGCCTCGCTCTCGCTCTCGCTGATCTGCTGCATGTGCTGGTCGAGGTTGGCCCGGACGGTCGTCATTGGCACGCGGCCTCCCCAGCAGTGGCTCAGGGCAGCGTACCTCGTCACGCCGCTGCCCGCGGGCTCGGAGGCGCTCTCCACGAGGCGGGTTCGGTCATGATGATGGCCGGCAGATTCGCGCGGACCAGACAGCCGGATGAGGCGTTTCGGCAGCGATTCCCGTGCTGGTTCCTTGAACTGCTGGTTACAGCGGGCGTGATCTCTCTCACAGCCTTCTAGCCAGCGCCTGGCGAGTGCGTGCTTCTGCTGCACGCCAGTGGTGGCGGCCGGTGTTGTCCATATTTCTGGGACCGCCGACACATACGCATCGACCTCGTAGAAAGCTACAGTTAGATGGGTGATGAGCTGATGGTAATGCGAGCCGAATTCTAAATCGACCCTGACTGGGTAGAACGCGATTGAGGCCGGATCTCTGTCTGCCCGCCCGATCTGCCAGTGCCAGAGATAGTCAGAAACCCTGATCACGGCAGCATTCAGATCCTGCGCCGTGAGCCCGGCATAGTCCGCGCTGCTGAGTTCGATCGCAAGAGCCTCGAGGATCACACCGCACAGAGCACAGGAATCTGATGATGCAGGCTGCCCAAAATACTCCTTGAAATACTCGCCGTAGGTGCTGCTTCTGCTCAATATCTTGTAGGGCGGTTGGCATGCATCGAAGGGTGCCGAGCACCGTGAGCACAAAGGCCGCACTTGCTCGGGGTGGAAAGGCAGAGCCATTTGATGCCAGAGTAGGTGTGCAAGCAGCCAGGAGAGGACAACGCAGAAGAGCGGGGTTGAAATGGCGGCCTGATGCCGGCGCCGTGAACACGACTCCATGGCGTCAGCTACCTACGACTCCCGAGTTCGGCGCCCTGCGCCACACTCCCTGGCGCACGAGCTCAGCCTGAACTTCTTCCCTGGACACAATTGCCTCTGCAGGGATAGTCTTGCCCTCACTGAACAGCCAGTTCCATCCCGCCCACTCGTTCTTTACAACCTTCTCAAAGACTGCCCCAAAAGGCGTTGGCTCAGCAATATTCCCGGACATGTCCTCGTCCCAGTCGTCCCAGAACACGCGAGGATCGTCGCCATACCTCGTCTCCCCGCTAGCCCCATGTGTGAACTTCCACGTTGAAGTCGGCTCTCCCAGGTGCTCCTCTGTTGCGGACCAGTAATATACAGGTCCGCGGGCGTCCACCCTCCCCCACATCCAGCGGTGCTTGTGCGCCTCGATGGAGAACCGATATGGGCGCGCATACAGGCTTATCACCTGACTGTGCAGCTGGATGTCTGTGCCCTCGGGGCGGCGTTCATCAGGCTCCTGTACCTGCTCTAACGTTCTGATTCCATGAGGGCCCCCCTCTACCACTCGCGGCGGCACGCGCTCCGCGGCGGAATCACGGAGCACAGTCTGGGCGCGGCGGCTGCTGCTGCTGTGGCAGCCACGGAAAGTAGTCGTGTTGGGGGCCTGGAAGCGCTGCATGCCAGATGTGAACCAGGTCAAGTCTGACACGAAGATGTCAAGCGCGTCAAAGCCTGGGGCAGCCTGCTGGATCATTGTGGCCACTTGTCCGGCGTCAACAGAGCACTGGGTGAGACGCAGCCAGTCCAGTCTGCCGCTGTGGGCTTCGACAAAGCTCGCAAGCTGCTCGAGTGAGAAGTCGAGGGTAATGAGCTGTAGCGCCTTGACGGCGGGCGGCAACCCCTCGTGCCTCTGACAGTGGTCGAGAAAGACAGCACCGACATTGACAGCCACTCCCCGATTAGGCGCTGTCGGTGGACCTGGGTGTCTCGCCGCGCCTATTGCGAGACTGCCGAGCGTTGTTGTGGCTGATAACGCGAGCATCAGCTGGGCCATGGTCGTCTCATCGATGCGGTCGAGCGAGAGCTGCAGCGTGTGGATTCCCTGGAGGCAATCCCGCCGGATGGGCTCGAAGAGGACGGAGAAATCCTCTGGCCATGTTCGGATCCGGCCGTGCACCCTGGACTCGATCTTGGCGTACGCACGTGGACGGGGACAAGCTGATGATGCATGCCGGGCGCACACGGCTCGCCCAATGGTCGAGGTGATGAATTCCGAGAACATTCTGTATAGCTTCCCGGATACGTCCATCGCCCTCGGCCGCCACTCGACCCGCATGTGGTGGTCTACGAGTTCTTGCCTGATGTCCCCTACGGTCAGCTTGGAGCCGTCGCGCGGGTCGACACAGAGCTCGGTGCCCGGATCTGCGCGTGCGCTTGCAAAGTTCTCGAGCAGCGGCATGGCGGCAACCGCCGGCACAAACCACTCGCAGAAGTACTCAAAGACTGCACTCATGTATGCCCGGTGTTCCTTTCGAGTGTCGCCGCCGCGCGGCACCGTCATCCAGCACGCGCGGACGATCTCGGCACGGGTCCGCTCGTGCTCGCGATATCCCTCTGCTATAACATGGTGCTCGCCCGCTCTCGGTCGCTCAAGCGTCTGTGGTTGGAACAAGTGCACGTAGTTTATGTCCGGCAGGTCGTACCAGGTTATGGTCTTGACGTGCCGCGCAAGGTGATGGCGCGAGGCGATGCTGGTGAAGCGGTGGTGGCTCGATCTCAGGATTGAGATTGAGATGTTGCGGAAGACGTGGGATGCGATGAGGTCGCCATGGTTTGTCTTGACGTGCCGCAGCGCTTTGAATGTCTTTTGGTCGTCAATCAGCTGCAGAATGCTCACAAATATCTCGGCCGGTAGTGTGGCGAGGCTCGCTCTTCCCTTGGGACTAGACATGAGGTCCTGCTCGGATCACTGGCTGCAGTGCGCTAAGACGGGAGACAAAGAGTCTAGATGACATTATTGTGGTTGTGCTGCAGACGTGAGTGGACGGCGGCTGCCTGCAATTTTCGTGCTTACAAGGTAGTGATCAGAAATAATTATCTCGCGATGGCTCGTCAGGCTTACTGATGTTCAACGACATCGCTGGTTCAGTAGTCATGTGAGTCACGAAAGCGGACCCTGGCTGGTGCCTGAACCAGACCCTGGTCATTCAAGACACCTGAGGTCCACACTGTCTGTGAGTCTGGTAAGCTTGTATACCCGCTGAGTACGCAGATGGACTGGAAACATGCTTCTCGAACAGCGACGCCATACGAGGATGAGGGAATCTCGTTGGTGACTTCCCATAGCCCGTCCACATGCACAGACCCTTACTAAGGCGACCAAGGAACAAGCAGCCTTGACACAATCACTGCACAAATGGAAAGACGCCATGACATCCGGTCCATGCCCATCTTCCCGAGTCACGGTTCAGGCTAATAGAGTGTGCGGAATTCTGGCTGAACCGACAGCTTTAACTTGGCCGAGGCGGCATGTCCCTTCATGATACAAAGAAGGGAGTGAAAATGGTGAACAGCGCGAAAAGGGACTGCTCACACTTGAACGGCGACCGTGATGGCCGTAGTGAGGATGAACCCTGAGTCTGCCGAAAGAGTCAAGCTAAGATGATGTGTCTCCTGCTTGAGTCAGTCACGGTATGGGCAACGACCGCCTGAATCAACCCGAGCCAGCTCGATGACAAGCATGGAAACATGCAGAACTTTACCTCGGGCAACAGGACGTACGCCAAGCTCATATATCTACAACCGCAGGCGAACCCCCAGAAGAGCACGACCAATCGCAACCCATGAAACCGTTCCCTATCACATTGATCATCAGCGTCTGTGCTGCCGGGGCTCCGCTCAACGTGCAGCGTGCCTGAACGAACCCTTGTCCGCCGTCAATCGCTGTCCTGTACATTGGGGCTGTGGCCATAAAACATCAGCCGACGGCAGAGCTGCAAGCTGGCAAGGCGTGCTGGCACTCTCGGCCGATGCTGGTAGGCAATCACCGCACAAGTCTGGAATTGATTGCTCACGCCCCTTGTTCCCTTGTCACGTCCCCTGGACCTGGCGACAGGGGTCGTGGGGCCGTCACCGACGCTGGAAACTCGTCATGTCGCATGAAGATGGGGATCATGGGGCGGTCGTGTCGCCATGTGGATCGACTTTGCTCTTATCATCCGACCTCTTGGGTCGCATAAGAGCATGGGCACGTTGATCATATTGGCCGGACTGCTGTTCCGCGTCGGGCAGACGGCCGAGACGGTGACGGATTAAATGCCGCGATGAGACTGAGCAGGCCTGGCACGACCGCACGTCGGAGGTTTCACGCGTGGATAACGCAGAGCGAAGACACAAACCCAGCCCGAATGTGAACAGGCAGAGACAACCCTTGCAAATCCGACTGGTAGTGTTTTATGTTTCCCATACAGCGCACTGGCCAGGGAGATGCGATCGAGTCAAGGACGATCTCTCCTTTCCGTGGCTGTTCAGCTGAAAACAAAGTTTCGGTCTTGCATGCCCACCACAGACTCCCGTTCATCATGCGGTGCAGGGCCAAGCTGCTAAGATAACCTTGTTTCCTCCGAATGTTCTTCCGCACGAGCTTCTTCGCGCTACGAGAGCATCGTGAAACTCTGGGCTAGTCCGCTTCGCGCAGCTCTGGTGGAGAGTCCCCTGGCATTGACGGGTCCAGCGTCTGGTACCTGCAGCAGTCGGCGGTGCCTACGGCGGAGAGCCTCAGGGGCTTCGCCCTGCCATCATCCTGGCCCACGTTGGTTGCTGTCCCCACAATACGTCGCAGCTAGGGTTGTCGACCTTTCATCTTGCACCCTGTCCCTGATTCGCTCGTCTGTGCTGAATTCGGTTTCTAGACGCTGGCCCTTGCCGCTTCCGCAGGTCAAAACGGGTGTAGCGGCGTGTCAAGTAGACATGTGCCAAGAGGAAGCTCGTATGTCAGTCTGGCAGAAGAGGTGTCTATCCGGCACAGACTGCCTTCCACATCCCAGGCCAAGCAGAAACAGACAAGCGCCACAGCATGCAGACCCCACTCGACCACGATGCAGCGCCAGGAATCGTCACACACGTCTTGGCAAGTCTCGTTGGTCTCGTGTCAACGGCGTTGATGGGCCGGGGTGGAGTGTCATCCAGTGGCAATGGTACATCCCATGCCCCTGAGGGAGACGGTTCGGTATAAAGACTTGACGATGCCATCCTCTGTCGATGCTTCCTGTTCCTTTCCCTCCTCAGGTCACCAAGCCTTTCTCATTCCTTTCACCCACACTCACTCACTCACTGCTTGCAGCTGGTCCATTCTCTTCTCGCTATCCAACAGTCAACATACCCAGGAGGTTCTCGACATTCTTTTTTCCTGACTACGTCGCCATCAACGCAGACGCAATTTTGAACAACCGCCCTCGCACCACGGTATCTCGACTTTTCACGCTCACTTTCCTTGAGGAGAACAACATCACTTCAAACCAACAACAACGTCAACGACATCAACCGCCAACATGAAGTACTCTACCGCTGCCATTGTTGCCGCCCTCGTGCCTTCTGCCTACGGCCACTACTTCTGGAACCGTCTCATCGTCAACGGCGTCGAGACGGGCGACAACGAGTTTGTCCGCAAGACGACCCGCCCTACCGCCTACAACCCCATCAAGTGGAAGAATGTCCGCGACAACTCGACCCCGGACCTCGATGACATCCGCTGCAACCAGGGCGCCTTCAGCTCCGCCGCGTCCACCAAGACCAAGGAAGTTGCCCCTGGCGACAACGTGGGCTTCAAGCTGGCCGTCGGCGCGACCATGCAGCACCCGGGGCCAGCGCTGGCCTATCTGTCCAAAGCGCCCTCGACGGCGAGCACGTACCGCGGCGACGGCGAATGGGTCAAGATCTGGGAGACGGGCGTCTGCGACACCAGCAAGGACTTTACCAAGGACGCTTGGTGCACGTGGGACAAGGATCGGGTCAGCTTCGACCTTCCCAAGGATCTACCCAACGGCGAGTACCTTCTCCGCATCGAGCACATCGGTCTGCACGGCGCCCACGACGGCCAAAGCGAGTTCTACCCCTCGTGTGCCCAAATCAAGGTCGTTGGCGGCACCGATGGCGGCTCCCTGGGCTCTGGAATTAAGCTCCCCGGCGGCTACAAGCAGACCGACCCGTCCTTCAACTTCAGCCTGTGGAACGGCTACAAGCCGTACCCCATGCCCGGCGGTCCCATGTACGCCGGTGTCCAGGGTGGTGAGGGCAGCGGCAACGACACTGCTCCCGCCCCGACTGCTGCTCCCACCGTCAGCGCCCCTGCTACTACGGCCGCCCCGACTACTCTGCAGACTGCCACCCAGGAGCCCGGCAACACTGCCCCGACCAGTACGCCTGCTCCTCCTCCCAGTGCTCAGGTCCCTGGCACGGGCGCGCCTGCTCCGGCCCCGGCTCCGGCTCCCGTCCCCAACTGCCCCAACGCTCCTCGCCGCAAGAGCAAGCGTTCCCGCAAGGCTAAGAAGGCCAAGAAGGCCCAGCTCAACTAAGCTCGCCTGGACTACGGTCCCATCCGTTGACAGGGTGGCAAACTCGCCGCATGTACCATATTCCCCTTCTGAGACCTGGGTCTGCGAGGGGGCCAAAAACTTTTGTTCAAACACATACTTCACTTCTTTGCTGGATCTAACCTTGGCACACTTTGCGCAAGGCGGATGCACTTTTATGGATGAGAAAGGCTTGAGCCACAGACTTTGATCACTATGTAGATCACCAACAATTGCAGAATAAAGACTCCGTCTTTTGCGGACCGACTTTCAATAACCTTGAACAATTCCGTTGCCTTCGAGTAAAACCTGTGACGTTTTGTGAGGCGTGTGAACAGCTTAGAAATCTGGCGTGAATTGGAATAAAGTCTGTCCTTAAAGTGCATGACATGCACAAATAAATCACGAACACGTATGCTTTGTGCCAAGCAATATCTCGCCGCAGATGCACGCGCCATTCCCTCGTGCCGAATACACTTGATCTTCCTGATAACTTTGTTCCTGGCGGCAGATATGCCAATGGTCTGTAACGATCCACACGCCATCTGTGAAGTGGACTAGGGTGGGTCAAGGCTCAGTCGACTGTCACATCTTGTAAGTTCAACAACAATCTAAGAACAGCGGGAGGTTATTCTGGCGTCAGCGAGAAGTTGTTCTGGCGTCAGCCGGAGCAGCACGCGAGTCAGCTTGGTCAACAAAGAGCGAAGGTTGGGAGACAGATGGCAATCTGCATCCAATCACACATCCCTGCTCACTTGTCAAAGTGCCATTGCTCCACCTGCGTCGTGCATGCCAGGCCTCGGCTCGTCCGATGACCTTCGAATCGCTGCGGCAGGAGGTGGCTGAGAGATTGCAAAGAACACAGTCGGCCTGAAATGCTACTGGAACTAATCTTGTAATCATTGACTATTCGACGAGTTGTCCAGTCTTTTGTGGCACCAACCTACGTCATCGGCCACAAGTGCCGGGACGGCCACGCCACTTTCGGCGGCGTTGCATTTTATGGGTCGTGGGCAGCACCGAGAATTTGCTTATCGGACCTTTTCCACGGTGCACCCACGTCCCTTGGCGCACGAATTTGCATGGCGCGCCTGGGGCTGGCTGGGCCTGGGCCTGAGCTTCCATCCTGGCAGGACATCATTGCAGACCGTCGCGTGTCTCTCTTTGTTTTCTTCTTGACATCACTTAACCCGCTCTCCACCCGCCGAATGGTTCTGCCTTGAGTCGCCTGCCGACTCATCCTCGGGGGCTGTCACCAGACGTCAGCACTAGAACTGTCGCGTGCCACTGACAGAGGCCTCGACTGCGACTGCGACCGCCGCCACCACCGCCATGGAACCCTCGACAGCAACAACAAAAGACCAGCCGGTCCCGGCCGCTGCGACGAGCCGGCTGTCCATCTCGACGGGCCAGTCGGTCAAGGATGCGCGAGACCTGGCGGCCATGGGCCACGACGAGGCCCTCTCGCGCAAGTTCAGCGTCATCAGCATGCTGTCCCTGGCGTTCTGCGTGCTGGGCACCTGGTCGACATTTGCGCAGGGCCTGTCCTCGGGCCTCGAGAACGGCGGGCCCATCACGATCCTCTGGGGCCTGGTCCTCGTGCTCGCGTGCAACCTGTGCATCGCGCTGTCCCTGGGCGAGATGTGCAGCAGCATGCCCACCGCCCTCGGCCAGGCGTACTGGATCTCGGCCCTGCTACAGGGGCGCAAAGGCGCGCGGCTGCTGTCGTACGTGTGCGCCTGGGTCAACACCTTTGGCTGGTGGACGCTCGCGGCGTCGCAGATTGCCTTTATGACCGAGTTCCTGCTCGGGATGAAGGTCCTGTTCGACAACGAGTGGGAGGGCGCGGGCGAGGGTTGGCTCCAATTCGTCATCTACCTGGCCATCACTGCGTTCCTGACCTTCCTCAACCTCGTCCTCTGCCGGCGCGACCCGGTCCTGCCCATGTTCAACAACTTTGTCGGCATCTGCTTCGTCGGCTTGTTCTTCGTCTTCATCCTCGCCATGGTCATCTCGGTAGGGGTCAATGCCAGCGGCGACCTCGCCTTCCAGCCCGCCAGCTTCGTCTTCACCACCTGGATCAACCAGACGGCCTGGAGCGACGGGGTCACCTGGTTCACGGGCCTCGTGCAGGCTGCGTACGGTCTGACGGCATTCGATGCGGCCATCCATCTCGCCGAGGAGATTCCCGCGCCTCGTAAGACTATCCCAAGGGTCCTTTGGCTGTCAGTAACGCTCGGAGCAATCAGCGGATGGATCTTCATGGTCGCTTGTCTTTTCGTCATCCAGAGTCTGGACGATGTTCTGGACCCTTCCACTGGCCTGCCGTTCATGGACCTCGTAGTCAAGTCCGTTGGCCTGCAAGGTGGTTCTGTCCTGCTCGCCCTCTTCATCTTCAATGGTCTGGGCCAGGGAGTCAGCATCATGACCACCGCGTCTCGTATGACCTGGGGCTTCGCCAGGGATGGTGGCCTCCCTTTCAGTCGGTATTTCGCCCACGTCGACCCCGTGTGGAAAGTCCCCGTCCGCGCGCTGTGTCTGCAGGGCGTGCTCATCGGGCTCATCGGCGTGCTCTACACCTTCGCGAGCACCGTCCTCGAAGCCATCCTGAGCGTTAGCACCATCGCCCTGACCATTTCGTACGCGCTGCCGATCGTCGCGCTCGTGATCGCCGGGAGGGATAAGTTACCTCCAGGCGGGACCTTCAGCCTTGGAAAGACATTCGGGCCCGTCGCCAACTACGTCTCGCTCGTGTACTGCGCCGTCACGACGGTCTTCTTCTTCTTCCCGGGCGACCCGGACCCGGCGCCCGAGGACATGAACTACGCCATTGCCGTGTTTGGCATCATGCTCGTCGTGGCTGGGGCGTTCTGGCTGGTCAGGGGGCGGCGCGAGTACTTGCGGGTTGCAGGCGCAGGGGATCGCAGTCTCGTGGTAGATTCTCGTGTGCAAGGGCCCGCGTACGTGCACGGCGAGGGCATTGTAGCAAAGGAGGACAGCTAAATGTCTGGACGTTCACAAGCCAGAGACAGGACGGGGCTCTCTTGAAGCACGCAAAGCGATGAGTCATATCGCTGCAGTGATATAGGCATTGCTTGAAGCAAAAATACACAAGAATTTTAAACCTAGCACTCGGCAAGGGCTATTGTGAAATGGACCGCCGATTGCATCCTATGCTATGCGTGTGTTGAACACTTTGGGTCGTTGGGTAAGCTCCGGCTGTCTCTATGTCTGAATTATGGCATACTCTGAAATTTTACTGCCCGGCCAACCTTGACGTCTCTCCGAAGTACAAACTCTACCACGTCCCGGATATAGCCGGGATCCCTAGATCCACAGCAATGCCATCGCTGCATACCTGGCACTCTCACTGACTAGCACCACCTTCTCGTGCAGTCAACTCCAGAGCCGCGTAGTTCCTCACGTTATGTCTGAACAGAAGCCCGAAGGAGAGCACATGCGCCACCTTCTGGCCCAAGTTTCTCCCATCCACCTCCTTCTCACCCTCAACCTCGGTCCCGTCCTGCGCGAGATACACATGAGTCTCCCTCGGCAGGTAGCGCGCGGGATGCCACGCGTTCCAGAGGAGAGAATTGAGCAGCATCAGGATCGCCTCGAACACGAGGAAGAATATCTCGTACCGGAACAGCGGGCTCAGTGCCCACAGCGCGTCCATGTCGGCAATGTTCTTGTGCGATGGGCCCAGGTGCTCGACGAGGCGGTAGATGCAGCGCGCGAGGATGAGCGCCATGCTGGCGTACAGCGCGTACAGGAGTGTCTGCACTGTACGCACTCGCAGCCTCGCCCGGCCGAGCCGGTACTGGAAGAGGCCCGCCACCAAGAAGAAGCTGACGATGACGGCCAGCTGGATGGATATCGCGGCGATGGAGACGTGCGAGCCGACAGCCTGTGTTGTGGGCGAGGAGGTTGGGTTGGAGGCCAGTGCGACGCCCAGGGCGTTGAGGGCCTCAACAATGGCCATGAGCCCGCCGAATGTGCGGAGGACCAAGGAAGCAGGTATGGGCGCGAAGAAGGGGACATAGGAAAACATTCGGGCGAGGATGTGATAGTTGGCGAGCTCTAGGAGAGGACTGTGTGTGTCCGTCGGCATGACAGTGTTAGTTCAAAAGCCGGGACAAGGCAGTGCATGCAGCGCGCGAAGTGCACTCACGGGCAAACGTAGATGGAGATTTGGCTCGTGATATACACAATCAGAGCCGTCTTGTCGGTTCTCCGGTATAGGTAGTTGTAGGCTCCGTATTCACGGAGGGCGTATCCGAGCGTGAAGAGGACGGCGCAGGTGGGCAGGAGGCCGGCGAGCTTGAAGGCTTTGTATCGACTAGTGCATATTGTCAGAAGCGGAGCATGTGGGACGAACGATTCACACGAAATCTGGGTGGGCTAGTCTCACATGCATTGCCAAATGTGGAGGACGGCTGATATTCCATAGAGCACGGCAAAGATGATGGGTGCGATGTTGTTGGGCTGATAGATGTACAAGCTGTACAGGACTGCAACAGATCAGCGATAATTTCAGATAGATCCCGTGCGGTTGAGAAGGCAGGCTTACCAGGCTGACCCCAATCAGACATGGTTAATGAAGGCTGAGGGAAGACGAGGAATTAAATATTAGGGAGACGTGGTGAAGGAGAGTGTTTGAAGAAAGGGTATGGGGGTAAGGAGGGTTTTCGGTGGTGCTTTTATTGATAAACACAAGACATGAATAGACCGTCACAGCAGGATATGAGAAGCAGGCGGTGGTCTTATATAGTCTGCAGCTCAAGAGCATACACCTCGACTGACTGACCTTGGCCTGCCATTAAATTGTTGTAATGGTATGAAGCGAGGACGTTGCCCGTGATCCCTGCCCGGCCTAGCCAGATTAGGACAATAAAAGCGCCAAGCCGCTAGCGGAGATGCTTGCCGTGGCTGTGGGATCATCGCCGCAGGGGTTGCTTGCTTTGACACAACTGCAAAATCATGCTTACGGCACGGCCAGGCAACAACAAAGCACTCGACACAATATCCAGCCGACCGACCGTGGCCCCTCTATGGAAACGCTAGCTGGTCAGGTCATCGGATCATACATCGCAAACGATCGCCCGCACCTGTACCCGCCGCCTCACAGTGCAAGAGAGGAGCACGTCATTGCTCAGAGTCGCCCACGGGATGAGCGAGCCGTCCACCAAGGGGCCTCGCAAGCGCCACTGCTGGGAGTGCCGCCACCGTTCTCTCGTCTGCGACTCGGCACGTCCTGGGTGTAGAAGATGTGCTACCGCCGGCATGGCCTGTCCAGGCTACAGTGGCGTCAAGCCCTCGCGGTACAAGTGGCTCGCTCCCGGAACAGTTGCGGCGCGCCCCTGGAAGCGGCAGCGTCAAGAAACAGCCCCGGCACCGACGGCCTCCGCGCGTAGGGACGCTCAACCGACCGGGGCCCGACAGAGTCCTGGGGCCCTGCCCCTGCACGTTCTCCCGATAGAGTCGATCATGTTCGAGGCCGCACAATACTGTACGCGAAATCACCTTTGGTCGCCTTTTCTCCCCAGCTGACATTATGGCACAGTCAACACGCGTATCTACACAGGACTGTTGCCTCTTACTGAGCTCATCTCAAACCCCCACGTCTACCCAATCTCGGACGCGATGTTAGACCGTGCCCAGACACGACCGCAGTACTTGCAACTCGGCGTGGTCTGTATGGCGCTTGGCCACTACATGGCCCAGCTGGCAGACGCTTCAAAGCCTGCGGCTCTCATCGAGCGCTTCTATACATATCGCGGCATGGCTATCCGCGCTCTGAACAGCGCTCTTGATCACGACCAAAAGGCCACACACGACATACTTCTCATCGGTGTCATGAGTCACCTACTCTTGGATGTGAGTTGACCTTTTCCAGCCGATGGGGGTGAGCCATGGGTCAAGCTAACGGGTCGCTGTCTCCCAGGCACAACAAGGATTACCAGTCACCTGGCGTTGGCACTTGCAGGGTCTCGAAAAGCTCATGGCACTGCGCGGAGGCATAGCCGAGATTAGTCGTGCCCCGGGCCTTGAGCCATTCCTCGTCAGTGTACTGTCGTGAGTACTCCCTTCTGCAACTCGCACAAGATCCACCGCCAAATTCTTGCTCCTTTACGAGAGCGCAGAACTGAGGTTGTTACCCTCTAGCATCGGGGTCATTGGCAATACGACCAGCCCAGCATCGGACTTGACACTGGCAGACGTCCACATGGACGCCATAGACTATATAATAGGCTGCACCGCTACTTCACCCTTTCACATGTGTCCCCCGTCGTTGTTTGCCAACATCGTTCGCATCAACCACATCCGCCATCAGATGACGTGTCTGAGCCCGAGCAGTCCTGCACAAACACTGTACCACGACGCTGGTGCAGTCTTATCGCACATAATCGGCTTTGATGTAGCCGCCTGGGTATTTTCGAAGCCTGCGGCCAAAAAACCCCCTCTGTGGCAGCTCGTCGGCCGATTCTTCAAGGGGGCTACATGCCTGTACTGTATCCTCTCGCTCCAGGATCTGGTCGGGGTTCTCTCTAAGTCGCAACTAGTGCCATTCAACACTCTCGACACGTTCGTGGAGCAACTATCAGTCGATCTGGCCGAGGCTGTCCAAATCCCAGCCATCAGGCAGTTCACGCTCTGGCCCCTTATCGTCCTTGGTGTCGCCGCAGGCAACTGTCACCGTTCCAGCGACACAAACGCCGCGGTTACGGACGTTCGTGCCTTTGTCTCTGCACAGCTGGTCGGCTTGAGCCGTGATGTGGGCACATTCTCGCCGCTGGTGGCGAAGGGTGTGCTTGAGCGGTTCTGGAGTTCAGGAAAGAATACGTGGGATTCATGCTTTGATAAGCCATACATTTTCACGTCGCGGCTTGCCGTCGACACAAACGGTGTGCCGTGAGAACGGTTAGTCTGTCACCAGTCTGAACAAAGTCTCCGCCAGATCTGTCCCTCTTGGGATTCTAAAGGTATTGGGTCTGCTACAGGTTTCGGTGCATGCGTTGACTGCCGTGTCAATGCAGCAGCGAAATAACCTGGCTCAATCTTTTGATCGCTGAACTAGACGAGAATGAATGACAAGTCTGGAAACACTTCACGTCTGTTTTCTACATGTCCTTTTCTCCTTCTCTGGAAGACGACTTGAACGCCAGACCCGAAACGTACATGGAGAGAGGCAAGTGACCACAACGCGAGCCATGATTGGCTGGGCTCGATCGACTTGTGTCTGTCAATTGCACGATACGTGCCCCAGACTGCAACACAGTATTATCCGTGCCCCCTTTGACAATCACATCAGGGTCAAACAGGCTGTTGCTGGTGATCACTGCAGATCCTTGCAGAGAGGAGACTTCTGGACCACCGGCTATCTCCGATCACGGCGGCAAGGATCCCCGCACTTCTCCAGCATCCCCTGATGACGCCCTCACTGCGCTGCGTTTTGCGACCAAGCTTGCTGATGGCGCCGTGAGGCGTAAGTGTGCGTTCCCAATGTAACTACCTGGTCTGATTTGATCAGAACCAGCATCCCACTCTGAGAGCATTCATCTATCATCGTTACCACAACTTTCAACATTGACAACTCACCGGTGCTCACCATGGCATCGTCAAACAAGCATGTCGTCTTTGACGTCGTCGGTAAAGACACCTAGTCCATTCCGCCTTCTACAAACAAGCAGCTCATTATCTCGTCCCAAAAGGCACTCTCATTAGTTACGAGAATTTCTACATCGCCACCGAGGCCCGCTTGGGTCCGCGTTTCCGCGCCCTGGGCATCGGCAGCCGGCTCTTCTGCTACTGCTGGATGGAAGCTGGCGAGCGCGAGTACACCTACCTCAGCCTCGCGGGCAAGTACATCCCCTTCTTCGATGTCTTCAGATCCTTATTCTATCGCACCTTGCATCAAGCCGGCATCGAGAATCCGCGGCAGTTCGCGAAGGACGAGGACAGAGAGTTCATCCTTGATGCATATCGGAACTTGAAAGCTCGTCCAGGTGTCGCAGAGTGTTTCGACAAGCTTCGCGTGGGCGGATTTCAGGTGTGGTGTCTGACGGCGGGAGATGTCAAGAGGGTCGGCGGGTACCTGAAGGCTGCGGGCGTGGACTTTCCAGAGGACAACTTTGTCTCGTGTGATAGCATTGGTGTTGGAAAGCCGTCGCCCGCGGCATATCAGTTCATCCTGGACAAGTTCCCCCAGGAAGAGAGGGAGGCTTGGTTCGCAGCTGCGCATATGTGGGACACCACAGCTGCGAGGCCGTGTGGGTGAGTGTGACTGATCTTCGGAGTTTGAAGCCGCGTGTTCACAACTGTCGATATGGACTCAGGAGCTGACAGAGTGTAATAGATTCAAGAGCGCCTGGGTCTCCGTGTGGGAAAAGGAGACGTGCTCGGATATATTTGGGGACATTGAGGTCATTGCCGACGATTTGCCTAGTATAGCGGACGGCATCATTGCATACTCGGCCAAGGGGCATCAGTGACACGATGTGCGTCTCGTTTTCACAAAACACAGAATGATTCTATATATATGTCGCCAAAGGCTCAGCTACAAGATACTCCCTACAAAACCGCGCTTGGCTTGCTAGCGGGTACGGCTTCCAAGATTGCATTACCCGTGTTATCCAGCCGCTCCTGGGTGGCCTTGAATGGGGATGGTATGCCTGTCTCCTCGAAAGTCGTGCCTTCCATCAGCATCTTTGTAAGCCCCTTGGCCGAGAGCAGGATCAGGGGCATGCCGTGGCCGTTGAAACCGGCGAGAACCATCTGGCCCGGCTTGCCAGGCATGTGGCCGACATATGGCATGGAGTCGGAGGTGTAGCCCATGACTGCGAGTTGCGATCAGCAAGAATCAGTTTGTCGGTCACTATTACACACAAAGGAGAGGGAATGAAACGTACTGCCGGTCCAGATCCGATCCACACACGCCCCGGTGTCCTCCCACCCGATGTACCTGCGCTGCATGAGCCCCTCAAACTCCTTGAGCGCGGGTTCGATGAGCGTGCTGTCGTCGACGACATTGTACCAGTGCTCCTTCTCGTGCCACCACGTCTGCTTGGTGCCGCCGACAATGATGCTGCCGTCGTTGCGCGGGATGAGGTAGTCATAGAGCCCCGGTCCGTAGCGCAAGCCGTAAGTCATGGGCAAGAAGGGTGCCTGTTTCGTGTTTTGAGTCACAGTACCGTCTTGTGCAGGTTCTTGGCTGGACGGGGACCCCGACGGAACAATGATGCGTCCGCATATGCCTCTCACCGGCACGATGCGGTCCTTGAACTGTGGTGCGAGCCCAGCAGTATATCCGTTCGTCGCAAAGAGCACCTTCTTGGCCTTGATGGCGCCTCGGTCCGCCGTAGTGACGAGCCACCGCCCATCAGATAGAGGCTCTCCCGAGACGGCGGCCACGGGTGTGTGGGTTTGCAGGTTGGCACCCTTGCTGACGACGCCTTGCAGCAGATGCATCACAAGCTTGTATGGCCAGATGTGGCCAGCTGTGTAGGTCCACGCGCAGAGGGCGCCCTTGACGCCAGAGACCTGTGGTTAGAAATCGCAATCAGTTAGTTCATGGCAGTCATAGGCACCGCAGAGGACGACGCGCAGGCAGAGCCCCGGAGAAGCCCTCGAAAGAATAAAGACGCACCCTCTCCGCATGCTTCCGTGATGTGTACTGGACATCTCTCAGGTCCGCAACGCCAGACTTGACGAGCTGCTCATGAGCCTCTTCGGCCTCCTTTGCCTGGGCCTCATGGAGGATGACGTCGCACGCCCGAGTCAATGTGAACTCGCAGTCAATCTTTTCCCGCTCGACGAGCTCCTTGACAGCCCGCAACTGCGACGCCTCAAAGTTGGCAACCTCGACAGCCGCCTTGACGCCGTGTTTGCGGATGTACTTGGGCACGTTGAAGTAGACGTCGGGCTTGACGTGGCCGCCTCCATGGTGTGTCAGCAGAAATGTCTTGCTCTTCGACTTACACACGAGTTCAAGTATCCTTACTGACCATTCCGTCCAGTGGCCCCGGAGCACGCCTCGCGAGCTTCTAGGATCACGACCGACGGCGGCGAAGCATTGTCCTCGTGAATGTAGTGTGCCAGCGCCGCGCCAGAAAACCCCGCCCCAATGATGACGATGTCAGCCTCAGCCGGGAGGTCCTTGGTGCTGCGGTGGTTGTCGAGCTCGTGTAGCTCCGTGCGCCAGAAAGGTTGCGTCGAGTTGGGCACAGGACTCGGCCCTGCATCGGGGCTGCCAGGTGTTGAGGCTGTTGATGCCATAATAGCGGTGGTGAGGCGTCGTCCTTCTCGTGATATCTTGGTGGCCTGTGCCCGGGTCGACTCACTGTCTGTGCATACTGCACTTCATGTTCGAGCTGTGGCGGGAGTTTCCTGTCTAGCATGTCTGGCGCGCGGAGAAAAGGGAGCTTTCCCCTCACTGGAACGATATCGCCGAAGACCGGCGGCCAGCAAGGTGGAGAAACCGTTTAGACTTCTGGTGGACCCCTGATTGGGGACGTCTGGCCTTGACGATCCCCACATTCCGCGTTTGTATCACCATATGGAAATCCTGGCGTGTTGGGGCAGCGACGAGGCTTCGTATTTCTCTTTGATGATTTGGGTAGCTTGTGCTCGTGATGGCAGCTGCACGGCTTGTTGGAGCTCAAGCGGCATCCTCTCTAAGGCAGCTCCTGCGCGAAGCGGGAGTGGCCAAGCAATGTGCTTAGCAATATGGGCCGGGTGCTGTTTCTCAATCTGGATTGAGAACTCAATTTGGATTGAGAAGAGCTAATCAAATTTCCGTCTTCGAGCATTAGCATTTGCATGAGAACGAGACTCCTCTTTTCTTTTGCAAGTGAGGGTGGCGTATTTGTGTCATCCTCGTCCACTTTCTCTGTCCGGCTGTATGGCAAATCTTTGGAACATGGCTTTTCGCCATATACAGCCTCATGAGGAGATACCTATCACACTCCGTTGTGGGCCTGGTTTTGCTTTGGTTGCCATTCCGTAGAAGTCGACGATGCAAAGGAGAGAAGATCTAGCTAATATGAGGAATTTCGTCATGACGTCGTCTTTGATCCTGAGAGTGGTGCGGATGAAGAAGAAACGCTCGGAGTCGAGTACAGGGCAGTTTCGACGCCTGCGCGAGGTTGAAGATGAGATTCCGGGGCTTTGCTTTGCTTTGCTTTGGATTTTGGCCACTTGATGCAGAAAGTTATGTAATATGCCATGCCTTTGTGCAGGGCAAGCACTGGGCGCAGTGGTTGCAGGAAACCTTTTACCTTGTAACCCATCTTTTCGTGTAGCGGTCTCGGGGACTCATTCGCCTACCTAGAACTTTGAGCAGTGTCAATAGTCTGCTCCTCGGGACCCATGGAGGTATCTCGACCGCAGTTTGGCGCCTAACCCTTTTCGCTCAGTTTTTTCCACTCAGTGGAAAAAACTGAGCGAAAAGGGTTAGCGTCAGAGCAAGCTCCCCGCCCTGGCTACGAGTTGTTGCAACTCGACCTGGGTGGATAAGTAATCACCCACACCTCCCTCGCGAAGATGAACCCTACTCAGGCAGTCTCAGCCATCAACAGGTTGAGGGACAGACTCTGGCAAATGGTCCATCGGCGCACCGGAGTCCCAATGGTCAAACCAAAGTTTGGAGAAGGTCTCGGACGGGGTGTAAACATGGCTAGCCAGCAGGACTGTCGTTGGCTTTGCGTGTCGAATTTCGCCAGAAGGCAGCGGACGTGAGCGACGGAGCATGAAAGACGGACACACAACCTATTCACTCGAGCTGCCCAGACTGCTGCGATGATGTTTTGACGCTCTCCCTCTGCAAGGTCAAGCAAGTAAGGCTACCACCAGGAGAGTCGTTGTTGACGGCCCAGGCGAACGCACAGCCTGATTGGGTGTGTGTAAAACAATGATCCACTTGTGCTGGGGTGTGGACGCTACGAAATAAGCCTGCAGGTGTACGGACCAGCACTTGACATACGCCTTTCAAGCTGTCCGGGATGTTCTCTGGGCACAAAGAGACCATGTGCTGCTCACTCAGTCCTGCCGTTCAAGCTTCCCAAACTATATGAACGGCCGAATCGCCGATGCACAATGCCGCTTTTTCTCCCTTTTCGTTCCTCATCAACATTCTCCTTGCGCCGTGTGACCTCCAACCTAATCAGACTTCCCAAAGGCTCCGCATAAGGTCATTACGAGATGATAGACAATAATCATAACGTTGATCTCTCCCTCAGCGTGGCAGGTTACGATCCCGCTGGCAATGGAAGCCACAGCTCGCCCCAGATACCTGCCAACGCCCACCCCCTGAATACTTCGATGTCAACCACCCATCCTGAACACAGTCTTTTGTCGACCCCAAGCGTGTTAGACTCATCTGGTCATAGCCAGACAACTAACACGAGCCGCCGGTCATCCACCGACACTGCGGAGCTGACCGCCAGCAATCTAGCCGCAGCCTCCAGCATATCCGACTACGCCGACTCTCAAGCCCAGGACATCGGAGCAGACCCTCACTCGCTTGACAACGATCGCTCTCCCACCAGCACCATTTCACAGCTCTCTCCAATACACAACAATGGCTATCACCCCACCATAGGGTATGGACACAACGGCAGTCCTAACCAGCACAACGATGACTTCCAACAGCTTTCCCACATCTACTTTTGCACGTCGATTCCCTGCCTCGACCCTTGTTGCTACACTTGTACCAACTCCTCTCGCTTGCAGGATTACTACCTAACCGGGCTCGGCGCGGTCTTCACAGACTACCCGACCTATTCGGGATTCTATGGTGACGAGTTACTGGCCCATGTTGAAGACCAGGAGTATGACGACAATGCCAGTCCCCTTACTTAGCACAGCGGAGGACCATAGCAGGGGATGCCCACCAAATGGTAAGCAGACCGCCTCTTCATTCCGTCTAGTGCGCCCGCCTCACGCGGTCACTATTTCAGAGATGGTCATAGACTGACTCCAACATCCGGGCACCCATGTAGGGACATGCCTTCCTTTGCATCAGCGGCGGTCCCTTGTCGGGAGTAGGGAGACGGCATCCATTGTTTGCGCTAGACCCGAAATGGACTGATGGATACAATTTGTATCCATCAGTCCATTTCGGGTCTAGCGCAAAAGCTGCCTTGGGTGGGGACTAGCCAGGCCGGACCGTCTTCGGAAACCAGGATGTGGCATGATCACCCCTGATCAAAAGGTGGAACCTTTCTTGCGCTCGATTCAAGGCATACTGTAATTAGCATATTCAAGTGCACAATGTCATCCAAATAGTTTCGTATTCGTTATCAGTAGTAAGTTATAGACCCCTTGGGTGAACTGCATCTTCTCGTTTTCCCTCACATTCTTGCTGCTTTCGATCACATTCGTAACCGCAGCCGAGAATTGCAAGCCCAGTCGCCATCACCAGCGACTTGCTGATCGTTCCATTGATCCCCTAGAAGTTGGTATCTCAGGTCTTCGGGAGTCACTGCGTGCTTTGCATTCTCACCAGCAGGGTTTGCGCAGGCGCCTCTCGCAGCGACAGGGATTCTGCATACTTGGCCTGCGCAGCGGCTGGCTTGGTGATGACGCCAATTCGCACTTGCATGATTGTTGCATGTCAGATGGGCCGCGTCCCAACGCAGCCAACAGTGCCTGGTAAACGCTGCAGCTACCAAAAAGTTCCCAGTCCCAGGTAGTTTTCAGCTTGGTCCGACTTCTCCTCGGCAGGCTCGGCCTGGGCTACTTCTACGGTGTTTCGGCTTGACTCGTTTGAGAGAAACGAACATGGGAGCTTGTTGTTGTTGTCGACCAGCCTGCGTTGATTGATCCCTAAGGATTACCGCTAATAAAACAGGCAAGCTAGGGGTGGAAGGCTGCGCTCGCTCAGGCATAATCGATTGCAAATGTATGGGCTTGCGCGCATCAATTCGGCCTAGTCAGGCCAAGCGCGGATCTTTGCCTCCAACAGGTGTGTTTCCTGAGCACAATCAGGTAAAGCGTCTTATTGTACAAGGACGTCTTTGCACCTACAATGGGGGAAACCATCCACCATCACCAGCTCCTCCGTACACCACTGGAGCTATGCAGCAAAAAGTATGGTACAACCGCGCCCTAAACCACGATTGCCGCACATCTATCGTCGAGGTTATGAGCATCGCGCGTTCGGGTTCATCTATCGTCGATGAGCTCGCGAACAATAGCTACGTAAGTGCTTGGCAGCCGACACGGAACCGCAGGTAAGGAGGCTAACTAATCTGGATAGCTCCACATATGTTTTGAAGAGTGGTGCCGCGCCAATTCAACGCCGCATGAGCCTCCGGAAATTATGTGTACTCCTCTTCCACCTATCGACCAGCTAGGTGATGGGAGGAATGACGAATCATGAAACCTGTCTACATGTCAATGCCTACGGTTCAGCTACTGACACCATTGTCCCTTTGGGAACAGCAGAGGGCTGGTCTGCCATGCTCTGTTGGAGGCCAACCTCGTAGATGTATAATGCCGTCCATCGGTCCTTGCGTGCAAGGCTCTACAATTGGTTTCCCTGATCCTTTTCCTGCCGCTCAAGACATAGTCACGGTTCGAGATGGGAGGAGCGACTGATCACTCATCTCGTAGTCTATGACCAGTGACCTTCTGACCTGGATGCTGCCCTGTTTCATAGTGTATGCAATCATATGGGAAGTTTGGACGACCTGTCAGAGGCTGACTCAATATAAGTAGTCCACTTTTTGGCTGCATTATTGTAAATATTCACGGATGATCATCCTCGGAATTGTTTCACAAACCCAAACCGGTTGAAGTGTTCATGAGTTGCATGTGTCTTCCATTTCTTGCTAGCTCGGACAAGAAATGGACGGACCGATCTGGCTCAGGCTGCTAGGTCCGCAACGCCGGCCACGCTACTCACAAAAAGGAGTTAGATACAGGTATCGAGGCTGGCTTGCCACCAAACAAAGTGGCCGACAGATGGACTGCTCTTGAGTCCTAGCTTCACTGAGTCGCCGCGGATCATGTCTCATGAATTCCGCTATACCGCAGTTCTCAATACTCGATAGCCAGGTAATGATGGATCAGCGCGTGGCTGGACATTGATATGGGGAGCGAACATTGCCGATCGTCCACGGCTCCTTCGAAAATGAACAACGGAAATTGCACGCATGTTGGACACTGTTCCCAACTTGAGGGCTTAGAGAGACCGACTCATCCATCAGGCCAAGACCAAACCCCTTTATGCTCTGAAGTGGAATATCTCCGGGCCGGGTCGATCTGCCGCTTTGGCTTCTCTGACCAGGTCAGGCTTTGTTCCACACACGGCCAAGTCGGGGCCCTAGGTCGCTCTCCACACTTGCGGAGAAACAAGCAATTGGCCTTGCGGGGAAGACCGGGGAACGAACCATGGTTGCTCTTAGATAGTACTTTTCACCGCGCGGAAGACAGGGGCGGGCGACTTTCTGTCCCCTTCAAGCCAGGCAGCCTAACCCGAATGGTCAAGTAAACCGCCCTGTCAGTCCAATCGTCCTTGTTGGCGCACGAGGACTAGCTGCTCTCGCCTGTGGGTCTCGGTCAAAGTCCGAGATGTAGGCGCCAGTATCCCAGAAGGCACCTGACCCCGCGTATACAGATACGGAATGATTCTGCTTGGCCCGGCTAAAAGACTTCCGGGGTTCGGTCATCATGCTGCTGCTTGTTGACCGGATGGACGATTAACAAGGGCAGTCTTTTGGAGTGCTAGAGCCGCAGTTGTGTGTATAAATATGTCGGACACGCTCTTGGTGGTCAGAAGCAGATACTTCTTAGGCAACTAGCTATCAGTCTCTAGGCAGAGTATCACTCCGGCTCTTCAAAGCCGCAAACTTTCGTCCGTCATGATGAAGACCACTCTCGCCACCGCTCTGGCTCTTGCCACCATCGTCACTGCCTGTCCTGAGCACGATGCTGCGGAACGCCCTGCGGCTCGTCAAGGCCGCCAGGCGAACCTGCTCGCTGACTATCTCCCGTATGTCGAGTATCCCCAGGCACAGACGGCCAATGTGACAAAGTACGTTGTGGCTGCCCGAAAACTGGCGGGTGACGACTTGTGTAAGTATTATAGCCTGGTGTCAAGCAGACTTCTCAATCACTTATATGACGGAGTGGCTAATCTGGGATCGACACCATGCAGACGCCTACTTTGCCCGCGACTGCATCTACCAACCCAGATACGTTAAGCTTGACGATGCGGCTTTCCAGAGCGCACTGGCCCCAGCTACCGAGGTATTCAAGAACTTCTACTTTGTGGGCCAGGCCGCCTGGTCCTCCTCGGCCTACGATACGGGCGATGGCCTCGTAATTTATGATACGCTCGCTTCGTCTGCGGAGATCGAGAGCATCGTCTTGCCCGGGCTTGCTAAGTTTGGCTTCACTGGTCACGATATCAAGTACGTGCTGGTCAGCCACGAACACTTTGACCACTATGGGGGCGCCCGATACCTGCAGCAAAACTTTGGCGCCGCCGTCGTGGCCAGCGCTGATTGTTGGAAGGCCTTGGAGGCACTCTCGCCTACCGCTAACCCAGCGCCGCCAGTGCGCGATGCCAAGGCCATTACCGTGACCAAGGATGCTACCGAGGTCAAGCTGGGTAACGTGACGACGACTATTTACCTTACCCCTGGCCACACTAACGGTACTATGTCCTATCTGCTGCCCGTGACAGACCTATTGACGGGAGACAGGCTGCTCGCGGGTATGTATGGGGGCAGCGGCGCTTCCAGGACCGCCTGGAGTCTGGGCGTGCAAGCTGTCTCGCTCGAGCGCTTCGCGAACATTGCGCGCAAAAACAAAGCCTCGGTACTCCTCAGCAGCCATCACTCTCGTGATCGCAGCATGTATAACATTGAGGAGGTCGCACTCAGGACGTGCGATAAACAGGGTCACAAATGCAACCTGGATAACCCGTGGAATGTCGGTGTGGACACATACTACCGCTGGTTGATGATGGAGTCGCTGTGCATACGGGCTCAGGCCGCGAGGGGAGGCTTCATTCTGAGCCAGTGATTGCAGACGGCGGTAAGCAAGTAGCAGCAGCCTAAGAACGACCCCAATCTCGGAGTAGCAAATGTCATGGATGCTCGTCAATGTTCATTCTCAAGCGTGCGTTGGCTGTGTTGGAAAGTGACAAACAAGTCACCTTTATTTTCTCGTCGCCGCCATGGGAGAGCCTTGTGAATGAACGAGAAAGCGGACATGAGAATCCACGTTCCGCGTTTGTAGGACGCCCATCATCTCAACATTAATCTATTGCTTGCCAAGGAGATTTACGGCCCGGGCAGCGGTAAACATTGTATTATCAACGACATCTTAGCACAGACAATTGACCTCAGGGCTATTTGAAAGCCCCCAAGTACCATGACACTCAAGTGGACCAAGTGCATGGTGCTCTCTGTATAAGTATCTGTGTGAGAAGGCCTTCTCGAGACGCTGATACTTACAGACATCGGAATGTTGAGGAGAAAACACAGCCAAGAGAGCGGAAAGGATTCGCATCAAATCGGAGTGAAACTGAGCAGAGCAAGAAAGCAAAAGGTCGGGATTTCCAATGGAAGAAGATTACTAAAAAAGAAAAGTGTGAAAGGGAATAATGCTACAAAGATGCTGGGGCTTATTCAGACGATGAATAAGATGGTCGCTACGCTTTTGTTGCAGCTAAATGTCCATTTGTCAGATTTTGGAAGAAAAAAAAGAAAAAGTTACAGAGAGGGAATGGGCCTCTTGGCAGTATTACGATCTCAGGGTTAACACATCAGCATCATATCTACCTCTCACACTATGAATTTTGACCATGCCTCCTTTAAGGCTATTTATTACCACAAATTCGGTTGCACGGTGACAAAAACAATGTTAGATGTTAGCACGCCTCGAGAGTCGGGGATCAACAACCTCACTATTTTGATAAGCGCCATCACTTGCCAATTCTCGGTTCCAGGGTCGTGATGGATTCATACTCCTGCACAGCAACAGAAAGCGGTCATGATCACACCAACAATAAAATACTTTGCCATGCCTATATGCTCGCGAATACGGCGCTGGATTCAGACGGGATCAATGGTCAGGAAGATCGACAGTCGCACACACCCACACACCCACACATAGATACCACGTGAGAGATGCCCCACCGTCTGAACTTGTGGCAACACGAAGCAGTCTGTGCGGCCACCAAGCTTTTCCAGAATGCTGCCGATGCCGATTAGATCGGCGGGCCAGGACACCACAGCGCTGGTTCTGAGTCGCGTGGCCCACCGCAGGCTTCGCGCACGGGCAGCAGCGATGGACTATTTGGATGCCGCCTACACGAGTCAAAGCAGCGACTAGCTTGGTGGCCAGCAAGGGGACTAGAGCACCTGCAGGTCCGAGTGGCACAGGATGGATGGATGATCCAACGCAGTCTAGAGAGTACTGCTCCAAAAGTGCCCCAAAAATGCTCCAAAAAGGTGGCACCTTCTCTCCTCACCGGAGCCAATGCAAAAGTGCACCACCAAAAGCAGGCGCTCTGGCCATGCAACACGCTCGCCTTGTGGGCTCTGACTGGGAAGGTGACGCAGCAGAACCAGACTCCACCCACGAGATTGAGTCTCGCAGATCTGCAGCCACGTGGGGACGGTGTAACCAGACCGGTGGTATGGCACGATTGAGTGCTCAGTCGCACGCGGGTGGATGGTGAGATATGGAGGCTGGCTGGATCTAGGGTGGGATGGAGGGATTCTTTGCACACGCTCGACTGCAGGCAAGAAAAAAATCTAGTGGCATCTGGTGTGGAGCTAGACCTGCTAGACTGGTGGTGCCGGCCCCAGTCAACGGCGAGGCCCACGTGGAGGAGGCGCTCTTAATAACACTTGTGTAAGCGAGGGGTCGCGTACGATGCCCAGCATGCTCGCCCCACTGAAGGGGCTGGCGGCCCTTCGCTGCTGATTCTACGGATGTATGTCAGGCAGATATTGACCAGCCTGTGCCGTGCCGCGCCGAAGAGCGGCAGCGCGCACAGGTTGCCGATGGGTCGACAATGATCAGTTTTTGCTTTGGAGAATAACATGGCACGGGTTGCACCCAGCCATGTGCTGCCTGTGATTGCTGCTGTAAGGCTGGTTTCGTCGAGGCGATCTGCGAGGACTTGACCCGACAACAAGGCACTGAAGGCATACGACGATGCTCAAAGACGCACGGGCCGCAAGAAAGAGACAGACCGGCAGTTGCTCAGTAGCATGATGCTTTTGTGCAGCTTACTTGCCGACGCGAGCGGTCACGGCAGCGACTTGTAGCTGAGAAGTTGCATTGGGATGAATTACGCTGGGGTCAATGCTGGCGCGAGCCACTGCGCGGAGCGTCTTAGAGCCGCACAAATATAGGGTCCTAGGGCGCACCAGGGCACCAGGGTCGGAAGGTCGCCGGGTTTCCGGGTCGTCGCAGCCGTTGCCGCTGCCGCTGTAAAGCAAGGAAGCCCACAAAGCGAACAGCGGGTCGGGAGAGGTGGCTGATTATAGAGGGCCCCTCTTCGCAGTCTTCGCGAACCGAGTCTCACTGCCCGGCCCAAGCCTCGCTGCTTTTCAGCTTCTCAGCCTCTTCCAGTCATCTCTTGGGCCTTGATTGCTTTGCTGCACAAATGGGCAAATGGGCAGTGGCGGGCCTGGTTCATGCAAGCACGCAGCCTGGTGGCGATCCGCAATATTACCCCTGCTGCTCGGGCGAGGCTTGAGCCCAACAAGTGGAATGCCGGAGGCGATCGCTCAGCGACGTGGGGAACTGCCCTACTGGAGGCTACTGGAGGCTACCTCTTTCGAGCCCGCGCCGACGGTCACCCCTGCCGCTGACCTGCATCTCGCTGTTGCGGATCACACATGTGACTGGGCCGTGTTTCCAAAGCGGCACCCACTCCGAACACAACCTCGGCGGCGCCTGCCGGCCCCTGCCTGGGGGGCCCCCTTTTGATTCTTCAGATGTAGCGTCTCACTGGCTCGAGGGGTTTTCTTGATTCTCTCTTTCCTGAAAAAAAGGACGATGCCCTCTCGAGCTGTGCTTGTGCGTCCTGGTACAGTTTTCTTTTTTCGGTGATTCGAGCACTCACGATCAGGACAGACAGACAGCCAAGATGCGGAGCTTGGCCGCAGTCGTTGCCCTCCTCTCGGCCATGGGCCTGGTGGCAGCCCAGCTGCCGCCAGGCACTCCCAAATGCGCGGTACGCCTCGTGAATCCCTCACACCGGCCCTGCTGCCGAATCCTCCTGCCGGTGAGCGCAGACAGACTGACGTAGTTGGATTGATAGGTTCCTTGTTACATCAAGGGCGCCGCCGCATCGCCATGCCTCACCGACGTGGCCTGTCTTTGCGCTGACCAGACCTTCATCGCCTCTGTCGAGACATGTGTGCGGGCCAGCTGCATAGTTGAGGACGCCCTGCGTAAGGCGGCCAGAACCCTTGATCTGTCCCTCTCCCGTCTAGCCTGCTGACCACCTGAGAGCAGTGGTCAAGAATGCGTCCGCGACGACATGCGGCATCGAGCCCGGGAACATCAGCCCCCTCTACGTCGAGACATCGGCCATCATGACTGGATTCGCCCTCTTCTTCACCATCCTCCGCGTCGTCTATCGCCAGTGGATCACGCAACTAGGGCTGGGGGCCGACGACTGGACCACCATCGCCGCCGCCTTGAGCTGCATTCCTGCCACGGTTCTGAATGCACGCCTCGCCCAGTTTGGTATAGGCAAGGATATCTGGACCCTCACGCCCTACCAGATTACCATGTTTGGACAGACATTTTACATCCTGACGATGATTTACTTCCTCGACATGGCGTTGCTCAAGCTCTCGATTCTCTTCTTCTTCCTGCGGATATTTCCCGACCGCAGATTCCGTACGGTCGTGTGGGTGACGGTTGGCGTTGTTACCATGTTTGGAGTCGCCTACGTGATGGCTGCGGCATTGCAGTGCTTGCCTGTGAGCTACAACTGGACTAGGTGGAACGACCGCGAGAACCAGGGCCACTGCGTCGACTACGGCGCAATTGCGTGGGCCAATGCAGCTGTGAGCATCGCGCTCGACTTCTGGATGCTCTACCTGCCGCTGTCGCAGATCTCGTCACTCAAGCTGGACTGGAGGAAGAAGGTCGGCATCTCTGCCAGTAGGTGTTTTTCTTCTTCCTTTTTGTGTGTGCCTCGACGAGGATTGTATGTAAACGACAAGTCTCTTTGCTAACAGTATGGGTCAGTGTTCATCGTCGGCACCTTCGTAACCGTCGTCTCTATTATCCGACTCGCCTCGATTATCAAGTTCCGCAGCAGCGACAACATCACGCACGACACGACAGCCATCGCCATGTGGTCAACCGTAGAGATCTGCACGGGCGTCATTTGTGCATGCATGCCGTCCAGTAAGTCCCGCCCATCTTGTCTCATGACACTCACTCGGCCCTGCTGACAAGTACTCTCTCAAGTGCGCCTCGTCCTCGGCCGCCTGTGGCCGAACGTCTTTGGCTCTCCCGCGACGACGTCCTCGTCGTTGTACCCGCGAGGTGGCGGCATGTACTATGGCAAAAACAACACGGGCACGGGCACGGGCACGGGGCTGCACAACGGCAGCCACCACAACAACCACAACACAACCACCAGCAAGAGCGCCCAGTCCACCACGACCAAATCGATCAACCGCTTCTCCCGGCCCATGTCCTTTTTCAGCAGCCACCAGAGCGGCAACAGCGGGAGCAGTGGCGGCAGGGTCGATGCTGTCGCTTACCCAGGCCGCCTTGGGCGTGTCGGTTCGACCGAGGACGATGCCATCCAGCTTCGCACAAACCCAGGCCAACCGCTGCCACCAGTGTACATGGCAGAAAGATCTTCGACGTCGAGCTCGGAACTGGACCTTCCCCGGCAAGGGACGAGTTCAGGGGGGATCCATGTCACAAGGAGCGTGGAAATCAAGTACTAGTTAGCACTTGTGTGTCTGCATGTGTACATCTTTGCTTTGTTCCAAGGCGGGCGTTCTTTTTGTTTGTCAATCATTTTTTGTTCTCTTTGTAGCATAGAAGCGATATATCCGCAAAATACCACTAGTAGTGAATGGCCTTTTGGCTCACCCAGTTTTACACAGTGACTGCTGAGCGGGTTGTCTCACAAAACCAATGAAACCTTAGCATTGCATTCATGGTCTGACGGGATGCTAAGGGCCACATTTTGATAGGAGGAAGCAGAGTCTCTTTTACTCCGTCAAGAAGAACTGTATTTCCCGACTGACTAAAGTTTCGATATGGCCGCCATGCAGAGATACATCCTAGTCACGACGAGCCTCCTCCACATGGAAGCCCTTTGATTCGGCCGCAACCGCCTCGTCCTTCTCGTTGGCCCAAGCATGCTCGTTCGAGGCCTCGGCATCGGGAGTCTTTGCGCCATGCCGTCCAATCTTGTACCAGGGCAGGTTGAACAGCTCGTCAGTGCTCTCGAGCGAGCGGCCCGCGAGCTCCGGTACGAAGAACCACACCCACAGCAGGCCCAGGAAACACACGGCGGCGCAGAAGGCGAAGAAGCCGTAGCTCGTCATGGCCAGGACCATCAAGGGCACAGCCTTGGTGTTACCGTACTGGTTGATAAAGTGCAGGCACATGACGAGCGAGGAGCCGAGGGCACGCAGCCGCAGGGGCCAGATCTCGGCGTTGACGAGGTACTGGAACGAGTTCCAGCCCATGGTCCAGCCAACGCCCGAAATGTACAGCATCGCCACGGCGCCGGTGGCGGCCTGCTTGTCCGTTTCGGAGAGGTTGCCGGACGCCAGCTTGTCCGGGCTGATGATGCCGAGGAAGATGGCCACGTACAGGATCGAGATCATCTGCAGTGTGATGCCCCAGTACAGGGAGCGCCGGCGGCCGATGAACTCGATGAGGAAGAAGGCAGAGAGGTAGGCCGCGGACAGCTTGACGACGCCCACGATGCATGTCGCAAACAGCTTCTCGGACTCGCCCGTCTTGCCAAGCGTGGCAAAGAAGTTGGGCGCGTAGATCGTGATAGCCGAGGCGCCTGACCACTGCCCCAAAATTTGCGACATGCAGCCCAGCATGAGGCGGTACCGGTTGGCGGGGACCATGAGGAGCTCGCGGATCTTGCCCCAGCGCGAGACACCGTGGGTGGCCTCCTTCTCGCGCTCGAGCTGCTCCCGGATGCCAAGCAGCTCGGCCTGGACGAAGGGATGGTCCGCGGGGAGCTGACGGAGCTTGCAGAGGGCAGAGATGGCTTTTTCGGGCTGGTTCTTCATGGTCAGGTAGCGAGGGGTCTCGTTGACGGTAAAGGACATGATGAGGAGCGCTCTGTTGGAGGCAAGAGTTGTCAGTATTCGGCACGAAGCGTTCGAGAGAAGGAGATGATGTTAGGCGGCTTACCCAGCGAAACCAATGTGCGCCGTCTGCGGTGCCACCCACTGCATTCTTGACGTCCACGGGATGTTGATCGAGGCACCCCAGTTGCTGAAGTAGGCGATCATGACACCCAAGTAGACGGACCCGGCAAAGATGTTGGTGAGCATGCCACGCACCGCCCGAGGAGCCGTCTCGGCGAGGTAGGTCGGACCAACAACGGTGGTCATGCCGATGCCGAGGCCGGCGATGAACCTGCCGCCGAGCACTTGGGCGACGCTGCCCTGGCTGGTGATGACGATGATGAAGCCAACGAGCCACAGCATGCAAAGCACCTGGAACGAGCGGATACGGCCGATGTTGTCGCAGAGGAGGAAGGCAAGGAGCGCACCGATGATGGAGCCGAGCTGGACCATGCTGGTGATGTTGGACGTGGTCTGAGCAATCTGCTCCTTGCTTCCCTGGTTCAGACCGAATTCGGTAGAGAAGCTCTTGAGGGTGACCATGCCGCCTACAAGACCTTCGTCGAGACCACGACTGGCTCCGAGGATGCCTGTGGTAACAAGTTGAACATGTCAGCGACACTGGGACTGAGATGATTTGGTTAGGATCGCGAGAGGGTGCCTCTTACCAAAGACAAAAGTGCTCCAATACAGGCGCCAGTTGAACACCTGCTTGGGCGTGTCGGCCATGGCCTCCGTCTTTCCGAAAGAGATCTTCATCTTGGCAGGCTTGCAAGGGAGGATGACTCTCTAGGACAGGCTGGATGAGGGACTTCAGAAGGAGTCGATGAGTGAGAACAAAACCGGCAGACCCTAGGAGCAGGGGAAGCGAATCTTTATAGCCCAAGGACACTTCCCCTCGCTGTTTATTCGCGGGGGGACCCCACGGGGTCATGAGGAGTTCTTGTTGGGGGCCGCCTTCGTCCAACTGGCAGCGGAAGTTGCCCGAGCGGTGGGCACATTGTGAATGCCGGCATACGCAAGGAAACCGCTCAATCGAACAGCGACCACTGATGAGCTAGTTGGACCAGGCCACACTCCATGAGGCGGGAGCCCCGTGGGGTCTGCTTCTCTGGCTCGTACGAAGGGAGGGAATTCCCCTGGTCGTGCCCTCGGGAGTTGACCGAGGCGGGTCTGCATGGTGGGTGCAAAGCTTGTCCCCAAACCAAGCTTTGTCCGCGGGAGCTGTGGCGGTCTGGGCAAGCTGGGCAGAGTGCTTGACTCGTCTTAGCATGGCCCCAGGTGACCAGGGGAAGTCCCTCCTAGGCGACAACGGGCGCGGAAATGGGCGCGGCCAACCAGGTCGGGCACACCTCGGGCACAATCCTGCAGAGGCTCTAGCCAGCCACGTTCCGTGCTAGCCGTGTCTGGAATGTAGTGCCAGGCCATTGCGTCGTCATCGTCTTTGTTCAGCATTGTTGGGCGGATTATTCCGGCCTGCATCCTGGACTTGCATAGACTGTCCTGCGGGTCCTCGGTAGCTGTGTCAACAACACTGCCGTGTCTGGACTGCCCGCGAGCCAAAAAGATCTGGAACATGAGAGAGCTAACTAAACGGGAGGAGTACGTCTCCACGGTGCCCCCAGGCCGGGCCACCCTTCACCCCGCATTCGGGTTAAGTTTCGGCCCTCCCGCAGAGATGGAAGTTGTCTGCTGGCCGCCCCGACGCAGTAGATCACCCTCGGCCATCCCCCGGAATTCCAACACCAGCTTCCCCAGAAGTGTCCCCAGCTTCAGCGACTACATCTTCAGCGTGTGCTTCCTCAGCGTGTGCTTTCTCAGCGCCAGTTGCACATTGTCCCACACTGCCGTGTTTGCTCGGGTCGCATCAAACACCGTATCGCATCACCATGCGGTCTCACCTGCTGGCTGCCGATTGCTGCACAGATACAAATCATCTTGTGGGCTGAGCTGTCGTCAACTTGGACAGTCAACCAGTGTGGCTGTGGAGCGCTGTGCCCGAGACGCTCGCCATGTTGAACATTGCACCAGAGCCGCCGTGCCCACCGAAGCCGTACTTGATTGCCGCCGCGGACAATGGGGACCTCGTCGCTGAGTCGAATTGCCAGAACGAGCGCGCGCAGAGCGCCGCAGAGTCACCGATTTCGCTGTGAGCGTAGGCCGTTGTCTTGATCGAATCGTGGCGAATGCCCTTGACGAGATCACCAGTCAAGGTGTTTGTCAGAGAATCAAGTGTTGTCGCATGGGCGCTTTGCAGATTCTCGTGCTGCCATCAGCCCAGGACGTGAGCTCTGCTGCCCCTGGATGCGATGCCCATGGGCCCAAGAGTGCGGTCTGATTCGCATAGACGCAGTGCAGCGCCTCTGGGTTGTTGGTCATGTTTGGATCCCATACTATCAATAAGATTGCAGAGCCAGAAGTCTCCTCGACGACGAGATGACCGACCACGGCGTATATCTCACATGATTATGGTACATCATGTGGCTTGATGACCTGTCCAGCGGTGACATGGAGTTTTCGCCAACCAGAAGCCCTTGTCAAGCAGGTCTAGACCACGCCTGGCCATGTCATTGGGAATACGGCGGGCCTATTCGGCCTCATATTCATCGTTAGTGTAGGTGCCGTCAACTGCCTCGCCGAAGAGCTAGGGTATGCTCATGTTTAAAGGATGAAGGCTTGCGGTTCAGGATGCTGCCATATTGTACCAACGCCATCTCGGGTACGTTTTTCAATGCGACGCTACAAGATCAACTGCTTTACAATTTATCCACATCCATCACCTTATAGGCCCTTCACGATCTCAGCAGGCAGTACTCGGTAGCAAGGAATGGGGCATTTACGACGTCCATGGCTGAGTACTCGAGCTCCGTTCACTGCGGCAGTTGCCTATGTGTAGGCCTGGTCCCGTCTATCACAAAGAGTCGTAGGCGAGCTGGAGGAAATGGTGGGAGTGTTTCGTCGTGATAGTGACACGCTATAAGATAAGAGTAAGGATAGCAAGCTGAAAAGAAGAATAAAATTGAGAATAACGGATCAATCAACCACTACAGAAGACTGAAGAGCACGTCAGCTGTGGAAACTCATGGCCACTGACTTGTTGCAGAAGGTTCCAGTGTGGAAATTCTCGTTTTCGAAACCAAATCGGCGTGACGGAATGCATCCAGCAAGTACAGCATCTCCAATTCCTCATACGTCTGAGACTAAAGTCCTTGTCTGAGGTTGGTAGTTCAGGTGCCACATCATGCGCACCGCTTCTCTCCATCTCTTCATCCTTCGGAATGCATACATCAGCTGTCCTACAGCAGCCGCGTTGCTGGTGATGAGTTAAACCCGTGTGCCTCTTTAATCGTCTGTCACAGCATTGGCAACCTGTGCACCAATAATGTCTGCTTTGTAGAATACAACAGGCATGAGTACGCGCGAAACTTTCGTAGAATGCGCGAGAGAGGCCTGATCAACGTTCCAAGGCCCATTTGACCATGGATGGTGGAGCCATATGTGGATGATGCAGGGAGGATGAGATGGAGCACAATGCCGAGCTTCACCGTTCTAGAGTCTTCATGCAGCAACAAAGTTTATTCATGTTCTGTAAGTAGTTATTACTCAAATCACAAACTATTCGACTAAGCCTTGGTCTCGTGGACCTCGCCGCTCTGCACAACCTCGGCGGCTTTGTCGGTCTTGGCAAGGACCTCGCCTACAAGCTGGTCGGAAGCCTCCTTTCCGTCCAATGCCATGGCTGTCTCCTCCAGGCTCAGGTTGCCGGTCTCGACGAACAGGAAGTAGACGACAACAGCCTCCACGGCCAACCACACGTCATATGTAATGTAGTACTTCCAGCCAGAGTTGGTGACACCGATCGGGTTGGCATACTGGTTGAAGATGAGCGCGCAGGCAACAAACAGATTATACAGTACAAGGCCGCGGGCACGCAGGTTGAAGGGCAGGATCTCAACAACGTAGGTGACCTGGAGGGTACCCCAACCAGCCGTGAAGAAGAAGTTGAAGAGGAAGATCATGGCAAGAACACCCTTGGCCACGCCGCTGGGGCCGCCAGTGCCGTCCTCGTTGAGGTCAGTCGACATCTCGTAGGTCGCCTCGAGGGCGGTCCAAACAATGTACGTGGCGAGCGAGCCGAGTGTGGAGCCGAGGAACATGGTACGCCGAGGGATGCGGTTGACGACCAGCGAGAAGACCATACCCCAGAACAGGCCCCACACGGTGAGCAGGGCGTTGATGAGCGTCTGCGTCTCCTGGTCGCGGTAGCCAATCGAGTTGAGGATCAGGGTGAGGTAGTAGCTGATGAGACCGTTGCCACTCCACTGGCTGAAGAAACCGACGGCCAGGATGATGAAGAAGCGACGGCGGTTGCCGACAGTCTGGAAGAAAGACAGGTAGCTCGTGCTGCGGGCAGCCTCGTTCTCCAGGCGAATGGCAGTGCGGATCTCCTCCATCTCCACCAACACGAGCGGGCTGCTGGCGTCGCCGTTGGCGTGGTACTTGACGAGCAGGGCCTCGGCCTCCGCATCGCGATCCTGGGCAATGAGCCAGCGGGGAGACTCGTCGATGAGCCAGCACAAGCCCATCTGCAAGATACTGGACAGGGCCTGGAGGATCGAGGGGATGCGCCACGCCCAGTCGTTGCCAAGTCGGAAGGTGCCATAGGTGATCCAGGCAGCGCTCAGGGCGCCAAGACCCCAGAGGGTGTTGTAGATGGAGACCATCGGCGCGCGCTGGGACGGAAAGGCCGACTCCATCAGCAGGAGAGGTGCAGCGGTGATGTTGAGAGCCAGGCCGAAACCAAGCACACCGCGGGCCCCGATGAACATGCCCGTGCTGTGGGCGCCACCCTGGAGCCCAGCGCCGAGCAGCATGATGGCGGCACCGGTGACGAGGGCCGGGCGGCGGCCAAACTTGTCACAGAACATGGCGCAGAAGGGCAGAGCCGCTAGCTGGCCAATGTTTTGAATGGCATTGAGACTAAAACGCAGGAACAGTCAGCCTGATCTGTATCAAGAAACGCAGTCGCGCAGCAGCAGCACCCCCAAGACATACATGGCGAGGTCATCAGCATCTGGGAAGCCAAAGGCGGCATTCCAGGTGTCAAGACTCTGGAGGCCGTTCATCATGGAGCCATCGTAACCAGTTGCATAACTCGAGATGAGAGACAGGCAGAGGATGGCATTGAGCTTGAGGATGCCGCGGTTGGAGAGCCAGCTGGCCCATCCAGCGTGGGCGAGCTGGCCATCGAGGGCCAGGGGAGACTGAGAAGAGACCATGGTAAATCAGTCAGAGGCAGGCAGGCAGGTCGTGTCGTGGCGAGGCGTGCTCCCGTGGGCGTTGCTTCTCGCGATGCTTCCGTGGCTTGACTTTAAGACACTCAGGTCCTGTCGTCTGTGGACACGTCCCGGGGCCGTTACTAACAAGCGATCGTCGACGCGGAGATGGCCTTTGGGGCTCCGGGGTGCAATTTAAGCAGCGCATGCGGAGGAGCACTGCTTATCGGGGCAGCTTCGCCGAAGATGGCCTGCCCCTATCAGGGACGAGAGTGAGGTGCGGCGGTGCCGTGGTTGGCCGGGGTTGGCCGGTCGGACGACATCTTGGCTGCCGCGTGATTAGCCCTCGTTACTGAGCGGCGGGGAGCGACCTCGGGGACCCTGTGACTTGGAGAAAGGCTGGTAGGCAGGGGAGGGGGACGGAAACGAAGCAACTGGGCCGGCGCAATGGATCCGGCGGCGCATTAGCCCATTCCGCGAGCCGACGGCCCACCACGACGGAAGGCGCCCTCATACTAAAGGCGCCAGAATGCGGACGGTGTCGGGGCGGGCCCCCTGCGATATGCTAAGAGCCGCTAAACCAGATAAGCAATAATCCCCAGGCCATCGATGCCGGGGACGCCCTAGGCCTGGACAGGAAGGTCGGCTCAAGCAGAGGTTGGGGCCAGGAAGAATACGACCCAAGCTTTAGCCTCCAAGCTAGCCCAAGCTCGCCCGAGCTACCGAGCGCCTGGGGCGACGCCTCCTCCGTGAAACCCCGGGAATCTTCGCCGGGCATGCGACGGTGGCAGCAGCAGCAATGACAGACAGGCACGGCCAGCCGCACGCACGTGCCCATGCAGGCACACGAGTCGGGCGGCCAGCCGGCCCCAAAAATTGGAGAAATCGAGGGGAAGCCGTGCGTTTGGGGAAAAACAAGTGACAGTTCGTCACCCCGTATAAATCCTGGCTCCCAGGATACGTACTCCCCAGCTTGGTCCCCAGACTCCGACTCTGAAGTCATCGTGGCAAGCTAGACACTCTCACAGCTCACGACCGTCATGGGTGTCCTCTCCTCTTTCGTCTCGGTGCTGGCTCTCAGCTCGGCGGCCACTGCGGCCAGCCTTGTTGAGCGTGGTGTCAAGGGCGCTCGCCTGTCCAAGAGTAAGTTCTTCCTTCGCACGTCCTCATCCCAAGCCATGTCTTTATGCTAACGCGAACCGCACCCGCAGACGCCCAGAGCCTGTTTGACTACTCGATGCAGGTGTCGGACTCGCGCTACGACTCGTCCTACAACTACGTCTGGTACCAGGACAATGGCCAGTGGTCCGTCCGCTTCACCTCGTGGTACATTGCCGGTCTCCTGCACCGGGGCTCCAAGGACGACGTCAAGTCTGCCATTGCTGCCATCGAGAACGTGTATGTGCCTAGCCCTCGTTCTTTGAAGCACATGCCAGTCCAGACAAGACTAACAAGCAGCACCATACAGGCTGGCCAACCAGCTCAACAGCGACTTCGACTCGGCTTGGTACGGCACGTTCAAGCTGTCGCCCGACGAGCCCGACCCGACGCCGGACGGACCCCTCTACCCGCCGAGCATCTACAACACCTACGATCCCAACTGGAGAGAGTTTGTCGGCTCGCAGCTCATCCAGATTGTCGAGGAGTTTGACAAGGTCCTCCCCAAGGCTCTGGTCGGCCGCATTGAGACCGCTCTCGAGGCGGCTGCGATCGGCGGCATGCGCCGCAACGGCTCGTTCCCCGAGGGCGACAACCTCATCCTCGGCTACTCGAACCCGGCCATCATGCGGGCCCTCACCACGGGCTGGATCGGCAAGCGCAAGAACAACAAGGTCCTCATCGACTTTGCCGCGCAGCAGGGCACCGACATCTTCAAGCTCTTTGAGCGCGATGATGACGCCCTGGCCGAGTACAATGCCCCCAACTACTACGGCATCGACATCTGGGCCCTGGCTGCTAACATCGCCTACGGCCCGGCCGACGCCCCCATGACCAAGAACTCCAAGGTCATCCTGCAGAAGCTGTGGGACGACATCGCCGCCCACTACAACCCGTACCTCGGCAACATGGTCGGTCCCTACGACCGCGCCTACAGCCGTGACGCCACCACGCACTCTCAGATCCTTTCCATGATCACCTGGGGCGTCTATGGCCGCGGGGTCTTTGGCCAGCCTCCCCTCGGCGAGGGTGACTTGCTCTACGACATTGCCCAGGGTGCCGCCCTCGCGATGGTCATGGACGTCATTGCGCCCACCATCAGCAAGAACGCGCAGTCCATCATCACCGCCAAGGGCGACTGGAAGGGCAGCCGCTTCATCAACAAGACGCTCTACGAGGATCTCACCTCGACCAGCGCCCGCGTTGCGACCTCGTGGCTCAGCTCCAAGCTCATGATTGGCGCGCAGACCGTGTCCGAGACCAAGAACAGGGGCAACCAGTACGTGCCCGCCATTGTGCACTGGGCTGCAGACTCGTCGCACAAGCCGTACCCCTACATGGGCTTCTTCTCCCTGTACCCCTCCGCCTCGACGCTCACGGCCGAGGCCACCGCGAACAAGCTGGTGGTGTCGTACCCCAACACCACACAGGCCGGCACCAACATCTTCACCTTCGCCCTCACCGGCATCCCCCCCTCGTGGACGCTCGGCAAGAAGAACGTCGTCACTGGCCTGGAGCACCTGCCCTGCCTGAACGTCAATGTGACAGCCCCTGGCCTGGTCAAGCAGGACGTGGTCTACGGTGCCACCCTCCGGGACCACTGGATCTACAACATCTCGTACGCGGTGCCCTCTGGCTTCTCAGGCGTCCCCAAGGTGACCCTGGACATGGAGTACACCTGCTAGAGGTTATGACGATGATTTGTGTCGGGTTATGTGAGAGGCGCCGTTTGTTGGCTAATTCTATGTAAATATTTACCTTGTGCCGCGCTATATCTGAGCAACCAATTGGGCCTTTGTTGCTATGCCCGACCTATGACATGGATGGCTTGGTAAGAGTCTGGTGCTGTATGCGCAGGCCGGCGGCCGCCCCGAGACTGGGGGTAAGGCATTACGACAAACATCGGCGTATCTGTAGCTCTTGGGTCCTGGACCAATGTCGCAATATTAGAGACATTCTACCAAATTCTACCAAGAGGTCAAGTTGCGCATACTGCTGTTCATCACGGCATCGCTTGCATGTTCAAATAGTATATATGGATCTGGCGCAATTCTCGACGGTCACCTTAGAAGGTAACGGCTTCGGTTGCTAGTACAACTCTAGAGCGGGGAGGAAGGGCTGATTATTAGGCAATGTTCCAGGCAGAAGGAAGATCTCCTAACCTAGGTCTATGCCAGATATGAATCAGGGAACTCTTCCTCCACGGATCAGGCTCAAAGCTTGAAGCTCTAGATTGCTATAGCAAGCCTGCCCATGTACAACGCGTGTCGTTGTATGAGTGACGAAGGCTTCGAAAAGCGTATCTGAATAGTTCGTCACCGCGCAAACCTGGAGTGAGTTGAGTTGATTTCGGGTTCCATCAGGGGTTGGAGGTCGCGAGGGAAATCCACACTTCTCGAAAGAAAACATGTCACGTTTGCCACCAAGGTGAAAGCTGATAAGATAAGATTATTCCGAAAAGTTAAGCCTTCGGAAATCCGCACTGGCTAAAGGTAGGATCCATCCTTAAAGCCAGCACAACTGTATGATCCAGCGTGTAGTTTATACAATGCTGGGTATGCCCATAGTCGTACAGATGTGATGGGACTGGCCTCCTTGTAATGTATGACCTGACTTGCGTGTCTATCCAGTACATACAGTGGCGATGGTGGAAACCAGCATCACCCCATAGCACAACCTCTCCCCTTCGTGCCTCTTCCTCTGACATTTCTTGCGTCAATTCCCTGTCGTAGTAGAACGAATGGTTCCTCTCACGGAGGTACCGGTCCATCATCACGCCATTAAAACAAGATTCGTGTATCCAAAGTCCAAGCATCAAGTCCCAGACGCAGCCTCGGTTGCGTGCCTCCGAGAAGGACTGGCCACAGTCAATCCACTCGGAGAAAATTTCGCTGCCATTACCGATGGAATCTAGAGGCCTTGGAACGTGGACGGCGCTCTCGGAATAAGGCATAGCAGTAAGAAGGACGAAAACCAAGACTGCTGTTTCGAGGGCGATAATAACAGAGAGAGTAATGCGGATACAGGGGCTGCGAAATCCTCCGGATCCGGGTTTTACTGTAGAAGCTCCGTCGGAAGATTGGTCGAGCTCCTCGGTTTCGTCTCTATCGAGTTTCTCATAGCGGCCAAGTACAAGGCCTCGACTTGTTGAGAACATTGCCGACATTAAGATAGCCGCTGGAAAAGAGTTGCGTCAGTTTTCTATCTCGTATGTGAACGTTGTTTCGTTGCTGAAGCCGAGAAGAAGTATAGCTATAGTATATTGAAATATGCAAAGGAAAATTATATTCAAATCGTGTCTGTGTTGGAGATGGGACTTTATGAGCAGATACTGTGAGAAAAGCCCCCGGGTCTCTGGAATCCTTGGGGGGATTTTAAATCCAAGTTGAAAGCTATCCAATCTAGGTTCTTGAGCAAATGAAGGAGGGCAATGAGCTCCATACGAGGTTGGGGGGTTATCGAGCCGACGAAAGAAGTGGACGAGCTCCTCAATACGACGTTGGTGGCTTATCGGACGAGTAAAGCGGTAATCGCAGACTAAAATCAATCACACTTAAACCCCAATGTGGTAAGCGGCTTCCGGAGCCCTGCTCAGTCCCACTCAGGCACTAGTCAGTCCCACTCAGGTTCTGCTCAGTCTTGCTCAGCCCCTGCTTAGGTGGCTGTGGCTGAAATGCCGATATCGCAACGATCGGACACTTGAATGCGATGCCCTCAATGTCGGCAATACGGGGGCAATATATTTGTGCAACGATGCGCGTACATATTGTGCTGTTACATAAATATTTATGTCAGAGACGCAATACGATACAGAACTCGCATATATATAGTTGTTAACTTATATTTCTTTCATAAAAAGCTTTCACACCGATATCGCGATAGTTCACATACGCATGGGCTTTGCGTACACTGATAGGAACATCTATATGGCAAATTAAATAGCACTGCGGGAATGAGTTTCACAAGGCTATTTAGATAGTATCTAAGATCAATCGCAACATTGTTGACCACATATTAGGGCATTCCCAGAGGCCTACGTGGTTTCCTTGTGCGGCGTAGGACAAGTTTAGGTCGTGGAGCAGAGGAGAATGCAAGGCTGGTATTAAGCATGCCCAAAATGACGCACTGTGGATCTCATCTTCTACTCTGGCAGATCAGGACTTGTGAAAGTTCGCATCAGGACTATTGGGATGCGCACGGAGTAAGACTCGCACGCTCCGTTCTCCTTGAACCTATGGCATGTGCGCCAAAAATAGCTGGGCCTCGGAAGCTTGTAGTGGATGAGCTAGGGTACAATGAGCCAGAGCTGTTCCCATGAGATGGGGCACATTCTCCTTTCCCGCGAGCATAAATACAGCCATATCCGGCTTCAGGTGTTCCTGAATCCATCTTCCTTCCTCGTCAGCTCGAGACGATAAGCAGCATCTATAGGAACGCAACCACGGCGTTTCCCCCTGACCAATCCCTCCGCTTTGACTTCTCGATCGACAAGAGATTTCCACAACATAAAACAATTTACTACTATCCATTCACACCTTCCGCGAGAGGGCTCATCATCCGCGAGGATGGGGAAAAAGAGAAGCCCAGACTCTTATTTGCGTCTCGCTAGAGAGAGGGGTGTAGAACAGTGCAAAGAAAGCATAAACGGCGTTGAGGCGTTCTGCACTCTCAGTAAGAATCAACAAACAGCCATAGACAGAATGAAGGCTTTGTGGGATGAGTAAGTTATCCTCCAGCAAGACTGACGGTACCAAATTTAACATCCCTTCCAGATTCATGAAGCGCAATGATGAACCAGATCCAAAAGACGTCAAATGCTATATGCGCTTTATACAGGAAGTCGCGATGGGAATACAAGGTCATACACCTGATATAGGTATTGAACGAAGAGAAGGCGTCGGCCACCATGCTGCGGTATCAACTGTTGTTCAGTACTGGAAAGAGTTCTCCCGTTATCGTTTCCGGGCCGGCCAGCCTCTTGACGTAGAAGTCACAACAAGAGTTCGAAGGGTTAGTCTTTATCTTTCACCCACATCCATGAGCCCAAGACTGACACCATTGTTTTTGTAGTACATTAGAGAGGAGCTCCCGAAAACATTTCCGATGCCTGTAGTAAAGCGGCCAAGACGCTTTGCTTCAGAGACACATTACGAACAGCTAGCTATCCAGATGTGGGCCAATGATTGGCATAGCTACTCATATCCAGTAGTCAGAATCATGGACTGGGCAGCTATGTACGCCGCGATCTGCTCCGGCTCTAGAATCGGGGAATACTTCGAGTCTACCTGCCGCTCGGGCTCAGGGCGAGGACTACGGTTCAGGGTAGGGAGCTTCCCAAGACTAATCTAGATAGCACCTATACTGATTCTCACTCCAGGATGTCAAATTGGTGGTCTTTTACAACGAAGAGGAGAGGCCGGAGCTTGGTCTCCTGCTTGTTCGTGATGCGAAGGGGATGACGTATATCCCTCACCAAAGGTAGAGTACATTTCAGCCGAAAAGAAAAGGATGTTAACTAATACATCTGCTCCAGACCTAAGCACGTCATATACGAAGGAATAGATTCTGGTCCCCTCTTCCGGAATGGGATGCTTTTCCACATTGCCTTCCTTCTAGCGAAGCAGGCGATTGCAGGGTGCGAGACGATTGACACGCTCTTCGCAAGGAAACCTAATCCAGGGGATAACATCTCAATTATTCCGTGGGTGAAGGGTATAGAGGACGATCCTTTCTACCCAAACATCCACAGCAACGACGTCGAACGAGCAGGTTCGATTGCTTCTCGCATCAGGGCGCTGGGGTTTCGAGCCGGCTTCGCCAATCCCCCACGAGCGCATGATTTCAGAGCGTCCACTTTGTACCGTGTTGGTACGTACTGGGATCGAATGAACCTATAGTCCTCGCCTGCTGATCATGCTACTAGGCAAATTACACTCGGAGGCAGACCGCCGGATATTCGCCGGCCAAAGTGACAACCGTACCTGGGATACATACTACGCACCCAGAATTGCTGCAGATGGACAAGGTTCAGTCTTCCGCAGCAAGCGTGGGCCTCGTACAAATATTATAGAACATTTCCTCGATCTCACAATTCTCCGAAACCCTGCCTTGTTGCAGGCGCTTCCTGCAGAGAGCCGTGCTAAGTTCGAAGAGTCACAGGCGATTCAAGAACTTCGAGCTGAGATGGAAAAGCTGCAGCATGGAGATGCTAGCGATCCTAAAAGGGCAAAGAAAATCCAAGAGTTATATCAGCAACGGCGCAGACTCGAGCGGGAAGCAGTTAGGGAGTTGCAGGCAGAGCATTCAGCGTCAACCGCAGAGGCGACATCCCAGCTCTGCTACCATCGGAGTTATTTTGACCGGGTCCGCTATCTTATGCCTGAAAGAGATCGGCTCGCCACGGATCTGTTCCAGTCTACTGGACTACGCGGTGAACTCGGTCATCGCGTCCTCAGGGATTTAATTGCTATTTGTACGCAGACGACAGAGGTCCAGTTTCGGCGAGGGCTTGAACCAGACAAGTGCAACTGCAACCAAAGCGAAAAACACTACGACTGGAAACATATCCACGACTGCTACAAGACGCAACAACCGGGTCCGTCGACTTTTTGCTTCATATGCCATCAGTGGGTTGCCGGAGAAGTCGGATGGAGAGAGCATTGCTTAGGACACCTGGGACGCTTGGATATTCCCATGTTCTGTGACCCCCTTAAACACGGTGCTGTGCTCGCCGCACCTGGCCTTTGTCCATTCTGTCTCGGAGACGAAACATTTCCGCCTGAGACGCGGCTCCATCAATTCCTTTATATCGATGCGTGGAGAAAACATCTACGCAATTGCATCAAGACTCGAAAAATTGGGGCAGGCAGCAGTTCTTCGGCACCGTGTAGTCATCCATACTGTCGGGAGAGAGCGCCATTCGCCTCGTTGAGACATCTCCTTTTTCATATAGAGGATGCCCATGGCTGCAATCTAGACGAACCCGTGTGCGATCTAGACGAAACCAAGTCCAATCTTGGCGAAATCGAGTCCGACCTTGACGAAACCGAGTCCGACCTTGACGAAACCGAGTCTGATCTTGACGACAAGAAGAGGAAGCGAGAACAAGACGATCAACACGGTTTCAAGAGCAAGAGGAGTCGTCAAAGCCCCCCTTGCTTGGACACGAATGCTCCTCTGTCTGCTACAACATATCATTTCATCGAAGTCACGGAACGCTCGCTGGCGCGCACCAAAGTCCGTTCAACAACCCGGACATGCAAAAACCTTCTGGTGACACAGGACCACAGTCTTGCGAGCACTGCACTCCAGGAATCAGTTCCCGATCCAGGATTAAAGGCGCCCTTCAATGAGGATGAAGTGCTGCGTCAAGAGGTACTCAACGAAACGGAAGAACCTTGCCGAGAGATAAGACAACGACAGAAAGGAAACCAACGGAAAGGAAACCAACGGAAAGGAAACCAACGGAAAGGAGGCCAACGGAAAGGAAGCCAACGGAAAGGAAGCCAACGGCCAAGAGGTGTATCGATTAACATCGATGATAATCAGTGGGAGGTGGAACGTCTTCTTGCCAAAAAAACGGAACGTGGGGTGTTGAAATATTTTGTCAAGTGGTTGAATTGTCCAGAATCGGATAATAGCTGGGAGCCAGCGACGGAAATCAGTTCAGAGCTGATCGCGGCATATGAGGGGGGTCTCTCGAAGCAAACAAAATAGCATCAACTTTCGCCTGTTTAAGAAGGATGTATTATTATCTGTTCCTAAGATATTGCTTTAGAAGCTGCTACGGGAGATATTGACAATATCTGACCATTGTGTGTCTGGAACAACTATCCAAGATACTTGCTACTACGATTATCACTTCTTCTGGACCAGTAGGTCCGAAATCACATCCCAGAGCTGCCAATATAGCTTGTTCCTATACCACTAGCGGTAGTATGATTTCCTTGACTCGCTCAGCGTAGCCACTGCTAGCTAGCTCATGGGCACCATCTTCGCAAGCCTCCACATATAAGTCGAAGTAATCTTGAGGCGCAGGGAAGAATCTTCGGCGGAGTATCTCTTCAGCTTGTTCGGATATGGGATGGCTCGCTCTGGCGTCTTGGAAGGCATCAGCACGATGGGCCTGCTGTTTCGAGATCAGTTGCGAGGCAAAAGTATTCTCTCCGATTGTAGAAAATGCTGGTAGCGGGGAGCCGCGACTAAGCATGTCGCTAAAGCCGCGCATGCGAAGCCCAGCATCTCGAAGTTCTCGTTTGGAACTCTTCATAAAGGATTGAAGAGCTGATTCAAGTCTTGCAAGCTGTCGGGCTTCCACTTTGTAGAGCTCGTGGTGGCAGAGAGATCGAAAGCCGGGAGGATTGTTGGCGAATCATTACGTAGCAGATCAGTTTTGCCCTGATTGCGCTGAATGTAATAGCTTGGAATTGTAAAATTGTCGAGGTTGCTCATGGTGCTTTGCTCTGACCTGTCGAACATAATCCTGGAGAATGGCTGGTCGTTGTAGAAGGGGAAGGGGAGGGAAAGGGAAGCGGGGGCGGGGCTACCGAGGTAAGACCAGAGTGCAAGGTCGAAATGAGCCTCCCACAAACGAAGGCGGGGCAGCTCTAATGCGGCATTACAACTTCTGGAGCTCGCATCTCATGCTGAGGAACCAATAAGCACGCGCAGTTCATACTGCGACTCCATAGAACGATTGGCTGGGGCGAAGCCTCCCAATATAGGTCACCACATTCGTGCGCTTTAATTTAGGGAGTACCTCTTAAGTAGTTCAAGCTGGCACCGTAGGACAATTATGCGGATGAATGACCCTATCTGATTTTGAGGTAGCGATCATAAGGCTCTCGACTTAAGAACAGCTCAAACAAACAGCCCCAGGATACTGCAAGCAAAAGACGCCGCCGATGACTGGAAGCCGTGAGGACAGGGTGGCGATCGGGGCCGTGATCTAATGAATGGCTTTTGGAAAAGAAAGACAACGTCAACGAGGAAGGCAAAGGGTCAGCCTTGGGAGGTCTCGCATGCATCCACGCAAGCGGAATTATGGGCCCAGAGCTTGCTCAAGCCACGATCGCGCTAGGAGCTTGCTGCCCCATACTGTAGTGCAGCCGGGACGAAAGTGGCGTGAGCAGAAAATGGCTCCCACGCGAGCAAGTGGTCATGAGCCATTATCGACTGCAGTCGGAGATGGTACCATGCCGCTCTCGATGTAGCGCTAGGAGGTGCTTTAGTGCTAGTGACTTGAGCATGTTCAATGACAGTCATCCTCAGCTCGATGCAGTAGCCGAGCTGGCGCAGAAGCGCTGCACCGCTTCAGAGCCCGCATGGGGATGCCTAATCAAGGTGTACCGCTGGGTTATTGACGATTTTGCTGCATACTGCCGTTCACCTTTCCGCTCTGCAGGGACCGCCGAGGAGTGCTGAAGGATCAATGTGAAGCACGTGCAAGTAGTTATATGAAAGGGACCGCCCATGCAAGCGCGTATAAATAATGCAAGCATGACGGCGTTCAGAGCCGTGGATGCGCTCCAGGTTGGTGTCCGGAGTAGCTCGAGGTAGCCTCCGCTGACACGGAAGCGCGTTGACTCAGGAGGTGGCGCGGTGCCGTGGTGTATGTTGTGGCTGGACACGGCATGGCTGGGTGCGGTGTCCTCTCGTCGCGCCTTGTCGAAAACGAGTGGTAGTGCGTCATATCTCGCACTCATTGCACCCCAATGCATTCTCGACCATCACCCACTCAACATTCAGGCTCCGCGCTTGATCTAGAGGAATGAAGAGCTCCCTCTTGCCCAACGACTATGTCTAGCAATGGCTTTGCTGTTAAGGCGAGCGACTTGCATGCATGGCTCGAGGCATTCCAACAGCATCAAGTAGACGAATCTTCCAAGCTACTACGGGAAAATGCGACGCAGAAGCACTGAAGGGGCGCGCTTCACGTTGCCCATAGTGGGTGGCTCGAGGATTATTAGCGGGATTGCCTGCCCACTAAAGCAGCTAGGCCATTGAACACCTACTGGAGCAGCTGATTGACCGCTGTACCACCCACTAAGCCACCCACTAAATCTTCCACTAAATTAATCACTGAAGCACCTCCGCTATAGTACACCTAACCCAACGAGGCAACCACTAAATTACCCACTGAAGTACCTGCTGAAGTACCTGCTGAACCACCCACTGAACCGCCCACTGAACCGCCCACTGAACCACCCACTAAATCACCCACTGCACCACCCACTGAACCACCCACTGAACCACCCGAAGCCTGCGCCAGACCTGCTCAGGAGTACCTGCTCGCTCCGCTCACAAAGCCAGAATCCTCTCCCCAAGCGGATCTCCAGGCTTGCCTGCGGACTGTGATGAAGATACCTATAAGGGAGTATAAGAACAATAATAATGTCCTTAACGTCCTTGATATAACCGCATTCGCATTCTGAATGATACTTAAGACTTCAGCAAAGATCTAATCCCAGGCCTGCGCGAATATGGTTCCTAGCGCTGTTAGGGGTCAGTAAGCCACCAGTCGTCCTTCGCGCACTGCTAGGCCAGAGGCGAATTCAGTATGGCTATGCTTTGCTCCAAGAAGTTGCTGCTATCCTCGTAGTAAGCCAAACGCCCGTGGGCTAATATTCACTAAGCTAGGTAGAATGCTAATGGTATGAGGGAGGGTCGATTCCACTCTTGACGTCCCTGCTGAGCTCCATGAGTTTCTGCAAGTCTGGCGAAATCTGGTCTACGTAAGAGAGACAAGTACTAGCAAGGTTCTTAAACTTATCGGCTTTCTCACTTGCTTGAATCTCTTGCTGCTCAAGATGTAGAACGAGCTGTTCTAATTCCATCAAGCGGTTTTCGGCGGAAAGTTTCAGCTCTGTTTCTTGGCAAAGGCGCACTTGTAGATCAGCTGCTTCGCCTTGGAGTCTCTCAATCTAACTCTTGAGATTGCTAATATGTAGCGTAAAACTTGGTTGATTTAGGGTGGACTTAGCTAGTTAGCTGTGAGAGCTATGATGAAACAACAAGCTGATCTACCATACCTTGCTTAAGACGAAGGGGCCGGGCGTTATAGCTTCGAAAGTCGCCCCGACACCTGAACAGAGCTGCTTATAAGCGCTGATGGAGTGGTCGCTTAGATTCTTCGTAAATAAATGCGCTGCCTCGGTGACATAGCTCCAGCGATATGGATCGTTCTCAGACGTCACTAGTCTGACATCTGAAGGAGTAATATGGCAACCCACTTGCTGGCCTATATGCTATTAGCAGGGGTTGGGAGGCTGCGCAACCTTACATACGGATATGATCTGCCAGGACCTCACGGCATTTAATCCGCCATTCCTTTCTATCCACGTTACTCGCCCTAGTAGCCATCCTAGAAGTGGATAGGTGATTGTTTGGGGGGGTCTATAGAAGACTGAGATAAGCGACCTGTGAATGAGGAGCTCATATAACAGCCTTTCGCGAGACGTCTACGTTATAAGTAACTCCGTCGCCAAAATCAGCGCCGGTACTCACCGTACTAAGTCGCATTTAAGCCAGATCTGCTTAGCTCGCTTGAAAGTACACGCCATGTATCCAAAAATTAGAGTAGCCAAATATAGCCTGGAGCAAGGACGAATCAGAGCGTAGGGTACTCTGATAGGGACAGCATTCGTAGTGATAGGCATAGGGTACATTCATAGGGATCATACTAGCTAGGCTATTTTACTACATGATTTCGCAGCCCTTAGCTCTGTTGTGAACCGCGTACTTCCACGGCGTCGTTGCAGCTGCGTTTTGAAGCAGTAAGCTTCCCTCAGCATGCAAAGGCGCAGTCCAGCTGTCGCCTATACGTAAAACGAAGATCCCAACCGCCCACTTGACAGTGCGGTATTGTGAGGAGATCCTGATTGTGTCGACTATCCCAGACAATATCCCCGTAACGAAACTCGAGTAGATAATTGACCCACATCTGCTTGCAACGTTTCCTGATAGGTGCGTGATAGCCCCCAGGGAGGTCACACTCTGGCTCTGGCGTCCCAGGCAATACTGTCTGGGACAGACCTATACTTAGTGGTTCCATGAGTTTAGTATCAGAGGTAGCAAATGTGTGGTCTGTACCCCATGGCCCGGTAAACTCGCCATTTGACAACGGCTTGTCCATTCTCCAAAGTTGATACTCAATCTTAACAGGATCTTGGTGCAGGGTTCCTAGAGACTGATTGATATGTAGGCTGCAGACGTTCGAAGCGCCTGCGCTACCTGTAGGCTGTTCTAAAGGCTCCGAAGCACTCGTGGATGAAATAGGAGACCGCGAACTACTAGTGGAAGTCTTGACAATTGGTCCTGATTCATCAGAGCTCCCGGGAGCGGTCTCTGATGGAAATTCCGTGCTAGAAGTAACTTCATTACTTCCGTGCGAGATAGTAGGTGTGATAGAGCTGTTTCCTAGATTGCTATGTCCCTCGGAAGGACCCGCGATGGGCGATGTGGTATATGGCGAGGTGTCAACGCAGGTTGAGTGTGGTATTTGTGTCTGCTCTACGCTGGTCGTTCCGCCGCTGCTCTGAAACGGACAAGGCAGATCTGGAAAGCAGCAAAGGCCCATTTGATACTGGATCGGATTGATGCACGGAGCCAAGGGCTCACATGCAGCGAGGAAAGCACTAGATAGTGCCGCCGTAACAACAAAGATTGCCACTTTGGGTTCAATCATTATTACAGTAGGATTTGCGTGAGGACTGAGGATCTACGACTCCTATTATGGGTTAGACAAGCAGCTACATATGCGCGGCTCCTTACTAGTAAATCATGGCCTACCCTAATAGCCCTTTACGCAGAGCAATTTATGGATGAGAAGGGGCTTGAATTGATATCGACACTATATATTACTCGGCTCACCTTGTGCTGAGAGATAGTAATACTAAGAACTAAATCAAATGGATTTATGTACCAACGTGGATGGTTTCAAATTGTTTCGCACTATTACGGACGCTCAATGCGATCTTTTATTCGATCCACAGCTTGCTATCGCGAGACCTGTCCAAGGCAGTGCTATAGAACCGTCCCTATCTAAGCAGAACACTATATTCGGGGAGCGACTCCGAAGCGCAGAAGCTCAGCAACTCTTGCTTAATGAATCGGGAGCTCATTTAGTCGAGGATAACGCTGTTTTCAACCCTTGGAGCTTGTTCTTCCCACTACAAGTACAGGCGTCCTCGACTGGAACTGTCGAGCCCAGGAAAACGTACAGATGAGCATAAAAACCAGCAGGGACTGTCTTTACTACGTGCGAGATTACGGAGGCGTGTCTCCGTAGCCCATAGCAAGCAAATAGGCTGTAGGAAGACATCAACAGCGCCAAAACCAATGAGGCAATAGAACGTATAGAGAAACCCTCAGTGGAGCCAAAATCGGAGCTACAGTTTTGGGACTAGTAGAGAACATTATCTAAATTATCGCTTGTGTGCACCTACTGTAAATAGGTCAATCAGAAGGGCATGATTTGATGATTTGCACCACATGGCTTTCCCACGTAAACTACAGCAAATGATCACGAGGACTATGGCGCACAGAGACAAGCCAGATTTCCGCGAGGCGCAGCGAGACTTATGTTCGAGATGTACATCCGAGCTTATGAACGGCGATTCTCTTTATGCTATCCTGGGAAACAAACCGGTACGTAGCCTGCAAGAAGGATTCCAGCCCATCTAACAGAAACAAGGCACTTTGCTTGTTATGCGCGATTCGCGTGGGATTGCCATGTATACAGCTCTATGGCTGGGATTCTGATTGCTCTATTTGCTCGGACATAATCAAAATCCCGATTGCAATACAGTCATGCGGTAAGTTCAATACGTCTTATTTACTGGCTTTCTTGGACTCACGAAATGAAGGTCATGTCTTCTGCAAGTCCTGTATCCAGGAGTCTATGAGATATATCGGAGTAATGTGCCCGTTCTGTCAGCGAGTAGTATCGGTAGGATTACTACAAGAGGTTGAATGGCAATACCTCGTATGGGAAGAGTTATGATATCCTAGCTATTCAAAAATACTATCGTCGTTAAAGGGGAAGACTATTGATAGCGCAAGGCCCCTTCCCTTCTCCATCTCATATTACCGTCCCAATTTGGCGTCTCATATATAGCATCATCGGTCTACTGTTCTAAGATCGCGAATTATATAATGAGGAATCTCTCAGTAAGTGGAGTATATTAGTAATTCCATTGCATAATCTTATAGTGTGCTTAGTTTCCCAAACAGACTCCGCCTATGATTAAAGGTCATAGTCGTGTTTGTGCAAGCCTTCATATTAGGAGCACGAGCACCAATCCAGGCTCCATTAGAGCAAGTTAGATGCCCAGCTGATGCATCCAGAAAGTCGCCTAGTTAACTATTAGCTTCGTATATAGATAGAGAGGGCGTTAAACTCGTACTTAGTAACACGTGTGTTGTTCGTTTCCCTGCGCGCGATGCACATTCGCAATATAAGGTATTGTGATCCGAATCAAGGAAGCAATTTTCGCAAGATTTTACGAAATAGCTATTACATTCGTTTATGGAATCTGATATAACTAAGCGTCCGTCGTAGTTCCAAAGGCAAGGCGCTAAATCGAGGTACGAGTATGCTACGCTTGATGAATTGGGCCACAGATGGCAGTTTGCACCTATGATAACAGACCCAGAGAAGGCACCTGAAGACTGTGTACTATGCACGCGTATGCCTGAGACTCATTATTATTAGCTACTAGAATATCTAAGTGTATAAGGGATTAATGCCTGTTACCGTCACAAAGTTCGAAGAGGTTATGTTGATAGGTGTTACAAAGACCCTTAGACAGTGAAAGTACGAAAACAAAGAGGGCCAAGAAGAGTTTATGACCCATTGTGGGTAGTTGTGCGGTTAGAATTTTGCAAGCTTGTCGAGTAGTCCTATATTTTATAGGAAGCATTCTCCTGTGCGAGGAGCTAGTTTTGGAACATGGAGGGTCGCTCCATTTTCGGCCTCGGACCATAGGTGTACAAGTTGTCCTGGGACCACTGGCTGTCCTGGGACCACCGACTGTCCTGGGACCACTGGCTGTCCTGGGACCACTGGCTGTCCTGGGACCACTGGCTGTCCTGGGACCACTAGCTGTCCTAGGACCACTGGCTGTCCTGGGACCATTGACTGTCCTAGGACACAGGTGTACCGGCTCTCCTAGGACCGCTAGCTATCCTGGTACCATTGGCGTTATGGGACTACGGGCCTCCTAGGACGAGCTACTATCGGATTATCATTCGTCCTAGGACTCTCTCCTTGTAGCCTTCTTAATATAAATAAGCGGCGGGCTCTTTAGGAACGAGAAACTTTGCTTTCACTATCTACTCAACGATTCCAGCCATATCACCATATATTTCCTTTGGAATTCTTTCCTGCCTTACCGTTTATAAACTGTGTATTCTAAAATGATCGTACTTGAACCCCAACAGATATTCCGCGGATCGGCCGTTCAGACAACATGGTCGACAGATGTCGTTGTGACCCAAGTACTGTGTTCCGTTAGGGTAAATAATCGAACGTTTCATGGCTTAGAGATCCGAACTTCAAATGAGGCCGCAGATTTTATTGGTCTCGCCTGGGCACTTGAAGATAACTACATTCTGCACGATTGGAATGAAGGTAGCTTACGGCCGTATGGGTCACGACAGGCTGTCTTGCGTAAGGTTGAGCATGTTTGTGCCCATTACGAGGATCGTAATGGCTTGGTGTATTATGCTATCAAGTGGCTCGATTACCAGTGCCCGACATGGGAGCTAGAAGAGACCTTAGAGGACTGCACACTTATCACGGAGTACTGTCTCTCACTTTCATAGTACAATATGTCTGTTTATCTAAGCCATCTTTGAAAGGGATTCCTCCATGAAATATCCTAGACATATTAATCTAGTACTGTGTAACTGGATAATAGCTTCTTAAGTGTTTGTCCAGAGTACAAAACTGCCCTCTTGGGCTATTAACCAGCACCGCTAGAAGCTTACACTATTTCCTCTTTCCCCGGAAGTGATTTCTTCGTTTAACACAGTGCATAATTGTCAGCGCGTTAATACGCTAAATGTAACTTAGCCGGTTTATGATTACACTATGATATATCGGCTATTTATATGCTTCAATTTCTAGGTGTCTGTAGAGGCTTAAGCTACTAGACAGCTATACTGTCTAATGCTACACAGTAAACCCCGAAGCGCATTAGCTGAAAGGGCCACGGCTCAACGACGCAGCCTCACTCCTCCAGAGCCTCCAGAGGCGCGCCGGCCTTTTCGTACGCGTCCAGGATGTGTCTCTCATTCTTAAGGTCCGGGCGCTCGCGGACAAGGTTTATGAGGGAAGCAAAAAAGTACACGTCCCGCTGCCCATCTTTCCCCTCAATTCGAGTCTTAATGCGGTCCATCTCGTCATCAGGGGCCGCCGCTTCGATAGCACGGAATATTTCCGACCACTTGAACTGTTCCACGTGGGTAGCCTTCTCCTTCTCCGACTCGGCAATCTAAAGGGACAAACACATTAGCAAAGGCCTCTTTCTAAATTGAAAACATGCCTAAGATGTCGTGGGTATGCGATATTACAAACCTGTGGCCGCTGTTTGCGGTTGCGCTGGTTAAGGAGATAAAAGTGACAGCGCCAGAAGCTGCCGTCAGCCATGCGATCGTCTGTTTCGGCGAGTACGTTACGGTTGTCAATAGGAATAATCTCGGTGTCAACTAAGTACTCTTCGGCGACCTCGCGGCGGATAGTGTGCTCAGGTGTCTCGCCGAGCTCCGCGCCGCCGCCCGGGCCGGCAAAGCTGTCTGTTGCATTACATGTGGTTAGCACACGTATATACAGGCGGTGAGTAGTTTTCTTGGATGTCCAAGTGAATTCGGGCGTAGTGCAGCACTTACGCTCTCCACCATACGCTTTAGTAACTTTGCCATCCACAAACGTCGTTGTTTTCTCCCTTCGCTGGTGCAGCCACACGTAGAGCCCGTCGGGGTTTTTAATAAAGATAAGACCCATTGTGCCGTTCATCTGCATTCTCTTCTCAGGCTGGGGACAGGGCGCCGTCATGGTGGGCATGTAGTCCGAAGACATGGACTGGAATGGGATGCAAGGTCGAGATTTGAAGCTGGATTCGGAAGCTCGGAAGGCAAGGCTGTGGCTTATATATAGTAGTGTTCGTTGGGTCTGGTGAGGAAAGTTTGGTGCAGGAGATGGGGAGGGGCAAACCAAAGCTTTATAGGAGTTCCGGATGCCACTACGCCCCTATCGGCGAGGACTTATCATATGCTAAGCCTTGAGTCGAGCCCAGTTAGTCTGCCTCGCCAGGCTAATTATACAGCTTAGTGAGCAACGAACCAGTCCAAGACCCTTTGACGTGCTTTCCTCGGCAATGGTAGCTGATGCGGCCGAACGGGGTGGGACAGATCTAGAGGAGCGAGTCGTGACATAACACGCCATTCCCTGGTCCGTTGAGTCAGTTCAAGGCAAGGTGGGAAGGCACAATCCGCGGTGCCGACGAGCAGAACAGAAAATGGAGGTATGCGGTATCCCAGACAAGGAAGCCAGCCTTGCATGTAAAATCAGCAAAGCGCACAACACCTCGGCCCATAATGAAATAGCACCGCCTCCGTTAGGCAAGTCACGTAGCTATAGTATTAACGAGGCAATAGGAATGTCAAGCTTGGCGCAACTTCTCATCGCATATGTACGTGGTTCAATTTAGGTTGGAATTACATAAACCTCGTCGTTACGTCGTGGCTCGAAAGAACACTAGCGTAGGACGATCGTAAAAGCATTGCTAACTTGTAAATAAAGCAGTATGCGACTGCGTTACTGAAGACAATCGATGGCCTAAGTGTTACGGGCATCCTCGGGCGGCCGCCTACAATAGCGGGAGCCTATTCATAGTGGAGAACATATGACTAACAGTCTGAAATCCAGGGGACATATATGCGCGAATCAATTTATCAGGGAGGTAGAGAAACTATGAGATCCTATAGTTCTGGGCAAACTGGAGTTCGAGAATCTGAGCTAGTGTAGTAAAGAGGGGAGCTGGAGTATCTGCACCGTGAATCAATCCCTTTTTCAAGGCTACGCGGTTATACTCGAATTGTTTACGGAAGAATCGTGGCTCGTAACGGTTCGCATATGAACACAGATATATATAATGATCTCACTCCTGCCTCATGACTTTTCGTCCATGCGGACTATGTAAGAGTTCCATTATAGCTGTTGTCCTCTCCCGCCATACTGCCTGCAATAATTAGCGTAAGAAGTACTGTCTTTCAGACTTCATCACAGTATCTTTCTCTTCTTTGTCTGGGGCTGGTCTTGGTCCGTTTGATCCTGCTGGTCCAGTGCTTGGAACGCAGCCAGCAGCCCATTCTTTTCTGTGATGGATCTGCCCAAGTTGTTCATCTCATCATTCGCAGCGCCGAGGAGGAATTCCTGTGCTGCTATAACGTAGTCTTTGTCCGAAGCATCTCTGACCATTTCGGCCATAGTTTCTTTATGTTGGTCTAGCTGCATTTGTAGGATATCGTTGCGCATCACTTGCTCATCAAAGCTTTCTGCGGCGCTCTTTACCAAGTCCTTAAGGTCACGATTTTGCGATTGACATAGTTCGAGTTGGACTGTAGCTTGCTCGCATAGTGCTTTCCAGTATCCTGCCTGTTCGTTAATCGTCGACTGATGTACCGTGGGGCGAGGGAATGTCCTTGAACGATTGGTAAGTTCGGAGTACGGATAATATCTAGAAGAGAGCTTACATAGTATACCGCGACCCACGTCTAGCAAGGCTTGAGCCAGTGAGTCGGCTTCTCAAAGTTTCACAGGAAAATCTTGGTTTTAGTAATCAGACGATCGCAAGAAACAGAGCATAATGGAGAGATCGCTCGTGGTTGGACGTATGGACTCAATGGAGATAAGACATTAACTCCACTTGAGTTAGCAGCTTGCGGGGGGACTATGGCCTGGAGTTACTCACGATTTACGGAGGCGCCATTTCTGGAGCATTCAAGTCACAAACTTGGAATTGCTATTGATGGGAGCCTTTTCCGAAGAAACATATAAGAACTAGTGCTCGTAAGACTATGGCGGTATCGTGGGGATATAACTTCGATCGCGCCAGCAGATGTGCCTTATAGTCCGTAGTGTCCTGTCGCACGGAGCAGTAGCCTTCTTCTCTCTATCTCTCGTGTTACGATCCTGTAACCATAGCGCCTGCTTTCATTTAGCTGTGCTACTTGGCCATACATTATAGGCGAGAGGGCGCTAGCTACTACTTAATAGGGCTTGGGCTTATTGAGTGAGACGAATAGTTATACTATTACTTCGGGCTCCTTTCTCCTTCGCGGGTTTCCGAGTTGGGCGAATAGGGCGCGAGGGCATTAACAAGTTACTACCGATGTCGCGCTTAAGCTGCGCTTCCAAGTCGTGGGCACTTCGCTACCTATGTGCGGACGTGAAAGAGGACTTTTAAGGAACTTAGATATGTTTTTAAGGTAGTACGTTATTATTATCGGATAGCAGGCTTGTGCTTCTACTGGGCAGCGGATGGGTTGCTAGTCGTAGCTATTATCTTATCGTTAATTGCCCTCTTTACGGCAGTCTAATAGACGTTGAGTTAGAGCTTCAGGCCCATGTAATATCACTGGCTTTACACATATATATGATAAGTATTTCTTTCTACCTGCCTCTTAAATCAAGTAGAGCTATAGTAACGAGGTAAGGACCCATTATAGCCCAAGACTAATATCCCGTCCATATATAAAGAGCAGGGAATGCCGAACATGGATACACAACACTTGTAGAATATAGTTAGCGCTATATTGAAGTCGCGCCTTTTCCACTTAGCCCGTCGACTCTTCTCACAATCGCGCATTGGCCTCTTCGATCTTTGCATCAAGTCTTTGAACCGCTGAGAATAGTCCCTGTGTGTGAAACCTGACGTGGGCTAAAAGTGGGTGAAGGACCTCGTTGGTTAAGGTCTTGTAGTAGTCTATTTCACGCCTTAGGCGCGCATTTTCGACATTCAGTTCAATAATTCTATCTCCGACCGGGATAGGGCTTTTTAGGTTCTGCAGCTCCTCAGGCTTTGTGTCAAATGCAGTGGTCATGCCGCCTAAGGCACGGATCTCAAAGTCGATCATACTGGGAGACAAAGGCCGACTGGACGCAGGGATTGTTTGCTCAGTACGAGTCCTAGTCTTTTGCATTGATAATTGTAGGTAACTCGCCGCACACATTAGCCTTGACTTAACTAGTGGAGTATGTAGCTGGCCGCGGCCATTCTTATATAGATAAGCCTCTAAGGACATAATAAGCGCGACTTCTGCTCCTATTCTGGAGAAGGTCTTATCGATTATGTAAGGCTACTTCCGGCTGCTACTTATCCGTAGTACAAAGGGCAACTAGAAAGGCAGCCGCCGATTCAATGTTGAGTCATTTTGCGCTACATTATACATCAGCAGAGGAGCCTTTTGCGAATCATAATGGAACAGATAGAATGAAGATATTTCGAAGATAGATAGCATAAGATTATGTTGGAGTACTATGTGCTCTCCTAAGAAGAAGAAAATACACAAAGTAGTTAACTATACACCACCTGGACTCGCCAAGCTCGCGCTAGAACCCCTAGACTGCGCCTCGCATAGCCTCCAAGCATCATCTCCATTCTGAGTCCCGGTAGGATTCCCATAGCTATCAGACGCGCCAATATCTTGGTGTGTAGACATGGGCATTGCTAAGTAGCTCAAGAGGTGAGAATTATCCATTTGTGTAAACGCTGTTTCGGAATTGTGTAAGGCGTTCATTTCCTGCCCGTACTGCCCTCTATCTACTGCCTCGGTGGGTTGCGGGTTTTCCCTATGGGCCTGGGTGTGATCGGCTAGGTTTTGAAGGTCTGCATCGAGAGACCGTATGAGCTCCCCCTGCCTTTCTGCAATGCGGTGAAGTGTGACGACCCGACCAACAGGTCGCAAGATCGGGCCAGGGACAAGGGCAGGTCATGCACGCGGGTCCAAGAAACATTACCTAAGCCACCATGATGAGTCATCCAGGACAGGACCACGCCAAGACCATGGAACTGTGCCAAGAACTGTGGGACTGCGCAGTCCCAGTAGGAACTGCGCAGTGCGCCGGTAGAACTGACAGTTCCAAGGCACGGCAACACAGTTCACGATGAAGGACAAAGGATATATAGAGCCAGAAGGATTTCCTTGTAGACAGTCATTACCTTTGTACTTCAGCGATCAATCTAAGTATCACCCTCACCCTTCACTTGACCTAGTCACTCAATTGATCCGAGTGTGATATCTCGCAAGAGACACGAACGACAACCCCCTCGAGAACACGAGAAGCACGGAGTCAGTATTGCATGAGGTCGCTACCTACCTTATCCAGAACATAAACCCCACCGCGCCGATCAGACGGTTGACCCCGGAGATCGGATCGTGACATATATCTTTAACCGAGTCGTTTAAGGTCTTATTCGTACTAGTCCGCCTTAACATAGAGCTCGTTATTAATACTTTTATACTCGTAGTTTAGGCTAGCTCGATCGATATTATTAGATAGCTACTCGCTTCCTATATTAGACTAGAGAAAGTTAAGGCCGCGTCGCTCTGACCGATACAGGCAAGCACTGTGGCAGCCCGCGCGTAGACGTCGCCCATAATTCCGACCTGGGCACTTTTCTCGTATAGGTCGTCCTGATCGATACACACCGAATCGATCCATATCGGTATCGAGCTCCGATATTGACGTGCTTGTTGGAGCGCGTAGTGGCAATTTTGGCGCACAGGAAAGCGCAGACCGTCAATGAAGATTTCGCGCTGAGGCTGCTCCGGGCCCCATGTATACGATATCGCGTTGAACGCTGAGACTTCACCAAGCTCGCAGCTGGCGATTGTGCATCTGATTTCGTCAGCAAACCCTGCAGGCTCGACCTTTAGCAGTCGGATCTGCTTGCTAGCGTCGTCCAGAGGCGGCAGGAACGCATTCGGGAGGTCCTGCGAGTTTGTGCCCCGTGCTGGTTTCATTTTGTCAGAGTGCCTCACCAACAGCGACACAAAAATCACAAGGCTGTTTGAACGCGTCTCGTCTCAATTCATCGTTGGCAAACTGTTGAGTCGAGACTTTAGATGAGACAATGGGAACAAAGAAGCGAGAGTGATTCTACAGAAGGACAATCGGGCGGGGGGTTACGCAGCCTCTGTTCAGCCACTATGCAGCCACCATGCAAGCATACACGCCTCTTTGGTTGATCCCTGCATCGCAGTCTAGGCGGAATCAGCAGCAAGTACTATGGTAAGGATCGTCAATTCGTCAGCTGAGCGGCGACCGGTCCGAGTCCTGCAAACATGCCTGCTTAGTGGAGAAATTTCTGTGTCTTTGTGAGACGTCAGCAGCGACATCCTGCATGACGTAGAAGAAAACCGAAGGAGTGAGCCGTGCTTGATAGCCGCGAGAGCCAAGCAGTCTCAGAGTCCTACCCCAGCAGGGGCCGATGTTGGCATCCAGTCGTGAACTGCCTGCAAGATGACCACCACGTCTTCAATGACAGCCACGAGCCGGACCGCGCCTCACCCCTCCATATTGCACAGCCTGGCAGAGAGACAGGGGCCTCCCACCTCCTTCCGACTCCGATACTCATCACCCAGTCTTCCCCTTCAATTCTTCGCTAGTATTAAGCTCGTTCTAGGAACCGCTCCTTGCGACTCATTTTAGTGACAGCTCGGTTGGGACTACTATTCACGCATTAAGCGGAGATATGATGCAGGTATCTAATGCAGACCCAAAGCTGGATACCCCACTAGAAATGCGCCAATTGTGGCGTACCACCGATATGACCTACGCCCACTTAAGATCTGGAGCCATATCTGGAGCAGCAGCTGAAGGCCAATTAGAGCCTTCAAACACGATGATGCCGTGTTGTGTCAGCACAGCATCATTGGGTCGGACAATCTGCTCAACCTACACCAGATATTCCCATTGTCCCTTTCCACAGTGATACGAACCTGGACCTAGTCCTACTATCCGGCAATCAGCTGGGCTGCATCCAGATTCTGATGCTTGTCAGAGCTAACATAGGATGCTGATAATCTTCCCAGCTTCGGATTCAGCTCGATGCTTGTTCGCCCGCAGGAAAAACTGTTGCTATTAAGAGCGAAATATGCATGCCAACGTTGTCGATGCACTGGGGCATCTTTAAGCATTGCATGGGCCCACAAGACCAGACTACTTTGAATACAGGGCATTGACAGTCCACATGATCTGCAAGCTTCCTGGCTTTATCGCAAATCCAACGCAGCATGTAAAGCTTGGGTGGCTGGCAACAAGATGTATGACTCTATTCGAATCACCAGAATTATGGTTGCCCGCCGGTCGCGGAGGGCGCTCGTTGGTCTCCTCGTCGCAGGAGCATTGGCAATCATCGCCAGCCCTCGGATCCGGTTGCAGACTAATTGTAGGATTCCGTACCTCGCACTGGGCTCAGCCGATGGTCCGTTGAATAATGGCGACAGTACTGCGCGCGAGTAGGTTGGGAACAGAACGCGAGGGGTGAGAGATTATGCTCGCCAGATATCGCCAAACCATCACGGTTACCACTGACCAAGTCCATACTCCAGCAGTTCGAGAAGATGCTCGTCCTTTCGAAGACACCTAGTTGGAGAACGCGTGGTCTCAACGCTGCTACGCAGCTTACAGGCCTCGACTTCACCATTGCTCCCCAACCACCAGTCGCGAAGTTGTCAATCGAGACCTTCCGCAAGATGGGTTCAGTCGGCAAGACAACGCGCCCGGAGCCCGGCTCGGCTGCAGCATGGCTAGCACATCTTGAAACGGCGCTGATTCTCGAGGACGATGTGAACTGGGATCTGCGCATTAAAGATCAGATGCGGCTCGTTTCAGATAACGTTCGTGCCTTCGGCCGCAGCTACGGTAAGACTGGGCACCAGCTGGTCAGCGATTTGGACGATAGCACACCTTATGGCACAGGCTTGGACGTGCTATGGGTTGGACACTGCGGCTCATTGAGCCATAATCAGAATGGTCATGATGAGAACCACAGAAGACCCGTGTACTATATCGATCCAACGAGGCCCACGAATCAGCAATATTATGGATGGGCACGAGACTTTGTCATTAACGAGGTTCCTCAGGGCCGGCGAGCCGTACATGAGTCTCGCATGACAAAATGCACTTTCGCATATGCAGTGTCACAGAAGGGCGCGTACAACTTATTTAACCCCGCTACAGCGCCAAATGGCGAGGCATTCGACTGTCGCTACACGAATACTGCCGCGATAAGAAGCTGAACTGCGTCGTCGTGTCGCCGCAAGTCTTGAATCATTATCAATCGAGTGAACTGTATGGCTATGCGAGCCCGATTAAGGAGGGAGATGGCGAAGGGGAATCGAGAAGCGAGTCCGAATTCGAGGGATACATTGGCTCTTCGGAGAACATTGTCAAGAGCGCAAGGTGTGAGGCACTGTGAGGTCAGAGCTGTATGGCAACGTGAGCAACAGATTGTCTCAAGCATATGAAGCCGCGGATACCGGATGCTGGGATGCTTATGCAGTCTAATCTGGCGTCTTCTCGAAACGCTAGCAACCAGGGGCTGTTCTTCGGATCTGCTGTTAAGGCTAGTGTCGAGGAGCATCTTTCTAAGAACGAGAACGGGTTGATTCTGTTCACGACACGAACGAGACAGGTGGCCGTGCAGTTTGCACGGTCCGATATAGTCGACATTGAGGAGATAGACCCGAAGAAGGCGACACTGCTTCTTCGGAAGTCTGTCACGCAGAAACAAACGCCCCAGGAAGAAGCGCTAGTGGCAGATCTTCTTGTTCAACTGACTCATCCTCCGCTCGCAATCACGCTGGCAGCAGCATATCTCAATCAGGCCAAGGTACCGATCCGTAAATACCTAGCGTTCTTGCGTAGGCGCGAGAAGGACGCAATCCGAGTATGCGGCTGAGAATTCCGCAACAGCACCAGACACCGGAAGTCGCTCAACGCTGTTGCGACGAACTGATCGCTTCATTTGATCAAGTCCCTAAGTCCGACTCAGGTGCAGTTGATCTGCTCTGGTTCACTGCATGTATCGAGCCGAAGGCAATATCACCGCAATGGATTATGCCGGGGTCAAAGTCAGAGGAGAACGAATGGACGATCAGCATCCTCTGTGGATACTCGCTTCTCGTCCGGCGAAAGGCGATTACATATTCGATATGCATATCTAGGTATTCTGGTGCACGGATCAAGAAGCAAAATTGGCATTAGCGTACCGCCCATGACGTGATACGTCAACTCAACGACATATTCCCTTCACACAAACTTGCACAAGCGTTGGCGGGAATGTATGCCACATGCAATGCGGCCCCTTCACAACACCGAGGTTTCAGGTACCGAAGAGCGAAATGAGCTTGTGTTTAGAGTTGGAAAATGCATATATATATGGAAGAAAGCAATCCAGTGCTCCGAAGAATTATGGCATCGGGAAAAGTAACAGGTCAATATACAGGGAGGATCATCGGAGAAGCACATAGAAAGTTGGCTCGGAGGTCCATACCACTGCGACCGACGGATCAAGGAGGCTATCGATCTTTCGAGGCCCAAGTAGCCATGCAGAGGCAGAGACTGGGCGAGAAGGATCATTCTCGACTACTATCTCAGCACATGCTTGCGAGGGCATAACTCGACGACCGACGGAGCAGTGAAGCGCTCTAGATGCTCGAGCATGTCGTTGTCGTCGAGGCTCGGATTTATACCGAGCATGACCCTGAGCGCGTTATCTCCCTGGATCTGCCAGCGGATGCATACGTTATATGCAGCTTGTTGGAAAGGCCTAAATCCTTGTCAGAGGCGCAAGCAGCAGCCCAAGTCCAGGCCTAGCGCATGATGCCCGCCAATCATGCTTGACTACTTAGTACCTGAAGGTATACAGCAGGCCATTGACGTTAGAAGGATGTGGAAACGAAGCGAAATCACGCACGATAGTTGTAAATGCCGATCCTAGGACTAGTCACCTGTTAACGCAGCGTAAATCCGGACGGGACAATATTTGAGCCGAAGTGGCTGATGGTTGTGTGCTGGCCTGAGAACATGACTAAGCAGTCTTGGTTCGCGCTCATTCGTGATGCAGAGCCGCTGCCTGGGTGGTCCGCGAGGGCGACGGCATCACGAGATCCGGAATTATGATGGCCGATAGGCAACGTTTGACGCACGGAGTCCAGGAAGTGGAGTGTAGTCTGGACACAACGGGCATGGCCACAAGACATGGGACCTGACAGTACACGCTGCCCCGAAGGACTGGAAAAGGGATCGACGGCGAGCGTTCTAAGAAGAGGCAGACCGAGCAATCTTGCTTGTTGGAAATCCGAGAGGCTTAAGGCAGAGGGTGCTAGCCTCCGGCAAACACCACGCTCAGCATGAACGCCACCCCGAATGTTCCCAAATGCATCCCAATGCATCAGCTGCCCCGCTAAGGGTATTTCTCACGCAGGAACGGCGGTTGCAAATAGGCAGCTGGCTGCAGAGGACGCTTGTAGATTGGGTCAGCATAGGCGTAAAGTTCACGTAGCTACTGACCGATCAGGCCCCTAATCGTCACGTCCTTAATCGTCCATCTCCCCAACCAGCAACATAGTATCGGCCGACCTTCGTATCCACACCCGCTCTCCAGCAGCTTGAGCTACGATAACAACCACGCAGCCCAAACCAGGCGCGTCAGTCTCGGGTCGCGTTCAGCACCACGTCAAACGTGGCTTTCCGTCTCGAGTGGCGCTCGAGAATCAACTTGTCGGCGTTGCTGTCGTCCGAGTAGAGCGTGTAGAAGAAGGTCTCCTGGCGCTGCCCCTGGCGGCAGAGCCGACCGCACGCCTGCCCGGCCAAGAAGTCCTGGAACGGCAGGTCGAACAGGATGCCGTAGTTGGCTCGCTGAAGTCCGTTGACGCCCGTCGCCGCTGCGCCGCCGTGGCTACGTCGTGGCCGTCGTGCTGGAGCTGGCTGCTGAGGAGCCACACGATGAAGGTCTCGGCTGACGACAGCCGCGACAGGCCGGGGAAGGAGGACGCCATGAGGATGGCGGTGAAGTGGCTTGACTTCGCCGCCGCCCTCATACAGATTCTAGTTAAGATGGCAGTGCCACTGTTTATCTTCGCCGACACCGTATGCCGCTTTCTTGCCGTCCGAAAGTGCGGTAACCCGGACAAGAAGTTGAGGACGGTTCTAGAATATCGAACGAAAAGCCAGGAATCTAAGCTCGATGAATCGCTGATCATTCGCCGTCATGATTATCGGTCAAAGCCAAGCTCCTCCTCGCTCATCCAGAGAAACCCGAGGATCGTGAACACGAACTGCAGTCCATCCTCGTTGATGTCGAACTGCTCGGACGCGACCCCTCCCAGCCGATCAAATTCCCACATCCTCATGAGAGAACCACAGATGGCAAAGCCCAAGACGAAGCGACGAGTGTCCTGAGCAGCGAGTACTTCCCTCCCGTACCTCCCAAGATCAAGCCATTCCTTTGGCGCTTTGTCGGCCGATGGATTGCTCTTCAGCTCGCCCGGAATGAGGATTTGCGACCAGTGGCATCGAGAGTCTTTTTCACCAATCAATTCCCGTTGCGGGCGCGCTCCCCTCAGAGAACCTAAACTTGGTTTTGCTGAGATTGATGAAATCCACCGGCTTCGTCACGTAGTCGCCGAATCCGACCGACAAGCACTTGTCATGTACATCGACATTATTTTAGCCGACAGCGCAATTATGGGCAGCGTCGGGTAGCCGTTCTCGCGCTCCCACTGTCGTATCTCTCGACAGGCCTAGTACCCGTCCTTGCGAGGCATGTGCAGGTCACACTGTCGAATATCTCGTTCGCATATATCTACCGGATCAACACCACCATGTATTAGGCCACCGTACCAGGATAAGAGTATGGTCCTTAGTCCACCGCCCATGGTCCATAGTCCATCGTTCAGCTTCTGTGATCGCTGGTCACTCAGGGGATTGGCTAGCTGTGCCACAGACGCCAGCATCTAGACGCTTTTTTCCTGCTTCGCATATTCAGGCCTACCCTGCGAATTGCCAGCCTGAGGAACCATGTCCTGATTGAGATTGCTAGCAGATCTTGACTCGCCAGTTGTCATCTCGCCTTGCAGTTGCTGGTTAGCGTCATTGTCGACGTTGCTGGATGTTGGTACGGGAGATAAGGGATGAGATATGCTCTTCCGGAAGGGATGTTCGCTGCCGGTATTTACGGCGCCGATGTTGGAGCATTTGTGGGCCTGTGAGAGTGCAAAGTCACCGGAATCGAAGTACTTTCTTCCCTGGAGCCGATGACCGGATTAGCTTGGTTCGAACTGACTAGCAGTACGGTAGAGCATATCGATACCTCTAACTGGTGATGGAGAAGGTCTCCTCTGGTTGGAATCTTTCCATACAAGTTCAGGAGACGCTCATCCCCCTCGGCAGAGGGCTTCTCGTTTTGGGGAGAATCCATGCTCGCAGTTGGAAGTTGAAAGAGGAGAAATCACGGAGGTAGGCCGAACGTCGTCATCCTGCATAGAGTTCTTATAATAACCTGTATCGACGTGACGGAAGCTCCACAACTTTTGTCCGATATGTCCCGGCTCACGTCACGCATAGCACAGGCGCTAGCTGAACTCCCGTTACGTAAGGGCCGATCGCGATGTTACCCCCGCACAGTGCTTCTCCAATTTCCTCTTAACTGCGACCATCTCAGCATGAGGGCATTGTTCCGCATTCTGCGTCCATGCAGAAGTCTGCCGCCTGAATCTTCAATAATGTTGCAACCGATGCGCCCATATTCGTAGATGTTGTAACCATACGTTCTGACATACCAAGCTGAACTCACTAGGCTTGCGCAGCTTCTGATGCGATGCGAAGCTCTTAGAGCAGATCAGGCATTCATTGAGGCCCTGCACCATCGTGTCGAAAGCTCGATGGCCGAAGTGTTGCTTGTGACACGTGCGCGATCGCGACGAGCCAATGAGTCGCAGCTGCAAGAGCACCCGCCAAGTTTGCGGTCTACGGTCGACTTCGACTCCATGTGCGAGGTACGAGGTAACTTACTCATTCGTCATCATGAGAAATAAGTGACGTGGACATCCCATCATCGTCTAGCGCGCAAGCACTTCCTCTGCAGAAGCAAATCCGACCTCCGCCCTACACCCCAGTAGCGCCCCCCTCTCCGTCACCAGTGCTACAGCGAAAACTGTCGGCTCCCATCATCAAAGGAAATTCGATAACTAATCGAGTAAACAGTGCCCGGGTCTTTGGCACAATTTCTTGTTTATACAATCATCGTTCTTAGGCTCTGCCCTTTCCCTCTTTTGAGGAGACCTCTCCCGTTTTCTCCCCTCCCTCTTCCTCCGAGAACTGCCCCAATCCTCCAACCAAGCCAACTTTTGACCAGCTCCAACACACAATGGCGAGCAATGGTTCGACTGGTGCCGATCCGGCAAAGGATGTTGCGGTCCGTATACTGAAGCTCCCAACCATACGCTTGGGTTTGAAACTGACATGGCGCGTGTTTGATGGTGTAGATAATAGAGGAGGAGACGGCCACATATCCTCGCCAAAAGGGACAGGAGAGAAAGCCGGCATGGATCCGTCGGCCAAGCCGAGTCAACGCCTGATCTAAGATGAGAACCCCCCATTAGGATGCGACCTCGTGAAGTTTCAGCAATGAACACATTCAGCGAGAGTTCCTGCGTGGAGATGAATCCTTGCCATCGCCGCCGCCCCACTGCACAACCCTTGACCCCGTGGTTGGAATGTCACCTTCGTGGATTACACGCCGTTCCGTTGCGAAACTCGCATGACGGCGCCGAGCATGGTGCGATCGAGCAGCTCGTACAGGTTTTTCTTCTCGATGGGCTGTTCTCGCAGATAACCCGCGAACAAGGTCTGGACGTCGCCTCTCGAGACTTCTCGCCTCTCCAACCTCGCAAATAGGCGCTGAAACTCTGCCTTGACGTTTTGTAAACCAAGCATGCCGGCCCACTGCGTGCGAAGGGCAAGCTGGTCGTTGTGGGCCGCGTCGCGGTCCATGGCTTTGCCGACGCCGACGACACGTCCTACAAAGACCCCGGCAAGTGCTAGGAGCCTCTGTTGGGAACGCAGTTGCGCTCTACATATGCTCCTCCCACTAGCCCGGTACTTGACGCCCGGCCCCCTTTCTAGGCGGGCAAGGCTGGTTGTAGTGAACCTGTCGACAGTCTCGTACCACAACGGCATCCACGACGGGAACCCCTCTGGCCGCTGGATTCCGCAGCCGTCAGCTAGGAAGTCCAACTTCAGGCTGGCCTCTAGCTCCGCGACAATGACGCTCCAGAAGGCGCCGAACGTGTCTCCTTGGTAAGAAATAGGCGGCAGACGGGAGACATGCTCGACGCTGTCGGCAAGCCCTATGAGAGTGTGGACCTTGTCGCGCGGATCGGATGCGTTGAAGGACAGAAATCGGTTGACGAAAGTATAGAGACTCCAGCGTTTGGACTTGACTGCCCCTACGTCCGATGGCAAGCTGTCGACTCGCTGCTCCAAGCTTCGGCTGGAATAAAATGGGACAGTGCCGTTGACGACGGCGATGAGGTCCTCCACTCATTCGCAGCCATACATCTGGTTCGGCCTTGGTAGAGAGGCCAGAAGATGGAAGTTGGATCATTCTCACTAGACCAAAATTAGTCTTACTTTGGAGAGTGTTAGGTTCGTCTCCAGGGAACCAACTGGAAGTACGCGTCCGTGTATTTCGTCTGTGCCGCAGCACATTTCTCGGCGTCATATATGCCCCAGTTCTGACAGCAAACTGCCATGGGCGGTACCGTTTTGATCAAGGCTCCACCGAGAACCTTGTCAAAGCCAATCTCGGGAGTGGGTGATGTACGCCACTGTTCCAGGCCGCTCGGACTGTCGCAAGTCCAAGCACCTGCGTGCTTCTTGTTCGAGATGGCGGACGACGCGGAGGACAAGCCTATTAATTCTCATGCCCTGACCCTCATTCAGCCCGGTAGTGACCGTCACTACCAGGGGCAAGTTGGGGTAAGCCCATAGTCAAGGGTGGGTTGGGTAAACCCCTGTCGGGTCGAGTGACGGTCATTACCATGACGGTCATTACCACAGGGGGTCCGGGGCGCGGCTGGACCCCTAGTCGTGTCTGAACCCCAACCTTAACCCTCAGCCAACCCTGCGCTGTGCCGTGTCTCCCCTCTCATTAAATGACCCATGATACATAGCGCGGCCTGGACGGTCCCGCAACCTGTACGGCGAGAAGCCGTCATAATTGCTAGTTATTACGCGTAGAATAGAAAATACACCTCATATATACACTCTCTAACCCTTCAATCTGACAGTCCAGTTGTGATCAAAGGACTTTCTAGCGATGGCGATACACTTCGAGGCTGACGCTGGTCGCACCGGGGGGCAGGTCGGACTGCTGAGCTGGCCTGCGGCTGACGCCAGTAGTAGCCAAGAGCATCGCGTCCTCCTCTGCGTCTCGTGTAGGGTCGCGATCCGGCCGGACGACGGCATACGACTACACTTCTGGCGGACGCACCGTCTCAAGGGCGAGGCACTCGGCCAGATTGTCGACTACAGCCACGCCGCCGAGCCAATCGCGAACCCGTATACTGTGCCACTACCGGCCGACGGATCGCCACATATAGAGCAGCTACCGGTCATAGGCTGGTGGAGCTGTGTATCCAAACCTTAAGTCTCCCTATCATTACAGAAAAGTCACTTGGGATAGAAACACCTCATAAGACCCGGTCAGATTCGACTTTGACTGCAAAGTAGTAAGTCATTTAACAAAAAGCTTACAATTATCTTGGGGAGTCCTTCCAAGGGTTCCTCTCCAGACATCATCCTGTTTATGCAAGAGGTGAAGGATAGGGTAATCCGATGTGCAGCCCGAAATGGCTGTCATGAACTGCCCCACCGACCTGCAGACAGCTTTTGTTTGTGGCTCCATGCACTTAGCATCGCGAAGACAAGGTGGACCGTGCGCAGAGAGAGTTACGATCGGCGAAAGTGGACACCGATTTCGAATTTGACTGCATTAGAACCTGAGATCTGGGATGGCAAATATCCCACTTGTTCGCAAATGGATTGATACAGCGCATTTCTGACTTCAACACTATGTCATCCTTCGCGTACTTCTCCTGTTCCCGCCTCGAAGATGGCCCATTTGTGCGTAATGACCGTGCCATACCAAACCAAGTTGTGGCTTAGGACTGTGTATAGGCTGTTTGGTACAGTAGTGACCGCGAACTGTGTCCGCTTTTCAGACTGTAGTTGATGTTCCCGCACGGACCACAAAACTGTGGCACATAATGATGCACACTGTGCAGACTGTCCAATAACAAGTACCCTCCAAAAGTGGATTACAGCATGACATGCAGCAGTTGGGGGCTGTTTCTTCGTCAACCTATCTGCAATGGTGACCATCGCGAATCGTCGGACAAACTTCACCATGCCTGCCGAAGGACGATGGCATAGTACAACAGTTCCACACAACGCAGGGCATCAAAGCCTGTTTGCGCCTGTTGATGTGGAATAATTGTAACGCGAATGTCTTTTTTGCACACACCTCCCACTCCGCCGCACAGCCAAGAGCTCGCGTCGTGGTCAGCTTTTCCTTACGCGGGGAAGCCCCAACGTTTGTAATCAGGAGAAGCCGTACGTGCGCTCGGCGCACTGGCTCTAGCCTCCTTTAACAGCAATCGAGGCTATGCGCTCGGATTGCGTCAGCTTCGTGGTTCGCGCTTCACATATTGCAGGTTATTGTAGAGCGATCCGAACTGTGCGTGAGCTTCATTGCTCCGATCAAGATGCTTCCTCATTGAATAGAGCATTAAAGGTTTCTATGCATGCCTTAAATAGCCATTCGAATCTCCGTATCAGGTGCCGATGCTTTTTGAGTATGGTGCGCGGGAGACGTTGTCGTAAACATGGTAATTATCCATCAACATGCTCCTCATTAGCGTTTAAGCTTGTGAGGTTAAAACTTTGCTTAGGGTTAACTTAACTAATCCATGTTTTATATAGGATTATCTTAGATTGTAAAGTGCAGCTCTTTGCACTGCAAATGATTCAAAGTCGGTGCTTTAGAGAATATGCGGTAAAGTTATGTTGTATAACTTATGCACAATAGTGCGTCACAGGTGATTGACGAGTCTGCCTTACCATGCATGTAAGTGTCCTATCGAACCCCCTCCTTACCCCGCACTTTCAGCCTTACGCAAGAGCTGAGACCGCCCAATATCTTACCGTGATAATGCTGATGCCTGCATCCCATTTGACCTTCACGCGTGCTATTCGGCGACCGAGATTCCTTCGCCCCGACCAGGAACCCTGAATGCCATCGGTAATACTCTGCAATGCGGCTACTGCAACGAGATAACTCCAACAACTACATCCTCACCGCCGATCTGCGCGCTGACGACAGTCCCCCCTACGCAATTCTTTCCCACACCTGGGGCGAAGACGAGGTTATCTACAACGATGTCAAAACGAATTCCAATGACTGGCAACAGAAAGCTGGCTACGATAAGATCAAATTTTGCGCCGACCAGGCCAAGCGACATGGCCTGCAGCATTTCTGGGTAGACACCTGTTGTATTGACAAATCAGACGCCATCGAACTCCAAACTGCAATCAATAGCATGTTCAGGTGGTACCGCAGCGCGAAGCGATGCTACGTGTTCCTGTCCGGCGTCTCTTGTCTATCGACCTCCTGTTCTGCAACATCCAGTCAGCAGCCAGGTGTGGCATCGTGGGATATCGCTTTCCGAGGCAGTCGGTGGTTTACGCGGGGCTGGACACTTCACGAGCTCATCGCCCCGCAGACTGTCGAGTTCTACTCCAAGGAAGGTGTTTTCTTGGGCGATAAGAGGTCACTAGAGGCTGTCATACGCGACGTGACAGGGATTCCTGCAAGGGCTCTACGGGGCACACCATTGTCTGACTTTACGACCTCCGAACGCGAGGCGTGGGTCCGCAATCGGGAAACAAAATACGAGGAAGATATGGCATACTCGTTGCTTGGGATATTCGGCGTCCACATGCCACTCATCTATGGCGAGGGTCGCGAACAAGCACAGAGAAGATTGCGAGAAGAGGTACAGAGATCTGTAAAAGGTGAGACACAGCTCAGAAACTCAGAAGAGAGGATTCATATTGACTAATGCACTTAGGCACTCACCACAACAAGTTCTCGATCAGCTTTAGCCTGTCGGGCGTCCCTGAGACTCCACATTTCGTAGCAAGAGATGCAGAAGTATCCGAGATGCGGAGAATGCTGTGCTCAGATGGGAGCCGTCGCATTGTCGTACTCCATGGTCTCGGCGGCATCGGCAAGACACAGCTCGCTGCGACCTATATCAACCGGTATCGAGACGAGTACTCGGCCATCTTCTGGATCAATATCAAAGACGAAGCGTCTATTCAGCAGAGCTTCGCTAGGATCGCAACGCAGATCCTCGAACAGAGTGCCGACACCGGCAGCCTCAAGGGACTGAACCTGCAGCAGGACCACGACAAGATTGTCCAGGCCATGAAGGCGTGGCTCAGCCTGCCAGGCAACACCAGATGGCTCATTGTGTATGATAACTATGACGACCCGAAACTTCCAGGACGGAAAGCCGACGCAGTGGTCGACATACACCAGTTTCTTCCTGGTGCACATCAGGGCTCCATAGTGATCACAACACGACTGTCGCAAATCGACATGGGATACCACATTCGAGTTGACAAACTCAAATCCGAACACGAGAGTCTAGAAATACTATCAAAGGTATCGGGCCGGAATGGCTTACAAGATGGTAAGAATCTCAAGGCAGTTAATTTTCAGCCACTAATAGTGTTTTAGATGGTGATGCAAAAGACCTTGTGCGAAAGCTGGACGGGCTTCCCCTCGCTCTAGCTACGGCCGGAGCATATTTGAAGCGCGTTCCAATTAGCATACGTCAGTACCTTCGCTACTACCAGGAATCTTGGGAAAGAATCACCGGTAATCTGCATCTCAGATCCTACGCAGATCGTACCTTGAGTTCAACATGGCAGCTGTCGTATGAGCATGTTCAGGCACAGAACCCACTTGCGGCTGATCTGCTTCGGTGGTGGGCCTACTTCAACAACGAAGACATATGGTTCAGTCTTGTGCGGGCCAGAAGCGAAATGAGCCCCGTGTGGATGAAGCAGCTTTCAGAAGAGCTTAACTTCATCGACGTAATGGGCGTGCTTCACGATTATGGCCTTGTAGAACCTACAACCATGTTCCAGGAGACACAAGGGTACAGTATACATGGTTGTTTGCATTCTTGGACGGTCCATATATTGAACGCGGAGTGGGACGGCTGGTTGAACAAGCTTGCAATCGAAAGCGTGGCATCGCAGGTTCCATCAGACGATGAAGCCGAATATTGGCTAATTCAGAAGCGACTACTACCACATGCGATCCGGTCTTGTTCAACAGTACAGAAGAGCGATGTTCCTTCGGACTGGGCTTTCCATTCTCTAGGTAATCTGTACTGTGACCAGGGGAAGCTGGATGAGGCGGAGAAGATGTACTTGCGGGCGCTCGATGGGAGAGAGAAGGCACTCGGACCAGATCAAGTTGCGACATACCGGCCAGCACCCATACGAACCTAGGATCTTTGCAATCAGACCAGGGCCGTTTCAGACAAGCGCGTCAATATCATCAACGTGCTTACGATGGTCTTGAGCAGCTCCTCGGGCCATCGGACCCGGCTGTTCAGTCAGCGCGACACACTCTCGAGCATCGAGTAGACAGACAGGACGACGATGAGGGTATCCGGGAGAGGGCAGCAGATGCTCTTGGACCTACTGATCCCGCTCTGGACTATAAAGTCGGTATCTGGCAGCCTCTGTGGCCGTGGCTTATTAACGGCTACAAGCACGTGGTGGAGCGACTTTTCGGGACATATCTGTCGTGGTGGCCGCTATCTGACACAGAGAGACGCCTCGCCCGTGGCTTCACGAGGGTTTACTCAATGCCTTTTGCTCGACATGGACATTTCTACGAGGATGTACCAACTCCTGTCGCAGAAATGTTATTTCCCAAGCTAGTCGAGGCTAGCGTAAACATGGCGAAACCAACAAGCTGGCCAGCGGCGAGGAGCGGCCAAAATGCTGTCTATCTCAAGCACAGTACACCGTTACATTACATACAACGGCGCGACGATTTAACCCGGCAGCGACAGCCTCCGGGCAGCCATTCCGGACTGGCTCCAAGCGAGTACGACCACCCTGGGGCTTCTAGTTAAGATGCGCTTTCCAGGCTTTAGGTAGCAAACCAGAGACCACAACCACACGGACAGCAAGGCAGCCCAATCTCGTTCGTCAGCATAAATACTCGTCGTAACGAATCGCTTGGCGTCGCCATCAACCTCGGCGAAGACGACAGCGCTACGATGCACAATATGCGAGCCGCGCTGACTAAACTCCCGTCCTCGCGCTGCAAGCGACCCACTAGTGTCCAGTTCTACAGAGTAAATACCCCCCCCCCCCCCATCCCCCGAGAGGCACGATCCAGAACTCTGAGAGCCGTTTACTGACATCAAGCAGTTCCATAGTTTCCACTTCCGCCCAGCCTCGAAACACCGATATATCTCGTTAGGCACAGACAAGCAGCGGTACCTGGACGAAGACCATGCCGAGTTCTCAAAATACAAGTACAGGCCATCTCCTTGGAAGGACGGCCAAAATTTGCCCAGCGGGCAGACATGGTTTTTCCTCCAGCATCCAAAGGAGTGCGGCACGTTGAAGATCCCGAATGACGCTCTTCCCGTAAGATTGAGCGACAGTGCAGATTCGCGCATCACTGCGTGGAGTGTGCATATCGAGAAGCGTTACTCCATGCTCATCATTGCAATTCCTGTTATCACATTTTCGTTATCACACTTGCGGCGGCCATGTGGTTCATATTCTGGTCGCTGGATCGGCACCCGGACGACTTGCAGGGTGTGACTGTTCCGATGTCTCTGGCAGTGACTGTAGTTACTTCCTTTTATAGCACTGCCATGCGCTTACTTCTCTTCAGATGCAGTTTGTGATAGCTCATTCGATCAGATGGTACTCGTACCTTCGACTTCAAGGCGCAAAAATTAGCTAGTCCAGTAGAGAAATACAGAACGGCTGAGACACCCATGGATTCTGTCCCGTATTTGAGTGAGAAAGCTTTTGAGGGACTTGTTTTTCTGCCCTTCTCGAGAACTCGATATCTCCCAGCTTCGACAGTCGCACACCGGCAATGCAGCTACAATTTGTTATGCTGAGTCCGATACCACAACGGCCATCGACTTGTTCAATTTCCGTTCACGCTTCCTCCCCTTTTGACAATCATGGTCACTGACTGAGGGAAGAAGCTACATAAGATGGCCTTCCGGTGGCAAAATAATTGAAGAAGGCTGCCCGGCATGCGCGGGATGTGTTCCCCTGTGACAACCGAGAACGGTAGAGGAGATACCTACAACATGCTTTCCGGATGCTCAATGGAAGCGATGGGATGGTATGCACAAGAGCTTGAGACGGGTTTTTGGGGTCGGGTGATGTGTGCTAATAGAAGGGCGAATCATCGAAATGGTCTGGCGCCTGGATCAGACTCAGTATTCGAATGTTTATGTATGTCGCCCTAGTTTCTGGTGTCCGTCGGGACATATTTACTGATAAAAGCCCAATCGATTGATAATTGCAATCAGTGAGATGCGATCCTCGCGTCCCGATACTATGAATGAATTTCCCGCGCTTGTTTGTGTAGGACTTATCACCATGGGGTTGGGCTAGAGCCATGCAGAACAGAGCAGGGGTCGTATGTGGGCCTCTCGAAAGAGTTTCTTCAAGCAACACTCAATCTGTCCTTGGCTGCACGCTACTTTGTAAGGTGCTTATTGTGGATTAATCTGCACAGTGCATCCGACAGCGTGCTATAATCTACTGGTCCGTGCGGAAACATTAACTAGTGTCTAAAAAGCGGACACGTGTGGCGGTCACTACTGTACTGCTGCGGCTTCGATATCATGTTCGAGGTTTGGACTCGTCGCGGAAAAGGTTGTCCGGAAGGATTCTATTGTCGGTCTTGACAAGGTCAGGCATTTTCTACGCAACTACAATTGATGGTCGCGCTGTGTGCGGCTGCCATGTGCGTCGCAGGGATGCATCTCCACTGCGCTAGATCAGGAAGCTCCCTGTCGTAGATTGACGAGCTAAGGACGTGATGGTTTGAGCATTCCAAGAGGGGGCCTCTAACCGCTATACAGGACGAGTCAACTGGCTCACCGACTCGGCTTGCGATCCCCACGGGCAATGACGTTGTACTTGGCCAGCCTCCCATGTATGTCACTCACGGATTAGAGAGGCTCCTCCGTCGTAGCCACCTCCTCATTCTGCCATACGATACTGTATCCTCGCTTCTCTTGGTTCTGCTCTACTTCAGCGTCCCGAAGCAGGCGTTGTTCACGACAGAGCCTCTTCGGGCAAGTAGTAAAGCAGGATCGAAGTCGTCCGCGCTCATATGAGACCCGCCAGGCTGTAGCCTAGGATATGGGCGCGAGCTGCGTTCAACCACGCAGAGTACGGAAGTGGGTCACAAAGGCATTAGTCCAGCACTAATGTAGCCGGAAACGAGAATTGCGGAGTGCACTCTCTTCGGGGATACAATGCTGTCTACGCTTTGTTGCCAGACACCTTGCGAAGTGGACGCCAGAATGTTCCACTGCATGCTTCCTGTGAGGAAACAACTTGACATGTAAGGCGGCTGCACTCAGTGGCTGCTACCTGGCCTGCTACTGTTCCACGTGCGAAGCATTGATGTTGCGTGCGCGAGTGTGGACGACTGCTTTATGTCGCTGGTACGGGGGTCTGTAAGGGCAATGGTAGGGAACGGAGAATGCTAGACTGCGCCATTAGTTGAGTCGGGTCCTCGTAAGCGCTATAATCGATGTTTACTTGCGGGTCCTGGTGCTTCTAAACAAGCATCAGTGTGCACGCACGTTGCTCTCATCGATTCGATGAGGTTCTGGGGTCGACAATATCTGCATAAGGCATAAATCCTAGATGATATCTGTTGGGTGATATCGCGCGGGTACAGTACCTCATGAGCCCGTAGAGGATGTCGGAGAGTTGTTGTTTCTCGCATTGCGAAGACCAATCAGATGCAGTGACGACGACGACGACTATAATGATGACTATGAGGATAGCGACTCTGAATACGATGACGACAACTTCTCCAGCGTCATAGTCCCCGACCCTGGTCCCTCGACCTATACGAATCGCGATTTCTGCGAACCAGGACCTTCCACACTTCCGCAGAAGCACAGAGGGCACGGCAAAGAGGGCAAAGGCAAGGAGAGAAAGGGCAAGGAGTCCAAAGGCAAAGAGTCTAAAGGCAAGCACCGCAAAGGTAAAGAGTCCAAAGGCAAGGAGTCAAAGGCAAGGACAGCAAAGGCAAGGACAGCAAGCGCAGCAGGTAGACTACTGTTCACAAGTCCTGAAGCAGATCTCGAAGCACGCAACTTGGTGACTGTTCCCGCCTGCAGGCTGACAGAAATTCATAAATCTCTAAGCCAGCCAATCCTGTTAAATCTGGACTCAGCGACCTTACTTGCAACTTCGCTTTCATGCGCCCGTGCATGAGAATGTGAGCCATCATTCGTGAGAGTGATCAAATGTTGTTGCCCAAGCTCAGGGCAGTGCAACTCCGATTCTCGTGCCGGCGGTTCAGGAACTCGCACATGCTCGCATGCACAGCACCGCCCCCCTTTAATAATGTACATGTAGACACAGTGGTACGTGCCCGGGTTTCTAGTTAAGGATGTTCCAAGACAAGAAGAATCCCACCGAGTAGCGTTACAACGTAGCCAGGTGCACCCAGCTACCGAGGCCCCAGGCAAAGGCATTCAAGGCCCAGCCGACGGAACCTGCGCATACCCTGACGGTTATCTGGTGCGATATTAGCGACCAGAACCTTTAGTGCACATCCAGGGACAGCGGGTGTCGGTGATGGACTTGCAGGCTTTGCTTTCCCTGCCTAATCACAAGGCAACTGACCTGCCATTGAATTCGTCTCGCCATTACGTAGATTGCGCTGTGCTTCTGTTATATCCCAATTTAACATGAAAGGAAAACGGAAAAAGTACACGTAATCCAAAGCAAGCTTCGGGGAAGATCGGCTCACGGCGCCATAACAAAGGAGTATCTGAGAAGCAAAAATATGCTTTTAAGGCCCCCAAACGGGGCCAAGTATCAACGTCAGGGTATCATCCTCTCAAAACTTTGACTGGTTGGTGTGTTATGTGGTCATGATCCCGTGATGAAATCAGAAGCAGCAAAAAGGCGGTCGTTACTGGGAGATGCCTGTGTCTCCCGATCGTCACACAAAAAGCACGCAACTGGACCCCTCCCCCGGGGCTCAAACATCGATCCAGTTCTCTTTCCTGTCCTTGCCGGCTGCGCCGCGGAATTGCACCTCCACGCGGACCTCGGTCTCCTTGGTGATCTTGGGGAGCTTCGACAGCTCGTAGTCCCTGACCGGGTCGATAATGTTGGTCTGGCTCTCGTTGGAAGCCTCGGTCTTGACATCCACGCCCGCGCCGCTGCGCAGGTAGCGGTGGCCTGAGCGCATGTGTGTGGACGAGTTGCCGGGCCGCGAGCCGTGCGAGACGCCCCCGGCGCCTGCCGTCTTGCGGGCGTAGCTGTCGAGGGTGGAGCGGAGGCCGAGCTTGAAGGCGACGATCCTGATGACGGGCTGAAGCGCCGGGAAGCACGCGCACCACAGACCAATATGAGATTCCAGGTCGGTCCACACTCCGATGGTGGCCATCCTGAATGTCCTATGGGTGGTTCAATGAGCCATGGTCAGCCTTCGTACTGCATTTTTGTTTCAAGGTAGACACTGCCTATCAGTGTTGTTTGGGTGTCAGACGTACGAATCGACTTTCCAGTCCATGGTCTTGATGTAGTACAGACGGATACAGCCAGTGATGACCACGAAGATACCGACGCTGAAGACTGCAATGACCTGGAACATCTTGCGCGACCACAGCATATTGGTGTAGATGACCCAGATTGGCAGACCCATGAGAATGGCGTCAAAGATGATGCCAAGCACGGCATGGGCCGTCATCATCTGGTCGAGCTGCACCGGCGTGAAACACTGCGCGTCACTCGACATTGGGGGAAGCCAGCCGGCTGACACTGGGCTGCACTGGAACAGACGGAAGAAGAAGCATCCCAAGGTTGTTGCAAGAACCATGCCGATGGTGGCCCAGATCAGGATCATGTAAACTTTGTCCTTGTTCAGTCTCGGCAAGAAGGCGAGGATGGCAAGTCGGTCCAACCCAACACCCCAGAAATAAAGGAGGTTGAGATTGTTCAGTCCCTGAGATGGACCGAAGTATTAGTAGCGGACCAGTGTTGTCTCTCTGCCGAAACGAGAGAGAGAGAGAGAGAGGTTCTTTGCTTACAATGAAGAACTCCATGAGGTCAGGTAATGGAATCAGCTCCATATGCGCGCCGGCGCCATGGTACGACAGGTGGATGTTGAAGGCAGACTGTGCACAAACAACCCCCAGCGCAAGCACAGCGAGCAGATCGTCCCACCCGGGCGTCTTGGCCATGAAAAAACGAGTGTAGAGGCGCGTGAAGACAACAAGAGAGCTGAGGATGACCAGGGCGATGTTGAGTCGGGCCTGGTGGCCGCCAGCCCAGTCGTCCGTCTCCCAGAACTGGGTTCCGGGAGGATAGTTGGACACTGGAGGAGGGCCAGGTGCACCAGCCATTGCTACTGCTGTTTGCGTGAGATCGGCGCCGCGTCGACGGATTCGCGAGCTGAGATGGTCAAGGCGGCACAAGCTGCCTGTGGAGGATCGGGAATGCTCCTAGCAAGAACAGCCAGGCTCGGTCGCGGAACTGGCGATCGCTAATATGGGGAACGGCGGGTTGGGTTCGTGTAAAGATATATGCAAGACCAGCCTTGCCGGGGATGTTCTACAGAAGGATCGGTGCTCTCAAACGGTCAACACGAGCCCTTGCCAGGAACCCAGCACTGTGGCAAGCCTGTCCCGTGGCCCCAAGTCGGCGAGAGTGCCTGGTGGTGTTCGGAAAGCCACCCGTGACAGAGTGCGACGCTAGGCCTGGCTAACAGTGCCATGGGAACGACCATGAAAACTCGGCCAGAACAACCCCAAGTCACACCTCTGCATGCCGCCTTTCAGGGATTTCATAGCGCCAGACTAGTGAGGGAGCTCAGCTACAACCGCCAACCAGAGCATACCAGACCGGGAAGGCTTGCTCCTAGGTCCCGGTCAGCACGTTTGCCCTCAGACCCTTGAACGGTGGCTCTGCTTTTTACCATGCTCAACCACTATGTCGGAACTGTATAGCCGATCACTTAGGTGTATGAGGTCGTCATTTGAAGTCGTAGCGATGCTAACAGAGTTCAAACGAAGTATACCGGTATCATGGTGGAAAGCATCGCCCGCACACCGAACCAGGCGATGTCGTGCGGTCACAGACAGGTACGAGGCAAGGGGGTTTTCCTGGAAACCACGCCAGCCGGGTGGCGGCCGACGGCGTGTCTCGGTGGCCTCTTGGTTCAAAGCCTTCTTTGGCGGGATCTGCAGCGCATCCGTTGCTATGACCACCTCGGATGCCATGTTGGGTCTTCACAGTCTCGGTTGGTTTCCTTTAGTGCAACAGGTATCCTTCAACCAGTGATGAAGGATCAGTCACCTGCATCGTTGTCGTGGTCTTCCGGCTGTTCTTGCCCTCTCCGGTGGCCTCAAAAGGTGGAAATTATAAACTACAGTGCTTGCCAGTCTTTTGGATCTAAGAGTCTGTACGCCCCTCCGCACATAGCACATTCTTTCGTCCCAAGTGTAGGAGGGCAAGTGCCCTTCAATGATAATGTAACGAGTATCGAGTCCACTCATACCTAGGCAAGCACGGTCGAAAACTCTGCACGACATCAGAAAGGCCATCCCTGCAGGAGCGGGGGCAAACTGATGCTTCCCTTAGGAGGCGCAGCGCCACGCATTGCCTTGAGTGCCACTCGAAAACGCGACTCAGGTATCTTTTCCGTCTTGGTCACAGCAGCCTCGACCAGCCCGCTGCGCCGCTGGAGCCCTACTGGTCCGGCCAGCCAGTAATGGCTATGGCGTTAGAACTTTCTCCAGCGCCCCCTCAGGGGCCCGCTCATTATCCGCTATCAACCGTCCTCACTTCACCGCGCATGAGGGGCGCTGACAAGCTTTCTAGGGTGCCCTCAGCCGCTGCGAAGTGCTCATGGTATGGCTGCATGAAACATGGGCGTCTGTCATGATAAGTGATCGACCACCTTGGAGAGTTTTGACAGCCGTGTGTCGATCTGGGCCAACCATGCTCCGATATGCACGTGGCAAACCATTTCGCAGCAAGTTCAACCGAAGCTTTGATCTCACCGCGGAGCCTCTCTCAACCTTCTGTGTCCAGCCCCTGCCCCTCAGAAACCCTGGGGCGGCCCCATCTCGTGCCGGACGAGTGCTCCTGCTCATCTGCGGGTTGCATGACCCCGAGCAGGCCGTTCTGTAGCACTGCTAGAGGCAGGGGTTTGGGCTGACGCTACGCAGTTGTCAGGGAGGAACCGGCGATACTGCTGAGCCAATGATGTTGTCAGCCATCGGAGAAGGTGCCGGGGGGCGCCCGGGACCCCGGAAAAGAGTTCCTTAGCGTTGCTTGACAAAGTTGGTCCACCTACCTGACAAGTCGTGGAGGATGCCCAACCAGGATTCCATTGTCCCGCACAAGAGACTTCCCGTTGTGGAACCTCCATGGGTCGCGGAAGGATGGATCCAGCCCAATCGAATGGTGACCCGGTGTGCCCATTGTCCACCACATAATTAGCCCGACTCGCGGCAGACAGCCACGAGGATGGCTGGGTAGGGATCTGGAACCCCCCTGTATCGCGCGGATGAAAAAGCGAGTGGGCAACGGGCCAATTCCATACAAGGGGCACTTGACCCTGGGCTTGTCACCTGCCTCCGCAGCACAACCTTGGCGAGCTTGGTTGTGCCATGCCGTATCTGATCGGCTGGGGATATGACCAGGGTCTACGGTGGGCGGGCTGAGGCGTCGCATCATCGACGCATAAAGTGCTCACCAGCACACGCTGAAGAAGACCTTCTGACCCCCGCGGTGTTGTGGCCTGAGACATATGCAGCATCGAGAGCCAGCTTGTGCGGTACGCTTCCCCGTCAAGCCTTAGTGTCTTCTACTCATCTATTTTCTTAGTTATTAACCTCGTGTGAGCCGATATCTCGCTGGCGAGCCCATTTCCATGGTCCCGAGCCAGGCTCCGAGCAACCTTTCACTAGTCTTTCTCAGCTGATAATCCCGACAAGCCCTGCAACCCTTAGCGCACAAGAGCGGTGCCACCGCCTCGATGCGTTTGACGATCAGCTGATCTACTCCGCATGCGACTAGGGAACCCCCGATCGAAACGAGAATAGCCTGAGACCCTGTCCCTCTCCCACGCCCGCCACAGGCTTCCAATCGGTGCTGACGGAATCGTATCGTCGAATTCAATCACCGCCAACACTCTGGCCGAGTGCTGGGGGATTCCCTCGTTCTGGTGCACATTCGCAGCTCGATCTGGAAGCAGTACAGGTTGATCAGCGACTTCGAGTGCAACCCGGACACTCCGCTCTCTGTCGGTGTTTGGAGCAAGCCCTCCACCGCGTCGAGTGTTCCCCAGAATGCAGTCTACGCTCGGGATGCGCGTAACTGAGGATAATCCAGCCAGGAATGATGGTCTGGAAAACAACATAAATCACAGCGGTAGCATAGTGAGTCTGAATGCTAATGAATGAAGAATTAAAGAGGAATTGATTCTAAAGCATCTGCTCTTATCGTATGCAAGCCTATGATGATAAACCTATCTAATTACAAACGCGTCTACACAGAGGCCTTGAAAGACAGCTTTTCGGTATCACTTCATCTATCGTTCCTGTTCCGCCTTGTTGTAGTATTTAGATCACCAACGCGCCCCGCGCTCCTCTAGTTAGAGAAATAGCGCGGGTCCGGCAGTGGTGCGCGATCCAGCTTGAAGCCACCGGGCTGTAGCTGCTGGAAAACGCCCTGTGGGTCGTACTTGCATGCGATAGCCTTGAGTTTCGCTTTGTTGGCAGAACCATAGCTGCTGACAACGTCCTGGAACTGACTAGCGTAGTTCATATAGACAAAGCCGTTGTCAAGGCTGCGGGCGCGGGCCTCCTTAGTGATTTCAGCAAGAACATCGGACATGAAGCGGTGGACAGTCTCGTCGTCCGATGCGTTGCTCCACATAGAAGCCATGAGCATAATGTAGAGCGGCCCGTCGGCGGTGTCGAGACCTAGGGCATTACCACCGTTTTTCTGCATTTGCTGTAGCTGGGGTACCGTAAGTCCCTGGATCACGAGATTGGGGATGATCCCAGGGATGGCTGACACCGCGGGTACTCGTCGGAAAAAGATCTCACGGGCGAGCTTGAGGATCTCAGGGTCGGCCCTGGTCGTGACCGCGTAGTACATCTCGCGGAGGCCCGGCGGGCTGTCGTTCATCGTCTCTTTGCCCCATTCGGCGAGCACGCGGGGCTTGGTGGTGTCGGAAATAGCTTGAATAGCATTGAAGTCGGCGAAGATGGGAGCGTTAGCGGCATTGGGATCTTCGTGGTACAGCGCCGGGATGGCTAGTTTGGTGCCGGCAGAGTAGTAGTAGACAAGGTAGAGCCCGGCTTTCGTGTCCGAGGCCGAGTTGGCAATCGTCTTGCCAAATGCGCTCTCGACGGCCGGGAACTTGTCCTCCGTGTACACGCGCGAACCACCCCACATCTTCCCCTCAGGCAAGGGCACCGTCCTCAGATTGAAGTTGACGACCAGGCCGAAGTTGTTACCGCCGCCTCTGAGTGCCCAGTAGAGGTCTTTGTTCACAGTTGCGCTCGCCCGGACGATAGCACCGCTGGCGGTAACGACCTATGCTGGGTCAGCTGACAAGAGTCGTGAGAGTGATCGCCAGGTTTCTCCCCGTGGCTGCACTTACATCAAAGCTCTCGACATTGTCGCAGGCCCAGCCATACTTGTTGGGCCAGTAGGAGATACCACCGCCCAGGGTCAAGCCGCCGACACCAATGTTGTAGAGACGGCCACCGACGACAGTCACGTCGGACTTGGTCAACTGCTCGAAGACTGGGCCCCAGATGTTGCCGGGCTGGATGGATGCAATCTTCTTGTCGGCTGACAAGCTGATGCGCTTGAGGTTGGCAAAGGAGATGGTGATGCCATCCTGGATGTTCGAGGCGCCCGCGAAGGCGGCGTGCCCTCCACTCTTTGCTGCGAAGGGGCACTGCGTTAGGCGAGCCAACAGGACGCCCACAGAAACCTCGAGCGGTGTTGTGGGCTTGAAGACGCAGGCTGGGCGAACCTGGGCCTGGTTGTCGGACCAGAACGAGCTGGTGAAGTTGGAGTAGCCCGAGACGCCGCGGAGGAGTGTGTTTTGGACGCCGTAGATCAATCCAAGGGTGTTGCACTATCCAATGTGGGTTAGATCTGCACTGTTGTCACAATGCGAGCGGAGTGTGGACATGGGAGGACGTACGACAATTGCACAGCCGGCACGTGTATCGCGCTTCTGTACTGAGCCCTCGTCGGCTGCATATTCGGCGAGGCCGGGCAGCGTTGTGACATCGATGCCCTTGTCCAGGAGGGCCTTGGTGATACTGAAGTCCGTGGGCTCGACGACCTGGGCAGCGCCCTTGCTTGAGAGGGCCAAGCCAATGGCCATGACCGATAAGAGGTGCTTGACAGCCATTGCGAAGTCACAGGAAGGTTGATCGTGGTGTAGTGGGAGAGCCTGGACTCTTGAGTGCTTGGTTGCCAGGAATGATAGGTACTTATGTGTCGGTGTGGGAGTTGGCACGGAATGGCTCATATCCGCGGAACTTCTGCACCTCACTTCACCTGATTGTTATTACTGCATTATTGATTTATGCCGTCGTTGGTAGTGTTACACCCTCGCAGACTAGATTATGAACGGGCATTATTACTCAAGACATGCATACCCATGAGCGCCCGGGAGTCTGGCCCGCCGTCCGTGTGCATTTCCTTCCCCCGCAACCGGGCTCGTAAGGCAGAGGGCTCGTAAGATAAAGTTTCTTGCGCAGCAGGGGTCCTGGCCTCCTTGCCTAGCAGGAAGCGGTCTCCAACGTCTTCAATGCGCGCGCGGAACAATTTTACAAGCATATCCCATGCTGCTGCCCTTGTCAACAGAGCTGCAAGAGTCAGCCCATGCGCATACAAACAAATAAATTCAAAGAGCTTGCGGAATCCGCAAGACTACTAAAAATTTAATTTAGTTTTACCTTTATTAAATAACGTAGATCCCGGTCAAGCGGGCCACCCGGTCGAGCGGGCCACCCTTAAGGTATTCGGACGACAATGTATAGAAAAAATCAACCAGAACGCCTTAAATCAATTCAAACTAGATGAAATCCTCTTCTTCAGAGGTAGACTCAACTATCTGACACGTACGAGCATTATGGCCGGGCTCGCCGCAAACGCCACAGCGTCGCGCGCGCGTCTCTGTCCTCCTCGCGCGACCACTATTTTGACTTGTTTCTGCCCGTAACTGCTCCGTCACGTCGATCTGAGACTTCAAATCCTTTGCCTGGCTAATCGTTAGTGACCCTCCTTTCTGTAGCTGCTTTCTTTTAGTACGTCGACGGCGGCTTAGGCGGCTATTTGCGTCTCGAAGTTCGGCCAGGTCGCTCTCCATAAGGGCCTGTTTATGCACCATCATTAACACTCCTTTGTTTAGCTGCTGTAAGCTTGCGATAATTGAAGTTGGGGAGCTATTTTGATGTCGTACGATACGATTCTTGATGTATTCGGTCTGCGATTCCGCCTCAATTGGGTTATTCGGCGTCTTCGAGACCCAGGGCGGCGGTAGGCCTGCAGAACCTGGCGGCGTTGGCGTATGAGGCTTTACGTCTAGCTGTGAAATGACGTATTCCGGATCGTACGGTACTAGGCCAGTAGCTCTGAAGCCGGCCTGGATATTTGACTTAGTCATTGTAGTGTCGTGCGCCTTATGAAAGGCTGGAAGGAAGTCCTCCTTCGCGACGTGGGTAATATGCGCCCGCATAAGGCCTTCGATTTCTTTGCTGTACGCCCGTTTTAGAGGTCTAAAGCACCCGACATCGAGAGGCTGGAGCTTATGCGACGAATGAGCAGGCATGCAGAGCGTAATTATATTCTGGTCCTTGCAGTACAGCTCGAAATCGACCGAGTGGTGGCTCTCGTGGCCGTCGAGGATAAGGAGCCGGTAAACGCCCTTCGTACGACTCTTCGTATGGAAATCGAAGTGTTTTACCCATTCTAGGCCTCTCTCGTTCGTCGTCCAGCCATTATCTGAAAGCGCGATTACCCAGTCGGCCGGTAGAGGGCTATTCGCGGTCCAGGAGTCGAGGTGGACCTTCCCGCGAAGATGATATATGGTGGGATGAATAGCCGTACGACGCGATCCCTGGATTACTGTAACCCATTCTGATTACCTTGTTGTACGGCTCTTGGCTTACCGCGTCGATCAGAGGTCGTAACGACAGGCTCGGCGGAGATCTTACCCATCGCAAAGCCCGTCTCATCGAAGTTGTAGATATCGTCGTCGTATATCCCGTATTTCGCGATTATATTCCGTACGAGGGAAAACCACGCGCGATACGCGTCCGGATCTTCGCAGAGGACTCTCTGATAGTCGATTCTTCGACTAAAACGCGTACGGAGCTCAGGTCGTCGCTGTACGAAGGCTGAAGCCCAGTTCTTCCCAACGCGTAACGCGTTACGGTCGCGTAGTAGTCGATCCGCCATTTTCGAACACCACTAAGTCGCGGTAGAAATGATCGCGAATCTAGGTCAATTACGTATCGTACGATGCTCTCCTCTTCGTATGAGGTTAATCTCTGGGTAGGCGATCGGACATCGCGTTTCGCAGGTCGGCCGCGGTGTCGTTCTTGAAGTGTCGTACGAGGCACGTTATAGACTGATGCAGCCTTTCGAAGGCTCAATTTTGGATTAGATCGAAGCGCATTAAGCGCTAGAAGTAAGTCGCTTTCAATTGATTGTCGTACCATTATTGCTTGCAGAGAAAATGGATGAAGGCTGGGTATGTATGAAGGAGCGAGAAAAGTGGCCCGCTCGACCGGGTGGCCCGCTTGACCGGGATCTACGTTATATAATAAACATAAAACATAATTGGACACTCCCATTTACTCTTTGTGGGGTCTATGCCCCATTCGCAGCCCAGATTATCGGCCTTTTGGATGGCCTCAAGCCAGACTCTCTTTCCAGCCATATGTCCGCGTCTCCGGCAAATTGTCTTTGCCGGCGGCAGAGCCCAGGCCTGGGTTGCGGTCTGAACATAGAATGGAGCTGCTAGATACGTCCACGAAGCAGATGCACCAGAGTCTCGCGAGGGATTCATGTGCAACGGCACGTGAACTAGCGCCAACACATCCCCTGCTTTCTGTCCATGCCTTCATCTTCATGTAGAGACCGCTTGAACACACCTTGACGAGCCCTTCCTTCCGGCCACCGAGCGGCTGAAACTTGGTTGAGCACCTAGATTACTCCAGTAATTTCCACTTTCCCCTTCAGGGCCTTAGTCCTTTCACGGCTCACGCAGGAAAGGCCGCCACAAGGCGCAATGCTGGGATCACTGCAGTCTGGGCCTGTGGCTCCTGAGTCGCCAAAGGGGGTTGTCTGAGGACTAGGTATTTAGGCACCGTGGTGCCTCTATGAAGAGTAGCCCCGTTTCGCTTGGGTGCCACGACGACACAGGCGATCTCATCATCTCGTTACGCGTCCCATGCTCAAGCTGGATTACTCGACAAAACCACCTCATGCCACAGCGTCCTCGCGCACACCGTACCTGATTTCGTCCTCGTCATGGACAGCCCCATCCCGCGTCCGGCGATCCGGAGCACGGGGATCGCCATGATCGTCCTCACAACCCTTGTAGCGATCGCCCGCGCAGCTGTAACTTTCATCCAGCATCGCAACGTCACCGGGGAGGACCTCTGGCTCCTCGCCAGCTACAGCTTCTTTCTGGTCGTATCTATCCTATATCTGTACATTGTACCAGCCTTCTTCCGCCTCACCGACCTCGCGGTCGGGGCCATAGAGCCCTATCCAACAGCTGGTGATGACGCGGTCTTCATTCAGAAGGGGCTTTTCGTTGCCTCCGCCAGCCTTTGGTTCTGCCTCTGGTCAGCCAAATTCTCGCTCCTCTTCATGTACAAGAAGCTCGTGGACAAACTGCCGCTGTACCTCAAGCTGTGGTGGGCACTTGCCATTTTCTCTGCGCTGGTAGGTAGTAGCTCCGACCGTTGAAGTCCAAGTATTTGTAACTGATGGTCTACTTCTGTCTTCTAGTCTTTGGTCGGCGCCATGATCACACTGTTCTTGGCCTGCTCCAACATGGAAGCCTGGTTCACCGCAGGCATGTGCTACACGCCCCGCGACATCGTCCACGCGGCGATCAGCATATGGTACGCCTACGCCGTCGATGTACTCACGGATCTACTCAGTATGTCTCCGAAACCCCAACCCATTTGTCCGACTTCTGCTGATAGAAACTGAACCTAGTTATGTTCTTACCCCTCCGACTCGTCCTCAACCTACAGATGCCCTTGTCCAGAAAATTGGGTATCGTCGGCCTGTTCTGTCTGGGCTGGATCTGCATCGCCGCCTCGACTATCCGCGTTACACAACTTGCCAACCCAGGACACCAGCCCACCGTTCCGTGGCTCGCTGTCTGGGGCACGATTGAGTCTGCTATTGGTATGCACCTGGACCATAGAGCTCGCCCCCGCTTTATATAAGATTGAACTAACACCAATTTGTCAACTGTAGCATTCATCACCGTCTCGGGCCCGGGGCTCTATCGTGCAGCTAAACTTTTATCCAAGACCCGCAGGAAGTACTACGTCAACGAAATGTACCACGACTCCAACACGGGAGGAAATTCAAAGCAGGGCGCGAGCCGACTTGGGAGAAGCCAAATACATGACGACTCGGTCCAGCTCCGGTCTCTAGGCGGGACATCAGCTATCACTGCGGCCGCGTCCAACAGTAGCGAAGAGGAGCTGTTTGGCGTTGATAGAGGTGCCATCCACGTTAGAACGGCAGTGACAGTGGAGAGCAAGGAATAATCAGTGCGGAGGCTGTGCAGGTTGTGATATTGGGGCTCGTGAGACGTTGGTTAGCATAGCGGCCGCAGCGCGGAGGTGGTGTGCGAATTCATTGTCTTTGTCTTTGGGTAAAAGAATCTCCGGGCCAGTAAATAAGAGACCCTGCCAGGCTTAAACATAGAAGTCAATCTGTATTTGCTAAATAGGCCATACAATTGGATTAATCGTAGCCGAAGCAACACATCCTGAGACCGCGGAAGAGCCTTCAGCGACCAGCGCACAAGCACCGAAGAGGACGCGCCAACGACGCCTGTTATCGCTTCCTCGAGAGCCCAGTTCGCGTATATCTCGACCAGCAAAGAAGAATCGAGCACGAGAAACAGACAAGGCGGAGTTCCTTCCCAGGAAGAGAACGGCAGAATCAACACTCAAAAGGCCTACGCCGCTTTTGGTGATGGGAGAGCTCACGGTAGGCGATCATGAGGCAGGCCTCAAAATCAGCGTATTTCGACCTCTCCTCAAACACCTCTGAACTGGAAACACTGTTGTATGTGTTCTCCACGCAGGCTGCCACCATGCGTAGGCATACTACAACAGAGAGACCGCCAAAACGCTACGACGACCTGAGGAAACACCGCTACAAGCAGGGTTTCATAAATGCCGTGCGCAAGGAACTGCGCGATCTCCTTGCCCAAGAGCTTGGCGGCTCATCGACTGTGTCAGAGGTTGTCCGCAGGCGCTCCCTTTGCTGGCCATCGATGCCTGCCGGGTTCTACCACGACGGCCGTACGGCAGTCTCATCGCCGCTCTTTGCCGTACGGATATCGGCTCCATAGTGCGCCGGGACGACCATATCGTCGTGCTTTTTGATTACTCCTACCACTGGACCAGGGCACATGCTCTGGCAGATGTTACCGGAGAAGATGCGAAAGTCCAGGCACGCGCGGTTACGAACGCTATTGGACAGTACAACCCAGGACCATTTACTGCTCCTCTACGTTGTTGCAGACAGTCGAATAGAGAACCCGACGGCACGGCACAGCAGCGCCTGGACCTGCCGCTCCTGGAAGCACAGCCAATCAGCACCGACGAGCTTATCATTTCGGGACCACGCGCTACCCCGGTTTCCAATCCGGGGCGACAGCGAGGCCGGCCCGAGACAGTAGTAGATGGGGCAGACAGGGGGCATTCAGTGCGGGATGAGGCACTGTTATACTGGAGTCCCATCTCTTGTTATCGCTGTTGCTGGTCTCCAGGCAAGATAACGTCAATGCCAAGACGCTCCGCGGGGAATTCTGGATAAGCTTGCCGGCCGCAATGCCGAACACTCCAGCTACTTTCAGTCGTTCGGCGGACGTGGTGTGGCCGGTGATGGTGCCTGGATCGGCCCCAGCCGAGGAGTGCGGAACAACATAAGAAGAGCCGATGTCCTTTTGATTTCGTGCAGTTCAGTTCGCAGCAAGGCTCAGACTCTTGACATACGCAACGACAACTTCAAAAGAGTACACGACAGTAATGGCCCTGTCACACCTCGTACTGGCTGCGCTACTGGCCGGCGGAAACGGCGCATCGGTAAGCAGGCCCTGCATTGTTAAAACATCGTTTGAACTGGCAAGGCGAAGCCTGTGCTGACGAACACCTCCTTCTTCCTGGTCCTAGGCCCTCAGCATCGTCGAGGCCAGCGTGGATGACCTCCAGCAGGCCCTCCAATCGGGGAGAATTAACACGGTCCAGCTGTTGGCGACGCACTTGCACCGCGTGGCCCGCTTTGACCGGCGCGGTCCCATTCTCAACTCCATCCCTGTGCTCAATACGGACGTGTTTGCGGCGGCAGAGGCTTCCGACCAGTACCGCGCAAGCCATGGCGGCGCCATCCGGTCTGTCCTCGAGGGCATCCCCTTCACTGTCAAGGACAGCTTCATGGTGACTGGCCTCAAGGTGCATCCGGCTCGCCCGCGTTCCAGAACCTGACAGCCCATGAAGATGCTTTCACCGTTGGCCGTATCGTCGGAGGCGGAGGGCTGGTGATCGGCAAGACCAACATGCCACCCATGGCCAACGGCGGCATGCAGCGTGGCGTCTACGGGCGGGCTGAGAGCCCGTATAACAAGGACTTCCTTGCGGCGGCGTATGGCTCAGGCTCGTCCAACGGATGCGCCGCATCGACTGCGGCGAGCATGGCAGCCTTTGGCATGGGCGAGGAGACAATTCGTCTGGCCGCTCGCCGGCATCCAACAACGGCCTTGTGGCTTGCACGCCCTCCCGCGGCATTTTGTCGATTCGCGGTAACTGGCCGCTATTCCCAATGGCCGACGTTGTCGTGCACATGACCCGCTCCGTCCGCGACATGCTGCATCTCCTCGACGTCCTCGTCGCCACTGACAGCAGTACTACTGGCGATTTCTGGCGTGCCCAGCCCTGGGTCACACTTCCTAAGCCCGAAGACGTCCGGCCACCCGCAGGAGCATCATAAACAAGCCTGATCGCCAGCGACGGTGCCCTCCAGTCGCTTAGAGGCAAGCGAGTCGGCGTACCCAAGATGTACATTGGTGAGGACGACCCGGCTGCGCAGCCTGTCTATGTGCGACCGTCCGTTTGTGCCCTCTGGGACGAGGCGCGCAAGACGCTCGAGTCACTCGGGGCCACAGTCGAGGAAGTCGACTTCCCACTCATCACCAATTCCGAGTCCGAGCCAGCCAGCGTCGCGTGGGAGACCGACTATCCTCTCCCGGGCCCCGGTAGCGATCCCGACAGCCGCGGCCCGGGCGAGCTCGCCCCTTACACTTGGGACGACTTCCTGTACATAGTAGGTGATAACAAGACCTATACGACTCTTGCAGACGTGGACCCCAGCCTCATCTTCCCGCAGCGACCCGGTACGCTGCCAAACCGGTATGGCAACCAGTTCCTGAACCGCACAGAGGTCACTCTGGCACATGAAGCGTTGTCCTCGTCGCATAGATGGTGCAAAATGGCCAGTCCAACATCGTCTTCACTGAGCCGGTTGTCACTGTCCTCCTCAACCGAATCAGCGAACGGCAGGCACTCGAAAAAGTTCTCGGGACTCGAGCCTTCGTGTTCTTGCGATTCAGACTCGGAAACGTCTCCGAAGTCTGCGGTTCTGCGTTGGCTCCGAGCTCTGGCGTTTGCTTCGTCGATGAAACGCTCGCGGTACTCTTTGGCCAGGACTCGAAGGTTCCTGAAGGCGCCAGTGCCTTCGAGCCAAGCTTCAAGATTCCCCGCCAAAGCATAGGCATTGAGAAGCGTAGTGTACAGCCAGGCTTCTGGCCACTCTTCGCAGGTGCGATCGGGTGATGAGCGTATAAATTGAGATACCCGCCGATAAATGTTGCACTGAACGTATACGAGTTGCCATCATAAACCTTCTTCCCCAAGCCACGAGTGAACCGTAGGCTCCATTCAGAACCCTGCTCGCGCTCCACGCAACCCGCCGACAGGGAACCTTAGCGCAGCTCGAGGCTATCGACCCTGGCCCTGCCTGCGTCGCCGGCCCCATCGTACCGCTGCCCGAGGAGGAGACCGCGCTGATAGTCAACCCTTGGGAGGCCCCTCCAGCCAGCATCCCCTTGGGAGGCCCAGAGTTCAAAGCCTGGGGTTCCCTCCAGAGTGGGCCTGGCGGTTGGCTAAAGACTGAACAGTGCTGCAAGCCTGCAACTGCACCCGTTGCTGAATTGACCGGTTCGATACGCTGCTCTGCGAACGCTGCGCTAGGGAGCGGAAGCCGAGGATGCTACTGGAACGCTCTGAGCTCTCATCCGGCACAAGGAGTTCGTCTATATTGTTTTGATTCTCAGTGGTGGCCATCCTCGTCGTCGAACTCACCACCGACTTCTGACATGGCCTCGGTCGCTTCAGTCTGGGGGTGTGAGTTCGCACTCCAGCTCGTGCACGCTAAACCCCCTCAACCTTTCCTTGGCTTGGCTCACCATTAGCAATATCTCAATCAAGCTTTCTCGTCGGCCTCTCTTTGAGGTAGAGCTAATTGTGTTCAGAAAACATCCGAACAATTCATGCCCGCACAAAAAGTGCACAAAGAAAGCGAGCATTCATGAGTCTGTCGTTGGAGCAAGATCCGGGAAGGGGCGACATTGCGGTTTGTACGAGCGGTTGTTGACTGTATCAAGTGTTGATGTGTGATCCGGTCCTAATGCCCTCTCCTTCCCATAGAGCGCCCGGAAGTACATCTTCTCGGCCTCGCCTAGTTTCCACTGGCTAGCGTAAAGATAACCTAGAGGATGAAAAGCCCGATTTGAAGGGCCGTCGCTCCCTTGTACTGTTGAACAAGACTGGATCGCATGTGGTATGAGCCTCTTCTGAAGAAGCTAATATTCGGCTTCTTCTTGTGAAGGAACCTGTGATGCCACACTTTCAACTGCAAGCTCATTCAAGCAACCGTCCCGCTTCTCGTTCAATATGTGAATCGTCCAAGAATGTAGACAACCGTGTATACTGTATCCTTGTGGCTCCTGGAACATGTTTGTAGGTTCGACAAGCCTGTAGTCATGGAGTACACCCATCGCATCGTTGAAGTTGAGCTCTTCTGATAGCTGCTTCATCCACGCGGGGCTGGTTACAAAAAGTGCTTGTTGTGTCTTCGTCCCTCCCTCGCCCCGCCAACACAAAAGTGTCGTAGAGCGTGTAACTTAGCTCCTGGACTAGGGCCACGACAATTCAAGTTCTAAGCCATAGAGAGGAACCAGAAGGACCAGTTGCGTGCTAGGGCCAGATTGGTGGTGGGAGGGTGACGCGGCGCAGATTGGATCTTTGTTTTCCCCTGCCCAGACCAGGCCTCTCGACATGTGTGTTGTTCCATGCCAGTTTGGACCCAGCTCGGAGGCCCTTTGGCTGACAGCCAAGGGGTCCCGCATCATGCACAATGACCGCATCGACAAGCCTGTCCCCATGCCATGGACTCCATTTCCATCCCCCCCTTTGGCCCCTTGCTCGCGGATTTCATGTAGCTGGTTTTCCACTTGAGATTTCCTACCGTTATGAGATCGTCTCGGGTAAACAGTATTTGGGGCATTCGCTGCAGGATTCCATCCACGAGCGCCATTTTCTCTCGATTCCTCCTCACTTGTGCAAGCACAACTGTCGTGCGAGAAAATCCAGATTGCCCTATATTGTCTTCAAGGGGAAAAACTATATATGGTCGTCAAAAGTCGTAAGCACCAAGAGCCCTCTCATTCTGAGTCAGATCCTCAAAGTCTTTAAAAAAAAGAAACCCACGTCCACTTCCTGCCTGCTGGTTGTTCCAAGGATAGGCGAGACGTGCAGCCAGATGCCACGTCATCCCACATCTCTATAGTACCTGCTGTGTTACAAAGCTTGTCTCAAGTAGTCAGCGTCGCCCCCACCTAGTATAGACTTGAAGAGTGAGGTGCCGGGGTTTGGGGAGGCTGCAGGTGGGCATCCCCAGGAACCACGTGGGATGTGCTAGGGACCCGGGCCACACCATCCTAAATCTACCACGTACTAAAAATCCCCGCATCCCTCAATAGATCGTGGCATGCCCCGATCGTGTCGGGAAAAGAGCAGAGCCAATCGGGATGTCGTGCCACACAAGGATCCGACAGGCGGAGAGCCGGGCGTGAGGCAGTTGCCCTAGCTCGTTCAGCCTTAGTAGCGGTCATCATCACGATGACGCTGCCGACGGTCTAGCACACGGATTATTATGATCAGTAAGGTGAGATATACTTGCAGAAAGAAGAAAGCAGTTCATGAGGCTGGCTGGCGCTGACGTCTAGTCCAAGATAAACAGCCGTGGCGAGACAATGGAGACCACTTGGGCTACCATAGATAGCTTAGTAACCCGGTACTCCTTGTGCAGAAACAGGCTCCCTCTTTTTAAAACATCTGTGTCGTGAAGTGTTTACATGATTCGTAAGGGTCGTAAATCGGCAGCGAATGAGAGAGAGAGAGAGATGCGCGTGAAAGAGAGCAGGAGAGAAGGATGCAGCCTCAGAAGGGCATGACGACGATCAAAGAGTGCCCGAGACCGACATAACAAAAGGTCATGTTGAACTTGCTGATGGTCTACCGCCTGTCGTGACCGACTGGCGGCGCAGGAATAGAGGCTGAGTAGGGATTTCCATCGGTGTAACGCGGCCCATCATCGTACCGGTCGGCCCGCGGAGGAGCTGATGAAGACCAGTCGTCAGCCCTCGATCTCGGTTCACGATTTTGGTTCGCTTCCCGGAGCCGCTCCATGCGTCTCTCGTGGCGACGTTGCTTCTCTGACTGCCATTCTCTGACCTCGTGGGTCTTCTCTCTAGCTTCTTTCATCTCTCCCAAGACACCCTTGATGCTCATGAGAGCAATACCAACAGAGGCCGTGTCTTGGAGGATGGCCTTGGTCTTGAGCTTCTTGGCTTCCGTTGGATTCAGGTGCCCATTCCTGACGGCTTTGTGTCTTGCATTGCGGGCATGCGTGGAGCCGTAGACTTCATTGGCTGCGTGGATGGTGGCAACTGTCGCCAAGCCTGCTTTAAGGATCTGCTTACCTTTCATTTTCTTAGCTTGTCTCTCGTCGTCCTCCGAGGTTCCTAAATCACTGCTTGATACAGAACCAGATCGGCCACCCTTTCGGCTGCGGGAGCGGCTGCGCCGACGGTCGTCGTAGTAGTCGTCGCCTCTCCCGCCTCTCATGTAGCCACCACGGGTAGAATGATTGTCGTCATACCGATCATCATATCCTCTGCTCCTGCGGGAAGAGGACCGGCCGTCATCATGCCGGTCCTCGGGACCGCCGCCGAGACCAATTTTGGCCAAGCTTCTTCGAGCACCATTAACAATGCTCCGGCTCCGGCTGCGACGGCGTGGCGATGGAGATTGACTGCTATAGGAGTCATAGCTACGGCGCCGCGACCGCGAGCGAGACCGATCCTTGTTGTCCAGGATTTTCTTGGCACCTAGCGCTCCAAGACCAGCAGTGGCAAGGGCAGCACGGCCGGTCTTGCCCGAATCTCCAGCGGACCGAGAACGAGACCTGCTCCTGCCAGTGCGCCTGTCCTCTTCGATGTCCTTGCGAGAGCCGTTGAGCATGCGGTTGCCAACAAGGCCGCCAATGACAGCCTCCAACATGTGGCGCTTGCTGTGGCCCTTGCTGGGGTCATGGGCGGCATCAATAGTAGCAGCACCCGCGGCCGCGGTGAGGACGCGCTTCATCTTTTCGCCCTTCCAACCGCCAGGTTCCTTGGAGACGCGGAAAGCCTCGGCAGCGCCAGCCACCAAGGAGGCTTTGGCAGCTTTCTGCATTCGATTGGCGGGAGCGTCTTCAGGGCGAGATCGACGAGAGCTCCTCGACTCGACACTTCCGCGGCGGCTTCTCCCTTCAGAACGTCGGTCATCAGAACCTCCGCCCGTCAGGGCTTTGATGGCACCTCCAAGTCCGGCAGCAGAGAGAGCATTCTGCAGGAAGGACTTGTTGCCCTTGCGGCCTCTGGGGTCCTCGTCGTCGTCAGAGTAATACTCGGAAACACGGCCATCGCGGCCCTTGTGCACAATATAGGTGGACTTCTTGTCCTCCTTGTCGTTGTGTTTGTTGTAGTACTCGGCGCCGGAGTAGCCAGCAAAGGCACCTCCCGCCGCAAGAGCAGCCGAGGCGAGCGGGTTGCGCTCGATCCTGCCTGAGCCTTCGTCTTTGGCCTCCTTGCGATCCCATGCCATCCGATATTGGAGCAACACCCCATGCGCGCCAGCAGAGAGTACCCTACCGTGCGTAAGCCAAGCTGCCCGACATGTGCACTGACACGTTCAGGTACAGTTGCCCAGGCCCACATAGCCCTTAGAATGACGTTGAGTGAAGCATGGAGCCCTCTCACGTCTCTCGCACCGGCACGGCTCCGCTGGGCTTGATCATGACATCCACATTGCCATGCAACATTCCTCTTTTCAATTACGACACACATTTCAAGGTGGCATGGATCCCTTCCCAATCAGCATGGTGGAGTCAGTGGACAGGCCGCCGCAGACTTTCAGAGTTGCGAATCTGAGCTTTTTGCCCACCCCAACGGCGTCTCGAATGGCTTTCTCGCGGTGAGCACTCGACTTCTTGTCAGGGATGCAATGCAGCCAATGGCAAAGCACGAAGCCTGCGTTGGCATGTGCTATGGTGGGGAGAGGTGGCGCATGAGCGCCGGAGTCCCTGCAACGCTCGGGTGGAGCATCGAGCGACCAGGCACGGGGAAGCCTCCCGTGCGATTACCACCACCGAACGGCCAGCCGTGCTACTTCCTTGCACCAGAGTCCCGGCATCATTGGCTATCGGAAAGGAGCTGTGATGGTACCATTGTCACCAGTGGATTGGTATCGACTGTGAGTACGGTTCTGCTCGATGTCCTGTTGCCGTGGACGGGTATAAAGAGCCTCCCCGTTCGCGCCGTCTAGTCACATTGGGTCGCAACATGTGGCATGTTTCTGTACCTTCTTGTCCTTCTTCCGGCTCTCCTCACATCACTCGCCTTACAGCTGCGGCACAACATCAGCATGGCACAGCCTAATGATGAGATTTGTATCACCGTCGAGGTCAAGAAGAAAATTGAATCACCAGGTTGCTCGGATACTTCTGAAACAGTCGTACGTCACTACCTCGCCTTTTAACCACGCCATCTAACATTGCCAAGTCTCTTCAGACTCAAAAGGTTATTGCTACTCAGTAGTTCTCTGCTTCTCACAACGAAGCCGACACGTCAAGGCTCAACATGGCCCCAGTCTGGAGTGTCACGACTTGTGCGACTCACACTTCAGGTCCGTACAAACATCAGATGACGAAGCTTGACCCTTACTAACACACCACCAGAACCTCAAGAACAATGCACCCAGGAGGGGTCCAAACGCAAGCTGTAAAGCATGATGTGAATGGCAAAGAATTGTGCGAACTGACTGGCTTCGAACGATGGATGCGACCTGAAGGGGATGATGACAGGTTGCTGCCAACAGAATATATCGCGGTGAGGCTCAAGCCGGTTGGGCCGGCATGATATGCCAGTGCGTTGAGGCGATCCCGGGGGCTGCGCGTTGGTATTTACGCAAAGAGTAGTGCAGACATCCAGCGCCTTTTATCGCATGTCAATTACTACGGATCCGCGACTATTCTTCACTGATAGGCTGTATGAAGTGATTACATGAGCAGCGACGAGAAGCCCCCTCCGCGAAGAACACCCGCGCATGCACAGGATGGAACAATCACGGCACCAGCGCCGCGCAGGCCAGTGTCTGAGGATGGCTTCCTGATAGCCAAGCCTCAGTGTGCAGGGCTGCCTCATGTGGCGGGTCAACCCACGAATCTGAGTACGCACACCTCGTCCGATTGAGACGAAGAAGACTCTCATGCGCATCGAGCTGCTGCTAGGGAATGTGCGCCACTTCTGCAGTAGGAAAGACCGTAGCCCGCGCTGGCCTTCAGCATCATCGTCAACAGCCAGTCAACCTGCCTGACTACCTGACATTGTGAATGGCCCGTCTATCCATGTCCCACATGGACGCATGTCGCCAAGCTCACTGAGGGGCGACTCGTAAGTTATTGGCTGGCCATCTAAAGGTTAGTCGTGTCGGCTGCAGTGTCTCGCTAAGCCTTAAGCCAAGACTTCCTCTGGTTTGGCTCCTCCATGTCACGAAGCTGGCACTGCGTCTTCAGGGATCAGCGTTGTGGAGAGGCACCAAGACAGGGCCTGCTCCCGAGCAGGGCTCTTGCAAGGGCCGCGAGCGATTAGCTGAGCTTGGCTCATGACCCTCCCCTGCCGCCTTGTCTGGACGGAACGCGGAGCACTCCCGCGGATCTTGACTGGGCGCCTTTTCCACACCCATGCTGTGGACCGCTGAGCAAATGTTTAGACTCTGATTACACATGAGCCGTCCTGATCATCCCAGTTGGGTGGACCCTGCAGTGTGCCAACCCAATTGCGGTTCACGGCCAGCCCTGAAGGACTAAGGCGTGGGATCGACCCTGGCCGTGACCGACAGGAGCTGTACGGTACTTGCTATCATGGGGGAATGAGTGCATATGGTCTCGCCCTCATGTCGATCGCATGCAGCTGGTGAGAGCTTGTGTCTGCCTCATGGAGGAGCACTCTACCCTTTTTCGCGCTCCAGAAGACATCCCGCCCGGTGTCTCGCGGATGCTCACTCACAGACTCCGCCATTGAGACATATCTCTACAATGTACCATGACAAAGACTGGCGTTGGTCCTCATTCAGTGGTTGGATTATGCTATGATCCTCTAACGATTACAAGCGACCTGCTGTCCTAACAACCAGTTTCGAGGTCAGATCCTGAGAAGCGGTTTCGGATGCACGAGAGAGTTAAACACCAAGCGGACAATATCACGGCCGAGACTCGCTGCCGACAGCAGCAGGGTCATCTGTGGGAGCCTGTGAACCTAAGCCGAGCTTGATCGCCGCCTTGAAAAGCTCCTTGACGCCGACGTCATTCTGTGCTGACACTCTAAAGTACCCGCACTTGAATGACTGTGCTACTGCCTTTCCTTTGTCTGCTACCTCCCTCCCGTGGCCCATGTCCACTTTCGTACCGGCAAGGATAAGCCCTACCCCCGAGGAATTTTCTCGCACAGAACCTCGGCGTGCTCAAGAGAGGATGAACTCGTAAGCTCGAACGCAATAATGATCACTCGCGGTGCATTACGCTCGTCCGCGCTTTCTTCGGCGTCACGAATGAGTCCATTGTAACCCGGGGCGTCGACAAACTTAATTCGGCATTCTCCTCTGACCACGATATGAGTGTCTTCGATGGTAGGGTCATACTCGGAGGAGGTCAGCCAGAGCATATGCAAGGGGTTAATCGTGACTTACCTCGACGACATATTTGTTATACAAATATCTCTGGACTAGGCAAGTTTTCCCAACAGCCCCGTCCCCCCAAATCTCTATCGTCAAACTGATGGGTGTGTACTGGTGCATGATGGAGCCGCGCGTGGATGAGGCTGGGAAGTGAGCTTGCATACAATGAGAGGCTCAACTCCAATCACTAACCGAGGACGAGCAAGGTAGGGGAGCTGTTGTTGACCAGGCATCTGCATGCCAGGCCATTTTGTGGCTGCACAGGGTTCCTTATATCTCCCAGTGGCCAGTGACCTCGTGGTCCGGGTGAGCTGGTATGGGCCCAAAGACGTGGTGTAGCTCATCAAACTTGACCACGCGCCTGTACATATCAAAGAGAAGACACGTCCCTTGCCAGATTCAATCAGGTCCAAGCGGAGATTGCGGTTCCAGACGGCAGACCGGCCTTACCCGCTTGACCCGGAGCTGCTGGGCCTCCATTACCTTTTTTTTTTTTTCCAGGCTCAGAGTCTCGAGGCTGCAACTACACGGCAGTTCCTCCACAGTTCCGTGTCACTGCAGACGAGCCAGTCACGGCAGCCAGCTTAAGTCGGCGCTATTTTTAGGCTTAGCCACTGGATTGGCCAAAGTGCTGCAGCTCATGGGGCAGCACGTCAAACCCCTGTCCTCGGAGGCGTGATGCTCTCATCCGCCCGCTGCGACTCGGTGGGGCGGCGACAGGACCGGGAATGTCACCCGTGGGCCGCGAGGCGGAAAAGGCAAGCTCAGATGCTGCTGAAGTGCAGAGTGATGGGTAAGATCCGGTGGGAGTCCCCGTGTCTGGCGGCATGCGGGGTCAGTTCGCTTGTCAACTTGAATCTTCTTGGACGTACAAATTGGTCAAGCTGCGATCGTGTCCTTGCACGTGCGTGAGGGAGGGCAATACGCCTAGCCCACAAGATCCGAAGTGGCACGGCAACTGGGCAAACGTGTCGAGGGGCAGGGACAAGACCCGACAGGGATATGCTGGTCGGGTCATATCACCCATAAGCAAGCTGGTTGGTAGCCTGGCGAAGGCTGCCGTGACTCTGGTGCATATGATCCTAGTATGACGCTGGGGGGCCGGAATCAAAGTCACTCGTGTTGGCTGGGACGCTGCTGGGCGACTCCCAGGCTTGTTAAGATGAGCGGTGGTTGCTACTCGGCAGCGTCACTGTCACTGCAGACGAGCCGTTGACCGCCGCCAGCTCGGTACGAGCCTCTAACATCACACAGTACAAAACTACGCTACACCCGCTTTGTTACAGAGTCCTTGGCCAATTGCTCGCATGAATTTTTCTCCTTTCTCTTTGTTGCCATCTACAATACTTTCCTGACCTTGCAGACGCACAAGGCACTGCGAAACGGTAGGTGTCTATGGCCTCACACCCAGTAGAAGGAAGGCTGACTCGTCACTGCAACGTGGACAGCATTGCCCTTCGCAAATCACGCAATAAGTCAACCAGCCTGGTATGGAGCAAGCACCGCTGCTGGGCTCCGGGCTTTCGACGCGCGGCTCCTTCACCTCAGAGACCAGGCTGGATCACGACACCCGGAGGTATGGCGCCTACGTGGTAGTCCTGCTGAGCAGTGAGTCGAAGCCCTCTTCGTGATTTTGGGCGCAGATAGCTAACTGTAGATGATCACAGGCTCCCTGGCAATCGCTGCCGGCCACTGCGGTTGGAACCCGGTTCTTGTCTTCGTCATCAACTCCTTCGCCATCACGCTCCTGATGGCTATACTGCCCTTCGCGTTTGACGAGATCTCTGGAAACCTCAGCGAGTCGCTCGGCAGACTGCTGATGGTGACGTGCGACAATGTTGTCGACCTGGCCGTGAGCATCATCGCGCTCAAGAACAATCAGCTCGAGATCGTCAAGGCATTGATCATCGGCTCGGCTCTGTTGAGAATCCTTCTTGTCATGGGCATGTGCTTCTTCTCAGGCGGTGTTGCCAACATGCGCGACAGCAGTGGCAACGGCGCGGAGCAGTCCTTCGCCCCGGGTACCGCGCAGACGATGACATCACTGCTCGGCCTGTCGGCTGCGACCATGGTATTGCTTGGAGCGGTAAGAAATGCAGGAAGCCGATATTGCTTAGATGCTGACGAGATGTTATGGCACAGCTCGTCACGATAGTCAACTCCGCCACCGACAAAGAGTCCGGCCATCTCACAATCCTCACAGTGTCTCGTGGGACTGCGACGATTCTCCTTATTGTCTACGTGATATATCTCACATTCCAGCTCGGAATGCATCGCAATCACGCTAGTCCCGAGCTTTGCATCAATCCGCCTGCCTCGCAGCACACCGAGGACAACATTGTCGATCACCACCAGGAAGACGGAAATGACGAGGAGGAACGGGAGGAACACATGGGTCTGTGGTGGGCCGGTGTCGTTCTAGTTGTGATGATCACCCTGATTTTCATGTGCGCCGGTTGCCTTGTTAGCAGCATTGATCCTCTCGTCGACCGCGCTCACGTCAGCAGCAGCTTCGTCGGTCTGATACTGATACCAATCGCTGTCAACCCGACCAGAATTTTCAGGGGCATCGTGCTCGCTGTCAGGAACGAGACGGACTCGGTATGCTCTTCTGGACCGACAAGTTGAAGCATGGTCACTAATGGCGCTCTTGTAGGCAATGGACCTTGTCGTCAGCTCCAGCATTCAGATCTCTCTTTTCCTTACGCCCTTGCTCGTCATTATCGGTTGGGGCATGGGCCGAGACATGGATCTCCACTTCGAGGCTTGTAAGTCGCCGAATCATCGTGCCTACATTGGCATTTTGTGATATGCTAACCGTGTTGCAGTCATGATTGTCTCATTTTCGCTGAGCGTACTTGTTGTAGGCTTTGTCCTTATGGACGGAAAGTCGAACTACCTCGAGGGTGCTATGGTATGTACTAAATCACAGCCACGGATGTTGAGATCTGACCCAGGCTTTAGTTGATCGCTCTGTACGTCATCATTGCGCTGGCTTACTACTTGACCTCTAGCGAGGACTCTGGGCGCCGCAAACTTGCGCCGTCGTAGACGGCTTCTGCTAGGGATTTTCAGGACATCTGCCAACACAGCAGAGGGACCAGCCTATCAGCAGACTGCGAATCAAGAGGTCCCAATGCCCGTACACCAGTTTGAGCAGCACTTGCGCGTCTGCTGAGACCTTACAGCAGGAAGCAGCCGGGAACAGCATCAGACCCGGCGCCGCCGCCATTGATTCCTCAGATTGTCCTTCGCAATCCAGAGAGTGTTCCTGTCGGCCCGACCCCCATAGACCCAGCGGCGCTGGGGGCTCACTGTAGAAGTAGACGGCCGGTCTTCGGTGTCTGTAGATAGTTCAGGAGACGTGCTTCTATCTCGACAGGACGGGACTCAGCTGAGTAGGCCCGCGTGTTACCGGCGAGACATGCTAGGATCTCAGCTTGTGAAAATCCCAGGACGCGCACTGAAGTATCCTCAGACATGTATGCACTTTGGCTGTCAACACGCGCGTCGCCAAGCTCACTGAGGCGCGACTAGTGTCCCCAATCATGTAAAGAGGCCGTCTTGACGTCGGGGTTGCGGAATTACCAAGGGCAGTCTGTTGGCCTCATGCTCGCCATGGTATTGGAGTGTCTCACGCTGTCCGCTTGGCAGTGATGTCTGGCAGGCCACCTCGGGGGGCATGCCGCATCGGATGACTCCAACTGAGCATCGGAACTAGGATCAAATTGACTATCCATAACCTGAAGAGCACGCTGACCTGTCGAGACTTGCGAGATGCATGGACATGGCAGTTCCTTCGCAGTCCTGGGCCACTGGAGACAAGCCGATGGCTGTGGCAAGCTCAAGGCCACGCTTTTTTCAAGCCTGGTTACTAGACTGACCACCATGCCAACCCACGAGGCAGCAATTCACTCCTTGCAACCCGAGACAAGACCCTCTTCTCCTCTCACTGGTCATTTGGGAGGTGGGTTGTGCTTGGTGCAGTTCGTCGCGACTGGTGGGGCGGCGTCAGGCAGGGGTACGCCGTCCGTGGGCCGCGAGGCTGAAAAGGCAAGTCCAGATGCTGCCGACGTCATGCGAGGCTGGGCGGCTAGGCCTGTGGGTACGTCGCACTGAAGTCACTCTTCGAGCGCAAGCACGGGCGTGGGCCACCCTAGTGGCAGCACGTGTGTGATGGGCAAGACCCGGGGAGGGTTCCCGTGTCTGCCGGGATGCGGCATGCTGGGGTACCCTGCACGTCTCAATGAGGGATGTGCAACGACAAATGGCCAAGGCTGCAGAGCGTGCTCTCGTGCAGACAAGTATCGAAGTCGCCGGTCCGTCCACTGCAACCCCGGCATATGACATCCCCGGTCAAGGGCAGAGGAGGACGGTCGATTGGACTATGAGCCAATACAGCAATACATGTCTTCCCCCTGAAGGCGAGTGAAGTGATCAGCTGTGCTTGGTATGCAGGTGACCTCACCCGTGCGATTGCTGTACCGTTGCATGGCTTGAGCGGTAGGAAAGCTGGGTAAGCCTCGATCCGATAGCAGTATCGACGTACTCACTGCTGCAGGGGTGTCAACGGCGCGACCAAGGCGCAGTGTCATGACAAGGTAAGGGCTCTTGACACCGAGGGATGCGATCTTTGCAAGTTGGGCTGGGCCATGCAAGGCCACTATCGCCGAAGATTACCATGCAGAAGAGGCACAAGATCTGAGGGATTCGTGGTGGATCAGTGCAGGCGCAGGAAGGGGTGCGTATCTCTGCGGCGCGTGCGGTCTGGCCTTGCAGGCCAGTAGCCAATCGGTTGCTGGCGTTAGTCAAGACTCGGGTCCGCCTCGCAAGTCATTTCCACACCTAGGGCGGCCCGACAACAAAAGTACTTCCGCGGCTCATGTGCTGTGGCAATGGCAGGACTCCTGCTCACAATAGCTGCCTGGGCATGGCGCAGCCTGACATCCTGCATGAACCATGCTGATCCCAGTGAGCAGACCCCTCTCACATGTATAAAATCATCACTAGGCCCTCTCCTCCGCCCACGACTCTTTGGCAAGAACGACGACCTCTCGAAACCTTCTCAGACAGCAATCATGACCTCTCCTCAGGTTGAGACAACTCCTTGCCCAGAGCCATCAACCGTCACGACAAACACACGCAACTCATCCCGCAAACTCTATTTCGCGGTCGAGATACGGCAAGATGATAAAGCCATCAATTGGATCAGCTGCAAAGACGAAAGCGACAGAACGGCGTTCTTCAAAGTATTTCCTAACCCCGTTGTTCCTTCGCACCCCTACTCTTTCATAGCATATTTTGTATCAGAGAATGAGAGCGGGTTCGAGATCCTCCACCGGGAGGAGAAGAATCGTAATGAATTCGAACGGAAGGGCATAGGCAAGAAGCACGGTGTAACGAAGCCCGACTGCATTTCTAGCTTGTTTCCGACTCCGCCAAAGCCATTGAACTGCGGCGCCCTTTTGAAAAGTCTGCTGTCAAGGCCCGAGTGCAGTGCCTTATTGGAGGAGCAAGACGTATCAGCCTGCATCGCCCTTCTAGCACGTCTAATAAGAGAGCTTCCAGTTCGGCCAGAGGAAGACGAATTGGCCTAAGGTAGCCAGCCCACCTGCGACACAACATCGAGAGATTATTTTTTGTCCTGTAGTAATCGAATATTTTCATGTCTTGTTCACATGGCGCCCTCCGAGTGAAAAATTGTTTGAAAAGCTCATTCGTTCACGAACCTGGACACCACACGTGGAAACGATGCAACTCAATATACCCACGAGACTCAAGAGCCCCCTTTGGACTGCGCTACAATGTCTGGACCGTCGTAGCACAAGACGACGTCCGTTTTGAGCGAAGAGGCTCCTGGTGACATCCCGCGTAAGAGCTCGACGAAGTTCCACGTCCACTGCGAGCCCCGGCAGATCACGTCCCGGGCCAAGGGCAGAAGAGGACGGCCGACTGGACGATGAGAGCCAGTGCAGCCAAGGGTTGCATGTTATTGCAAGAAAGCACTCTGTCTGCGGGTACACAGTGAGGTCATGTCGACGAAGCCGCTCTCAGGAGCCTTCATATCAACCACCGAAGCTGGCCCTGGGGAGATCGCTGAGGCGGAGGTGCCATGGCCTGGGCCGTGTCTCAGCGGCTGCCTTCGACCGGCTCATCCAGGGTACTGCTTCCGATGCTTCACTACTGCCATACGCAACTAGCACAAAGCTGCGAAATCGGCTCGCTTTCCACTGCAGCCGAAATGTCTCTCCTGCTGTGGCATAAGCCCAGCCTTACTGGGGACACAGCGGGTGCTCCTCCGCAGTCTTAGACCCTCGTCCCAGGGTTGGCCCGTGTGTACATGCGCCAGGAAGCCACGCTGTCAGGCCAAAGCCAGAGGGTGTGAGCATGATGGAGCTCCTGTGACGAGGTCCCTCGTAGCCCCCATGACTGGGCCGCAGCCACGCGCGGCCTCACCGAGTGGACAAGCCAAGCTTGACCCTGAAGCATACAACGCAATACGACCCAACAGTGGTTGGTCTGCTGCACGACCTGACGGCGAGCCTCTCAGATCGACCAGCGGTGAGTGCTTGCGTTAGCAATGGCTACATCTCGCGGTTCTCGACTGGCTCGCGCGCCGGGGATGCAGGGGTAGATGCCGTGCAGCACGAAGATACGCAAGGCTCTTGTGGCGTGATGGCCGCACATCACTATCAGTCACTCATGCACGAAGGGCCAGATCAGGTAGTAATGCGTGTCACTCTTGCGAGCTGTAGTAGCTAACAAGAGCCATTCCCTGTTACATTGGTCGTTGATTGTGTCCCGGACGCAGACCGGCAGCCTCCCCGGCGACGGCTGGACTGGACCCTTGTACACGATCATGCCTGTTAGTGCGGTACTGTGAGAGCCCTCCCTGTTAAGCCTTGTACTTTGCCTGACCGACCTCTTTTCCCAGCCTCGTTATGCCTTCCCCTGAGGGCAAGTTGAGCAATCAGATGTCCTTGGCATGCACCGTGCATAGCTAGAAGGCTGGACACGCCTCGGGACGTATCCGCCCATCCCGAGCGCGTGTGGATCAAGACAGGATCCCAGCCGAGAACATAGCTGTGCTTGCGTGGTACGTCTCCTCCTGCTCTAAGGCACGCAAGCAACCTCGCACAAGTCCTTCCAGAGTTTTAGTATTAAAGCCATGCACGTCTGGGAAGAAGAATCTCCCACATCCACTTGACATCTCATCTTCCGAACAACAACGCTTTTGTCCCAGTCTTTTCTCACCTGCCTCGTCGGAGCTTGCCTGCACACCAACGCCATGACGGTAGTTACACTCACCTTGGCCCAGTATGACCGCAAGTGGAGAGGGAAACCTTTCAGATTCTGGCGACCAGTCCGAGAATCGCTCAAGGGTGACCGATCGGAGCCAGAACTCGGCATGCCTCTGATTCCTAGCGAAGAAATGTTTGGTCCCGAAAGGACGGCAAGGTACACTATTGAGTATGCTGGAGGCCGCACTCTTCTACAGACGCCGTTGCAAATCCTTGTCCGGGAGGTCAAACATGCTCCAGGAGACCCTGCGAGCCGCAAATTCGCACCAAGCAATCCGGATCAAGCGAAGATGATGATCAAAGATCATTACAAAATGCACAAGGAAGCCTGGGCGAAAGAGTTTAACCCCGCCTCAAAGGCCATCCTGGCTGCCCTCGAGGATGAGAGATACAGGGAACACAAGCGGGCATTGTCGGAACTGTTGGAACTCATGGTCAGAATCGGTAAGTGGACATGTCTTCTTGCGGATGTCAGGTGATTGACAAGCCACAGCGCACACAGCAGGACGCCCGTCCTTTGAAATCTCACGGATCCCTGGAGACACGCCTGTGCCCGACGCAGAACTGCAGTATGTGGCATACGAGGACGATGTCATCCAGCAGGCGCAAATCATCACCCATGTAAATTCGCTCCTGGTGGCAGATAAGAGCCACGTTTCCCTCATACCGATCATTCAAGATCCCAGCCCCGAGATGCAGGATCTCGCGAAATTGATCTACAACGGCCTCAAAGCAGTGGTCGAATTATTCTGGACAAATGGCGAAGAGGTGAGTCGGTGGGGTGGATACGTATTTAAACCCAGCTAACTTGAGTACAAGGCAAATTTGCAATTCAAATGGGTTCAAGAGCCTCAACGGGCTCTGGAAATGCTCAGACTTGAAATAGAGTGCACGGCAAGCAAGCCAAAAGTGCATTGGGGTATTTCTGGACTTCTGAACATGTTTTAAGTTGCTGAAGGAGGCGACTTCCAGGACATTTCCGCCGCGTCGAAGACCGACAGCCGGCACGCCTTCAACAGGCAATTTTCAAAGGAATCCTTCAACGAAGAAAGTGCGTTTCAATTATCAATAAAGTACCATTTCATAGAATCCTAGCATCACTGAATCCAACGTGCATGGTTCCAGCATCTCCGTGGTTGCTGCTGGAGACGTGCTCTGCAGAATCAAGCTTGCTGCTGCCTTTGCTGCGTCTTCAGGAGCCATCCCGACCCCGTTGCTGGTGCTGGTGCTGTGGCTGTCGTGTTTCTGATCGTGTCATCGACGATGCAAGGCTGAAATCCCGTGCATGAAAGGGGGTACCGCTGTGATGAGAAACCGTTGGACCAACACTGAGACCATGGCGTAGCCCGAAGACACGCAAGGCTCTTGTGGCATAATTGCCGCACATCACTATCAGTCACCATGCACGAAGGACCAGATCAGGTAGTGATGCTCCTCTTCTTGCGAGCCACGGTCGTTAGCAAGGGTGCTTCCTGTTGCATTGGTCGTTGATTGTGTCTTGGAAGCAGACCCGCAGCCTTCCCGGGGACGGCCGAATTCGCCCATGTACGCGATCATGCATGTGGATGTATACGCCAGAAGCCTCCTGCCAAAAATGCCAGCACACCTTGGGCCGCATGACAGGGATTCCAACAGCTTCCAAGTCCGCAGAGTCGAGGCAGCCATTGCACTGCTGGCAAAGACCATGTTTTGGCGGGTCAGTCCCTGATGCCCTGTTCTTGGCTGGAGAGCCTGACCTGCTATCGTACTGCATGGCGCTCGTAGTTTGATGCAACCGCCCTGCAGCCTCATTGAACCACTTCAGGGTGCCTCGCTTGTATCCACTGGGGCGCGCACCACTCTTGGCACAAGCCAGGTCCTTGAAGCCCGACTCTCGACACAAGTGTCTGGCTCCGATATAAAGGCAAACCGCTGCTCAGGCCCATCCGGAGATGGTCTTCCCTTCCTTCCTCACACTTTGCGGAGCAAACCACTGTAGCACGCGCGGCAGAGTCAGCAACAAGAACAGCGCTAGAACACCAACAAGAACACCACAGGAACACCAACAAGATCACGAATAAGAACACCAACTTGTCTCTTTTATCCTGAGGGAAGCATCATACAGGAGAGGAAAGATGAACGACCAGATCAGCGACCTGCTGCCGAAGTTTTGCGAGAGGATGAGCCTGGTTGAGGCAGAGAACGCACACGTGGATTATGTTGAACGGCAGCGGCGCTTGGATCAGCTACAGCAGCAGTTGACCAAGGAGCAGAACGAGGTGGACGAGGCGCGAAAGCGGTTGATCGACGACCAGGAGCGGTTGGACGAGCAGCGGCGGGACGAGCAGCAGCAGCGGTCGATCAAGACGCAGGAGCAGCTGTTGGACGAGCAGGAGCAGCGGTTGGACGAGGAGCAGCAGCGGTTGGACGAGGAGCAGCAGTTGGACGAGGAGGAGCAGCGGTTGGAGGAGCAGGAGCAGCGGTTGATTGAGAAGCAGGAGCAGTTAAACCAGGAGAAGAAGCGGTTGAAGGAGGAGCTTGATACAGTAGCGAGAAGGCAGACAAATGGCTCGGAGGAGCATTAACTCCATAGCAATCATCACCTTGCGCGTCTCTCGCCATCGTTTTTGACTTTCAATTCATCGCATGTGGGGCTGACTGCGCGGCTGCATGCTTTGAGCGAGGTTGACAATGTAGATTGTCGATTCAATTTATGAAATGAGTGAATACAAGAACGCACCTGTATGAGCTTGCTTTTCTGGAGAAGTTTCCGTGGTCACAGCCCGTTGAAGGCACGCTGAGTTGTTTAACACATCTGCACATCCGCCGAGGAGTCACTCTCCAGCCAAAGCCAGTGTTTGAGCAGAACGGAGTTCTTTCAACAAGTTCCGCGGTCAACATGACTGCGTCGCAACCGCAGGGCCTCAGCAGAGTGCATTGACGTCCTGTACCGCAGTCACCGAAATTCACTGTTCGGAGGTCCCACCGGCTGCAGGCGAGCCAGCGAGCCGCAACTTCGCGCCAAGCAGGCAAGTCCGATGGAGAAGCACCCGTCAAGCCTGATGGCATGGCTGTATCGCTGACATCTCTCGCCGCAATAGCCGCCTTTCTGAGAAACATCCTGCAGCTACCCCCTCCACCAGTGCTTTACCACATGTGATCGGCCAGGGCCATCCGCGCATCATGCAGGGAGGCGCCGTGATCCAAGACACGCAGCCTATCAGGAGTTGAACGTGAAATCAGCGGCATGGTAGCGGTTGCCCTGTCTTCCTGCGTCTTGACCTTGCTCTCCAAGTTCGACCTACTACCTCGTTTGGGTTAGCCAGATTTGATGTGGCGGTTGCACCGGGAGGACTGGACAAGCCGAACCAACAGAGGTCTGCTGCATGACCTGACCGCGAGCCGCCCCGATCGAACAGCGGTGAGTGCTTGCGTTAGCAATGGCTACATCTTGCAGTTCTCGGCTGGCTCGCGCGTCGGGGACGCAGGGCCAGGGTGCCCGAGGACACGCAAGGCTCATGTGGTGTAATACCGCACAGTACTGTCAGTTACATATGCACGAAGGCCAGATCAGGTAGTAATGCGTGCTACTCTTGCGAGCTATGGCAGTTAACAAGGGTCGTTCCCTGTTATATTGGTCGTTGATTGTGTCCTGGACGTAGACCGGCAGCCTCGACCCATGCACGTAAGCCTTGCACTTTATCTGACCGACTTCTTTCCCCAACCCCGACATGTCTTCCCCCTGAAGACGACTTGAGTAATCAGATATTCTTGGCATACGCGGTTGCGCGGCTGGAAGGCCGGATGCGCCCCGGGACAAATGCACCCGTCTCGGGCGCGTGCGGATCAAGGATCCCAGCCGAGAAGCTTGCGTAGTACGTCTCTCCCTGCTCCGATGCACGTAATCAACCTCGGATAGGTCATTCGAGAATTTAAGTATTAAAGCCATGCACGCCTGGGAAGAAGACTCTCCCACCTCTACATGGCATCTGGTCTTCTGAACAACGACCTTTCTCCCAGTTACTTCTCACCTGCCTCGCCTCAGCTTGCCTGTTCACCAACGTTATGGAGTCTTCAAAGTCGAAGTTCGCACCAGATTATGGAGCGAAACTACGAGACGCAGTCCAAGCTTTCAACAAAGAAGGTTTATCATGGGAACCACTACAGGACTCAGGCCTCGGAGTCTCCAGTATACACGGGCTTTCATGGAAACCAAAATTCGCGCGGCCCATCCTCAAAAGCTTCATTGCCCGCACCCTCAAGTGCCCTGAAGAATATGCGCCGGTACTTATCAAAGTGGAAAAAGCAGCTGTAAGTACAATCCTCCCTCTCATATAGTTTTCGCTGATAAATCAAGACGCACTATGCCGCGAAGGAAAGATGGGACATTGAGAAACCCAAATCATCCATAATCTGGCTCCAGGATGGTTTAGTAATAATGCCGAAAGACCAAGTATGCTTCGTGTTCCCTTGCGGAGTTGATTCTCCGGATTCACTTTTGGTGTGTTCAAATGAAGAGAATTTCTCTCCGAAGGAGTCAATTACGATTTATCCGAAGCAATACATTTGGGTGGCTGGGGGTGCCTTGAGGTTTATTGCTGTTTGCTTCCGGGTGTTAAGAAGGGATTAGAGCATGAGGCAAAGATAATCCTCAGGTTCTCAAGAAACAGCTGGCCTTGGTGCTGGCCATTCGACTAGAAGGTTCTGATGCAGTACGGGTGGAGACAGCCACGACGAGATAGTCCTTAGCTTCATGTCATGGTTTTGCAGATGCATAGTGATTGCGCATTTCCCGATTGATATACTGGTGAGAGGCAACAAAAAGAGGACAATGGCAACAGGTAGCACTGTTGTGAGCACGCCATTGCCTGCAGTCGATGCTGCTTTTGGACTGCCATCGGCTGCAGGCCTTGGTGGGCGCCAGGCGTAACTGATGTCGACGTCCACAACTAAGGTGATCCGATCAAGTGAACATGCGAAACAGCATGGCCAGGCTGTCACTGTTGCATGCTTCAGGGCCACCTGACTTCCGTGTCTCTGCAGGGCGAATGCTGGGTTGAAGATGACCGCCGTTCCGCCACTCCCCACCGCCGTGCCCGGAACTCAATTGGCTTGGTCTCAGCATATCCGTGGTTACTGCTGGAGATGTGCTCTGCAGAATGAAGCTTGCTGCTGCCTTTGCTGCGTCTTGAGGAGCCACCCCGACCCTGGCTTATGCAGCGTGCGTAAAGGTGGGCACCGCTGTTGTCGGACCAACACTGAGACCATGGCGCAGCACGAAGAGACGCACGGCTCTTGTGGCGTACAAGTTTTATCGGTTCCTTATGCACGGAGATACACATCAGGAGAGTGATGCTTGTCCCCGGTGGGAGTCGGATCGGGCTAGAAGCAGACGTACACCCTGCAAGAGCGTAGCACTAAATGCACGATGCCGGAAATGCATCCCAGCCCGAGCCCTGTATACCTGGTGCACTACGGCCTGTTGCCGCGACTTTCGGCTTGATCTAGACCTGCTGGCAAGGTTATGGGAGCCTTGATGTGAGGGGACCCAGGCTGGTGCTGGTCTGACGGCCTACGACCAAGGTCTCAGCCCCCCCTCCCCCTTTCCTCGGCTCATGCGCAACGGTTCACAAGATTAACACAGGTCCATCTCCCTATTGGTGAATGATTGAATGCAGCCACCCGGGCTGCTCGCCTTCCGATCCCTGGCATGTGCGTGATCGACATGGGTCGTTGTCAGCTTTGAGCATGGCCAGTGTTGTCGAAGCGTTGGTGGGTGACGTCTTGGGCTAGAACCAGCATTGCGCCTCACCGTCATCTAGCAGGTGTGTCACACCGACTGCGTGCCACCTCACCCCCTCCTTAATCAGCCAGGCTTGCCGGTAATTCTACATATATCTGCAAGCAGCTTCCCTGGAGAACATGAAGGATAGTACTTCTCTTTGTCCGATCTCAGCGTCTGCCAAATCTCTCAGCAAACCCGGACCTTTCACAGTAACAATATGGAGACACTTTATACAATTATTTTACATCGCAAGGAGGGTTTGAACGAGCTCAAGGGCAACAGAGAACGTCAACAATCAGGTCAACTGGTCCCTGACAAAGACAAGATTGGAGCTCCGAAAGATATCGAGATCGCCATAGAAGACCCTGACGGTCAGGTTTTCGAGAAAGCATCACTCGTTTTCTCTGTGATTGAGGTTATTCCTCGTGATGGCGAACCGCTACATCGGAACTACGTCAGCAAAAATGGATTGCCTTCAACACATCCCCTCCCGAATTACACGATTGAAGATCCAAAGGCCGTCTTCGAGGCTCTCGTGGCCAGGTCGGAAACCCACGCACTCCCATGGGCGAAGTCCTCACATGGATCGTATCCCATGAAGATCTTTGTGAAGTTACATGAGGAGAAAGTAGCGTAAACCCCCACCCTATTCTAACGCCTCACGTTGACTCCTCGACTAGAGAACCAAGTACCACGACCGCTTGCCGCTCCTGGTGGAGTACGATTTTGGAACCCGTATGTATGATCTCTCTTTTCAGATACAGTCAACGTACTAACCATTTCAAGACTTCAAGACTGGGTCTGGATTCATTATCAGCGAAGAGAAGCTCGGGATCCAGCCCTTGCCGTGGGATGCAGAAAGACTTGCCGGCAAATGTCCCACACCTCGACTTGCTACGGGCGCAGTAGATAAAATCGAGGACGGCCGCATGGAGGAACTACTCAAGAAAGTTCGCGACCTCTTTTGGGAGATCCTTCTGGATCGTAGCGCGATGGGTCTATATCTCGCGAACCTCATAGTAGTTGGCTGGGCATACAGATCGGAAGTGGTACTGAAGGATAGGAACCGACGCGCACGCGAGAAAGGTCAAGAGGTAGGTTTATCAGACACATTCTCCCGCAACTTCGCTAACTGCGATAAAGGCAATCCCGAAGCAGTCATGGGTTGGCGCCATCGAGGAGAGTATGGAAGTGGCCATCAATTTATTGATGCTTAAGGCCAAGATGCAAAACATCACAAGAGCGGATATGATCAAAGACAAAGAGGTCGGCGAAGACCGTGTGATTGGACTCGAAAAGTGGGTGGGTGAGAAGGACTGGGCGGAGGACCACGCTTGGAAAGTTCCCTCTTGTGAAGAGATATGGGGGGGCCTTGTTCGTAAGGTTGCTTTGTGGGATCTGGACAGAAAGCATCCTCTCAACGGAATGTCTGTAGCAGTGATCCTCTTCAACAGTCGATTCACGTGGCTTACCTAGCTTCCATGATTACACCCACTGGCTCAGTCGAAACGCTCAGCATGCCTTCCACGGGCTGTTCCGACTGGAACTTCTTCAACAAGGCAAGCTCATAGTTTTCTCCTCAAGTATCGACCCCGTTCCTAGAATGCAACGTAAATCAACATTGTTGTCCTCGCTCAAAGCATGCAGCCACGCAACCGGGTCCACATACCATGAATTCTCTGCCAAAAAAGGTATCGAGAGATGCGCAAGGTGATGATTGTCATTGAGTTGTCAGCATGGCTGTGCAAGCTTTGCCAAAACACTTCGACTCGCCGGACTGCACATAAGAGCAAGGATTGCAGCTCGATGGCCTGGATGTGCCGCTGACATCTCCTCTCGGCGCAATACCTGCCTGTCTGAGGAACATCTTGCAGCTACGCCGCATCGCTGCCTCGTCACATGCGACCGGCCAGCATGATGCTCACAGCATGCAGCGAGCCGCCGGGTTGAAGGCGAACTGTCAAAGCGGCCGCACCAGTGCGGGTCAACTGGGGTTTAATCGCTATCTTCAGGTCTACACGGGCCGGCTCGATCTCGACAGGCTGCTCCCACAGGAGATTCTTCTTCGACGGAGCAAGGTTATTTCATAATCTCATCAAATATCCGCCCATTTCATAGAACGCAACGTCAATGAACAGTATGCCCTCGCTTCGAGCATGCAGCCGCACAGCCAGCTCCACGTCGCGTGAATGCTCTCTCGAAAACGCTGTTGGATCCTCCCTCCCAATCAAAAGATCCTCAGCCGGCTGACTGTTCGGCGACCCGTAGCAGCACCTTTGCACCCAATACGCTGAGCGCAACTTTCAAAGGAGTTGAAGTGAACCATTCCGTGTCTCTTCCACCCAATCAGCAACCTCCCGCACAGCACGCATCGGGTCATCTCTGTGTTGAATCAAAAATCCCTGAATCTGGGCGGGACTGAGCTGCCCCTCAGGGATCTTGGAGCCAAACTCCTTCGCCGCAATGCGAAGCTGGTCTTCATTAACCGTGTTGTCAGGGAAATCATGGCGGTGCTGGTTTCCTTGCGCCCCGGGCGATGCACGAGACATGGGCCCTTTCTCGTCTCTCTGAAACATGATTACGAACTGCTCTTGAGCTTGTGCGCATGTGGCTTTGTTGAACTTGATGTGAAGGTCCACCCTTCCTGGCCGAACCAGTGCTTGGTCCAGCTTCTCAGGAGCGTTCGTCGTCATGATGAGCACGCGGCCTTCCTGCGAGGCCACGCCGTCGATGGCATTGAGCAGGCCAGACAGTGATATGCCTTGCTTTCTTGACTTATACAGCCCGCCTTCAACACTCGGGGAATCCGATTTGTTGCCAGATCGACTGAGTCCAGCCGTATCAATGTCCTCAAGTAACACTATACAGCGCGGCGGCAGCTTCGAGAATAGCATATTCAAGTCTTCTTCAGTCAAGGAAGCGTCATTCAGCGAAAGAATGTGGATTGTCAAGCCGAAAACCCCAGCTAGGGCAAGGCAAAACGAAGTCTTTCCCGTTCCGGGTAGCCCAGAGAATAGATAGCCTCTCCGCAGAGGAATGCCGCGCTTTGCGTACCAACCCGGGGTCTTTGGGTGGAGGTAGTTGTTCATGTCCTTGAGGGTAAGCTCCTTCAGGGCGCTCTCGAGGATAACAGTCTTCATGTCGCGCACGGGTCGGGTGACCGCTGTGCGCCATGGGTCAGGACCAAAACGGCGATAGTGATCGGCTGCAGGCGTTCTGATGAGCGTGCCTCCCTTTTGGGCCGCCTTGAACTCGGACGATACGTGGTTGAGCAGCCTATCGAGACAGCCTCGATTACGCGACAGACATTTGATGGTAATGGTCCGTGTTTCACGTGGTCCCCCATCCCCGGATCCGGCGCCCTTTTGGGCGTGCACTAACGTGATTCGCTGCCAACCCCACCAGATCTCGTGGGTGCCAAAGTCGGGGCCCAAGCACACTTTCCCCTCGTAGTCATGGTTGGAAAAGTTTAAGTATTCGCTTGTCCCACTGAGGTTTGCGCCTGGCATGTCTTCATCCTCTCCGTCGTCTCTGGTCACGGTTTCCAACAAGGAGTGTGAAAAAGTCGAGTTTGAGCGGAGCCACTTCATCAAATGTGAGTACCTCTCTTCGTGGCTGGGTATGCAGATGCTCTGTGTGTGAAGCGCGGCATGGGGATATGCTTCCACATCATGTACGTGATGACCAGCATGACGAGCGTCTCTCTTGTGTCAAATCCGAGCCAGGCCGCGATGCTGGAGAGAGAACCGATGCTGGAGAGAGGACTGATGCCGAGGAGGCTCTGGAGCAGAGCATCGAGGCCATGCCCGATTCCTGCTTGTGACAGATTTTGTGTCGCATGGTGGCATTGCCCGTGAAGCTCCGTTGAAAGCTTGGAAGCAGTTGGCACCAGCAGAGAGCTGGCGGAGTCCATCCCGGGGCTTGTGAGACAAGAGATGCTTCGTGGTCGAGTCTGTGTATAGTGATTGGCATGAGCCTTCAGGGCCGTTGCGGTACGCTGTAAGTCCACGCCTGGCATGCGGAAAGTGACCAAGGTGCGAGAGAATACTTATAAAATGCTTGAGGCCACAAACAGAATGCCTCCCTTTTACTGCCCCGGTCTAGATGGCTTAGCCGGCCCAGGACCTCCTGATCCTATTGGATCGTCCCAGCCCCGGAATACTACGTGACATGCAGCCGAGCTCAGGTCGGGCACCGGCAAGGACGGCCGGTGAGGTGTTCGTCAAGGGTAAGGGTCGTACTGTGACAGCCTTGCCCTCTTGCATATCGGGTACCGGGCCCTTAAGGCCCTTTTCTCGGCAGTGAGACAAGGTCCATGCTCCCACTGAGGGGGCGCGTGCGTACGTCCTGTTGCGCCCATCAGGCCGTGCTTCTCTAGCCCACGAGGAAAGGTCTGGTCGACTTTCGACACTCCCGTTAGACAGGGCCACCTGCATGTCCTGAGATGCGGCATGTGGACACCTCTCTCGTGGCGATATTGTCTGCCAGGATCATGGCAAGGCTACGTAGTCTTAGGCTAGCCATCAAAACCTTGCTGCAGATGTGATTGACAAGGCTCTGGTGCCCCCCTTCCGAGGCTCACGTTGGGACGACCCTGGTCCTTGACCGAGTTGACTGCAAGGAACTTTTGGCAAGACCTGGCAGCGGTGATTCATTTCCAGAGCAAGCCAAAGACTTTGTCAAATTCTATTGGCACGCACAGAGAAAGCATTCCGTACTCCCAACGTGCAGCCTCTGGCCTAGAGCACTTCTCTGCGTGGTGCTTTCGCCCCGCAGCGGCAGACGTTGGCCCTGCGCCTCCCCGTAACCGGCTCGGCTCGAGCGAATAGCGGCGCTCTCTTGGCCTCTTGCTTCCAGCACCACTCCGCGGCTCTGTGCGTGCACCGTCAAGCCCTGCAGCGTCTCATTCAGAGTTATTCGTCGAATCAGGCGGACGCTCTCCACGAGGCCAGAGCTGCCGTGCTGCGAGATCGAGACAGTCGTCAGGCGCCACCCCCGAGTAGAACGATATGCGGGCGGCGAACCTTCCCATACAAACCCCCTTAGTCTCTTCTCCAGCAGCAGCCTTACATTGTCTTTTTATCAGCTCGGTGTCGCTGCGTGGACGCAAGATGGGAGGTAGAGAAGTCAGTCGGCTTCTTGCGGGCACTCGAAGTCGAATTAAACGTTCTCAGGTCAAAGCGATGAAATGCTTTGTCATGCGTGAGAGTACTCACAGGGTATCATCTCCTTAGCGTCTTATGTTCCCGCCTGACACGGCCAAGTTCATCCATGCTTGGACTGGGGTCTAAGTTCAGGTGACCCCGATCGATCCAAGCTACTGACGGGTGGCGGCTGCCACTACCATCTCAGCTAGTGCAAAGCAGACAGCGTTCACAATGTCGCGCCATGCCACTGAAGTCCTTGTCTCACACATTGGGAGGAGCATGTTCACCTGTTTGCCGCAAAGTCTGGTGCCTGGAGCAGTCAAAGGACACGCGCCTTCTAGTTTAAGGTTTTATAGTACAAGCGAAGCAGAGGGTCCCTGCATACTCGGAACGATGGTCATGGGCTGCGTACTGACCATGAGGCTTTTGCTACGTGCGGCGAAAACTGAAGCTGCCTCGTCAGCACCATCTCTCCAAGAACCTCGTCCCCTCATCGGTTTGCAGGAAACCGACAGACCAGAGCGCTGTATGAGCTTCAGCTTACTGGAACTCTCCAGCTGCGTGCAGTGAACTCTTCACCGGGTTGGATGCAAGGTCCCCCAGATCGTGAGATCTGCTCGTTGATGCACGATCTGCCAACCCAAGGACGGCCAAGTCTGATGCAGCTTATGCCAGAGCAAGAATAAGTCTTGGCCGGTCTTGGCCGACTGCTGCGCTACCATGCCACCCGCCTGTCAAAAGTGCCAACACGCTGAGTGGGTCCCAGCGAAAAGTCGTTCCACAGTGGTTCCCTCTAATTACCGGATCAGGAAGGAATGACAAGCCCAGATCATTCCTTCCTCATTCGGCGTAGGCCCCACTCTTCTGACGTCCTGGCACCTGGACACCTGGGACGTCGATGCGAACTGCTCCACTGGGCCTGTATTTATGGCATTGAGAAGAACCACTGTGCTTGTGCTGATAGCGGTGACCTGCGCGACAGCTGAGGTTTTGGTTTTTGCGCAGACGAAGCGGAGGCAGAACAGACGCTGCATGATACATGGGCAAGTGTCTTTTAGTGCTCGACAAGAAATCCGCGCTTGTTGCCTCGTGACATATTGTCATTGGCTCGTAGGAGCTCACTCATAATCGAAGATACACGGTCTGCGCAGCATGCATGAAGTTACCTACCATGCAGCCGCATGGGCAGGTCGTATGCATGCACCTGTGCACTGCTCTCGCAGAGTCAGAAGCGATTCGCAGTTGGTGAGGAGATGCAGAGATGTACGCAGTGTTGCAGATGGCTTCGAAATGATGCAAGCCCGAGAACATCGAGATGAAATGCCTTGTGTTTCTAGTGTCCGGTGGTGCTTTGCTAATCTATGGATATCGAGGCCAGGCAGGTCCCAGCAGCTCATCCACTCCGCGTAAGATCTCTTCCTGGGTCTGCACATAAACTTGTCTGTTAGTCTCTGTCGGCATACAGAAACAGCCAGGAGTATCTGCCATTAACTCGGACCTACCTTCGAGCTGTGAAAAATCCCCTGTGGCCTTTTCTTGGTTATTTCAGCCTTCTTGTCCACCCTATTGCTCTGGGGCTGGGAGGCGCTCTTGGGTGGGATCACGCCTGCCTCTGGGATGATCGGGTCTGCGCTCCAGAGGGGGCATTGGCATTGTTGGCTGCGGCGTGGCGCGAGAGAGCATCGATGAGAGTTCATTGTAAAGTTGCTGTACCACTCCGAACAGTTCAGACTGGGCATTGCGTTCGCACTCGGCGATCTCCTGAAGGCTTGACAAGTCATGTGGGAGGGTTCGGCAGCCCTCGTCGTCAGCCCGCAAAATCGTGAGTTGAGATGCTGGTAATGCCAGTGGAGGTTCTGGCAGGTTGATTGTCAACAACGATGGGTAGTCCGTGGTGCATGCAACACTAACACCGCTACACGATTGGGCCGATTTGATCCAGCTGGTGAGTTCTCTGGCATTCAGCCACAGCTCGGACACTCCCTGGGTGGTGCTGATTGTGATTTCACCGAAGTCGTGAAGAGGTTCTGGTCCAAAAAGGGACACCGAAAAGGTGAACAGCTCAATCCGTTTGGGAGGAAGAGGAATCTTGACTTGATAATGGGCCGGAAGTTTGGGAAACTCCTACTGTGGAGGTTGATGAAACTGATAGTGTGGCGGCTGATGGGAACCTCTCCACGACGAAGTACTCCCACGATGTAGCACGGCGAAGCTGGAAAGTTTTTGGCATCTGGATGAAGCAGCGTGAATACCAAGAATGTTGGCTCCGCCGGGGCAGTGCGATCTTGAGGATAATAATACATGCGGGGCGGCGATTGCAGAAGTGGTCGTGAATGGGAAAACTGCACAGCGGAGACGAGGCTTTGTCGTACATATATTGCTCTATTGTGAATGGTGCTCTGCCCTTGGGAGAGGCCGTCCTTTATTGGATCAACGAGCTTCATTGGCTGGCCCATATCACACAGCAAGGCCACCCCCATATCAGGGGCGCGGCGAGTGCAACCAAAGCAGATATGATCTGTCGAGCCTAGTGCCACTGCATCTGCCCGTGGAGGGTGGTCCTCAGACCACTGGGTGGCTGGGCTGTCGAGTCAAGGGTGATGCCGTGCTGCAGGCGGCAGGCATTGCTGCTGGTTCGCGCTTGTGGCAGGACTAGGGCGCAAGTACCTCAACGCCTTCCGTCAGCAGGCCCCGTCCTGGCGGTTGATGCTGAGAGCAGACAGAACAGGGGCCGGGGAAGCACACGGGCGTTTCCGAACATGCCCGGGTGGGGTTCAGTGCTTGGCGGTAAGAGCTTCGAACAGCGCAGCCTGCAAGGGCCTGGACGTTAGCCGCTTTTTATTTCCGCCCCACTCGTCCGCAATCCCTGTAGCTGAAAACAGAATGCAGGAGAACAGATAATGGAGCTGAGGGCGCGCAGTGCACCATCTGAGAGCCTCTTCATCAACTCCCGCCCGAGCTTCTCATGGAGGTGTACATGAGTCGGCATGAAATACCTTGCCACAATCTGGGCTGCTTCGGAAGGCACTGTTTCAATGGAGTCACAGACCCGGGATGCCGGCTCCTGGACGTCCGGCACCAACATCATGTTGTATGCGCAGAAGTCACGGCCTGCAACCGCCACTGTCACCTCTGCTGCGACCATGTAATCTTCGACGACCCCCTTGGCCTCAACTTCGACGATGTACCATTGCAAAGCCGCCAGTGATAGATTGCGAGCCCATATCATGGTGAGCTCCTCTTCGATATTGCAAGATCGCCATGCATGCTCAACAGTGTCTAGTTTCTGCTCCACCTTCGTGTCGATCGAGCTGTCGCTGACCAGAGCGCAGAGATGTCGAATGATCGAGTGTGTCTGTGACTGGATGATACGCGCGGCGAGCCGCCTTTTCTCAGCGTCGATCGCCAATCCGGTGTATCTTGATAGCTGTGCAAGCCGCGGACGGAAACGTTTATTGTGAGAGATTGCGTACTCGAGAGCATCCTGTCCTAGATGATCTCTTACATGGACATCCGCGCCAAGGTTAAGCAGCAGGTCCACTGTGTCTATCTCTTCGGACTGGATTGCGATGTGAAGTGCCGTTCCGTCACGGCCTAAAACGTTGACATCGACGTGGAAATCTCTGACAAGAGACTCGATCATATCTTCTCTCTGCTTGCGATCATCCAACATCATGGCATACTGAATGAGGAGTGTGCCTCTGGAGTACACCGATGGTAAGCTTGAACACTGTGCTAGGAAGCGGAGCACTCCTAGCTGCCCGACTTGTATAGCTCGAACCGCCAGCACCTCCTCGAGTGGGCAGGTGTTTGCCCCTTCGATAAGGCGGTGTTGGACTGCTGCCCACTGCCCACTGTCAATTGCATTATCCATCGGTGTTGCCAGGCTGCGATCCTCGACCACACAGTGGAACTCCTCGTCCAGATATTCCAAGAGTTCAATATCTCCATGTGCTGCTGCACAGATGCAGGACAATCGGAGGACATCACGGGAGGGGTGTCTGGTCAGGCGATACAGAGCAGCTTCGAATCGATGCCGTGAACCGCTCCGGGCTTCTGCCAAGAGGGTTCGTTCTGGGAAGTGTTGCTTCGATGCGGTCAGTTGCTTGCTGAGTTGCTCGATATATTTGTCCGCGTCCTCGAAGCGTCCGCGAAGGACTAAAGCTACGGCGCTAGCTTCGTTCCATTTGGCCGACATCGGAGAGCGGCTTTGTTGTAACGAACTCATCAAGTATTGAGCGCTTTGTTCGATATAATCGTCCTGCAATTCAGGCAGCCTGCCATAAACCCAGTCCAAAAGCTGTGTAATGCCTTCTTCATCGTCGACGGGAGTGTAGCCTTCAGGTAATTGTGTATAATATGGGTGTTGCATCTTGGCTGACCATGGATCGCGCGAAGGTAGATGAGAAGGATACGTGAGTCTCATGGCAGGTACTTGCTCGTAAGGACGAGAGTTCGGACCCCTATTTACGCTGTGAAAGCTAGAATCTGCCTAATTAAGCCATTAATGGCTCCATATATCGCGCCACATCAGGCCTATTCAATCTAGGGCGGATTGGCAACTGGTCCAATGAGGCTCGACAAGAAACGCAACGCGGCGGTCCTGGAGCTTCACGGCCTGAGGTTGGAAACGGAACCCACCCAAAATTCTGGCGGCCAGTATGTGCGTCCCCAGGCGGGACCAAAGGATTATGGAGGTGTGATGAGCTCAGAGAAGCCAAAAATAGAGGGGAAGTCCAGGTCGTATCGACAAGAAATAGTACAGTACCGAACATTCTATACACAGTCCTAAGCTACGACTTGGTTGGGATTGTAGAGCTCGTTGATACTTTGCGTGTATGGCTTCCGAATGCATTGGTGGGTAGGACATCGCGCGCAGACGCCAATATGCCTTTCCGCCGCGTCCATGCACCTTTCTTGCTTGCCAAGCTTATGCCGAAGGAATGCCGTGCGAGACTGTGCCTCTCCTCAACGAGACTGGGGAGTCTTTGTAGGTCGTCGGTAGGGCTTGTTATATGTAGCAGAATCCGAGCCCTTCAGATCAGGAAACAGAAACCTCATTACTTCATTCTGTTTTCAGCTGCGGGGATCGCGGACGAGTGGGGCTGAAATAAAAGGCGGCGTTCGTCCGGGCTCTGCAGCTCGAAGCTCTTACTGTCACACTCCTCTCTCACCATGCTCATGTTGCCAGTCGAGCTAGTCGTGGCTGTCCTCGAGGAGGTAGAAACGCCTATAGATATCGGTAATTTAAGACTAGTCTGCAAGCCCCTCGCCGCGATCGCCGGGCAACAGCATGCCAGACGTCTCTTCGTATCCCATTCAGTCTCCTCCTTACAACAGTTCTCCAGATTTGCGGACCGACATGTAGCCTTTGTTGGCTATACAAAGCACTTAACCATCAAGTGTAGCCAATGGTTAAGTAGCACCGAAATAGAAGCAGAAATACAGGCTACCTCACTCGACACGCCAGAGGGAATTGTCCGAGACGACATCTCGCCTATGCGAATTTGGGGCAACGATATACTCACTGAAGAGACGCGTATATCCTATATAGAAGATCTCGAGGCTATTTTAAACAGACTACCACACCTATCACGGATCACGCTTACTGACGACCTTCGACTTGAGGCGATATCTATGCCGGAGCATCTTAGCCATCGTGCATGGCTGCAGATGCTTCAAGGACGCTCGTTCGGTTCTACCGTTGTGAGGATCCTCGGGCTGCTTAACAATTTTGGATATATCTCGCATATACAGATCAGCGGCCGGATGAATCTACTCGATCTGAATTCAGCCCCGCCACTCCTCCTGGCTCATATGAGGAACTTTCACCTGGATTCTCCTTCTTTAGCTCTGTTAAGGAAAGTCGTGACCGGCAATCTGGAATGCCTAAGGCTTCAGAACTCGACTGTTGTTAACTCGGACGTTGAGTTCTTCGTTCGAACCCACCAGTCATTAAGAGAGGTCGCGCTTCAAAACCTCAGGATCATGGCGACGATGTGGTCACAATTTGAAGTACTAGTCTGTGGATCGAATGTTACGCTGCTCTGTAGCTAAGACTACTAGGATATATCTTTTGTCTTAGCCGTAAATACTCTCTGCTCTTCGAGGGCAACCTCAAACAGTGCCTTGTCCTCACATGTATACCAGTCATGGAACCCGTCTGCTAATGGGCACGGACTGCCTACTCGACGTCGCCTGCGACAGCAGCATAGCAAGTCCAATGATTCCTCAATCCGGTAGTAAGGCCTCGCAACGTCCCACAGACATTCTTTGGATCGTGCACAAAGACAGACGCCTGTCTCATTACATGGCCGGTGAGTCCAGCGAACCGACTTTTCTTGTGCAGGGTGCCGAGGCTCCCACCAGCAACACTCCACCACAGAATTGCGACAGGCTCTTGGCTGGCCGTTTCCATCTTCGAACAGGGATATCTGACAACGCGCTGTCAGGACTGATTGAATGTCAGAGGACTGTTCACGCTCGCCAGGAGCTAGTAGTGGAGAGTGGAGATGACTGTACCTGGACGTTGAAGCAGGAACCTTGCAAGATCTCCAGATACCGCACAACTGAAGGACCACCCCGCCCAATACTTCCACCGCTCGTGATTATCCCAACGGAACTGCTCGATCCAGTACGTCTCCTCGAACAGAAGATATCGGCAATATTCCCGGAAGAAGCACGGCTGACTGGCCCAGTCGAGGATATTCTCGGCACTGCACAGGCGGAGAATCCCAGTCCACAGCTCCGCGGGGAGGCGACGAGCGGCCATAATGTGGCTGATTGTGACAACAATACGCTGTAGCAGATGGGGTAGGTGCCACCCAGCCTTTATAAGTAAGGTGCAAGCACATTCCTAGCACAATGTTGGCGCTTGCAAACCAACCATTATGACGACCCATAAGGATTCGTGAGCCTCTAGCCAACCAAGTACATGTTGCATGCATCTGACTCTTACTGTGTGCACGGAAAGCTTTCGCGGCGATAACCCTGGTCAGGTGGTGTGCTTCAAGGAGTTGCAGCACCAGGCGAACACCGTGCGCGCCACAGGGCACCATGCAGGATGAGATGCTTGAAGGAACCTACGACTGGTAGCATGCACGAGGAGGCCCCTGCACGATGAGAATACTTCATGATACGGTAGTTATCCCGCCTGATAGCCATACCTCAGACTGGGGGCAGAGACCATTGCCCCAGAAGTGGCTCCTTTCTGGTACTTCCGCTCTTGACCACGTTGGAAACTTTTGAGTGTGCTGGCCTGGTCATTGCTATTCTTGCGAGGCTGGTAGCCACTAGTCTCTCATAGGCAAATCGAGCCAGACTTCGGTGAAATTGGCCCTTGCCGCGATAGCCGAAGGGCCTAGAAGGACACTGTTCGGACTATTATGTCAATCGCTGCGTATCTCCACAGATTGAACTGGTGGAGTCAGCGCAAAAATTATGTAAGTGCAAGGCCCCTGCATTGTCCTCTTGTACGGTGCTTGAGAGTATGGCCATGGCACAGCTAGTGCTTGATTCACTAGTTCATCAATGCCTCTCTGCTTCCATTTCTTTAAGCTTGTTCTCCTTGTTCTGCATTTCACAGAATGCTACAGTACCAATCTTACACCAATTTGAGCGTTGCGCATATCGCACAGATACTGCCGGAGGTCTCCGGGCACGGCATGTTCGGTTTTGGCGGACCTCGGGTTTTCTCATGCGCAAGGGCAACCCTGTATGTGACCAGGTTCTCCCGCCACCGGTCATGGAACAAGGCCACTTCTGGCTGCTTCACTCCCATACTAGCGTGCACAACCAACATGTTAGACCCAACATTTGCTTGCATGATCATGACAATTATCGCGATAGCGAAAAAGGCCAGATTGAGAGGTCGACTGAGTTGATGCATTGCATATAAATTTGATCGCCCGTCCAAGAGTGTTTGAAAGGGACCTGGCAGCACAGAAGCATTGGAGGGCCTGAGGAACACTGCCAGATTTCCTTCGTTACTCCACATCGGTGCCCAGACCATGGGTGCCCCGCACCAAGCGATGCAACCCTTTCAGCAGCCCCAGGCAAATCCCCAGTTCCAACAGATGCCGATGCAAAACCCACCGTTGTTCCAGCAATCCCAGTCGCAGCAACCGCTGCACGCTCAGCCGCCACAGCACGCTCAGCAGCTACAGCAGCCGCACGCTCAGCAGCTGCAGCACGCTCAGGTGTCGCCGCAGTCGCAGCCGTTACAACACTCTGAACAACCGCAGCCCTCTCAGTCCTCCCAGTCCTCTCAGCAGCCGCAGCTGTACCAGCAGCCTCAGCAGCCGCAGCTGTATACATGCTGGCGATGTCTTTGGACTAAGAAATGCAGGAACGTGGGCAAATGTGCCACAGCTGGAAGTACCTAAGCAGCCTGGAAATTTCCAGGTGAGTACTCCTCCCGTCTCCATATGTTGGGCGTCTGGCATCACAATAATCCACCGATCGGCATGGATGGCACCCGCATCTCCACGGAGGGAGCAGTGATCAACTAAACACAACGGTGAACCTGCCGGCCGGGACACACAGAGCCAAACTTAACCTTCGAGATGCAGCACCATGACCTCACCCCCATGGCAAGAGCCTTGAAATGGGGGGGTCGTGGCTGACGTGTTGTGTCGTCGAAGCATCGTCAACCCCTGGCACATGCGACCACGCCAGTGGCAAAGACGGACGCGAGACTATCTTCTCCCTCTACCGATCACCCTTAGGCAAGCCATAGTGGTGGCCTGAAGATGGCACACCCTGATCACCCTGTTGCCATACCATTCCTCGCCCCTAACTCACGGCTTTGGTCTGCTCCGGACATTTCGATTTTGCACCATCCCATCAGTGTTCCCATTCCAACTCTAGACGAACCTCTCTTTTTCTCGTCCGAGCTCTGCTCCTTCAAGTCACTGTTTGCATTGGACCATCTTGGCTTGTTAAACTTCTTGCCGGTTCCCTCAGCATCTCTCCAACTTTGACTCCGACTCCCCGTGCAAGGGGATAGGTCCTACCTTACACGTTTCTAGTACAATGGAACTACCATTTGCTCCTTTCGTCGAGGCTGAGGATGGCTATTTTAAATATTCGTGTGATATTCTAACTTGACCGGCTTTCGAAGCCCTGGAACTATCACTATCCACTTGATCTTTTGTTGATAAGGCCCCAGACCCTGCATCCGTCGTGGGCATCCACACCAGAACATTACCGTAATTGCTCTTCCTCCGGGGAATCCAAGCGGCATCGACTTTAGATGCCGAGTTGGCGCTGACCTGACCGCTGCCCGGGTATTGGACAACGATTTTGTTGTCCGTTGTTGGATGTGGTCATTCGTGGCCCATCCTAGCTTCGGGGCAAGATCAACCCAGCAAGCCAATGCTCCCGATGGTGACACCGTGCTCTCACCCGGGACTCAAAAAGGGCCACTATTACGATAGCAGTCAGTCTATTGACGGTGCATGGCCTCGGACAGAACTTGAAGGGGAAATTATCCCCTCTATTCGACAGGTGAGCATACCGTCGCCCTTCATCGCCGACTCCCTCCCCTTCTTTTCCTGAGAGAAGTCATGCTTACTCCATATCCAGGTCTTTCCGGAGATTCACTTTCGAGGGCAGGATGACCCCTCGAGGAGAGCGTCTACGACGTCTTCTCCCACAGCAGCTAATTCTGCTGCCGCAACGACTTTCGAGTGCTCTCGCTCCCGAAACTCGAACAAACGTCAGAAGCCACGGCTTTACGAGACGACACATCCAGCGCTTCCTTAGCGGCAGCCTTTGTCAACGCCTTCTGGGCCTTCCCTCGAGGGTGGCGCACCGCGAACGAGTCCACAGGTTACGCAGGCTCGGCTGGTTCCTATATTGCCGTCAGGGCTCATGGAAGCACATGATCGCCAGGACGTGTGTCCCGTTGCACCCGGCCAGGTGCAAATGGCTGCTTCCGACCTAGACCATATGCACCACGACAGAATGATGTCAACTAAAGACTTCCAACTGACGCGGCCAGCATCTTTATGTTCTACCAAACTGCTGGTTGAATCGGCGCCGTCGTACGTGGTAAAGGAGGGACATCCGCACAGATACGAGCATCCCACTCGAGCTCAGTCCTCGTCTCTGGGGTCTACTCAGCGCCTCGACCTTAGTAAGGGCAAGTCACGGTCTATAGGCCCTAGGATTGCCCAGGAGCATGAATCGGGTTCGGGTGGAAGCAATAGAAGTAGCTAAACCATTGAGAAGGCACGAAGAGAGTCACCAAGGTGAATTCGCCGCAACTGGAGCGCAAGAGAGCCAACGACAGGAAGGTCCAACGAGCTAGGCGGACGAAGACAAAGGAACACATCGGGAGACTCGAGCGAGAGATTGCGGTGCTCAAGGGCAAGGGCAACCGCGAGAGGATCGTCCAGGAGCTCCTGCGGAAGAACCGGGCCTTGGAAGACGAACTATTTCGGTGCAAGGAAACTATGAGACAGGCATTAAGGCCTCCTAGCCCGGCTCAGGGAACGAGTTTCCCGCCGTGACGGGCGGTGTTCATCGACAGTCCCAATGTACGATATCCTACGTTCTGCGAGCGCCGTGGCATGTTCATTGCTATTTACCACGCCTTCTGGCCATCCATGCATCGTCTCTTTCTTTTATCCTCTTCTGTTGAACTACATCTGTACCAACCACGGGCGCTGCCTACATTCTTGTTGCTCGGGCTTAATAATCCATCCCCGTCGCCTCCACTGCCGCGACCTTTGCTGACCACCCAAGGCTGATGCCTGTTTGCTGTACTCATTCTTTAATGACGCCGAGAACCCTGAGCGGCCGTTTAGTTGTGCGTCGGCGTGTCACCCTCGACCTTGAACTCCGGTTCGGACCATCTCCGTTGTGCCGAGCTACCAAATTAGCAGGCTCGCTGTTCGTCTTGTGTGACTGTGACAAAGCGGTGTGGACATTCACGTCGTCGGCGATATGCACTCGGATAAGGTGCAGAGGACTGGAGAGCACATTCCAGAGGATTGCCAGGCACCCGCCATGGTCCGGTGTTGTCACGTCCGGCGGCGTGTACCGGATGCTGACTCGGAAGGCGTTTGTGGAAGGGGGAACGGCGACTAGGCTTGATAAGCGGGGCAATAGGCCCTTGTTGTTCGTCTTTGGGCAGTCCAGGAACACCACAATGACTCGCGCTGGGTGTTCCACAAGCAAGGTCTCCAGCTCCCCAAGGGCAGCGTCTCCAAGAGGATTATCCCCGATTCGCCGAAACCCCCGTAGGATTGCCTGAAGCAAACCCAGCCGGCGCACTTTGCGCGTCCCAGGACAAGATGTAGTAAAGATAGGATCGAAGGCCGCAGCAAGGTACACAGCGTCGATAGGAGAAGTTGCCGATGACACGATGACGGAGCCGCCTTGAGGCAGGCGCCAGGATGGCTGTTGGGCTACCGAGCCACGTCTAACGCCATCGATTTGTAGGTCCGTCCACCACGTGCCGGAGATACCCATCAGTATGAATAAAGCAAGCTTCTTAACAACGGACCCACTTGGGAACCATTGCAGTAGTATCCCGTAGGCGGCGATGGTAATGAAGATGAGGGGCAAGCGGGTAACAAGGAGAAGGACTTGCAAGATGAGTGAGAAGACGGAGGAAAAGAAGTTGACCGCGAATAGTGAAAGGACCAGGCAGGCCGAGAACATGCCCTGCTCAATAATGTTGTTGGAAACCAAAGCTGGCCTGACGGCCATATTGGGACGATGTTGTTACGGATATTGTAGGATCAGGCCCTGATGTGTGAGCATGGATGAAGCGCTCGGGCTCCTTTTCTGTCTCGACAGGTATCTGAAGGCACTAGGTTCACTAAAGACGTTGCCGTGGAGCGACTCTTGATGCATGTGCAGGTTACCCCGCCAGAGGTACAGTAATGACATGATCATCCACGGATCACTTCCACGAAGGTTTTGGCCCGGCAATGGAGGTTGGTTCGCAAGGTGGCTGGCTGGCCCATGAAACTTCCCGTGTGCATGCGGCTCAATTTGACCCACATCGGGGAGGATAATCCAGTCCATGGGACCAAGGCCGGCATTAGGCGAAACTCCAAGCCCTAAGACCAAAGTGAATTAGCGACAGGAGGGCTGAAAATGCCAGCTGGGTCGGGCTCGATCGTGCCGACAGCTCGGAGCGGCGGGGTTGGCGGGGACTAGGATGCGATGCATCAGTCGGGTAGGGGTCAAACGGTAGGACCACAATGGAGAGACAAATGGGTGGTTCAGCAGCAGTGGAGAAAACGCCATGTCACAAACTCGTAGTTGCAAACACGCCCGCTTCACAACGTGGTGAGCATGCCGCTCTAGGCAGGTTTCTTTTGCCCTCAACGTTTACGATGCTCCTTAAGAGAGCGTAGATCGCTGCCTGCCCCGTGTCAACAGCGTGGTGGGTTTCTCGGACCAAGACGACTTGTACAGTCGACGGTCAATTCCCATACAGTGTACTAGCCAGTGTCACCTGGCTGATTCGTATCGGAGTAACCTTATCCTGAAATGGCGACTTGCAGCCCGCTCTCGCCCCGGGGCGCGGGGGTAGGGTTTGCAACGGTAAATGGAGCTTAGCCGTAGTGTCAGTACTGTCCTGTTCCTAGCTCGTATTAAAGCTGGCCGGTGGACTGCTACGCAAGTAAAGAGCTTCTGCCGGGGCAGATTCTAGGTACCGAGAGAGCGAGGAACAGAGCAATCGACCGGACAGGACTTGAAAAAGGACGCTGCCGCTTCATCTTCTGCCTCTTGCATGACACGACTCATAGTCCCGCCCCTTTCCCCGTCCACCCCCATATCGCTTTCAACCGGGCTCGAGATAAGTGTCAAGATGTGTGGGTTGTAGAGAGTTGAAATTGGTCCTTAACTACTGCCTAAGTCAAGGGGACGAGTTATATACACAAAACAATGGTGCCCATGTGGGTCGGGACGCCTCCTCGGCTGGGGCGGAGTATCGTTTGACAATAAGGACTGGCATTGCAATGCGCGTGGCTTTATCGCTTGTCATCTCCCGCTCTTGCGCCGTCTCTTGTTTTATTACAACATAATCCCTAAATACCAGACCACCGCTTTCTTCGATTACCCATCCTTGGGACGGAACCCAGGCCACCCATTCATCAACCATCGATAAACGTATCTATTATCACCACTACCACACTCGCCATTATACCCAACGAACCACCCCCAAGGTCTCCCCGACGGACGGCCGCCCCCTCGTTTCCTGTCAACTCGGCCTTCCCCCGGTCGAACCTGAGATCTCGGACTCGAATCCGCCTCTGCAATCCTCGTCCCCTGACGACGCAATATACGCAGCCAGAGGGATCCCGCACCCATCCAGACCGCGTCCCCCATCTCTTCCGCCGCGCGGCTACTCTCACTGGGACACCATGGCCAGCCAAAGCCCTCAAAACGTCATCCGCAGGTACGCACCCACCTGTTTGCCCCTCCACGTCTCGACGATCCCTCCTCAGGGGTCCTCCGCCGAACTCGATTCATCACATGATCCCCCCCCCCCCAACCAAACCAAAAAAAAAAAAAGAAAAAGGGATACTGACTTCTAATTCCTTCAGGAAACTGGTCATCATCGGCGACGGTGCTTGCGGCAAAACATCTCTGCTGAGCGTCTTTACGCTCGGCTACTTCCCATCAGTCAGGCCCCCGAGCCTGCCGCGAAGCATATCAAGCTAACCACCACGACCCTCCGCAGCATTACGTATGTCCTCCCCGAACCCTCGACCGTCCGCCCGCCGACCATCCGCTCTCATCCCGCAGATCCCGACAGTCTTCGAGAACTATGTCACAGATTGTAGAGTAGACGGTAAGTCCGTTCAGTTGGCGTTATGGGATACCGCTGGACAAGAAGACTACGACAGATTGCGGCCGCTGGCATATTCTAGGGCTCATGTCATCCTCGTCGGCTTCTCGCTTGATACTCCAGATTCCCTTGACAACGTCAAGCACAAGGTACGGCCCCTGGTCCCTTCGATATCCCACGCATCCGCCTGGGGGGATATGGTCAAAGGTTCGCTGATACACCCCGCCCGCCCCCAGTGGATCGAGGAAGCCTCCCGCCTCCGCCCTAACGTCCCCATCATCCTCGTCGGCCTGAAGAAGGATCTCCGGGAAGACCCCCTCGCCATAGAGGAGATGCGCAAGAAGTCGCTGCGCTTCGTCACGCCGCAAGAGGGAGATGCCGTCGCTAAGGAGATAGGAGCCCGCAAGTACCTCGAGTGCTCGAGCCTGAGCGGCGAGGGCGTCGACAATGTCTTCGAGGCCGCCACACGCTCCGCTTTGCTCACCTTTGAGAGCGGCGAGAGCTGCGGCTGCTGCGTCATACTGTGAGCCAGGGCCGCCGCCACCCGCCCGCCCACTCACATATCTTTATAATTCAACAATCGAGCGTCTCATGCCAGTTCCGCCCTTGGCTCTGCGAAATGTGATGAACGATGCCGGGCTTCAACGGTTGCAGCAACACCCGAACCCACCACGTCGGATCCTTCGCCGCACAAAGAGCGGCGTCCGACCATTACTGTCAGGTAAGTCGGCATCGATTTTGCTCGTTTCCAGCAGCAACTTCACGACAGGCTCATGGCCATTAGCCGAGACCTACGATAGGGGCGACCAACCATCCTTATCCTTCGAGAACTGTTTCAGATGAGACTGTAATCCCTCCCTTGCAGCAGGCTTGAGGTCAATGAGACCATATTCGCGAGACGATTTTGCGTATTTGGTCCTGCTTGTACGTAGGGACGGGTAAATCAAGGGTAAGATAATATTTCCACGTCTTACGGACTAGATGCATCATACATGAGGCTCATCGACCACCTCCACGGTGTACACAGCAGAGCTCAAGGGACTGGTGCTAGTCAAAATGGTACTTGACGTACATGCAAGAAGCAGCCGCCCCGGCTGGTGCGCCATATTCACAGACAATCAAGCCGCCATCCAAGCGATCTGGAACCCAAAGTGTCCATCAGGCCATTGTCATAGGGTTCTCGTCTTCTTACCTCGTTTACAACGGCTACTTGATGCAGACGAAGTTGGACGACCTCGAGCGCCCTCAGACAGTGCCGGTCCTTGCGGCCTTCTGTGTGGGCTTTTACTCGTGGCATATGAGCTCCCTCCTCGTCGATGCTCACCCCAATCTGGGCGATATTCTCCACCACACTCTGGTACTCATGTGTTCGGTACCCATCGAGGTAAGTGATGTTCTGCTTCGACAGCTCCTGACCTCGTTTGGTCGGCATTCAGCTGCTAACTTGCAATGAGATTCTTCAGAACCCTTTTATCGCCCATCGCTTGCCAAGCTTCCTTCTATTCGAACTTACCAACATCCCGCACAACTTATATCGCATAACGCAGAGTGTCGCTGGACCCGACTATTGGCTGGCCAACGTCCTCGCCGCCGTGTGGATTGCGCTTTTCTTCCTGGTCCGGATCATCTGGGGAAGCCGTGCGAGCTACTCCGCTTATATGGACTTTGATCAGCTCTATACATCAGGGCAGGTGTCTTGTACCGCCGGCCTTGTTTCAATGATGCTCCTTGACTTCTACTGGTTCTACTGCATTACCAGAAGAACTGGTGTCAGGCTTTGGCGCACGTTTAGAGGCCCCAAGGCTTTTTGAGGAGCGCCAAAGACCTGAGGGAGCTTGCCGCAGCTTGCAAGCGGCACACTGCTTGGTCCATGAGGAGCTAGTTTCTCACATTCTAGCTGCGTTCGCTTGTCTACAGGGCGATAGATACACTCTATAGCCAGTAGTCTGGACAAGACAAGTCAAAATCACTAAGGTCCTCTCAAACTCATCCTACCGTGACCGCTCTCTGATGGGGTCGTTCCTATCGTTTCAGCAAGTCTTTCCCAGCGGTCGCAGGCGTCTTGCCCAGGGTGGGCGTACTGTCTGCAAACGACGCTCCGCAGCAGCCCCTGAAGGATACCCCGCTGATTCGGGAGCTGGGTTGTTTGGCTTGAAGGAAGAGCAGATGACTCGGTATGGGCTACGCATATTGAACCTCGAGGAGGAAAGCTTCGCGCGAACGGCTAGCCGTGGCCATCTCTCTTGAGACCCTCCGTTGCGCTCCATGGTCGTCTCGCATGAAGACCGGCACTCCTCCATGGACCCAATAATGCCGTTATTGCGATAATTCCGCTACCTGCATGCAGAGGACGGCTCAGCATAGCAGGGAGTCCAATGGCTTGTGGCTAGCTGAGCTCGCGCTGCATTAGCCCAGCTGCATCTCTAAGCGTTGCGTCGCATGCGCATCGCATTGCAGGGTAACCGTATTGCTTTTATTTCGACAGCGGTGGCTGGCTGAAGCGTGTTGCAGGGGCGCTCATGCAGGCCACGGGCCTCCTGTCCTTTGGCACACGGCAAAGAAGGCAAAGAACCCCGAGAAAGTACACTGCAAGGGATGAGCGGAAGCGCTGGTGTGATTTGATGCTCGGACTGATTAGTCTCTGTGGCTGGCTTGGAGTAAAGTCAAAGGAAAGGGGGAACCTTGCAGCATGATGCCGCCGCGTGGCAGTCTGAAAGTGGTCGCTGTGCGAACGAAATTGCATCATCCAAAATATGCATGACGCCCGCTAGACCATACACAGGGCTTTCTCACCACCTCTAAGCACGGGTGATGACAGTCGGGAACCACAAATCCACTCTCATGGCCTCTTTACCCCTCTATCCCGACGACCTGCTTCTTATTCGGCCCGAATTGTGCCGTGACGAGCCTCGAGTATTTTGCTTCGCTGAGTGCCGAGGCTGCCTCGAGCTGATGTCACGGGTTGCGATCCGTCCTGCTGCACATGGATGCTTCCTGGTATGGCATCGTCTGGCGTGTCGACATCTCGAACTCGAGCATCGAAAAGGCCTGTGGGGACGGCACGGGCGGCCTGGATGGCAGAAGGCTGATACTGGCGGCTCATGCTGCCGCGGGAGGACTCGAGGACGGACTGGGCATCACCTGAAGCCCGCAGGCGGAAGAGGATGTCGAGAGCCTCGCCCTCGGGTGCGGTGCACATCATGTGGAGGAGCTCGCCCTGGCGCTTGTGGACCTCGAGGGACTGCTTCTTGACATCGGCGCTGTAGAAGCAATAGACCTGGCGCTTGGCACAGAGGCTGCACTTTGGCCGGCTCCGGTTGCACTTTGGAGGGGAGCGGCCATGGTCAGCGGGGGACAGGCAGGAGGGCAGAGTGGAAGGGAGAAGAGGAGG